AAGCATAGCCTGTTTCTCCTGCTTTTTCTGCTCCTTAGCTAGCTTATCGCAATCCTTTTGGTGTTGTAGTTCTTCTGCTTTGGCGTCTTTTTGGGCTTGGCGATTGCGGGCAGCTTCAACTTTAGATGGCGACCAGAAGACGGCGCCGCCAGCGTAATCCTTAGAGGGTTCGAGTAGTAATGCCTTGCCACGCTTACGGCGCTTCTTCTTATTAATAAGGGCATCTCTGAGGCAATTATTTTCATGCTGGAGGAGCTGTTTTTGAGTCGCTATCGCGTGTATCGTGTGAGAAAGCTGCGAGGCGCGTTTATCGTAGATATTCTCAACTACCTCTCGCAGGAGTCGTTCAATTTTACGCCAATCGCTTGCAGAGAGTACTGACGACGTACTATCGCTGCTTAATGGCCTCTTAGGCTCTGGATCCTTGAATTTCTTCAATATAGCGTTGCTATCCAGTGGAGAGATGCCAGTGACTTTAAAGGCGTTGATGATCGTTTCTTCGGCGAACGCGATCCTATATGCCCTATAGAAGAAGCGGAAGAAGTCGCGCTTGGTGATAGATGTGAGTCCCTGGTTGTTGTATATATATTCGCTGAGCTCTTTCGTATATGCAGCTGAAAGAGGCTTGAAAAGGCAGACATCTAGAGGCTGTAGCGTATGGGTTGAATGCGGCGGGTAGATAGCCAGGAGGATTCGATTTCGATCGCAGAACTCAATAAACTTCATAGTAATATGTGAGCCATGCCCATCAAGGATTAGGAGCCGATAATCGCGCTTTGCCTTCTTCTTCGTCTCCTCTTGAAAGCACCTCTTGAGCCAGGCAATCCCGAGTTCGTTGTTTGTCCATCCAGATGGTGATGAGGCGAAGAAGGCCTGGTGCTCTTGAGGATCAAAATCCTGCAACCATGTATCCTGGATATTGCCAGAAGCCGCCTGATATATCAGGGCAGGATTGAGAGAGCTGCCGTCGGCGCATATACAAGCTATCGTCGTTATCCACTCCCTGTTGCCGTCCTGGAGTACCTGCTTGACGCCTCCTTGATTATATCGCTGTCGGGAGAACACGCGCTTCATTTTTGACACCACCCCGATCAAGAAGCCCTTCTCATCCATGTTGTATGTATTTGACGGCGCGATATCGTACTGCTTGATCTTATCGTCTAAAAGCTTGAAATAGAGAGCGTATTTGAAGGCTGAATCAGCTTTGTGGCGCTGGTTATCGATGCCGGATGTCCATCGCGATACAAGGTCAATTTGATGCCGCGCAATATAGCGATCAACCCAGTGTTTTCCAGGCTCTTGATGGGCTATTTCTGCTGCGAAATTTCGTATCATCTCTCTTGTAGGGGGTAGGCCTCGTACACACAGCTTATCAATATACTGCAGGAGCTGTTTTTCCTGTATGGTGTTGAGGAGTCGCTTTTTCTCAGCCCGTGATGTATTGGTGCCCTGAACCCCGCGATAACGCTTCGAGAGCCGCGACCGCTCAACGCCGTACTCCCGAGCAACCTGGGATATATTAGGAGGTCCTCCCAGCTCTAGGGATTTTAAAGCTTCAACAGCTGCGTCAATCGGGTCCATATTGGTGGAGTTATGAGGTGTTGAAAATATACGCGTTTTGGTGTTAACTGTGCGTTGAGTGGGGTCTGTGCGTTGAGTGGGGAAATACAGTAACAGCCGGGTACTTACTTCCCCGCCGTGCGAATGAGTGTGCAGGCCATCCCAGCTCCTGTTATCTTAGAACGGCGAGCCGCACCTGGGCATGCAATCCAGGCCAAACGATGTAACACCTTCTCTAAAAGCCTTGTTCGCCCATTTGTTCATTTATGGCGCCAGCCCATGCTAGCCGTGCATTCGGGTTTCCTCCATCGTCCCTCAGTTGCCTTCGGTCTCATTGTCCGGCCATTAGCACTGCCTGCAATGTGCACGAGGGGAATCAGGCCACCGTCTTTGTAGCACTTATGTTGACATGGCACTACACTTTTTAGGGGAGCTGCATCGTCCCTCGTTTGCCTTGCGCCCTACCGTCCCACGGCTCGCGATAACGCTCCCACTTTTCCAGCGAAAGCCTGATATTATGGAGCTGTCTTCTGCCGACTTTCGTGGTTTCTCATGCCTTATCGCGCCTTGCCAATGTTTGTCAGACTTCATCTCTCCACCCGTATGCATGCCAGCCTGAGGTCCGTGCGAGTCCAACTTGCACCTGCACGAGCGTTCGCGGCAGTAACCATGTCAACTAGAGCCTCAACCACCCAGTTAGAGGTCGCGTCCGCGGTCACTAAATGGCTGGACGGAACGCCGTTCGAAGCACGAGACGTACGTCGCATTCATGTTGGAACCACGAATTACGCCTATCGTGTCTTCCTCAGGAATCCGCTAGACGAAGGACGCGTATGGACCGCGGTACTCAAGTATTCAGCTCCATATACGGCTGGTGAACCGCGAGCAGCATTTTCCCCGAAGAGGCAAGCTTTTGAGGCTCGGGCCTTGACACACATTCCATGGTGGGAGTTCAAATACAATACTGAGCATGATCCTGCATCACAGCCGGAGCATCCCATCGTAAAGCTTCCCTCACTGTACTTGCAAGATCCTGACCACAGCGTCAATATCATCGAAGACTGCACTCCTCGGCCCGAAGAACGCGAAATTTGGGACCAGTCCACACACTCGTTCCGCACGATTCTAGAGGATCTTCCCGAGTCCAGCGCAAAACACGAACTAGCTCGACTTTTGGGCGATAATCTTGGAACCTTCCTCGCGCAGTTGCACGCATGGGGAAGTGACACCAACAATCATCAATTCGTGTTCGATACTTTTGGGGGTAACAGCGCCGCAAAGGAACTCACAATCCAGGAACTATTCACGGATTTTGCGGCCAACGTCAAGAGGCTAGGGTACACGATGACGGGATCGCAGCCGTCCCAGATAGAGTCGCGACTCCAGAGTATAGAGAATGCAGTGCGATCTGAGCCTCAGTCGGTGGCAATGGGCGATTTTTGGTGAGCGGCAATTCTTGGACAACTCCGCATTTAGACTGATGATTAGAAGGATGGGAAATGTCTTGCTCGACGTTGACGGTGCCTGTCAGCTGCGTAGGATCGTGGTAATTGACTGGGAATTTGTCAACATGGCACCCACATGGCTCGACATAGGGAACTTCCTAGGCGAGCTGTATCTCCTCAACCACTTTGAGGGGACCGATTCTGCATATGTCTCGGTTTTCGAAGGCTTTGTCCAGGCTTACCGCAGACTCAGTCTGGCTCCACTCAACGTTCACGAAGCTCTCGGGTTTGCGGGAGCACATATCATGATGTCTCTACCGAGAAGGATACATTCTGATCGAAGCCGAGCTACACCTGTAACGGCGTTGCCGTTCGTAGAGGGAGTGCTGAAATTCATTACAGACCCAGAGTTTACTTATCTGGGGACGAGGAAACAGGACCCTTTGGAAACAATGGCACAGCTAATGATGGATAGAAGCAGAGCGAGAAACAGCAGCTGAGTGCATCATTCAATGCCACCTCTCATTTCAGCAAGCTTCTGACCCAGGAGCTCTGGAGGTGTTTCGGACGGAAGCGGCTGAATATTGTTAGGCATCCCGATAAGGCAAATCGTGGAGCAACGTGGATCTACCTCTTCGTAGGGATTGGGTTCAGCTGAGCCCTCTGGGAACAGCACAACGGATAAGCATTCATGGCTTTCTCGGGGACGAGCATTTTCGGGCCCCAGGGGATTGCGGAAGGCCGCATGCGGGCAAGCTGTTCTCGCTATCAGTTACTCTAGCAATTTCTCTTCGCGGCCGCAGGGCATACCTCGAGCATTTCCTTTGCCGGCATACGTGTCGAACGTCTTGAAAACTAAGACCTCGTTTGGCTGATGGTTTTCAAGGAAATACCATTTGTGAGACTTATTCCAGAGGACATTATAGTTCTCTCGAATCTTGTGTAGGTAGATATTGTCCGAGGCGATCAGATCTCTGAAGACGTCCAGAGATCGATAATCCATCATAGCGAGCGGCCAGTCCTGCAGTGGGCCAAAGAGAGGCCTCCAAGTACTTCATCGAGTGCATTGTCAGAAGTCGTCTCTTCGACATCCGGAACCGCAAGACATACCTGATCACAGCCCATCGTCTCGTGGATATATCAGAGTAACCACGTGCAAGCAATGATTCATGGATTTCGGAGCGTGCGCCGTCTGGCGTCATGTCTGGCCCTCATCAATATTACCGCGCATATATTCAGGATGGGCACCTCTCTCTACCAATGTGAACACCCTGAACGGGCTGCGGTATACGGCCATCCGTGCCTCGCGGTAGTGCGGGGAACTGTTGATCGCGCCTGCGGACCTGCCTCGCCTGTAAGCAATGCAACGCAAACCCAGCGCCTCGCAAACCAAGCTGAATGAGGAGAAAGGCCCACAGACCTGATGCGAAAATGCGACGACGTCTTCACAGCCGCTAATATGCCGCTTCAGAAACGCCTCTACGCCTTCTCTCACTTTCGATCGGACCAGAGCTTCATCGGCGTAATCCTCATAGCCGATGCAGTTCACGAGCGAGCTCGGGTCATTTGCGTCCTCCACCACGACTTCAAAACCATGAATGTCGAGCTTAAAATTGTGCTGCCTGTCTCTGATGTCTGCCACGGAAATGCCGTGGTAAGGAATAGACACTTCGTTCGACTGTAGGCCGGGCGGCAATGCTCGCTCTGGCAGGTTGATGTGGTAGGGCTTAGTCGTCTTATACTCTGTGCGATCTTCCAGGTAGTGGAATGTTGCGCGTGTGGAGAGTTTCCGCTGCACGGAGGAGTTGAAGAAAAGCGCGCGTAGAGACCGCAAAGACCTTGGACATGTTCGCTATTCTAGCTTAGCAAAGTTGGTTATAAAGAGCTAGAAGAAACTCACGATTCTTTCGAGACGCCACATCATGAAATACCTGTGAGGCAGTTGGTGAGGCAGGTGGACGGTATACTGAGAAGCAGCAAAAGGATATATTGGGTGGTGCCAGTATGTAGTCAAATCCTTACGGAGTAAGGATGGGAGGAGACTGGGCTATATACTGGGCCGGCACGTGACCGGGGTCGGCCTAACCAGGCTCCAAGAGGTCTCCGGCTGGATAGGCGTCACAGCTCTTTATAATAAAAAACATATATAACTACTATACTAAAAGTTATTACCTTTTATATAATAGAGTTAATATAGTAGAAACTTATATTTATTTATTTATATACTAAACTTTTAGCCTAGTACTGTATGCCTGTTCGGTCGAAGCCCGCTAATTACTCCACTAGGCTAGCTTGTTACCCTTCTAGCTCTCCGAGACTTACTCCATCCGGTTCTTACCTCCTTGCTTGCGGGTGTATTCTACATCTACGAGATAGGAATATAAAGATGCCTTGTCGCGCTTTGTACTCCGTTGGATACAGCGACGTCCCAGATTCCTAGGGAAGCAACTCTGTACCCTTGTTTGATTATTCATTCCAACTTCGCAATGAGTGTTGAGTCTACTACGAATCAGGTGTCCCTCAACCAGGGTGACATGGCTCCCAAAGAGGGAGAGGAGGGTCACTCGGCCAGCAAGACCGAAACAGCTGAGGCAGAGGTTGCTGGGAAAGAAGCTGGCGACCCAGAAGCCGGCAAGGCCCAGGCGGGGGGATTCCACATTGACTTCCCTGACGGCGGACTTCGCTCATGGCTTGTTGTCCTTGGAGCTATGATTGTGATGGGATGCTCCTTTGGGTACTTATCAGCATTCGGGTGAGTTTTGATTCCCCTCGCTCAGGAGTCCATGGCGAAAGGGCAACTAACGGGCGGTTGATAGTGTCTACGAGTCATACTACTTGGAGAATCAGTTGTCGCACAAGACATCATCCGAAATAGCATGGATTGGCTCGCTGCAGGTCTTCTTTCAGTTCGCGTCCGGTCTACTGTCTGGCAGTCTGTTCGACAAGTTTGGTTCAAGAGTACGTGAATCCCTGCTACGGGATCGCTCCCTTGCTCTCATCGCGAATGCTCACGCCGTTCCGGCTCTAGGCTGTCATGGTTCCGGCTGCCATTGTCTACGTCTTTGCAGTCATGATGACCTCGATCTGCAAAGAATATTATCAATTCATTCTCGCCCAGGGCCTGCTCGGCGGCGTTGGAGTCGGTTTTCTCTTCACCCCCGCCACCGCCTCAATCAGCCACTACTTCCGTGAGAGGCGCGGCATGGCCATGGGCATCGCGACCGGCGGGTCCAGTATCGGCGGCGTACTGTTCCCCATCGCACTGCGTAACGCCTTCTACGGCCACCTAGGGTTCGGATGGGGCGTGCGGGTAATGGGCTTCGTCATGCTGGCGCTGCTCGCGATCGCATGCGCGTTGATTAGGGAGCGCTTTCCACATCGCCAGGGCCAGATGTTCCAGCCACGCGCATTCCTGCAGCCAAGTTACACCTGCATGGTCGGCGGCGTGTTCTTGACCATGTGGGGCTTCTTCGTTCCATACTTCTACCTCAGCGAGTATGCGCTTGATGAGGTTCATATGTCGGTCTCGCTCGCCTTCTACCTGCTGTCGATCATGAACGGCGTATCCTTCCTGGGCCGGATGATTCCCGGCATCATCGCGGATAAGCTGGGCCGCTTGAACATGTTAATCGTCGTCGATATCATCACCGGGGCCATTTCCTTCTGCTTGCCGCAGACTCACTCCCACGCCAGCCTCATTGTTTGGACCGCCTTCTTCGGGTTCTTTTCCGGCTCCATTATTTCCTTGTCCCCGGCGGCCTTTGCAGAGATCAATCCCAGGCCGCAGCTGATTGGCACATACATGGGCCAGGCCATGGCTGTAATCTCCATCGCAGGGTTGACAGGCTCGCCCATTGCGGGTGCCATACTGGATAATCATGGCTGGGAATCACTGAGCATATTTATGGGCGTCGTGATGATTGCTGGCGGGGCATGTGCAGCCATTGGGCGGTTTGCGTACGAACCCAAGCTGTTTGCAAAGATCTGAACCAGAATCTTTATTATCATAGATGTGAGCCTGGGTTGGAGAATTTTGCAAATCATTCCCGTGTACGTTCGGTCGAAGGTAATTTCCATATCTTTAGTCGGTTTATTAAGATTTCTAGGGCGGATGTATGGCGTGAGAGCGTAGAGGGCGACCCGGCTGGGATTCATTCTGCTATGTAAAGGCTTGCGACAAATCTCCACTCATCTCCACCGAACATTGTAAAAACTTACGTAACTTTTCTTTCCCATATTGGCCCACCGTGATCTGACTTGCATGCAAAAAAACACCATTAAGCGTGACAAAACGGAACAGCTAGAGTAAGTGCTAGAATGGGCATCAGAGTATCAATAGTTGCTCTGATAGGATATGAACCTAACTGCATGGTCTACATGTGAATTGTGTCATCACTGTTTTCGGTGTCGTCGGGACACAGACGAGACCAAAGGCCGCAACCTTCTAGTAGAAGATCTCACTGGATATATATGCTTCTGCAGATGTCAAGTCAACCTTCCCCTGTACAATCCAGGGTCAAACGCTGATGAGATTCAGGCGATTAGCCCATGGGAATGCATATCAACGCGGAACGGTCTCCGTAACAGCTCCACGTGCGGTCTAATCGGAGACCGTTTCCAGGTTGGGTATCATCAGCTACGGAGTTACCGGCCTTAATTTCCCCATACAGTTTAGCCCAAATTCTCCGAGGCTGATATCCCGTGATGTCGCGACTGAAACTGCAAACTTCATCAGGTACTCATTGCGCACAAATGCCGATATTGCGAGCGCTGGCGCGCGACATGTAACGTTTCCCTACGGACATTCCGGCCCGGCATGCGCCGTATCCAGAACTTCACACCAGCCACGTACGCGACCGACCAGAGCGCGGGACAAAAGCGACGCCGCCTGCGACCTGCCGTGTCGTGCGACCCGTGCCGGCTGCGCAAAGTCAAGTGCAACCAGGGCCAGCCATGCGGTTCGTGCACATTGCGCGGCAGAGCTGGAGAATGCGTTTATGGGGGCGACTTGGGAGGAAGGGTACGTATCGCTGGCAACAGCGAGCTGCGGAACAATGGCGCGATGGACTTGGAGTTAAGCAATGACTTTGGCAAAGACCGCATGAGCAGGCTGGAGGCCCAGGTTGAGGAGTTGCAGCAGGTGGTTCTGGGGCTGGCTTCTGAGCTGCCTGCGTGGCCGGCGTTGCGAGGCGACGTCCCAACTGTCGATTCAGGCGACGGAGCGGCGCAGCCAGATCAACCGTTCTCAGCAGAGAGCAACTGTTGCAAGCCTATGGGCATCCGCGATGGTATATTCGCGTCGAAGCAAGGCACCGTGCACTTCATAGGACCAACTGGTTGGACCATCCACTTAGACGATGTATGTGATGCCTGGAGCTTCTGTGAACCGGCTTGGAAATAGCTAACATCACCTAGATTTATGACAACATCCCCGCACTGTTCGTGCACGTTAAACCTTTTGAGGCGCAGTGGAGCGCGTACCTCAGACTTCGCGATCAGTATCGCGGCTGGGGCCTTTCAACTCTACTCGAGTGGGCGGTTGTTCCTCCGTCCCCCCTCTCAGTCTCGGATCTACTGGCGATGTTACCACCACAGTCGGACTGTGATGTGCTGGCAAGACGCTTTTTTGACACATTCAACAGAATCTATCCAATCGTTGATGGGAATGCCCTGCTTAAGGAGATGTCGGACTTCTGGCAGTCCAAGACACCACTTTCGAACACTTGGGTTGCGTATGCGCTAGCCGTCATTGCGAACGGGCTGCTGGTCCCGGTGCATGCATTGCCTAACGACACCGAGATAGTTCACGGTCGAGCAACTGGAAGGAAACTCATGACGGCGGTCATGCAGTTTGTCATGTCCACACCACTGCTGTTCCGGAGACCGAATTCGCGGGTCTTTCAGACGTTGCTTTTATCGATCCTCTCGCGGAAGCTCGATCTCAGTGAACCCGATGCAGGCGATGGAATCAATGGCTCACTGGCAATTGCTCGACAGATGGCATTTGCCATGGGTCTACATCGGGATCCGAGCAGTGGTGTCAAAATGACCGACCAAGTAGTCTTTAAAAAAGATACAATGGGCGAGGATGCTAAGCTTAGACGCAAAGTAAGTCTTTGAGCCAACCTCTTACGATGTTTTAGCCGCGGCGGTGTCTAACTATGACCTAACAGCTCTGGATAAGCTTCCTTTTACTTGACATGGAGCACTCCTTGCAGTCAGGAATGCCTTTTCTCCTACGCCCTAGCGACTCCGATACATACCTACCGCCCGACACCGGAATGCACGTCGAGTTACGCTATCTCCGTTGCATATATACCGCCCTCCCTCTTTGGGCCGAGGTAATGCAGAATGCAAACGCCTGCAGGAACACATCATCCGCAAGCGTCGTCTCAAACTTAGACCAGCGGCTACGTGAACTAACATGCACTATAGCCGAGCATCTGCTGCCACAAAAACCGCCAGAATCCTCAGAAGGCGCCCTGGAGGTCTTCTTAATCCAGATGCAGCGCTCCATGCTGCACTGCTTCAACAACCGCATGATAATGATACTGCACAGCACTCTGGCACCCTTTCCCTTCTCGACCAGCGATAATAACGCTGCACTTGCTGCTGCTGTAGACACGGCAGAGCACGCGGACGCCTTCAGGGAGCGCTTAGCTGAGCTCCCCGCGACCTCACAAGATGCCTGGGCGCACTTCCTCGTGGCCGTCTTCTACTATCAAATTACCCGCGCCGGCATGCACATACTAGCCCGCGTCCGCCGCATACTCGATGGCCGCGACCCGACTCTGCCACCCGCGATCCTAACGCTGCACGGGCCACGACACTTCGATCTGATGTCACTGGTTGATTTTGTCGAGCACACTTGCGGTCTCGTTGATCTTGCCGAGAAGCACAGCTCCTCAGCGGTCAAATGGCAGATGTTCGTCAAAGGCTGCTGCGCTGGCACCCGCGAACGGATCCGACTGGCGGGCGAACCGACGCCGAGCCCGTCGGATGGGGATGCAGTGGTGGACAATGATAGCCGGGTATTGCAGGCGGTAAAGCGGGCGATGGATGTCAGTCTGGAGAGGAGTCGGAAAGAGATTGATATGGCGATCAGAGGAGATGATCCGCCGCCCATGTTGTGTAGGGATGAGGCAAGGGATGGCGCGGAGAGAGAAGAGGAGAATATGGAGAGAAGAGCTCTCGGCGACGGAGAGGATGGTGTGACCGGACTTGAAAGCACCGAGACCGGAATGAATGACGGGTTAGGAGCGGGTGAGGGTGCCATGTTCATCACAGTGAGTCTCAATTTCATCTACTAATCTTCCTTCACATCCGCGGATGTTGGCGTTTTATTATCCTGCTCCAGATGTGGTTTTCATGGCGCACTATATTTATTTCCAGGAACGATCATACGCTGACATTCTTATGCGCAGAACAATCTCTTCTCGAGCGATCAGAATACGTTAATGGACGGCGATCTGGACATGGCGAGTCTTTTGCCACTCGACTTCGATTGGTGGCCGGCGTTTCCACAGTAGATGCACCAATAGATAGAATAATTCTGGCCGCAGCCGCTTCCATCTCAGATTGATGATTCAATGATTTCGCCGATTCGAGATGACGTGTAAGAATAGTCCAAGGTCAAGCACCAATCATCCAATCTCATCGTGTGGGATCGATATTCGTGCCAGTCTTCGCATGTGCTTCTTGCCGGCAAACCTCCGTGGCCTTTTAGAATCTCTCAATCCGAGTTCCATGCGCAGTGGGCCATCGATATACTGGAAGTAGTTAGCAATGTCTAGGTCGAACTGGCGTGATACATACGTTCGTGACCGAATAGCATAGGTCCGGTGATATCTTCGTATGCTCCCGGGCCCATGCTGCTGTGAAATCGTTCCAACGCTTCCGCACACTTTCCGTGCAGGGTCTTTCGTCATCATCGGTACCGATCATGCCGTACGCCACCCATCTGATGAACTGCTGTAGCGACTCTAGATCTTCTACAGATGCATGAGGATGCCTTTCCCCCAACTACGGGGTTGTGTTAGCTGTGTGTTTTAGTAAGTAGTATTATATGCATATAATAGGTGTGTAATATAGTATCTAGGCGTTTAATATAATAGTAATGTGCTAAACGTTAAATAGCGATAAATAAGTATACAGTAGCTATGCGCGCTGTGCGCAGCATGCGCTGCTATACGATGGTTTCCCAATATAGTTATGGGATGAATGCAGGTCCAGGAATACACGAATGGCAATCTGGTATTCCAAGCGGCCAGACGTGGGTCCAAGGATACACGGATGGCAGTGGGGTACTTGAGGTGGATAAAGGTGGAGAGGGTAGGAGAGGGGAGGGGAAACGCGATGAGTATTAATATATCCCACTTGGGGGCTGCATGGCGTTGATGAGCGAGATGGAAACCTTTCCGTGTTTGGCACAAGTGCTGATTTTCAGTCCGGACAGGCAGAAAGTCGGAAAGAAAGAAGCTGCTCGTGTGGTAATGAAAGTGCGTCGCCCTCGAACCGAAATAAAGCGTTAAAGAACGTATAAATCTACAATGAAGGTGTGCATCGAGAAAGGAAGGATAAATATGTGCGCAGAAACGAATGGGAGCTCGTCGTTAAACCTTTTGCAACACCGCGCCCAAAAAGGAGACAGAAGAACAGAAAGCGACCGTAGTCCGTAACACAAAATGCCGGCCCAAGGAAGATAGTAACCACTACAGCGGTCTCAACGCGCCACCCCGCTCGTCCCCCCACCTCCCATGAATCCTCTGCCTCGCGCTCTTCCCCCAAAAAGCAATCGGCACCGCGATCAACCCACCCACAACCTGCAAAACCGCCAGCTCAATGCCAACCAGCATATACCCATGTGCCGCAATCCAAGGCACGAGCGCAAAGCTGATCGAGAAGCTCAGCAGGTAGCAGCCTCCACCAACGACGACAAGCGCCGGAGCAGCCCACCGCGGAAACGCTTCCGTTACCCACAGCGTATTCGCAATCGACAGCGTCACCCACGAGAACCCGTTCAGGCCATACGCTAAATAGTACGTGGCGAAATGCCAGTGGCGCTGGACCGCAAGGCCGTAGAGCAGTGTGCTCAGCGCGCCGGTGATGACGGGAAAGATGTACGCGAAGAGGTAGTGCTCTGCTTCTCGCACACCGCGGTTGCGCTTCGACAGGCGCGTCAGCAGCTTACACATGGCGAAGCCGACGAAGGGAAAAGCGAGGAGGCTGCCCATGGCGGAGGAGTTGTTGACTTGGATGATCAGCCAGGAGGGGAGGTTGTAGGGCGCAGAGCCGAGGATGCGGCCGTATGTTGCGCCGATGAACATCATGCCCGCGAAGTTGAACGATGAGGCGATGAGAACCCAGAAGATGAGTGGATTGATCGCGCAGAAGGCTATCTGGAGATAGCATCGGCCCATGGCTTTCCATGATGTGAATGGGGAGCGAGCAAGGCCGAGGCGGTAACGGAGGCCTTTGGCATCGGAGTCAAAGGGATAACTGGGAAGGTCTTTGTAGAGGTCCGAGTCGGCCTCGAGGTCTTCGTAGATCGTGAGTTTCTCGGTTGCGCTTTGGAGAAGGATGAGGCCGTCAAACGCAACCGTCGGACGCTTGAAGTAGGATTCCGGGTACAACAAGAATGCCAACAAGAAGGAAACGGCAACCGGAATCGTCCAGCAGCGGTAGAAAATGTGCCAGTCCGTGCCGTGGTTAGATAGATAGGGGACGAGTGATAGGGCGCCGGTGCCGATGAACCCTGGCACGGACCAGAGCGCAGCGATGGCTTTTGGTCGCTGGTCGATGAATGTCATGTCGATGATCATCAGAAATGCCTGCACGGATCAGCGCGAATGTTCGATGTAATGCGAACCGCTCCATACTGAAGTAAGGGCGAATCCTTCGCCCATGCCGAGCAAGCAGATGAAGAAAAGGAGTTGATGAAACGTCTGCGAGTATCCAGCTCCGATGATGGCGACCAGGTTAACAAACGATGCGATGAGAAACACCGGACGCCGTCCAAGTGCAAGACCGAGGGGTACCCAGAGGAACGCTCCGATGCCCATGAACAGCGTAGGAGCTGTGATCAGAGTCTCTAGTGTCCATGGCTTGCTATCCTATCGCATGTGGTCAGCTACTTGACGCCTTTTCAGAGCATGGAGGCGTACCTCTTCACTAAAGTCAGCTAGAAGACCGTGCATCATTAGACTAGCCGCCTGCGACGGTGTGAGAACGACGACGGAGTACCATCCCAGGGCTAGAATAGCACCAGCTGTCTTCCAAGCGCCCCAATTCAGAGGGTCCAGTTTGCTGTTTGAGGGCACGGGCAAGTTGAGCGTCCTTCCATCTCCGGTAATCAAGAAGATACTTCCTGATAGGTCATACGATTCATGCTTCTTCTTGACGCTCTTGAAGGTCGACTCTGGTTCGGGATCTGCCTCAGGACCGAATGCGGGGTGTGAATCTGAGGACTGACGTCGAGGGACTTCAATGTCTTTAGAGGGAGACACCAAGCGCGGTTCGCGAAGAGGAAGTGGCTTGGGTTTGGCGAGTTCTGCGTCTTCATCAATGTAGAAATCGAATCGTTCCTCGACCATGACGTCAGACGGGGACCTGAAGGATCTCCGGGGTGGAAATCGAAACAATGAGAAAAGAGAGCCCCCCAAGAGGCCAAACAGAAGGAAAGAGAAATAGTATTGAGCGACTGTCGGACGAATTCTCTTTGAGGTCCTTTCCTCCGAGAGGCGACTTTATAGGGATGTGCTCGAGCCAGGAGCTCACGGCATCATCCGTAGAAAGAATCCCAAAGATGAGGCATTCTGAATGATCGACACTTGGGTATGGGCTTTGGCCATGGGCTGCGGAGCCACGTCGGGCGCCCAAAGGGTTGCTCGTCCGTCGACAGCCGGCATAGCCTAGTTCACTCGTTCACTCTAGACGAGAAAGCATCAATCAACTGGTGCGGGGAGGTAAAAGCGACAATTCTGAAACGGCATTCTGGACGTTAGCTTTAAGAAAAAAGAGGGAGGCCAAAGGCCAGGCCGCGACAGTATGGCCCTTCTTCGGTGACGCACGGTTTCAAACGATGACAGAAAAGTAGGGCTGCGGGAACTAAGACGTACCCAGCAAGCGGGGTCGTCTCCGGGGAAATGCGATTGGGCGGGGCTCAACAATCCAGAAACCCAAGCTCTTGGAACGCTTGACCAGGAGAGAAAGTTGGAGGCGGGCGTCACATTTAGGGTCGTGATTCCTAATCCCAATAACTCCGACCTTTGCGCGGGAGTGGGCTGACGTCTGAAACGTTTCTCGTCTTCGGAACGTGCCGATGGTCTGCTCGCTTCTCGAAGGCCTTAAGTCCGAAAGCGTATAGCTGATGCATCCGGTCATCCAGCTTCCGCCGAATTTGCGAGTACCTGGGATGCCCTCGCGATGCAAGGGGTACCTTTGAACATCGTACCTATACGGCATGATGCGGAACACAGGCAATTGGAATTTCACATGCCTGTGCGCCAGCGGACGAAGCCGGATAGTTTGGCGTTTCCCATATTTGGCGATGGAAAGACGGGCGAGTTGAACACTCGTTGTTGGTCCACGCGAGTAGTACGAGAGCGAAACCGAGGAGAGCGAAACCGAGGAGAACCCAGATCGCACGGAGGCGGGGTGAGTAGGGACTGCAGCATTGTAAACAGTTGGTAGAGTTCACATTGGTGCCCAGCCAAGCAAAAGAGGAGGTGTGCTCGGCGTTCTACTTACCGGAGGACTGGTACTTGAGATGAGGCGAGCGAGCGGGAGCCTAGACCCCGAGCGTGCACGTGCCTCTCCATTTTCCCCGCTTTCCCCCACGAGAAGAGCTCGGGAAGGGCCGGGCAGCCAAACTTCGCGTTCAGGGCAGGACATTCGTGTCTTTCTCTCCCTCAAAGCAATTTTGAGGCATTATCAGTTGCTCGGTCCACTCATCGCCCTAGAAGATACATCTTGGAGGATGTTATCCTCGATGTATGGGTGAATATCTCGTTCCCCTCCAGTATCAATGCTGTGAGGGATTAAGGAGATCACCTTTCCTTCGACAGACCCCTTTCACGTGGACCCCGACGCCGTGATCAAGGACATATATACTAGCCCCTTCTTCGGCGCGCTTCTCGTGGACGAAATCCCTTACCTTCTCCAGGTCTACACGCGGTTTCGAGGCGGGTTTCCCGGCGCTGAAGAATAGAGAGCCGCGTATAACAAGCCGGAGATTTGTGCTGTGTCTGAGAAGACGGGCAAGGCGTGCGAAGAGAGTAGGATAGGTGTCCTTGATTGGAGCGGCGCTTCTAGGAGCCGGAATCGAGACGCGGATGGCGGAGAATGGGGCAATGGTGGCCCAGGGACCGCCGTCCGGAGCGATGCTTGAGGTTGTAGAGGAGCAGTGGATGCGATCAAGACTCTGAAAACACGGCATGTTGTGTAGACGAGAGAGGATGATATAAGACGGATTTAGAGCAAAGCCCCTGTCTTTATTCAAACAAGGTAATACATTACGACAGCACTCCTTCTACTGAGCAAAAGGATCGGCGTCTAAACCAAGATAAGGGGAACTACGACCGTTAGACCGTCGCTGCCAGCTCTACAGCGAGACTCACCTACTCCCAGCACACCGCTTTCGAACGCCAACAACACCGATGCGACAAAAAAAGCCAGACATAAGAAACCAACGAAGGACGGAAGTCGGAGTGGAGAGAAAAAGGAAATAGATCAATCCAAAACATACGAAACCCCCGAATGTAATCAACCTCTTATCAGGCCGCCGGCGCAGCCTCCTCCCCCTCGCCCTCTTTCCCCTTCTCCCCTTCCTGCAGCTTAATCCTCTCCTCCAACTTCCTCTTCTTCTCCATATACCTCTCAACAGCCTTCTTCTCCTTCTGCGTCTTTCTCTCCTCCTTCCACTCCCTCACCATCCACGGCACCGCGCCCGCAATGCCCCAACAGCTCCTCACGCCCTCTCTCAAGTGGAAAGCGGACTGTTTGAAGTGGCTCTTCGCATCCGCACGATGTTGGCGCGCGCCTGCGGACCGCTTCTTTGCCTTGTATGCTGTTTCGGCGCGCTGCGCCGCGAGGTATTGCGCTGAAGCCGTGCGCCGGTTGGTGGTGAGGAGGAGTTCGGTGCCGCTTGTGCCGGGGCGCTGGGGCTCCACGGAGGGCTTGGGGGAGTCGGAGTTGCCGCTGGCTGCGGGGGCGGGGGCGATGGGTTTAGCCGATTTCTTGGGCATGGTGAAGAGGGGCATGTGTGCGCGCGGTCTTCGTTGGTTCGGTGTTTGGCTCGTTGAGATGTGACGGGCGAGAGAAAGTTCCGCGTGAGGAGCGGCGGGAATGAGGGAGAGGCGCGCAATTTGTAGGCATTAGGACGCGTTGTTATTACTGTGGGGTCGCGTTCTCTGAGATTTTTTTGCGCTCGTGGTGGGCGTGTTGACTCTGAGAGGGCGAGTAGGATGCGCGCAGGGAAGCGGGTGGGACGCTGGCCGGGGTTGTCGTGCGGTGAACTACTTACATCTACAAAGTACACAGTACAGTGTCTCATGTGCTTAGCACGAGATGGCCATGCATACCTCCGTACATAATCCGCTTATTCGATGTCTCGTGGGATATCGCTACCATGACTCCCATCGGTTGCTCGAAGGTCACCAAGCATAGGAAAAGAGACTTCGAAGGTGGTCTGTTCATTGACATGGGCCCCTAGAAGCTCAAATTGATGGTGTTGGTCGAGAGGTTCTGAAGGAAAAGGGGCATCAACACGTCATCTCGCATGTGGAGTTAGGACAGGGAAGACCCTGCGGAGAACATGAAGGGGCTACGTATAACCTGTCATGCATGCGCACAATGTAGCATGCCTCGGTATGCCACAATTTTTCGCTACCACCGGGTGCTTTTGCCTTTGTCGTTGTCTCGAGTCTGTAGTAATTTGATCAAAGGCCTCATGCGTTGGGCTTCCTGTTCTATCAGAAGATCCCTGGCTTTGCACCGCTCCACCGCAAGTGGACGCAGGCAAAACGAAGCCTTCCGCTCCCATCTCCAAAGCAAGCATCATCCTGACTATTGTAAATGTAAGAGTCACTACCCATTGCCATCGATTTGGAGGGTGTTCGGTAAGAACTCGTAACAGCTCAACACCAAGTCCTCTGAGATGCCACCACTGCTCTGGCTTGGTGGCGGTGCATTCTCATGCAGTGGCTTTGTGCGAAGAAGATTTCGCCGTGACTACCACAGTAGTGCCCAGGTGGTACAGGTGATTTTAAGGTTCGTGCGTTGGGACGGTTCTAACCCTATGTAGATAGCGTACTGGCCGGCCAAATTGTCGCAACCTCGCCTCGCGACCACTCTTCTCTTCACCCCAGCGTCATTCCTTCCAACACCAGAAACGCTTCGCTGTACGTCCATGGTAACTCAGAGAGCGGTTGGGTGATCTGTTCGTTTGGGACCACTAGTCTTTTAGTAGGCCTGCGATGAAACATTACGGTGTGGCAGCGTCTACGCCGGGCGTCATCCGCTTGAAGGGGGGATGGGAATAGGAAGAAGGTGAGAACGATGCGCCATCGAGGCGCAAGGTCGATGGACGCAGATAGGTAGGAAGAAGAGAATAAAAGGCCCTGTGAACGTCCTCTTAGAGCAACAGGAGCTACGTACCTTAGTTAGAGAGTCCTGCAGCATGGCAGCCAGATAAATCCAGCTCAGGAACGGTAGGTTTTAGCGCAGTCAAGGTCTGGATGTTGGACAGGTGTGCGATGCAGGACAGGACGGAGAGGGCGGCGGGGAAGGCGGCGGAGTACTCCCTGACGAGTCCTCCGAGCGCCTTCTTCTGGGGCCGGGAAGAGCGACGGAAGCTGGCTTTACGGCCAGCGCGGGTATGGAGAGGGCTGGTACGAGGAGTCCGGTGAGCGTCCTCTTCTATGGCTGAGGGAGAGCAAGGACAAGCTAGCTTTAAGGGCCGCGGAGGTATGAAGAAAGGCGAGAACGAGGAGTCATTTGAGCGTCCTCTGGTACTAGGAAGAGATACGGAAGCTTGCCGACATATTGCGCCTTTCTTGCAACCATAGAAGGTAGACGAGGGCGTGAATGATTCGGGCTGGAAGACGTGACGACGGGTGCGACATTAAGGTGTACGGCCAGCGCAGGTGTGAAACAGGCGAGAACAAGGAGCCTTGTGAGCGTCCTCTTCTGGAATTTTAGAAGGGCAACAGAAGCTGATTTGACAGCATAGTGCCGGACATCCCATAAGGCTTCTTCGAGTAAGACGCGTGCTGAGGTCGAAAGGGCCCGGGGCGAATGCGAGGATAAACGGCAGAAGAATCCGCGATTGTAAGGCTGAGGATTCCGTATACACCTTATCTAGGGCTATATCGCGATTTCTAGCAATGGCACGCTTGGGCTGCATTGATCTTCCTGGGGACCTTCAGGGTGTTGGACACACTCGCGGGCGAGCCATCCTCTGTTAAGCGCCGCAGTGGGTTCGCGCGCAGAATGCGGAGTACATGGTGTCGGTCCGAAGCGCGGTGACCTCTGACGCGCCTAAGCGTGCTTCTTCTTGCCGTGTGGGCTCGTCATGCAGCTGCTGGCTTGTCTCGTGGGGCGGTAGCCTTCGGAGGAACTGAAGGTGTAGATGAACACGCCGGTTATCGGCGTTAGCGTCAGCGACGACGACGGCAGGGAAGAGAACATCGTATTGACACCGCGCGGCGGTGCCAAAGCCAAGAAGCTTGTTGTTGCGCGCCTTCGGCTTCCTGAGTAGACATATCGACGCGGGCGTTACTACACTGCATGGTGGTGGATGTAATGCCGATTTCTGGGCGTGCAAGGCCGTCTCTGGTACAATGGCAATGGTCGAGCTCCAGCGCTGCGTTTTCGATGTGGATAACACGGAGGCAATTCAAAGGGCAAGGGAAAAGGTGTACCGGAAAGCCCGGCTGTTGGAGCCAAGCCATGACGGTTGGCGAGTGGGAGCAGGCGAAGGCGGCGTTGCACAGGGGTGTTCCCGAATGCGGTGTGGTTTGGGAAGGCGCTACCAAAGCTGTTGAAGTAGACTAACACCCGTCCGTTCTCCCAGCGGGAAGGCTGCGCGAGGTCGTATTGGCAACGACTCTGTCCGCAAGCTCCGGCAGCGTATCCGCCATGACGTCTGTCCTGCCGAAGATCTCAGGCAAAGCTTCCCTCTCCAGCACCGTACAATACGCCGTATTAAACCTACACTCCACTCATTAGCCTCATATTCCCTTGTCCAAGCCCCGGAAAGAACCTACCCTGCTCTCCCAGCAGCACTAACATCCCAAGCATGCGCCGCTGCATACCACAGCTTCCCCACCCCCTCCGCCTCAACACCCATTCTCCCTTTCAGCCCCTCATAAACCCTGAGCTCAGGCTTCCCAACGCCAACCTCGTCGCACGTCACCAAGTTCTCATCACGAATCGCCACCCCACCCTTCTCAAATACCCCTTCACCCTCTCCCGCTCCCCGCTCGTAAACGCCCACACCGTCCACCCCTCCCCTACCAACCTATCCACACATTCCTTCGCACCATCTCTAGCCTCACATCTCCGATACTCCCCCATCAAAAACGCGACATCCCCCTCCGTCGCCACGCGCCGCGGTTCCGACACGCCCGCAGAATGCAGAACGCGGAAGAAAACCGCTTTGAAGACGTCGCGGAAGGCGACGTATTTCCCGGAAAGGGAGAGGTAGGTGTACTCGCGCTCTGCGGACTCGAGCCAGGCGAAGCCGAGGAGCTTGGCGGGGAGGTTGTGGGTGGAGAGGGCGGGGCCGAGACGGGCGTCGATGGCGGTGAAGAAGTAGTCGTAGGAGACGAGGGTACCGACGACGTCGAAGACGATATGCTTTTTGGCGGGGTTCATTGTATGAGAGGGATGGGGGTTGGTTGTTAGAGAAAAAGGTGCGGCCATGTTTACGATAGTTTCGTGGGTTTGTCATAAAGGTACTCCGCTTGAGGTGGGGCAGCGGCTTCTCCGGGCCATCATTGCGAACAGTGACAGCGTATTAATCAACAGCCGGGGCATTACCAACTATAAAACCTACACGTCGTAACAAAAAGAGAAGCCCCTAAAGATTTGCATGTATGAAAGAAAAGGAGTGAGCAAAGCTACCCAGATGGCACGTGATAAACTCCAGCACATGTCGCTACCGGAAGCGAAGGAAATCACGTGAAAAGCCCCGTATTCCATTCCAACAACCAACAATCCCTTCAACTTCCCGCGTATTTCTCCCTCTCGAGGTCGCCTTACTGCGTGCAATATTTGAAGCCGCTCAATTTCTGGAAGAGACTGACTTTGGAGCCGCGATAGTCCGGGATGATCGGGGGAATCAGAGTATCCCCTGATGTATACGGGCCTTTGAAGCAAAAGCCATTCTTTGACTGCCCGGGGGCAAACGTGGCGGAAATGCGCCCGCCTGGGCTCCAAGTAGCAAGAGACACGGCTGGGTATAGCCTCCCTCGGATTTCAGGAAAAGCTTGACCTGGAATACTCAGTTGGGACGATAGAATCATGAGTGAGTGTGTGTCTTACCAATCACCGTACCGTTTTTTGTGAAGAAGGCGATATTCTTGTTGAAGTTCATACCGCAGCCAATGACGTCGCCCCGCCCGTACGACTCCCCATACTCGGACTTTGTCCCTTCAGCCCCAATTTTGCCATTTAAATCGTAATATGCCCATGATCCTTTAGCTTCGCCCACCATAGTGCCCAGTTCAACGTACTCCTCACAGAATCCCACGCCCATTCTCCTACGGAGTGGTTAGCCATAAGACGAGCCTACGCGAGGGCGGAATAAACGACGTACCCGGGCGACTCCAGTATGTGGATTTCAAAGTAATATATCCCCTTCGAGTCCGTTGGTACCATGGGATTGTCTGCTCGTATGGTGCTGATTCGTGCAGCATTATTGAACGGGTCCCGCGGTGCTGCAGTATGCAATTAGAGAAGTGGGTGAAACGATCCCCTTTCTATACGTACATTTCACTTCCACAACGAGCTTAGTATCGTCTAGGGAGAGGTTTACCAGTCTGTCCTCCTGATGCCACGCCCTTGGGCAATGAAGCGAAAAGGGTCCCGTCACGTGGCCCGCCCCAGCATCGCGTAGCTGTCTCTCTAGTTCTGGAAAGTCATACATCTGCGAGATGAGCAAAGGCGTCCAACCATCTGGGCCGCTAACATTCGGATCTATCCTCCTACTCTCGAGAATTATGCGGAGGTACTGCGGCCGGTTCGCTGTCACGGCTGCGCGAAGAGCTGACGCAACATGCGCATCACAGATGGGGGTCTTTTGGACAGCTTTTAGTACTTCTTCAAAGGTCTCGAGGCAACCCCTCAGACATGCCCAATACAATGCGCTTCGGCTTCGGGTGTCTTTGATGCGTATGTCAGCCCCATTTTCCAGAAGTGTGCGTACGATTGGAAGATGGTCGATAGCGATCGCATGCATAAGCGGTGTCATGCCTTGGAAGTCCTGGATATCCATGTTCGCCCCTCTCTTGATGAGCTCTAGGACATACGGACTTCCCGTTCGGACCGCCCAAAACAACGGACTCCAATCCAAGATGTCCTTCGAGCTGAGGTCAATACTCTCCAGTCCGATCAAAAACTCTGTCACCTCATCAACCTTCCAGGTGATAGCATGAGCCAGCAATGACCGATGATTCTCGTCCGTAAAGTTCGCATTCCCACCATGGTTTACGATTGCTTTGAGAATCTCCACATCGTCCGTCTTGGCTGCGAATATCGCTGGTGTTCCTTTCTCCGGATCTTCCAGATTCGCCTCCGCTCCGTGGTCAAGCAGATACTCTACGCATGGCAGAGAGCTTCCCTCAATGGCCGCATGAAGGGCTGATCCGTGTTTTCCGCCCGTGCGGTTGACTTCAGCACCGGCTGCCATGAGTTGCTGCAGTATCGCGAGGGCTCCGCTCCTCGCGGCCGCATGAAGGGGATAATCGTATCCCTCTTCACCCGTCCCACGGAGTTTCGGATTTGCTCCGGCAGAGAGGAGACGCTCCACGACCTCCTCCTCTTCGCTCTCAATCGCAGCCAGCAATGGTGTTCCAAAGAATCCGCCAGCCGCATTCGGATCAGCGCCCCGGTCCAGAAGTATCCTTACCGCTTGGACGCTCCCGGACATAGCGGCTACCTGAAGGGGTGTGTGATATCGACCGCCCTCTTCATCGGGGTTAACCGCTCGATCGAGAAGTAGCTCCACCACTTCTGGAAACATCGCGCCAGCATTCAGTGGTGTTCCTTTCAGTTTGCTTTGCTTGCGGAAATTGGCGCCCCGGTCGATTAGCCATACCATATTGAGCGTTTGGCCCTCTTCCGCTGCCCAGTGCAGAGCGGTCGTCCCATGCTCATCCTCAGCTTGGACGCCCACGCCGTGGTCTTGCAGTAGCTCCAAAACAGTTGGTTCGTTCCAAGTAGCTGCATGTGCTACAGCTCTACGTAAAAGATGGCTGTTTTGCCTCGCTTGAACATGGCTCAACAATAGCCGCACTGATTCGAGTTCGCCATCTCGCGAAGCTATGTCGAGCGGCGTCTTCCCCAAGGATGTCTCGATAGTATCATCTGCTTCAGCCCCAAGCAGCAACTGGATGATAGCTGGACAATCGTATGCCGCATGAAGTGGAGTCCAACCCTGAAACGTGGTCCGATGGTTCACATCCGGTTTGGGAGCTCTCGATAGAAATAATTCAACGAAGTCCTGTTTTCCATCGTAGCAAGCTGTAAAGAGCGGAGTTTCGCCTTCCGCATCAGTTGCGTCGATCTCAGCTCCAGCGTCCAGAAGCTTTCGAGCTATCGTCAAATTCGGATTGATAGCCACCGCAAGCTGGAGGGATGTTCTTCCATTCTCATCTTTCAAGTTCGGACGAGCGTGCTCTTTCAGAAGCATTTCAGTAATCTCCTCAGAGCCATTGAGAACTGCCAGGTGTAAGGGGGTTGTAGAGCACTCCAGGGTATCCGCTAGGAATCTGTTTTGGAGTAGCAAGAGCACCATATCACCATGACCGTTTCCAGTGGCAATATGGAGAGGCGACTCTCCACTCCTATACTGCGAACGTCTCTTATGATACCGAAGCAAGGACTTTGCAGCGCGCACATGGCCATTTCTGACCGCAAGCATAAACGCTGCACTGCAATCAACGGCCCGCGGGGATTGCGACAACAGATACCGCACAATCTCGGCATGGCCAGCTTTCGCGGCAATTTGAAGTGGGGTCTCTCCATCCGGGGTGGAAATCGAAACGTCTCCGCCGTATCTTTTGAGCGTGTCGAAGATGCCGACAATTCCTAGATGCGCTGCCTCGTGGATAGGAGCCCAGCCGTTGTGGTTGCGAGCATTAACATCGATCTTTGATCGTTTGAGGAGGGCAAGGAGGATCTCGTCATCCGCAGTGCGGACGCTAGCGTGCAATGCTGTGTCTCCGTTTGCATTACGGGCGATAACTGCGCAATGTTGGCCTAGAAGGGTGTCCACTACCCTTTTGTAGCTTTCCTGGGCGGCATAATAGAGAGCTACGCATATTTCCGGTGCTCTGCGGTATGTTGGCTGACCAAGCAATTCCTGGACGATATCGAGGTGTCCGTTTCGGCTCGCTAGATGTAGCGGAGATGGCAACGTGCCTTCGAAACGGATAAATTCAGTCGCCGTAGAGACATTGGAGGTCTTCGCCGAACAGGAAATGCCCCCGTCAGTGATATCTTGCTCAGTGAGGTACCGCACGACGGGGAGATGACCTCCATTTGCTGCGAAGTGCAGTGGGGTCCAACCGGCACTGTCTGTGCAAGATTCGTTGGCATAGCTGCGTACAGAGACACGACTTGGCTCTTCGTGTCTGCATTCCGTCGCCGAATTATGAGCCGTCTTTTCAGCGGTTTTTGGACCGGATACGTCAGCTCCATTTTGGGCAAGGAACCGAACAATGTCGGTAAACCCTGATCGCGCAGCGAGCTTCAGCGCATCAAATTCTCGGCCGTCGGTGAGGGTGATATCGGCATCTTTGGCGACGAGGATTCGTACCGTCTCGAAATGGCCGTTAGCCGCAGCGAAGTGGAGTGGTGTAGATCCTCTTTTCGTCCGACAGTCTGGCTGCGCCTTCTCCTCCAAGAGAATTTTTGTCAAGTTGACGTCACCTCTTGCTGCCGCGAAATGAAGCGGGCTAAAGCCCTCAGTGTCGCCCTCATTCACGCTTGGAACTGTGGAAAGCAGCTTCGTCACTACGGCCAGATGCCCACCAAGTGCAGCCAGACCCAGGGCCCGATCCGAAACTGCCCCATGTCGTAGGAGCTCTGTGACAACGTCTAAGTGTCCATAGAAAGCACCGGTGTCGAGGCCCCTTTTGAGCTTCTCAGTTTTGTCCACTTCATCCTTTGCTTGGCGTTGGAACAATTCGACAAGTTCCACAATTCCATAATGACATACAATCTCCAAAGCAGTGATGTCCTTTGAAACATGGAAACAGGCATCTTGGTATGACTGGAAGCACTTGCCCAGAAAGTCCACGTTCTCTTTCTTCTCTAGAAAGGCTTGGACCTTCTGGACCGCATCACTCTTTCCATTCGACTGCCTGAAATGCTCGGGCCAGAAGGTGGAAGCGTACCCCAGGAAGTCCCAATCCCTCTCTTTTCCTCCCATTGGTCCTTCAGTGGTAGGCGAGTTCCGCTTGTGCTCAATGAAATCTATGCAGGCGCAGAGAAGGCTATCATGACGGTTCGGGTCCTCACTCAGTCCCTTTCCCCGGTCCAGCATGAAACGCCGGAACACCAAGCTGACGGGATATACGAAATCGTGTCTTGTCTCAATGAACACTCCTTCAATCGTTTCTAGGCCTTCGCAGATACTGAGTCGCAAGTCGTTGTCTCGGATTGTAGCTGGTAGACAAGATGTGTTCTTCCGCATTTGAAATACGACGATATCGGTCAATTGGGGTATTGTAAGAGGTGTCAGTGAATTAAGGATCCACTGCAGTGCGAAATGAACCCAAGTAATGTCTTCAATTCGAAACCGAGTCAGCAAGCTTTCGAAGGTCCCGTAGGACGAGGCTACAGGGTCTTGTAGGCGTTTTGTCAGAGTGGCGGTTGACAATGGAAACAAGTGAGACTTGAGTAGCTCGGCACTAGGAACGTGTCTTTCAATATGGTCGTTTTGCGCGCCGCCGGATTGCATGATGTATCCAGAACGGAGGTCGGAGTTGAATAGCGATATATCCGCGCAAGAGTCCAGTTGATCTGGCTGCTCCGAGAGTTCTGCGGTAACAATAATCTTTCCCGCAGAAGATGGACCGACCAGAAGATCCTGCAGTTTTGCCACTAGCGCCTGATGGTCGATGTCGGCCTCCTGGATAGACTCTATCATTAGAGTAATCTGCCCTCCTTGGAAACTACTCAGGAGAGCATGAAGAAGGACCCAGAGAGACTCCTCGCATAGTATGCCTGGCGCTTGAAGGGATCTGCACAGATCTCCATATCTCTTGTAGAGGCCCGGGCATTTAGAGAGGAGCTGGGAACACATGGATAAGGACATGTCCCTAAGAGTCCGTGTTCGGTGGAATTGCTCGTTGAACGCGAAATGCAACGTGATTGCGGCCGGTGATGAATCCACACCACTCATTTGGGCTACGAGATGAAGAGCGAGGTTCGAAGTTCCCGACGCGAAGGGTCCGGTAATCCGGAGGATCTGGTTGCTGGCTGATTCCCGCCATTCCGTGAACTGGCGAAGTTCACCAACCCAATTTCTGAGCTGAGGTGTCGCAATAGGAATTTTCAGCCGATGCACTTCCATGTCTTGGTGTGTGAAGTCATCAAGAAGCATGGAAAGACCCATCAAGTCGACTGCATCGCCGGGTCAGCTTCCCCTTTAAATGCATCTGGAATGAACCCACCTTTCGGCCATGCGTTTGCAAATGCTCTCGTAGGGTTGAAAAGATCTACCGCCTCTCTGTGCGGCACCTCGAACCACCAGGCGTCAAGGCGGGAGGGGGCAAGCCCCAATCGAGCACTTGACTGTGAATGTTAGACCATCTCAGTGCGACGCCGTATCAACTTAAATTCGAGTCGGGGACTTACTTCATTCGAAACTGAGTCTTCATGCGAATACTTTATCTTCACTCCCGCTGTGACGACTGAAAATTGCAAGCGAAGTTCTTCGACCGAAAGGGGAAGATCCTCCAGCATTCGAAGAGGGCTGAATGTTCTAAACTCTGTCATCGCTATGAGATGTAGCACCTCGTTCTCCCACATCTGTGTGTTAGAGGGTTCTAAGCGGGGACCAAGCGATACCTGTAGAAGCTGCATTAATTCAAATGGGATCAAGCGGGAACGCATTGTGCAAATCTGACATACAATTCCGCAGGTAGACGCCAGAATCTTGCGATGTCTCGAGATGTTTTCCGCCGTTACAAGCATCTGTTTGGCTCAGCTTCTAGTTTCAGGCTATTGTAAACGGTGCGCTCTACCTGTTGGACGAGCAGGGTCCCCAGATTGTGAGAGATAAATATGATGGGTCGTGCCTGGTATCCAAATGTTAGCAGCTTCTCAAAAGTATTCAAAGAAAGCATACACGGAGATTTTCCCTCTTGGCCGACAAATCCTCAAGAAGGCAACGAGCTCGGACCAGGAGCGGTTGATATGAGTCTTTGCTAGTGCTGCTTGTATCCAGAAAGTCGTATTCGTGAACTACGCTTTGTGGGAATCGTTCCGCAAGCAGACTGCTTGCGGATCCGACACCCTTAGGCGGCGGACCCATGATTAGGCCGCGCACGAGCACGAAGCTTCGAAGTGAGTCAGCCCCCGAGTTCGCAGGGAGAGAGTGATTTCAAAACCTACTGCAATGACGCATCCATGAGCACTTGTCGTCTACCTGGGGTACCAAGTGTACCAAACGGGGCTCCCCTTTTGACCGATGGAGGGGAGCTTGCGTGGAATTGTAGAAATATGATTGAAAATCGTGCAAATATTCTCTTGACTGCTGGGAATGTTGTGGGTGCTGGTATCGTGATGAGCGCTGAAGTGAAGGACAGCGTGGGAGTAATGTCTATGGTCGGGAGTGGACAGTGGCCAAGGCTGAGCTCGGACAGTAGCATGACGAACCTCGCGGCGGCGGCACAAGTGAGTCACTCAAGGCAGCCCACTGCAGCGCACGGGCGAATGTGAACCCAATGGCATCATATCGTGAAACGGTTACATGTTGTACATTGAAAGCAATTGATTGGCTTTGCGGGCTGGAACCTAACACTGCATTAAACACAGCCCCTCCGCATATGCCTAAGGTGACCGTTGAGGTCACTCGACCCATGGCGAACTTGCGCACTTAGTGAGTTGCATCCAGCAGTGTCAAAACCTCCACAGCGGCCTGTTTAGCCAAATCCAGAGAGTCCAGATCCGGCAGATGGGCGCCGCCCGCCCCCAGACTCTCCACCCTCAGATCTTCAGGATCAATCTCCGGATCAATCTCCACCGGATCAATTGTATCCGCCTTCTCTAGGCCAAAGAGAGCTTTGACTTCGCTGACAAAGTCGACATCGGTGCGGATCTTGACGGTGAAGCTGAAGGGTTCGTTCTCTTTGCGACGGAGGAGAACTGCGGTCCGAACAAAACTTGGAATGCCGTCTTTCTTCTCGTTATTCTCTTCCATAGACCAGATCACTGCGTTGTCCTCCCTACAGTCTCCGAGCTGTCTTTTCATCCCTGTGAAAATGGTCCAATGTTCGCGTGTCTCACTTTTCTCCACCTCCCAAACGTAGCCAACGTCCACTCCGACGCCGGGAAGCGTCCCAGTATTAACGCCGGCATTCGCAGTCTGCTTGGTGTTCCTCATAGTCTCAGTCCTGTTCAGGGCGCACCTTCCTTCAGGGGCGATGCGATAAACCTCAGGAGGTACGTTTCGGCCTTTCGTGGCGTCTTCGAACGTAATCGTAATGGTGCTTCGGATGAATCTTCGCGACCGATTGTTGCTCACAAAGCGGAATTCGAAGACGAGAAGGGTCGCAAGGTCGTCATTCTTGACAGTACCGTGTGTTATACTGATGATTGTCGCTTTCGCAATCAATGCGTCGCCGCGATCAAAGAGCACGCGACGGAACCTCTCGCCAGGGGCATTTTTCGTTCGAAACCCGGTGCCCTCATCTCCTTGGGGCAACAACAATAATTCAGCATCCATGTCGTTTCTTCTGCTTGATCAAAAAGGGTGATACTGGAGAATTTTTCTTGAGAGGTAAGTCCAAATTTAACCTGCTTCTGCAGCGACTCACTGTGAGGGAATCAACCGGGCCCGGATTCACCCGTCGACCGTTACCTCATAGTAAGCGTCGGAGTACAGAGAGGGGTTTGTGGATGGTTTAAGCAACGACAGGGTCGCTCCGTGCTCTACAAATAACTCTGGTCCTCCTCAAGATCCTGGTCTAAGTTGCCCAGGTGAGTACAATTTCCCGGGATAGGCAGGTTCGGTTGTGCTTGGGCATGAAGCAGTTGCGCAATAGGTCTTGTGATAATTTCAGTGTTCTTCCCACATTTGTCCGAGATCGAGATCGCGAACCTGACAGTTGTGCCACCTTCCACGCTGCAAATTGGGCATAGACTTAAGACTCTACACAGACAACTTTAGCACTGCCTCGGCCCGCTTATTGTATGCGATCTTGTGATTTCATTCTCTTTTTGCTATTATCTTGAGCGCTTCCCGGCTTGAAAATGGTTGACAACGCGACTTTGTCAAGTGGCAAGTCAGATGGAATGAGACCTCACCAAGGCCATGCACAAGAACGACCTCGCCAGGGCGATGCAAAAGGAAAACCTCACCAGAGCGATGCAAAAGAAAAACTTCACCAGGATGATGCAAAAAGAAGCCCTCACCAAGGCGATGCAAAAGTAAGGTCGCAGAAGGGCCGATACATACAGCCCCAGGTTAAGTCCCATTCCGTCAATCCCAAACGAGTTCTTAAGGAAGCACGGGCCTGCAACCTCAAGAAGCAACGCAATGACTTCACGACACGATACCACGACGAGTTCAGGAAAGAAGTGGGCAGCAACGAGAACATATTACACGAACTCGCGAACAGCAAAGATTCGTGGAGTGCTCATGAAACGAAGACTTTCCTGCCCTGGTTTCTGCGAGACTATTACGGACTTCTGAAACACGCCGGTCTCCTGCGATATCCTCCACTACATCTTGCCTTGACTGAAGAGAACCACCCATTCGTTGAAGCGGTCCTCACATTGGATGGACTGAAGAATCTACCGGAGGTCTTGGAACTTACCAGCCCGCGGGGCAATGCTCTACATGTGGCAATACAAGTCGCCTCACCATTCGTTCGTCTCATTATCGCGAAGAGCCGGTTGTCTGTCCTCGAGGGCAAGTGCGGGGAGTTTGGCGACACACCACTTCATATTGCGATGAGGGCAAAGGTTGGCACGGACGACATCAATGACGTGCTTGTGGAGTGCGAGGAATTCGAGCATGCATTCTCAAGAAGGGCTCAGGACCAAGTGCAAGCACTGGAGCCAGTTGCAACAGTCGAGCTCGAACACCGTCGTAGTTCAGATTATCGGGCTTCGTCCACAAAGGCTGTAGCGTCCGAGCCAAGTGTACAACGATCTGTAACGTCCGAGCAGAGCGTGAAGGGGGCTGTGACGTCCGAGCAAAGTGTGCGGGGAGCCGTAGCATCCGACCAAAGTGTACAGGGAGTTGTGGCGTCCGAGCAAAGTGTAGAGGGAGCTCTGGCGTCTGAACAGAACTTGGAGGGAGCTGTAACGTCCGATCGGAGTGTGCAGGGAGCTGTGGCGTCCGCGCAAAATGTAGAGGGAGGGGCCGACACCACGGAGCAAATGCCAAAGGATTCGCAACTCCAAACAGACGAGCTTGTGGAACTTTTGATTCACAAGTGCCCAGCGGCATTGCAACATCGCAACAACGCAGGAAGAACTCCTTATCAAGAGCGAGAAAGATTTATGAGGAACTCAGATGAAGTCAGGGACGCACTCCAGAACATTGCAAACGAGGACGAAGAGCCAGATAAGTGGGAGCGGGCGTTTAGGATGGTCTTCATCGAAGACTTGATTGCATCCTACATCAGATCGTATTGCGTGCACGAGTTCGATCGGGACCGCATCACGCGATGCTTATACCATCCTGGTGAAGGTAGGCGCCAAAGATTCAGATCCCGATACCAGCTGAGCCATCCTGCAGAGAGACACATCGAATTTGACCTTGCGGGTCTCCCACATCCGTCGATTCCTCAATCATACCTTGATCGCTTGGCCAATCACTTGCAATTTGAGAGCATTCTCAAATACGTTGCTTTGCCAAGAATGACGATTGAGACTCCAAAGCAACTGATGCGCTCCAAAGAGTAGGCACCCCCCATTAGACCCGCTTCCTTTGAGTGGCTAACAAGTCTGAAAAGATCTCCGAAGAAGCCTCGTGGGGGTCTGACCGACATGAAAATCATCTTCAACTGGTTACGGATGAATGACGCACGAAAGATCGTCAAAGTCATCGTCCTTGACGATGGCCCTATAGCACACTCCGACAACGCCATCCGCAAAGCATTGGGTGGATTCGATATCGAAGTGTGGGACTGGAAAAAGGTGGATATGTGTAGTGATGTGATATGTGGATCCACCGGAATCGTGAGAGAGATATCACTGTATTCATCCGGCAAAAACGCCGTGTTGATGGGCTGGGCTAGTGACCAAGGGTTCTTAGATGATTTAAAGTTCCCAAAGGTGTGTTTTAAGGCATGATACTGTTTTGCCGATGCTAAATGAGCCACAGCTAAAAGCGGTGAATCTCTTCATCAGAGAGGTAGGTTCCTCGACTGGGTTTCATAGATGTAGTTACTGACAGAGATAAGGGGCAGGAGGATCTGAAAACCTTGACGCAATACATCTCTACCTTCAAGCAACGCTTGGAGCATCGCCGAGAGATTTCAGTCAGCCACGTCCTGGATAACAACGAGGTTAGCTACGCTTCGGAGTTCCAAACTCCTGAAGCTTCGCTTCACCAGTAAGTTCTAGAAGGCAGGTCTCTGTTTCTGGGTACTGACCTTGCTAAGGGAGAATCCATGGATTAAAGTGATGAAGGACTTCGCCAGCTTCCTACGCAACATTCCGGGAGCAGGATCAAAACAAGTCAAGGTGGCAATTATAGACGACGGATTCGACGCGTCTATGGACACGATCGATGACAAGTTGATCGCAGGCGGAAAGTCGTTTTGCCCGCATCCAAACTCAACCGATCTCATGAATGCGTACTTTGTACCCTCTGGAAAACACGGGACGCGGATGGCAACGCTGATATCCCAAATATGTCCGCACATCCGTCTGTATATCGCGAGACTGGATGAGCATCCAACTCTGGACGGCGGGAGCCGCCATATAACGGCAAAATCGGCGGCAGACGTGGGTGCCCCTCCCTTCATGCCCTTCTTGATGCTAAATATTACAGGCCGTTCAATGGGCCGTTGATAGCGATGTGGATGTGATATCGATGAGTTGGACGATCGAAACCGATAGTCACGACAACAAGAAACTGATTGGGCTTAACAAAGCACTCGCTGAAGCTGAAGGAAAGGATATCCTGATGTTTTGCTCGGCAAGTGATCAGGGTCTCAGCTCGAAGGATGCCTGCTATCCTGGTGGCTCCGGCAAATGTATCCGGATCGGCGGCGCATCGAGCACCGGGGACAAGCTTGCATGGGTTCACGAGAGCTTCTTTGACTTCCTGTTTCCCGGGAAAAACATACCGTTCACGAACAGCGATGGGGCAACGCTATCCTATGAGTCGGGCAGTTCCGTCGCAACCGCTGCAGCTTCCGGCTTGGCGAGCGTTTTGCTACTCTGCGGTAGGATCGTCGATGGTCTTTGTGGAACGGTCGGGGACTCCAGAAGCTCGGCAGCGTATTTCAGGCACAGACAGAATATGGTGCAAGCTTTTCGACAGATCGCATCAAATGATCATTATCCACGGGCCGGAGATTGGTTCGAAAGTAAGTTCAAGGCATTTCTGCAGGAAGCTGAGCCTGGAGAGCCTGGAAACAATCGTCCCCTCTCCTTGGAGGTTGCCGAGGTACCATGGGATGATATTTCGAAGAAGGCCTTTGTAACTCTGGTGAAGAGACTCAAGGTAAGCTCCCGTCCTAATACATTACAGTATAGGTATCTTACGCGTCTGCAGGAACAATATACGAAACCTCAGTAGCAGGATAGCGAGGAAAAGCGCCCAAGCGGCGGATTAGAGGAGATACCTTCTGCACATGGAGGCGATGCGACCGTCTTATTGCAGCTTTGGCTTCTATTCCGTCAGTGTCAAGGACGGGATCTGCTGTAGTCCTTGTCTTGCGTTCACCTTGTCCCTGTTGCGTTGATATTGCGGTTGATCAATGATCAACTACGTGGCGCGTTCTCCCTGTCCTTCTCTTCTTCGGGGTATTGGGAAGGAGACGTATGAAAAACCTTGTTTGAGGAGAAAAGAATTGCGGTTTACAGTAAACGCGCTGAGTATTTCATGATTAATTGAGAGACATTATTGACTTCTAAGATTATGGCATGCAAGGAAAGAAGGCAAACAGCCCCAAAACGCCGTCAGACCAGCATCGCCAACCAGAATGACGACCCTCTCGATAGAACCAATGTTGAACTCCGTCTTGCACCATCTACCTGTATCCGTCCCTTCTGTGGCTCCTTACTCACATTCGACGATCCTCGCGCCCCATCGCATCCCCCTCTTCAGCAGGCTCCTCAGCGTATTCTTCACACCGCCAATAAACCCGGGATTCTGCCACGCCTGACTAGCATCCCACATCATGACGCCGCCAAAACTCGCGTACTGCGAGCTGTACTGTATAACAGGAGCCAGCTGATCCGGAGTCAGATATCCGTTGCCTGCCCCGGTACGCGCAGGCACACCCAGAAGCACCCGCACATTCGGATTCTTCGACTGGCGGGACCAGGTATCCCACTGGTTGAAGTTGAAGTTCCACTGGTCGGTTTGGCCGGGCACGTACGATGAAGCGCCGCACCCGTTGTTGTAGAACTGCACGTTCACCCAGTCGAGCGGCACGTTGTCGATGATGTCTTTGTTGTACCAGTCCGGGAAGGGGCACTGCGGGGCGGCGCTGAGGTAGTACTTCTTGCCACCCGCCCCATCCATGAGGGAGCGCAAACGGTTGCCGAAAGTCGCCATGTTGGAGACGTTGGCTTCGAAATCGAAGTCGAAGCCGTCCAGGACTGCGGTGCCGAACGGACGAAGAGCGCTGGATCCCGATTGCACGGGGCCGAAGGTGGCCCAGATTTTGTCGGCTCCTGCATTTGCAAGATCGGCGGAGGTGAAGCCGCCTTCGGTGTAAGCGTCACCACCGAGGGAGAGCATGATAGTCTTTCCTTGTGCTTGGCATGTCTTGATGTCCGCTCTGGGGTATATGTTAAAACTGAAGAGACACAGCCCAAGCAAGAGCGCCAAGCGTCTCCGAGAGGAGCGAGGAGTAACAGAGACGCTTACTCAATCTCGGGGCAAGAGAAGGTCTCCGTGCCTGGAAAGGTGGTGCATTTATCGCCCTGGTTGGCGAAATTCATGACCGGCTGCCCACCCGCGCCATTGAAACGGAGCAAGAAAGCGAGCAGGATAACCTACGATACGTTCAGCCAGTCCCTAACGGCAAGTGCGGACGGACAGGGGTATGAGCGTACATCAACATTAGAATCTGCGAGTAGTATTAGCAACTTCAAACATGCGTTGAAGGCAAGAGTACGTACCACTGCAGTAGTCTGAGAGGCGCGTCTGCGTGCTTTGCTGGCCAGCCGAGTTCTGACCCCAGTACAAGACCACATTAGACCTGCCTGTTGCACTGAAGGTGGCATGGACGGAAGCTGTAAGGCCAAGGAGTAGGGCGAGACATCGAACTACAGCCATGGCGAAAGTTTGTATGACGATAAAAGAGTGAGTTGTGGAATGCGATCGCACAATCTAAGGAAGGCTCCGGGAGAAGGAACAACCAGCAAGGTACCCAGGTGGTTGCGACTGTCGTCAACCCAACATATCTGTGCATCGATGCGCGCTTTTATACTTCTGACTTGGAAATATTATATCCCCGGGCAATGGCACAATAGACGCCGAGCCTAGGGGAGTAGGTCTCCCTCATGTCGAAGTTATCACGAAGACCGTTAGGGAGGGTGACGATAGGATTAGATTTTGTACCTGTAAAGGAAGGAGCGAGAAGACAGGTTCATGTTACTCTTGCCCTCGCCCTCGTGGATGCAGCGCAAAGGGGAAGATGTAACTCGGCGGAGTGACTTGGACATGCAGAACCCACAATCAGCACGAAACGTTGTGGGAAACAGCCCGGTGTTGCAGTCATGCGTCCTTGAAGCGCGGGGGTAGCGATGGCAGTTGCTACAACGGCTGATAGGCGAACAGGGGTTCCCAACACGCGGGAAGTCTCGAATAGACTTTCCGGGATATTCTATTCTCTTAGAAAGCGGTCGGTCCTCTGCATCGGGAGTCAGCCGAGTGCCACGTTAACCGCCCAGGCGACCGCCGCCGAAAAGCACTTCCTTCCCTCTTTCATGTCCTAAGGAAGAAGGACGATGCCTAGACCTTTCTGTAAAGGGACATCGCCCCTTGAGCTTTCAGGGACCACAAGGAGGAGCGACGCTATCCAGGCAACACTTTCAGCCGAAAGGGAGTGAACCGGGTTTCAGAAGCTCTGCCCGCATGATCCAATCAGAGGAACTCCGCTTCGGACTCGGGACCTTATCACGAATAGGCGTCCACTGCGACAGCCGCAGGAACAAAACCAGACTTCTTCCTGATTGGGCGAAATAAGCAGGGATCTTAAATCATCGGGGCGCTTAGACGATACCTTCCTGTTGTGGAAATTCCACGTGCAACCTCCACCAGAGTCACTGCAGCTCTGCTGAGGTCGGAGATGAGCCCCATCATAGTGGGAACAAGGCTGCTGAAGTTGCATTGCATGCCGGCAATGGAGAGGTCAGCGAAGTGGAGGCGAGAGCACCACCTGGCGCGGGTCAGGCAGTCGATTGCTTAGACACCAATGGTCCAGACGAGTAAGAAGGCAAATTCTCTCCAAGGCCAAGCCGCCCATCAGGACTTAGACGAATGCATTAAAGCATGGGATGGTCTAGAAGTCTTTTGGCGTGGGTCACGTGATTTGCGCTCCCAAGCGCTGTTATAGTACGTCTGCCGAACACCCAAAAGCATGCGATGGCTCGCTTATCGCAGTATGATATTTTGAGGCTCCATGCCAGCGAAATGAGCCCAAAGCACCCTGTAATCGGAGAGGTCGTCGTCACCGGGGCTATAGGCTCGTCCTATGCGGGCGTAGGCATTGCGCTCGGAGTCAACCAACAAAGCAATGATAAAGAACCAATGCATGGACGTGGCGCCTATCGGGATGTAGTAAACAGAATCGTTGTCATAGCGGGAGTCCGGAAGATCTACTCGTTCATACAAGGGCGCACGAGAAGTCCCTTCCAGGTACACGGAGGCAAACGACTCGGTGGAGGCCCGGCCACGGGTTGTAAGAGTACCGGGAAGAACTTTGCCTCGTAATACCAGCTCTGCTCTTTCGAGCGAGGACGTAAGCGGTTCGCCGGCCCAGCGTATTTGCGATTGGACAAGCTCAATCTCATTGGTGGTGAGTTGAAAGTCCGGGTACTGTGCGGGCCCGGGAAGGCTCATCCAAGTCCAAGTGGGAAATGCGCTGATCCTTCTTCGTGATGCGGGTCCGTCCCAAACTCCTCGTTCCCAGAGTAGACCGAGAGCGAGGTCGTTCCTCCATAAGCCTAGTAACGGCTCATCCTGGTTCAACCCCTGGATGAATTTTGTGAGCCCAGCAAGAGCAGCCATTCTATCTTCATCCCGCGATAACTTTCTCCGGCTATAATCGTTCACCCAGCATCCCCAGCTTCTGCGGATATCGGCGGGGCTAGAGATGGAGATCGGTAAAAAGGATTGGTCTCGAGCTCGTACAAATAGAGAATCTTCATGTCTCACTTCGGACCAGCATTGCCACACAAGCTGGAGGGTTGTAAAGTGTACCACCCTGCGAGAGAGGATGCATTCTTGAAGGGTCCAGGCGCGCTGAAACAGAAGTGACTGAAGAGGCAACAGTCCAACATCTGCCGGAAGCGAGTCGGGGAAGAAGAAAACTTCGCGTTCCTTTTGATCGTAATCGTCGAGTAACCCTGACCGCGCCGGTAGCTGAAGCTGGGCGGTGATAAAGCCACCTCTTTCCCTGAACAGACCCCCAGCACTATCCTCGGACGCGGTCGCAGCCAGGGTAACATATGCGTTGGCGTATACACTCGCCATCAACGCAGCTTCGTGATTCCAGTCCCCTTCATCATCTTGAATGATGCAGATACTGTCGATCCATAAGTACGGTATATGTAGTTGCTGACAAACAGTGATTGCCTCGCGGAAGGTCTGAGGCATTAATTGCCAAGGAATGCAGTCTTGGAAAGCCGTGAGCGATGCCTTTGTCGTTATGAGGGACATCTTTCGGGTCCCCCAGCAATGGCTGAGTGCAGCATAAAGGGATCCAGGAGGACACTTTTCAGAGTCTAAAATCAAACGGGGCTCGGCGGGTCCATAAGAGAGACCCACATCAATTAACCGTGTGGGCAATTGAGAAGAGGGTCGTTGGCAGCCTGGATGGCCTTCGTCACAAGCGGCGAGCCAGTGGGTAATCGTGCGAACAGAATCGGAGGTAGATGATCGATTCGGACTCCAGATACCGGAGCTGGTGCCTCTACCTACAGCCCGTCAGAATATAAGTCTCCACGAAGCGTTGGGGGAAAACCAAGCTGCGCGAGAAGCAACTTACCAGCATCCACGTTGCGAAGGGCGAAATGGATAGGAAAGCAGTCGCTACCTCCGTAACGACAATCAAAGAGTACAGAGCCGACACTGATCCTCCTACGATCCCCGTTGGCCCGGCTTTGCGTGACCGTCACCGTCAGTTCGACGCGAGTAGGATTGCGCGACTCCAGCCAGATCAAAGTTTCAGCGAAGGCACCGGTCTTCTTAACCAACAGATGGAGTAGAAGTTGACAACCGGAGCAAGCTTTGCTAGAGGTCTGGAGTGCCAATATGCCGCAGCTGCGATAGTTGTCGCGCACACGTCGAAAAGCTTGGTGGCAGTCCTGGCATAGCTCTCCACGATCGATAACAACATAGGCGTTCTCCGCCATTGGCATTTTCGACGAGTCAAGCAGAACGCGCAATTGCGAATAATGCCAATTGAGACTCGGTCCACAAAGTGTGAGCTTGGTGAAAAACCATCGGACTGGTGGTGCGGGCTGCCTCAAGCAGTGGCAGTGCAGCTAGCTGCCCAGCCCAGGTGCATAGGCGTGAGGCGCAGCAACTATTCCCGACTGGCTTTAGCAGCCAGGCTATTCCAAAATTAGCGGCCCTTCCTCCCTTCAACCATCGGTCGAACACTATTTCGGATCGATGAAAACAGTGTACAACACGACGCCGCTCACGGATTGGTGACGGTCGAAGACCATGAGCCACCCGTCAGGCCTCTCCTTCGATCGTCGCAGCATCGCTTTAAGCAGTTCCAGATTCTCCGGGTCGGCATTCGCCTCGACAAAACTAATGCGGCCCTGAATCCACTCCTTCATATCGACCGGTAGAAGTGGGATGGATAAGAGGGTTTGGAGTTGATAGTAAATGTGATACAGGCTGGCTGGTTTCGGAACCCCCAATGCAGGGAGCGCTGGCACGGCTTGTGGTATCTCCGCGGATTGATAATGCTGGTCAGATCTCGCCGCGGACGGTTGGTCGAACTTTTTGCGCTTTCGGGTGCTAAATGATGCGAGCTGCTCCGAGTAGTCACATAATTCTGGAACTGAGGCGCAGATTTCTCTCGCGAGGTAGAGAACCATAGCTTTTGATTCGAACTGCTGCCTTGCAATTGAAGCGCGCTCCATAGGCGAGGCGGAAGATTCTAGGATGCGGCATTGAGCGAGGATGACACGGTGCAGACGCATGCGACACGAGCGGATATTATTCCATAGGTGAGCCGTAAATCTTCTCGGATACACTGCCATTGGTTAGCTTGCGTTCGTCTTGGAGTCCGAGTGGGAGAAGCATACCGTGGTAGTGCCCGTTGTAGACTAGCTGCCCGGCTTCCTCAGACACGGAAAAGTCCTCGAAACGTCCACGCTGCGGCATTGCCTCCGCAAACTGCTTTAGTCGATCATCTAGAACCAAAGCCTTCGATATTGTAGCACTAGGCGAAGTGACGCTTCTGTTGCTAAGTGAACTGCGGAGCTGAACCAGCTCAGCTACAATGTCCAGGAAGCCGGCGTGTATAGGCGGCGTAGTCATCCCACGACCTAATTGGCTCTTTAGAGCGAAGAATTCCCGAGGAAGGGGCATGTTCTGAATCCATGAATTCATAATGACGGTCTGAACCACAGTGCCGAATAATTTCTGGGTGATATCTGTCTGCTTCCGTTGCTTCAGACACAGTGAGGCAATAGATATGGCGCCTTTGAGATGTTTGGTGAGATTCTCAAGCCCTCTTCGACCTGGCACGGTTAACACTTCGTACATTGCGAGTAGCATGACCGAAACCAGAGTCGCCTCTAGTCCGGTATAATCCGAGGCAGACGACAAGGCGCTGTTGATGTGTCGTATCGCGGAACTGTAGCTCTTCATTGCGGGATACATAAGGTCGGCGCGTTGAGTCATTTTCGCATAGCCTGCGATACCCACGGCCTTAAGACTCTGTTGAAGCTCGGAGGAGTAGAAACTATTGTGCGAGTAGAAATCGGGAAGGTAGCCAAATTGCGATGACGTCGGATCGTTACCGACATAGTTGAACATGAAGAAGTTGACGGCGAGGTCGTCCAACGGCTGATGTAAGACGAATTCTGTGAGTCGTACAGGGACGGGCATGAAAGGCGTCGCCGACGACGAGCCTGTTGAAGTTGAACCCAGCGATTTGCTCTTGTTGGCGACTTGCTGACTCTCATCAAAGAATATCAGATCCGCTATGTTTCTGTATCCAGAGCAGATTCTCTTGGCTTTGATGCACTGCCCGCATGCTGGGACAGCTCGATCGCACTATGAATAAGGTCAGTGGGCACTGTCCAGATGCAGTCCACGGATAGGGCTGGAGCTTGGCGACCCGCTGCGGCATACGCACTTTGCTCCTACGCTCTCTACATGGGCCACATGCCGTCGAAGGCTTCCCGCGATATACCATCTTGGGTAATGCCGTCCTCCTTGTCGGTCGTCATCTCATGCACGAAGATAGATCCTTCGTCGGCCAATTCAGGCTTCATAAGCCATGTATAGCTAGGTAGGAGCTCGCTAGTGAGATGGAAAATGTCCCGTCCACGCACAGCTTCGAAGGAATGGGAGGCTACGAGGGATGAGAGTGGATAGAAGCAGCGGCAGGATTCGCAAGCGGAAAGGGGGGCTCCGCTTATCGATAAGACTAATATAGACTAGCGTGACTGCTAAGCGAGACTGCACCTCCTTGAACCACATCAACGATCTTCTCAATAAGCTACATAGCCAGATAGCCTCCCAACGAACAACGCATGCACCTTTGCCCCTAGCCAGGCTTAGAAACATCGATAACGCTCGTGAAAAATGACCCGCAGCATAAAGCATCGCGCCAGTCGCCAGTCGCCATCACCAGAGTCACCCTGCAGTTATGGACATCTAACCATTGCCACCACGTTCCCCGTGGCCTCCGATCCTCAATCTCCTTGAGTAGATGCAACAGTCGGTCGCCCCAGTAATTGTACCGGATATCCTCTTCACCTTCGCGACGGTAATCGATAGTATGGTGCGCTATGCAGGCGGGGTCAGACTTCGGGAGGCTTTGTGATCGATCATGCGTTGCAGCAGCCGTCTAGATTTCGCATTCAATGGGAGCAGGGTCCTTTAAAGAAGTCGAGGGTCTCCAAGGTAAGTTTGCGTTAGATTATATTCTCAGGAGCGAGTCAGGTTTCGTACTTTAAAGAGGGCACGAGCAAGACAAACTGCCACCTTCGCTTTCCATTCTTGCCAGCAAGTGCTCCTTCCAGAGACTGGCTAAGTGGAAGTTATGGACCTTTCTGGTCTCTGGGTCGAACAGGAGATGTCTCCAGAGATTGTTGGTTTCCTGAAAAATCAAGCTATTGGGTTTACAGGTCGTCCCTTGAAGCCGGCTCAAGGTTGGAAGGCGCGCAGATCCCCAAAGCTTGAAAGTGTTGGCAAAATATCGCCTTCATGGATGTTTGCAGTGAGTCATCTTCGCGGCATAGGTTCTTGCGCAGCTCGCTATGGGATCCTCAAAGACTTCTCAACGACTCGACAAGTCATGGACATCAACGCCACGGCAAGACCAAACGCACGGGACTGGTCGACCTTAACTGATGCCACATGCCCATAGCCTCCAAAAATGCTCCTTTGCGAGTATCACGAGATGCTCATCATACTTGAGAAGATGAGCTGTATTCAGCAGATCTCCTCCGGGCCTCTTATGGCTGCTCCGCCCCCCAAAGCTTCCTCGGGCATCCTCCCTCGCAACGCCATCATTCAAAGTGGAAGAGTCGATCAAGTCTCCTAAATCTACGGCGAGGGCATCGCACCGCCAGGCAACGCCCTTCATTGCTGCATGCCGTGCGGTCTGCCCAGCCCCAAAATTTTTCATAGATTTTTCAGTTCACATGGAGGCTTGCTCAAAATGAAAAGGCTCGAGCCCCACCCCACCGTGACGTGCGGCCACAGCCATCCAGCTATCCCTCAAACTTGTAGGTTCAGCTCGCACGTGCCGCCAGAACTCGGGTTCAGCCTCGCCACGTAGTGCTGCAGATGGGGAAGGCCGAAGCAGAAACCGGTGAATGGGCCATGCCCAATCCCGTCCCTCACGTTTCATTCGAGCCAACGCAGCATGCATTTGGGCACGCCCGCAGCCTCTAGTCCATTCATAGATACCTGAAATATGCCTTGGGTTAGTGTTACTCTCCGCTTCGAAGGACGGCGGAAACCGGCCCTACTTTCCCCTTCTTCATGCCATCGCACCCCGATAAAAATATGGAGCGAGATCTCAAACCTGATGGCCGCAGGACGTATCGACGAGGAGTGAGCGATACGGGGGACTGGTCGAGCCATCGGCAAGACTAGTTTAGACTAGCGTGATCACTAAGCGAGGCTTTACCACAGAGCTTTCCTCGGGCGTGACACAAACTCCCATGCACGATCAACTCCCAAATCTATATGCCGCTCCTGCCGCCAACTACCTTGGCTCACAATACACGTTACTAACGCCGTTCAGCGCCTGAGCGCACTCACAATCAAGGCACCGGCCGCTAGCAAAGCGCCCAATATAACGCCAGCGGCCGTGACCAACATGAGATACTCCGCACCACTTCTCTTACTCAGCCATTTCCAAAATTTACCACTCTGCGCGAGCTTTGGTGTCCCAATCTCTTCGGACAGAGCAGCCCACCGTGGGCCCCAATAACACGCCTGGGTGACGTCCTCATCCTCCCGACAATAACTCGCAAGATCTGCTCCTACGCATTCTGGATCCCATCCTTTACTATTGACGAAATCCCTACTCGCTTCATCGTAAAACGGGAACAGATGACATTGAATTGAATAGAGAGTTTCAAGGGCTAGTTGACGGGGAACGATTTCTCTATCGAGCGTCAGAATATCGTCAATCGACGGGCCCACTACTCACTTAGCGCGAGACCCGCCTTCCCGTGTGCGCAATAAGCACTCCTTGAGAAATCCGGCATGATGGTAAATATGCACCAGCCTACATTTGCCGTCCAGAAGAAGATGTTTGGAGAGATCGTCGGTCCCCACCAGCTGGAGACGATGCTCCTTTTCCAAGCTATGCGCGGTCATGCCCACAAGAGCTGGGAAGTTTTCTTCGTCCAGTCGTAGTGGCTCGCCTTTTGGAATTGCCAGCGCCATGAATTCCAGTGCCGAGTCGCTTCCCCGCCAAACAAAGGGCACGAGATGTGGCCTTATGTGAGCGACGATTGAGCTTCTTGAAGAGCATCTTGTCATTGTGGTTACTCTCATGGCGAGGTCGAAAGCCCGTAACTGGTCGATTCTGTCTGGTAGCGCTTCATCGTAACGCGAGAAGTATTCCTCGATGAGCGACCCTTTCGAAGCGTTTGGCCGATCCCGAATCAAGCGAACTATATCGAGCAAGTCGTCGTGGCTTCTAAGCGCATGTTGACTCCTGAGGAGGCATTGGGGGCTAGTCCAGGAGGTGATGGCCTGGTAAAATCCGAGGAAAGGCTTAAGCTTCTGGCGTCTTCTCCAAGGGCAGGCGCCTGAAACGCAAGGAACGTTGTTTCCACATTGTTCGCAGTCTTGCCATTCCCAGAGAGTCTGACAGACTCTTTTCAAGACCTTTTCCGAGGCATTGTCGAGAGGAAACAGCTCTAGAAGCGGAGTGATATCGTCCGCTGAAGTCATGGTGTGTACGCAGAGTTTGAAACGAGAGGGCCATTGGCAGTATCTGTCCTAATGATGGTCTTACATATTCCCTCACTTTCTGCCTTGGACACGTCGGTGCTGCAGCTTTCCAAGGCTGAGTGACAAGGTAGCCAATGGGGCACGTCCACAAAGGAGCTAGCTCTGTCTGATTGGTTCCCGCGCCGTCCTTCGAGTGTGAACCCATGCTCATTAAATGAGCTATCTTCACCGGTAAGCCGCCTCGGCTGCCATTTTCTTCGCTGTTCCCCGCCCCTCGACATCCTCCAAATCTTGTGGACATTCCAACTCCAAATCCCCTCGTCGGAAGCCGCCCTGTCAGCTACTGGAGCTCCCATATAGCATATGTTCCGAGCTAATCGAGAAACAGATGACCCTCCAAGCATGAACGCCCAAAGACACTCTCGCCGCAATCCTGAGCACGGAAACTCCGCAAAGCCCTACCACGAGACGCCGTCCTCACTAAGCAACAAAACACCAACCGCACCAACACGCGATGTTTGCCCGGCGGATTCTGGCTTTGTTTCGATGTTAGAATCCAGAGAAAGTCTTACGGTGCAAAATGATAGCAAAGGCCACCCGCCAGCAAAGCAGAAAGGTCGCTCGATATCCGGGACAGAATTTTATATATTCAAGAGCGGGGGTAAGGAAGAGGCACGGAAGCACTACGATAGTGTCAGCCCGGCCATTGACGCTCTCCTGGACCGCGAGGTTGCAGAGAAGGGCCATGATCCTTCTTGTGCTATGATCTTGCGATTGGCAGTCATCGGCAAAACACAAGAAGACGCGCGCTATTGGGTCGTCGTGTTCGGTAGGCCCGAGCTGGAGGAAACAGTTCGCACTTTCTTCGGCTCGGCACAAATCGCCCCCCTCCTCGACCCTTCTGACGCTCCCAGCCTTCCTTTCATGTTTATTGCTAGGAACCCGACGATGCGATCCGCTCTCCTCGATGTTGACGTCTGCTGTCATGACTCATTTGGGTCTAATTGTACGACCTACTGCGGCGCTCCAATACTGCTGAGGGCTGGAACAAAAGGCACCCATCGGAGAACAAAGCGACAAGCTACTTTTGGAGGAGTCATTAAGGTTACCTATACTGACGGTGATTCCCGAATGTATGGGTTCACTGCTGGACATGTTATTCAAGACCTGGAACGGCAAAAGGATGCTTCGGTTTCGGAAACCGCCGAGAGTAATCCCCCAGGGGCTGGCGCTTTTGCAGAGGATGCTTGGATATGCGAATACAACGCATTGGGCCATGTTCTAGACCCAAAGCGGCTGCCAGGTGTAGCCGCGGGATGTGCGAAGCCATCCCATGACTGGACGCTGTTTGAAGTCGAAACTCCTCGGCCTAACGACGCTCTCTCTATCAACCCCTATGAACAACTAGCAGCAGGCGGGGATAACCTCGCGCGTGGAATCCTGGGCGTAGCACGGCCGAAATTTCACGATGGGCTCTCGGAAGAAGTCTTACTGCTAGGGGGTATGCAGGGGATCCGCCGCGGCGAGTTATCCAGTCTTCCAGCACGCATATGGGTCAGCCTGAGCGAGGGATATGTCAGCGCATATCCGCTCGAGCTCCAAGACGGCACTAGTAATGTTCACTCTCTGTGGCCCGCTCACCAGCCCGCTAACATTCTGCGTGCAGTTGAAGATGGGGACTCTGGCGCTTGGATAGTCCACCATGCCAGCCCAGAGCTCTATGGCCATGTAGTCGCCACTGACGCCTTTGGGGACGCATACATCATACCCGCTCCAGATACGCTTGAGAACATCAGGGAATGCACCGGAGCTGTCTCCGTCACACTTCCTGATCGTCACGATTTCACATCTACGGAGCCTGAGAGAAACCACACCGAGCAGGCCACTTCACATCTCCCGCCAAGCTTTGAGCAAGGCTCTCTTCAGGACAGGTACATCTCGGATAGCTCCATCCACTCAATGAAACTGCACAAATCCTTCATTGGCCGCAAAGAATATCAGCACGATCACAGGAAAGCCTGGCCGGAGTTCTCCAATCGTCGCTATGGCCTTGAAGACAAATCCTATGTTCAATTTAGAAGAGAAATTGGCGAAGATGGCGATACCCTAGACATCTTCTTAGGCAGAGACAGCTTCGATTCCCGCCCTTCACCTGCAATCGACGACATTGCACAATTTTGTAGGGGCATTTCTGTGCAAGATGTCACCCTAGGGGCACTGTTCCGACGGCCTCGACGAGCGGCATGGCTCGATGACCGTAGCGAAGTTCTTTCATCGCCCGAAGTGGCCCGGACCTTTATGGGCCCATTGACCGAAGTGGCCCGGATCTATAGGAACCCATTGACCGCAAATGAACTGCTTGAGCATTTGCGGAGACCTGTGAGTCGCCGCACGTTTTAGGCAAAACTCGCAGCTAATAGACGCAATCTAGCGTTACGGGTCGGAAAACCTTCCAGATGCAGACAGGCGACTTATGTATTTTTTTCTCTCCAGTCCTTCTTGAATTGGTCTAAACAGTGCTGATTCTATCTAACAGTTACATCAGCGACCTCGATCCAAATTATATTCTGGCGCTTGCGGAGACGATTCCATATCATGCGAGAAAGCGGCTGAGAGACTCTATCTGGAGGCACCTGAGTCTTCAACATTCCCTCACCATCCGAATTCATGTATGGCAACTCTGCACCTGTGTAGTTATTTGCGTTAACTAGTTATTAGACAGAGCATCACTTCTGCTTCACATTTCAAATCCCTTTCTTTGCTCTAAGAAAGATGAACTCTCCTGAAATGCGTTCTAGCATTGCCAGATCAATCCGCAAAAGAGGATCAACGGACCTATCATTTCTGGACATGGGATCTTATGAACTCTACGAAATGCATTTCTCTCTGACCATCGTAGGTAGAGATGAATCACGATGGGATGCCTACGCCTTCGAACATCGTGAGCCAGACGACGAGTTTGGGCAGACGATAGATGAGTTAGCTGAGGACCCCGATATCATGATGGAGGACCCGGTCATCGGTAGCGTTGAAGAAGAATCCTGCGATGCAAACCACCCAATTTGGAGTCCGCGGAACTACTATATTCGAGTTACAGAGATGCGGTCGAAGCAAGTCCTGAAAGAGTGGACTCATTTGATACGGAAGCTGGAGCGCACCATAAAAGTACGAATACAACAGCCCCCCTTCCTAATGTGACAGAATTTTCCGCTAACTTCTGAATTAGATTCGCCATCACCCACATGCACTATTCTGTCAATCATGCGTCAATCCTCAGCCGGCGGAGACGGAAAGCAGCAAATTGGCGTTGGAATGGAGCAGCCAAACTCTAGATTTACTCCAACGCCTTCGAATACCATTGAAACGTACGATACATCACTGGAACAGGTTTAGTGCTTCGGACGGAGATATATCTTATCTGCTGGACCTTTGTCGTGAAGAATTGAGACTGGAGAATATCAGGGAAAATTTCGAGGCCCTGATCGACCTTGAACAAGACCTAGCCGCGCTAGAAGATTACTGCAGCGGGAAGCAACATTCAGTCCTACAAACCGTCCATCTCCTTCACGCTATGCATGAGACTTCGAAGGAGAAGCATCGTTCAGCCGAATTGACGGTATTGGTACGTTTCAAACGTCCACCCCACAGGGACCAAGCTCATACTGACGCTCTTCTCCTACTGATTAGCTCATCAGTCCAGTAGCCTTAGCATCCGCCTTCTTCTCGATACCCTCTCCTGTCTTCTCGTTCGAGAGAAATTCCACGACCTTCGTCGTCGCCGTTTTTGTCATTTTTCTAATTCTTGCTCTCTATTTCCCGCTTACACGCGTGCTTGTTGGCTTCAAACAATGGTCAAATTGGAAGCGCGGAGTCTTGAGATGGGTGTGGGAAAGAAAAGCGGGAAGATGGATGTTGATACGCGTCGCTCGAAGATTGGGTCGATCGATCAGGGTTCCCGAAGAATTACTTGACGAGAAGCAAGCGCCGGCTCTTCCCTTTGCAGCTTGAATGGATCTGGACACAAGGTGTGCACGGTAGCCTCCTCATTGCATATGTTGCTAGAGTCTCGAAGCATTCCGAAAGGTGGTTTCGACATTAGTTCTATAGTGTAGCGGTGGGACTTCCTTGATGGCTAGAGCAAACCGCCGGATTCTCTCCATATCCGGCCGGCATATGGAGGCGACGTATGCCTTCGATCCCGAGAAACACTTCCTCTCTATACCCCAAAAGCTCATAGAATCTTTCCTTGCGGCCATTCCTCAATGCGCGCTCGCTGAACCGCATACCACGTGTCGTCCTCGAACAGGAAGCGCAAATACAGGAGATACTCGTCCGGATCCTCACCAGCACACTCTGCCGGCACTGTCCAAGCCCCATCCGCCCCGACTCTCGCATTTTTACAATCCCATATACCGAGTCGATCCCTTAGTTTGGTAAGACAACGCTCGTGGTTAAGCCTGTTGATTTCCGAGTCGTCCTCATCTAGCCATAACCGCACACTTGTCAGCTTCACCATTGGCCGAAGGTGTGTAAACTCCTTGAGCGCTTCCCAGATCGGCTCGTTGGAACCTTTGATCCACTCGTCATCGTCCTCATGGACGTGCGTCCATTCATCTTGGAAGGGGACGTCGGCGTGACTATCATACTGCCAATCGGGGGGGATAATGATCGTAAGGTGAGAAAGGGCGGGCAGTGCTGCGAGGGCTTCTAGAGCATCTCGTGCGAGTTGATCCCAGTTGGACGTCCCGTCGTAGCTAACGAGGGGTTCTTCAGACGTTCCCACCCACAAGCTACCGTTGGAGATGAAGGGACGCACTCCGAGGAATGGGACGTGAATAGCCACCTGTTTGATCCAGCAGGTGTGGTTTCCAATACTACCCAGGAAGGCTGGGACGTGTAGATGACCGCACTGTTGGGCGAAGCGAAGCTCGTTTTCGCCATAGAGAACTGACGCGGCCTCGGCGTGGACCAGCTTACAGGTGCGCAGGAGCTGGCCAGCTAGTTTCCGAAGCAAGGGGCTGGCGAAAATGCAGAGCCGGTATACCTCATATCGGATCTCTGCAGGGAGATAGAGAAATGGAAAGTAAAGTCCAACCTATGTATATCAGGTATTAACGCTAGTGCATGAGCATGCATGCTACTTACTCGTTTTCGTATATTTAGTCGCTCGTTATATAAGACCGGATATGGCATGTACGGCAAGAGATCTTCGGAAGTGTACATGAGTGGAGGCGGAGGGAACACGGGTAGCAGCTCGCCATGCTCATCCTCTTTCCAGCCAAGGGGACCATCTTTGAAAGGTTTCTTTGCGAGTATTGGTCCGTCAACTAGGTGTTGGAACTTCCTTTTCTCTTTGTGGCGGCGGCGGCCCATAGCAGATTTGAAGAGTTGTTGAGTCGTGTTTGGGTTGAAGAAGATGAGGAGTGCGAGCAATTCGAGGGCGAGAAGAAGATCTCATATATAAAAGAGAGAAAGAGTATCATGTCATGGGAGCTATTTAGCCTCAAGGCCCGCTTTTGATCAATTCTTTAGGCACTAAGCGTTCCCTTCCCTAGAAGGGGTAATAGTAAATCATCATAGGGCGGTCGCGCTCCTGCACGGACGTTAAGACTTCATACATTATATAAGCCGCTCTCCGCATCCGGAGAGTTCGAATCTGCTCCCCACCTAATTGTCTATCAACCTCGAGGGCCGCCGTCCCAATTCAAGCTCGCGTTATTTTTTTCTCGACAATGGCGCGCCGACATCGCAAAGTCAAACATACCTCAAAGGACATTAAAGACCTTCTCGATAGTCCAACGCTTCACCACAAAAAGACTTCGAAACAGCAACCGTTGGAATGGGAGGAAGATTCGGAGGGAGACCTTCAACCGGTATTCCCCACAGTCGTCGAGTACAAGTACGATTCGAAGGACCTCGAGCCGTATAACAAACTCAACCTGCTGCATCAGGAGAAGAGGGATATACAGAAGCTCGTCAGTACAGACTATTCTTACCAAAGTCGCTCAGTCAGCTCATGGAAATAGGTCGAACCACCACCATTTCCATTTCTGAAGTTGCCCGCCGAAATCCGAGTACAAGTCTATCGCTACTAGCTGGTCACATCCGATTCATACCCCAAGGGAACCGATTCTGGGGGGTAGATAAATACCAAGTCTTCCCCTTACACGTGTCGCTTCTATGCAAGCTTATTCGGTCCGAGGCCGCGCAGGTATTCTACGGAGAGAATGAGTTCCGATTCGCAAAGCAGCTTCGACACCTTTCCCTTACCGCATGGGCACGGAATATCGGCGATTTCAATGCTGGCTGGCTGCAGACCGTGACTATTTGCACTCCTTTTATCGGGAAGAAAATAAAATACCATTTTGCTATACGATGGCTCAACTGCACTTGCGAGTACCATCTTGAACACTATGGCTGGACTAAATCCCTGCCGAGGAAGTCCCAGTTCCAGTTCCATGAGAAGTTCAACGCGCTGGTTGGATTCCTCATGGAAGCGCCAAGCTTGCAGCGGCTCAATCTTGTTCTGCCCTGGGATTGGCAGTACTCCGCTCGCCTCGACAAGATACGTGCTGAATATGGACCAGGCAGCATGGCCAACGAGCCTATATGGACGGCGTTAGAGAAACTCTTGTGCGCCAAGCGATCCCTAGTAGTCACGGTTATCCGGTTATGGTACGACGAATCAGACCTCTGGGAAAATGAGCTGAACCACGAGCGACATATAAAGAAGCTTCGGCAGCGATTAGGGATCTGGAACTCCCAAATGCAGCGAGTTGATGACGCCTGGTGTTATCGGGGCCGCTATGCATATTGGGAAATGCCGCCCAGTATCCGTGAAGGGCATCTGGAAGACGTGCTGCTAGACTTACGCTTTTTGTTCACGGATGAGACTTGGTATGAGGTCGAGCGCGCGGGGTACGAGGATGGAAGTCGATGGTTAAAGACGGCACAAGGATGAGGAGATTCAAATGTGCCGCACACATGGATCATGCCTCTAATGGATTGTGTCCGAAGGTAGATCAGGTCGCGGTGCGTAGTAGACTATCTCAAGTTTTACCTAGATACCTAGGTAGAGTCTAAGTTGAGATCTACACTATTCTCGATCCGGACTAGCGCATAGCAATGTGACCTCCACCTCGCCTACAAAGCTCCTAGCCTCCCCACAACCCATTGTCAGTTACGCAGCATTTCAGCGTCTTATACTCTGATCCACGCTTGAATTCCGGAAAAGGACCTAGCAAGGTACCTCAGTGTCCAGCTTCGTGTAGCTCCCGCCCGAACAGAATGAGGGGTCGCAAAAGATATCCGAGGTAACGAGACGTGATCTAGAGTTCCCCTTGTGGCTTCATATCTGAAGGAAGCGTTGAAATACAGCGACTCATTCATCGGGAAAGGCGTCCCGGAAATGACTCCCGCAATTCGAGACCCTACCCCAGACTCTCTCCGCATTGGTCCAAGCTTCCCGAAAGCTCTACCCTAGAGCCCCAACCCGCCGGAAAATGACTTCCATGATCACCAACGCCGACCACTCACAGGGCTGCGTTCGGTTACTTCTATCAAACCACCTCTGCTCACAGGGTCCGATCGACAAGGCTCTAAGCTCGATAAGCTCACGCAAGGGAACACAGGCTACGCCTCGAGCATGCATGCTATGGAGCTAGCGAAACGTATTTCCAGTGGACCCCAGGATATATCCCATGAGGGATCCGCATCTCTGGTTTACTTTAAGCGTGTTCCCTGCGCATCCTTCAACCTTTTATCGACTACAACCGTCAAATCTACTTGAGGCCTGAGGCCCAGCCGCCGCCACCATGACCGCAGCCGAAGAGAAACCAGAGGTTGACCAGCAATCCGCTGAAGTAGCCAAAACCTCTGGCAGTCTGAAAGAGAAGGATGCCGAGAACCCGATGGCTGGGTACATTCCCCAGGCCGACGAGGAATACAACGTCACGTTGAAGACATGGTGTGTTGTGCTCGTAAGTTGCCCTTCCTGCGCATCGCAAGCTTCAAATAGCTTACGCGCCGTGTAGATTCTATCCATGTCCTACGGCATCAGTTTCTGGATTGTGCCTTCCATCAGCGCTTGCCAGACGGTTACTGCGACGCAGCTCGGCGATCCGAGCGCCGCCGCCTTCTATGTCTCGCTGTACACGATGACGGTTACTATCGCTTTCATGGTCTGCGGAGCGAATAGTGATCTGTTTGGGCGTCGGTGGTTCATTGTGGGTGGGAATGTGATTCTCTTTATAGGCTTCATCGTTGGTGGTTCTGCGAAGAATAACACGGCGATGCTAGCGGCGATGTCCCTGATCGGATTCGTAAGTCAACTACAAGCTTGAGCAGATGAGAGACTAATGCAGCGCGAAGGGTGCCGGGAATGCTCAGCTCGCAGCGTTCGCTCTACCAGAACTCCTTCCGAACAAGTGGCGCGCCGCCGCTATCGTGCTTGCTGATGCCGGAGTGTACTTCGCGGTCGTAGTCGGACCTGTTGCAGGACGCTTTGCGGCAGAGCATGGTGATTCATGGCGATGGCTGTTCTACGCACCGGCCATCACCGTGTTCTTTAGCTTTCTCGGCCTCTACTTCTTCTACTTCCCTCCGAAGCATCCCCGAGGTACGTATCTTGCTTCCAGTCCCAGCGAGCACGTGCAATATACTGATCACGCCCAGGTCTTCCCACAAAGCAAGCCTTCCGCGAGCTAGACTACGTCGGCGCCCTCCTCTTCATCCTCTCCGCGACCCTCATCCTCGTCGGCATCGTCTACACCACGACCCTCCCATCCAGCGATCCGAAAGTCATCGGCACGCTCGTCAGCGGCTTCGCATGTCTTCTCGTCTTCGGCTGCTGGGAGACCTTCGCTCCTCTCAAGCAACCGCTCACACCTCCTCACGTGTTCACCCGCGACAAGGGGCGTGAGCTCACCTTCCCGTTCATCGTCGGCTTCGTCGTCACCATGTTCTACTACGCCATCAACGTCATCTATCCGACGATGATCTCCGTCTTTTTCACCGACGCGACGACAGACTTCAAGTATGGCATCGTGTTGACGTTGCCGCAGAACCTAGGTAAGAAAGAGCACTCAAACTCTTCGACTAACAGGTTATCAGCTAACAACAAAACTAGGTCTCTGTTTCGGCGCCGCCCTCCTCACAATCTTCGGCCGCAAGATCGGCCACTGGAAATGGACACTAACCGCCTCCGTAACCGTGATGGTCGTCTTCGGCGCGCTGCTAGCGCTCGGGAATCCGAACAGGAAGGGCATGATGATCGCGTTTGTGTTCCTCGCCGAAACAGGCTTCGGATGGGCGCAGTACCTCTCCATTGCCTTCATCCAGTTCGGCGTGCCGCAGGTCGAACTCGGTATCTCTGGCGGTCTGGCCGGCGTGTCGCGCTTTGCCGGAGGAGCGATCGCTATCTCAGGTACATCTCTGTCTTCTCGCGTACATTTAACCCCCCTCTGCTAACCATCAAATCTCCAGTCTACACCACCATCCTGACAAACGTGCAATCCAAGCAAGCCGCCACGCTCGTCCCGGCCGCCGCCATCGCCGCCGGTCTGGCCCCCTCCAGCGCCCCCGCGCTCCTCGCCGCGCTACCGCTGGGCGCCTCCGCCCTCGCGCAAGTCCCGGGCATCACGCCCGATATCATCGCTGCGGCTGCTGCCGCCTTCCAGCAAAGCTACGTCGTGGGGTTGCGGACGACGGCGCTGAGTAGCCTTAGCTTTGGCATTTGCGCTATCATCGCGTGTCTGTTCTGTAATGATATCGGGCATAAGATGGATGATAAGATTGAGGTGTTTTTGGAGAACGATGAGAATGCGGATAAGAATAAGTATCATTGAAGAGGTTTTGCGGGGTTGGATTAGGGGGGTTGTATTGTGCGGGGATTTGGGGGCTTGTGGTGGTAGATGTGGTGCATGTGATGAGGATGGGCTCGGAGAAGCTTGCTTCAGGCATACGTATTTAGTCCTCGAATGGAGAAGAGAAGTTTTATACTTGTTCTCGTAGGCTCAGAGTGAACTTAGCTACCGCATCACCGTGCGCTAGGCAGATCATACCAACTGCTTCTAACCTCGGACGGTCGTGTACAGTACCTTAAAAAGATATGTTGCAAACCTCCGGCCGATCCGAGACTCCTTTCTGAAGACCTCTTATGCACCGCCCGTGGCATTTTTACACACCTGCGCATACAGCGCTTGTCTCCCAGCAAGACGGCAGGTGGGGAATTTTGGGCGTATGATGAAAAACTGTTTTGGATGTGGAAGGAGTGTTTGGGCATGCTAGCTTTGGACGTGGCTTGGGCTGGTGAGGAATGAGTGGAGGCGCGGTTCCGCAATGCGACGAAGAGGGTAGTGTCGTAGAAGTCTCTTCTCTTGAGATAGCTCTTCCATTTGTTTGTCAACCTCAACTCCCACCAATGCAACCTCTTCCTAATATACATCCATCCTACAGTCAGCTAGCTAGCCAGCCAGCGAAAGAACTGTACAATATCCCCTCCCCTCATCACCGAAAGCTCGCCGTCCCGGGCACGTCCTTAATCTCCTCGAACTTAGTCCCCATCTTCACAATCGAGTATCGTATCAGCCGCGGATCCAAGCTCATCGTTCTCCTCAGCGCATGCTGTGTCCGCGCGCTCGCATCGAATCGCATGATGAAGTGGTGGCCGACGTGGTGCGTCGTTTGCAGCTTCTTCGCCGGCTTGGGCAGCAGGAAGGTGCCCCAGTTGGTGACGCCGCGGACGACGCCGTTCTTCTCGAGCACGATTTTGCCGGCGGTTTTGGCGATTCTGCGAGAGTTAGAGGGGATGCGCCGCGGTAGATGAGGGATGGAGTCACTCTTTGACTTCGGAGAGGCGGCCAGGGCGGACCTGGATCAATCAGCATGGACAGAAATTGCGTGAATGGATGCGCATACCACTCCTATCATCTCATACAGCATCTTGGGCGGTTGACGTGCGGTGCGGCGCCTGTCGTTCCAGTCCGCAACTTTTGGAAAGTCGATCGGAGAAAAGAATGCCAAGCCCGCTAAGCCCGTTTCGAGCATCGCACCCGGCGTTCGTCATATCACAGCTCGTAGCAAGCTCAAGCTCCTCCACTCCACTTCTCCCTCACAACACTACCACAGCCTTCGAAATGGCCGCACACTTCTCCGTCGCCCGCGCAGCGCGCCAATTGAGCTCCTCCGCCGCTCGCAGACCCTCTGCCTTTGTGTGCCAGCGCTGGCAGCGCCCTGCGATAGTCGAGCGACGGCTATTCTCGGGATCCGCCGCAGGTCAGAATTTCGAGATGTAGCAATTGGGGCAGAATGGGTGCTGATTTTGCGCAGTGAGGGAGAAGAAGTACACAGAAGACCACGAGTGGATTGAGCTTTCCGCAGACGGCAAGACCTGTATGCTTCCGAATTCCCACCTACATTTCCACTACACTTCCCTCCCACTTCTAAAGCGCAAACCTAACCGCTCCCCCAGGCACCCTCGGCATCTCCGAATACGCCGCCAAAGCTCTCGGCGACGTCGTCTACATTGAGCTCCCGCAAGTCGAAATGGACGTGGCCGCCGGCGACGCAATCGGCGCCGTTGAGTCGGTAAAATCCGCGTCCGACATCCTGACCCCCATTGGCGGCACCGTGACCGAGGTGAACGACGCGCTGCAAGAAAAGCCAGGGCAGATCAATAAGGACCCCGAGGGCGAGAGTTGGATTGCGCGGTTGAAGGTGGAGGGCGAGCCCGAGGGGAAGATGATGAGCAAGGAGGAGTATACTGCGTTTACGGAGGAGGCGTGAGTGTGGGCATGGGGCTTGGGTGGGAGGCGGCATGTGCGGGGGATATTTCAACATCCAGTGGATGCTATGTTCAACAGATGAAGCCAATTCCGAGCCTTATGGAGTTTCGACATTTTTCAGAGGTTCTTGAGAGCACGATAGTGATCCCTGGGTTGCGAATCGCATTCTGACGGAGCATATCAAGTATTAACACTACAACTATCCAGAAGCACGCTAACCATACAATTCCTAGAAAAACACGGCCCCAATCATGCACCTCTACCCCCAACCAACCAACCTACTCCTCCTCCCCCTCCGCAATCTCCAACACAACCTTCCCCCTCGCATGCCCACTCGCCGTCTTCTTAAACGCCTCCTCAAACTCCTCAATCCTCCACACACTATCCACACTCCCCCTCACCAGCCCGCGTTCAATAAACTTCCCAATCTCCCTAAGTTCACTTCCCCTACTCTCCATCACAAACCACGCCGTCCTCACGCCCGGCGGCTTCCCGCCCTCGGGCCCGCCAAACCCTGGCACAACACTCACATACACGCCGCCCTCCGCCCGCACCGCACTCCACCCATCCCGCATCGCCTTGCCCCCCACGCAATCAAACACAAGATCAAACTTCCCCTCCTCTCCCCCGTGGCCAGCGACCCACTCCCGCATCGAAATCTGCGTGTAATCAACAACCTCATCCGGCCCCATGCTCAACCCCTTGAGGAACGCCTCGTTCCTCCCGCTCGCCGTCCCCGCCGTCCACGCCCCCGCCAGCCTTGCGAACTGCACCGCCATCATGCCCACGCCCCCCGCCGCGCCGAGGACCAGCACCCTCTTCCCGCTTGCCTGGCCGCCGACCACTTTCCCAGCGGCGTCGACGTGCGGGACCGCGTCGGGCGTGTACTTCCCCGTCAGCAGCCCGTGCTCGAACAGCGCCTGCCACGCCGTCAGCGCGCTCATGGGCACGACGGCCGCGTCGCGCATGCCGAGCCCTGTGGGCACGCGCGCGGCTTCGCTGGGCTGGATGGTGGCGTACTGGCGCGCGGTGCCTTCGCGGCTGGCCTCGATGCGGCCGTAGATCGCGTCGCCGGGGGAGAAGGGCGAGTTGGGGAGCGGGGTGAGGATGGTGCCGCTGACGTCGTAGCAGGGGGTGTGGTGCGTGGGCCAGTTGACGAAGGGCGCCCAGGTGAGCTCGCCGTTGGTGATGGCTGTGGAGTGGACTTTTATTATGTGTTCGTCTGCGGAGGGGGACGGGACGGGCGCGGTGGAGGTGAGGGATAGGGCGTTGGTTTGCGTGTTGAAGATTAGGGCTTTTTGGGTGCTGGGGAGGGTGGGCGCGGTGGTGGTGGACATTGTGCGGTTGGTAGGGCGGTAGAGTGGTGGTGTTGGTGTTGAGGGCGTCGGAACTGTTTGTATCGAAGGGATAGATTTGTTGTTGGTTAGAGTTGATCGGAGAGTTCGGAGGAGAATAGATGGGCTGGTGGTCATGCTGAGAAAGGAGATGGAGCGGGAGTAGATGAGCGCGTTTATATATACTTCCCGTTTCTACGTAGTCGTGAAAGGATCTTGATCAAGATGAGCGCTCGTTCATAACGCATACCGACCCCCGAGTCACCGACACGATGCCGTTTTACGGCAACTCTCTCTCCCTCCTCTATTAACTAAGCAAACGGCATCCATTCCGTCGCCGCATACATAATCAGCCAAGTCTACCATGCCCCTGCAGGTAGCCCGCCTTACAACAGGGCATAGCGCGATGTACTCTCCGTCATGCAGGTAATCGCAGACGCTGAACAGCGAACAGCGAACGCGAGCGAAAGCGAGACGCCAGGAAGCAGTTCCGCGCGGAGAAAGACGTTCGGTCAAGACCAAAGGCCGGCAACAAAGAGTGAGTAAGCGGCACGCGGTGGATAGTGCAGTAGCCAAGCTTCGGCATCTCGGATGGTTTCGCAAGCGCGGAACATGGGATCGGATCGCAGAATACGATGGCCTTGGCGGGGTGGACATTCTCCGCGGCGAAAATAAGTAGAAGGAAGAATAGAATAAATCGAGACTGCGAAGATGCTTTTGTATTAACCAAAACTGATGATGGAGCTCTGCAGGTAGAGTCGAACATGGGTGTCCTCTCCTCCTATGAGCGATGCCGCTAAATGCAACCTTTCCCAACTACGAGAACATATTCGCGCGCTTCGTCTTCAAGGTCGAAGAATCTTCATACTACGAGAGAGGTCAGCACATCACACGTTTCATGGGAACAAGGGGACAAACATACCTCCAAAAAGCCTGTAATCTCCACCAACACAGTAAAACAATCCACTAACTCACTCAAATCTTGCGCCATCCTTGCATCCCCACCCAGCCCCGCGCCCACATTAACACTCCTCTTGAAAATCGCCACCATGCTCTGCCTACTCTCCTTCAAAAACTCCCTCCCCTGGAACACTGTCTGATCATTCTGTCTCCCCCTCGCAATCACCGCCGCGTTGATAACGCGCAGCACAGCGAGCATGAGCTCGTAGTACTTCTTAAGCGCGTTGGGGTTGTCGAATTCGAGGCCGATGTCTGGGTCGATGTCGAAGATGCGGGATTCGCGGACGGCGGGGAAGAGGCCTGCGTTGAGGACGTAGGCGGCGCCGAGCCGGGTCTGGCAAACGCGGAGCATGAGCGCGAGTGAGGCGTCGTAGTAGGAGAGGAGGAGGGGTATTTGGGGCGCCGCGGCAGCTTTGAGTTCCGAGGGGATGTGTTTGATGTTGTCGACGAGGACGCCGACGAAGTTTAGCGAGACGAAGGACTCTAGGATGTATTTGGACTCCTGCCGCGCGGCGACGGTGACCAGGGCGCTGAGGAGCAAAAGCGCGGATACTTTGCAAGTCCCTTGCCCGCCATAGGCGTCGTCGCATATTACCTCGAGAAGATGGCTGCCGCAGTTCTTCACTGTGTTGAGAGTGTGGCGTCCAAGGAGAGAGCCTTTGGTTGCTTTCTCGAAGGTACCCTGGACGTAGCGGAAGCAGATCTGGTAACAGTACTCCCTAAGCTCCGTGGTGGAAATCGCGCTGTAGATTCCGACGAGCGCAGCGCGGAAAAGCTGAGAGAGTCGATCGTTCGCGAAGTCTCCGTTTCTTGTCTTTTCGAAGGCCGTAGACTCAAAGTCGATTTTCCGAATGAGCGCCTCTGCGAGGCTGGCGAGCTGCAGGGCGGTATATAAGTCGGCGTTATACGAAAGCTCAAGCTTAGGTAGGATGACCTGAAGGGTCTGGAGGACAAAGGAAGTCCGCGAGCCGACGTCGAAATCGCATGCGTGAAGCGTTACCATCAGTAACTGGACCCAGGACTGTAAGATATCCTTGTGATAGCGGATTAGCTGAGCGCGTCGGTTCCAATCTGTAAAGATGGCTATTAGTAGATCGGCCTCTTGCAATGCCTGGAGCTCCTCTTGCTCGTCTTTAAACGCTTTATCCTTCCTCCAATACTTCATTTTCAATAGCATGACCTGTTCCAGCAACGGAAGCGAGTAAACGACCACGCCGTCCTTTTCCTCTTGGCACGTGGCCAGGTTAACTCCTTCAAAGAATTTGTGCTGGTCTGGTACGCTTCGTTCAGGGTAATTGAGCTCAATAAAATCGAACAGGTCGAATATGGTGGCGTTCGGGACCGGGTCTTCGCCAGGCCGAACAGTAGTACCGAGGAGTACAGACTGTATTCTTGATCTCATAGTGGGCATCCCATCTTTCAGGGTCAGGCGCAACTCTCTGGATTCGTAGTCCAAGAATGCGGCACGCCGTTGCAGGAAATTTTGTAAGGCCAGCGCGGGACCTTCGGAGAAGAACTTAGATACTTCTCTGCTTTCGAGCTCTTCAAGGCCTTGGGCAAGTGACACTCCATCCCACAGAGTGTCGGAATTGATAGGAATCAGGGACGGCGCCTCTATGAAGAGTAGTTCGTTAATTTGCAGCTCTTCCATGACAAGTCCGCTGGTGAGGGGAGATCTCCACAGTCTCTGCAAGACGCTCCAGCACCCAGTCTTGACGGCCGAAGTCCATGAGCTAAATGCCACTCCATCGTTGTCAGGATATTTCACGGCCAGCACGAGGATGGCATGGAATAGAGAGCTTCCGTTTGCCCATAAACTGTCATCTGCAATGCGAACTGTGGTGCTGCCGCATGAGAAACCAAGAAGGATGTGCGCAATGGTGGGTCTCTGGGACACCGCGGCCAGACAGCTGTTGAGGAAGTCCAAGATCTTGATCTTGATGACATAGCCCGACGCCTCTTGTTCGGCTTCAAGCTCTTCGTTGCTGAACTTCATCAGACTTGAGAGTGAGCGTCCAATCCGCTCGCACTCGTTATCCTTCTCCAGTATGCCCACAATCTTGCTACGGCCGGACCGCTGGCCAAAGCCGGCGGGCGATACAGCGAGCTTTCGGGATGATGCCATTTTCTCAAGCAACTGCAGTGACGCAATAGTGAGCGCTTCGTGACCAGTGCCGCAATATAGACCGAGGTCAACAATTATCTGAAGGTTGTTCAGAATGGCGTCCTCAAAAGAGGCGAGAGAGAGGTTTGAGACGGGAGTATGTTGAGTCGCAGGCTGCTGTTTGAGGACAGGTCGGACAATGTCGAGATAAGTAGCCTGCAGTCTCATTACCAGGTCCATGACCTCGATACTTAGCATTAGCGACTGTACCAATGGTGAGTCTGTGGGGGCTGCATCGACTTCGTTGACATCGTGATGAGAGGATGCGAAAAAAGCCCTGAGGACCTTGTCATTGAACAACCATTCCATGACTCGCGTAAAAGGGTGGAGGGTAACATAGACGGCGAGAGAAGAGGGGTCGATGACCGCATCGACTGGAATGCTTGACTTGTTCGCAAACACGACGAGGTTCTCGTTGAATGTCTGCAGGCACGTAGCCATGAACCGCAAGCAAGTCCACCTCATTACATTGCGCTGCAGTGGCTCTTGCACCTCTATGCTGCGCTCAGCGAAGACTTGTTGCATAACAAAGTCGACGTATTTCTCGATCCCAGGCATTCTTCGAGCCGAGCCAAGGCTTTCCGGGAAGGGAATGCAGTCGTTGAGGCCCTCATTTTCCGGGTATGGTTCAACGAGAGATTGAAGCAGGCGGATGAAGGCGATCGATTCATCAAAGCCGTCAGCCAATGTCATCCAAAACTCGTCGCGCGGAAATGGGCTCAGCACGCTGTTCTGCTTTGAGGTCACGTAGAAGCCGGAGACAGTCCAATCGTCTAGATTGTTCCAGACGGCGCTTGCCCGCAAGGTGTCTTTGCCGACCAGTAGTGCCGAGACAGCATCAAACGCGGCCGCTCGTAGGCCGCTTTCCACCTTGTCTGTGCATAGACCGAAACAGATACCCGCCAAGTTGTAGTCCTGAGAGTCCAATAGCCAGTTCCGAGCAGTCAAGCTTTCTCTGCAGAGATGTGCAAGCAAACGGAGGTAGCTTTCAAGCATCGTTGCGCTTTCAGGCTCAACGATCTGATCCACGGGATTCTGGGTAGGTGGGTAGATGCCGCCCTGGATGGCCTTCTTCGGCTCGTGGATGTTGGTCTGAAATTCGATCAGTTCGTTGAAAATATGGGTGTAGCTAAGAGAGCTGGTCCGCCGGATCTTGCCCGATGAAGATGCGCCTTCTTCTAACAAGAATCGGTGCGCCGAATCTGCATTCGAATTTCCGGTCGAAATCGCACGTAGCATCTCACAGAACATGGCTATGCGCGGAGTAGGCTGGCGCTTCGCGGCCCACTGCAAGAAGCCATAGAGGTTGCTCTCCTTATCTGACCAGAAATCCTCGGCTGCGTTCGGAAACCCATCGAAAGCATACGCAACGATGACGAGAAACCTCTCCAGGTGCAGGGGATACTCGCCCGAAGAACGCTGGAAGTGCAACTGCAGTCGTCTACGCTGGTCGTCCTCTTCCACTTTCAGCCTCCGCAGCGTGTCCGGCATGTTCGTAATGAAGGAATCAACGAATGTCTGCACTTGCTCCATGATGAGCACTTTGAAAAACTCCTCTGGCTGCGCAGACTCGGGGGTCAAGACAGCGGTGTCTTGTAGCAAGGAAGATATCATGCTAGTCTTCTGTGGGTCATACCAGCGCGTAGGGCGGACATCCTGGCTAAAGGAGAGCATGAAATGGAACGCTCCATCGTTCAAAGCTTTGAGAAAGGCCTCCGACCGCGCATTTGCCTCTTTGTCAAAGTCGATGTTCTGGAGGTCGGCGTCCTGGAAGTTGGGGTCCATGTACCTGCCGCTGTATTCGGCCAGCCACCATGTCAACGTAGCGGCATGCAGGTTCCGCAGGGCCCAGTTGTCACTTTCGCGTCCTGCCAGGAGCGAATCGTTTAGCGCCCTCGCATCTTTGGTGAGCGTGTTCGTTTCTGAAGCGATGAACGATAGCAGCCGGATGAGCATCGGAACGTAGTGGATGGTGATGAGGTCGTGCTTATCGATGGTCCTGGTTTTGGCCAGAAGAGCCCGGAGGTTATCCATGCTGGCGAATCCCGGCTTGACCATGTGGGTGCAAATCGCGGCCAGATTCTCGTGCTGCCGGGTGAGACTCTGGCGCTGAAAGGTCATGATCTCGACGAAGCCGGGGAGTGGTGCCTGGCCAACCACCTGTGCGCTCTGCAGCCGCTCTGCGATGTTTTGCAGCCACTTTTCGATCGCACCCATGCTGTCCAGGCATTGCCCCCAGAATCTGTACGCCGACGCAAAGTTGTTGGTCCCCACGATGTCGAGGATGATCTGGACTGCCATTTGCAGCGATGGCAGCCCAGGCAGCTCCGTCTCGTCATTGTCCATGGCGGCCTGCATCAGAATGCGCAGACAGAGCAGGACGTATTCGCGGCGGCGGTGGAAGCGGATGACGGCCGTCTGGAGCTGCGAGCGGTCGAGCTCCTGCGCCTCTTTCTGCGCGCCCATGAAGAAGGCGGCAGCCTCCAGCTCGTCGAGATCCAGCGCCTCGGCCATCTCGAGCGTCTGCTGCTTGAACTCATCGTTGACCTCGTACTCGTCGTCGCCAATCTTGATCTTGCCTGGACACCTTTGTTAGCATCCTTGGACAGAAGCGATGCCCCATAGTTATGTTTTACCCGCGCTCAGGGCATTTCTGCTCTCGTTGCTCTTGGGCTTCTTGTCCACCAGCGCCTTGAAGTCGTCCAGGTGGGCCTCCAGGTTCTGCAGCAGGCGGTCGAGGGCGGGCAGCCGCTGGTCAATGAGGGCGCAGAGGTCGCGGTGCAGGCCCTCGAGGGCGGACAGGCTGTCGTCTTCAGCCATGGCGGAGTCGAATGGGGTGGCTGCGCATTATGCGCCGGCACAAGGGCGGGTGCGGGGCGGCAGGCAGAGGGCGGATTTGTTGGTGTTGTCGCTGGCACCTGCCGCTCAAAGTTTCCCGAACGCGCCTTCCCAGGAGCTCGGACGCGCTTTCCTCTGATACGAAGCAGATCCCTGCAGCTTGGCGGAAACATTCACCACCTCCGCGAGAGCTCCGCACGCGCTGCAGACGGGCCCAGTGAAGCACGCGGCGCTGTGGCGGCGGCTGTCTGGGGCTGAGGCACGTGAGTCTCCCGCCATATTATTTCTCAATTGTCCTGGAGACGCCGGCCATGCCCTCCCACCCCCACACTGCCACTCCACCTACGAGGCACGGTACACGGGCAGGATGGGGGCGACAAACATTCAGGACGCAAAAGGTGAGTGTCCCCGATGTGCAGCATGCGGCAGTACACTAACGGGCGGCAGTCCTCATCTCGTCCACCAAGGTGACGGACCGCAACGCCGGCCTCAAGGACCTCATCCACATCCTGAAGCACAACCGCGGCAAGCCCGCCCTCGAGATCCTCGGAAACAAGGCATCCCTAGCGCTATGCGAGACCCTCTTCCAATGCATGCGCGACGAGCGCTTGTCCTTCCTCCGCAGCAAGTCCAAGACGACCAAGACCGCCGTCCTCCTCCCGCTCTCAGCCAACGCCCTCCGCCATGTCATAAACTCCGGCGTGCGCACCATCAAGAGCACCACGGTGGAGATGATTGTAGACAGCATAATTGAAGTACTCCCCGGACGAGACGGCAACTTGCTAAAGCCGCTTGTCGAAGATCTGCCGAAAGCACTGCGTGCACTGCTGGAATACCAACCCCATGTAGAGCGCCTCCCCAAGGAGTGCTGGGACGCCACCGTGGATTTTTGTGTCGATTCGCTCTCTACTTTCTTTGCAGAGCCCGAACCCGAACCGCCAAACAGCTGGAGTACGGGTATATCCAGCAGGGCTCGGACGCCGTTTGAGTCTACGGACGGCGCGCCGAGAGCCAGTCCTCGCGATTCGTCATCTCGGACCAAGCAACTCCCCGAAGAGCTTGTTCGTGCTGCTGAGGACTTCGTCCATTGCCTACACCTCCTGGTCAAAGCCTCCAACGCCCCGGTGTCGGACAAGGCCGAGCCTATTCTTACGACATTGCTCCATTTCCTGCAGAGGAAGACGGGTCGTAGCAATGCCGCCGCACTCGCTGCAATCAACTGCGTCTTGCCGCGCACTACATTACACGCAATTCAACTCACGAAAAACGTCGCTCAGGAGCTGCTGCCATTGATGAAGACCATGTGGTCAGATCCCCCGCTAAGAGATGAATTAATGGTTACTTTAATGTATACCGAAGCTCACATCTCCAGCACCCTTACCAGCAGTCGTGATGACACAATTACCTTTGATCTCGAAGCGCTTATTGAGACTATGTACGGGGACTACCGGCGCAGGCAGGAAACAACCGCTCATCAGTATCTCGATGACGACCATCTTTCCTTTCGACAGATTGGTAGAGCCCGCAGTGACACTCATCCGCTTCACACTTGCGCCTTCTCAATGGACACGGAGCATGTTCGTTACGAAGGCCTCTGGGCGACAGTCTCCACCATCGCACGCCTTTCCTTCATGCTAGACGAGAGAAAACGTCGGGTCGCCCACGACCGGGAGGACGGGGAGGAGAGCATGATAAAGCGCCTCCGCATCACTCATCACTTTCAAGAGTATTTACGTCATGTCTCAGAACCGCGTTCCAATGCTAAGCGCGCTGCGTTGCAAGTCCTTGCCTTCATGGTCCAAGAGGGTCCGCTCGATGAAGAGGACCTCCAGTCACTGCTCGAGAAGCTCACATCCTGCATTTCAGACGAGAACCCGGTGCACTCCTCTTGGGCCATGATAGGGTTGGCTACGTAAGCTCTCCTTTATAGTCATCGTGCATAATACTAAGTCGCTGTAGGGCCGCTTTCCAACAAACGTCAAAAGCAGCTTCCCTGCTCCCCTTCTGGATATCTGCTTGGCATAGCGCATCTCGTGCCATCACATCACTCTCCACGTCTCGCACGGCTTGTCATTTGATGGACATGCTCTTGAAGTTGAGAATCGTTCCGTTCTCGGCAGTCTCGGAAGCAGTACAGAACATGTTGTTGTCGATAGAGCTCAGTGGCCCGGCATTACTCGCAGAGACCAGCTCATCCTTGCTAAGCACGCTTATCCACGAGAGGATCACCGAAAATCCAACTCACTACAATCAAAGTGCTGATAGAGTACTTAACTGGCTCCTCAGCAGATGGACTCCAAGTAAGCGCTTTGGCTCCCCCAGACCTATGAAAACTTACTTAAATCCAGGCCTCTGGCTGGAGCGGACCTATGCGGCGCTTAATTCGCATCACTGCAGCGCTCGTGATGTGCTACGAGTGCTTTATGCCTGCCTCGACCGTCCATTCAATCCACTAGATGCAGCGCCTTTCAAGGTCCTTGGCCCGATCGCCCAAGCCCGCATGCGCGTGGCCCCGTACCGGGAACTTGGGCAATACCTGCTTCTCCTTACTGATCAAGACGAGTTCCGGATCGCAATGGATTCAACATCCAACAGCGTTGAGTCTTCATCCTCAACTCGCCACTCAGCTCACCTTGAGAACAGAATAATGGACTTCTGTTTATCTGAGCTGGAAAAGACGCGGCAACGTTGGAAGGAATGGTCACAGCAGAACCCACAGGGTATCACATCCGACATGATGCGGGTTATTACCAACTTCTGCGTTGTGGCTCTAGCCCTGAGTTCCCTGGCCGATGTGGATGGCCATCGCGCCTCTGAGTTGGAGACCGCGGCCGACAGCCTCGTCCAGTCATTTGTGCAAATTCTGACGAGGCACCAGACCGAACAATACAAGGTGGATGCAGTCCTTCAGGTCTGCGCCCAGAGTCTTCCGGACGTTTGTCGCATTGGCCGGTTGTCTCGAGGAGTATTCAAGGAAACAGGCACACTTTTCATCGCCAATCACATGTCAAGAGCCCTAGGAGATAGAAAGGAGATCAAACAGTCCTTCTACGCTGAGGAAGATGATTTCATGGATATCGACGACGGACCAAACTCACAGATGACAGCGGGCGCATCCAGTTCGGATGTCGAAGTACCACGTCACAACATCCAAGCAGCAACCGAGGCTGCGGCGCTACGGACATCTTGCTCGACTTACCTTCACCTCATCTCCTGCATAGCCGACACCACCGACGAGGAGCACGATCAGATCCCTACCGAATTCGTCGAATATTTAGTATCGATTCATGAAGCCGACCTGCTCCGATCGCGGCAGCTAGTCCAGGCGCTGCTGTCCTGTGGCTTCCACCTATCGCGGACTGACTGCTTAAGATTGGTCGAACGCCTAAGTGACAGTCTCATCGATCCACGAGCTCGGGAGTACAACACGTCTGAGGTTGCAAACGGCATGATGCTAGACGTCCTGATCGGCACTACGCTGGTCTGGAGCTTTGATTCCACAGACCGTCAAGCACAAGACCTGTATGAGAACGTCGAAGCCCTATACGTCTATTATGCCAAAGAAATGGAGAAGGGCGGGGTAAGGAGATCTCCAGGGCTTCAGATGTCTGTTGCGAGCTTTCTACATGGACTTCTTAGGCATCATCCGGACTTCGGCCAGAACCGCAAGGTGCCATCAGTGCGAACCAGCCTCTTCGAGCTTCTAGCACAGGGCGAAATGACGGTTAAGTACCATATCGCAGAGCGCTTACCTAGCATTTTCGAAGATTTTGTTCTGTCAGAGCATGACAAGATTCTGCAAGATGTCGACAGCAGTCTCCCTGGCGATTACGAGTGGATCGAGGGTATCGCTGTACGGTTACTCGTGCTATCTAAACTCGCGTCGCAGTGGCATACGCTTCTCCGCCAATGTGTATATAGGATCTTCGCAACGGCAGGCTCAGTCCCGGGCGCAGCTCAACACGCCAGCCGATGCATCTCCCAAGTTGCGGAAGCCAGGCACATGGGAAATCCGCAAAGCTTGTTTCGGCTCTTCGCTCCTCAGATCATCTTCACTTGGCTAGACCGGAAGCGCACCTTTTCCGAGATACCGTACACATCATTTGGCTACACGTCACTTATTGATCTTCTGCGCGACATTGAATCTGAAGCCGTCGGTCAAGCCATCATGCTGGGGCTGAAGGACGAGCTAGACTATCTTGCGAAGCAACTCGGCATGAAGACCGCCGAAGCGCTCGCTAGAAATATGAGCAAGGCCGGTGCCTATACGATCTCCTGGGACACTTGCAGAGGATTCGCCCGTAACAAGTCGGAAGCCAGCAATGCCAATCTGCTCCGCGACCTGGTTGGACAGGAGCAGTATATTCACCTGATCCGCCAGCATTTTCCGCAAGTGCTCGGGTACATATTCCAAACGATCGATCATGAAGAGAAGGTGAATAAGCAGCTCGAGAGGCGACCAGCTTTCAACGGAACAGCCAAAGCGCTCGCAGAAATGAATACTATCAGCCACTCCACCTTGGACCTCAGCATTGGCATAGAGCCCTCGTTCTCGGCATATTATCTTTTCGATCAGCTAGAACGCCTATGCCGTCGAACAGCAGACAATCCTGTTAGCCTCTGGACACCTAGCATTTATGCCTTTGTTATGCGCATGCTTCTCGATCGGATCCATCCGGCTCTTGGCTCACTCTATGCTCGATCCATCATTCGCAAGATCAGGATTCTCGTTGCTCTGGCTGGGCCGGTCGCCTATGAGGGCTACCCTCTCCAAATGACGCTGCAATCGTTGCGACCGTTTCTCACAGACACCCAGTGTGCCGAAGGCACAGTGGGCATAATGCAGTATCTGTTTGAGCACGGAGCCCAGTACTTGCGCGGTCAGCTCGGGTTTGTGGCTGGCATCGGTCTCTCTGTTCTCATCTCCATTCGCGTCTTCCTTGGATCATCGCAAGAGAGTACAACTCAGCAGTCACAGTATACCGCGACCATGAATACAGCGACCAGGTTCCACGCTTGGTTTACCGAGTACCTCAGATCCTATGCTGAAGAACTATCTGGAAACGAACGGAGTTCGTCCATCAAAGCTTTCAAGCTCATTACGATGGCTGCCTCTCAGGTCCGTACCGAAGGTAACTCGGTTCGTGGCAGCGAGGAAAGTAAATTGCTTCTGGAGATCTTAGATGACGTCCGTTCGGGTCGGAAGCTCCTCAACAACACTTCCCGGGAAGTAGCGCTCAATCTGCTTTGCCAGAATTTCCAACCAGCTCTATCAGCACGCGATGATGTACTCGGTTCCGACTCTGAAGCCGCTGATTTCGCGCCCCACGTCTGGGATTCGTGTAAACGAAACAACGTTGGTGACGGCTATCTCCTATGGGCAGCCAGGGTCCTAGGCCGTGCCTTCAGTGCTTACGGTGAAGTAAGGCGCAGCATGGCTCATGATCGTCCGTGGTATTCGCAGAGCCCGGGTCCCAAAGACTCCGTTGGTAAAGCGTCACGGGAAGCCATTGTCAAAGAAGTCATAGATCTGTTCTACAGCGATGACCGTAGCGAAGTCAGCCTCGCGGAAGGAGCAGTTCGACTTGTTATCTCGCGTCTGTCCGACGCCGATACCAGATACGAGGCGGAAATGCAGAAGGCCCTCCCAGCAGCTATTGCGCAAGCGCTAGACTTACCCGTTCCTGCAGATACGGAGCCGAAGCAACCACATCCGACGGAATCGGTGGAGCGCAACGCAGCCCCCACGAACAGCAAGACTGTGTCTGCATGGATTAGGGATCTCGCCGTTTCCCTATGCGAAGTGGCGTCTCGGGATCCGATCCTAGGTGCGCTATCCAAGCTCCTACTAGGGATCAACCATATGGCGGAACGATTGTTCCCATATATCCTTCACCTCGTTCTTCTCGACGAGTTCGACGGCAAACGCACCGTCAGGGAAACCATATCGGAGGCATCGATGGCTTGGTTTTCCGAGCATGACTCCAGCCGGGTTCCGCATGTGCGCATCCTCATACAGGCGATTCTCTACCTTCGCAGCCAGCCGGTTCCGAAAGAGGTCACCAGGGTCGGCCGCGATCGGTGGCTAGAGATTGACTATCTCAAAGCATCGCAAGCAGCAACCGTGTGTGGGATGTATCGAAGCGCTTTACTGTTCGCAGAAACTTCTTCTGGTCAGCCAATTATCAAGCCAAGCTCAAGAAGATCGTCCGTTATGGTCGACCCCCCGAAGCTGCCGATCGACTTGCAACTCTCAATCTACAAGAATCTAGATGAGCCAGATTCATTTTACGGCGTCGACAGAGGAGCCAGTTTGTCGTCAGTGATAGATCGTCTAGATTACGAGAGTAATGGGATCAAGAGCCTGCTCTTCCGTGGTGCGAGGCTGGATAGCCAGATTCGCCGGTCAGATGCGCTAGAGTCATCCGACTCTCGTGGCATGGTAAAGAGTCTCATCACGCTAAACATGAACAGCGTTACGCACTCATTGCTTTCCAGCGACCAGTTTCGCGACATTGGAGATGATGTGGTTGACAACACACTCCATACAGCCCGGAAGCTTGGGCAATGGGATATCAAGGCGCCGGAAACGAATCACACCGAGTCAAGCACGCTGTTCAAGGCATTCCAAGGGTTACATTACGCCACGGACATAACCAGCGCTAGGAGGAATTTCGACCGTCAGCTTCTCGCAACCATGAACTACCTGTCTGGCAGGGATAGTTCTGCCACATCGACGAAGGCACGCTTGCGAACGCTGGCGGCGTTGACCGAAGCCGATGAAGTCATCAGTACCGCTCGCCCAGAATACTTGCTCGATGTCTGGGACCGCATGAAGGGACGAGAGAAGTGGATGCAGGCCGGCGAGTAAGTAGACCCCATCGAGCTGCGGCGTACCCTTTATGGCTAACCTCACTTTAGGTTCGAAGACGTGCGCCAGCTCTTATCGTGCCGCGAGACGCTGTTCAGTGTACTTAGTGCAAACGGTCCCTTACTTGAGTCGTTACATGCCAGGACTGGAACCATTCGTGGCATGGAGGTCGAAGCACTCGTCAACTCGTCCACAATATCCAGAAGACATGACGCGCTGCAGGAGTCTCTTGCGAGCGTCACTTACCTTTCAGACATCGTGCGACCATGCAGATCCGTCGGGCTTGATATCGAGGCTATCGCACAACACGAAGTGGCTAACGTACTTTGGGACCAAGGCGAGGTGGAAACTTCCATTCGCATGCGCCAGCATCTCATTGATCATGCCGACTTCGACTCTCAGAACACGGAAATTAGCTTGCCCGTCTTATTAGCGAAACTAGTAAGCACTCCTGAACATCTACAGTCTTGGATTTGCTAATCATGGTAGGGCCATCACCTTGCCGAGGTCCGGCTAGCGAAACCCGACAGTATCATTCAGGAATATCTTGGGCCAGCCATCCGAGAGCTAAGGGGCCAGACGCAAGGCCCCGGACCAGGCCAGGTTTTTCATGAATTCGCGCTGTTCTGCGACAAGCAACTGCAAAGCCCCGAAGCTGCCGAAGATATGGAGCGCATCAAGACGGTCATGGACCGAAAGCTCCAAGAGTATCACGACTTTGTAAAACTGTCTACCACAGACAAGAGCAAAAGCATGCGCGAGACGTACAAACGGAATGCTCATCGGGCAAAGAACTGGTACAACCTGGACCACGCGGAGTACGAGAGGTTACGCAAAGGCCGTGAACAGTTCTTACGACAGTGCTTGGAGAATTACCTACTCTCATTGCACGCAAGCGATGAGTATAACAACGACGCTCTCCGAGTGTTTGCTCTATGGCTCGAATATTCCGACATGCCTTTGGCGAACGAGGCCGTCAAGCTCAACATCGATCGCGTCCCCAGCGGCAAGTTTGCGCTCTTGATGAACCAACTGTCGTCACGATTACAATACGAAGAAACGGACTTTCAGAAGCTTCTGTTCAAGCTCGTATACCGTATCTGCAAAGACCATCCGTATCACGGCATGCACCAGATCTTCGCCATTCAGACCAAGGTCGGCAACATCTCTAGGGAGGATGTCGTCCGATCCAAGGATGAATCCGCCAAGTCTCGTCAAAAGGTCGCTGGCCACATCGCAGGGTTGCTTGCCAAAGATCAGCGAGCAAGATCGTTTTGGAGCGTTATCTATAGATCGAACGAGATTTACCACACGCTCGCCATGTTCAAAGACGAGAAGGACAATAGGCAGGGCAGAGAGATTCCGCTCGACAGATATAATGAGTCGAAGGCTTTGGTGCAGAAGATTCCGGCGCTGCACGTTCCGCCTGCTACGCTTCAGATCGAAGTTAGAGCGAACATGGACTACAATGACTTGCCTAAGATCCAGAGCTTCAAGTCGAGGATGAGCATTGCGAACGGACTGAGTGCGCCAAAGGTCATCACAGCAATTGGCACGGACGGCAAGCCATACAAGCAATTGGTAGGTAGGACATTGATCCTTACGATTCAACTTGCTAACTATCCCAGTTTAAATCCGGCAACGATGACCTCCGTCAGGACGCAATCATGGAGCAAGTCTTCGACCAGGTTTCCCGCCTCTTAAAGAACCACACCGCGACGCGCCTACGCAACCTCGGCATCCGAACCTACAAAGTCCTCCCTCTATCAACTCGCTCTGGCCTCATGGAATTCGTCCAAGACACCATTCCCCTGCATCAATGGGTCATGCCCGCTCACGAAAAGTACTACCCAAACGACTACAAGCCCGACAGATGCAGAAAAGAGATCGGCGCCTGTCAGCAAGACTCCCTCCAAACGCGCGTCAAAGTCTGGCAGAAAATCGCTGACAATTTTCATCCCGTGCTCCGCTACTTCCTCCTCGAGCGCTTCGAAGACCCTGATGAGTGGTTTGAGCGGCGTCTTGCGTATACGCGCTCCACAGCCGCGATCTCCATCCTTGGCCATGTGCTCGGACTGGGTGATCGCCACTGCCACAACATTTTGCTCGATGAGAAGAGCGGAGAAGTCGTGCACATCGATCTCGGCGTGAGTTTCGAAGCCGGCCGCGTGCTGCCCGTGCCGGAGGTCGTTCCATTCAGACTAACGCGCGACCTCGTCGACGCCATGGGCTACACCAAAACAGAAGGCGTCTTCCGTCGCTGTTGCGAATTCACTATGGACACCCTGCGCGAGGAACGCGAGTCCATCATGACGCTGCTCAATGTGCTTCGCTACGATCCGCTCGTCAATTGGAGCGTCACCCCGACGAAAGCGAAGCGCATGCAGGAGGGGCAAGAGACCAATGCGCAGAATGGTGCTAGAGCGGGGACCGTTGCGCCGGGAGGTACGCCGGCGCCGCCGGGCGCGGGCGTCGTGCCAGACCAGGAAGTACAGGAGAGTAATCGCAAGAGGGAGGAACAGGCAGGGGAGGCGGGCAGGGCGCTTAGTGTGGTGGAGAAGAAGTTGAGCAAGACGTTGAGCACGAAGGCGACGGTCAACGAGCTGATTCAGGCGGCGACGGATGAGCGTAATTTGGCGGTGCTGTATATGGGGTGGGCGAGCTATGCGTAGCGTAGTGCGGCATAGAGAATTTACGAAGGTATAGCTTTCATAGTGAGTCTTTGTCTAGTCCCATGGGTTTAGGGGTTGGGACGGCGTATATAGAAAAAAGAGATGTACTTTGTTTTCAGAACGCATTTGATTTAAGCGTTATGGGCTCGTGACCCATGAGTCTTTAGAAGGAAAGATCTCGCAACTTGTGAGAGGAAGGAGGGAGCGCCTGGTGTCTTTCCAGATTGAGGTTAGCGCACGGGCCAGTCTCGGTACGTCACCTCTCTCTGTCATCCACTCGCCTCCTCCTGGGCACCGTCGCGACTTCGAGTGTTCGTCTCATCTCAGCAACGATGGGTTGGGCCGAGAAGGGAAACCAAGTCCAAGGCAACCCGACGAGAGCGCACTAACAACGATCACCGAACGCGATATGGAGCTCAGCACCAGATTCAAACTGCCTCTTAGAGACAGTGCGACGGGTGAACGGCTTCACCCAAGTTTTGGGGATGGCGGACGGGCGGCGTCGTTGCTGGTGGGGCGGACAAGTATGACTCCTTCCGTTTCTTTGCGAACGGCGACTTCCACCTCCATCGTCACCTCGAGGAGGGCACGCCTTCGATTCTCACCGCATGTTCGCCCGCCCGTCCGCTTTCTCCTCCAACCCTCTCTCATCATTTTTCACCGGTTATCATTCCACCCACCATTCATTGTTAGCACGCCAGAGCAGAACTTTGCGCAACACGACTCTCTCTTCAACATCTCAAATGGGCGACCAGAGCCTCTCGTTCACCGAGGGCGGCAACCGCTACGTAACCTGGCCGACCGATCTGCTGTCCGTTGAACCGCCGCTCGAAAATGGCATCATTGTCATGGTCGTGAAACTCGAGCAGTCGGAAGCAGATGCGCTCACCGAAGCGTCGCTGAACCGCAAATTGGCCGACTGGATCGCCCTCGATGACGTCCTGATCCCCGCCTTCCTGCACAACATCTTGGTTCTTGTGCCGCAACCAACCTACCTCTACAGATCCCTGAAGACAATATGGGGCTTCGACTGTCATCTCCACTTCCGAAAATTCGACTCTGCCGGAATCGTGACCTTGGGGCCGCATCTCAGTGTCATTGGCCGCTTCTGGCAGATATACAGGCTGTGCGATGACACCCAGGACGCTTTTCTTGTGACACTACGGCCTTCCACACATGGACAGAGACTGTAAGTCTTCCAGAGCGAGCGCTTGCTGCAATCTTGATGTTTAGGTTATCACGAATTCTCATTAGCGTGCTGAGCGCTAATGCATGCCAGGTACAAGAATGTGGCACATGATCATGACGGGTCTTGCCTCTCTGTCGCCGTTGCATCCCGGCTAGCATTCCTTGACGAGAAACGCGACCTAGCGAAGTACCGAGTCGCACTGAAAGACGCATTCGACCTGTGCGATACACGGATATCCTTATGCAGCAAAGCAATCTACTCCCTTTACCCGCCCCAGACATCAAGTGCAGCCGCTATCGCACCGCTCATCGGTCGCGGAATTCAGATTCTCGGTAAAACAAAGCTCAGCGCGTTCCTGGCAAGAGAAGAACCGTCCGAGGCTGTTGACTACCAGACAGCCTGGAATCCGCGAGCAGATGGATATCAGAGTCCAGGAGGTAGTAGTAGCGGAAGCGCTGCTGCGGTAGCGGCGTATGACTGGCTCGATATTGGCATTGGAACGGATAGTGAGTCAAAATTGTTGAAGCGGCGTGGCTTGAGAGGGCCAATGCTGATCATTACGCCACAGCGAACGGTAGTATCCGGAGACCAGCTCAATGCAATGGCGTATTCGGTTTGCGCGTAAGCCGTGGCGTCGTTCCGGCGCATGGGATGTTTTCTGTCTTCCCGTGCGTTATCCATCAGCACTGACTATGACATGAGATGACTGAACTGCCTCAGTACATTCGACGTCCCCGGACTTTTCAGCAGAGACTTCGAGAAAATAGTGGCTTTCGTCGCCGAGACTTATGCACGCGAGCTGCTATCCCCGGATATCCAAGTCAGTGCCTGTCATCTTCAACCATAGTTATACGACGTAAGGCTTACGTGTCCAGGGCCTCCCACGGAAGCTCGTCTACTTAACAGACAATATGCCAACGCAGCACACGGAGCAAAAACAGCTGGTCATGAAACTTGTGGATGATCTACGCGAATATCTCGGCGTGGATGCAGTTGCAGTGAGCCTCCAAAAGCTATGGAAAGATTTACCTCCCGCTCAGGTCCACGGGGAATCTCTCCACGACTTTCTCAAGGAGGTAAGCTGCTCTGCCTAGCTGCAAGGACCTTGACTGACGCTTTCAGGTCGGTGGCAGTACCTACCTGTTCGAGTATTACCACAGGTTCGATAAGTTCCGGCGGAAGTACCGTGAAAAATTTGGGAAGGATCCTTTCGTCGGCCATTTCGTCCAATGGCGCTGGTACGTCTACGCCTCGGCTCCCCTGAGCGGATGTGCCTGAGATTCATCCAGCTGACGTCCCGCGTGTAAAGGCAAATAGGGAAACAGTACACCCACGCACAGCACCAAGAAGGTATGCGGAGAATGAATGTCTACGAAGGATGGTGGCGACACCGCATCCTCGAGGTCGGGAAGAAGAACACGCTCGTCGTTATGATGAGCGAGGAAGTGGCGCCGCGGTATCGAGACGATCCTCCACCGTGTGTTTCTCCTACTCGCAATTAGAGTCCCAGTGTAGGACTGACCGAGGAATGCAGAGACTGTCACGTCCAACCAGCGTGGCATCAATGGTGGGTGTCTCCCATCCTTGGAGCTCCGGAAGTCGTGATACCAAGTGAGTCCTACGCCCAGGATCGAGTATGCGAGCTAACGATGCGTCCAAGTTGGTGACATCCCGTACGAGTCCCGCGTCACGCGTCGCACAGAACGTCTGCCAGTCGCCGCGTCACTGCTCTCGGAACCAGGTGATGCCTATCCCTACCCATCCGAGCTTGCATCGGTACTAATAGTGAACACAGAATCTGATCTCCACTTGCTCGAACTGACGCAGGATTTCCTGAGGAAAAAGCGTCGCCCGCTCGTCGTCTCGGCTGGACGCGATATGGGCATGACCAGCCATGCTGGGCAGAGCGCGGTGGTCCCAACCATGCGAACAGGACGTTAGATATCCTTGCGTATGAAATGCGCATCCATGGTATTACTTGGCTATTATAAGACATAGCTATACACACTTTTGCCAGCCCAGTCCAGTCCCATCCAAACGCCTTCCCTGGGGTATTCTCTGCCTGTGCATGCATTCTTCCTCGTCCTGTCGTCTGTTCTCTATTCTGTCTGATCTCAAGCTCCGCCTCTACCTATGCCAACGCGAACCCAGCAACCAATCCCCCCGCAATCGCCCCCACAATCTCCGGATAGTTCGCATGCGCCACGCCCGTACTTTGCTGCAGCGCCGACGCCGTCGACGATGTCCCGCTCGGCGCAGTCGTCGTAGACGCCGCTGCCGCAGACGAATCTGTCACGTCGGTCCCCGAGGACGCGGCCTCCGCAGCGGTGCTGGAAGCTGTAGTCGTCGTCCGCGGCGAGTGGATCGCGGAGTGGATCGCAGAGTGATCGCCGGGGTAGTCGTCGGTAGCGGTGGCGCCGAAGGTGAGCGCGTTGGACGGGTCGAAGACGGGGATTGTGTAGGTCACTGTGGGAGGACGGCGTGTTAGTATGAGTATACGGAGTAGACTAGTCGATTGATTGATTGATTGAGGGGGTATGTAAGGGAAGGGGCAGAAGACGTACTCCCGTCAAACGTCACCGTGACTATTGAATCTGTCGGGCTGGCGTTCAGGGACTGCACGGTGGTCTGGTGGATGGCGCTGTGCTCGCCTGGGTGGTCGTCTGTCTCGTGCGGGTGCGCGAGCGCGAGGCCTACCAGGAGGAGAAGCAGTGTTGTGGTCTTCATCGTGCTGTGAGTAGGTTCGTGCTCTACCGTGGGCCGTAGTGTTTAGCAACGAAGATCAAATGCGCAAGCACCGACGCTTCTTATTAACACGATGCTTCTTTTCTGCGGCGCGCGTCAGCGCGCCCGGTGGCGCCCAGTCATGATGCGCAGCTGGCTGGAAGGAAAGCGAAGGGCGGTTTTTGGGTCAGTTCATCACGAGCCTAGCCCCCCGGGCAATCTGTTTGGGGGTCTCGTGTTCGAAAAGGGGTACGCGCGGTTGTGACGCCCTCGCCTCCTCAGTTAAGAGAGGCGAAGCGAGACGAAAGGAAATGATGCGCTAGATGGGGAAAGCTTGGACAGAGCGCGGTTGAGTTACACTTTGACCTTTCGTGCAGGGAGGCCGATCACCATGGGGAATTAGAGGATGCAGATGCGGGAGATGAGATGAGTGTTTCGGTTCGGTTCGTCAGGGGGAAGGTGGACGGGGATGTGATTCGCCGACGAAGCGCTGCAGGCGCTGAAACGAAGGGGCTTGGCGAAACACGCAAGCGACGACGACGACCGTGCGTCGTGGTCTGAGCCGCAACTTCGAAACAGGATCGTGGAATAGGGTTGCGTGCTGTGGAGTGATGGTTGTGTAATGGAATTTTGTGAGAGGACGCGTGGGAGAAGGGAATGGGGATGAGAGGATCGCGGGGAGGTGGCCAGGGTGGAATGCGTACGTATATGCACACCGTCATCCTGGGCTGCGCCATGACCTGGGCGGTGATGGGATCGGGAGAGGTTTGGGCGGGAGTTGTTGGAAAGTAGGAAGGTAGTAGAGATGTGTGTATCCGGGGGTGAGATTTATGTTGCTGACTGCGAAATGCCGACGCTTAGCTGCCGGGAAAGAGGTGGAGACGTGGAAGCATGCGGTCAATGTTGTCTGAGACATGCTTGACTTGGATGGGGTAGGCGCGAAGATAGTCGCGGACATGTTGGTCTTGCAATGCCAGTATTCCTGGGCATGGATCGAAGGACGACAAGGTTCTATCTATTTCGGCAAGGGAGCTGCTCGTACGCTCTCGTCGCTTGGGATGGGAATTACTTGGAAGCGGTATGAAGAGCTAGGACCTTGATCTTATCTTGTCTTTGAATGTCTTTCGGCTGATTCAAGAGCGGGGAGGCCAGAGTGAAGACATTCAATTGTGCTAGAGCTTTCCAGGATTCTGTCTCTGGTAGCAAACGCCTGACTGTCTCAGAACGGCATGCTGCTTGTTATTTATACCGCCCTGGTAAGACCGCACACCATGCTTCAGGACAGAGGACAACCACTGCTCGACGACTACAATATGGCGGCGAACGCGTTGGCCCTACCAGCGCACGTCGGGACCATCCATGGACAGGGCTTGATTGCCCAGCATGATATTCCGCTAGGAACCCAAATTTTGGAGGAGAATCCGCTGGTGGTTTGCTACACCGGGTTCGACCCATGTTCAATGGGCGCCCAACAATGGTGCAAGCTTCTATAGGCGTGAACGCGGACACCATTCCAACCAGTTGAATAACGCATACCATAGCGCTCCACACGCGGATCCGAACATTTTCGACACGCTTCATGGTGCCATCCATGGTGCCACCGCTGGTACTCCGCGACAAGAAGTCATCCAGCGCTTTGTGCATAATGCTTTCGACTTCCGGTCTGCCAATCACAGGATCTACGTCGTCGTCTATGACAGCGTAAGTCGGATAAACCACTCATGCATCCCCAATGCGTACTTGGAGATTCTATCAGCAAGTGGCAATCCTGCCCACCAGCAAGGTCAGGCTAGGCTCATCGCCAGCCAGCCCATTCGCAACGGGGCGGAGATATTCGTTAATTACATCACGAACGATTGGCTCAATGACGGAGCTACCCGCCGCCAAGTGCTCCAGACTAATTGGGGATTCGCCTGCACTTGCACAGCTTGCCAACCTACGAATCCTCTACAGGTCGGGATGGACGACCAGAGACGAGCGCTTGCGCGGACCCACCAAGCGTCCCTGATCGGAGGGCCTGCTCCCGCGAACGCTACTGAACTGAGCCAACGAATATCTGATCTGGACCACTACATCCGGCTGCTCCGGACACTAGGCAAATTGGACGGTGACCTCTCCCGGGCGTAAGTGGACCCTTCTTCTTTTTCCCTTGTCACTAACGCACCCTGTCTCTCTCTAAGGATGATAATAACCACAATACGCAGATGCATAGAAAAAGCGACTTACACCTTCTCACAGCCAGACTATAGAACAGTAATGTGGTATTTGGGATGTTACGACGCTCACGGAGTGATCAAATGGAAAGCATAGGTTCAAGTAAGACTTCGAGAAAGTTGCCGCCGTACTAGGATGCACTGTCTGAAGATCCACGCCTCACAGCGAGCGTGAACACGGAAGAGTAAGAACATAGCTATTCGACCCTCCATAATGCCTCTTAGAAACACTAATCCTAATAGCTAACACACCAGAACATGATATTTTCCAGCAGGCTTAGCACCCACCCGTACCAGAGCTCGCCGATCCTTCAGTTCCCCCTGATCGAGTGCTTTCCGATTCCATTGCCCGTTTCGAACCGGACAGCAGAACTCATGCATGGCAATGACTAAGCACGAGGCGGCTTGGAGTCTTCAGTTCGATCGGTTGTCCTTTTCTAGGTACAGTGTCAGCCGACGTAAGCGGATTGAGATCCCGCATAGCTTACCGCAATAACCAGTAACTTCTGGCTCTGCCACAGTAACAAGACGTTGACGAGGACATTGGTGACGTTGATAACCAAGTCGCAGATAGCGTCGGGAGAGAGGGCGGACGACATGTTGGCTTTACGAAACGGGCGTAGCAGGCTTTTGTGTGGACTTCTGGGTTTGGGCGGAATTGAGATGTGCGATGCATCCCTTCTAGCTGAGAGATGCGAGTTTATATGCCCGTGCCAGTGGTACTTTTGTCGGGGCGTGAGGAGCGGTCCTTTTGCTCCTCTGTTGCTCCAGTCAGTTCCATACACTTTACCGACGAATGCGTGGGAGGTCATTTTGCTGCTTCCTCGCGATCCTACTCGACCGATCGACCAATCAGGCGGTGGTCCTTTTGCAACTAGACCAGATGTAAGCTACGCCAAGGCTAGGGGGACCAAGAGCGGCGAAGGTGGGGCCCGTCTCGCTCGGTGTCGACCAATCGGATGGCAGGCGCAGATCATCTTGGCGGTCCTTTTGTCAACTTCAGGCTCTCTTGCAGCCTCGTCCACTTCCACCGACAGGCATAAACCCACCCCGTTCGCGAAATGTCGCTCAGCTCTGAAACCTTCATCGCTCACGTTGCTTTGAACTGCCATCATGGGCAAAGACGCTGCCCGGGCACCAGAGCACCCGCCGCATGTGTGGGAAGCTCAACGGCGACGCTTCACTCAGCTGTACAAGGGCGAGAAGAGGAAGTTGGTGGAAGTGCAGAGGATCATGCAGGATGAACATGGCTTCTATGCAACGTAAGTAGCACTGACATATAAGAGCCATTCTCGCTAATGCCACGTCAAGGGAAAGGCAGTACAAGCGAAAGATTAAGCAATGGAACCTTGAGAAGCACGCAAAGGCTGTCGAGAAAAGCCACGCACTGGTGACTTTGAAAGAAATGGATGCCAAACTGGATTTGGGCTGCGTTTACAAGCTCAACGGCAAGAACATAGCTGCTCACAAGCTGCGACGATTTGCGAGATCCCATGGCCTTGAAGCACCCAGGATTGGTAAGGGGTACTCCATCAGCTGGGCCTTGATAAGTTTACTCACTACATGCAGTTCGGAAAAACATGAGCAATAAACGTCGCGCTACCGAATCTCGCTCAAGAGACATAACCACCAGCTTGGCTTTCTTGCTGGACAATGCCCCTGGCAGTAAGGAAGTGCGGTTCGTTGACTTACACGAGCTATTTGCCTCAGTGAGCAACATCTCCAAAAGCAAAGTCTCATGTAGCTAAGGTGCATCTGCAGGTTATATGCTTCCTATGGTTCGAATCGACGGAATCTATCACCTCCCTTTCTCGTCCCTTATCAGCTGAATCAGTTCCCACGAGCGGCTTTCGAGAATGGACGAGGATTGTTCTAAAGACGACACAACTGCCCCCAAATGATGTCATACTAGCCATGCTGTACATTCATCGATTGAAACAGGTCAATCCGAACGTCATCGGTAAACCGGGGAGCGAGTACAGGCTCGCTACTGTAGCTTTGATGCTAGCAAACAAGTGTACGTCTTCGAGACCCTCGGAAACATTCCGTACTGATCGAGCTACTCCTTAGTCCTTGATGACAGTACGTACACGAACAAGACTTGGGCGGATGTCACTGGCATATCAGTCGGAGAGGTGCACATCATGGAAGTCGAGTTTCTCTCGAATATGCGCTACTCGCTTATGGCGTCGTCATTACAGTGGGATTCCTGGAACAAGCAGCTCGGGAAGCTCCAGGAATTCCTTCATCAAACGCCAGCAGAACCCGCTCGAATCCATGAGTCCCCAGATGTTCCCCGGAGCGAGCAGCAAAGAGATCCACCTCGAATAGTCGAGCTTCCTGACGTGCCTCGAAACAACCGACACATGAGAACGTGTCCCATCATCGAACTTCTGGACGGATCTGACGACGATCAGCGGGCAGCCCTACCTGGTTCTACGGAACCAGCGGCAGACACCATACAGCACACCGAGATACCCTATGTTCAGCCAAGTAGTCATCAAAGCGATCTAGACATCGAGATGTCCGCCTCCAACGAGCCCCAGCCTCTTGGGACAAAGCTTGGAGCCGGCTTGGCTACGCGGGATCCTATGGGTCGTCGATCCGAACTGTTACACCCCGTAGAGATAGCCGCATTACATGCCGAGCGACAGACCACGCGCGACCTCCTACCAAGCCCCTCCACATCCCCGAAGGCGTTCCAACTAGCCAGTTTAGACCTAGACCACGACATCCTACCAATGCCCGACGACACCCAAGACATGGACGGCATCATAACAGCACCCAACACCGAAGCTCTCGACTACATAGACGACCCGCTATCGAAATTCCTAGCGTCGTCGCCGCCCTTCCCATTAACCCTGACCATGGAGCTACCGCCGCCCCTGCCAAATCTCGACGACGCCCTCCTCCTCCTCTGGACCGCCCAGGGCTCCGACGAGCTCCAAGAAGGCCCCATTCCGGATCTCGACGATTATCTTGATTTGTCTTTGTGGGAGGAGGGTTGGAGCTCGAATGGGCTGGCCTGGGAGTCGGTGTCGTTGGTGGAGGCTCCCGGCGCGAGCAGGGTATCCGCGGAACGAGGTGCAGAACACGATGGTGGAGATCTGTTGAGAGTCACCGACGCAGACGCTTGCGACGAAGGAGGCTCGATGGAAGTAGACGGCAAGGAAGGTATTCGGTCGGACTAAAGGCTTCGCGTACAGTGCACAAGTGTCATACGCGTGCCGAAAGATGAGTCGACGAAGAATAGGCGAAGAGGATCACAGACGCTTGTTGGTCCGACAGTTTGTTGTAAGGATGGGCGCCGTGCGAAATCGGACAGAGGCTGCTTAGACGCTGGGAGAGCGGCCCTTCTATGTTCTGTGAAACACTAAACGACGAATTATGCGCCTACATGAGTCTCGTGAAAGAGAGAAGGATAAAGAGAAAGCCCTCGCGCTAAGGCTCGCACCCCAATTTCCCAGCAGCCAAAGACTACTCCGTTCGCATTGTAATCAGGAATCCTCCCACCGCTCATATCCGCGCACCTTGAGCCACGAGTGGAGTTAGTTTGCTTTTAAGCTATCGCTTGAGTCAAAGAAAGCATTGATAGAAACGTGCGAGCGAGCGAGGAATTATATGGCATCGACCTTGGAGCAGGGAAAACTCGCGGGTGGAGAGCAACCTTGGAAACGTCGGAATGAAGCCTCGCGCTAATCCTCGTGCGGAAAGACTGCCTCAGGAACCATGAAACACAAGAGGGCAGATCTTGAGACATCCTCAGGCATTAGCGTGACGCTTTCACTCCAGCTAGGCACTCCACCGTGACTGAATTCATTGCCGCATGGAGCCTCGACGCCTGATTTACGGCAGCCGAAATGATGTTGCCTACAGCATGGCAATACTGAATGATTTCCCAAGTCGCGAATGTCTCGCTCGTATGCTTGCAAAAAGGTCAAGCGCCGCAGGATCTTAGAAGAGACTGGATATCGGCGTAAGGCTCGGTCGAAGGTACTACGCCAGGTCGTCAGCGTCGGATACCGTATAGTGCGTGATGCTCTATTGGACTTCGGTGCAGCCATCGCAATGGATTTCCAAGCCTTTGTTGCATACCTTTTACCGAGAGATCTGTGAAATCTCGCAATTTGCATGCTAGCATCGGCCTCGTTGCTAACATGGTTTGCGTCGGTGCTAGCCAACGGCAAAAATGTCTCGGCAGAAGAACAAACAAGGTTTTTATTTGAGCAGCGTGGGAATATTGATCAACTAAGTGGAACAAACGATCCATATGAAAACTAACTAATGTGCGGTACGTAGGCCACCCATGTCGATATCAACGCGTCATGGGGTAAGAAATACAGGGACCGGAAGCTTTCCATGATAAGAAACACTCGTGCCGACAGGTAAAACGGCGCAAATATATATGTGCTCAGTCTTGAAAGTTTATCAGTGGTGCCGAGAACGAGGCTTTCTAAAAGAACGAGTAGAGCACAAACGGAAGGTATAACGGCTACTAGTATGGCTGCTGTCCTCCAAAGCACTTGTTCTGCTGCAGTGGGAAACTCGATGTTCCATGCGAAGAGATGAATTCCCCCAAACAAAGTGGTGGAAAGAATGCTAATGAGTACGATGAGCCGGTCGATGTGCTTTGATTCAAATCGACCTTCGATAACTTGATGCACACAGCTCTGTGGCATGTAATAGTGTCGACTTCGCAGAAAGATGGTGGGCGCAGCTTCGGCAATAGCATTGAATGCTGCGGATGAGATGACGGCGTCCGTGTCGAGGTAGATGGGGACAGCCACATCCTTAGATTTGTTCCATTCTATCATATAGATGATAATGGCACAAGAGGAGAAGGCCAGGGTGCTGAACTCGAGGGCAGAGGAGGGGAGGTGTCCAACATACCGAACGAGGAGCTGAACGATGAGCCAACCAACTTGAATCACCGCTAGTGACCGCACCAGGCCGTCAGTTTTACTCTTGTCTTGGATCTCTTCTAATCGGATACATGGGAGCCTTTGAATCACCCTATGCTCTCTTGCTAGGGCAAGCTGCTTGGAGTCCAAAACCCAAATATTTCCATGTAGCGGCGCGAGATGGTTGGCTTGGGTAGTTCCGGGCTTGTCTGCGGGACGAATGTATTCGGCGGCGAGCCTCATATGTCGATGGAACGGCGTCCATGGAATCTCTCCCAAGCCCTGGAGGTGTAGCCTTTGGCTCTCTTGAAAGTCCCGTAAGAATTTTGGGAAGCCGTCAGATTGCGACGGCGTTCTAGATATATCGTCGGTGTCAACTGCTTCCTCAACATGTTCTGTGAATCTGGCTTCTTTGGGTTCTGATTGCTGATCGTGTTTCTTCGGACCGCCGATAGGTGCCTCAGCAGATATGTGGTCTGTGGATTCATTTCGTCGCCGATCCGATAGCTCATCGTGTTCCGTGAGATCACCGATAGGTGCTTCGGAAGATATATGATCGACGGGCTCGTCTTTCTGCCGGTCCGGCTTGTCTCCCTCACCACGTATCGAGTTTCGTGTCGAGCTGTGTTCCGAGAAGCGTAACGCCACTCCTCCCATGTCTGCTTGAATCGTATGTGTTTTTGACCAGGGGACCCCATCGTCTGCGGCCAGCTTCTGTAGAGTACGGTTGTTTTCGATAGCAGCAAACAGATTCGAGGCACCGATGGCGAGGAGGTATTCTGGGAACATGAGCATGATGCCCATCCAGCTTAACTTTCGTTGCAAGAGATATAGATGTTTGCGGATGATTTGGCGCTTGGACTTTGCTTGGATATCCGGAGGTACTGTTAGGTGCAGAACCGACCAGGTCGAAAGAATGATGATGCTCGTACAGCTCCAGACGATATCCAGCGTCGAACGGATGTTTGGGTTATTGATGAACCCGGCTGGTTCGGTTCGAGGAAAGGTACAGTTTGGCTGAAAGCTGCGCATGATCTCAGTCTTTATGGAAGGATTGTACAAGACAGAGGCAAATTCTTGATGGCACCTGAGAAGCAAGGCTCAGTCCACCACGACCCACTCCATATGTATTGTGCCCCGGGTAACGCCGTGGGGTTGAGCCGCACAACGTAACCCTCCAGCCCGTGGGGCTTGCAGACCCTTTCTTTTGCCTTCTGATAGTGTTGCTGGGGTTAATCTCTATAGGCCAGATGTTTCACCGCGGGGCTATACGATATATGCTGCAGAACGCCACCGTCCTTCAAGTGTCGAGTCGAGATGCAACCACCTTCAACTCATCCCGCTGCCACGTCCATGAGAGGGAACTATTGGTCACGCGAAATGCCTCTTGCACAGTAAGATAACGGAACGTCGGCATCAACGTATCTTAACAGATACTTCCAAAATTCTTGGCAACCGAAGATTTACTTCAAAACTTATTAATAGTAAGTTCCGGACAGCCACGTAACAGGGGAAGGAAGCTTCGATGCCATGTAGCTTTCATCACCACAAAGATACACCACCTTCCCCCGATCCGCGATATGTATACTATGACCCCAAGAGAGCCCAGCCGGAGATGCGGGAGTGCAGAGGGGTAAGCAAATTGGTCATTCAGCCTTCCTAGACCTCGACAAGTAGAGAGTCTGCGGAGATATTGCCTAGACTAAAGGCGCTGTTGACCGAGAAGCTTGTAACGTAACCTCTAGCTCGCAATTCGTCGATCACTGCTTGTGTCACCGTCTTTGCTTGGTGAGAGCCAGTTTCCCAATTCACAGGCTTTTAGTGACGCGGAGATATCCGCACCAAGAGACGGCACAGCTCAGTTTTCATGCCGCTGCTCATTAGTAGTGGTGTACGCTAGTGCACGTGCATGCAGGAGGGCCACAAGGCTGAGGCAGAGGGCGGCAACGGGCGTGAATCATTTGCGCACGACGGCGCCCCCAAATTAACTCTTCCAAGTATATTCCTCCAATTGGTCTGCGGTGCACCGGCAGGTTCCATGCACCCTGCAGTGTAGCGAACAAGGTATCGGTAATCGAGATCATCATTTTAGCTTCCGTTTGCTAAGGGGAGTTCCCGCTCCCCTCCCGCTTGCCTACCTCGGGTAGAAGAGAAAAACATTATTACTCCTTTGACAGCGACATTTCAACTCCAAAATCCCGTGGAAGCTGCAAAATCAGTTTCTGGATGGCGTGCTAGTGCTTGGCACTCAATTCAGACTCGTCTCCATCCATTTCGCCCTCCTTCCTCGATTAGTCGGTACTGCCTTCAGGGACCGGAAGATCCTTCGCCTCTCGCACCGCGATTATGGAGGTAAACACTACCTTCACGATGCCCTCTTCCTCTACCCATGCGGCAGCCATGGCTACTGAGTTTCTAAGCGGAATGGCTGCTCGGTTCATATGTGGAGCTAGTGTCTGGAAAGTTATCCTGACTATGCTCTTGGGGGCCGTCATTTATGACCAATGTGAGTACTTAGCATTTCCATTCCGCCCAGGCACAGAGAGGCGGTATCGATTTTCTCGTCAAGCCCACTATCAGAGAGTGTATCACGAGCATTTTTGGAATGCTATCTAGTGCAGCGCAGCTAAGAGACCTTCGAAAATTTCAATCCGCCATGAGAGAGCGATAACTGACATCCTTCCGCAGACCAATATATTTCCCGCAAAGGATCCATCGCCGGCCCTATGTTCAAAGTACCCTTCATCGGCCCATTCTTGGAATCTGTCGACCCCAAGTTCCGCGAGTATCAGGCGAAGTGGAATAGCGGAGCTTTGAGCTGCGTTTCAGTTTTCCATAAGTATGGACAGAGGACCCCATCTGCGTTATGTCAACATTTTATATCGACAGGAATCTGGCTGACGCTCTGTGTTTCGCTTGGTCCAGATTCGTTGTTATTGCCTCAACCAGGGATATGGCACGCAAGGTTTTCAATGCGCCGGCATTTGTGAAGCCATGCGTTGTTGACGCCGCCTATAAGCTGCTTCGACCGACAAACTGGGTATTCCTCGATGGAAAGGCTCATGTCGACTACCGGAAAGGCCTGAATGGACTGTTCACGAGAAAAGCGTTAGAGATTTATCTCCCCGGCCTAGAGGAGGTGCACTTGAAATACTTCGAGACCTTCCTCAATACCACGAAGCGGAACGGTGGCCCTGTTCCATTCATGCCCCATTTCCGAGAGCTCATGTGTGCTGTATCCTGCCGGACTTTCGTGGGCAGGTACATGCCCGAGGAAACCGTGAAGAAGATCGCGGACGATTATTATAACATCACTGCCGCTCTGGAGCTGGTCAACTTTCCGATCATCGTTCCGTTTACGCGCACTTGGTATGGCAAGAAGTGTGCAGGTATGTAGCTCCTGGTCCCAATTCTAAGGCATTTGCTAATAGTACCCTCTCGCTTGTTTAGATATGGTCCTTGAAGAATTCACTAAATGCGCAGCTAAGGCTAAAATCAACATGCGTGCTGGCGGAAAGGTTGAATGCATTGTAGATGCATGGATAACGAGCATGATGGCTTCAGAAGAATACCGCAAGAAAGTCGCAGATGGCATTGAGGTGCCTCAGCAGGAGAGACCTGACATGCTGATTCGTTGGTTTAGTGACATCGAGATTAGCATGACGGTTTTCACGTTCTTATTCGCCTCCCAAGACGCCTCCAGCAGTGCTTGCACATGGCTCTTCCAGCTCATGGCTGACCGCTCGGAGATCCTTGATAGGGTTCGGGAAGAGAACTTGAGCATTCGTCGTGGAGACCGAGACATGCCCCTGACCTTGGATATGATGGATGACCTGGTTTATACTCGCGCTGTGGTCAAGGAGACTTTGAGGTATCGTCCACCTGTCATCATGGTCCCTTATATTGCGAAGAAGGATTTTCCTATCAGCGAAAATTACACTATCCCAAAAGGTATGTATTTCCCAATGCCGCTTCCGTTATTGTGCATCTTGGGTTCGAAACGTATTGACCTTTGCTCACGTAGGCTCCATGGTCTGTCCGGCCACCTATCCTTCTCTCCACGACCCCGATGCGTACCCTAGCCCCGACACATATGATCCAGATAGATGGATTACCGGAAATGCGGAGGAGCAGGGCAAGAACTGGCTCGTCTTCGGGACTGGGCCACATTACTGCATCGGTCAGAATTATGTTATTCTGAATCTTATGGCTTTGGTAGGGAAAGCTAGTATGAAGCTGAAGTGGACACATCATGCCACCACTGAGAGTGAAGACATCAAACTCTTTGCCACCATCTTCCCTCGAGATGACTGCTTCCTAGCATTTGAGAGGAGGGATTAGAGTGGTAGAAGGGTAATCGCGTCTTGGAAGGGAGGACTTGGTAATAGCTATCATAATCTTGAGGACTTTTCTGGACAAATAGCCCCAAACCCACCCCACTCCTACGCTGATCTCGCGACTCCGTAGCACTTGCCGTTATGACTTCGCGTCCCTGCGCTCCCATTGCAGGCCTACCTAGATGGTTATCCGCTTTCCTCGTCAGCATGCGTATTGTTTCCAATCAGACCACATCATCGTGAAGAGCCATAGACAGAAGCGGCCAAGCAAGAAGTAGAGACAGGCTTCAGGCGGCCTCGACTATTGTGTCGTGGTGAGAAGGAAGCGAAGAATACAAACCGCGGAGCGAACAGGTGATTTGAATCACGATTGAAGTGATGATATTTTCGATCGTGACTGTAGTCGGGGCCAAGGATGGTGCGGCTTTCTGAGCATGGGCGTGTTGCGAGTGTATATGATACTCGGAGTCAGACTTCTGCTAAAAGGGTAAAGCGCAGCAGGGTCCTGGTAAGTCAACAGCGAATGTCCCATTCATACATTTTGCCTTCTGTCGACGCCTCCAAACGCTAGAAGCGCTCCAGTACGCCATGCCAGAAATGCTAAAGAACATCAAAACAACCTTCCATCTTCCCTTCGTGCCAAAAGCCATGCAACACAACAACCTCATCTGGCCCTTCCTCCTTAATAAAACCGAATCCACGGTCCATCAAACGCCTTATTCCACGTAATCTTCGTCTTATCGCCCGTAGGCGCAACCTCAAACCCCTTCGTCTGGCCCGCCGGGCACGAGAACGTAAACGTGCCCCACTGCTTCTCGGCGTCGGCCATGCTCATAGCCTTCATCCTGCCGAGCTGGGTGTCGCGGTAGTTGCTGCCGGGCCCGCTGTGCGTGGCGGGCTGGCTGCTCCTAAAGACATCGAAGAAGGGCGTGTCGAGGATGACATAGTTGCCCTTGTCGGTGAGCTCGAACATGAACTCGCAGGTCTTGCCGTTGGAGGCCCAGGGGAAGTCGAAGGTCATGAGCGTGGAGATGTCGTGGCCAGCGGGCAGCGGCTCGGGCTGGCCGCGCGAGATCAGACCGCTGGAGACGTCGTATTCGATTAGGCCGGCGCCGGTGTTGTGCCAGAGGGAGATCGTTGTGGGGGTTATGGTTTGGCCGATGGGGATCGCGGAGGCGATGCCCAAGATTGAAGTTAGGAGTGCGGCGGTGGTCTTCATGTTGGAGGGTATGCGGAGCTGGTGTGGAGTTTGAATCGAATCCGAAGTATAGTAGGAGCCAAATGACTTATCTAGCTAGATGCTAAGGTGTTGATGTGGAATATTGGGGGATGATGTGAGGATATATATATTAGTGTCGAAGCTGCGAAGGGAAGTGTAACGGTACTCTGGACCTACTTCAGTCACCTAACAATAGCTCACGATACTACATCGTGAGCTGCGCCGGCCTAGCGGTGAGGCTCTCGTGTGGCTGGTGGTTCTTCCGCCTTACCTCTCCTGGATTCCGAGGCATGGCGAGTATCCTGAGTAGATGCAGGGCTGAGAGGCAGTGGCGGTATGCGCAGCAGGGGCAGTGTAGAGATGTAGTTTAGTAGAGGAGTAAGGCACCAATAGGAATGGTGCGCGTGCTCAAAGAGACCGTGAGGTGATGTTCGTGCCAAGCATTGCAGGGTAGGGTGACATCACGGAGTCGGTGTGGATGAGAGCACATTCCACCCAACTTCACATGACGGCTGAAGAATACGAATGGCCCGCATATAGTGTGGCGTCTCTACCGCAGCCATGCTATTGCGCCATCAGCCCTTCACTTTTGCCGCCTTTCACGATAGATTTCGCATGCATCCTTCTGAATCGGCGCGCGATCTAACGTTCTCGGTATCGGCAGTGCAGGCGCTTTGGCGCTGAAAGATATCTGTGTAATATGGCATCTGGTAGTGCATGTTAGCAGCGTTGAGCCGATCCCCTGAAGTTGCAGTTCTTAGTCGGCTTCACCTCGTTATAATGAAGATAGTAGTTAGTAACATCTAAAGTATTCTATAAGAGAGGTAGAAGATAGAATTACCGGACTATGTAATAAAGAAGTAGTAGTACAATTGAAAGCAGTATTGCTAGGAAGTCTCTGCTGTGGCAATCATGCATACGCGCCTTGTATTGGCTATCCTTCCTGCGGCGTATAAGGGAACGCGCTTGCGCCTTTATGCCTGTGATGAATCTGCGGATGAATGGCAAGTCGATTAACGTAGCGATGCCAAAAGCCGTGATCCCGGAGATGGCCATAGAGTTCAGATGTTCTGTCGTGCCGGCCTCAACCAATAAATTTTCTTGGACAGCAGGAAGCTCATCGCTTAGAACAGCATGATGCAATGCAGGATGACGCCGGTAGTGGCTTGGCTCAACGCTTGTCCCAGCCTCTTTGAGCAGAGAGACCGTCTCCGCAGCTCTCCCACTTTCGAGTGCGTAGTGTAGAGCTGTGCGACCCCGTTTATCTCGATACTGGGCACTGTCTCGCTCGCACGAAAGTATGAACTTTACTAGGCCCGTATTTCCCCTTTGCGCGGCGAGGTGCAGCATGCTTCTCCCTTCGGAGTCGACTCCGTGTGATGGAACTTGCCCTTTTGTGTAGTAGGCCTGGAATAATTCGAGCGAAGTCTTACTAGACCATGCCATATAATGAAGCAGTGTCATGCCGCGATTATCGCGGGCCGATACCGTGTTTCATCAGCTGGCGCACGTCCCCACCCGGCGCACAGTTTCTAGAAAATCTTACCCCTCTCTAACTTTATAACTATTAGAGCTATACTAATAAAACTTAATATATAAGCTTTATATAGTATAAACTTTAATATTATAAAATAAAATTTTAAAAAAACTTACTAATTCTAGTTTTATTAGTACTATAATTTTTAAGTACTTTATTAATACTCTTTAAATATTTTAAGAATAAATAGTTAAATCTACTTTTAAAATTAGTTTTATTTAAATTTATAGTTTATAGATAGTATATATAATTTAAAATTTAAGTTAATATACTTTATTATTACGTTAACTATATTAGTAAACTAATAGCTTTTTTTTTAATAAAATTTAACTAGTATTTCTTAAATAACTAAGTAAAAACTTAATATAATTTAATAAAACTTTATATATATATAAGACTATACTATATATATCTACTATTAATTTTATATTATATATTTATTATTACGTAAGCTTAAAATAAGTCTTTTTCTAAAAGTAGCTATTCTTAGAGTTTAAACCTTTTAAGTACTAGTAAACCTTAATAATAAACTATAAAACTTTTAAGATATATTATATACTATAGTATAAAGTCTTTTCTAAAGTTTAGTAGCGTTTAGCTTAGTAATACTAGAGATATTAGCTTAAAGAGTTTCTAAAAAAAAGTCTAGAGATTTCTTCTAGAAATTGATAGATATTACTAATAAATAAACTATATTATCTTTATATTTTATATTATTACTATAATAAAAGCTATATATAAAGTTATACTTACTTTTATAGTCTATCTAATAACTATTTAAAGTAAAAACTTTTACTATAAGTATATTAACTTATATTATAAAATATCTATATAAATATAATATATTAGACTATAAAACTTTATAAACTATTACTTTATAACTAAATAAGTATATAAATAATAGTAAAATCTAATTATAGTTAGAAAAAGATAAGTTACTTAAATAAATTAAAAATTAGATATTTTTAGAATTTTTATTTTAATATCTTTATAACTATATACTTCTAGACTACTAAACTTTAGAAAAGACTTTATACTATAGTATATAATATATCTTAAAAGTTTTATAGTTTATTATTAAGGTTTACTAGTACTTAAAAGGTTTAAACTCTAAGAATAGCTACTTTTAGAAAAAGACTTATTTTAAGCTTACGTAATAATAAATATATAATATAAAATTAATAGTAGATATATATAGTATAGTTATATATATATATAAAGTTTTATTAAATTATATTAAGTTTTTACTTAGTTATTTAAGAAATACTAGTTAAATTTTATTAAAAAAAAGCTATTAGTTTACTAATATAGTTAACGTAATAATAAAGTATATTAACTTAAATTTTAAATTATATATACTATCTATAAACTATAAATTTAAATAAAACTAATTTTAAAAGTAGATTTAACTATTTATTCTTAAAATATTTAAAGAGTATTAATAAAGTACTTAAAAATTATAGTACTAATAAAACTAGAATTAGTAAGTTTTTTTAAAATTTTATTTTATAATATTAAAGTTTATACTATATAAAGCTTATATATTAAGTTTTATTAGTATAGCTCTAATAGTTATAAAGTTAGAGAGGGGTAAGATTTTCTAGAAACTGTGCGCCGGGTGGGGACGTGCGCCAGCTGATGAAACACGGTATCTCCAGTAAAGATCCATGACAGCGTACTATGCGCTCTAATGTGGCGCTATGGAAGGTATGCAGTGGAGTTTGACCGTCAGCGTTTTGGTTGCAGAGATCACCGCCATGCTCGAGAAGGAGTCGGCAAAGGTCGTAGTCCCTGGAGATCGCAATGGCGCAATGTAGTGGGGTTCTAAAGTGCCGCGTAAGCGGAAGTTGCGTCAACAGAGAGGGTCATACAAACTCGGCAAAGTCGTCCATGGCATTTACCCGTGCGCCTTTTTCGATAAGAAAGCGTACTGTTTCCAAGTGACCTTCGGATGCGGCGATCCGAAAACACGTTAGCACGTTTAGGATTGACGCGGCGTGCTGAGAAGTTCACTCACATGGAGCAGCGTTACGCCATTTAGTGAAACATCAAAAGGACTTGCGGATCTGGACTTGAAGGCTCTCTGTATACTAGGAATATCGCCTCGCGATACAAAGTCGAATATGGGTGAGTGCCATGGAATTACGCGAGGGCATGAAAATGTCCAGTGTAAAGAAACGCTGCTGGAACATCCAGCCCGGTAAATTAGGACAAAGACGGCGACTTCAATTCGAAGCGGGCACAAGTGACGCAAGACACTTGTAAATGAGACTCCGTACCCCGAACTAGTCGATATGTCCGAGTCGTTTAGCGGACACTTATCATTGCTTCGTAGAGTAGTGACTGGTCCGCACCATATGCGCATTCCTAAGGCCGGGCCATGGGCCCCTTTCAACTTATGGCTGCGAATAGAGGCATGTTGGGGAGTACACTGGAGATGTAGCCGCGTCGATCTATGGCCCCGATCACCGTCACCCGCATTGGTATGAGCGAGCTTCTCAAGAGCGGCTAGTGTAAATTGAGTGCGGCGACCTATACGACTATAGATTCCGGTCTATTAGCGAATTACATATCAAGGGAAAATTGCAGACTTACATGTTCAGGGCCAACAGGTCTAGTGAGAAGGCGCGATGATACGATTCGACCCGGCTAAGCTGATTCCTCAAGTCCCTTCTTTGATCTCCTAAGGAGAGCCTTATCCGTGTCCATGCCCTTTTCGTCATTCGCCCATGTTGAAGCCGCTCGTTAAACGAATGCGCAAGCTGTTCCATGTGTTGAAGATCGTGCATGCAACCTTCTAGCCGCGCGATGAATTCGGGAGTAAACGACTCTTCGTTTTCCAGCTGTGCAATCATATCAAACGTCGACCGTAGATGTTGGATACACGCTAGATGTTGTTGCAAGTCCTTCGGTGCTTCTGATATTCGCTCCACGGTGCTGTATAGGCCCTCGCACGTCTTCGCTGCAAGCCCGACCACAGCAATGACGCCGGCAGTAACCGAGAGTGGATCCATTGCGCATCAGAGGTATCGACAGCGCGAGGGCGTACCATGCTTTTCAATCATGCGTCCTCTCCAAAAGCGCCCCGAGGCTGCAAAGTCACCGGATCGGGCAGTGTAACCGATACGTGGCACACGCTGATAAGAGGTGCACCACCTGATAATTCTCTCGCAACTGAGGCATAAGACACCGGGATTGCAGCACTTGCACCAGCCTTCCCACTCGTCTTGACCTTGGGCGTCTTGCATATCAGTTATGTCAACCATACAGCGTTCAGAGCCACCTGCTGGAAGCTTCGAGGATCCTCCATATAAGGCGGATGATCCGGTGTACTACTTGAAATACGGTAACGTGAACCTTACACCATTTAATTCCGGCTATTGACTCATTCATCACGGCTCAGGCTCGTGGAACTCGGGAATGGTAATCAAGCCAGACGGCAGCAGCGACCATAGCCCACGTTACCTGGTAAGGCTCTGGTAGCCTGGCGGAGAACACGGAGGCTGACTTTGAATGCTGGTCCGCGACGATGTGACACGCCAGATCCATAAGATTGAGGGCGGCGAGATCAGGAAGCAAGGCTCTACTTGAGCAGCCTTCAGCTTCTGTTGTTTGCCTTATGCTTTACGAGGCAGTTTTTGCCTCAGTCATGATGGCTGCGGGATAATACTGGCCCATTGAGGGTTTCTTCCAATTTTGTACTTAATCGTATGGAGCACCGTGGGGAAACGCTGCTGGAGCGCTGTTTCTCCTAGGTTTTCCACCTTGACACGATTGCGTGGTGGGACCGAAACACTTAAGGCTTCTTCAGCCTCACCTCATAAGCGCCGCGCATGGTGATACAAACCCCGCACCGGTGAGATGCGTGTTGGTTACCTTGCATTCTTATCGGTGCAAAACGCCTACGCACGGGAGAAAAAGCAACCGCGCTTGGCTGCAGCCGCGATTCGGAATAACCACCAAGATCCACAAAGAACTCTTGCTGGACCTTCATTTTCATTGTACTTGGAAAATTGGAAAATGCCCGAATACATCATATCCGTCTTAGGCGGGGTGGTGCAGGACTTGACGACTATTACGGACAGGCTACCGCATGATGGCGAAACGTTCCCAGCTAGTAGATTCACTATGCAGCCTGGCGGGAAGGGTTCAAACTCCGCGGTCGCCATCCACCGGCTCACAAGGCCAAACCCCCGAAACCAGCAGCAATACGACGACACGAAGGACGCGCCAGGCACCAGGGAAAACGACATCAAAGTGCGGATGGTTGGGGTTGTTGGCGACGACAAGTTCGGACCGGCGCTGATCGAGAATTTGGAGAAGTGTGGGGTGAACAAGGATGGGGTGCGCATTATGGAGGGCTACGATACGGCCGTTGCGAACATCCTCGTCGAGTCTGAGTCCGGCGCGAACCGTATTATGCAGTACCCCGGCGCCGCAAGTCATGTGAGCCCAGACGACTTTACGACTGGCGAGAGTCTGGGCGGAGGCGTGGTCCCTCATATGATGGTCGCGCAGCTGGAGCTTCACCGCGACGCAGTGGAACAAGCCATCGAGACGGCGAGCCGTGTGGGCGTCGAGGTTCTGCTAAATCCATCGCCTGCGCATTTTCTCTTTCCGGATATCTACTGCAACGTTTCTCATCTGGTAATGAACGAGACGGAGGCATTTGTGCTGGCAGAACGCAAAGACGAGGATACCACGACTTTCTCCGATTGGACCAGTATCGCGGACTATTTCCATGGCTTGGGTGTCAAGAATGTCGTCATTACCTTAGGGGAGAAGGGGGCATATTATTCAACTAAGAAAGGAGAAAAGATGCAGAATGGATATGCTGAAGCGGAGAAGGAGTGCTATGTTTTTGATACATCTGGTGCGGGGTACGTATTCCCCTTCTGCGGTGTATTCGACCCAGGAGCTGACACAGCATGCGCAGAGATAGCTTCGTCGGTGGGTACGTGTCCCAGTATCTAAAGCAACGGCAGGAAGGAGAGTGGGATATCAAGGTGGCGGTTCAGTACGGATGCAAAGCGGCAGCCCGAGTAATCGAGGAACTAGGCTGTTTAGAGCCGATACCCTGGGCCGATGAGGTCGATATACCTCGCCGCAGGAATACTGGTTGATGAGCAGTGAGTGGTGTTGGCCAGGAAGTCACCGTGAAGAGCCCAAGACAGCGTAATAGTGAAAATATTCCATACAAGGGCAAAGACTCCAGTCTGCACCACCGAATGCCTCTTGCCTAAGCGCCAACAGATGTAGAAGCTACGAAAGCGCTCAAAAGCGAAGACGACGTACCCGATCCGAAACGCCAATGTGTTTTCAGCCCATCGTTTCTCCTCAGCCATATCCCAACTAGTTCCCCCAATGCGCCTAAGGCCGTACATAAGTGTATAATGCGTAGTTACAAGAGGATGATGGAGTGCCACCCAGTTACAGGTTCTCCACACAAAAGAGGGCGTTATAGCGCTTAAAGATATTCAGAGCCTCTAGGGAAGTGGGCCTATCATCCGCTTTCTCCTGCATCATCTCCAGAATTTCGTCTTTCAATAGGTCATCCAACTTGCTGTTGCTCTCAAATCGCTCCAACCACGTTTTGACGCTTGGTAGGCACCACTTGTATATCGGCGAACCCCTCGCATTGCAATAGTCATCCACTGACTTTTCTTGTGTGACTGTGAACATCTCAGAAAAGACGCAACCGAGGGAGAACACGTCAGCCTTTCTTCCACGCTCTTTGAGTGGTTCCACTTCCGGCGCGCGGTACATGACGCTACCATCGATCTTTTCGCTCCGTGAAGCGCTCTCATCCAGCAACGCGAAGTCTTTAGCTAGGCCGAAATCAGAGAGATATGGCGTGTTTTCCTTGATCAGAATATTCCCTGGTTTGATGTCCTGGTGCTTTATCTTGCATTTATGCGCGTAGGCTAGGGCGTCCATCAAGCATCCAAACCAGCGGTTCATGTGCTTGGTTTTCCGCGTGGGGAATTTCTCTTCGGCGCATCTCTTGAGGAAGACTTGCAAATCGCAGTCGGCAACAGGAGTCATGAAGATACTGTACGTTTCGCCGAACTTCGCGTGGAATAGAACGGTCGTGATGTGCATGTGGCGTAACTTCTGCATGATCGCAACCTCCTTCTTCACCTCCTCTTCTCTGCGCCCCGCAGACTTGGAGGGATCGATATGGATGCATTTGCGGGCGTAGAGAGCTCCTGTTGACGCCTCAGCCACTTCGTCTACTTCCGCGTACGAGCCGCAACCAAGGACCCGCTTTGATATGAACCGGACGGGGATTGCTCGGTCAGACCCGCTGTGGGGATGGAGAAGATCTGGAAGCTGGCTTAGGTCTTTGAGGCCTGGCTGGCTCTGCTCTGCCCTCTTCCTCTCGAGGTCTTCCGCGGCTTGCTTGACCATGAGGCTATGGAGTCCTCGCGCTTTCTCAAGCTGCTGGTTCGTCGCATCGATGTGAGGATCCAACATGCTTTCCAGGCTTTCGTGAGACGCTGCGCAAGGTCAATAGGTGGTGGCTGGTATTTTCAAAGCGATGGCGGCATACCTTCAGCAGTTTGTCGCAAATGCGTCAGGGCAACCATTTGCGCCTCGATAAACTGGTCATAGACTTCGCGCAGAGGCTGCTGAACCTTTGTGTCGGCCGGAAATTGCCCGACGACGTCTATTGAGAATTGAGGGAACGACCTGAAGAGCCTAGCCAAGATGTGGACGAGTGGCCGGATGGGTGACCGCCCGGGGTCTGTCTTTAACTTATTGCATCCATACTGTGACGGCTTTTAGCTCCACTGGAACACGGACACGTGGGCTACTCACCTCAATGAGAGCAAATGAAGTGTCCCAAATAAGACCTTCGAGGCCTTCTTCGGATGATAAATGCTGGAGAGCGGATTCGTCAATAGCTTTTGCAAACTGAGCGACGGGGTACACGGATGACACGATGGTAGTGAGGATCTGGGGCGGTTGGTATTCTCTTTCCCTACTGCACAATTTCTCCAGAGCGCTACGGAAAGCGCGGCGGTTGCCGATCCGTCGGAATTTGTAGTCCGGCCCGAATGACTCCCTGACATGTTGTTTCTTCTCGTCCAGCAATGAGAGCCAAGTCCCGTCCGAAGCGCTCCCGGACGGCATCGGAAAAAGCGAGCGAAACGTCGAAACGCAGAGGCCTCGGAAGTACCATAGAAAGGCGCGAGCCAAGGCGACTGGGCCTGACTGACGTTATACGCATCCGTCATTCAATGAAAGACGTCGAGTCGGATGACGAGCGATGAGAAAGAGCATCACCAGGTTCCTGGGTCGCAAATGGTGGGCGGATGGCCTGTGGCGAGAATAAGATCAGGCTGAGCTGCACGGGCTGTCGGGTTGGAGGCAAGGATGCCCGACCTCGAGTGGTCCACAGTGCACCGCTCTCTATGGCCGATCTGCTTGTCGCTGCGTACTGGAATGGGAGAATGGTGAAAGAGACGTTGTCAGGTGGGATCGCGTTGTAAGGCAGCCGGCATGCCGACTTGTTGATCAGCTGGCTAGGATCTCGTACTTGCGCCTCACTCACGTCACGTTTGGGTGGTCCGCGCGACGCCCGTCAGCCTTGCGGGAGTGTCAAGAATATGAATTTATTGCCTTTGTTGAATGGTTTCCCTTTCTCTCGGGTTTCCCTTTCTCTCGGGTTACTTTGCTTGTGTGCCCCACAGACACATGTTTTATGCCCCTCGCGAAGGATTGAGGGAGGCTGGTCGAGCAGGTATAGTCGCACCCGCCGTCGGAATAAACATTGATGGACAGGGATGGGGATATCAACCCGTCCGGTCCGGTCCCGCAATTCACAACTAGCACGACTAGGTATCCGATCGCTCGTTCTTGTCCTCGCTAATGCCTACGCGCGCGAAGAGCCTGTACATTGCGCGGCAAAGGAAACATATTGATCCATACACCACCTGTTGAGTTATGATAAGGAGTTCGACCGGGCTCATCTGCATCTTCCTCAGATAAGGGAAGAATAAGAGCAGGGGACAACATGGAGTACCTATATCTCTATTGTCAACTCTAGAGTGAGCTAGTAAACCTAGACACTCTCCGTGCGCGTCCTTACTGAGTGCACCGGACAACCAACAAGAAATATATGTCTTCCTACCTACCTCTTGAGCCATAACATAAAGGAGGATGCTTGTCATGAATTCGTACATCTTTACATTGCTATCGAGCTAGTAGATGAGAGCCTAGGGCCTCTTATTTGTCGCTTGTCGTAAACTCATCGAGCAAGGTCACGTTGTCGGTCTTGAGCGCCAATGCGCGCGCTTTAGCACCCTGCGCATTCGGCACCTTCACAGCCAGGTCAAAGTAGTTGATGCATGTCATTGTGGCCATGCCGACCGCTACGGTGTGTCGACCATGTTGGCAGACTTCTTCTATCAGCTGATATGCTTCCTTGTCCACGATGTTACCGCTAGCGGGTGCCATCCTGAAGTGCGCCCGCGGACCTGTCCGTAGAGGTAAGCGGCTTGAGTTGCTCCAATGATGCGCTGAATATCCGTTCAGGCGGGCGGGCTGATGAGAATGATCGAAGTTGCTGTCTTAGAAGCTACCCATGCCAGCCGCTTTTGATATACCGATTCGGCGGAGCTAGGGGCCTCTCCCGCACGGCCGAGGGAGCCTCGTTGCACCAGTGCTACACTGTGTAGTTCTTTTTTTATTGAGATAGCGTAGAATTTGCTTACAGTGTCCGCACCATGTAGCGAGGCATGGGGGGCGTGACCAAGATGTCGCCGTATCACTGGGTACGAGAGCAACCGGAGGCATAGAATTGGCTCTTCATAAGGGGACAGACGAGTGACACTGAGATCATCAATACACGCATATGATTGCCAGGCGGCAATTTAGCGATCCTGCGGGGATTAAGACTTTGACTTACATACGCACGTAAAATAGAGCAAGGCGCTCACGAGGAATGGCGCAGAAGTTGATCCGGTGATCAGCAAGATTGGACAAGACGAGATCGGAAACAAGATTGCCTAGGATGGGGTGGTCGTCCTCGAGGGACAACCAAATGGCGCTTGCGGCACACATATTATGTGCGGGAGCCTTTGCCTAGTAGCCGATCCACACCGCCGAGGCAATGCTCACAATACCATGGTGCCCTTAGAGTTCCAGGAGCAGTGGAGACTTTCTTACGTCAAGACCCCGCACCGGCGAAAATATCGTAACACGAGCCATAAGAGTGCTTTCTGACAATGTGGTGTCGGAAGTCGGTGAGTACAGGAGTCTCTGCGGTGCAGCTCCTAAAGAGCCACTGAGAGCGATGGACGGAGTGTCGAGTGGAGCAAGTGGCGAGGAGGCCATCTCATGGAGCATAGCCAATGCAAATCCTATTGAGGAAGAGGCCGCAGGTCGGGCCTCCGAGCAGTTCGAATTTCAGACGGTCAGTATACCGAACAAGTGCTGCCTTTGACCGGGGCCGCGGCCGTTGCCCTGATGGGCGATGCTTTCAGTCGCCAGATAGTAGCCACGGCTTCGCCTGGGAGCCCGATAGAAGGCGAACGAGAAAGTCTTCGTGGGCTTTAAGTTCCGGCGCAGCCTTTCGATCCGAGACCCGAGTGTTATGGCATGGATCTTGTCCTCGTTTTGCCGCGGTATACTTGCACTCCAACCTGTTTTAAGCACAGCGCGAGCATACTGGCCGTGCACCATTACACTGTTTGGTGGAACTGGTCAGCGCATATGCATTAGGCGGCATAGGGCGCTTACTATATTTTACTATACGTAGTATTGCTAGAATTAGTAGTTTATAAAGATGTACGCTTTATATTACTATCTTACAGCCTGTTGCAGTATACATTAGAAACATTAAGCTGATCCCGTGACGCAGAGTTGGAAGCTTCTGGGTCGCAGATAATAACGCTATGAATATTCTCCGATCCTGGACCGACTACCATGTTGCAGCATAGCCTTGCATAATAATGTTCGCTGAGGTTTCCACTCGCCTAGCCTACTCCGTGGCGGCAACTAAATCTTCGATCCAACTATCCGCTCCAGTTCGAGAACAGCGTTTTCAGACGTGAACGCTCATCGAGCCCTGAGAAGATAGAGTCGATTGCTCTTTCGGCTAAGGATTTCAGTTGGCTCCGATCCAGGTCGAAATGTGTAGCAGCGAGATAGTACTCCTGGGATAGGGGGCTGCAGAAAACTCCAACGTCATCGGTCTGACAACTATCAGTCATAAGGTTGCAGGTTATGTGAGGGTAGCGCACGCATAGGGCTAACGGGACATGACTGTGTCTCCACTCGCCAAAGTGATGGTCCGAGAAAGTCCCAGTAATAAGCTTAGCATGAACATTGCAGCTGAGGCACAGCTCCACGCCAATACACTCCCTCTCGATCCGTTCTCGAAACTTGTTCTTTACGTGGATGACGTGACCAAGGCGGTCTGGGGCCCATGAGAGAAGCGTTTCCAGCTCCTGGTCTGTGGCTGACGCTTCTGTCTCCGCGAAGTGAAGCGTAATCTTGAGACCGGCGGCCTTTGCCCTTCCGAAGGCATTTGTGAATACGCGGACATCTCCTTTGGCGGGGTTACCGCAAAGGTCGACGCCAACCACGCCTGCGGATCGATGCTTGAGGGCAAGATCCACGACCTCTTCGGCTTCGGCTGCCGTATTGCGTCGGTCTACCGAAAGGATCAGGAACGCTCTCATGGTGTTCTCTTCACCTTCATTGTGCGCCATGAGAAGCTCGGCGATAGTTCGGACATAGTCATCCTTCGAAACGTTCTGCTCTGGGATTGCCCTGGGGGTTGTCCGAAGCTCCAGATAAGCCACTCCATCGGTCTGGAAGTCGCAGAGTACTGCTTTGGTGGAGAATCTGAGCCTCGTCAACATGTCACTGGCGGCTGTCGCGGGGCCTGAGACATACTCTATGCTGGGGAGGTCGTTGCATAGCCTGTAGATGTAGGACGAGAACAAGGGGAAGAAGCTGGCTCGCTGTTAGCCGTTTGCCAGGCCAAGTGATGCCTTGGTTCGGATTTCAAAACGTTGGATATCGCTAGGACCACTGTATAAGCAGGCACACCCATGGAGCGATCGGAGAATTTGCACCGGGGAAGACTTCAACCGTGCATGTACTACCACTGATGCATGTCTGACCCGAGCCCGAGAGCTGGAAAACTCAAATGTCTGACAAAGGATCACGTCTCCCTACGTTTTGATGTCATAGTCGACCTTTTCAGGAGGGATGGCGACGAGGGGATCCGCCAGATGCAGCGCAGGATCCTCGGCCGTCTTCCGCTCCCAGATATGGTGCAGACACGAGCGGCTGATGCTGCCGGTGAGGTGGGCATGGAGCTGGGGGTGGGTTCGGATTAGCAATGCCGTTCGCGGAAGTGACTGGAGTCCATGCGCTCTTGGCGGCTGGCGAGCAAACAGCTGGAGGAGGCTGGACGGAGAGCACGATACCTCGACTTTCGGCAGACGGCGGGCGTAGTCGATGTCGACGGACGCAGCGTCGGCGGGCATGGTTTCAAACGGCAGAGAGTGGCATCAGAGTCGGCGCGATGGGCGCGGCGACGGGCGGACGGTGCCAATCTGCCGCGGGCCAATGGCGTGCGCGCGAGCGGCTTCTCGAACCCCTTCGCGCGCTAGCCGAAAGAGGACGAGCGCGGCGCTGCAGGAGATTACAGACTGACGAAGAAGGCGCGAGCAGCTGGAGACGCACACGGCACACGCCCGCAGCCTCACCAGCGCTCCTCTGCCTCTCGCTGTTGCAGCGCGCTTCTCACAGCCCGTCCCGCGTAACGCTGTCCCTCCCCCGCGTCTTTCATTGTCGTGGCATCGGCGTCCCGAACAACGCCCAAGCCGCTCTCCGCTTGACGCTTCTCGGCTAGCCAAGCTCACCCCAGGCGCCCGGCCCCGTACCTCGCTCGTCTCCCAGCACAACGCCGCCGCAAGCACTCTCGCTCCTCCAGACGCTCTCCTCCGCTGCCCACGTCGCCTCTCTGCGCGAGCAATTGCTGCTGCTCTGCGCGCCCCCGTCGCCATTGCTGCCCCCTCGCCGCCCCTCCGTCGGCCAGCTGCGTGTCGGTGCCCGGGCTGATTGCGCGCTGCTGCGAGGCCCCCTGGATCCAGAGCCTGCCTCTCCCCTTCGCATCCGCCGCCACGACGCCCTCTCATCCTGCGCCCGTTGACACCGGAGCATGGCAGACATGAGTGCCGAATCTATCCAGCAGAAGATCCAGATCGCCCGCCGCGATGCGGAGGCGCTCAAGGACAGGATAAAACGCAAGAAGGACGAGCTTGCTGACACAACCCGTACGTCCTGCCCGTCCCGTCCTCGCCGCACCCCACGCCCCCAGAGCCTCTGTCGCTAACGTGCAGCATCTAGTCCGCGATGTCGCGAAGCAGCGGGTGGAGGCGCTGCCTCGCCTGACGATGAAGACGAAGCGCACCCTCAAGGGCCATCTGGCAAAGATCTATGCCATGCACTGGTCCACGGACCGACGACATCTCGTCTCGGCCTCCCAGGACGGCAAGCTGATCATCTGGGACGCATACACTACCAACAAGGTTCACGCCATTCCGCTCCGATCATCGTGGGTCATGACCTGCGCATACTCGCCGTCGGGAAACTACGTGGCGTGCGGCGGCCTGGACAACATCTGCTCCATCTACAACCTCTCGGCGCGGGAAGGCCCCACCCGCGTTGCGCGGGAGCTGTCCGGCCACTCGGGATACCTGAGTTGCTGCCGCTTCATCAGCGACAAGCGTATCCTCACCTCATCGGGCGACATGACCTGCGTGCTTTGGGACCTGGAAACCGGCTCCAAGGTGCACGAGTTCGCCGACCATCTGGGAGACGTGATGAGCTTGAGCATAAACCCTCTCGACCACAACCAGTTCGTGTCCGGAGCCTGTGATGCTTTCGCGAAGCTGTGGGACATCCGCCAGCAGAAGTGTGTCCAGACCTTTGCCGCCCACGACTCTGACATCAACGCCATCCAATTCTTCCCCAACGGCAACGCCTTCGGTACCGGTTCCGACGACGCGTCCTGCCGTCTGTTCGATATCCGTGCCGATCGCGAGCTGCAGGCGTACACTGTGGGTTTGCCCCGATCATCAATTTTGCCTGTTTGCTTTGTGGATTACTGACTAATTTCCGTGTATAGATCCCCGAGCCTGTCTGCGGCATCACCTCCGTGGCCTTCTCCGTGTCCGGCCGTCTGCTGTTTGCAGGTTACGATGACTTCGAGTGCAAGGTGAGCCTCCTACAACCAAAGCCGGTGTGATGCAGGATTGACGATGTTTAGGTCTGGGACGTCCTCCGAGGCGAGCGCGTAGGCACATTGCAAGGGCACGACAACCGGGTCAGCTGTCTCGGTGTGAGTAATGACGCACTAAGTCTCTGCACTGGTTCATGGGACTCCATGGTACGTTTGATGTTCGCCTATATCATGTCACATATAGCTGACTTGGCGCAGTTGCGCATCTGGGCATAATCCACGCAGCCTCCCGATCAAATGCGACAACATGAGATGATGCAGATCTGAACGAACGATGGCGTGGGCGAACTTCCTTTAATTTCTGGCCAAAACTACGACAAAACATTGCCTGCTTTTCTCACCCCATACCCACTCGACACCTCACGCGTCTTCCGGCGTAGCTGAGCGGCGCGGCCTCGCTTCGACATAATACTCACCATTTTTCTTGGGAAACGATACGGCCATTGTGTCATTTGGCGGACCTGAGGCGCTCGGAATCTTTTTCGTTAGTATTCTCCTTCTCATACCATCCCCTTTCATTCTCCTTTTCGACAAGGCGGGCTTTCCTCGTCTCTGTCTTGCTTTCGGGCTGGCTGTTTCCGCGTACATGCGTAGTGCCTCCGCTTGTTGCTATTCCCCCTTCCCACATCGTGCCACACACATGCCATCCACCTTTCCCCCAATGTCGTTTGTCGCTGGTCAGCCATTAAAAGCACGACCGTCTTGCTTTGGAGAAGATTGTGGCGCGCAAGACGGGTCTCTGTATGTTTTCGGATTTATGGAAACGGGGCGGTTGGCGGGTTTCGCGTTGAAGGTGGCCCAGGTGCGAAGGGTGAGAAATTTCCTGTATGATTCCGGGGTGGTGCGATTCCATTCAGACATGCGAAAGCAGTGAGAGTATTAGTCACCATACCTCTTTATTCGTTTATGACGACCGACCCTGGCCTGCTGCTTTTGCTGTTGCTGTGCATGAAGTCCCTTTTTCGTGTCCGTGATCGTGTGTGCCGGGTGTTCCCATGAGAAAGGAGTTCTCGTTTGGGCTTAGACTGATAGCTCCTCGTTTCTGGAAGGGGGTGCCTGGGCATCCCATCCCTAAATATCCCGAGGCTCGTTCGCAGAAGGGGGTCCGACTCGTAATCTGCAATAGCAAGGCCATCCCTCGTTATATTATATTCGCCTGTGTCGTATTCCGAGGCCAGAAGTGTACAGGTGCTACAGAGTGCTCGCCCTTCGTGGTACCGGGAGCGTGGGCTGGAAGTTCTTCGGGACCAAAGGATGTTTGACATGTGAAGGCAGCTGCAGTGGCAGCGGGAGGAGAAAACGGGCGACCCTCCTAGACCTTCGAACAGGCTGCGCAATTTAGGATCTAGATCAGTCTGTCTCATCATTGAGATGTGGGAAGCTTAGAGATCTAACGGTAAGCTAGCATCGAACCATGGGTGAGTGAGATTAGGGACTCGCGCTGGCCGTTAAAGGTAGACTAGATAGACTAGAGCCGGGCGGCCTTGCATGGGAGAGTTGTATCGGGCGAAGTCGCGTCTGCTTTGGGACGGACGGTGGCCGCAGTGTGGGCGAGAGCGTAAGGCGTCTCTCAGCAATTGGTACGTATTGGTCTGGTCAAGGACAGGTCAGGTCAGGTCATTTCAGGCCAGCGAGGACTCGCAAACCGAGTCTACTAGCTGGTCTGGGCCAGCTCCTTCGTTCGTTCGTGTACCTTCCCAAAGCGCACCCAGCACCCCCTACCCGGCGAGCAGAAAGCAGTTCGTACCTACACAGTGGTAGACCTCGGGACCGACCCCTTAAAAGGAGGCAGCACGTTCGATCGTTCGAACGCATTGGGCGGGTATATGTAAAATTGGACGTAGGAATGGCCATTACGCACCACCTGCACTTCCTCACTTACGAGGCTACCTACCTATGTCGGAGGTACGTACGTCAAGGGTTCCGCAACCGCAGTCGGAGACAGCCGGGGCGTGAACGCATGCATGCACGTGGCTTATATTAACCCCATCCCATCCCCAGGTGTGCTCCGTGCTCCCTATTTTTATTGCTGCAGCAAATTCAGCGACGAACCAAGGAGATTCGCGAGCAGCGATGGGCCGACGCAGGAGGCTTCTAGAAAAATTTCAGAAGCGCTGGTGGCTGCCGCCGCCCGGGATGTGGTGCATTCGCAAGCAAGCCCCCTTTTCTCAGCGTGCTTAAACGGGCGGCGGCCTGGCCGAAGAGGGAGATGAGCCAGCGCGCCGCATGAAAGTGCTGCCCCAGGACGGCGTTCCGACATGGAAGGCAGGACGGCGCTCCGAGGCCGCATAACCATCGTCTCTGCTTTGGCTCTAACACGTCTGGAGTTGCTGCGCTGGCCAGTTCACACGCCAGCGCGATGAGGTCGGCCGGTGCTCGCGGGCGTTGCAGAGTCGGTTTCAAAAGCGCGCACGCGGCGGACAGCACAGCGTGGCCAGGGCCCCGACGGCGCCAGTCAGCAGCGCGATTGGACGGAAGCCGGCATAAACAGGCGATTCTGTGGCGCCTGTGTTTCGCGGGCGAGGGCCTGTTTCAGGCGCGGTCTGGCGGTGTCGCTGCTCGCCAATCTCGACGATCCCAGGAGCCTCGTCGCGTGGTCAGCTCAGCCCTAAGCCCGCCGCCCGAGGGCCAGTCCCTGCACGCGCTGCAGCATGCCCATACACACGCGCTGCTGGCCTGCCTGACGCTTCCGAATCCTTCCTTTTCTTCAAGCCTTCCAACTGCCCGGCGCCCAATTGCAGCGCGCAAGCCGGGGTGCGAGGCAGAAATAGGCATCCCTGCGCCCGCCAAGCCGTGTTGTCATCCTGGACCTTCCCACGCGCGAGCGCTGCTCTTCCCCAGCACATCCGCCGCCAGCCCTGGACGTGTCACATACAAATACCGGACGGCCCTCCCGACTGAGGCCTCCTTCTTTTCCGCCATGACATCTTCTGCCGCCCAAGACGAATTCAACGAGCTCTTCCGCGACAGGGACCGAGACACCAGACACCCCGAAGACAGAGCCCACGACAGCGACCGCTCTGAGCCCGAGCCCGAGCCTGAACACTACCCCGAGAAGGGCGACACCGACGACGAGCTTGACGCGCCAAAAGACATGCGTTCCAACTACTACCTGCCCTCGATCCGGTCCGAGGCCAACACCGGCCCCAAGGGCGTCATTGCGGACGCCCATGCCTTCGAGCAAGCAAAGAAGCAGGCACGGCGCTTCACCTGGAGGAAGACGTCGCCGCCCAACTCATACACAGTCACCGCGTACCACGACGAGAAGCAGGCATCAGACGAAGATGGCGAGGACAGCTTCATGAAGCGATGGCGGGAGGCACGGCTGCAGGAGCTCCAGAACGCCGGCCAGCGGATACGATCGCGGACCACGAGCCCCAGCCGGCGGATATACGGCAACATGCCCATGGTGGACGGCGAGGGCTATCTCGAGGCCATTGAGAAGGTGGCGCGGGACACAACCGTCGTGGTCTTCATCTACGACGACATGGTACGTACACACACGTCACAGCCACTGTACCCACTCACTAACGCCGTCACGCAGTCCGAGATCTCCAACATGGTCGAAGCCTGCATGCGTGACGTCGCAAAGCGGAACGAGACAACCCGCTTCGTCAAGCTGCACTACGAGGACGCTGAGATGGAAGTCGCCGGCGTGCCTGCCGTGCTCGCATACAAGAACGCCGAGAAGTTCGCCGGCCTCGTTCCGCTCATGGACGAGCTGCCAGAGGACTCCGAACTGAGCGCCGTTAGCCTCGAGACGTGCTTTAGGCGGTGAGTTTGGCCCTACTGCCCTACTGTACTAGCGTCGCGCACCCAACCTGGGTTGCACCGCGTACAAGCCTGAAACCGAACGTCAGCTGACTAAGTCGTCGCAGGCATCGCATTCTAAATTAGTCCGCCTTGCTGCTGCAGCCGCAGCTGCGCATACATATTGTGCTCGCTTGTTTCTCCACAGCCTCGTCGTTAGGGTGCCTGCTCGTCGGGTTCCGTACGACAAGCAGTTTATCGGCTCCGAGTGTGTTTCGGCCCGTCGCTGCAAAAGTCCGATCCTGTCCTCATCATCTCCACACCACACCAAATCCGAATCCGCGAAACACTCATCTACGGACTGCGATCCAGCCATCCGCACCTACGCAGCATTGCTTTGCCATGATCATCATCGACATCATCTTCCTGTTTCATATTTCATATTTCTTTTAGTTCGGCCGGTGCATCATCATCTCAATGTTACTGTATAGACTCGCACCTCTCGGGAGGAACTCTTTATCACCTGTCGTTTCAGCGCGGACACATTGGCGCAAGTCCGGCGTTTTGACCTTGGCATTATGAAGGGATATGCCTGCCTGCCTTGGCCGCGGTCGAATGGGTCTTGTTTGTCTATCGGGCGGCACAAAATGTTTCTACTGTGCATACCTACCTATGATAATACCCCCTCTCTCCCTCCCAGTATGTATGTCAAGTTGCGGTCGTCGTTCATGTGGAACGATGCGATTTTGATTGAGAACGTCTTTATGGTGCGATGTGCGTCTACGTCTATGTATGTGGTACTGGTGTCTGGTGGGTTGGGGTAATGTGTAATTGGTTGTCTCTCTCTTATCCCTTGGGTGTTCATTCCTGCAAGCATGCACGCTCTCACAAGTGCTCGACCCGATCGTTCTCACATCGAACCAATCGCGCCTCCTAATAGATTTCTGGATCTCCATGCCAACAGCACTAGCAGCATGGCTCCTTCCTCCCCACGATGCCATGATCCCTTCCTTCCACCCGTACATACTCACTACGCCCACGCCCCGCCCCGTACGCGCGTCACACTCCAGGGCTGTACTCTCACGAACACTCAATCGGTCCGACCACTCGACTCGACTCCACTCCCCTCGTTTCAATTTGTTTCGTTTCGTTTCAAGTGCCGCTGGGAATCCTGGGTGGGCTGGCTAGCTGATGTACGCTCCCCCGCTTCCCGCAGGAGGATCCTTGGGACGGGCTGAGGGAAGGGTGGGTTTGGTTAGGATGGGAGGGGAGGGGAGGGGGACACGTGCTGGGTTGGGGATGAGGTGAGGTGAGGTGAGATGCTTGGTTTGGTATTGTGGGCTGGAGGACAGTGTAGGGGTCGGACGGTGTAGGGATGGGGTGAGGTGGGAGAGAAGAGCAGTTGAGGGGGAGTTGAGGGGAATGGTGGAGAGATGGTGTGTTTCATGAGGAGGGGAGATACTTACTAGACGCTAGGTGGCACTCACAGCGTGGAATTCTCCGGATCGAAAACGGCGTGCGCAACAGCTACCCTAGCGGCCTTCGCGGGTGCGTACAATGGACGAGCTAATGCTACGTACTTGTACGGCGAGCCCTTGGATGCGGAGAATTCCCTACCGCAACGCAAGGGGGTGGATGGGCAGGATGGATGGATGGATGGGATGACTGTGGGCATCGCATCGCGTCGCATCGCCTCCTTCCGTATCTATTACTGGCAAGCTGCTTATCGATACGCAGTGCAGTGCAGTGAACAGTAACCCTAACGCTAACGCTATGTTTCAATCCCCCAAAAGCGCTGTGGCTGCGCGGCCACCTCTGCATCTGAATTCGGACTTTGGGCTCTGCATTCTCTGCTCTGCATGCATACACGCGCATGTGCGGTGTGGTCAGTCTAATTCTGATATCAGCACCGCCGTCACCACGTTTCAGGCTCGCTTACACGAGGCCGGGCGTTCTACGGTGCATGGGTACCACGAGGGCTGCTGGGGGCGGATGCGGACGCTATACATACATATGCGGGTCAGCCGCAGTTGGCGGGTCGGTAAGTCGGTAGTTAGGTGGATGGATGGAGGTGGAACGAGGATGACACGAGATGCGTTGGGGCGGTGGTGGTTGCGGTACGCTACGGCGTATGTGAGATTTTGGCGCTGGATGGACTGGGCGGGCACGTGGTGGGCCTGTAGGATTGAGGTGTGGGGAAGGGAAGGGAAGGGAGGGTAGATATTAGTGCGGTAGTATCAATATTGCTGTACGTGCGGTGTTATGTGGTGGAGGATCGCGTTGGGACAGTCGTGCACAGCCTCATGTTCCATGACTTCATAGAAACCAACGAGCCAACAGACGGATAGATTGGATCGTCGTTGTTGGGGCGTTGGTCGATCAAACAAAGCAACAGTGATCGACTCTTACGTACGGTGGGCTCTACGTTTCAAAGTGGAGTTGGAGATGCAGAAGCAATGATTCATCACTACGGTAGTACATCAACATGTCTGTTCGCCGCGGGCGTCGATCAATCAGCATTAGCATCAGAGGATCTGTCTGAACGCATGTTCTCTCGACCTAGATTTTGCAAAACTCGTGTTTTATTACTGCCTAGCAAACATCCTACATATCTGCATTTATTGAAATCAGCGACGGTCGCTATTCGTCTAGCTAAATTTCTCTTCGAGACTTAAAGGAAAGAATTTATTGATTGATTTTTGGGGTGGATTTGTTTGGGTCGATTCGTGCATGGATCCGGGGGTGGGTTGACGCAGTGAACTCCCTCATGGAGAATACTGGCTACCAACATTAGTTCAGCCATTTCCCTTCGAAGAATGTCACATGTGTCGGCGAAGGTCGGTTCCGCGAGAGCGGGCATTGCTGTATGTAGTATATGCAGAGACAAATCCAACATAGATTAAAGACCGTCCTAGAAGATGTGCCAGGCCAGGAACCGTACGCAATCGCATCTCCACCGTGCAGCCGCTCTCCCTCAAAGACGCCGGACAGCATTAGATATAATTTAGCCTTCGCCAAATATCGCTCTTTGGATCCTCCAATCTCTCATTCCCGCCGTACAATCTCGAATAGAAGGCAAATATGCACCCAAAAGCGTCAGGGTATCCAACACAAAAGCCTCTTCACTTCGGTTCAATCTGCTCTCCCACCCCATCTGCACCCTCTTTCTCGCCCCGCAGCAGCCCGCTAGCCCTGAGCTGCTCGATGCGGTCGGCCCCCCTCCTCCGGCACCTCCCGTTGACGCTCTGCCAGAAGAAGCCGAAGACTACGGAGCAGACGAGCATGAAGCCTATTAGCAGTTAGCCCGCGGCCTTGCTAAAAGAAGAAAAGAGTGGGTGGATGGGTAGTACGAGAGAGTACATACCGAGGAAGCAGAACATGACGCCAATATCATGCCACGTCCATGGCTCATCCTTTCCTGCCATTTCTGCTCGAGTCTTGGTCCGCATCTCGAAGAATAGTCTTCTCGGTTGCTTGGGGATGCTCCTTGACTAATCTTGGGGCCTCGCGGTTCAAGAAATGCTAAGCCGCTCGAAATTCTTTGCGAAAGGCTTGTCGCGCGCTCAGAGGAGTTGTGTCAAGAGACTTGGTCGTTCTTGGGCGCCTTGGTGTGGAGTCGTGGTTCTTTAACGGGTTGGCTGGGCCAACGACGTTATAAGGCGTTCCGTTGTGGTGGGCTAAGCGGGGCTAACCCGATGAGGGAATGACGGGCCGGGAGGGCTTGGCGGAGAATGTCATGTGTCCTGGATGTCGGATCGCTATTCCAAGTCTAGCCGCTTTGTATCAGCGTAGAACTTGCGCTCAGTGAACAAGGAACCGGCGAGTTTTGGTGGTGACAGAGAAACCAATGCCCGTGCGGAATAGGACGTGAAGCAAAGGATTTCGGCACTTGGATTTGGCAGGCGAAAGGAATCGCTTGCCACATCTACGGTATGGAGGTGTTTTTCTTCATACCCAGATACGAGGAAATACTCCGCCGGTTCCTCATACTAGGGTGATGTGTGCCAATTTCCAACCTTCCCACTGCGCAAAGACCCACTCGCCAGTCTCTATCAGCGGCTCCTCCGGCTCTTTCCGGGGTTCGATGATTCCGATTTCCCACATTCCGACACGCTTCCAGGCATTTTGATCCGAACAGGGAGTCAAAGCTAGACCTTGGATGACACAGCGATGAGGCTCTACGCTGTCGTGCAGATGGTGCCAAAACAATACAATGCAGGCTAGTGTAACGCTGATAGAGTCTCCCTGCTTGCAGCCAACCATAGTGCCAGTTCCATCGTGCCAATACGTGGTGGACTGAATTTTTAAGGGAGCATTCGGGGAAAATCGAGTTGAATCCAATGCAAGCCCACCGCCATCCAACCGATCAAGGTGCGTGGTAAGGGTCATAGCTTCAAGCGTGAGGTGTAGCCCGGTAAAATCGTAGAAGCTGCTCGCAGGAATCTCGTTTTCTAGTTGCTTGTTCCACCCAAATGAGAGCAGTTTAGTCCATAGGAGAACGCTGGCGGCTGTGTCGTAAACGGTGGATACTCCGAGAGGAGTGTAAAAACGGGACGTGGGTATGGAAAACCATGACCAGCTGGGCGTTGCAGTTCCGGTCTGGGGTTCCAACTCATCGCGGTTTTCGGTCGCGGTCTGAGGCATGGTTGGAGAAGTGGGGCGCTCCGGTTTAATAGCCCAAAGAAGCAAAGGCTGTATGCCCTCCTTCCACATCCCAGCGAGATATGTGAGTCCATAGAGGTTGTTGACGGCTCGCGCAATCCCAGCGAACGCCATGATTCTGTCGCTCTCCTTGGTCAACTTTCTGCGTCGGTAGTTGTCGATCAATCTTTCCCATATCCGGAGAAATCCAATTTGCCCGCACCTGAGTGAACTTTTGGGAATTTTAGGAATTCTTCTCAGCGTTCCAATATGCCCATGATCTCGAACTAGAGCATGCTTAAGCCCCAGACCCTCCCCGTAAAGGCTGAATTCCCCGTGAAGTTCGTCGGAAAAGCCTGCGCAACATTCCCACATGAGGTTGCTATCCCCGTAGTACACAGTCCGTGGGGAAAGGACTTGTTCCTGAAAGGCCCAGGCCCGAGTGGACAAGGGCCAACAGGCATGGATTTCCGATTCACGTCTGGATGGTGGGCGACACGCATATATACCTGGCTCTGAACCCCCCATTTGTCGTAGGACACAGCGCGAGTATCCTCTCGGATCCTTCCGTGGCTTTGGTTCTGCATCCTCCGGCGGAAAAAGGTATGATATGTTGCAGACTGCATTACCATAGACTGCCGCCATTTTACTGGCTTCTTCTTCCCAGTCGGACTGCGAATCCTGAATGATACAGAGAGAATCGATCAAGATATATTGATAGCCGAGTGCGCGAGTAACGCGTATGGCTTCTCTGTAGATTATCGACATGTTTTTAATCGGGATGCCAGGGTCCTGGAACTCGGAAACATTTTCGTCAAGTAATCGGATTTGACGGGCCGGCTTGTCTCCCCACATGTGGCTCAGAGTAATGTAATCGCAACGGCTGGAGGAGCGAAAATCGCATCTCAACCTGACCTTGTCGTCACTAAGATCTAGGATCCTCTTCGGCCGTGTACCTTTGTCGGCGGTTGTTGCTTGGAATCTATGGCAATCGGGATGGTCGGACACGCAGGTTTGGATCCATTGCTTGATTGCACTAATGTTGTCCTTAGACTTTAGGGGCACATGAGCCCACTGCAAAGCCAGAAGGTCTAGTGCGGAAACGTAATCTTTGCCTAGCAGTTAGCGATGCTCTTTGCAAGTTAAAGGAATGGGGCATATTAGGGAACTACCCACCAGAAGGACCAAACGGACTGATTTTTATGGTGTCCACAGACTTCCAAGAGGTACATATTGGCGTCATTGCCATGTTGGGGTGGCGAAATCCAGAATTCATGCGGAGGATTATCTTTCGGTCGGCTTTGGCTTGCTCAAGATCATGTCTTCCGTGAACGTTGAAGCAGGCGCCTATCAATCGACACAAATGACAGAACTCAATTGTTTCGTAGAGTTGTGAGACCGTGCAGAATGTATAATAGTCATGGGAGGTTGAGTCACCCCATTTCGTAAAGTCGTATGTTCTTGCGAAGCGGCTGCAGTTTTCGCAAAGCTGGTGGAGCGGAACCGATCCTTCGGGGCATGTTGCTTCTTCCGCGTCCGTCGATCGCACAGTATCCTCCGCTTGACCTTCTCCCGACGACGCCTTTGTCGCTTCCGACATCGCTCGATTAGGCAGGAACGCAATGAAACACCGAAAAAGAGATCTCTGGTGAGAAGGTGTGAAGGAGATGATGATGATGCGAGGTTGAGAAGAAGCGAGATCGTGGTGAGAAGGTGTGTAGGACTTGATGATGCTACAAGGCTGAGAAGAAGCCCCTCAACACAAGAACCGCCGAGGAGTGCTGCCTATTCAACTTGTGGCGGCAGGTGCGCTTCGCCTCGTGTTACAGAGAGGCCACGATTTGATTGGAGGGCGGTTACTGAACCGACTCCTCAGAAGCGCAGCGAACGGAATTCGTATGATATAGGCGATGGAAGTAGGGGACACGAATTAGCTATAGAGGTCAGCCAGGATAACAGATGGGGATGCGCTAGGTGGGTGCGACCCATGAACGGGGGGAACCCGTGAAGGGGCGAGCCTCGAAGTCAATCACTCTAGAAGCCTATGACCTCAGGGACCTCCGACTTTGCGACTCTCCAACTTTCCGGTCCTTTTAACTGCCCAATTTTGCGCCGGATTACGTCCGTGCCCCATCAGCCTGCATCCTATCACCTTCCAGTCCCGTTCCGCCTGCATCCCATCTCGCTTCAGTTCGATAGAGAATCCACATCGTCGCGCCCGTTTCCACAGGGATTCCATCCCATCGAAATCGGGCCCAGTAACTCAACTCCCTACACAAAATCCCGCCATGATTGGCCGACCCTCACAGCACACGTCCTCAGAAAAGCAGCAAAATAACCTATTGGACTCAAACGCCCAAGATCGGGGTACAGAATGACAGTAAAAATCTAGCCACTGCTTCGAAGCGTAAAAGCATAAAGGTGCAGTTCCCGCTCAAATCTCTACCGGGTCTATCTAATAGATCCTACGCTTGCCTACACCATCTCTCGTTGACCCAAAGCAATACCTGCCTACCCACCCGCCCCAGCCTCGCCACCCTACAAACTAAGACCATGCCATCCCCCTTCTCCGCAGGCTCCACCCGCGACCTCATCACCAGCATCCTCAACCTGCTGGTGAACATCCTTATGCTCTAGCAAAACCAGAAAATGCCGGCCCTCGCAGTATGTCACACATATAGACAGAGCCCAACGCCCTTAACAGTCCACTAACGTCTTATATAGGGACGAAAGACCGGTCGAGGCGAAGATACGAAGCCGCCGCGTCCCTAGTGCGACCCGAACGCGCATGTGGAGCGAATGCATAGGGACCAGCATGAGACGAAATCGATGAAGGTGGTAGGCCACGCGCCAACACAGGGACTGAAGGGAAAAGAAGGAACAACATGGATAAGCGGCGGCAGGAGTGGCGCGAGCTGTTATCTCATTGGGACTTCGACCGCGTCATGATTGTGGACAGTCTCAGCGTTATCCAATGCATGATCAGATTGAAAGCAAACACTGCAAGCTTCAACTAAGTACCTCTTCCTCGCAACATTTCCATGTGAAACTGCACATGTCACTCGAGAACGGTGAAAAGAACTATATCACGACGAGAAATTGTCATAAACAAAAGCATTCACACTAGAAGAAATTATGTTCCCTTCGCTACTCTCCCTCGAGCCAACTATCGACTCAACAAACGAGTAGCAAAAGCACCACCACCCAGAGGTAGCGGGCGGCAACGTGGTGCACTCTAGCTTCCCTGTCCACACTCGTCGACCGTAGTGCATAACGTACTGACGAGCTCTAGCTTAATTGGAAGCGGAATTCAACAAAGTCATAGTGACTCCCATCTCCATGACTCACCCACATATCTGCATCCAACCCGAGGCTTCGGCGAATCAAAGACTCAAGCGTTGGCCCAAGGAAAGGGGAAGACCGCGGGGAGGAGGAGAGATGAGATAAACCCCCGGAACCCCACAAAGATGCACAAAGCCCCCAAGAACCCACAGAAGCCGATCGAAATCGACATCCACCAGAGGCCCACGATGAGTGAACACTTCGGCACGGACCTTCTTGCACACGGGTACGTCCTCCAACCCGCTCCATGCCCCGTCGAAGAAAGGTTGTTCACCAATCAAGCCGCGAGAGGCACTGGATAGAGTGTATTGCCCTTCATCGGTATCCCAGGTACTCGATGGGGCGACTGAGGAGGATCAAGCGGGTGAAGCATGCAAGCCCCGTTCAGGTCAACGGAATGAATGCTTGACGCCCACCACACCCATCGCGGTGATGCCACATCTCCGCCCTCCTGCTGAACACCGTTCAGCTGGCCTACCGAACTGTTACGTCCGGAGGCGGGATAGTCCAGCTGGAACCGTGGAGCGTTCATCGCACTACAGTCGGCCCTCAGGGCACGGCCTGACGTGCTCGCAACCACAAGCTGAACGCTGCGACAGTGGTCACATGTTCTAGCTCAACGGGTGCCGTGGTACCCGAGCTCTTCGCAACTGATGGCGATAATGTAGGGAGGCGTGGACAAATATCCAACGCGAACTGCAAGACGTGGGCGGCCCCTGTGACGTTGGGAGGTGAGCCACGGATGACTCTTCTCGACTACCATCTTAGTGCGCCGCGCCTTCTTGCCAATATGGGTATATAATACCACATACATGGGTGCCTCAGAGTAAAACATGCCAAGGACCTTTCGGCCTGTCAGAACCGCCCGGGGGTGGCTCAATATCTGCTGGCTTCTTTCCACCAAGTTCGGATTCCAAGACTGCCAGAAGCTCTTTGCTCACAGCAAAGAGGTCCAGCCTCTCAAGATCCTCTCCTAGTATCGGGGGTTGCCCCCTACTCTCCAGGTACACGACCTTGTTATGTTCTTGGGTCTTAGCCCATGACTTGCGGAGTCGATCACCATGCTCCACCGGCTTGAATCGGTCTGCGGGAGGCTTGGGTCGTAGCACCGCGTGCTTCTGCCTTGCGTTCTCACATCCGCGGGACCTTGACTGCTTTTCCGGTGGCTCTCTGCTTTCACTGCGAGACTCTCTCCAGAATGCGCTAGCTCTCCGCGGTGGGCCGTCTGCCGTTTGTCCGTTCGTGGAGGTGGTTTGTCGAACTCCGGACCTTGAAGGTTCTGTAGGCGTTCCATTGCTATGGATCCGCCTCGGGTTGTGGCTGCTGCACGACTTCCTCGGTTCTTCGCTTGCCAACCAAAAGGCCTACCAGCATCTAGCAATCCGCGCCCGCCTGAACGTGTGGTTCAGCTTTTCGTGAGTTCGCGGATTCTTTCCCTGAGAACGCTGGGCAGGGCTGGAGAACTTGGAAGGAGGTCGGCTTCCGCCAAATGGACGCAACTCCTTATCAGGATGTCACTGATGTTGTGAGCTCACTGGCTCAGGGTTTTGAGCATCTCGCTCAGGATTGTTACCGCATCGCTGGATGGGTAGGCATTTGCGGGACGTCTCTCGACTTTTGTAGGCTTTCGCCCAGTGTCACATGTTGTGCTCATGGGTTGTATCGCTCAGACTGGATCCTTCTGTAAGGCTTGCAGTCGAGACTTATGGTTGGAGACTTGGGCATGATGACCCTAGTTTGATGATTGTGGGTACACTGACCCGTATGGGTGGGTACGATACCTGAACCAATTCTTCCACGACATGCCGGAGCCTCCAAGGCTACAGAGCGTATGACTTGTGAAGAGAAAAGGTGCTTGGGGCGCGATGACCCGAAAGGGGGGTTCACATCCACCTCAACCGGAGGCCAACCCGGTGATGGATGCTCTGCCCAAGAGGGAGGTGTTGCGTCGGGGGTTTCGCGACATTGTCTCAGAAGCGAGAGGATTTCGTCCAAAGTGTGTGGGCAACGGACCCAGCGTTGCGTGATGAAAGAGGATGCCGGAGGGCGCGCCGATGGGGTCGATGTGTTGACACGCTCGTTCGCAAGTTTGCTTCAGGAGAGATCAAATAGGCGTGGAAAATATCGACGGGAAAGCATGATGAGAAGTGGGATGGGTGAACGAACGACGTTGGTCGGATGCCGTTGGAGGGTTTTGTAGTAGGTATAGGATAGAGGAGGTTGGGCAATGCAAATTTAAGGTCGAGGCGGTTGACGCGCTAGCGAAACTTTAGGTAAGCGAGTGGGCTTGGCGTTTCCGTCTGAGCTTTCGCGTCATTGAATCCGTTGTAAACGAACTGTTGCGAGCTTCCGAAAGGCTTCCCGCAAGCGGGCCCCTTCTCCCGAGGGCATACACCATGGTAGGTAGCAAATGAGCATGTGCTGAGGGTTCTCTCTGACGCAGTAATAGCCGCCCAAGCGCCGCGCAGCATCGACAAGAACAACGCTCATTGCCAAACGCCCTTCAAAACTTGCGAAAGAAAACGGCCTGACCGCCGACCAAGAAGCCGAGATACGGGAAGCGTTTAGCTTGTTTGCAGTACATCACCCGGATCATGAGGACTCGAAAGAGGGTGTTCTGAGGAGAGACGATGTACGCCGATGCTTAATGTACGACTACCATTTCTCCGTGCCACTTTCTACGAAGGGCAAGGACCATGCGGACTGGCGTTTGCTGACCAGGGCTCCAGATCTCTGAACCTCGGCCCTGACAAATCAGAAATCCCTTCCATTCTCTCAACCATAGACCCGCTAAACACCGGCTTCGTCGAGTTCGTCCCATTTCTATCCTATGCCGCCATAGCCCTACACTCCAAGGATGAAGACGAGGAACAAGATGACGAAGACGACGAATTCCACGCGGAGAGCAATATGGAAGAGGTCAGGGCAGCATACAAGTTATTCACTCATGGTGGACCGGGACCGATAACGCTCGCGCACCTGCGGAGAGTCGCAAAAGAGCTTCGAGAAGATTTGCCAGATGAGGTGCTCAAGGACATGATTCTGGAAGCCAACGGTGGCGTGAAGGGCAAGGGGAGAGACGTTGGTGGAGTGGGTCTGGAAGAGTTCGAGAGCGTGATGAAGAGAGCTGGATTGACATTTGGATGAGGTGTCTAGGGTGCTTTTACGAGCCATGTGTATATGTCCTGCATCTGAGCGTGGCGTTTCGGCGGGGCGTGTGTTTCTGGACAGAATGGGATGTGTTGGACCTAAACCGCATCTCTTATTTGGGCGGCTCGTACGCCTAGTGAGGAATCGAACCATTCGAAGGTATTTTGCAGTTAAGAGAGCAATAGCCCAGTGGAAAAGGTATCCTTCTAAGTGGAACACAATGGAAATACCTAGTCAATCATATCTTCCATGTGTATTAGGACGTTCTGCGCGCTGGAGAAAGATGCGTGAAACCGGAATCGGCCCTGAGGCAAGAAATTCCGCAAAGTCCAAAGATGAGTGATGGGAAAGTAGTAGAAAGGGATGCCAAAGATAGAGAGGCGATATCGAAAACCCCCGCGCCAATCACATCAGCCTCCGTCATGGCTCAGCTTCGAGCGGATGCGCCTCTGCCAAGATTTCAGGGCAGGGCCAGGAAAAGAACACGACGCAGTGCAACAAAGGGGGGGCAATCACCATTCTGCACAACGCCATTCTGGCACCAATTCGAGCAGCTCTCACTCCCTTGAAGGTACGACCCACGTATCCCTTTCTGAATCCACAAATCCCCTGCCGCCATTTCTACGCGGCCGCCGCATTCGTATCGCCATCGTAATTCCAGCTAACAACCACCCCAAGCCCCGAGCAACGCGAACTAAGCCTCCCATGTCCTCGAAAACGTACTAAGGCGAACCCTCCCACCCCCATATGTCAAGCGGCGTCGACGTCCGACGACCCGGCATTTGGTCTTACTTCAGTTTCTCTGGCCCGCGCCGACGCACCTCCGTCTCCCTGCCGCGCAGCATCAACGACCCTGCCCACGACCCCTTCGAGAAACCGGATCGGCACTCGCGGCATCGCTCCAATCCGGCGAACGGCTTCATGAGTGATTTCAAAGGCACAGCGATGAATGGAGGGCAGCGGGCACGCTACCTCAAGACAGGAGGGATAATTGCGTTTATACTACTGGTGCTGTACTTTGTTGCGCCGAGGGATGGATTGTCGAGGGCAGGAGGTGCGTTTGGATGTTCGACATTAGGGGACGGCATGCTGACATTGGATTGCAGAAAGCTTCCATAAGGGCAATGACGGCCAGTCCGCGGCGCCAGGCGTACAAGCGAAGTGCACAAAGTCTATCTCCAAGGACAAACCGCTCGTCCAGTACGCTCTCATGATCGACGCCGGCAGCACAGGCTCCCGCATCCACGTCTACAAGTTCAACAACTGCGGGCCGACACCCGAACTCGAGGAGGAACACTTCGAGCAAACGGCGAAGAAGGAGGGCGGATCAGGGCTCTCGTCGTACAAGGGCGATGCTGAGGGCGCTGCGAAGAGCTTAGATCCATTGATGAAGGTGGCTGTCGAGAAAGTCCCCAAGTCCTACCAGGCATGCACACCCGTTGCCGTAAAAGCCACCGCAGGTCTCCGCAAGCTCGGCGACGAGATGAGCAACAGAATCCTCCAGGCTGTCCGTCACCGCCTTGAGGCCCAATACCCCTTCCCCGTCGTCTCCGAAGAACAGGGCGGCGTGGAAGTTATGCCGGGCGAGCAAGAGGGTGTCTACGCCTGGATCACGGCCAACTACCTCCTGGGCAAGATCGGCGGCCCGGACAAGACACCCACAGCCGCTGTCCTCGATCTCGGCGGCGGCTCAACCCAGATCGTCTTCCAGCCCACCTTCCCCGAAACCGCTAGCGGCGGCCTCCCCAACAAACTCGCAGACGGCGACCACAAGTACGAGCTCAGCTTCGGCGGCCGCGACTTCACCCTCTACCAGCACTCGTACCTAGGCTACGGGCTCATGGAAGCGCGCAACAACCTGCACAGCGCCGTCCTCGACTCCGTCTATCAGGAGAACAAATCCAACGAGAACCGCGACTGGCTCCAGGAGCCTATTGTGAACCCCTGCATCGCGCCCAAGATGAGCCGCGAAGTCGAAGTCCACCTCCCGCAGGACCATGCGCTCGGGACCCCCGTCACGGTCAACATGACCGGCCCGGCCGAAGCCTCGCCCTCCACCTGCCGCGGCATCGCGGAGAAAACGCTCGAAAAGGACGCAGAGTGCAAGCTCGCGCCCTGCGCCTTCCGCGGCGTGCACCAGCCCTCGTTCGAGAAGACGTTCGCGCGCGAGGACGTCTACCTCTTCAGTTACTTCTACGACCGCACGCGCCCGCTCGGCATGCCCGAGTCCTTCTCCCTCTCCGAGCTCAAGGAGCTCGCCAACCGCGTGTGCCACGGCGAGGAGCACTGGGATGTGTTCCACAGCGTCGAGGGCGCGCTGGAGGAGCTCAAGGGCCGGCCGGAGTGGTGCTTGGATTTGAACTTCCAGCTTGCGCTGCTGCATACGGGGTATGAGATGCCGATTGATCGGGAGGTCAAGATCGCGAAGAAGATTAAGGGGAATGAGCTGGGGTGGTGTTTGGGCGCTAGGTATGTTCCTCCCCTGTTCTGTTTTCGATAAAGATGGTGCTAACGTCGACGCAGTCTTCCGCTCCTCGAGAAGGGCTCGGGCTGGCAGTGCAAGATCAAGGAGGTGCACTAGCCGCCCCTCCTCCATCTCCTCCTACACTGTAGCATTTCATCCGTTACTCTCCTGAGAGCACGTTTCGACTTTTCTCAGCAAAACCCCTTTACAACGACATTTAATCATGCATCCATAGGCGTTGACTAGGTTCTTTTCTGCGGGCCTTCTTTTTTTTTCTCATTAGAGATGATTTGGTTTGAGTTCGACAGCATCGAGCTTTGAATGTATCGAGCATTGATTGGTATGTGGACCGGGGGGGTTCATGATGTCGGGCCTGTGTCTGGGCTGTTTATTGGGCATGGAAGGGAATGGAAGAGAAGAGGAGAGAAAGGGAGGGAAGGAGATGCGGTGTTCTTGTGTAGATGCGGAAATGGAATAGAATACCCCCTGCTTTGGTCGACGTTAGTCCGTGGTGTTTCTGTGATTGCTATATCGACATGTGCGGACGAATCGAATCGAATCGAAAGATCGACGTGCTGGGAACTTGCGGTAAGGCTGAGACCGATTCATGCTCTGACGACATACTACCGCGGACACATTGTAGGCCCTAAGGCCCCTTCACGGGCGCGCGGCCGGCAAATTTCGGCAATGTATAGTGACCTGAAGGTCTCCAGGCTCGGCGACACGGTAACGGTTCATTCAAGCTAACTACAGTGCCTTGAGATAAGGTGAGGAACGTGGCTTTAGACGTGCGTAGGGTAAAGGTAGAGCAACGAAAATGCAGAGCAAGGCATGGAGGAGGGGCCCCAGGAATATATTGCTACAGGCATAGAGCTACACTAAGTAAAGACTGAGTAAGCGTCCCGGCTGCGGTAGTGTAGTCCACGACCACGTGAAAACCATGGCATCACCAACCAGACGGTAGGATGTATGGATTGTGGATTGGGGTTGGCAGTGCGAGGAATCCTCCTTAGAAAACAACTCAAACTCCGCGACTGGCCGAACGATAAGTGCATAATGTTTCTTCCGGGGGCCAAATTGATGTGAGAACGAATACAAAATAAGGAGTAGGTCTCCCTCTTCCAAGGCCGCGGTACCGAAGCCAAAGAATCTCGGTCTCTCGCGTACATACTTATCCACCCAACCCGCAGCAAAGAAACATCGGTGTTCCATAGCCTTCCTCAGCCGTGATAGAAGGGCAGACTGAAAATCCAAAGGGCTAGTATGCGCTACAGTGTGTGGATTCCATAGGTGCCCAAGGTCTCTAGATAGTGCTGTGTCGTAGACTCCGTTACCTGTCCACATGCACTTAAGCATGTCGAGAAATTGTTCTCGTGTATCGCAGTAGGTTCCCGCATGTAAAAATGCTGACTTATAAAGTTCTATGACAGAACGAAGGAATCCATGCAGGGAAGTCCATGGTCCCATGCCCCATTTGGTACATATGCGGCCAAAGTTGTCCTGAAGGCTATCAACTCCGGGAGGCATCCAGTCCACCAACACTTTTAATTCGATCATGTTCTCTGAGACGCGACCGCCGAAATCCAACTTCCCGGAAGTCTCCTCGAGGGTGCTGTAGAGAGAACAACGCCATAGAAGGTCCGTTTGAAGACCGCTGTGGTATATAGGCTGTTGTCGCCAGTCAGGCACCCATGATGGCCAATCTTCAGTTTTATTGAAGCTCTGGCGCGCTAGAAGGGCAATTAAGATGGAATTTGCCATACCGGCTTTTATGCAGGCACGAGCAAAGGTGCGGTAGGTTTCAAGAACATCCAATGAATAGTCGACATCCATGAGTACGACATCTTGTCGGTGGAATGTATCCGCCAATGCCAAAGGTGCGATGTTTGTTGCCATGCTGTACAGCGCGTAAATCCGGTCACGATCGTCAGAGCAGTCGTAGAGCCATGAATTGTTGACCATCTCCAAGATTTCCGCCGTACTAGTTTCGGTGCTAACGTGTTCAGCCATGGAATGAAGTTTCCATAGCTTCGCTAACTTCACAATGGCAGACAGTGAGTTGCTTGATAGTGCTCCCCAGAGACCGTCGCTCTTACATCTTTCTATGGCGGCAAGGAATCTTGACAGTGACATTTCAGACGCACCGCATATCAGGGTCAAGTCGTTGTTAAAGACGCATTCTTGAATTATCCAGAGGCGATTGAACCATGGCATGCTTAGGAATTGGCCAATAGCATGTGCGTTGGACTCGTCCTCCATTTCGAGTGTGTTTTCAGCGTTCTTTGCGAGGTGAAGCTGAGATTGAATCATCCGACTCGGCCGCCGTGACAAGCGATCCATCAGGCGCATACCTCTCTCGTTTTCCCCTCCGCCTGGGCCGAGCCAAGCGAGGACTCTTCTTGCGCCTCTGAAGATGCGGGCCATCAGGGGAATCTGCGTCCCTTTCTCTTTGTTGTCGCTTTGATTTATGCACACAGCATCTGCCCATAGCCATCTCTTGTCCAGCTTATGCCGGAACCTTCTCAGCGCTCGATCAAGATTTTCTGTCACGAAAACCTGCCAGCCATCGTCGTTGTAGAGCGGGAAGATGAGCTTTGGTTCTCCCCAAGTGTACGATATAGCGTCATATTCTCCCTGTAGCGCCTCGAGATCGGCCTGTTGGAAAGAGAAGCAGAGAGGCGCATCGTGGCCGAGCGAGGGCTCTAGAACAAGGATCCTGATGTGTTCGGGGCTGTTGAGCGGCACGTATCGGTGAATCATGGCTTGATTAGGTGCCATTTCGGAAAGCAGGCTACTACATATCGGCACGGAAGAGTGGAAAGTTATAGTGTCTCCAGATGTAACCTTCGGAGTTCGAACGGTTATCCACAAGGCTGAGTTGGCGGGGAAGATAGGCAGCTGAACTGGGCATGCATACATGAAATAGGCTTAGCGCAGGCAGCTACGCCTCGCCCCACCCTGAAGGTCAGGTTTCGGGAGTCCTTGGTAGAAGTAGATTAGTGCCTGACGCAAAGAAGAAGAGATGGGATCCAAGCTCAACCACGAGCCATCTTCTAACCCATCGAGCAAAACGCCGGCTTACTATCGATATCGACAGCTGTCGCCATTCCTTCCGCGTCTGGCCTGTTTCAGGGTGAACTTTGGCAAGAGTGTGTATGTGCTGTATGCGAGCGAGGCAGAGAGAGTGAGTGTTGGTGTGATGTGGTGTGGTCGACCAAACTCAACGAAAGTTGTGGCGGCAATGACGTCCTGTCGGATTACGTTAGCGCTGAAGGAAGGAACGGCACTGGGGTCTGTACTGTGATTTCGAAAGCAAATCTAGGGGGTATCTCATTACTAAAAGGACCAAGCAGCAAGCTCCTATATATCCAACAGCGCAGGCAACACTTTTTAATCAGAGCAACGCATCAGAACGACCCAATCTGGCCCTTGGTGTAAATGGTCTGCCTCTTCTTCATGTGATGCTTGTGCTTGCCATGTTTGCCATGCTTCCCCTCCTCATTGCGCAGGCCCATGGCAATCGCCATCCCACTGTGCACCCCGTTCTTATTAGCCCTAATACGCTCTGATCCGACTCTCTTCCTCTTAGCCTCCTTGCGAGTCCGCTGCTCCCTCGTTTTCTTCACCTTTCTCATGATCCTCTCGCTCATCAGAACAAGCATCGTGACTACCATGACGGGCACCGCGATGACCCAGAAGAAGGCGTCCGAGTGTTCCTGGACGCCCGTGAAGCGCTCGAAGTTTTGCCCAAAATAGCCGACGAGGAAGGTTAAGGGTAGGAAGAAGATGGTGACGGCGGTGAGGATCTTCATGGATTCGTTTTGGTAGGCGCCCGTCATGTTGAAGATGAGGTCGATGAGGTTGTCGGCTGCACGGCGCATTTGGTCAAGAGAAGCAGTGATCATCAGGCAGTGATCCTCAACGTCGCCGAGGTACGTGTGCGTAAGCGGCGAGATAGCGACGGACGAGATCGACTTCCGTGACTGGAGGTTGGTGAAACTGGGCGTTGTCACTGGGTCGGTTTTGTGGTCGCGGAGGGAGTTGATGAGAGAGATGATAGGTTGAATAGTATTTCTCAGAACCGATAATTCGGAAGAAAGAATGTATAGTTGCTGGGAGTGGTGAATCTCGGGAGCCTGTAGAACATCGAGCTCCAGTTCGCCCATGGCGTCTTCGTAGGCTGCTACGACAGGCATGGCCAAGTCGACTATGGCGTCAATGATGGCTTGGACGATCATGCTGCCATCACCGCTCCTGCGAATCATGGTGTCCTTAGTATTCAGACGCTTGATGATAGGCCCTTCGATCTCGCGCGCGGAGCGCTGAAAGAAGGAAACCACGGTGTTGTCAGCGAAAATGAAGATGGACACTTGCTCAGCGCTGACGTAAACGTCCTTGCCCTTCGCTTTCAGCAGCTTCAGCGCCGAGTGCAGCTCCATGTAAAGGGTCCTGTCCTCGTTCGGACCGCCACGATATCTATGCAGTGAGGGATGCTCCTCTGCACGTTGACCTATAGTCCGGTTGTGCGAGGCAACGGCGCCGTTGATGTTGTAGTCCTTCTCTTCTTTGCCCCAAGACTTCTCGACATCCTTGGGGTCGCTCTCATCCGATTTCGAGCTGAAGGCATTCGTCATGCGGCCAAGGGACTTCTTCTGCTTCTTTTGGGGGCTTGGCTTCCTTGGCTCGTCGTCGGAATCGGAACCGCTGTCTGAATCATCTTCCGGTTTACGAACAAGTTTTGAAAGCGTCAACAGCACTGATCCCAGTTAGCGAAGGCATGCGGACGCATTGATTTAATATATCAACGACGGGAAGTCGTTTGCCGCGAGTGTTTTTAATGCAGCGGACCGGGAACGCGCCGCGTTGGAGAGGCGCTACCGGAAGTGGAAAGCCGGCGTTGGTAGGTCCGCCTAACCCATCAACACCGCGATGATGTAGACTTCTAGCAAATATTCCTCAACAAGCCAATAATCTCAACAAGATCGAATTTAACACTTACGGAAAGCTTGATCAGAATACCAGTCAACTTTTGTGCGACCCCCCTCGTTCATCAAATCCTCAACTGCTAGAGGGTGGAGATGCTTGTACTCTTGTAGAATTGTGATGACATCGGTGCTCCAACCGTTCACATTGATCCATCGACATGCTACCCACGGGTCCTTGGGTCTGCGAAGGAACTCTTCCAAATTGTCGTTGTTCAAATCTTGACATTGCACATCCTCCTCGGAAAAGTCGACCACGGTGACCTCGCAACGCTCATGGAGATGTTTATAGCGGGCAATCTCCTCCTCCTTCTTGGTGTTTACGCCGGGCTCAGCGCCCGGCTCCTCCCAATCCGGCACTGTCGGCGATTGATAGTTTCGAATGGTGTTGGAACGCGTCGGCCGTCGTCGCAGACCGGATTCGATGGAGAAGCGGGAGGGAGACAGGAGGCTGTTGCCGTCCGCGCGGGCTGCTGTAGCTGAGACGGAGCTGGCGGAGCGACCGCGACTCTGGTTCTGGCCCGCCATCTGCGTGTCGACAGCCAAGCCAGGAGGTGCTGATGATGGGCTACCGACGCCCTGAGGGATGTGCGCATCTTGGGGAGAGTTGGGCGATGCGAAGTCGTGCACCTTGGGGCTGTTCGGCGAGGCCATTGTTGCTGTGGTGTTCCGTGACAGATGGCGCCTGCAGAGTTGTTATATGGCAGTTGCGATGACGCTGCAGGAAAAAGCAAGGCGCGAAGCCATTGGGTCGATCCCGAAGTCACCGCCGGCGTGAAATGTTGGCTGCTGGTGATGCGATATGCAGGCAATTGGGGTGTCGACGGTAGAGTTCAGCTGCACCGTGGACCGAAAACGCAGGCCAAAGACTTCAGCCCGGGCGCGCCATCAGCAGCGCGCTAGCTCTGCGCTGCACCGCATTCAGACTACTGATGGAATACTGAGCTATGGATGAGAATACTGATGCGACTACTGATGAAATTCTGATGAGGATGCTGACGGCCATTCCGTGATACGATACTGTGATAGACCGCTCTCCCGAAAACTCGGACTTCGAGTACTTGCGCCTACAGGATTATTATTAATGAGGCAGACTCGAGCTCCGGACGCGGACAGCCCTGGAGGGTTTCATGCGATTAAATAACACGGCGCCTGTGCCAGATGCGCCCTTTGTCAGCACGGCATCCCGGCTGCATGCCGTCGACGGGACGGCCTGAGGGCGTGCGAGCCACCACCACAGGGACTCGAGTGCAACGCTGCTTTGAGAGAGTTCGCAATTTCTAGCAGACTGCTATCTAGACACCTGCTTGTCTGGGTGAAAGTGCAGCCGGAGTCGCGCATAGAAAGTATAATTAGCATGGAATGGGCTGGGGGCCCGTGATTGGCCAGCGAAAACCCAAGCCTTCTCCACCTCGCCATCACACCTCACTACCACCGCGCCCACTCCTCGCATTCATCCCAAAGCAGCCTCATCGTCGACATAGATACTCCCGTCCGACCCTGCTGCCGCCGACGCTCGCCAGCGCGACACCCTCGCAGCCCCCCAGTGCGCTGCCTCGCGGCCCGTACGACTCGAGCGCTGCCCTGCTCGCCACACGCTCTTGCCGTGGCCTGCTGGGACACCCCTAACGCATAGCAAACATCCTCATCTCCCCCCCGACCAGCCATCTCGAACCCCCTTTCGCCGCGCCCCGGCGATATTGGCTCTGCCTCGACCGCGCCCGTCTCTTCACGCCTCGCCAGCCAGCCGGACTTCTTTCACCCTCGCGCGAGCCGAGTTGTGCGTTCGCGTTTGCCCGTCTCAAACAGCGCCCTTTGGCAGCAGCACGCGGCCCCGCCGACCCACGCCGTACGAAAGGACTGGCCCGGCCGCCCTTCTCTGCGAGCGTCTGCCGTTTGCTCGTCGATTCGCATCTGGCAAACCTGCTTGCCTCCCACCACATGCAACACTAGCGGCTGTCGTCACCCCACGGCACCCACTGTTTCCGTCCACGACAGCACCGGACCGATCCAAACATGCGTGAAGTCAACTTCAGCATCCCCAATGCCAACAAGGCGTCGGTCGGCATCACCACCGCCCTCTACGACCGCCGCGCCCTCGACTGCACGTCCACGCTCCCGCTCATCAACTCGCTCAACCACCTCGCATACCTCACAACCTCCTCCGCGCGCATACGGGACATTCTGACCGTCGATGGCGGCATCGAGCGCCTGATATGCATTCTCAAGGAGGGCAGGAGCAAGGATATGATGGACATGTGGAAGTGGAACCTCGCCTTTCAGTGCATTTTCAACATTGGCGTGCGTGGTTCCGAGAACGTCAGGACGCGGGTGGTCGAGGCCGACATGGTGCCTGTCATCGCGACCATACTGGACAACTACATCAAGGTGGTCGACAAGTGTCGGGAGAGGGCCGAAGCAGAACTGCGGAGAAATGCACGGCTTGGCACATCGAGCCGCCATCACTCTTCGCGCTCCGGCGAGATGGCGTCCAGCTCAGGACACAGGGCTGAACGCACACGACGCGCAGTGCCGCCTCCCATCGAGATCCCCCAAACCTTCGTCCAGGCGCCGCTGGAGTCGCAGGCAGGGGACACGACTCCTACCCCCGCTTTCGCCATGAGCTCTCCGCCTGAGCGCACCTCCTTCCCACGCGGCCGCCCTTCCCACCACCATCACCACCGCAGCCATGAGAGCAGAGGCCAATTGTTCGGAGCCGTTGGCACTAATACACGCAACATCGGCCAGCCGCTAGCCACTGCACTACCGGCAATGGAGCCAACCGACACCTTTGCATTGAGGCCCGTGCGAGATGCAGATCGGCTTCCCTCCATGCTTCCCGCCTTGCAGGGGGAGATCACCTCCCAACCCGAGTCTCCCACTACCCCGAGTGCTCCACAAGCGCGGCAGAGCAGCCCACGGGCAGCGATTGGCCGACCACGACGTCGACCCTCCATCCGACACCAGCTATCCATGTCGGGCGAATCCGACCTTGATGCGCAGCAAGACGACATGTCTGCGGAAGCACCCACAACGGCTGGACCCGCTGTGAATGAGCCGATCGTGGGCATTCAGAACAACGATATTAATATGTCAGACATCGTCGATAATGCAGAGATGCTCGACGCCGGAGCGTCTCCCGTACCCATAACAGCGCCCTCGGAGACGACTGACGAGAGCCACGAGACGTTCAACATTACGCACCGCCCCGCTTTGGACGGGAGCTTAATCAACCCTGCTAATCCCCAGACTGCTGGCCCCATCGGTGGCTTCTCTCCCGTTCAGCCAGCCATGAATGTCGTTAATGCCAACCCTCCTCCCCCGTGGTATCCTCGCTACAACCAGGATCGCAATGCTACCGCTGGTGTTCTCGCCGCCATGCCCCGAGACGAGGACGTCCTCATGTCGCTTCAGCTGCTTGCATACGTCTCCAAATACTGCAATCTACGATCCTACTTCCAGAAATCGCATCTCGTACCGAAGCTGAAGATTGGTAACGATCTGCAGCTGCTAGATGGAGAAGCCGCCAGCCCAACACCAATGGCGGAGGATGAGGAGGAGCTTGAGGAGTACGAGCTACCGGACGATTTCAACATTTTCCCTCTCGTCGAGAAGTTCACGGTACGGCATCACACTTCCGACATGCAGTACTGGGCAAGCGTCGTCATGCGGAACTTGTGCCGGAAAGACGACTCTCGAGGAGGTATCCGACAGTGCGCGTACTATCAGTGCGGGAAATGGGAAGAGTACACGCGACAGTTCGCCAAGTGCCGCCGCTGTCGACGCACAAAGTACTGCAGTAAAGAGTGCCAGAAAAGCGCTTGGGTATATCATCGGCACTGGTGCGTGGCAGCAAACTAGAGGCGGACCTCTCTTAATCCCTTTTCACGCATCATCATTGGGTTGCACGTTTTATCTATGCCCGCATATTGCAAGGCGCTCGGCTGCTCATATTTTCGAACTCTCATACTTAATGAAGCGACACGACACCGGATACCATCCCGTACCATACATTCAGACTGCTCAAAGCTTTTTCTGGAATCGGAAATCTATGCAGGAGTTGGAGAGGAGTGTATAAGGTCTTTTTGGTCTTGAATCAACTCAGGAGGAGCGGTCGATCCCACCTTCTTGGTGCTACCTTATTATATCATATTTCTAGGTCGAGTATTGTTAGTGGTGGGAGCAGGCCGCTTAGCAAGTAGGATGCTCAACGTTCAAATGGAATGGTTTCGGACCTTGGTCAAGTGGTTCCTTGTTCAGACCGTAGCTCTCAGCTGGCCGCATGGCCGATTTGCGTCTTTGTTTGGCGAGTCTTCCTTTGTGTTTCTCCAACGGCTGCTGAAGCCCTAGTCTCCCTTCTCCTTATTGTCTATTGATCCGTCAAGAAGAGCCGAGGGGCTTGACGCCCTCTCTCTTTCCCTTGGAAACTTCTCCTAGCGTTTGGTCTGTCAGATGAGATACGCACATTTACACAGAGACGATTCAGTATGTCATCATTTGACGTTTATGGGCGGCGCTCTTGTGGATAATCATCGCATTGCATAGCTTAGCATTAGCAAAGGGATCATGGTTAATTCAAATCACTGCTCATGTGCCTTGATTTCTTAGCATATCGGTATTAACATCGTTGATCTTAGAATCGGCCATGGGGCATGAATTTCGCTATTTGCGCATTGAAGTGTATATTGCGGGCGGGCGGAGGATTATTGCTGAGGTTTCATCCTGGGGCTGGGCGAGGCTGACAGGAGGGGATATCATACACGTGCTGCAGGCCTGGGATGTGCACTGGGCGGCTCTCTTACGCGCGCCTGATGAAACAATTTGTGGGATGGATATGATATGGCAATTCGGTGGAGTTTCGAGGTCAGCGTGATGGTGGAGGCTACGTCAGATGTCAAAAATAGGCGCCATGTTAGCTGCAGGGGTACCAAGCCATGCTTCTGTGGTTCGCACATCAGGTGCCCGCATCGTGACCAGGTACAGCCGCTTTCTTCGCTGGACTGCCGAAGCAACCTCCTGGCCATATTCCGTGTTTCGGTGGCTACAGTACCTAGACATGTACATCTCGGGGTGGTCAGATATCGACGCGTAATAGCGGTGCACCGCCCAGGTACGACAAGCCCGCTCCAGCCAACATTACAACCCCGAACCAACTTGGAAGACGGGTGTCGCTCACCACCCGCGACAGGACAAACGCCTCGAATGCCCTGCGACAATGTCCCAAGAGGGAGAGCCTCCGAGCGGAGGTATTCGCAGACGGCAGTCCCATCACGACGATGAGGATCTCGGCTTGCCGGCGCAAGGCTCTGGCTCTGCCACCGATACCGTGGCCTCGCCGTACAGCATAGAACTCCCACAGCGCTCCGCTACAGACCCCGACGCCGCACCCGCCTCTCAATCCTCGGCACTGGAAGGCTTTTCGAGACCGTCGATATCGCGTTTATCCTCAGACGCATCGCCGCGAGTCCGCTTCTCCACCGATATCGAACCACATGGCGCGGCACAGAAGTCGAGGCCGGAGACGGCAGGAGGCTCAATTGATGGAATTGCGCTGGCGGGGAAGGGCGTGGGCTCGAAGAAGCGCCCTGGTACCCCGGACCTCACTATCGATACCCGTGAGCTTTCTGCTGGAGGCTCGTCGGCGCCAATTCAGGAAACCGTTGCTTCACCTTCACGACTGTCCCCGCTTTCACCGCGTAGTACAGGGAGAGCTTCTCCACTGTCGCCGACGAATCGATCCCGCGGATACTCGCTACGCAGCGCGCTTTTCAGGAAGAACGTTCACGACCAGGCGCAGTCGCCGGGATCCTACATCGAGTTGGAGGAGAGCCCAGCCTCTTCAAGGCGCCAGGCACAAATGGATGGTTCAGGCGACGATGATGCAATTGACAAAGCTGGCGATGCAACCGTTACAATCTCTCCGGCCCAAAGGGATTATGCCTCCAAGACGAAGCTGGGGAAGGGAGCCATTGCGCTTCCAAACTACGACACATGGCTCCAAACGAAGGAGAAGAGGTCCGGGTATTTGCACCGCGCTCGCGCTTTTGGTGTCCGCGCAAAGAAGTTCGTTCTCCGGATCAAGGACATTCCACCAAGCAAAGATGGGCGACACATCGACTTGGATCCTTCGAGGAGAGAAGCCCTCACTGATGAGCGAACCAAGCAGCCATACATTACCAACTGGATAAGGTCCACCCGTTACTCCGCCTGGAATTTCGTACCTCGCCAGCTGATCGCCCAGTTCTCGAAACTAGCCAACTTCTACTTCCTCTGCATTTCCATCCTTCAACTGATACCCGGTCTTAGTACGACAGGAACATTCACGACCATTGTCCCGTTGATGTTTTTCGTGGCTCTTTCGATAGCCAAGGAAGGCTATGATGATCTGCGAAGGTACCGGCTCGACAAGGCTGAGAACAACAGGGAAGCCAAAGTACTGCGGGCCAACAAGACTCCTCGTGACTACCTTAGCGAGGACAGCCGAAGCTCGCCATCGATTGGAGAACTCAACTGGGAAGCGATCAAGTGGCAGGACATCCATGTGGGTGATATCATCAAGCTTGAACGAAACGACGCAGCGCCAGCGGATCTTGCCCTCCTGCACACCAGCGGAGACAATCATGTTGCCTATGTAGAGACCATGGCACTGGACGGTGAAACGAACCTCAAGAGCAAGCAGACAACGGCATCGCTTTCGAATGCTATCGACAGCCAGGAGGATATCCTAGGTTGCGCCGCCCACTTCGTTGTCGAAGACCCCAATCAAGACTTGTACAACTTCGAAGGGCGGGTCACGGTAGATGGCAAGACTGCCCCGCTGACTCTCAATGAGATCATCTTCCGTGGCAGCATCCTGAGGAATACTCCTGATGCTGTTGGCCTGGTGATCTACTCGGGTGAAGAATGCCGCATCCGAATGAATGCGAACAAGAACCCCCGCATCAAGGCTCCGGCACTCCAGTTCCTTGTCAACCGTATCGTTGTTCTTATTGTGGTCTTCGTCCTCGCTCTAGCCATCTTCAACACGGTAGCCTACAGGATCTGGCGCGGCAAGGAGGATGACCTTTTCTACCTATCCGGACAGTCTGTTCCCTTCTTCCCAAACCTGACGTCGTTCATTATCATGTTTAATACCATGATCCCTCTATCGCTGTACGTCAGCTTGGAAATCGTCAAACTTGCCCAGATGTTCTTCCTCCATGCCGATGTCGACATGTACGATCCGGTCTCGGATACTCCTTGCGAACCTAGGACATCGACTATTAATGAGGAGCTAGGACAGATCAGCTATATCTTCTCAGACAAGACCGGGACCCTTACCGACAATTCAATGAAGTTCCGTAAGATGAGCGTAGGAGGAGCATCGTGGCTTCATAACGCTGATTTGCAGGACCAGCAGAAGAAGAAGCTCATACATAAGAAGAGGAAGAAGGGGAAACAGCCTGTTAGAAAGAGCGTACGGTCCGCGAAAGACATCGCATCCCCCATCGAACCTACCACGCCCGCCCTTGAAGCCGGCGAGCAAGCCGAAGGTGCGGCAGACAATACACAGGAATCGAAATGGAAATCTACAGCGAAACCTAGCAAATCCCAACGCGAGCTGCTTACTTGGGACATGCTTCGATATATTCAACGAAGGCCGCAGACACCATTTTCGAAGAAAGCGCGTATGTTCCTTCTGTCACTCGCGCTTTGTCACACAGTCCTTCCAGAAATACAAGAAGACGGCAAGACGCATTTCATGGCTTCTTCTCCGGACGAACTGGCACTCGTTCAAGCTGCGCAGGATATGGGCTTTCTTGTGATCAACCGCGACGTACACACCATTACGCTGAAGATCAACCCTTCAGGAACGGGCGTTGAGCCTGTTCAGGAGACGTACGAGGTCTTGGACGTGATTGAATTCTCCAGCAAGCGGAAGAGGATGTCGATCGTTGTCCGCTTCCCCGATGGCCGAATATGCATTATGTGCAAGGGAGCGGACTCCATTGTCATGGAGCGTCTTAAGCTTGCTACTCTAGCCAACAAGAAACAGGTAGAGATAGAACGGCGCGCAAGTAAGAGAAAGAGCATAGAAGCGCAGCAAGCTATTGCGCGAATGAGCGAGCAGCTGGAGCGGAAGAGTAGTATTGGTGGACGGAAGAGCCTCACATTGAGCCAAGCAGCCCGCGCTAGCCTTAGCATGGGAAGGCCTTCATTGGGTAGAGTCAGCATTGGTGGGCTCGCACGACGTAGTACTGGCGGTCCTTCGCTCCCAGCAGTGCGAGATGAGGTAGACCAATGGCTGCGAGAACGGGAGAACGACTTCGAAATACAGTCTATCGACGAGAACAGTCCGATGCAGACGCCGCGGCAATCGGGCTTGGACCGATTTTCCATGGCCTTTTCCGAAGCCAGAAGCTCGATGCAGATGGAGGAGATGGACGAAATGGTCGATGAAAATGTTGCTGCTGATGAGTCCGCAGTCATTGAGCGTTGTCTTCAGCACATCAATGACTTTGCCACCGAAGGATTGCGCACCCTGCTCTACGGCTATCGCTTCCTTGACGAGGACGAGTACTCGATATGGAAGAAGGGCTATCTCGATGCCACCACAAGTCTCGTTGACCGCGCACGCCTGATTGAGGAAGCGGGAGATATGATCGAGCAAGATCTGGAGCTTTGTGCCGCGACCGCCATTGAAGACAAATTGCAGAAAGGTGTTCCGGAAGCCATCGACAAGCTTCGCAGAGCCAAGATCAAGATGTGGATGCTTACGGGCGACAAGCGAGAGACGGCCATCAACATCGGCTATTCGTGTCGTTTAATCAAGGATTATTCCCAGGTCACCGTGCTCGATCATGAGACTGGAGAGGTGGAGCAGAGCATCGGCGCCGCAGTTCTAGCCATCAATCGCGGCACTGTGGCGCATTCCGTCGTTGTCGTTGACGGGCAAACGCTAGCCCAGATCAACGAGGTCGAACCCCTGAAAGTTCTCTTCTTCGATCTGGCGATTCTTGCCGACTCGGTCATCTGCTGTCGTGCTTCGCCGTCTCAGAAAGCAGGGCTTGTCAAGAGCATCCGCAAGCGAGTGAAGAAGAGCATCACGCTGGCTATTGGAGATGGCGCCAACGACATCGCCATGATTCAAGAGGCCCACGTGGGCATTGGTATTACGGGCAAAGAAGGCCTCCAGGCAGCCAGAACGAGCGATTACTCCATTGCACAGTTTAGGTTCCTCACGAAACTCCTGCTTGTACATGGTCGGTGGAATTACGTTCGGACGTGCAAGTATACCGTCGGCACGTTCTGGAAGGAAATGGTATGTTAACCCGCTCCAGCTTGGAGGAATGCCTTACTAATTAGAATATTAGTTATTCTATCTCACCCAGGCTCTTTATCAGCGCTCTGTAGGCTACACCGGAACCTCACTCTACGAATCGTGGTCCCTCTCCATGTTTAACACTCTCTTCACGTCGCTTCCCGTCATCTTCATGGGTATATTCGAAAGGGATCTCGCTGCATCTACCCTACTTGCAGCCCCAGAACTCTACACTAAAGGGCAGCGCAATGGCGGCTTCAACGTTAAGGTCTACCTTGGCTGGATGTTCATGGCGAGCTCAGAAGCCATGGTCGTTTATTTCTGCATGCTGGGTCTATATGGCCAAGCGCTGTTTACGGAGGATAATTCCATCTTCGCGCTGGGCAGCATTACTTTTACGGCTTGCGTGGTGCTCATCAACTTGAAGATGCAGTACGTATTCCTTCTGACCGTAAAAGATTCCGGGAACTGCAGTTACTGATGGTGCACCAGATTCATCGAAACGCACTCGAAAACTCTCACCAACGTCATCGCCCTCGTCCTCTCCATCGGCGGCTGGTTCCTCTGGAACATCATCCTCGCCGCTACCTACAACCCAGCCAGCAAAATCTATTACGTGCGCGACGCCTTCTTTGGCAGCTACGGCCGCTCGCCCACCTGGTGGCTCTGCCTCATCCTCATCCTCTCGTCCGCCCTCGTCTTCGAATTCGGCGTCTCCTCGCTCCGCGCGGCCTTCTTCACTACCGAGGAAGACGTCTTTCAGGCGCTGGAGAAGAATCCAGCGGTTAAAAGGCGGTTCGAGGAGGCAGCGGCCGAGGAGTTGCAGCAGGGTTGGGATCGCAAGACGAATAAGGAGAGAGATGGGGAGGAGAGGGTTAGGAAGGTGGTGAAGGAGCTCGAGAGGAAGGAGGAGGAGAGGAGAGAAGAGGTGGTGAGGGAGCTGTTGAGGAACAGAGTTGACGGTGTGGAGTGGGACGCGGATGTACAGCGCAGGGCGAGCGCGCTGGGGTTGGAGGGTGAGGAGGTGGATCGAATTTTATCAAGGGGATATGGGCGGGTTAGGGGGGATGAGATGGGCCGGACGTGATGTCTTTACGCATGAGCTGATGATTGGTTGATTGATTGATTGATGGCATGGCGTTTTGGGTGCATTGCATCGTTTCTGATACCACGGCATGAAGGCACGCATTTATGTATGTTTTTGTACGTTCACATGGAATATGTTCATATACCAACCACCAAGGCTAAATTGACGTGCCCTCGTTTCTTTTACATACATGCGCACTCTCCCCCCTAAACCCCGCTCCCCACCTCCTGCTCTACATAACCAGCACAAGACAAGACAGAAGGGCACTCACGCGGGAATTCCTCTTATCGCTTTGTTCGTTTATTTGTTTGGCATTCATTCATTCATTGCGTTCGTTACATTCGTTTACCTTACTCCTGATCCGATGTATGTATAAAGATAACAAACTCCTTGTGTATCCCGATCGGAACCCCTCCTACCAAAGAAACCTATTGCCTCCCTTCCCTTCCCTTCCCTCCGCAGCGGAAAAGAAAAAGAAGGAAACGGCAAAATGAAGTTAAGGAAAAAAGCCCGAAAGAGATACCAACGCCCCGTCACTCACACCCCTTGTTATTCTTCGCCGCGCTCAAAAGCCCCTCCACCACAGCCTTATGCCTATCGTGCTCCTTCTTTGCACGCTCCACGTCCTCCTCCTCGCCCTGGAGAGCGCGCTGGATCGCGCCCTCCATCTCTGCAGCTGTCTTCTGCAGCTGGTCGCGCTCGGCTTCAACGCACGAGAGCGACTTCTGCAGCTGGTCACGCTCTGCTTCGAGACAGGCAACCGTCTGCTTCAGCTGGTCGCGCTCCGCTTCGACGCACGCGGCGCGCTGCAGCGCCTCCTCCATCGCGGCAACGGCGTTTTTCAGCTGATCGCGCTCCGCTTCCAGGCACGCGGCGCGCGTTTGCGCATCGTGGAGAGACGACTGCAAACGCTCGATGGCGCAGTTGGCTTTGTCGAGGTCGGCTTGGGCTTGTGCGAGGTCGGAGGTTGCTTTGGCGTTTGCGTCGCGGAGAGCGGCGAGCTCGGCGTTCTTGTCGGCGAGGGCGCAGTCGGCGTCTTTGAGGGCGGCGTCGAGCTCGCTGATGCGCTGTTTAGCGGCGGCGAGCTCGGCGGTGAGCTTGTCGATGGCGCCTTTGGCTTCTTCGAGGCTGCACTGGGTGTTGACGAGCTGGGTGTCCGTGGCGGCGAGGCGAGTCTCGAGCTCGGTGATGCGCGTCTTGGTGCACTCGAGCTCGGTGCGGAGGCGCACCAGGTCTCCGGTGAGGGACTCGATGGTCTTGTCTTTGGCGTCGAGGGCGATGTTTGCGTTCGCGAGCTGCGTCTGGCACGCCGCCAGTTCGTTCTTCGCGGCGTCCTTTGCCGCGCGCTCCACGTCGAACTCTGCGCGTAGGCACTCCAGCTCCTTGTGGTCGAGCCCGTGCAGCTCGTGCTCTTCCACCCAGCGCGCGTGTTCTTCGAGAAGCGCCTTGTCGACCTTGCCCAACTTGTTGCTGAGCTCAGTGATGTTCCTCCTTGCGCGTTCGAGATCGGCACTGAGTCGGCAGTTCTTGTCGCGAAGACGCTTCTCTTCAGCAGCCTCTTTGATGGCCTTGGCTTTCATGTCCTTGATGGTCTGGTCGCGCGCTGCCACCTCTGCTTTGGCGGTCGCCAGCTCGCACTTCGCGGCCTTGGTTTCGGCCTGCGAGGCCTGAAGGGCGTCGCGCGTCTTGTCCAGCTCGACGGAGGTGGCCTCGATAACCTTGCGAAGTTTCTCGATCTCTTCATTGTGCTTCTTCTCATCTATTTCTTTTTGCTACTTGCAGTATCAGCTAGAGCTCTCGAAAGGGGACAGTAAGGGAAATTGGTGCAGACTTACCTTCTTTTCTGCTGCAGCGACTTGTGCAATACGGTCGACGAAAGCATCGGTCCAGGCAATGACATCTTCAAGCTTCTCTGGGAAAGGCAGAGCGTCGGTGACACGGCGCACGTTGCGCTCCACGGTGGGATACTCGCACTCGTACTCCCTCGAAGCCTTGAGTGGCGGATCGGGACGAGGAACTGGGCTTACGGTGAACAGGTCTGGGCCGTCCTCAGCCTCCACCTCCTTGACAATCTTCATGGGTTTTCTGGCCTTGTGTTCGCGCTGCCAGTCTTTCGGGACCGGCATGCTGCACCAGGTAGCTGTGTCGTCGTCATAATCGCCCTCAACCGCTTGAACTACGGGTTGAACGTTGGCTTTGTTGGGAGTGATGACTAGGTCCACCTTGATGGGTACTCCCGTAGCCATGATAATTGACAGCGTGGTAAAGATGAAGTGTAATGAAGTGAGAAGTGCAGAGGACAATTTGCGACCTTCAAATAGCTAGAGAAGAAGTGCTTCGAGAAGCTAAAGCCGGTTGAGAGTGAATCGCAATCGCGTGAGGATCCCGACTATTTATGTTTTCTCGTGAGCTCCTGCTTCGATGATAGATTCTGAACGGCTGAACCTCTGTCGAGAGCCTGGCCCACAGCGGCAGTGCTGTGGAAAGCGCCATGGCTGGATTTCTGCGTTAGGGTATCATGTTCAGCACAGAGTCTGAAGCCATGGCTGCAGAGTTCGAGATATCGTGCGCGGGAAACATTGTTGTGATAGGTAGCAGAGAGAACGATTAGAGCAGCGGAAAGAGGAGACGATTGTTTGCGCTGCGCGCAGCTATCCACTTCTGTCTCAGATCAACGTCCCGTAGCTCTAGACTACAGTATTAGCTGCAAATATAAGCTGCCAGCTCTGAGGCTGGAAGGATCATCGATATCTTCAGTTCCAATGGAGGTCCTGTGGCGGTGACATGGCGTTGTAGAAGTCGATGTGGATGGCCAAGCACTCGCTTGACCTGGTGGGTCCGGACCGTCACCCGCCTCCAGTCTTGGTCTGGCCCACTGTCAGCCCCGCTAGCCACAACTCCAACGTGCAGCAGCTGAACGGTTCTCATCGAGGAAGAGAATGCTACAGTGGGAATTCATTTCAGTCCGCGGAGGCTAAGGATGCAACAAAGGTCCGATTCAGCAAGCCGCCAGAGTTCGTGGCTCAGTCTGGGGACAGCACAGTAGAGCCTCGAAGGCAATGGACTCCTCAAGGCGCGGGATTCCTGCAAGCTAATCTCAGCTTCGCCCTGGAACCATTCACCGCAAGGGCCATTGCGTCTCCTTTCCCATCTTTTCGAGATCTGCGTTGAGGGCGGATGGGCGTCTCATCGTCCAATACACCTCAAGCTCCGGCGGAGGATCCGAGGGTGACAGTTTGTGAATCGGCGTGGGAGGGATTGATGGCGGTGCACTAGTGTCGCCCCATACATCCTCAACGTCGGGCGGCGATACAGTACTGGCGACGCTACAGAGCTGCTGCGAACGTACCGGAGAAAGCGTGCTGATGCTCGCCGCCGTGCTATCCAGACGCTCTCGTTGTGCGCGCAAAGGTGGAGTGTTTTTGTATGAGCGCGGCCAGCGAGACAGCGAGAGGCCGCTGCTGAAGTGTCGGACCCGGTTCGGTGTTGTGGATGAGACGAGGGAGCTGAGGAAGGGCAGGTTCGCGAAGAGGATTGTAAGGGTGGATTCGGCAACGTACCAAATCAGATAGACCGAAGAGGCGGGCCGGGCGAGAACGTAATATCGAGCGAGTATCCCGGACACCAGTACGAAGAGGCCGAGAAGAAGAAGCACGCCCAGAAGAAATCTTCGAGGCGTTGGGATAGAAGGGAGAGGCAGGACAAGGATACTCAGTGTCGTAGCAATGCTGAGGGTGAGTGTGAGGATGGAGTGGTCGCGGTAGCTTGTGCACTTCGCTGTAGGAAGATCAGCGTGCATTTTCAAATGGAATCTCACCGGGATATACCGTTTGTTGGCGCTACAGCCCAGTAGTCTGTTACCGGGAGACACCAGAGCGGCAAGAGAATCAGGATTGCCAGATACGAAAGAAAGCAGAAGGCTGACGCGCATGCAAGGATTTGACGCTTCCTTCTACTGGTAGACCTGGGGTTTTCATGAGTTAGAAGCATGGAAATATCAATGCCACGGAATGAGAGCATACAATATGCGTCGATAGAGGATCAAAAGGCAAGTTTTTACCAGCCAGCTCGTCGTTACTTGCAGTTCTTCGAGCGCAAATCGCATCTTCAAGGCTGCAGTAGTGCCGAGCACTGTGGGCTCTATATTGGAGATAGCTCCATTCGCGCAGAAGACGGTGCCCGTGAATGGGATCTGTGTAATCTTTTAGTCACGTGACCAGAGACCGCACTGCCCTAACGGCATCCGGAACTGCGGTTGGGTTTGGGACACACACTAGGACAAGGACCATCATCCAGTCGTCCAGTTGAAGGCCAGCGAACGATCCCAGAGTGATGGCACGAGAGATTCTATGCTCCGTCAGCGGCATGCCATGAAGTGCCGTATAGGTAGCCGAACGAACGTTCGCGAAAGTATTAAACAGGCTCCTAGCGCATAAAGAGTCCACGATCCTACAGCCAGAGCGGTAGCAGAGGTCGACATGAGGAAGACAGGAAGTATAGAGAATGATAAAGACTGGAGGAGACCCGGGAAAATGTATGTGAAATCGCTCATGAAGACTCCTCAACGTGTCAAATAGATGCGTACCTCAATGAAAGAGAGACAAAACTGACACATGGCACGAAAACGGTATCGTATTCCCCTCCTGCAGTGTTGCTGTGTCTAAGAAAAAAGCATTTTTGGCAAGCCCAGCGGCGTCCGACCCCGACGCGATGTGCGCGCATGAATGGCTTGGGCGGACCTGCGGGCCACGCTTGAAACGGTATAGACAGCATGTGGATCATATTGGCGGATACATGCTGGCGGTGCGTGTTAAAAGACAGTATGCTTTGGTTTGTTGGGAAGAGCCATGGAGATGCTTGTGCGGAAAGATTTTGGCCGAGGTTGGAGGGGTCGGGCAGCACGAAAAAAAGCCACCACGACAACACCACGCGTCATCCTGATTGGACCTGACCAGCCGTCTCCATGAGCCCGGAGACCCGTTCCTGTCCCTGATCGGCGGGACAAGCGAGCTGGGGGCTGATCCGTCTCAGGGACAGCTCGTGCTGCCGTGCTCGACGGCGTGGGATGGTCGATGTCGTCGTGGGGTCTCCGGATTGCGATTCCTACCTCAGAGCACGGCATTCTCTCTGTATATGAGGATACTGGAACCGTCTTACCTATTGCAAGAGTTAGTCGCGGTCACAGCCGTTGGAGAGTAGAAAAGAAAAGATCTAGCCTGATGGTCAGTACCTTCGTATTTGGTCTCACCGCATCCCCACAACGAACGCTAGGCATCCCAGCCATCCGGAACTACCCATGCCATCACTAGCATGCACGCCAAGAGCGCGATAAGATCTCTCCGCATCTCTGATGGGCCCAATCTCACATCAATTTCAGGGCAGCCAGCCACTTCGCCCCCCCTGGACCATAACCCACCAGAGGTATGGCATTGCCTCAAGGAACCCCTTCCTCCTTCTCAACTACCAACTTCGACTATCTTATCGTCGGCGGTGGGACAGCCGCTCTCGTCATTGCCGCCCGCCTGAGCGCCATTCCAGCCATCACGGTAGGCGTGTTAGAGGCGGGCCCGAAATCTTTCGCGGACCCATTCATCACGGTGCCTGGGCGCTTTGGCGAGGCGCTAGGCGGGCACTATGATTGGAAATTCGAGACGGTCCCTCAGCCGGGCTTGAACGGGAGGAAGCTGCCGTGGCCGCGCGGGAAGGTCCTTGGAGGCACGAGCGCCGTAAACTTCATGACTTGGACGAGGGGTAATCGGGAAGACTACGATGCTTGGGAGGCGCTGGGCAATGCGGGTTGGGGGTGGGATGGCACGTTGTAAGTTGCCGTCCCGATCTCCGAACTTGCATGCTGCATTCACCCTGCAATCGGTCCCGCGTAGCCTGCGATCTGCCACCGTGTTTCAGTCCAGTCTGCATCTCTTCAGTTCATCTCAGCTCGCTTAGAGTCTTGCAGATCGACGCAGAGGGATCGCCATTAAGAATGGGAATTATAACGCCCATGCTGACCGATCACTGACCTATCAATAGGCCCTTTTTCAAGAGAACCGAGACTCTGCACCAATCAAGCGTCGAGCACCAGCTCCGACACCAATCACACTTCGCAGCTGAGCACCACGGCACGGATGGCCCCATCGCTACCGTTTACTCAACAGAATATTCCGTCCCGCACCAGCACTGGCACTCCACGCTAGAGACGCTGGGCCTGGAGACGAACAGAAGCCACTTCTCCGGGTCAAATATTGGCGCGTTCACCACGCTGACCAGCGTTGATCCTACGGCACGGACGCGTGTCTCGTCGGCAACGGCATACTATCTGCCGAATGCCGCACGGCACAACTTGCACGTGCTCGCGGAGGCCACAGTGCAGAGAATTGAGATAGAGCAAAGAGATGGCGAGCGGGTCGCTACGGGCGTAGCATACGCCTGTGGGGATGAGACGTATGTTGCGAAGGCTTCTTGTGAAGTCATCGTCTGCGCTGGGAGCGTCCAATCACCACAACTCCTCGAATTATCGGGCATAGGCAGCCCTGAGATCTTGGAGGCAGCCGGCATTCCTGTCAAAGTCGCCAATCTCAACGTCGGCGAGAACCTGCAAGATCACATGAGTCCGTGGTCTCTCTACACAGTCATATCATAACAAGTTCTAATTGAGAGCAGTGACTGCCATGATATACGAACTCGACCCAACACTGACCGGCCCCGATGAAATCCGCGCCTCCCCCGCCCTGGCAAAAGCCGCGCAAGAAACATACGACAGCTCCCAATCAGGCCCATACACAATGCTACCCTGCGCCCTCAGCTACGCGTCACTGCCCCAAGTCATACCAGCTGCTACTCTTGATTCCATCCTCTCCCATCTGCCTTCCCCCCAAACTCCGCGCGACCGTATCCTCGCAAAGCAATTCTCGTCCGCAAAACGCGGCCAAATAGAATACCTCTTCGACATCGGCAACTGGTCGCCGTACTTCAAGCCCGAACAAGGCAAAGTCTACGGCACCATGCTCATGATGCTGCAACTCCCGCTCTCAAAAGGCAGTATCCACATCTCCTCGCCCTCCATCCACGACAAACCGACCATCGACCCGAAGTACTTCGCCGGCCCCGGCGGAGAGCTAGACTTCGCCATCATGGCGCCGACGCAGCGCTTCGCGGACAAAATATGCCGCACTGCGCCACTATCCAGCATCATCCAGCGCCGGGTCTTTCCGCCGGAAGAAGCCCCAGAAGAAGACTTTGCGTCCTGGGTCCGCGATACTGCGGTTACGGATTGGCATCCTATCGGGACGTGTGCGATGGGCGGGCATGGGGGGATTGAGACGGGGGTCGTGGATGAGAGGTTGAGAGTATATGGGGTGAAGGGGCTGAGGGTTGCGGATGCGAGTATCATGCCGCTGCATATTTGTTCGCACCCGCAAGCTACGGTATATGCGATAGGGGAGAAGGCTGCGGATTTGATATTGGAGGATCGGGGATTATGACGGGCGGGTATGGTCATGGGAAGAGATCATGTGCGTATATGCTGCTTCAGGACTTATTTTAGACAGTGACGGTCGATTATCGAGTGCCAGTTCGGCGGCATGTTTACATTATAAGGAGGGAAGGATCGAGCCTATTCATAAGGGGTCCGTGCAGTTGTCAGAGAGCCGGACGTACACTGCCGCGTTCATCTTCCTCCTCGTCCGTCGCTTACGACTGATTGATTGATTGATTTTTCTCGTTTTAAGTCACCAACCTGTAGAGGTTATGCTAACTACGCCTACGCACAAAAGAACTCAAAAGACGCTAATATTAAGAGAAGAGAACAAGGTATTACAGAACCACGGCGAGGGCATAAGTCGACAGATGCCGGAGTCTTTTGACAGCGGCATCCACAACATCTCCATCTCATCTCGAGCAAGATAGGTACTACCCCGCGCAGCGCCTTCCTTCACAGTTTTGGCACTCGCCACTCACCTGCGGCCTCGCCCACATAAAAAGTTCTCTCACCCGAATTTATTATTACTATATATATTATTTAAAAGTACACTCCCATCACTAACAACAGGTACTACGGCAAAATCGGAGAGTTGTGCGAGGCTACGCTTAGCGTAGTTAGATGTACCGGTCCATCTTTGACAATTAGGTCCCTCAAACAACTAGCTATTCAGGCCAGAGTGGCATTAGTCCTTCAGCTCTCGTTAGTCCACCGGGGACTCTGACAAGTTAAGTCGCCTTGAATACCTAAATTCGATTTTTTGCACTTTTTTTTATGTCGAGGGTTCGAGCGTGGGTGGTGCTAGGGTCTTTTTGCTTTTTGCCTTTTTTTTGAGGGGTTGGAAGATTGGAAGTAGCGTGGCTAAGAAATGGTGTCTCTCAGAACACAACAATGAGATAATGCAAGGCGAGAGGTTCTAAACGTTGGCCGCGGCATTTGGTGGAGCTGACAGCTGCAGAGCTGAAGACTCCCTATGGTCCCGGCGCCTCTCCCCTTAGGGCTTGATACATCTCATACCATTACGCAGACCACGCCCACTTCGTTCAAGGTAAGACCAGCAATCTCGTCGAAGCCCTTACACCTGCTTTGCCCGCTCTTCCATAGCCACGGCCTGATTGATGAAGTCTTTGATCGTCTCCCTAAACGACCGGTACACCACTCCCAACTCCCTCGCCGCCGTGTCCCCATCCAAATCGTGACTATCATCAATCTCCTGCTGCTCTCCTCTCGCCACCCTTTCCTTACCCCAAGGAAACTCCTCTTCGATGATCTCTCTGACTAGCCCGTACGAGAACTTCTCCGGACTCGCAACCGTATACCTCTTGCCGCCTACTTCCGACCTCAATAGCGCTTCGACATGCACAACCGCAAGATCACGCACATCTACCCAGAACGGCACCCGGGCTACAGACAACGCTTTCCCGCTCGCGACCTTCCATAGGTTGGCATTCGATTCGTTTAGCTCAGAGAGCTTGGAGACAGGATGGCAGATTGGTCCAAAGGTCATTGGCGGACAGAGAGTGACGATGTCGAAGTGAGGTTTGCGCTCTTTGACGAAGTTCCAAGCTTCCAGTTCGGCGAACTTCTTGGAACCGCGGTATGCGACGACGGCGCTGGTTTCTTTCGCAGTGGACACTGCGTATGAGAGGGGATTCCAGTCTGAGGCCGTGTAGGTGAAGCGTGGTGGAGCTTTTCGGTTAACATCCATGACCGCGGCGAAGGACGAGGTGATGACTACTCTCTTTACATTGGGGCTGGCGGCCGCTGCTTGCATTACTGCTCTAACGCCTTGGATCGCCGGAAGGATAAGCTCTTTCTCATTGTCTTGGACTGCATAGCTGAATGGACTCGCAACGTGGATTACACCGTCGACTTCCTTGACTGCTTCTTCAAAAGACGCTGCTTCGGAGAAATCGCCGACTTGCACGATGTCTAGATCGGCGCCGTATTGAGGCCGCGCTATCTTCAGAAGCTCGCCCTTCTCGAGGCTTCGGGTGGCCGCTCGGACTTTGCATCCTCTGCGCAGTAGCTCATCGACTACGTGAGCGCCGATGAAACCCGTCGCGCCTGTGACGAGTACATAAGGTGGTGTGGACAACATCCTTGAAGTTGCAATAATAGAATTCGGACTCTCTGGTAGGACTTGAATTGGTCTTGCACGACGACGGTGATAGTATTTAGGTAGTTTCGGGCTGGGGTACGGCAAAGCAAGTCGTCTGAGGTTAGAGGTTAGAGCGAGGGAGATCGACATGCTCTCATACAGGGGTTTAAGCGGCAATTGTGTCCGACCCTGATTGGACGGCGAAAGTCATTGGTGTAGCCCCCGGTCGGGCTCCTGTGAGTACGCATCAAGTTGGGTGTAATACTCGTCGAGAGCGCATTGATGGAGAGCTCCAGGAACTGGGATGCGGCGAATAGAGCCATTGATGCGTTCTGCGACGGACATAGATGGGAAGGGTGGTCAATGAGGATATATGGGAGTCATCCTAGACTCGGGTGCAAGTATACCGACGTGACTAGCGATTGGGGACCTTGCGAAGACCCCAAAATGGTGCAAGTACTCACCTCGTCAGCGCTGGACATAGCTCTCAAACATAGACGACTACAAGTATACGTTCGGAAGGATTCTAGGCACAAAGGGAGGGTCCTGGCTTCCACGTCATCGACTGAGGCTAACTGAATTTAGTGGAGGGACCACGCCTAAGTGTTACATCCTATCGATGTTTTCTCTATCGTACCTCTGTTTTCGACTGACATCAACCTAGCCAACTGAATGAGGATAGCTGCGAAACTCGCTTCCTGTGCAAATGCTTTCCTTCTCATCCCCTCCCGATTTAGAAGGAGCTAGCTAAGGAAAGCTGAGAGGTTGACCGAGAAGAGGACTGCTGCTTGAGATGCAAGTGTAGCTTACTCTGTCCCGACCATAATGCTAAGAGCTCATTGGTGATGCTGAATTGTTGCATTCTATCAATGCGCTAAGCTTCTATTTGCGGCGGTGCAGAAGGGCGTAGTGGCTTCACCAGAAAAGGTAGGTGCTCGGCGTTGAACGGGAAGGAGGAGTGAGGACGGGGGAAGCGGCGATGGGGAGGAGATCTTGGCAGAACTAACGCACGTGCCCACAACGCGTCGGGTGCCCGCAAAGCTGCACGTCGGCGCCCGCAGAAACAACATCATCCACGATTGTCGCGCCACCACTGCGCGTCCACACCCACTGCTCCACCCAATACAGCATCGCGCAACTGACACGAGTACGGTGGTCGTGATGTCAGAAGCCGCCGACATCACATCTTCAGCGCCGCGGCGCAGATCTGGACGCGTAACCAAAAAGCCAGAGCAATTCCACCCCGAAACCAGCCCGGCCGGCAGCGCAAAGCGGAAACGGAGCGAGGAGAACGACACTGATACCGAGCGCGATGAGCCCACCTCCGAGGACGAACCGTCGCAAAGCAGCGAGGGCGAGCCTGATGAGGAGGAATTGAGGGAGCGGCGTCGAACCAAGAAGCGTGCTCCTGCCGCCAAAAAGCCTCCGCAGAAGAAACCTAAGACCAATGGCGAGATTGTTGGCCTTGCGATTCGACCCGCGACGAACGCGCCGAAGAAGCCCAAGAAACCGCGGAAAGCGCCTATTCGCAAGAGCGCCATCGTCGAGGACGCTGATGGGGGGCTGTATGGTAAGTTCAGCGTAGGCCGTTAGTGGATTGGGATAATAGCTAACTATGCTGCAGCTGAAATCTTTGGAGGCGGAAACAGACCGGAGGATGTCGCGGCGGAATGGGTTTCCAGATTCCACGAGCATGAAGCGAAGGCCGTGGCCGAACTTGTCAACCTTGTCATTCGGGCTTCTGGATGTCATCTTCAGATCGATGAAGACGATATCGGCGACCCGGATAATTGCCCAAATAGGCTGGCAGAGATCCAAGATGAATACGCCGGTGTAGGTGTTGACTGCAAACCCCCCCTCTCTCTCTGCGCGCGCTGACACCGAATAGGAGCAAGTCACCGACTATCCCCTCGAGGGGAAATCGCGAGGCGCTGTCGCCTTCAGGAACGCGCTGCACGGCTTCTTCGTTGTCCTTATACAGACTATTGCACGGACGGGGCTTATGTACGAGAACAACCAGCTCATCGAGAACATACAGGTGTGGATCTGCACCATGTCCTCTGCGACAAATCGCCCGTTCCGACACACAAGCACTGTGGCCGCATTGGCCGTCACCACGGGGCTGGCGCAAGTTGCAAGCGACCTGGCGGAGAACGCGGCCAGGATGATGCGCCAGAAAGAGACGGAGGCTAAGAAGTCGCGCGCGAATAAGTCGCGTATCTCGACAATTGACAAGGAAGTCGCGGAACTGAATCAGAAACTGGAGCACGTGGATGCGCTTATTACCGACTGGTTCGACACTGTCTACGTACACCGGTACCGCGACGTGATGGGCGTGATCAGGGTTGAGTGCTGTGACGCCATCTCTGAGTGGATTATGACATATCCCGACAAATTCTTCGACGGAACACACCTCCGCTATCTAGGCTGGATTCTCTCGGATACGAGCCACGAGACGCGCGCAGAAGTGTTGAAGCAGCTTTCGAAGCTCTTCCGCGACAAGGACAAACTTGCCGGGCTGAAGACTTTCACGGAGCGCTTCCGACCCCGCATCGTCGAAATGGCCACACGAGACGCCCAAACCAACATACGGGCTGCCGCGGTGGAGCTGCTGGATATTCTGCGAGAAGCTGGCTTTTTGGAGCCTGACGACATCGACACTGTAGGAAAACTCATTTTCGACTCTGAACCGAAGGTCCGCAAATCGGTTGTGGGCTTCTTCGCGGAGAACGTCAGCGCCGCCTACGACCTCATAATAGACGACATGGGAGGCCAAGAGGCTCTGGATGAGGCACTCGCTCCTCCAGACGACGACGAAGAATATGAAAATCCTAGACTGGAATGGCTCAAGATGAAATGCCTCGTTCAGCAGCTGCTAGCATACGACGAAGATACGGGACTACCTTCGCAGATCGAGCGCATCACCCCTTATGGCGCAGAGCTCGGCCTGGTAGCGGCTGGAGTTGAGTCGCGTTTCTCGCTCGCTGCTCAAGCATTATACAACACCATTCCTGAGGTCAGGTCTTGGGAAGTGTTAGCGGGCTATTTGTTGTACGACCATTCGCAAACTTCCACAAATGCCGCGGGCGAGGACGCTGAGATGATGCTCCGACAAAATTGCAAGCTTGAGGAGAACGAAGAGACAGCGCTCCTCGACGTCCTCAATGCTACCGTAAGGATGCGGCTACAGCATCTAGCCGAGGCACAGAAAGACAAGAAGAAAACGAAAGCGCAACGCGAAGCACTGAAGGTGGAACAAGAAGATACTGCTAAGAGGCTCACGGTTTTAATCCCTCAACTGCTCAAGAAGTTCGGCGCCCTGCCAGAAGCCGCTGCCTTGTGCCTCAGGCTCGAGCGAGAGCTCAATCTTGATGTTTTTCAAGAGCTGCGCCAAAACACATCACTAACAGCGTTGCTGGATGATATCAACAAGCAATTTCTTACTCACCACAACGAACGCGTCCTCAGCGAAGCGATTGGGTCCATACTACACGCCCAGGGCAATGACGAACTTAAGGAGCTAGTTGGAATCAAGATCCAGGCACTGTGGGACGACTTGAGCGGCACTTTCGATGCGCTTCGCCGCGGCAGAGATTTCTCAGTTCGCGGAAACATCGAGCAGAACATCCTAGCGGGCGTGTCCAACATCGTCCTGAAAATGTCAGAGCTAGCCAAAGCCGCGGAACCCACCGTTCTGGACCAGATTGCCGCACCAACCAAGTCGAGGAAGCAAAAGGATGCAGCGCTTACAACACCGCCGATCTCGTCATTGCTTCGAATCTTAGACCGGGGAGTACCAAGCGCGGATACTGACGCCGAAACGGACGAGGCGGAAGACGCACTTGTGCGGCATACCATGTCTTTGATGCTACTCTACTTCCTATGGAAGTGCAGACACTTTTCAACAAGCATCGAGGCAGGCACGCGAATCGTCGACAATCACCTTACGGCTGTTGCGGAACGGAGAGATGCGTGTGTCATGGCACTGATGCGAATCATGGAGAGCAGGAAGGGCGCTGATGAGCTGAGGGTTGAAGCAGCGAACTTGCTGCTTGATGTGTACACCATGTTCCGCGCTCTCAAGGCTATGAAGGCGAAGACGAGCAAAGCCTCAAAGCGGCCGAATGGGCGCGCCGTCGACGAGTCGAACGACGACTGGGAGGCACTCTGCCAAGACATCGATGAGCCTACATCTAAGCTCCTTGCTCAAATCCTCACCGCCTTGGAGAACAACCTGGCGAAGCGCACCCGCAAGCGTCTGGAAGAACCCGACGTGGATGACGATCCCATCGACCCGGATGAGGAGCCGGAAAGCAGCGGCGACGAAGGCGACGACGACGAATCAAGTCAGAAGCAGGTGCGCGCACTGTTGGCTGAAGAGCGACTCTGCACGTTCGGTAGCCGCCTCGTGCAGGGCGTCCAAGCGGGCACGCTTGATTCTGACGGCAAGAACGATGTTCGGAAGCGCTTGGAGAGGAACAAGACGAAGTTGACACACACTTGGAAAGAGGTGGTCGGCCATCTAGACATCAATAAGTTCGCCAAGGGCAAAGGTGGGAAGAAGGCCCAGCCTATCAAAGAGACCGCGAAACCGACTAAGAGCAAGGAGATTGTCATCGAGGATGAGGAGGAGGAAGAACAGGAGCAAGAGGAACAGAGAGATCAGGATGAGGAGATGGCGGAGGCTGAACTGCAGGTCAACGGCGAAGAGGCTGGCGCGGCTGAGGAGAACGGGGCCGCGCTAGAGTCGCTGGAGCACGAGAGCGTGCTGGGCGATTGAGCATCGCCTCGGCGATATCTTGTTGATTCTTTATTTCATGCACATGGTTCGCTATAGGGAATTTACGAGACTTGCGGCGGTTATACCTTTCTGTGGTCTGGGACCATCTGGCGTTTTCATGATGACGGTATTATGGCGACAGGCCTTCCCAAGACGGGCAAGGAACGCACTGGATAGTGAGGATTTCTTAGATTCCTACGTAGGTAGTACGATACGCTTCCTGGCCGCGGGTGTATGTGGGCAATGTAATGGCTATAGTTCGTGCTTCTTTTCCCGGCTACAAGCGCTTTCCGCTGTTTGACTCAGACCTCCCAGGCACTCACGTCATTCTGAACACCATACCTAGCCACGCGGTATAAACGACGTTAAGGGCCCGTGATGCCAAGACCGTATCGCCGAATAAGTCCGTTGACAGGTCGAACAGATGCACGCGAAAAGTCTCGCAACAGCCGTGGTGGCGACCGACGGGATAGTGACTAGTTGAACGAGCTGATGCTCTTCCCTTCTACCACATCTGCGAAAGAGAGACTTACAGCACCCGCATTCCGATTGCTTGCTCTTTATCGATAGCGTCGACGTGTAGCCGCGCCTAAATCGGCTCGCACTAGTCGCGTCATCCTGGACCTCCGCCCATCGCTGCAGCTTCAGCATTCAACACACCCCAGCCTCCCCTCCAATGTCCTCGAATTCGGGCGACAGGAAACGGAAGCATTCGGGCAAGACCATCAAGGAACTCTTCACCACCCAGCAGAAGCCGAACACGTCCGCCACAGCGCCCATCTCGCCGTCGAGCAAGCGTGCGAAGCTTGATAGCTCCAACAACGGGTCTGCCGAGGCCGCTCCCTCTCCGCCTGCAACCGCCGCAATGAGCGCCGCAAACATGTATCACTTTCCCAGCAAAAGGGCGGATATACCGAATAATGCGGAGATTGTGGACATAAGCTCGAGTCCGGACGCCAGCCCCGCGAAGCCTAACGGGCAGCGGAACGGCATGCGCAAGACGGCGCCGAATATGCATGCGAATGCCGGGCCGAAGAAGCTGCTGGTGAAGAATTTTAGGCCTACGAGGAAAGTTGATCCAAAGGTGTTTCTCGACCAGACGTGGCAGAAGGTGGATGCCGCGCTGGAGACCATCTTTCGACAAGGCGAGATCAACTTTAGCCTTGAGGAGCTGTATCGCGGCGTGGAGAACCTGTGTCGGCAGGGGCTGGCGCAGGATGCGAGGGATAGGCTGGTGACGAAGTGTAAGGGATATGTGGGGGGGACGCTGAAGGAGAAGGTCAAGGAGGCGTTGGGTAGGAAGAATGTTGAGGTTCTGAGGGCTACCCTGCAAGCTTGGACTACATGGAACGACCAGATGGTAAGCCCTATATGACAGCAGCGACCGGTGTTCCACAAGGCTGACAATGTTAGAAATACGTCGACTGGATCTTCTGCTACCTCGACCGCGCGTTTCTACTCCCGAGACAAGAGTCGCTCCACGACATCGCCGTCGACCTTTTCCGCTCCATCGTATTCGAACATCCGAAGCTCAATCATCGCATCGTCGATGGCGCCTGCGATCTGATAGCTGTCGACCGAGCAGGCGAGGATCTAGATCGGGAAATGTTCTCCAAGGTGATCAAGATGTTCCACGAGATGCAGGTTTACACAAAACATTTCGAGCCGCGCATGCTAGAGCTCAGTCAGACGTACGTCAAAGAGTGGTCAGACGCCGCTAGCGCGGAGCAGACGTTGCCCCGATACGTCAAGAGCGCGCTGGAGCTCATGAAGAAAGAAATGGCGAGAGTGGAGATCTTCAGGTTGGACGGTTCGACTCGACGGGATCTGCTTACGCTACTAGAGGACCACCTCATCTCACGAAAAGAGTCGAGATTAAGTAGGCAACAACTCCCTATTGTTCTAAGCACAGTACTAACACGCTCTGTAGCTAACCAGGACGAACTCGCCGAACTCCTTGAAGATAATGCCGTTGAAGATCTAGAACTTTTATACACTCTGTTTGAGCGCCGCAAACTTGGTGCCAACCTTCGAACAGCATTCATGAAGTGGATAGACGACACCGGCACCGCCATCGTTTTCGACGAGAAAGAGCAGGATAGCATGGTTATCAAGCTGCTATGCCTCAAACGCCAGCTCGATACGATTTGGAAGTTCTCCTTCCACCGCAACTCAGATTTAGGCCACGGTCTACGTGAAGCTTTTGAGGGGTTCATGAACAAGACCAAGAAATCTAGTACGACCTGGAACACAGACAACTCGAAGCCCGGCGAGATGATCGCCAAGTATGTGGATATGCTATTAAGAGGGGGTGCTAAGGCCATCCCGGCGCAGCTAACTCGCAAGGCCGACAAACCGGCTATGCCAGACGCTGAGGAGGATAATGAAGATGTGGTGTTTGACGAGGACACGGAAGTCAACAACCAGCTCGATCAGGTCCTCGATCTCTTCCGATTCGTTCATGGGAAGGCGGTGTTCGAAGCTTTCTACAAGAAGGATCTTGCCCGTCGGTTGCTTATGGGCAGGAGCGCCAGCGCTGATGCGGAGAGGAGTATGCTGGCGCGACTGAAGACTGGTAAGAATTCTCTACCCTCATTACAATGATCTGTACGAGTCACTAACGTCGTAATAGAGTGCGGTGCCGGCTTTACCGCCAACCTAGAACAGATGTTCAAGGACATCGAGCTGTCTCGCGAGGAAATGGCGTCCTACAAGATGATATGCGAAGAGCGGAATGAGAAGCACGCTATCGCTATTAACGTCAACATTCTTTCTGCCTCATCATGGCCGACATATCCTACCGTGCCCGTTGTCATACCACCGGAGATCAAGAACGAGATCGACAAATTCGAGAGACACTACAAGGCGAAGCACTCCGGTCGCAAACTAGACTGGAAGCATGCGCTCGCCCACTGTCAAGTCAAAGCCAAGTTTCCAAGAGGTAATAAGGAGCTAGTAGTGTCTTCCTTCCAGGCCATCGTTCTTCTACTCTTCAATGGGTTGAAGGAGGATGAGCACATTGACTACAACTATTTGAAGGAAGCCACTGGCCTACGTAAGTACCCCCGACAGTCTCAACAGAGTTATCGCTAACTAAACACAGCACCTGCTGAACTAAACCGTACCCTCCAATCCCTCGCCTGCGCCAAACTTCGGCCCCTGACCAAACACCCCAAGGGCCGGGATATCAACCCAACCGACACATTCACCCTCAACGCGCACTTCACCGATCCAAAATATCGCATTAAAATCAACACGGTCCAGCTCAAAGAGACCCCCGCCGAGAATAAAGAAACACACGAGCGCGTCGCTGCCGACCGCAACTACGAGACCCAGGCTGCTATTGTGCGGATTCTCAAGGCGAGGAAAAGGATTGCGCATTCGGAGCTTGTCGCCGAGACAATTAAGGTTACGCGGAGTAGGGGGACGCTGGATGTCGCAGGCATTAAGAGGAATATTGATCGTTTGATTGAGAAGGAGTTTTTGGAGAGGGAGGACGATGGGAGCTACAGTTATATTGCGTAGAAGGTGTGGGTGGGGCGGGTAGGAAAGGGGAAGCAGAGGCAAGAAGAGAGCGTAGCACGGTGTGAATTTGCATACGGATGGCCTACCTGGATAGTATATCAAGGGTAGTCTTGGATGTTGCAGTGCAAATATTATGAAACATGATAGACCGAACGCCTCACAAATCTTCAAATCCGCAACAAATGCGGACAACTGCTGGAAGAATCAGTGGAGGGTATACTGCACGGACCAGTCGTTCTCCGGACGAAATTCGCACGTGCTAGCGTGCACTTGCCCCGCCACCGCCACGTTGTGGCACCGTGCAACCGCGAAGCTTCGAGATTCATACGTCAACAGCTGCCTGCCCGCTGTTCACATAAGACCGCGCCTTCGCTCCCTACCAGACGTTATTCCCTCGAACCAGCGAGCGATCTGTAGCGAGCACTTCTAGAGCAATCCTTCTGCACGTTAAAGCGCATACCGAATGCCTCGATAGCACCAACTCTACAACCCCGAAACTTCTCCAAAATGGATGTCCAGCTCTACGTGTACGACCTCTCCCAGGTAAGCTCCTCCGTCACCTACTCCTGCTTCTTACGCTGACACCTAGTAGGGTCTTGCACGTTCCCTCTCCCAGCAATTCCTCGGAACCCACATCGACGCCGTATACCACACCTCCATCGTCCTCGACAACATAGAATACTACTTCGGCGCGGGAGTTCAGACATGTCGCGCAGGCGCCACCCACCATGGCAAGCCCATGGAGGTCATAACCCTCGGCCAAACCGCGCTCCCGCTTGAAATCATCCTGGAATATCTGGACAGTCTGAAGGGCGTGTACTCTGCTGAGAGTTACGACCTCTTCCTGCACAATTGCAATAATTTCTCGAATGATTTTGCCATGTTTTTGGTGGGAAAGGGCATCCCGGAACATATTACGAGTCTGCCGCAGACGGTGCTGGATACGCCGTTTGGGCAGATGCTCAAGCCGCAGATTGATGCTATGATGAGGCCGATTACGCAGGCGCCGACGCCGCAGAGGGTGCCGCCTGTTCCTTCGGCTGCGATGAACGGAGTGCCGGCTAAGCCGGTGCCTCTGTCGGCGGAAGAGGCGGTACTGGCACAGGCTACTGGGAAGGTGAATAATGTCACCGCGCTCCGGGATGTGGATCGGCTCCTGGGCCTGGCAAAGGATCGCTGCGCCATTATTTTCTTCACAAGCTCGACGTGCGCGCCGTGCAAGCTGGTATATCAACCCTTCGACGACTTAGCTGCTGAGGCGGGCAACAAATGCGTCTTCCTAAAAATCGACTTCAGCTACGCGGAGCGCTCGATTGGCGTACGGTTCCCCCATGTGCGCGCAACGCCGACATTTATTACTTTCCTGCGCGGCCAGCAGCGAGACGAGTGGAGCGGCGCGGATGCACGGCTGCTGAGAACTAATGTCGAGATGCTATTGAACGAGGCGTTTCCCGCGCACCCGCACCTCTCAAAGAGCGTGCCCACGCTGCTACGCCAGAGTCAGCGCCCAATCACCTACACCAAAGTACCGCCGCTCGAAAAAGTCGTCGCCAAAATGGGAGACGTGGGCAAAGACCCCGCAGTCTCCTCCATCGTCTCCTTCATCGACGCCCGCGAGCGTTTCGGCGCCAGGGAAGCGCCGCTCACCAAACTCCCCCAATTCGCAGACTTCTTGCGCAGAAGCACGGCCACGCTGCCGCCGGATCTGCTCTTCACGAGCTTCGATCTGCTGCGCGTCACGCTCACAGACGTCCGCGTAGCGGGGTTCTTCGCCGAAGAACACGCTGGCGCGACGGGGACGCCGGCTACAGTCGCGCACTTGCTGAAGCATGTGGAAGGGCTTGGGGATAAAGCGCCGTATGCGCTCAGGCTGACGACGCTGCATCTAGCATGCAATCTCTTCACCTCGCCGCTATTCATCCCGCACTTGCTCTCCCCGCCGCTCTCCGCATGCCTGATATCCATTCTCACCAACGCGCTGCTGGACGATAAACACAGCGCGCTCAAAGCCTCGGCTCTGTCCCTCGCTATGAATCTCGCGTCTGCAAACCACAAGGTCCGCATGCGGAAGCATAGCGCTAATCCTTCGCCCGCTTCCTCCTCCTCCCATCAGGAAGAGCTGGGTGAGGAAGAGCAGGTCGAGCTGCTGGCTAGCTTGCTGGAGATCCTGGGCATTGAGGAGCAGTGGGGCGATGTTAAGAAGATGACGCTTATTTCTACGGGGTGGCTGGTGTATTGTGCGGATTTGGAGGGCGAGGCGTGCCAGCTGTGGAGGGGGATGGATGCCGCGGGCACGGTGGGGAAGATTGAGGCGAGGAAGGTGGAGGAGAGGCTGCTTGTGAAGGAGGTGATGAGTTTGCTCGAGGTGTAGGCGAGAGTGGGTTTGAGAAATGGCGTTTCCTACGGAGGTGTGGGGTGAGTAGGGATGTGACTGTGTGGCTAGAGAAGTGCCTGGATGGCGGTTACTGCTTACCCCGGTTATACTTTAGACTTGATAGATGGTAAAAGTATAGTGCCTATACTGTGTTGCTCGCAGAGCATGTATTGTGCAATGGTGCGGACCTCTCTCTACAACGTAGCTCCCCACGTAAAACCTAACTCAATAGATGGTAAAATAGGGATGGGACAGTGTTAGGGGGCATATTCTCAAGATTTTCTTATGCTGCTAGGTATGCTATCATGTGCCGCGCTTTACCGTCTAAATCGTCATCTAAACATTTCCTTCCTCTGTCCTTCCCTTCGTTATCCGCCATTACTCACACAACCAGTCGTAAGCGCTGCCGACTCATGCCCTCTCGCCGTAGCTCTATAATACCCTGTTCTCTTCTCTTGATATTAGCGTCTTTTAAGTTCTTTTATGCGTAGGCGTAGTTAGTGTAATCTCTAAGTTAGTAACTTAAAATAAGAAAAATCAATCAATTAATCAATCACGACTCTGGCACGTCTCGTACTCGAACCCTCAACATGAAAAAAATTGGCCAAAAAGAAAGCCAGGTACGGATACAAGCGACTTAATTGTCAAATTACCCTTAGGGGCTAACTAGATCTCACTGAAGAGATCTAGGCTTTAGTATCTGGGATTCTTTGTAGGTGATTGAGGGACTTAGTTGTCAAAGATGGCCGACCATCTAACATACGCTTAGCGTAAGCCTCGCACAACTGTGAGCTGCTGTTTGTTAGTGATTGAAGTGTGTTTTTAAATAATATATATACCCATAATAAATGTAGGTGAGAGAACTTTTTGTGGGGGCGAGGCAGCAGATAAGTGGCGAGGGTGAAGCATGTAAGGAAGGCGCGGCGCGGGGTAGGGCCTGCCTTGTTTGAGATGAGATGAAGATGTTGTGGGTGTCGCTGTCGGTATTCCCTTCTGTTACTATGTATGCGCGAGATGAGGGCAAATTCAGTCCACGTACTCCAGCGAGGCATTTCGACTTAACTACAGCCTTCCAAAGTTCTTCGGTGTTTTGCATGCGTCGTACCGAAGCTCCCGATGATGAAATTTGTATCTCTCCTGCTCTTTCCACACTACACGACGCCAAGATTTCTCACATTCAAGCGGGTAAATGGTCTCTAAGCGTCCTACAGCTTACAGCGGCGAGGAAAGCGAAGGGCAAAAGGTAAAGAGATTTAACAGGTGTACATGGACTTATAAATTTATGCAGCAATTTGAGTATTCGTAGTGGCTTTCCGCACGTTTCGGTATGACAATGTCGTTTCCGCCGAGATGTGCTTCGAAATCTACGTACGCGAAAACATGAAAGCCCCATGCCATTGAAACATCTCTCCTAACGCCGTGCGAGCTGCTAACGTGGTGCTTGCTGAGTGTGTGTTAGGAAATGCCTCCCTCCTCCTGGCAACCATCAATCGCACCACTCCTCAAAGCGGAACTCCTTCGCCCCATCAAGTATCGTGAACCGATGTGTCGAGAAGCGGATCTCCTCATACAGGTTTCCTCCCGCAGCCCTCGCTTTCTTATGCCACGGCCCCGTACCGCCATTGTGTGCATCTTCTCGCGAGCGCCAGAAGCCTTTTCGATGTCAACTATACACTTCCGCATAGATGAGATAGGTAGTACTTACAGGTAGCCAGATTTCTTCTCTCTGACTCAGGCTTACCGAACCAATACTTGAGCAGCCCTCCGGACTCGCACGCCTCGCGATGACTCTCGTAGTCGAGCGTATACAGCAGCTCTGGGTCGATGCATTCTTCAAGCTTGGAGCGGAAGATGACGACGTAGAAGCTGTGAGATTTCCAATGAAAGTTCTCGGCTGCGGCGAGCTCGCGAATCAAGTCTAGAATTGTGGGGAAATTGAGGGAGGAGGTATATGGAGCGGTGGCGTAGTCTGGCCGGACTGGCTTGAGTGCCGTGAGTGCTTTGGCAAAGATAAGATCCGCCGTGTCCAGGTCGGAAAGGTCGAGGTAATGGCCTGGATCGTTGTATGGTGAGGATATAAGGGAAGTGGAATGATGTGGCGGAGTCGAAGCTTGATGGTCTTCAAGTTCAGGAAGCTGGAGCTGACCGAAGGCTGCAGCCTCGAATCGGAGCTTATCGTAGTCGCGTGTTATCTGCGATGGATCCAAAACGACGCGCCCCTTTGAGGCTGCGCTTGGAGTGTTGATGGTCTTCTGAGGCAGTGTGGTTTCGGGCGTTGCTGTGATCTCTATAGCGAGAAAGGAAAGATCTGTTCCTGGAGCCATGATGTGCTGCTCGGCCGTAAGATCTGTTAGCGCCAAATTAGGAGCTCCCGCAGTATTCTCGGCGCACTCAGCGAATTTCTTCTCGTCCGCCCAGATGCGGCAATTGTTGCCCGGGGAGGTCGAATGGTTGGCCTGTGACGCCGCAGTTCGCGTATTGCCCTATGGCTTCCTCTTGGATTAGGATGCAATTGATGGAGCCGGGGCAGAAGGGTGCAGGAGCTTCAAAGACGGGGAAACAATTCTTTGAGAGCTGTAGTTGGAGTACCTATGTACCGTTGAGTATCGGCTCGGGCAAGCACGCCTAATCACGCAATGCCGCTTCTCATTTCGCGTACCCAACAATCAATTCATCAAACGGCAGGAACACACTCCGGTGCTATGCTCTTTCTAAAATACTCCGGTAAAATGAAGATCGAAAACAGAGCACCTATCTCGGAGCGGGAGAGTGCATGAATGAAGTGTCCGTCAAGGAATAGTTTTCCCCTTTTGGCCTAGGTGCCACGAACTGTAACTCAACTCGCCAGAATTGTGACCCGCGGCGAACGGTAGCGACAACCGAGCCACCGATTTCCGCGTTGGCGCCATGCAGGGCACGATAGGAAGATATTTTGGCGGAGGCGCGTAGCCTAAACCCTGTGGTACCGTACCTTCTGGCGCACCTCACTAATAGGGCCCTTCTAGATCATGTTCATAGACAGCGCTTCCACGTGCGGCAAAGCAGTCAGAGAATACTTTTGATTTGGTATCGGACATCTAGAGTCCTTCGGGCCTCAATAAATGGGTATCATGCAAGTGATCCGCCAGCGCCTGCCTATGTACCCCGCCCATGAACTCCGTGAGTAAATCAGAGAAACTTTTCAGCTCGCCCCAGTGCCTGCAGGTATGCGTGCTCTCCCTCAGTCCATTATTGTGGTGCTGTTGAGGGTGTGGACGCGCTCCAAGTTGCCACCGACCTGATGGCCGTGCTCGTGGACGACGCAGTCGAAGGGTAGATTCTGCAGCTTCGCACGCTGCTTTGCGGGACTCGTCTTCCGCTCCATCAAGTTGCCCCAGAGGATGAACATCTTCTCCTCGAGCTTCTTCAAGACCTTGGGGTTTTTGGTGAGGCTGCAGCGCGGTTAGCATGGCAATAGACATCATTGAGCGCGAACACATACTCGACAGCGTCCATCTTGAGGAGATGCTGGGCCGCAGAGTTGCCAACCGTGAGAGACAACTGCACTGGCTTCGTGCCTGCTGGGATCTCCGCGTCCTCGACCAAAAGAAGGAAGTGCCACTCCCAGCGGCCTTTGAGACGAGCTTTACGCTCGGCTGGCATGGGCTTCGTGTGATACCTCGGATCGGACAACTCGCGCACAAATTGTTCTAGTTTCTGAGGAAAGCAGTCGACAACGCGCACGCGGGTTCGGTACTTGGCGTTTACGAAAGGGAGGGTAAACTCGCCGCCTTTCGGATTCTTCGTCTTGAGAGCAGGGTTGTACAAGATCTCTGAAACCGTAGAGAGCTGTACTTCGGGATGCGAGGCGCGCACTAAGCGGATAAGCATAGGCTAGATAGACGCAATGAAGAATGTTTCACTCACCATGAGGGTTGACGCCTGCACGAGCCACAGATAGCTCCTCGGCCTTCTTTTCCAATTCTTTCTGCTCCTGCTCTTTCTGTAGCCGCTGCCTCTCCTTCTTTTCCTCCTTCTTCTTTGCTGAAGCCTTGGCCGACGGTTTCTTGGGTATGTTCTGGGCAAGAGCGCGCTTAGCCTTCTGTGCCTCGATTGCATCAAGATAGGCTGCCTTGCGCGTCGCGTGGTCCTCGATCTGCCTCGCGTTCGTGCACTTGCGGGTACAGATCTTGTCGGGATACTTCTGGTCCTGGTGTATAGCACCTTCGAGCTTGTTTGCGTTGGACAACTTGGCGTGAACGTTCTGGAGGAATAGAAGGTCGCCCTCTTTGACGTTGTCGCGTACCCAGGATGCGTGGGGTTCCCACAACCGGATTGCGATCGTTACCTGACCAAATGGGCCCGCCCACTTCTTCTGAGAGGTGAGGCCGAAGTCGGCGTCCGCCTCGTCCGCCTCGTCCGGGTCTTCGTAGAGGAAGAGGGCTTTGTTTTCGGTGTAGTCGGTGACGTAGAGATCCATGGTGGTGTAATCGGGGTAGAACATCTTGACTACTTCACCCACAAGGTCGTGGTACTTGCCAATGGTCAGGTCCCTGATCAAAGTCTTCTTGTCGTTCTTTGGACGCCCCTTCGGTGGACCTGCATTGGCAGCGAACATCTTGATTTCGGGTAAAAACGAGTCGGTTGCTGCCTTGAGGTGGATGATGGCCATTTGTTCGGCGGCGGACGGGTTCTGAGCGCAGTAGGTACCATTCCACGGTATGATGCTGTGCCCACCTAGAGAGTATGGAGTGCTGAATGCCGGCGCTGGGATGGTCTTGGCCGGATAGAATTGCACCTCAGACTTGAGCTGGACGGTGGTAAACGCCACTGTCTGGGTGTTGCGGGTATTCAGTCGCATATACCGGGCCGCAACCAGATCTCCAGGGCTACCAGGATTCGGCAGCCACTCCCGCTTCCTGCGCAGGACCCTACAGAGCAGAGAGCCCGGGCCGCCGACGGATCCCGGAGAGAACTCGTCCTGGATAGTGAACTCCAGCGTCCACTCACCGGGCTTGAACTGGAATGGATCCCGGACATGAATGAGGACTCCCAGGAAGCTGCTGCCATCGGCGGCAGACGCAGCATCCCGCACCGGGACGTAGCCTTGAGGCAGCGGCATGACCTAGATATACATATCAGCATCGGAATCGTCATTAAGGGTCTTGGAAGGCTTCAGCTTACTCTGCGAAGGCGGATTGGCGTCTTCAACACGAGGGCTGAAGGCTACGCGGGTGCAATGTATTTTGGAGGTGAGGGACGGCGGTGGGAGTTGTTTGTATAGTCGGTGCCAAGGCGCTAGCACAGACGTGGACTAGCGCGAGAGCGCTCTTGCCGCTTCCGCCTTTTCACCTCCCCTGCCCCACGACCGAAGATAATAAACCCTCCCAGACAAGCACCACTCGCCTTCTGCACCACACTCTCACACCCGTCGACAGCCAGAATCGCCGCAACCATGGCGGACAAGTACATCCCCGAGCACCGCCGCACCACGTTCAAAGCGAAGAGCGCCTTCAAGCCTGATGAGCTCCGCCGCCGCCGCGAGGAGCAGCAGGTCGAGATCCGCAGGGCAAAGCGTGAGGAGAACCTCGCAAAGCGGCGCGGTATCGCCGGCAGGGACCAGCCGGGCGCCGCCCTGGGTGCTGCCCCCGACAGCGACGATGAGGGCGGTAACATCGAGAGCCAGGTGAGTTTACCCCTCGTGCCTCAATACAGGCCTCGCATCCCGCCCCATGTGGAAGAATCTGGCTGACGAAATGTGTTAGCTCAACGAGGAGCTTCCCCAGATGGTGAAGGGTGTCTTCTCAGAGCAGATCGACGAGCAGATCCAGGCGACGACCAAGTTCCGGAAGCTCCTTAGCAAGGAGCGCAACCCCCCCATTGAGCGAGTCATCGAGACGGGCGTCGTGAGCAGATTCGTCGAATTCCTCCGGTCGCCGCACACACTGGTCCAGTTCGAGGCTGCTTGGGCGCTCACCAACATTGCCTCGGGTTCCGCCCAGCAGACCCAGGTCGTCATTGAGGCCGGCGCCGTGCCCATCTTCGTCGAATTGCTCAGCAGCCACGAGCCCGATGTGCGGGAGCAGGCCGTCTGGGCCCTTGGTAACATTGCCGGCGACAGCCCCGCTTGCCGTGACTTTGTCCTCCAGGCCGGCGCTCTGCGGCCGCTGCTTGCCCTCCTGGGTGACAGCCGCAAGCTTAGCATGCTCCGCAACGCGACCTGGACCCTGAGCAACTTCTGCCGCGGAAAGACCCCACAGCCGGATTGGCAGACAGTAAGTGCATATGCCCATGGACCCCGTAGTCTAACGCTGACACCATGACAGATCCAGCCCGCTCTCCCCGTCCTCGCTAAGCTCGTCTACTCCCTCGACGATGAAGTCCTCATCGACGCCTGCTGGGCCATCTCATATCTCTCGGATGGATCCAACGACAAGATCCAGGCTGTTATTGAGGCTGGCATTCCCCGCCGTCTCGTGGAGCTGCTGATGCATGCTTCTACCTCCGTGCAGACCCCCGCCCTCCGCTCTGTCGGAAACATCGTCACAGGCGATGACGTCCAAACTCAGGTCATCATCAACTGCGGCGCGCTCCCAGCTCTCCTCTCTCTCCTGAGCTCCACTAAGGACGGAATTCGCAAGGAGGCTTGCTGGACCATCTCGAACATCACTGCCGGCAACTCCACCCAGATCCAGGCCGTCATTGACGCGAACATCATCCCGCCCCTCATCCACCTCCTCCAAAATGGAGATTTCAAGACGAGGAAGGAGGCATGCTGGGCCATCTCCAATGCCACTTCCGGAGGTCTTCAGAAGCCCGCTCAGATTCGGTACCTCGTTCAGAGTGGCTGCATCAAGCCGCTGTGCGATCTGCTTGCCTGCCCTGACAACAAGATCATTCAAGTTGCCCTCGACGGCCTTGAGAACATCCTGAAGGTTGGCGAGATGGACAAGGAAGCTAACGCAGACGGTGCTGCCGGGGAGCCGATCAACCGGTATGCTCTCTTCATCGAGGAAGTCGGCGGCATGGAGAAGATCCACGACTGCCAAAACAACGCCAACGAGGAGATCTACATGAAGGCATACAACATCATCGAGAAGTACTTTTCAGACGATGAGGCAGATGCCGAGAACATGGCCGAGACTGGACCTCAGGTCACCCAAGATGGTCACTTTGGTTTTGGCGCTCCTCAGGCGCAACAACAGCAGAATTTCAACTTCGCCAACGGCGGCGATTCCATGGATATGTGAGCGGCTCCATCTCGACACCGACCTCCGCACTGTAAGTCGTCGCTTAGCGGGGGCGCAAGAGACCCTCCGTTCACACGTCCGCAACTCAAAACGCCCGGCTTTGTACGCCCTCGATCTCTTGGAATGTGATTGCCAGGAAATCACGTCTACACCATTTAATACACGACCCGTTCAAAATACCACTATCCCCGGCGACCCGAGAGTGCTCAGTGTTCCCCGCCCCTCCCGACACAATCCTCCGGCTCCAAAGAGACCAAGCCCTTGCCATGATTAGTTTATGAAAGCATCGTAAGATACACCGTCTTGTAAACCCCCCTGATTTCCCCAATCCGCATCATATCCCCGGCGTTGCGAGTGGTTTCCTGTTTGTTTCTCCTCTGTTCTGGACGGCCTACGGACAAGTAGAGGCAGAAGGCGGGGTCAATGTGCAATGATAGGATGGTGGACTTGGCAGACTGGCGGTTGGAAGCGGATGGTCATCATTCTGTCCGAACTCGATTCGTATACGGCCAGATAGCTGAATGCAATTACCAATAACCCCTGTACCATGTACTTTTGTGATTTTAACGCAGCCGTTTAGATCGTCTGTCGCACATGGCCTAACATTTCTGCGAACCCTGGACGTCATCGCTCAGAGGGCTTGGCGTCGCGCTACCCCACGATGTCGACCACACGCTACTCTCCGCGTGGGGGCTTAGACTTCCTTGGTCTCGAAAGATTTGAGCGCAGACCTAATGCGCGCGAACATGTCGTACGCTGTTCCGTTCGCTGGAAAACTGCTTCGGCTTGTATCTGCGCAAAAAGCTCAGCCCGCCATATTGCCTTCCTATGGCGCAATCTCACCGCCTTGAATGTCCGGCTAGCTGTCTCCGTTCACGTTCTACCGTACTTTTTCTGGAGCCACATTCCCAGGACGCTGAAGAGTTACGCATCGCTGTTTCGCTCTGCTATCATTTATCTGGACTTCACCTAGGAAGGGCGGTAAATTACAGGCGCGATGTGCAGATTCATGGTAGGCGTCTCGACAGTCATACTACGAGCATCTTGCTAAACAGCCCCAGGTATACAAAGGCAAAGATGAGATCCTCCTCTCCGAGCTCATCCTCAACCCCACACACTCCATACTCACCCAATCTTTCGACTCGCGACTCCGCCTAGTACGTTGCGGCCCCTCCTCAGCTCATCCCCGCGAGAGCACGCGACTCACACAAGCAGGACACGCGCCGCCCGCACAACGGCGACGGCTTCGGCATCGGATACTACACCTCTCCCTCCCTCGGCCCCGAGCCCTGCGTCTTCACCTCCACAATCCCCGCCTGGAACTGCATCAACCTGTCGCGCATCGCGTCCAAGACCACCTCGTCGCTCATCTTCGCACACGTCCGCGCCACCACCGAAGGCAACCTGTCCGACTCCAACTGCCACCCGTTTCTGTACAAGAGTCTCATGTTCATGCACAACGGTGGGATTGGCTGTTTTAAGAAGATCAAGAGGAGGCTGGCGATGGGGTTGAATGAACAGTGGTTTACGCTCGTGCAGGGCAGTACGGATAGCGAGTGGGCGTTTGCCCTGTTTCTGGACAGCATGGAGAAAGCGGGGCATCATCCGGACGCTGACCCGGGCAAAGGCGGGTTCGGACACACGGTCCTCCGCAAGGCCATACTCAAGACGATCGAGCGGATCAATGCGCTGATCAAGGAGGTTGGGGGCGAGGGTGATGGGGGAGAGGATAGCAGGAGTTTGCTCAATTTTGCGGTTACAGATGGCGAGAGCGTAGTGTGCACGCGGTACGTGAGCTCGAAGACGGATGAAGCTGCGAGTCTATTCTTCTCGAGCGGGACGAGCTGGCGAGAGTCAAAGGGTGCGCATAAGTCCGGCGGCGGCCGATGCTGCGGCGAACCGGGACAGAAAGACTATGTCATGGAGAGGCGCGACAAAGGGTCGGACATTGTTCTCGTGGCTAGTGAGCCTCTGACCTTCGAACGAGGTGCGTCCTAATCTTCCTTCCACCTTGCCTTCTGCCCTGCTGACACTTTCTGGACAGATAACTGGGTCACCGTCCCCACCAACAGCACCCTGACCATCTCCAAGCAAACCGTCATGATCCACCCCATCATCGATGAATTCTACTCCGCTAATCCGGCGCACGCCCGCTCCTCTGGCTTCGCGCAAGCCAAGGGACAGACAATCACAGGGCCAGATAAGAGAGTGCTCCCGCAGCCCAGTAGTGGGGCTGCGACACCGCATCGCAGCGAGGAGGTTGTGAGTGGGGCGATTAGCCGGCTGAGAGTGGCATGAGATGGCATATCTGCTGTAAGATTGTTATTGAGGAGAGTTGTAAGACATGGACGAGGTATCGAACAGTCGCACCGAGAAACTAAGGTTTCGATCGCATTCTTAAGGTCTCGAGACATGGACCGGCCGCGCGGAACGTCAGGCTATAATGCTTATAGAGGTTCGCTTCAATTCTAATGACAATTCGTCGATTGGGATATCGCAGTGCTCCACCATCGGCTCCGACCACTTAGTCACCGGCCTCTACGTGAAAAGTATGACCAACACGCTCGAGCACTGGTCCGCCAAAAAGGTGCTATCCTCACCGGCAATAGACAAAGGCTCAGATAGTGCGGCGCGCTCTATATATTCACTATTCGACGGGGTAAAAATAGCGAGGGTTCACCCCAAACCCCCAATCCGCGAGTTAATCTTCCGCAGCATACCCATACGTCTGTGTGCCTGACATAAAGGCGATAAAGAACCAGCAATCATGCCTCCCACAGGCGCGATGTTACATCTCATTGGTATTTCCGAGCGGATGCTGCGATCCAGACAACCTCCCACATGGTTGTCGTCCTTTTGCCAGGCAAGAAGCTCCTCCGACTCGAATCGTCTTCGTTCAGAACCCCAGTCCCATTCCCCGGATACCGTTATGAGCCTTTGCCATATGGCCGTACGTGTCCTCGCCCGTCTTGAATGTCTTCATGCAGAACCAGCAGATATGCGTCCTGCAAGCCTGACATTCCATGTGATTGCACCCATAGCTCTTTTGGATTGGTGTTCCGCAATTGGGGCAGTCTCGGGCGTCGTTCTCTTCCTTCCACTTCGCGAATTCGCTCGTGCCGACGTGCGCTGCCTTTGAAGCTGCGCATGTTATACCGTCGTGAGCGATTTGGTGACACGCCGTGCAGATGGAGGTGAGGCATCCATCACAGTTGAATACCCCAGGGTCTTCGGGCAGAGTGATGCGGTAGAAGCGGTCACAGTCTGGGGTGGAGCAGTATTGAAAGGAGGTTGGATGGCTGCGAATATATTGCGTGAAGGAGGTTTGGAGGAGGGCTTCGTAGTCGTTTGAGGACAGGACTTGCTTCAGTTCTAATAGCGTGAGCAAAGCGTTGCATGCTGCAGAGGCACCAAGACAGCGCAGCGGAAAATCGGTGGCAGTGGTGCATTGCGAGGCCAGGCAGGAGCTGCAGTACGTGTGGCCACACTTGGTCTTAAACGGATCTTCCGGAGGAGTCCAACATACGGGGCATAACTCCTCTTCTTCCGCCGCATTCAGCGATAGCATAGTAGCTCGCGTCTCTAGGGAGTCAGGATCATAAGACCTGAGCAGTTCTTCCACCTGTGCTACGTGTCGATCCGAGCCGTAGACTATGATGCGCTTTGGGTTGGAGGTGATGTCCATCTTTACCATCTCCTTTCCCAAGGTCGCAACAATGAGTCTGAACCCGCCCCGAAGGGCAGCATTCAAGCTAATTGGGTCTAGGACCACGACCTTCGACTGGGTTTCCAGACTTGAGAGTTTCTCAGTCAACGCTTGTTCCGCGGCTAAGACTTTCAACGTGTCTCCATATAGGCGTAGGAGCAATTTACGCCTGTCTGAAACAATAGTAACACCATGGGATCTCATAACCTCTGCAAGGAATGCAGTAGACGCTTCCTGGAAGAAGAAAGAATGGGATATACGGACGGATCCGTCGCCGGCTATTCGTCCGGCTAGAGTCCTCTCAACAGACGACTTGACGCGTGCGACTGCCTCTCGGTCCTGACCGGACACTCGAATCTGCGTATACGCCTTCTCTGGGTTGTCGTATATTTTTATGGAAACAAAATGCAACACTCGTGCCTCTTCAACGAGGGCGTCAAGCTGTGGCTTGATGGCTTGTAGTACGCGCTGTGAGACCGAGAGCTTGACCGCAACAAGATGTTGAGCCTTCAGCTTGTCCTTGGATGAAGGATCGATGAGGGTATCGTTCAGCTCCTGTACCGCCTTTCTGGCCGCTTCAGGGTCCGCGAACTTTGCGATGGCTTTGACCTTCGAACCATTGCTCTGCGGAGTAGCAGTCCATTCGGCAAGAGTACCACGCTGCTCTAGGGATGACTTGACCGTAAACTCTAACCGCTCCGCTGAGTATTCGTGAGAGAGCTGGCCCATGTTGACCCTGTAACTGGGCTGCGCTGTGGGAAGGAATTCCGTCAACGCTTTTTTTCCCGTCGCCGGGTTGAGGTTCCCAACTGTGACCCAAGATGAACGCGGTTGACATGCGAAATTCAATTGTCGTCCATGAAGATGTAATTGGCTCTTCTGCATCTCGAGGACGACGGCTGCTGCTTGAGCGGGGTAGGAGAATTCCACGTAAGCTACTTTGGAAGGATTGTGCCAGGTGCAAGCGACGGTCGTAAGCTGCAGACGGTTCGCCCCCGACTCGGATTCTGCACCCAGTTGCACCATGACAACATGTACGGCAGATCCATCCATCAGTATAGTGTGGCCAGTTTCTCGCAGCAGTCGTGCCGCGAACCTAGGATCCGGTACTTTGATCTGCGCGGATTGAAAGGAAGTTTTTGGGTCGGATTTCAATGTGATGGCCTCGACAGATATTCCAGGGAATCCTTTGCCGTGTAGGAGGTTGCGGAGGTCCTGTACCGATTTCCCGGGAGGGACATGAAGCATGGAAACCACCGAGAAATCGGACGGTAGGGCCAAAGTTGAGATTGTAACACCATCTTCGAACCTCACAGTAGCACCGCCAATGGTCCTCGAGAATCTATCGGATCCATCCTCCTCCTTTGTCCCCTTGAAATGCGGTTGTACAGGCGGCACGACTGAGGCACCTGTACTTGAAGCTGGTCGCTCGAAGGCAGCGTTTGAGGCCTTGTCGTTACTGAGACGGCTGTCTGGAGACGTCGCATGGCTGTATGGGCAAGCAGCCCCCTTGTTACAGATGTTTCGAAGGAAGAAAGTGCAGACAGTATTAGTCCTGTCATCTTGACGAGCCGCTGCAGGAGGCTTTGCCTCAGGGCTATGATCGAAACGGCATAGGAATCCTCGCTTGCAGGTGCCGTGGAGGAAGAAGACGCAAGGCGCCCGGTTCTGCGCAGTGGGACTGGCAGTCTGTGCAGGATCAAACGTGGGTGCTTTTGCATTTAACGACGACGTCGATGGTGATGTCTGAGCTGTAGTCGAAGGATGCTCGAACCTGCATGTCTCGCCGTTGAGACAGCGGCCTTGCTGGAAGTAGCGACAAACGACCATGCTGTTTGTGGTCTAGCGCCCAATAATACGCCCAGGCGACCCCTGGGATTGCTGTAATATCTAGCTATCTTGTCTCGCTCTGGCTGTCTTATTCGGTCGGCGATGATACGGACGGGTAAGAGTGCAAAGTGTGTTGTTGATGAGTGGAAGAGTATTGCACAAGGCTACAGTGCGAGGTGGTGCTGCTGTGCCACCGTGAAAGCCGCGGCTAGGCAACCTGCTATTGGGTGAACGTCTAAAACTCTGGTCAATTCACTCCAACCTCAATTGCACCGCGGGGTGAGGCCTACGCGCTTCGTCTGAAATTCTTTATGAAGTACGAGCATCGCCATTGTCACTCGACATAGCTGTTTTCCTGAGTGTTCAGCATCTCCGCTCTGGTGTGCCTTAATAGGCCGGCAAGCATCAAGTAAATATTGCATGGGTCGCAGGAACCCTGGAACATTCACAGATTGGCCCGCCCTCTCGATTTCGACCCGAATACAGCGAGTGGCTATAGTAATGAGCCTGATATCCCCAGAATACCCAGATGGTGCCTGGATATGTTCGGCGTCGTACCTTCTGCATCTGTTCTAGCATGTTTGTGCTACCGTGTTAAGCTTAGCTTCTGACTCATGAGGTATTCCGAAGGATTCAGCACATATATGGACCGTGTAAGTAATGCGCCGTTTCCCTTCCGCTTTTCGTTCTAGAGTATCTTCCTTATCACGGCCTAAGCGACAGCCGAAATACTTGAACTCGCCATGTACGTACGGCCCGTTACCCGCGACGACATTCCAGCGATAGCAGCAATCGGCAATCGCTCCTTCCAAAATGACGAGCTCCATGTATGGCTATATCCACACCGCCACACATACCCAGACGACCTTCGCAGATACCAAGTGTTGCGTATCCGGTCACGAGCCGTTGGGATACGGCAACTCGGATTCGTTGTCGTAACTGAAGAAGGCGACGCTAATTGGAGCGGGGCGGAGGAAGTCGTAGGGTTTGCATACTATTATCGCTATGGCGATGACGAAGGGGCGCAGAAGTGGATCAATGATTCGTGGTTCAAGAGTACGACATCTTATCGCGCTTGCTTCGATGGACATGCACTTATGAGAGCAGAGATCGAGCGGTATCTCCTGGACTGGGAACTCTGGTACGAGTCTAAATTCTTGGATCGAGCCTCAGATCCGGAGCGCGTCAAACAGTACATAGCTGCCGCACCCTGGGACCGCCTCAAGCCCCTCGATCCGCGATGGCACCTCTCTGTCCTCGGTGTCTCTCCACAGCATCAACGCCGCGGGGTAGGCGGCATGCTCGTCAAACACGGCCAGGAGATTGCGGAGAAAGAGGGGTTGCCGTTCACGCTGGAGAGTAGTGTCGTAGGGAGGAAGCTGTACTTGAAGATGGGGTTCAAGATTGTAGAAGAGTGTGAGATATTCGATGTGCTGGATTTCGTCGCGATGGTTTGGGAGCCGGAGGAGTCGAAGGGGAAGTGGTTGGAGGATATCGGGGAGGAGACGGCGAACGTTAGAGCCGCAAAGTAGCCCCCATGAACTTAGAACGATCCAGTATTGGGATTCGTAAGATATCTCAATGCTGGAATTTCCGCCGAGACGTAATATTAGATGAGAAGGACAAGACGAATGTCGTTCCACTCTCGGATAATTACGTCACGTGCTCTCGTGCTGTCGGCAAAACTGCGGCGAGAAGTTAGTGGGTTGCCTTGAGAGTCATCTTTCACCCACAGTCCCTATTCTTACGGTGTATGCGCGCCTACTATTCACTGTGTCGACTACGCTAGACCGGAGACGGCCCCAGAATCGCCACCAGCCCAAGTGAGAGACGAACGCGTATTCTCGACGCGCCCTAAGCGCGCACAAGATATTATCGACATACACCTCAGTCTCTCCACCCACACGACCATGCCTCCCAAACGAGCCACAAGACAGACCCGCCAAACGAAGATCAACTTCTCGCCGCAAACCCCCAGAGCCCGAGCTCTCTCGCCTAGCGATAGCGACGATGCGTCCCCAGCTAGGCGTTCTAAGCGACGAAGGCTCGAGAAGGAGACAAGAAAAGGCATGAGGTTGGGTATGCCGGTGACACAGAGTGGTCATGGGATGTTTGGAAGCTCTGATGTCGAAGTTATCTCCTCAGGAACTTCATCCGCGGGGGACGAGAGCGAAGAGGAGGTACAACCGCGTTCTTCGAAGAAGTCGCGGCGACACACGAAGCCGGTTGAAGATTCAGACGAAGAGGAGATCCAGCCACGAAGTCAAAGACGGCGGATCGCTCGACTGGCTGCAACTCCGGAAGAGGAAAGCGAGGGGGAAGAGCAGGAGGGAGATGAAGAACAGGACGAGCTGCAGGAAGAATTGGCCTTCTTGCAGTCGTCGCCTCTACAAGACCGGGGAAGGCTTAGGAGCAGACAGGATAAACCGAAAAGCGAGCGAGAGAAAGCGTTGGAAGCCCTCAAGAAGCGCCGAGCAGGCACTGGTGAACCTTCTTCTTCGGCGACCCCGGGAAGGAACCGGCGTGTCGTGGTCGATTCCGATCCGGATTCAGATCTTGAGATCATCGATGAGGAACCAGACAGTGATGTCGAAGAAGAAGAGGAAGAAGAGGAAGAAGATGAGGGCGGTCAAGAGACGAATGCTCTAGACATGTTCCAGGAGGATAATGAAGACGCCGACTTCATCGATGATGACGCGAATGCTCCGATCGGAGCTCCTGCTGATTTTGCTGGCCTCCCGCTGGAGTTTAGCAGTGTAAGTCGCAAAAAGCCCCGGGAACTGTTCAAATACGCTGTGGAGTGGATGGTACAGAAGAAGATCAACCCTGCCTTCTCATCCAACGACGAGCTATACGTCTTAACCTTCCGCAAGCTGGACGATGAGGTCACCGGGCTAGCGAACTCCAAGTTCCACTCCTCGGTATGGACTGCAGATTTCACGCGAGCCATCAGAGCACGACCGGACCTGACCATCAACGAGCTCGGCGGAGTTTCGCGACTTATGTCCATTGTTGAACCGCGTTGCGAGGCCTGCAATCGCAAGCACAACGCGACGTGGGAACTGTCCCTGACAGGCACCCCATACCACAAAGAGACTCTCGAGCCCCTCACCGAAGACTCAGAGGACTCCAGCGACCCCGACTCTGATTCCGACTCTGCCCTTTCATCAACCGCTTCTGATGCGGCCCTTAATGGCGAGAAACCCACGTACAATGCCCAGGGCGAGCGCCTCCCACCCGAATCCAAGATCTTCACGCTCGGCTCAACATGTAAAGCAAATGCGCAGGTAGCCCACACGCTGTATCATTGGCGGTACCACCTCAACTCCTGGGTTGTCGACTACCTCGTGCGTCAGGGCCACTGCTCCCCTGCAAAGATAGTCCAGCGGGACAAGTGGAGCGTGAAGAAGCGAGAGAAGTACGCGAATAAGATCGTGGATGAGATGGAGAGGGTGGGCGAGATCAAGAAGTTGTATCACTTGTACAAGGAGCAAGTGGATTTCGCCCTCGAAGCACGGAATGACTACAAGAGGGGCTGGGGCCGGTCAAGGGGTTAGAGTTGCTTTCTGAGAGGCTAGGATGTCGGGAATAGCGGATTAGGCATCCAGTGCGAACTCATCGTCGGACTACTACATGGTTGCTGTGGCTTCCGCAGCTCTTCATGACTGTGGAAGGCAGGTTAAGCCTCCCCTGACCCGCAATGTTGGGTCTGCTTCTTGATTTTGGGAATTGGTATTTGGAATCGGATACCCCTTCATTTTGGACATTTATCACATCGGTTGATTCTTCTAAAGGTTCCGTCCAATGGTTTGGATAGCTGTCTTTTCAGGCTTATGGGCCGTATAAGCGGGGTAGTCTCCAGCTCACTAATACATCTTGGACACATTCAGCGCTCAACATGTGATGAGTGGTATCAAAGAGTATCATTAAACGTGAGAGTTAGAAGGTTTGTCTACCGTCTACACAATTGTCCTGCTATCCAGCCCGAACGCTCATAGATGCGTTTGCATCAGTAATTAGCAGTCCGTCGCTTGAGCGAATTCCTCCCTCAAAACGAAGCCATCATTATGGACACGCTCCGCCTATGAATTAGGCTGCCGCCACCCTGACCGGCTCCTGTGCATCCTGGACATTCATCTTCGCCACCCCGTTGACGAGATCGGCAGCTTTCTTCTCGTCAAGGTCGTCATCATCTGCCAGCACACTGCTCTTATCCTCCTCCTTCTTCGCCGTCTCGATGGCCTCCTCTTTCTTATCTGTCTTCTCCTCATCCTTCGCCACCCCGTTCTCAACAGCCTCCGTTTTGCCCTCCTCTTTGACACCAACGCTCTTCTCCTCGCCGCCCCAAAGGTAGATCTCACTCTCTCCAATAACCTTCCCAGCGGCTTCCCAACGCTCCTTCCGTTCTTTCCGGCGCTCCGCAGCTAAAGAGGCGAGAGCGGGCCAGTACACGCTGTGGTCGTACTCGAAGTCTACCTCGCCGCCGGCATTCTTCATGAGTTGTGAGGAGGGGATGTGGTCGGTGAGGGGCTCGTTGTAGCGCATTTTCGTCTTGGTTACGGGGTCGATGAAGGGGGAGACAAGCTTCAGGAAGGTGGTGACGTACCACGGGACTGTCAGAATGTTAGCCCACCAACTATCACACCTCCCCAGGAAACTATTGAAGACTTACGGTGCGTAATCAGCGCCCTCCCCAACCGTTCGGGATAATGGTTTTGTAGGATATGCAGCACCTGTCTCCCTGTCCCAATGCTCGGCTGGCTCCCCGCGCTGCTATTCCGGAAATCTATCAACAGCGCCAGCGACTCCTGCCCGGGCGGCGCGATTTCAAGCGTCCTCTCCAGCATGTAGACTAGATGCTCCACCTGCTTCGGGCTGTTCTTCGTATTCTGCTTGTTCGGCAGGAGGTACAAGCAGGGGCGCCCCTCGTTATCAAAGCCCAGTAGGACCTGCTTTCCCGTCGCGTTCTCCTCGGATATGTAGTCTGCAGTGAAGGTGTCGGTGCCGTATTCGCGGCGCCAGATGAGCGTGTCTTGGACACGCTTGATTGCGTGTGCGAGGTTCCATTTTGAGGCTCGGAGGTAGCGGAGGAGGCATTCGCGGGTGAGCCACATGCGCTCGTCGTCGGAGAGGGCGGCTTGTTCGGCATTCTTTGCGGAGGTTTTGGGGAGCGTTTCCCATGATTGTGCAGCGGCGAGGAGCTCGTCGTACTTGTGCTGTTGGTCTGCGGTGAGCGCCGGCGGTGAGGCTGGCTTACAGCCGTCAGCGGGATGCGGGAATGGTCCCATGGCCGGCATCTTGGAACAAGCTATAGGTTTCTCTCTTGGAAACGCTGAAAGAAATAGAACGGAGCGATTGACTATCACCCCTTTTCTTAAAGAACGAACAGGCGAGGAAGAGTGTTGGAGCTGAGGGCAGTGCTGATTATCTTTCTTGGACCCTGCATGTCCCAGCGCCACGGACTGCGCTAGCCATTCACGTCCTAGCCTACCACTTAAACACTTGACGCGTCGACGCGTCTTGCCGCGCACCGAATCCCCACGCCCAAACTTCCACCCCTCGCACACCCATCACCCACACCCGCAATGGACGACAGCACCGTTGAGCTCACCGAGCGCTTTGAGCGCTACTGCGACACGAAAGACCACGAAGTCCCCTCCGATGTCCTCACAGAATTGCAATTGATGCTTCGACTGTATTCTATTTCGCCCGAAGAGCTGGACTTCAAATGGCAGGCTTACAGCATGAAGATCGGAGGGGAGGAGAACAGGCTGGATTTGAAAATGGCGAGGGACTTTAAGAAGAATATCCAGGATGCGTTGGAGAGGGAGAGTAGGGGAAAAGCGCAGCAGAGGCATGATGCGAAGAAAGTTGCGCCGACGCCGCGCCCTGCGAAGGGTGCGGATATGTATGATATGTGAGTGTACTGGGATGTATTAGAGGGCAGCCATGCTAAATGTGGACAGGCTGGAGGGATTGGTCCAAAACACGCCGCGTCCCGGTGCAATGAAGGGCGTTAATGGCAGCACGGTAAAGCGGAAGTCGAACTTCGAGACTCCCGCTAGCAAGGCTAGCAAGAACCATGAGATGAGCTCTCCGGGCGGCGTACTCACACCCACGGGCGAGATCAATGGTGGACCGTACGCATCTCTCCTCATTCCACACCACTCTGTCTAACAGCCTCTAGAGTCTTCGACTTTGCCTCCCGTGCAAGTGCTGGCGACATCACTGAGCAACTCAACGGGGACATTTCTCTCCCCGACCCTCCCGAAGAACCTCCCTCTGAAGCACGCATCAAGCTCAAAGCCAACACCGACATGTCCAAATTCTCCTACAAGACAATGGCCATGAAGCTCTCCGAAGCCTCTGAGGTCCTCGACGACCGCATCGACGAATTCCGCCAGTTGCTCCAAGAACACCTCAATCTCGACGACAGCGCCTTCGGGAACCCCTCGCTCCAATCGCCTAGCGAGGTCATAGCGGTAGGACGCATTTGCTCCGACACCAGCGAGGGGAAGCTGAACACCGCATCGATTGTGCTAGAAGGCTCACGACGCTGGGGCTCTGGTCGACGTGTTCCTTTAAGGTTAGACACGGTGACTTCGTACAACTTCTTCCCTGGTCAAATTGTCGCCCTCCGTGGCACCAACGCCTCAGGGGACACCTTTGTCGTCTCAGAAATCCTCTCCCTCCCTCTCCTCATCCAGCCTGCTTCCAGACCGGACGAGCTAGACCTCTACAATTCCCGCTACCTCGACACTCCTGAATCTGACCCTTCAAACCCACGACCTCTTACGATCTTCATAGCCTCGGGACCCTACACCACTGACCAAAATCTCGACTTTGTCCCATTGCAAACGCTCCTCGACAACGCGGCCAATGCATGTGCTGACTCTATCATCCTTGTCGGCCCCTTCCTCGACGCAGAGCACCCGCTTATTCGCACGGGAGACTTCGATCTCCCACCGCACGTTACTTCCCCAGACCAAGCGACCATGACAGACGTCTTCCGACACTATATCTCCTCCGCTATACAATCCTTCTTACAGCGCGTACCCACCTGCAATGTCATTCTCGTACCCAGCTTGCGCGACGCTCATCACCACCACGCCGCTTTTCCGCAGGATAAATTCATCAAGAAGGATTTAGGTTTAGGGCCGGCGGGCAAGATGGTTCAGTGCGTTACAAATCCCATGACATTATCCATGAACGAGTTCATCGTTGGCATGTCCTCGCTAGACATTCTGGATATGCTGCGGAGAGAAGAGGTAGTTGGTGGGAAAGCGCGGGCGGTTAATCTGTATGAGAGGGCTGCGAGGAATGTCATTGAGCAGCGCAATTTCCTCCCGCTTTTCCCTCCGATGGCACGGGAGAAGATGGGAGCTCCTGCTCCTGTTGAAGAGAAAGTTTTCAAGAACGGCGCCGCCGCAAATGGAGAAGCGGACGTAGAGGAGGACCAAGCGCCCAGTCCTTTCCTCCCTCTCGGCACAATGCTAGATATCAGCTATCTCAAGCTGGGCGAGATGCTCAACGTGCGTCCCGATATTCTGATTACGCCTAGTGTATTGCAAGGCTGTGTAAAGGTACTTTCCCCCCTCCCGGCTCCGGATTCCTCTCGGATTGCCTTGAAGGTATGCATGCTAACGCATCACGTAGGTCGTAGAATCCGTCCTAGTAATCAACCCCGGCACGCTCAGCAAGCGCCGCGCGGCAGGCACGTATGCGCGCATGGTCATACAACCCGCAAATGTGAGCGCGGAGGAGAGGAAGAAGGGCTTCGCGGTTGCACATAAGCTGTGGGAGAGGGCGAGAGTGGATATCGTGAGGATCTGAGTGACTGGGCATCAAGTCGAGCTGCTACTGCGGCATGTAGGTAAGATGCAATGTCGTTTCTGGATGCGTCGGTTTGGGGGTTGACCTTGGATATCTGCATCATGAGTGAGGTTCGGGAGTCGGGTCATTGTAATGGATTGGAATGGTATACTATTGAACGATGCACGAGACGCACAGTGTCTCGAGCGGGTTGCTGAAAATACTGAGAAGTGTAAACTCTGCGTACTTGAATATGCGTGTCTATTCGAAATATCGAGACGGCCCCAGCGCCTTCGAAGCTTCCATAGTCAAGAAAATCATGCTCATCCACGCTACTATGCTATCCTAGGGGCAAACAGTTTCAAGTACAGCAAATATACATAAACTACAGGTACTATAACAGACGCCGCAACCCCGAATCCCAAAAACAAAACTCCATGGATACAATGCGCTTCCTTCCGACAATGTCCAACTCCCAAAGCAACAAGATAACTTACAAAATATACACTCCTCTTATCACACAGCTCCTGCGGCGCAGTAAATCCTACACTCTCCCCACACCACTCCTCATTTATTCACTCATAGATATAACAATTCCCATCCTTCGTCGGACTCATCGCATCCCTAATCATAATATCCGGCTCGAACTCAAAGTGCATAGTATCATTCAGAGTCGCGTTCCGACTAGGCGGTGCTACAAAAACATCTTGTCAGTTACATTCTTTCTCTCTCCCGTTTCCTTCCAGTCATGTAGTAAGAGTTCAAATTCAACGCGCGAGCAAGAGGAAAGGAAAAGGGGGTCATTCAAATACGTACTGTTTCTAAGCGTCAGGGTGCCATCCAAGGCATACTCCCTTGTGGGGAAGTCCAGCGCCTGCCAGATGGAATATAGGCGGTCCACCTGCGCGTGGTGGAACCAGAAGAGCGGATCGCCGGGCGAGGTGAAGAGGTCGTTGTCGATGCCGGAGATGAAGGAGTGGCCGGCGAGATGCGGGCCGCCGAAGAAAGAGGGCTGGAAGGCGTGGATGCCTGGGAGTTCGTTAGGCTTTCTCGATTCAATGGTGTTTGGGCAAGGCTAGCGCTGGGATCGGACGGGATGGCATGGGAAGGAGGGCAACTTACTTGTCCTGTTAACAAGCATTGATGTCAACGCCGAGTAGGTAGAGCCCTGGAGGAGCAGACTATTGTTGAAGTCACGGATGATGTGGCGAGGATTGTACCCGAGGCCATCGGCGCGGGGATTCGGGTTGACGGGCAGCCCGTTGCGCACAGGCATCTGCACGACGGGCCCGAGATGCAGCTCCCAGTCCACAAATGGGCCCTCGAAGATGTACCCGCCGCCCGTGCCGGGAGGCGTATACAGGCCCGGTGGGTTATCGCCGGGGATCGGCAGAGGCTGGAACGTTCCATTGCGGTCGGGGATGTACCTCCCATTGCCCGAAATCGATGTCGCCGAGCCATCGTACAGCGGATTGGACTTGAGCGGGAGCTCGGCGTACCGGGACCAGTCCCAGTACGGCTGGTATCCGGAGTAGCCGCATTCCTCGCGGAGGGCGGTTTCGAAGAGCCGCACGAAGTGCCGGTGCCAGGAGAAGAAGAGCCCAGTGGCATGGATCAAAGGGGTGTTGATGATGTGTGCCGCTTCGAAGTCGTCGAATCGCGAACGCGCGCCGGGGGCCTTGGCGGGATCGATCTTCGAGGGTAGAGTGTGGAGGCATTTGACGGCTCCGATGTAGTCTAGACGAGTCTGGTTGTTTAGATCACCCCTGTAGCGTGGAGAAGCATATTAGCTGTTTGATCGTATAGTAAGAAATGAAAAAGGGTTAGAGGGAAGGCATACCATTCTTTGCGGACGGCAAGTTTGTCGGCTGTACAGGAACCATTTTGTGGGAGGCGTTCCTTAGTGTTGTCTCTGTATTCTTTGACGAGCTTGTTCATCAGTTCAGGGCTGGCATCCACCGCGGTGAAGCTGAGGGCTAGAATGGCGAGTGTCGCCAGAAAAATGATTGAACGAAACATGCCGCGTCAACGACGTCGACGTCAAATGGTAGGGAATATAGAAACGACAGTGGAGCTTTGAGAAGTGCTTTCTTGGTCCTGTCTGTAACGATTGCCAGACAAGAGACATTATAAGTACCCTCCATGGAAGCCATCAATGTTTTGACGCCTAGTACCGTACATGCCGTTCTCTACACACAGCTATTATTGGGATACGGGAGGCTTGCAGTCAGCCACAATGTTGGATTGCTCAAGATCCTATGCGGCTGAGTATACGGCCGTGAGGCTCTAATGGGGCTACAATGGGGCCATTAGCTACGTCATTTCGTCCCTATGACCCATAAGACTCACACTGATCCTTTCTTGCTCCTGAGGTTGTCAAAGCTTCTTGAAGCCCCGAACAACGACTGACTCAACTGTTCCTCCATCTGGATGAGCACGCCTACTCCAAAGCTACAGTAACTTTGATAAACACCAGATACCAGCGTACCGCGTACCGCGTACCCTCACCCCGTGCTGCGCCTTACGGAGCAACCGCTCGACCTCGGAGCTGGACGACTCGCACCATGTACCGCACCATGGAAACATGCCGCCGCAGGACATCCCCGACGCCATTATCTCAGGTAATAAGCACCTCGTATGTCTACCAAACTCAGCCTCCAACATCGGGACTCCAAGCCTCACAGCAGGCGGCAGCGTTCGCTCCTGACGAAAAGGCAACGACGGAGCTCGCACAATCCATCCCGCGAAGGAATCAGCTCGCTCTTAAACGAGCATCCGAGGCAGATAGAGCAATGTGGTGGCATCGGAACTTCGTCGGGGCCGCGATCGAGGCTCACGCTGACGGGAGACATTGTGCCTCCGCCGCGTACGATGCGCTGTGTGCTAAGGCTGGCACATGGGGCGTGCCGATCTACATGCACCCGACGTGGGACAAACCGCATGGCTGACTCCCGCAAGGCGTTGAAGGGCGGATGTGTCCGAGTCAATCGGTGTAAGCTTCAGCGCGGGGGTTTAGAGCTGAAATGGCGACATCGGCCTCTATTCCCCCCCCCGAAGCTGTTCGCCGATGTTGTGTTCAACTGATTTTCTACGCCTGAGACTGTCATCGGCCACACGGGCGAGAAGCTGTTGTTTATGCCGGAGCGATGCTACGATATAAGCACCCGCTTCACCAGAGCGCATCGTGTACATCGTTACCCATCCTTTCGAGCTAACGAAAAGACCGGTGGTTCGAGCGGGACGTAACCGGTGAGACGTTGAAGATAATTGCGGTGCATGCAGTGCGTTCTGCGTAACGTTGGAAGAAGCTTTCGTGCTCCTCTTAGTAAGCCTTGCATTAGGCTATATGCAGTTTAGCGCTGCTTACCACCACTCACAGTGTTTCTTGCAGTTCCCTCTCAGTAAGCGTCTCTCCACTCGTACTCCCCCGCCAAGCCCGAGCTTGCAAACGTGGACTCCGGGGGTCAAACGGGTGCTCCCAGTGGTTAGCTCATAAGACGGAGATAACACGATCGACACGAGCCGCAGCGAGAACCCCTGGAGCATACCGAGCGGTTGGGACTGGTCTGACAGTCTTATTTGTCAGGACTTGTGAACGCTTACGAGCCGTTGAGGTAGGAACCATGTAGTTGGGTTCCACACGCACACGCTCTACATGTGGCTTACGACCTTATCGCCACCCTGGCCCGGTGTAGAGGGGGCGTGAGAGGCTTACACGTGCTAAACGCTGACCTTTTCGTAGGAGAGAAGACCCCCTACTCTTGGCTACTACCTACACACTGAGCTGGGGTGGCGATTGCATTCTCTTGTCAGCCGAGAAAAGTCGAGCACGATAAGGCACAGCATAGGATACGGAATCGGTACTCCCCCCACACACACGTGCATGTACAATCTGTTGAGAACGTAGCCTTGGCTGTGTAAATCCTATGCAACTCATTCTACATTTGGTGCGGCCCGGGGCGTTGCTCCACATGTCTTATCAAGCCGCGCATGAATCCCCCAGTCCTCCGCGAGGTCAGTTCTTATGAATTTCCTCAGCTCCAGCGAGAAACACACGGTTTCTATCCAGCACCGCTCGGACGCTTTCCTGGTCATCCTCATGGGGCAGGTCTAGTCGAGGCGCCAAGCCCCGATTCAGCATGACAAAGGCCAGATGGCGGTAGCTCTTAGGATACGCAAGCACCTCCTCGGTCATGGTGAGCGGTGAGTCCCCCACATTGACTCCTGGGAAGCAGCTGACAAGGCGGTCGCGCACATAGGTGGATTCCAGGCTGAGCATGTGCCATTGCCCGGCGGCATCGGAGCTCTTCTCGAGCCGAGTCGCGAGACGCATGTGCGAAGCTAATTCGTAGTCGACGCCGCCGAGCGTCAGCGAGCTGGTGACGAGGCAGAAGGCCTCGCTGATGGCGCGGTGGCCGTTGACGTGGATGGAGACGGGGTCGAAGGAGGTGTGGATAATGTTGACTTTGCCCTGATGCACTTTCGCCGATCGGCTTAGGAATCCATCTATATCGCCCTCGTACCTGGTGTGCATCCACGTGGATTAGCTATAGGATAGACAGAAAAGAGTATGGGATAGGACATACCAGGCAACATTAATGTACGTCTTAGACGCATTGGGGTGGTAGGCGGCACGGCACAGGTCCCATTGGGCGGTGTCACGATGGAAGCGCTCGCGCTTGAGGAGGTTGGCGATCTTAGCGATATCCACCGCTGCAGTCGCTGTCGTAAGGGAATCCGATTCAATCATGGCCGTGGTAGTGGTTGACTAATTAAACTGTCAGATATTGCAAGGCGTTAATGAAATAGTGGGTTGACTCCGGTACCCAGGAAAAGAAGACAGCGACCTTCATTCTGCTAAACGGCACCCTTTTCCCTTATGTTCCTTGTGCGGCCTTCTTCTTCAGCTTTAATGAAACTAGTGTAACGCCGCTTCGTACCTGTGCTCGTGTTGAATTAGCCTTAATCCTCGTGGTGGCCGCGACACCGTACTAGTGAAGTTGGCAGCGGCTGTGGCGTGGTGCGCCTTCTACGCCGGGCCGACCCGAGCTAACCATCGTTGAAGTAAGCAAGCACTTCACTTCATGTCAACACTCCGGGTGATCCTTTGAAGCGCCAGGTATACATGTCAGTTTTCGCCCGTATCTGTGCAGTAACAGGCATTCGTGCCATTTTTACAAGCATCTATGCGGTTTCAGTTGATTGTGGAATCCTTAACGTTGAACACTGCAACGAACCCCAGCATAGGACGTCTTTGTCGCACAGAGAACGAAACACTGCTCTCCACTCCACCCTATACACCGTCTCAGCTAAGATATAAGCTTACATTCCCCATCTGGAGAAGGCGAGCTGATAAGAAGTGAATCACTCTGATTGCCTGCTTCCACGCTCGCACGTACCAGTCTACTCGGGACTTCCAGAAGCAGCTGCCCAGCCTATGGAGGCCTACGAGTCCAGTGATAGTTACCAGCATGAACGAGTCTTCAACATGAAGTCTCCAGAATGGGGTCCGAACCGGACCAACTTCTGGTCCCGACATTAGCAAGTGGCCAGGATTCCGGCGTGGTGAGCACGGAGCAAAGCCTTGGCCATCCCTCCGCTGAATGTGTCTGGCGAAAGAATGAAACCATTGAAGCAAGACACGCGTACACCGGCTCCATCTCCAGTGCACAACACTCACCGATGAAGTGCTCGGAGTCATCTTCATCAGGATAGATCGCCGTAAGCCCTCGCCGTGCGAGATAAGCCTTCTCCACGCGAGTCGTATATATGCTGGTACAACGATGACTTCTGCCTCCTCTTTCTTCTCCTTGACTGCCCCAGCAATCAGGAGAAGTCTGCTTATGCTCTCTTCAAGCAACAGACTTGGTTCCGCTATGGCTTCTCGCAATCATGTCGTCCTTTTCCCACACGAGCAGACGGACCTACTGGGGGCAACGCACGACTTAAACGTGCGGTCCAAGACGCGTCCCCAGCTCCGCACCTTCCTCAATGCGGCTTCGGCCGTTGTCCATGAACAGGCCGTTGCCTTGGATGGCTCTGAACGGGCGAGCATTGGCGAGTTCGAGGATCTCGTGGAGCTCGCCGAGCGACATGTCAGGCGGCATCGTTCAAGTGTGGTCGCCGAAATAATCCTCTTTACGACGATTCAGATCGGCCAGTTGGTAGTGTACGTCGTTCACGCCTAGGCTAAAGTTGGTCCACTTGAAGTTTGAACTGACATGATCCTAGGCTTGCAGAGGAAACTCCTTCAATCTTGTCGGCCACGTCGCTTCCTGTTGGATTCGGTGTTGGATTGATAGCGGCGGCCGTTGCCGCTACGGCCAGCAATGCAGATGCAATCGTCACCTTGGGCTTGGAAGCGGTCGCTATTGCCTTCCGTCTGGCTATTGACTTGCAACGGACCGCCAGGGACATTGAAGATTCGGACGGCGAATGGGCGCGCGTCGTCTCCGGCTTCAGCCAGGAGGAGCTCCGAGAGCGAGTAGAAAAGGCCAACGACACGCTACGACCACTCCACCGCGCATATATCGGCCAAGTCTTACCGGCGAGCGTGGTCGTGTTCGGGCCGCCCTCTACCTTGGACGCCCTTGCACGGACACCGGATTTTGCCAAAGCCATTACATCCCCTCCTACACCTATCCGGTGTCCTATGTACTGTTCACATCTTCCGCCGGTCGATGCCGCTCGGATAGTGGGCGTCTCTCCATGCCTCGATACATACACCGCTGAAAGACCGATGTATTCAGCCCACTCTCTCACCGGATGGCCCGCGGCCACAACTCTCGGTGAGCTATTGCGCCTCGCAGTTTCCGAGATCGTCCACAAGCCATTACAGATCGAAGAAACAGCTCGAGCCGTAGCAGTGGCACTCCAAGAGACAGGCAAGTCTGACGTCGTGCTTACGACAGTCGGCTCGACCTGGGATGCCTCCGAAGTGCGATACATATTCCAACAACACGGTCAGGTTCTCCACATTGAGGAATCGGCGCCATGCCCAAAGCCATTTGGCGAGGATGTCGGGAGCATACCACCGGATGCAATCGCTGTGGTTGGAATGTCTGGACGATTTCCTGAAAGCGACACGCTGGACGAGTTCTGGCGCCTATTGGACACTGGGACGACGACCCACCAGGAGATTCCGTCATCACGCTTCTGCGTAGATGACTTCTACGATCCATCTCGCTCGAAGCACAATGCGCTCTTCGCGCGCCATGGGTGTTTCATCAAGAAGCCCGGCGACTTTGATCATCGGCTGTTTAACATCTCGCCTCGCGAGGCACTACAGATGGACCCGGTGCAGCGCATGCTGCTTATGACGACATACGAATCGTTGGAGATGGCTGGTTACGGACCTGCCGCAGCTGCTGGTGGCGAGCAGAATCCGCCACGGATCGCCACATACTTCGGTCAGACGACGGATGACTGGAAGGCAATCAACGAGCAACAAGGCATCGATACACACTTCTTGCCAGGAGTCAACCGCGGCTTCGCGCCCGGGCGCCTATGTCACTACTTCCAATGGGCCGGCGGCTTCTTCAGCATTGATACGGGCTGCTCCTCAAGTGCCACAGGCCTCTGCCTTGCCCGCGATGCGCTTACGACGGGCGAATGCGACGCGGCCGTAGTGGGAGGCGGCACGCTGCTCAATGCCCCTGAGTGGTTTGCCGGTCTGAGCCAAGGGGGCTTCCTCTCGCCTACGGGTGCCTGCAAGACGTATTCGGATCGCGCTGACGGATACTGTCGTGGCGAGGGCGTCGCCGTCGTAGTGTTAAAGCGCCTGGCAGACGCGGTCCGGGCAAAGGACAATATCCTCGCAGTCCTCGCCGGCGCCGCTCGCAACTGCAACGCTGGCGCTGGCTCCATCACGTACCCTGGTGAGCGCGCTCAGGAGGCCCTTTATCGTCGCGTACTGCGGCAGGCAGCGGTGCGCCCACATGATGTGGGCTTTGTCGAAATGCATGGTACGGGAACGCAAGCGGGTGACCGCGTCGAGATGGCAGCGGTGCAGAAGGTCTTCGCGGAGTCGCAGCGGGCGAAGCCGCTCATTGTCGGTGCTGTCAAGGCTTGCATTGGACATAGCGAGGCTGCAGCGGGCGTCGTGTCCATGATCAAGGCCATTCTCATCCTCCAGCGCGATACCATCCCCCCACAACCCGGCCAGCCGTTTACTCTCAACCCGCACCTCACTCCCCTCCTAGACCATGGCATACAACTCGCCAATGGCCAGGCATGGCTACGGGATGGAACGACGCCTCGCTACGTCTTCGTCAACAACTTCGACGCCGCCGGAGGCAACGTGAGTTTGCTACTCCAGGATGCTCCGTCCTTCGCCCTGGCGCCGCCGCCGTCACAGCTAGACGGACGAACGTACCATGTTGTAGTTACGTCCGGCCGCACTACGGCGGCACACGACGCGAACAAACGTCGTCTACAGCAATACGTCAAGGGGCACCCGGACATCCGGCTAGCTGACCTGGCCTACACGACCACTGCCCGGCGCATGCATCAGATGCACCGCGAGGCGTATGTGGCCGCGTCCACCGCAGAGCTTCTGCGTCAGCTGGAACAGCCTACGCCGCCACCGGCTACCAAGGCATCATCGGTGGTGTTCGCCTTCACGGGCCAGGGCGCGCAGCATGTGGGCATGGGCGGCACGCTGTATCGTACGTCGCCCACGTTCCGTCGCCTGCTCGACTCGTACCAGCGCCTCTGTAACGCGCAGGGGCTAGACTGCCAGTTCCTCGACATCATCTGCGGATCGGGAGACGTGACATCAACAGGTGCAGCCACCATCGAGCGCGACTTGCAAGTAGCGACCGTTGCCCTCGAGATCGCCCTCGCACGATATTGGCAGTCACTCGGTTTGCGCCCGACACTGCTCATCGGACATAGTCTGGGCGAATATGCGGCTCTCTGTATCGCTGGTGTGCTGTCAGTGGGCGACGCGCTCGCCTTGGCCTACGAGCGTGCTACACTTATCTTCACCAAGTGCCGGCCATCGGAGGCAGGCATGGTGGCTGTCGCTCTCCCCGCAAATACAGTCAAGTACCGTTTACGGGATTCAGCGGCCACACTGGGATGCGAAATATGCTGCATCAATGGCCCGTCCAGCACTGTCGTCGGTGGTCCCCTCACCGCCATCGAGGCGCTCGAAGTCAATCTGAAATCGGATGGAAAGGCGGCGACTACGCGCTTGCGCGTCCAGCACGCATTCCACACCCGCCAGATGGATCCTGTCCTGGACCAGCTCGAATCGACCGCATCGCGTGTCAACTTCCACCCGCCCACTGTTCCGGTGGCGTCTACTTTGCTCGGTCGGATCGTGCAGCCCGGCGACAACGGTGTCTTCAACGCGCACTACCTGCGTCGCCATACTCGCGAGCCGGTTGCGTTCCTTGATGCGGTACGTGCGTGCCAAACAGAAGGGCTGATTCAGGATCAGTCGCTCGTCGTCGAGGTCGGACCCCATCCCGTATGTATTGGTCTTATGGCTTCTTCGCTCCAGGGAGTGAGCCCGAGCACATGTCCCAGTCTACGTCGCGGGCGTGACGAGTGGGAGTCTATTTCTCAGTGCCTTGCCGCCGCACATCGCGCACAGCTCCCCATAGCGTGGGCGGAATTCCACAAGGACCATCTCGAACACCTCCGCCTACTGAGTGGGCTGCCAACGTACGCATTCGAAAACAAAAGCTTTTGGTTCTCGTACAATAGCACTGCTGCGCCTAATAGCACGCCCGACGGAGTCCCGCGAACTTCGCCCTTGGCCGGCTCAAGACTCTCCTCTACATGCCTCCATTCGATCGAGCAGCTGCGGAAGGATGGGACCCGAGTACTGGCGACGTTTACGGCCGACCTGTCCAAGCATGAGCTTGCGAAGGCCATCGGCGGTCACGTCGTCGATGGCGTGGCTATCTGCCCGGCAAGCATCTTCATCGATATGGCGTACACTGCCGCAGCATACCTCGAAAAAGAGAGCCGCAATGTACCAAACACATCTTTGGCCACATACGAGCTGTCCAGTCTGAGCATGCAAAACCCGTTGGTGCTGCGTGAAGATGATGAAGCACCACGCTTCTGGGTGGAAGCAGAGCTCGACCAATCCACCGACATCGTCTCAGTTCGCTTCTTGTCCCAGCGCGGAGAGGGAATTCCGAAGCAGCATGGGTCCTGTTTCATCCGGCTCAGCCAGCCCGATGCGCCCTGCACTCAAGCATGGTCCCGAATGCAGCCGCTAGTCCAGGCACGAGTGCGCAGCCTCAATACCTCCTTACGTCCCAGAGAGGTCCACGCGATGGACCGACGCCTGTTTTACAAGATATTTTCCGAAATAGTCGACTACTCGGCACCCTACCACGCAGTAGAGGAGGCCACCGTGGCGGCCGACTTTCACGATGCCGCCATAGTCCTCCAAATGACACCCTCAGTGCATCTGGGCACCTTTACTTGCAGCCCTTTCGTGATCGACGCCCTCGTCCATGTTGCTGGTTTCCTGCTCAACGCAGACGTACGGAAGCCCAAGAATGAAGTCCACATCGCCAATCACATCGGGTCGTTGCGCATCCTGGGCGATCTGTCATCCTCTGGGCCGTTCCGCGCCTACACTACCATTCGAGAGCAGGATAGCAAAACTGGGACCAGCCTATGCGATGTGTACCTCACTGATAGCCAGGACAAGCTTGTCGCAATCTGCACAGACATATGCTTCAAGAGGCTCGAGCGAGACTTCTTCGCAATGCTGACAGGCTCCGCTCGCGCGCTTCCACCAAGGCCGCGCGTGAAGAGCGGCAGCTCTTCAGCAACACCCACATCTGTATCTACGCCAGCATCGGAAAGCAGTTTGTCGGATATGGTAGACCTCTCAGCGGAACTGTTTGACGCGGTCGCGGCGCGGAGTGGCATCAGCGTGGCCGAATTGAAAAAGTCAACCAGCACGACGTTTGCGGACATGGGTGTTGACTCCCAGATGAGCATCGCTATCCTAGCCGACTTCCAGAAGGCCACGGCCGTCGAGCTGCCGGCGGCATTCTTCGCCAACTTCCCAACTCCAGCTGCAGTGGGGAAAGAACTGGGCAGTCCTCAGCTGGAAGATATTACGGAGCCCGCGCGGACAACCCGAGCGGCATCCCCTGCCTCGCCGAAGCGTAGGAGCAGGAAGCAGAGTCCAGCACTTGCTGGGCCGAGTAAGAAGCTTTTCCAACTCCTCGCTAATGCGCTGGGCCTCGAAACCAGCGATCTCACGCCGTCGACCACGTTTGAGTCCATCGGCCTGGACTCGATGCTAAGCATCAAGATCATATCTGAGTTCCAACAAGAGACCCAGATCGAATTGCCAGCGGCCTTCTTCGCCGACCACCAGACAGTAGCGGCCGTACGAGAGGAGTTGGATGGGGCATTGGAGACGACGGAACCGGAAGGAATACCGCGGAGCCAGTCTCCTGTGATCAAGTCGCATCCTCCTGTCACTCCTGCGGCGAAGACGACGAGCGAGTCGACCCGGCAGCACAAGATCGATAGCGCTGTCTCCCGGGCCGTTTTGATCCAGGGACAGTCGAGGTCTCGCGCAGCTCCGTTGTTCATGACTACCGACGGGTCGGGGACAGTAGAGTCGTACATTCATCTGAGCGCGCTTCCGCAGGGCCGTCGCATTTACGGACTCGAGTCGCCATTCCTGGAGTGCCCGGAGGTGTTTGACCTGTCCATCGAGGAGATGGCTTCTATATTTGTCCGATCCATCCGCAAGATCCAACCGCATGGGCCGTACCTCATTGGCGGCTGGTCAGCAGGCTCTATCTACGCCTACGAGGTCGCGCATCGCCTAACTAGGGAAGGCGAGACCATTTTGGCGCTTATCATTCTCGATATGCGCGCCCCTTCCCTCATTCCTACTACTATCGTCACGACTGATTTTGTCGACAAGCTTGGCACATTCGAAGGCATCAATCGCGCCCGCGACCTCCCCGAGGATCTCTCCGTCAAAGAGAAGGCGCATCTCATGGCGACGTGCCGCGCTTTGTCCCGGTATGATGCGCCCGCCTTCCCCGCCGACCGCCAGCCGCGGCAGGCGGTCGTCGTCTGGGCGCGCCTCGGTCTCGACAATCGGGAGGATGCCCCTGTCGCTGCCATGGTCCGCCCAGGCCTCGATATCGACAAGCCACTGAGCGAAATGACACTGCCGGATTTCGAACGCTATTTTAATTCGTGGTTCTACGGTCGGCGCGAGCAGTTTGGGACCAACGGGTGGGAGACCCTTCTTGGGGATCACATATCGGTGCATACTGTGGATGGAGGTTTGTTTACTGCACCCTTACAAAATGCTCAATCGGCTGATTCTTGTCCTACAGATCATTTCAGCATGATGTGCCCGCCATATTCCGGCGCGGTTGGGACCATCGTCGTCGACGCGGTAGCACAAGCGGTAGCTGTGGAGTGAGTTGACGAACAACCAAAGTGAGCGCATTGAATAATGACTGAATTGAAATGGATGATATCGTCGTTGGAGCGTACTGGAGTCGGCGTGTTGCATTTGTTGCGTAAATTAATGTTAAAAAGTGTCCTTGTCTAGTCGCGTAGAACAATAGATAGAATCATCAAGAAGATAGAATAGAACAGACTTGCCTTTGCGAATTTCCGCTGGTAATGTTAGAATGCGAGATGCAGATTAGATTGTTGATAGACTTATCTTAGCCCTTGTGCCGGTGCTGCTCTAGCGACATCAGCACCACATATCACCGGAGCAGTTGCGGTCCTTTCCAACACGCACATCTGGCGGCACCAAGAAGATGTTTTGAATTCAGAATTGTGATTTTCGTATCAAGCCGAACCCGACACCTCCCATTTCGCATACCGAAGTAGTATAGTCGAGGAAGAAACACGAGCCCAGCAAATGCATATCCGCCGCCTTTCCCATCCCTTTCTGTCGATGTGCACTCAAGCTCGTCATGTAATCATCGCGCCTCCTCCCCTCTCCGTGTTGGCCGTCGAAGTTGTGGGGCGTTTATCGATGCTAAAAAGAGTTAGCCAATGTATCCTCAATATCACATGATTCTCACTGCTGGTAGTGATGCGAGAGGTGGGCGACTGAAGAGCAGGAGTATGATGTAACCGTACCTTGACGAAGCCAATATCAGTGCTCTTCTCCCTGAAGCACTGGCGGCAGATGTTAAGGCCGTATTTGCGGATCAGACCAGCGCGGTGGGTGCAGACGCGGCTACAAGACTTCCGTTAGCCATCATTGTCCTCATTCCTCTGTTTCTGGCCACTGCCGCCGCTCCAACACGGTGCTCAACCCCAATTCCTTATAAAACCGTCGGAGGACAAGGCATTATGGGATATGCGTACCAGGAGCGGGCTCCCTTGCCATACGAGCGCGGACGCGAGTACCAGACGGACTCGTGAGACATTTTGTGCGGTTGACGAAATTGGAGATTGCGGTGTCGCTCCTAGACTTTCGCATCAGCTTCCTCCTCCCGATAAAATGCTGACGATAGTGTTAGATGGCAATACTCACGGAATTGTGTACTCAGAGGCAGGTATCGTCGGTCGGGGTTCGCGTCGTCGTCACGATGGTGTCGCTGGAGTTTCTTGATGTGGAGGCTCGGAAGGCGGGACAACTTTGATGCGGCAGTTAAGCGAGTGGCTCGTGCTGGCCGCCAAGCCCGCAGCGATCAACGGTTATCGGGATGAATTGGAAACTTGCCGAATGTGGCATGTTGACGGCTGCCTGTGCGAGTCTTCAAAGCATGTGATGTGGGTGGTATTGCGATAAAGGTTTATTCATTACATTTGTGATCGAGCAACGTTTCATACGCGTCATAAAGATCGTAAGAAGCCTATCTCAAAGGACCGGTATCATCCCAGCACAAAGCTCATAGACTCCCGAGAACGCAGCAGGCAAAGACATCAACACGCAGAACGGCTCTCACCTCACGCCTCCGACTGAGAGTGTAGTCCCAGCACGCCTCTCTTCTTTCTCCTCGTCGGCGCAGTAACAAGTGCGCTCTTCCCTTTCAGGTCCGAGACACACTGAACATTCGTCGGCTGCCTCGTGCTCCTAGCGTTGTAAGACCATTTGCCCGGGCCATTATTGGCCATGTTTAGCGACGTAGCGCCGCCGTTGAGGACCAACGTCATCTTCTTGTTGTCACCGTTGACCACATTGGAGTGGCAAGTCACACTAATAGTTCCAGACTGTCGAGACTGCCAAGAATATGTGTCGAGCGTGACGACATCGTTGGCCGTCTTGCTGACCTTGACAGTAACCTTCGCTTTGCTAGACTTGCTGGTATCGGACTTCAGGCTGACGGTGACTTCGAAGTCAAAAGAAGTATCTGCATTGACTGTGGGCGCGGTAAAAGTCGCCGTCGGCTGCGCAGCGTTCTGGATGCTAATTGATGGCGAGGCAGGAGATGTCTTCGTCCAGGCGAAGGTAAGGTCACTGTTCGAAATTCCATCCGCCGTATTCGAGGCTACGAGGAAAACCTGCCCGCCCACGCGCTGAACGGCGGTGATTGCCGCAACAGAGGCAACCGGTTCCCTAGCTGCTGGGGCGTTGGGGTCGTCAGGATTGGAAGGAATATCGCTAGGGCTGCAAGTCTTCGCTGGTGCAGGCGGCTTCGGCCCGGGGAACGGATCCAATGGACCGTATTGCTTATCATCGAGGAAATCCCCTTCAACAAGCCCGCGAATGTCCGAGAAGCGGAATGGTGGAGGCTCGGTACCAGGCTGGTCCACCTCCGGCTGGATCCATTCACCCACCGGCATCACATACTGACCAGCCTTGATGCCATCTTTCGTCTCAATAACCGGGTTATTGGCTTTGATTAGGTATTCGCGTGTATATGGGGTTCGACCCGCAACATCTAGACGAGCCTCCCACTTGCAACGATCATCACCAGCTTTGGGGGTGGCGGTTCCGATTTGACGGAATTTCTCCTCTCCCGTGCAGGGGTCGACCTCGATCGCACTGATGGAGACGCTGGCGCCGCTGCAACTGGAGAGGAAGCCGATGAACTGGCGGTGTGTTAGGCTCGAGGTAGTCACGAGAAGGTTACAATATCACTTACACGAAAATCCGCCACTTCGACATTGCCTGCGTTGTCAGTGACGCCGACAAGCGCATCCTCAACTCGGATGTAGTTGGGCACAGTGTCGGACGCGGTAGTCGTGACTTGGACGTTGATGGCTGTGATTTCATAGACTAATATTTCCCCTCCATTCTTAGTCCCGGCATACTCGATGAAGTCTCCCTCGCGGAAAGGGACCATCTTCAGCGGATCAGGAGCACTAAAGTCAATCGCCCCGTTTGGACGGTTCGATTGCGGACAGTTCTCATCGTTATCGGATCGAGGCAGACACATCGGGAAACCGGAAAAGGCGGTAACGCTAGGATTTTCACCATCGACTGGGAAGAACGACGAGTCAGTCTTCTTCGAGAATACTCCATTGGGGTCATTGATGCGGATTGTGGGACCTCCACGAATTTTCATGGTGCCAGCCGCAATATTGATGGTATCAATGTATCCTTGTCCACCCCTGAGACTGAGTCCAGCGCTGACGGAGACTTGCGCTGCAATGGCCTCGCCGTTGACCACGTTGCCGGATACCGAGACCTCGTAGCCATCGGCATGGGCACCGCATAGCTCGGGGAAGGGTTTCCACACGGTAGGAAATTGGACGATAAGGTTCTTTGGGACTTTGATGTTCCAACCATCCACCGTGATGGATCCCCCAGAATTGTACTCTCCGGCATTGGGGGCGTTGCAGCTGAAGTAGGTCAGTAACTACACGTGGCCAACTTGGAGCAAAAGGAGCACTCACTTATCAAGAGTTCCAGTAACTGATAATGGAATGATACCTGGGATAGGCGTCCCCGCAAAGCCCATCGAGGCTAGGGATAGGAGTGACGCAATGCGTGAGAAACGAGCCATCTTGTAGAACCCGTCTGCGTTGAGATAACGGAAACTCTAACGAGAGGAAAAGAAGTGGGAAATTAGAGATTATATACCCATTGCTCAGCTCGCCGTCCAGCGACTCTGCGTTCAATGCGTTTCTACCTCTTAGCCAAGTCGTATCATGCCCTCTAACAGTCAGAGACTTGGCCATTTCCTAAGAACCTAGAAGTATCTTTTCGCTGTGACAAGCTTCTGAAAGCCAGGAAATGGCTCTGGTCTAGAAGCTTCGGCAGAAAATCGATACAGAGGTTAGTGAGATCCGAGGCTAGAGAACCCAAGTCGGTGCAGCCATCAATACTTCCAAGAGCTTTGGCGAGGCTTGACGAGAAAGGCAACAACGAAACAAGGAGTGGGGCTGCCGCTTTGCTCCTTAGCATTCACAGCTGATCCGAATTCTTGGCGTTCAAGGAGCCGCCACACTAAGCTTCTCGCAAATGGGCTTGACACATTCGGGGCTGTCGAAGCGATGATCTTGACCTCTGGGCATTCGCGGGGGATAGATCCTGCGGCTTTCGCGCTAAGAGGAACTTGGTCGGTGAAAGCGGCTGAGATGCCAAGGAGAATTTCGAATTCTAGTCCGCTCCTTGTTACATTGGTAGAGATTCAGGGTCCAAAAGGAAGCCGGTGAGTCGATCTCCCGCTGCGAGATGGGAGTTATGTCGGCGAATCCCCCGACCCGCCGAACAAAGCGAACGAAGGACAGAACGGGAGGATCCGTATCATGAAAGCAGGAACCGGGTCCAGGCACAACCGAAACTAAAGTGAACTGCGTGGACGAAGCAATGAGGGGCGCCTATCAATTAACCGTAGGGCATGAGCGGACCTTGCAGGCAGCTGTGTGATACACGGTAACGTAGAATGCAGGGAAAGCTATTTTTGCTCCACAGAATTCCTAGGTGCCCGAAACGTGCAGTCGGAAAGCTGCGGGGCTGAGCTAAGTATACCGAAAGAGCAGAAAACGTATAGATCGAGAGCGAAGTACGTCGTGGGCGAAGGAGATTGGTAGATGAAAGCGAATAACCTCTTGTGGCAGTTCTAGAGCATGTCCAGCTGAAGGGCTTGCTGAAAAGTTACTTGGCATTGGAGCCATCGAATCATGTCCACAATTGACGAGGGTGCAGAGTCGCATTCGCGAGCGAGGTGTAAAAGCAGAAGGGAAAAGGTGGTGAGTTCGGAGCGGTATGCTCCGCGGCTATTGTGTTCGCCGATGGTGTACAAGACAGATGAGGATGAGGTCTAGAACCCTAGTCGGAGGCTAGGGCGATGTGGCGCAAACACGTGCCAGAAGATCGCTTGGCGTTCCGGATTTAGATGAGCGAAAACTCTCCTCAAGCCACTCTCCGCCGCTACACTCCAGAGGAGGAACACGAACAACGTTCATGGATTGATGGGGCGTTTGCAGTTCTATCTCAGAGGTGGCACGATGGCTGCGGACCGCAGCCCAATGGCTGTTTGGATGCCTTCGCTGCCTTGTTCTATTCCGAACGCGCAGTCCCACCTGCATGCTCCCAGACACACAAGGAGGCACTCCATGTGGATAGAAGGAGATCCCTCTCATGCTGCAAAAGCATAACTCCCGAGCAGCCTATACGCGTCCCAAGGCCCTATCCTCCTCTTCTCATCCCGTCGCCGGAGGGTCTCTACCACAATAGCCGCTTCCTTCACGCCAAAATGCTCAGCAATCCGGCTCAATTGCGCGATGACCCAATCGCGCGACCTTTCTGGACAATTGCGGGACCATGCAGCGATGTAAAGACTGAATATTAGAATATAAGCATCCAGGAAGTGTGGTGTCGTATGCGTATGGACTGATCCCTGACGGTTGACGCCTGACGGTGGTAACTTATGTCGCGCCGCGCCTTCGCAATCGGTCATCTGGGGAACGGAAGCGCAGATCTCCTGGACCATACTTGCGATTGCGGAGGTTGCGTACCTAGGGTCGGCGCTATACTCTCCGGACGGGGGTGTCAAGGAAGAATCTATGATCTCTTCGCAGAGCAAGATCCTCATGAGCCGAAGTACGTTCCACATCTGCGTGACCTGCCGAGTGGAATAAACATCGTAGAAGCCGTCTAGCGCCATATCCCTTTTATCATCCGCAGATAGAAATATTCTCTCATACGACCAAGTCGGGGACGCCTCTAGAGCCACTTGCTCAAGCTGTTTATCCAACTCCATGCATTTCCTAACTCTTTCGTCAGGTGTTAAGGCACCGTCGGGCCTCTCGGAAACCAAGTCCGTCATCTCGATGGAAATCCCACCGAGTCTCCATTTCGGATCCGATACGTCAATGAACTGCGCAATATGTTTCCTGATATCAAAAATTTCGCTCGGAATAGGATCACCTTTACTAAGGCAACAGATCACCGCGTTAAGAGATAGTCTTGCCAGAGCTCGCAGACTCGCATTATCAGTAAAGTGCCCCAGACCTCTCAACTTGACGAGTGCCATTGCGCCATCCACATGAGCCCGATAGGTACCGTCAGAAGCAGTAGCTGGGTTCGTGATCTTCTCAAAGAGGTCGAGAAGAAGAGATGCTTCGAATATCGTCGGCTTGCGGGCGGTCCGGACGCTCTGCAGCGCGGTGTTCAGTTCGTGGATTGCGGCAACGTATTTTTGGCGGCCGAGGTTCCTAGCAGAGGGCGAAGATACTTGGTGCGAAAGAAAGGCTAGGCTGGCTGCATCGATGCTCAAGCTCAGATGTTCGGGCGCCAACCTCGGATCAAAGTACGGATATAAGAAATCCCAGCCCTTGCTAAAGTCGGCGATGTAATAAGCGAAGAACAGCTCTCTGGCTTGGGCTTGTAGATCCAGGGGTAGATGAGACAGCTTGAATGGCGCTTGAGAGCTTTTTGAAGGTGTGGAGGCAGGTCTCTTGGATAGCGCTTTCGAGCGGACGGCTTGCGTCTGGTCCGATATACGCAGGGTTTCTGTGTCTCTGTAGCCAGTGCATTTGAGCCCAACACGAAGGCATGATGTGCATGTCGGCTTTCGCAGGTCACACTAACAGCGTGAGCATAGGCTATAAAGAAAGTTGCCCAAGGGGAGATACCCGAAGCTTCCTATCCCGACACCTTTGGCACGCCTTAGACGGCTTGCCGCGGAATACCATCTCTCAAGGCTGGCTCCTTGCAGCAGATATGGTCACTGGGCTCCTCGTCCACGAAAATAACGGATCATCCCCGGCGGCATCCGGAGTGTTGTTGAGTGATGGGCAGAAGAGACGAGGTGGAGAGGTGCATACCAGTGGCTCAAACTAAGCCCAATCCGGATACCTTTTCGACGCTAACCTATCGCCCATCCCTGGGGCCATGTCATCATTGGCTTTTCTTCATCCGGCCGGAATTTAATAGTTCCTTCCGTCACAGAAAGCTTCTCGATGCCTAATCTAAGAGAACGACTTACCTAGGTAGATAGGCGAACCACGACCGAATTAGGTATCCAAAACGTACATACACCGATCTCATTGTGGTTGACCGGAGAGACTAAGTGTTGCCCTACCTTGCCGTTTTGGGTATCTATATCGTGCAGACATAGTTCAGCTTCATTGCCACTGTGGCACATCGCTCTGCGGTCGGCGGAGGTATAAGTATGAGTCCAAATTCCTCACATCTATACAAATATTTCTCGTTCATCCACTCTCCTAGCCTCAAATAACTATCCACCACAATGTCCTTCCCATACAAGCACGTCCTCCTTATTGGAGCCACCTCTGGCATTGGCGCCGCCATGGCGGACCACCTCATCAGCCAGGGTATTAACGTAACCGCCGTCGGCCGGCGCAAAGACCGACTAGACTCCTTCGTATCTACGCACGGCTCAGACAAAGCCTCCAGCCTAGTCTTCGACATCGCAGACTTAGATTCCATCCCCGCTTTCGCCGAAAAGTAGAGATACACCCTTCATCCCTCTACGAAGCCAAAGGCAAGCTAACCGGCCACAGTGCCTTCAACCAGCACCCTTCAATCGACGCCGTCTTCCTCAACGCCGGCATCCAACACCGCTGCGACTTCTCCCACCCCTCCACCGTCAACCTCCCGCGCTTCAACCGCGAAATAACCACAAACTTCACCTCCTTCGTCGCCCTAACCCACGCCTTCCTTCCCTATCTGCTCGGGAAAGAAGGAAACTCAGGACTCATCTACACCGGGACGCAGATCAGCCTCGTCCCAGCGTACACCATGCCCGCATACAGCGCCTCCAAAGCCGCCCTTGATGCCTTCATCATGTGTCTGCGCGAGCAGCTGCGTGATACGAATGTGAGGGTTATGCATTTGAGTCCACCGCTTGTGCAGACAGAGCTGCATGATGCAGAAGTAGGAGCTGAGGTGGGGAGGAAGATGGGTATGCCGGTGGAGCGGTTTACGGATGAGGCGTGGAAGGAGTTGGAGAGCGGAAAGGAGAACGTCATTATCGGAAGTGTCGGTGGATCAAGCAAGGAGCAATTTAGTGAGATTGTGGAGAGGAGGGAGGAGGCATTTGGCAGGTTGGCAAAGCTACTGAGGAGCCATTAGATAGCTATCCTTCCCTCTTCGCAGCCATCAGCTGCCTATACGTCTCAATTATGCCCTGCCTCTCGACTCCCAATTCTTCCCTCTTTCGCAAACTGCCTACAGCATTTGGCACGTTCCCCACATTGACTCTCGCCCCCTCTTTTACCTTAAATATCTCCCTCGGTACTCTTTCAAAGGTCGGCGGCGCTTGCACGACATCATGTAATCCCTTCCTCTCTTGCCTCCTCTTCTTCAGGTCTTCCCACTCGTCGATCCGTCCATCGTCAACCTCCCCAACCACGAGCTTCCGCTTCCCTTTCTTCTTTTTGCCCTTGTTGCCGGTGATGGTAGAGACATCGGCAGTCCTGTCCTCCCACAAGTCGTTGATCTCGTCGTCTTCTTCCTCCGCCAACTCGCGCTCTTCCTGCTCTTTCTCGCGCAACCGTGCTTCTTCCTTGCGCCAGCCCTCCTGCAGCTTCTTCAGCCTGCGCTCGTGTTTTGTGACTCTGTGGTCGCTGAGGCCCGCGAATTTCTTGGTGTTGCGCGATATGCTGGTAAGCGGTAGGGCCGCATTGACACGCTGCCGGAATTCGGAGAGCTTTTCGCCGGGCATGATCTTCAGCTCTGCGTGCGGTTGAATCTCACTATTCGAGGTCGCTTCCTGCTCGGCTTCTTCTGCGGCTTTCCGCTGCTGTTGTTTCTGTTTCTTGGGCTTGGGAGCGCCATCATCGAGGGCCGAACGTCGTTTGCCTGTAGTCTTGAATGCCATGAGCCGTGCGAAGGCTTTAGGTGTATCGTCCGCGCCATAGCCGTCTACATTCTTCACTTTGCGCTTCTTGTTCCGTGGTGCTGGGTTCGGCGCGCGAGCTTTACCGGCCGGGAGAGGTGCGGCGCGCGATGAGGGCGGAAGGTCATAGCTGATTACTTAGCATGCCAAATAGGGCGCTGTCAAACATGACTTACTGCGACTCGTCGCTGTCGGCTTTCCGCTTGTGTTTGTGCGGCATTGCGGCTGTTCTAGAGTGTTTGAAGCGCTGAATGGAATTTTGACGTGGGGGTATGCTTATATAAGCAGCACTTGGCGGAACCAGGTCACATGTGAGACAATTCACCCCGCTTTCCGTGATTGAAATAGTCAGCACTCCGGGCTCCACGTCGCGAAGACACACTGCCAATCTCTACCCCATATTCTCTGCTGCACCTTCCTTGTACCCTCTTTCTAAGCCTCAAGCGACGGTATCTCTCCGCCCCCTGCTGCCCATCATCCTCTCCAGCCCAGCTCAGCTCATTTCCTTCCCGATGTCCAACAATACACCATCTTGAGCACACTGAAGCTCCTGTATAATCTTCGAAATTCGTAACGTGGGTTGCTCAGCGGCAGCCTCGAATCGTAGCAGCTCCACCAACACAACCTTGTTTGGTCGGCCGGACACTTGGTACGCTTCCAGGGGCCATCTCCATGCGCACGACATTCTCATGCCGCCAATGCCGCCCTACTTTCCTCCGGAGTCATAATGGAAGGTACCAAGCAAAACCGATATGAGTATCGACCCCTAAATCTCGAAGAGAGAGAGATTCGCCTCGTCGAAATCTTACCAATTGTCGACAACGTACACATTCGATTGCACACATACTCCCTCGATAAGCCTCCAGCATATGAAGCCCTTTCATACGCATGGGGGCCTCTAACCACCCCCCCAAAGGACATATTATGCGAAGGTGCACATATCGGGATCGGCTCGAATCTCAACGATTTCTTGGTAACGATGCGTGGACTGTTACTTGCGCACGGGCGACGGCGCTGTCCCTTGATTTGGATAGACGCCATATCTATCAATCAGAAAGATGCTGTGGAAACGAGGGCTACAATCCAATGGATGCCGAAAATCTATGTAAAGGCTACACGTACTCTCTGCTGGTTGGGGAGGTCCCCTCTGCCTGGGTTTCCGGTATTAAGAGACACTATGTGCAACCTTGTGGATTCTATGCAGGACTTCATATCGTTTTCAGATGTGGACCATACTCGATCGCGTATCAAAGTTGGACCCGAAGGTCTTCAGAGATTCCGGGCTTCAACGCAAGCCGCCCCCGAGGTTGACTGGGAATGCCTAGACCAAATCCTAAGCGACACTTACTTCACGAGGTGAGACTTTTCGCTTTCCAGCTCTTATGTAGCTTTGTTGATACTAGTTAGCTGACTCAATTATATATAGAGCATGGATTTTGACGGATTTCATTACCTCACCGAACCTTGTACTCCTTCGTGGCGAGAGCGAGATTCCTTGGACGTTATTTGCGGACTTTTTACTATTATGCGTACTCTTCAACACTGGCTCTGTACCTGGACCCAAAGGAGCGATTAACGTGATCATATGCGAGGCTCTGAGACTTCGTTTCCACAGTATGCATGCGGAAGTACCAACGAGCGCCGAAATTCTCTTGGCCTTCCGATACTGTAGCGCAGCTACTACTTATCTAAGTGACTATGTTAATGCCCCGTATACGATCATCCATTTGCTCCACCCGGAAGTGTCCGTCAGACTGGGAATAGACTATCACACGGACCCGGTGGTCTTTGCCAACACTTCGAAATTCCTAAACGACGATTCCAAGAGTCTCATCAGCCTCAGCCTCCTAGGCGGAATGCCTCAGCCTCAATTCGACAGAACTACAGAATCCTGGGCAATCAACTGGGATCGCCCTTACACGCGGTTCCTACTGAATCATCCGAAGAGCACGTTCTCGGCAACGAAGGAACATGAGGTCCACGCTTCCTACTTTCTGTCTGAAGCAGAGCCAAACACCCTGAAGTGTACCGGCCTCGTAGCCGATACACTTCTAGGGGTATCTAGCTATCTCCCGGCCCGCCGCCCGTGCGACCATTACAACGTAAATGGCAGTAATTCCTACGTATTTGACGAGTGGTACGCGTTCGTTACTGGAAACATTCGCTCTCTCAAGAAGGAGGCCGACTTATTGCTAGAATTCGCGGACACCATTCAAGCAAAGGGTTCTAACCATGTCTGGGAGCGTCAAGATTGCAGTCCCGCCGAGCGCGTTCAGCAAGTAAAAGAGTTCCTCAACTATCTGGAGGACGAAGACGTGCCTCTGACGGACACTATCAGAATATTCTACGCTGCGTGTTACCAGTCGCATGACAGGAGACTTGCTGTTACTAAAAGCAAGCGCCTTTGCCTTGTGCCGAAGGATGCAAAGAGCGGCGATCTCGTTTGTGTCTTGCACGGGAACAGGGTACCGGTTATTTTCAGGCCAATCCGTGAGACCCCCATGGGCTACAAGAATATTGGGGAAGCTTATGTGCATGGGATGATGCAGTATGAGACAGCAGGGCTTGAAGACATTCCAGAAGGAGAATTCATGGTGTATTAGAGCACGCCGCACGACTGAAATGATATAATTTAGTCACCATCGACTATGCTTCGCTTCCAAGCGAGCACCAACAAGCCCATTACTATTCCTCTGCTCAACCCTTTTTCCGTCCCAATTTCGATGCCAAGCGTTTGAAAAGAGACAACGATCTTCCCTTCGGTGGACCGGTGTCTGAAGGGCTAGTATCCTCGGGTTTGGGAACGAAACTCGGGATCGCGAGGGTAGTTTGCGCGTCCCGTGATCTCCCAGCTGTTGTTAGTTGACTATCCGCATCAAGGCCTGACGTTTGGCCCGTAGTTTCTTTCTTTCTCCTTTCGTAACTATCCACCATCCCACGCATTTGAGGCTCAAGGTTCTCCAGTTCAGCGCTGCGCTTGGGTGATTTGGAAGTATGGTAAAGGAAGATGCTCTGAAGCCTCGAGATTGGGCCAAAATATTCCGGCTCACACGGTGATGTCTTGACTTGGCAGAAGAGTGCCTTGCAGATGGCTTCGTGAGGGTCGAAATCGCGTGGAATCCAGCGTCGGATGAGGATTTCTGTTCCAGGGAGCTCAAGATAATCGCGCACAGTACGATGGAGGAAGTCGACTTTCTCATTAAAGAGTATGGCGGACGGCAATGGATCCTCAAGAATGTCGGGCGATTGATAGTGTGGCTCCAGAAGTCCCTTACAGGAAGCAATAAGCCTCCTCTTTATATCCTTCACGCGCTTATTCGTCTGCTGCATAGTCATTGGTCTGCGCTCCGCTGGGATGGCTTCGCCCAGATACCAATAAGCTAGCAAAGGTAAGTTCTCTTTCGCCTCTAGAGTGACGAAGAACATTCGCGCGGCCTCTCGACGGTAGAAGTCATCCACATCATGGAAAAGAATCCGCTCGAAGTACCCATTCAGATCTCTCGGAAGCGTGCGAAGCCTTTCCTTTAGCAGCTGAATGCTGTCTCCATTCCGAAGTCCCTCTTGAAATGAACGAACAACAAGGACGACCCATAGGAAAACGCCTTTCGCTGCGTCGACGATCTCTTCAACTAAGGCTCTTCCTTGCGTATCCTTATCCTCAAGTTCTTGGTAGTATTCGTCATTGGAAAAGACATCGTAAATGTATCCACTGATATCTTGTCCATTGAAGTCTTGCATGTATAGCTTCGCGGTACTCCGTTTTCCGTATGCCTCCTCAAACTCGTTCCATGGCCGGCTGGAGACACATATCTTCACGGACGGTAGATTTCGTAGCTCGCCGATCAATTTGATGACGTCCCCTGAGTTTCCTTCGTATTCGTCTAGCCCGTCGAGGAAGAAGCAGAACCGCGTCTTGGAATGGGTGAGGAGTTGACAGGTGCGACTCAGGGTGCCGAGGAGGCCTGAAAGATCAAGAAGGAGCGCAGCCTTTGCCCTCAGCACAGGCTCACGACTTTCCCAGTCCTTGGGCGAGTTGCAGAGACGCCAGAGCTCTGGGAATAGTGTTTGAATCAGATCTGGGCGTTTCCTCAGTATCTGGTAAACAATGGACCGGAGAAGGCCCTCTTGCGATTTCTGCAGGACATTCTTTCCCGCATTCCCTAACATGACGTTACAATTAGCATGTCTCAGAATGATATTCCTACGGTTAGTTGGCTTACAGAAGAAGTATTCCGCGGAGATGACCTGATCTCCGTTCGCCCAGGTCTTCAGGTAAGCTTGGGTCCGCGGTTCGGTGTAGAGGAACTTCATCAAAGTAGATTTTCCGGAGCCAGGTCTTCCGGAAACCCAGTAAAGGTCATCGTCGGACTCCAGCCACTGAACAAACGTTGCAGAAGAGAGCTGTCGCTGCCCACCCTCTGGATCACCGAAGAGCCATTTCAGGGTGCTGCGATGGGCTGCGGAGATGTTGGCGTAGCGGTCTTCTAGGCGATCAAACCGGATGGTTTCGAGGATGACTTGCTCTGCGCAATACTGTAGTCCCGTAGAGGAGGCTTCGTACATGATTTGAGCGAGTCTTCCCCCATCAGAATCGTTCTTCCCTCTCTTGTTAATTCCGTCAAACAGCCTGTCGAACCTGCGAGTGTGGCAGCACACATTAGTATATGCCGTTGTTTCAAAGAACGAGCATCGCTAAAGGCCTTCGGGAGAGATGCTCTAGCAGGCAAAAAAAAAAGAGATATGCTAGCGGGTATAATATGAGAGCGTACGTACTTTGTTTTCAGATCCACTATGTCGGACGCTCGAGACATCTCAAGACGGAGATTCTCCACATGCAGCTCATCTAAGCGCACAAGCACTTTGCGCTGTTGAGATTCCGTGAACCGCGCATTGACAGCTTCCGCAATACGCTCCAGTCTTTGGCGAAGCGCATCGATCTCCGAGCTCTTCCACTCCGTCTTTAGCACTTGTAGAAAACTATCCCATCTATTGCCGCCTTTTCGGAGCTTGAGTTTCTCCAGAACCGCGAGAAGTTCCGTCGCGATGCTTTTGCATTGAGTCCCAAGATGCAGGAGAGACTGGTCATTGCCATCTTCGCCTGTTGCGGAGGAGGCAGGGACGGGGACGGTAATGCGATCTGCTCGCTCTTGTAGATCCCGCGCGATCAATTCGAGTTCGAGGTGTTCCTTTTTCCTTCCCTTGTCGACAATATCTCGGGTCGTCGAGATTAGCTGCCTAGTGGTGTGGATGAATTGCAAGATGTTTCCCGCAAGGCTGAGGGCGATGAGCGGCTCCATTTCAGCATCATCGCCTTAACCTCGTCTCAGAGAAACAACGGGAATGTGCAATGAATGGACGTCAAAGGACGAGGTAGTAGTATCGTGGAGAGGGAAAACAGACGGAAGTCTTGAAGTTAGGCTGGCAGCCAACACATCGATCGGCACAGCCACTTCAGCTGAAGCCTGAGCCTGCAGATGGATAGAGGGAATTCTCCGGATCGAAGGGCCTCGTACTACACTTAACCTTGGAAAACCGACCGTACAGATAACTATACGTGCCATTGTATGCATGCACGAAGGCCTCTAGGATATCTTTCGGTATATCTGGACAATTCCACACCAGGCGCGAAGTCGGAACAACCCACCGAAAAAAAAGACTATTTTCTGCTTACCTTAGCAGAACAACAACGCTCTCCCGCTCAACAGAACGCTGTAATTTCTTTATAAAATTAAAAAGTCTTTCTCTTTGCGCACTACTCTATACAGCTAGGTACTTTTTACCTTATAAAGTTTGGGTGTTAAGGTGAGAGGGCGTTGTTGTTGCTCTGCTTACTCACCTTCGGTGGGGGTGGAACGGAGGCATAGATTATGTAAGTATTACAAGCGGGGCTTGGCAGAGTGGGTCACGTGCTAGAAGCATTCACCCCACTTTCCGCATTAAAACAGCGCTGGAACAGTAGTACGTTACTTTTCGCGCCAGAAGAACGAGGTCCTAGCACGGCCGATGAAACTATGCTTCATGTAGGCCTATTAATACTCAGAACGCCGGGTTCGTCCATGCATTTAGGCTCTGGCGGAGTGCGGACCGCTGGTAGATCTTCTTAGGGGAGACGGTGCAGATGTCAGAGAATCATAAGTATATACTACAGTAAGCACACTTGGTGCAGCTGAATATGAAGATAAGAATGAACTAGGCATCAAAACATCTCTTGGGGTACCATAATCTGTCCGCAATGCTGCTCGTTCGTCGGTCGTTCTTGTAGCGCCGTCCCGTTCTGGCCAGGGTGAGCGGGCGACACAGAGCTTAAGAACCACGGGCTCGTATAGCAAGTCAAATCGAGTTTGACTATTGAACGAAAAGTAGTGTGGGGCCCAGACGTCGCTAGCAATGATGTCGTGCAGTAGAACAACGCGGCAGATGACCGTCTAGAGCAAAGGCCAGTAAACAAGGGACAGTAAACGGCACATCCACTCCCATCGCTTATCCAGACCGCATGCTCTTGAAGACAGTCCCTCGTGGCTTTCGCAAGCCCAACCCGTGGTGCTGTTTTCCGAACCTTGGCTCTCCCGGAGAACATCTCCACCAATTAGCGTGCGGGGAGAACACCGTGGGCTTGATGGTGAAGGGGAACCGGTTTTCCGCAACACGGCAGAAACAGTGATGGTGGGAGACGCCTCCAACGTCGCCATCAACACTCCTATGCGATCCTCGCTCTTTTTAAAAGCCCTGCGCGGCCCCCGTAAAAAGTCTGACTGAAGCACGCCGGACTTCTCCTGAGCTGCCAATTGCGGGCCGAGCAGTGTCATCACCCGAAACAGAACTCCGACCCATCAATCACACCCTCCCGTTCCACCTTCCGCTCGACCTTAGCCTGTGTCGCACAGCCAACGCCTCTTGGGGGTTGTGCGCTGCGCCCGCTGCGGCATTCCCCTGAACCGCCTGTCTGGACTCCTCTGCTTTGCATCTCAGCCAGAGAGCGTGGCGCATCCTTGACCAGGCTTATTATAGTCTTGCCCGCGTCTTAAAGGGCTTGCGACACCCGGCCCCTCGATCCTCGAGCCCTCTTCACCTCCCTTCACGCCCAGGATTTCCCGCGACCGCGCTCCAGGGAATCTTTCAGTCGGAAATCCGCGCCGACGACATCGGAACCGATTACGTGGAAAATCTGGCCCCTCGCTGCTGCGTAACCCCGCGCTAAGCCCGTCAGGGTCCAGCGCTGTCCCGATCGCGCGTGAGATCGCGCCATTGGTGGCAGGGGACGCCATTGGCTCGTTCCTGACCCGTGCCATGGCTTCCGTGCATGCCGGCAGACCTCTGCTCGACGACTTCGAGTCGTCTGATGTCGACTTCCCTGTCAAAAACGCCGCTTTTGTATCCTTACGGGCGCTGGAGGATGGCGAAGACGAGTTTGACGACGTCTTGGAGCTGAGTCCGCGGCGTGGCTTTTGGAAACGGTTCCTCATGTCGGTTAGAAGAAGGCGGAATGGGACCGACAGCGAGCCGGAGGGAACGCTGAGGCTGCCGGTTGAGGAGACGAAGGGGACGCAGTGGGGGAAGTGGAGATGGAAGAGATTGGGGATCAAGGCTGCGCTGGGGCTGTTTGCGTTCGCAATATTCTTCTTGTGAGTCTCCTGCCGATGCGCCTTCCGCAGCTTCCGAGAGCACGTGAGATGCACTCCGCAAGCCATGCCGAAGGAAAATGAGTATGCGATCGCGAAGATGGTGGCATGCTGATCGTAGCAGCGGCATCGTTCACCTCATCAACGTCTTCTCATCCATGGTCAACTTATTACGAGACGATTCTGACCCTTTCCCCCCCAGCTGGGCTCCGCTCCCCCAATTCCGACCAGGACACGAGCTAGATATTACCGACCTCACCCGGGATGTCACGCCCATCCACTGCCATTCCCACAACGACTACTGGCGGAGAATCCCGCTCTACGACGCCCTCCGCTGGGGCTGCACCGGCGTCGAAGCCGACGTCTGGCTCTTCGACGACGAGCTCTTCGTCGGCCACAAGACCAACGCCCTCACCAGGGACCGCACTTTCCGCTCCATGTACGTGGACCCGCTGGTGCGGATTCTGGACAGCCAGAATACCATCAACGAGATCGCGACTTCGTCCGACGCCGCTAAGTACGGCGTCTACGAGGTGGATCCCACGCAAACCCTCGTCCTCCTAGTCGATTTCAAGAACTCGGGCCACGACACCTACCCCGTGGTTGCACAGCAACTAGCCCCGTTCCGCGAAAAGGGCTACCTCACCTACTTCGACGGCGAATCCACGATCCCCGGGCCCATCACCGTCGTAGCAACCGGCAACGCGCCGTTCGATCTCATCACCGCGAACTCCTCCTACCGCGACGTCTTCTTCGACGCCCCGCTAGACCGGCTGTACGAAGAGCCGCTAGACTACGACTCCCCGCCCACGCTCGAGCTGCAGAAGCAGAAGCCCGGCGCTGCAGCTCTCCCGAGCCGGCGCAACTCCGGCCAGGGCACCGTCGGCACAGACGACGACTCAATCTTCGACCTGACAAACTCCTACTACGCATCCGTCGACTTCAAGAAAGCGGTCGGCTGGGCATGGTGGGGCCGCCTGTCCGACCACCAGATGAAGCTGATTCGGGGCCAGATCCAGGGCGCCAAGAAGAGGGGGCTGAAGTCGCGGTATTGGGGTGCGCCGAAGTGGCCGGTTGGGCTGCGCAATCATGTCTGGGAAGTGCTCGTCCGTGAGGGGGTGGACTACCTGAATGGAGATGACCTTCGAGCGATGACGAGACTCGACTGGAGTAAGAAGAAGCATTGGGGGTTGCTTGGGTAGATGGAGGGTTAGTTGCATGGCGTGTTTGGCGTTTTGGGCGTGCGTGGTAGATTGGGCATGGCGTTTTGAGCGCATTGCATTAGCGATGGATGATGGCATGAATACGCGTGCATGGAAAGCTCCATGGCATTGGTGAAGCAGCATGATACCCGACCAAACGCGGGATGAGATGGGATTCGGGCGGTCAAATGAATGGCATAGACGCAACACAATACACCCACCTATGGACCCCCTCTTCAGAATCCATGTCACCCGTCCTCTTTATACCTTGACACCACTTCGGCCATTTAGCATGCTTGGTAACCGACGCAGGACATATTAGAAGCATACTATTCGAAAGACGCCGTAGTTTTGCACCTCCAGAGCGCCTTTAGTAAAGCAAAATGCTCATGCCCGCCAGCCACAGTCCACACTGATGGTCTACATCGATTCCCCCCACTCTCAAAACCCGCTACTCCTCGCCCTCTTTGCTCTTTGAGTCCTGCTCTTCGGTCCCTTTTGATATCCAATGTCAGTAATCTTTCCAACAAATCACGAGTATAAGAATAAAAGAAATCCATGATAGAGGGGTTCAGGTGTTCGTACTCAGCCGGTGAACAACAGGAACCGAGCTCGGCGGCAGACTGCCATACTCCGTGATGACCATATTGATATACTGAGCGGGCGTAACATCGTACAGCACCTGCAAGTGATGCAAGTTATCGGAGCCCTCGATCCATTTGAGCACGTCTGAGGTGCCGGTTTTGGTCTCTTCGGGGTTGGTCTTGTCGTCTGCTTTCGAGGAGGTTTGCGGGAGTTGTGACTTGAGTGGGATGAGGGCCGCTCTCTCGGACTCGGAGAGGAGTTCTTCGGCTGGGGCGACTTCATTCCCGACAATGGAGTCTAGGGCGACCTTTTCGGTGAACTTGACGGATTCGCAGAGAACGATGACGGGGAGGGAGTGAGAGTTGGCCAGCATGGAGACAAGGGCCGTGCCCACGCGGGAATAGAGGCGGCCGTTCGACATCATGGCGTGGGCGCCTAGAAACACTTTGGTCGCATCCTTGACTGCGTGCGAGACACCCGTGATGAAATAGTAGCGCACATTGATGCCCCGATTCGCGAGCTTCCGAGCGAGCTGCTTGCCTTCGAATAGTGGCTTTGAGTCAACGATGATGACTGAGAATGGAACGCCAGCCTTGTGGGCTTGAAGTATAGTCTGTTCGACTATGGAAGATGAGGCGTATGTGAGGATAACGTCGCCTGGCTCGATCTTTGTGGCAGCGAGGTCGCGGATGAGTTTGTCGGCTGCTGTAACGCGCTCCCGGATGAACATATCAATTTCTTCGAGCAGTTCGCGCTTTGCTTCTGCTTCAGGTGTCGAAGGATCAATTTTGATGATTACTGTAGCCGGTCAGCAAATGATAGAGGCGGACGAGCAACGACAAAGCAGATGTCTGAAGCATTGGGAATACACCAGATGTCCGCAAGTCGACCCTAGGTAGATGAGTACGAAACGAGAGCTACATACTGTCTTTTAACCATCGAATGGCGTTCCCCATGCTAATGCTAAGCGGCCGACAACTTCGCAGATAGTCAATCTGCGGGCTGAGGTGATGGCTGGTGAGATGGCGGGCCAGACTCGTCCCTACAGGAGTCTGATATGATTCGATGACAGCCTTGAATGCCAAAAGCATAGCAACCATGCGAGCAGTACTTCCGCAGACAGTATAGCTACTGTACTGCAAGCCCAGACTGAGCACAGCCGGATGTACGTCTTTCGAGGCTCCCACCATGGAATGCTGCCGGGGCTGGCTGTACAAGTGGCCGAAGAAGAGGCCGACCTGCTTCCAATCCTTCTTTGCCTCCTTTTTCAAATCTTTTGGCGCCGGAACGCTCGATTGAGAAGGCCGTCTCCGGACTGGGAGAGGCCTTGATTTGTCATCTTTTGGGGCTTGCTTCGAGTCTTTCTGCTGCTTCTGGCCGTCTTTCTGCGGTGGTCCTTTCTGCTGAGTCGGAGGTTCTCCTCCCGCTTTTTGCTGCGCTCTTCGTGCTTGCTTCTCTGCCTGTTTCTGCTTCTTCAGCTCTGCTGGTGAGAGCTTCTTTGGCGCCCCAGCCTCCGCGGGTTTTGGATTGGTGGCGTCGCTCTTTGCTTGAGCTGGTGGCTTGTTCGCTGCTTCCGTAGGAGCAGGAGGAGCCTGCGCAGCTTCATCTACAACTGGTTCACTCATCCTGACGAACCCTTTAGCGTCTAGCGTCCTTCTCGGGCCGTGGAGTGGGATGACTTTGGAAATAGAAATTTGATATTGGGATTAAAGCGCAATGTGAGAGCTGGTCCGGGGTGGGAATTTCGCAAAGGAGGCATAGAGCGTCGAGGGCTGAATCAGGTATTTGGGTCCGGTTGGTTCTGTTTACGAGGGCTGAAGCTGTTGAATCTGGAAGGGTCGCCAGAAATCGTGCACAAGCAACGTGAGTTGAGTCAGAGAAGCCCTAGCCGAATACAAACTAGTGCGCCAAGACCATTAACGGCGCTTCGCCCGCTTGCGTCATAGGGTATGGTGGGCAGATCAACGCAAGTTCCCAGGCCTCACTGCAACCTACAAACATTCCCCGGATCCCTACACCACGCCATGGCTGACAGAGTAACCAACATCACCGAGCTTCCACTCGACATCCTCGTGCTCATTTTCCCGTACCTCGACGCGAAGAGCTTCCTCGCCCTGTGCAGCACCTGCAAGGCGCTCCAGCAGCCCTCGATCCGCTTGGACCCCGCCTACTGGAGCTATGCCACCCGCAGCACCTTTCGCGTCCCGAATCAGCCAGTCGTCCAGCACGATGGCCTCCGATGGCAGAGCATGTATCGTCGACTGCTAACCCAGAGCCGAGTGTATACGTGGGGAAGCAACACCCACCACCGCCTCGGCCACAGCTATCAGCAAGCTCCCGTAGTTCGAAACCCGACACTGCCGCGCTTGAACCGCTTCTTCCACAAGACGCATTGCTCGTTTCCGACTGAAATGGAGCGCACCAGAGAGTTAGGCATCATTGCCGACCTGCAATGCGGGTAAGCGTTCAAATCACGTCATGATCCCACAAACATGCTAAGGCCTTCAGTGGCTGGTCTACCACACTTCTCACATCCAAAGGCGCCCTGTACACCGCGGGAGTCCTCAATGGACAACTAATCCTCAGTACTGCACCAGCCCAGGACCATCTCCACGCGCTACGCTTTCCGGTCGGATACCCATATTCGACCGCTGCCGCTGCCTACGACGAGCCGACCATTGCCATTCGCCAGTTCTCTGCCGGTAGGTCACATATACTGGGTCTCTCAGATAGCGGCAGGATTTGGTCGTGGTACCACGTACAAAAGGCTGGGCTGCACGTCAAATTTCTCAATATAGACCTCCAGGACGCGTCATTAGTCGATGTCACGGACGGCAAGCCTTCACTATACGGGAATGTTAAACAGGTGGTAGCAGGGTGGAGCTGCAGCTCGGCATACGTCTATGGCACCGGCATCATCGTATGGGAGCCCGTCAGTCGAGCCCACAACGAAGAGGAAACAGATGCTATGCTCGTTCTCGAGAGCGCTGAGGTCCCGAAAACGGGCTACCAGCGTACCAAAGGCGCATCGCGAGAATCGGATGAAGACAAGGCACTTAGAGAAGAAGTGGGTGTCGTCTTGAATTATATCATCCTCGAACACTTCGTCGTCTTCGTTACCGATCTCGGGAAAGTCTTCTGTGGTCGGTTCGGCGAGAAGCACAGGATCGACGATATCCTCGAGCTACGCCAATTGCGAAACGAGAGCGGAAGCCCTTCAGACGTACAAGGCTCCTTCCGGCGGTTTGCCGTCTTCAAGCAAGGAGAAGTCATCACTGCTCACCACGACTATCTGGAGGCTTGCTGGAACGCTCGCACTACCAACCCCGAGCAAACTGACATCGAGGGTCTGAAGAAGATTCCTGCGCTCCAGCATAACGACGTCATCTCCGTTGCTTTCGGCGATTTCCACTTCCTCGCTCTTCACTCCAACGGCAGTATCACAGCCTACGGCACCGAGCTCCAATCCTGCGGCGCGCTTGGTCTCGCCGGCGATGGCAGCCCGGAAGGTCGCCTGCGCGGCATTGCATACAACGGCTTCGGCCATGATGGCAAACTTCTGCCCCACGCATATACGCACGGCCGACAGGTCTGGTTCGAGCCGGAGAAGAAAGAATGGCTCAAGCACCTCATGAACGGGGGCAAAGACCGCGATGAAGCCCAAGAGCGCATGCAACTCTTCAGCTCGGATCGGAACGTGCAGGGCGAGGTCAGCGAATGGATCGAGCAAGAGGGAAGGGAGTGGGATAAGGCCAAGGGTGAGGATGGGCTTGGTGCCTACTTTGCGCTGCGGGTCAGTGCAGCCGGCTGGCACTCTGGGGCTCTCATGCTAGTCAACGAGGAGCTTGCGGACAAGGCGCATGAATATGATTGGCGGAACAAGTCGTTTCCGCGCCTGAAGCTGAGCGATGGAAGGGAGATGCCTGGGACGGTGCCGTTCGATGAGTGGCGGTTTGGGAGGCCGGAATGGCAGCTCGACGTGGAGATTTGATGCATTAAGCAACATCCCACAGCTGATAGGCAAGTTTTTTTCTCCACCCAGGCTAGTTTGCGGAGGTAGTAGTAACGAGCATATATACTTGTTGGCATTCCTATCATGACGAAGAATATTTCATGAGTGGTCATTGTACAGTAATCTATGCGTACAGAGCTGCGATAAGTCCAAGTCCGCGGCCTGGTCGATTCATCATGGTATCTTCCATCAACCACCCAACGCCGTTGCAATTGCAAATTCAATATCCAAGGGAGTCTCGACTCGTTCTCATGGCATGGGCCTAGAAGAGGCTCCACCCTCCTTTCCGCCTCTCCCTTCCTTCTTCTCTCCGCGAGTACCTCTTCTCCCTTGCTTCCAGCTGGCGTAGGCTTTCCATTTCTTTCAGCACGTGCTCGAGAAGGTCCTTGCGGCGTACGACGTCCAGGTGGCGGCGGATCTTGGGGTCTTCGCGCGCGAAGCGGTCGATTTCTGCTTGGGAGAGGCCGCGGCCTAGACGAGCGTCTAGTTCGCGGGGGAACTATGGAATTGTATTAGCACGTGGGCGCAATTGTCAGGGGAGGGAGTTAAGGGAAGGACTCACGATGTAGTAAAATTTGGAGAGGAGTTCGGCATCCAGGAAGAGATCGGCGGTTGTGGTGAGTTTGTCGGCGACGGCGTCGAGGAAGACTTCTGGGCAGTGGTACTTATTCTTCTTGTTGGCGCATTGTTTCGATTTGACGGCGAGGAGACGCATTTTGAGGACGTCGAGGCGGTCGCGGAGGAAGACTGCTTCTCTTCCTATACGTCTGTCAGCACACCTCAACCAAAATTTCGCGGAGGGAAGAAGAGACTTGCCTTTGGCTAGTAGAGCAGAGCTGAACCCCCCGGCGCCGCCAACGCCATCACCTTCCAGCACTACCTGTCCACTTCGAACGCGGTCGATAAAAGCCATCACATCCCTGACTTTCTTCCTTCCACCCATCTGCTCTTCCATTCTCTTAGCTGCTGCCTCGCACACTTTGAGTTCCTCTTTAAGGACATTGGTTACGTTTTCTCGGCCCTTCGCCCACTCATTATCTTCCACGTCAATCCGATACTTATACGGTTTTATGCAGATCTCGAGCTCGTCTGAGATATCGTACGAGAGGTCTTTAAGTATGGAGGTGGAGGCTTCGGTGATAGCTTGGCGTGCGAAGGGGTGAGCGGCGAATCGGGAGTTTTGAATTAGGTGGTCGATGTGGGCTTGGAGGGCGTTGGCGACTACGCTTGTTGCCAATCTTCCGACGCCGAGTTTTGTGAGTGCCGCGCTGGAGCTGTCAAGCTTGATTTGCCAGATCTGGTTCTCGCCTTCTGGGTCGGCTTTTGCGAGGCTGCTAAGGGGATCGGTCTCTGGGAGGGGAACGCTAAGGTCTTCGAGTGGCCTGTTCCAGTACCGTTGTGCGAGCAGGTTTAGGACTTGCTGGTCGAGCTCATGCTTCAGGAGCTCGCGCACTTGTTGCCGACCGAATTGGTCAGAGAAGCTCCGGAAAGAGTGCTTGAATGCATCCAGTGATTCTGCTAGATATGATTCTGCGCTTAGTGGTCGCTCGTTGTATTGCACCTTGTACTCGTATGTAGCGTCCGCGAGTTCTCGCTGGATCGCCTCGCTGGTAGTTTTGAGGCTAGCTGCCATCGTCTGCTCAAGCACGTGCATGAGTTTCTTCTTTAGATTTGGGGTGCCGACGGCGAGCTGCGATTCAGGGGCGAACTCTGGGTGTGACCCGAAGTAAGCATTCTCGTTCTTGGCAATGGCACTGGTGATATTGCCACTACCGCGGTGGAAGAGCTTGGGTCCGGTTGTGGTGGATGGCACGCGGCAGACGACACCAACGTAGCCTAGCCGAAGTGCGTACTTCTTGTCGGTGAGAAGACTCGCGCCTCGCTCCGGATCTACAAGATCCATCTTCGTAATGACGCCGATAGTCCTCTCGCCCCTTGGATCGACCTTTCTTGATGCTCGCAGCGCGGTGCTGTTTGCTAAATCCACATCGGCGGCAGATATCGCCAAGATGACGTTCGGGGCCTTGATATACTTCTCACACAGGTCCGCAATCTTCTCTTTCAGCTCCGTAGGCTGGTCTCGTCCAGTGACCTGAATGTACCCCGGTAGATCAATCAACGATAGATCCGGCACATTAGGAGAATGTATCCGCAGCTGGATGGGGTCATCCGAGACGCAGTCCTTCGCCGGCACAGCCAAATTCAAGTCTGTCAGCGTCTTCTGTATCTGGCTGAAGTCTGTGATCTTTCCTAGCCCTAGCGCGGGGAACTCTCCGTACTCGGCGTGCGCCTCAGGCGTGTGGACAAGCGTGAGTTCGATCGGCCGGCGCGTTACCATGTTGTGACCCTTGGGAAGAAATTCATGTCCAACAATTGCCTCGAGCACTGAGCTCTTCCCAGAGGACTGTGAGCCAATGACCACGATGGACGGTAGTGTGAGCGACTCCGACTGTCCGACGGTCTGCAGCAGGCCCCGTATCTCGATCATCTTCTTCGTGAGCATCATCATCTGCTCATCCCGCGCGATCCTCTCCGCCTCGGCCTTGTCCTCGTCCTCCTCTTGAGCATAGCCAAAAGCTGCCGCCGTCGTCGCGCCGGCCGCTGCAGCACCGGCGCCGCTCTTCTTAGGCTCTTCGGGACCTTGCCCTCCACCATGGCCGCCCCCTGAGCCTCCCGACGCATCTTTGGTCAGCAATTGCTGCAGCCATTCTGGTTTCTCCACTTTGTCCAGATTCTCCTTAGTATTGTCCCACCCGCGTCCAATCTGGTCGAAGATGCCGGTTGCAGTATCGAGCGCTCCGGTCGCTACGCCAGTCGCGCCGTCCTTGGTCCGATTAAACACATCAACAGCCCAGCTTCCCGCCTCTGCAATCCATTAGCCTTCACTCTTCCCAACCCACTCATTTATACATACGTCCAGCTTGATACTGCAAATACGACGCCCCCGCAAGAACAGCGCCTCCCGCAGCCGCCCCCACCGTCGCGAACTTCCCTACAAGTTTCGGTATCGCCCTCGCAAAAGATATCGACCTCGCAGCAGGCACATTATGCAGCGCATAGCTCCCCAACGGCCACGCCCTCCGATTTATAAGCCGGAGCCCCGCATCGGTGCGCAAGAGTCCGCCGGCGGGGAGCGTCGTCGACGCGTTGAAGAAGAGCCGGCGTGGCGTGTTCGTAGCTGTTCGGCGCGCGAGCGTGGCGAGGCGTGCGGAGATGAGCCTGCCGCTCATAGTGATCGAGGCTTCGACTCAATAGGTGCTGTAGGGTTCATGGGGGTTAAAGGGAACCTTCTTGAGATGGGAGCTTCGTGAAAGAATGCACCTCCTTCGTCATCCGCGGCCAAGCCGTTAGCGTGCCAGGGTTTAGTGCACCCGCGTGGGGAGTGTGAAATGGTCGCAATCAATACTTTGAGCTGACTTGCACAGGAGAGAATTGAGGCACGAAAATGCTCAGAAAAGGTGTTGATAGCTCGTTGTCATTGTAGGCGCTATAAGAACCCAACATGTGGCGACGCTGCTGCTTCTGTTCCGTTCCACTACTGCGCGCATCTTTCTACCCGTGCTCTAGCATTATCACTCACTTAAGTAGCCATGCGGCTAATAATTCCCATAGAGCCATTCTATAGCCTAATAAAAATCCCCTTTTGTCGGTCAGCGAGACCTTGAGCTGGTCCTTGTCGGTGGTGAGCGACGAGATCTCCTTATTCTTATACGCGGTGTCGGCATCCTTGCCTTGGAGGACGAGGCAGCCTCCTCGAAGATACCAACTCACTTCAAGCAAAGCACAGCTCTTTCTCCGAAAGCCATCAATATGGAGCCCTCTTCCCTAATCATGTCTCTCAGCCAATTGCGCGAACCTTCGACCTCTCTGCTGGCGAACTTCACTAGTACGAACCCGCGGACATTTGCCGCACTCCAGATGAGACCGTCAGCCTTCTCTCGTTGCTGTCTTTGAGCGCGCCTTTGCTCTCTGGGCGTCAGTTCCGGTTGCGCTGCGTCGCCCCAATTCCTGCCTCCAATGCGAGGCAGAGCTTCAAACTCGTCCAAGAAGAATTGGGACAATGAGGCGAAAACGGGTCCGCGGATGATAAGTGTGCCAAACACAGAGTAGCCGTCCATGCGCCGGGAGAGCTGCAAGCCTGTTCGGCCATGCTTGTCCAATATTAAGTTATCGCGTAATAAAAGCCTCTTCTTTCCTGCCTCACCGACAGTCCAGACTTCATTCCTGCTCTTGTACTCATAGATATCCCAGTTCTCTCCACGGGCGGAGCGGCCACTCGTCACCCAGTCGCAAGCACAAAGGCTGCCCTCCTCTTTCTCCAGAGTGTAAATCTGCGATTGCGAAAAGGCAGTATGAGCAAACGGTTGCACTGGATCTGGGAGATAGACAAGCGCAGAGCCTTGCACTAGGCTCACGGTCATATGCTGCCGCGATACCAGAGTAGGGTCAGGCGTCTTGAAGATCTTTGTCGAACCCTGGGTCAGCAGGATGAGACTTGCGCGGCCTTGGAGCCCGATGGAAAGATTGATGCTATCTCCTGCGACAATGCCCCCGCCATATGTGAGTAAGAACACCGTGTGTACGAGGCGCGGCGCATCGGCATCCGTGCTCTTATCGGGTGGAGGAAGCGGGTCGGGTGCTACGAGCTTGAGAGGGTACTGGTAGGAGACATTGCGAAGGACTGGCGTGTCCGGCGGGAGGACCGAGAGTTCAATTGAACCATGGCCGGCCTTGGCAGTCGATGCCGCGAAGGGCGAGGTGAAGGGCATGGTAGGAATTCGGGGGAGCGTTATCGTGGCCGACGGAAGGGCATCTTGTCTCGAGAGTGAAGATGCAAAGACGCTATGGCTGTTCCATTGATGGCACTGACCGCACGTAGAATGCAGCCTCCGGTCTTCGAAGCGTGACTGGGGGGCAGAGGGTCTGGTGGTGAACAGGACGGCCGCGCAGCAGGGCCCTTGAGAGAAAGGCGGGAGCTTGGGCCACCACGGCGGCCTCGCGAAGCAAGCGCAACCGGGCCGCCAAGACATCCCACCATCCCACTCTTTTGCCCCGCCGCGACTCAAACTCTCTGCCTCAATCAGCGGCTGCCTCTCAACCCACCGATACTCGTACGCGCATGCCTGCACGTGTTCGACCCTCCCACTCGCCATCTTAATTATGCGCTGAGCATTTCCACCGCCCTTTTTCCTTTCTACCGGGAGTTGCAAGGGGACGGGCGGAAGAATATGGCGGCGGGCTTCGACGAGCTAGTCGACTTTCTGCTGTCGGAGATCGCCCTCTGCGGCATCCAAGGTACGTAGCGCTCCGTAAAGTTGCTATCCACTGTGTACATGCTATCGCATGTCTACTCTGGCTTCTCAGATCACGCGGCTTTTCGAGCGGATGGTTTGGTATTCTGCAGGCGGCTTCTTGCGGAGCACCGTCGCTACGTCTTAGTCGTTGTTTTTGACTTTCTTTTCGGGCGTTCGAGTCTCGGCTATCGCATATCCCTTGGTTTGGCAACGTTCTAACTAGTACCACAGGAGCCGGCAGCGCAGACTTTCGCCGCTTTGTGCAAAATTACTACGACGAATTACGAAAGAAGCAGTCACCTGCGTCGACAAACCAGCGTGGCTCTTCTCGCCAGCCTGGTGAATTAGGTCGCAATTTCTACGAGGAGGTCTGGAATTGGGTCAGCAACCACCCTGACATACGCATCTACCACCACGGAGAGGCGCGCAGATTACCCCTGTCGGCATTTGAGGCTCTCGAATTGCAAGAGACGGGCGGCAATGGAGCCGTAGCACGCAGCAACAACCCTCCCCAGCCAACGGTCGCTTCCACTGCGAACAGGCCAACGCGTCCATCCAGCACACTTACTTCCTTTCGAAGCTTATTGCGCCAGCGACTCCTGGCTGAAAACCGGAATGGCGATAGCGCACCCGCTCAACAATCCAAAGGATCCCCCCGTCCAAACCAGTTACATAGCATCGGAGAGCCGGTTCGTGCCAGCTCGGTTGCCCACGAACCCAACTACATCGAGCCCGGAATGCGTCGAGAGGGACGCGGTCCCCGGACAATACCGAAGGGGATTCGAGCAGCCGTGCCCATATTTGACCGGCCATCCGACAAGATCACTACCCCTAGGCTTTTTGCCAGCCAGAACCGCACTTGGCAGGCGATTACAGGCCACTCGATTGACTTGAAAAAGGTCCCTAGCATGGAGTTTGTGCTTCTATCCATCATCGCAACACGCGGCCCTGACGGTATTGCTCAGCCTGAGTTGGTCGAGGTAGCTCAGCAGGACAAGCGATCGGTGCCGAAGAGGACAGATGAGCTTGCACGGAAGGGCTATATCGAGAAGAAACCAGTTCAAGTGGGGAGATTGCGTACAAGCTTGCTGGTGCACAAGAAGTACATCAAGGAGGACCACTTCACGAAGGAACCTCAGCGCATTGAGGATGTTTTCCGAAGCGGCAGAACTTTTGTTCTATCCGGATTCGTCCATGTGCTTGCCCAATTTCTGAAAGAAGTCGGTGTCATTCCAATGCGTGATCTGAGAAGAAGGATGGTAAGGCCCTTGTGTGGTTAATGAATACGAAGAAAATCTAATGTTAAGTAGGGCGTGTCAGTCCAGAAATGGAACGGCCGGGCTGTGCGCGGCGCGATCGTTCGCTTAGAGCAGACAGGAATGCTCAAACGAGTACGGGCCCACAAGAAAGGAGCTCGTGAGAATTGGCTCGTGTGCGTCAAGCTCCTCCGAGAGCCCAACGATGAAGATATCAAGAACCTCAAGTTTAGGTCTCAGGTCGCCGAGGAAGAGCCAGCGGAAGAACCTCTTCTCGAGGAGGACGCTGAAGGCGATGCTCTAATGCGCGATATTGAACTAGATATGATAAACGAAGTGGACTCAGAGAACGAAGACGGTCTGGATGACATCGATCGCATCCCACCGCAATGGAAACCCGATCGAATGCTTGCGAACCTGCTGTTCGATACTATCGATCTGACGGGTCAAGATGGCGGAGACGCGGCGGCGCTGCGCAACAGGACCACGGGCAAGTTCTGGAAACGTCCCCTGGAGTCTCTCCTCTGCCGCTTGACAGACGACTGGGAGAAGAGCCAGCCCTTGCACCTCCGCCACCTCGCGGTTATCCGAGATACGGCGGTCACTGTCGAGAAGAAGTTCGTCCATTACGTCTATCGAACGCGCGGCAACTTCCAGAAAGCTGTCGACGCGGGCGAGGTGTCCTGGGAAGGCGTGAGCAAAGAAGCAGCAAAAAAGTCTTCCGGAGAGAAACGCGGCCGACCGAAGAACGATGTTCAGGACAGCCTAACTCTTGATGAATGGGGTTTCTCGCCGCTCAATGCGAATGATTTCCACCGTCGATCTGGGCTGGCAACTCTGTCAGATTGTCGATCAGCGATTGTGCACAGGGGGCGTCACGGTCAACATTGGGACAATGTCTTGACACAAGAGATGGGTTACCAGAAGCCCATGAAACCACATTCCTCCCTTCACCCAATCCAGCTACCAGCAGGTACCCCTCGGACGGTCATCCTAAGTCAGGAAGAGTACAAAGCAGCCGAACTCAAGCGCTGGCAAGATAATGCAAACGGAGCATTGCAGGGGATGAGTGAAGTAGCGGTGGGAGCCCAGACCCCAGCATCTAATGCAGATGGCGATAACGAACTCCCCTCCTCCCTCCCAGAGGTCCCATTTCATAAACCAAGGCCAGCAGCAGCTCCAATTCCCTTGCTCACTATGGAACAAAGAGTAGCCTTAGGCTTACCTGTGAAAGGCCGATTAAGTCAAGATATCGAGAAGCAGATACGTGCTCACCGACGGAAAACGGGAGACCCGACGTCGTTGCCTGATGTGATCGTCACGAAAGATAACCCTCGTGCTTCACAGCGACGAGTTGGTCCGGTGCTTCTCTCAAAAGAGGAGAGGTTAGCCCGCGGCTTGCCAGCAGTGGGTCGGCTAAGCAAAGCTGTCGAAGATCAGATTCGACAGGAGCGTGGTCTGGCTCCCAAGCATGCTCGCCCGAGACAGCCCCGCAATAAGAATTCTAAGGAGGCCCCTTTGCTCACGATAGAACAAAGGATCACTAGGGGTTTACCGCCAATCGGCCGTCTGCCGCAGAAGCTCGTTGACAAGCCTCGGCGCAAGCGTGATATAGGAGCCTCATTGGATACTGAAGATACGGAGTTTGATCCGGATGACAACGAAGGGGATACCACCATGAATGAAGACGCGCAGAGTGATGCACGCCTGGAGCCGGAACCCGTTGAATCATCACCCTTCACTCCATCAAGCCAACAGTTAGGCGATGCGGCGCCTGACACTTCCGGCACGGCAGGATCACCTCTTCGGCGTGCAATTGTCCCGGAAAAGCGTAGATTCAGCCAAATAGACGAGTATGTTCAGCAGCCTTCAAAGAGGATGGCGGTTGAATCCGGGTTACCGGAGAGAAACGGCAGCCCTGAAGAGACTCTAGACTTTCCTAGTATACGTCTTCCAGCGAAGCGTACGTCAGAAGCCTCAAATATCGATACGCCCCACATCGCTAAAAAGCCTTGTACTCATACCAAACCGTCACCACCGGCACCGGTTGCAGAGGGCTCCCGCAGCATCCCGGTTCCTATTGTGTCGCCGAATGGGGATGGAGCTGTTCTCAGCACCGAAGAACCAGTCGCCGCCTCAGGGTCCAAGCCTGGGCGGACTCGCGCACACGGACCGCCGCTCCTGGCAGACCCAGCACCTCATGTTCCTAGCGAATCGGAGAGCCGGGCCCGGCAGATCGTAACGATGTACAAGAACCGAACCGAACCTGGTATCTATATCAACCCATATGCCACACGGTCCAGCGGGCGCGGTCGACCACGGAAGGCCTTCATAGTGACATTCAAGTCAGCACGTCTCCAAGGACTTGAATGGTTCAGGCTCGATCCCAGCAGTCCTCCCATAACCCGTTCAAGCACCGCAACCCATCCTGCTCAGAATAGCACTTCTATAAATCCGTACAGTCCACAAACGACACGCCCCCTTTCTGCTAAGCCCAATTCCGGCGCTCAAGGGAAGACTGTCTCACCTCCTAGCGGCATCATTCATCATGTCGAATCATCGCAAACCGAAGTGGAGACGTCCTCTGAAGGATTGCCGAGGCCAGTCACACTGCAAGAACAGGGGAAAGAAAAGGTCTCGTCTCTAGAGGGGCAGATGAGCAAAGCGAGCGCAGAAGTGCCACCAACACTGGACGTTCCAATGACGCAGCATGCTTCAAGTCCGCCGCATCCCATGGCTCCAGGCTGGAACGCAATCAATGCGCCTACCTTGGCTCCTTCAGCGTCATACCAGAGCCCGTACGGCCCCTCAGTGCTTGCTCCATCTTCACCTCAATCGCCAGCACCTAGCGAAGGGGTTCGTGGCTTTGGAGATGATACTCCTGATCTTATGACGCTGCCCGGAACTCCTGCCGCGACCGAGGAAGCACGCGATTCTTCTGCCGTTCCGGAAGTAATCACGGTCGAGGACGAGTACCTCTCAAAGAAGCAAGGAGCTTTCACATCACGTGGTGTCGTCCTTGGAAAAGGCAATATCTGGGGTCACCGTACCAGGATCATCAATGACATTCTTAATCGCTGCAATGGCGCCTTTCCGTTAAATGGCGAGATCAATCCGCTCTTCGAGGCGCTCTGGGCTCAGACTGTTTCGAAGAAAACCCCTGTACCTGAGCGTTCTACCATCGTAAACACGATAAGGAACTTGATCCAGGACCCTTCGCAGGGATTGAAGAAGATGACTTTCCAGATCCAAGGCATAACCGATGGATTGATGGTGAAAAGGTTCATACTCGCTAGAAAGCACCTTTCGCCTACTAGTCCGGAGGTCGTTCGAATCCGAGACGGCATGATACAGTGCTATCCAAACAAATACTATCCACCCGAGGTTCGCGATCTTGTACAGAAAGAGCCAAAGGCTCCGCCAAAGCCTTTACCGGAAATTGACGAGACAATTCAGATGGATGATCTATATCCTCCAGTCGAAAGGAGACTTCTGCAGCGTATCAGGGCCGCGTTGCGGCGCAGGGATGAGCAATCTGAGAAGAAAAGCTTGAAAGTCGCTGAAGACCGAAAGGTGCAGAATATAGCCGCGGAGATGGCACTACCAGAGCTACGCTCCGGCTCTCTTGGAGGTGCTCGAGCCAAGGGTATGAGGCTTGCTAGCCTGAGCGATGCGCGACAGCCGAGCCGCACCGACTTGGGTCAGCACCATGCGCTTCACGTAGATGATGGGTCGGAAGAGGAAGAGGCCGAAAGGGCAAGCTCTCCCACACCTTCTGATTCATCCGAAGCTGTCCCTCCATCATCGCTCCACCCGCGAGTACCGAGGGGAATTTCACCCGCGCTCTCTGATTCCTCTGAAGACGTTCCGCTCTCGATACTTCGCTCTACAGCAGCGGGTCCGTTAAGTGGCAAGAGGACCCACGACAATGGACATCAGTCATCTGGATCAGAACCGCTCTCTGATCTTGGGGTAACAGAACGTCAATCATCTACTAAGGATGCTTTCAAGGACGGAGCTCGTTTGCAATCGTCCGATCTAACGGCTCCTGCAGTTCGCTTCTACCCGAACATTGGTGTATTCTCGACGGAGCTCCGCCCCCTCGAAGACCAAAGCGGCGGTCCCGGTCCTATCCCCATCGCGGCCGCTGCGAAGGGTAGGAAGCGTGTCAGGATTGTGGAACCGTCGACTGAAGGCCCTCGCAAGCGAACTCGACTCGATGGACGAGAACCAGTCGCTGAGACGGGTGATCTGTACGTCAACTCAGGCAGTGGAGATACGGAAGAGAGCTATGAGGAGACCATCGTCCCCCCCAAACGCAAGTATATGCGTCACAAGTTTCCACAGCACCCCACGCCTACTCTGGTCGAACGCTTGACAGGTCTGACGGGGGATCCGGGTGCCCCCATCTACCAGCCTCCTACTAAAAAGCGGAAGACATTCGCCTCCTGGGAGGAGCGAAAAGCGAAAGATAGAGCACGTATCCGCGACCGAAAAGACAACAAAAAATACCCCGAGGTCCTAGATCCAGTGGACAAATTCAAGGAGTGGTGCTGTACGCTCGTTATTGCTTCAAGCATGTCTAGCGATGACGGGAACGTGGACTGGAGCATCGTGAGTAAAGTCTATGGCGAAGATCGGGCCTTCGATCTCGAGAAGACGAAGAAGACGTGGTCATGGGTGCAAGAAAACATGGCGACGCAGCTCAGCACGCTGACAGAGTCGTTTCAATCAGCGTTCCTTCAGGCATATGAGACGGGAAAGATCGCTAGCATTGAGGAGCCAGAAACCTACGATTGGGCAAGTCTGGTCCAGTGGGCACTTCGACACTGCAAATACCCCGAGCTGCCTCTACCACAGTCCCGTAAGGCTCTGCAAGACTTCGTGATCGATATATCGAGCTACGAGGTTCTGGACCGGCCTGTCTGGTACCGGGATAGCCTGGCCGCCAACGGCAGAGCTAAGCGCTTGCTGAATTACGCCTTTGCGGCGCCCCTCCACCAGTCTGACAATTTGACAACGCCAGCCGAGGACAGCGTGGTTAAAGCTCGGTCCTGGATCCGGGCGAATACGGCGACGCCGCAGCTTCTCTACAATGGAAAGATGGCACACGACAAACTACGCACACTCGGTGATCCGGTCCTTGAACGTGCCGTGACCGACTTCGTGCATGCCAGCTTCCTTCGCATGAGGAAGATCAAGCGCCTCCTCCCTGGTCGCAACTACAATTTCACCGCAACGTCCGCGAAGCACTACCGGCGCGCTTTCGAACTGAAAGACTTCATGGCTGCGGTCAAGCTCAAGAAGGATCTCGACACTGCTTTTGCGGATGATGACCCTGAGAAGCGGGCCTTCAATATTTCGCGCACCACCCAGGATGGTGCTGTCATGGCGGTCCTCTCCCTTGTCGGCGACGGCAGGATCAAACTCATCCCTAAATTACCACCCGTCAACAACGAATTTGATGCTTCACTTCCACGATTGTCCGTCTGGGGTTTCTGCGAGGGTGACTACATCCATCGTACCATCGACCGCCAGCGTCTCTTCTGGCCAATCCATGCCGTGCCAACTTCAGACTATGAGTTCGGCAACCCACTCCAACCCGCCCCTTTCCCACTCGCTCCCAAGGAAACCGGCGAGCCAGCCGACTGGCCCCGCTTGCCCGATCCTCCCCTGCCAGGCCGCCACAATCCCGACGCCCCCCTTCCCATCTGGAGCAACGTCAACGGGCAAACCGTCACCTGGCCTTGGTGGAACCGCATCCTAAACCTCGTCCTGCAAGCCCTAATGTTCCAGCCCGGCACCTCGGCGCCCGAAATCTTCCGCCACTGCCCCAAGCACACGACCGAGCTCTTCGAAATCGAGCTTGTGCTCGAGTGGCTCGAGCAAGTCAAAGCCGTGAAGCAGACGCCACATGGCACGTATGAAGTGCAGCCAGGCTTTTGGGCGGCCTTTGGCGATTCCCTTATCGACGAAGAGAATGACTGGTTCGGCGAGCATGTCAAGCGCAAGAGGACAAATACGACTAAGTTGGCGTGGCGCGACGAGTACAATTTCCGCTTTTCGACGCTGCAGGCGGGGCAGAACCAGGGGCCGAGAGAGAATGTCGACAGCGATTCCGAGGGCGAAGAGGTGCAGGGCGGAGAGAAGACTCTTCAAGAGAGGATTCTAGAGAATTCGCGCGCACAGTACAGAGTCACGAGGGAAGCTCTTATGCCGTTGCCGCACACTCAACACGATATGGATTCACCTGCGTCTCGGGTTACGTCCGCTCGGTACGCAGTGGCGGCACCAAGGACTCAAGGACCACCTCCACCGCATGAGATGCCGATCGATCCCCAGCTCGAAGCCAGCCCAGCGGCTCGGGACGTCGTCATGACCGATGCGCAGGATATCGACGCGGAAGGCGAGGATGTGGACGCGGAGGGAGAACCGGATGACGAACTGCTCTGAGTAGGGAGTATGAGTGAGCTACGATTCATGAGGAGGATAGATGGGGATCTCCAGATGAGGAAAAAGTTATGCGGCTTTCGCCATTTTATGTGTATTATATGCATTGCATTTCCCTGGCGCATCCTGGTGGATGGAGGCGACTCTGGCTTTATGGGATGATACCACATGAGTTTTCGGGCATTTCGGGTTAGTTCTGTAGATAGGACACTACTAGGAATGGATATTCAAGAGCGCAATGATAATTTGCTCGTGGCACGTTCTATGGTGGGGGCATGAACTCCATTCATCCATCCTTGATTCATAACCGGCATCAATCTTTCAACGAACCTGTCCAGACGCCATGGATCTCGCTCGGACTAGTTAAAGCGCTCAGCTAGCTAACTGCTCCTCTACGCAATCCTCCCATGCAAGCAATGCAATGCAACGCACGAAGTTTCCCTCCCCTCAACCCGTCCGTCCGTCCATCCGTTACCCTGGCCCTTCCCCCTCTTCCTTTCCTTTCCTTTCCTTTCAAACCATAACCCTCTCCTCCACACCCTCCCCCTTCTCCTCCAACGTCTCGCTATCCCCCTCCCGCTCCTGTCCCAGCATCCCCTCCCACGCCTCCTCCGCCTCGCGCATGCGTCGATCGGCTTCCAGCCGCTCGTTCCCGGCAGCGTCCCAGTAGGGCTCGCCGTCGCAGATGGCGGTTTCGGCGTCTAGATACGGGTCCGGTGTGGTGTGGAGGAGGGGGCTGGTCGTACGGCGGGGGGAGATCGGGGTGTGTGGTGGCACGGCTGCGGGTGTCGTGGTGGTGGTTGCGGTGGGTGAGAGGGGCGGGGAGGAGGGCGGGAGGGGCCAGATGGTGCTGCTGCCCCGGGTGCTGCGTTGCGGGTGCGGTTGCGGTTGCGAGGGGGAGATGGCGCTGAAGAGCGGGGATTTGAGCGTTGGGGTCGGCGTGAAAGGTGAGGAGGCGTTGTCTTTCCCACTCCCGTTGTTGGTGGCCGGTGTCGTGGGAGGAGCAGGCGGTTTTGAGTACACCGCCGATGACGGGGGCGCCGGCAGCGGCGACGTGGGGGCCGGCAGCAGCGGCGGTGACGGGATGTTGTATGCCTTCTGGCGACCAGCGTCTAGCTTGCGCATCTCGACGTCCTGCGATGTCTGCTGCTTGCGCGGCAGCGGACTCCCATTCGCAGTTACCGTACTCGGACTCACAGTGCTCGGCAACCACGTGTACCTGCTCTTCGGGCAGGGTGTGCTATACGCACGATAACTCGGCGGGCGGGGCGACTCCTCTTCAGCCGAAGAGTCCTTCTCAATCTCGATGCCTACTCCGCCGACATAGATTGGATTCCGCATATGGCTGCCATACACGCCCGAAGCGGACGAAGCATTGGGATGACTGCCGTACGGCGAGCTGTGGATGGGGCGACGGGGGCCGGGAAGGACACCAGGGGGCGGGAGAGAGGCGCGCTTCCTGTGCCATTTGTAGAGCAGGAAGACGGCGAGACAGAGGAGCGCCCAGCCGGCTAGAGCGCCGATTGTGATACCCGCGACGACGGGTCCTGAGAACTTGCCCGGTGTGGGTGTAGGCCGGAGACTGGCGACGGAGCCGATCAGAGATGACGACGCGGGCGCTGGGGAGCTGCTGGTCAAGGTCGCGGTCGAGCTCACGCTCTCGAAGGTGGTTGGCGCAGGCGTTGAAGTCGCAGGCGGCGGCACCTCAAACGAGGTAGCAACCGAGTCGCCGCCCCAAACGGTGGTTACCTGAGAACTCGAAGATTGGGAAACTGGGGGAACTGAGGACTCCGAAGGTTGGACAAGTGTGGGAGACCGTGTGGGAAACACGAACTCCGAATGGAGAACTGGGGGAACCGAGGACTCCGAAGATTGCGGAACTGGAGGAACTGGAGGAACCGAAGACTCCGAATTCGATCGCACCTGAGTCAGTTCTGTAGACTGCGTCCAGGTGAAGGGAGGATCGGTCTCTTCGACGAAAGTCTGACTCTGCGCGAAGGTCCGGATATATGTTAGCGTCCTGGAACTGCTATCGGTCCAGAGTTCGACTTCGGTGACAAGTCTCTTCTCCGCAGTGGATATCATGCTTACAGAATCCAGCGGGTTTGGGGAGGTTCCAAAGTCCCGTTTCTTAATTGCAGGGCTGCGGGCGGTAGAGAACCGCGAGCGCGTCCTGTCCACGCTATCGCGTTTGGTCAGCTCTGCTGGAATATATCTTGTCGTTTGACGGGCTTCACGTACCATGAAGTGTAAACAGAGGCTTTGGTATCGTGCGCGGACTCGTTCGCGCCTCGTTTGATCCTGTTCAAGCGGTCAGCTTCACCGCTAAGCCATATTGCAACGAGAGCGCAACATACCTCTTGCCACGCGCAGAGGCTGCGTTCTTGTTGTCACGAGACACATTTCCATTCGCACCCGAGGCTGGCGGTGTCGTCAGCACGCTGTCGAAAAGAGAGGTCGAAACAGCCACATACCAACAACATGCCCGCAAGCACGGACTGTCGTACCAACATGTGCAGCGGCCACCGCAGCATCTGCAACAAACGCTGCCATAATGAGAATTATAGCAGCGTGGCCAGCGAGTACGAGGCGCGGTGCAGCGATAGTAGAGGATGATTGCGAGGCTCGCGAAGAAACCTATTGGTGGGCGAGGGCGAGGTTGGGACAAACAAACGAGAAAGGTTTACGTGCGGTGTCGTTTGCTTTGGCGGCGGTGAAGAAAGCAGCGCTAGTGTGGGACTGCGACGTAGAAGTTGAAGTTGGTGGGCGGTGAAACCTTGAGCGCAAGGTAGAGCAGTGAATGCAAGCAAGACGCAAGACACGACGCGAACGCGACGAGTTTGCACGTTCGGTCGACACACTGAGTGTGGCTGTCGAAAGAAGTGGAAGCAAAGCGGCTGAGGGAAGAATGTGTAAAAAAGGAAGTTGTTAACTTTGATCCCTACATGTTGTCTAGTGGGTGCGATGGGCTTGACTGAGGGGAAATAGCATATTGTCAACGATTGACAAATGTTGAACTGAGCATAAATCCATAGCACACATAAGAAAAGGAACCAACAAAACTGAGCAATCAACAAGCACGTCGAGCCTCTGGGTCAAACCCGGGAGTATCAGGCCTGCCACTGGCATCCAGAAGTAGGCTCCTATAACATTGCGTAGACCGCTTCCGCCTATAACGTTATCTCTCTCGGTGGGAGAGGAAGCCTCCATCGAAAGGAGCAAAGAAACCATTGCGAACATTTCACTGGTAGTCATGACGTTCGTACTCATTCGTCTGACCATCGTAAACATATCCTCGACAGTGTCAAGTATAGCAGTTGCCCATCACAGCGTGGTTATCGAATCGGCATGGTTTATCGCGATCCGAAGAGCTGATCGCTAGTCGAAGTGCGATGGATAGCGAGGGAACGGGGGACCGGGTACTTCGGGGCAGGCGAAGGCGGAGACGGTTGGCGGGGACGATATGGGCGCCTTCAAGCGTACTTCTCGTTCGCTTTGGCCTCATTGATTCTGTCGCCATCTAGAAGGTTTCCATATTCCCGCACGACATTCTCGCAGAACTGTTCCCAAGCCGTCCGGAAGTATTTCTCGCCTTCTGCCTTCTTGTCGTCATCGAGACAGCTGTACTCAAGACTCCACAGCGCGAGCTGTTTCCAGCTGTGCACCGATATTGTGGGAGCGCCGACCATGATTTGATAGAATTCGTGGGACATGGAATTGCTGTTGTAAGCTATATTAGCAACTGAACTTTGGAAGAAGAGGCAGGATTGAAAGGGCACATGCGGCTGAGCACTTACCTGAAAAGCGATGGGTTGTCGCTGTTCACAGTGCACGGAATCTTCGCGGCTAGCAGTTCAGGGTATGGGTGCTCCTTGATGTTTCTACAAAGGTGAAGCAGCTCGTTGGAGATAGGGCAAAGCTCGACGCAGATGCCAGGACTGATAACCCGCACTTTCTTGCCATCCTTCTCTTCTTCGTGTGGGCCTTTCCTGAAGTACTTAATCAGCTCTTGGTGCTTCATTAGTGAGAAACCGTGTCCGATGCGTTTTGACTTTAGCAGCACAGCATCGAAGAGATTCGAATTGCCAGGGTCTGTTGATCCGCCGGTGTCGAGCAACGTCTCGCCCGCATGGAACAAAAACGGGATCTCCAAGTTTTTCTCTTCGCAGGTCTTCTGGAATGCAACGAGCTCTTCATAGTAGTAGCCGATATAGTTAGGCCGGTCTTCTGCTCCAACTAGGTCGAAACCTGTATGAATTAGCGGATGAAGTGTATTGCACATTCAAACCTGTACTCACCACAGATAAGTTCCGGGAACTCAATCTTCAGGTCTATGCAATCCCGCATTTCCGACCTCATCTTCTTATGGGGAATGGATCGTGGAGTGCAGTAAATGATCTTGAGCCCGAACGGAAATAGATGTAGTCGGCCCTCTGCCAGGAGCTCTTGCTTCTTGGCATCCACGGCGTCTAGGATCATCCTCATCTGCGCGGAGTTATCTAGTTTGTCAATCCCATTGTCGGCTGGTATGGACTTGTCCATGAGCATAGGTCGAAGCTCAGCGTACATGACCTTCTCATCGATCATGCGGTCGATGGCCTTGCCGATGTACCATTTATATACGCGCTCATAATTCAAAAGGCCTTTGAAGCAGCGTGTAGCTTGGTTGAAGCGCGCCCAAACTCTGTATAGAAGTCAGTACAATAGCTATTGCCATGAGTGCAAAGCGCTGGAGCAATCGTACCCATTCACGGTTTGGCCAGGCCCGTATGCTTCTTCCTCGCTAAGCACCATTTTCCGTTGGATCCAGTTCTCTGCCGGATCCAATACGATCTCGGCGGGCTCTGAGCAGGTCCGAGCCTTCGCGTTTGTGGCTCGTTCGGCCCGTGTCTGAACATACATCCCGGGAAACACTATTGGGAAGCGTTCGCGAAATTCGCTCCATTTCATCCACACGTCTTGCTGGAATTTGGGAAGCTTCCAATTATTGTCGCACCCCTGATACGCACGGGAGAAGATATCGTTGCTAGTCGTGGTTTTCGGCATGACGTTAAACACCATCTCCGTAAGATCGAGATCCTTTTCTTTGCACAATGGGCGCATGCTCCAGACGTACATGTTGTCCATCGACTGGGCTTCTTGCAAAAGCCTCTCCGGATTGAGCTCAGCGTTGAAGTGGAGATGCAAGAGGGCACCCTTGGGCACTTCTTTCGCAATTTCAAAGAGCTTACTGCGACTTTCGATTCGTTCCTTATTGGTAAGGAATTTGCCGCCCATGTCGCGGGTCTCGGGGCCTGGTATGGCCTCTGAGGCATTGTTGCCAAACACAACCCTGCGCTCATACTCTCTAAGTTCGCGGATGATGATGGCCGCTCTTTTTTCGTTCTCTGAAACGCCTTTTGTGCGGGCGTCATAATCCCACGCGTTATCAGCCTCTTCTTTGAGAAGGGCTTGGCGACGTTTCTGATAGTCTTGACCGGCAGTCACCGCTGGCCTTTCGAAGCCAGGTGGTGCGATGGCAGGCTCCATTGTGACAGGATCTTGATTTGGGCGCTCAACTCTTATGGCATGATCGAAAGTCGCTTTCGCAGCTTCTTGCTGAGCTTCTACTGACAGAGAAGCTTCCTGCCGTCCCGCCATTTTAAATGGCGCCCTTGATGCTGGTAATGGACTCTGAGCAGTCCTCTTTCTTTTCTTGTCTTTGTTAGCTAGGGTCATGATCGGCCTGTTTGGGTCCTTGTCAGAGCCGCGTCTGCCACGTACAGATCTGCAGAGTGGTCAACATATGACTTTCCGCCATTTCTGGGCTCACGGTGCTCGAAGACTAGGGTTTACTTACAATGCAGGTATGGGTATGCCGCACTTGGCTAACCACCCGTGCCGAGGCTTTTCAGAATCGCTGGTAGTCTTTGGATCCCCGTCAACTGGCATGCCGAAGATGTTGGTACAGTAACATCTATCACTGGCTTCTCATGCCAGTTGAAGGACAGCTGAGGACACTGATAGAGGGCAGACAGAATTGGTATGTGGAAGCGCTGGTAGTGGTTACACCCGCAAGTGATAATTCGATCGCAGCCTTGTGCGAACCGGTAAGGGGCCGTGATATGCTGTAGCTAGTGGGCTGTGTATAATCCTCGAGGGCCCCAAATTCCGTGAGGCCAAGACTGTATAGGGTAGGATCCGTTATTGGAAGATGGAGAAATACGCAGCCGAGGTGTGCGGCGGAGAAGTTTCGATAGACGCTGGCCTAGTTCCTGGCCTAGCGAGCGATGGCGACAGTCAGTACCGTGATTCATGCAGGTGTTGGTCATGAACTAGAGGCATGCTGCGCCTCATGGACCCATAGTGTAGTGCAAAAGGCTGAATCAAAAGTCTGGTGCCTAGAGGAGATGACGGCGGAGTTACGGGAGTTTAACGGAATGCGAACTCGGGAACCATGACGGACAAACATGACAGTATGAGAAATGGATCATTTGGTCGCTCAAAGGGGGGATACGGGATCCGGCGATCCCTTGGTGACTGAAGAGGAAATGCACAAGACATGCAAGGGGATCGCGTGCCTGAGGACGCAGGTGATTTAACGGACTCCCACATACATCAGCGCACGCTCTTTGCGCGCATTCAACCCGTCTTTCGATGAATCCACCTAATGCGACAACGGTTCCGCCGTCTTCTCGGGGAAGTCTCGATGGTCGGAGCTGATATGGGTCTGTATGACGGCCAGCCTGGCGCGCGCGATCGGTGCGGCGCTGGAGGTCGGGGGGCAAGCGATGACGAAACGAAGCGGCGACCGAGTTCAAGCGATGACTCCGGGGGATGGCGCAGCAGTTTCAACGACGATGCGACAAGCGCTGGTGTCAAGAATGAGGTTTGAAAGTCAACCTGGGCAGAGTCGTCGCCGGTCACAATTGAGGCAGTGCTAACGCCCATGTCGCTATCCTGCAGCCTAGCCACAACCCAACTGGCTGCCGCTACCCCTCCTCAGCCTGATGCCTGAGGCACCCAATCACTGCGCGGCGCTTGAGCTGGCCCTGTGTGAGGCTGGGAACGCAGCAAACCGCCGTCGAGCTCTGACCGGTTTGCTTGGGAGGGCCGCCCGCAGCACTCTGTGCTCCGACCTCCTCTTCTTGGGTTCCACCGCGCTTCTTGTCTTTCTGCTTGGTATCTCCTGCGTGCGCGGCCTCAATTGCGGCGTCGGGCGCTTAATCGTCTTATATACCCTCGTAACTCTGTCTCGCTTCCATCTATCACTCGCTCAACCCATGTCTTTTCCTCGTACCGCGCCGGAGCTTTGACGATACCCTGAGTATACATCTATTTTCAAGACCTCCGTTCTTCCTTCGACCACCATGCATTGGCTACAGGGTACGGATGGCCAGGCATCGCTACAGCAGCTGCAGCTCGACATCGTCGGTTTCCTAGCCATCTTGGGCGAGGGTTCGGTGCTCGCCAATGCTCAAGTCGCGACGCTGTCGAAGTGGATTTTCCTGCCGCGCTTGATTCCTGCTCCGCAGGCCTTGATGCGTCCAACGAGGCCGACAAAGCTGAAATCGGACTCTGGATGGGTGTCTGGCATCTTGAGCGGCAACTATAGAGAATATATAAACCACATTGGCAACATTGTGTGGTGAGTGTGATCCTTCCATCTCGAGCTAGGCAAGCTCCCCACTTGCTCCTTCCTCCGGCCACAACCACTTCCCCACTACCCACGGAACCATCCCCCTTCAACCACAGTCCACAGCTCCTTCTCCCGCTGCATCCATGCTTCCTCCCCAACCAGACCCTGGCTGATTGCACCAGTGACGCTAGCAACCTCCCCGAATACTCCGTCCGCGTCGTTACCATCGAACGCAAAAACGACTCTGCCCTCAAGGCCAAAACGGTCGCCCCGCTCACCGTCGTCCTCTTCCTTGGCTTCTTCCTCTCCTGCATCCTCCTCGGCCTCTCGATATGGCTCGACGACGGCATGTCTATCGTCGCCACCGTCCTCCTCTCTCTCCTCACCTCTCTCATCGGCTTGGGCAACAAATGGGAACTCAAACTGCCGGAGCGTCGATGGAAGGGGGGCAAGGTGCCAGACGGGGACGTGGTGATACGGTATCCAAAGGGCAACTTCTTGATCGTCAGGTGCAAGGAGGACGTGGCTAGGGAGTTGTACTTTGCGCCGGAGACGATACAGTACCTGCTGCAACACGGCCCAGCCTACCGCCTGCTCAGCCTGGTTGGCACCATGATGCTCATGGGCGGCGTCATCTGCCTCGCCAACGCCCAAATCGAACTCCAGATTGCCTGGGCAGGTTCGTACATGCTGCTCGGCTCTTCGTACTGGATCGTCGCCGCGTTGCCCGGAAAACTCCATTGGGACTTGTCCTCCTACAACGTCATCCCCGAATGCCTCTCCGACTCCAAAATGGATATGAAAGGCTACCCGTCTCTGAACGAGACCTTCACGCAAGCATTGTGGAAGACGATTGTCATGTCCAAGAACATCGGCTGGATTCGTAGGAGCAACGCGTGTCCCGATACACAAGCATGGCAAGAGTGGCTGGTCGAGGCGCGGGACAAAGCCAAGGAAGTAAGATTCGCAAGCAAACCGCTAAATGGCAAGGAGGGAAAGCCCTTGACAACGTGGCAAGTCCCTGTCTGGGATGCCCAGAAGCGCCTGGGAGAGCTGTTGAATGCGCAGGCGGAAACAGATCAAAAGAGCATGAAGGAGGGTTACGAAGAAGTGTGAGCGCTTGTTGTTGCATTATCATTTGTTTGGATATTTACATGGCGTTGGGCGGCATTTTGACACGACTTTACGATTACGACTCACGACTTGACGATATCATTGATACCACCAACGCATTCGCAGCATCAGCCATTTAGCGACAAGCATCGTTACACACAGCATGACCTCAAAATTTGGTATTGGCATATTGGAGTGGCTTTGCCTATCTTGTTACATTATTAATCAACTCTGTCGCTCGATCATCTCTTGTATGGCTTCCATGCCACTGATTCAGTCCCCGGCTGCGCAGCCCCCTCTGATCGAGACTATCCTCTCTCGCCGGTCTTTGGCCTCCCGCTATGTCCAGTAATCAGCTATAGCATAGCCCTCTGTACACCTCTGTTCGGGTATACCTTTGTAATAGTAGCTTATCCATGGCGGCCCTTTTCTCTCTTCAAGTAGCAACCTTCCACCTCTGCTCATGTTCCACCTTCCTCCTCACAACCACTCTCAGCCACTCTTCCAGATTCGCGCTCTCCTTCCCATCAACCTCCATCCCCTCGCCTACCAACCCCACTCCGCCCTCTTCTCTACAGCACGCTTCCTCCGCCGTCTCACATGCCTCGTCCCATACGTCGAAGCTGAATACGCCGTCGCTCTCATTCAACAACAACCTATTGTCGCCCGAGAATGCGAAAACGTGCACTGAGCGTATGGGTTTCGCGCGAAGCAGATCCGTTGCGGTGGGCGAGACGAGAGGGGCGCCGGACTTGGACGTGGGCGAGGAGGGAATAGCGATCAGGACGGAGGTTAAGGTTGTAGAGAGGGGGATTGAGGCGCTAAGGAGTGCGAGGAGGGATGTGTGGAGGAGGTGCGGGAGGAGGAGTAGACTCTGCTTTGCGTTAGTAATATGGAACACCTATTCCAAACTATATACCACGTACAGGATGCACGCCAGCCGCGCCTTCCTCATCCGGCAAGCTCCTAACCTGCAGCGTGATCTGCACCAGCGTCCGCGGTATGACCCTCGTCAAGATGATGCTCCGCAGCGTGTTGTGCAGCAGCGTCTCTAGATGCCTTTCTTTCGGACCTGGTCCCCCGTTAGCTCCACAGCCCTCCTTTCATGTTGCATAGGAGTATACGCACTTCCAACGCCGGCTGCAGGCCGCACATTGACCTCCACCGTCGCTTCCTCCGGCAGCTCGTCCCTTCGCTGCACTTCGATCGGCCCATTGACCGCGCCGATGATGCAGTATCCGTTGTGCGTGTATGTTGCGGAGCCGTCTGCGCGGTGGAGATGCGAGAGCAGGGCTTCGGGCGCCATTATGCGTCGTTAGGGGTAGGACCGCACGTCGTTGAAGCTCTTCGATAACTTTGAGATTGTCGACAGGGAGCCAGAAAATAGCGGGGTGGTCCGGGCGCTGTTCACCATGCGGCTGGAGCTTGTTGCCGAGGCTGGAATGGCATGGGCATCTCGAGCTCCCGCCTCCAAAGCTCATACCCTCTACGGAGTACACCATTATTGTTCCGTTATTACGAGTTACGCATTTTTAGAGGTGGAAACGCGGCACAGAGAATGGCAAGCTCGTCGTCGCGAACCTCGTCACCCACAAAGCGCCTGCTCACCGAGCTACAAACTTACCAGTCCGATCCGAATGACGCGCTCGTCGAGCTCGGCCCTGTCGATGACGACGAGTTGATGCACTGGCGCGCGGTAATGAAAGGCGTGCCGGGCACGGCGTACGAAGGTAAGTGAACAATAATCCCGCAGAGAAGCATGCGCCTCCATTCACTATCCCATCGCGAATGCGCAACATGCTATAACCACCCTAGCTAACCACCCTCCCCACCAGGCGGCCTCTGGGCCCTCGACATCCGCATCCCGCCGACCTACCCCAACGCACCTCCCACCATCCGCTTCGTCACGCCCATCTGCCACCCGAACGTCGACTTCAAGACCGGCGAGATCTGCCTCGACCTGCTGAAGACGTCGTGGACCCCCGCGTACACCATCTCCACGACCCTGACCAGTGTGCACCAGCTGCTGACCAGCGCGGAGCCCGAGTCCCCGCTTAATGTGGATATTGCGCAGCTGTTGAGGCAGGAGGATTATGTGGGTGCGGAAGCGTTGATAAGGTTTTATACGGTGTCGGAGAGGTGGGTGGGAAGGAGGAGGTAGGGGGATGGGTTAAGGAGGGGGAGGGGGGAACTGGGATGGGATGGGGGTTGGAGAGGGGAGAGAGAATGTCGGTGAAGAGGGGAGCTGGAGGATGTGGGGTGGAGGGTGGACTGAGGTCGGCGATCACATGCAGCGCGAGGCATACGAACTTGCTTTGAAGGTGTTTTTGTGGAGGGCTGGCTGGTATATGGAACCTTGGAACCTTGGAATGCATCGCGGAGCGGGCCTGATTTGGAATACACCTTGCATTTCCTTTAGTACGTCACATTTTCTTCGAATCAACCGGCCGTCACATCTCACAGCCTCGGAGACTATAGTAGGTAATAATCACTTCCCCAAATTGCTCCAAGTGCCCCTGTTTTCGAGACGTGGCTGCTGAGCGAGGTCAAAACAGAGCTTGCGATCAGCATTAAACTTGCTATATGCGGACCTCGCAGCACGAAACGGGTAAGTTGAGTATTAATTACCAAGAAGGGAAGAAACAAGCGAGCGACAGACGGATAGAACTATTTTTGCGGACCGGAGTTCCTGCGGCTGGCAAGCACAGGCTTGGAGAGAAACATTTGGGACTGTATTTGAAATGGTAAGGCGAAGTGCACAGCGCATTGAGAGGGGCCGACCGGTGAATGCACGCTATTCTGCGGGCACACTTAGGTATGACAGACATGGGGAGATAAGCTGCTACATGTGAGTGCGTAGCGGCCACCGTGAAGATATATCGGTCCAGCCCGCATGCATTCCTTTTTTCGGCCTATTCGGGCCATTAAAGGGAGAAGAACTGGAGGTACTCGGATGATCATCTGAACAAAGAGGAAAAAGGCGTTCAATTAATATGTATGTATGTATTCATCAAGCGAAGCGCTACAGTACAAGGTATAAACACTCAGCCAGCCCTATGAGATAACCCCCCGGCAATATTAACGCCTTTTAACATGCATGGCGGGCGTTGGACGATTCCTTCCCGCGGCCATCCCTACTCCAAACGCCAGATCGTAGGCCCTTTTCCAGATCATGAGATGCAATACTAAAGGAAATGAGACACGCGACGGTGCGGTCGGTTGCAATCGTGCGTTCTTTTCGCTCGTTGTTCGCATGCCCCACTCCGCTCAGCTAGCAAGCGGACAGCCACCAGCCAAGCATCACGCTTGCGAGACCCAGAGTTGCTTGTGGGAGCAGGGCTCAGCGGCGGTCTAGAACGTTCGTGGACTATCGATACCACGTCGTGGACAATGAAATACTGAGACTTCTCGGAGTGGGCCTGGCGGGATGTGTCGGGCGGCGGGGGTGGTTTCTGGTGGCTTAAGGCACGTGACTAGTTGGCTCGAGGGCTCATTCTCCAGAGACGACCCATTGATTTCTTCGCCAGCCCTTCATGGAGGTTGTAACTGTGCCGTGAATTTCCGCTTGCCGAGGTGGGATGCTGTTCGTTGAGACGCGGCGGGTGTATGATATTGTGCTGTCTTGCTCGGGTACTAGGACTGAGGGGTCGTATGAATGTCGCCGTACCGTCGGAAGAGGATAGAGGCGTGGATCGTAAGGGCCCGGTAGCGGTTGAGGTGGAGACGTCCAGGGATATACAGGCTTGAACGTAGATGCCGGATGGTCCTTGCTTTGCGGAACTCGTGCTTGTCTTAAATCTTTCTCGCGAGGCGCTTGGCATGCTCTGGGGTCCTTCTCTTGTATTTGTTGGTATGACGTCGCTATCCTTCTCTTTCTTGTCATGAAATTGATGATTGCCAGTCGTATACCAGTAGCAACTACCAGCACAAGCAGGAAGATTTTCGACAACTGTGCGTATCCAAAGCCATTTGATGCCGAGGAATTTGATATACGGGATTGGCCCGTGGGGAGAGAAGGAGGAGGAGGCATGAAGAGCACAACAACAAGATCAGATGTACGAGATATAATATGATTACCTCTGCATATGGGAGGGTGTGGAGTGATGCAGGTAACCGTTCTACCAGCCAGTCAGTGGATGGGCAACCGCGCGCCTTTCATAGAACTTACATGGAAAGACGGGAGAACCGTTGGCATAAGCACTAGGGGATTCAGAGGCCCGGTGGACGTCAGCAAGGTAGCTATATACGCGTACAGTACTGTAGGATTAGCACCAGGGTATAAATATGACGGGGAGCGGCGAGGAAAGCAAGCTCAGGTCGCATCTGCATCGTTGAAGCATACGCGCCGCGCGCCCCCCATAAAAGCAGAACGCCTTTCCCGCCGGCGGCTGCGCTTCCAAGAACGACCACAGTACTGTCGACGGCTCGCGATGAAACATCAGAGCGGCGCCCTCCTCGTACGCATAGTGAGCACGGAGACAAAGTGAAGCGGTTGCCATGATCGACGGTCGCCTTCGTGATTTTCAGCTGTGACAATCGCGCCGCACCGATGATTTACAGGATAAGGCTGCCGGGGTAAGCCGGAACGAGTATGGTTGCGGCAGCTTCAGCGCTGTTGGAGGTCTTGGGGGTGGCAGTTGGAAAGGGTGCTCAGCTGGAGAGGGAACGATGGCGTTTTGTGGCGGGGCGCGCACAGACCACCCTGGCCAGGTCGGTCGATATCCGAGAATGGCGGACACAAACGGCGAGCTGGCCCTCTCCACCCATTCTCCAGTTCGACACCACCTCGCCCGCCACCGAGCAGTCAAGCTTCGTCGCGATCCTGCTTTTTCACGACCCGTGATGGGGGAGGGGAACGCCGTCAGCTGCAGCAGTGACGCCAACCGAGCTATAAGCTCCTGGATACGCGCTGTCGGCTCGCCCCAAGCAATGCAAGAACGAGCAGCATCAAAAATAAGAGCAAAAATAAAAATGGCTCCACCTGTCAAACCGCTCCGACAGCCGCCGGCCCTCTGCTTTTTCGCTCTTATTCATGCCGACTTTTCCATTCCGGCGATTTCGTGCAGCAGCTAGTCCTCCACCTCCGCAAGATGAGGTGGATGGCTTCAGAAGCGCGGACCTCGGAATACCATGGCGTTTGATGGCTTTCTTACTATATTTGTCGATCCTTGGATCTCAAAGTACTTTCCGCGCCGTAGTGTCAGATCTCGGTAGCCTGATCGACAGCGCCGCTCCATGGGGCCGGTCAAAGTGTCCTCGATGGTCGTCCGTGGGCATTCATTCAGCAGTACCACAAGCCCGCGAACGCCGACTATATTGCAGTAGCGACGCCCCGCGAAGCCCTCTGCCACCCCGAAGACCACTTACTCGGCGACGTGGATCTCGCCGAGCGGAAACACTCGCTTCTGTTAGGCTGTCCGTCAAGGACTACAAAAGCGTACCACGGTTCCTAAAGCGCTTCAAGGAAGCGTACGGAGACTCTCGCTTGCGATGCGTGGCCTTAGGACATCCTTGTGGAGATGGCATCTCTCGTACTGTTCTCTTTTTCTCGTTGGTTCCTCTGCACTTGACTAAGAGGAGGCTAACCTCTATGCTGGTTCGTTTGAGCCTCAGCATCAGTCGGCGACGACGCCTTCATGGCCGCTGACGATGTCATCGACGATTCTCACCAAACATGTACAACAGACGGCATCAGCGACTTCGACGGTCTCGCCGAAGGCTGAAGAGGGTATTTAGTCTATCTCGCCGCCCCGGCGACTTGGAACTTCTAGAATCGAGCACTCTTAGAGCTGAAGTCCTTCAGCATATCCTCACTGGCCCACTGGCAAATTATACATAAGGTAAGCATTCCACTACTTGCTCGCGGAGTCCGCATCATCCTTTACCGGCGAGGCCGTCGCCACGACCACGTGACCTTCCCTCTTCCGCTACTTTCCTAATCGGTAGGTCGTCGTTTCTCATCAGAAAAGCCCACCGAGAAGTCCTTCGACGCTGTATCCGGAGAACGCACCTCCGGATTTTCTTCCAAGCTGCTGGAGTTTTGGACCCGCTGCCTGGCCCAGGCGCCGCCGTCGACTTTCTGTATGCACAGCCACACTGTGGCCCTCACACTCCTCATCCTTCACATCCTTCTTCGCCCCGCACAAATGATTCCTCGCCCCACGCAAATGATTCTTCGCCCCGGTCACCCTGAATGAACGCATTCTAGCCCCATTCGCCGTCAGGATGCCGTTCCCGACGGCTGATCACTGGCTGCTTACTGCGTCAGCGCCACGCCTCAGGTACCAGCCCTACGGTCTCATCCCGTCCCTTGTAACACCAACACCATACCCACACTCACCGGTATTGGGGCACGCGACTTCCTCGTGCAAGGTACTGCGCCTCCTCCTAGGACACTATCAGCCAGCCATTAGATTACGACTCCTCTACATGGCAACGGCGCTACTAATCGAGATCCTTGCGTTCCAGAACTTCTCTCAGGGTATGTGGGTGGGATAACCCCGGCTGCTTCGCCTCCCAGTACACCGGTATCCGTTGCACTCGGGCCTCTAGTTGATTAGAAATCGTGTACACCGCATCCGCGTTAAGTTCACAGAAACAGGTTTCCAACATTCATCAGAAATGCTGCGCCTCAACTTAAGTAGTGCCGCACAGCTGTCATTCTCTTTCCTCTTCCCATCTTGTCTCCCCTAGATGCCAACGTTTCATCCCTCCGTTACGGAATAAGGTCCAAGGGTTGCTTCTCTTCGCTCGAACACTGGTCAGCCAGCCGACCGACCGCCTGTGGACGTTCGGAAGCCCCGAAACGGCAGAGTGTGGAGGGCGCGATCAGTGACTTCTCTCGGACGTACCGATAGGCAAGAAGGCGGCCTGGTCGATTCTTATATCTTATATACCTAAGGAGAGCTGTCTGTAGTAATAGTCAATCCATATTCTTTTCAGCTGCCTTTTTCTCTCATTGCGGTGCTGAATATTCAACCGTCAGAACTATGCCAATAATCGTTGTGAACAAGCTTCCGTAAAGCAGAAGTAGTGATGCCTCCCCTGCGAAAGCGAGATGCTAGGTTATCCGCAGCCTGCGAATTGGAGAGCCGACTCATAGATAGAGTCGCATCATGCACTCTTCAGTCAGTCAAAGAATGTGAAGAGCAAGCAGACCCATTCGGCATAAACGCACAACAGCGTAACAACAAAAAAGGAGCGATGATGCATTAAACACTACCCAATTCCAACTCCCATAGCCCTCATAAACCGTAAACCGTTACCACAGTCACAACACTAATACAAATACAATCTGATCCCATCCAAGCAAGGTGCATGCATCAGTTCCATCCTATCGTCTTCAGTCTCGCCATCACGTTCGCACCTACAACGCCACCAAAAACGGGATACTTCCTAAAACAGCGGCGATAAACACGCCAAAGATCTCCACTCCTCCACTCGGCGCCTCGCCCTGGTATTCCTCTGGACCCGTTGGCGACGCCGTCGGCTCAACGGGTACGTTCGTCGGTAGCGTTTCGCTCGGCAGCACAACAGTCTCACCGGGATTAACCGTAGTCTCCGGTATCGTATACGTCTCGCCGCCCTCAGTCACCGTCGTGCCCGGCAGCACAACAGTCTCCTCCTCCGGCACCGTCGTCGTCTGGCCTGTGCACGTCACGCTAGGAGGGCAGGTCGGGAGTGTCGGGTATTCGGGCTCCCCTGTAGGTTTTCCTGGGAGGACGCATGTGCATGTCCTGATGGGTGGGCAGGACGTTGGGCCGAAGGTGTATGTCCATGTTGTAGTCTGGCCGTGGCATGGGCGGCATCTTGGCGGGCACCATGTAAGAGTTTCGATGTCGGTTACCGTAACGGTCTTGGTCACTTCTGTGCCAGTTGGCTTTGGTGGATGCGGCGGGCGCGGAGTGCAGCCGGTCCTGTTATGGCATGGGAATGGCGGAGTCGAAGTCGGTGGGAGGAACGGGTGGCACTTTCCATCAGGGCCGAGCTGCGAGCCAGGCGGGCAGACGAGCGTGCTAGGAGGAGTTGGGACGAGCGGCGTGCAGTTTCCATTCTCGTCCGGCCTGGTGCCGGTTGGGCAGGTCGGACCGGTGGGAGACGGAGACGTCGTAGGAGTCACAATGCAGGTGCCGTTGTGCCAATGGTGTCCGGGCTTGCAGTTATCGGGCCTGCACCAGCCGCGGTAATCGTGGTGATGGCCGGACGGGCACCAGCATTTCTGATGATCCCACTTGCATGGGATAGGGGTGGGTGTGGGTGTGGGCGTGGGTGGAATGGACACGCATTTGCCTTTGTGGTCCATCATGAAGCCGCTTGGGCAAGACGGCGTAGTAATTGGGCTTGGGCTCGTCGTTGGTGGGGTAGTGACAGGAGTGGTGGAATTTAAGGTCGTTGTTTTCTCGGGATGACACCATCCCGCCGAGTCAGCAGTTGAGCCCGGTAAGCAACGGCAGCCTTTACCAATTAGCTAAAGTCTACTTCGGAGGACTGGATATATACTCACCTCCGCGATAGTCTGACTGCATATCACCAGGGCATTTGCAGGATCCATAGTAGACGGTCATAGGCGGGTTGCAGCTAACAGTTGGTGTTGATGTGCGACAGAAACCACGGTAATCTGTCGTATAACCATCCGGGCATCTGCAAAACCCGCGGTAATCTACAATTTGATCAGGCCGGCAAGTGTTCGTTGATGTTGGGGTCGGGCTAGTGGTGGAAGGTGGCGGCGTCATGGTTGTGGAGTGCCGCCATGCATCGCAGATTGCGCCGTACTCGGAGAAGAACACGTCGCGAGGGACTTGCAAGCATTTGTTGACGCGGCAGGCAGACAGGCTCACGGAAGCGCCAGGTGCGCAGAGCCCCCTTGCGTCCTCCCACGGGCCCTCGTTGACGCACTGCTCGAAGCATTTATTCTTGAACGTCCATGGGAAGGGAGTCGGCCTAGGCGATGGTGTCGTCGGCTCTGCAATGTAGGTGCAGATTGACTCAAACTCTGCCTTAACTTTCTTCCATTCGGTATGGCAGACTTGGGAAGCGCAGGTCGTGAGGTAGTTCCTGGCGCCATATGTGCAGAGTTCAGCCACATCGATAAAGTCTCCTTTCTTGACGCATCCTGCAAGACATGTGTTGTTGATCGGAGGTACAGGCGGTGCAGCGGACGAAGCTACTGCCACAAGGGCAGCAGTACAAAGAAAGTTGCGCATATTCGAAACGAGCGTACCAGTAGAACGAATGTTGTGAGTTTTCGATATGTATGTTGGTCGGGAGTAGTATGTATGCAGAGGAGAAAACCGGGTCCAGGTCACTTGCCATTATATATCTTCCATCCTCCGATACTCCAACTCTTCTCGGACCTGCGTCTGATGGGCGTTTGTGATACGAAACTACGAGGTAACATTTTCATTGACAGCAGCGTAACGTACGGTCGAGGGGACGGTACACAGCCCTATTGAGGATAGCATTTATCGAAATGGCAGAGGCGTGGACGGGAAGGGAAGTATACGATCCAGTCACGGTATCAGCTGATTTGCGTGTCCAACCATGAATAACATACGAGGTTGGCATCAGGAGACGATAAGTAAGGTGATGTCAACGCTAGTTTGGCCTTATGCTGACAGGTCAGCGATGCACCGGCTCTGCACTCCAGGTGTTCAAGCGGGATCCAAAATAAGATCATGCTGCGTGACATCAGTGAGGCTCTAGGGCTCCACTATTCGACATAGGGCTGGGCGCGGGCGAGAGGTTCAGCCAACACCATCGTCAGCTTCGTGAAGTACACTTGTGGCTTCCGCTTTTGATACAAAATGGCCTGAGGATCCAAAATGGGTCGAGAGGGTTGCTCTATGAGGACGTGGCTCTAATGGGGATGCCTTTCTCAGGCGGTGTAGAGCAGCTGGATTGACACCCCCAGTGGCGGATATTGAATTCAAGGCTGAGGCCAACTTAACGAAAGGTAAGAATGGCAAGTTTTCGACATGATAGGTCGTGTTGAGGAAAGTGCCTCGGTTGAGAGGAGAGGAACTGTTGGTGTTGAAGTGTGAGGTGACGCTAATATTAGAACTTTGAGCTAAGCCAAATCGAGCTAAGCGAATTGCTCAACTGCTTGACTCTGCGCTCGACTCTGCGCATGTCTACAGCCGACTTCTCCAGTCGTTTATCGGAGCATTTCAGATTCGCCGATCCAGTCTCCTTGGGGCTCTCATAGTGCGGAGTTCTCCAGATATAACGACGGACGTAACAGGCACCCTGGAGGCCTTCGCGGGTAGGTACAAAGGCGAATAGACCAATCCCCAGCTAATAGCAAGTACCGGCGCGAAGCTGTACAAGACGCATTTGTGATAGTTAATAGTTAAGACGGGAAGTCGCAACTTCCTAATGCTAAGAGGCAACTACATGCACTGCCAGACTCGCATTAGGTAAAAATAATAGAGTATCAAGCATAGCTAATGACCTCCGTGCGGTGTGAACGCTCGTGTCCTAACCACTAGACTACAGAGGCCTGGTTTGTCTTTTAGTGATCCATAAGATTAAAACCATGTATATAGAGTATTATCACTCAAGCTCACCAGCCCGTTCGAGAAGCGTATTCAGATCTCCGGCTCCCACATGTCGAGCGAGCCCAATGATAGCGCGCAGAAGCACTCCAGTCTGCTCATCTCTCCATCTGTGCGCATCCTCCAGCGCCTTTTGACCATCGATTATTGTCTGGAGGAGATTGTTATATCGACGCTGCTCACCCAAAAGAGCCTGTAGTACGTCCAACTCTGGCGATTAGTCGTTAGCTCGCTGTCGCTTAGGAGAGCTGCCTCCGGAAACCTCCTAGAATACGTTAGTAAGGAGAGTCTTCTAAGGCCTCCGGGTAACACACCTCGTTTTGTCAACATTGCCTATTTTGCGTTTTCCTGGGGTGGCAGAGGCGACCTAGTATTACAAATTAGTAGACAGTAGTAGAAGACCGGATAAGGAGGGGATACCTTGTCTGACGGGGAGCGCATCTGGTGTAGCGAAGAGTATGAGCACTCCGCCTTATCATGCATGCAACGCAGACATCCTGGGTTCGCTCCGCCGCAGTACTCCTTGACGTAGGTCGCGTTGTACGCGAGGCAACCTCGAGCCTCGGACTCCGTGCAATGCGCGCACATCTCTTCTCCGCCGACCAACACACCAAAAGCCTTGTGGCCCATTCGGACAGCGTGCTACAAGTCCAGCTTGTCTAAGTCGTACTTATCTCTATCCTTGGAGTGGTCGATAATGTCTTGCGTTATGGTGATGTGTCCGTCGGGATCCTGGGGCGTCTGCGCTGGGCATGGTAGGGTAGATGCTGGGAATAGCACCGACGATGGCTTGCTTAATCTTGATGCCTGGACTTCCGTCTTTGGTGACGCCGCCATGCTGGCAGATGTTGGGAATGGATGGTGCAGACGGTAGCTCGCTGGGTCTTGATGCCCGGACTTCTGTCTTTAGTGATGCCGCTATGGACCTTAGTGCTTGGACTTCTGTCTCTAATGACGCCGACATACCTGGGAGATGGGGATGGCGCAGACGGCAGAGGCAGCCTGGTGCGGGTGCAGTTGTTGCGCCGGGAGAGGTTGAGAGAAATCGTGTTGGCGGGGGCCGGGCCAAGGTGGAGGATGACGGAATCCGAAGAAAATAAAGCCTCACGTGAAGGCGAAAAGCCCTCCAGCTGCTACGTCGTGAACGTGTATCGTTTATGTGGAAGATATCTTGATAGTCTTCTCCACTCTCCACTCCGTATAGCTCCCCTAGTGCCAGGAAGTAACATGCTGCCTCTTGTTGCGTAAGTGCCTCATAACCTCTCGATGATAGAGCTGTTTATCCTTGAACGGATTAACTGTCATCTTGTACCCGCACTTGCAGGTCTGGTAACTCCGAGTATTATCTTTGTATATCTGAACAGCTTCAGCGAGCAGAGCATCCTTGTCGCGCACCAGATTAAGCTTGCAAGCATGTTGCCCTAGGAAGCAGTCATTAGTGCATCTGCCGTCACGATTGCAGGAGGAGCGTCGATTGTTTGCGGCCGGGTGCTCGATAATGAGATGTCCAGGGTGCAGGCACCCTGGGTTATGGCAGAGATGAGATATCTCCAGCAATTTGGGGTGATCCACTGCCAGAACCGCTTCCTGTGGGATATTCCTGTTGGTGTTGCTTTTTCTTGAGTAGTAGGCTTGAGTAAAGTTAGCTTGCGCAACGTTTCTAGCAAAAGGCCAAACTTACTCCAGCAATAAAAGGCCCACTCAGCAAATGTGAACTTGTAGAAAGACACCATAAGAGCAATTCTAAGAGAGAAATTCATCTCCCTCTGCGGATGGGTTGAATGGCAAATAAGACAACAGGTGTTGTTTGTTATGCCGAGATATGTCTGTAGAACTTTCGTGTTGTCCTTAGCGACGGTGACGTAAGTAAGGCATGGATCGTCAGAGTTGTGGCAGAACGAGGTAAGCTTCTAGATGTCGAATCCTGCCTCTTGCGAGAATAAGTCCGCTGCCGGGTAATGTATCGCGATAACGCCTTTGACTACCTCGTGTGATGCTTGAACGAATCTTGGGTCAAGATAGTAGAAGAGTCGACATAACCTATTCTTCTGCGTCTTGTTGGATACGGCATCCGGCTCTTGAGCGATGTGGGCGATGAGCTTCTTCATCGGACGTTGCAGAACGTCCGGCAGCAACCGGACCTGCTCTTCGCTCGGCCTCGCTGACTGTTCCGGATCCTGCTCAGAAATAAAGTCGCGCAGGGCCCGAGGCAGGGCGTAGTTGTTGGTGGGTAAGCCTCTGGCTGCGATGCCCTGATGCGGGTATTGATGAAGTTTCGATAACTCCGATAACTCCGGGACGCGGCAAAGTTGCACAAGCCTCATCAACATCGGCCTCCATTGCCTTTCAGTAAGGATGCCGCGATCTTCATCTAATAAAGGCCGGTAGTATCGTTCGTTCTCCGATGAAGCCGCATCAGAAATCTCTCCAGCTTCGGCAAGTTCAGCCTGAGATGTCCTGCAGGACGTAAGCGTAGACCGGTCAGCGGCATGCAGTTAAGAGAGGGGGAATGAAGGACCATTGGCGTGCTGATTCCCGGTTATGTGCGACTTGGATCGGTATCGCTCGAATGTATTCAAAGTATGCAGCGCGGAATACGAGCCCTTATCTATGTTGCGGAACAGGCGCACGCTGATTGGCGACGACGCATGATAAGGGACGACGAAAGCCTCACGGTGTCTGAAGCACATCTGTGCTATACGCCGTTTTCTCGACCTTCAGCCTGGTCAATGACGCGGCCGTCGGCCACTCCCCGTCCCTCTTTACATGAGCTTGCAACCGTTCTGACACCACGAAATTATGTACACGAGTTTTGTCTTCAAATCGATTCCGTAAACTTGTTCATCTGACGTCGGATCGGACTCTACAACAATGTGTAGGTAGACATTGACTACACCATGAAACCTCGCTAATGCATGCAGCTGCCGACGTCCAGCGGCGGATGTACACACCGGCTTGCTCGGAGCGGCAAGGCCCGCTTGTGGCTCCAGAGCCTTTCGGGAATGTCATCGGATCTCGACCCGATCACAACGTTATGGTTCAGGAAATCTTCGAAGAACTCAGCTATGACTCCAAAGGCAACCGCCTTACCGCTCCCCCTACCGACAAACACTCCATCAAGATGGCCGAACGAGCTATTGCACTCTTGTGCTCGTCTGATAAAGATGTGAAATACTTCAAGGCCGTTCGAACTCTGGTGACCATTCTTGCGGCACGTTATGAGCAGACCGAAGACCCGGAGGACCTCAACAAAGCCATTAGCACCGCTGAGAAACATGCCTTTCGTGGCCGAATTCTGAAGTCCGACGACTTCGACACCATGTGGTCTGTGCATGAGATGGCAGCTGAGCTCTATGCATGGCGATTTCACCTGAAAGGGAATCTGGACGACATCAACTTTGCAATCTCACATATGCACGCTGCGGAGCAATTGATGAAGAACCGCTGGGCCTTTGCACCGGACGACGCTTATGCTTTGATGCTCTACAATTTTGGAGTAACACTCTACGAAAAGTATTGTGCGACTGGCGGTCGGCAGGATTTGAACAGAGCCATAGGGAAGACGATGCGCGCAGTCGAATGCGCCGGAGTATCCAATCCCGACCGAGCGTCTTTTCTTGCCAGCTTGGGCAGGATGCTGCATGAGCGGTTCGACGGGAGCGGGGCTCTCGCCGATTTAGAATCAGCCATTGCGAAAACTCAAGAGGCTATTAACCTGTTTGTTGGAATGCCTGGTCAGGACGACGAGGGACTGCATTCGTGTTTAATGGAGCTAGCTAACATGCAAAGGCAAAGACGAATCATTCGGAGCGCTCGAGACAAAGCAACGCGGAGCGAACAGCGACCGTCAGAATTTGTTCCTACACTTTCAAGTCGGAGTGTATGTGCGAGAGTGGCTCCGGATCTACCAGTCTCGGAGGACATCGAGGCTGCTAAAGTCACCGTCCCTGTGGCCAAACCAGAGAAGACTTTCAGCCTCTCGTTGATCCCTTCAAGCTCGCCCGGATCGAAAGAATCCTTCAAAGCCTCAAAACATGTCGTTATACGAGCCCTTCCTCCTTCAGGAGGCCGATCAAACGCAGTGGATTATAGATCGCTACGCCAACCCGGCAAGATAATCCTCCAACCCTCCATCATGTTCGGACTCTGTGGAGCCTCGAGTACGGTCCTTCCATACACCGTAACCAATGGATCTGAGACGTCCCGGCATAGCGAGCCCACCGAATATCTGGCCTTGCCATGGGTGGAATATCCCGCCCCGCAACACACTCTAATGCTCTGTGGGACCGAGGAAGACCAGGAGCCCGATTTATGCGATTCGACAACACTCGGTTCGGACTCAGACTCGTCAGGATATGATTCCAACGGCGAGAAACAGCTAAGCCAGAGGCCATGCCATTTCAGCGCAATGCTCCAGGGCCTTAACCCGTCTAGAATGTGCAGCCAAGGGCTCAGGGAGCGGCCGGCGGATCACGGAGCTCCCACGTCGGGCTCTGGCACCGGGACAGTAGCTTCCAGCACCTCGCCATCTTCGCGCAATAGCCCTTCGTCCGCTGGGAAACGACTGTTTCGGACATCCGAGCGACCTAAAGGGGGTGAAGATTCTGACGATGAAGACGAAGATGATATTCCAAGAAAGCGAGCAAAATCAGCGTCCGAGCACGCCTCCAACAAGAAGTCGCGTAGGCTGAAATGTCCGTATTATCAAAGGCGGCCCGAAGGCCATTCTGACGCAGCCTGTCGAGGAAGAGGGTTTGATGGGATGGCAAAGCTGAAGTAAGTCAGACAACTTTATATTGGAGATTTATGTTCTGAACGTCGCAAACAGAGATCATCTGAAACGGAAACACCTCCAGCCGATCAAGTGCATGCGCTGCTGGCTGGAGATGCCATCCGTAGAGGCCCGAAACCAACATTTACAGCAAGATCCCATTTGTGGGAAGTTGCCCGAACCATTCGATGAACGCATATGCGCATCTAAGTTGCGGTCATTGAACTTCAACAGTGGGAGCTTTGGACGAGCCAGGAGCGTGGAGGAGAAGTGGAGACTGCTCTATCAGGAGCTGTTCCCGGACGAGCTAACGGTGCCCTCGCCTTGTTAGTCTACACTTGTATTTTATATTAGGACTCAAGCTGACTCAAGACACGGATGAACTGCCTGGCATGAACACATACACGAAACGCAGATTCCTTGATATCTTCAAGGAGGAGGCATCGAAGGAAATAGATCCAGCGCTCCAACACCTTATAGCCAAACTTGACGGCATCATGCTGCGTACGGAGGACCGCCTCCATCACGAATTCGAATCTGCATCCCAGTCGGACAGCTCAGACACCCCTCCTCTACAAGCAAAGAGCTTGGTACCAGGCACACCAGATATTGGACAGCTGGATGCTTCTAGGACCGGCAGTTTCATCTTCGATACGCAACCCTCTGAGACTGACTTAGCCCTCCAATCCACGTGGGATCCGCTCCTGGGAATTGGAGCTACAATCATCGATTCGGACCATCTTTCGTACCCTGTCCCCTCCAAGAAGCCGATCCGTCCGCCACACACACCGCTCCTCGTTCACGACATGTCCTCAGCCTTTGACAACATTACCGAGATGCAACACCTCGGCTACGATCTCGACTCAGTCGAGGGCTTCGGACTGGATTCATCGCTGTGGGCTTTTCCTTACGGCTGACAACTCGCACGCTCTCATCAGAACAACTCCTTTTGGTGAGAGTCTCGGGTTCCTAGAATAAGTCCAGAATATCATGGGCAAAGCACCGCTGCATTAGACTCGGTGCTTGCATCTGCACATGTACAGACGACAAAGTTCATGTATCCCGGCAACGAATGCTTTAATACGCCGGCTTGCGCCACTAGCGACTACCTAACAGCAGTACTTCTTCCAACCCTATCATTCACTACTACTACCTCACTTCATTTCCCATCCACAACCTCCATCGACTCCAACCCCTCTCACGCATGCTCCATCTCAGCTATCTACAAACACGCCGCATGCCTCCTCGGCGGCGGATACGGAGCCGGCTGCCTTCCTCCCTTCTCCGGCGCCGGCTCAGGTCCATGTTCGACCTCACATCCATGCGCTTCCAGGAACTTCAGCAGATCGGCCCGTACGCTATGGCGTTGGGGCGAGGGCGGAGGCGGCGACGGCGGGGGAGGAGTTGGTGGCTGGGGATATAGTGGTTGCAGAGCCTGCACGCCTTTTAGGAGTGCGTATCGCTTGGGTGAGGGAGGAGGCGGGGGAGGTGGCGAAGGCGGATTGCCTCCTGTGCCGTATCCCGTGCGCGAAGGCGATGGCGGCGGAACAGGCGGAGGAGACGGCGGATCCGGCCCTGCAGCTCCGTGCCTCCGCGCCGGAGGAGGCGTTGGCGGCGGCGATGGTGGAGGTATAGGAGGGGGCAACGCGTGTGGCTGTGGCTTGCGGGAAGGCGATGGCGGCGGCACTGGCGGAGGAGATGGCGGATCAGGCCCTGAACGTGCGCAGGGCTTATCTTCATCGCGTGCTTTAGGTGGTGTCAAGGGCAGCGGAGGAGAGTAGCGGGGCGGCTTGCAGGAGTCGAACGCCGGTGCTGAGGTAGGACGGAGCGTGGTTGCAGTTGCCATATTGTGGTTGTTGCTGAGTGAGTAGGTCGAAGGTACGATTGATACTGCTATTCGAAGAGGTGCTCGTAGATCGTGTAATGTAATATAATAGTGTATCTCGCTAGGAGATATAAATTTTTTTTTAACAAAGGCGTATTGTTGTTAGATTATAGGAGGAAAGTTACTTGGCTTGTTCTGGAGAAAGGATATAGAAATAGAGAGCTGCAAAATGGAGTGGTATATATACCCTCATACTGCTTGAATTGCGAGGATTCCGCGGAACATATTGCAGTGCTATGCTGTTCCCTGACGACGCGTCGAGGAAGGAAGAAAGAAAGCTACCTGGCAGAACAACGCGGATAGATCGAATCTACCGCGGCGCGTCGATGCGTATAGGGAAGCAACGTAGTGAGCAGTACAAGCGTAGCGGTATGAGTAGAGAGCACCGTGGGTCTGTATGTGTTTGTTAATTGGTTGGTGGCCTTGAAGGCGAACCGAACGATCACAACGAAGGCAAGTGAAGAGCAGCGCAATCAGGAGTTTAGTTAGAGTGAGCACACTACACATTAGGTAGCTATATACGTAGAGCTAGCTATGTATGTCAAGAGTAACGGACATGAAGTCGGATGCTCGTGGATAAGGTATAGCCAGCCGTGGACAACTTCGGTAAGTGAAAGGGGTATATCCTCAAGACAAAGTAGTGAAGTGAAGGGGGGGTATATAGATATCTCCAAACAGGACGCGACGTGGGCCGCCACAGCGCCAGCAGAAATCCTTGCTCAACAAGATGGACGTGTCATGACGATGACGATAACGAAGAAAAGCAATTAAACGTATGTAAAAGAATGGAATGATATCCGGGGTATAATGTAGAATGCCAGAAAATGAAGGTTGTGCAAATGCGAACAAAAATGGCAACGCTGAAAGACGTGGCGACATAAGAGAAAGACGATTGAAAACAAAAAAAGACGCAGGAAAGATGTAACCTGAAATTCCCTCAGCTCATCATCATAAGCCTCGTCCTCCTCTTCTGCAAATTCCTCGCCTTGTTCCCCCCGACACCTAGCAAGTTACTATTTTGATTCGCCGCATGATACGCATGCCGCTCGCAGAAGTTGCGTCCCCCAACCTCATAATAATCGTCTCTTAGCACAATACGGCATGTCGAGCACGTAAAGCACCTCGGGTGGAACTTCTGGCGCGAATCCGTCTCGAGATACTGCCCCTCGATGCCGCGGTTACACGATCCGCAAAGCGAACCGTTGAGCTCGTGATAGTGCTGCTCACAATAAGGAAAGTTGTTAAAGACGTAGAATTCGGCGGTCGGAAAGGGATCGCGGCAGGTGCGGCAGACGAAGCATTGCTTGTGGTAACGTCCTGTGAGGCGGCCCGAGGAATCTTTCACTGATTTGCCGATGATGGGGTCAGAGCATCCGCGGCATTTGCCCTTGTTTCCGGTTGTAGGGCGGCGACTTATCGGCCGTCGTGCTTCAGCGTCAGGCATTGGTGGCGGGCTGAGACCTAGATTCAACGCTGGATCGCGGATCACTTTGGGCTCAGCATCTCGCTTTTGGTACGATAATCCCCTCTGAATCGCAGGATCTAGGGGGGATTCTGGGGCGTCGAAGAAGGGTGCCTTGGGCGGTTGCAACAGAGGTGCTGGGGCCTGTCCACGATTGAAGCTTGTATTCTCTTTACGGCTGTCTGGTCGTAGCGGGGGTGGCCTAGCCTCCATGAAGGATTCCGGGCTGGTAGTTCTTTGTATCGGTTCATCGGGTGTGTAGTCTGACCGGCCGACTCTGGATGCTTGACGTGAGTGCCCTGCTTCTGACTGTGGCGGGCTTGACCGTGAGCTCGCGGCGCTTCTAAACCCGGAGCTAGCATAGGAATCCTCCGATAGGCCGGAATCCGAAGGCGTGTGCACAGGGTCTGCTGGAAAATCCTTTGCGTAGCTAGGCAGCGGCGGTAGTGGTGGCAGGTCATCTCTGCGAATAGTAGTCTTTGACCCTCCGCGACTGGTGCTACGTGAAGGAAACATGTTGTTGGAACGGGGGACAAACCCAGAAGAGTCGGTATCCGTGGGCCGTCTTATAGGACCATTCGTGTCTGACGGCTTTGGCGTCGGGTCCGCGGCATCTCTGCTCTCTTGCCGCATTGGGAACGTCCTCGATCGGCTATCCTGACCGATCTTTGAGGGTTCCATAGTCTCTTTTTGCAAACGCGCTAAGAAGGCATCGATACCCTCGGATTTTGCTGGCGGCGCTGGCGGTCGTGGAGGGGGCGCCATTGCGCCAACTGCTCCCATTCCAGGTTTCGGTCGCGCCGGTAAGCCCACGCTGCCGTTTGAGAAGACTGAGCTCCGTGACGCCGTGGATGCGAGTGAAGTCCTTGCATTTGGCGCCATGCCATTGCTTCTTGTGCTCCCTTGCGTATTGGTCCGCCTGTGGCCAATCGGCTGGCTGCCCGGCGCCGGTGATCCTCGACCGCTAGATGTACTTGGTCTGCGACTGCTCGCTCTTCCATCGAATGGTCCTGGAGCAATGGTATTCATTCGCTTGACGACGTTTTCTCCTCCATCTACACGGGGACTCAAGGGCGCATAAAGTGGGCTCGGCTGCGCATACCGCTGTTCATACCTTGGCCCCGCCCTGTCCCTCGGTTTGGGCCTCGCGCTCGTTGGTGTTCCGCTTCGGCTGGTGGGGAAGGGAGGGAAAGCGCAGTCCATATTCGGCGGAAGGTCAGGAGAAGGAGGCGCGAGAGGACGTGGCATAGGGCTTGTCGCACTCCGGTTCATTTTGAAAGGAGGGTTTGCATTGCCGGGTGAGAGAGGAGAACGACTCTTCGGATCGCTATAGTTGCTCATTGGCGACAGGTCGAGCGGGCGAAACGGTTTATCTCCAGCATTTAGTATAGCAGAGAAACACAGGTCGGGTCTTTACTTACTAGCAGCATAAGGATCTATCCTTGGTGGAGGAGGCATGCGACCGGACCGTGGTTGGCTTTCTAGCCTGTTGTTGAACGATGCGCCGCCGAAGGTCGCAGAGCGATCCAGCTTGGGCGAAGCTGGCTCCACCGCATCTAATAGAACAAATGTTTAGCCGACGATTATGTATCGCGGTGCTTTTCGAAGATGTACTTACTTGAAGAGCCGATAGCACAGACATGATCGGCCAAATGTGAGATCTCGATATCCGCACTACAGCTGGAGCACTTGATGGTGGGCAGGAAGCTCAGCCTGTCCGTAGCGGCCATGGCTGCGCTCTGCCAGCAGTACGTCTATCAGTCGATGTTTGTCGTGTCCTCTGTAGATGGGGAAAATGGGTAGGTATTCACGTCCAGCGGGTAACGAGAAGGCGTTGTTTTGACGTCGGTCTCATGGAGTTGGAGTTTGCGTTGGAGGAGTGGGCTCCGGACAGCTGAGGCGCTCGCTGAAGGACAATCCCTGAAGATGGAGAAGCCGGCGGATCTTCAAAGTCACTGCAGGTTGCTAGATTGGGATAGGCGACGCGGAAATGATGCTGGAAACGGGGCCTGATCTGAGGATGGCGGCGGAAAGTTGTTCGCGCGGTTTGAGAGGCCAGCAAGCACCAACCCGGTTTGAGCTCTGTGTTTAGCCCCGCACACGACACTGGCAATGTTGGATATTTTGCGAATGATAAAATGCAATATGATGGAAATTTGAGGTGAGCGGCCAAACACAGGTGGTATTCAGGAAATGGCGCACGAGGGCAATCAAAGAGAAAAGGGCAGGCGGCCAAAGACAAGCTGCAGTTCGAGGGCAGAGCTGCCCTGCACGTAACCCGCGTCTGTCCCTGACGGTGGCGTCGCGGGCTAGCTAGGCGGCTGCTCGTGATTTGACGGAGGCTTGCTAGGCGTGCACGGAGGCGGCAGGCTTGCAGGTCGAGTGGTCCCTGCTGTTGCAGCCAGTCGCAGCACAAGAGCGGCCAAAAATTGATGAAACGAGACATCCACCGGACTGTCTCGATGGACGTCGCAAGCGCTGACCATGACGACAGCGCGCTGGAAGGCCGTGAAGCGTGCGACTGGACTGCGGCTCGCACGGCGGGACTGCAAGGCGGATGCGAGGAAAGACGAGTTGAGCCGGCCTTGCATGGCGAAGCACACAGCCGATGGGCATTCCTGTCCGTGCTCAGGAGAACGCCATTAGTGCTCGATATTATCGCCGGGGTGTCATTGGGCGGCCATTGCGGTGTGCGCATCGCCCTTTGCTGTGCGCGATCGTCGCCGTTGACAGGGTTCGCAAACACGACGCGCCCCTGGCGACACGGAAACGGTACATCGACAGTCTCCATCGCATCTGACAAGCTGCTCGCGTGCTGTTGCAGCGCCTGCGTACGAGCGCATTGAAAAGAGTCCAAGTCCGAAGTTTTCAGCGGGTTTCAGTGGGCGCCACACTGCTTTTAGCGTCGTTGTTTCGGATGTCTTGCGGCGTGCTGAAACGCGCAACGAACCTCCGTCGAACACAAGCAGAGGCCGACTGCGCAGTCGCCATCCCAATCTTAGGATCCCGGCGCGTCTGTGGATTCGTGCAGGCCCGGAGCCGTCCATCTGTCAACTGGGCCGGTAGCAGGGACCGGCTACCGTGGACACCATGTACCCTTGAGGCTGCCAATATCGACATCGACGTCCAAGAGTTCCCCTTTTCCCACCGCCTTCTGCAATATGCTGTTCAATATCCACCTCGATTTCTATGAGTTTCAGTTAGACATGTTGGATGCAGGCAGCAGGGCGGTTCTCGTCGGATGGCCCAGAGCCGCCGAGAGCCACCGCTCTGAGCGGCCGGCTTCGTTCTGGAGTCTTCCGAGGTTCGCCGGTTGGCGCGCGTCTCTCTGGAGCCACAAACATATATGAAGCTGGCAGAGTGTCATCCCAAGCCGTCATTGCGTACCCCGCCGATGGCAACCGCGGGACGTCTCCTCGAAACATTGACACCGGGTTTCCGGACAGTCGATGGAGCCGTCAAGTCGTTTCCCTGTGTGCAGAGCAAACAGAACATGCTAGAATGCAGTTGCTCATGGCGTGAGGTGGTGTCAGTTGGATTGTAAATGCCAAGCCGTGGATATCTCAAGCGTTCGCGGAGACGTGGTGGCGGGGTACTCAGGACGACTTCGGAGGACGACAACTCAACGCGGCGCCCCGCCATCACAAACGTATCTGCACGACGCTGCTGCCGAGGGGCCCTTCATCCGTCTCTTTGCATTTGATTGTCCTCGTGACCCGCATTTGCATGCGGTTTGTTGAAGGTTGAGCCGTGGAAGATGCTGCCTGAGTGGCCTCGGATCGCGATAGTCGCCCGCGGCATCCACTTAGGTAACCCGCGAGAATGCGTGCTCGCTGCCCAGGTGCGTCATTGGGCCGTACCAGCTTGCGGTGGATTCTGGCGGCATACTCTAAGCCGAATATAGGCTCGCACTGCAAAGAGGCGGTGGGCTACTACACGTCTCCCGGCTTGAGCGGAAGCTGCGTTGAGGGCTTTGTGTGCCCTCTTATCGATAGCGATACGAGGGTCGAGACTTCCGTATATTTTGTGGCTTCCCTTTCCCTCTCACCCTTCCTCTCTCACCCCAGCAATCACCGCTTCCTGCCTATATCTACAAGCTACGCTCGCAGTCTTCTCCTCACCACCAACCTTCGTCCAGAACTCCTCCCGGGCCATTGCCCAGTAGCCACCGTGTTTTCCAATCTCCTCAACTCGTGCGTTCACCGAATATCACGGCCTCCTCTGATCCGCGGTATCTCCGCCCCGTTGACAAGTTAACTGACACTTCTGCAGCGTACACCACCCATTCGCAGGCCGACGCACCTCTCCTTCCGGAGCAGCGTCGGATTTAGACTACCGCAGATAAATTCGTGTAGTCTCAACCAATCAGAACTCTGCGCCCGACAAGCATGGCACCTCACGCCGAGGACAGTGTCGGCTTCGCGAATGGGGGTGGTGTAGCCGCGGCTCCGGCCAAGGACGTCTTCGTCGTCGACTCTCCCAATGTTGAGTACACGGACGACCTCATCAAGACCAAGTACACGTACCGCACCACGGCTATTTCCAAGAACGCCGACGGCAAGTATGTGGCCTCTCCAAAGGAGACCTTGTACGACTTCAAGGTCGACCGCAAGGTTCCCAAGACCGGCGTCATGCTCGTCGGCTGGGGCGGCAACAACGGAACCACCGTCACTGCCGGTATCATCGCTAACCGCCGTGGCCTCGTCTGGGAGACTAAGGAGGGCAAGCGCGGTGCCAACTACTATGGCTCAGTCATCATGGGTTCTACGACCAAGCTTGGTGTCGATAGCAAGACCGGCCAAGAGATCAACATCCCGTTCCACGACCTTCTTCCCATGGTTCATCCCAACGACCTCGTCGTCGGTGGTTGGGACATCAGCGGCATGAACCTTGCTGAGGCTATGGACCGCGCCAAGGTCCTCGAACCGTCCCTGAAGTCTCTAGTCCGCAAGGAGATGGCCTCCATGAAGCCTCTCCCTTCGATCTACTACCCAGACTTCATTGCCGCCAACCAGGAGGACCGCGCTGACAACATCCTTCCCGGAAGCAAGGCTTGCATGGCCCATGTCGAGCAGATCCGCAAGGATATCCGGTAAGCTCAAATCAAGCTAACATCTGATTTGGATGCTAACATGGTGTCAAGCGAGTTCAAGGCTGCCAATGGCCTGGACAAGGTCATCGTGCAATGGACTGCCAACACGGAGCGCTATGCTGACGTTCTCGAAGGTGTCAACGACACAGCCGACAATCTTCTCAAGGCTATCGAGGCTGGTCATGAGGAGGTCTCCCCTTCGACAGTCTTCGCTGTGGCCTGTATCCAGGAGGGTGTTCCGTTCATCAACGGTTCGCCTCAGAACACCTTCGTCCCAGGTGCCATCCAGCTTGCCGAGAAGCATGGAGCATTCATCGGCGGTGACGACTTCAAGTCTGGGCAGACTAAGATGAAGTCTGCTCTCGTCGATTTCCTGATCAGCGCCGGTATCAAGCTCACCTCCATTGCCAGCTACAACCACCTTGGCAACAATGACGGCAAGAACCTCAGCTCCCAGAAGCAGTTCCGCTCCAAGGAGATCTCCAAGTCCAACGTTGTCGATGACATGGTCGCCGCCAACACCGTCTTGTACAAGGAGGGCGAACATCCGGACCATACCGTCGTCATCAAGTACATGCCCGCTGTCGGAGACGACAAGCGTGCTCTCGATGAGTACTACGCTGAGATCTTCCTTGGTGGTCACCAGACGATCAGCATCTTCAACGTCTGCGAGGACTCCCTTCTGGCTTCCCCGTTGATCATTGACCTGGTCCTTGTTGCTGAGATGATGACTCGCATCCAGTGGAAGGCTCACAGCGCTGACGGTGTCGATGCTAAGTATGCTGGCTTCCACAGTGTCCTTAGCATTCTCAGCTACATGCTCAAGGTATGTATCACTGCTGTTGTCATCATCATCAGGTCATGATTAGTAACATGTTGTAGGCTCCCCTCACCCCTCCAGGTACCCCGGTCATCAATGCTCTCGCCAAGCAGCGCGCTGCTCTGACGAACATCTTCCGTGCCTGTGTCGGTCTCGAGCCGGAGAGCGACATGACTCTTGAACACAAGCTGTTCTAAGCACTTGGCTTCTAGCTACTCTTACGGCCGTCGCTCAGAACGAGCCAAATTAACAGGATTGGGGATCGAATGCGCAAGCCGACGGATGGAAGGACAATGGGCATATAATACCCTTGGTTGGCCTCATCTACTCTCTCATTAAGGCAGCATATTCCAGAATACAAACCCTCTGCTATCATTTTCCTCCGTGTCATTCCTTGCGATCTACCCTTATTTGTCGTCCCGAGTTGTTCTCACGATATATCAGTAGCTCTCGTAAAGTCGCCCGTCGTGTAGCAGCTCCGTTATTGCATTTTCCATCGCAGGAGTCTGCAAGCTTTCATCGCCCGACGGGTTCTCAGCAGCTCCCCGCAGTCGGAGTCTTAAGGGAGCAATTGCGCGACAGCTTTCATACGCAGCCATGATTATGATAACTTCAAACAGATTGTAAAGCGGAGATTATTGAACTTAGAGACTTTGTCCCAGAGAAAATTCAAGCAAGTACTGAGCGGATGTCCAATTGAACTCACCTGGGCATGAGGTGGGGACGTCCCTTCCTCGACCTGCAGTGCTGGCGCCCAAGGCCGCGCCTTCCTCGTCTGCCCTCACACTTCAACCGCACTCACCCATCCCTCCTTCTTTCATCACATCGCATCCACCATGCCGTCTTCATCAATACAATCCTTCTTCTCATCCTCGCCATCCAAGCCCGCACTTAGCGATGGCTTCACGCCCGAGGAGATGGCGCTCCCTACGCCCTCAACCACCACCTGGACACCGACGCTGGACTACGAAGAGTGCGACATCGGCGCCATCGAACCCGGTCCTAGAAACCTCACAATTATGGGACGCATCGTCAACTTCTACGAGCTCTCCAAGCCGAGCAAGAGCCCCAGAGCCGCGCAAGGCTACATCAAGGTCATGCTGGCTGACGACACAGGCGCGATGACAGTGCGACTCTGGTACGCAAAGACAGAGTACAAGCTACGTCTGGGGCAGCTTGTTACGCTGTGGACGGTGCATGTGAGCCATGGATCTGAGCATAATTCGCTTGCTCCTTCCGCGGCGCCATTGTTTACCACAATCTTCCCCGAGGGAGAGAGGAATTGCTACTTCATGGTGCACGAGAGAAGCGACGATGGGACCATGTTCAAGAAGCCGTTTAGATGTAGGGACTCCCAAGCGCTGCCGGGCCTAATGACGCTGAGGAATTTCACGGATGGTGGGTATGATGTGGATGAGTGCAAGCTGCTTGTTTGCGTGAAGAGTATTGGGCCGAGGAAGACGTGTGAGCCTCATCGGCCCTTTCTCTTCCACAATATGCTTTACTGATCGTTTTGGGTAGTCGTGAACAAGAACGCCGCTACTTCCGAGCTCATCACCGTCGGCGTACTCGACGACACTGCCCAAGGAACACTGACGCTCTACGGCTCCGCTTCCAACTCGGCATCCGCCTGGCAGCCCTCACACACGGTCCTCCTCATCGCAAACCCAGGATGGCGCATCGACCGCACCGCCAAACTCTCCCTCAACGCAAACACACAGCTCCACATCGACCCAGACATGGCAGACGCACGCTACGTCCGCGCTCTCGCGCAGCGCCTCACGAAGAGAGAGCACGTCAACCCACCCTTTCCATCCGCCATGTTCGACACCGAAGCCGCGGAGACAGCTGCCGTCCGCGTATTGTACACCTTAGCCGACATCGACGCGTTCGTGCGGAACAATCGCAGAGAGCAAGTCATGGGCTACATCAGCGTGCTGATCACCGAACTCCACATCCTGACAAACTACAAGCGCAGCATGCTGATGGGCAACGAGTGCTGCGGCCTGCCCGTATACGCCAACGCCGTCACGGCGAAGTGCAGGCAGTGCGAGAAGCAGGTCCCTCTGCGCATCAATCCGAAGATAGTGAGGCCCCCGTCTCGTCTCCCCACTCACTCTTCCTATATCTCGAACTTCTAGCTCACGTCAAGTAGCTCGGCAATGTAATCGACGAGACGGGCCAAATTAGCTCGGGCAAATTGATCCTCTCGGATGCGGCGTGGGAACAGCTCCTGGGGCGGACAGCAGAGCATCTGGTCAGCGCTGAAGTCGACACCATGCGCTATCTGGAGCAGAGACTACTCTTCCTGAGAGTGACGCTGGGCTTCGGGCTTTGCCTGGGGGACGACGAAATCGGCAGGCTGGCCGTCTGGTGCGTGAAAGCTTAAATGATTCAAGAAATTCTGGTCAGGAGGTTAGCGCGAATGCGGCCAAGGGGGCTGGAGTCGAGCGCGGAGAGACTTCGATCGAGATATGCCGAGAGCAAATTCAAAGTAGGGTCCAAATCGTACAGGAAGATAACATGAGCTCTCAAATTCAGAATGGTATACCCGCTCCCCCCACCGTCAAGATCCGATATAGACGCCCAAAATGCATTTCCCTGCTGCATCGAAAAGCACCAAAAAACCGCCCAAAGGCCGCACCCCGAAACCCCACAAAAACCAGATTTGAAAACTCCACATATATCATTCTCATACAGTGCAGAAATGCAGCCACCCAAGCCGGCCTGCCTCGTGTCACCAAAAAAGGCCATCGTGATACAAGATCCTTCTCCTGGGCTCTGATCGAACGCATTATTATGACTCATTAAGCACGCCTGCTAGTCCCCTCAACACATCACCCACGCCGATGCCCTCACTGCCCACCTTCTCCTTCCCTTCCTTGTCCCTCTCCTCCAGCCTCCCGGCCGCCGTGCCAAGCACACGGTCCGCGACCCGCTCTGCCGTGTTGCGGTACTGCTCGATCTTGTGCACACCGTCTGCGAACAGATCGATGTTCGGTTCTAACGAGTCGGCGAGCTTGGTGAGGTGCGATTGGAGGGCGGAGGGTGTGGTGAAGGTAAATGCTGCGGAGGGCGGTGCGGGTTGTGGTGGTAATTGGAGGGAAGCGAGCATGGAGGCTTGCGAGGCGTCGAGAAGGGAAGCGTCGATTTCGGAGAGGGAGAGGGCTGGTGTTTGTATTGAGGGTGGCGGAGGTGGTGGCATGGAGTTTGACGAGGAGGCTAGGGCTTCCCAGGCGGCCTTTTCTTCTTCGAGGCTAGATATCGTTAGGTGAAACCGATAATTGCGTCTTAATGCTTGAGAGACGTACCGTTTGACCTCTTCTTCCAGCTCTTGGAGCGTAGCCTTATTCTTTTCGTTCTGCGGATTCGGCTTTTTGACTACCGGTGGAGGGGCAGTTTCTTCCCTGCTAAACCAGTCTGAGAGCTCTGGTTTGCTTGCAAAGTCATCTATGAGCTCTTGCTGTATCGCGCGTGCTATTGTTTGTTAACGATTTGACCTCCTGCCTCTTGTTTTCGACCATAACTCACCTGCCATGATCGCATTCGCATTCTTGACGTTACCCGATGGCTTCTCTGGAAGTGCTCGCGATCCACACCAAGTGAGCAGCTGCTTCATCCGCCGCGGCTCGGGTAGACTCTGCTCGATGTACTTGTAGAAATCGCGAATTTCAACCTCCGAATGTGGAAGGGCTACAGATCCGTTAGCATCTAACACTCTAAAACACAATTCCGGCCCCCCTGAACCCGCTCGAGGCTCATGGAGCGAGGAGCTGGGCTAGACCGTGTTGAACTCACCATTTGACATCCCGCTGTCAATCAACGAACTCGCCCTCCTACCCCGCAAGCCCGTGCTGCTCCTCCTATGCCCATCCTTACTAGCTTTGCGCATCTCCTTATTCCTAGTTATGACCGGTGTATCCGCGAAAGGCAGCATAATCTTAGTCGCTCCATCGCGCTTCTTACGCACGTGGAGTTCGTTCCGCGTTGGAGTCTTCACACCCACAAACACGCTCTTTCCCTCTGGATGAGGTTCCAGAGCCGGTGTCTTCTGCCTTTTCTGCTCCTTCGCTGCCGGCGCATTCTTCTTCGTGCGCTTCTGCGCCGGTATTACGGGTTCTGGAGCCGGGTGCCCTTCCTCTAACTGTTCCTTGTCGCCCGACAGGCGCGCCGATCGCCGCCGCTTTTGCAGTTCAGACTGCTCTGGTTCCGACGCGGGGACTGCGCTCTTCTTTTTACGCGCTGGCGCGGGTTTTGGCGGCTCCTCGGGTATGGGCTCGGGCTGTGCTTGCGCTTTCGTGGTCCTTCGCAACGAGCGGCGCGTGAACTGGAAGCCGTCGTCATTCTCATCGTATGCTGCGACATTGTCAGCTCCTCTTGCCCAGCAATTGCAGCTCGAAAACGCGGTTTGCACGTCATCGCATCCCATATCCCGTCGGACCCCCGCCCCACTGCAAGCGCAGAAACTGTGCCAACTCACCTATCTTCGCCGCCTTCTTTGTCGCGCCGTTTGTCCTCTTACTCGCGCCGTTCATCTCTGTCTTCGGCCTCTTCGCAGCCGGCGCATCGTCGTCGTCCTCGAAAGCGTGCTTTACGCTCCTCCGTCGCGTCGTCGGTCGATTTGCGGCCATAGGAAGCGATTGAAGAGGAGACCTCGCGAATACAGCGGTCATGGGTCCGGTTGCTATGCGGTTGCTGGCGTGGGCGGCGGGTGAAGCGCGTGCGTCGGCAGCGCGACGGTGACGCACGTGGAGTTGGGTCGAGCGGAGCGCGAATATTATACTCGAGTTGTCGTAGGGTTTGGGTCGTAATGATTGGCGATAATGCGAATATCCTTGGGCGTGGTGAAGGCGGTGTTCGCTGTGGCACACGGGAAGGTGGAGTAGCATCGTTAGTGCCAGTTACGGGATCAAAACATTGACGCTCGGGCCATGTCGGCCAGGGCACATGACCTTAACGGCCAACGCAGACCTCGGACCTGAACGGTGTCAAGCCACTGAGAAGTGAGAACCTTAGATGAGACAAAAATTGGGATACGTCTGCTTGAGGGTATCAGAGTCCTTTCACTTGTCAAGTTTCCAAAGACAGTCGTGGAAGTGGTCGGACTCCGCAGGGTACCAAGTCAAAGTGCACTGTTGAAAGAACTAACCTTGGAAGTAGGCATTGATGTGCTCATGTATGAATACAGCTATTTGAATCCAACAGCCGATCAACGCCTTGGAAAGCGCAGCAGCCCTAGCCGCAATCCCTCCCATATGCTGTCATCACTCGTTATATACCCAACGAGACCTATACCTTAACCTAAACCAACCGCCATGCTTTTTATATCACCTAGCACTTCTATCTCAACTACATGCCAGCCCCAGCCATAGGTCCCAAAGTACCGGCTGGAGCCAGACTGCCTTCGATGCGGCGCTTGGCATCCTGCTTTTCCTCCTGTGTCGGGTTTAGTTTCTGCATGTCTGGCATATATGATGCCCTGCTCGGGCTGTGCCCAATGGACATGCCGACGCGGACCTAGGAACCGTTAGATATGTGGTCTTCGGAGATCTGTGTTGGATGACTTACTAGAGTTTCCAACGCGGACCTGGAGTTGTCAACCAGATCATCATCGTACTTCATCTGCCCAGGCTCAAAGAGCAGCAAGATGGTGCTGCCACCAAACTTGAAGTAGCCCAGCTCTTCCGCCCGCCTAACCTTTTCGCCCGTCTTGCGCGTGATGACGGTGCTGCCCACCATCATGGCGCCGACACAGATCACCATGACCCGGCCGTGGCACTCAGAGTCGATGGGGACGATAACGCGGACATTCTCACCATAGACGTCCAGCGCTGACCGGATCGCCATGGGGTTGACGGTATAGTACTCGCCTTCGATCATCTTTGGCTCGCCCATGACACCATCCACTGGGATATGGAAACGATGGTAATCCTGTGGCGCCAGGCGGAAGACTCCGAGGGAGCCCCCAACATACCGCTTAGCGTCTTCGGGATAAGCGTCGCCTAAGAGTCGCTGAAGCGTGAACTCGCGTCCTTTGACCCAAACTGACTGTGCTGCATCGAGGGTGTTAAACACCACCGTACGACAGTCAGCAGGGGAAACGATGACCCTCGGGTCGTCAGGCGCGGAGCATGGGCGAGCACCCGGCTTTAAGGCTCGATAGAAGAACTCGTTAAAATTCTTGAATTCCGACCTCGAAAGAAGAACTTCTGACATATCGAGCTGGTGGAAAGCAATGAAGCCCTCGATTTCGGCAGCTGAAGCAGGGTCATCGTATTTCTTTCCCTGCTTGAAGCTGAGAGAACGAAGCAATTTCCGAACTAGAAAGGATTAGCATGCGGATGGGAAGAATGGCAGTCAAAGCACGTACTTCGCTTCTTTTCCATGTTGCTGGCCTTCAGGCCCTTGTACAGCAAGCGGATACCCAGTCGGACGTAAACACTCATGCGCTCTTCGTTGATCTGACCCGTGATACGATCCTGGACAAGGATATTGGCCGAGTTGGCGCCCAGCTTGTACCCGCCGTACGAGATCTTCGTAATGACCTTTGAATACCATTTCCGCTGAGCCTGGCTGGATGTGACGAATCCAGCCATAACAATGTTATTGACCTGCCTCCAGTCCTGACTGGCGCAGGTAGCCACGTGGGTGATAATATCGGCATCTGACTTCTTGTTCAGACGCGGCTGGTGGCAGATGGGACATTCCCGTATTTCAATCACGTGCTCTTCTCCTTTGTCGTCTGCCAGGTCATCCGGGTGGATAAACTCGGCTTCTTCGCCCTCCTTGTCCTTGTATTCCTGCTCCAGAAGCGGAATTGACGTTTGGGAAGGGTGAAGGTTGAGTGGCGTTTGCGAGCCGGATGTCTGCGACGGCGTCGTGGTACCCGGTGTGACATACTCGCTGTCGGTCAATCGGCTCCATACGCCCTTCTTCGTCTCTTGGTCTTCAGTGCGCTGCAGTTGATCCTCCAAGCACATTACAGTCTCATCGTACGTGAGAAAGTCCTCCCCATTGTGCTCCGAAGCATATCGCCTGAAGAAGCTGTCAATCGTTGACTCGTGGAGAGTAGAGCCGAGAGTGTCCAACATGGTAGTAAGCTCGACCTTGTCAATCAGACCGCTGTCATCTGCGTCGTACTGCTTAAGCATCGCTCGCCAGAACTGCTGTCGAAGCGCCTTGTATGGCAGGTACTTCGCGCGGATGTGCAGGGTAGGATTGTGCTTTGCCTCCCAGCGGTCCTTGTTCTTCAGCTCCAGCGGCAAGGTATACATCTTGAGATCTTGGTCGTCCACTGCAGTAGGATCGACATTGACCATTGGCAAAGGCGTGAGATTCCCATTAGCATCAACTCCAGGAGTCTGGGGGACACTAGTAGGAATCGGGGGTAGCAAGCCGTTTCCGTTTCCAGAGAGGGAGCTCGCGGAGTTCTCTTTCTTCAGCCCGGGCCTACTGAGGCGAGAGAGACTGCTCGCTGAGGAAGATCGAGACATTGGAAGACGGAAGCGGGATCTCCTAGCTTCCGGGATACCCGGAGAGTCCTGAGGCTCCGGGAGTTTGTAAAGACCTGTGTTCGGGTCGGCCTCGGGAGCGACCGCGACAGCCTTTTCAACCGGAAACATGACTGTGCCCACATAATCGTTTCCAGAGAACTTGTCCTTGTCTACGACTGTGAAAGTGACTGAGTAGTTTGTCTCGCGGCGGAGGACCTGGAAAACGAGCTTCTCTTCGAATACGGGATTGAGGTTGTGGCTGACGACCTTGGTGCGGTACGTCTTCTTTCCGAGCGAGGTGACGACGAAGGGGTCCATATCGAACGACGTTCGTGTGACTGCACTCAAATTAGCAGGCGGAAAGGAGCGAGTCGCCCTTAAACCCACCATTGCGCTCTGGCGGCAGGTCTGTAATCTTGGTAATCTCCAAGAACAGCACGCCAGCGACCTCAGTCTTGTCAGAGAACTCGTAGGCGCGCATCTTGTTCGCCTTCCTCCTCAGCCTCGCTAGCCTGAGCTTCTTTCGCCGCTTCTCTCTCTTCTCGGCCTTCTTGGACTCGTCCTGTGCTTCGTCAGAGCTCTCCTCCTCCTCCTCTTCCTCCTGCTCCTCGTTGTCGGCGCTCTCCCCCCGAAGCAAAGCTTCTTCTTCCTCTTCATCCGGGCTAGGGGTTTGCGTCGTGTAGCTCATGAATTTCTGGATAATCTCCTCAGGGGTCGCAGAAGGGTTGCTGGTGTCGGCAAGGGAGAACTGGATCTGGATCTCTCCTGAGACCATGGACTTCTTCCTCCCGGAGCGCCGGGACTGCAATGTAAACCACTTCGGCTCCTGCACAGGCTGCGCATTCTGGAAGACGTCCTCGAGGATGACGTCAAACTCGCCCATATAGTCCTTGCCAAAGCGGTCCTTGTCCCAGCAGCAGGCCTCGAGGAGCAGGCTCTGTATGCCGGTGATGGGGAACTCGAGCGTGGTGTTCCATTCCGGGTTCAGCGTCTTGTTGATCGTGGGCGTGGCTTCCTTCGCGTCTCCGAGGGTCAGGACGAGGTACTGCAGCGCATGCGGTCAGTCTCGAGCTCTCTGCGTGGATGAGGTAGAACAATTGAGAAAGCCAGTGCAGACTTACAGGATCAGAAGTGCCACTCCTGTCCTTTGCAGCCAGATTTCTGCCCTACAGCAGCTGTCAGCTCTCAAGCGTGCCCGCGGCGGGGTACGCGCCCGCACCTTGATCACATTTGCCCTGAGCACCAGCCCGGGCTTTCCGTTCTCACTCATTGTGCGCTTCGGGCTCGAGCCACGGCTGATCGGAACGCTTGTCGGTGCAGAGGGGGAGCTGTTGCCGCTATTGTGGTTGTTCTTGAGACGGTGCGGGAGGGAGAGTTTGGAGCTCAGGGTTGGGCGCCCCATGCTGGTCGACGTATGCGCTGCGGCTGTGAGAACACGGAACTTGCTGGCTGGGCTGCGGTAGCCAAGATTCTTCGCGCCAGGAACCAAGGCACCTGGCGATCGGAGGGCAGCGGCTTCAATTCATGCAATGGCGAGCTGTCGCGTGTTCAAGCAAGCATGCAGAGGAAGTGGAGGAGCTGGCGAGGCCGGGAGACGGGCACAGAGGTGGTGAATGCGGCTTGGGGCCAGGGCGCAACCTAGCTGGGGCCGGTATATGGGCCCGCGCTGCACGACAGCTGAGGGTATGCAGGCGATCCACAATTCAGAGGCACGAGGTACCGGTAGAGCGTCGCTACGGATGAGCAGGAGCGTCGCGGTCGCGGCGGAGCTGCCGGAAAGACGTGACGTTTTATGGGGGGTGGCTCCCGCGCTTTGGGGACTTCACAATGCCCCCCCAGCCGACACGGTATGAAAACAGCCACATTTCACAGCCAAAGCTCATTTCAAGCGTTAATTTTAGCAAGCTGAGCATGCCCTTCCACAGTGAGCCTTGCGGCGCCGCAGTCTCATTCCGCTGAAACGAGGCAGCGATTCGAGCCGCCAATGCCCCGAAGCCACAGCATACGATTTTTCGTCATCATCGGCCTAATTCGAGTAATTCTGCAGCTGTCTCGCTACTCTAACATGTTCCGTGGCCTCCTATAAGCTCATGATTCCCTCTCCTCCGTCCGCGGTTCGATCGCTGCGGTATAATCAACTCGGCCCAGAAATGCCGCATTTGGAGTGTGAGTATCCATTGTCCTGCTGAAGCGAGCAAGGAGTCGCAGCCCAACATCCAACTCACAGGATCCATTGCGCTGCGCCGTCGAGCCTGGTTTGCGTGAGGTGGCCTCGATTGAACTTTCTACGATCGCATCGCCGTGGTTTCGCACAATCTTATCTCCAATGGCTTACTCTGTTCGCGATGGCGTTCTTGAGCACGTACGTACGCCCGCTCCGGACCAGTTCAGCCCTACGCAAACCCACCGGACTTACTACTAGACCCGATTCTCGATAGACTTGCCTAGACAGATTGAAGACACGGTACTCCGTACGTCATCGATCATACCACATCTCGATCACGTTCCTCAGACGCGCTGCCCTCCTCGAAACCACACGCCTCAGAAAGGGGCCACCTAGGCAGCTTACCCCTGTGGCTCCAATGCAACTTGCCCATTCGCCATGTGTTAAGCCATCAGGGAGGACACAGCCATGGTACCAAGAAGTACATCATTTACCGGTGGTATTCATACGAGCTCTACTAGTAGTCTATCTGTCTCTTTCTCCACACATGTAGGACCATTATTCGATCTCATCGATCGAAGTCTATTGGTACGACGCCAAAACTGCCATTCCATGAGAGTGGGCCCGCCAAAAGCAAGACCTGTAACCTCCAACCACAAACGCCCGCTTAGAATACAGTGCAGCGGTTCAACGTCATAAGTCGCGCGGAACGCCGGCTCGGGATGCGAGTGTGCCGCCAACAGCGCCAATGCTGAACTAGAAAGGAAAAAGAGCAAGATGCGAAGAAAGGGACGTAGGATAGACCGGCTACGCGGCTGGCGCAGCGACTGCGGCAGGCTCCGGTACTTCGAGCGGCGGACCATCCAGAGGAGTCTTCATATACGAGAATATCGACGGCCATTCGAACGTCTTCTCCTCCTTTGGCGACATCATAGCAAACGCCGGAATCGCGGTCTTGCTTGAAGCGCGTCTCCACATGTTCGCCCTCGGGTTGAAGTTCGCAGGCAAGCCCCTTCCCTTCGTCTTCTCCTCATCCTTCTTCGCGATCTTGATAACCTCGCGCTGGATATCCGCGAACGTGTCGAAGGGGATGTACGGCAGCCCGTTCTCGATGCAGTATTCTTCTAGACGCAGACCGCGGCGGGCGAAGAGCACGTCGGCTTCGCGCGCAGCAGGGAGATCGGACACGCCGTCGCCGATGAAGATGATCATGGGAATTGTGCCGTCGTCGCTTTGGAGTCGCGTGTCGTCTTTCCAGTCGTTGATGGATTTGGCTTTGTCGTGGCCGAGCTCGGTGTCGTGCAGCCAGACCGGTTTCCATTCGCTGCCGTCGGTCGAGATGGTGGCGTCGTTGGCGACGATGTCAATGTGCTTCGAGTCCTCCTCGCCCAGGAAGTGATCCAGGACTCTCCTCAGCACCGGCTTGAGTCCAGCGGAGATGACGTTGAAGGGGATGTTGTTGATGATGCAGAACTTGTGGAAGGTCTGGAAGTCGCGATCAATTTCGAGCGCCTCCTTCATCACCTCAAAGCCGTCGTCAAACGGCACGTCCAGCGAGCCCCACATTTCCTCTGAGACTTCGCGGAAGGAGCGCTCGCCGCTGTGGATCTGCTCGTCGAGGACCTTGCGGCGTTCGGAGCCGCAGCCGAAGCTGTTGAAGAGGATGTGACCCGTGTCTTGCATGAAGATGGTTCCGTCGAAGTCTGGATAGGGCGTTAGTGATCGCGGACCTTAAGGTAGAGCTAGCACCTGGGTGTGGCTCAGGATCGACAGGATGTGCTCGCGTACCTGAGAAGCAGATGATCTTCCGCTTTGTATCAATACTCGCGGTATCGATCGATTTGGTCTTGGGTGCCTTGAAGCAGTCGATGGATTTCACCTCGGTGGCTGGGGGGGTGATTGCGATGGGTGCCATAGTGGAAGTATAAGGTGGACCGTTTCGTGAGAAGAGATGGGAAGAGAGGAAGGCGATGCTGAGTCGATGAGGCTGTTGATAGACGCTGAAGAAGCTGGTTGAGTGCTGCCCTCCATCGTCGCGAAACCTCCGACTTTATATCCAATTCCACCATGAAGCCTCACGCCGCCAGTATGACCGCATCGCCAGCATCGTCACCCACAGTCTCCATAACGTCGTACCTTATCGCCCATAGCCGCACGATACCATGCCGTTGCAGTACGGCCGCGGATACTGCTGAAAGCCCATGTACCGCGACTCGAGTGCCTGTACTGCAGTCCTGATTAGTGCAGGGTGCAGTTTTAGCGCGGGGGGACGCATCTCGACGTCACTGACGAGAGACCCTCACGGTTTTCGATAGCTCCCGAGTGGGGCTCTGGAGTCCTTTTATTTACCGCCTACGACATCGCGCTTGGGAGCGGGTCGTGATAGCTTCATGCTCAGTGACGACGGTGAGCGCCTTGATGGTGATATCGTCTGACTCTTGCAGGAAGGAACGGTACGTTCTAGAGCCGCGGCACTGCGAAATGGATGTCCACAATGATTTTGAAGGAACTACGCATGCGAAGAATGGCAAGGGGAATAGAAGGAATAGAGAGCTTGAGGGGCATTATTGTGTAGTGCTTTTGCACCGCTTTTCATGCCCTTGCATATAGCTCACCAAATGAATGAACCAACCTACCTAACCATCCCGAAGTCTCCCAGAGCCTCAAGATTCCGCCTAGTCTCTTGCGGTAGGGAATTCTCCGGATCTAAGGGCTCGCCGTATAAGTAAGTAAGATTGGCTTGTCTATTGTACGCACCCGCGAGGGGCTCTAGGGTAGCTGTTGCGCACGTCGTTCTATCCGGAGAATTCCACACCGTGAGAGCTAGTATAAACCGTCAATTTGTGTGCGAACCCCAGACCGTTGATCGCTCGCTTATTCACCCATTGTCCGAGCACACTTAACCGCTTCAAGCCCCTCCCCAACCCCTCCGTCCACACCCTGTCCATCATCATCGCTCTCGCTCTTCAAGAAACCTCGCATAAGAAATAACCTCAGAAACGTGACGAACCGCAGCGGCTTGCATGCTCCCAAGGGCGGCTCGCCTTATTTCTACGCTCGGCGGGATTCCACGCTGATTGTTAGGGTGCTGTTCGTTCGTCGCCAGTAGGACGAACAAACTAAACCGAAAGCCGCACGCCTTGACTGAGCCTCCTCTATTGGGTCCTTCCTGTCCTATCGCGCCTCTCCCCTCTATCCGGAAGGTTGCACAAACCCACCGCAACCGCCCACTCATCCACTCAATCTCACATCCGAAAATAGACCTCACATACATACATGCGCGCTGCCCCCGAACGCCGAAGTGCTTACATCCACACCATTTCGCAATCCCCGCCCTGGACACCTAGCGGAGATATTACCCAAAAGCCGCTCCGATTTTCCGCTAGAAATGTGCGATACGCGATGAAAGGGGAGGAGAATAAAGGGAAATCCCTTGCCTCGGTGGGACCCTGAAAGTGCCGCGCCAACCGCCCGGCGAAAGGAACAGGACAAGTGCGAATTAGTTCCAATGGCTTGTCAGCCACACTTTGTATGGACTGGATACGGCATCAATAGCAATAGCATGAACGATAAACAAAAGCGCATAACGCAACCAAGACCTTTGCTCTGCCCAAAAGGGACATCCTTGCATTCACAGCTGCTTCCCCAGCCGTTCACGCACCTTCCCCATCAGCGCAGCAGCAGCAAGAAGCTGGGCAAGCCACACTCACTGATTGACACGTCACAGACAGCCAGGACAACGCAAATGCAAATCGTGCAACATACACTGAAACATCATTTCACTACCTACATATCTCTCAGCCTTGATTGTTACACACCCCATCTGCCACAGCACACCGCCGAAACATGTTGTGAGGAGAATGCACAACGCAGCAAGTAGGTAAAGGAAAGGTGTATCCGCGCCAAAAAAGGTAGAGAAGACAGTATTAGAAAACAGAGGCTCTTTCATTTCTCTCCACTCCATCGAATTCAGACAGGAACTCGCTTTGAGATAGGAGTCCCAATCCCTTGCAAAAGTACATATAAGGAGAAGAAGAAGAACGGAATAAGAATTCACAGGCAATAGTAGCGCCCGGAAATAAAAAAGCTTACTTTGTTCTGACGTGGAGAAATTCCCCCGGCCCACGCAGGGTATCAAAGAGAAACCATCTTTGGCGATGGGATGGATGAGGGCAGCCCGCTCAAACAGGAAGTCGAATGAGTTATGGGTGACGAAAGTGTGCGAGATGAAAGAAAAGCATTTTCACAACGCCGTGCAGCATGACATGGCGAATAATGCCGTCGTCAAAGACATACAACCCGTGACTCAACTCCCAGTGATAAAGGTCTTTTGTTTGTCCCAGCACGAAATACCCCATTGACTTATATCAGACCGCACAATCGGAGGTTCTCTTGAATGATAATGTCTAGACTCCGTTAGTGATGCCAAAACGAGCGCGCAATAGGACGCAAACGTACCGTTAACTGCAGCCATGACAAATCGGATCTGCATTGTGTCCGTAGCGCAGGTGAAGTGGGTGTAGATCTGCTTGGTCTCGTGCTGGTTGAGCGAGACGAATCGGTTCAGGATGTAGTCGCACGCCGCGGCGTAGTCTGGCCCGCCTGTTCTCGCGCGTTAGGTATTGTCTCAATTATGATGGGTCTCTAGCGTACCTTCGTAGTCCGGGAAGTAGTTCTTCATCGGGCTGACAGGCAGCTTCTCCTTGAACCTGTCGATCTTGTTCAAGAACAGAATGATCGATGTCTTTACGAACCACCGCGAGTTGCAGATAGAGTCGAATAGGGTAAGCGCCTCCTGCATACGGTTGACTGTCTCGTCTTCGAAGAGCAGCTGGTCGTACTCGGAGATGGCGACCAGGAAGAGGATGGTAGTGACATTCTCGAAGCAGTGTATCCACTTCTTTCTTTCCGAGCGCTGGCCTCCGACGTCGAACATGCGGTATGTGAGATCGCCAATGATGAAGGTAGTTTCGGTGATACCAGTCGTCTTTACACGCGAGCGCAGGACATCCTGGTCGTTGGGGATGTAGTCGGGCGCAGCGATGCGGTCAATTGAGTCGAAGTAGCTTGTGGTAGTCAGTATTTAAAATCGGCCAAACCATATGCGAGATGATCACTCACTATTTCGCGGAGTCGTTGAGCTGGTATTCGCGCGATCGCTGGAAGCACTGCTGCACACCCGCGTCTTTCCATAGCACCGAGATGGCGTTGCCGACTTCTGGAGGCAGGCTGTCGCCTTCAATCTGCGCGGGCTGCATGAAGATGGTCTGGACGTGGTACTCGGCGCGCTGGTCGTCGAGCGGGAGCTCCAGTGATTCCATGGCCTCAAGGATGACGCGCATTGACTGCACGGTGTTGCTGAAGATGATCTCCTTGAACGACTCCCGCTCGTCGCGCGAGTAGCCGCCCTCGTGGATGAGCTTCATCTGCTTGAGAATCGTCGATTTGCCCGATTCACCAGCGCCTGGGGCATGTTAGACAATGTGAGAGCGAAAAGAGCTCGCGAGTACTGACCGAGAAGCAGCATCTTGATCTCGTTGCGCTGCAGCATCTTGTCGCGCTTGAGCTGGTTCTCAATCTCCTCGTTCCTCTGCTTCCCCTCCTTCTCCTCTGTGCTCATTCCGCAACCCATGGTGGCGGTGTTATTGTGATATTAGGGAAGGTACGTAGAGATGTTCCGTCGAGAGGCCGGCCGACACGGAATCTGCGCGAACGAAGAAGTCAATACAGGGTGTGAGGGGAGAGGCGGCGTAGCAAAAGAGGTTGGAGCATAGGGCGACTGCCGGGCGTGGCGTGCAGATCCGGGTGAGATTGGTGAGCAGAGGCAGGAGTGTGCTTGCTCGAAACGGCGGCGGCGGCGGTCGCAAAGGCAGAGGGGAGAGGGGAGACGACAACGGGGCAGGTACTCACTGGTTATTACAATAAAGTCTAAGCGGCTGCGGATGAGCAGCACCTGCGGTGAATGCAGGAGGGTCGGCACGCGGGGGTGAAGGATGGCTGGACAGTTGATGGAGAAGGTGTAAGGGCTCGCTTGGGTCGGGGCGGGCTCTGGCGCTGCAAGGTCGGGGCGGAGGCTGGAGGCTGTCAATGGCTGCGTCGACGGCCCTTCTGGTGTCGCAACGAGAGGCGGATGCAGTGTAGCTGGAGTCGCACGGCAGCAGCTTGACGAGAGATGCCGGCAGCGCAGCGAGAGTGCTGGATAGAAGAGCGAGGCGTCGCAGCGCAGGAGGTGGTTTTGCCCAGCGAAAGGGGAGAGGCGCTTGCCCCGAACGGGCGCCACCGCCGCACGGACCACCGGCCTGCAGCACCATGGACATGGGCAGACGGCATGCGCACTCCAGAGTCTGTCCATCGTCCTCCGACGCCAGTCTGTTCGGCGACGGGGAGCCTGCGTCTACAGAAAGAGAGCTCTGCTCCAGCGCATGCGGCGGCTCTCCAAGGCACGCCGATGACGGGCAGTCTGTCCGACACTGCTCTCCCACACCTGCGGACTCGCTCGCTCTCCGTACTTCACCGTAACTTCTCCTGATTACCAATGGATGGCCACGCACGGCAACGACGATCCGCCTCGATGCTCCCGCAGTGCTCGCAGCACGAAATGCGAAATGCCTGCCCTCGCCCCCAGAGTTGCGTTGCACCACCTGTTGCACTGCACTGCTGGGCCCGCGTCTGACTAGCAGCTATTCTAGAAGCCTTGTCGAAAATAGGGGCGCATCGAATAAAGGCCTGGCGCCGGGGCCCTCCGCGGTGGAGGCCATGAGGGACCCCCCAGCCAAATCCGAAACGTTTCTGCGTGTGCGTTGCAGCTTCGTTTGATCGCAGTGTTCAACGTCCTGGCGCTGCAAGCAACACCCCAGCGCGATGCAACCGCCGTCCTGCTGCTGTTCTACCTCGCCCGCTCTGGGGTCTCACACGCAGAGCACTGCGTTGCTGCCAGAAAACCGCAGCGTCGGACAGCCAACAGAGTTCGCTTTCGGGTCGGACGGTCCAGACTAGCCTTGCCCGAGTAGGCGTAGCGCGCCGGTGGTGAACACTGAACCTCGCTCTGCAAACCTTCGTTGCAGCTCCCAACCATCGCGTCCTCATCTCCCTGAATCATGACTTTCAGCGTGGGCCCAATCATTACCGTTGCGGTGGCCAACTCTTATGCTCCCGCGCGGACGTGCCGTATTAATTATTATCCACCATCTCGTTTCCATTGAATCTATAGACTGGCAAAGTCCGCTCCGCTTTCGCTTTCTTATCCGACCTGTGCACTGTTCGATCCCCCTTACCTACCGATATCCACTCCTCGGAGCATCAATGCGGGGAGAACACTTCTGGAAGACTGTGTCACCGCCTGTACTTTGTATACTTGTACTCTTTCCAAAAGGCAAGCCCTACCCGCCACGAGCTGGTGCCGTGCTTCCCCTAGCGTACCACCGGCATCTCTCCCGACGACTTCTGCGTCCCGAGGTCTGCAGTGTCGACTCACTCGTCACCCCCATTACCATGAATTTGGTTTGGAGCGGCTCGAGACCGTCCCTCCGGAACACGTGCTAGTCGTACCATATTCGATAAATCGCCGAAATTACGCCCGTTGTCGTTATCAATATCACGATGCGCGATGCACGTGTGCACGAGATCCGCGTCTTACTTCAGACTCTTTTTTCAGTATAAACTCCTGCGAGTCAGCAGCAACGTGGGCATTGACACGTGAGATTTATTCCTGTTCCCCGGAACGGAGCAAAGCTTCTTCGGATGCGTTCCCTTCTATTTGGGTTCGCCGCCTTTGCTCGCTCCAGACCGCCCACGCTTATCTAAACAGAGGTCTCTAACAGTATGGCCGTCTACTACTTTCTCTTGATTGGAGTGCCGTGGAGAGGCATCCTAATCTCAGAAGGAGCTTCTGGATGCGTCTTGCTGAAAGGAATCAGAGTCTTATAAGCTTCTGGGCCGGCAACATTAACAACCCACTGACCTAACCCTCTAAGCGGCGGAGGGAGTTGGAAGGAGGTCGGGCTATGTTGGAAGGGATGCGATCTCTTGCTCCTCTCGATGTCGCGCTTTCGGGTCTGAGGAGTTGTAGGATGCGTTCCTATCCGCATATGCATTTTCTGTTCTCTGTCATCGCCAGCCTATCGCTTAATCGACTCCGGACTCGTTCACTGCGCCGCCCTCACTGCAAGACCCCTCAATCCTCTCCGCAGCTTCTTACGTGGGGCGGACGGACCGCGCCGCAGGTGCATATTAAAGCTGAGCGTCGGCCCAGAGGATTGTGTGGCTGAGGTGGATCTGTTCATTGGAATGTTTCGGTTGAAAGAACACTGCGGGATTCAGTCTCGTACGTCAACCTTCAGTCTCATACGTCTAGCCTCTCGCGCGGAGAGGATTGCCCCAGAGTAGAACACTTTGAGTCGATTTCGGAACAGTGCACCCCATCCATTGTACCCAAATGGCATCCCACACAATCCACGTGTCGTCAATAAGCTCGCGTGCGGCGTGGCTGCTGATGTATCCGTGGTATGTGGGGAGGCTGACCGAAGCAGTAGTAGATCTTGGAAAGGCTCTATCTATGTGCTGGGGCTAAACGTGGCCGTTAACGTAGGTAAGAGAAGAAATAGGGCATTCGGCTTATTGTTTCTAATCTTGAGGTCGATATCCGCGTGGACTCTCGTGCGTCGTTGGAGGCTGAGCTACTGTATGCATGTACCGTTCGGCTGGAACTCCGGTTGAAATCATCGCAAGCCGCAGCGACGTACAGTAGCAAGGCTGGCCAGCTGTCTGCGGAGCGGATCGCCCCGTCGAGGCACGGTCCTAGGCAGCTCTGTTCTCTCCATGCGAGCTGGTGGCACAGTGGTGTGAGTGAACGATTATTGAGCAACGTCAGGCAACCTGACGTACGATGAACGCGGTACCTGAGCCGCAGTGGAGTTGCAAGCGACTGGCACCGACAGCAGGGAGCGAGTACATAGGCGGCAGCTTACACGTAGGCCAAGACCTATTTCCATTGCTCCTTTCGAAATCTAGCCAGACGTCGTGCACCTACAGGTTAATTTAGGCGCTGAAGGCCACCCAATTCGGTCTAGCGCTCATGCTTCCCAGGTGTAAGCGCCCGACTTAGCTTCCTGGCCCATGTTTGCATCACGACACAACACTCTTCGCAGATTTCTGGTGAATGGTTCACCAGCGTTTTCCGAGCGCTAAGAATGTCTGCCAATCCCTTCGACGAGTTCTCCGAGGCAACGCCTCAGCGGCTGCCCATGCGTACCTCTGACGAAGCGCCTGGAACTGGCCCTGGTACATATTATCAACCTACCATCCTCTGCCTTATTCCCTTCAAATGCGTCAGGAGCAGATCTCATGAGACGAGACCTGTGTGACGCGGTTGCGTGACTCCTATCCTTCAATTTCTTTCCTTGAAGCTGCTGGCTCGGCGCGGTTCTTCCATTCCGTCTTCCCAATGTCTCCGTCCTAGACCCCAAGGTCTGTTCTCCTCCATTCTGCACTCCGGAAGAATGCAGCTTACTCCTACACAGATCTTGTACAACTATGCTCCTAAGCCACCTCGAATGGCTATGCATTATATTGCCTACTCTAATAGCTGCTACGCCGCGGAATTCAATTCCCACAGCAACTCCGTCTTCGCTTCCGGCATCGCTACAACGGGACGTACCTTCATGCGCACAGCCATGCCTGATCTCCTCAATCGGCCAACAATTTCCTCTGGCGTGTACACTTCCACCGGACCTCAGCTGTCTATGTTCCCGTTATAGCTTCAACGGAGAGTCACTCGGTGAAGTGGCTCTTGGATGCATATATGCGTCTTGCCCCACGGTTGACCGCAGTGCCGCCTCAGCGTATAACGCCTGCTTGGGGCAGCGGAACGCTGTACCACCGACCTTGACCGTCCTGACAGTAGTCCCTAGCACGACTGCTTCAACAACAATGGTTTCCTCTCGCTCAGTCGGAACCACTAAGCCAAGCTCAACCATTACCTCTACGACACCTCAGTCCCGCCCAAATCCTACCGATTCTGTGGCCGCCGATTCGATCTCCTTGGCTCCCTCTCCCACCTCCTCGGTGACCAGTACAACAACACCAGTCGCTGCCGCAGATCCTCCGAGGACAATGAAGCCCGCTCAGATAGCTGGGTTGTCAGTAGCCGCTGCGGCAACGTTCATCATCGCAATTGCTCTCATGGCTCTTAGTGTCTTTCTGAGAAGGAGAAGAGAGCGGAAGAATGGCATGCATCTCGATGAGAAGAATTCCCAAAGCCCTTCACCGAGGAGCTACTCAGCACGATTCTCGCAATACTTCGCTCAGGACTCATTGCCACGGGATCCACCAAAGCAATTTTTGATAGTGCCACCTCCAGTGCTACGCAAAACCGGCAGGGCTTCGTTAGCCCCACCATCACGAGAGCCAACTGCGAGTCAGTATCCCCCGAGAAGTGACTCCAAAGCCGCCGGTTATCCAGAACAAATGGACACGCAACCCACCGACCTCAACTCGATCCATCCTCTCCTGCGCCCTGGTGCCGGACCTTCCAACAACTCATCTGATTCCTCTGTGCCACTCGACCAGATTGGGCTTGCAATAAGTGCGGAGCTACCAGAGACCACCTCAAGCAAAATTATTAGTCCCAAACAAAACCCCCGCAAGACTGGTTCAAGACAACAGAGACCAAAGAGTCTTCGACATGATCCCGACATGGCTCAGCGCCCCGATAGCGTCCTCACTCAATCCACCGTCTTTGAGGAAGACGATATAGCGGACCGTCGCAGGGAGTCCAGGCTTTTACCAACGCCTCCATATCCGATCCCCCCAATCCGTAGCTTCCAACCTTCAAGGCCGCCACCCACAGTCAATGTAGCAGCAATGTCGGCAAAAGGACTGGCCACCCGAAGACAGGCACCACGTCACCCCGAGCTGTTTTTGGACATTCCCGTCCGGCATTCTCGGTCCGAGCCTAAAAGAGTTCCCCCAACTAAGAATTCTCCTCCTGCTCCACCTACATTTGCTGCGCAACCAAGGACTCAACCCGGCCCTCGTGTCCACATAACATCAGCCTTGGACGAGAAGCAATCTAAGTCGAACCCCACAAGCACTGCCGAAGCAGGAAACGGCGTAGACATCGACGATTACTACTTCACGGCCCATCAAGAGCCAACGTCGAAGTACCTGACGCCAACGGCCAGTCCAAGCCGCCTCCTCCGACCGAAAGAATCACCAAAGGTGGTCAAAATAAAGCCTAAGAAGTCTTCGAGCACGGTATCGCGAAGCGCATCTAGAGCGTCGACCAACCTGCGAGACTCGGTGTCGTCACAGACCTCATTCGAGACTGTGGATCCTAATGACCCTACTCCCGAAGACGAGGAGGACGAAAAGCAGCTGGCTGAAGACAGCAAACTCTCCCCAGTTGCGGAGTCGCCAATCTCGAATCTCCGATATCCCAAGGTACCACGTGCTTCTAACCAGCTCGTTCCCCGCAGCCCAAGGAGTCCCCAAAGCCAACGGAGCCAGGAAAGCCCACGCGGTCTTCCTGAACCGTCTGGGTTCCTCTTCAACCAACGGAGTGACCGAGACCTGCTCGAGAGTCAGGTACACACAGGCAGTCCTCACACGGCGGACGTTAGAAAACATATGAGGCAGTACCGGCAACATCTGCGAAGCACTAGCCTCGAAACGTGGAATTCAAATTCTATGTCGAATTCCTATCGCAGCTCAGACCGCACCACGCGCGTGCTCAGCGGCCAGTGGCCGAAATCGCCCGCCATGTACGACCCCAACGTCGTAAAGCCCCTCAGCATCCGCACCAGACACTATCACCAGCCATCTGTAGAGATGCAAGATCTAAAGAGCCCCGCGTGGGTGCCCAGGTTGTACCCGACGCGCCAGGGAGACGATCTTCTAATATCCGTTACCTACTCCAAGCCCGGCCAGTAACGGCCTCTTTCCTTTCTTTGTATCATCGTCTTTCCTTTCCTTAACGACTTGTAATCACCGGCAAAGCATAGAGGCCGCGCGGCATATTATCGTGACATGTCTGTCATTTTCCTAGCACGCTGTACACTACGCGATACCTATCAGCACTCGTTTGACACATTCTGCGGCATTAGCACGGCGTTGGGAATCTGGGGACATGTCCAGTGTACGATAAAGCATCCAACAGCCTAGATCAGGCAGATCAGGCATCTCCGAGCCATTTTCTTTCCATGTATCTACGTCTACAAAAATTTCGAAGTTGCGTCTCCGTTTGCCCAGCATCTTCGCGGGCCTCGGAAATTATCAAGGATAAATATCACAGCAAGCGCTGGGCGTGCATGCGCCAATGCCAACCTAAAGTCCAGAACTCGGGCATTCGGGGCATCATTCGACGTGCGTTTGCTGCGGTCGCATTTGTGCTCCCTTGAGAAAAGAAATAATAGTGGAATGATTCGGACAGTTGCGACATTGTCCCGCGATATGGGCACGGCAATGGCATGACCACGCCAGAGCCTAAGACAATGCTACACGCGCCCGGCCGTGGGTGGATCAGCATCTATCGGTCGGCATCGGCTTTTGAGGCGGGTCTGGAAAAGGGAAGATGCGAGGAGACAGGAGTGTGCGGGCCAGTGAAGGCAGTCAGGTCGTGATAGGCTCAATGCGAGGGACAGCGCTCTTCGTCAGCCATGACAGCGCTTAGTGATGGATTGGAGAGAAGACCAGGACGAGCATTGCGGAGTGGGAAGAAGGCTGAAGGCTGCGACGAGGGGCTGATGATGAAGCGGGCGGGCCTTGAGGAGCGCGGCCGGTGGGTGGCAGCGGCGACCCCACTAGACCATGCCTGCCTCATAGTGACAACCCAACACTGATTAATCACCCCATCTAACTACAAAACCCTTCGCTCCTCCCAACGCCCTCTCTGACATCTTTTTCCGACTCCCTCTGCCCATCATGCCGTACGGAAAGGTCGACGAGCTCGCCATCAACACAATTCGAACCCTCGCGGTACGTGTTTTCTGCCCCGCCATTGACAACAGCTGCCCCGCTATCGCAGAATTTCCTCAACAAGCGCTCTGCGCGCTGTCTGCAACGCTCCCCTTCGTCTCACGCGCTTCAATTGCTGATTCTCGCCCTTCTCCAGGTCGATGCCACGTTCCAGGCCAACTCCGGCCATCCTGGCGCCCCTATGGGCATGGCCCCGGTGGCCCACGTTCTCTTCAACAAGTTCATGACCTTCAACCCCAAGAACCCCGACTGGTTCAACCGCGATCGCTTCGTCCTCTCGTACGTACCCCCAATTCCTATACTTGAGCTATTCAATGCGGGCACTCTCTCAATGGCGCGCTGTTCCCGCGGGTTGCGCGTCGTGGTGGGCCCAGGCATGCCTGAAACCCTTTTCCGCGGGGAATCTGTGCCTGAGACAGTTGCTTTTCTTGTCTCTCGGGGCCTCTGGTCTCAAATTTGCCGCTTAAGCGGACAACGGCAGCATTTCCGCGCTGCTCCGCTGCGTTGCGGCGCTATGGCTGAAATTTCTTCTGAACGAGATATGACGAAATCACTCACTCCGAGCGCGCAGTAACGGCCACGGATGCATGCTCCAGTATGCGTTGCTCCACCTTTTCGGCTACGGGGTGAGCATTGACGACCTCAAGAACTTCCGTGTAAGTGCAGACGGCATTTATTAAGTTTCCTCCGAGATCGGCCGCTCATTTCTGGCTATAGCAAGTCGACAGCATCACTCCCGGTCACCCAGAAGCCCACGACACTCCCGGTGTCGAAGTCACGACTGGCCCTCTTGGCCAGGGTTTCGCCAATGCCGTCGGTATGGCTATTGGGCAGGCGCACACTGCGGCTGTCTTCAACAAGCCTGGTTACGATCTGGTCAACAACTACACCTACATGTTCTTCGGTGATGGCTGCGCTATGGAGGGTATTGCCAGCGAAGCTGCATCCACTGCTGGCCACTTGCAGCTTGGCAACTTGATTGCTATCTATGATGACAACCACATCTCCATCGGTATGTCTTTGGCCTCGAGTGGATTGGGTCGCGCTAATACAGACATGCAGATGGTGACACCAAGTGCGCCTTCACCGAGGACGTTTTGAAGCGATTCGAGGCCTACGGCTGGCACACCCAGTGGGTCAAGGATGGTGATCATGATTACGAGGGCATTGAGGCCGCCATTGCTAAGGCAAAGGAGGTGAAGGACAAGCCTTCAGTCATCAAGCTCACCACCACCATTGGTTTCGGATCGAAGCTCCAGGGAACCGGCGGTGTCCACGGGAACCCTCTCAAGGCCGACGACTGCAAGCAAGTCAAGGAGAAGTTCGGATTCGACCCCGAAAAGATGTTCGTCGTGCCCCAGGAGGTGTACGATATGTACCACAAGCACGCTGCGGAAGGTGCAGCTGCTGAGCAAGAGTGGAACAAGCTCTTCGAGAAGTACGGTTCGGAGTACAAGGACCTCCACTCCGACCTCGCCCGTCGGTTAACCAGGAATCTACCGGAAGGCTGGCAGAACAAGCTGCCGACGTATAAGCCTACCGATGCTGCCATTGCATCAAGGAAGCTGTCCGAGAGCGTCTTGGAGGCTATCCACGACGTGATCCCCGAGCTGCTCTCAGGATCGGCAGATCTGACTGGATCCAACAACACTCGCTGGAAGAACGCCGTCGACTTCCAGCCTCCAAACTTAGGCATCGGTGACTGGAGCGGCCGATACATTAGGTACGGCGTCCGTGAGCACGCCATGGCTGCTATTATGAACGGCCTATCCGCATACGGCACCATCATCCCTGCCGGTGGTACCTTCCTGAACTTTGTCTCCTATGCTGCCGGTGCCGTCCGTCTGTCCTCACTTTCCCACCAGCGTGTCATTTACGTTGCTACTCACGACTCTATCGGTCTTGGCGAGGACGGCCCGACGCATCAGCCTATCGAGACTCTCGCTCACTTCCGCGCCCTGCCTAACATGATGGTCTGGCGTCCAGCTGACGGAAACGAGACCTCTGCTGCGTATTACATGGCCCTAACCTCCAAGCAAACTCCCTCTATCCTTGCCCTTACTCGTCAGAACCTGCCGCAGCTTGAGGGATCAACGCTCGAGAAGGCCATCAAGGGCGGCTACGTCGTCCTTGAGAATAAGGACGCCAACGTCACCCTCGTCTCAACCGGTTCTGAGGTCTCACTGTGCCTCGAGGCTGTCAAGACGCTCAAGGAGCAGGGTCTTGTGGCTCGCGTTGTTTCGCTGCCTTGCGTCGAGGTCTTCGATGCACAAGATAAGGAGTACAGACTTTCCGTCATTCCCGACGGCATCCCGACCATGAGCGTTGAGGTCATGTCAACGCTTGGCTGGGAGAAGTACTCGCACGAGCAGTTCGGTCTCAACCGGTTCGGTGCTTCCGGCCCGTACAAGAAGGTCTACGAGGTATGTTCGAGTCCAAAATCCTACAGAACTACAGACTAACAGGTGCCACAGAAATTCGAATTCACTCCTGAGGGTGTCGCTAAGCGCGCCAAGGCCACCATCGACTTCTACAAGGACGTCAAGCCTCTGCGCTCGCCTCTCAACCGTGCTTTCACTCAGCTCATCTAAGCTTTTGGTGGTGGTGGTTGGGGGTTCATTGCGCCGGGTGCTGGTTCATGGTTGCTTTAACGTCCTTTAGGTGAAGCGGTGTGTTTGCGAAACAGCTAGTCACGACAGGAAAATGGGAAGTTATGCGCGTATAGAATTTGATATCTTGATTGGCATATCATCACTCCCGGTGTCCGTCGCTGTGTGGCCATCGAAGCAGTGAAATGGAGTGTGCGCGAGAAGAACCACAACATACCAATGAACGGTGTGTTCTAAGCACCGGCCGCCGTTCCCGCAATGAGGGAAGAGCGAATAGCAGCATAATCAAAGAAGCTCTCCAAAGGTGAGTACTCAGTTTGCAGATTTAAGGCTTGATGTACAAGGATAACCAGATAGCATTCTGATACAGCTATATCTCTAGTCAAGATATCTCTAGTCGAGGCTACATTCTGTGCCCAATTTCTTCGTGTGTTGTTAATGTTGTTGAGAGGAAAGACCAAAGAAGAAAGCGGAGCGACGCGGATGCCAGCTGTTCAAGATAGTGAAGTGGTGGTACAACAGTCTCCGCCGTACATGCTTACATTCGCCACAACACTCCCGTCCGTCAACACGGAGCGGGGGCACAATAGCGGCGAGGGACCAGAACCCAAGCACTGGCACTACCCTCCTCCGACGCCTCGACGCCCTACGTAACGATACCCGTTCGCGGCCGGATATGCAGGGCGTTCATACCCCGGCGCCCACTCGTCCGTGTCCACCGCCATGCCCGAGTCCCTTCTGCTCATGTGTCGTCCTATGGGCTGCCGCCTGGTCTGCTTGATGTAATCCAGCGCATCGGCGATATCGCGCAGGTCTTCCAGCCCTACGTCCTCTTTCTCGGCGAGATACCGTTGCTGAGGCGGGTAGTCGTTATACCCAGGCTCCTGGTGGTGGGCGTAGGACATGCTGCGCTGTGGATGTGGTGGATAGCGCGTGGTGTCGAAGGGGTTGGGGGTCTGCGTGGAGTGGCGGCGGTGGGAGGATAGAGGGGGCCGGGACTGGGGGTAGGTGGGTTGAGGGGGCGGCGCGATGTGATCGTCGTAGTAACCGGCCGCGGCGCGCTGCTGGGGTGGGTAGTCGTTGGGTTGGTAGCGCGCTTTGGCTCGGCGCTGGTCGTAGTCTGGGTTTATGAAGGGGGTTTGGACGAAGCCGTCATCGACGTGTGGTTGAGGGCGGGGGATGGCGCGCGAGCGGAGGGGTGCTTGCGCGAGGCCGCCGGCTTCTGAATGCGTGCGGCTGTGCACGATGCGGTCGCGCGTAGGGCGGAGAGGTTCCGAGAACACGGAGTCATCAGCGGTGGAGTAGGTGGAAGACCCGCCATCGACGAAAGACGAGCTGGTTTCGCTACCGCCAAGGGAGGAGTTGCGGGACATAGGCTGCGCGGCGTACTTTTCCAGTTTGCGGTGCACGTCTTTGTGGGGCAAGCCGGTGGGCGAGATAGAGTGACTGAAGCGTCTGCGGTCACCGCCGTCGCGGGATCGATCAATTTCTGCTCTACGCTCGCGGTCGTTGTCGATATGGTTGTGGATGTGGATGCTACCTGGAGGGAGAGCACCGACTGAGGAGCGAGGCGAGCCGGCCTTAGGGGAGGAACTGTATTTGCCAATTGGAGGGCGCTCGATGTCAGATCGGCTGCTTCGGCCGTGAGATCTCTTTTCCTTGTAGGGCTTTGAGACCCTGTTGCGGCTACGGCTGCGGCTCTTGTGTCGGCTGCGTGATCGGTCATGGTCGTGTTTCCGACCTCGACTGCGCGAGCGCTCAATGGAGCCCCAGGATCCGTCTTCGATGGACCTCGCGCTGAGCGAGCCGCTTGAGCTGCCGGAGTCGGAGGAAGAGTCGCTGTCGGAGTATTCAGGCCGCATCTTGGACGTTGACTTCTGCTTCCTCAGTATGTGTGGGTTGAGAACCTCGATTGGTTGCATACCGGGTTGCATCATGGGAAATGGCCCTGCCTCTGGGAAGGCTCCTGGAATATTCATGGGTCTCCCTTGTTGGTTGGGGTTGGGCAACTGCTGAACCTGCGGGACGGGGACCTGGTGGATTGGGGCCTGATTCGGCGGTGGTGGTGGGGGCGGTATTACCATGCCCTGTGGGCCACCTTGTGGAGGGTGAGGTTGACCTCCACCCCCGGCTTGTGGACCGCGAGGCGGACCTCCACCTGGGCCACCTGGGCCGCCTGGACCGCCCGGGCCACCTGGAGGGGGAGGATGCTGGCCTTGCGCAGGCCCTTGGCCGTGTTGATTACCGTGTTGTTGAGGACGGGGTTGCTGTGGCTGTTGATCGAACTGTTGGTGTCCCATGTTCCCGCCTTGTGGCTGATTATTCCTTGGTGCGCCTCCTTGGCCTTGGTTTCCGCCTTGAGGTCGATGCTGATCCTGAGGCATAGTATTGGGCCTCATGGCACGCGGAGCATCCTGGGGATCGAAAAGACTGAAGGGTATATCTGCCATTGGTCGAGGCTCAGTCTTCAGGATGATGTTAACACGCTTGAGCCTCTTCTTCCCCTTGTCCGGCCACGACCTCACGACCTCCTTTTCGCTTTGCAGGAAGGCGATGGTCCACTGAAGATTGGGATTGTATTGCCAGAGGAATCCGTTCTGATCTTCAACGAGCTCGTTGACGATGCGGCGAGCAGTGTCAGACTTTATGTCCATGAGTTCACGCTTGACGCTAGACTCCCCTCTGCGGAACTTGATCACGTCTTCCTCGAGTTCCCGTAAAGTAATGTGTTGCTGTTGCGGGACTGCATGCTCCCAAGTGTCCTGGTTTCGGGGTTTCTGGAGGGTGAACATGGCCATCTGTGGGTCCGGCAGCGAATCGAAGGCAGCAGAATTGTGTGATACACGAGCTCCAGGAAGGCCTTGCTGTCTCAAGTTGTTCTGATTCGACTGTTGGCCATGGCGAAGTTGGCCGACATTCTGCTGCGGGACTGGCAGTGGGCCTGGGAAAGGGGGCTGGTGTTGGGACTGGACGCGGGCAGCCATTGTGGCCGATGGAGTGTGCCTTGAAGTGAGGGACGGTGTGAAGATATATATGAAGATTTACTAAGGCTACATAGAGTACATGGAGGACGAGTGTAGGTAAGGCAGAAAGGAGCGAGCAAGACAGAGGATGGGGACGGTATGGGGCAAAGGTGGGATGGAGCTGAGGCAAACTCGACCTGCTCGAGAGATAGATATATAGACGGCTCACCCTTGCGGTCTCACGATTCCCGTATAGCTTGCTCGTCCAACACTGTCAAAGTAGAACAAGCTGATGCAGGCGTGGAGTAACGTTTCCTCTCGGGGTGCGGCTATCATAGTCGGAGCTTGCAGGAAGGTAGCATAGAAGTGAAGCTCAATTGGCCCTCTGCCAAGGGACCCGCAAGCCTCGCATATGCGTTGGTTGCGAAGGACTGACCGGCGACAGCCACCGGGGCTCAGAGGGCGAGGCACAGAAATTAGGCAAACGGGTCGCTTCTGGCCAAACACAAGGCAGGATGCGGTCGCACGGAGGCAGTTGAGCCTCCTTGCCTGACCGGAACAGCGACTCCTCGAGTGCTGACACGCGGCCGCTGCGTCGCGATGATAACCGGAAGTCCTTCATGCAGCCTGGCCGGGGTTGCTTTTGATTAGGGCGCCGGTGTGCATGCAGCACGCATCTCTGGTGCTGGGACTGGCAACACAGCGATTAGCGGGGTCGTGTTGCTCGCGATCCTCCCGCAGCTCGCGGCGGATTGGTAGGAGGTGAAGGGTGGTGACGGTAGAGCGAGGAAGTGGCAGTGAGTGGGTCGATGGAGGTGGGCGCACGCAAACGCCTGCGAACGTCGTGACGCTAGGCGGGCGCTTGGGCCGCGGCCAGAACCCGGCCGAATTCCCTCCGGACGACGCAATCCGGCGAGGAACGAGGTTGAGGACAAGCCCTCGCCATCGCCATCGCCGTCGCCAGAGCATCGCCGTCGCTCGCTGCCACCCCGGGCGGGTCTCGCGAGCAAGGCTTCTGCCGTGTCGCTTCCGGCTGACGCTCCCGTCTCATACCGCGCTGCGCTGTCCAGTCCCGCCGCCTCTCCCTCCAACAGCTGACAGCATCTGTGGCACGACGGGGCCCGGGACATTGCGCTTCTACTGCGCGGCACCTATCCGGCCGCAGCGGAGGACAGTCCTCGTCTCTTCCGAGCGATTCACAATCCGACACACGCATCTTGGCGTAGCCCTATGGACAGGTCCCTTCGAAGTAGACGCGCCAGCAGCGTCGAAGACCCTCCGCAGGACCAGGACTGACTCACTGCGTCGACGCGGCAGGGATGGACTCCTTGCATGCGGCTGCAAGCAATCGATTCGCAGAAGCAGCACCTCGCCGTGCATTCGTCCTCCGCAGCAGCTACAGCCTGATGCTCGCGAGACGACGCCCTTTCTGCAGGAGGGTCACGCCCTCCAATGCCGGCCTGCCAATTCGCCCAATAGCCAACACCACGGAGGATCGAAGCAGGATCGAAACGAGTCTAAATCTGGAGTACACCGGACGTTGGCGGCCGAATGGCGCATTACCGCCATCTGGCCTTCCAATTGGCCATCTGGGTCCTCAGCCTTATGGACGGCGTCAACATACCATTCGGTGGATACAAGTAACTTGCAGAGAATGAGGACTATGATAGGCCGTTTCGTCAAAGTATTCTGCTATTGGCAGTTTCTCCCGAATTCATGCTACGGTTGATGTCGAGGACGAGACAGGTCTCCACCGGACACGGTGCGAGCCGTCTTCTCCACTATCAGCCGTCCTTCCGCCGGATATCGACTACCATTATAAATCGGTCCTGGGATAATCGCTGCATCTGACCTGAGGCAGCTTCACAGCTTCGATCCCCTTCAGACCCTGCTCAGACATACTGACTGCTCTTTGTGCGCCTGATTACGAGCGCCCCGTACCCTGCTTGGACCAGTCCCCGCAGTGATCCGCCATCTCGATAGTAGGAGTGCTTCTGACTCTCATCCGTCACGTCCAGCAATGCGCTGCTACTGCACCGAATGGGAAGTTGACCTTCGCCACCAAAACGTAGTGCGACCCTTCCCCCAACGAGGACGATCGCCGTTGCTTAGCATCTGCAACCCTGCGAACACAAGGAAAAGGAAATTCGGGCTGCATTTCGATCTTATCACCAGACTAGGCTAAGACGTATCCGGCGATGCTGCCTTGAAGAGGGTCCTGGGATAATCCTGCACAGCTTTGAGCTTACGAGGACCTCCAGAAAAGCAATGGCCACCTTAGGTAAATGTTATCTGATATGGGACTGCGATAACAATCCTTCAACCATGTACTCAGCCAACCTCGCTTCCTAATCAGCTCCCAATGACATGGGCTCTCTCTCTTATGGGGACTAGGCAACATCAAGGACAGAGCCGCACAATATCAGATACCTCCACCATCCCACTCACCCCCTCCCCGAATTGCCGTCTCAACCTCATGCATCGCCGTCATTCATCCTATACGCCAAGTACAACATTCACTCCGCTGCCGAGCACACCACCGCTCAAATCCGTTGTCCCCTTGGACCAGTGCTCGATCTTCGTCGCACACGGTAGCACCTCAGCTGTCTAGATCTCAGACACTGCCCGCTTGTACCCCCAAACTCCGCTTTCCCCGCGCTGCTTAGCTTCACCGGACGAGAGCGGGTTGCGATCACCACCGTACATCAGGCTGTGACGTAAGTTGATATGCAGATGGATTAGTATGTGCGGCAGTTACTCCCGGCAAGCACGGCATTAGAGGCTTTGACAATCGAAGATCCAGCTTGCAGGCTCTCTGCGCCACCCTGTGGTGCTTCTGTGCCATGACGGGTAAGTACATAGAGGAGTTACATGTGATTATCGCCACCTTCCGTCCGGCATATGCGGAAGTGAGACGTTCGACTGAAGATACGAGAGGGGATTTAGCCTGGGATCAGCTCAGCCACATGCTCCCCTGGTGTGCTATGACCGTCAGTGCAGAGCGGCCCCGTTAAGCACGACTCGATATCCTAGAGGCATCCAAATCCTCAGTAATCTAGCCCGGCAATTACGGAGCCGTCTCCTCGAGCGGACGTTAGAAGAAGAGGGGATATCGCGGCAACGACTTTGGCCACTAATGCAACAGCGCCGCAACGGGTAAGAACATCACTCTTTCACACGTTCTCCCGCGACTTCGATGAATGCCCATGAGGCTTCTACTCTCTAGCAACAGTCTTGCGCCTATGTTAGATCGAATCTCGGCGCTTGGAGCTCGAACGAAGGCCAAGGGGAAAGTCTCAGCCACATGCTGTACTACCCTGCCGTGACGGGTAGCTGCATGATAACTTACCCATACTTGATTCTCGCCTTTTCGAAACAAGTCTGGTCTGCAGCGAGGTCTGCTGATGTGAAATCATTCTTGACTTCCCCCGATCGTCTGCGCCCTCTGCTCTGCTGTGCAATTTGCGCGGGTATGGCGGCTATGGAAGCTTCACTCATTCATGAGACCAGGTATCTTAGCTCCTCAGGCATCCCTCTTTCGCGAGCGATGCTTTGCCTGGCGTCATGATCCTGAGGACACGCCCCGTCGAGACTTCTCACAGCCACACTCTGTCCTACAACACCAGACAGTGATAGACAGCTACCCACAACGTCGTAATACACGCACATGCATTCTCGATCCCGCCCGATGCCAATGCTGAGATCTGAAAGCCTCGTTCCAGCGCCATAAAGAGTATCCATATATACCGGCCGTGCAATATAAAACACAGCCCTGTGCAATCCGTCCGTGCCACACGAGCGGATATACGAGTCTTCGTCTTCAGCTTACACGACCACCCTCGTTCTCGGGCTGGCACTCGCATTAGCACCACCACCTCACGGCTCGACTCGACTCGAATCTGCCTTACCTATCCCATTCCTCTGGTTCCGGCTTCGCTCATGCCTGTCTGTCTGGCTGGCTGGCTGTTTCTTTGTTTGTCGTACAGACTCGCTCACGCCTGTTGAAATAGGCGAGCGAGAAGAGCAGCCAGGTACGCTTCACAACTTGGCTCGCTTCTGTGTTTCTGGAGATGGGCCAAGCACGCAATGGAGCCACACCTTGGGGCAAATACGCTGCCGCTTGGGATTCACGTCTCCACCGCTGTGACCAGCTAGAGAGTAAGAGAGAGATCGTGGCCGAGCCTTAGCAATAGAAAAGGCATATCACAGAACACATCACATTACATGGCACTGGCACTGGCACACTTACTACTCTCACCATCTTCCATTCCCTTACTCCTCTCCACCCACCTAATCTATATACAAACACCTCAACCTCGTTATTAAGATTACCACTCGCTGTAAAGGAGGTAGCCCTTCGTCAGAGGAAGGAAGGTATGAAGAAAAGTCTAGCCCAGCCTCGCTCAGGCGTGATCCCAGAAAAGGAAACAAAATGAGAAGAAAGTAGTACAGCGAGGGTATGAAGTGTATCGTACAAATGCCAATCAATGCCAGCGTCAAAAAACTCAACAAGTGGCCGTCGCAGAAGCCAGGCCAGGACTGCGACAAGGTGAATGTTGAGCCGGGGACGACGGGCAGGCCGCAAAAGGCAACGGGCGAAGGGCGGCAATCGCTCGGTAAACAAAGTGGGCAACCAGACACACCTCCCCGCATCCTGAAAAGGGCAACGAAAGCCACCGTCCTCTAAATGTCTCACCCCAAACGAGCGAAACACGAGGCGACGACTTAGAGGTGCTCGCACCCACACCTGATTCCCGCAATTCCAACGCCCTCCGCACGATCCCGTAAGATCCAGAAATCGCGCGATTATTGCAACACGAGGGTGTGAAGAACGCGGTACATTAGGGTAGCCCGCCTCACTTTTGCCGGTCTGACGCCTCCGCCCCGCTTCCTACAACGCCCTGTCACGTGCCTCAGCTCAGTTCAGCCGGGTCAGCCCGCTACCGCAGCGGGTACTGGACGTCCTCTACACCCCTCTTAATTACGTCTTCGAGCCTCCACCTGGGCGGCTTGATGACATGTTGCTCGTCGACGCAATCCTTCCATTGCACAGCGAGCTCCTCTGGGTCCGCGCCACCAGCGACACCACTGCTGAACTTGAGCTGAAGCAAGTCGCCCACCTCGTCGCACGCCGCGAGCATACGGTCCAGATCTTCCTTCGTGTGCGCGGCCGAGATACAGAAGCGTGCTCTTGAGGAGACGAGAGGTGTAGCGGGGTATCCAACGACCACGACGGAGATCTTGCGCTTCAGCATTTCATGGGAGAAGGCGGGCATTTTGGCTGGGTTGTAGAGCATGACCGGGATGATGGGTGAATCGTCGTGACCATAGACAATATAACCTAACCTCTTCAGGCCCAGCCGGAGATACCGCGAGTTGAAAGCCAGCCGTTGGAGACGTTCCTCGCCCTGACCGGGAACGATTTCACCGCTGATGATGCGTAGCGCGGAAGCAATCTGGACAAGGACTGGCGGGAACGGTGATTCGGCAAACAGCATGGCGGCGTTCTGCGTCCTGAGCTTGTCGATTATGGACTTATCTGCAGCAATGTATCCTCCGTTTGCACCGAAAGACTTTGTAAGTGTGCCCATCAGGATGTCGACTTCGGAAGGATCGATGCCGAAGTAGTCGCAGACGCCGCGTCCTCGGGGGCCGACTGCACCAATCGAGTGTGCCTCGTCGACGAAAAGATTGAACTTGTACTTCTTCTTGAGCTCTACCAAGGCGGGCAGATTGCACATTGTTCCTTCCATGGAGTACAGGCCTTCGACGGTAACTAGGATCTTCTTCCACGGGCGATGGGTGCGTGGCTGGCCCTGTGAGATAGCTTCGCGCAGTATTCGTTCCAGATCTCTCATGTCATTGTGCTTGAACATCCTGATCATAGCTCCAGAAAGACGAGCGCCGAACCGGATGGAGGAGTGATTGAGCTCGTCAGAAAGCATGAGGCAGCCCTTTCCAACCAAGGTCGAGAAAGATGTAGCGTTCGTCACGAAACCCATAGAGAAAACCATAGATGCGGGCTTGCCAACAAACCTCGCAATCAGATCTTCGACCTCAACCGTCAGTTCAGACGTTCCAGCGTCTGCTCGAGGGCTAGCCATAGTGACGCCGTACTTCCGAATTGCCTGCTCTGCCGCGTCGGCACAAGGCCCCTCGGACTGGGCAAATCCAAGGTAATTGTATGAGCTCATGTTGAGGGTCTCGGTGGTGGTCCCGAGGAGCTTGAAAGTGTTGTTTCCATCGCTCGACTTGCGGTCGAGCAGCGTGATGTATCGTCCAGGAACGCCGGTCGTGGGTCGTGAAAAGCAGTCGTTGATTCTTATTTTCAATCTCCGCGTGTAAAAATTGTCGAAATCGCTGTTCAAAGGAGCGTATCCGTCCCTCTCCTTCAGGTGGCTGTAGTGTTGCCGTCTGAAGCGCTTGCCGAAGAAATCTCGAACATGTCCGAATACGATTAAGATTAGATAGCTGATGTAGGTCGTAAGTAGGAAGTAATAGGGTGGCTCGTCTTCTATCGGATCTCCAAACTCTCCCTCAGCCTGGCTCGTACAGCGGTGGCTCTGCGAGCCGATGGGTCCGAATTGTGCATTTGCTCTGGCGATTCGTCGCGCTTCCTCGGGGTCAGGGGGCTGAAACAGGGTCTTCTGCTCGCTTGGCATCTTCTCACCGGTCGCGGTGGTGAGATTGATAGCCGGCAGGGAAATGGACGCTGAATTGATCTGCTGTAAAGGCGACGGCGAATCGAGGAGGGCCTGCTGCTGGGCTACGAGGGCGTCTCGCAGGGCAGCAGCCTCGCTCCGTGTCCTGGGCGAATTGCCGCCAAACAGCGATGTGAACTTGTTTCCTCTGGTGAAAGACGTACGTCGCGGCTGCTCCCTCTTCTCGTTCAGAGCATCGAGGGAGGGAGAGGGGGAAGGGGAGGCGGTCGCGAACGGATTGATGCTTCGAGTAGGCATGGCAAACAATCTATGAGGATGCTTTGTGGGAGGATGAAAGGTATGCGCTTGTGTTCTTTCTCTTCTCGAGCTCGAGCGAGGCACTGGTCGTCGTTTTCGGAACGGAGGCGGTGAGAGTCGGAAAGCGAATCGCTACAACGCTGGGAATACTGAACGCGGGAAATTAGCATGCGACGTGAAAGAGAATTCCCAGCGTCGAGGGTTCGGAGTGCGGAGAAGCTGGAGCGGAGGTTGTTGGGGTTATAAGGTGATGTTGTGCGCTGCTGCGTTCATGCAGACGGTGGTTCGATGATTCGAGGGTTGCCGGGGACGTCCGGATAGGAAGCTGCGGAGGATGCGGAGAAGCATGCACGTCGAGATTGACCTACAGAGAGATAATGCTGACAGCTCGACCGTCGGGCGGCTATCTCGCCCTCTTCCGCCGCAATTGCGCCTCGCGCAGCGTGCTGCTCCACAAGACGTGTGCTCTCGTGGCGCAGGGCTGCTCGCGGGCTGCCAGGGACGCCAAGCGCTAGTGACAGTACCTGACGTCGATGTTCCGCGGCCAGCTGTCGACGCAGCGCGCTCCGAGGGGGTTGACGGGCAGAGTGTCGCGTGAGCAAGAGGTAAGAGACGAGATCGCAGCGAGAATGAGCCTACAGCCAAGGGGGGCAGCTCTTTTAGAGGCAAAATTGTGATGGTTGGGTTGAGTAAAATGAGCTGCATGGGTCCGCCAGTCGCCACTTCCTAGCGAGCCCGGGAGCGTCAGGGGCACCGCCTGTGCCTGGTATCGCAAGCCTCGCCGGTTCCGATGCCGACGACGCCCATCAAACAGTCTGGCCGTTGACTCCTTTCCCCCATTTCCCCATCACCCATCAACGCCAGCTGCATTACGTCTACATCTCGTCAATTTCCTCTACTCTCAATCACGCCTGCCTGCCTATCACAGATGTGACAGCTCTTGGCACGTAAGCTTAATCACCCAAAACATGCACTGGATGGTACATCCCTCCCAATTTAGAATATGATCGATCCTCTTCACGCCCATATTTCTGCGCAAGGAGACAACCCGACCTCGCCCTCTTGCGGCCGAGAATTCTCCGGCTTCAAGGACTTGCGGTGCAGATACTGTAGCACGCGCCTGTAAAGCCCTCCAGAGTGGCTGTTACGCTCGCTCTAAATCACCGGAATGCAGCTCTGGATGGGGAGGCCTTACGCCTTGCACAAGAAGTCACGGCATCTCCAACTCCACGCTCGAATGCTTTTCTTCTCCATCGAAAATCTTCTTAACGCTGACCTCATCCGGCTAGCCGTATGCATCCTAGCTACTAAGGTAGAGAAATCATTTCCAAATTGAATGAACCTCGGACACCAAGCTGGGTACTACATCTTCCCACATTCGACAGAACAGCCAGGTTGTGGAAGACATACAAAGCGGCCATCTGCGGGTGGATTATACCGCCTACTGAGCTTCAACTCGCAATGCCTAACGACGGGGTGTGCCATCGGATGCGGAAGAACGGTATATTTACGCTATGTACTATCCTGTCTCTGAGACGTTTCCGTAGCGCCGCCTAGGATGTGTGCGCCGCAATGGTTCTGGTACCCGGAGCTGGTCCAAGTGGACCTTCGCACAATTCCAAGGGCAGTCTTGAGTGCCCGTGTGCCCGATCATTTCATCTTTGAACCAACTAGTGCCCTCGTTGTCTTGACAGTGGCGGATGTCGGAAAGGAAACTCTGCCACTCCCAAACATCCGACTCCTGAACAGAGCCATGTCTGTTTGATGTACCATTAAAACAAATCCTCAGGCAGACGATAAGTCTTCTGACGCCGTCGCGTAACGACGCCCATTCAGCGTCGCCGTACTCGCGGGCCACTGCCCCACCACAGCCAAACTGCCACCGAAAGTTGAACAGACATAGGTGGTAGCACCCCAACCAGTGGTGTATGGACGACTCCTGCGCCCCGTAGTGCGCCACTTCTCTACGTCGCGTGGGAGGAGGCTGACTGTGTGATCTTGACGCAGTGTTTCGTGTACGAGCCGCTCGATACTGCATCAGCGTGATAATGCTCGTATCATCTTGCGTGCTGTCGACGAGGTCCAGGAAGGGTTCCCTTTCGTGGTTTAAGGCGTCTCTGATATCAATAGGCTCCGTGAGTATATCCTTGGACCCGACCAATTCCCAAGGACCTTCGTCATTCTCATCCTCAGTCGGAGGCCATGTTATTGTCTTGGGAACGTGGCTCTCTTTTGTAAAGGCTCCGGGCAATGGGTGCAACTTGTACACCGGGACATGGATATGGTTACGGAATGTCAGACTCCAGTCTGATGGTTCCGGACCGTATACTAGTTGCCCCAGTATCGCCCCGTTGTAGGGAATTGCGGAGGGATCGTAACCTTTTTGAATGCCCAGGGATTCCCAAGCCCGACTCTCCCTAGCCCCGTACTCACAGAGACTCAGCCCTGCTTCCTGTAACATGCTAGCCCAAACGAGTAAGGCCTTCAATTTCCTTTCGAATTCTCTTATATTGCCGGCTACGGTCCCATTTCTGGCGTCTAAATGCGTTCGAAGGGGTGTGAATCTCTGGCCTCGATCTCGTGCAATGCAGCAAGGGTTAACACCATTCTTCAGGACAGCAACGCCAATTTCAAACCATGAATTCAGCTCGTTCCGATGAGGGGAGCGCCAGTGCATCAGGTTCGAAAGCTGCTGAGCAACATAGTGCAACACCGATATGCCGTTTCGACTTCTAAGAGTAGCAAGTTTTGTATCCGAAGGTGGCAACTGGATGCAGTGGAGAAAACCAGATGGGTCCATGCAAGACCCGGTTCCAACTCGAACGGCGAATTCAAATCTGGACTCCGTTGGGAGGTTGAAGAACCCTGGGAGCTGAGTCTCAAGGATCAAATCCAGACATTGCTTGTGTGCACAGATATCGAGCCAACCATAGCGGACCTCTTCATCATCTAGGTCGGCCTCGAAATCAGGAGATCCCATGAAAAAGCGATACATCTGAGAAGTTTCTTCTCCATCCAGATGCGAATGGTTGGCCGCGTAGTAACCCAACGCAGAACTCAACAGCGCCGCCTGATCTGGCCAGGTGGTCTGACTCAGGAGAAACTGGCACACTTCTAATTGTCCATGTCTCGCAGCTTGCTAACTCTTACGTTAAAATGGCCGCCATAGACTTGGATGCAAGAACTCACTTCGATCAAGGTCAGGCTATAGTCCCCTGAGTAAAATTTAACGTCCAACGGAGTTGCTTGCCCATTCTCAAAGAGCCTCTGCATGCTCGCAATATCGCCAGAGGCACAGTATTTAAAGATTGGTGAGCCCATATGGATGACGCTATATGTACGCAGATGCATACTTCGCCGACATTGGGCACTGGTAATTTCGAGGTCCCAAATGCGAGCGCAAAGCCAGGTCGGGAGTCGGAAAGTAAACCGGAGATGCCTTCCGTCTTTCTTCTGCTTGACTGGCTTTGTTGGAAGAGAGCTACTGGTCTCATGATAAAGCTGTTTTGCTGTTAGTGCCTCGATGGTGTCTATCTCTGGATGTTATTGCAGTTACTCACCACCGCCGAGTTGCTTAATGTGGCTGGAGTGGTATACGGTATGGCCAAAGCCGGCTGGCTTGATGAACCTGGTGGTCCACGGAGCAAGGCCAGTTGTTCGGAAAGCCTCGTGTTTGCAACGGAGACCTGAGCGTCCAGCTCACTCAGGAGTGTGCCTTGCCGAGCGAGCAAGTTGTCATGTACTTGATCTCGCCGTCTCTGTTCTGCACCCATATACATCATGTACGCAAGTTCCAACGAGCTCTTCGCCCTCTCCAGGTCATCGAGTAACTCCTTGACTTCCTGCTCTTTGAACACGGAATATATCTTGCCAACCGTTCTGCCGTATTTCGCCATGTGGAGCTCCATTTTGTCGACTGCTCGCCGAACGTCACCCGTGCTCTGATAGCATTCCATCATGCAGCGCTCAAGCAGAGCTCCGCTATGACGGTCATGCTGCCGGTGCTGTTCCAGCTCTTTTAGAGCCATGGCCATCGTCTCCAAACTGAACACCAATCTTGCGACTGTTTGTGGTGCGTTTTTGGCTGAATGGTAGAGTCTATTCAGCTTCGTTGCGGTCTCAGCCAACTGGATCGCCAGCGACAGAAAGCTCGCTCCTCCGGCGACCACACCGAAGACGGCTTCAACGCCAGACATTGCGATGAGTGCTCGATTATCAAAATTGTGTGAATAGCGGAACCGACCAAGAGCGAAGAGGCGGTGTCAGTCTGGAAAGTGGGGTGTCTATGTGCAAGGCTGAGCTTTTGGAGGAGTAGTAGCGCAAGGCGTGCCTGCCCGATCAGGTAAGGAAAGCGCGGCGTGAGGCTGGAACGCCAGACATTGGGACTCGGGATGGTTGTTGAGGTGTTTTGAAGGTGACACTCAAGAGGATGGGGAAGAGGTATCAGTACGGAAGGATGAGTGTCAACGCGAAGGTTGACCCGAGGCTGAGCCTTGGAGCCGGCGGTGTAACGCGCGCCTGCCCAATCAAACGGGAGGGCTCAGTGCCAGGTTGACAGCCCGTCAGCCCAACGTCCCTAAGCAAGTGGATACTGGTTGAAACAGTACGTGATCACATAACTACAGCCGTTTAGAACTCTACTCGGTGTTTGGAATGATGTCTTCTTGCTCATCCACGGACAGATAGACTGGGATAAGTAACCTGAAGAAAGCTTTCAGTCCGCACAGCGGCCATTTCATCCGCAACCCCTAGAAGAAATCCTCAAGATCTTCCCTCGCTCCTCCATCTGAGCAGCACGATATAGGAGAAAAGAGAAAACCCGTCGACATGAAAAGTGCCCAAATGAGAAAGAAGTTCCAAGAAAGCCAACGAGATAGACACAGCTCAACAGACACAGCAGATGCTTGCACCACATGACCTCCAACACCCCCAGCGACAGCTGGCTATCCTCTGATCCTCTTCCATGAAGAATGAGGTGGTAGCGCAGGCTCGACCAGTCCGCCTTGCTATGTGTGTGATGATACCCTTCGTTCCAACCTTGCAACGCCGTAGAAATCCCGATCCTTTAATGGTGGTCGTTCAATTTGCGTTACGTGGTTGGTCTGGGTAATAGTCGAATTAAGTATCCGTTAGACGGATGATAGTAGAAAAAAATTCCGAATGCTGTATGCAGTATTTCGAGCATTTTGAGCCGAGTATGTAGCATGGAGGCGAGCTAATTATGTATTGTAAGGCATATGAGCGTGAGGGCAGCTAAAGTTCGAACCTCTTTCGAGGCCATCCTTTGCGCACCAAGGCTCGTTCGCCGGGCAAGGACAGCGGCTGGGTATTAGAATGAGAAAACCGGAAGACAAGGAACATGTCAAAACCAAGGCCGTCGCTACATCTGATGATTCTCAGGTGATAAGCTCGATGGGTCTATCGTGCCGAAAGACACCAGGTTCTGCATGTCCAAGTCGTCGGCGTTCTCTTCCAACGGGGATCGGAATGGTAGGTTGAGGGTTTGCTTCGCGTACATATCGGTCATCTGTAGCGCTTCCTCCGACATTCCGTGCTCATGTGACATGGGATACACATCCGCAGAGCCATCTCGGCCAAAGGAAGATAGCGGCGGGGATTGGTTCGCAATGATTGGATCGGGATGACTCATCGACGGCATGGGCGATGTTGCTGCGGCGGAGTGAGGCGGAGGTCCCATGGGCGTGTGGATGTACGGAGGAATATTGTACTGCGGGCCGAAGTTTGAAGCAGGCACGCCATCTGTGGGCGGGCCAGATGTGAAGAAGGCCGGTGTGCCATACTCAGAAGGTGAATTGGCGGTTGTCGCCGACATGGGGTATTGGCGGTAATCCATACCATAGCCGGCCGAAGTGTCAATGCTAAGGTTAGGGCCAATAGGACCGGACGCGCTCTGTGGGATGGGCGCAAAAATTTCAGGGTTCGGAGTGTATGGTGACGGCTCCGGGTGGATAAGGAAAGAAGGCATCGGGTTGCGCAGCAGTGAGAAGTCCACTGCGACGGGAACAGACCGACTGCGCTGGCGCTTGTGTCCACGGGCGTGAAGACCACCGGGACCAAACGGCGAATCCTGAAACACGCCTAGATGGGGATGTGCGACATGGTTGGGTTGCGAGGCTGGGCGGTGGTTGATTGGTGACACCGGGGCCGAGACAGCAAGAGCGTTCGGATCGTAGATGTTGTGGCGGTTCTGAAACGATTCCAGCGAGACGAGCTTCGCCAGCTGTCCGCTAAGCACCTTCGGGTGGCCGCCTAGGTGATGCACTAGAACCTGAGAAGCCTGCTGTTCCTCCGTAAAATCGCCACACTGGAAGAATCCACCTGATCCGGAAGAGTCCATGAAGAAATTCGGCGGGCGGTTGAGCTCCACGATGAGTCCTCCAGGGCGCTGCGAGGCTCCCTCAGCGTTACCATTCATGTCGCCATTTTCCAAGGTGATGTTCTTAATGTACGAGAAGGGGTACTCGATCTTGTATCCTGCTGAATCATTGTTGATGTAGTAGGTCACGCAGCACTTCTCAGGCGAGTAGAATATGACGAGGTCCATCGCGCTCTGGCCAACGCGTCGCCAGCTGCCAATGCTCAGCGAACGGCATGCGAAGTGGTGGATGACTGAAGCGCGTTAGCTGCGACTGGTCTTGATTCATAGTTTCAACTCGGGGCACAACTCACCGACTTTGGAGTTGCTAGTGTCCGTGTTGAGGAGCATGCCGCTACCGTATGCGGCCATTGACCCACCAGCGCGGCCAAGAAAGCTCGTTCCTATCGACTTGCCTGACTCCATGGCCTGAAGAGCGAGGTACCGTCGCATTGACTCCGGGATATCGTTGCAATCATCCCCGTTTTCGATGCTCTTCTTAGCAATGTTCTTTATTTTGGCGCGTCTGAGCGTTTGTTAGTGCCAAAACCAAACTCAATTCGCGCTCTGACAGTACCTGTTTTGGAACCATATCTGCACCGAGCGTTCGGTCATGTTAATCTCCGATGCTATCCTCTCCCGCACGGCAGCCGTTGGGGTGGGGTTTTTGTTGAATTCCAGCTCCAAAGTCACCAATTGATCCTGAGTGGCCCTCTGTCGCTTCTGATTCTTCTGCTGCTGGGTGAGGGTGCTCTTCCGCGGCGGTCGTCGCGGGGCTGAGCTGTGTGTTGGGGTGACGGCGGAAGCGGCAGGTGAGGGCGTCGGGGCCGGGTTACCGTCCTCGGTCGCCTGCATCTTGGATGCCTATCGCGTCTGAGAAAGGGTCGGATACGTGAAGGGATCGGCCGAGCTGGTCGCCTGTCTATATCGTCGTAAAGGGTCGTGAAGGAATGGGTCCAAGCAATAGTGGGTATGCGAATAGAGAAGGAGCTTGGTGAAGCTCGCGGCGGGATCAATGCCAAAGGAGCGTAGGGTTCCGCGTGAGTCCTCGAGGCTCGAAATCACCGTCCAGGCGCACGTGAGAAGCTGTCAAGGAAAGAAGCTGCTAGCCGGGGAGCAGGAATGAAGTCGTATCGACCGGGAGCGATTCGGAAGCCGGAGAAGGAGTGCAAGAGAGATGAGATCCTAAGGAGTGGACGGCAGAGCCTAAGGGTGCAGTATGAAATGAACGTGGGCGAAGGCCGAAAGGAGTGGCGGCTCTTCGCAGAAGTCGACAAGAGAAAGAGAAGGCTCACAGAGATCGCACCGGCGGCGAGGTGACGATGCGAAATCCGGATAGAGGAGATCAGGCGGGTGTAAATGAGGGACTTGGTGAGGGAGCGAAAGGGGAGATTAAGGAAGGGGCCTTCAAGCCAGCGGGCTAGGGGGAAGGCGCGCTAAACCAGCCTTGGCGGCGCGCTCGAAGCAGCAGGTGCGCCGGGCACGCCCAAGCGGGCAGGACCAGAGACACTATTCTTGTACCGCCGCCAGGCCGTTTGGCGCCGGCGACACTCCAGCGCGCAGCATCTATTGCGCGATGCCGAACGCTTGTTCACTCTTCTCATCAGTTTGTTGCGAGCCACGCCGGCGTCGAGCTGCCAGAGCGGCCGTCGCGCACCGCCCAGGCGTGCTGGCATCGAGCCCCGGGGCGGCCGAGCAGGCAGACAGAGCGCGGACAGGCACGGCGAGCGGCTCGGAGTCGGACAGCCCTGGCCACCCCCATCGGTGCGTGGGCGACAGGGTGGGCGTGGTGCTGCGATGCCGTGTCATCAAGCTCCATCCCAAGACTCAGGAGGCCTTTCGCGGACGGGGCCCTCCCTCGCCCGCAAACACTGGCCGCTAGCCTGACGACGGCTATTTGGCCAACCACTGGGAGCGGCTCCGCGCACGAACGTCTTAAAACGTTTTGCATGCTGGCGCATAAAGGTACAGGTCGTTCGAGAAGCGCGATTTACCCACAGTCCGCACACGCTGCGGGGCCAGGAGTGGAGGAAAAACATGTCCGGGAATAGCATAAGGGCAGCAGCTTGCTTGGTTTGTGCATCTGAGGGGTGCTCATGCCGCTGCCTGTTCAGTGGGCACAACCTCACGCAGCGGAGTCGATTGTGCAGCGTGTTCTCGTGCAAGGAAGCCGACTGTGAGCCACCGCCCGGCCGATTGATTCACGTAGAGGCTTGCGAGTCGGACCTCGGCCTCGACACCTCTGCCTCAGGCTGCATCATCCACTGCGGCAGCGGAGGTTTTGTCCGTTGCTGACCGTCTGTGGCGGGTATCGCTATCGTGAGAACAGTGCTCGACAGCCCCTCGTCGCTGATCACTCGGCTCACCCGAGACGAGAGACCAAGCGCCGACGCCCGTTCCGTCTGATCACGCCCAATTGATGTGCCCGTCCGACAAAGACGCAACTGAACTCGCTCACACAATCACTACCGGGTTTTCTGCTGTTCATCAATATGCTGAAGCGGCCGGTCCGGCACGCCAGTCAACCCGGCGTCTATTCGCCCTAGGGCTGTCAATATGTAGTGCTAGCCCCCCTGTCCCACGCATCACAAGGCTCACGTCAGGCACGCAGTCGGGGCCTGCAGCTAGCGAACGACAACAAGCCAGGACCCGGCCGTTCCTGGATCGTACGGTAGTCTCGATCCTCGCGATCCAACAGCCTTGGCCGCTCACCATCCACCGTCAAAGCAGCCGCCTTTCAACTACACACACGCAGACACCTTCCAACACCGCTCCTCATAATGCGCTGCTCCGTTTCTAAATAGGGTTTCTGGCGCGGTATGGCGCAATCCGCATTGAACGGCTGCGAGCGCGGCCCCCACACCCTGTTTCAGCGTAGCACTTCGGAAAGCTACCTGCGAGTGGACTGCGCGTTCGAATTCAACCGGGATACTTCTCTGTCGTGACCTACAAACACATGGGATCGTGGGAACGGGATGGTTTCTCTGTCGCCTTGCATTGAAGTGCATCTCCTCTCACAAGCTCTCCCTCAGGTAGATCGACTAGCAAAATCTGCAGGACACGTTTCGAGAAACCCCTTTATAGCAGGAAGGCTCGGGTCGTCCGCCTCAGTCCAGACGCTAGCATCTCCCGAGGTTGGTCTTGCAGCTGCTGCGGAGGCGATATCCTAACGTCTAGATATTTTCGTTCACGAGGAGTACTGCAGCTCGATACCGACTGCCCGGAATACCTGCTCTCGCTTCTTCAGGTCGAGGCTTGCGCCAAGGGTGAACAGCAGCTCTTTGATCCTGCCCTCCCACAGCACTCCAATGCGCCAGTCCTGGTCGACGCGGGCTTTGAGGATGCCAGACACATCGTCATCGGGCCCAACCGTCGGCCTCCTCCAGTCTGGGCGCAGCTTTTTAACCGCCCATTCCACGTCGGTGTTGCTGCGGCGTCGCCACAACTCGCAACCGAGCTGCAGCTCGCTTTCGTAGGAATAGAAGTTGAAGTCAAACCGGGAGCACAGCGCTAGGTTGTGGCTGGCCTTGACAGCATAGGTGGAGGAAAGATTACCCATCAACGGATTCAACGTAAGCGTCATCGTATACGGAAAGCCCGTATGGTTGGGCAGCGTCGTAAAACGTAAGCCGGTGCTGATGCCGCCGCTCTTGTTCAAGAGTCCATAGTAGAGTTCCGCTCCGGCGCTGAATCGGCCGTGCACGGGTTCAGCGACTTGCTGAGCGGTCATAGGCTCCGTGGGCGCAGCTCGAGGATCCCGTCCGAAGTTGTAGAGACCCCGTATCCCCATCAATGCCGAATCGGTGCTGTACATGTACTCCGTGCTATATTTGCCCACATCGTTCTGCAGCAGCGTGAGGATGGTGCCGCCATTGTTGAGGTTCGAGTCGCTGACGGCAGAGACACGCAGCTGCCGGGTCGGTGACAGGCGACGCAGATACAGGGCCTCTAACCTGGACTGAGGCAAGAATATGCGTCCGTACAGCAGAGTATCTGCATTCCATCTTAGCTCCCTCCGTCTATTGGTCATGGAGCATCCTCACCTTTGCGGTCGATCCGTTTCCCGCTGTGCCATATCTCCCACCACCAATCCTCGTCTGGCCTCCTTAGGTCTTGCAGATGTCGATAACCTCGTACAACATGGTGTAAGTCGAGATCGACGCTTTTGAACTTCCTCCTCAATGGAAGCGAAGAGTACAGGTAAGACACGGAGCCATCGACAAACCCCACACTTCCTATCGTATACGAGGTCGCGAAATTTGAGGCGGCAAGGGAGGATATCTGGAGTCTCAGTCCTCTCGGTGTCTGGAAGTCGAGCAATGCTGCATAAAGTCAGCGTAGGTCATGGGACGGAATGTGGAGTGAGACCTGCCTCGCGCGGTCGCGTTCAGGGCGCCATAGGAATTGTCGACGTTCCAATGCGAAGCTTCATAGAATGCATTCTGCACATTCTCCATAAAATCCAACATGTCTTCGTCCGCGCGGCATCATTCCGTGTCTGGGTCGTTTGGTCGTGGAGAGCTTGAGGCCTGCAGGAAGCCGCACCAAAGCTCGAAGCTGCAGCCGAGGCTGCCAAGCCCATTCTCGCTAAAAATTCCCCGCTGTCTGTGGACTACGAACTTTTTCTGTGCACCTTCAATCGAGAGTCAGTTCAGCATCATAACGCCAATATGCCGAAGTCAAAGCGCGCGAAAGTCGTCCACCTGTCTAAAACAGATAAGAAGGGCAAGGAGCTTTCGCAGAAGGTCTTTGCCAATGTGCAGGAAGCCGCCGATAACTTCCAGCATGTCTTCGTCTTCTCGGTGGAGAATATGCGAAACTCTTATTTGAAGGACCTGCGCGCCGAATTCTCGGACAGCCGGTACTGAAAGTCCCTCTGCGCCCGTGAGTTCAGTGCTAATTGGCGCATAGCTTTTTCTTCGGCAAGACAAAAGTCATGGCCAAAGCCCTCGGAACGACGCCCGCAGACGAGCACCTCACGAATCTGTCCGCGCTCTCCCCATATCTCGTCGGCGAAGTCGGCCTCTTCTTCACAAATCGCGAGCCTAGCGAGGTCATAGAGTACTTTTCGTCCTACTCACAAACCGATTTTGCGCGCGCCGGCATTCGCGCTACGCAGACCTTCACGGTTCCCGCGGGAGTGGTATATTCAAGAGCTGGAGAATTGCCAGCTGAGGATGACGTACCACTGCCGCACAGCCAGGAGACCACGGTCAGAAAATGGGGGATGCCCACAAAGCTGGACAAGGGAAAAGTGGTACTGGACGCGCCGTACACTATTTGCAAAGAAGGGCAGCTATTGAATAGCCATCAGACAACACTGTTGAAAATGTTCGGCGTCGCCATGGCGGAATTTAAGGTCGACATGAAGGCTTACTATTCGGCGGCTACGGAGTCTGTCACGGAGGTCGGTGCCATGGAAGAGTAGGATGCTGGGAAACTGAGGTGCAGCTGCTCGCATGACGACGGCGTTCTCAAGGCGTTGGGCTAGATTTGGAAAAGTCCTTCGGTTCTAGATCATACGGATGTTCACGATCATGATCTGAGTCTAATATACCCCGTTTTCTTGCCACTTGAGGATCCTCTTATCCGCCCAAGCACGGTGGAGGATCTTCCTCTCCCGACCTCTAGTCTTAGGTCTCAAATTCACACGGACGTGCGCCCACAGACATTTGTCTGCCCATGTACATGATCAAAAGACCTCAACAGACCGAACAGATGCGCAATACCAGCACAAATAACCAAGCAATGCATAATCTGATGGCTCGCGCCCCAAATATCGAAGCGGTTCGGATACCATTTCTCTGGGATCTGCGTATATTAGTTTGAATTCGTTCGTTGTCAAAGTGAACCTACCCTCATCGCGTAAAGCGCACCACCCGTTAAATTGAACGTCGTCATTAGCAACATCCAATCCAGGCTCATCCTCCATACTTGGGTCTCCCACCCAAACTTCACAACGCCGTGGACGATGGGGATGATGAATGAGAGACCCAAGCCGGAGTACATGGTGGTGCGGTAATGACGGTACTTTGGCAGGCGGAAGGAGGGGTGCAGCGTGGCGTACACGCAGAGGACTGCTAGGACGGAGACGAGAGTGTAGTAGGTTGTTTGGAGGGACGGTGTGCAGTAGAAGCCGTAGTACACGCAGGGCATTGTGGATCCCCACATGAGAATGACGATGCCGAGCTGATTGTTGTGGGTATATACTTCGATCGTAGGGAAAGCATTATGACTTACATAATCGAGTTGATTCCCGAAGACGTGGGTTTTCTCGCTGTGGTTGTTGAATATGTGGAATCTGCTCTTGCTTTCAACCTTTTCGCTCCACGCCATGGGGGAAGACGCATCTTACGTCGCCGAAAGTAAGAAGCATATTGCTACACCGAAGAAGAATGTTGAGAAGACTATGATATCTGCGGTAGATGCTGATTCATATCTTGAGCGTAGAGACTCGTAGAGGATGAAGGGCAGTGTGAAGAAGAGTGCGGAACCGATGAGATGGGAGTGGATATTCACTTCATGTCTGTTAGCGACCACATTTGGATCTAGCATGGTGCCTATGAAGATATTGACAAGATCAAGAAACCCACCTGTCTCATTATGTATCTGTGTTACGGTTGCAATCGATTTTCTATATGAGCTGGAGACTGTTCTGTGAAATCATAGTCAGCTACGAGATGATGTAAAGAGAATTTCAATGCTGTACCTGTATCCAGACAGTATGTACTCATTGTCCCTTGCACATGTCGGTGCTTTGTATTAGGGCACGTCTGCTCTCAAACTTACTGGTACCATGCAGCTGTCTATTGATTAGCTAGGCGCTTCAAGGGATAACGAAGTTCCTACGAATTTCATCCCACGTCAGCAGCGGTCTCTTCTTTTCGGGAGATGTCTCTACTGGCCTCCCTACTGGCCTTCCATTCGTATGAATAGACTGACAGTTCAAGTCAGCAATATTGTTCTAATCGGTCTGAATGTAGACTCACGCCGTTCTGGGCCGCGCTCGGTTTTCGAAGGCGTGTTCGGCCCATTTGAGGCTCCATGACGTTGAAAATTCTTGTTTAGCTGGATGTTGCTTTTTTAACGGCTAGGTTGCTGAAATCCGGGACCGCTAGCATAAATAACCTCTCAGAGCCGCCTAAGCGCCCGCTCTGAAAAGTCCGTGAGTGTGAAGGAGCTAGCGCAGAAGAGGCAAGTGGAAGCACAGACCTCCCACACCGTGAGGGCCAGGTTATCCAACACTCTTCCCTTCACACCTGCGCAACTTCAAACATGTCGCGATAGCAGGGCGAATGATCGATCGAAGAGACGCGGAATGATCCCAAGCGAGCTCCTTGTACGCCATGTTCGCCCCCACCTGTCCCCACGTCAATAGTGGCGCGCGCCGTGCCGCTCACACATACGTTTCAGCCGGGCAGTGATGATTGGAGTTCGCCCTGTCCAGGCGCTTAAGATGCAACAATATCATGTTTGTCGCGTTAGAGCCGGGATGATTTCCGCTATGAAGAGCATCGTCCCGAGACAGAGACCTGCAGAAATACCCTCTATTGCGGCTACTTCACTCCTCTTTGCCTAGTTGGGGTCTTTGATCATTGATAAATTCGCTCGCGGGCCGAGTATCAATGTACTCCCGGACGATTGCCTCAGCCTATGTGCTTCCAACCTACTTCTCTATCGCTTGGGCGGCTGGACCGCACGACATGCAGACCGTAGGGTTTGTTCAGGGTGACAATCAACGCGATACCATCTCGTTGCTCGTCAGTTGCCTCGTAACCCTCAGTCTCTGCGTCTATTCCGCCATTCACCTTAACTTGCCGGAAAAGGGTGAACGCTATCACTGGATGTTATGGAGGGAAGCCAAGTGGTGCACAATTGGCCTCTTTGCTCCTGAGCTTGTCCTATATACTGCATGGAGACAATTCGCCTCCGCCAAGCAGCTATGCGATGAAGTTGGACGAGCAATAGATTCAGCCGAGAATCATACTGAACAGCGAAAGATGAGTGAAACAGAGAAGGTATTGATTGCCCTTCGCCTCTCCTATCCCATTCCTTGACAAGGTCGGAACGAAGTCAGGAAGCCTGACTAGTCATAGATTGCTTCCGTCGATGTCCTCTCGCAGAAACCTAACCGAAAGCGTTCGTGGACTATAGCCCACGGGTTCTACGGGTCAATGGGCGGCATTGCCATTGATCTAGGCGATGACGACTCGGCATACGCGCACATCTTTGGAGGAGCTAAACGCCTTACTCTTACCGCAAAAGGGGTCGCGCTACTAGCACGCTGTGGCCACCTTCCCGACGTTTCTGTAGACGACATCAAAGACAAGAACAAGGCAGACTCTCTGGCGAAGCTCCTCGTCTGTATACAAGCCGGATGGATGATAGTTCAAGTCATCAGTCGACGCGCTCACGATCTTCCTACAACTCTCCTCGAAGTCCATACCGTCGCGCACGTCGTCTGCGCTTTACTCATGTACGCCGTTTGGTGGCACAAGCCTCGGCAGGTCGAAGTACCGACAATGCTTCGCGGAGACTGGGTGTGGCCTCTGGCGGCATACATGTACTCAGCGAGTCGGATGAGTGGAGCGCGGCCGAAGGGAGTCTTGGGCAACTTTCTTAACCCCAAGCCGGAGATGAAACAACTTGTCTATCTTCAAGGGAGCAATTTGTGCGCCTCTTCTCCCAACGCGATAACCATTAACGAGAGAGAACATGGAAGAGTCATCAATAGTAGCAACGGCCGCTTTGCTCCTTGCCCTACGAATCCCGCCTCGAGCCAACACCTTGAACCTGAGGTTCCACCTCCGCACGATGAAATGCTAGAGGCACGAAGGATATTAGCTGCGCAGGCCGTTGCGGCGTACCCGGCGCTTCGTTCCAAATTCGAAAGACTTAACCCCCACGACGAACGAGCGGCTGACTCTGAACGCCTCATCCCCTACACTGCCGAACTCGTCCAGCCCTACTCCCTAAACTGGCCAAACGCCGGGCTCCTTCGTCGTACGCAATCTCTCATCATGGGCATGACACTCTGGGGTGCCTCCATGGCCTATGGCGGCATCCACGTCTCCGCTTGGCAATACTTCTTCCCCACCTATGCCGAACAGCTCCTATGGCATCTTAGCTCTGTTTGGGTTACTTTCTGCGCCGGCTTCTGGCTCATGATTCACCTACTGGCGTACTTCTTCCCCTTCATTGATCGGATCTGGGTAGCGTATAACGAGAGGAGACTGGGGTCGTTGTCGACAGGAGTCATCACCCTGTTGTGCATTCTGTGTGGAGTGAGCTTTGTGGGGAGTAGAGCGTTTTTGGTGGTGGAGGCTTTTGTGAGTATAAGGGTAGTTCCGAAGAGGGTCTATGATTCGCCGGGTTGGTCGCAGGTTTTCCCGCATCTTTGAGTTATGGAAAGCATTTGGTTCAGTCGAACGTTTCAGTCTCGTAAGTTAATATGGCGTCTTTCGGCAGATATGCAGTACCAACCTCGTCTAGCTGTGCTGCTTCCGGATCATACGCCTCATACAGCCGTATTGCTCCTTCAACGCTCTGCACCAACCGAAGAAGAGTAGGGTTGCTCGTGCAGCTAAAAATGTGCCATTGCACCCAGTGGTGAAGGCCTCCAGGGTGGCTGTTACGTGCGTCGTTATATCTAGAGAATTTCACACCGTGAGCGAACACCTGACAAGGCTTCGCATGGCATAATTCTACATTCGACCTCATCACTCTAATTCCAAGGAGAAGGGGTAACTTAAAACAAGAAAAATTAATTAATTAATTAGGCACCTACCTCCACGAGCTTTATAATCACCTTGTCGGACATAATAAAAACCTTCTCAGATTACATAGGTGTATTACCTACGTACGTGCGCTCACCCAGCGCGGCTTGGTTAGAGGTGGAAATTTATCTGTCGGAGCCTCATCCCGAAGCTTGGTCCACATCTGGTTGATCTTGTCCGCAATTTCAGGCGCTAGTGGTCCTTTCTTCAGATTGTTCAAGGTGCTCTGGAGCTGCTCGATGTTGTGGGCCCCGAGCAAGATCCCGTCACCATATTCGGCGTTCAGCTGAGAGTTGAAGGCAACCCAGCGGTATGCAAGCTCGGCTTTGCTGCAGCCGGTAGCGTTTGCGATGCTGTCCCAGACTGCAAGCGCTTCCAAGTACGCCGGCTTCTTGTACATTTTGGTGTACATGCTGTCTCCCGGAGACGACTCATTGAACCTCCCGGCACCTTTCTCGATGTCTTCCTTTGTCTTCGACAGAAACCCCCCAGCCATTGGAGAGTATGCGTAGAAGGAGATTCCCAGCTTTTTAAGCGTAGGAAAGAGTGTGTTCTCAAGCCTTCGGTCGACAGCGGAGTAGTTTCCTTGGTATGCTGTTGGCAGAGGAAAACCATTTGCCTTGCAAACGTCGAAGACCTTCTGCACATCCTCAGGTTTGTAGTTCGACAAGCCGAAGCGATAAAACTTGCCCGCTTTGTAAACCTCATTAACTGCTTCCAGGTTTCCTCGAGAGGCGTTTCGTAGTCAGGGGCGTGGATATTGAAGATCCCAAGTTTGTCGATCTTCAATCGTTCCAAAGACTGGTTGATACCTTTGATCACTCAGTCTCTTTTCGCAGAGCCTGGCTCGAATTCTCCCTTGATCTTGCTGTCGATCGTGAAGTCCTTTCCGGCCTCTGCTCTTCCCAGCAACGCTTCGCTGTCTCCATACAAATGCGCGGTGTCAATCCTACCGACGCCTTCCTTCTTCAAGACTTCCAATGCTTTCTTCAAGACAGCGTTGTCTTCATAAACCGTTCCTGAACCAACTGACCCACCACCAAACACGAGTTCGATGCCGACCTTTGAAGCCGCCATGTTGTGGAATAGGTTGAAGGAGTAGCGAGTCCGTAGTTAAGATAGCGTACCTCGCATAAACATCTGGAGCACAAATGAGCACGCCTCAGGCGAGGGAGCGGGCAAACCCTGAAAATTTGCGGCTCTGCTCGGGATGTGGAGTTTCTGAGGTCACGTCTAGTGCGAAGCGGACGCCTTTGAGACCAGGCTTTTCGCGGCGTGCATGCAAGCATCCCACACGAAGGCCTCTTCAACCGCCGGATCTGGTTAGACCACGCGATATCGTCAGGCCACCAATTTGCCTTCTCGTTGCCTCGCCACATTTGAAGGACGACAAACCCTATTCCTTAGGAAACCCTTCCACGGCCGAGAGAAAACTTAAAAATGCTGCTTGATGCACAGCGCCCTGACGCACTTCCCCACCGTTGCTCTCAAATCAAATCCACCCGTCACATTTAGCCCGAGTCAGCCTAATTTCTGAACCGGAGAATCCATCGTGCGCGTACAAATGGGGGATCGAATAGACCTAAGTGTCCTAGCATCGGCTTTGCCACGTCGCCCGCTCCCCATTCGACACGACGTCTATCCGTTCATCGATCCACGCAATTTCCTCGGAAAGTTAAAGGGAAAGGTAGTTGTGGTCACCGGAGCGGGCCGTGGTATTGGACTTGAGATTGCCAAAGCGTTCGCGTCAGCTGGTGCGTCAGTTGCATACATATCGCGAACCGAGACGGAGCTTGATAGGGCCTTCACATTGCTTCGCGAGAGCTTTTCGGCGAAGGCAATCGCTATCGTTGCAGACGTGTCAGCCGAGGATGCGCCATCCACGATCATCGGTCAAGTCAACGAAGGTTGGGGCCAATCGACATTCTCGTGAACAACGCAGGCATATATCGATTGATTGGAGCACGAGAAGGACTTCACCCACTGGTGGCGCTTGATAGAGGTCAACTTACGTGGCCCGGTTGCCTTGACGCATGCAGTCCTGCCCCAGATGATCAAGCGCATGACAGGTACCATCATCTCACTGGGCAGTCGAAGCGCAATTCGTACGGCGCCCTTCTCGACTGCACACAGCGCATCAAAAGCCGCTCTACTTCGATTCCACCAGAACGTAGATTGCGAAATCCGGCAGTACGGCATTCACAGCTACTACGTTCAGCCTGGAGACGTGCCAACTTCAATCGCCCCCGGCCAAGGGGTCATCAATCTCGAAACAGCGGCGAAAGTGCCCCAGCTTCAGCATGTACTACAAAATAGCATTGGAGCATCTACGGAGTCACCTAGGTTGGCAGCATCCACAATTGTATGGCTGAGCGTCAGTGAAGATGCACGGCTGTTGAGTGAAAAATATGTTAATGCTGAGAAAGACTTGGAAGGCGTGATTCTCGACGCTAAAAGGGCTGATCTAGGAGAGATTGTGAAGCGCAATTTGTATTCCATTAAATTAGAGGAACTCGACTTCATTTGAGGAGAGGCGTGGTCCACCATAGTAGCAAAACGCTGGGCGCCGCTCACTTGTTGTATGAAAACACCAAAGCACGAACCTCGATGGTTTCTCGTGGTGGCGCGTCTGGTCGCACGCCATCCAGCTTGAAAGATGTGTGGGGGCAGCCTGCTAGGTATTAGCATAATGAGGTGACTTAAAGCGATGGCACTAGATTGACTTACACATAGAGTTTTTCGTTTCATCCGAGTCATGAGTCTTGAAGATGAGTGCTTCGTCTTTGGTCTGCCGACTGAGGAAATACCACTTGTACTTCGGGCTGTACAGTGAGTAATTGCTCTCCCCAACGTAGAGCCTCCTGATATGATCCACTCCCACGCAATCTTTGAGCGAAACGCGACTACCATCGCCAACGGCGAGCTGGTAATCCTCGATCGTGTGTTCGAATGGGCGCCAGACACGACACAACAAGCATCAACCATATATACTCCAGTTAAATTTCACGCGAGCACAAACTTACTTGATAATGCGGTAGCGGCACTTGAGCAGATCTTCTGCTCGATCACCCATGTGGTGGCGAATGCGTTTCTCGGTCGCTCCAGGTGTTTGATCTTGGTTGGGATTTTCAGAACGGCTGTTGTCGGTGGGACGGCATACACATACCAACATGCACGTAGCTCACTGGCTTAATCCATTCCATCGAGTCGTCGAGGTACACATAGTCCCCATTCTGCTTGTCGGTCTTCCTGCTGTCGCTGGTGCGGATCTACCAGGTGAAGCAGGTTAGTAGCAGCTACACTTGGGGGTGCCCTCGCCGGAACATACCTGCCAGTTGAAGCATACCACCTCATCGGATACTTCTACAGTTTCTCTAATCAGATCCGCCACCTGTTCCAGGTACCCGCCTTCCCCTTCGAGCGTTTCCGTGTTGTATTCACCAATGTCGAATTTACATGTTTTGACCATGAGGCCGTTATCGTCCATGTTAAACTCGGACTCGCGGCCTCGGATGTCAACAATGTCTTCTTTTGGACCCTCTTCGAAGACCAGGTTCGATTTATCGCGGCCGGGTGGGACGTCCATCAGAACTTGATACGGTTTCACTTTGTCGTACAAGTCCTGCCAAGCCAAGTAGGTTATGTGTTTGCGTACGGTGGTTTGCGGCAACATGGTCAGGGTAGCCATGGCCGGAAGATTTCGAAAAGCAAAGGGAAGTGGGAGCTGAACGCTTGTAAGTCGGGAAGGAGCGGGCTTTATACTGGAAGGCAAGCCAAGAAATTTAAGGTCCAGCGGCTCTCACATCAAGGTCACGTAAGGCTAGGTTTCGGGGACTGAGATTCGAGCATTGCAAAAAAATTGATAAATTGGCTGCTCATTCGATAAAGACAGTACACTTTGGAAGCTCTCCATGATCGACTACCAAGTTTCCGTTCTCGGTCATATGATACCGAACATGTACGCTCGTCTTAATATCCCCACCGTTCTCATAGCGGCAAAGCTGTTACAATGATTAGTTCATGAATGTGCCATTTTCGAAAGTCTTTTATTGATAGACTTACAGGTGTGGCCTCAAGCAGCCACATGATCACCCTTGCTCTGCTTCGTCTCTGCGTTCACGGTGAGTACATCACGACTATCTTCTTTTGCAGTCATCTCCTTGGCGTCCTCGTACCATGCGGCCCACGGTCTCTCGCGATTATCTTCCTCTGGGGCAGTGAAATACCGCTTGACCTCGTCAGAGGGGCTCTGTTCGTTGATAGCTGGTGGAGCTATTGGACTTGACAAAGATTTTAGCAGGTAAGGCAGATTTCAGAGGGTGGTGTTAGAAGCAATTTTCCAAGATGAGTCGTGTTGGTTGGAAGGCAATCACCTAACGAAGCCCTCTGCCGCTTTTATGTTAGACGGAGGAGCCCAGCATGCGGGTGCTTTGGTATTGGTCCCCGCACTTGGCTGTGGCATAGATCAGCTGGTCCAGATGTCTCAACTGGTAGACGCCTATGCTGATGATCAATAGCCTTACCTTTACCTTATCAGCCCATCAAAAGCAACCATTAGTGACACTTCACTCGGAGCCCCGCCCGGACAGATGGGTCATTGTGGCGGCAACTCGAAGACGAACTAAGCTAGAGCTGGCACGGTTTGCATCCAGTTATTGAAATTAGGCGCGAATTCAAGCCGTGTTCTTTGTACTGGCCCTTACGATCCATGCGTGTCCGCCTTCTCGTTCTGCCTGCATGGCGTGTTTTCCGCTACGACTGCGATTCGCTATTAACAGTGATCGGCCCCGGAACATAGAGTGAGGAGTGCATATGAGCTGGTCACACTGAGGAAAAGGCTCTTTCATTGGGCGTGAATGGTAGCTGTGACGACAAAGCACTGACCGTAATACCCTCATGCAGACCTCACAACCTTGAACCCCGGCTTACCATCTTGCTTCAGAACCACACCCCGCAAAAGGGAATTCGGATGGTCGAAGTGAGCGGACGGAAGAGCGGTAAAAGATAAGAAAATTGGCGGAAAGGATTGAGAGCGCCTGGACATGGACCGTAGAAAGGACCTCATTGCACTGTTACTTTGGTTGCGTTTCTGACCCTGAGTATTCCTACCTACTACGGCAGGCAGGTTATGCCTTGCGGAAGGTCTCCAATTCTGGAGCCATTGGATCATGATGCCAAGTCAAAGAGTCTATTGCACCCGACTGCACATTCGACGAATGAAAGTAGAAGTTAAAATAGTCCTGTTTGAACTGGTAATATCTCGCTCGCTTGGCTGTCTCATCTCGCGTTAAGGTCTACTTAAACGTGTCGTCGTAGAAAAAGCGGAGTTCATACGCGTGCTTCTCCGAACCTTGGAATTTAAGCTGGAGGACGTCTTCTTTCTGATCACTACGGCGTATCCGGATGAAGAAGATGCCCGTATTGTCGTAGCAAACGCCGACGTAGGCATCCCAGCCATTTTCTAGGGGCCCACTTTGGCGTCTTTCGCGAATCTCGTCTTGCATGCTATTGTAGTATTCCAGACACTAACAGGTAAACTTGCGTGCTAACTCAACCTAGTTAATAAGTTGTCCGATAGGAAGGATGCGTCGATTGTTACCCATGACCCCCACAACGCCAGGAAGCTAAGTACGAATCCATCCCAGGGCATATAACCTCTCCCTGAAAGTAGGGTTAACCACAGGAATATGATGCGTAAACAATTGGTCTGACTCGCGGAGTGCGCCCTCTGCCTTACGTAGCAGCTTTTCAGCAGCCTCTAAGACTGCCTTAGAATATTTAAGCACATCGTTAAGAGAGGTGTAGATGCCCGCGGCAGCCTCAAAAAAGTGGTAGCGAAAGTCTTGGCGATATGGTAGCTCGTAGGGCGTGCCGTCTGCAAGCGCCGCATAGGGCTTTGCGAAGTTTAGGGTCATGTTAAAGTCAAGTTCGCATACAGTCTAGTCCAGCCTGAGAGGCTTGGTGACGTAATCACGCAAACTCTCAGCTAGAGTCTTGCCCGTAATACGCTTAATTATAGCCCTAAGCACCAAGTACCTATGGCTATTATAGATCCACAAGGCGCGAAGCGAAGTGACTAGAGGGAGCTTTGCCAGGTATGTCCAGAAGTCTTTAGATTAGATGAGATAGTTACCGTCGCCTTAGAAGGTTAGCTAGAAGGCGCCCGTTAACCTAAGTCTGTGCGCCGCCAAGTTAATAAGACTGGCCTTGTCTGTTACCACTTGGGACGAAGTCCTGAATTCCGGCACAACTAACTTCGCAGGCGCAGTCCAGGAAAGTTTGCCCTCTTTGACCGGCGCGGCTATTACAGCTGCAAAGTACGACTTAGAACAAGAGCTAATACCATCCAGCGTGTCGCCATTAGCCTACTGCCTAGAGGCGACGTCTTTAAATCCAAAGTGCTTAGAGTAGATGACTTCGCCTCCATAGATAACTCTGACCGAAGCGCCGGCTACGCCTACGATTTTCAAGATTGCCTTAATGGTTGAGTGTCGTGACTTCAGCCATTCTGCGATGCTTGCCAGATCCTGGATTGGTGGGGCCATTCTGAAGGCGAAGAGGAGCAACTAGACTCTTTGAATTACTAGGTTTAGCATGCTACACGCTGTAGCTTTTGTGTGCGGCAAAGAATGGTAGGTTATCTGCGTTCCTTTGCTGTAACGATAACAAGGTGTGCAGTTTTCAGAACGGACGAGGCTTGGTACAGTACTACGCTAAAAGTTTAGTGTGCGAATACGAGTTTCTAACATCTTAACGCCGCTATATAAAAGGTAATAATCCACGAGGTCCTAGAGAGCGTCAAGGAGGCGGTTCGCATGGTTATCCCCGGCGGCCTGCTTAGTTCCGACTCGCGGACGAAATCGACAGGGAAGGTGATATCTAAGGCCCCCTCCCAGAACTTGAACGCAGGAGGTGAGATTACCCACCGAAGGTGGAAGCACCAGTTCAAAATGCAGACTTGATGAAGAGGAAGTCGGCGGAGCTGCGACCAGCATGCGACTAGCATGCGAAACGGCAGCGTCTGCCCACATGGCAGGACCAAGGTTTTGCTCCCGGAAGGGGGATTTTTCCTAAAGAAATGGCGCTTCGCCCTCATGGTCCTTAGCATAAGAGCTAGATAGGGACGTAACAGAACTATATAGTTTAGAAGAAAGCCAATCAAGCTTGTTAGCTTCTAAGGTTGTCTTTCCCTAGAGGCATGAGCGGAAACGACAGTAGACAAGCAACCAATCATAGAGAGCGGACATTGTGAGATAAGAGTTTGCTACGAGGAATATGAAAGTATCACTAGCCCTAGATAAGCGACATGCAGCCATATACCTTTCTAAGGTGTTCCCAAGTAATATGCTCCCCGTAGATGAGCTTTGCAACCCTCTTCGCAGCCCAAAGGCTTCCCTTGGGTGAAGCCATGTACTGACGATGCATAAGTTCGGCGCTTTCAGAGGCCATGTAGGTGGAAAGTGGTGTAAGATGCTGACTCTGCTTCATGTTCTCTTGCTGCTGACCCAAGGGCGGCGTCTTCCCTCCCCCCTTCTCTTCCTCTTTCGCGTTCTCATTCTCCATTTCCTTTACAAACTGTATAACGAGCTTCTTGAACTCCACGATCGGTCGATTCTCCTCCTCAGATAGCCCAGGGAAAATGACCAGTTCTGGACAGACAGACAACTGTTCGATTGGCGCAGCCTGCGCGTTGCTCCAATCAATAACTCCGGTCAGATTGTATTCGTCATCGAAAAGAAGGTTTCCGAAATGGAGGTCAAGATGACACAGTGGAAATGGGCCTCGGACTCTATCTTCAATGACGGTGTGGGCTAGAGCTGTTTTCAGCACCCAACATGCCGTAAGCCAGTCTGCATTGTTCGGGTGCAAGGCGACGATTTCTCGGTTTTCCCCTTGTCGTTGGTTGTAAAAGTATTCTAGCGACATTTCCAAAGGCCCGGGCGAATGATGCCACGCCATGGGAATGATTTCCACAGGCTGATCCGCGGCCTCTCCACACCAAAGTCGTCCAATGCGGCTAAAGGTCAGGTTTTGGAGTTCCGCAAACACATTTGCAAACTGTTTGGCTACCTTGGTATGATATTGTCGAGGTATCGATTTCGCCAGCCCATCATCGAGTTTACGGCCATCCAAGTACTCCATCAAAACATACGGGTATCCGAATGGTTTGTCTATGGACATCTCAAAATCGAAAATACGAGGTATGGGGATACTTGTACGTTGGCGGACGATGTTCATGGTGGCTATCTCGCTCAGCAACGAGGTCTTGGTGTTGTCATCGATGGTGCGATACGGAATCCGAGCAATCCAATAGGTGTCGTCAGAAAATGCGAGTTCAAGAACCAGGTTGTTGAAACCCGTTGCAAACTGGGTTAGGTTTATGCTGCAGTCGATATCGGGAGGTAGGTTCATTTGATGTTTGCGCCGCGAGTCTATTGCGCACTCCCTCAGATGCTTAAAGCTCGCTGAAGACAGTACGAGCTTGATTCGCTTATATTTGTCTGACTCTGGACTTAGGCCAGCAAAACCTGACCAATCTTCACTTGGTCTTGCCATTGTGTTCGATGTTGGCAGCATTCAAATAGAAGCTGGCGCTCGGAAAGAAGCCTCGGATGCGCAGAACGAAGAGGAGGAGCGGCGAGGGAGCGGGCCAGCGGTGTTGGAGGGAAACTAAACAAAGCGGTCGCAACAGTGGGTCGTTCCAGTAGTAGGGTGACTGAAACCACAGGCATCAGATGCCAGGCACATCGATGAAGCAGGCTAGGCGCGTCAGGTCGGTTTGCAGCAGTGGTGAGGTAGATGCGGTAGAAGGATGGCTCTCACGGTGTGGAATTCTCCGGATAGGAAGACGTGTGGAATAGCTACCCCGGAGGCCTTCGCGGATGCATACAATGCTAAATGAGCGTGCATGACAAGCCCTTAAATCCGGAGAATACCCTACCACAAGAGGGTGGGTTTATCTAGTCTTAGCAGGTTGGAGACTCGGCTGACACGTAGTTGGGACTAGCACAGAAGCGGTTTAGCCGCGGCAAACCCCCCTGCCAGTCCCGTGCCGGTGCTGAGTCAGGTATGTGGCAACGATATGACGCCCTAGGTCAATTTTTCCGCGGTTGCTCTAAAACGCTAATCGATTTGCGAAGAGAGTTAAGGGTTTATGTGACGCAGCCACTGCCAAGATTCGGAAGGACGGAAGGCGCCTCCGATTGGCTATCGGCCGTTTCGGGAGCCGCTGAGAGGTGGGCAATGTAGAAGCGAGAATCTGGGCTAGGGTCATTCCTTCTCACTTGACACTCAACACACAGCTCTCCTACTTGCAAAGAAAAGCCACTCTTCTATCTCTTTTGAGCCGCGGCAAGACCGTCTCCGTTACTTAGCTCGCACAACACACTATGTCACTCCTCCAACTTCCCCCCGAAACTCTAATTCAAATTTTCGATTACGTCGGCTCATCCTACTTCCGCTCGGATCTGTCACGCCTCACAGTCTGTAAGCAGTGGAGCAAATTTGCCCATACCGCATGCTTCAGGGAATTTTACGTCACTCAGAAGACACTACGACGCCTGCTGTCTTCTCCGTATGTGGAATCAAGTCTACCTCTAGTCAAAGACAGCGTGGAAACCCTGGACCTGGATTTGAAGGGCTTTGAAGACTGGGACTCCATTCCGCTGTCTCGATACGATTCGCAGGCCGTAAATGTCCCAAATGTGTCAACCTGGAATGGCGCTCATGGACGCGCAATGCGCGCAGCCTGGACAACAGAGCTGAATAACGATCTCCTCTACCTCGCCACCATCATCAAACAATCACAGAAACTGCGCATCCTACGCATCCAAGCCACCAGTGAACTGCATCCGATATTTCGTCTTCTAGAACGCCGCGACTACCTTTTTCTATCCACAATACGCGCCTTCTTATCAGCCAGCAACCTAGCTAGTCTGGAGCTAGATCTATGCGGTACTCGACTTATATCGCATCAAAGCCAAGAGCACGATGAAGGATTCCATATCTGCACGAGTATCGCCGCGCTTCTTACTACGCTACGACGTTTGCGACTGCGCATGCGCAGTATCTGTGCCGATGTTCTAAAGCCCCGACAACATAGCACCAATCTACGTTTGAACGAGATGCTCATCAACCTCAGTCTATCCAACGAGTCACCCCTAACCACCTCGGCGGCGCACGCAACATGTTGCGGTGCCTCCTCAGGGGGGTTCCTTCAACTGAAAGCGGATATGGAGAAGCAGGCGCAAGTTCTTGTGGCACAGATGGCGGCCCCAAAAATAGTGAGGATATTGACGCATGCGCTTCCGAGTATTGAAATGCGGGCGTTCGATGTCTTGACTGACAGAAATGTCACATTGAGTGAGGGTGCGGAGTGGGATGACGACGGCGAGGCTATCGAGGACGAAGTGTCGGACGAGGAGTCCGAGATTTCGGACCTTTCCTCAGACGACGATGGATAACCACCAGTGGTATTTAGATGTTGACTTCCTCGAATAATTGTTTGTCGCATGGATCTTCGGTACAGGTATTGAGGTGTGTTGTGCCCCGTAGCGTAAAGCGTCAAGCTCTGCGCCTTGGCATGGGCCTTTAACAATCCGATTTCTGCTTTATTTTAATGACGCGCGGGCCAAGGGAGCCAAAAAAGCGCCCGCCAATCCAGAGCCAGAATCCAAGAGGGAACAGCATGCGTTGGGCTAACTGAGGTGCACATATGGCATTAATCGGGTGCGAGTCCGTTGATTTCGGAGAGTTCTTTGCCTTCTTCATCCTTGCCGGCGTCGATGCTGGGTCAAGCGGAGAACGATCTAAAGGTTGACGTTGTCTGAAGTTACCCACGGGTAGTCCCCATAGTTGACTGGTTCACAATCATGGTTCACAATCATGGTTTACAAACGGCGATGGTTGAAGCGTGGGATGGGAGGGGAGGAATGAGGTTGGGAGAAGCGGTTGATGTTACGTCCAAAGCGGCAACTTTAGGCGAGCGCATCACCCCCGAACTGGCATCTCGAACTTTTGCATTCCCATCCTCGTCGGCGCGACAGGCGGACCATGACCTCCGAAAATACGAATTCCGATGACACGCCGCAGAATCCTCGTCGACCTCAGGCTCAGCTGTCACGCAGCATCTTCGCAGTACCAGCCCCGATAAAGCAGCTTTTCGACAAGTTTCCGCTCCTCACATACCCAACGAACGAGCTCCCGCAACGCGCGCCCAGAAATCGTAATGCGCATGTCCTATATGTTTTCGCAACCCAGGGAGAGGCTTTGGAGGGAGCGCCATCTTATAATCCGGCCTGTTTGAAATGGCAGGTTAGAATGCCATGTCCTCAGGGTTGAACAAAAAGCTAATGGAGACTGTAATGCTGTAGGCTTACCTCAAGTTTTCCAATATCGACTTCCGGATCGCTTGCTCAAATAATCATGCCTCGCCGAGCGGATCGCTTCCCTTCCTCCTGCCGTCCTCTCCCGAGTCTTCGAAACAGATACAGCCGGTTCCGTCTGGCAAGCTGCAAAGGTGGAGCATGAACAATAGTCCCTCAGCTATTGAGGAACCTGGAGACTTGCGATACGAAGCATATCTTTCTTTGCTAGACCATCGAATACGGCGGGCTTGGGTACGTTTCGTTGCTTCGCTCACCGGCCTGAAACTGACGAGAATATAGCTCTACAGCATCTACCTCTCTCACAACTCAACCTCGATCGCCGAACCGCTCTACATACTCCCTGCCTCCAGCAACCCATTCGTCCGCCTGGCAATCGCACACGAACTACACCGTGCAGCCGAAAAAGAGCTGCTGAAATTCTCAGCAGTCATAAACGCCGAAGTGCTGTACGCACAAGCGGAAGAAGCTTTTGCAGCGCTCGGGGCGGTTCTTGGAGAAGATCGCTGGTTCTTCGGAGCTAGCAAACCTTGCCTATTCGATGCCAGTGTCTTCGCTTACACGCATCTCCTCATGGACGATAACCTCGGGAACGGCTGGGTGGATACGCGTTTACGCGACGCGATGCTGTCGCGCCAGAATTTAGTGGACCATCGGAACCAGATACTCAGCACATACTTTCCTCGCACCACGTGAAAGAAAAGCGATGACTCTGACCGGCAGATGGGTGTAAATTAGCATGTACGATATATTACGAAAAGCAGAGTTTTCGGGGCACAAGGGCGTGCGAAAAAGGTACCACAAGGAGCGTTGCATATCGGCACGCGCATCCAGCTTCTCATTCGATACCGAAGTGTTTGCTTTGGGTGGGTGTGGCGTCCACCGACGCTTGGCGGAGAACGAGCTCTAGACTGGGCTGGTTGGCTCGATGCAAGGCATCAGTGAGTCATGCTCGGCCGCGTCTGCACGACAAGATGCCTCTTTGGGATAGACGAGGGTTCAAGGGCGCGGAATGGTTGATACATATTCCGCGTAAGGCTCCCTCAGGAAACTCCTAAGATCTTCAGGTTTCAATTTTCATTGCCCCACTGCCCCGCGCTGGCCTGCGGCAGCGTCGCCTTTTGAAGACAACCAACGTATAGAGTTCCCTTTCTGTTGATCACCTTGAGTCTCATCCACTGTTGACGCGACAAGAATCACATCAAGCACTCTCCCTTTGACCAATTCTCGGTCCAGCGACACAACCTCTTGACACCGGGCAATATCCCGGCTAGCTCTATCACCAGCAAGATGACACAACCCACGTCTGTCAACATGACCTTCGATACCTCCCTAGTAGACCTCAACGCATCCTTTTCCACCACCGAATCCGACCCTTCAGATGCCGGCGCCGCCAATGCAAACCCTCAAGCAGCCACGAAGACCCCAGAACTCAATCAAGCTCCTTTCAATGCCGAGCAAAGCCAGGAGACACCGAAGCAGTCGCAAGCCCTAGGCGTCACTTCTCCCCCGCCAAAACCCTCAACACCCGTCCAGCATATACCGACACAGGACGCATACGACCAGTGGGCTTCCGTCTATGACACAGACGGCAACATGCTCCAGGCCATCGACGACTTGGAACTATCTTCCCTCCTGCCAAGCTTCCTCTCCATGGTCCTATCATCAACTTACTATCCGACTCTCAACCTTTTGGATCTTGGCTGCGGCACAGGCCGCAACACCGCGAGACTTCTCTCCTTTGCATGGCCCCCGGACCGCCGTGTCAACATCACAGGCCTCGATTTCTCACGCGGCATGCTCGACGTAGCGGCTAAGAAACTTACGCCCCTCGTCTCTGCGACACCCAACATCTCCCTGAGACTGGAACAAGCTGATTGCTTCCCCACCGTCTCCTCTCAGACTTCATCTCCCATTCCCGCCGTCCCACATCTCCAGCCATCCAAGGCAGTGATCTCAACACTCGTCCTCGAGCACATCCCGCTCACGCCCTACTTCTCAACGCTCTCCAGTCTCCTTGCTCCTGGTGGGTACGCGCTTGTCACGAACATGCACAGCGAGATGGGACGTATCTCACAGGCTGGCTTTGTCAATGCTGATGGTGTTAAGGTTAGGGGAGAAAGCTACGCGCATACGCCGCAAGAGACGGCAGAGGAGGCACGAAGAGCTGGCTTGGAAGTTGTTACTCTAAAGGAGAGGGTGATGGAGAAAAGTGATGTGGAGGGTGGAATGGTAAGCGACAGAGGATGGAAGTGGGTTGGTATTAGGGTGTGGTATGGGATGATGCTTAAGAAGATTGGGTGATACAAAGGACTCTTGATGCCGACTGTGGAAATCCACTTCGAAGGCGCTTAGCGGAAAGGACGACTTGTGTGTTAGGGCTGCCATATCCAGTCATTCAAGACATTGACTTGTCCTGCCACGATCGCGGGGCTAATATATACTTCTCTTATCATGGACATAAGCCTAGTCCACCTTTGTTGACATCGACGAGTTTGAAATTAATGCCTTCATGAAATATGAAAAGCCATGAAATGTGGCCTGGAGGAAATGCCATGGTGATGTTGTCGAGCTTGGACCAGGAGATGACTAAGCAAACACCAGTTGCCGTGATTGGAGCTCGAACTTTTCGAGACAGCTCCATCTCCGCAAAACATCGTCAAGGCCGACTAACTACCTTCTACACCCCATCATGGCCTTCCCTCAGTCCCTCTTCCGGTTTGTCGTCCCCGCGGCCTTCGCAGTTGGCCTCGCGCAGGCCTCCATGTACGACGTGAAGGGCGGAACCCGCGCCGTCATCTTCGACCGATTGTCGGGTGTGAAGGAGACCGTGGTGAACGAGGGCACACATTTCTTGGTGCCGTGGCTGCAGAGGGCGATTGTTTATGATGTGCGGACACGGCCGAGGAATATCTCGACGACGACGGGAAGCAAGGATCTGCAGATGGTTACGCTCACGCTGAGGGTGCTGCATCGGCCGGAGGTGAAGATGTTGCCCAAGATCTATCAGGTCAGTTCTATTCCACTTGGTCTCTTAGCACCCGCAAATGCATTGGATACGGATAATTCTATTGAGTCTGGAGGACCCTGATGGCGAGCTAACATTAATTCAGAACCTCGGTCTTGACTACGACGAGCGAGTCCTCCCCTCAATTGGAAACGAAGTTCTCAAAGCCATCGTCGCCCAGTTCGATGCCGCCGAGCTCATCACCCAGCGAGAAGCCGTCTCGAACCGCATTCGAACAGACCTGCTCAAGCGCGCCAGCGAGTTCAACATCGCACTCGAAGATGTCTCCATTACACATATGACCTTCGGCAAAGAGTTCACAAAGGCAGTCGAAGAGAAGCAGATCGCACAGCAAGAGGCGGAGCGCGCACGATTCGTTGTTGAGAAGGCAGAACAGGAGAGGCAGGCCAACGTTATCAGGGCTGAGGGTGAAGCCGAGGCTGCCGACACGATTAGCAAGGCCGTTGCAAAGAGCGGTGATGGCTTGATCCTGATTCGAAGAATCGAGACTCAGAAGGACATTGCGCAGATGTTGTCAAGGAATCCGAACGTCTCCTATCTGCCTGGAGGTGGTAGCGGCGGCGAGGGTGGAAAGAGCGGCGGGAGCTTCCTTCTGGGCTTGAGGGGCTAAGAGCCGGGCGGAAAGATGTCCAAGAGGAGTATTTGGGATATGGGGGGTGATGCATGACCATGCTCCTCGTGGCACATGTTGTATAATATCAACCACGAGCATGTTACTTCTCTGTAATGTAGGGAATCATTCTCCTCTTATAGTCATCTTGCGTTCCTCTTTCGCTATTTTGACAATTTCTAGTCCCTCTATATTTGCTGCCTCTATCTGCTGCCCGCATAGTCCGAGGTCCATCGCTTGTTATCATCCGCGAGATCCGAGCTACCCTGGCTAACCAGCATGATTAAGCTTTTTGCGTTGACCAACTCATACCACAATTTTCCCCTCCTTGCGGTCGCCGTAATAGTTCATCATACCGCCAATCACTCTCTCACGATGACGTCACGTACAACTCCTCTTCTCCAGGTGGTGCGATAATTCGTGTTAGATGAGCTGAGCAAAATCCTCACCAAACCTCTCTTATATTATGCCCTTTTCCTCTACGTAGATAAGTAATACATATAAAAGACGATTATAGTGCGGACCTAGAGGTAAGTTATAAAGAAAAATTAATATAAAAACAAGAAGCAGGAGGCTAAAACATGTAGAAAACCTCTGCTTAGCTCATCCGACACGAATTATCGCACCGCCTGGTATCATCGGAACTTCCTGAAGCAGCACCTATCGCGCCTTCTGCTGTTCCAGGAGCAACAGTTGCTTTCACATCTACTTCTGCCCTCTACACACCATTTACATCTATGCCCGTCTATCGATACCCGTCGAAGATACAATCATCTTACAGTCCGCAGAGAGGCATATAATCGATAGTCTTCAGCAGCATCGATCGCTCTCAAATTAAGCGGAAATAGGCCCAGCAACGGTACCATTGAAGTGTAAGCCAGCACACCAGCTCCCGAAAATCGACACGAGGATCCCGCTCCAGTATCCCAAGGAATAGAGCTTCTCAACCTACCAATACTTCATCTCGACTCTACAATATCGCCCTCGCATGTTGCCGTCCTCCCAGTCCAGTACCAACCCGGCATACACCTACTCCGTGCCCTCCATCATTCGACCGTACCCCGCTAGTCCCGGAGCGAACGCAATGGCCGACACGAACATGGAGGACCAGGGCAAGACTGAGGTGGTCAACCTAACAGGGAGCTGCTTCTGTCGTCGTCTAACGTACAAGTTGAGATTAGATAGCAAAGACGATGCGAGGACTAGTCTCTGTCACTGCAGCAACTGCAAGAAGGCGTTCGGAGGAGCATTTGGGCTGACGGCAAAGGTGCCATTGCAGTCGTTCCTCTATACGAAGGAGAGTGGGACGCCCAAGGTATGCTAAGCCTGCGAGAAGAGAGTCTAGCAGATTTAGACTAACGGCGAGTAGATTCATTCTGCAGACAACGGATCGGGTTCTATCATCCACCGCGAGTTCTGCAACACCTGCGGCAGTTACATCTGCGAGTATGGAGTAAGTCATCCTTCTGATATGCTACCGCAATTCCTAGTCTGCTGAACCATTACAGGATGCTGTAAAAGACAACTTTCGCTACATCGCAGTCGGTTCTCTCGACGATCCATCCGCCCTCCCACCAAAAGGCGAATTCAACTGCATCGAGCGCGAAAAGTGGATGCCAGAAATTCCTGGTGAGGTGACCCGGTTTCCTAAGCTGTAATCAGTCTTGCATTGCGTCGCGTCATGTCGTGCGTGGGGACACGTACGTATTCTTGTTAAGCAATGGGTTGCGCACATGTTAGGAGTACAGTTCACCACGGCCCCGCAAGACCGAAATTGTGAGTAATGACGCTGACGGTCCATTAGATGTATTCCACAAGCAGAAGATCAAGGAGTGAGAGGAAAATTGCATCAATAGGGATGTGGATGAAGGGTAGGACTTGTCGAGATCGCTAGTAGTGTTGGGGGCTTGCGTAGACGCATGGAGGCGCAGCCTTGTTCAGTGGATTCTTTCTGCACATTTGATCAAGGGCTAAGGAAAGTTATCCACTCTTTCTCTCAATCCACTCAAAATTTCGGTCTATTTGTGCGTACCCGGCTTCAGACCTAGTCTGGCAGAAGAGGCCTTTGGGCGTACCTAGACTCAACTGTGGCGCTGTTCACGTGCCTGTTGCCACACGACAAGCCACACTCCAGGCACCAGACAATCGAACCTTGGGACTTGAAATCCATTTGTGCCTTGTTCCCGCCATCGCCCTCTTCAGCCTGCATCAAAACGCAAAAATCAAGGCATCATTTCGCCACACCAGGCATCCACGCATCCCATGCACAGCCCCCGTGATCTGCGTCAGGCATCAACCGCCGACCCCCCGACAAGTTCGCCGCACCGCCACATTTCTAATCAGACCTCACATCTCGCCGTCTAGGCCAGCACACCCTCATCGTCCTCGCCGACGTCCCGACGTGCAACATGTCGACGGTCTGCAATTGGCACACGGACTGGCGAGCGGCCTCGCGGCCGGCCTCAGCCTAAAAACACGGCTCGCAGGCAGACACGTAACACGGTACCCAGTGGGCACGAACGCGCCAGCGCGCTGTCACATGCTGTGGTAGTGGCCAATGGGAGTGGTACACGGTACACCATGGGGTGTATGACTCCTCGATGTTGGGCAGAGCGAAAATTGCCGCAAGCACTTTTCGCCTCTTTTTGTGACTCGACGAGATGGTGTCAAAGGGGCAGGGGGAGGGTAGAATGCGAAGGGCGGCTTACTGTGCGAGAAGAGAAGCGCGAGAGCGGATGGTGCCGGAAGGTACTATTATGAATAAGAATGAGTTGTGAGAGCGAGTGTAAGCGTCGGACTTGACGGACGAGAGTGTGGCTCGTATGCCCATCGCTGCTAGGAACTCCGGCTCCGTCCGGTATACGTATGCAGATGGCGAACGAACGCCGGTTTTCGCACTCGATAGAGAGCACAGCCCCCGCATATTAGACTGGAAACGGATTTCTCGTTCGCGCACAGAGGATGGGCCATGTGATCGTATTGCGCCATGGTACCTGCGCTTTGTAGCTTCAGCCGTGTTAGGCAGCCAGAGGGCGGTTAGGTACCTAACTCGCGCCCTCAGGCTGCCTGATCCTATCAAGAGAGCGCCGTAAGGTGCTATACGAGAGAGAGCGAGCAGGCTTCGATCAGGCTTCGATCAGGCATCCAGAGCCAAAACGAACTTCATGTCTTGGAAAGGGTGGAAGGATCCGGATTATACAATTTTCTCGATTGGGAGTAGTTCTCTATTAGAGCAGCGAGTGACTGCTGTACACAGTGGGAGTACAGAAAGTATAGTATCGTCTATCGTAACGTATGGGTCCAGTCTGAATGAGTGAAGTACCGTCGTATCTCGTGATGCGTATTCCGGACACGCTTGTAAAGGGAAAGGGAATAAAAGCAATATGTTCAGTAAAATCGGAAGACGCTCAACAAACTATATACAACGAGAGCGTCTTCTTTCTGCCAGAGAAAGTAAGTTGGATATCAAGCTTGAGAAAAAGAACAGATAAAACAGATAGAAAAGAGAAGACAGTAGTAGATAGGAACCCAAGCCGTTGGATACAGTTCAACACCGTGCTATGCATCCTGAAACGTCGCCTATCCCGATACCCGCCCGCATTAGAGATTCAAGTAAGGAGATATGTCGTACAGTAGTGTGGAGCCGTGGGTCATACCGTCGTGAAACCGAGCGTACCCGTTATAATCGCCGAGATGGGAGAAAAAGCTGACCGTTATCGGCGGGCGTCCTGGAGAGCCATGACTGCTTGCTCGAGCTGCCGTAGCCGCGTATCCTTCTCCTCGTTCTCGCGGCGTAGCCGCTTGATCTCAGCGCGAAGATCAGTCTTGCCGCCCTCTTCAGACATGCCCGCGTCGGAACCGCGCTTACGCTTCAGCGAGTCTTCTTCCGGAACGGTATCGACGAGGCGCTGGTAGGGAGACTCGGAGTCGAGGCGACGTTCAGGAAGGCTGTCCCGGGAGTCCGGTCGCGGAATGATAAAGTTACCCATATCCATTGACAGACTTGTCCTCCGGTGCACGCGACGGATGTGCTCGGCAAGGTTCTCTTTCCGAGTGAAGCCGGCGCCTGAGCTACGCTTGCAATCGGAGAAGGGGCAGAAGAGCGACTTCTTGGTGCCACCGTGCATCTTGTGTACCTCGCGCTCGTGACGCAGGAGGCCGCCGCTGTACGTGAAACCTTGCAGCTTCTCGCAGCCTCTGACGTTGCACTTATACGGCCGGTCGTGCTTGTCCATGTGTTTGCTATGTGACGGTTAGTATCGGTGTGTAGAGGATGAAATGAGGGTAGACATACCTCCACTCGCACTTGCGATCGAACGTTAGGCTGGCGCACTCCTTGTACTTGCAGATCATCTTATTTTCAGAGTTTCTGGGTGGCTCCTCGGCACGCTTGAAGGCGTGGTTCTTTCGAGGAGAATCTGGATCGTCGCCATCTTGCGAAGAACGATCCTCTGATGGATGCCGTGAGTGTCCGTGCGAGCTGACGATGGAAGGTCTGCGATCGACAGCGGGAGATAGCAGAGGCGACTGCGGCCCCGACATGCTCACTGGAGTAGGAATATTCGCGTTGGAGTTGACGGACGAAGTGCGCTCGTGAGTGTGTCGCATGCCCTGGGGAGCGTTTATAGACGAAGTCTCTGGCGGCGGGCAGTTTCCCATGGTGTATGGCGACGTTGCAAAGTCAGAAAGATCCGTGTAGAGGTTGAGGGAAGAAGCCTGAGGCTCTTGGGTGGGCTGCGGATATATATTGCTGTACGCGAAATCGGGTTGTGGCGCAGCGAAGCCTGGGCTATCCGCGCTCCCGGTGACTGTTACGTGGGGAATATTTGTCGTCAGATGACTGCGCGGCCTCTGTGGCAAAGACGACGGAAGATGCTGCCAAGACTGATTGAGATCAAAGTGCTGGGGAAAGACGGTTAAAGCTGTGGCGTCGGTTGGGTTCTGAGGCAGCGAATTAAGGATGCGGTTATCTGGCTGCAGCCCTGGGAACAACTGGGGGTTATATGTATTCAGGCCTGGCCGGCCGTTAGCTAAACATATTCCCGGATCCACAGGCTGAAACCTATCGTATAGTGCCCATGGTGGAATGTGAGGCAGGCAGACGAGCGGGTGAGTCAATCGCTGTGGCTCCGACTTACCAGATCCTAGTCGATTTGTGATCGGAGCCGAGGCACGTGACAGGCCTTGGCGGGCACTAAATTCCAAATTGGTCGGGTGCCAGGTTTCCGTGTTTCGCAACCTTAGTCCACCACTGAGGCCCATACTCGCGCCGCCTGGGGAGAGCTGCTGCTGCGCTTCAGGTTGCGGTTGGATACCGGCGAGCTGGCAGCCGAAGTTGAGGTCTGCTATCATTAGCACCCGAAACGTTTCTATTTGGGGTGGCAAGAGACGGCATGAACTCACAGTCGGTCGATCCTGGGGTGTTCCAATTCGGAAGCTGGACGTTCTGCAAGACCGCAGCCTGCGGCACGCGAGGGTTTGCCCTTGGAATCGCACGGCGAGCATCAGGGTTGTTGTCATAGTACATCCAACAGACACCCCACAAGACAGCGAGCGAGGGCTTGATCGTCCAAGGAAACGACGTACAGACGGGTCGCGGCTCGCCGGAGAACTCCCTGAACCAGTCGAGTAGTCTACGCTGCTTCTTGTCGTGCCCGCCAAGGAGCAAAGCCTCAAAGACCTTACGTGCCAACGCGTCGATCAGCTCTGCGCGAAGCCGCATGAGCAGATGCTCGTAGTTGGCTATAAAGGCCTCGTCGATGTTCAGTCCAACTTCTTGACCTTGAATAACCAGCCATGCATCGTCGTACGTTTCCCTGGCGGCGTAGAATACATTGATACTATCATGCACTCCGACTAATAGTTGGATGATTTCGATCAGGGAACATGCATCGAAGCTCATGGCTGTGTTTTGTTTGAGGAAGAGCATATCGTCGCTCGCGATAGCGGACAATGCGCTTCCGGATGGGCTGAGCTTCTCGTCGACGGAATTAAGCATGCTGTTCCGAAAGCTTAGCGGGCTGAAACTAAACAGCAGGATCTGTTTATAGAAGACGTACTGTTGCACCTCTCCGCCAGATACGTTTTGAATCGTGGGACTATCCTGCCCCGGGGTCTGCAGTTTCAAGCTCGGCCTGCTCTTCAGGGCCCGCCTCTTGCAAACGCGATCTGAGGCATGACTATTGAGTTTCCTGTCCTGAAGCCCAACTCGTGACAGCCCCTTTGCAATGCTCCTGATGGCCTTCGTTTCCAGGCCGAGGCATAGCTCTGTGCCAAGAAGGGATGGATAGTTCGAGCCCTGAAGGCGAGGCTTGAGGCGGCGACGAAGCTGATTGACGAATTGCAGCACCTTCAGGGTCAAGAAGATGCTTGGCTGCGTGCGGTGTTGGATGGCCATCGCTTCGTGAGAAGCACAGTAGGGACGTAAGAAGCGACGTAAGGGATGGCGATTTCTCGCCCGCCGAGGTGGGCGAGTGTATATACCTGCGTGCCATGCCGGCGAAGCAAGGCTGAAAAGTGCCTGAGGACGACGAGTTGACCGCCTGCGATCCCGGGGTGGTGCAGAACGCGACAAGCCACAGGCATTGTGATTGGCTGAATCAGCGAACACCGCCACGATTACGGCTGAGCCCGAAAACACCGGCCAGCTAGCGCGGACACCAAACACCCTCTTCATCCTATCGTCACCGGGATGTGGCGAGGGACAAGTCTGCACATGATATCGATGCGAGGCGCAGCTGTTTCCTCTGATGGCGCCCATGCAGGCATAATAGCTGAAGGCCCATCCCGTATCATCGACTGACCGCCGCGGTTTGGTCGCTGCCTTGAGAGGCTGCCTTCCCTTCCACATCCGGTCATTCACTCATGCGTTCCATGAGCGTTCGGATAGCACTGGACAATCGAATGCCGGCAGCCTGCCTCCGCCCCGACTTAGAACAATCCGGATCGATGCCATTTGATGCCTGGGGACCTGCCGAAACAACCTGGAACACGGCTCAGGTAATGACGTCTCAGTCCTGTTTGGAACACCCTGACAGCCTCTGAGGCCGCATTAAGGTTTCTACTATAAGCAAACATGCAATGCCGGTCACCTCTCTAACTCTCATGCTCTCTCAGCCTCGGTTCCGCTTTGTTTGGGCGATGCCGTTATCCGGCTCGGGCTGTGCGAGCCTTACTGCCCCAGGCTCCGATACCCCTTGGACACGAGCTGCTTCACTTAGTATCTGCAAATTCGACCCAGTAATTAAAGAAAGTTAGAATCATGAAGCCAACGTAACGTCGAAGTTTCGCTCCAAAGTCATCGGTCCAGGCTTCCGTTCTCCAAATGAAGCGCGAATAAGAACTCAAAAGCCCGATCCGCGCATGTTTTCTTGAACCTCAACTCTAAGACCATTCAACGGTAAGTTCCCCTGCACTCGCCGCTGAGGTGTCTCCCTTCGCTAAGTGTTCGGTGGCTACAGTAATGTCCGCAAACAAACCCATACCTAGCTAAAGCTCTGACTTCGCATCACGTCTTTTGCGCAAGTTCATTAAAGCCAGATCATCTTGCGTAGATGGCAGATCAGGATTCCGCCTCGCGTATTGCTTTTGAGGAGGCAAAGTCAGCGCCTACAGTTGAACTTATGGTCACCACTTCACTGAAGAAGGAATTGATATAAGCTTCCTCCCATTTCGGGGGCCAGCCTTGCGCTAAAGTTTACAGCACCATGTAACTCTTTCCCTAGGCTGGTGTCAATTTCTTTCCATCGGGCATCCGTCATGCGAAAGTCGGATGGTGCAGCGGGCTGAAAAGCTCACGGCAGGCCTTACCTTCGTAGCGAACACAAACATCGCAACATCGGGGCGGGGTATGCTGTTGGGTAAGAGCAGGCCTGTGAGAGGCAAAAGGAAACGAGTTCGTGAGTTCCACATTGATAAAATGTAAGCGAGGTGCACAGCCTCAAGCTGTATCTGCCCTTCAATCCTACTGAGAGCTCGAAAATGCAGCCTCGCAAGCCTTTCCTCCTTCTCGCAATAGTTCCCTTGCTCTCCCAATGCCATGAGCATGTCATCCTCGCCGACTGCACAAGCAATTCCGCAATCCGCCTATCGCACATGGCCTACTACTCGGGTGCGCTGTCTTCGACTCCTGACACCGTGGCAGTTGTCCCAACGCGCTGGAACCAAACGTCTTCATGGGCGAGCAACAGCTCCAAACCCATCTCTGCAACTTTCCCCGATGCCGTGGTATTCGCAGCAAATCACTTAGCCATAACGGCGGAGGGTGAACTTGCAGGCTTAGCCACAAATGGTTTTGGCACCTTTGGCTGCTGGAATTATCATGTCAAAGCTTTGTATACTTGGTATGGCGGGGTCGTCTGTGACGCGGTTTACGACTGCAATCATTACGGCGCGGCTAGTGATGTTATGTCACCAAATGCCACAGCCACGACTGGATCGGGCCCGGGCCCTATAGACACCGGTGCTGGAGACCGCAGCTCAAAGAAGAGTGATGATATTGCGTTAGGAGTTGGCATCGGCATTGGGGTGCCTAGTCTCATTGCCACTGTCCTAGGTGTATGGTATGCGAGCAGGCGATACAATCTGGACTTCCATTATGGGAATACAGCAACAGAGGAGCAAAGTGGAGACGATGCGGCGGGGAAAATCTAAGATGCAGACGAGTTGGAAGAGGAAGCTAAAAGGAGGAACCGGTGAGGACACGGGTTGCAGGGTTCTATGAAAGGGACCTCTTAATGGACAATAATTCGCGATTAGAGTGCCAGCGCCGGTATTTTGATCGCTCAGAAACAGAGAGTAAGTCTCTCACTCTGCTCTTCTAGCATTAAGTATTTCTCTATGCTAATCTGGATCAGGCTCGAATATCACCATAGACGCGATTTGTCTCTTGGAGATACATCTAGCCTTACCGCCCATCCGGTGAAGCACATCACCTTACAAGAAGCGCTATGCACTGAAGTAGTGCCTCTCTAGCGCGCCCCAGATCGTCCAGCCTTGTGATGAAAAAATCCGACCTCCTTTGGTGTGACCCGATGACTGCAAGTACACAGCCTCCTTCTACTTCGCCATCGCGACCCTTCTTGAGCTGAGCTGCGGCAGAAGAGAACAAAATCGTCACACCATGGAAAGAGACTTTCGCCCAGAAGCGCGCAGACTCTATTACGGGTTTCTAAACAATTTCAGTAAGAGCCTACCAGCGGTCCATTCTCGGGGCCCGGCATCGCAGTATCCGTTGGGCCTGAAGATCTTCCGTCCCATGGCTTCGGGAGCTTGCGCGCATGAACCGATAACGTAGCTTTCCCTGCCCTCGAAACTTCAAAAGAAACTGGACCAGCATATCGGGTCAGCCTGACGGACAGATCCGGCGGAGTTTCTGTCGAAGACGGAAAACTTACTGCCGTTTCGAAATATGATCGGGAGTGGGTGTTGCCGAAGTTCTGTGGGGAGAAGTTTGGATGCCTGAGGCTCGGCTGGACTTTCTCGAGGCAAAAGCATATCCGAGGGAAGAGTCTCCAGGCGAGGCAGAGTCCCAAGAGATTGGGAATATCAGGCAGTGAAGTGGGGCTGGTGATGCTTGGAAGGCATCTCACGTCGACGAATCGGAGACCTTTGCCAGTAAGGTCCGGAGGGTGCGTCTAGGCAACTTTTCAGCCTGATGTGCAAACCTCGCGTTGGCCTACCATTTTCCCCCGAACTGCGACAGAATCTCAGCTCAGCCCCAGCCTGATGGCGGCCGCACTACACTTAAGCAATAGGCTGCGTCCACTGAATATTTAGGAACCCTTATCGTCCCGTCAGCTATGTTGCGGAACCGTGAGTTTGTTTTGACTTACTCGCTTCTTGATAGAGAATAAAAAACACAAACGGAGTGCGCAAGGCTGAGACTCCCCGCACAAAGTGATCAGCGCTCGTTTTTCAGCTGTCCACGAAAACACAATCAACAAGGCTCGCAGTGGTCTCCCTGAAGAAGCACCCCTTTACACTTCTCGAAAGGATGGAGTTTCCCACACTCCTCTCCTGGCCTCTCCCACTGGATCAAACACTATCTACATACTTCGACGTGGAATGGGAACTTTCATGCAATGCGTCCGCCCTCTGGACCCCGCCACCTCTATCCGCCCTGGACTTTTCAAAAAATTGCACGGCCGTTGTCGATTTTATGTACTCCATGTTCACCAACCCGTACAACGCACCCAATATTGTCCGATACGTCCGGGGTGCACTGCCGTCTGCGATCAGATGGCAGCCGACCAGTGGCCAGATAATGGATTGGTTCATGTGCTCTCAAGGCAACGCCTGGTACCACCGCCGTGGTGAGCTTTTTGACAGACTTGTTTCAATCCCTTTTTCGGCTTGTCAGTCAGACGTGTGTGCTCTCGTCGACTGGTCCGGCGATGCGGATATTGCTGGGGCCGGGGTAAGGACTGTTATCAAAGTGAAAGATTCAGAACAAGTTACATGCTAATAATACTGCATTAGATGCTATCGGTATACATTACCGAAGCTTCTCTCGTAACAGCCTTCGTCATCGTGGTTGGCATAGACCAGTACAATTCCCGGTCTACATCTTCGAGCTCTGCGTCAACGGTCAAGCTCAAACTCTCCAAGTACCGCGAGAAGCAAAGTGAAAAGAAACAACCGGCACCTCAGCACCGCAATACTAGCCTTCCCCTACCTAGGCTCATAGTCGATGGATTCATCAAGTCAATAGATACCTTCCTCGACGCGGTTATTATCTTCGCTCTTTCGATCGCATCCGCCTTCTTGGCTGGTGTCGCTTACGGAACAAACTACTCGCAGGGCCAATCGTCGCTCGCGAGTATGTTCACCACTTTCCCCGCTCTCATCATAATGAGGCTGTCATTACTTTATGATCCTAGCTGGTCTAATCGCACGTACCGCTACTATTTAACGACGCTACTTATTTCTTCCGAGGTTGTCGCGGCAATTCTGTCAATTATGAGGTATTCATACGACCCCAACAAGGAGAGCGGATCAGTTAAGCTGTTATGTCAACTTCCAGTGCAGTACCGGATGCACTTTGGTCTGTCCATTGCATTTCTTCTGTGTCTCGTCGGGGCTCTCGTACATCTCGTACGGGTATTCGCTAATTCGAAAAGGTTGAGGAGGCTTGATTTCCGGATGGAGATTGGTGTAATGGTCGCGACGATGTGCATGATGTGGGCATATCTGGGTATATTTGCTGCCAAAAGAATAGCATCGACTCGGCGGTCGAGCATAGATAACGAATGGGGTTTCGGTCAGAGCCTGGCATTGTTCACATGGGCGGCGCCAATCATCACGATAGTCGAGCCACTTCGTGCCGAATTCTGTAAGTTCCTTTCTCTATGCTACATTTCCTGAGCCGGTCCGGGGATCGAAGATTCAACTATAGAGTCTGTTGATTGCAGACCATGAGGCTCACATAGAGCCGTGGAGAAAACCTATGCCCGGCTCATACGGCTTGCTGTGGGGTGTTTAATCCTCTGATTGAGGTGATCTAGTGGCTTCTAGCTAAGAGAGTCGTCCTGCTTACCTTTTGCGACAGATAAATATGTCAGGATTGTCTTGAAAGCATTCATTGGCATCCCCGTGGCGACCAACCTCAGCAAGGAAGACAGTCATAGCGATGTTGAAGATGAAGAAGCGTTTTGTCGGAATCCAAGCTAGGCGAAGGACACATCGCAGCCTGACCAAGCCGAGCAGCAGGACCGGGTGATGCGTTGGAGGCAACTCTGCTTCAAGGAAGGATTCAGATAGCTTCGGATTTAATTCAGTGCTTCCCTCTATCGTTTCCTTCTCCTAATACATTACCAATGTTTCACGGACTCCTCCCGTAAACATTTCCGTCTATCCGGCGCATCTTCAATTCCAAGTCTCGTCAACACGCACCTTAAAACATGCCAGCCAGCTTCATGAAAGACCAACCAGCCAAACCGCGGGACGAACAAGATTTAGGCCCACAGAGGATGCCGCAGCGCAAGTCGACACCCAAGCGGCAGTCTGCGCTCCACGTCAGCTTCCACCATCGCAAACACGATAACCGAAGCTGACGAAGATGTAGATCCAGGCAGGACACTTGGGACGAACCAGGGCAAGACGATAATCGTATAAGTTCCCGACGAGCCCTGATCATCGCTTCTGATCCACAGGGGAAATTCCCCGGTTTTCGCCGACTAGCGTGTGCGATCTACACACTTACTTCACGAGGATCCACGACGCCGATTATCTTCTATTATCTACTTTTCACATATCAGCAACTCAACCGGAACCCTCAGACACTGCAAAACATCCTAGGAGCCGGGCTCCCGATCATCAGCCAAGGGAGAAAGTTCCAAAGGAGAAAGACAGTCCCGAAGGAACGAGAGCAACCGAGCAACCGCGTGCATCCACGGCGAGACACCCCGCAAGCAGCTTTCCAAGGTCTCCCCATTCCCACTCCAAGACCTCCACTCCGGAAGCTGTCCAATCGACATGTGTAAGCAGACCCCAGCATCCCGCTGTCATACCGCATGCAGCCATTAGCGTTCGCGCAGCAGGCCATCCGACGTAGCGCCCCGGGAACCTAAGATCAACAACACGGTTAGTGAAACGGTAGAGCCTGCGCTTATCTCCACCTCTTCCCTACTCCCGACCTCCAACAACGACAAAGGGCTCTGTGTATCTTATTTCCGAGCAGAATTTCCGACGAACCGATGAACCGACGCCCCTACCAACTCGTCCGTATATTCTAGCGCTTCGGGCCTTGGCTACAGCAGAAAGCTCATAGAATATAGATATCAGCATCTCCTTGTTCAGCAAAGGAGGGACGCGCAAACGCAGTCAAGAATCCAAGAAAAACTCAAGCAGCAGGGTGTTGCGGGAGGGAACTGTCTTGATTTCGAAACGCTGATTAATATGTAGAATCGCTTCGCGTTCATTTCTCAAGGCCGATTAATGCGAGGAATGTGGTTTTGGCCTTGAGAAATTCGCCCGCTCGCTGCTGCTGACTTGATGGAAAGACGATCCCATGAGGGATAGATAAAATGCTGCCAAGGCTCACATGCGTTAAGAATACTGACGTAAGACAGTTGCCGGAGGGAGATCCTCTGTATCATGCCGGAATCTGGATCCTGCCGGGAAAAGAAAAAGATAAACAGAGCGAAAGAACCAACCGTGGATCCAGGACTGCCAAGATCTTCCATCGCTGTGGGCCGGGCGGGCCGGGGGCGACGGCGCCGGTATCGTGAAGGGAACGGGTACGCGACGGGCTTGAGGATTGTAGTAGCTTGCCGGAGTTGGTGGTTCGGTACCTAGGTATGCCGTTCTCCCATGTGGGGGAAAACGTCCGTAGACTGACCGACAGGTATAGTAGCAACTTTTTTTACAATTACTCATTTCCCTTGTCACTGATTCTTTGGGATAATCCAAGCGCCGGCGAGAAAGCCAGCGAGACGTCGATGCCAGAGGCAGAGCAACAACTCCGGCCGAACGACGACCTGCGACAGCGCCCACAACAAGCAATCCCTTGGCTGAACGGCGGCTGTCGAAATGCCGCAACCGTTCCGGTCCATTCTATCCCATGGTTCACACCATACCATGCGTCTCCCGAATCGAGCGCTAGCGCATCCCACTAATCCCCATTCGGCAACCAACCACCCAAGGGAGCAGCGGATCGGGTCTCCCCCGTACACTCCGACACCACCGCCTCGCCGCTTGAGCTAAATTTAGAGAAGCTTGAATAAGATTACCTTGTTTCGCGGAAAAGCCTACGCTTGGTGCTACCGCTAGATGCGGGCTGAACAGGTACGGCATGTGCGCACGCGCGGGCCTTGGCTGGGCGTTGCAGATGATGTTGCTTGAGAGGAACTGAGGTATCATGACGTGGGAGCTCCTTCGTGGGCGGTGGTAGCTTGGGGATGGGCTGTGATGGCGCGCTGGAGGCGTGCGGCAAGGTAAGTACTGTTTACGTGCCTCATGAAGCTGTCTCGGGCCGTCATTGCCTTGTTCCCTTCCTTTTATCTCGTCTCTGTCGCCGGTCTCGAGTTTCTTCATACTCTGTTTCCATCATTGTTTGCTTGTTCCTAAGGCACATTCTTTTGTTTCCTCTGCAATACCCGTTTCTCAATCATGGAGAAGACTCCCGCACACGGCGTAAAAGTCGAAACGCCATCTATGCCCTCGAGGGCACACTCCCGGCAGAGTCCGTCGTTCAGACAGTCTTCACCTACCCTGCTAGCCGCCCCAGAGGATATTTCGCGTTCGGCATCCATGTCGACACAAGAAAAGTCGCGGCCAGCATCCATGGCCACGCCGGAATCCACCGCCATAGGCCTTTCCAAGTGCGCAAAAGAATCTCGCCATATCTCGCTCCAATCCATGGTGGACTCCATAGCCACCGAGGAAGCCTATTTCGGGCTCAACGAAACCGCGCCGCCTATGCGGCCTATCAGCAGGAACAGGTATTCAGGCAACTCGCTGTCCACGCTGCTCCATTCGACTTACATCTCCGCCCATGACATCGCGCGATACAACCAGAACGATGGACCTACTGGACTTCCGAATGCTGCCGGAGTGGACCAACCGCCGTCAAAGCTTATTGAGATGAGCACTATGCGGGAGATTCTGTTTGTGGGTGTTTGCGCCGTGTCGCATCTCATGACGCAGGCTGCACTGGGGCAGGCTTTGGTTCCTATCGACATCATTGCGCAGACTTTCGGAGACGTCTCGCCCGGGCAGCTATCGTGGTTCATCGCCGGGTACAGTCTAACGGTTGGAACCTTTATCATGATCTCAGGACAACTTGGCGACATCTTCGGCCACAAACGCGTTTTCGCTTTCGGTTACGGCTGGCTCGGCATGTGGAGCTGCTTCGCAGGCTTCAGCGCATACACCCACAGCCAGATCTTCTTCGATGTGTGCCGCGCCATGCAAGGCATCGGGCCGGCCCTGCTCATGCCAAATGCGCTTGCGTTGTTTGGCCGAGCTTATGCACCGGGTAGCATCAGGAAGAACATCGTTTTCAGCATCTTTGGGGCGCTAGCTCCGGCTGGTTTCGTCATTGGTGGGACGTTCGGAAGTCTATTCGCACAGCTGGCGTGGTGGCCATGGTGCTTCTGGTCCTTCGGTATCACGGCCTTCGCTCTCTGTGCATTTGCTCTTCTCGTCATCCCCCGCGCCCTCTCCGAAAGGCCGGTCGTCAAGCCGAAATTCGACTGGACGGGGTCGTTACTCGTGGTCGCAGGTCTGGTCCTCGTCAACGTGGCTTTCAACAACGCCCCGCTATACGGATGGGAGATCTCGCACGTCTATTTCCTCTTGCTCATGGGCCTGATGTGCCTGGGCGGATTCGTATGGGTGGAACTACGCGCCGTTAACCCACTTCTCCCTATCCACGCCCTGAACAGCACTGTTGGCTACGTCCTCGCGCTCGTGGGTCTCGGTTGGGGAGCTTTTGGCATCTGGGTCTTCTATACGGTGCGCTTCCTGCAGCACATTCGCAACGAAACGCCCCTCACCGTCTCGGCGCATTACGCACCTGCCGTTATCGCTGGTCTTTTAGCAGGAGCTTTTACCGGCTTCATGCTTACGCATACGCCCGTCAGCTTCGTCATGATGGCCTCGATGATCGCTTTCCTGGCAGGTATCTTGATCGCGACTTCCCAGCCTGCGCAGCAGATATATTGGGCGCAGACGTTCGTTAGCATCGTCATTATGCCGTTCGGCATGGATATGTCGTTTCCCGCCGCGACTGTCATCCTGTCCAACCACATGCCGCCGGAGCATCAGGGCCTTGCTGCGTCGCTCGTGAACACTGTCGTCAACTACTCCATCTCGATTGCGCTGGGGATAGCGGGAACGGTCGAGGTGTACGCGCCAGGCAGCGACGATGTACTGCGGTCGAATCGCAACGCGCAATACGCGGCTATCGGGCTGGCAGCTATGGGTGTGGTACTTGGGATCTTGTTCTTCGTGAAGACCATGGTCAAAGAAGGCTGGCAGGTCATGGCGCACTGAGGACTGTTTCTCATTTCAGGACTGTTCCGTTCCTCTTGTCTCGTCTCTTGTCAGCGCCGTCGCACCACATTCACACCTCTGTGTTCTGTCTTAGCATGCATACTCAATGCCAGCATTTCCTCTCTCTTTCCTCAGTCGCTAAGTGACCTGTATATCTTGTTTGCCATTGGTGTTGACAAAGCTCTCGTATCGGAGTTGTGATGTATCATACTTGCAACATCAAAGTCCTTTTCGCCGCTATATACTCAAAAAGTATCAGCACATCGATTAACCTCGACGAGCCGCCCGTCTCAACTTACGTTTTATGCACGGCCGAGTGGATCGTCGTCACGTGTAACTTGACAGATAGGAGGTTCGGGTTGTCGCCGACATTACCGAAAATTATGCCGCCACCTCCTATATGATACGTCTACTACATATGTTCCTGCAGTAGCTGTACAAGGGAGATCAAAATGATTGCACTTGGCGGGGTTGAAAATACGACAGGGTGACGTCAGTCTCTCTTCATTGCTCGAACCTCACTTTTGATGGGCTTTGCTCGCCGACCTGTGGAGGCGCGTTCCATAACCTTGGGTCGTGAAATTGATATAAAAATTGTTCCTGGTATTGTGCTGGAATCTCAGAATGTCAACGGAACAGACGGATTCGACCGATCAATCACTGAACATGGATTCAATGCCAGTACGCAAGGTAGTAACCAACAATGTGGCCGGCGAGCCCGAGTCGACCAAGAATAAAACGCTGGAGACCGGTGCCGGAATCGTCCAGGTACCTGCTGAACCCACAGTATTATTGCGGCGAGGGACTGACAGGTAGTAGAATTTCGCCCCGGTACAACGCGTCTGCGCTCACCTCAACGCGTTCCATTGCTATGCCGACGATCCGACTCGCGCACCGGTAGAAGCGAACCACTACTGTGCCCATCTGAACGACGAAGTTCGGCAGTGCATTCTTTACGATTCTCCAGAGCCGAATGCGCGCATCCTCGGTATTGGTATGTGCATTCTCCTCCTCCCGTCCATCAGTATATGCTAATTCAGCAATCCAGAATACATGATAACGCCGCGCCTGTTCGAAACGCTCGACGCGGAGGAGCAGAAACTTTGGCACTCGCACGTCTTCGAAGTCAAGTCAGGCATGCTCTTCATGCCGAAGCCGACGGTAGTGCCAGACGCCGCGTGGGAAGTCGCCGAGAACAAGGAGATGGAGCAAGTCATTGAACTTTACGGCAAGATCTTCCATCTCTGGCAGGTCGATCGGGGGGACAAGCTGCCCCTCGGTGAGCCGAAGTTGATGACGAGCTACACGTCTGCGGACAAGATGCCAAACTGCGAGAAAACGATCGAGGAGCGGGACCAGAGGTTCGGCAATGATTATAAGCGCAAGCAGAAGGTTCGAGAGTATATCCAGGAGCCGAAGATCCATGAGAACGCGGATTGGACGTGGAAAGGCAGCAGGCAGGGCGATCTTGGACATTAGAAGCGTCATCCGTGGCTTAGTTGACCCTATAATCATGTATATTGGCGCTCGTGGAGTCTTAGCGCAACGGCGTTCGATTGAGTGTGAGGTGCACTGGAGGGACGAACAGCCCGGTTGGTCGGACATGGGAGGTGCAGCCGTCGAGCACGTAATTTTCTCTTTAGACAGGAAGCTACGGCTTCGGCCTTTCTTCCTCGATGCGAATGAGGCACATACTCTCTGCCGCTCAAGTACCATTTTGGAGTGAGCCCTCTACTTCTTGAATGCTCGCTGTAGCCTTCGTCATTTCTCGGCCCATCAGCTTGCCCAGTATGTCCTTCTCCTGTGTCGGCCTGTCCTCGCGGCCGCCATCCCCGTCATCTTCACTCGCGGAAGTGTCGCTTGCGTCCGAACGTTGGGCTTCGAGCACGCCGAGACCGAGGTCCTGCGTGACGGTCAGCTTCTATTCAACAAGCGCGAGAAAGCCATGTACTCACCATCTCAATATACTGCCCCTCCTCCTCGCCGTCCGCTTCTTCTATCACCTTGCCCTTCAGCGTGCCAGCTTTCTCCTCCGCCTCCAGCTTCTCATTCGCGGCCTTCAACTTCGGCAGGAATTTCTTCAGAAAGGGGCGTATGTCTCCGTCGAGTGCCTCATCGCCCAGTTTCATGACGGGCTTCTTCCCTCTGTTGGCTCGCAGATTCACGACGTCGGCCTCGCCGTCTTGCCATTCGGCCTCCGACTCGGAGTCGTCGCTGTCCTCATCGCTTGAGCTTTCAGAGCTGGGCGCCTCACTCGACTCAGAAAGTTCGCTCGAGCTGTCGCTGTCGATATCGCTCGCATCAGTGGATTCCTCAGGCACGCTCGTGGGGATGAGTGCCGAGTGATCCGATGCAGAGGAGTGCTCGGAAGAGCTGTCCGAGAGCTTCACGCGCTTGCGGCGGTGCGCGTCTTCTGCGAACCGCTCTTTCGTGGTGTTTTCCGCAGTCGAAGCGTTTCCGTGAGCTTTCATGGGCGCCATGGCGACTCTTCTCGGGCTGTCGTGGGCGTCGGATCGTGTTTGTTGCAGCCGGTCTCGAGAGCCCCAAAAATTTGAGATGCGGGCGCGGGCGGGGTTGCTCAACCCCTGTCAGACTCGCCGGACCGTGGAACGTCACTCAGGCACGCAGGCTACTCTAGTCTCCTCAAAGCCTGCGCTTCTCCACTCTCACAATCCTTCCTACAAGAATAAGACGCCTCCAATAACCACAGCGCATCAATCAGCTCACACGTCACCCGCCAAGCGTCGTGGGCTTGGTTGGCCTGAGGCCAGCGCTGGGCGCGTCAGCCGGGGTGGTGAAACGGGGGTTTGAAACGCAGAACGGGCGGCTGCAGCTCCGCCGCTGACTTGCGGCAGCATGGGGGCTTAAATGTCCGTAGCCCCCCGGCCTGCCTACGACTTCACCTCTTCACCGGCGTCCTGTCAAGCTATTGTCGTCGCCTTTTGAGTCGTCCTGGGTGCTTTTCTGCTCGGCTTGGTGACCAAGTGCGAGTCCCGACAGCGTCGTTTGCAGGAGAAGCGTGCGTGGCTTAGCGTTGCGGACCGGTTACAGGGGTTGTGACCTGATATCAGAGTGTGCAGGTGAGTGAAGGTTTTCGATATGCTCTTTGCTACTGCCTCGCTTTCTCTCTTTTCACTCCTTCGCACCTTTTGATAACCTAGCGGCCTCCTGACTGGCTGGGACCATCTCCCGCCTCGCCGCAACATGGAGATGCCCTGCGCTCGATGCCTTGTGCCTACACCCACATATCACAATTCCCCTATTCACCTCTATTCGAGCCTCTATTCAAGTGCCTCGTTGTCTTTTCTGGCCCCTGTTTGGTCCTAAACGCACAACCCCTGTTAAGTTTTGGTACTATACGCCTTCGTTCGTACACCGCCATGAGCCTTTCACCTACTTTCACTTCTCTTCACCTATCTTCTTCGCCACCCAGCCTCCCCTTTACCAACTGCGTATGACGCACAATAGGAAGCGCTCAATACGCTTCTTCCTATTGTGCGCACACTCGCTAGCGACGGGTACAAAAAGCCTCTCTTCCAGCTCCCACTTCCATTTCTCTTCTTCCCACAAACATCCCCGACGTCGTCTGTGACCTCAAGCACTTCTTCCATCTACAATCTCCAATTACTCCTCCCAATCCTTCCGACGTCTTCATCATGGCCGAGGCTGCTCGTCTAATCGGCATGCTCCAGGCCTCCGCTGCTCAGCAGCGTTCATCACAGGGTGGTTACGCCAACCACGACCAGTACCGTGGCTACGGCACCTACGACAAGAACTTCACCTACGGTACCTACGGCAAACCAGCAGACTGCGGCGGCTTTCCGGCCTTCTCCTCCTTCTCTGTCTCGGTTCCGGTCCCGGCCACCAAGCAACCTGCTCCCGTGAAGGCGATTCCCGCTAAGCGTGAGGCGATTCCAGTCTCCTTTGTAGAGGCTCTCCAGCAGGTGGCCAACGGTCAGCCGCTTCCGCCACAGCCCAGCTCACCCTTCAGCCAGGACTTCAAGGTTGGCTTGAACAAGGTTCTCTCGACCCTTAACGCCATCTTCCCTGCAGGTGGCCCGCTCCCAGCCCCCGCTCCGCAGGTCAAGGAGACAACCAGCGACATCGCCAACGATCTTGCTGTCGTTAACTCCAAGCGTATCTTTCAGGCCGCTAGGAAAGGTCCTGTCCATCTCGAAGTCATCGCCAACGATCTCCATCTCAAGATCAGCGACTCCAAGATCGACAAGATGGCTGGTCGCTTCCCCGCACTCACCACTTCCAACCTTCCTCCCGCGACTCCACAGGAGAAGTCTGCCACCGCTTCACCGGCCCGCGGCTCCGCTATGCTCAATTCCATCTTCAAGTCGGTGCGTGTCCCAGAGTTTCGCCACAAATGGCAATTCTGGGCAGAGAAGGGCGTGCAGCCGGGCTCGTCATCCAAGTCCAGCGCCGCCGAAGACTACGCCAACCGCCCGAAGCCGCTCGGTGAGCCGATCGTCTCCGTTAAGGATTTCTACCAGCACTTCAATAACATCCCCCTCGAGGGCCTCAAGATGCGTGACGCAATCCATCTCTTCCACGCGGGTGTCAAGCCGGTCTGGGAGGACCCACGCAACTCTCGCGGCGGCTCATACTACTTCCGCGTCCCCAAGGAGCTCGCCCCCCAGTTCTGGCACGAGATCTGTCTCCTTGCTGTCGGTGATGTGCTCCAGGCCGCCGTCGAGACCAAGCGGGAGTGTAAGTTCACCATCATCTACCCTACAGATCTTCGTCAGCTAACCATTACACAGCGTTCAACGACGATATCTGTGGGATCTCCTACAGCATGCGCTGGAACGCGGTTCAGATCCTCGTCTGGACCCGCGACGCCGACAACGAGGCGGGCAAGGAGCGCCTATTGGCTACAATCGTGGACAAGATCAGCGAGGAGCTGAAGCCCAAGAATCAGAAAGACTACTGGTACAAGCCGCACATCATGCATACGGATTTCCAGCAGGACGCTGCTGCCCCTTCAGCACCCAAGACGACGGCGCCTACGGCTGAGTAGATGCGAGTGGGGTTGGATCGCGAGCTTCGCGGAGTCTGGATGGCACATACATAGCTAAGGATGGTGCTACGGAGTGACGGGGCAGATATGATGACTACTAGGACATATTGCATGAATTCAGAATTTCCTTCGAATACTGAGCCTTTTGATTGAGACCTGCGATGACCCAAACCCAACCGAAAGCTCAACGTGTTGCTTGCTATCATATCACCTTACGATGCTAATGGTATATGTACTGTGGTAGTAAGGATTCGGTGTTGTTAGCTTGACGTTCACCCTCCTTCCCGCACTTGGCAGGAATGACGTCACTACACACAGTCAGCGCCCCACCTCATCCACCTTTCCACCCTTCAAGCCCAGATACACCAGCATGCTCCTCCTTCCGAATTCAGCGCGTACTACAAACATCCATCCATACATTCATCCCATGTCTCCCAGACATCCCTTATCATTCTCCATATAACATAATCATATTCATTTCTATTCCTCCCTCCACCACAGGCTTGCCAACACAAAGCAAGCTCTAGCAAAATCAAATCCAAATCCCCCAAAATGGGCATCCCCTACTCGCGCGAAATAAACTCCGCCTTCGAGCAAGTCACGCCCCTCGTCGCCGCCGGCTTCAAGGTCCTGCGCACCACGAAGAACATCTCCATCCTGCTGGCCGTCATCCAGGTCCTGACGGTCTTTTTTCTGCTCCTCATCCTGCTCGCCCTGCTGCTGCTGCTGTATACTGTGAATCCGGATTTGGAAGTAGGGTTTCCCTTTTCCTTCTTCCCCCCTTCTTCTCCTCTTCCGGCAAGCTTTGCTTCGCGCTGCTTTGCTTCGCTGCCTGTGATGCAGACGCAGACGCTAACAGCGCAGCAGAAAGAGCGCAAGGTCATCGTCACGCCGTTCCTGCAATGGCTCGCGCGCGTGTCCTTCTGGGGCGTTATCAAGGGCGCGGTGAGCGCACTGGTGGGCATTGCGCTCACGCTGGGGGTTAGCTGGTATTTGTTTTTGGTTAAGCATGAGGATGTCGAGTATGCGGGAAACGAGGACGCGGATAAGGCGCTGGAGGAGATGGAGGGAGATGGGAAGAAGAAGGCGAAGGAGAAGGCGAAGGCGGAGAAGGGTAAGAAGAATGGCAAGGATGAGGGGAAGGAGGAGAAGAAATAATAGCGGTTGGGCTGTTGCGACAGGGGCTTTGCTTATTGGCGTTGCGCGGAGGAGTGGTAGGTGTTAGGGGCGCGAAGGGAACTGGGCTGCCTTTTGCGTTAATGGAGGCGTCTTGTCGGGAGCCATGGAATTCTGCCTAGGCGCTAATGGGGTGGGCAACGCCCAGACATTCGAATCCGGCAGGCACGGGTAACGGTAACACTGTCGGGTGTCAAGAGCGGAAAGCACACTGTATGAGAGGAAAAGTCATCATTGAGCCCTACTTGGTATCATCCATGAGAGCCCGGGATCCTAACGCCACGAGACCGTCGCTATGCACCAGCACTGCTCTCAGGCCAGCGCTACCCGCGAAGACGCCCAAGAGAGGAAAAGGTAGGCTGTAAGTCTTCAGCCCCTAACGGACCACCAATGTCTTGACGACGTTGCAGTCGATATCGTGCAGCTCTGGCGGGAACTTGCACATCTCGCCAAAAATGCAGGTCTTGGTGCCCTTAATCTGGTTCGTCTTCGAAGGCGGCGCTGGGCAGCGGTGGCCGTAGATGCATTTGATATCTTGACAGACACTACCATTCTGGCAGGGAGCCATGCGAGCCACGAGCCGGAGAGTTGCTATCTCCCCATCGGTAGGCTTATAGTTATGCAAGTGGGTACACTTGTGGCCATACGGGCACTCTTGACGCAGGAAATGGACATTGCACAGCTTGACCTTCTTCAGACGGTCGACTTCGGATTTATCGTAGTCGCGGCAGGGAGGATCGACTCGCTGACCCATTCGGTTACGGGCGATGATTTCTTCGCGATTGGCAGGTTTGTACGTAGGCGAGTGCGTAACAGGCGGGGCGGGAAGTGAGGCCTTTGCTGCCCACGTGCCGGTGATGACTGGTTTGATGGCTGGCATGCCGTCGGACGCTAGAGTGGAGGACGAGGGTGTCCGTGGGAGACTCGGAGCGACCCGGGCCAAAACGGGGCTATCCAACAAAAGGTTCGGGGTGCCGTTAGCCGTGCGAGACGGAGGCGGAGGAAACTTAGTTGGGAGACCGCTGAGCATGTTGTAAGACTTCACAGCCGGGGAACCTGTTGCCACTCCATTCCCTCCCCACACAGAAAGCTTGGATTCTCGAAAGATGCCAGCAAACTTCTACAGATGTGTCAGATGTTGGAAGGCCTGCAGGAATTGTCATACGCACCTTGGTTCGATATGGTAGGACCAGCAGCTCCTTCTCAAATGGGACTCCCTCCAAGAGTGTTACCTTACTCCGGTATACTCCATCGGTCATGTACTCTTCAAGCGTCCGGGCGTATCCGTTATCATGAGAGCATCCGAAGAAAATCTGCCGACAGTGGAGATTGTTGACAAATGCTTTGAAATGTTCTATAATGGTTAGCCGGTATCAGGTACTGATGCATGCCTGGATGAGATGTACCGATCACCTTCTTATCCGCCCGATCTTTGCCCGGCCCGACATTGGCAAAACTGAACAGACCCTTGTCCGAGGTGAAGCCTTGCACAAAGTCTTCGAACTGGCGGGTCTGCTCTATGACGCCGGTGCGCACAAGCACCTCAGCGAGGCCCTTGACATTGGCCCAAATGTAACAGAAGATTCGGGATTGGATTGGAATGATGGGATTCTCGCGCTCGATGTAGTCGGCAATAGCGGCATGAAGCTGAACGGCTGCCCGTCGCCCGCCATTCTCACCATCGCGAATAAACTCGTCCCGGAAAATCATACCGTCTCCGTCAATCAGAACTACGACAAACGGGTCCCGGTCCTGGGAGGTTGTCAGCGGAGGAACACGTAGGCTCAAGGCCTTCCGGGAGTCATCGATAGGATCGAGGAGGTCCGGGGAGTGTCGACGTACCAACGCCATCTTCATTGAACGATTCTCGGTTTCTAGAGCCAGAAGCGTGTCACGGTCTCCGCCCTGCTCGGCAGATAGACGCTGGTACTCCTGGCTAACGTATTCATACCGGACCATGAGTTCCTAGGTAGTGTCAGCGGCGGACCGTTTGAGATGGATTGGGTGGAGGTAGCTACATGGAGCAAGCTGCCAACGTCTTGCGTATTCCGCATGCCTGACTCCACGCGGGCCCAGAGAGAGGCGTGGGTACTATCTTGGAGGCCATTTGAGCCCGGAGCCCGCGCAGGCGTGCCGATGGGCGACTGCGTGTTGCTGAAAAACGAAGCCGGTGACATGGTCTGAAATACTGCAGGCTGAGATTGTTAGTCAAAGTCGATTATTGCGGTCAGACAGCGCGCGCGAGAGCGAGAGGTACCGTCAGAGAAGGCAGAATGGGAGAGAAGCGAGGTGTTGAGTGTGCGGAGTCAAGTAGCTGCGGCAGGCACGAAGCGGAAACCAGCCGTGGCGCGGGAATGACAGAGCGGGCTTCACTGGAAACCGCGGGTGACTGAGTTTTGTAGTCGTTAGTGCAGCGTAGAGAGAAAAAAGTCACTGTGCCCCAGAGTGTGCGACCATGCAAGCAGGCGCGCCCAGTAGCGCCCGGGTTCACTGCAGCGCGGGCGGTGAGGTGCAAACGGGACCAATCAAGCAAGCGGCGGCAGGCAGCGGCGGCGAGACGCTTTGGCTGGCGATGGTGAATCTCTTTTTCGTCTTTTGAAGAGAGCGCGTCCGTGGTTGCGTGCAGGCGAGCAAAACTTTCGGGAGGGAGTGGTGATTGGCTCCGTGGCGCCCGATTCGGGCTAGCGCGCATTCGCCCTGCCCGCACCTGCAGCTTGCGCGCGGGCCTCCACCTGGGACAGAAGCCACGTTCAATCATCATCATCGCCGACATCTCCTCCCCACACCCTCTTGTCTCGCATCCCATCCGATTGTCTCTCCGCCTGTATCCACCATGGTCGCCTGGAAGCTGTCCACCCTGCTCCTCCTCTCGCTGCGGGCGCTCAATGCCTTCGCCGCAATCGAGGTGAGGCTCGCTGTAATTTTGACGATGCATAACATCAATTAGCTGACCCATCTCCGCCAGGTTGAGAACGTCGAAGAGGTGGCCGACGACGAGCCGCAAACGCCCAATCTCAAGGTCTCCGTCTCCACCAGCTTCCCGCAATCCGAGATTTTCGGCGTCAAGCTCATCAACGGCCATGCCACCGAAGCACGCCTCTCCATCAACAACGAGGAGCCGCAGGCGGTGACCGTCGCCCTTGTCGGCGGTTCGTTGCTTCAGGATGCAGGCGACCAGTCACACATCTTGCGCAATCTGACTGCCCAGCGCTATGGCCTGGAGATCCCCGCGGGCGAGGAGCAGACCGTGACGTTCAGCTTCAGCACCGAGATGCACCCCCAGGACGTGCGTCTGCAGCTGGTGGCCGTGCTCAAAGACTCCAAGGACGCCTTCTACACCGTCTCAGTCTACAATGAAACCGTTACCGTTGTTGAGGCGCCGACCAGCATTTTCGACCCACAGATGTATGCGCCTTCCCGTTCCCTCAAGCAAATGCTCCGCCGTTCTCCACACCGCCCTTCCACGCATTCAAACAACAACTGCTGACTCACATGCTTCTAGAATCTTCCTCTACCTCGTCCTCTTGGCCGCCTTTGCCGGAACCGTCTACTTCATCTACAACACCTGGATCACCACTCTCTTCCCCCAGAAAAAGCGCGGCGGCAAGGGTGGCGAGCGTGCTAAGAAGTCCTCCGGTGGCTCGAAGAAGGTCGATCCCTCTGATCAGGCTGCGGTTATTGGCGCCGATGGTCCCGCTGTCACTAGCGGTGCGAAGGCCTATGATGAGAGCTGGATCCCTGCCCAGCACCTCCAACGCCCAGAGGCTAGGCGCGTTAGGAGCGGAACTCCCAAGACCAAGGTCAAGAGTTAAGCGATACACTAGGGAGCTGGATAAAGGGATTGATGGTTCTAGGGGATGCAATCTGTACGGTGGAACATGTTGTGGGTGTGTCGTGGTGGCATGGGCCTTTTTGAAGGCTTCGTGATATTTGGTGGACGCGTTGTAGGAAACCCAATGGGACTTGGAACGCTATTTAGACGGGCTCCCTGGATGACGCATATCTGGCAGGCTGAGAATGCGTGCCACGCCCTGGACATGGCAAGCATCTTGGCGATATGAAAATGTACTCTATCACGAACCCCAAAAGTTGCCGGTTTTGTATAACTACGGGGATAATAAAACGGAGTTGTCAAGGGTATCTCTGTTTCTATATTCGTGAAGCTCGCGGTATCGAGCCGTGAATCTGACTACCCCAGTATTCCAGCCCAGAGTGCCTTACTCCTTTTTCCACTTCTCAAACTCATTCCCAAGATGATTCTTCAGCGCCGCAAACTTATTCTCGAAATTCCTTCCGCACCGCCAACACACCATATCCCACTTCGGCCAATCGCCCGGATGAAACCTCGGGCTCCCCTTCTCTAGCGGCAGCTCGTCCAGTCCCACGAAGAAGCTCGAATTGAAGCTCAGATAATGCTTCTTGTGCTTTAGCCACGGCGAGTTCATCTCGCGCGATATGATGTGGACGTGCATGTGGTTCATAGAGGGATGTGTATGGACGCCGGCTTTTATTTCTGAGAGCCAGTCGCGGCCGGGTGGGAGGAGGGCGGCGCGCTCGTCTGGCGGTGGTGGGTCGGCGGAGGACATGAGCTCCTCGAGGGCGGATTGGTAGGGGGCGTCGGAAGCGGAGGAGGCGCCGTATTGGCGGCGGAGTTCGCTGGCTGCGAGCTGCTTTAGGCGCTCGACGCGGGTGCGTATTTTCTCGAGGAATTGCGGGTTGGAGGAGAGGAGCTCGAGCGGGTGTTGGTGGTAGATTGCTGGGTCGCGCGGGAGGAGTAGGAGGTGGACGCTGGGTATCTTAGCTTAGGATGTACTCCGTAAGGAAGGGTAGACAGGGTATGAGCGTACCTCGCCTTCGAGTACTTGTCGTTAATCACCACGAAGTCGTCGTCGTACTCGACTACCTTGCCCTCAGGGTTCTTCTCCGGTTGTTCGATATACGCAATCAGGCCGTCCCTCCGATCCCATGCTTTCTTTGCTGCTCTCTTCACAGTATTCATCGTGTCCGTGGGCGCACTATCTGTTGGCGCTGGCTTCGGTTTCTTCGCGTGAGTCATGAGTTCTGTGACTGCATTGTAAGTCATCGCCTTTGTAGCTGCCTGAAGTACGGATACGAACATGCGTTGGGCCGCTTTTGCGCGGAGGGTTCTGCTTCTAGTTGCGGATGGTTGGGTGGGAGATCGCCTGTGATTTCTTCTGCGAGGAGTGCGTCGTCGGCATCTTCGACATCGTGTGAGGTAGGCATCATGGCTACCTTACGCGGTGCCTGTTTGCCTTTTGGAGAGCTGTGTGACTGCGTAGCGCGAAAGGCTATGACGTGGCCTCGTCTATTTTAAGCGTATGTATTGGGTGAAAAATGGTAGACACGAGCTCGGGGAAGTCGACAGTACTCCAATTACGTGAGCTTCATAGATGGTTTTATGACGACGAAGCTGTCGGAATGGACCTCTCTAAGTGGTCCGTGCTCACCGCGGCGGTGCCAAGCATCGGAATTTCGGATCTGGGGCGATTGCTGAGGACTTTCTTCCCACAAGCACAATGCTTTCCCAAGCTAATAGCAAACACCCTGGAGCATTCTTTCCGGGAAGAAGAAGGAGCTCCTTGATAGACGGATGCGGACGAACCCTGGCTACTGAGCCCTTTACTAGCGAGCTGCGCCCTTTTGTGTCCCACACCCAAGCTTACACAAAGTCATCCTAATTTGTACGGATTTGTTCTCGATGGACTTGTCCGAGCTACGACTTTTAGAATTCGCGCAAACGCAACTTAGGAACCATGCCGAAGAATCATCCACCTCGCGGCGCTGCCGCAAAGAAGTCTGTCCCTCCTACCGAGGATACGAGCTATATCATCTTCGGCGACGAGAAGAAGAAGAAAAGGAGCCAGAACTCTGCTAACACAGCTGATAATACCAAGAGCAAATCAACTGGAAAGCAGCCTGCAAGCGAAAATGACTCTAAAGGCAAAGGAAAAGCACCTGCGGGCCAGCCCGAGGAAGCTCCGAAGAGACCAGATACCAGGACTCTGATCGCCGGAGCCTCATGGACGGGCAAACTTCCTGTCAACTTGCTGTCTGAGCATTTTCAGAAACAGCAATGGAGCAAGCCAGATTATCGTATCCACAAAGAAGGGGATATGCACGTCGCGTATGCAGTAGTGCTGTCTAAAACGAACCCAAAGACCCGAGAGACTACGACATTGCCGCCATTCAAGATACCCCTTGAGCTCGCTGAGAAGGCACGTCAACCAACCGCTGTGGAAGCGCGCAACTTTGCCGCGGCTTATACGCTCTTCCGTGTTGCGAGCGCAAAGAATCTGCACATGATGTTGCCACCAACCTACAAGGACCTCTGGAAACGAGAATTCTCGGACCTGAAGAAACAAGATGAGAAGGACGGAAAAGCATGGCTCTACGAGGCTGATCCATTTTTTGGATATGCGGAACGAGAGAAGGCGAAGGAGATTGCAGCAAAGGAACGTGAAAAGAAGCAGAAGGAGCGTGAGGCGGCGAAGAAGACCCACAATCTTCAGCCTGGAATGTCTATGCCGAACTCTCGAGGTCCCTCTCCTAGTAGGAATATTCTGAAGGGCTGGGAACGGGTGCCGAAGATCGAGCTTGGGAAAAAGACGAGGAAGCAGGTTGAGCGGCTGATTCGACGTGATGCTGTTTGGAATCCACACGGCCTCAAGCTGGACGCAAACACCCGAACGAAACTGGTTGATGAGGTCACCGAACTTGGGTTCAGAAGGAGCCATGTCGAGGAAGCCGCAGAGATGTGCAAAGATCGGGAAGAGATTATCGAATGGCTTCTTATTCATGTCCCCGAGGACGACCTTCCGTCATGGAGTCTCCCTGAGGGATATGTTGCAGGTATCAGCATGGCCAGCGCAAACCTCAAGCGCGAGGGCGCCATCAAACGTCTTGCGGCTGCTGGTTATGCGACCGAACTTTGCGAAGAGGCGTATGACAGCCAAGGAGGAAACGAACGCAAAGCAGTTGCAATTCTTCAAGCACATCTCCTTCGGCCCAACGATCAGGACGAGGATATTTCACAGCACCTGGAGGACCTTGTGCTTACGGACAACTCTGGAGATTCACAAGACGCCGCTGTCGATGCATGGGAAGAAGAAATGTCGTCTTTGCAAGCCATCTATGACAAGCTGTTCTCGCGGCCATCCCCCACTGTCTGCCGTATTGAGCTTGACATCAAGCAACAAGGAAAGCGCCTACTTCTTCAAGTACACAAGCCATTCGGTACTTACCCGTCCGTTGTTCCTATCATCACTTTCGAGGCTGCTATTCCCGCATACATTCGGCTGAGCATCATCCGACAGGCTTTGCTACATGCCGAAGCCAATTTCCTTGGCATGCCCATGATCTACGACATAGTGGATTGGTTACAGCAGAGTGCTGGTGAAATCTTCAAGAACCCGGGACGCCTCACTGATGTATCATCTGGCCTGGCAGCAGCAGATCATCGGACTACAGACCAACTAGCGTACATTACGAAAAAGGGCAGGTCTCGTAGGCCAATCGACTGGCGGCCAGCAACCGCTCAAAGCCAGAAAATGTTGTCTCAATGGCAGGCTAAGCAGCAAACCTCAGCGCAACAGAAGATGATGTCTGCTCGTCAGTCGCTGCCGGCATGGAGGCTGCGAGAAGAGATAGTACGAACTGTCAATAGGAGCCAAGTTACCATAATATCTGGTGAAACGGGGTCCGGAAAGTCAACGCAATCGGTCCAGTTTATTCTAGACGACTTGGTCCAGAGGCAACTCGGGGCTGCAGCGAACATCATCTGTACCCAACCACGAAGGATCTCCGCCTTGGGTCTCGCTGATCGCGTGGCGGACGAGCGATGCTCCCAAGTCGGCGATGAGATTGGCTATGCTATTCGGGGCGAATCGAAACAGAAACCAGGAACAACTAAGATCACTTTCGTCACCACTGGTGTCCTCCTAAGGCGGCTTCAGACTTCTGGCGGGAGCTCAGATGATGTCGTGGCCGCGCTCGCCGATGTCAGCCATGTGGTCGTTGATGAGGTGCATGAGCGCAGCTTGGACACGGATTTTCTCCTAGTCCTTCTTCGCGACATTTTGCGACGCCGCAAAGACCTTAGCGTCATTCTGATGAGCGCTACGCTCGACGCCGATGTTTTTGAGCGATATTTCAAAGACGTTGGGCCTGTTGGACGCGTTGAGATTGAGGGCAGGACTTATCCTGTTCACGACTTCTACCTTGACGATGTGATGCACCTCACTTCGTTCCGAGGTAGTCAAGATCTAGAAACTGAAGAAGAGGCAGTGGAGAAAGCATTCTCTGCTAACCTTCGCAGCATCGGCTTTGGCATCAACTACGAGCTCATTGCGGAGACCGTACGCTACATTGACCGCCAGCTTGGCCCCAAGGACGGTGGTATCTTGATTTTTCTCCCTGGCACTATGGAAATCGATCGGACACTTCAGGCTCTCAGTCAGTCCTCTAACTTCCATGCGCTACCTCTACACGCGTCGCTTCTGCCAATCGAGCAGAAGCGCGTCTTTCCTCCGGCGCCTTCGGGGAAGCGCAAAATCATCGCTGCCACCAATGTCGCTGAAACCTCAATAACCATTGAGGATATCGTAGCAGTTATCGATACTGGCCGTGTTAAAGAAACGAGTTTCGACCCCCAGAACAACATGGTCCGGCTTGCAGAGACCTGGGCATCACGAGCGGCGTGCAAGCAGCGACGCGGTCGAGCCGGCCGGGTACGGGCAGGAGAATGCTACAAGCTGTATACGCGCAATGCCGAAGCCAAGATGTTAGAACGACCCGACCCAGAAATCCGACGAGTGCCGCTAGAACAGTTGTCCCTGTCTATTAAGGCAATGGGAGTGCAAGATGTCCCAACCTTCCTGGCATCAGCGCTCACGCCGCCTGAGAGCACAGCGGTCGAAAGCGCCGTTAGACTGCTAGGCCAGATGGGAGCCATTGCAGACGACGAGCTAACGGCCCTTGGTCGCCACATGTCCATGATTCCAGCAGATTTGCGATGCAGCAAGCTGCTCGTATATGGCGCTACATTTGGCTGTCTCGAAGCTGCGCTTACCATTGCTTCCGTTCTCACTACTCGCAGTCCGTTCATCTCTCCCCGAGAACGAGACCAAGAGACACGTGACGAGTTCAATCGCATCCGGTCCTCTTTCTCAAACAACCAAGGGGACTTGCTCGTTGACCTCCGCGCATTCGAGCAATGGGCCGCCTTCCGTAGCAAAGGGGCAACTGCTCGTGAGCTCCGCGCATGGTGCGCATCGAACCGGCTCTCGCCTCAAACACTCCTCGACATCGCCTCCAACCGCTCGCAGTACCTCTCCTCCCTCAAGGAAATTTCCTTCATACCCACTACCTACTCTTCCACCAACCCAAAGACGCACGGCGGTTACAATGCGCAGAACGGAAACGACGCTCTGATCCGTGCGCTCATTGCCGGCTCGTTCAACCCGCAAATCGCCCGCATCCAGCTTCCAGACAAGAAATTTGCGGCCGGCATCTCCGGCGCCGTGGAGCTTGATCCCGAAGCCCGAGAGATCAAATACTTCAACCAGGAGAACGGCCGCGTCTTCGTACACCCCTCGTCTACCCTCTTCTCCTCGCAGACGTTTCCCTCGAACGCTGCCTTCATGTCCTACTTCAACAAGATGGCTACGAGCAAGATCTTCATCCGCGAGCTTACGCCCTTCAATGCGTACTCCTTGCTCATGTTCGCAGGCGACATCCGGGTGGACACGCTAGGGAGGGGGTTAGTCATTGACGAATGGATTCGTCTCCGTGGCTGGGCGAGGATTGGTGTGTTGGTGTCTAGACTGAGAGGTATGCTAGATAGGGTCTTGGAGACGAAGGTGCAGGAACCGGGCAAGGAGTTTAGCGAGAGAGAGAAACAGGTTGTGGATGTGGTGAGGTGGATGGTTGAGCGGGATGGATTGGATAATTAGTGGCCGGCTTTGAAGATGTTCTCTCTACTCAAGTTTGAGAGCGTTAGAGAAGCGGGCCCCGATATCGCACTATGGAGTACTGGGAATATGGATGCTTTGAGCTAGCTACATTTTCGGCTAGAAACTTTTTGCATAGATTTATAGACACGCTCTTCAACATGCAGGTTCTTTATGATGCAATTCATGCTTCATGGATGGGATTGGGCGATGAATTTATGTGTCTTTAGGCTCTTGCGTTGTGGTTACCTCCGGGTGGTGGCGCGCGAGGTGAATTGCCCCGCCACGTGAGCTGACGCACGGGTCACATTGTGGCGCAGCCAGGCTCAACCTCAGCCTTCCTGCTCATCTCACTGCACTTCAGACACCTCGTCCTCCTCGAGAAATCTCTCGATGCGGTTTCTCTCGTCCTGTTCTTCGCGCCATGTTCTTAGTGCATGTCGCTGATCCATTTTGTTGGCTTGAGCCGTCCGTTTCGACACCTCGTTAGGCGCCGAGGTCTCCGGGCTTCCCTCCCTCCCTCCCGAACGTCCTGTCTGCTCTGTGGTCAACTCTGCCCGTGGATCGCTAGATGCTTGGATGCTTGGATTCCCTGAATTGTCCTTTTCTGGCATCCTGCATCACTATCAAGTTTATCCAAGATGGAGACTCCGTGGTCACCTGGAAGTGCGTTTAGGGAGCCGCTAGACCCTACGCCACCTTTGGAGAGCACACCTCAGACTGCAAGGTCCTTCATACGCGTAAACGAACCTTCGCCTTCACCCTTCAATCCGATAGGGATTACTTCGGGGCTATGGGGTTCCGCCGAGGAAAGTGAGAGAATTGATGAAGCAAATCGTCGGGCTAGGCAGAGAAACAAGTTGCCTCACAATGAGAATTCGGGAGAGGAGGATGAGAATGGAGAGGGGATGTCTCACGACGCCTACGGGATTCCTAACAAGAACGGTACCTGGAGTTGTGCCTACCCTGGTTGCACTTCGAGGGCAGTCTTCACGCGAGCTTGCGATCTCAGGAAACACTACAAAAGACACACAAAGACCTTTTTCTGTCGCCATGGAGGCTGCCCGCAGGCTACTGGTGGTGGCTTTTCTAGCAAGAAAGATCTTGCAAGGCACGAGGCAAAACATAATCCTGGCTTCCTGTGCGAGTGGGAGGGCTGCGGCAGAGTGTTCAGTCGGGTGGGCAACATGAAAGACCACATGAGGAGGATACACCTGAAAGCATCTCAGGATCGCCCCTACGCCCATTTAACTCCGCCGCAGACTAGTCGTGCACCCCTGATAGACAAGCGGAAAGGCATCTCAAAACTAGCGCAGTCTCCGCCATTAGAGTTCGTTGAGCCCGTTGGACAAGAGCATCAATTCCGCTTCACCGGCCCTAGAACTCCGTCTTTGGGGCCAAGGAGTTCCTCCGAGAAAAGTGAGGAAAGTGAGGAAGAGACGGATTTAGAAGCAGGGGAGGATGAGAAGGACGAAAGTGCATCGGACTCGGCCAAGCACAGGCAGCCCCTACGCCGAGTCGTCGCGCATGCCCAATTTGTACTCGAGGAACTGGACAGTGACGAAACTTATGATAGTGACGTAGAAGTGCTGCGACCTAGTCATGTCGAAGATGGAGAAAGTGAAACAGGCGATGCAAGCACCGAAGAGAAAAGTGCCAATCTTAAGCTAGGACTTGAAGGAGATATAGTCACTAAGTTCCAGGACCCAGAGTGTCGAGACGAGTCGTCGGATGAAAATGAATGGCAAAGATTGTACAAAAGGGAAACGAAACGACGGAGCGCAGGCATAGTCAAGCGCACCCACAGCCACTCGATTGAGGGAGACAGCAGCTATTCAGATAACGACCCGCTAGACGACCTTGACTGGACGGCTCGGCGCCTTCGACGCCGCGTACGGGGGTCCGGCGGCCCGTCCTCTCTCGTTTTCGAAGACACGGAACAAGCTGGGAGCCTCAGAAATACGCCGGTAAACTTCTCCTCGTCGGGTGGCTTGATGAAAATCGGGGACTGGGTATCAGAGCTGAAGACATCCAAACTCGCAGAAGACACGGAAGGCAACATGGCAGCAGCCCTAGAGAAGCTTTTTACGATTGAAGAGCCTGCAGTACACAAGTTCGGCGACACCAGTAAAGCGCCTGTGAACTCCGGTACGAGAACGCCAGACGAGTCAACATCTACGCAAGAGCTACCTGGAAAGGGTCGCCCATTGCCACTCGCTCCAGGGCCTGCTCAGGAGAGACGGCAGAAGCATGAGGCTCGACGCGCAGAGAAGGAAAGACTAGCACAGAAAGAAGCAGCCAGGCGCGCGGAGGAAGAGGAAGTACTAGAAGCTGCGCGTCAGAAACGCCGCGAAAAGCGCCGGGCTAGAATGGCGGAAGATATACTTAGGAGAGAGGAAAAGGAGCGCGTAAGACGGGAAGACGAAGAAAGGCGCATTCGATACGAGCAGAGACGAGAGGCGCGGCGCCTAGAGCGTGAAAGAATTGAACAGGCTGAACGCGAGCAGGCTAAACAGGACGAAGCGAGGCGACGGAGAGTTGCACGCGAGAAAGAGAAGCGTGCTTCTATGAGGGCCAAGGTCGTGGAAGTTGACACGCCGTCAGGACAGCACGTGGATGCAGAGTTGGAGACACAGGGGAATGTTGAAGCAGAGCCCAGAGAAGAGAATGAGCCCGTTCCTGAACAAGTTCAGGAGACTGCGCGGGTCCTAGCAGAGGGAACAATCCCTAGCATTTTAGAAGAAACGGCAAATGAGGCAAATGTTACGGGCCAAGCGGAGCGCAGGAGGATTCAGAATAAGCTAGCGCAAAGGAGGTTTCGCGTCAAGGTTGAGGAGCAAGTGAAGCTAGCAGAGACGGGGGAGATGGCCAAGCTCAAGGACGACTCAAGCAATCAAAAGAAGGGCGACATTTTGATGGACCCGCTGCCCGGCGTACAGGTCGCCATGAAGGAAATCGACGCGCGCCCGAAAAAGGAGGAGCCCGGACTGCCATTAAACGACCCGGGATTGGAAGTGGGAGCCGACAAACCCGATCGGGATACTGATAATTCGGCAGGACCGTCCACGATCAAGTGTATCTGCCGCTTCTCAGACGACAAGAGACATATTGTCCAGTGCGAGAAATGCGGTACATCGCAGCATATCGCTTGCTACTATGAGGATGCTCGCGAGATCGTAGAGATACATGAGTGCGTGGAGTGCTCTTCAAAAGCCTTGAACAGACATTCGACTCGGGACCCTTCAGAAAAAGGAGCCAGCCAAGTCAAGTCGACATACGCCTCTGATTCCATTACGAGAGTGGTCCCTACCAAATCGAGGGCTGTAGGCGAGAGCTCCATCGGGTTTGCGAGCAAGAGCGTTTCCCGATCTGTAGCTGCGACGAGCGAAGGCCATCATGTTCCAGCTACTAACGTTATAACCGGAGCAGACATCCTTGAGGGTTCCCCTGTGATGCATCCATCCGTACCACGGCGGAAACCGTATCAAAGGGATGTCATACCAGACTCGTCTTCAATGTCAGAGGAGCCTCGGAAAAACAGTGACAATCCTGATTCACCATCTTCAAACAACCTGCCTACCTCAACGGGAACCGGCAACTATCTTATAGAACAGCGTAGGCCCACGGGAGTCTCAAGGAAACCTTCCACTCAAGACACAGGCCGTGTGATCAAGCCCGAGATTATTATCGAATTCGGCAGCAAGAAGAACGCAAAAAAGAAGTACCCCCTTCATACCCATGCATCGTCATCTCGCTCGTATAAACAGAGCTCACTTGGCATATCATCTGCGGCTTCGGATGAAGTGGCTATTGAATCTCCTGGGTCAGATGCATCCTACACTATCCCAACTGGATTTCCCGAGGCCCCTATACTACCTTCGGAACCCCTAGGATACGCACGGAAGGCCGCAGTACCCCGAGGCATCCGCAGCTCCTCAACTGAATCCTTTACATTCTCTAGTCAGCCTCCCTCTCTGTATATGACTTCGGAGCCGGAGTCACCCTCAGGACGGCGCCCAGCTAGGTTCCCTCCGACAATCGTGCATCAGCCTCCCCCTTTTGCGGTGCACTCTGCTTCCCACAATAAACATGACCCTATTCCTGCAGCTGCCTATCGCTCAATAACCATCCAACCAGAGAGGCATGGGAACCGTGAGCGTACGCAGAAATTGAAGGAAGAGGTTACACGCCAAGAGGAAGCCGATCGTCGGCTTGCCGAAGAACTTGCTAAAGAAGAAGTCCGCCAGGATATATTCGAACTTGGCTGTGCTGAAGGTAGGCCGGCGGGGCGCGTTGAAAGTAAGTTCGCCAAGTCCGAGAAGACAAGAGCGGAAGCGCGGGAAGATGCCAGGCGACGCAAGAAGGAACAAGCAATGGAGAGCGCCGAAAGGCAACTCCCCGAGTCTGAGAAGAGAAAAGCAGTGGAAAGGGAAGGAGCTGGGCGACGCAAGGGGGAACATAAAACGAAGGATCTTGAGAAGAGTGCTGAGCAGCTAGCACAAAAACACACCAGGCGATCGCTCCACACTCGCAGACGGTCCATATCGCGGCAGGATCTTGAAGAGCGTATTCGCCTTCTTGCCGAAACAGAGGCCCAGATGGCTCGTGAACGCGAGCTTGCTGAGGCCCGAGAAAGGCAGGAGAAGACCCAGGCGTCCACACGGAATTCTTCCGAGCGATCACCTCAGCACGCTCACAGATTGGCAGTGACAGTGGAGGATGTTGGGAGACGTGAAGACAACCTCCTGGAACCGGAAAGGGTACAAGAGGCGAGTAAGCTCGGTGCGAAAGCAAAGGCGACGGACGACAGTTCTGCGCATCCCGGTGGCAAGAGTGTCTTCGAATCTACAGGCAATGTCTCTGCTACCACGAGTCAAACCCTGTCGTCCGTCAAGGAAGAAGGCCCAACAAAGACACCCATAACCCCACCCACGGCATACTTAGACTTTGCCAAGACTATGTCGCCTACTCCAACAATCCTCATGCCATCTGCCTTCATAGCTTCGAAGGCTTCAACATCGACACGCAGGGCGGTAGAACCTACCGAAACAAGGCTTTACGATCGTGTTAAACAGCCAATGGAGTCTACGCTTATAGATTCCGCCTCTCGTAACGTTGATGGCAACTCCAGACGAGTGGTAAGGTCTCTCGTCATGCAGAAGGCGCAGCGCGAAAGGCCCTGGAGCGCACAACAGCACATCCCGAAGTTAGAACAGAACATCGGCCACGAGCGTCAATCACAGCAGGCAGACAGAACGAAGCATCAAAGAGAAGATCACCTTCAGTCTACGGAACACTTTGCTTCGGAAGAGGAACAGAGCTCGAAGTCACGTAGTCAGAGCCGAAGCCGCACTCGCGAAACCGAGAAGAGATGGGAGCAGGCCGCAAAAGCAGCGCTAATAGCAGGTGCCGTTGATGCCTTCCAAACCCGCAATCTTGAACATGGTCACACATGGAAATCTGAGGATGCAGGAACTCGTCAAACTATCGAAAATACACCTGCAGAGATACGAGAAACCCCCCGGTCAAGCGACGTATTTGTGCGGGCCCTGTACGACTACGACTCAGAAGACCAGTCGAATCTGAAGTTCCGGCTAGGCGACCTCATCCTGGTCACGGCGCAGCATGAGAGCGGCTGGTGGGCAGGTATTCGAAACGGCATTCTTGGTTGGTTTCCAAGCAACTACTGCGCCGCCTCGACCGGGCTGGACGATAGCGGCAGTGATGGAAAGTACTTCTACGTCGAACGGAAAGTCGCCCATGGTGAGCCCCGACGCGACCATGATCCCTACTACGAGCGTAAGGTGAAGGAGATTGGCCGAGAGGTCGACACTATTTCCTCCTTCAGAAGCATGGATTCTATGGGAGCAGGAGAAGAGATTGGGCGCTCGGTACAGGAGGAGGAAAAGGCAGAACAGGCAGCGGATCCTAGCGGTGTCGCTGTGCTTGCATCCGCCGCGATAGCGGGACTCGTGCGAAAAAACCGCCGATCTCTCCTTCTTAACAGCACTGGCTCGCGGTCTCGGTCTCGTACAAGAGAACGTCGAGTAAGAGAGCATTCTCAGTCGTACTCACGATCTCGCTCAAGGTCCCGTTCTAGAGAAAGAGGAAGGAGGAAAGAGAGGAGCCATTCCGCGTCTCAGTCAAGATCCGCATCGAGGTCCAAGAGGTTGGGAACTCTTGCTGCAATGGCTGGTATTAGCGCTCTCGCATACGCAGCTTCTACAAAGAATCGTAAAGAGAGAGAATCTCACCGTTACTCTAGCCGGTCATGGAGCAGAGCGAGATCAAGGAGTCGCAGTAGATCGGTGTATCTACACAGGGCAACTAGTTCAAGCCCGCTGCAGAGTCGAACCACCTCACCGAGTTCGCCTCCGCCTAGAGAAGCGACGACCATTTGGAAGGACACAGACATAGGATCATACGCACTAGACTTCGTTCCTTCTGGAAATATCCACTCTTCTTCTGCAAAGCAATCATGGAGCCGGCGTCTTCGGGACTATTGCAGTGCCCAGGGCCTGGGAGAACCGACCTGGCAAGATGTCCCAGACAATCGAGGGTTTGAAACGACGTGGTTAAGCATGGTGATAATTCAGGGAGTCCAATATCGTCCGGTTTTTCGGCGAGACCATCAAGATCTGGAAGATTCGCGAGAGGAAGCAGCAGAGGTGGCTTTCAAGCAACTGATCGGGGCTTTCGACAACGGCCCCGCTACTCCGCCGCCGGAACCGGGCGGCCCGGGTCCAAGTGCACTGGAAGATATCACCAACAATACAGAAAGAGGGCAGGGTCAATTGAAGCCTCCTGCGAACCCGAGACAAGCAGCGCAAGACACCGGACAGAGACTGCCATCTGAATTGCCTGATGATGAGCCTTCAAAACAAACACCGAAGCGGGACGAGGAATGGGCTATTGATCGATGTGGGGACTGCGTTCTCGATGCGTCCGGCCGCCGTGTGCCGTTTCGAGAGGCCCGTCGGAGCGAACGGAGCGAATGGATGGGCGTCGAGCGTCGTCATCCGAGGAGGCTGAGCGACGTTTGGGAGGAAGAGTCTGCAGTCTCAGACGACGAGGGCCAGAAAGTCCTTCCTACAATGATCGTCGGTGCTTCAGGAGGTGTCACGGGACGAACGGAGCCGAGCAGCACTAGTGTGGGCGCTGGCGTAGGCGGTGATACGGATGATACAAAATTTACGTTGGCCGACGAAGACGGCGGTAAACAATTTGAGCCAGGAGAGCCCCAAAGGAGGCTTAAATGGCGCACTGGTGAAGCTTTGGATGCACTAGAAGAGGAATCGTCTGATGAGGATGCGATGGTCGGAGAGCATGGACTCATAGCTTCCGACAACGAACAGCAACGGGCTATCGAGGTAGGGCTAGAGGAATCTCCGAGGGCACGGGAGACTTTCTCACCAGAGGACTCGCACACATACCCGTCTGCTGCTACTTTGAGACTCCCACACGAAACTGTCGATGAACGAGACGCCATGTCTTCAAAGGACTGGGAAGTCAATCTGACTCGACAGCACAAGAGCGCCCTAAAAGCCGACGCAGGCAGCGTTGTACCAAGTCCTGAGCAGTTTATGCACACACTGGAGTCTAACGTCCAAAAGATGTCAACTGAATTCCCGTACATCACGACTTCGAGCCCCAATGATATCGCACGGAAAGCCTTCAAGGAACGGAAGCAGAGGCCTCTAAAGGATCTGGAAGCGGACCTGACTCGTCTGGAAGAAGCCGCCCAAAATGCCCAAACAGACAATGATCTGGTTCGAAAGGATATCCTCCATCTTCAGAAACAGCTAGAAACGATGAGGGCCAACGCCCCTCCCAAGCACTCGCCAGAAAGGACGGAGGAACCTGTATTTCTCAGCGATTCGGCGTTTACGATAGCCGGTGAAGAAAGTGGTAGACATCTCAATCCGGAAAAGCCCCAAGGAAATCCTGCCCAGCACCATGCCGACTCTATGGATGCGCTAGAAAGGGAATCTTCAAGCTATGAATCGCCAGAAGGCCCTCTCATCGCCGGTGCTAGCGACCAGATATGCTACAGGTGCGGCAATCAAGGTCACGACACCCGTTACTGCACTCAGGACGCTGGCCTGGGCTATGGAGGCTTCAGTGGCAGTCAAGAGTGCTATAAGTGCGGGAAGCGTGGTCACATCGCTCGTAACTGCCCTCAGGGCGCTGGTATGGACTATGGGGGCTACGCCGCCGCTAAGTCTCAGATCTGCTATAATTGCGGAAGCGTCGGCCACATGAACCGTGAATGCCCGCAGAAACATAAGTGCTACAACTGTATGAGAGTCCAAAACTTTTACAGGGCATGCTCAGCTAATGTGACCAACAGGTGGTGAACTCGGTCATTTGTTGCGAGACTGTCCCTTCGACATGGGCCAGGGGTTTGAGAAAGCGCTGTTGACCGACCAGAAGGAACCCGAAATGGCGAAACCCGACGAAGCTTCCACACACTCGCCAGAAGCAAGCGAGAATATCGTATCCTCTGCCACGGGGATTTCTGATGACCAATTAGATACGAAGATGGAACGAACCTTACGAGCTCTATTCGCTAAAGTCCTAGGCATCGACGCCGCGAATATCACTCGTGATGATAATTTTCATTTCTTGGGCAAAGACTCGCCTTTAACCAAACCTCCCCTTAGTTTGCGCACTTTGGCGATACGGCTCGAGGTCATTGCAAGCGAGCACGGGGTCGAGATCTCATCTTTGAGTGTGCTTAACCATCCCATACTACGCGACATGGCAAAGCACGCGCATTTTTCTGAAGGGTTTGAGCAAGTTAACCGGCATCTTCTCGAAGAATTTGGCTTAGAAGACAGAGCGGCGACTGATTTGCAGGTGCCGACTATGGAACCAGCTACCCCAGTAGCGGGACCTGACATGGACTTCGAGATTTTTGAACCCCACCTTTTCGCCGAATTGAAGGGTTGCGATGACGAGAACTGGCAAGCTATTCACACCCGGCTGCCGGAAGCCTGGAGGTGGGACGTCGATTACCACACGACTCACAGCAACGGCGGCAAAGACCATGGTTGTTGCACATGCACGCCGGTCGAGCCGGATGATCCAAAGAACTTTCCTCTTACCATTGCCGGCACTCCGGTCGTCCTTCCGGTGGAACATCAGTGGCCGCCGATGGCAGGAGTCAACCCGCCTCCTGATCCACGACCTTCTGCTCCGATCGATTGCACTAGCGATATCCCCTTGGAAGTCGTGCGGGATCTATTTCTCACTTTTGAGGGCAGCGTCGGTTTCTATCTCCTCATCAACGGTCTTCTACAAATCATTGTACCCGAAGGCTTCGACACTGTGTGGGCTTCATCACATCTCCCACACAAGTACGGAGGGTTGAAAGTGTGTTATATCCCGCAAACAGTGGAGCCCACCATGTTCCCAAGCAAAACTGAAACTACGAAGTCTAAAAGTTCCCCAGGCTCGCAAAGCTCGGGCATATCTAGCATCTTCCGCCCTTCGAAGACCTCGAATATTTCCCTCAGTCAGCCGTTGCAAATCAACGACTTCATCGAAGCGCGGGCAAAGTCCTCGCATAGGAAGGAGAAGTTTGCAGGAAGGATAGGCCTGAAGATTACAAAGTGTGGTGACCCATATCTTGTCATGTCGACACACGTCATCACTGAAGCGATACTCGCGAAGTCACACATAGCGGGGATCTTCAGCAAGAGGGACAGATTCGAGAAGCTGGATGACAATTGGAATGACCATGTGGAGATCTGGGCTGGCAATGAAAAGGTGAGACCCAATAACCCATCCTCTACTGATGCGCCTCTGACACCGGGTATAGATCGGAACCGTCGAGCAGACCTTCGACAACGAAGCAGAGATCTACCCTAACGGCTTCAAGCACGACATCACCCTCATCAAATCAACGAACCCCTCCGCAATTAAAGATATCCAATCGCCCATACCCAATCTCGGCTGGCTAGGAAAAGAATCCTGGTACTCTCTCCGCCAACAAACCAGTGGCTTAAAGATCCTTGGGCCCACAGAATCCCACCGCTGTGCTAAAACCCTCAGAACTAATCGCCCCTCCGAAATCCTCGTCGTCGGCGAAGGCATCTTCCTCAACCAGAGCGCCGGCCCCAAACCTACCAAAGATCACGACATGTCGACTTGGAAAGATCTCGTCTCTCGCGCGGTACTGTATCGAGTGTATCCGGACTTTGATCCGCCGAACGGATATAGTGGGGTGGCGCTATACGCGGAGGGCATGAGGGAGGACGGGACGGAGGGACCGGGAGTCGTGGGGTTCCAGAGCTTCGTGCAGAGGAGCGGACATGTGCAAAATTTTGAGATGGAAGGAGGCGCGCTGGAGAAGAGGTTGAAGCTGGGGAGGGTGGCGTTCTATGGGGCGTTCCAGGTGCCAGAGGGGTTGAGAAAAGAGTTTGGTATTGTCTAGAACTGCTAATTAAACGTCTGGGGACTGATAAGCTCCATCTACGCCCCTACTGACATTTCGATCTTCCAGTAATCTTGGCCAGAGCTCAAGAATCCACTGTGCGTGGAGTTAGCGGTGGATATGTAGGCAGGGCAGCATTTTGGACCGGATGGAAAAGCAGCGGGAGGCGGTGTCGGACATGTTTCGTGTAAGCGGGGGGCCAGGGTCCTTCAGATGTGATGAAGTCTAGAAGGTCTTGTAACGATATTCGTGTCGGACAAGAAGGGATAACGGACAGGTTTGGATCGATCGGATACTACGGCGCGTTCCTTTTTTGCCATTCCCTTCCGCAATGTGATAGCCGCTAGTTGGGTTCACGGCATATGTTATTTATCGTTTAGACGTCGGCATGATCCAATTACTAATACGGCCGTCGAGGTAGTAGGTATCATGCCGCGGGGCACCCAGTGTGCCTCCTGATTGGATCTAGGTCAATAGGGAAATATGGGAGAGGGTCTTTACGGAATCACAAGACATTGAAGAGATATGTAAGATTGTCTGGTAGACGACAGATTGGCTCTGAAAAGAAGGACTGAGATGCCGTCTTTCGGAATACTCTAGACCGAAGACGAATTTCCAATGAGTTTCGGTGCCTTGCAGTACCATGAGCTAGCAGTGGAGAAGGAGTGATGAGCCACATAGTGCATCTTTGTCGCTTATTGGGCATGTATTTGTGGGGCTTTGCTGCAGTCTTGCACCCACCTAGACGCCCAAACTGCACGCGTACCCTAGCTGATTTTTGGTTCTACATAGCCGCAGCGTTTGGTCTTCGGTGTCGTTCTCATAACAAATACTCTTGACTATCACCTTTACGACGTTTATAAAATTATGTACTTCTACATCCATATATCTAAATCTTGCAATGCCATGGAGTTTCAGGCCTCTCCTGCGGAATGCGGTAGCTTATTATCGAACTTCAAGAGAGACTTCTTCACCACCAATCATATCGACCCCACTTTCTTTCGCAAGTGTCGCCTAGTGCGCGAAGCGGAAGTCCAACTATCGTCGTCAGCGTCGCTCCAGGCATCTCATGTGGCTGACTTACGCGTTTGTTCCCCTCATCAGATGTCGTTTCGAGGTATTCCAATTGCTGTTCCTGAGTCATAGCATTCCACTTCTTCTCCCTCGACTTATTGCGCCAGACATAGTATGCCTTGGTCAGAAGATATATCCCAATATTGCCTACCGCGATCCCCAGCAGCGTTCTGTTACCATGCTTATAGTTCGGCGCATCGTCTTTGCGATAGATGTTCGAGGAGATGATGCCGCCAGCCTGGACAAACATGTTATAACAAGCGGCAGAGACGGTTCGGGACCGCACAGTGTTGGAATTGCGCGAGTTCCAGCCGACTTGGATGGGATGCGCTATGATTGCCGTCAGCTCTATGTATACGGATTAGAGAGAAAGGGTCGTGCGAGGACTCACGGCTAGGATAACTCAGAAGCAAGGTTATGACGGCCCAAACGATCCACTTGTTGGCCTTTGCGACATTTGCGACTACCAGCCACACCAAAAAGGGGATGGCCCAGATTTGAGCCGTCATGGAATGAAGGGTTTGCTCTTTGAAGATTTCGGATGAGTATGAAAGCGCCAGCATGAGAACGACTGAGATATGGTAAGTATACACTAGACATCTTTTCAAGAGTAATGCTTACTGTGGACAGCCGTCCATGGGATCGCCAAGAGATTGGACTGGAAAGTGTCGAAGCCCAGACCCCGTAATGAGAGCGTGAGGTACTGAAGCGGCGGCGTCATGGGGATCTGGAACATAATACCGAGAATGTACAGTGGCCTGAGGATTGTCAGCATTTGGAGCGCTCTCTGGTACAGTACGGGGAGCTTACCAGAGGTCGTAGTCTTTGAGACTCTTCCATAGTAGCCTTGGAGTAACAGGTTGCCGGTTGTGCATGGACCCTTTGGACGGATCGTCTCGGATGACGCGGTTGACTATGATTTCCTCTTCACGTGCATTGAACCACCCTTTCTTCCCACGAGCCCAGTTTGCGGTCTGACAAGGCCCTGGAGGCATAAGGAAGACGGCGGACAGACCGATGAGGAAAGTAAATAAGCCCTGCGTTTGATTAGGAAAGTGGCAAAACGCTCAGGCTGGTGGAGCTCACCTCGATCAAGAACAGCCATCGCCATCCTGATTGGCCCTGTACGCCTCGCATATGCAGCAGACCATAAGCAAGGAATCCGGCGAGGATGTCCGCAATGCTCATTGCAGTCCAGAAAAAGCTCAAGCGGAGTGACAGCTCGTGATGCTTGTAGAAGTACGAAAGGTAGAGGATAACGTCAGGGATGAAGCCGCCTTGCAAGATGCCGAGGAGCGAGCGGCATGTCAAGAAGCTTGCGCGACCAGAGAGCCAATACTGACCGCTCGCAACAATCGACCAGAGCATCATCTGCATTGGAATCCAGCGATCAGGGCCCATCCACTTGCTCACCAGCTGGGAAGGTAGTTCAGCACAGAGGAAGCTCAGCTTGAAGACGGTGTTGCCAAGATTGTAGTCTGGAAATGTCAGCATGGGGGCTTTCTCATAGCTATTCGCAGCGTACCATTGGTGGTCAGGTGCAGATCTTTGAGGAAGTTGTCCGTGTTCGCTTGCTGGATGTTGGCGCGATCGAGCTCGAGAGCCATGAAACAAATGCATGTGAAGATCAGGATACGAAGATCAATCTTGTGAATCAGCTTTTGCTCTTCTCCCCAAGTCCATCTTGCCAATGGATTGAATCGATGCAGGTTTTCCCTGAACACGATGTTTAGCTCAGTGCCGATTGTGAGAAGGGGCTAACCTTACCAGTCTGGGCGTGGTTGGTATTGCTTCGCTGAGTCGGGATTATCATAGACACTGGGCTGTCATTGTTAGTAATAGGCGCGAAGATCGACGAAAGTAGAACATACCAGAGTCGCAATTGCATCCGGATCATATGAAGTCTTCGCTCTCTGGAACCAAAACCTCTTTTCGGCATGTGGAACACCGAGCGGTGGAGCATCCTCCGTAACGGTGACTTCGGTTTGGTCCTTCTCTGGTACACCACGACTGCTAACGGCAATCGCGCCATAACCAGTAGTCGTGGACGGTGTAGAGTCCCCGGAGCTAGAGCCTACAGGAGGCCGAACACCGGTAAGAACGGTCGACATGGCGAGAGCGCTGGATGATACCAGGGGTGAGGTAGGTAACAAAGCGTCGTAACACAGTACCTCGGGGCAGATGCGCAAGGTCTATATAAGTTCCGGGAGTGCGGTGCCGGAAGGATTCTATATGCTCGCATCTTCTGTATGACGAGGCCGAGCGAATTGATGACTGCGGAAGGATTCCATGGGGAAACCAGGCCAGTGGAACTCTACGCAATCAAGGCACAGGATGGCAATATCCCACCAAGTTCATCGCCAAGTTAAGGCCTCTCCTGGCGCTGCGGATAGTCGACTGATAAGGACGATGTCGGCCGAGTCTAGAGTGTCCATGGCGTTGCCCATTGAAGCAAAGGGGCGAGAAGAGTTCGGGTGGTAGCTTGTACGGACTTCAGCGCTTGAACCTAGAATCATTTCGGAGATAACGAGGTCATGTCGGCAAGATCAGCGATACCGCAGACTTTGTCGCAGGGGTAAGAGACTTGGCTAGTGAACTGTGTTGCAAGCTCGCACACAGTCAGAATAAAATTTCAAGGATGGATCATGGTAGACCTACATATTCTGCCATGGGGCACATAGGTACCGGGACCCTAGTCGCTGGAGAGTGGAGTGAAGACGAAGGGAAAAGCAACTTGTGTCTTGGTCGAAGCTCGATCTCTAACCGAGTGCCCATGTGTTCAAGTGGTGATATTGCGCGAAAATGACATAATCGCGGCAGGGGAGGTCCCGAGCGAGCCTGCAGCAACACATGGTTCCAGATCCAGGAATCCGGGACGCCTCCGAGACTGCACTTCAGTGGGAGTGCCTCCGAGCTGCACCGAAAGTTGTCGGGTGCCAGATTTTGTGAGTTAGACTATCGCGCCATTTCAATGTGGCTTCCCTGCTGCGTTAGTATTCGGAGTGCATACTTGGATGTTTGGATGTGGCGTTACGTTCACCCAGCTTAGCGCATCGCTGTGCCGAAGAGCACGCCATCTATCCCCCACATTTCGTGCACCGGACCCCTCAGTAACAACTCAACACCATGAACACCCGCTCTAGTATTGGGAATACACTTGCGGGTGTGACCAACAGGAGATAACCGGCGATTAGGCATTCCACCGAGCGCGGGTTGCACAAGAGAGCCCTGCAATGATGTGATCATGCGAGATAAGGGATTCGAGGTCGTGACTATTAGCATTTGTTAGTCTGCTCGTCATTCATATGCAAGAGGTGCAAGAGAAGAATATATTATAAAGGTGAACAACTTACCCAGAGGCGGGGTTACTAGCACTCTTCATCTTCCCTCGTGTCCAAAAACAAATCGCAACATGTCTACGCAAACGATCACCGCCGTTGGGCAAGCTCCCGAGACCCAACCCACACCCGCTCGAGAGCCACTTCAGTTGAAGGGCGCTCTCGACCAGTACAAGTCTTTTGATGTTACTCCCGTCATTGGCCGAGAGTTCGTGGACGTAAATCTGAAGGAGTGGCTTCGAGCTCCCAACTCCGACGACTTGATTCGGGATCTTGCCATCACAAGTAGGCCGCCCGCAGCTGTAGATGCTATTTCAGATACTGACTGCCGCACAGTTTCCCAACGAGGCGTTGTCTTCTTTCGCAAGCAAGATGAAGTTGATAACGAGGTCCAGAAGGAATTGGTGCAACGCCTTGGGCAGCTTTCAGGCAAGCCGGAGACATCGAAGCTCCACATCCATCCCGTCAGCAACTCTGGACGGACGCTTGGAGGAAAAGACGACGAGATCAGCGTCATTAGTTCGGAACAGGCGAAGGCGTTGTACAAGAATCGGTACTTGGACTTCCTCGGGAAGAAGCAGAGCGCAAAGGGGGGTTGGCACAGCGATATCACATTCGAGCCTGTGCCAAGTGACTATGCGCTCTTGAGACTCACGGAGCTACCCGAGACTGGAGGTGGTAAGTTGACTTGTTATATGAGTAAAGCTGTCCATGGCTGATTCGTGACCTGACAGATACCCTGTGGGCATCCGGCTATGAGTTGTACGATCGACTGTCTAAGCCATATCAAAAGTTCTTCGAGTCGCTGACGGCCACTTATGCGCAACCCGGATTTGGTGAAGCCGCAAAGGCCAACGGCTTTGAGCTCTACAGCAAGCCAAGAGGTGCGCCGGAGAACGTTGGAACGGATCTGAAGGCTACCCATCCAGTGATTCGGACAAACCCAGTAACGGGCTGGAAGTCGATCTTTGGCGTTGGCCACCACGTGGCGAAGATCAACGAGCTCACCGATGAGGAAAGCAAGCGGGCGTTGGACTGGTTTGTGTCGCTGATAGTCGAAAACCACGACCTGCAGGTACGCCACAGATGGCAGAATGTCAACGACCTGGCGATTTGGGACAACCGCTCTGTGTACCACACCGCGACTTATGACTATGAGGGTCTGGGGGCTAGGACTGGTCAGAGGGCTGTTTCTCTCGGTGAACGGCCTTACCTGGATCCAAACAGCAAATCTAGAAGGGAGGCTTTAGGGTTGCAGGTTTCGTAGGAATGTGCAACGGGTATCGAGTCGCGCAGTTGCTCGCACGCTCTCTAGATGTAGCAACCTCTGGACAAACTTAAGCCAGTTTAGTAGAACATACTCGACCCATACCTGGATTTCCCAGTGAAGTAACCATGCTATATTATGCTTGACCGGGATCATTGCTGCCGGATAGGAACGAATAGTTGCCTGAATGAGCCTCGAAGGTTATCCCACCTTTTTCGGGCTCCTGAATCAACTTTGTTTGCAGCCGAGAGATCGAATGTCCTTTTGGTGCTGTTGTCTGATAAGATGTGGAGATTGATTACGTTAGCATCACGCGACGCAACGGCGTCAGTCGTCCTCCCCTCTTTCCATCAATCCTACCCATCATCAGGAGCATCAAGACATCGAAATCTACGCTCCCGGGAAGGGTCATCCCGTATGTGGGTGGCCTATGATCCGCAAGGCTTTCGCGTGCTGTAAGGCTGAGGCTGCGAACACAGCCACTCTAGGAGACAATAAAAAGGCATGGTGAAGTTTGGTACGTGTAACAACTCTCAGGTTACAGAGATCTCACAAATGCCCGTATCGATGAAGCACGCTTCAAGGCACAAAGAAGAGTTGGATAGGCTCCATCCGTAATGTTCCATTTCAACTAGAAAAGAGTGTAGGCCACTTTCAAAAGCGCTGTCCGTCATGCGACCAGAAACCAGATCTTAACCTCTAAAACGAGTGTAACCCACTTTCGAAAGCCCCGTAAGTCTTTCTACCAGACAGTGATCCCTAGCACCAACTTTTCGCCAGGATACTTCCCAGCAAGGTCTTGATATCCTCAGCTGAGACCTTAGTAGCTCTTGATCTCGTTGGTGATGATGTTAGGAGACCAGTCATGAGTGTTCTGCCCCTTCTCGTCGAAAAGAAACTTGAAGACCGACATCTGAGGAACATTGTACTCATTCTCGTTCCCCTTCTTGACGCCGTAGACCCTCAAGTTCCACTTCCCGTCCCTGTAGTAGTGGACAGTGGCGGAAATGGAAGAGCCCTCCTCGATAGTGTGCTTCTCCTTCTTGGCCGAGCCGAGTGAGCCCTCGTACCAAGGTGCGTCGCCCGTCTTGCACACCTCCCTGAGCTTCTGGCCCGGATCCACATAGTACACGCGGATCTGGATGGTATCAAAGTTAATTTTGGCTATGAGTGGCGGGGGTCAAATTACCTCTTTGGTACCAGCGTCATTCTGGTTCCACGTGATTGCAGCGACCTGCTGAGTCTTGTCTGAAACACGAATGTCGTCCTCGCCGATCTGAATCCTCTTCCTCTTGTAATCGCCGGATCCGGAGTCGTCGGGGGATTCCAGGTAGGACAGGTTCTTGTCTGGGTTGACGTAGAACAGGTAGCTTTTGTTTCCGCTGTCGACGGCAACAATGTCCACTGGGGGATTCTGAGGTGTCTCATCAGTGTATGTAAAGAGAACGTCTATGCTCGGGATACGTACCACGTGAGGCATGGCTGCTGGGCTTTGATATTTCCTTAACGAAGGAGTTGTTGAGCGGATAGGGTTGGAAGGCGAAGTATGGATCCCAATTGAGAGTGAACTGTGACCCAAGGTTGCAGATGCAGTGACTGCTGGTGTCGACCTTGAACCTGGGGAGATGGTGAGGTTTATACTTGTGCCGTCTTGCAGAGTCGCTTGAAGAGTCATCGTGGCTCTCTGTGCCATGTTGATCGCGTAAATCATCGGCGTAGCCAAGTTCCAATCGATTAATGTGCGCAGTGTGGCGGGCGAGTTCGTTTAGCAAGGAGACCGAGCAGAAGTGCTTTTTCGTCGCAATGCATTCTGAGGTGTGAAGTCATTGGAGACGGGAACGTCGAGTCGTAACGAGAAACCCACCCTTTAGGATGCTCTAGATTGTCTATGGCGGACACTACTGCATTTCCCGCGGCGACTCCGGTGCGTAGTGGACTTGAACATGCATGTTGAGGCTTCGCGTGTCTCGCAGAAGAGGGCTATGGCTGGCTGAAGGCGTAACATGATCATTTGATGGGAGCAATCTTGTGATATGCTCGAGAATTTTCGCCGCGAAAGCGTTGAAATGGTACTACTGCTGCGATGCAAAGTCCCGCACCACGTTGGCCTGTGCATTTGATGGTGCTTCTATTTGTCTAGCCGCTTGTGATCGAATGCATCTAGAACCTTCACGGTGCCCTGGCTATTGGTTATCGTTGAATTGGTATTGTATGCCATGTATCGTACCAACAGTCATCGCTCAGGGCTCACTTAATTGCCAAGTCCGCTCGAAATGAGATGTAGTAATTGCGACGGTCCTTACCCAAAGCGCTAGCACGTACAAGACCATGTGTATCGACGCTGTGCCAGGACTAATGAGCTCCTGCTATTGAAACAGCTGTGTAGGCCCTGTATTCGATAATAGTGTTGCCAGATCTTCAGTTCCCTAGAGAAGTGTAAAATATCTTTGTAGTGTATTCAAGTCCTACACCTCTGACGAGCAAACAGTGACAATTCGACAGATCTGTGATTCCTCACTTGTTCGCCCGTGTACTGTGGAGTACGGCGGTTCTCAGCTGCGAAAACAACCACCATCATCCCGTCCGAGGACGCCATCATGCCAATCTAGAAACCTGATGAAGCCGCATGGCGTTGACCTTGCCAGGCTCAACATTGGACCTTACAAAGGCGCTTGCCAAAGGCCAATCAAGCGCTAACACGTTGTGGGTCGGGCCGCGGGCCGCGACTCATGCAGGATTCTCCAGCTCGCACAAAACCCGGGGGGCGTTTAGCCACGCTCTTCGATCAGCCGCAATTGACCTTCGGCGTCTTCTTGTCTTTTGCCAGGATCTTCAATCGATCGCTTGGATGAAGCCCAGACTCCCTCCCACTCACCGCCGTTACGGTACATTCGTATTTATGTGGGCCTGCATGCTGTAAGCACCTATCCAGAATCCTTGACAATGACTTGTTCAGGCTTAAGAGTTAGGCGATGGCAGAAAGACGGGCAATCCAAGGGGAATCCGCTGTCGTCGCCGCTCTAGATTGGTAGGACTTTGAAGAGCACAGGGGAAACTTCAAACGCATCCGACAAAAGTGGTTAGCGGAAAGGGTGACGTAAGCTCGGGCTCGGAAAAACGCTAGACCGGTTCAGGCTTCGCAGTCAACTTTTTGACGCCTGCTGTATTCTCATTCCTCACTCCGCACTCCCGTTCACTCCTCTACAGCATAGCGTTGGCGTTTAGGTACGAACGTGGGACAGTCACTCATTGATGGTGAACACTTTCCAGGCATCAACGCCGCGGACTAAGAGAACTACCTCGAATTTTTCCTATAGAATATGAGTCAAGCAAACTCTTTATAGGACCGTCAATCCTTGGATTCATTTTACACGAAACATTCCGGGGCAATTCCTCACCTTGTTTGTACACCTCTATTTCTGGAAAAGAGACCTGTCAAACCGCGGCTCGATCTCCACGGAGCACACCTCGAGCATCAAAGCTCAACTCTACCGTACCCTTTCTCTCAGAAGCGTCTTTTCACGCTCAGTGTTTGAAATGTCAGACTCATTAACTTCAAGTCTTCATGACCTGGAGTTGGAACCCAAACCTTCAGACGATCCTCGAAAAACAGTTGTCGAACTCATCCAGCGATGCAAAATATTACAAGAGGAGGTCGAGAAGTACGTTTCAGCAGTCGACGCAAACCAGAAGGATGCAAAGATCCCATATCAAGTCGAATACCGAAGTCTGCGGAACGACTTCAAGAATGAGCTTGCCTTTCTGAGCAAGTTACAAGGTTCAGACCTGTCTACGGAGAAAGCTCGCCACTACATTGTATCATCGAATCTGCTATACTATGAAGCGCTGTGGGCCGCGGCGAAACGGTCGTCAGGTTTGCTAGGCTTCCGGAAATACTTCTTCTGGAACCGACAGAAAGAGGGCCATGGCACGAAAGGGCTCAGCCTTGCAAAAGGTAGTCAAACGAAAGGCAAGAGCTCCGCGTTGGTCGACATTGTAGCAGATGATGGCATGGAATGGGTGCGCGTATCCACTATATCCGAAAAGCGGCTTTTGTTCGATCTTGCGAAACTGGGCTGGCAGAATGACAGCGATTCGGATGAAGACACGCCAGATGCTCCGGCCAGTAACTGGGAAGATGATGACGATGATGACCAAGTCGACATCGTTAAGAACGCTCGCGAACTGGCTCGCGCTGCGCGTGCAAACCCAATTCGGGGGCATGGTCCGAAAGTGCTCTTTGTGTTGACGCGGATCCAGTCAGGCAAGCTAAAAGAGGTCGACGCGGTGCTCGATAAGATCAGAGAGACAGGTGTGGTCGTACAGTGTGCCAACGAGATACCGGAGACTCTGCCATTGGAGTCAGTCCTCCCAAACCTCCTCATCGATCGCTCTCGCACGCTCTCCAGCACGCTCAATATTGATTGCACGATTTTGCTGGCATTGATATCCGACATTTCGCACAAGCAATGTCCGATACTTGATTGGGTAAGTTGTCCCCAAGTTTTGCTCCGGAAACCACTCGCGATGACTCTGGACACATTTGCTAACGTAATTCCTCGCGTTTACAGTATCCTGGCGAAGTTCGAGCGCAGATCGAGGAGGAAGCAAACGAGAAATTGCTACCCACCCACCTCTATCCGGCAATCGGGTCGCGCCCAATGGTGTGCACTAAGGAAGCGGCTGATCAGATGAACTTGATTGTCGACACTCTAGCGACGGATAAGGAGAAAGTGCGCGCGAACTTGCTCCTTGCTCAGGGAGACCGCCAGGCTACGCCATCGGACCAGTTGCTCAGTGCCTGGCTCGAGTTATCAGACCATCCTGTGCCCAAAGGCTTTCAGCTCCCTATCCGGGTTGTGCCGAGCAATTTGGACCAAATAATAGGTAAGGCTCCCACACCGCGCATCGCACTCGTCATTGCAGATCCATCCTTTGTTCTTTGCCGTGTTTAAATCATTTGTGTCGTTTGGCCTGTATCTTGTGGACGCCATTCAATCATGGTGCTAACGTGCAATAGAGAAACTTCCCGCCGTTGCCAATAAGATTGCAGCCGAGGTGAACAAGCTCAACAGCGCGATATTTTTCTATGGATGGGCCGAAGGTCTAACAACACTGAGCGCGAATCGAATGAGAGCGCGTCAGATCGATCGGCTGATCAACGAGAACGGTCTGGCGGACGGCGAAGCTGGACCGCACATTTGGCTTTGCGGCGAGAGTCGAAGCCTTATCGCCAAACAAGGGCGTCGGAAATGATCACTCGCTGAAGAGAACACTTAGTGGAAAATGAGCAGGTTATTGAAATCGACCCTTCGTATGTCGGCTGAGCATGAATGCCGTCTGTGTGCGAACACATCCTAGTAAGGCTCAATTCGCATCTCATTCCAAATATCTCGTATTCAATGAAAGGAGTCGACTCAAAGTATGCCCTGTTTTCTCTGCTTGCTGGACGCCTCCGGAGGGCTTTCCGCGGTTGATAAAGCTGGAGTGTTACATGTCCTGCTCTTCCATCTTAGACAACTGCTAAGTTCACCGCCACCTTTACAGACAAGCCGATAATGGCCGTCGCCGAACGCAGCACGTGAAGCCGCGCGGGGATCGTTGGCGAGCTATTGCTCGTATGTGGAGATGAGAATTGTCACTTGTGATCGCGGAGATCAGTGCGGGCTAAGCATTCGCCTCCTCCACATGCGCTCTTGTGAATATATAACCCAAACCCCTCCCTCCCAACAGACCCCCACGGAACTCCCCACAAGCACCTGCCCGTACCTACAACTCCCAACAAACCACCCCACGACTCACCATGCACCTCACCCTCCTCCTCCTCGGGCTCCTCAGCCCCATCCTCGCCACAGCCCTCCCCACCATCCTCGCCAACCCCATCGGCACCGTCTACGCCGATCAAAACTTCCAAGGCCTCGCCACCCAGCTCTTCGACACCCACGGCACCTGCGCGACCTTCGAGTCTGGCGGCGTCAAGAAGTAAGACTCCCCCTCCCTTCCTTCCCTCCTCTATTATTTACTTACTACGAAAACGCAGCCCAACGCTCATCCACTCCCTCTCCATCTCAGCGCCCATCAAGTGCACTCTCTTCACGCAACCCGAGTGCATTCCCGGCGCCACGGCGCCCGTCGTCGCCGTCAACGGCCCGACGAAGGTCAAGAACTTTTTGCCGAGTCAGGATCGCGTTTCCCCGCCGGGCTGGCTGTTTATGAGCTATAAGTGCGGGGCGGTGGCGACGGAGATGGATGGGGAGAGCGAGGTTGAGGGAAAGGAGGTAAGTTGGGCTTGGACTGGTCTTGGATTGTTATGGTGAGAGGGGACGCTAATAGTTTGTGGTAGGGTGTGTAAGGATATGGGGTAGTAGCGCACCGGGAGGTGTGGGACTGCTACTGCGACTGCGATATGGTTTGTTTGACGTACATCGGCTGCGGTTCCTTTGCGTGCCGAAGTTGCTGACTGCGGGTATTGAGATGGCCCCGTATGAGAACCTTGGGAAAGAGGAGCTCACACATTCAACACTGGGGGAGAGGCTAGATACTAGGAAACTCTAGGGCTTACAACCTACAATGATAGACAGTATAGGATCATTATCATTCAATCAAACTCAAACTCACATTCGAAACACTTCAGCACCCTCATCAATTCCCCACCATCTCCCCTTTACACCCTCAGCTCTATCTGTCACGTATACGGCCCCCAGAGCATGCCATCGTACTCCTCTTCCCTCGGCTTCTTCTTCTCCCTTCTACTCGGGTCCGAAGGCCCCGCGACCGTTTCTGGAACCCACGGACCGTCTGTGATGCGCTCCGTTTCCCACGGCGGTGCTGCTGTGCGCCTTTGCGTTTGCGTTTTCTCCACGAGCGATGCCCTCAGCTTCTCTAGTGCGTCTTTGAGCGCATCGTCGTTTGATTGTGGTAGAGGAGAAGGAGAAGGAGAAAAAGCAAAAGACGGAGACGGAGAAGACGGAGCAGTACGAGCACTAGTAGGGGTAGGAGTTGGCAGCGGAACAGGCGCAGGCGCGGGAGCAGGAGCAGGGGGACCAGCGGGAGAGGGAACGTACCCAAAATCTAGATTGAGTAGAGACTGATCCGCGAGCTGCTCCATCAGAGCATCGTTGGCCAGCGACTGTGACTCAAGCTCCTTGATCTGAGCGTCGGCTTCTCGTGGTTCAGCGCGCAGGACGTCGAGACGGGGTTGGAGTTCAGCGCGTTGCGCTTGACGGCTCTGACGGCTCTGACGCTGGCTTGCGGCGAGTCTCTCGTGGTATTGGTTTGCTCGCTCGTTGTACGCGGAGAACGAGCTGTCGATAGTGGGGTAATCGTTGTAGAAATCGAGTTCATACGTCTCATCAAACACGTTGCCGCCAAAGAAATCGCCAAACCAAGGTGACTGAAGGGTAGAAAGTGCTGAGTTTTGCGGCGGAATAAATCCGCCTCTCAATCCTACTCCTGATGTCGAAGTCTCCGCTTCAGATTCATTTATCCCCCACCGCATATCATCGTCTTCCCCACCCACTTCGTCAGCCCAAAAATGCGGCTTACACTCTGGCTTCGGCTCATTAGGCTCCATGAGACATGATTCATAGCTAGGGCGCCAGCTCTCTTCTAGTGCATTGCCGTTCTCGTCGTAGAAATCGGGTATGCTTCTGTGTCTGGGAAGTGTGTGGCGTTGGGAGAACGGGGATATAGAGGGGCTAGAGTCGGGCGAGAAGTGCGAACGAGATGATAACCGGGTGCGTCGTGTGAGCTGCGGCGAAGTTGTGTGCCAGTCGTCTAACCAGCGGTACTCGAAAGGGTGTATATGGGTATTCGCTCCGCCGCGGAGATGAGGATCTATGGTTTTAGGCGAGAGTTCGGGCGAGTTAAGGGCTGTTGTCTTCTGGGAAGTGGATTCTTCGTCTCCGCTAATATTCTCGGTTCTCTTCGGCGAAGAGCGTCTCGTCCTTGTCCGCGGTGTCGGCACACCGTCGGGATCATTAATGCTCCCGTACGATTCAGAACTTCCCTTGTCTTCCTCGTCCACAAACCTCACATCGCAAAACGTACACCTCGTCCTCCCCCTCTCCAAACACTCATCACCGAGCCAGGTCTCACACCCTTTTCCCCGTGCATGCCTCCACAACTCCTCTTCCTCCTCTTCTCCAGCGATTCCATTCGCAGGCTTTTCGCCATCCAGTTCATAGCCAAAATTCGCAGAGCGATAGAGTTCGTCCCCATCTGCGCGGACATGGCGAATCCTTGGCCAGGGATTCGTCGTCGGCATCGTCGCAGGATGCGGGTGATAAGAGGTTTCGGGGACTGCCGAGGTGGTGCGACGCGGAGGACTGGGTCGGGTTGGACGAGGAGAAAAATGGAAGGAAGGAATCTTAGGCGGTGTTGGACGGGAGGAGACGCTGCGCACGGAGATTGGCGGGGGAGTTCGCGGGTTCAGGAAGCTGCTTGAGGGAGGGGACGGAACTGACTCATGATTGCCATATATGAAGCGATCTGATCCAGTAAGGGCGGCGTCAATCTGGTCGTGGATAGCGTTGATCAAGTCCCCGACCTCGTAGAACTTGTCGTCTTCTCCGCTGCTGGGAGGCGAGAGATGGGATCGATCATTAGCCACAGGCACGTTCAGACCGCGGAGCGCTTCGAGACGCAGCTTCTCATACTCATCTGGGCCGAATCCTTTTTCCCATAACGCGGCCTTGCCCGGCTTCTCATCGTCTCCATCCCCCTTCTCTTGCGGAATGCTGATTAGTACCATGCGCTCGTCTTGCACATCCGGAAGCGTTATCCCGTTCTCCTCTCTCATCTCGAGTATGTCGCGGATTCGTCTAAGGCAGGGGTTATTGTCGTCCATGCCATGAGCGTGCCGGTGTTCGAGGATGTCGCGAATCTGTGGGAGAGTAGTGCGGCGAGGCCATTGGAAGTAGCGGAGATGAGGGCCGAGGAGCGCGATGATGGATACGCTGGGAAAGAAGTAGAATGCTGTAGCGGTTTCTTCATGCGTAGTGGGTTCCTGTTGATCTGCAGTGTTTTGTGGAACCCGAGTGTCCTCGGTGTACTGATGTGGGCTTCCTCCACCGCGCATACCAGGAGTATGCGGACCGTCCCATGACACTGGCTCTGCAAGCTCATCATATTCCAGCCTTTCTTCCCGCTCGTCTTCTGGTCCTAGCTCTTCCTCCAGTGTAGACCCTTTCACACCATTAACGGAGTTCATCACCTCCTTCAACTGCTCCGTCTCCATCCTCGCAGCTGCCGCCTCTTCCTTCGCCAACCCAACCTCCCTCCTCAACTGCTCCATTGCGCAAAACATATCCTCCAACTTGTCATCCTGCCATTCAATCGTCTCCTCGTCGTCTTTGATACGCGCGCGAAGGTACTCGATGAGCCGCTCAGAAGAGGCATTCTTGAGCTGCAGGACGCGGACGTAATGAATCCAAGTCTGCTCGAAGGTAGAGATGGCAGCGTACAAGGGGGCGGGACTGGGAGGCTGATGGGAATTATCGAAGGGCTGGGCGTTGGAGCGCGAAGAAGGTTTGTTGGTGCCTGGAATGCCGTCCAGGACGATGTAGTCCGATATGAACTCGCTCTGTTGGCCTGGTCTCGCCTTGTCGTAGTGCCTCTGCCCCATTTCCTCGGGCGAAAGACCGGCTCCGCCTCTGAGCTGTGGCACTTCATGCCAGTTCTCTCCCTCCATCTCCTCTCCCTCGTCACTCTGCTCTTTCCCCTCGTGACTCCCACTGCTTGGCAGCTTTGACATGCCACTGAAGTAAACATCTGGCTTACTAACAATATACGTAACGCCTTCACCCTCGGACTTCCATTGCTGACCACCCGTCGTGTTCCACTCTTCGCTTGTCATGTACTTTCGGATCGCGTTCTTGAGCTCCCACTCCATTACATGAGTTCGGACTCGGATGACGTTGACCTCCTCTGGAGATTCTAGGCTGGGTCCGGGCATATCCGCAGCCCGTCGTAGGCGCAAGAGGCGAAGTAGTTGGTCTCTTGTTGCGCCGTGAGGGAAGTGGAACACTGAAGCCGGGGTGCGGAATGTTAAGGAAGGCGTGCGAGCGCTATGAGTTGGAACGGTGAAGTCCGCTGGGAGAGGAATATATATGTAGTTCGGCAGTGCATCGCTCTCACGGCTCGCAAAGTGTGAAGATGGCGAAAGTGTGTCAAAGGTGAACGAGTTGCAGCGTTCGTGTTCCTCTTTGGCCCAGAGACGGTTCTCTTCGCGGGAAATGCTGGCGTCTCTATCATCCTCGTCCGCTGTGTCTACGACGCTAGGAGTGAGTGGAGGCGGATATTCAGCGTCGGCTGCGGCAGCACTAACGGCAACATTCGAGATACCGGCTCCCGTCTTTGGTCGACCGATAGCACTGCCCACTTCGACAATAGTGGAAGAACCAGACCATGGCCGGGGTCTTCGAGTTGGAGCATCGGTAGTGCCTTCCTCATCCCTCTCTTGCCCGTCATAGCTCTCGTCATCGGTCTCATCCTCGAAATCCTCAGGGATACTCGGAAGCTTTCCGAAGAGGGCTTCTTTCAATACCTTCTCTTCAGGGATACTCGGCAGCTTTCCAAAGAGCGCTTCTTTCAGCCCCTCCTCTTCAGCATTTCTCAACCCATCGAGCCTATTAAGCTGCGTCTCCAACCTCCCAACAAGCCTCTGCAGCTGCTCAATGCTGTCCGCATCACCTCCCTTCTCCACCTCACCACTCCCCTGCAGTCCAGCTGCAACTTTGAACCCCTTCTTCTCCAGGAGCCCAGTCGGAGACCTACTCTTGCGCGCCAACCTCTCCTGCTCCAACTCATCCAGCAACTCCCGCTCTCTCCTCCTCGACTCCGCCGCCTCCTCGCAACTCGCACTCCACGCTCCTCGCATACTCTCATAAGCGCCCCCATACTTCCTCTTCGCCTCGATCCACTTCACCCACCCCTGCACACCCACTCTCTCCACGTCGCTCATAAGTACTAGGAACTGCGGGCTTGGCTCCGCTCCTCCGTCGCCTCCGAAAGAGTGGTTGAACATCGACGGATCGCGCCGGAGCATGTGCAAATGCGCGGATACGAACTCGATGCTGTCGCAGTCATCTGCGTCGAGTTGGCCGTCGAGGCGAGCGAGGAGGTCGGCGTACGTGCGCGGCTCGGGGCCGTCGAAGGGAAGTGTCATTTCGCGGGGCGTGTGCGCTGTGAGTTTAGATCGCAGGTTGATCTGTGAACGGGGGCACTAAGCTAATAGAAGGAGCCGGGGACGTTTCCAAGGAGCGTTAAATGCGGCGTAGGAAATTGGAAGTAGATAGATAGCTTGAAGACGAAGCTTGACTCGCACAAGAAAGAGAAAGACGGATTCAAATCGATAGTGCGGAGCAATACTTATACAACCCCTCCTGCACACTCAATGTGTGAAGCGACAAGAGTCAACGTGAAGCTCTGCAGAGGTGCTCACGCTGCAGTATCGCTATTCAAATACAGACAGATTATACACGCGCACCGTGACAAAGGCGATGTGAATTACTTCAGGCTGCAAAAGGGGCAGCGTGAAGACACCGATAACCAAATAAGAGGACAACACAATTGGCAGTGGCCAAGACATGATAGGAAAGAGCAATCAATCACCCATTCGCAAACGTGGGAACGCCCGCACACGATGGACGTTCAAACGCCGCTCAGGAAACAAAGAAGATAATAGCATTGCTGCGCTATCCGCCCTGTACATCTAAGATAACGCGTTTAACCTCCATATGCATATAACGATTGGGTATACCCTGTACTAATTTTGTTTCCGTTGTCGTCGTACGCCGCGATAGGGAAGGAAAAGTAGACCCTAGCCGAACAAATACCCCCGAGACCATGTAGAGCTACGCTCGTCCATAAGATAGGAAAGTCGTCTTCAAGGCCGTGAGGGAAAGATAACAAGTGAAACAATTAAAAGTGGGGGTAGAAAGGATCTGTGCCGGGAGGTCGTGCAGAGCGCCACGTAGATCGTTGTCCAAAGGATTGCTCACGTCAAACGCCTGCGCAATATGTCGCACCAGTGCTACCGAAAGAACAGCGACAAGCAGCGACATACATCTGACCTCAAGTGGCGGGAGCGGCGAGATGGGCATCAGACCGTCCACGCTGGACGTTCTCCGCAGATGCCGCGCGTGCCTTCTCAGCCGCAGCTCGCTCCTGAGCGACTTCCCTCAACGCCGCCTTTGCCTCCTCCATGCGGAGGCCCGGGCTGCGTTGGCCACGAGTCGGACTGGTACGTCGCGAGTTGGCTTGACTTGTGGGCTTTGAGCTCGGATTCGACGGCGTGAGACCTTTGATGCTGGTAGCCCGCGAGCTCGGCACACTGGGTCCATCGCGGGTGCTGCCGGGTCCGGTTCGATATTGCGTACTTCTCGATTCTTGACTCCGACTGCGACGTCGTTCATCCGGCTCTCTTTCGAAAGAATTGGTGCGGGAGTTTGCGCGAGAGTTGGGGTGCGAGCGGACATACTCCGGATCATCTCCCTTCAACATGTGGCGGAACTGGTGGGTGCGGGCATCGATGCACCAGAGCTTATACGGTCCGGGGATGAACTCGCCCTCTTCGTCCCATGCCTGCACCCATGCGACGCCGTCATCTAGCTGGAAGAAGCCAACTTCGACCTGCTTTCCGCGATCGTCCTGGATCTTGCCATGCTTCTTCCGCATCTCGTAGTCCGGAGCAAGGAGGTAGCGCTTGAGAACTTTCGAATACTTGACCGGAACGGGAGGTGTCATCTTGATCATCTCCTTGGAGTTCTTTATCTGAAAGGGTGATATAGGCGCTCCCTCTGGCGGGACTTCGGACAGGTCGGTAGGGGCATCTTTGAGAGTCGCAACAAGATACCATCCACGACCGGGGATATACTCGTAAACACCTGGGACTGGATGGTCCCAGTGCTCAGTCCTCCTCGTCGGGCGCTCGACCCTGGAGTTCTTGAACCATTTGTGCGGCGAAAAGACCTTTTGCGTAGCGAGGAACAGGTTCGGTGTCATTGAAACACCGAAATTTGGAACCCTTCGAGGAAGTGTAAGGAACCGGCGGTGCTCTTTTATTGCTAAGAAAAGTTGTCGAAAAAGCGGGATGTTGGGGTGCGTGGTGGCGTATATGACCCAACAGGAAGAGGCGAAGCACGTGAAAGGTGTCCCTCAGGGAGGAGTAAGTAGGAGTCGCGATGTAACGCACCAGCAACGAAATCCTCAAAAAAGGAAGATGAGGCGCGGAGAAGTCGATCACGCGACTGGCTGGCCGAGGGCGCGACCGCGGATCCGCGAGCGTGCAAAAGCACGAAGAAAGCGGCGGGCGCAGGTAAAGCTGAGTTTCTGATCGCGTGTGCTCGAAGGGAAAAAAATCAGCCAGGGGAGGGCAGCAGGCCCTTTTAAGGCGGCGGGAGCTAAACTAGCCTGACCGTCATGAAGGGTTCCTTCCAGGGCGTTCGGTGTGTAAAATTAGAGGCACAAGCTTCGACAGCGTACCGGACCGTGAACGGGCAATGCGAATGGAGTCGGTGAATCATATGAAAATTTCAACCGCCATCCGCTGCCCCTGACTGCATTTACGCTCGGAATTCGTCATCCTCCTGCTCCATCAGCTCGACTCGTCAGCGATAATCGCTCCGATTCCACCCATTGCGGCCCTTCCACCACATTGCTGTTTTGCGACACGTACAGATATGCCCTCGCACCTACCGCACCTCTGGTCTGATAACATCGAGATTGTCCAATCACTGCGGCCGACAGACCCTCGTGGTATCGGGATAATTCGCAATGCAAGATAAAGCGGCTGAAGTACGACGTCAAATAATATGCGTGGTGTTGAACAGATGCCCTTGCCGGGTCCGAGGGAGCAGGACAGCAAGCGGTGTCGGTGTGGTGCTGTTGGGCGTGTGGCTGCTGGAATCTCGGACGAACTGTGAGCGTACACGCTCATGCAGCGTGAGCCAGGAGCGGTGTCGTGCCTAGCGACTTAGAGTACCTTGCTGATTCGCCAAAGCGGTGTGGAGCTGGTGTTGTGATTGTGGTGTTGAGGTGCCCAGAGCATGCGAGAGCGGAAGGGGAGTCGGGTCAGCGTCGCAAGCGAGAAAAGAAAGCACAACACCATGAACAACCTCTTGCAACCACCGTGTATGCTCAAAACACGGTATCCCCTCTCCGCTGCTGGACTGCTGATGGAATGTTGAGAGTTTACATGACTGATTCCGCCACTCCAATGGCAGGCCGCCGCAAATTGCAACGCGTATACCATTACACCTGCATTTCATCCTGCATTCCATGAGCACATAAGATATCCTAATCAATCTCACCCTCACACCTCAGCCTCGCTAATCTACGCATCTATGTACGACGCACAGCTCGCCGGCGGGCAGAATGCCGGAGAACGAGAATCCTGCTGCAATACACCTCTTGCCCTTTGCATCACACACATGCAGTTCGTACAAGCATTCTATCACGACTTGGCGCAGAGTACCAGGCTGGGCTGTGCAGTAACCCTGTAGCACCTACGAGATAAGTCTTTGTCTGTGACTGCCTGTCGGTCATTGTTCGCCCGAGCGTGGTGCTGGATCTCTGATCTCAGATTGCGCGGCCGGACGGATGGTGTTGCAGCAGGATTCCATGCCATCAGAGCCCGTGTCTCGTGAGAAACCGTCAATCTTGATCTCCAAACCCCGAGCGTTATCCAGCTCCGAGCATATGCCGTCATCTGAAAATGTCTCAAGGAGACGTCACCACGGAGCACCCGGATAGCACGTAGAAAACCGTGATTTCCTTTGCAAGCTGTCACCGCTAATGTGCCTCATCCCATTTCATTGGCCATCCGAAATGTGTGCCATGATTTTGTTGTTGGATACATGCTCTCTCCATGCTCGATGAGAACCGACGGGAAAGCCACATCCGATTGCCGTGCCTAAGTCAAAGAGACGCCGTGAATGCCCCGCCTAAACCATCATCCTCTACGACTCCGTCTTGACCTTAGCCTTGCCGTTCGTAACCTTGACGCCCAATTGCTTCGCGCGGGTCAGGATGTCGATCCGCTTCCTTGCCGAGACGGCGTGAGAGATCCTGCCATTACAATTAGTCCGTCTGCTATGAAGGTTGTGGAAAGGTGTGATGGGCGTACTCTGCGGCGAAGGTGTGGTTGTGCATAAGGAGGAGGTCGACGTCGCTGACGTTGTTGACGAGGAAGGCCTTGTGGCCGCTAGGCATCATGTGGCGGGTCTTCTTGTTGCTGCCGTATCCGATCTAGGAATCCATCAGCCAAAGCCCTCGTTGGGTTGTATTCACTCCCGAAACCATATCTGAGAGCAAGTACGAAGCGTTTGGTTTCGAGTAGATGCGGAGTCCCATACCTTGGGCATAGCAGCCTGTCCCTTGAACCTACGCCTGACGCGGTTGTCGATACCCTTCGGCTTTCGCCATGACGGATCAACGCATTTGAACCTGCCCACAAATTAGCACCAATGCGCACAAAATCCACCTCCCTAGGCATAAGCACATACCTATCGCTCTGATGCTGTATGCCAAAAGAAACCTCAGTCAACGCAGTTCTTCCAACGCAGTCTTGCTAGCACCCGCGGGATCCCACACCATCGCGAACCGAGACTCGACGACATATATCGAACAGGAAACCGCGGGCGCTCGAGGGAGATGTATCAACTTCGCATTCTGGGGCTACGTACGCGATTGAAACGCTTGCGGCTGCGAATTGTTAGCTGTGCGAATTTTGACGTCGCCGGACGGCGGTACTTACTGCTTCTTGACGATCGGGATGTGGGCAGGCATCTAGAAATAGGAACATCAGTATTCCGCTAGCAGAGGCGACTGCGGTCGTACGCACTTTGTTGGATTGTCCTGGGGTATCTCGATCGAATTGACGTTGAGGTTCCTCGCAATGTCGAAATGTGTGAGGCGCGTGGGCGTGCCAAGGCCGCTAAAATAAGCGAGAATTGCCCGCCTCTATTGACTTGACAAGCGGAACCTCACCACCGTGACACTTGCGAGGAGGCCTCATAAAGGATGATGATTTCTACATCTTACAAACTAGTACACTCTACAGATTACATGAAGCGATTACACAAAGTACAATTCATAGGGAATGCAGTCCATGCCAATTGACTATTTGGATGCTTGGCTAAGCTATCTGCAGAAAATGCTCTCTGTGTGCAAGAGGAAATATACCGTCTAAGTAGACGCAGGGTATGTCGATGCTTCCCGTGACTATCATATCTTGTTCAAGAAGCCTAGCCGAACGAAGTAATCCATCATGGTAGGGTGACCCGCCATCAGTGTCGTGAAGATGAAAGGGAAGGGAAGGGTAGCTCAAGGTCGCGCTAACCAGGCGCTCACTCCTCCATTACGTCTGCAGTCTCGCCACCCCGCTTCTCCCTCTTGACCCACTCCACGAAGTCGTCGATAACGGACGGCCATGACGACTCCTCATTCCAGAAGCTCATAGCCTCGTCTTGCAGCGTCAGCTGCGCGAACTTCAGAGTCTCGTTCCACATGTCTTTGTTGACGCTCTTCTTCCACTGCGAGTTCAGGAACTCCGCCCACCACTGGAACCACGGCGATTTCGGGCTGGTCCACTTGACGGCGGACAGTTTCGACGTGAAGAGCAGCTCCCAGTATGTCACGGCGACGTCGAGAGGGACCGCCTTCTGGTTTCCGGTCTTGCCGAGCATGAAAGTGTACTTGTAGACTTTTGTGAAGGCGTCTTTGTTGGATGGTAGGTTCTGCTTGAGGGTCTTGATGTAGGATTTCTGCTTGTCGATGGTGTCGCAGCTGTGCCGACTTGTCAGCATTACTTCAAGTGAGGATTGTTAGGGGAAACATACCCTAAGGATGACCATCCATCAACGAAACCTTCTCGGCTCATCTCACCCATGGTAGGAGCCTGGATGATTTCCAGAACAGCCAACACTTCCATTCCTTCAACATCAACGCCAAGGTTCTCGAAGTACTTCATCGATCCTTCGGGTCCAACCGTATCCGGCGAGTTGGTGACGTCTTCCCGGTAGCCGTCGAAAAGCTTTGTGAGATGTGCCTTCGCTCCTGATGAGACGGCTGAGCCGCCGCCGCCGCTGAAGTAACTAGGAGGTCTTGTTAGCTACCAGTGAAAGATAAAAGAGACGCTGACGAGGTACGAAATAATTTTGGAAACACAGAGAAGAAAGTACGTTGTGAAGGGATCCAAGCCTCTGTGCATATCGGCGGCGATGCTCAGAACCTCTAAGCCTTGTCGTCCTTTCAGGTTCGGCGTGCTGCTAGCCTTGGACAGTGGAGCCTCCAGATGGAAGTTCTGATTCAATTGGTTTACTTTGTGCGAACTGTATCTCGTCTCGATAGCTTCAAGCGCTTCCCAGAGCATCATGGTGGGTAAAGGCGATGGGGAGATGGCCACAGGATTTGCAGGACTGCCCTCCTCAATCTGCCTCCGCCTCTCCTTGATCACGGTGTTGAAAGCTGTTTTCTTCGAAGGAGCAAGCTTGGAAAACCACTGCCGCTTCAGCCTCGCCGACAGCAAATCGCCAGCTTGGCCCCAGGGGTTGCCGTGGAAGAGGGAAGTAAATCCCAGCATTTCGTCATTAGTGAGTTGGCCGAGAAAGAAAAGGAATGCGGGGCTGTTGTCTGAATGAATGGGCTCGTTCCAGAGAGTACATCCCCGAGTATTGTGGACCCAGTCGTCCCATTCAAAGTAGCTTATATGCGGCGACGCCCAGTCCCATGTGGTTGGCTTGCTCAGCGCGTAAGGGCTGTGGTTGAGAGTTGTAGAGGGGTTCGCGGCGTTGGACGGTAGCCTCTCGTTGCTCGATTGGTTGTAACTACCATTCGGTGCGAACCCGTAGACTTGTGAGGTCGGACGGCCGTTCTCGTGGAAGGCGGCCGTGGCCTGCGGTGGAAGTGATGCGTTTGCTGCCCATGAGTTTTGCGGGTTGGAGGCTACCCGTCGTACAGCTTGCAGGTAGGACGCTGCCGGATAGTTGGCTGCAAATCCGCTCGGGGGTGGAGACGCTATGTTCGGAAGGGAGGGATTGCCGTAAAGAACTTCGCTCATATGCTCGAGCTGGGATCTCTGCTGATTCTGATAAAGTCGAGCTGCAAGCTGGTTGTCGAGCTCTCGTGCGCGGGGCCAGACGTACGGAGATACGGGTGGTTGGCCTTGGGTAGGAGAGAATTGGCTGTAGGCTGAGGTAGAGCGTTTATGGGTACGGACCAGTTCCGTGTTGCCTGACGAATATGGCGATACCGGTTGCTGCATGTTGGCGTCCTTAGGGCTCGACGCCCCACCGCGGAGCGAGGGCAAAGAGTCAATACCGGCGAGACCAGATGGAATAGGAGATTGACCATGCTGAGTAGTATGACCTGAACCGCCGGCTGCAGAAGTATATGTCGTTTGAGGCTGGTCTGGTAGCTGCGTCACTGAGCTCACCGAACGATAGCTGGTATGCGAGGCACTCGAGCTGGCTCTGTACTTTCGATAACGTCCTGCAAGCTGTCTGGCCCTGTCCTCCGAGGAACCAAACATCATGGGCTATACTGTCGGCGGGTACCAGAGTGCTTTGAGTCGGCGTAGGAGGTTTGGAGGTCGAAGGATAGAAGGCGAGGGCTTGGGCTATTTGTTGGCGTATCGGGCCATAGTAGATAGACCAAGAAGGAGCCGAGAGCGTGTTGATAGTCCAGAGGGAAGCAGCAGCATGCTTCATGCCGATGTGCGCTTCCCAAGTGGCCCAGTGATGCCTGATCGGCGCAGCACCCGGTAGCCCATGCCTTCCCCTGTTTTCACAGAACGTCGCCTCCCAGCACCCTGCCATGTGTCTTCCGCGCCAGCAAGCGCCTTTGTCCTTCTCTCCTCAAGAAAGTCCTATCCACGGTATATCCGGCAATCGTTCGTTCGGTCGTCTCGAGGGTCCAGTAGGGTCTCCATTCTTCGTAGTACTTGCGCAAAAGCGCGAGCGACAATGTAAATGCGACATATGCAAACAAGAACTAAAAGCAGAACTTACGAATTGACCGCCGCATTCGGGTCCCACCCAGCGTTCTTCAGATGCTGCAATCCACCCGTTAGCTCAACCATGGCCATCTCTTTCGCACACGGTCCCCACTTACCCGTATTGCCGTATTCCTATCCGTTGATGCGAAACTCATGAACTGGCTTATCGCCGACTTCTGCTGCGAGCTATAGCCTGGAGGCATCGTGCGTCAGCACCGTGTTGTACGCGCTCGACTCGTGCGCTCGAGGGAGGTTGTGGTGGGGGTTGAAAAGCAGCTCGAGTTCTAGAGCTGTTATGCGGAGTGTAGAAGTTGAGCGTAGGATAAAGAAGGAGAGAGTGCGCTCTAAAATCGAAGGGAGACGTGAAGTTTGCCCGGAGAACGTTGACGCATCGCCGCAGCGGCGACAGGCAGCCAACAGCGCAGAGTGAGGACCCCTCCTCGACACCTCAAACGTCAGGCACAAAAGCGGCCCAAGCTCCGCTCCGCTCCCCTCCTCAAGCTCCACCAAGCTCGACCGCCGAGCTCTGGAGGGCAAATTTGCGGATAAACTCACCATCATCCCTCTGATTCTTCCCCTTCTTGGTCGACGGCGTCGTACTCGCTTTGGTCTTCTTCGCTGGCGCAGACATGGTTGCTTTATCGTCCTTGTCGGATGCGGTTGCCTTGCGTTTCGGTGGCATGGGGTTGGTGCGGGTGCGGGTGCGGCAGCAAAAAATGTAGCCGAAGACTTGCTTGAACATGCAACGAGCGGGCCTCGCCACTGATAAAGTATTACGATGCGGTGAGTAGGCGGAGCTGGAGCGTCGTAGAATGCTGGTGAATGTGACTGTGGCGGGGAATGCCGCGGTGAGGGTGAGTTTGCTAAGGCGTTGGAGGGCTCGAGCGTTTGCGTGGAAGGCGCGAGTGAAGGGCTGGCTGTCTCGGGCACCATCTGGAGGCCTCTCACAAGAGAACTCCAGACGATCGGATTATTTGCGAGAATAGAATGACGGAAAATGCAAGCATTGCGAGCGAAAAACATCAATGATGACGAGTCTGAACCCGTGCCTGTCTGACTGCTATCTACACGTGGACCCACACCATACCTTCAGAAATCAACGATTCGAACATTAGACGAAGGCGTCCAAAGCGCTCAGATATGTACCGTCCGCTCCATAATGGATATACAAATTACAGCCTGATCAAGCCAAAAATGGAATACACTGGGACCACATCCTGCTCTTGCTTATGCCGACTACGAACCCATCTTGTGCCGACCCTCATCCGCAGAGCTTACCGTCTCTTCTTCTTCCAGTTGGAACACTAGTCACCCAAAGGCATGCCTTCGACTTCTTCACTCAACGCCCTCCAGTTCTCAGCCTGTAATTCAGCGTACTTGACGCGCTCCTGACTCCAATCCTGATGCAGTCGGCTGACATGGTACAGACTCTGTTGGAAGAAGAGGACCTCATCACGGATGCACTCTTGGATGAACACTCCTCGTGCGTGTTGTTGGACGATGCTCTCCTTGTCCTAGAGCGGAGTCAATTAGCTTCCACACGCGAGCAAGTGGGATACTCACCCTGAATATAGACTCCTCAACCTTCTCGGCCTCGTTCGGCTTTATCAGCTCCGGAGGCTTACTCCGAATGGCCTGCAGCTTCTGCTCATTGTTCGCTATCCTTTTCTCTAGATACGGGATGTTGTCCTTCGCATATTTGTCCTTTCGGTCGAACATGTCTCTCATGCTAACCAAGGTATCCCTTTGCCTCTTCAGATCTTCTAGGACGCCCTCTTCGGAACCTTTGGCTTCATCCTCTAGCAAGACTCTGGACTGCTCCAGATGCTTCGCCGTAGAGCTCAGGCCTTCGTTCAGTAGTGGCACATCGTTGGTATCGGCAGCATATGTATCCTTGGAGGCCTCAGTGAGGGTCTGTAGCGCCGTTGTGAAGCGCAGAAATTCTGCCGCCATGCCTTCGTTGCGTTTGCAGAGACGCTCCATCATGTTGCAGAGGTTGATGTACACTTCGGCTGACCGGCGGACGCCAGATCGAACGGTATCGAATAGCTCAGGAAGGGTCTTCGGCAGTGAATCCTCCAGGTCCGGAGGCAACGTCTTGCCAGTAAACTCTTCCTGGACGGAGATTGTCGCTTGTTTCCGCCAGACAGCCAGTTCCTAGTCGCTAGGTTAGGTCTTGGAGGGGTACCGGGGGCTTCAATCATACCGTAGGCACAGTCAAAAACATAATAACCAGCTGCTCCTGGCTTAGTACTGGGTGTCTGACGAGTGCGTTTGCAAATCGCGCCAGCCCTCGCCTTCGCTTTTCTATGAAGCTTGCATCTGTAGCTAGATAGTTGCCATTGACTTAGGAATCTGTCAATCAGCGCCAAGAGCGTTCATGGGGGTCAACTTACTAGCGACCCTCTTGGGAGGCAGCAAAGGCAACTGGCGGAACGGATACCGCTTGTGCAGGCAATCCAATAACCACACGAAATCGCTGTATCGACGAATGACCTTGCTGTTGCGGCGCGCGCTGGTGACCTCGTAATTGCGGTGCTGGAACATGAACATGCCCTCTTTCTCGGCTATGGCTGTGACCGTGACGACTTCTTCCGGGCCAGCGCCCGCGATGCGTCCGCCGCCCAATGCTCTCCCCAGCCCAGGAGTGCTTGGACCGCCCTCGCCACCTGACGACTGTCCGAAGCCTTCCCCTCCCAGACCGGAGTTGGAGAAGCCTTGGTCTGATCCTCCATTGTAGCCACCCCATCCTCCCTCCCCGCCCATAGAGTCAGGCCGCTGCGAGGGCTGGTCCGCTGTAGGGTTGGTGTTGGTTGTAGCGGAGTTTGTGGTGAACTGGCTCGTCGTCCTTGTAGTAGGAGGGACGTTTATGCCATTCGTCTGGACGGGCACAGTGGTATAGCTCGAATGATTGTATCCTCGATGCATGTCTGGGCTCCCCCAAGGGTCTGCCTCTGGGTCACCGAACGACTGCTTGCGCATGGGGGCACGCGACCTGCTTGGCGTGGACGTCTGTTGCGCCGGCGGCTGTTGCTGCGAAGGAGTAGGCGGTGGCGGATCTCGCGCGGGCGCAGATGGCTCGCTCGGCTTGCTTTCTGGCTTCGTTTTCTTCGGCAGCGATATCGAGGGCACGGGGAGCTCTGACGCAGCACAAGAGTCAATTCAAGCTTCAGACGGAAGATGCAGGCGGCTTACTCCTCTTCCTCTCGTCGACGCTGTCAAGCGTAACGTCGTCGCCCTCTTGTGCCAGTCCAACCAGCGCAAAGAGCACGTTGAACTCGTTCCTTCCGAGCCCAGCGCTTGACTGGTCTGGCTGCGACACTATCCCCAGGATCTTGGTCTGCGTATCGCTCGGCAGGCCACTGTCGCCAAGGAGCTTCTTGATGCGCTCGACGCTGATGCCGTTGCCGTTGCCGACGCGGTCCGATTCCAGCAGTGCGTCGAAGGCGTCGATGTACGAGTCGGGCACGTCCGAAGCGGGCAGCAGCGACTTGACCAGCGATCCGCGCGCTGCCTTCTTGGGCGTCGGGAAGGCCCACGGCGAGTCGCCGCCGTGCAAGTCGTCGGCGAACAAGCTGTTGCCAGCGGGCTTCGGATCGTCGTCGAACAGCGATGACGACTGTTTGGGTCGCGGGGGCAGGTCCTCGTCTCCGAATAGAGACATTATTGCCGCTGGGAGGAGGTAGCCAGACAAAAGCACTATCTATACCCAAAATATGGGCGGTTATGCGATGGCGCCGCAGGTTCGCAGACCAGACGGGAGGCGTTCAAGGTGACGATAACATGTCTCGCTGGAGCTCTGATATGCGGCGGAGGTCAAGGCAAGGAACAGGGAGCAGCTGCAGGCGATTGGTCCAAGCTTCCCAGGCTCGCGCCCAGGAAACGTGCTGCTCACTTGGCACATTGGCATACACTTGGTCCAAAACGTCGATTCAAACACTTTTGCATTTGTCAATAATCATGTCCGCAAGAGTAGTGTAACCCCTCGCGTCCTATATAGCTCCATCATCGCGTCCTAGCGATGCACACACCGATATGCCCGTCCCCAATCCCGACCGGACGGACCCAAACACCAATTCAACAGCCAGACCGAGTCTCATAACCCGGGGGTATCCTTAAGCGGCGCGATGCTAACAAGACGTGTCCCTAAATCCATGACCTAAATCGAAACCACAGCCATTCGCCAAAAGTCATGCCAATGCTTTGTAGAAGCCGAGCGCTCCCACCCGAAAATATGCAAATACTGGTGAGGCCAGGATCTTTGTATGTGTCTCACGTAATATTGACACCGAAGGATGTTGCAAGATGGGAGAAGAATGATAGAGGAAAAGAGTCCCGTAAGGACTATCTGTCGTGGTTGGTAGGTCTCTGTTGCTGAGGCTCGGGGGAACCAGGTCTGCTGGAGTGCTCCCTAGGTGCTTGCGGGGTGATATTCGTCTCAGGTGCAGGATCACCAATCTCGGGACCTTGGGCCACAGAGGAAGGCGGTTGAGAAGGGGCTCTCATTTCTTGCTCATTTTGTCGGGCACCTGGCCGCTGGAAGGTCTCTGGAGTGAAGCGTATGCGAGACGCTCGATTCGGCACTGTCGAAGGAGCCTCTCCTGGAGGCGAGCCATTGGATTCATCTGCCTGCGCGGGCGACGAGTCGTTATCCATGGTAGGCAGAGGTGCTGGGCTGGGCGCATCGATAGCAACCTGAACCGCTTCTCCCGTTGATATCTCTTCTCGTTGCTGTTGCTGTTGGAGAATCTCCGGCGACCATGTTCTTCCACGTGGCTGAGCTGGGATGATGGTAACAGGCAGATTCATCTCGACTCCCTGCGGGGGTTTCTTCTTCGATCTGAACCGTTCTCCTTGCTGTGCCGCAAAGGTCCCCAGCCGGTCTTTCAAAGCCAAACCAGTATAATTCCGTTGAGGGATGTTGAGCGAGACATCTTCTACTCCGAGGGGTTCGATGACGCGTCCACGCTGGACCTCTGGGGGCGGTGAACGGCCTCGTCGCCGAAACGGATTCACATTGACAACGGCTTGCCAGTTCCATCGCCTTCTATCCCGGCTCGCATTTGTGTCTTCTATGATTTCGATACCCTTTTCCGGATCGATGTCCGTATCTGATTGGTGAGGATCCTGTGCGTGCTCATAATCGGGGGAAGGCACGCGTTGTAATCTCTCTTCGATAGGCACGGCTTGATTGGGTACAGGAGGAGTATTGCTGATGGGATGATATCGCACCGCATACACGGTGCTGTCTGCGCTTGTTGTGTCTGTCCGGCTAACAGGAGAGGCGACCGTAGGCGGTGGACTCCGTGGACTCTGTAGCGGTGCGTAGGCTCGCGAGCTGCGTTCACCGCGCTGTGCAGACTGTGACCGGCGATGAACAGGCGCCGGCGCCGGGATATGGATGGTTCGTTTCTTGTGTGGTTCGGTCTTCGGCAGCTGCCTTCTTGACAGGCTTAGCTTCTGAGCGAAGCTATGTAAACGGGCTGCGTGACCCGATGCGAAGATGCCGCCACCTCTTCCAGACCCGTCGTCTCCGGATCTCTTCGGGTCGTCCGCCATATAGCCGCGACGCTGCATACTAGGCCAATTGAGCTCGTGTGAGGGCGTGGTGTCGAGCATCTCGTCCCCATCATAGATCTCTCTCCCTAAGATACCATCTTTCCGTTCTTCTCTTTCTAGAGCTTCAATGCGCTCGACCCACTCCCACACGATGACACTGGCGGCGGCGGCTCCGACCCATCTGAAATAATCTCCCCAACCGGCGATGGTATAATTAGAAATATCGGTGATAAAGAAAACAACAGGTGTAAGGATGGCGACGATGGAAAGAAGAGCGACAAGAGAAATGTTCCACATCATGGGGTGGTAGAAAGCGGTTCTTCGCTTCGTGATAGCGTAATACATGACCCAGGCCGCGTAGAGCATGCTGAGGGATAACTGGAAAAGGTAGCTCAATGCGGGGATGGCGGTTTCGAAATGTCGAGGACTGCGCTTCTCGGTGTACGGACCGAAGCTGTTAAGGGAACTAAAGGTAATATCCAGGAGAATGAGGGCGAATCCGACCCATTTGATGATGACCTTCTCTTTATGGCGCGGAAATAGGCGAATCAGGGTCTGCACCTGGGCGAGCCAGAGGAACACATCTGATATAACGCGTGAAACCTTGATCTCCATGCCCGAGACAACCTCGTCTCGCAGCTGCATTGCATCCATGAACCCCTCGTTGTACTGTCTCTCGGCGATCTCGAATGTGTCGGCGGTGGCGAGCGTCAGCGACACCGCGACGGTCAGCGCAGCGACCTTTTGCAGCCACGGCCGTGTTCCAACGCCAATAATGGATCCTCCTCCTTGCGCTCCGCTAATCATGCCGCGTCGTCCCATCAATCCCGAGCGTCCTGACGGTCCCCCAACGAAGAAGGTTCGCGGTGTTATGATGAGCATAATGACGAGCATCCAGGCAATGACGGTCGCGGCGCCCGTCGCATACGCCTGCGGAGTAATAGAGGCATGGAAGGGGTCGCGCATGTCGGTAATGCTCGTCACGCCTCCCGAGTCCTCCGCGTTGACTTGCGACTGCTCGGTGGTCGGGCATTGCGGCGTGAAGACGGCGTCGGTCTCGAGCGTGATGGTATTCCCCGGCGCGATTTCTATGACGCCCAGCGAGGGGAGCGTAAACGGGGTGCAGTGCTGTGGCGAGGCGTCAGTACGCAAAAGAGCGCGGGCGTGATCGCGATACTCACGCGAAAGGACTCGGTGTTGGTCGGCTGGGCCCTCCTCCACGCCGCGGGAAGCCCCATCCTCGGTGACTATACTGGTCCAGCAGCAGCGGGTGGCGGGGCGTGTTCTCCCATCGATCTTCAGACTGGCGGCATGGCCTCGAGCGCGGCTTCGATGTGGGCGACGATGTTGGAGCGGCAAGGCACAGCGAGGAAGGCTTGAACGAACTTGGCGCTTCTTGGTCTGCGGAGGGTGGGAAGAGGAGACAGGCTGGAACAGCTGGTGCCACACCAAGCGTCGGGTCCAAGCCAAGCGCTGATCCGAGACCTGCATGCGGCCTAGCGCCCCGTCCGAAGCGCGGCTAGAGCGCCGGCACCCCTCTCCCCACAGGAGCGTCAAATCACCCAAATATCCGTCTGTCGTCGCGCATGGATGGCAGACCCTGACGGCGTTCAACCGCGTCGTCGAGCACGCGTTGCGCTCTGGACGCTCGCCCAAGCTGCCCTCCCAGAAGTGAGATCGCAGCGACATCCTCGCCGATACGAGCATCGAGCGAATGAACACCTCAGCAGGCGCTCGCTAGCCGCGTTCTCCACCGAACATCATCCGATACTTATCGTCCTCATCCACATGTGAATGGCGAGTCCTGTCATCGCAGCTGATGCTGTATGCAAGAGTTCGGAACAGCGGCAAGAGTGGTTGTGGTCGCTGCGTCGGCCAGTCCAGCGCCCGTGGATGACAATTTGACAGAAGCGTGTCCATGGCTCGAATTGCCCGGCTAGTCGCAGCGAATTACGCCTCCATCAAACCTCAGCTTGGATGCTGGCAATATTCTACTAGCAGTCGAGCACCTATCTGGACCCGCGTGGCGGTGGTGAGCGTGCAGTGCAGTTGATAGATGCGCGCTCAACAGCGCGGAAGAACACGAAACAAGTTTGCGAAATCCATCCTCAGATTGAACCGCAAAACGACAAACAACTGCTCCGTTGCGTCATAGACCAAGAAGCAACAGTTGGCATTGTGGCGAGGCTGCCCTGGGCGCTTGACCGAAAGCTTGACTCTCGGCTCCTCCGTTGTGGAACGCAACATCCGTACGCCGAGCGCAACCCACCACAGTGGAAAGATCCACAAAAAGGCAACTTTCGCTCGTTTTGCCGTCAAGCGGGGATTGCGGTATGGGGAAAAGAGACGGTGTTTAGGCCGCCCTCGAGGAGCATACCACAGTACTGCTTGGCAACCTCAATATAGCCTCGACATTCGGCGTAGAACTTCGTAGCTCGGTTTCGCCTCTACTCGCACGGAAACCTGTAGTTTATTCAACAAGCCTAGATATTGGCGAACAGATCTGCATACCCAATCCTCCTCGACACTACCCTATACGTTCAGCGCAATACACGTTAGCTCGAAAGAAGCACTGCATAACTGACTGCTAGAAGCCTTGGCTACACCTACATCTACCCAAGAACGCAGGACCCCAGGGAATATGTAGCGCAAGATCTTTAGCTGAGGCAAGGACCGCAAAATAATACAGCGGGGTCCTTTACTTGAGCTGCTCATTTAACACATCAAGAGGACTGCGGAAGGGTTTCACCATTAGTACGTTAGCTCGAGTACCCTTCATCCTCATAGCACTCTAAGCAGGCGAGATAGGAGATCCCATGAGGTCTGCCCGTATGTGAAATATACTCTACGGCTACACTATTCCTGTCTACTCGCTCACCATCTCTCTATCTCCTAAACCCATCTCGCAGACCACCAGACGAACACACCCCTCTCCTCTTCCTCTTCCTCTTCCTCTTCCTCTTCCTCCCTTCTACAAACCCAAGAACACGATCGCAAACCCATCACTCCCTCCCCTCCAATCACCCCATCCATTCACTCCGTCCTCAAAGCCGACCTACCTACCTACCCGCCCGCCTACCCGCTCCTACCCATTTCATTTCCACCCCCACCTCCCCTCCCCTCTAAAAAGTCTTCCTGCCCCCACACTCCCAAATGCCACCGCCCATCTGTGCTGCTCTTCGCCCCATCTATTTTCCCAGGTCGCACGCAGAACATCATCACCCATCACCCATCGCGATATACAGTAGTCCCGAGTAGACGACGTTAGAAACCGCCGCCCGAGCGCGTCCTCTTACCCAGCATTTAGGAAGGAATAAAAAGAAATGTTTACGCTCGTCCATCGCCTAAGCACGCACCGAGTCCGTCCGCCGTAGAAGCGTTCGTCAGTTGTCGCGAAAGCTTCCTCCCCCTCACTGCTCTAAGCTGGACAAATTCCCAAGTCATACATGGCCTCACACAGATATAGCACGAACTCCTTACAGTAAGGAGATATGGAAGCGCATTGTTCACACGCAGTTGCGAGAAAGTGCGTCATGTCTGTGAATTGTGTGTGATTCGCATCACCTAACCATCTACTGTAAATACTCCCAATCAGTTCCACTCCATATGCTGCTATCCGTTGGGGTATTCGTATTCTACACATATTCCAAAAAGCGCCAAATGTGCGACGCGCGCTCGCTAAAGACGACGTCGCATGCAAGTATGACTGTACCAACGGACCGGTCTGTTAAATGCAATGCAAAAATGCGGTGATCCAAAACAAAAGGAAAGAAAATCTGCTGCCGGCTGGGCCGTGTAATATCGCATCAGCTCTTGACCGACATTTCGTCCACGTTTCCCGCCCACTCGCCAATAGGTATATTTCTAAAACGCCAAGCCCACAAAAGAACTGTCAGAAATTCCCACTCTTCAAAATCGCTCATCGAGTAATGGATTCCAGAAGTCGAACGATCGTAGTCTTCTTGCCGCTGCACCCCCACCTTACACGCCTTCGGCGCCCGTCGGCATACGCCGCAGATCCCGCCACGCTGGCACTGCAGCGCACAGCGCGCAAAAAGCCGCGAGGAGCAAAAATAACCACTCAGCACCAGGAACGTCTCGTAATGCAACGCAGGAACGAAACATCGGTGGAGTGACCTTCGGAATCCGGAATCCGGCGTATGGCGGCTGCAGTACCTCATGCTGCGCTGTGTTGGCGCTGAAAAATTTTCGCCACCGCGTTCGTACCCAGGTAGGACAGATGGGAATCATAAGACCTCGTGTGACTTTGGGAAGAGCGCCGGAAATGCCGTAGGTCATATGCGTATTCGTACAAATATTCGAGTCTCCTGTCCCGTATGAAAGGAAACGTGATCCAGTAAAACGGTTGGCGATCGGCCTAATCCGAAAGTGATGATGTGTGGAAAGGGTCTCCACATGTCAGGCCGCTGGGACCTAAGCCGCCGAGTTCGCCTGTCCGAGGAGATGGCCGGTCTGCGATCGGCTCCAGGATGATGCGCCAGCTGACGTAGACGCTACTGTGCGCGCTCTGATTCCGCAATATGATGTATGGCTGCAGAGGTCGCGCGACAGGTACAGGGAAACGCCTTCGCTTCGGCACGGGTTGCTTGGGGAGCATTTATGCCCAACACGGTGGGCGAATAGCGCCCTACAATTCCTCTGCCAAAACTGCAACCCATCTCTCCGGCACACCGCTCCCGCTCTGAACGGAAGGTGCCTTGCTAGCGCCCGGTTTCCTTGGGGGTAACCATATGCGCGCTTTGCCGACGGCCTTCGCATCTAGCTTGCCGACGCGCCGCATGTTCATTTCGAGAACAATGACCCGGAGGAAGTCGCTGTTCTCCCTGGGTTCTCGCTGGCGCACTGCTGGCGAGGGAGATAGCGCTCTTCCGGCTTCGGAAAAGGGATCCGCGGTTTTTCGTCGGCGGCTCGAGGAGCGACTCCGGCGCTCGTAGGTCTGCATCTGGATCATGGGCGCCGTTGGGTCGTCGCCCACATCTAGCATTAGCGCGTCGTGGAGCTGCATGGACAGTTCCGACGGAGAAATTGGGGCGGGTTGAGGGTTCAAGTAGCGGCGAAGAGCGGGTGACGGCACCCCTTGCATCTGCTTTGGCCGCATTTCGCTCGTGAATTTCGGTGACAGTAATGAACGGGTAAGAAGGTCATCTGGCGGTACGCTCGGCGCTGTAAAGTTGGAGAATGACTTTGCTGCGGATTTCAGGGCCTGTAGTGAGGCGGTCAAGTTGCTCTTGAAGGACTTGAATCTCTCGGTGGAGGCAGGACGGGCCGTGACGATGTCGGGGATATCCATATTGGCAATCTCATCGCAGTCGTCGGGGTTGAAGTGAAGCAAAGGGTGGTCAAGAATGCAGTCCTCTTTTGGCGGTGATGATACAATCTTCTCGCGACGCTCCAGGGTAGGTCGTCGTCCATATGAATCCGGTGTGCTCAGGTTGTCCCAGTTAGAGGCGAACGAAGGCGCGTCAGTATCCAAAGACGGCGGTATAGTAGATAGCGACTCGCTAGATATCGACCTAGATGTGATAGATCTCGATGCCATAGATTCCTTCTCTTGCTCCACGCTTTGAAAGCTACCATATTCGTCCTCGGACTCATCCACGCGCCCTAATAGCAAATCCAAGGGCGAGCCAACCACCGACGGCGCCAGCTCTGGCTCGTCTTGCTTCCACTCCTGGATCAGCTCGTCCATCGATATTCTCCTGTCCATTCCTGGGCCTCTGCGACGTCGGGGCGGTGGTTTTGGGATCTCGGTGAGGGCAAGAAGGGCGGCGACGGCTGGCGGAATCGCATCGGGTTTGTGGTTCCTCGGGGTGCGCAGCGGTCTGCCACCATTGTGCCCTCGTGCTCTCACTGTCTGCGTCGAGGTTGCGGTTCCAGTTCGAGTAGGCGTGCGAGGCGGGATAACGACGGGTTTTGAATGTATGGGCGCTGCGGGTGGAGGCGCCCCTTTAGCTTCCGGTCTGCGGATAGGTTCCTCCATCTTTTGTACTGGCTTAACGCGCATCTTGTTTGAAGTAGACGGCGCCGTCCTCGCTGATCGGGCTCCCATCTTCTCAGAGGTGCGCGGTGGAGACGGAGCGGACTGATGGAGGAAAGGATAGGACCTTGGCACCATCATACTGGAGAAGGGCGGCGTGACAGCCGTTTCCCGTTACTAAAAAGCCCTGAACCAAGGATGCGGAAAAGCTCAGGGCGTGACGTCTGTCGGTCGCGAAGCCGAAAGCGTTACGTTATTGCCGCAGCCGGATTGGACGAGTCGCCAACGGGGAAGTCGAAGTAACATCAGGCCTGCAGGGTCCGTATTGCGCCGAGGGTCCCCGTGATGCGAGGGCGAAGCTTGAAGATACAGGAATATAGGATAAAGAGCGAGGGCGAGAGAGGTGAGGTGGTGAGAGGTGAAGCGGCTGATAAGGGGTGGCACAGAGGGTGCAGGTGGGAGGTTTATGACGAAGGGTTATCGGAAGGCCGCGATAAAGGGCGGCAGTCGCGTGGGCGGCCAGTCCAAGGGACACACGACCAGTTCAGGTGCGCCGTACCGCTGTGACACTGCTGCGCCGAGTGCAAGCCCAGGCACCACTGGCGACTGTGCGGCGGCGGAGCGGCTTCTGACTGCGTGTCCTCAAGCCTCACGCTGGCTGACTGCACCTTGACAGAGACCCATGTCGGCGCCGCTGCGAGACACCCGGCACACACGCGGGATGCTGCCAGACGCGGCCGGAGATCTGAGAGCGTTCCGGGCGCCCCTGATTGGCCTCCGCCGCCTCCACGATTTGCGACAGGGCTGAAGAGCTGGGCGCGCCCCACGCGCCGGCAAAGAACACCTTTCCAGCCATCGTCGCCATCCCACCCGGCGCAGGCAGTCATGATTACAATTGCACCACACGCACACGACAACAAGCTTCCGGCTCCCGCGGGCGTCCTGATTACCGCAACGCGCTGCAGTTCCCCATCGCGCCGACAGCCTGTCAGGAGGCAGATGCTTATCTCGGGCCCCAACAGTCGGCGACGCATGCAAGCCTGTCGTGCAGAAACCACAGCACCATCTTCGCATCTCCGCCCTGCATACCCCACAGCGAGCCTGCCCTCTTTTGGCAGCCTCTTCCTGCTCGATAAGCTGCGCTGAGAGCTCAACCGCGCCTTCCGCAGCCATTCTCCCGCGCTTCCGAGCCCAACACTTCTTCTCCACACCTTCACGGGCATAATAGCGCATGCAGCGTTTCGATAATATATTCTTGTATTCCTCCACTTATCGGCCAGACAGTCAGCCATAGTAGTACAGCCGCTCGCGCAGTCGTCGTCTTCCTTCCACCAATACCAATGTAGCAGGAGGCGAGCACAGCGCCCTCGCACGAAAATGACTCGAAGCCCAAATAGACTCACAAAAGCAGACACCTCCCTCCCACGCTGCGCCTACGAACGCCGACCCCCATGTTCCGAAGAAAACAAGTTGTGGAGAAAAAGGACCGAACCAGGACCAGCTGCCTCCGGGACGGGACGATCAGAGAGAGCACTGCTCACATGCTAGGCGTGACGACCACATACATGTCCGCCATGTACTTGCGTCCGAGCCGCCAAGCCTCTGCCCGCGCCGTAAATGTACGTGGCGATTCTCCCGACCAGTCGCGTAGAAGAGAGGAAGAAATTTTTGTGAAAACCCAGACCGCCGATCTCGACACAATCAATTACAGAGAAGAGAAGTTAATCAACCCGAGGAAGAAGTGGAAGGGGCGCGTGAAGACCATGCAGGGCCGTGAACAGACATTCCCGTCGTATCCAATTTGGAAAGACATGAACATCATCCAGCGCATGTCACATGAAGCGTGAGTTGGTCGTAGCACCGTAGTCCGAATGAAGAAGGCTGAAGCGGAAAAGAATGAGTCGGGGGGTTTGAGTCGACTCAATAGTCGCCGTCGTCAGTCCATCCGGCTTCGCTGCCTTCAACGACCCGCACCATCCGCCCGCCTTCCTCCATCATTAGGTCGCCATCCACTTGGCGTACGCTCCTGAGCTTCTTGCCATGCACCCCACGTGGCGACGCGGCATGCCCGCCTTCAGGCGTGAAGCGCTTGTTACGGGCAGCCGCCTGGCGGTACTTGTAGAAGTCGACGTCGCGCTCCGGTGGTTCTTCGGATTGCTCGCTGAAGGTCTCCCAGTTTTCCGATCCAGACTGCATGGTAGCCCCTGTGCCGGTTGATGACGTCTGTGATATCTGCCTGCTGCTAGGCACAGGAGGAGCATACTGAGGCGTGTAGCCCACTCGCATGCTGTGCGACATGTAGGTTCGGTCGTCGTACGGATCCTCTGGTGGAACGTGACGTACGATGCTGTCGCTGCGGTCGCTACGGTTGAAATCGAATTGATTCGCTGGTGTTGCTGCCGGCTCTGGTGGGACGAAAAGATCCTTCATCCGTGGCGGAGGAGCCATTGGTGGAGGCATCTTCCGGATGGTCGAATCTTCCCTCTGGTGTTGCGGTCGTCGCTCAGGTGAGTTACCTCCATGCGGCATGGTCTTCAGCGGAGCACGCGATGGGATCTTCGATGGACTCTTTGCTCCGGAGGCTGCCGACACGGAGCTGCCGAGCGGATTGCGGGATATACTGGCACCCATGTTTGATACCGGCGTCTTCGCTCGGCTTGGAGGCGGTCCACGTACGGTACCGGCGCGACTAGCAGAGGCAGCCTTGGGAGCTTGCTTCGCCGGCATGGGAGCTGCGGATGGAGTCTTCGACCGGGGCGGAGGAGCCTTTGCTGCCGAAGCGTACAGCTCATCCAGGTACCGCTCGCCGAGGACCAGGAAAGGCCGGCCATACTCGTCCTCCCACTTCTCGAGCGTCTTCTTCAGGTCAGCCTCAATTTTGGGCAACTCCTTTGCGATACGCTTTCGCATCTTTTCTTCCCTCAACAGCTTCCCCGGGTCGCGCCTCTCTCCTTTGTTTCCGCGCGCCATAAGACGGGACGCATCCTGGCTTGACGCTGCGAGGTCATCCCGCTCTTTCACGAGCTCGCGGTGTCGCTCGATCCTCTGCAGAATTGGCAGTCGCTGTTCCTTGAGTGCTTCCAGTCGGGCAATCTCAGCTTCGTGCGCAGAGAGGAGTGCGTCACTGCAGACATCTATCTCTGTCGTCAGCCGATTGATTCACATAGAACGGAAGGCTTAGCATACCTGAGAAGGCCGGCGTAAAGTCGAGCATCTCCTCTTCGGAGAAGTAGAGAGCATCCCACAGCTCTTGCAGCTTGCATCGGGCTTCTTCAACGAATAGGTGAAGGTTCTGGCGCTTGAGCTCGTTCAGTCTAGCCAGTTCGTCCTCGAACTCGTTGATGGTCCGTAGGCCGCATCCACGGTTATTCGCTAGGAATTGCTTGCGCTCATGCTGCTCAATTCCAAGACGGTCCCACAGGTCCTCAATAGTTGTGCGCAGCTGGGCCAGCCTACGTTCTCGACCGCGCTTCTCCTCCACCAGTCGCTCCTTCCTCGCCCTCAGCTGTGCAAGGTCATCTTTGTGCAGACCCAGCTGCTCTGGCGCCTCGCGATGACACTTGACAATCGTGCTGTCCGTTTGGGCTTGCGGTGTTCCTAGCTCCGCCCACAGTTGAATAATTTCCTGGCACACGACCGTGACCGTGTTCAGTCGGCGATTGTATTCCTCGTAGACGCGACTAAACTCATTGTCAAGCGCCGCGACGTAGGACGGGGAGATGTCGAAGGATGGGGATACGATGGCGTTGGGCCCGGTAGGAGGGAGCTTGATCTGCACGAAGGATGATTCGAGATGGGATGCATAGGATTCAAGAGCTTCGGCAAGTTCTGTGACGTATTAGTGGTATCCCGCGCCGGGTGTTGTAGGACACATACTCCGCACTTGCTCAAAGCGCTCGCGATGTAGCTTGCTAACCGCATTGTACTTCTCCTTCAACTCCTTCATACAGCGCGTCAGCGGGTAGGTGACCCCCATGCCATCGTTGGCTTCGTAGTTCGGATTTGGCTTGTTGTCCTCCAGCGCCGCTTCCATCTGCCTAATCGTCTTGATCAAGCGATGCGCCTCCTCAGTCATCTCATGCTTCTCGTTCGTCACCTGGCGGAGCTGGCTGTGCAGCGTTTCCGACAGAGCTGAGAAGAGCTGCAACACATTAGCCTTTCCCCGATGTTAATGCGCTCGGGATGCCGGATGCCTACCTCCGCCTCGCGCGAGTCCCGCTCATGGCTGGGCACTCCAATCTCGTCGAACAGGCCGTGCAGCTGGCCGATGATGGTGGTGACTTGCTGGGCGAGGTAGCTCGTGTCCATGGCGACTGCAGAGCCTCCCCGCGGCCTCGAGCGTGTATCAAGCGCTCATGCACGTATGACTTGCGTGCAGGTGGGGGGAACGTGAAGCGAGGAATGTATATGTACAGCGGTCGTGGGTGGCAGTCGCAGCTTCGTCCGTCCGTCGCAAGCAGTATACAAACGAGCGGAATCGCGTGCACCACCGCAAATGCTTCCAAGATATAGCGGGTGTGCCGAAAGGCAGAATAATGGGCTCGAGAGGAAGTGATACAATGTTGGAGATAAGGTCGAGACAGATGTAGCGGGCGGCCTGGTGGTCAATCAGTGGGCTCGCGTGGTTTATTTTGGGAAGATGGTTGCTGGGGTGATAGCCGCGTCAACACCAACGCCCGCATCACGAGAACGCGGTTTCACTAATATTCTCGCCCCGCGGCCCAGCCATCCTATGGATTTCTCCGAGTGGATCGAGAGCATGGAAGAGATGTGAGACAGCAGGGAATTGCATGCTTTACTTGCGACCGGTCGCGTGAGACGGCATAAAGCAAGGGAGCAATACCAGACTCCGGCACCCCGCAGTCTCTAATAGTCCTCCTGCTGCGTTCGGTGTACTGCGCTTGGTGTGTGAGCGACCCGTAATCGCGCTCACAAACCGCCCTCTCCTACGGCACCCTGCGGTACGACATCGCGATTCAACACCCTACTTCCTACTTCAACTCCCTCACCGGCTCCAACTTCCACCTCCCAAACCACTCCAAGATAACACTCGTAGCATTCCACATCGTAGGACCCAGCCTCAAATTCTCAAAAGGCTCGCCCTGCCACACCGTACTAGGCCACCCATGCCCAAACTTATCAATCCGATAATGCACGAAGACATCCTTCCAACCTCCGCAGCTCCAGCTACTCTTCGTCACGTTCCCGCCGTCTAAGATGTCCACTTTTGGTTCCCTGTCCCCGCAGCCTTCTTTCTCGACCCAGGCGGCGACCCATTCAGGGAGCGGGATCGTATTCGGAGCTGGGGTGTTGTCGCCATCGTATGCGATGATGGAGTCGTTGAGGCCATGCATTTCCATTATGGGGATCTTGCGGCCGTACGAGAGATGGGGGTCGCAGCCTGCGCCGAAGAGCGGTTCTGTGAGTGATGCATCTGTGTAGAAAGCCGCCGCTACAGCTGCGAAGGCGGCGATGCGGCGGTTGAGGGCTGGTGTGCAGGCTAGTAGATTCGTCAGACCGCCTCCGTTCGAAAGCCCAGTGGCGTAAATGCGCGATTCGTCGACACAGAAAGTCGAAGTGAGGTAGTCGAGAAGCTCTTCTACAAAGATGCGGTCGTCGACCACAGAGGACGGAGGCGCTTCGGGGTCGCCGAGCCATTGTTGCTATAATCTTGTAAGAAAACGCACGTCGCCAATCCTGAATGGCACCTACTCCGGGAGACTTGTAGTTCAACCCCTCTGGATAGACTACAATAGCATCTCTATTGAAGTAGGGTGTGGACAGAGCAGTGATGTTCTCCATGCTCCATGTTGGCTGGGTCTGGCCGTGGAAGGCTAGAATCAATGGAGCGACGTCGCGATTCTTCTTTGAGTAGTTCTCTGGTAGGTATGTAAGGAATCGACGGGTTACTATAGTACCAATTTGCGACTTCGAATCTAGTGTGAGGTTCTTGGAAGGACCGCCGGGGGTGAGGACCTCAGGGAGTGGTTTATGGCATCCTGAGCTCCCTCGTTGCCAAGCGAAGGTGGAGGAGACAAGACTTAGACAAGCTGCGATTGCTGCGAAGACGAGGCGATTGGTCTTCATTGTTCTGGCCTTTTAGCTCTTGTGCTTTGCAGCGTCTCTTATGTTATATGCTATCATCCGTGGAGCAGTCAGAGGCGAGAAACGTGACCTCGCAAGCTCTACCGTTTTGGTACGTTTGAGTAACTTTCATTGGACTGTTTATCCATCAACCCCTCACTTCCGCGTTCGTGTTTCGCATTGTGAGGACGAAGTGATGTCGTGCTGAATTATTGCTGTGGAGTTGTTTAGTAGATACGCTGCGTTTGCAGACCTGGCTCTGTTAGGCCACCTTTCGAGACATTGGAGTGCTAATAGCTGTTGCGCGATTGGGAGGGGAGCGAGACAACGAGCACAGAATGTAGAAATGGAGCAGACTGGAAACATGTTGCTTCGCGGTCGACAAGATTCTGGTTGCATCTACACACTGATTGTCTTGAAGACTCTGGAAACAGTTAGTCGCATCCAATGTGATGATGTGTGAGGATAGCCAACTTACCCGAAACCTGAGCCTCCTGTTGCCATAATAGTCCCCGGTATCTGTGGATGCCAGTGCGCTTCCTTGACCTGCTCCATGTAATGCACGAATAGCAACTGCGGCGGGACATCCTGCACGCCGCCAGTATCTCTGCTCTCCTCGTCATCCAGCTCGACAGCCAAATCCCACAGCGTAAGCGTGTTGTCGCCCGCGCACACGAGCACGATGCTGTCGTCGGTCGGATGCCACTCTACTGACGTGATCTGCTCCTTGTGGAACGTGTACGATGCGACTGGCGACGGCTTCTTGTCATTGGTCATCGATGTTGAAGGTTTCCATTGCCGGAGATCCCAGACGGCCCACTCGCCGTCGTCCGCGCCAGAGGCAAGAAGATGTGAAGTTTGGTGTGACCAGCTCAGCACGTTGACGTCTGTTTTTGAGACCTGAACGCTGACAGCTGGTTTCCGCGACTTTGACCGCGCATCCCAGATCTTTACCGAGCCGTCATTCGATGCGGAGGCGAAGACGTGCTTTTCTGTCGGCGACCACTGCAGCTCTTCTACGGTGCCCTGATGCCCCGTGAAGGGGGTCGTGTCGGTGACGAAGCCTCCACCTTGTGTCCGTGTCGTGGCGAAGATCTTGCCAGACACGTCACCCGTTAAGAGTTTTCCTTCTGGTATGAGAGGTGACCAATCCAGTGCATACCCTTCACTTGACTTGTGTGCTCGTATTGTGGAGACTGGCTTGTTCTGTGCGGGAGTGATTGTGGTTCCGGGGGTGTCGAAGGCTGTGAGATGGGGCGTTATGTCGTGTATTAAAACCTGGCCCGATTCTGTCATTGCTGCAGTGAGGGTAGTAGGCAGTTTCCCCGATGTCGTCTGTGGAAGCTGATGTACGCGTATCCTGTTTGTGCAGCTGTTCATGGGTATTGACTTGGTCTCCAGTATGGGATCTGAAGCCTCGTCGTCCGAATCTTCCTCCTCCTCTTCGTCTTCCCGCTCCATGCGCGACAGACTGCTCATCTTCATCACCATGATCTGGTTCTCCTTCTCTCGGCCTCGCGCTGCCTGAGTGCCCGCCACCGAGTAGACGGTCGCGGGGTAAGTCTTGCGGTTCGAACCTAGGTTATCCGGTATTATGTCGCAGGAGAGACATGGCCACGGCGCTTCAAGGGTATGTAGCATTTCGTATGTAGATAGATCAGGCGCGAGGGTCTCGCCAGCGGAGAGCTTGTGCCGGCCGGGTATGAAAGTGCCCTGGTCGACTTCCATAGCGTCTGGACTGAATCAGTATGCACCCCCTCCCCCCATTCGGAATGTGATGCGTACTCTCTCGTTCCTCTGCTTCCCTCTCTTCATCTGGCCGCCCATCCACTCCCGCCTCCAATATCTCGTCGTCGCTCTCGAACTCGTCCTCATATTCGTCTTCGAATTCCCCCACTTCGTCTCCGTCGATTTCCATAGGTCGCTCGCCATTTTTGATAGCTTCCAGCTCTTTCTCATCCGATTCGGCGGCCCTCTTAGCCATCTTGGGCGCAGAGTTCTGGCGAGGTCTGACGGCGGAACTTGGGGAACTTCTGGCGGGGACCAAATTTTGAAACTTTTTGGGCTCCGTTTCGCGGTGCACGGGCCACCGCCGCCTTTTCGCGCACCGAGCCACTGCAGCCCCTCGATTCGCGTCTGCCAGCTGCACCCCTGCCTCTGAATTGCATCCCGCCAGCCCCAAACCGTCAACAGAACTTGTCCCATCCGCCGCCGCTTCTCCTGAGCCCGACGTGTGTTGCCTCTGCCCGCCGCAGAGCATGCGCTGCCGTCTCGTCTGCACGCCGTAACGCGCCCGCGACTGATTCACGTCGAGGTGGGGATCGTCGCTCAGCGCCTGCTGCCACGCCGGCATTTGATCCCCTCCTATTCGCTCGTCCGAGACATCCTGCGCTCCTCGAGTCAAGACCTTCACAAGACAGACAGATCTCTACCATGGATATGCAGCAGGAACAGATGGCCATCGATGGCCAGGATGCACAGAAGCACATGGGCCAGCCCATGGACGTCGAGGACAGCATGAACACCACCATCACCGCCTCGACCATAGGGCCGCTGCCCGACTTCCAGACCAGCAATGGCTACGCGAGCGAGCCCCATCGGCCGCAGACATCCTACTCCGACACCCCCTACCACCACTACGGCCACAATGGCGGGTACGGCTCGCGCTTCAACACACCGTCGGACGCGGACACGCCGCCGCGGCACGCCTACTACAATGGCGAGAAAGAGACACAGATGGGGCAGTCAAACTCACGGCCGAGCTCAACAATGGGGCACAGATATCCAAACTCGGAGGGCGGAAGGCCCCCGGCATACCAGGATCAGAATCAGAGAAATTCGCAGCAGGAGCCGGCGACCAAGAATACCAGTGTCGTGATCAAGGTCGGCATGGTTGGCGACGCGCAAATCGGGAAGACTAGTCTGATGGTCAAGTACGTCGAGGGCAGCTGGGATGAGGATTACATTCAGACGCTAGGTTTGTTGCATATCCCCAGATTCCCAAATGTGCAATTGCTGACCCAGTCAGGCGTCAACTTCATGGAGAAGACTATTTCCATCCGCAACACAGAAATCACCTTCTCCATCTGGGATCTGGGAGGCCAGCGCGAGTTCGTTAACATGCTGCCGCTAGTCTGCAACGATGCCGTCGCGATACTATTCATGTTCGACTTGACCCGCAAGAGCACATTGAACTCCATCAAGGAGTGGTATCGACAGGGGCGAGGTTTTAACAAGACCGCCATTCCATTCCTGGTCGGCACAAAGTATGATCACTTTGTCAACTTCCCGCGGGAGGAGCAGGAAGAGATCTCCAATCAGGTTAGCATGCCACTCTTCTGTTTTCGCAATCGACAGCTAACGGTTTCCCAGGCGAAGCGCTTCGCGAAAGCGATGAAGGCCAGCCTTATCTTCAGCAGTACCAGTCACAGCATCAACGTGCAGAAGGTAAGCCTCGTTACTCCTCTACCTCCTACTCTCGGCTAACCAGCTTGTAGATCTTCAAGATTGTCCTATCCAAGGCATTCGATCTGAAATGCACCATCCCCGAGATAGAACACATAGGAGAACCGCTTCTCCTCTACCAGTCCGTATAGCCGCATCTCCTGAACTTGCGTTGCTAACCTGGATTACATGTGCTGAAGATGAGTGGATCCGCAATGCGAAATGTTACCAATGAGGAAATGGCTTTCATGATTTGCTTGAAACTTGCATGACTCGGCGACTGGAGCAATCTAGGATATGGGTTTTGCACACATGGCGTTGTTCTGCTTTGGAGGAAGCGGAAAACGCTTGTTTTGCGCAGGAGCACTGGAATGCTCTACTTTCATTCCGCACATCGACCCGCGTGGGGAGGTGTGTAGGCCGGAGACGATGATCTGTACGCAATTAGTGTAGTGTCTTATCAAGCATCGAGGTTCGTCAACATTGTATTTCCGTCTCGTCTCATGTGAAGTGTGAGGATTTGAGAGGCAATTTTACCCGACCTTCAATCACGTAGTAAGGTCTAGCCGAGCTAGGTCTTTGATCTCCAAAAAGTTCGAGCTGCTCCACCAACCTTCAACTTACACCACCATAAACCCCGATACCTACACTCTGCGGCTCCCAAGAGCTCACCATAGCTGCTCTCCACTCGATCAATCCTCAAATTGCACGTAGATTCGCCGCCAAGAGCCTTTGGCGCATCGACGAAGCCCAAACCTCCCCCACCTCCCACGCCTCAATGGCCCTCCCCTCCATAGCCCTCCCGGGCACCCTCCTCGGCCCCGCAGACAAATATCTCCCAGGTCCCGGAACCCACATCCACGCCTCGCAAATCTACGCCTCGATCGCCGGGCCCGTCGTGTCCTCAAAACCGTCCCCCGCCGCACCCGCCTCTACCTCCACTTCCAAGACCGCAAAGGCACCAAAACCGCTCCCCCTCCTCTCGATATCGCGCCCCGCCCCTGCCGACGACAATGCACTGGGAATAATAGGCAACTCCGGCGGCGGGGGCACCACCATCCTTCCCGAAATCTCCAGCGAAGTCCTCGGCCGCATCACGCGCCTCAGCCCGCGCTTCGCGAGTCTCGACATCCTGGTCGTCAACAGCAGCGTGTGCCGGGAGCCCTTCCAGGGCATGATCCGCCGCGAGGACGTTCGGCTCACCGAAAAGGACAAAGTCAAGATCGAGGAGAGTTTCCGCGTCGGCGATCTGGTGCGCGGCGTCGTGATTAGCCTAGGAGATCAGAGCAATTATTATGTTAGTACCGGGAGTAATGAGTTCGGCGTTGTGATGGCGCGGAGTGAGGCGGGGAATACGATGTTTCCGGTTAGTTGGAGGGAGTTTGGGGATCCGAGAACGGGGGGGAGGGAGAGGAGGAAGGTGGCTAAGCCTTTTTGAGGGAGGGGGCTGGTGGTTGAGGTGGTTGAGGGGGCATAGAAGCTTCGATTGGGGATAGGAGATGTGGGGATTTTTGGCGGAGAGCTGGAATACTACTGCTAATGAGGGAGAAAGGATGGACAATGATACCCAAGCGCTAGAGAAAAAGCATTGCATATGAATGTCATAGAGACCTACTTGTAGGGTGACTAGGGCCCTTCCAACTTTAAGTCTACATGAACGCGCATATAAGCTGTGGCTGGGAAGCTATTCCGGTGGCACTAGTCATCCCAATGCTCAGTGAGGTGAGCTGCACTACTCTACCGCCGATGTCAGAGACCAGCCACCCCCTCCGTTGCCAATTTAGAAGACATGCTAATCCCTCAGTCTATATAGTTCGCCACTGCCCTACCCTCTCACACCCACTCCCACTCCCTCGACCCTATAGCGAAACATTCTGATCCCCGTTAGCATAGCATTCTCTCCCACTGCTCCGCTCTCTGCCTGCGCAGTACTACCGCCCTAGACCGCTGTACCGTTGTGTCCAGCACCAGGGTCCGCTTCCCCAGCTCCGTTGCCTGCTGCCGCATTGGCAATTTGTTGTTCACTAGCTGGAGCATCACTCTGTGCGTTCCCCACATCGCTAGTGTTCGCCCCATCGCTGGCGTTGGGCTCTCCAGTTGTGTGGTCGTTTGCACTATCCGCTGGCGCGTCCTCCTGCGCCGCAGCACTATCACCGGAAGCAGGATTGCTATCTGCATTGTCAGACGATGGCTCATTCGCTGTCGTCGCGCTGGTTGCACCGGCAGAAGCCGCATCAGCCACGGCGTGGTTGCTTCCCGTTGCGCTACGTTCTGAGGTCTTAGAGCGCGTCGAGCCAGAGACAGATGAATGAATGCTGGGCGCCCGAGTCGCGCTGGCTGGCCCGTTCCCGTAAGCAGCGCCAGGACTGCCTTCAGCGACAGCGGGTTCTCTTGCAGTATGCGCAGCTGAGGATCTCCTGGACGAGGTTCGACACTTTGAGGCACTCCCCGTCGAACTTGACGCCGAGGACCTAGGAGCTGGCGGATTCGCGGACACACCCTTAGCAGCAGGGACAGGAGAGTTTAGTACTGGCCTTCTTGACGCATTCGTACGCGTCGAGTGGATAGACGGAGCCCTGGACCCTGTTGCACTTCCGGCACCATCATTCCCACTGATAGAACTAGCAGTGTTGTTGGATGGCGGCGATTCCCTCGCAGTGACGGTGACCGAGAGCTTGCTCAACGAAGAACTAGACCCCAATAAGCTAGACGAAGAGCTCGATCCGCCAGAAGCAGCTCCTTCCGCTCCAGCGTCTCCCTTCTCGTTGGCCTGATACGGTGTCCCAGCCTTGAGTCCAAATACTGCCATGCCAAGGAGGCCGCCCATCCTCTTCTTCGGCTTCTGACTGTTCCACTGAGCGACTGTTATGGGCTTCTTTCCTCGGCCGCCGGCAAGCCACCATAGACTCAAAGGGAGAGGATCCGTGTCTTCGAAGGTAGGTGCACCGCCGCCTCTGAGACAGGGTATTTGCTGGAGCGGCGTTGGCGGGCACTCGTTTAGCCCTTCTAGGGAACTTAGCCTGAGATTTTCCAGGGGCGCAGACTCGCTACCATTTCCATCGCTAGGTTGGAGCCTTTGAATATGCTTCGGAAGTGGGACTCTCCTCAATGCCTTACTCGTAGCCCTTGCAATCCGATCGGGCAGAGGCGTACGCGGCGGCAGGACGTCTTCGCTATCACTATCCGAAGTAGTCGCACAGGGGCCTCGACAGGTGAGTATGAACTTCTTCAGCTTGTAGCTCCTGGTCAATCTGGGTGGCTCTGGACTTTCTTCATCTCCGCCACCTCTAAGCCTGGGTAATCCCTCTTGAAATGGATTTCCGCCACGAAGTTCAGTGCGGACGCCGCCAATTGTGGAGGGTGTTGGAGGGAGCGTGCCGCCATGGTTGCTCGATTGGTCGCTTGAATGATCGCTTGAATGATCGCTCTCGTGTTCAGTAATTCTGTTCCTCTGTTGCTGGTTCTGCGGTACCCGTACGCGATATACTGTGCTCCTCTGCAGTTCCAGGTCGTAATTATCCTCGTCATATTCTGTTAGTGTTACACTTTCGGATTTATGAACGGGAGTGCCGGGGCCTGGTCTTCCAAGAGAGCTGTGCGGATCACGTGGTCTACGATTCTCCTCGAGGATGGTGTCTAGAGACAGTGGTGAAGACCTGTAGCTTGAGTGAGGTTGCGCCTGGGTGGGCGACTGTCTTGAGGACGCGGTTGACACTGGAGACGCACCACGACCGTAGAAGACTGTCTCGGAGTAATCTCTACTCGAACCTCTACTTCCCACCGCAGTATGCGGCCTCCCTACCCCCCTTTGTATATCTGCAACCGGGGTGGGCTCGCCAGCACGTAGGGCTGCTAAATGCTTCTCAACTTCATGCTTATGCACATAGGGATAGTCCCTCGCGTGGGGTAATCCATGGATGTGATGAATCTTCGGGCTTTTTGGTCGAGGTGTTGAAGACGTAAACTTTGGCGGTGGAGGGAGCAACTCTTTCAACTTTTCAAATGTAAAGCCGCGCTCCGATTCTGGGATAGGTCCATGTCTCGTCGGCGGCCTTTCAGTGGGAGTTTCCCGCGGTATATCAACGGAATTCAGGGGAGGAAAACGGGGCATTCTTGCTATTCTTGGTCCATTTTCGAGGAGCACCCGCGGAACGTTAAATACAGGTCGTGGTGGTAGATCAACGTCTTCCTCTGAAACGGACATCAGGCTTGTTTCCACTGCCGAAGCACTCCGGTTCGGGGTGTTGCTTCGATTTCTGGCAAGGTGTGAACTTGGGCTGCGTGAACGGCAAGCACTACATGGCCTAATCGGCGCCCTTGTCGTACGAGTGAGCCGGCGGAATGAAAAACCACAAGTCCAACAGCGCGGCTTGTCAATGCTCGGAAAGGAATGATACTCCTCAGCGTCATATGGGCATGGCGAGTCTGAGCGAACGGGTACTGTAAGGGACGACTCTCCGTCTTGGTGGCGTGAATCGCGGCGTCGGCACCCATTTCCGGGACGACTTTCGAAATTTGGTGCAGTAAAAGGACGTGAGCTTGGCGTAGACCTTCTGCGTGGTACAGATGGCATCAGCACTTGAATACGTCGTAACAGGGACGGTCGCTGCGGAGCTGGTTGCTGAATCTCTGGAGTTGTAGTCTCTGGTTTATTTTTCTTTCGAGGCGCCATAATTCAATGTGTCGAAAATGTGCAGTGCAGTCTTGATTCAATGTTAGGATGATGGGGGGCGAAGAGCTCCCTCGCTGATACAGAAGAGTTCTGCAATAAGAAGACCGCTCAGGTACGTGATCTTAAGAGAGAATGATATCGTACTGAATCCGATTCTGGATATATAAATACCAGAGCTATGTGGGTCCTGGTGTTACTGATGAGTGTGGAGATTTTATGGCAGCTACAACGTTTCGTGAATTGCAAGTTACGGATGACGTGGTAGACCGACGAGACGACGAACGACGCATTGTTGAATATCTGTGCCAAACGACTGCAACGAAGCGATCGTAGAAGTAGCATACTGCCAGTGCCAAATAGCGGATCCGGGTAGAATGCCGTATGCCATGAACGCCTCGCGATTGAGGGACCGTGCTGGCAGGAAGAGGGTAGGATAAGTATTCCAAAGCACGTGTTGCTCGTGCGTACTTCCTCCATCGTCAGGGATCCTAGCTGTGGATAAAGCTCAAACTACGGCCATGCCCAAGTGCTCCATCGTCAAATGTCGAGCCAGGTGCCTTGCGTGTCGTCCCAGTGTCTTTCTTCAGCATACAAGCTCATCACGCCAGCCCAGCCGTCCCCGCTGTCAGAGTAACGGTGATCAGCGTCCAGCTTAGACCTTGGCTCTTGTAATGGTATCCAGACTAGCAGAGATGCATCGCAGGGTTCAGAAAGTCTGCTGCGATCGGTGAGGGTGCTGCAGAGGGGACCTAGCACGAAAGGTTGACCGTGGATCTTGATATTCGTACCAAGGGAGTACCAGCCTCGCTCGACCCCGCATTTGATACAAAATCTTGTGCTGGCCTCCTTCCCATGCCTCGCCCGCTTCCCCTTCCTCATCTCGTCGGCGAAGCATTGCAGTGGTTGGAATTGGATGCATGCCTTGCAAGCAAACAGAGCCCTGTTGATTGCCCATTCGCGGGTTTCAGCTTCCAAGAAGTCCTCGTGAGTAGGTGGTTTGACGATGGAATAAAAGTACCGACTGGTCATGGCGAGACAGATCCTGTCATGGAAGTCAAGGCGGTCGAGAATGTCTCGGTGCAGCTCGAGAGGTAGGCGCAAGATTGGGAGGCTGTCTATTGCTGGTCCTGAGGCGCTTTGACGCGGGGGCCCGTTGCGACGGAGAGAGACTCTCATGGTCAAGCCGATCCTATGTAAGCGTATCTGATGGGGCCCGATGTGATATAGAAGCGGAGAGGCGGAAGCGCGGAATTTGCTTTTAGTTACCCCTTGCGTAAACTTTATTGAACCGTGCTGCGCCAGGTCCGTGAACATTGCGCTCGGCCAATTGCGAAGGTGATGCCGGCCCTTTCCTACCCTGCCGTATCTGCCTAGAATGGAAGAGAGGCCGCCGTTGTAATCTTAGGCTAGGGGGCCGTCCCTGCGCGTGACTCCAACCCTAAGCTCCACTCGACTCGTATCAAAGCTCACAATCAGCTAAGCTAGAGGATCTCGATGGCCCCGCTCCATTCCACTGCATTCAAGGCCAGCAACCTCTCTCGTACGCACCGTAGAGCGTACGACAGCTTCGTCGCCCGTCACGTTAGGGACGCTGTGGAGTGCACGAAGACGAGCGGACTAAACCCAGATGCTTTTCTCGGCTTCACCGAACCTACAACGTCTTCTCCTTCTTCAGGTCGTTTAATATCATATATCGAGAAAACGTTATCCAACCCCACCGGAACCAGCGCATCTGACTTTCATGCGCCGTGGTCATGGCCTTCTGAGCGGTCCTGTAACCAATCGGTGAGCTGACAAATAACAATGGCGTGGGAAAGCTGCCAAGCTCCTTTTTGCTTATCACAGAGCCTACTAAAGTGGCAGGAGCGTCTACCAGACTGAGGTACTTGCGAAATATTGAGGTGGTAGTGAGGGTATAGAGCTTGATTGGACACTCCCACCCGCTGTGTCTATGCATGAGTGCCTTGAGGAACGCATGCGCTCCGTTATGTAGCGACTTGTGGTTCGGATGCGACGAGATGCCGTGGGCGTCGAAGGTGATGATCGCGTCAATGGTAGCCTGCGGGGCTTCTTTGGAGGAAACGGAAGCCATTTTCGGGGCAAATGCCGAGGTGAGGAGGTTCGATATTAGGCGTGGGTGCCACGTCACTGTCATGGAGTCTGGGAAGTTTCTGTGTAATGGTCAGGATGGCTTCTGCTGGCGGACTGAGCAGCGGTCTTACTTGTCTTCGACAATGTGTATATCCTGCGGTGCACCCAGGCCTAGCTGCAACGCGCTATTCACAAGCTCCTTCTTCCTGACTTCGCCCAGTCCGTCGGCATCGCCTGCAGAGTTCCCACAAATCAGTCCCGGACTCGCGGCATACGGCGTTGGCTTCGGATGGCATACCGCTGCTCAAACAGAGGATCTTGACGTGATTTCCAAGCGCAGGACGCGTCAATGCCAGCAGAGTAGGCGCGAAAAACATGGCCTCGTCATCGGGGTGTGCGATTAGGAGCAATATCCGTTTTCCTTGCAACGTGGGGAACGACTTGCTGAGATGCGACGTGTACAGCCATAGGCCAAAGATGAGGATGGGCACAGAGGCCCAGGTCACCCAAGACATAGCGAACGTGCAAATTGGATATGGCCGACTGCTTGTAGAGCGAAAAGGAGCTCTGTATCTTCGTGACAACCGGCGAGGGTTGGATGAGGTGGAGCGACGATCGGAGCTAGGAAGGAAGCTTGGGCGCAACCGAGCTGTGTTTCCGGCGCACTTTCCGCAGAGCCGCACCCTCCGTCTCTCCACCGCGACACGCATCCGACCGACACCGGAAGAGAGCGCCGAGCAGCCGTCATGGGCGGCAATCGCAAAGAGCGGCGCGCGGCCGGCCAAAGGGGACCCAAAAGCGACGCCACAAGCACCAGGGCCGCCTTCCAGCCCAGCACCGAGATTGACGCTGACGGCGTCGAGTACATCCTCAAGCACCCCGACCGCTCCGGCCCGAAGGGCAAGACTCTATTTGAGCTGGCAGAGGAGCGCCAGCGGGAGCTGGACAAAGGAAAGCCGGCGAGATGGAACACCGGCGAGGGCAATACGCCCGCGGGCGAGCGACCGTCCAGCGACGAGGATCCCATAGGTCCGTTGGGCGACGCAATGCTCTACTCCTTCTCTATGGCGATTCTGCATGTGACCCTGGATGTCGCTGTGTACAGCCAGTATAGGGAAGCAGTCATATGGGGCGAGATATTCAAAAGAGCAGGCTCCGCGCTCCCGATATTCTTCCTCCTCGTCTACCTCACCCACGTCGAATTCTCGAATCGCTTCCCCGTCCTACGAAACCTTTTGTTCTTCGCTGGAGCCGTCGCCGCGGGATGCTACATGATATATTCCGGTAACAAGCACGGCTACTTCTACGTTATGAAGGCAGCGCCTCCGGTTGGCGCGCTCTGGATATGGAGCGTTGTGGAGATGAGTTTCCCGTATGCCGCCGTAAGCGCATTGGCTGTGCTAGGGTATTCAAAGTGGAATGGGTTCGACTTCTTCTAGTTGTTCCCGCCTACATTCTCCAGAATCTAAGTTTCTAGATCTGAAGCAAGTGGTACGTCCCGCCGCTTCATTCAGGTGATCTCAAACTGATAGAAACAGATATCACGGACCGGAGTCGCGCATTTGTCGAACCACTAGAATCCGCTTACAGCAGGATCAACCAGACCTCATACACGATGTCTGCTACGGAGGCAATATGTCCAGCCAATTACCTGTAAATCCTACGACGTCCAGTCAGCGTAAACCCCTCACCCGTTCGAAGTTGCACCTACGCAATCCTAGATGCTTCATGCTTCTTCGGCGACGCGGGACTACAGTTCGAGTTAGTGTCGTGGCCTCTCACCAACCGCACATTGGGATAGAGATTGGGCGCCGGTTTTTGCGGATAGAGGAGCAGCTTCTAGATGCACTCCGGCGAGGCACAACGGGTCGCTTGAGGATACGGAGTCATGGAAGTGGTTTCATAAGCTACGCCGAACTGATGGCTTTCCTCGACGAACCTGCGGAATAAATCCAGCCACACATGCGGCTCTTACGCTTCTAGTGATTGAGAATGCTCCAATTATGTCGTGCGAGTGTCTGTATCTGGTAGTCCTGCGACGTGATATGCTGATGCTGATGGGAATTACTCCGCGTCTGCACCTCGCCATGCGTCAACAGCCTCAACGAGATTAATCCACATTCTACGGAAGCTGTTCTTAGTCTTAATACTGGCCCTAAGCTATTTTCATATACTCGAGCCCTACGATACCCAACCTTGGAAAGGTACATGGGTAAGGAAGGTGCTGGATCACGTGACTATTCGTGTTTCAAGGTTTAGGCGGCAAGCGATCACTCCTCATTCCGTTTCATCTTCTGTCTTCTTTATGTGCGCTTCCATCGTCCGGGAATGCGCCTATATATGATACATATTCCCTGTCAGTCGCATCGCGGCTGTACGTACCACAAACATTGGCAGCCGCCTTCCTCGAACGGTGCCCCAGACGAAAATAGAACATCCATCAACACCACCCCGGCGCGTCTTACTCAAGACGGAACGATATCGAGTAATGAGATTCCGAGACCGAAAGAAGGGTCATTGGCTTGTTCAAAGCCCGCAGCGATCCAGCATCTCCCTGCAGAGCTGCTGCTCTCCATCTTGGTCTATCTCCCACCGCTAGACAAAACTAGCCTTGCGCTGACCTGCCGCGCTCTCGCCTTCATTCTCGGGTCCCACGTCTCGGAAGTAGCAAGCAAGGCGAAAGGAGCCAGTTGGCGCCAGCATGACGAGTTCCTGGATCTCTTGCAGAGGGACTTGGACGACGAAAAGTATTGGCGGTGTCGAGATTGCCTAACGTTCCACCTGCGGTCACGACCACCTCCGGAGCAAAAGCCAAAGCCTCTACTTGCACAACGCTTGAGCTTGAGGGGCTTCTTCAATTGTGGAAAGAGCCCTGAAGAGGCGGATCTAAGGCTTGGAATCCTCGGCGATCCCCTCTATGTGCTCCGTTTCAATCTCATCCGAGCCGTCATGGATCGACACTTCCTAGGCGCGCCGCACGGTGTTTGTTTGAACAGCATGAAGTGCAGCGGCACGCGCGTGTTTCCGGTCTTCGGCATTTCCAACATGGTCCTCCGGTACGATGTCACGCCCAAGATTGTGCTGGACCGCCTCCTCCTCCGCGCGACGTACACTTTCAGCCCGCAGCGTACCATGTACGTTCAAAATATGCGTGTGCACGAGATCTCCGTCAACGGCTTTCTGGACACGATCAGCTTCATGTTTTGCGGACACCAGCATGTCCGCAATATGACGCAAGTGCACGACTTGAAGGATCGGACTCTTCGTTGCAGTTACTGTCCCACTCAACACATTCTCACCATGCCGACACATGACACCGTCTGCTTTCGAGTCTATCAGAATCTCGGTTCAGGACGTAGCCCTTTAGATGCGAGGTGGAAGCATTTTGTCCAGCCGTGGGGCAAGGGAACGAAGCAGTATCCTTGGGGAGGGGAGGACGTCATGGAGGCTTTTGAACGCATCTTGTGCAGCACAAGAGAGGAGTTTGAAAGGCAGCTGCAGAAGAGCGATGGGCTGGGTAACTGGTACGATCCAGCGTTGAAGAGGAGGACGTACAAGACGCTTCCTAAATCGGTCGCGCGGGCGTTGTAGAGAACGGGCACAGCACAGCCGGCGCCCAACATTGGTGTTCGAACAGTCCATCGGCAGCCCTTCAGGGGACTGACTCGGTCCCGCGGATTACTCAGAAACGTCACACTCATCGGTTGTGTTCGGCAGAGTCACCGCTGCTGGCCACACAACGAGACACCTGCCCAGCCGAGGCCACCCTCATCAACGTCTGTGGAGGCGGAGCTCCGCACAAGTCTTACACGATCAGGATCTGCCGATCACTTGAGTGTTGGTGGTGTCGTTTCTTTTGCGTGTGTCTGGCCCCCGAGGACGTTATCAGGCCGCAGTAAGGCACAGCCAAGCACCAATACGAAGCGCTAAGCGCCCGGCCCCCGCCAGTTCGGGAACCGCACGCTGCACCATCGCAGGTCCTCCCGCAGCATCTGCAGCTCCAACCCACGGCTCTGGCGCGCTCCGCAGTGCAACATCTCTTTCGAACATCATGCCACGCCATTGCGCTTCAGCTCTCGGCCATCAGCGCAAATTGCTGCCTTGACTCCGTGTCTTACGCCGCGGCCATGAAGGACCCGTTCGTATCGCGTTCTTCTGCCGGCTGGGCCATGTGATTGGTCAATGAGAATTTGGTGGTGTCGGGGCTGAGAAGGCGTGAAGGATAAGCCATTGTCCAAATATGGACTGGGAGGCGGACTAGGTGATTTTATTTAAGCCTTTGGGGTCCTGATGATTTCATCGAGGGACGCCCTGGCTTTCTCTATTTCCATTTCGCTTTTTGTTGTTTTCGTCGCCTCTGTTGGCTATCATCGTTCTGAGTCTGGCGTTCGCGAGATTTTCGTGCCAGACTACGTGAAATCCTTCCGAATTGGACCCCTGGAAGCAAGAGTTGGGAATACTTGAAGGGAGCACAGGGCATATTTAAGAAGGACGCGGCTACGGCACTAGACCGCGGCAGGATGGCCTCAACCGAGAGGCAGCCACTGCTGAAGGTCGTGCATATGGATACACCAGAGGACGCCGAGCAGAACACAGTAGGCCACAAGCGATGGATAGAACGATGGCGGCTATTGTCCGTTCTCGGCGGTATCGTTCTGCTCTCATCCTATACCCTGTACTCGGCATGCGGATTCAGCGTGCAGTATCTCCATTACCCAGGCGAGGAAGACTCCCCTCAGACTCCGATGAACAGCAATCCAGGATCCGTTTCGAACTACAGCTGCATCCCGGGGCAACCGTGCTGGCCTTCGACCAGTGAATGGAAGGCCTTCAACCGAAGCATTGGCGGGAATCTTAAGCTCACAATTCCTTGGGCCGCGCCTTGCTATGAAGAGTCGCCCAAGAAGTGTCAGCAGGTCGCGGAAGACTACACCGATGGGGTCGCGAGAACCGCACAGTATGGCGCTATGGAGTTCCTCGACTGGGAGACGTGCGGCCAGTCGAACTGCATCCTCAACTCCTTCTCGCCATCGTCGCCTGTTGCAGGTACTTGTTCGCTTGGACGACTCTCCACATACCATGTGGAAGCGCATACCGCAGATGACATCAGCAAGACTCTGGATTTCATCCGACAACACGGGATTAGAGTCTCGATCAAGAATTCTGGCCATGACTACTTTGGACGAAGTAATGCTGCGAACTCCCTCGCCATCTGGACGCACAACATGAAGGACACGAAATATCATAAGAAGTTTCTGCCTCAGGGATGCAAGGCTCAGTACGAGAATGTTGGCGAGATTGGCGCCGGCATATCAGCACAAGAGGCTTGGGAAACCTTCGAGCCTCTAGGCATGCTTGTCACCGTCGGCGCAGTGAGCTCTGTGGGCGTTGCAGGCGGCTTTGGGCTCGGCGGAGGGCATGGCCCTCTTGGGCCTTCCTTTGGCTTGATGGTTGACCAAGCTATAGAGTTCGATATCGTCACTGCAGATGGGCAGGCGCGCACTATCAACGAATGCACCGATCCTGACCTCTTCTGGGCAATGCGCGGAGGCGGCGGAGGTACATACGCCGTGCTGACCTCGTACAAGTTCCAGCTGCATCCCGCTGTCCCTCTCAACGTCTACAGCTTCCAGGCGAACTTCCCCCTGCCCGAAGGTCATCTCGACATCACCGAATCCAAGGTCCATCGCGACATCATCCGCGCGCTTGCTATGAACCAGACTCTGTTCGCCTCGCAAGGTATCGCCGGCTACAACTTCATCCTTCCAGACCACATAGTCTCCCTGCAGATCCTCCCATCCACCGACACCGAAGCAATCAAGACCATTACCTCGCAATGGCATGACTTCCTCACGAATTATCCCGGCCTCAACATAACCGACAACGCATATCATATCTTCCCGAAGTTCTCACAATGGCACCAGTTCACGGAGGCACCCTCCATCGCCCGCAACGGCCCTGTCGGGATCGGTATCTCAGAGTCAGGCCGCTTCGTCCCCAAACACCTCTTCTCCTCGCCCGAGAAGATCGAGAAAGTCGTCAACGCAGTCATGACCGCAATGCAGTTCTCCTACACCAACCGTGGAGGCGGCAGCGCTCAGCTGTATGCAACAGGTCCGTTCAACCAGCCGGACAACAGCAAGACGGGCGTCAACCCCGCCTGGCGCGATGCAGTTTGGGAAGTCATCATGGGTCAAGTGTGGACGAGCAATACCCCGCAAACTATCCGCACGCAAATCCAAAACACCATTTCAGCATCCATTCAACCCCTCAAAGCCCTCACGCCGGGCGGTGGATGCTACATGAATGAGGGCGACTGGACAGAAGAGAACTGGCATCAGACCTTCTTCGGAAGCAATTACGACAAGTTATTAGAAGTGAAGAAGCGATACGACCCGACCGGCTTGTTCAATTGCTGGAAGTGTGTGGGATGGACGGGGTATGACGAGTAAGTCTTCTAGTCATAACGTGTGACTGCAACAGTTAAGCTGACGCAAATGCAGCCCGATGTACTCATGCTATGCGCAGAGCGGGAAGACGCCGCACCCGAGTATTCCGCTAGGACCTGTTGGTTGAACGCGTTTGACTGGCTCAACCCGCCCGCGGCGCGGCTTCTTCACCGATTTCTTTCTTCACTTCCTCTTCTCGTTCATCACGTAGTTTTTTACATCATTTTTCTTCTTCTCAACGTTGTCTATCGCCGATTTTGGGAGTTATGGGTTTTCTGCGATGGCGCGCGTGGGCGCATATGCATGGACTGGGCGTAAGAGTAGGATGTCTTGAGCGGTCGCACAGTACCGCCATTGTGTGCTGGATTTCACACATTCCACTATTCCATCTGTCGGTTCATCGCCGAGTTTCCATCTTCTTTGCTCACCCCAAATCCCATGCATTATGCGTCGTTCATGAACTCGCCAACAAAGAGTCGGAGTCAAAAGTCAAAGAACGCACGGCATGACCTCAAAGCGCAATCCGCCACACGACAAAACGGAAATGAGCAATGAAAGCAAATTGCCCGAGAAGGCAAATAATGCCACTCATATTCCCCTCCTAGTTTGAATCATTCACCGTCAGGTTGCGCCTCATCAAACTTTCGCAACGCTCGGATTCACCGCCGCTTCATTTCCCATTCACCGCTACACAACTAATTTAACCAACCAACCAACACAAACGCTAGATCACCACTTTCGCACAAACCTCCCAACACCTTGAATACTTCAACAGCGTCCCCCATCACATCCAACCCACAACACTCCTTCAACAAACTTCCGCTTTCTTTCGGATACCCCTATCCAAGTCACTCCTTTCTTTCAACACTTCTTTGCTCCTCTAAACCTTCTTCTCTGCTTCTTCAATATGGTCGTTCTCCTTCCGTTGCTGCTCGCCGGCGCCATGGTCGCTGCGTGCAAGACCGTCATTGTCACCGAGACGGTCACGGTCACGGTCACGGCGCAGCCTGTGCTGCAGTCCGCTACGACCCACCACCCGCCGCCGCCGGCCCCGAGCTCGACCACTTTCGTCACGGAGATCGCTACGCACGTTCCGGCGCTCTCGCAGGCCGCTCCGGGACCGGGACCAGGACCATCGCAGCCGGCGGCACCGAGTGCGACGTACAACCCCCTCCCCCTTCCCGCGCAGAGCACGGACGAGTCACCCGCCAACTTCGGCTCCCTAACCAACAAGCCCGACGAAGCCGTCATCATCAACTCGTGCTCATACCCCATCTATCTGTCGTCGGTGAACTCGAATCCGGCGAACCCCACGAACTGCGACGGCGACGGCGTCAACGGGCACGAAATCCCCCCCGGGGCGACATACAGCGAGCGCATCCGCGAATGCGCAGAGGGCGGCGTATCGCTCAAGATCGCCAAGCAGAGCAGCGGCGCCAAACCAATGCAGATCGAATACACCAAGAGCAGTGAGCTGTACTACAATCTCAGCTTTCTGGACTGCATGGTCCCCGGGACGACGGACTTGAGCGCGTGCGCCGGGCACGAGGAAGGCGTGCAGATTGCCAGTGCGAAGGGATGCCCTGTGTGGGCCTGTCAACCCGGTGAGTACTGCGATACAAAGGGTTATACGGTGCCGGAGTATGGGAATCAGAATGTGGCTACGCCGATTGGCGGGTGTGGAGCGGGTGAAGGGCTCGTTCTGGAGCTTTGCGCTGCCAAGGGGGCTTGAGGAGCTGAGGGGGTTTTACTCTCTTTTGAGGTCCGGTTGAGCTGAGCATGGTTTCTCTGGTGCTCTTTCCTTTCTTTCATCTTGATACGGTTCTATGGTTTGCATGGATCCCGGCATGCGTGCATATGGCGGAGGATGCGTTCGGAGGCTCTGCGCTGCTAAGGGGAACTGAGGCGGTTTTGGTGCGGCACGGATGAGGGATATCCAATTTTCCTTCTTTTCTTTCTTTCTTTCTTTCTTTCTCTCTTTTATGATGTCATGTCTTTATGATTCCATGGCGCCTGGCAAACGTGCGTGTAGCGGAGGATACGTTCGGAGGCTCTGCGCTGCCAAGGGCAGTCGAGAATACGATTTCCATTCTGCAATCTTTCTTTCTTTCTTTCTCTCTTTTATGATGTCATGTCTTTATGATTCCATGGCGCCTGGCAAACGTGCGTGTAGCGGAGGATACGTTCGGAGGCTCTGCGCTGCCAAGGGCAGTCGAGAATACGATTTCCATTCTGCAATGTGTCGGGTTGGGCTCGGATTTCTTTCTTTCTGTCATGGCGCTGAATGCTGAACCTGAGGATGGCGTGCTCGGGTATTGTTTTGTAGATTATGAATTGTGGTTTGCTTCGATGATGGGTTTGATGACTTAGGATCTCGTTTTGTTCGGTGTATTCGAGAGGGAGTAGGAATGAAAATGCGGTATGTAGCTGAAGACATCGAGGTCGTATGAATACATCGTCACGTACCTTTTAGGATTCCGTTTAATTTCTCCGAACTGATCTCTACTACAATGCTCCAATCGGGAGGGCATCTAGGAGCCAGTACGGGCTGACGACATTAAGCTATTTGATATATGTTTGTGATACGCTGAAAAAATACCATTGCTAAGAGACGTTTGACAGTCATTGTGCAGTTGCATACTGCCGGATATGATATCACCAAGCAGATCCGCCATTTGAACGCTTCGTAAAAGACAGACGAGAATCAAAGCTCAATGCTGAGGTGTTGGTTGATATGAGTGAGAAAGTACATTATTGAATATGAGGAAAGTACCCGACCCATCGAGGTTGGTTGAAAGCCGACTCTGGCAAGTATGCAAAGGAGATGAAACTTTCGACCACAAGGTAAATCCTGGCCAGCACATACAACGCAGCGCCTGCTACGATGACGATAAATGCCCCATTGAATGCAATGTCAGCCACCCTATCGAAGAAAGTCTTCAAGGTCACCGAAATATTAGCCCTACGGCGAATCTTGCGAAGTTTGGGTAGTACCGAATCGGTCGCAGCGACAATCAGTATTGCGGGGCCGGACGAAGCAACTGCGAGACCGGAGACCTCCCACAACAAGCGTTGAGTCTGACTCGTGAATGGCGCATTCCAAGCGACTAGGTGAAGACCTCCATAGAAAAGACCAGCCAAGGTGAATCCAAAGAGAAATGGGCCCTCGAGAGCCCCATGCCCGATATCGACCGGAAAGTTTCCTTGACGATCTTTGACAGTAGCGTACCAAGGTGGGGCTACGGCTCCTTCCAAATCATTAAATGCAAGCGTGCAGAGACAAGCTCTGTTCCATCGTTCCCGAGCTCTTGTCATGTATCCAGGAGCAAGAAACCCTTTTCTTGGCTGCGCCATCGCGCCGGGAATGTAAGTGAGCCATCGAGCTCTGTCTTCCGACACTGGACCTAGACGGGATAGCTCCTGGACACAGCCGGTGCGCAGGGCACGACTTACTCCCTCTGAGGACGATGCATCGACATTAGGGGCATAACTTTGAGCCTTTCTAATCAAGTCTGCGCGGTATGGTATTGACACCAACTTGTCGTCGCAAGCGCCATCAAATTCTTGAAAGAAACAAAGATAAGCGCACAGGTCGTGTATCTCCGGATGCGTAATCCGGATTGGTTCCTCGACGTCGAAAGGTTTGTCCCACCAGAGCCCATAGATAAGAAGCGCACAAATGGCATGCGCGAACGTGTTCAGTTCTAGTAAGGAGATGGAAGACCCAGTCGTAGTAAGCCGAACGATACACTGCACAATGAACCATGTAGCTTGGATGCAGACGATGGTCTTGGTCAGGCCATCAGCTTTGCTCTTGTCTTTGATATCCTCCTCTGAAATATCTGGTAACCACGATGGGGCCACTTCGATTAAGAAACGAACGCCTTCTGGCGTCAGAGTGACCCGATCGCGGTTGCCCGGTAGATACTTCTCTGGTTCTGGAAGCTCTGAGGTGTCAATCGCAAAGCCACCTTCGAGTACAAAGAAGCTATGGATATGTGTCCACGGTTGTCGGGAATGTTCTTGCGTAGGGGAACCAGAAGTATCGCCAAGTGAGCCTAACTCGGCGTCTCTCGTTCTGGGTGGTAACTGAACGGCTTTTTTTTTGCTGTGATATAATTTGTCGTTGACATACTGTCAGTCGATGAGCTTCACGTCGTTGTACCCATGCTATAAAAGCAATCTGGAATTTAGTTAATATGCATCTGTTCAAGTATGGTAGCGTGTTATTATGAGAAAAAGAAAATCACTGTCTTCCACTCGTTCTTCAGGCTTGTTGCGCAACAAAAGAAAACGTAAGATGGGGCGTGAATAACTTATAAGAGAACACTGTCCGGAACTCACCATTTCGGGTGCTAGTAACCCTATAATCAACCATACAGCCTTGTGCAGGTGTTTTGCCTTGATCCAGCCTTTAGGATTCCACTTCCTGCGCTTTGGGCTGGGATCATGTTTGGGGATGTTCAAATGGACAGCGCTCCAGATGCAAAGACCAAGAGTAACAACGCACGACGAGAGTATGTTGAAAGAGCCGCGAGAGTCGGGTGGACGGTGCCACGAGGCTGAGCGATTTGAAGGTGCTTCGCCGAACAGGTGTTGCATATCGACTGAAGAGTCCAAAAACCTCAAAGGTGTGGGAGGTTGTTAACTGAGAGTCTTCAGGTTACTTTAGGAGGAATGAGTCTCGTTCTAAGTGAGCAGCTGCAGACCCTGCTCTGCTATAAATATTACCCCCGGATCTGTCCAAGCCTAAATGTGGCTGAGTCTGCTGTGTTGCCTTCCGGTGAGTAGTAGACGGGGTTAAGCGCGTGCATCAGATTGGCTCGTATCTGAAACTCAAGAGGACGAAAGCTGGTGACCAATAGAAAGTACGCGCGTATCCAATGAACCCGGTTGGTGGCTGAATCAAGAGTTGAAATTCCAGACTTTCCGGCGTCGCTCCGTAGCTTGTCACGGCTCGAGCGAAACCAGCCCAGACCAATTCTCTAGCAACCAGGAAGTGGTGCAGCGCTCATTCCCATCGCAATTCTTTCTATCTTCTGCATATTTGTCGTGCTTCCTCCCAAAAGTCCTGTAATGCTTTGCTGCGTTCATCTTCTCCTCTCGATACTCGCGAGAGCCCGCGTGGCTCTGATCTGATAGAATACGGAGCGTGCGACAGAAGACTTCGCACGGCGACAGCGTATAGTCGGGCTCTAGACCTGGGATTTCGTTTTTGTCCACCAATCCTAGCAGGCTATAGACATAGTCTCTCGGATCAGAAGCGATAGCATTTGCACCCAGCCGGACTACCCTGTCGAGAGGGTAAGTGACTGTTGCACTTTTCCCTCGACCTCCTGATAGCGCGTCTTCCCGCAACCGGCACAACTGAATTGAGGTGGACTTTCGCCAGAAGTCTGAGCCCCGGAAGCGTTCGTCCAGTTCGAGACCACCAAAGTTGGGATCGTAGTTGCCGAACTGCAAAGGTGGAGGCACAGTTAGCAGATGTCTCGGATTAAGCCATGCTAGAGTGTATACCGCGACCCACGTACCTCGTCTTCCTCCATAAAAACCCAATCGCCGCACATTAGAACCACAGACCTCGCCATCAAAAATTCCTGAATAATCCACGCTCGCTGCCAGTACGGGCGGGAATCGACTTCCAGGTCATCAATTGAGGTCGATTCTTCCGATGCTGGACCGAGCCACGAAACCACATGATGGGCTTGAGAGTACACCTCACCCATGCGTGCGACCTGGTGACCGCGTTCGAGTACGTCTTTCTGATTGATACACAAAGCGTCCACCCATAGCACGCCAGCCGAATCGCCTCGCAGATGAATCAAGGCTTCGTGCAGATTGGGTGTAACTTTGACTTCATGGCCGTTGACTAGTATGCGTTGTGCGGGACTCGGATCGCCCCACACATACGAGAGAGCTGTGTAGTCGATCCGGTCCCTTAGATTCCGATGGACCAAAGAACAGACTATGGGCGCATTCCTGTCGGCGGAAGGGTGCAAGATCAAGAGGCGAAATGCGTATTTATCCAGCAAAGGTTCGTAGAAGACGGAAGAGCGGCTTGAAGATGGCTCCACGAGCTGCAGACCATTCGACGGCCGACAAACGAGTGGAGAACTATGTCCCGGTAATTCGGCTTCCGCGTAGTAACTGCGGCTTGCTTGGTTGGCGGTTCCACTTGGGGTAGCACGGATTTTCGAGCTCGATCCTGAAGGAGAGGACTGTGGTGCTACCCTCTTCTTTCGAAGCCCCGCAAACCAAGCACGAACCCGGCGGTAAGTGGACGGCATTGCCTAGAACGGCTTCCAACCTATAAGAATTAGGATTGCGATTGGCGCGTGTAACAGTCACATACCAGTGGCTGTCCGTGTTGCTTTATAACTTACAAATCCGGCGACGCGTGCGTCTCAGGCTCCCTATGCATATAGCGACATGTAACTCAATCGCGAGGGCAGCGAAGCATGTAGCAATGTGAAGGCAGGAATGAGAGGAAGAGGAATGAGAAGAGGGAGCAGCCTTCTGATGCTTAAGGCTGCGGTTCGCGATGGTGATGGTGATGGTGATGGTGGCGGTGGCGGTGCATGCGGGGCTATGTCAACCAATAAAGACATAGCATTACTGCTACTCAAATGACCACCTCTATTGCACTCGCATAGGTACCTAATGTATTCGAGAGGTGCAGGAAAAGGCAGTGGGAGTTTATCTCCCAGCACCAGCTCGGTCAGTAAAATGACGCATGAGTGCCGACGGTGACAACCAGACTGTTACACCTTTATAAAGGCTGTGCAGCCGACAGGATGTCCGTACTGCCTCATGTAGGAGTTACCGCAGGTAAACGTAGAAAATATTGAGCATGTGGCTCCCAATGTTGTAACACCGATGTCACCTCAATTTGCGCAACCTGCTCGACAGATCGGCGATCAGAGTCTCTCCTTGTACGCTATGGAGAAGGATACCTGCAGTGAAAAACTGCAATAAGAAGGAGACGATGAGCAGGAGTTGAACTGAGGCATATTATGGCGATGGTTAGGGTGGTTTATCCGGCAGGTTCGTCCTGGTTGCAGAGTCCGATTTTGAGGAACGGGACATCCAGCGCCCGAATCAACGGACACTGTGGCCTTCTCACGATCCCAAACTGATGAAGCACGCTTCAGATCTCATTCATGCATGCCGAAGATCGTTTGCACCTGAAGATGCCTCGGCTCTCATGAGACTTAGATTAAAGCCCAATGACATGGCACCCTTAGCCTCTGGTGTCAGGCTGTGCTACGCCATGAACATAGCCAAGCTCATACTTTCTGCTCGCTGTGAAACATTTCAACGTTGTTGGCGGCTAATTTGACGCTTACACAATCTTCTAAAGGAACTCCGCCCGCGCATCACCGCCCTAGTCACATTGCTTTGCCGTCGATCATCTCGGTCTCTGTGAATTTTTCACAGACTCACTCTCGTTAGTTGCTGTCGAGCCCCCTTGCTAGGAAATCCGTCATTCAAGTAGTACCTGAACGCCACGCATTGAGATAGTGATGGTGGAGAACTCGGGTCTTGCTGAGCTATATCGGGGAGAGGACCCAGTCGTTGAGTATGGCGGTCCCCGTACCTATACAATCGCGTTAACCAAGCAAGCATCGTTGCTGTTCACGGGCTCAATGGCCATCGACTCAAGACGTGGACCACTAAGGATACAAATCGATTCTGGCTCGGTGATGCCGACCTGCTCCCTTCCCATCTAAAGCGATCTCGGATCCTAACATTCGGTTACGACGCTGCTGTCACTGCGTTGCTGGGAAAAACGTCTTCGGATCGCATATTACAGCATGCTCAGACACTGGTGGCGGAACTGGTTGCTGATCGTGAGGTGGGTCGATAAATCCAAACACTACAAGATGCTGACGACTGGAGCCAGCTTGAAGATGCGGCAGAGCGGCCCATTATATTCATCTGCCACTCACTAGGAGGGATCATCGTCAAACGGGTACGTAAGACTGCTCTTCGACGCATGAGGACATCTAACTCACAACTCTTAGGCTCTTGCATACTCCGCTAGTAGGACAAGCAAACTAGTCGCACATCTCCATTCCATATTCGTATCCACCTTCGGCATTCTCTTCTTGGGAACTCCACACAATGGCAGCAGCAAAGCGAACCTTGCCTCAACGAGCCGCCGAATGATAAGCGCCCTGACGCCGTCCAAGGTGGTGGACTCTCAAGGCCAGCTTGTCGATGCCTTGGCGGAGGGTTCGGAGATTCTACAAAATATCACAGACATGTTCGTACCGCTCATGAAGAATTTCCGGATCTATTTTTTCTGGGAGCAGCAGAAGACGGATCTTGGGACTACTCTGGCCTATGTATGTACACATAGCACACTTCCACTCGTGGCGCTTTGGAGTGAATCTGATCCTCTACAGATTGTGGAAGAGAACTCAGCGGCGCCGATTCTTGATAACACCGAGAGAGCGGGACTTCCGTACGGACATAGTGGCATGGTGAAGTTCGAGAGTCGGAGCTCACCTGGGTATAGGCTCGTTGTCGCAGCGTTGATTCGATATTCGAAGGAAGCTCCAGATTTGGTCTCGTCACGGTGGCTGCATGCGACAGAAATGCTCAAGACGAAACGGCAGAATGAGGCAGCAGAACTAGTGAATTGACTCAGGAACCGGTGGCCGGGTGAAAACAAGGATGGACGTTTTCTTACCGAGGTGTTCAGCTCGATTCATGTATAACGATACGATTTTCCTTAGAAGATCCTATTCATACGTTGGGTAGATGCTCTTGGTAGGCAATCTCCTAACATGTGCTCAATTCCATACACTACCGGATATCAACCTTACAACCGTCTTTGATCGATATCACCAGCGTCATGACTTGTTTCTCGACCCCAACTAGTTCGAACGTCTCGCCTTCGGGTAGTTTGATGGTTGGGAATCTTTGAATGAGTCGGGCGACCGTGTATCCGGCTTCCGTAAGGGCGAAATCCACTAGAAAGGCGCAAGTCAGTACCGGCGCATGACAAAGTAGTGAGAATAGGGAGCAGACTCACTTCCAAGACAGACCCGAGGGCCACCGTGAAACGGGAGATAGCCCCATTTGTGCTTAGTAGGATCCTTGTGCATAGGCAACTCCTCATCCCATCTTTCTGGACGGAATAGCTCGGCGTCCATACCATATAGATCGGGTCGTCTGTGCATAGAGTAGACACTGAACGCTAAAGCGCTTCCTTTGGGTATTAAAACAGGAGATTTTCGATCGGGACCGCCGCCTGTGGGAAGAACAGTCGTTTTCACTGCTGTGCGAGTGTTCACAGGGAGGGAAGGGTAGAGTCGAAGGGCTAGATTAATCAATTAGCTGATATCGTTTCAAAAGGGAACCAGAGGATTACATACTCTCGTTGAGCACATTTTGCAGGTAATGCATCTTTCGTAGGACGGTCCGTGACAAGCTGGACTCAGCGTCACATACAGATGCGATTTCTTGCCTTAATTTCTCTAGAACCCGCGGGTGACGGACAAGCAAAAAGCTGTTAGCTATGTTAGAGAGAAAACCATGCTTTCACTGCGACAAGACTCACAAGGTCCACGAAAGGAGACATGCAGTCGTGTCTCTTCCTGCAGCAAGCAGGTTGATGATCTGACCTCTCAATGCAGATCGGTCGGAGCAGCTTTGTGCAATGGTATCGAGGAAAACGTATCGTCCTTTATCATTCCGAGCGCGGTCGGGTGAGAGATTGCGATCGATAAGATGGTCCGCAAATTTCTGTACGTCGCTGCAAGCTTGCCGGAACTCTCTGCCATTCACCAGCCAGTAGAGATCGAGAAACCGGTATCGCTTTGTAACCCACTGCTGGGCGGTGTTGAACGCGGTTGCAAATGTTTGCTCGCTAACAGCCTCTGGAGTAATCAGGCTTCGTACTGATTCTCCGAAGAGAAACGCAGTCGCGGTGTCGAGCGTCAGACGAAAAAACAAGGGTTGAAGATCGATAACGCCATCTTTCTTCTCGATGATACTAATCAAGTCGTCAACCGCTTGTTCAAAGAGTTCCAAATCCTGGTATTGCTTGTGCTGAAGCTGTGGTCGCAACATGTCCCTCGAATGTTTCCAGGCGGCACCTTCTTGTGTGAAGATGCCATCGCCAAACATGGGGAAAGTGATCGCTCTGCGCAGACCCATTCCAAAATCTACTCAGGACTCAGTTCATGGAAGCGCCATAATCGCACTGTGGCAGCCAAACCTTTGAAATTGGCAGAGCAAATGGCTTCGAGGTTGGCTGGTTCTATCGTGCCTGGTAAAGTCAGCGCTGCTCGATAAACTGCAGGTGTGTCTGGCAATCACGAACCATAGGCTTTGGTTCCAAGGAACTTCTGTTCCAGAGTGCTACCCGTCTGACGGAAATGGAACAAGAACAATCCCATGAGTCGTGACTCGGCATCTGCTCTGAAGATTTGTTCGAGACGGTCAACTCCCCAGGGTCTTTGATTCCGAAGCCTTGGAGCCGGAAGGCAGCCATGGTGTTCTGCGATAGCCTTGTTTTCCTGCACGGTTTCAGCAGATGGTATAGAGATATACCAGTGTTCTTGCCCGTAGTTCGCGCTGCCGATCCCTGTATCGACTGCAGAGTATCACTACAATGGCGACTAGGAGAGCCGAAAGAAGATAGCCTGGTACCATCGTTCTAAGGCAACAACAAAGCAGGGTGGGGGGTAATTGGGGATGTTTTTCGTGGGAGTGTCACCGGCCCCACTATGGGGGGGGGGGGGGGGCCGTGCGACCATGCCTATTGTTGTGGCAACATTTCGTGTGGCGGCGGCGCAGCAACATCCCCAGACATATGCTGTCGTCAATTCGATTCTAGCTACATAGCTGCCGCTCCAGCTTGCTTCCTATCAAGTATCCACCTGGGCAAATGGCGAATTTGGCCGAGGAATCCGAATAATTATGACGACTAAGTCTATCATACTACATTAAAGGTTATAGTATGATAAAAAGAGGCGCGCTATTCTATATTAGAGAGTTAATTCTAAATTAGAGGGCAACAGAACCGTAGTACATGCGCTGCAGAACGCCTTATTTTTAAGTGGTGTATGAGTAGTGTATGCAACTCCTTGTAGTCTGTAGTTTGGTATTTGGAATAAAATTCCAGACATCCCTTAGGAAGAGGTGAGCCATCCCATCACCATATGCACCCGAAAATCACACCCACCAGCTTTCCCCTACACTTTACTCATAGGCGGCATAACTGATCTCTACCTCAAACAACCGACATCAGCGCTGACTCCGGTAATCTCCAGTTTGCAGCCTCAGTGCATGTCCCTTTATCCGTACCGACTGTACAGGAAGCGTCGCAGCCTCCCAATAGCACCCTCATTCAGGGTCTGCCCGCAAGCAGGAGACTCCACATGCTGGAATAGGCTCGAGAGTTTGGGCATAGCGGCGTCGCAGGTCGGGCACTTGTAAGGGTAGACCTTGTCGGAATAGATATCTTGGAGATCGTTGCTGTCGAGCATATCCTCGCGATAGTCTTCGTCGATGAAGTGGGACCACATCCGACACTCCGCAGCGGTCGCGTTGAGATCAAGATGGTCGACGCCGGAGTCGCAGGTGCCGTATTCGAGATGAATGATCTTGATAGACTCAGCGGTTGTCTCGACGCGGGGATTTGTCAGATACGTACCATGCCGCCGTATGTCTTGAACTTGCGGTCGCAGCCAAGGCATTCATAGGTGGCAGCGCAGTGAGTTAGTCGATGCTGGCGCTCATTAGCTTACCAGCTCCTCAAAGGAGTGCAATGGATGTGGTACATGGGTAAGATTGTCCGGGGTGCTGAAATGTCGCTCGCACTGAGTGCAGACGTTATGCTCGTCGAGGTGCTCCCAGTATGCGTCGCATTCCGATTCCCAATGGGAGCCATGACCACCATCGCAGCCTCGACAGACGGTACGGCAGCCCTCTTCGCGGCAATGATCCAATAGCTCGTCCCAGGTCTCGCCATCGAAGTCGCACACGGGACATTCGTTGTGACGCAGGGAGTCGCGCAGATGTTGACGCAAGGCATGCTCCTTGCTAAACCGCCGATCGCAGCGAGAGCACCAGCTATTTGCGGTCAGCGTAAGCTTATGTCAACTACAGAGATTCTTACGCCGTCATTCTGATCGTGCTTTAGAACGATCACTTGCTTGGGGGATCTTGACGCCTCAAGATGCTCTGCAAGGATACGCACCGCTGGCGGGATAGTTAAAAGAGCTGGATCCTGTTGTGGGCGAAGCCAACGGTCGGCTGGGCGAAACGCTGCAGGAAGCCTGTTCACAGGTCGTGTTCGGGTAGCCGCAGGTATCCGCCGGATCTGGTGAATTCAGCCTAGAACTCACTCCACTATTCTTCAAGAACATGTCTCGACAATCCAAAATTCCTTTATACCTGCCTCGGAATTCCTGCTTGGGGGACAGGGTACGAGCCGTGATACACTGCCACCGCATTCTGTGCCGCATCATACCTCACCTCGCATTTGCCATTGGCTGAAACAAACCAACCTGGGCCGTACTTTAACAACCTTCCACTCTCATCCTTCAGTCTCTGTTCCCCTGCCGCATCTCTCAGCAGAGTCTCGCTCGAGCAAATATACGAGATTTTCGCCGCTAAAGAACACGGATGCCTAGGCACCCTCATCCTAACAGGGCTATAGCTCTTGGCCACCTCAAAAACCGCGAAGACACCAACGAAGATGATGAAGAAGATGTTGTAGCGTGAGCGAGTTTCTGTAGTCGCATCGAGCATTTCCGTAAGGACCTGCTCGGTGTCATTACTCTCGCGGCTGTAGCGAGCTGCCGTTGTTGTGACGAGGAGAACGTAGAGATCGGCTAGAAGAGGGTAAAGAGAGGAAGCTGCTAAATGGTAGCGTTTTGTGCGTAGGAATTTGAAGGCGGACCAGATGGGCGTTGGGTTCGAGAAATCGGTGGAAGGATCGGCAAGGAAGCGCTTCTGGGGAGAGCGCTTGTTGATCTCTAGGGTGTTCTGGGTGCTTGATGTTTTGTATAAGCCGCTAAGGCGTAGGGGCTCGAGTAGCCGGTGTTCTAGGAGATAATCAGCATGACATGCAACGAGAGTACATTGGGATACGTGGTGTGCGCACCTCTGTCAAAATAGTCCAGAAACATCCTAATCAACGACCCGGCTATGGAATTAATAAGACGTTGGTTAGAGAGCGATAAACCGTCAAACTGATCGCTGATAAATTTCCAGACGACAGCGAGAGCAGCGAAAATAACAAAAACCGGCATATTGAACACCAACGGTTTGCCTTCCTTCCAGTACGGTGCGCCAGTAGTATATGTCCGAATCTTGGTTGGGTATTGCGGGGTCTTCGCCAGCTGCCCGTCCGGTAAGACACAGAACAGCGGGCTACTGTCAGAGAAGCGGCGTAGTGCGTATCTCTGAGAGCCAAATGACTGGTACAACTCCTCTCGTGTAGCTTGCTGAGGGACTCGCTGCCAGTTAATTCGAAAATCTTCCAGCTGAGATAACCTTGCGAGTCCTAGCATGGAATAAGGGGAACATTCCAGAGCCGTGTCGAGGATATGGAGATACCATATGAGGTACCCCAAGCAAGTGAGCATAAGAACGAATACAAGGCTGACACAGATGAGGACGCTAACACGGGGAGCCCAGATAAAAGCCGCGCCTGGAACGTTAGTCCATTTTTCAGGAGCCGTCTCCACAGGAATGATTTCGAAGTACGCCGCACTGAGTAAAGGTAGAACGACGGAGCATAGCATGTAGAGTGTATGAGAAACCATGACTGGGATATTGCGGCTTCGTATGGTACTCCATAGCACGGAGAACATGTTTTTGGTGAGATGTTCAGCGCAGAATGTCTCTTGAGCCGTAGCTCCCTCTTGTCGAGAAAGAAGGCGGAATGGATCGATGCGTTTGACCTCGATGTCTAGGATTTGTATCAAGTTGCTAAGGAGGAAGGTCGAAAGAAGATTGGGCAAGTCTAGCGAATGAATCAGTCAGAGAAAAGGATGTATGGGATATTGATCACTCACAGATGTAACAGAAAGTTATTCGGTAAGCATGGCCCGAGAGATCCACTAGGTCTTCGTCATCCTCCGATAAGAATCCTGTTGGTTTTCCATCGTAGTCCGGATGTGGTCGAAGCGCTAGACGCCCAAAATGAATATTCAGCGCAAGCAAGATCAGAATGATAATGAACAAGCTCATAGGAAACCAGATTTTCAGCGTCCATGGTTTCCATGTCCTCTTTCCAGCTGCAGCTGCGACCGGGGAAACCGTGGCTATACCGAGGGATTTCAGAGCAGCCTGACCAGTAATTGGGGTAGATGATTGCGCAGCCAGAATGCCGTATCCAGGGTCCTGGACATGCTGAGCATTGAAAGTCGACTCGGAGTCCTCCTGGTTCACCGAAAAGTAAGGTGGCGCCGAAGAAGTTATATGCATCCTGGAGGCCGTGCTGGAATGTATGCCTTGCATCTCAATACTTTCGACTCCAGACGCATCGTTTGGGGTACCGGGATTTCCCTCAGGGCCCAGCAGAAGTTGGTCATCTCCGTCTTGGCCAAGGAACGATGAAGCTGGCCTCGATGAGAGGACCGGCTTCCTCCTGATTCCAAGATTATGCATCAACACTCAGTGGTCAGGTTCCCTCTCTTGGGTAGTTCGCTCGCGATCTCGGAGTTTGTAGGTAAGTACGCTATGTAGCCGCTGGTTGCAAAACCTCATCGTCGCTGTGGCCCTTTTTACAGTTTTGTCGCCAAGGAAGCTGAACTGCGAAGCCATGGAGCCATCCCGAAAGATTTAGTCTTCAGCACATAAAAGCATAGCGTCGACCGCAGGCGACGAATCGGGATCCATGCGAACCGAGTGTTGCGGTAAGCGAGATTGCCGAATCTGGGCAGTTCTTTTGGGGACTTGGCAGAGGCTATCCATGAGCATCGAAGCGAGCTGGCTGATGGTAGTGCTGCATAGCAGGTCGACTGATGTATTGTTTTTAAGGAAAGAGAAGCCAGGCTCAGTCAAAGCCACTCTAGCTGCCAATGCGTCGCCAGTGTAGTTCGCCTCAGTACGCCTCAGTACTCCCGGAGAACTTCCGCTCATGTTCATCGACTCGACATAGGACCGATCTTACAATGGTAATGGCAACGTTAGCTGAGAAGATTTTGAGAGAGTCCCCAATAGCAGGATTCGGAATGGAGATTCATCAAGGTTCTTACTTCCATAGCGGACGGAGGACAAACAATCAGTAGTGCTTGTGCGTGTGCTTGTGGAACGCAAGTCTTGATAGATGAAATGGCATTGAGAAACAGTTCTTGTGCTTCAATTGATGGTGGTTGGAAGTGTTAGTATAAACCTCACAAGGTTCGAAGGAAGGGGGTCGGTAAAAGCTCGGCCGACCCGGCGCCGACGGAAGGAGTTAGGCTGGTCCTTCACGTGGCAAGGTGACGCGATTTTCTTTAATGGTTCCTCATTCCGTTTCTCCCCAATAGTTCCAAAGGTGGCTGTAGCTCTCATATCAGCAGAGCAAATCAGATACGCATCCGATGCTTTTAAAGCCCGGCTTTCTCCCCGCTGCGCGGCCAGGCGCCGCGGGATGTGTAATCGTACCCTAAGCTTGTGCCCATAGCCAGACTTGGGCAAGATCGAACGCATAGTCCAAGTCTCTGATGACTCTCTTAGTCGGCTCGTCGTGCGATCGACCGAGAGCGTAGTCTTTTAAAATTCGACCATAACCCATTGACTCAACTAGTACCCTCACGTTTCACAACTTCACCATTCCTATTGCTACTACAACGAAATGACCGCACCCGGACCAATCCGATCGCATACTCGCTCTCGCACCGGCGAGCTCCATCCCACGAATACTTGCACAACGAATGCAACCCTACAGATGGCTTCTTCAAATACCCATCCTTTACCGAAATGGCTGATTCGGGACCGCCATGGAGGATGGAAGCGAGCTATACAAAACTTTACGCCGTCTTGGTTTTCTGTGACTATGGGTACTGGCATAGTCTCAATTCTCCTCCATTCCCTTTCTACACTTTACCCCGGACATCACGGGTCCCTCAACGTCCTCAGCATCGTTTTCTTCATCTTGAACGTCATCCTGTTCTCTCTCATCTTCATCGTGTCCGCTCTGCGATATCTCATTTATCCGGCGACGTGGAAGTTGATGATCAACCACCCCGTTCAGTCGCTCTTCCTTGGCACATTGCCGATGGGGTTCGCTACCATTATCAACATGTTCACGCTTGTTTGCGTGCCCAGGTGGGGAGGAGCGAGTCCGTATATTGCTTGGGGTATGTGGTGGATCGATGCCGCCGTTAGCGTTGCCTGTTGTTTTGGGCTTCCATTTCAGATGTACGTTTCGGGTGACAGTCTTTGGGGGAGGAAGCTGAACGTTGTGCAGGATGACCAAACACAAGAACCGCCACGACACCATGACCGCAGCTTGGCTCCTTCCTATTGTAGCTTCTGTTGTTGCCGCAGCATCCGGGGCCGTAGTTGCATCCGTCTTGCCCAATCCGCGACACGCTCTTATCACGATCATAACGAGCTATGTGATCTGGGGAACTGGTGTGCCGCTAGCTCTGGTAGTGATGGCGATCTACTTCCACAGACTGGCCGTTTACAAACTGCCACCCCACGAAGTCATCGTATCGGTCTTCCTTCCGCTAGGACCTATGGGCCAAGGAGGATATGGAATCATGGAACTCGGAAAGGTGGCGTTGAAGATATTCCCTGAGACGGAGACATTGCACCCAGCCGCTGGCGAGATCATGTATGTCTTGGGCTTCGGCGTGGCGATCGTAATGTGGGGATTCGGGCTTGTGTGGCTCTTCTTCGCCTTGGCGTCAATCCTGAGCCGCCAGAAATTTCCGTTCAATATGGGCTGGTGGGGCTTCACTTTCCCAATCGGCGTCTTTGCGATGGCGACGATCACCCTCGGGCAAGAGCTACCGTCCTCATTCTTCAGGATTTTGGGCACGGTGAGGTTACCTTCTGATCATAGTATGTCCCGTGCTAACAGCATACAGGTATTCGGAAGCTGTGTCATGCTACTTTGGTTTGTCGTAGCCGCCGGTACGGTGAAGGAGATGGCTCGCGGGAGAATGATCGAAGCGCCGTGCTTACGAGAATTGGAAAGAGCGAGCCAGAGGGGGGCAGAAAAGGGACGACAAGAGGCTTAGCCACTGCTCCTGGGTTATATACTTCGAACATCGCCGAGCGGATGGAAACCCTTACCGAAACGAGAGAACCCACTCCTATGGCCGGCCTGCTGGTTCGATATGGCGGAGACATTCGTGTCAACAACAGTTCTTGTGCTGCGATATCTCTTCTGCGGCGGTATTCGGAAGAGAAGTCCATAGTGAGCATGGAAATCTCGTGGAGGAACGCTTCCCCTAGAAGTATCCCCCCGGCTTCCCACGTCGTGTTCTGAATTTGTTGCATCGGTGAGGCTACCCTAGCGCTGCTGTCTCTACGGCCTGTTCTTCCGGAAGACCGGCTCGGCTTCGCATATAATCCATCGGCGTCCAGCTCTTCGGGATCAGAGCGTCCGTAGACCCTTTCCATACGTACATGTAAGCACAGACGATGATAGTTTCGCCGCTGTCCGTTTCCACTTCAACCTCTTCTAGCTGTTTCCTATGCTCCCCCGGCCCAATGTATTCCTCGATCTTGGAAGCCATTTGTGGATCGAGTCTACCAAGGAGCATCCCATCCACAGCCGCCTCCTTTTTCGTCTTTACGATTGTTGGAGTATTCTCGAGCTTAATCGTCACTCTAAAATGACACCTTAGTGTAGCACGAGTCATGCGTTTTGTGGTCTCCTCAACACCCTTCGTTCCTTCCACAATGCCCAAAACTTTGGCAACAACCCACGGCAGCATCAGTGAGCCGTAGACAAATATAGGGACTTCGGGAGCCACATGATGATAGAGCTGCCGTGTCGACCATCGGTTGTTGAGAGCCAGGCCGTAAAGACGAAGGTCTTCCGGGTCAATTCTCTTCTTCGAATCCTCCGTCATTTAGGCGGTTGGCGATACAGAACGCAGAGATAGGTGCAAAAGTACAGGGAATAAAGGAAGAGAAGCCTAGAGCGGCCACATTGGGCAAGAAAGGAGGCGCATGACAAGGATAATGGTGCGTGAATGCTGGGTTTGCCGAGGAGGCTCTTTCCCGACATTTGCTTCACGCACTCAACCTTGGGTCATCTTTACGCTGGGGCCCAACCGTTACAGGGCAACGGGAATCTTCAATCCACGTTTCTATGCCTTGCGAATGCATTGTGGAGGCACTGTGAACAGGCCCTGTTCACGGCTTGACGTTTGACGCGGCGCCCCATTGGTGGCGTTTGGTGAGGCGGAAGGCACAGTCTGATATAGCAGGCGCCAGGCAGACGAGCCGGCAGCTTGTTTCACGTGGATGCTTCACCGAGTCGCACGAGGACTATTGATAGGTCAATTTAGCAGAAATGCATGGAGGCGACAAAAACGAACGGCGAAAGGGACACGGTGGTGAACACGAGAGGCCGTTTCGGGGTTTGCGTATTGGTGAGCAGGGGATCCAGCGGCTTCCAAAGGTTTCGATGGTGTTGCGGCGGCGGAAGGTGCGGCCCGTGCACTGCCAAGCCTGTAACCTGGAGCTTTCACCAACATCATCGCCGGAGACCGCAGCTCTACTTAAACCTTCTCGCCTCTGCTCTGCTGCCTCCATCATCCCCCATCACACACCCGACCGCGGCCCCCAGACAACCCCGCTGCAGCTTCTGACAACCGCCTTTTGCACACAGGACACACTCTCGCTACTCCCGTAAACACACGTACGCCCGAAATGTCGGCTGAACCAGAGCACCACCACAAGCACAAGGTGGATCTCTCAAAGTAAGTTACCGCACTACCATCAACTTTACTTCAAAGGCCGACTGCTAATGTGCCGGCAGGGATCCGTCTGGAGCTGAGCACAAAGATGTAGATACCACCTCACGCATTTCGGAGATTACTCTCACTAACCCGCCACAGGTCGACGAGACCGCGACCGCTATCCTCAAGAAGAAAAAGAAGCCCAACTCGCTAATGTAAGTTCAGCTGAAGCAGGAAGGTATGGAAATGCACAAACAGTTGCTGACCGATGCCGCAGCGTCACCGATGCCGTCAACGATGACAACTCTATCATCGCCCTGTCAAACAACACCATGGAGACGCTCCAGCTGTTCCGTGGCGACACAGTTTTGGTGAAGGGCAAGAAGCGAAAGGACACCGTTCTCATCGTTCTCGCAGACGACGATCTCGATGATGGCTCTGCGCGGATAAACCGAGTCGTTCGCCACAACCTGCGGGTCAAGCACGGCGACGTTATCACTATCCACCCATGCCCGGATATCAAATATGTACGTGTCCGCACTTGAAGCAAGAATTGCAGGAAATACTGACAACTGGACAGGCCAAGCGTATCGCCGTTCTCCCCATCGCGGATACCGTTGAGGGTATCACCGGCTCGTTATTCGACGTTTTCCTCGCCCCATACTTCCGAGAAGCCTACCGGCCCGTGCGGCAAGGCGACACATTCACCGCCCGCGGCGGAATGCGACAGGTGGAGTTCAAGGTGGTAGAGGTCGATCCGCCGGAGTTCGGTATCGTTGCTCAGGACACCGTCATCCACTGCGAAGGCGAGCCGATACAGCGTGAGGATGAGGAGGGCAACCTCAACGAAGTCGGTTATGACGATATTGGTGGCTGCCGCAAGCAGATGGCTCAGATTCGTGAGTTGGTCGAGTTGCCTCTTCGGCATCCTCAGCTCTTCAAGTCCATCGGTATCAAGCCCCCGCGCGGTATCCTCATGTATGGCCCACCTGGTACCGGTAAGACTTTGATGGCGCGTGCTGTCGCCAACGAGACCGGTGCCTTCTTCTTCCTGATCAACGGCCCCGAGATCATGTCCAAGATGGCTGGTGAATCAGAGTCGAATTTGCGAAAAGCCTTCGAAGAGGCTGAGAAGAACTCCCCGGCCATCATCTTCATCGACGAGATCGACTCTATCGCGCCCAAGCGCGAGAAGACGAATGGCGAGGTTGAGCGTCGAGTCGTCTCGCAGCTGCTCACCCTCATGGACGGCATGAAGGCTCGGTCAAACGTCGTGGTTATGGCCGCCACCAACCGACCGAACTCCATCGACCCTGCCTTGCGCCGCTTCGGACGTTTCGACCGCGAAGTCGATATCGGTATTCCCGACCCAACCGGCCGGCTGGAGATCCTCCAGATCCACACCAAGAACATGAAGCTCGGCGATGATGTCGATCTCCAGACAATTGCCGCCGAGACTCACGGTTACGTCGGTTCGGATTTGGCCTCCCTCTGCTCCGAGGCTGCCATGCAGCAGATTCGTGAGAAGATGGACCTCATTGATCTTGATGAGGACACGATCGACGCTGAGGTCCTGGATTCGCTCGGCGTCACCATGGAGAACTTCCGCTTCGCCCTTGGTGTCTCCAACCCCTCTGCTCTGCGCGAGGTTGCCGTCGTGGAGGTACCGAACGTCCGCTGGGAGGATATTGGTGGTCTCGAGGATGTCAAGCGCGAGCTCATCGAGAGCGTCCAGTATCCTGTCGACCACCCCGACAAGTTCCTTAAGTTCGGCATGTCCCCGTCCCGAGGTGTGCTCTTCTATGGACCGCCTGGTACTGGTAAGACATTGCTTGCGAAAGCTGTCGCCAACGAGTGTGCGGCCAACTTCATCTCCGTTAAGGGCCCTGAACTCCTCTCTATGTGGTTCGGAGAGTCTGAGAGCAACATCCGCGACATCTTCGACAAGGCCCGAGCTGCGGCGCCCTGTGTCGTATTCCTTGACGAGCTGGACTCCATCGCCAAGTCACGTGGCGGCTCTGTTGGCGATGCTGGCGGTGCCTCCGACCGTGTCGTCAATCAGCTTCTGACTGGTAAGTAAACAACGGAATGTAACGCCTTTGCAGCCGATATGCTGACATCATTTAGAAATGGACGGTATGACTTCGAAGAAGAACGTTTTCGTTATCGGTGCTACCAACCGCCCCGAACAGCTCGATAACGCTCTCTGCCGCCCTGGACGTCTCGACACTCTTGTCTACGTTCCTCTGCCCGACCAGGCATCTCGTGTCGGCATCCTGAAGGCGCAGCTCCGCAAGACCCCTGTCGCTCCGGATGTCGATGTGGAGTACATTGCGGCCAACACCCACGGCTTCTCCGGTGCCGATCTCGGCTTCGTCACCCAGCGTGCCGTCAAGCTTGCTATCAAGCAGTCCATCTCTACCGAGATTGAGCGCCAGAAGGCTCGCGAGGCTGCTGGTGAGGACACCGACATGGACGAGGGTGAGGGCGAGGACCCCGTCCCTGAACTCACCAAGGCGCACTTCGAGGAGGCCATGCGCTCCGCCCGACGATCCGTCACCGACGTCGAGATTCGTCGATACGAGGCCTTCGCGCAGAGCATGAAGAACTCTGGTGGCTCAAGCTTCTTCCGGTTCCCTGACGCCCAGGATGCTGCCAACGAGCAGCAGAACACGTTCGGCAACGCGGGTGAGGACGAGGACCTGTACAACTAAAAGGCTTGGTTTTTCTGAGTTCATCATGGCTTCACGCGGGTCACGGCTAGTTTGGCGCTCTGTCTTCCAATCATCTCCTCGCATGTCACGGTAATTCTACTCTCGATAGATGGAGTCGATGGATTTCCATTGCTATGGCAACGTACGCGAAGGATGGATGATGTGGGCGCTTGCCGATGGGTTGGTGGCGGAAACCTCGGTAGATGGACACCTGCATGGCATGCGCGTAGGCTACTTACCGCTTCTATAGCATGGATGGAATGAGATTGTTTAGAAAATTGACTGAGAATCGCGTGAGCTCTGTGAAATGGGTGGCGATCCATACCTGAGCCGCCAAGTACCTCCAGAATCTACCCTCTTATAGTTTTATCGTCCTGGAGGAACTGCACAGATTGATACTTTGGAGCTTTCAAGGCGCACATGCATATCGTGTTGTCCCTGCCTTGGCGAGAAAGAAGGAACGGAGACCGCCGAGCCTGCCCGCTGGATAAGGTAGCTTGGAAAGACATTATTAGCATACGGAAACGGAAAACAATGGTGATAATCAAGCAAGTGAGTATATGGAAGCGCGCGTACGCTGGCTTGGCAAAGTGTTGGTGGCTACTCTACTTGATGCTATTTCTGACATGCTTTGCCGCCCGGCAACGTCAAAGCATGCGCTGCAGTGCAACTCCAACATGGCAACCCCCACTGAGGAATGCCCCGCTCCGTGACGCCCCCATGATCGATTCCAAATTCCAAATTCCGGCTCCCCGGTTCTTGTATCCGAGTTTCCTCTGCGCTAAAATTAGCGCCGTTTGTGTGTCCCTTTCTACCGCGTACGAAGATCCCCATGGGAAGGCTGGGGATCGGAGCTGGTTGGGCTAATCGCAGCCTGTGGGTCTTCAGCCTTGTTTCCGCCCGCGTGTCCTTCTTACTGCTCCTCCGCGTTCGTATGGGTTGCTGGTAGGGGGCTGTTGAAGTTTGGTTGGCTTGCTAGGCGCGCCGTTAGGACTCCTAGGCCTGCGTCGTTAGCCTCTGCTCTGGGTGATCGTGAACAAGGACGTCGCTTTCGGTCCTGGTGTGGTGGGCGGTGCTGTCGTGGGACCGACTGTTGGGTGGAGTGGTGGTCGCGGTAGTTGTTGAGCTTGAAATATGCGATGCTCTGGCGGCGGCGGACGAGGGGGATTGGGCGGCTTGAACAAGAGCAGTAGATGCCAAGCTAGTTCCGCGAGGCTTTACTGGTCCCTGGGTTGGCGTCGATTCCGGCTCGAAGCTACCATCGGGACTGTAAGGGGTGATGTAAGGCCCTGCCCCCGCACGTTCCCCTGCCATATCTTCACCCTTTGCTCTGCTGGAGCGGCTAAGCGGCGTTAGCAGGGTTGGACTCCGGCACTGAACTGTTAAATCACTTGTCGTCTGGATACGTGATATCGCAGACTTCGTTCAGCTCCATCCTCACGGTCTTGACACCCTCCCTGATGACGCGGTCGGGCAGGCTGAGGTCATACTCGTCGTTCTCCTTGCTGTGCCCGTTGATCCCATTGACCCCGTTCGTGACGCCGTTGCTCTTCTTCGCCTGCGTATCGTGCCTGATTTTCTCTGTTACCAGTGTCATCGCTTCGGAGTGGGTGGTGCATTGGCCAGAGCGGTAGAGGTGGGTGATGTAGCCCTTGAGGTTGGCCATGAAGCCGGTGGCCTGCATTTCGTGCGTCAGGTTGCCTTCGATGTTGCGGATGCCGTTGCCGGAGAGCAGCTGCGAGTAGAGGGCATTGCGGAGCTCGTCGGGCAGCGTGTTGTGGGCCTGCGTGCTGGTCATGCTGATGGGCTTCGAGCTGGACATTTGGTGGAGCGGATGCGGGCGGGCTGTCGATCGGTCACAGTGGTCAGTAGTGATGTTCGTGGTTCGCAGCTCGCCGGGTGGGCCAGCGCGGTCGAGGGTATTCTTCCAAGATTGCCCCTTCCGGCTGAAGGTGCGTCTCCACCGCCGAGTAGTGCAGCACCAAAGGGAAGCGCGCTCTGCAGTGGTCGGAGCGAAGGCTGTATACAGTGAGCAGCGCGCTGGATGCGCCGCTTGTGGCCGTGTGACAAAGACTGTGCGCGTGGGAATTGGAGCAATACTTTTGTTATTGGGAGCTCGGGCCACACCCGCTCCTGCCTGGCCAGTGGAGTGGCCACTGCGTCGCTGCAGCCGCCGAAAGGTTGATGAATGTGCGCCTCCAGGGCCGCGCCCGTCTTCACCCTCACAACTCTGCTTCACCGAGACTGCACTGCGCCCGTATTTTTGTCGCGGAAGCGAGCAGTGCCGTCCTGCACCCACCCTGCGGCCTATAAGCCGCCCCTCTCGGCCTTTCACTCTGCCCTCGCACGTCCCACTAGCCTCAGGCACCGTAGCGTGGCCGCGCTGCCTGCCCTCCACCACAACGACAAAGCGCCACGCCCCTCCAGCATCCCCACGCCGGCTCACGTCGCTGGCCTGCTGCGTCTGCCTCTGACACAGCCGTCCCAGAGGTCGAAGCCCATCCGCGGCGAGCGTCAAGGCCGCGAAACACGCCTGGTCAATCTCGCTTCGTCTCAGCAGGGTCCTGGATGCACAGCACCCGCTGCTGGCAACGCCGGGACCACCGCCGCTTGACGCACCTTCACCGACGCTGATAACGGCGAGCTTCCCCTCCGCGAGCTGTTCTCGAGGCTTGGCGCCACCAGCTCTTCTCGACCTCCCGCCACCGCTGCCGCCGCCGACGGCCGCGCAACGTCACCCGCCATGGCCTACAAGTCCAAGTACCACGACGACTCGGACGCCGACGACGAGTACGAGCGCAGCGTCATCCAGAGCCCGACCCTGCCTGTAGACATGTACGACGAAAGCTCGCCGACGTCCTCGGGCCCGCTCAGCACAGAGCACACGCCCACGACCTTTACCCACTCGAGGGACAGCAAGGGCAGTCCCACCGGCCTGATCACGGACTGGACAGCAGCGCAGTGTGGCGAGTTCATATCTGGCTTGGGGCTGGAGCAGTATGCGAGCACATTTGTTGGTAGGTTTGCATGGCCCAGACAGGGTGACTGCATGCTGATCCGAATCGTACAGAGCAGGAAGTATCAGGCGAGGCACTGATAATCCTGCAACATGCCGAGCTCAAAGAGATGGGCCTGAACAGCGTGGGCCACAGACTCACCATCCTCAAGGCCGTCTACGAGACCAAGGTCAAGCAGAACGTGCCGATAGAGCCCGACGACTACGTTCCTCTATGTACGAGCACTCCTCCCTCCCGACCATGTATGCTAACTGCCACACCAGCCGCAGACACATCGGCCCAAGATGCACCGCCCACGCAAGACGACCTGGCCAAAGTGATACGCGTGGTCCAGGCGCGGGACGAGCGGATACACTACACCGAAACCGAGCTACGGCACTTGAGGGACGACTTCATCAAGCTGCAGGAGGAGAACAAGCGCCTCCGAGAGGAGATCTTGCCGTTCGTCCGCATGTACAAAGACAGTCAGCAACCGTTACCCACTCCTCACGATCATGTTGTCACATCGCCCCCGGCAGCAGAGCAGAGGTCGGGAAGCAGTCTGTCACGTAAGTTCTCCACCAAGAGGCTTTTCCTTGCTTCCGGTCCGAAGAACCCCTCTCCGACTATCCCGGAGGGGCGTGCCTTGGTCGACAACTCGTCTCTAGATCCTTCAGCGGCAGCTCTTGCAGCTTCCTCACACCTCACAGCGTCCATCGCCGGGGGCCAGCAGATGTCTCCCAACTCCGCACCGCAACCCTCGCCTACGTCTCCCGCGTACTCGCAGAATCAGTCCCGCTACAATCGCTCGGACATGCCCCGCAGCGGCCACCCCGACCACGAGAGCACCCCGAACTGGTCTCAGACGAACACCTGGGCTTCAGACACCACGGCCGTAACCGAACGAAACCGCGACGCCCGCGCGACGCCTGCCCCACTGTCTTCACGGCCGATGCGGAACAATGCGCAACCGACGCCGAATCCCGACGACCGCGAGCCGCCGCTATCTGGAGGTTCCACGAATACCTCCGCGCCTGCACAAACACCGTCTACGAACCCGCAAGTTGAAATCTTCAAGTCCTTCCGCGTCTCGATTGATGATCCGTGCCACAAGGTGCTCCCGGTTGCGCTCAAGAAGTACAATATCACGGCAGATTGGCGGCAATATGCGCTCTATATCGTGCACGGGGACCAGGAGCGGTGCTTAGGACTGAACGAACGCCCTCTGATACTGTTCAAGCAACTTGATAAGGAAGGCCGCAAGCCCATGTTCATGCTTCGAAAGCACGCCGCACCCGCTGAAGGCCACGTGAGCACCGTCGGAGGCAACGACGTGAGGAGTGTTGGAAGCGGAGGAGGCTTTGGCTGGGATGGTGGGAACAGGGGTGTGCAGTTGCCGGGAGGTGTATTGTAAGTTGAAAAACTGCGCATTTGCCTGCACCACCGCTATCTTTATTCGTTTTGAAGATGTTGTTCAAGAGGAGGTTGGATACTAAACAAGACTTGCATTAGGTATCGCGCACTTATCGGCGACACCGCCCTTGCGCGAAACTTTGCAGCGATCCTCGCAGGTGGATCCGGAGGATCAGGTCAAGATTGGCGAAAGGTGACGAATGGGCTATGGACAGAGGTGACAGACGGAATGAGTAAGAAGAGGGAGTCGAGGTTATTCCTGAGGACTTCTTCGGTGCCGATCCCCACGGGAGGCTATACTACCCGGAAGTGAGGGAATGCGGAGTTGGGCTGTGCTACATTTACCTGGAGTTGGCGAGCATGTGTCTACATAGGAGGATGGGTTTTTATTTCGTATAGGTGAGTTTGGTGCTTTGACTTTGCGGTTCTGCCGCTGCCGCTGCCACTGCTGGAAAGGGTTTTTATTTCTTGGGAGTTTCTATGGAGGATGATTGTTGTCTGGATGGAGAAGGATACCGGGTCCGTTCCCGGGGAGGAGGTTGTGGAGCGGATGAAGGCAATGGGGAAGGATGCCGTTAGAAGGAAGGATAGATGTAGGACGATATTGTTGTCACAATGTTTGGAGATTTTGGGATCATTTACGGAGATTACAACGAAGACTGTTGTCAGATGGAAGGGGGATATCGATGCCATCTACGGGGGATACTGTTGCTAGGCTGCACGCTGGAATTTTCGTTATGTCACGAGGCATGTGGTTTCACTTTCTACGAGAATGGGTTTGCAGCGCCTTTTTTCCTACTGGGATGCATAGCATGCAGGAGCACTTCACGCAATGGGTTCTTCAAAAGTTGGGGAAGCATTGTTAGCTGGAGTGGGAAAACTTATGTTGCTACGATGTATGTTGGAGAAATGAGAAAGCAATGCAAAATATGAAGCCATTCAGATATTCTCTTCTACTCTTTCCTTCGCGGGAGCTGACTTACGGAGTGCCGATTGAGGACATTCTCTGCTGAGCAATTCCTTACAGCCAGGTGCTGTGCTGAGCGATCATCAGGCCCAGAACTGTGTTGTGTGGCAGTGGCAGGGGAAGATCCGTCGACGAGTCATGTATGGGCGTTCCTGACCTGCGTAGTCCTGCATCCTTGTTTGAGATGGTGGCCTGGGCTGCGGGCCGTGGTTCTTCGTTCTTTGTTCCTGCGTCGTGCCCCTCGTCCGTGCGTGTGCGCACTCTGGCGGACCTGCATATCGCCCGCACTTGTTCAACGCTCCAGCATGCGAACGCACGCCCATCATCTCGCAATGAAAGAAAACCCCCCTTTTGCCTACATACATGGCAATTGCAGAGTGGTGGTTGAAAGCAGCGACAGCATGACGACGAGATAAGGTTCGCGACCCGGTTTCTCCATCTTTACCCGTTGCTATGCGTTTCGAGCGGCGTGGGCAAATCATCACATGGCGCGAGCTTCTGGAAAAAAGTACGCAAGAAACGCATAACGGATCGGCGACGCCCTGCTCGAGGCGAGGGATTGGCAAATTCCAAATCATGGACCGTGTGCCTGGGTGGGTTACGCAGCGTGTACACGTACACCCAGAATACGATATGGTGGAGGTTGAAGCGGCTCGGTTAGGAGAGAGTGAAGCAGAAGCGACTCAGTAGAGTGATAGAGAAAGGGGAGACGTGAGGCAGGCGGTGATCGCCGCGGGATGAGTGTGCAGTTCGGGCAACGTGCGACTTTACAAGTGCTGAGCCGTGTCGCTGTCACTTCCGCTTCTAGCACCGTATGACTTGAAGTGAGAGCTAGCGCTGGACTAGTCTGCCGCTTTTGGAACTTGCGGTTCCTGTTCTCGCTATCTGTCGTTCGGGGCGAGGCCTATTCTGGCGATGCTGGGCCCCCTGTTCGAAACCGTTGGGGACTATATGAGGCGTTGTATAGCTCTACGCTACTACTCAGCGGTATCAGTTTCCGAACGTAATGGGTGCCTTGTGCGGGGACGACCGGGAATTTTCTTGATGGTTTGACGTGCGTGTGTTTGAGGATGGAAACCTGAGGGATGGTATTTTTGGATACTGATACTATTGTTTGGTGATGAGGAATGGGGATGAGGTGCGTTGAAACGGGCATCCTCTTGAAGGCGTGACTTTGCCTGTGGTTTTGGAAATGAAACCTGAGGGATGTATTTTTGGATGCCCCGATGCCTACTGTGGGAGGTGGTTTGGTGATGGATAGATGAGGTGCATGGGAGACGGGGGTGGCTATGTTGGGAGTTTTGCGGGGATGTTTGAAACGCTGGTGGGTTGCTTGGTTCGTGAGGTTATTCGGATGTTGGACTGGACATAGATAGAGAATGTATGTAGTGCTTCCGAGGTGGATGGAAGTTTGTTCTTGCGTTCTGGGTGCCTAAGAATGCTCAGCGTGCATGGTAAGTCGAGGGGTATTGCAGTTCTTGACAGCGAACTGCGGGACGTGCTGCGTCTTTTGGGATTGGCCCTCTATATCTCCCATTGCAAACGAAAGGAGACCTTGGTCGTTCTTGAGCGTTTCGAGACCGTCTGCGGAGCAATCCCCGATGAGGATGTAGGTATGAGTGGCTCGCTCACTGTAGCCGGTGTTCCGAACAGAGGCAGAACGATCAGTGGTGTGCTTAACACGGCATTATCACGCTCTCTGGATGCAGGGGACTTACTGTAAAGCGCGTGTCGTGTTGTTGGATTTGTGTCTGTTACCTGCTGCATGCAATGGACCGAGGAGATGCAGCTAACTCCCACCTCGCACCGTCGCCGCTCATTTAGTTTGACCCAACGAGGCGGGCGTGCTCCGGAGGTGAGCTCATATGGCTATACTGAAGAGACGGTCTGGTCTCAGCCCATCAAGAAAGAACGCCATAGATACTGCAAGTGCGTCCGCTCTGTATCAGCCGGCGCCTAGCCGCCAGTTCCATGTCTGTTTCTCGTACCCGGCGCGATGAATTGATCGTGAATTCTGACCCGAGCAGTGAAATCTATACAGGTAGTATACAGAGATATCCTGGGGAACCGCTTCTTTTCCTATCCGGCCGAGCTCAGTCAAAAATGCCTTCATATACTTAACCGCTCATCGAGAGTCCACATCTGTTTGCCGACACGCTCGATGCATGATATCTTGCGCCGAACTACGTTTCTGGTTCTGCTGTCCGGTCACTGCTTGTCGAGACTCGTACTCTCTTTCTGCTTCTGCGCCTCCATGTCGTTTTGCTTCTTTCTCAATCCCTCGATTTTCTCATCAATCAGCGCAATCTCTGCCTCAACAGCTAACAGCTTCTCATTCATCATCCTTTCGTACTCCTCGTCCGTCAAGATTGACATCGGGCTCCATTTGCTCTTCGCGACCCTCTGTAACCAGTTCAACTGTTCCTTCACCTCGCCTTGCTCCCTCATTTCCTGCTCCTTCCGTATTACATCCGAGTTCCGCTTGTCGAGGTAGTTATACGCATGCTGCCCTCCCCATCCGAAGAGGGTGAACATTATCGTGCCTGGGATGACGTTGCGGGGTCCTCTGAACAGAAAACCTAATGAGAATCCGGTGATGGCACCAGAGATGGTAGACGCTCGGACTCGGTCTTCACGTGAGGGGTTGAGATCATGACGAGGATGGAGAGGTGCGCCTCGGGTGAGATTCCACCAGTTCAGAAGCCCGGTTTGATTGAGAATAGCAGTGCGAACTCCCCAAAATGTCGTGGCGATGGCGAACCATTGTCCACCAGAGGCTAGGGAGAATATTACCGGGGTCTGTGTGCGGAGAGTGCCGTAGGTTGCGCCGACGAGGAAGCCCGGAAATGCTGGGTTCCGTTAGCGACAGTTCAAGGAGCAACGCTTTGAACTAAGCAGGAATATATTTAGCATTGATAAGGGGAGAACATGCTGCAATTGGAAAGACGAAATACTTTGCTACGGATGGCGAACAGATGCAGGAAGTGGATGTGGAACAGGCCCTCCAGAGATATCGAGGCACGTGATATATCTTGGCAAGGAGGAGTCTCCTATTATTCCTTTCAATGCGCAGGTGCAACAGAGAACGAGACAAGAATACAAGATTCTGATAGACCTAGGTACCCCAAGTCGTGATTGCAGATAGAGGAACATTCAGAACGTTGAGCAGATTGGCTATACGTACCGGCTGCTCCGCCAATTAGGGCGGCTTGTCGCGCCACATGGAGGGGATGTGTGACCTGATTTGGGTCAGGCTGCGTTCTCATCGCTTGTGCATCGATGATTATATGCAATGTAGCAGATTTTCGCCGGAGTCGAGGTCGATGTCGATGTCAGGGCTCGGGCTTGCGAGGCTGCAATCCGTTTTCACACTAACAAGCCCAATGACTAAGCAGCCTGGCGAATCTGCGCACTTCATCGCCTGGCGGCCACTTTTTCCCTCCAAGGCTCGGTCACCTTGACCACACCACACCACACGCTGCACGAACAACTACACCTATACAACATCGCTGAGAGCAGAAATAGCTCTCAGTACATTCACAACCAGCGCGCAGTTTTCGACCGCGCGTTGACTGCCACCTGCAATCATGGGTAGGCGCTCCCTTCGTGCGGAGCCGGCCAGGCAGACAGCCCCCGCGACTCTCCTGCCCCGCCTCATGCGCGCTGTCCAAAATCTGAGGATATCATGGCTGACTGAATCGTTCGCAGCTCCCGCCAAGAAGTCCCAGCAGAAGATGTCCCTGGGGGACTTTCTGGGCGACCAATGTACGCGCCACCCTCTCTGCCTGGAGGGCGAAGGAGACTGACGATGCTACAGCTCTCGGATCATGGGCCGACGAAATGGAGGATATGCCGGTCGGTAGTGAGTTTTCCGCATCCTATAAAGCCCAATTTGCCGATCACTAATTTTTCACAGGCGGAGGTACTTTCCCCCGAAATTTCCCACTGTGAATTCCGGAGAAACCGTGTGCTGACGATGTGCTAGGCGGCGGCGGCTATGGAGGCGAAAGGCGTGCATTCAGCTCCGCTGGCGGATTCGGTTCTGACCGCGGCTTCGGTTCGTAGACCTCGACGTCATCCCCCCTTGCGCTGACCGTGATAGCCCCCAGTGGATTTGCGCGCGAGCAGCTTCCCCTCCCCACGAGGCCCCCGTATACTGCCCATCTGGGTAACCTTTCGTTCGATGCTACCGAAGGCGACGTCAGCGATTTCTTCAGCGGCTGCGAGGTCACCAATGTGCGTATCGTGGAGGACAAGCTGGAGAGAAAGCCGAAAGGCTTTGGCTACGTTGAGTTCGGCAGTCTCGACGGCCTAAAAAAGGCGCTCGAGTTGTCTGGCACACAGTTCCAGGGTAGAAATATCAGGATCAGTGTTGCTGAACCGCGTAAGTATAGGGACCGCCGTCATAAGAGTAGAACGCTAATGAGATCACAGCCAAGGATCGTCCCGAAGCCAAGGACATGTCCGACTGGACTCGAAAGGGTCCTCTTCCTGACCTCCCGGGTGCGCGCCGTGCGTCCGACCGAGGAGGGGGAGGCTATCGTCAGTTCGATACTGGTTCCGATGTCGGAAGCGAACGTGGAGGCAGCCGACGGGGTCCTCCGCCGTTCTCGGGTGATGGCAAGGAGCGCGACTTCGGCAACTGGGAGCGAAAGGGTCCCCTGTCGCCCGTTCCTCAAACCGGACCGATGAGAGAGGGCGGCAGGGTGCGAAGCAACGATGGACCGCGCGAGCGACGACAGTCTCCTGCGTGGGGCGAGGGACGCTCGAACGATGGATCCCGTCCACCACGCCGCGAGTTCCAGGACCGGCCTCACTACGACCGACAACCTACGGCTCCAGAGCTTGACAACCAGTGGCGGGCCAGGATGCGTCCCGATGCTCCGGCCAAGTCTCCGTCGGGCACTCCCGAAACCAGTGTTCCCTCGTCTCCCGCTCCTCAACATGCTGCTCCGGCAACTCGCCCTAAGTTGAACCTCACCAAGCGTACCGTGTCCGATAGCGATCCGGTACCTCCGACAGCCTCTTCTGAGACTCACTCCAAGTCGAACCCCTTCGGTGCGGCGCGTCCGATTGATACCGCCGCTCGCGAGAGAGAGATTGAGGAAAAGAGGGAGCTTTCTATCCGTCAAAAGAAGGAGGCTGACGAGAAGGCACGCGAGGAGAAGAGGGCAAAAGAGGCAGCAGAGAAGGCCGCGGCTAAGGAGGCAGCACCTCCGACGCCCACGGGGGACAAGTCCAAGGAGGATGGCGGAGAGGAGAAGCCACGCCCGAATTTCGAGATCCTGCGACGTGTGAGTAACGAAGACGACGCAGCCCCAGAGGAAGACGCACCTGATGCGCCTGCAAACGGAAACATCGTCGACGACAAAGAGGTCAAGCCAAAGGAGATTGTGCGCAATCCGAAGGCCGAAGGACCGTGGAGGCGGAAGTCTGGCGCTCCCTCGGCAGCAGCTGGAACTACGACCGAGGGCCTTGAGGATGACGGCTGGAGTACCGTCACGAAGCCAAAGAACACGAGGGGTAGAGGAGGTCGTGGCGGCCCGTCCCGTGCCATCGCCTCCTAGATCTTTGCCGTCTTTTGAGACATGTTCGGCTTGTCTCCACTTTCTTTCCCGATGCATTTGAGACGCTCGCGACGTCGCTCACACATATCCTTGAGCAGCAACATCTTGTTGATGTCTACACAACCTTGTTGTTTCACGCATCCTCTGTCCTGGCCTGCTTCGGCGCACAGGGTAAAACTTCCATCCTGGCTCGGATGGCGGGTCTACTTTGAGATCTGGTCTGTTCATCCCATACACGTTTAATGAGGCCTCTCATGCTTTCCCATGCCGGCTCTGACACCACATGCACATGCATGTTTGTCCTTATTTCTTTCCTTCAAAAGTTATGGTTGCAAGGATGTCTCCTACATCTCCCGGGCTTTGAAAACATGAACTTGTCATCTTTGTGTCTCCTCTCCTCTCGCGACGGCTTCGGGGTTGGTGGTGCGAGCATGGCAGGTAGCATTTGTTGGCTTTGTGCTGGGCGCGGATTTTGAGGAAGAGTTGGCAATTCTGTACGCTTCTCAAATAGACGTTTGTGCTCGGGCATGTATTTAGGATTATGGTAGATTGCAAAATGGCTTGTCCACTCCACTGCCTGCGTACCTACGTCCGACGTGTCTATGTGTGATTGGGAAGGTTCCCTCCGCGTGAAGAATTGACCTACATGCGTTCCTCGAGTAGGAACTGCCCAGGTGTGGCAGGGCCGCCCCAGACCGCTTTCCTGACTCTGCACAATATTACAATACGTGAGGGATGCGATCGCAGAGACGACAAACACGAGTGCGACACCAGAGTCTCGATGCTGGCGATCGGACGCAGCATGCGGATCGCTGCTGATTCAGGTCTAGCCCGTGGACCCTGGCATTCGCCCCTCCTACGTCAATCTGCCCAGCTTTCCGTCCCACTTCGAGATCTTGCTTCAGCTTCAACTTGCTCTCGACAGCTTTTCCTCTCTCTTCTCCTGGTGAACTTGTTTTATGATCTGCCTGCATTGTCTCATATTGAAGCAATGACAACGAAGTCTCAATCCCCCGGCCCAAATCCAACTACGTCACAGCTGAAACAGGCAAGATCGAGAAAAGCTGCGAATCAGTCGGAGCAAACTGTTTCTGGAAGAGCAGGTTCTACGGGCGGAATCATGCTCGAGAAAGAGCAGGCTGTGAAGAGTACCGGTGCTCCAGCTTCTGCTGCGACGAAAGCTGCGACGATTCCGCCAGCGAAGGATAAGGATGCGGCTACGCCAGCAGGAGGAACAGGACCCAACCGCCAGCGTCGACGACCCAGGAAATTGAACAAAGAGCCTGCACCCGCCCAGAATGCAGCCGATGCTTCGACAGCAGGCACCACAGCTACGTCGGCACCTCCAGCTTCGACAGCCGAGATAGAAGCACTGAAGTCCCGCGTGCGAGGCCTTGAAGCTAAAGTAGAAGAGCTCTACAAGAGCACAGAAGCGCGAACAGGTCGCTCCCCACGACGTCGCGGAAAAGGGCGCAAAGATTCCTCCTCTACACAAGTACCAACCATCGCTACCGTCGCCGAAACCGCACAGCCAGCCGAGGAAGAAGAAGCAGACGAGGAGCTGACCAGGCTTGAAGACGAGCTTGAGGTCGCGCGGCGCGACCTGGAAACCTTCCGGCCGCGCAATCGGCCGCGAGGCAAACGCACTACTTCAGAAGAAACTGTCGAGGAGATACCGCGCAGCGGCATCGGCGCAACCGACGACACCGTCCATACAGGTGACAGGCAAGTCACGCTCACCGGCAACTACCGCATCCCTCTGCCCGCCGCCGTCTCCATGTCCGATGTGAAGTCGATCCAAAGCGGCGTCTCCGCTGCTCAGAACGTCGCAAAATCCTTCCTCGAACAACGTCGCGCTGCTCAGGCCACGCAAGGCGCCCAGAACCCAAAGCCGCCAGCACCGAAACCGAAGAAGGCGGCGCCGTCGATGGAGGTCAGCAAAGAGACCAACGGGCAGACGTGGAGCGAGTGGTTTGGCGGATATAGCATGGCAGTTTCTAGAGCGGTGAAGAATATCGAGGCTGAGGCTGCCATTGAGAGCCAAAGGCGGCCGACGCAGGCGGGAAGGACGGTAAGTGCGCCCTCGAGTGCGAAGAGAGCGGCAGGTGGTGGGACAGCGGCGAAGGCGGGCACGCAGAGGCCGGGAATGAAGGCGAGGCAGGGCAATTTGAGTAGTGAGCAGGTGCAAGGTCTCATGCGTTAGACCATATGCGCATAGGAAGAGGATGCAGGATATGTACTAGCTGAGAGGGAACATGTGTGCATTATGAGCATGAAGTTTTGCTTTGGGTATTGGCGATCATGGGATGTAGTGTGCAAAAAGTTAACGCAAATGACATGAATGTGTGCGTATAAATGCCGCCAGAATGCTCCTCTACCTGCTGCGCAAGTTAACCCTTCTGTCCTCTATGTTCTGTCTGAGATACAGTCTGCCTCTCATCGCTATCGCTTCCTACCTCTCTACCTACCCTGTCCTCTAACCACCCTTCTCACCACACGTCTACCCAAACGCGCCAAAAAAAGAAGAAAAAAAATGCAAAAAGAAACCCGAAGGCCCAGAAAACTCCTATGAGTTTATACTGTTTATTTCGGATGGTGTCTCAACACTCAGGGCTTAGTTATCTCAGTGGATACTGCCATACTCGAACTTCGAACTAGGTCAATCCTGGTTTGGCGCTCTATAGGGCTGCGACTTATGCGGAAGGGCAGTCAGACTTCCCAATCCGCGGCGCTATCCCAGGCGAGTCCAACAGCTGCCGACGTAGTTTCATTTGTTGAAGGAACTGCACATTTGTTTAATATATATACGACAATTAATTCAAATTGCGTGTGTGGGTGCGCCACGTGAGGGGAGGGGCGTTTCGCAGGCAGGTGGGGTGAGGTGAGGTACGGTGTTTGGCTAACTAGGCAGGAGCGCGACTGAGGGCATTGTTTACGCGGCTGCCTTCGGTGGGGCACGCCGATGAGGGCCGAGCGTGCGCGCGTGTGAGCCTAGGTGCGCGATCATGAAGCTTCTCAGAGACATGATATGTCGCCGCGGCTCTGCTTGGAAGGTGAGCTCGCTCCTTCCCTTCCCTGTTTCTACCCATTGTGAACCTCGCAGCATATCTCTTCGATGGCGATCACCTCACGATAAAGCTACTCGGGTCGCTGAAGCCGAGTTCACTTCAGATGACCTAAGGTTGGAGTTGGTGGTGAGTGGTCTTCCTCCAACCCTCCACAACAACCTCAGTATATCACACTCTCCGTTCGGTCGGCGATGCAGACGGTTTCTGCAGGCGTTTTGAAGGAAGATAAAGGGAAAATAGGCGAGGTCGAATAGACGGGTCCGATCCAGTGCGTTGCGGTAGGCGCCCTGAGTGGTGGTCCTTGGTGAGCTCGTTGAGAAAGACGGACGCTCTCAACAAACGCCTGGGCAATCAGTAGTAGAGTCCCCAATATAACGGGATATGCCGGACGCGGCTACGAGATTATATGTTTTAGGATATTGTTGCTGCGCCAGAAGACGCCGTTATACGCGGCAAAAGCTGGAAAGGAGAGGACATGGGTATCAAAAGAGAAAGGTGCTGAGAAGTGAGAAGAGAGAGAGAGAGAGTGTGTGTGTGTGACGAAGGTACGAGTGAGGGAAGGAGCTGTCCGTTGTTTGGGTGAAGGCCAAAAGACGTCGGCACCAGCTTGGCTCTTATGACGGGGCCCTGAGTTGACATAGCGGTGTGAGGCGAAATGTCACCTTCACCTTGAGTCCCCTCAAAGCCCTGAAGGACCACTGGCCTGTCTCCAAAAGGAAATAATACGAACGATACGAGAAGACGAGAAGGTGAAGAACCACGAGATAGTACGAAGTATCCTACTCTGCTTTGGACATCACCACTGTGGTCACTTTGTCGCGACAACGACCCACTGACCCGCCTTCATCCACACCTCGCCATCCACCTCCTTCGTCCCACCCTGCTCCTTCAAAACCTTAGCTAGCAAGTCTACCTCCTCATCCCACTTCTCCTCATCACTCTCAATCCAGCCCCCAATCCCCGCAAGATACGCCCAGGACTTCTCCGCCCAGCCCCTCAGATCCCTCGTCTTAGCCCACGCATCGCTCTTCTCAATTCTCATCTTGTCCTTCGAAAACCCCGCTTCAACCATAATCTTCTGGAGATGCTGGCCATCGGCCCAATTGATCACCGGAGCCGGAAACGGTTTGCCGGTGCGAAAGACGGTGTGGACGTTCAGTATGGGCATAAGCCACGTGATGCGCTCCCAGCAGTTTACAACGGCGACGCCGCCTGGCTTGAGGGTGCGGTGGATTTCTTTCGCGCCATCAAGGCCGGCAGCGCCGAAGAAGATGATGCCGATGTTGGTGACGGAGAGGTCAAAAAAGTTGTCAGGGAAGGATAGGCTCTCGCTCTTTTGGTTCGCGACTTCGATCGGCCAGTCGTTTTTTGTGGCATCCTCCTGGAGCTTGTCGAGGAATGGCTGGTCAACGTCGGTGGCGTGGATCTTGATGTCGGATGATGGGTTTGAAGATAGGATGAGGCGCGACACGGTGCCGGAACCACATGCGTTGTCGTGTATAACGGAGCCTGGTGCGATACTGGGGAGGAGGCCAATATTGTGAGATGCAAATTGAGCTGTCACTTCGCCGCCTGTTGCTTCGTAGGTGGATACTTTCTTTTGGCCATCTAGTAAGGCTCGAGCCTGCTTTGGTACACGAGGCCCACTGATATTCATGATTTGCTAAAGTCTGGGGTCTATCTGCAGAAGAGGCGTAGTGGGTGTTACAATATCAGGCGAAAATCAGTCTAAAATTGCTCGACTTGCGAGGGAACGGCTCATTATATTTGCGGGGAGGGGTTAGTGCTGACGTGACCCACCAATGCGTGCCCAGGTGGAATCCTTAGGTATGCGCGTAGCGGCCATTACCTAAAGGTCGCTGGTATCCCACAACTGGTTTTTGAAATGTCTGCGACTCCCCGAGGACATAGTCTAGTGGCGTTGAATCGGGGCGCAGCTGCGCAGCGAAAATACTCCGACGCGGATCGGGACGAATCTCTACTGTCATCTTGATCTCCCGGTTATGCTTCTCCTAGTGTGATGGAAGGATTTGATATGAAAATACGGATATGTCCCATTGTGAGCAAAAGGTTGGAGAGATGAGACGGACTCCTCGTTCTCGTTCTCGTTGAATTTTGTGCGACGGGCCCTCTAGTCCCGATTCAGATGGAAGGCTCGTGCACTCCTTCACCTCGCTTCAATGTCAGCATTTCCTCCACCATTAACCAGTCTAAAGAACGACCGACGTACCCACATGGAAGCTATCCCTACACGACTGAGGCGTACTGGTATGGATGCAAGCATCCGTTGACGTCTTCTATGCTATAATTAAGTACCTAGGTACCATGCGTTTACCCCCGCCACTCCTAAAACATTATCTGCGCCGTCTCACAGCACGCATATCAATATGTTGTTTATCTGACAAGGTACCCGATCGAACGATAAAATCTGAGCGTTGCCTGAATTGGGGGTTACTGCCCACGTAATCTGAGGAGGGCGTATATAAGCGTTTTGTCGTGCCTTCTGATCGACTTCTCTCTTCCGTTGTGTTGTCCCTCCGAGACTATATCTCTCGCAGCCTTCATCAATCTCCTTCATATCAGTATCTCTTATCTTCTTCCCAGATCCTTCTCATCATGACACCTCCCAACACCGGAACAGTTCGTGTCGCCGTCACGCAATTCGAGCCCGCATGGCTCGACCTCCAAAAGAGCGTCGAGAAGACCTGCCGCCTCATCCGCGAGGCAGCAGAAAATAGAGCGCAACTAGTCGCCTTCCCCGAATGCTGGATCCCCGGCTATCCAGCATGGATATGGACACGCCACATCGACTTCGACCTCTCAACCGCATACATCCAAAACTCCCTTTCAGTGGACTCTCCCGAGATGAAGCGCATTTGCGAGACCGCCGCCGAACACGGCATCGCCGTCGTGCTCGGCTTCAGCGAGAACTACAACAACTCGCTCTACATTGCGCAGGCTATCATCGACGCTCAAGGCGCGATCCGCGTATCGCGGCGAAAACTCAAGCCGACCCATGTGGAGAGGACGGTTTTCGGGGACGCTTCCGGCGGGTCATTGAAGAATGTAGTAGAGTTGGAGGGGATTGGACGAGTTGGAGCTTTGTCGTGCTGGGAGCATACGCAACCCTTGCTGAAGTACCACACGTACCATCAGAACGAGAGCATCCACGTCGCAGCCTGGCCGCCACTGTATGCGCACTCGGGGGGCCCTGACCTGTATTCCATGAGTAGTGAAGGTACGATTCCCCGTTCCCATCCATACCGCCTGTCTCATACAAGCCATCCACCAACTAACTAATTCCGTTCACACAGGCTGCCGCTCCCTCTCGCAAACCTACGCCATTGAATCGCAAACCTTTGTCCTGCACGCCACCGCCGTCCTAAGCCAAGCTGGCGTCGACAAGCTCCAAACAGGCGCCGGGCTCGCCATGAACGTTCCCGGTGGGGGTAGCTCAGCCGTCTTCGGCCCCGATGGGCGCATCATATCTAAAGACCTGCCGAGCACTGAAGAAGGATTTATTTATGCAGATTTGCCGCTTGATGACATTCTTAAGACGAAGAGCTTCTTAGATGTGTGTGGGCATTATAGTCGGCCGGATTTGCTGTGGCTTGGTATTGATGATAGGGAGAAGACGCCGGTGGGGGTGTAGGAGGCATTGTAGAGTTGTGTATGGTTGAGCAGCTACATGATACGTCGCTCGAGTGCTGCCGGTATATCCTTCAGCAGGTAGCGGTAAAAACGCGCGCCGCTCTTGAATTCCAGTTCATGAATCTCTCGGTCCAGTTTCGCATTCTAAACACTGCGGCAAGCTCGTGGATGGCGCCTCGCGAGCCTTAACTTCACAGGGTTAGGTTTTGATGCACTTCCGTCAAAGCTATGGGAGGTGTGTCTCTCCCCACAGTGGCGCGATAGTTAGCTAAGAAACAGAACGGAAGATACTAAGTTCGCATCAGACGCTGAAGGCCTCCAGACCACGAATCCAACATGCCGTAATAAGTGTCTCCTCGTGCACGGTTAGTCTTAATTTTTGTTCGCCGCATGGCTGATGTTTGTTAGAGACTTAATTCCGACGCGGTAAATCAATAGGCGTTGCTAGCGACCGGTGGCTGGACATCATCGTGGACGATTTCACGGACAGCATTTTAAGGATCTCGTACTAGAAAGACTCGATGCGGGGGTGTCTAACAAACACACGCGAGACGTCCCGCGTGTTTAAAAGGAGGGAAGAGTAGGCGCAGGTCTGAGCGTCTGATGTTGCTACACTTCTCACGATACTATGAACGGCCATGCACGCATGTAATCACATCAAGTGAAGTCGACACTAATGTATTGACTACGAATACAGTCTGCAATGATCTCATTCTCTCCGCCATGAGCCCAAGCCCCCTCATTACAGGCCCACCATCGACCATCCGTCTCGAAAACTTGAGAAGAGAAACCTTTTTAACCGGTATGCTCGTGCGCCGTGCGCAATCGTGGTATCATCCATTATCAACGAAAGCAAGCAAAAGAGTCGTAATCATAGCAGCCGCCCATCATGCTGAGATATCATACAAGGGGTGAGTCGCTGGACGACTAAGTCGCTTAGATGGAGCCCTGGAGAACAGGGTTCTGATCTCCGAGCGTCGTGTTGTACTTGCCCTGCTGGGTCACCTGCTGGGTCTGGGTACCAGGAACACCACCGTTGGAGTTGAAGGCGCCGTCCATCTGGTTGGCAAGACCCTGACCAGCGCCAGTGGTGCGGCCGTACCCAGAGCCGATACCAGGCTGGCCGTTAGCCGTACCAGCGCTGGGTTGTGCGGAGTAGCCTTCAGAACGACCATGCGGCTTGCGAGTGACGGTGGCGATCTTCGGCAAGCTAGAAGTCTCCTTGGCGGAGCCAATGGAGAAGACTGGGCTCTCCCACTTATCGCCCTTAGCGGCGAGCTCCTTGTATTCGGTAGCCTTGCTACTGATGCCGCCGGGCAGGGAGATGTTCTGGAAGATAGAGTCGTGCTGAGTGACAGCCACGTTGACCTTGGTATCCTTGGCCTTCTCCTCAAGCTCCGCCTTCTTCTGCTTGCCCTGCATGAGACGCTTGTTAGCGGCAGTTGCGTAGCGCTGGTAGATGTTCTGGATATTCTCGGGGTCGGGGTTGCGCTTCGCGTCCTCTGCAGCCTTGTCTGCTTCGAGTTTGATGTCATGGATGAGGGCATCGAGCTGGTTGACATTGTCCTTGATCTGCTTCTCAAGTACGCGTTGGATAACGGGGCGCATGACCTTCAGCAGCAGAGGCTTGAAGAGGCCGAAGAGGAGCTTGTGGTTGCTCTTCTTGAGCTTGATTTGAAGATGCTTCACATCAGTCGAGACCTTGTTGACCTTGAAGTAGTGGATCTTGTCATCCTTGTCGGCAGTCTCCATCTCGACCTTGAAGCTGAAGCCAGTGCCACCCATGAAGACGTCCATGACACCCTTGTCGGTCACGGAGGGAAAGCCCTGCTTGCGCTTGACATAGTAGGCCACGTCGCGAAGATCCATCTGGACGCCAGAGACCGAGAGCATGAGCTTATTCTTACTTCTGCTCGAGATCTTCTTGCGTCCCCAGCGCCAGTAGTTGTCCGAGCCGAACTCCAGGACGTTTGGCGCGAGATTGTCGCCCTCAATGACCAGGTTCTCAACAACAGCATCTACCATGGGGTCGCTGTATTCGATGCGCGGGATGGGAACGTAGCGAATGTTCTCGAAAAAAGCGGGGAGGATGACCTCGGTCACGTCCTTGACAAGGTGGGGCTTGAAGGTGGTCTTGCCATTCTCATCGTGTCCGAGATCAAGGAACAACTTGTTAACCGACTCGGCAAAAGCCTTGTTCTGTGGGCTGCGACGTTGTTAGTTCAGCACCGGAAACCTAGGGGAACGGAACTTACTCGGCATCGTATTGCTGTCCGAGGAACTTGAACTCGTCGACGATGCGGTCGGTGTGGGCTCGGTAGCGCTCACGGAGCAACTTATGGCCATCATCATAAAGCTGGTTCCACTCGTCGTTGCAGGCATCCTCCATAATGAAGCCTTGCTGTTGGAGGCACTTCCGAACAAAGGTGTCGATATGCTTGAACCAGTTCTTGAGGTCGGGATCGCGGTCGGCATCCTTGTAGATCTGATTGATGGAATCAACCAGGTCATCAAACGATGTGCTGTTGGCGAACCGTTCCAAAAGAGTCTTGATCTTGGTCAGCATATCTTCGTTTTCACCTAGGAATCCTGTTTGAACGCACCTTCAGGTCAGCTTCTGCCAATTGCAAGGCATCATCCTGATGCGCACCTTTCACCGATCCCTTGCCCTGGGCGTGGAGATCCTTGCCGTGACCAGCATATTGCTCTGCAAGGCGGAGGAGGGTCTCGATAGCCTGCTGATAGTCCTGGTGGCCTTGAACCTCGACGACCATCTTCTTCAGGCGCCAGATAGTCTGGTCGCGACGTTCTTCGGGCATCTTGCCCTTCAAATAGTTGTTCAGACGCTCACGTCGCTGTCGGAGGCGGTCCTTGTCTTCCTCGGGGATGTTCTCAGAGACCTTCTGCTTAGCGGTGCCAGCAGCAGCCTGCGCGTTCAGGCCGGTGGGTTCACCAGTCTGAGCTTCATGGGAGGCTGGGCCAGTGACATCGGCAGGATCCCGAGACCCCTCCGGATGTGCGGCCTGGGTAGCATCGCCAACGGTCTCCTTAGCCTCCTTCTTTCCAAACGGAGCCCGCGACTTAAGCTGGCCCTGTAGGTTCTCTTTGGACAAATCGGGGACCTCGTGCCAAGTATTGTCCTCGGCAGCGCGGTCGATCTGTGCGAGCTGATCCTCTGACGGCTTGACGCGGTTAGCGGTGTTCTGGGCAGCATCACCGGCGATATCCCGTAGCAGGACGGTGGCGTCGGAGAGGAGCTTCCTGAACTGGCCGTTAGAGATCAGGAGGGTCCCTAACGTGCGCAGGCCCTCGAGGGCCTCGTTTCCGTGCTGCTGGGCCGTCTGCTTGTCGACGGGCACATTGGGAGCCTTGGCGTTGCCAACAGAGATCTGCTGGGTCTGCCAGATGAAGTCCTGGAGGAGGTTGCCCTCGTTTTTGGTGAGAATGAGGATCTTGGCCTGCTCGATGACGTCCTTCAGGTCGGCGACCAGCTTCTGGCCTTCGGGCGACAGCTTCTTAGACGGAGAGCCCAGCGGTTTTGAAGCCAGCGCCGAGTTGAGCGCGACGTCGATCTGCTTGTTTGACGGGACCTTGCCATTGGCGAACGCTAATGTGCAATGTTAGTTTGTGCCGAACAAAGCCAGTGTCTCGCGCGCATGTGAAGCTGCAATTGCAGCCGCAATGGCGCCCTGTACGTACCTGTGAAGATGCCATAGAGCTGGAGCTTGTTGTTGACGTCCGTCTCCTTCTGCTTGAGGTCCACCGGCCGGTTAACCGCCTTTGATGAAGACATGGCGTAGCGATATCTTCAGAAGAGGTGCTGTTGGGGTATCTAATAAAACAGAGGCAAAGCGGGCGATTGTGGGTGGGGATGGTAGCGTGCTGGGGGTATCAAAAGGTGTTTATGGTGTTATGATGTGAAGTGAGGTGGAGAGGGAAGGCGTCCAGGCCTTTATTTGGGTGCTGGGCGGTCGCGGTTGCCGTGGCACGCCCGCAAGCAGCAGGTTTCACGGCGCCGACGTACGTCATTTCTTCGACACGGAAAATGAAGCGCCAAGCCATCCCAGAGGCGTTCACTGCGTCCCCGCACAGGCGCGAGCCTGGCCCAGCAGTGATTTGCGGCCGGCCATCGAGGACGTGGCCCGGGACAAAGCGCGGCAGGGCCGCAATTTCCTGATGGATGCGCCGCCAGCGAGCAGCTGTGCCTTCGCTAGACCCCAATTGAGCCATGCTTTGCTGGAACGAGTACTGCCCTGGTCCTGGATGACGGAGTTGGAGCTGGGGGAGCTGGCTTCGGCTCAGAGCGCCGGCGCGCACCCTGGTTGCGTCATTGCATTTTAATCGCGTTCAGCCACAATCCTGCGCAAATGCCATGCGGGCCGCAGAATGCCATCTCGATTGATCCCGCGCCAGGGCCGGCTTCTGCTTCTCGGCCTTTCGCGCGTATTCCATCGCACCTCTGCACGCGGATTCTTAGTTTATTCACTTGACCAACATGAAGAGCTGGGGGGCCACGAAACACGGCCTGTTTGCGCGTCTTTTGCACGCCACAGGTGAAGCTTGCGGCCGCCAATTAGCGCCTGTGGCTTGCATAATTTCAGCATTATGTCATGGATCGCACCACTTCTCCGATCACTATGACGCTACCTATGCAATCTCCCGTCTCAACACCTGGACTCTGCCAGACTATCCCCATAGGGCGAGGCACATGCCCGCAGCGGGTGTGCTTCTCCCAGACGAGATAACGGCACCAGCGAGGACGACTCGACCAACATGTGAGGTTGGGTTACGGTGCCGGGAGATGTGCCTTGGCGGGCAGGGGGCGACGACGTGCTGGGACTCCTTACAGTACTTCCGGGCCTTATCGCAAGTTCCACCACTACGCTTGTAGTTTGAATAAGGTTCTGCATGGGATGCGCATGGCGTCAGACCGCGACATCCTCAAGCGCTATTAGGTCCGTCTCGTCGCGTGCAGCACGCGAGACTCGCATGCGTTGGCAGTAATGGTAGGTGCGAACAGCTGTGGCTTCCTTTTGTCTCGCGAGCTACCCGGAATACCCCTAGTCCGGCATGATCTCAGGCCCCCAGCTCTCTCCGCGGTATCTCGACACGCTTGTACGGGCCTTCCTTCTAGCAATACCACCCTTTCCAGATATGCGTACTAGTCCAAGCACCGAGCTCCAGAATATAGCCTTTCGGGAGCCGCGTGCTTGTATCGGACACCGCGGATCACCAGACTCTCAAGGCGACACATCTATAAGGCTTGCGAGAAGCATAATGTCGAGCCCGGGTATTCGATTCTGCCTAGGAGCTGACCGATTCTCGTTGCTGGAACACGTATTGTTCCTTAGTGTAAAGTTATAGCACATATGTACGGCCGGATAATGTAGGTGTTCAATCCATCCACTACGCGATAACAGTCTCCAGGTTCATTTCCCATTCTAACCTATATTACGATAGGCATACCATCAAAGGCTGCGCCAAGATATCGTTTCAGAGCAACTCAAACACAATGAGAGCAAGGACGAACACGGAAGCGATAAGCCCATGGACGGCCCCAATGCGTGGCGCTGCGTCCGTGCTTGTTGGAGCTGAGGGCCCAGCGGCTGAGTGTTGCGACGAAAACAGCGCTTCCGAGACCGATTCAAAAGCAGATAGTAGCTCGGAAGGGATCCCGCTCACTCCCACCGACGGACGCGCGGTAAAGCCCGGGAGAAGAACAGACGTCAAGGGAGGAGCTTGAGATTGCACCATATCAGCATTTGAACACAGTTACCATGCGTCTTGGAGGAACGTACCCGAGCTCGTGACTTCCGCGTCAGGCTCCGTTCTGGTGCCTTGAAATGGTGATGATGGATAAGCACTCGTGACCTGGGATGCGGTCGGTTGATCGTGCGTACCTGGAGGTGCAGAGGGGCGATCTTCTTCCGTCGCAGAAGCTTCGTTCGAGTACGGCATGTCGAAATACGAGAGTGCGGACGTCATTCCCGGTCCGTCTAATCCCTACGGCAATGAGCATAGATAGGCGCTCCTCCGCTCCGTTTCAACATACCTCCGAGTATGCCAGGCAGACTGAATAGCCATACACATTCCCGATCTCCGCATTTGTCGCCAAGCACGACACGTTCCCGTCGACGGAACACACTGAGCGCAATGAGGTGAGTTGCTCCTGGCACGCGCATGATAGGAATTGCGTGTTACTGTACGATTGCGTGCATTTGCTCATCATATCGACGCCTTCTAGGCACGACGTAGCTATGCTTTCGCACGCTGCTTCGAATCCTGGATCGACAGTGAGGGATACCAGCGGCTGGGTGGTCACTGTGAAGTCTACTTTCGCATCGCATGTTGCATGCCATTGCTTCTTGAGGTCTTCGAAGGATGAGTCGGATTGGCTGGACTGGGTGCATATTCGGATCTCGTTTTCGCAACTGGTGGTGGAGTATTAGATCAGAGAATAGTGAACTCCAAAGAGGAGGAGATTTCGCACTTACGCAGTTATAGTATTCCAGAAGTCTTCGTTGCATGGACATGTGTCCTTCTCTTCTTGTGTGGGTTTGGCCAAGCATTCGATGGATTTGGCGACGAATGAGTCGCAGGCGACCCAGCTCTCAAGGTCGCCAATGCACTCGGATGGATCGGGAAGTGCGACTGGTGGAAGATCTTCTGCTTGGCCCAGAAATTCGAGGGCTAGAAAAGACAGGATAATCACTTCGAGAAACATCATTGCGTTGTCAAGATTTGCTGTTAATATGGCTCGCCTTCCACGCCAGAAGTGCAGCGCATATTAGTAAGAGAGGTGTGCGGAGACATCACGATGGCATGACCGGTAAGGACTCTCGCCATTTTCATAGCTAGAGAGTACCCTGGGTTCAGAGGGAGACTATGTCGTGACGTATCTCTCCACATGTCATGCAAGGCTGAGTGTGGCGTCGCTCGAATTGTCATTTCGATGCGCCGCATGTCAAGGGTATGCACTGGGGTCATCGCTAACACTTCTTAAGAACGATCATGCATACATCAGTCGATAGGTAGACGCAGATAGGTTCTAGATCGTGGGAGGCGTCTGCGGGAACTTTCGTCGAGATGGATGCCTCCCACAGCAAGCCTTCAAACATGGAAGCTTAGGTCAATGACTTTCGAACATGGCCGTTCAAGCTGTACTACCTCGACCGTACGCAAGTCTCTGGCTTTCGGGAATATTCAAAAAAATCCGCAACCTTGGTAGAAACCCTTCAAGGGGATGGCAGTCGTCCAGAACCGCGTGGCCGTTGGTTACTCTGCTGCTCGTCTCCCAAGTCGCTCTTATCGCAGCAGTCGTCGCACTGGTCGTCGTATCAAAGAGAAGCAATGGCTTCGCAGCCATCGGCTCGCTAGGATTTCTCGACAATCCACTTGTCGACGGCTTCCTATGGCAGGGCTTACCTCCCATCATCTTCACGATCTACAAGACCGCATGGGAAGCCATAGTGGAGGACTTCGCCGACCGCCAACCTTTCGTCGAGCTCAGAAAACCTGGAGGTGGGCCGCCTTCAAAAACAATTGCCTTGGATTATCGAACGCACAATCGCTTCTGGCGTCCAGTTGTGGCATTCAAGAATCGTCATTGGATCCTTGCCCTCACGATGTTGCTCAACTTACTGGCGACTTTCGTATTAGTCCCATTTTCCTCCTATATCATGAACGATGCGCCAACCTTGGTTACTACGACGTTCAACTCACGACTCAGAACCTCGTTCGACGTAGATGGCATAACGTCTTTGCCCGACCTTGGGGCTTCGATGGACGTTGCGTTTGCAGCACTGATGCTCGGAGGTCGATGGCCTGCATGGACTGACGGGAAGTACGCCTTTCAGGCATTCGAGCCGCCCCAGTACACTAAGGCGTCAAACATATCAACCACCGTCGAAGCGTATTACTCCGAGCTCGATTGCAGGATTCTCTCCGAGGCTGAGTATAGCGTGGAATACCGAACGGAGAGTGTCAAGATATCCGCAGAGGACCGCGGCTGTGCTATCTCCACCGCCATACAGCTCGATGCCGCTTCTACAAGCTTTGTTGAATCGTGGTCTACCGTTGGGCAATGCAGCGGGAAAGAGACAAGACTGTCACTCATCGCTGGAGATTACGCGCCCATTCTGAGGAACTCGACCGCCGAATTGACATTCATCTCCTGCGTGCCCACATATTCAGAGGTGAGGGGCACCGTCTCGATGGCTTTCGACATCCAATCGAGCCCATTTCCAATCTCTTTTAGGCCAAACGCGGAAACCTCCCGAATCTCTTCGTTCCAGAGCACGGGAATTAACGCGATATACGAGCCAGCGCTCCAGAGTATCACCGGATATGACGCTTTCAGCGCTATTGAAGGGAACAACTTTGGCCAGTACCTATATCGAATGGTGAACCAATCCGGTGTCGGATGGGATAGCAATGCCATCCTGAACGCGACGGCTGTCCTCTTCAACTCCATCTTTGCAACCACGACGGCTACAAGCCTCATGGCATCTCGCGAGGATCTGGACTTCAGCTCCTGTACTGGGACGGTCGCAAGTACGAGAGCCTTCATGATCTACTGGAATTGTTACCTGGAGCTCGCAATCCTCGCCGCGATGGTCGTATGTACGTTGGGTCTACTGAAGAAGTCGGGGGAAGGGAGCATCCTGTTCGAAGAGCCGAAAGGTCTGCTGAGCTATGCAGGCATCGTCGATCGAAGCGACCTTGTGGGCTTGGTCGCGAGAATCCAAGGAGCAAAGGCTGGGCCAAGCTACGAGGGCAACTTGCATGCGGCAGCAAAGCCAGAGCTGGAGGGGACGTCTTGGTACCGCATTGGCGGGACTCCCATAACATCCGAGATCAAATGTTTTCGCTCATGATCTGGGTCGAGTCGGGGAAGTCTGGGCTTGCAGTTAAACTGGAATTGAATGGTGTTCTGCTACTCGCTGCGATTCGGTGGTCATCTCCTCAGCCTTCGCTTACCCTGGTGAAAGGGGAAACGTGGCGCACCCCAGAAATGTCGAGGACTTCCTAAAAGAAAAGACCCACGAAAAATGGTCTCACCACCCACCCCCAAATAGTGTCATAGCTTTAGTAAAAGTAAGCGACGTGTTTCCCCGGCCGGCTTCGTGCCGCACCGTCCCCTTGCAGTAGCTCTGCACGGACTCCACTAGAACTAGGGCCCCGGCGTCCAACATCCTATTCGCAGTGGATAGCACACTCCCGGTGATGCGATCAGTTCATCACCTCTGCGTTGGAGTTGACTGAAGAGCCACTGCCAAGTACCAGTTATATTCGATGCTGCATGGCCTGGATCCGGAGGGCTGCTCTGACTTTACGGCTCAGAACCGAGGACAGGCTGAAGCCTTCGAATGCTCTCATACTAGAGCCTGGTCTGATATCAGCAGATTGTGATGTAGACGCATCAAGTGCCGCGTCAGGTGAAGAGTATCCTGACGGATCAGACGTGTAGTGTTTATAAGATCGTGTTTGGTGAACTTCATCTTGATAGCCGGTGTCCTTATACATCTGCCTCTCGTTAGCCAAGCAATTTGGTATCATCAAAGACTGAACTTTGCAGAGCGTCGCTCACTCTGCTGGACATATCCCTCGTTTGCACCACATTATTGGGCGTTTGAATACGGCCGCCGATAGCAGCGCCACGTGAGCATACCAAAACGTAGAGTGTCCGTTTAGTAACCAAATTCAGCATGGGACTTTTGGCGCTTATTCTTGCGGTGGTTTCGGTCGCAAACGCATCGCAGCTTAGACCGCGCGACTACTCTGGCTGCAATCCGCTGGACAATTTGGGACATCTCGGAACCAGCGATGGCAACCGGAAGATTGCGTTCGTCATAGACAGCTCGGGGTCAATGTTCGAAAACGATTTCGAAGGCATGCGCTTACAAGCGGCGATTGCACTGAATAATATGTACCTCGTCAGCAAAGAGAAGGCGAAGCCCGGCCAGACCCCCGATCTACTCACTGTCATCGACTTTAACGACGAAGCGAGCGTGATCTATGACCTCGGTAATCCAGGGAGCGCAGCCAACGAAGTCATCGCGAACATCATGCCCGACGGCGGAACATGGATTGGTGAAGGCGTGAGAGCCGCAGTGGAAGAGCTGTCCAAGCCCGGATCCGGGGAGACGAGTGGAAGATCAGGAATAATCATTCTGACCGACGGTGTAGACGACCCTTCGGATCGGGCCACCCAGACGATTGAGGAGATTAAGGCTGCTGGCGAGAAAGGAATACGGGTTTCGATGGGGTATATGGCTATCGGGGGGGCCACCGGGGATGAGTTCGCGCCGGAGCAGAACGTCGCCATTCATGACGCTGTGATCACGACCGGCGGTACAATGGGAAGGGTCGATACTGCGCAAGCTATTGGATCATTCCTGGTTGAAGCGACTATGAAGGGGCTCACCGATTCCGACAAGGGAAACCAAGGAGACGTGCTCGACCTCATCGGAGGAGTGACAACTTCAGCGAAGCTGAAGACCGATGGACCGAACGTCTTCAGATATAGGATCTTCAAGGACGAAACGATCACGATCAACGTTACTGCCCTTGAGAAGTTCGCTCCCCTGAAGCTGGTTCTCCGCGCGAGCCCGAGCAATACCGACTTAAAGACTGCCGAGACCAATGACGACGGCGTCGCCATCCTGGAATACAAAGGCGCATCGGAGTCCGACTTGAGTCTTGAGGTTTCCTCGTCAGTGACAGACGCCAAAGGAGTTTTCATCATCGGGCTTAAGAGTAACATCGATTGCAGCAAGGACCCGGCGCGGCAAAGTTCGCCGGCAAATAGCAGCATCCCAGTAATCGCCCCAACGAACCCATCGTTCGTTCCTTCCAGGACTGTGGTCCCTTCGGTCACGAATTGGACAATGCCGGGGCCGACGGAGACGGTTTCGGTCGTGCCGTTTCCGGGCGCCACAGGGGCTCGCTCGGCACCCGCGGGTTTGGGTTGGCTTGGGTCGATGGTCGTCGCTCTCCTTGCTCTTTAGGGGCCGAATTGAATTCCCTTCTCTCGAACAATTGTAATAGCTGCACCTATAGTCTGATGATAATTCGGGTTGTTAATAGGACTTGTGTGCTAAACCTTGCAATGCGCTTGTTGCGACGGGAGTGTGTCGTGCGTGCTGCGCGTGCTCATGATCTCGATGCCGACTAAAGACCTCGGGAGGCCGCGGTGTCGGCCGGCCCTACCAAATAGTTGAAGCTCGCAACACCAATCGAGCCATGTTCCATAAGGGGGAGTGATGGTAACCCAGCAGCACAGCTCAACTAAGGAAGGCCGGATGCTAAGGCGCTACTGATTAATCTGCAAGCCGCCCGATGGTGCCGCAACGGGACGGGACTGCCCTGCCTTTTGGCCCCCATCACTTCTCCGCTCCATCCCCAGGCCTATTTTTGCGGATAGGCCCAGGCTAGGAAGGCGAGAGTAAGGCTCGTGGAATCAGTCGTCCTCAGCCTTGTTATCAGCAACCCCTGTGCCACACTCTCCTACGTTTCACTACAGTATTCTTGCCTCCAATCTAGAGACGACCCCCTAAAATAGGATCCTGCAGGCCCCTATTACCGTAGTGGTAGGATTGCGTATCGGTAGAGCCTCACAACCTGCCACTAGATAAAGCTTGCCTACGCCGTAAAGCTCCTGAAACGAATTCTCCACAAAATTTGCTCAAATGGAACTTATGGACGCTTTTGGCATTATTGGTGCTCCAGCCCGCGCTGTCGCAAGGATCCTCCTCTTCCTTCGTTACATCCTCTACGGCTACAGTGCTCTCAACTCCTGGTCGCGGAACGAATACGTGAGGGCTCGTTTTGGACTGCGATACAAGTGGCGGCTCTGGCTGCTTTCGATGTCTTCCAGCTACAGCGGCTTGAGATACTGCTCAATCACGGGTCTGACGATGATTTGACGAGTTTTCGAGACGCGCAATTGGATTCTTTTAGGCTTGTCGCTGTCGTCGTAAGTACCTGGTCTAAATGGAATATCGGGAAAACTCTGGTGGAATCAATAATGACTGACGGCTGTAGGGAGCACTATTGGCTCAAACAGCGATCTCCGCTCTCTCGCTGCCGCTTCTGGTAGACACGCATGGCTCGGCTCGGGTCATGTTCGTCATGTCCCTGGGACTGAGCCTGTTAGCAATCTTCTTTACTTGCGTGCAGCAAAGAGAGCTCGGTTTCGTTCGACGACCCAGTGATATAAGAGCATGGCTTTCGAACGGGATTAGGTATAACGCGGCAGATGGCAGTGAAGCATTCCAAAGCTCCATGGCAGCGCACCATCTCCTCCAATCCCCGCACGAGATGATGGGAGTGTCCATCACGGTTTTCATAGCAGGACTGGGGGTATACCTTGGAAGCGCCTGGGCCAGGGATTTGAATCTAGGCGTAATTAATGATGTGAGGCAAGGCAACGTGGCTGTTCTTGGAGCTTTTATTGCTGTTATGGGTTTTGCAAGTATGCTCTTTGGATTTCTTTTGGGGCAAAGGAGCGTTGATAATAGGAAGAGCTTAGGGTTGTTCGAAAGCCACGGTCGTATCGAGAAGCGTGAGTATTAAGGGAAAGTTGAAACAAGCGCGTGGGCCATTGGTTGCATGGAGACGGAACCTCGCGGCTTTTAATACATTGAAGGAATACTTGATCACCATTCCTAATTTCACATGGTGGAGTTTCGCTAACATTCCTTCTATACGCACATTCTCCTCTGTTCTATAGCATCCACAACTCCACATTCCCCCTTTTGCACTGTCACTGCACAACGCACCAACAACCTTTAATTTTGAAGACAAAGACGGTCATCGCCCTATTATTTCCTCATATATCATCCCTCGAGCCAAAATGTCCTCCTACATCGAGCATTATCCCTTAGAGAGTGACTCGACACGGTGGCGCCGTACACCGAGTTGACACCCTCACTCGCTATCCATGATTCTAATAACGCGCCTCCCGCACCAACGAATCCCAGATTAAGCGACTCCTCTCCATCAGACAACGATGACGAAGAACTTGAGAAGTATCGTATCACCCCAGTAAACCTCGTAGAATTCGAGTCTTGCCACGGCCGAAAGCGAATCTTCACCCGTGCCCTCCTCGAACAAATCGTGCAGAAGAAATGGCAGACCCTCGAAGAGCTTGCCAAACCAGCCGAGAAAATGTGCCTCAGCCCCATTAGCCACGAATCTCCCTACACTGGCGATGCCTGGAATATCTGGATGCCGCAGCCGGGAGATAAAGCAGACACCATAGGCATCGAGTATCTAACACGTGTGGAACTGCATCCAGACCACCACGGGCTGGCTCATCCCTCTCCCAGGGTCGAAAAGCTGCGTGAATATAACACTGGTAAGATGAAAATGAAGGATCAATGGATACCTGTCCCTTTCGTCTTCGAAGCATACGAGCGCCTGCCCTGTACAGTCCACGAGAACCAGGTATTGATGCAGAAATGGCATGCTCACCTGAAGCGCACACAAGAGCTCTGGCGCGCTAGTCATGCATACGCTGACGTTAAACAGGTCTTTCAAGCCGCGGCGAAGCTGGCAGTGCCGATCAAACGCATTGTATGCTTCGGACTGGGAAAGCTGAACACGCGGCCGGAGTTCTACGAAAGCGCGCTGCAGCATATGACTGCGTTCGATATCGCATCTATTCTAGATGGAGTTTATCACGCAGCTGATCCGTCCATCCCTGACATCGAGGTATTCGTTCAGGACCCGTGTTACACCCAGAAAGACCAAGTTCTACTTCGGACCCTATGTCCGCGTGTTCGCTTTGTCGAAGACCCATACGGCCTTCTTGCCATTGATGAGCACACACTAGTGATCGCTGCGTATCTCCCGCACTTCTTCCCGCTCTTGCAGATCGTCGCGGACATGCTTCCCCTAGGGTTCGGCCCTGCTGGGTTTATCATCGATGACATATATCTGAGCGATAGCCAGCAATGGTATGCGTACTGCAATCGGCCGTCACCTAATGTGCTGAGGATGCTGAAGGATTATCGGCCTTGGATGAGGGGTTTCGATGGGAAGCTTCTCGGGGCGGAGTTGAGGCGGAATGTTTATGGCAATCGCAATGGCAAGCGGTATTGGTTGGAGGCTATGCGTGTTTGGATTCGGCCGAGAAGTGGGAAATAGGAGGGGAGGGGAGGATGCGGATTGCATACCGTGATAGTCGTGGATAGAAAAAAAAAATACCGTTGGTATTGCTATCTAAATGAGCGACCCAGTACAAAACCATAATGTGTGAAAGAGAACATCCAAAAGAGCGTAAGATATTTAAAGCGATATGACATGCAGATACGCTAGCGAATGAACGAGCAGCAGGGTCGAAGCGTGCAATGCCATTTTCACAGGTTTAGGGCAGAACGGGTGAAACAAGAAGCAAATAGGAATGCCTGGCTAACTGAGCCTTTAAAGGAGAGAAAGAATAGAGACAAAGGAACCCATCAACGCTGTTGAAGCTTTTTACATTTCTCAACCTTCCTGTGTGGTTGATACGTCGCTCGGCACACGTTGAAGTGTGTCAACCAGAAGGATACGTTAGGCAGCGGGCCTCGGAGAGAAGGCACATTTTCTGTGCAACAATAAGCAATGATCCGGCTTGTATGTTTGGGGAGCTTACCAGAACTCACGATATCTACACGAATACACCGTGGATCTGATATCATCGAAGATAGGATGAGCTCCGAAATAAGGCAATAGCTTCAGTATAGCAAGCCGATGGGGGCGAAGTGGCTCATAATCTCGAAGCAACTTGATGTGATGGTCCACCCTAGCCCATTCTGGAAAATCCTCGGAGCAAAAAGAGCAAGAGACGGATCTCACGACAGTGAAAGGCTTTGGCACCCATGCACTTGTGATAACAGACCACAACGACCATCTTCCAACTCTTTGAAGCGATTCGCAGAACATACGGAAATGCGTGCCATCCGTAGCGATGTGGGACTCTTCCAAGTGGTGTGAAAAGGCTGAGGTCCCGTCTAGCAATTCTCGGCAGACCGGGCAGACAATGTTCGTAGAGGTTGCATCGTAACCGGCTACGAGTATTGCGTGCCTGTTCTCTATGCGCTCGTTGTACGGATGAGCTCGGAGATGCTCCTGCATGTAGAAGACTTTGATAAGAATGCCTCGACATGACTCGATGGGGCAGCTACAGACATCGTCCGGTACTTTCCAGATAGCCTCCAGGGCAACATTCGATGAGCCTCTGTCAATTTCGTGGTGTCTCCTTGTGTGGAGTTTGAGCAGTGGCCATGGCAGGGGACCAGTTCCGCATCCTGGTAGTGGGCAGATGCCTTCATCTTCGTCCGTGTGCGCTCGCCTAAAATGAAGTAGGAATTTGTCTGTTCTGTAGGAGGAATACTGGCATTGCTGCAACGGACACTGAAACTTCGCAGTCGTTGTATGCTTGGCCATGTGTCTCTGGAGGTCATACTTCCTGTTGAACGAGCCGCGATATTTGCAGCCAGGGTGCTCGCATTTCAGCCCGGTTTCAGTGCGCGCCGGTCTACATAGGTTAGAGAATGTTATACGCCGTTGATGCATGCTTCTTACTTTGACTTCTTGACTTGCTTGGATGAATCGTCCAGAATGACAGCGCCACTTTGGAAACGAAAATCCGCATTGGGGTCTAGATTGGTATGCATGCCGGTAGTCGTTGGCTCCCAAGTAAAACATTGCGTACTCGGGTGGACCTCTGAGGTACAGGGCAATGGCGTAATTTGCGAAGCTTTCTCGAGCCCTAGCTGACTGGTCGTCGAGGTGGCAAGGAGGCTACCATTTGCCCTCGTCAGCCCCTGTCCTTTTTTTTTACTCACCGGTCGCCCTGGTAGGCGCTCCGGTCTTGTACGTTGTCCTCGCAGGGATGCTGCTCCAGAAACAGACTGACCGCTTCGTCAAGGTCATAGTCGAGCTCCAACTGTTGGTCCATCGTGCAGCCGGGGCTGCAGGACGGCGGCAGGGGGCGTGCAGAAGGGCAAAAGGTCGGTGCGCGCGAGGAAGGCTGAGAATGCCAAGATGTGGGGAAAGAAGCCCCTGATTGGACACAGGAGGCCGAGAGGGACGGATAAGTGAGAGTGGGAGGGCAGAGGTATTTGACTTTCGAAGGAGGCGGCACGGGACTGAGGAAGTGACAGGGATGCTTTCAGTACTACACCGATGATGCGAGTTCCGTTCGACGTGGCCTTGGCTCGTTGCCCTGTTGACTCTGAGGGACGTGGGAACGTATCTTCTGGCTTTCTTCGTGCCTCCTGCTCCAGTCATAACCTGCTGTGTCATTGCGTTCCCTGCCCACCATACTCATCGATAAATCCTGGCCTATTCGAAGGGTTTGATACTGAGAGGTGATGGTTCGCAGCCTCGGTGTACCTGCCTGCCAGAGCGTTGCCAGCTCCGCTGAAGGTATGCAGCTGCCAATCATCTACGGAGAACTCGTGTAGCGATAGCAACTGAAGGATAAATATACTCTTGGATTGATGTGTGTATCGATGAGCGACTCTTAGTCAATATATTATCTACCTATGGTATCCCACACCGACGCCTCGTATGTGTGATCGAGGTCTTGGAGGTCCCGTCATAGTCACCACACGCCGAGCACCGCACTCGGAGTGTCGCCCGAGCATTGTTTTATTTAGTCTTCGTCATTGTAGCCGTCACTCACGACAGCCCAACCACATTGCCATCGTCGACCCCCACCCTCGCCAACGAGCCTCAACTCGCGTGCTTTCTTCCCTTCTCTCCATCGTCGTACTCGGAAGTCGTCACCAACACTGATTAAGGTACCATTCCGTGCCCAAGATACGCTGGTCACCTCGGCGTCGTGTCCTCGAATGAGCGGCGTACCCTGCTCGTAAATCGGAATCGTGTCAGCCAACATGCTGGGGTATCTACTGCCGGTAGAGGTGCGAGAAGATGCTCGTGAGAGAGATGGACGAGACGTCCGGGACGACCTTGGGAGCTCGGGAAGATCGCTCGCTTCTTCGGCACGGCTGCTATCTCGTCGCAACAAGGTTTCGTCGGTTGGGAAAAGCACCGGGCATCCGTCAGTGCTTCCAACAGCCAGCAGCTCCGCCTGGTCACCATAAGCTTTGCGAAGAGAGGCTTTCACATAAAAGGAACCAGCATGAAAGTTCCTGTGTCGAAAACCATAGATAGGGCCGAGGCCCTCTTGACCGACTTGGCAAAATCTCTGCTTCCCAGAGTGCGATACAGACAGCTCCGGAGCAACGCCGAGGACGAGATGATTGGTGGAGTATGCGTACACTGTGTTGTCTTTGCTAAGGGCATATAAGCGGGCTGCGTCGCCGCTGAGAGTAAGTGAGTTGATCGCAAAATGTCGATGCCGGTTGTGCGACTCCGGGTGCGTGGTCGTCGATATGGGCACAGCAGGGCCTCGCAGGGAATACCGTCCGCGTACATCCCAAAGTTTGATGCAAGTCGACGCATCCGACGCTGTCAGCAGCAGGTGTTGGCGACCGGTCGGGAGAAATGATAGAGCTGTTACAGAAATGTCGTTGCGTCGACTATACGCCTCGCTCTTTCCATTCGATATGTTCTTCGTCGTAGAGAAAGAGTTGTGAGTTGCGGTCAAGCAACTGTCTGCATGAGCTGCAGAGAGGGTACGGATGGAGCTCGCGTATGGTGCGTCCTCTCCCCAGGCGGAATGAACGTGAATCTGTCCGCCTTTGCACCTCAAATCCCAAATCTGAACGGCTCCATCGCGGCTAGATGTAGCCACAATCTTATCGTCATCAGGCTGGAAGCGCACCTGCTTCACAGACGACTTGTGCCTGGCAAGAACACTAACGCATTGTTGAGTACGAGCGTCAATGATCTGTGCAGTTTGATCTCCTGAGGCAGTAGCGATGTACATGTCATCGGAAGAGAACTGTACGTCCATGATTGCGTTACTGTGGGCCCGCCAGGCTATGTGGGCTTTGGCGAAGCTGGAGGGTGCATCGTCGTGGGCGTCCAGGAGATGAACCCAGCCATCTTCATCTCCTACTGCGACGAGCGAATTTGCTACACGATCCATCAGCAAGAGGCCCTCTGAGAATGTTGCTCTCCGGCGGAAGCTAGCAGAAGCATGGGAAATAACTTACTGTTGCAGGCAGCCGTGCAAAACGGAGGAGCACCATGCGGGAGCTCATGGTAGTCGTCTGAGCTGCTGTAGAAATCGGCGGTCTGGTCTTGCCAGGTGGTGCAGTGATCTCTCACAAAGCCGCGGCCCACTCCCAATAACCCACCAAATGACCGTTGTAGCTTCCGAGAAGTGCTGCCCAGACTCTTTAGGCGACGAATAGGGGTAGGATAGACAGGTGGCTCCTCGAGCACGGGCGGATCCTCGAGGATGGTGAACGGCGGTGGAGTGGTGTACTTCGCCCGCTTGGATGGCGATGATTGGGCCGGAGAGCTCTCAGGTGACAGGTACGGCGTCTTGCGCTTGCGGGAGTTCATTTGAGGCGTCTCCACGCGGTTTTCGACCATGACGTCGGCAAAGTTCACGGTCTTGCGCGGTATCCTCTGCGTGGCATTGCTACGGTTGATGGCAGCTCGTGTGATGTCCTGCAATTGGCGGCCAGAACTACTCAGTGTATGCGTCTTGGAAGATCCGTGCGTTGACGTTCGCGGGGTGAAAAAGCGCGTAAAGCGTTTGGGCGTGATGGGCGGCGGTTTCTTCGGCTTTCGACTGCCCGTTGTCGCGGCCGGCGGCGGAGGCGGCGAACTGGGCGGTTCTGATATTTGCTCGTGGAGCCTGCTTCGAGGTTCGCATGGCGACGACATATTTCCTAGACGTACATATACTCTATACAAGCAATTGAGCCGCTAAAAGGTAGGAGTAGAATGTCGGGCTCCTGAATGGGGAAGAAGGAAAGCGGTGAGGATGAGACGAAAGTCTGGCGGCGAGGTTGGAACGGCGCACAGGCCCGCACCGCGAAACGCGCAGCAAAGTCGCGACCCGCGTTAAGTGGCTGTTGAGTGGAGTGGCTCGGTCTGTCGGCGGCCGGAAAAACCGCGAATGCCGACCCCGCTCGTTTTTTCTCCCAAGCCCCGTCGAAGCTCCAGAAAATTTCGGGTTCTACAAAAACCGCTTCGCATAGCCGCAATGGGCGCAATAAAACGAAAAGCGGACCAGGCAGACCGCCCTTCGAAGAAAGAGAAGGGCACTCCGAATTGCCGATCTGCAAAGCGCCAGCGAAAGTCCGACGTCGCCGCAGAGCATACCACGCCGAAACCGAAGCCTGAGCGCGCAGCGCAACGTAGCATTTTCAAGGACGAAGAGAAGGTGTTTCCAAGAGGCGGTGCCAGCGTTCTGACGCCTTTAGAACACAAGCAGATCCAGATCAAGGCCAACCAGGACGTGCTTTTCGAGCAGGCCGGACTAAAGCGCAGCGGAGCGGATGCTCTGAGCGACCAGGGCTCTGACGCCGGCGCAGAGGATGCATCAAAAGCGTCTAAGAAGCGGAAGTCGAAGAAGGCTAAGACTGTGCACACAGAGGAGGAAAAGAAGCATAAGATTCGAGCCGACGGCCTGACATTCAAGGTGCGTTTCTGGGATTGCGCGAGGGTGGCGGATCTGACATCGAGTAGAAACTGGCGATTGGAACATTAGTTCTAGGGCAAGTCATCGAAATCACCTCGGAAGACGTCGTGCTCGCCCTCCCTAACAACCTCGTCGGATACGTACCGCTCACCGCAATCTCCGACAAACTGAACGAGAGGATTGAGAAGCTACTCAAGGAGGAGCAGCAGGGTAATGACGACTCGCACGGGGAAGACAGCTTCGAGGATGTCGCGCTTAAAGACATGTTCCATGTTGGACAATACCTGAGAGCGTGCGTCACATCGACCTCCGGCGACACTGAGCCTGGCGAGGTCCTGAAATCAAGAAGGAGAATCGAGCTGTCAATTCACCCGAACAGGGTCAATCGCGGTGTTGTAAAGTCGAATCTAGTGACGAACTGCATGATACAAGCGTCGGTCATCAGTAATGAGGACCACGGCCTAGTGATGGACATGGGTCTGGACGAGCGGAATATCAAGGGTTTCCTTCCAAAAAGCGAACTCGGCAAGGACGTTGAGCACGCCAAGGTCCAGGAAGGCGCGGTATTTATGTGCTTGGTTTCCGGCCTGAACCCTGATGGAAGAATCGTCAAGCTGTCGGCAGACCAGCAGAAAGCCGGGAATCTAAAGAAGGGAAACACTTTGGCCGAAGCTCCCACCATCGACGTGTTTCTACCAGGAACTGCCGTGGATGTGCTGATCACGGAGCTGTCGATTAACACAATCGTCGGTAAAATTTTGGGCCTAGTCGATGCAACAGCTGACATTATCCATTCCGGCGCCGCTCAACGAGGGGCAGATTTGACCGAAAAATACAAGACCGGGCAAAAGGTCAAAGCTAGAATCCTGTTCACATGTGAGGATGCTGACCCAAAGAGGGTCGGCGTGTCATTGCTGGATCACGTCTTGTCATTGTCCCATCGCATGTCTGGGAAGCCGAAGGAGAGGAAGAACCCTCTGGACGTTCTTTCAATATCATCTCTCGTGGAAGAAGCAAAGGTCAGCAAGGTGGACCCCATGCTTGGGGCCTTTTTCGATCTTGGCTTACGGGATGTGGTGGGTTTCGCGCATATTTCCCGACTCGCGGAAGGCAGGATCGACACACCATCAGAGACGTTCGGCCCTTTCCAGCTTGCCTCCAAGCATCGAGCTCGGGTCATCGGCTACAGCTCCATGGACGGCGTGTTCCAGCTGTCTTTGGAAGAGAAGGTCCTTGCGCAACCGTTTCTTCGTATCGAAGACATCAAGGTTGGCCAAATCGTCAAAGGCAGGATCCACAAGTTGTTCGCAGATAAGAGTGGGTCGACTGCACTGCTCGTCAGTCTCTCGGAAGGCATTATGGGCCTTGTGTCGGAGGTCCATCTTGCCGATGTACATCTGCAGCACCCTGAACGGAAGTTTCGCGAAGGCGCATCGGTCACCGCGCGAGTACTATCCACAGATCCGGGGAAACGTCAAGTGCGCCTCACTTTGAAGAAGTCTCTGGTCAATTCAGATGTGGAGCCATGGAATGATTATTCGCGCATCACACAGGATGCTACTGGTCCCGGGACGCTTGTCGACATCAAACCCACCGGGGCACTGGTGCAATTCTACGGCAATGTCAAAGCTTGGCTTCCGGCGGCGGAGATGAGCGAGGCCTTTATCGAAGATGCAACGCGACATTTCACGAAGGGACAGGTAGTCAATGTCCGCATGATCTCACTCGAACAGGGGGAAGGCAAGATGTTGGTCTCCTGCAAAGACCCTGATGCGGTCGATGCGGATAAAGAGAGCAGGTTCAAATCGCTTACATCCGGAGATGTTGTAAAGGGCACTGTGGTTGAAAAGTCCCTGGATTCTGCGACTATCGACCTTGGTCACGGTGTCAAAGGAGTCCTCCGAATCGGTCACCTAACGGACGGTTCGGAAAAGAAGGGCAAATCTACCATGGCCCGCGTTCGTGTCGGTGGCACGCTAGACGACCTCGTCGTCTTGGATAAGCATCAAAAGTCGAGAACGCTTACCCTCTCGAGCAAGCCTAGCCTTCGGAAGGCCGCACAAGCGGGAACACTCATTAAGGCGTTCGACGACGTGAAGGCCGGTCAGACCGTTAGTGGCTTTGTGCGCGGTATCATGCCAGACAAGGTTTTCGTTGAATTTGGTGGCGGGATCAGCGGCGCCGTCTTCAAGTCACAGCTAACAGAGGAAATGACACTCTCTCCTAACTTTGGTCTTCGGAAAGACCAATCGATCACGGCCCGCGTTACTCATGTTGATCCTGGCAAACGACTCTTCTGGCTTTCTATGAGACCTGACACCAAAGATTCCACTGCCAAGGCCAAGAGCTACGATTCCGCGGCGGAGGCTGCGGTCAATCCCGTCGATGCAAACATCAAGTCAACCGCAGATCTCAAATTCGGCACCACTATAGATGTCCTCATACGCTCTCGCAAAAGCACTCAGGTCAACGTAAGACTCGCAGACAACCTCCAGGGTCGAATCCATGTCGCAGAGATGTTCGACAACTGGGACGACATCAAAGACAAGAAGAATCCTCTTAGCCAATTCGAAACGGGCGCAATCATAAAGACAAAGGTCATAGGAATGCACAACGCAAGGAACTATCGCTTCCTCCCTATCAGCCATCGCGAAGGCACGCATCAAATATACGAGCTCACAGCCAAAGACAACATACGCAGCGAGTCCGACATGCTGACGCTGGATAAGATCACCCAGGGAGCTTCCTTTTTGGCCTTCGTGAACAACATTGCTGAGCGATATGTCTGGGCTAGCATCTCAGCTAATATTCATGGCCGCATTGATCTCTTCGACCTTACCGACGATCTTTCGCTCCTAGGCGATGTCGAAGAGAACTTTCCTGTAGGCTCCGCTCTCAAAGTGCGTGTCAAAGCTGTTGATGTAGCATCGGGTCGCCTAAGCCTGACAGCTGCGTCCACGCTTTCCGCCAGGTCTCTCACTCTCAAAGATCTGAAAGAGGGCTTGGTTCTTCCCGCCCGGGTGACTAAGCTTCACGATGCGCACATCATTGCCCAAATCAACGAGAATGTTGCAGGGCCCGTTTACCTCGAGCAGCTGGCTGACGACTTTGATAAAGCGAAGCCTTCGGAATTCAAGGTCGGTGAGATCATTAGAGTCTGCGTTACGGAGATTGATGTTCCGAACAAGCGGCTCGGTCTGTCAGCTAGGCCCTCGAAAGTTCTCAGCTCCTCATTACCGATCAAGGATCCCGAAGTTAAGGACAATTCGCAGCTCAAGGTTGGCCAGGTAGTCCGAGGCTTCGTCAAGAAGATTGCGGATAACGCCCTCTTTGTCCGCCTAGGATCGCACGTAGATGCGATGGTTCGGGTGTCTCACCTCTCCGATGCATACATCAAAGATTGGAAGTCTGAATTCCAGGTGGACAAGCTAGTCACCGGAAAGGTCATTGCAAACCAGGCAGATATGAGGAACCCGCAGATGAGCTTGAAGAAATCAGTCGTTGAAGGAGACTATGTCAAGCCATTGGGCTTCAGAGACATAGAGATCGGCCAGATTGTCACTGCAAAGGTGCGGCATGTTGAAAACTACGGAGTCTTCCTCGTCATTGATAACTCGGAGAACGTCAGCGGTCTGTGTCACGTTTCCGAAATGGCTGACAACAGAATCGAAAAGGGGACGGTGAAAGAGTTGTACAAGGAGGGCGATGCCGTTAAGGCGAAGGTCCTGCGTATCGACGCAAAACAAAGGAAGATTACTTTTGGCTTAAAGTACTCCTACATCAAGGGCGACGAGGACGGCGAGGATGACGAGGAGATAGATGATGCGTTGGATGCATCCGTCCAAGAGTCGGAGGACACCAATGTTGAAATCCATGCCGACCAAGACGAGGAAATGAGAAGCGTCAAGAGTGTAGAGGACGATGGCGACGCCATAGCCCAAGAGGCCACCCAAACTGGCTCCGACGATGTCGATGTCGCTGATGGCCCAAAGGCACCCGCAGCTGGTCTGAGTACGTCTGGCTTCGACTGGACCGGAGCTACGCTTGACTTTGAGGATCGAGAAGCTGCTTCTGACGATGAGGGGGAGGACGCAGGCAAGAAAAAGAAGAAGCACAAGAAGGCAACCATCAAGGAAGATCGCACAGGCGATCTGGATGCCTATGGACCTCAATCCGTCGCCGACTACGAACGTCTCCTGCTCGGACAACCCAATAGTGCTGAGCTGTGGGTACGTTATATGGTCTTCCAGCGCGAGCTCAACGAGATCGAGAAAGCACGACAGATCGCCCGCCGTGCCCTGGCAACCATGAACCCCCGCGAGGAAAAAGAGAGACTAGATGTGTGGACCGCGTTGCTCCATCTGGAGAACGAGCATGGTAGCGACGATCTCATCGAGGAAACGTTCAAGGAGGCCTGCCAGTACAATGACTCACGCGAAATGCACGAGCGCATGATCAAGATCTACATTTCGTCTGGCAAGCTCGACGTAGGTCCCCCAAGCACATCCCAAGCTGGGTAGAAATGCTAATGCTCTTACAGAAAGCTGATAACCTTTACCAATCTATGACGAAGAACAAGTCTTTCACTCCGACACCTTCTCTCTGGCTCTCCTACGCCACCTTCCTCATGAACACCATGCAACCCCCTTCGCCAACGCGCGCTCGCGCCCTCCTCGCCCGCGCTACGCAATCCGTCCCCGAATCCGAACACCGTTACCTCACGCACAAATTCGCTGCTCTCGAATTCAAATCGACAAAGGGTGATCCCGAGCGCGGCCGCACCATCTTCGAAGGCCTCGTTAGCACCTGGCCGAAGAAGTGGGATATATGGGACGTATACGTGAGCTTGGAGATAAGCCACGGTGGTGAGGAGAACGTGCGGAGCTTGTTTGAGCGGATGTCGAAGATGGGAAAGAAGAAGAGAGCCCAGGCGGTGTTCAAGCGGTGGAGGGAGTGGGAAAACGGTCTTGATAATGATAAGGGCGTTGAGAGAGTGAAAGCGTTAGAGGCGGCGTGGAGGGAGAAGAACGATGTGGAGGAATAGGGTAGTTAGGATTGTGTAAAAGCATTTTCATTAGAGCATCGGCGTATAGTGGTTGAAAACCTAAAGTTCTAACTTTGTTTCATTTGTCACGCGCTATCTAGAGGTGAAGAGCACGCCATCGCTTTTCACCTTTTGCTAAAACGATGTCATGGTGCTCAAGCAGAATCAATGTCATATGCTTATCCTCCAAAGGTTACTCAACTACGTTTGAGCCACGGCTTCCCCTTGAACGGATCCGCCTCCCTCGGCTTCTTGACTTTCTCCTCGCGCTTGCGCTTCTCGCCCGCCGCAACTAAGCGGTACTCGCGCTCATCGAAGCGCGACGGGCGGCTAGGCTCGAAGCTGCCGAACGATCCTGAGACGATCCTATGCGGACGAGTCGCTAGCATGGCATCGATGGACGGTCCTGGGCGAGTAAGCCGATTGTGTGCGCCGAGAGGGTCGATGCCGGCTGAGCCGCGGTGGTACATGGTGTCGTTTGGGCGGCAGGGACGGTAGGTGGAGGAGTAGCCTGCTGGGGTTTGGGCGGAGGGTGGTGGGAGCATGGTTGCGGGTGGGTGGACTACGATGTCGGGGATGGGGTTCGGGGATGGGTCACGTGGGTTTAGATCTTGGGCGAAGGCGGCGGAGGAGAGGGTTGATAGCTTTGGATACTTGATTGCTCGCTCATCGTCCTCGGACTCGGAGTCGCCGTCCTCGTCGCTGTCATCGTCTACGAGTGCCTGCTCTTGCTGAGACTGCGAGAGCGACTGGATCGTCTGATTGATTTCAAGCGTGAACTCTTCGCTCGTCTCAGAAACATGATCGTCTGCCATGTTCACGGGCGTCTCGACGTCGTCTGTCATCTTGTTCAGGTACTCCTGCGACAGCGCTTCCGCGTAGTCCTCATCCTCGGGCTCGGTGTCGGAACCTAGATCTTCCTCCGGAATGTCGATGCCGTACTGCTCCGAGATCTTGCGGCGCTTCTCTAGAAGTGATTTAGTATTGATTTGCAGTTGGTGGTGGGTGGCGTGTAAGCGCACCTGCCCTGTGGTCCTCCTTTGGTGGGAGCTTAGTAGTAGTGTTCGAGCTGGGTGGGTTGAGTGGGATCGCCATGCTGCGTGGAGGGCTGTTGGTGCTGCAGTGGGGTTGGGGGATGTGAGTGCTTCGGTTTTGAGTGGGGGAGAGAGTTTATGGGTTTGTGGCGGTGATATTGTCTCGGTATGGGGAACGGGCCATGCAGAGGATATCCGTGGTGGTGTGGTCTTGAAGCGGTAGGTGCTTCTGTTTAAGCCGCTAAGATACAGTCCTATTTGAGGTCTAGCTAGGACATTTCAGCGATCTATTCACCTGCCTGCCAAGGAGAGCAAAGGATCATAAGTTATTTCGAATCATTGCCATGATGTCCAGATGTGCGTCCCCGTGAATTTAGCGAAAGGTATGTCAGCGCTCCCAGCGACAGCGCTATCTGTCCGGATAGATACGCCGGAAACAGGCAGCCCCTTTTGCAGTGAGAGACAGTCTTGAAGTGTACCATGGGCTTGGTACTGCGCCTAAAAGCTTGAGCCATCCGTGTCTTAGTCGTGGTAGTACAAGACCCATGCGAGGCTAGTACTTGCAGTAAGCGGCATAGTCCAGCCTTCACTTTGACCCTCAGTAACATCAAAGAGGTCGACGTGTACTAGATAGTACGTACAAAGTGTGGAAGTGAAGATTCGAAGGAAGACGAGGGAAGTTGGAGACCTCGACGGATATTGACCGTTAACTCCGATCCACGTGACCTTATCGATAAACCCCAGAAACGTCATCCTCGGCTCATCTCAGAACTCGATGCCTTCGTCACGAACACGCCTCTTTCTCAGCATCTTCCTTATGAGCCTACTCGCTGCTGCCATCAAGCGTAGCTCTCTAAATATCTTCTCACGTCCAATCGCACAAGTATGCTCCAAGACCGCAGACGCAGAAGCCGAAGTAGTAGAAGCTAACATCATGCAGCCAGTAACATCGCGCGCCATGCATGTCCAATCGATTCCCATGTGTATGAGTACCTGCATGAGCACGGCGTGTAATTGCTGAATTGGGAACAGGGGAGGGTACGGGTAATAACTATGCCTACCTCGTGACCGATGATAAGTCGAAGGAGGCCGTCATCATTGACCCTGCGAATCCGCCGGAGTATGTTCTATGCCTGTGGCGATAGGGAAGCATCAATTGACTTGTATACTTCAATAGAGTCCTGCCAGTTCTAAAGGAGAAGACCGACAGCGGTGCGATCAAGCTCTCTAAGATCATTAACACCCACCAGTAAGCCTGCTTAGAAACACACTTAGAGCTTCGCTAAATCAGTGCTACAGCCACCATGATCACGCTGGAGGAAACGTTGAGATTGTAAGCTTCTCCAAGTGGATTCATGGACAACACTAATGGTTCCAGCTCAAACACTACAAACTTCCCATTATAGGCGGCAAGGACTGCTCCCGAGTCACAACCACTCCCGACCATAAGTCGCAATTCCACATTGGCGAGGGCATCAAGGTGACCGCACTCCATACGCCTTGCCATACTCAAGACAGTATCTGCTACTTCTTCGAGGACGGCTCCGAACGCGCTGTCTTCACTGGCGATACCCTATTCATCGGCGGCTGCGGTCGCTTCTTCGAGGGCAACGCAACGGAAATGCACAAAGCTTTGAACGAAGTCCTTGCTTCCCTTCCCGACGACACGAAGGTGTACCCAGGCCATGAGTACACTAAGGGTAACGTCCGTTTCGCAAAGAAAGTGCTGAACAACGATGCTATCAAGAAACTCGACGAGTTTTCGCAAGCGAACAAGGAGACTCAGGGGAAGTTCACGATTGGGGATGAGAAGGTAGGTTGATGTCCCGTGCCGCAAATATTATACCTATATAGTACGGAGCTAAACAGTAACAGCAACACAATGTCTTCATGCGCGTGAACGACCCAAACATCCAGCAACTTGTCGGCCAGACTCAACCAGTTGAGGTTATGAGGACGTTAAGAGAGATGAAGGATCGGTCGTAGTGGGACTGTCTGCTAGCGTTGCATCGGGTGTATTTTGTTCCCAAGATCAATGCTCGCATAAGAAATGGATGTCTGACTGACCAAGCCTCGAGACATCTTCACGAATGTTTAGCATTGTCTCGAAAAAGGTCACTAAAACTCAGTTACACCAAATCTTAGCGACCGTTGAGAATGTGTTTTCGTGACTCCGGAAACATTTGACGACCTAGTGAAGCGAAGAGTTGAATGGGGAACTCAAACTTCAACTATTTCACGTACGGCACGGATCAGATTTCTAAATTCATCCGGGCTACTGATTTATTCACGAGCAGTGGTTTAGGAAGAGAGAATCATTTCCACTATAATAACACACCTCCACGTCAGACAACGAGCATCGCCAACACACCGACCAACACGAACTCGCAACCTACACGACCTGCAGTAGGCATGGATCCAACGGAGAAGTTGGAATCTTCAAAGCGTAGATCTGCGAGTAGGTCGAATTACTCGACAGATCATCCGCAATCTTCCAGCCACACTGCTCCCAAACGCACTTCTTCGAGTACTCCTGCTGGCTCTACGTCAGCAGCACCCGTTTCAGATCCAACTATAAACAACCGCGCCCTCTCGGATGGCTTTTCGAATGGATCAGCAAGTGCACCCCAATCAAGACCTGCGTCGAGGCCTCATCAACGAAAAGTCTCAGCCTCGAGCACTGCTCAGCATCGAGATCACGCTACCTCCTCTCGGAAACTGTCCTTGAAGCATCGCAAGAACAAGGAGCCACTCTCCCTACCGGAGCACATCAAGCTTAGCACCGTCAACACCTTCCAGCAGCTATATGCCACCGTCGCGCCATGGGTCCTTGGAGGCGTGGTCATCGTTGGAGCCGGCTCAGTCATATGGTACGCTCCAACAATCGTGCTGAAGCTGGCATGGTGGTGCGTGATAGCAGCCGTTGGCCATGTGGTCTTCTACATGCTGTACTGGAAGTGCTACGAGAACCCTCATACGGAAGAAGCACCACTATTCAAGATCTGCGGGCACGAGCTCGTTGTTCGTGAATCCGGCAATGCTGAGCCTGGCATCGAGACCAACATCGCGGCCTACATCTCGAGTCTCATTGCGCAGATGATAGCCTATCTGCGCCAGGGGACACCGGAGGGCGAGCAGCGCGATGAACTCGGCCAGACTCCCGTGACGGCCTACCTCACGAAAGCCGCATCCATGACCCCTATCGTCAAGAAGGTCCGCTTCTCGCAACCACGCAATCAGCGGAAGGAAGAGAAACGCCCCCGATACAGTATTCCAAGCTCGTACAACTTTATACACGCCATTCCTGACTCGCGCCTACCATCTACCTCGGCCACCATCTCTCTGCCCCAATTAGGTGCTGGCGTGGGCCTCCTCTTCTCCAGCATTGGAACGTCCAGCGAGGAGCCCTCCCAGAGCCTCTCGGCCCGCGTCCTCATCCTGCGGATCCAAATTGGACAGGCAAAGCTCGGTGAGCTCGACGAGGTTACTAGCAGCTTGCACAGCCTATTGCTGGACCTCACCCCCGAGAAGCAAGACAGAGACAGGATCAACGCAGCCACTTTCGCAAACGCTCAAGCCCTTCAATCCCTAGCCTCCCGCTGCTCCCACATCCTCTACACCAAGCGCGACCAGGCCCTCAAAGACGCTTGGTGGCACGACGCCGTGCTCCCCGCCCACCTCAGCTCCATAGACATCACGGAGCTGACAGACTGGATCAAGCTCTGCCTCCACGGCCTCGCTACCAAGAAATCACAGATTCAGTCTCGAGTCGACACTCTGAGTGCGGAGCTCATGCAGATGCGGCTAAAGGGCAAGATGGAGAAGCTACCGCGGGGTAAGAAGGAGAGGGCTGAGGAGGCTAAGCGGCCGAAGGTGAAGATGGAGAGGGAGGAGAGGGAGGCGTGCGAGGTTGGAGTGCGTATCAAGGGGAAGGCGAGGGAGAGCGCGGCTTATAGTGGGATGGCGGGGGATTTGGTGGGGTGGAGGGAGCATGGGACGATGAGGGTGGGGCATGGGTTTTTGGAGAGGAGTTGGTGTGCGGATTGGTAACAAGGCGATTTGGAAATCGCGGGTTGATGTGCTTCTACATTGGATACGCTGGAGAGTAGCTTTTGCCTTCCTTTCGGGGCGGATGAAGCTGTAGAGGGAAATAATCATCACCTCTCGCGAATACATAACCCTATCAGTCCTGTTTACCCCTCCCCGAGGAAGTCTTGATTAGTGTTTCAGACGAGCTCGTCTCGCTCGAAGCCTGCGTGCTAACGACATGGAACGAAAAATCTAGCTCTCCAACAAGCTTCTTCACCGCCCTATTCAGCGTTAGTTCCTGTCCATTAAGTCACGCTCTCTAGCGGGTCTCACTTACTTCAACAGCCTTTCGATATCCATATGAATACACTTTGTACAAATCTGAATCACGGCAAATGCCGCATATCCGGGCTCCGCAATATGTCTAATACTCAGCACATCCCTATCCACAGCCTCCAACCTCTGCGCGAGCTCGAAAGACTGTGGTGCAGAGAGGTACGGCGGCAGTGGCTGCCCGTTGGTTATGCTGGAGGACAGGAGCGCGAGAAGGGATGTCACTTCGTGCGAGGTTACGTTTACGGTGGTGATGAGTTTGCGAAAGTCTTGGAACCATTGACTGGCGGAAGGGTCGGCGACAGAGGAGTTGAGGGATGGGTGGAGGAAAGTTTTCGAGGCGTAACCGAGGAGCGCGGTATAGTTTACAATGCTTGGGATATGTTAGCTGAGCGGGTTCAAGCTAGGGTTTGATGAGTGCTTACTTTGTCACGTAGCCGATGATTGTGTCGTACTCTTTTTTGGGGAACTTTCCGCCTAAGGGGAATTCCCAGTTGACCATCGCGGAGTGCGTCTTGAGGCCCTGGAGTGTCAACATTTGCTTTGCGAAGACCTTATTCCTGGCTTTCTCGAGCTTGTACCCGGGCGATGCCTTATCAGTCGGATCCCCTTCATCGCCCCTGATCCTTGCCATGACTGTCTCATGCATGATGGAGTAGAAGTTCGCCGAAAGATACAGCGCGCCTCCAAGCTTCTGTCTCAGCGCCGAATGCTCCGTAATCGGATACGGGAAGAATGTCCAAATAAATGCAACAGCGAGACCCCCAACAACGGTCGCTAACCGGTACGGACCGAGCTCGTAGATAGGATAGTACGGCTGCCCGTTCGACGACGCAGCAGTGACGCCAATCTTGCGGACCTCGAGCTCATAGCCCACAATCATAGTAGCTGTGACCACGCTGATGAGTCCCACGATGACAAGATCCGTGCGCTTGAGCGGGACGTAGAAGCCGAGGGCCACAAAGACCCATAACATTACGATGATACCGGGTGTTTTCTGGTCGGGAATATACCAGATCAACCAAGCGATTATCATAGCGAAAACCGTGCCGACGATACGGAGGAGGAAGGTGAAAATGCTTTGTCCAGCGGTAGGTGTCATGGAAATAGCGACCATGATCATCGCCCACACGAGGCGTTGTTCGACGAAGAAGGTCTGCGTATCGCGCAAATACGCAATGATGGCTATACTCATCGTCGCACATGCGCAGCGAAACCCAAATGCCGACTCTGACGACCTGAGGAAGCCCGACGTAGCTCTGACGAAATCGCCAAACTTTTCCCACGCGTTCTCAGACGGCAGATGCTCAGGATCCTTCCGCTTGTTGTACGCTTCGCCCATGGAGACAACCACACTGCCGCGGTCATAGCCTGCAATCGTGGTTTCGTCTTCTTCATTGGCATCTTGTGCGCTGAAAGTCTTTGCAACCCATTTTCTGAAGCGTCGCTTGCCGGGATGGATGAACTTGCTCTTCGCAAGTGCTTGGTCCTTCTCGTCTGCGAATTTGGCGAATTCGATAATCGCGCGGCTGACGGAGTTGAGGAGGTATACAATGTAGAGGATGAGATAGAGCTGTTGTTGATTGCGCTGCTGTGTATGGACAGGCCTCAGTTGGAGCTCTTCGGGGATGTCGTCCGGATGCTCGAAGAAGTCTTCGCGGAGCTTGATGCCTTGCTTGCCATCCAATGGCGCAATGTCGTCTCTTTACCCTTGTAGAAATCGTCGCTTTGCTTCTCGAGATAGTCCGCAAACTCCTTGTCTCCAGGCTTCACCATGTCGCCCTTCGCTTCCGTATCTGTCGCATCTTCTCCTTTCTCTTTCTTCCGTGGCGTAGTGAGCTGCAGTCGAAGAAGTACATGCTCAAGTCCTTGATCCATGGACTGTGTGATCGTAGTGAAGGGCTCATGCACGAACTGCATAAGTTCATTCCAATCGCCCACAACCTTCGGCCGTAATTCATCGTTTTCCTCATCAGTCTCCTCGCCTTCCCAGTGATGGATCTCGGCAAGCCGCTCAAACAGATCGATGAGCGATCCAAGACCGACCAACGGCATCATGATCGCCCGTAGGTGTTTGAAGATACTCTCGAAGTCCTCTGGCGTGAGTTTACCATACGCCAATTCACGCTTAGCAAACGGTAGGTCGCCATGGAGCTTGCCGTGTAGCTCAGTAAATGTAGACGTCAGCCTCTTAACAGCTTCGACCTCCGGCTTCGTCTTGGGCTTCCTGGGCTTGCCTTTCTCGTCTAGTTGGATGGTCGTCGTCTGCCGGAACATGTCCTTCGTCTCGAGGCTCTGGTAGTAGTTCTTATGCGCTGTCAACGCTCCTCTGAGCGCTGCAATATATACGGTAATTTCTTTTGTAACCACCTTACGACATGTGACGGGCATGATGAACAAAGATGTACCAGTAGCGAGCGCAAGGCCCGTCAGGAATGATTCGAGCAGCCGCTGGACAAAACCTTCCGCCTGCGCTGTGGTCTGGAACTGCGGTCCAAAAGTCGCGGCGACATTGACGAAGATCGCATACAATATCGTCGGGAATGTAAATTGAGGAAACTTCGCCTTGATCGTATTGGCGAGCCAAATCTGGAAGAACAGCCAGATGGCGCAAACTGCTGAATGCGACGCATTGTAGCGTTGCCGAAGCCCTCCTGCTGGTGTCGTATGTTCTCGCGCCTTGAGTGCAGACCAGAGCATAAGAAGACCCACAGCAGCTCCGATGCATACACCGATAACATTCATCACCATCGTCTGGATGAACTTCGCTCGAGGCATGATACAGAATCCCAGGATGGAGATTATAGCGACCAGGTACCCAAGCGTCGAGTAAGTTCTGGCCACCGAATCCGCCTCGTACATAGCGAGCGCAATAGTCGGTGGAACCGCAGCCTTCATCATCATGAGCGCCGTCCCCATATCCAAATCTAGCTTTTTCCAGGCGTTTGCAATCATGGACTGCTTCTTCTCTTTCTTTTCGCCACCATCTTCTGCCTCCGGTCTCTTACTCTCGGACTTCGCCTGTCTATTCACATGGCTTTGCTTCTCTTCCGCCTTCTCCGCTCCTGCAACACCCGCCTCTTCCTCCCGAGCCTTGTCGGAGCTGCTCGTCGCTGAGCGAGCCATTGCGTACCTCAGTTGCCTCCTCTTTCCACATCAACAATTGACGAGTAGAGTATCTCGACGAAATTGAAGACAGTGGCAGAGAAACAGCGAATGCGACTGAGGTTCAAACGCCCAACAACAAACCCGAACCTCGCGACCAACTAGTGGCAGATTCGGGGATCCACCAATGTCGTCAGCGCGCGAGCTGACTAGGCAAGCCTCGGCCTGTGCGACGCTAGATAAGCTTAGCCTCGCCTCGTCATATTGGACAGAGGAAATGCACGTCTCGGAATCTCGCGACTGGATACGGTTGTGGAGGTTAGCAAGCATGTTGACTGCTCATGTAAGCTTCTAGAGACCTAGTAGCCGACGCCACGTGCAATTCGCATGGCCAGGTGCATCCCTGTCAGTCGAGTTGAACGGATTTGAGGTCGTGGGAGGTTTGACGCGTTTGGTATTTTCTGCTCGGAGAACCTTATATATAACCCCGGGACATCTAGAGGACGTCTTGCATTTCCGATTGTATTCATGAATAGGGTTAGGAGCCCTCTAGGCGGCCTGATACGCAGCTCATCCTACATAAGGTTTGTTCCGCGGCTGTTCCGCCAGACATGGAACGACTGACACGTTCTAAAGGATAATCCTCTCGAAGCTATACTTGGGCACCCGTTGGCTGATGAGCATACCAATCTCGCGTGCGCTGCGTTCCCTACTCTTACCGCCCTTCCCAGCCTTCATCTTTTCGATACCCAAATCAGCCTTGGCCCCGAGAGGAAGCATGGGCAGCTCGTCCGGCTTCGTGTCAAGCACAAATGGTTTGCCTTGATTTTGCAATGTCTTTTTGCTCGGTTTCTGAGATTGCGGAAGCTTGGAGGCGTATCGTAGGAGCTCGCTTATCAGACCACGAATATAGGTGGCCTCCCAAAATCCATTCAAGGCAACAGAAGTGTCCTCAAGAAGATTAACGATGAGTTCTTCCGTCGAAGTGTCTGAAGCGGAGCCGCCGACTGCAGTGAGCCACATAGCGGGGCCGATGGCATCTAAAGTGCAGCTTAGCAAAGAAGCAATGATCGTAACGGCGCTTTCATTAGTTTCTTCTGAGGGAGGTTCCACTGGGGACACTTCTGAATCCGCGAAATCGTATGGCGATGTCCAACCGCCGTTCTTGAATTCGTGATGGAGTAGTCGAACTAGGGACTCTAGGTCGCGACGTGGAAGCGTGGAGCGAAGAGTAGAGCTAATGACTGGACCGGGAAACGTATGAAGCCTGATCAGGGCGGGTCGCAGAGTGCTGCTGCGGACTACCAGGCCATTGTCAAGGATTGATAACGCCCGATTGATTTCATGATCTGCGGCTTCCAGCTCAGACGCAATGTCAACATCCATCGAGTCTGTAGATTCCTCGATCCCATTCGTGAGGAGTCTAGTGGTAGCTTCAGTCTTTGGTCCGTCGTCAAGGCTCTGCATGATCAGTTTGATCGCTTGTACCACCTCGCCAACCGGGAGGAAGTGGCTGTGATTGAGAATTGCCGAGAGGATATGCAGCTCGGGATCAAATTCGGCGACGGCTCGGACGATGTCGCCGTCCTTAAGATCCGCAGGGGTTTCCAAAATCTTTAGTGAGTTGTCTGAAACGGCTCGGCAGATTGACTCCTTGGTAAGATATCCTGATTGGAGCAGCCACTGGAAGACATTCGGTGGGAAGAAGTCGATCGTGAGAGAGCCACGCGAGCCGGCTCGAGAGGATCGAGAGTCGGTCCACCTGAAGATCCTGCTCAAGGCATATCGAGCATGTTGCTGGTAGCTTAGCTGCTGAGCTCCAGGGATAGACTTTGGTAGTCTCCATTTGCGTAGCCGGTCCTCCGAGGAGTCTTCACTCGCTTTTTGTCCTTCCACAGCTTGCGAGTTTGGCGTACCTTTGCTCACTCCGTTGGTCATAACTGCGTCTGGGGGTCCATTGAACAGGGTGGACAGCCGGATGCTCTCGTCCTCCTCTGCAGAGGTGTCCGATTCGATTCCCAAGTCCGCCGCGAATAGCGCCTCGAACGTAGCGATCTTTCCTTTCCGTACGCACTTGTCAAACTTTGAAACCTTCTCCTGCCATTTCCGCTGCTCACGTTTGCCAGTAGACACAGCGCTGGGTCCTGTGGCTATTCCTTTACCAAGGGAATCGATGAGACGAGTATTGTCCGTTTTGACTCGTTTCCTCGCGGTAGTCTCTCGGACTTGGAGGCCCACGACTTCGTTCTTCCAGATGGCTACGGCCAGTCCAAGATCGGCATGATAAGATATGAAGACCGGTGCCATGTACGCATCCTCGACCGGCTCTGGCTTTGCATGTTTTCTTTTCTTTGACTCTTGCGTGGAAGAGTCTAAATCTGCTTCTAGAGAGAGATGGCCTTGGATGGAGCTGTATTTAACATCCAATAACCGGCAGGACTTCCGCGACGTAGTGAGCAGTAGGCCCTGCGAAATACGCAAGAAAGAATCGGGACGTGACGCCCGCATATCGATCTGCGAGTAAACTTTCGGAACCGCGCTGGAGAAGTCGTAAGAGATAAGCGCATTATCTGCAAGAAGATGGAGAGCCCCGCTATTGGAGTGAAGAGAATACTGCGGACGGGCGGAGTGTATTATCGGCACCGAGGGGGAAGATGGCAGATCCCAAGCCATCAGGTACTTCAGCGGCGGAATATGGCTTGTTGGAAGGTCAGGAGATCGCGGCGATATTTGGAATAGTCCCAACGCCCTGTCTCCATTTGGTTGGCGGAAGATTACGGAAAGAACCTGGGTGAGATCCAAGAGGTCTGACTTATCGTCCGAGGAAGAATTCAGAATAGCTACGACGTCTTCTCGACTGCGTAAGAAGCCATGAATTACCGCTCTAGCCGTGCTGAGAGTGACATGCTCAATTTCGAAACTATTCTTGAGATCCTGGGCTAGGGACCTAAAGTTCGCGACCCATCTTACGACTTCGAGGTCTGATGAGAGACAAATAGCGTCTCCATTGTCGAAAACAGCCAGCACATCATGACAGCCTTCCCGCTCGGAACCTCCAGGCGACACAGGAATGGAGTCGATTGCTATAATACTCCGCGCCGAACCCGACGGCGAATATGTAGTTTTGACCGTGTGTCTGGTTGCGTCCTTGCGCGTCTCCTCGGCGAAGCAGATCAACTGGGGTTTGTCGCTCAGCGTGGACTGCGCGACGAATGCGTACGTGTAGCGACGAGATGATCTCTTGGCCGATCCTTTGCGGTATATCGAGTATGGAGCCGAGGTAAAGACTGTCTGGGGTGGGAGCACATAGGATGTTGCGAGCTGCGGATTTTGAAGCTGACAGAATTAGCGATGGCATTGAAACCGAGTTTATAAACCCACGCTGTAAATGAAGATACCCTCTCCATCCAGTGCGACAGCAACTTCAGTCCGCTTTCTCTTCTTTGTGCCGCTAATACTGCAGACACTAGACGACTGTGCATGGCCTCCGCCAGAAGACTTCGAGCGTGGCAGCGAGGCCAGCGTGAAGGGAGCCCCAATTTCCCTAGTAAACGACATTTCTTTTGCCAGACAGAGTCGCGAGACTCGTGCAGCGTCTGCGTGGGCCGTTAACAAAGGCGACTGAGAGCTGGGGTTGCCGCAGAAAAAGTTTGGACCTCGAAAGGCGGAAAAAAGGCGGAGCGGCAAGGTCCGAAGTCGAACTCTTGGCACAAATGCATGGATTTTAACAATCACGTGACTCGCCGCTACTGAGCGCGTCTCTGACGTCGCGTCGCGTCTGGCGATTTTCATTGACAAGCAGCCTTCACTTCGGACAACACCCACCACTCACTGTTTGCGGCCCACTCTTTGCAATTGACTCCATGCCCTCTATTCGCACTGCTAGGAGCCTGTCGACTTCTCAAATATGCCCTAGTAGCTTCCCGATTCCGTAAATGGCTGTCGCTGCGGTGCAAACCGCGATGAATCTAGAGGACGAGAAGAGTATACATCCATTCTTCTCAAAACCACCAAGTATTACGCACGTCGACCCGCATCCGCTCGTTCACTCATGCAAAGGACAGGGAATCACGCCCCCGAACCAGAACCGTCCGCAATCGAGACGCCCACCGAGCCCGCGCAAGATGACCCAGACTACGAGCAAGCGGAGATAGGCGTCCAAACTTCTAGAGGACGCAAGAAGCGTAGCAGGAAGCCCGGCGCATCGAATAAAAATAAGGATGGCGGTAGCGGGAGGAGTCAACCGTCGTTAGACAGCTTCACTCGCCGACCGAACGTCGACACTGTGAACGGAGGCACGACTGCCAACGCCCAGAATGTGTCCGCAGGACTATCTCTAGAAGTAGACCCTAATCGAGATCGTAGGAAACGAAGGAAGACAAGGTCTCCGAGGCCGTCGCTCGATGAAGCCACCGACTCCGATATTGCCCAGGCGCCCGAGGCCATGGATTGGCATCAGCAGTTACAGATCGAGGCAGAAAAGGGCGCCAATGAAAACGATAGTGCCTCAGCCCTACGTGCGACGGAAGACACCATGAATCAGCCCATACATCAGGCGGAGGACTTAGCGCATTCCAGAACACCCTCGAGAGTCAACGAGCCAGAGTCCGCGAACGCCCCAGCATCCACCGACAGGGCATTCAAATCTGCCCAAAAGAACACGCCCAAAAAATTACTGAAAGTCAACAAGAACGGGAAGCTCTTGTCGTCGCCCCCTGCTAAGCCGGAACCCGAGACGAACAGTCCAAAGAAGCGGCGGGGCAGGAAAGCTTCCAAGAACAAGGCGCCACCTACCGTCACTATCATCAAATACGGATCCGATGATGCGAGTCGGTTCGCAATCGGTCGGAAGATCGAAGACATCCTCAGCGGGAGCAAACCAGCACTACGCCCCATCCCTCCGAAAAAGGTGCCACCTAAGCCGGCTGAGCCTCCTAAACCAACGCATCCCTTCTTTCTCGGAAAGCCTGCCCAGAAGCAGGTTGAAGCACGGCCCGCCAAGCCGACGTCCGAAACTCGCTCTTCCCCATCACCAAGAGCTTTGAAGAAGAGTGCAGTGACACCGGGCAAGTTGAGAGCTGAAAGCCGTAGCTATCAGTCACCTGTTTCCATGCCCGTTTTTGGAGCAGTCCCAGGGAGCAATCGGACACCAAAACATGCCGGCATGGGTGAAGCGCCTTGGCCTTCAAAGGAAACGGCACATGTTCGAAATCTGGACTCAGACTCCTCGGTTGCCTCACTAACGCCGACATCGCAAAGGCATTTGCTCAAGATTCGAAAGATGAAGAACAGGATTCCCACTATCCCCCAGGATGAGGACCTAATGTCAAGGCTAGCACAGCAGCTTCGGCCGTCTATCCACCTAAAGAATGTACTCGCTGAATCCGATTTCGAGCCACCAAAGGACGTACGCTTGCCTACTCGCTCGCTCGCTACCGGCATCAATATCCAGGAACAAGTGCGTAGTCAGGTCCAGGCACAGCTACCACATGGCAGTGAGCAAGATAGCGGAGAAGCTGCTACGCATCCAGCTATTCGAGAGCTTTTCAGTGAAATCGAACACACTCTTACCCCTTTTGATCTTGGCAGGTGCGAAATCCACTCTTGGGCCCAGAAGTACGCCCCGAAGTCTGCATCTCATGTCCTGCAAGCCGGTGAAGAGGCCATGGTGCTTCATGATTGGTTAAAGAGTCTGACCGTAATGGCTGTCGAGGGAAAGCACAAAGGATCGAAGAGCGGCAGCGCCATGGAAGTGAAGCGGCCGCCCAAGAAGAAACGAAAGAAGGATGAAGACGACTTTATTGTCGATAGCGATGAGGATGTGGACGAAGATATGATCGAGCTCTCGGACCTGGGGGGCTGCGAGAACATTATCCAGTGCTCAGCAAGCATGAGGTCTCTAAGAAGACCGCAGTGGTCGCGGAACAAGAACGTCGTACTCATTAGTGGACCTCACGGTTGCGGCAAAAGTGCTACGGTATACGCTGTAGCAAAGGAGCTCGGATTTGAAGTGTTCGAGATTAATTCAGGCAGTCGTCGCTCTGGCAGGGACATCCAGGACAAGGTCGGCGATATGACTGCGAATCATCTGGTCAACCATAGACGAGATGAGACGACAGCCACGCAAGATGCCGCACAGACAGATGATACGGACAATGAGCGTATGAGTAATGCCCTTCGGAGAGACCTCGAGAGTGGACGGCAAGGCACGATGACCTCGTTCTTCAAGACAAATGGAACAGCGAATTCGAAGCCCAAAGCAAAGGCTAAAGCGCAAGAACCCAAGAAAGCAATCACGTCTGCTCAAGCAGCTTTGTCGATTGCACAACCTCAGCGAAAATCCCAGAAACAGTCGCTAATACTATTCGAGGAGGCCGACATTCTTTTCGAAGAGGATCAACAATTTTGGGCCCAGGTCACTAAGCTAGCAGCTCAGTCTAAACGCCCTATAGTCATTACCTGCAACAACGAAACCCTAATCCCAGTTAACGAGTTGCCACTTGGCGCCATTTTTCGGTTATCCCCCCCTCCCCTCGACCTTGCCACCGACTACATGCTTGTCCTAGCAGGTCGTGAGGGCCATGTCCTAAGACGAGATGCCGTCAGCAACCTCTACATGTCGAAGGACCACGATCTTCGGGCTAGCATCACTGAGCTAAACCTGTGGTGCCAAATGGCCGTTGGCGACAGAAAAGGGGGTCTAGAGTGGATATATCAGAGGTGGCCTCCGGGTAAAGATGTCGACGAGCACGGTCGACTTCTCCGCATCGCCAGTCGAGGAACGTATCAACCGGGTATGGGTTGGCTGTCTCACAACACGTTCTCTGCTTCTGGAAATGCGTGCTTCGACAAGGAGCAAGAGTTACTGAAGGAGACGTGGGTGGACTGGGGAATCGATCCGTGCGAATGGAACGATCATCGAGAGAGAACCCAAAGCCCAATGGATGTGTCCCAAGACGTGCACAGCAGCTCGCTGGAGGATCTCGAGCGACTCGAAGCCGTCTCAGATTCCATCAGCGCCGCGGACATTTACTGCCGTGTCGATATGCCATTCTACGAGCGCTACTACGAGCCTACGGATCCATGTTTACCATCCATGCCCGACAAAGAACGACTCAACTACACGCTCGCTGCTCCAGTTATCCAGACAGACCACTTCTTGGACTTCACCGACTTCGACAGAAACATCTTCATCCAGAGCCACCTGCTCATACAACGGACCTACGGTGGCCGCGAAGCTTCAGTAACGGAATCCAAACGTAACATACCTGCGACTGAGGAAGGCTTCACCCGAGCTATACTACAACACAAGGAGGCACAGCAGCGGAAGCATTCCCTCTCCCGGCCAAATTTCTCAGAAGCTTTCGACCCCTTGGCCTACCTGCCTGATACTGTTCCAGCGATGAACTCGTCTTACAATCTCACGGCATCTTCCTTTGACCGCACATTCAGGATCGTGGTTGAAGATTTAGGGCCCTATGTCCGGAGCATCGTTGCACATGAACTGGTTCTCGAGGCCCAGAGGATCCGCCTAGGCAACCTACTGTCCGAAGGTGGGCGGGGTAAGCGCCAAAGGACAACTAGAGCTGCCAGGGTAGCGCTGGAAGGGGGCAAGAGAGAAACCAAGAGAAGGGAGCGGTGGTTTGGCAAGCATTTGAATCGGACATTGGTTATGGCTACTGCGGGAAGGAATTGGACGGGCATGGGTTCTGGGGCGGAGGAAGCAGAGATGTCGTCCCGGACAGGCGAGAGTCTTTCTGGTGCTCAGGAGGAATAGAGGGAAGCATTTGGTGGATCGGCGTACGGATTGGAGGATATCATGAATGAGTAGGATAGCATTGCATGGAAACACGGGCATGGGTCAGGATATAGCAGCATCTTTGGTCGCATTCTTCATTATGGGTATCATTTATAGAGCGCATACCTCAAACCACATTCCCTCTGTGGAACTTAAGCTAGCGACTGGTAGTGTAATATCGGGCCGAACGATTGTCTTGACCTGCGCCCAGCCATCGAAGGGTATAAGCCCAGCGCTGACGCGTTTTGTCTATCCTTGTGTGTCGTAAGTCGTAACTGATCTTTTCTCTATTGACGTTCCGCCCGCTGCCAGGCGTTCATAGAAACTCATCCTCCTCCGTCGCAACAGGCAACGGCACACTCGCCGGCACCACAACCTCGAGCTGCTTAACCTCCCCAGCCACGTCCGGTGCGAGCACCTCCTCGTCAACACCATCCATCTCCTCATCACTAACCCACTCCCTCTCTTTTCTCTTCCCCACCTCCCCGTCTTCGCCCTCAAGCACCGCAAACGCACTCCTCCTCTTCTTACCCCCATTAATTTCCTCCCACCCCTTCCTCCTCTCGTTGACCTTCTTCTCCTTGCCAACGCTCCTCGCTACCTTCAGCTCCAGTTTGTCCATGTTGTCGGCTGCACGCTCCATGCCTTTCATCCTCCTCAGTCGCTGGGCGCGCTTTAGCGGTTTGGATTTAGACTTTTTGGTTATGCCGGCGTTTTGGGCGGCGAGGACGTGAGGCTTGGGATCTGCGGCGTTGGGCGGTGGGGAGGCGGAGGCGGAGCGTGTGGTTGTGCTGGGTTTGAGGGGCTTCGAGAGGGAGGAGTCGGGGGAGGGGGAGTGGGCGCGGCGGGCGGCGCGGGAGTGGAGCGTTGATTCTATGGCATGTTTAGAATGGGAGTTGTATGAGGTGGTATAGCGGAAGGGACGTACGGCGCTTCTTTATCTTTGCGGTTTTGGCCATTTTGGCGGAGAGTTCGTGGGTGTTCGGAGGTGGCTGTTGGTAACAAATGGTCGCTAGGTGGCGATACGGAGCAGTAAAAGCACCGGGGGAGTACTCTCTGCAAGGTCCACGGAGAGAAGCACAGCGGCGTCGGTTTTCTCGGTTTCTTGGTGGAATTTCGTGAAAGTGCAGTCCCCACCGAAATTGAAGCTGCCAAAAGTTCACGCCAAGACTTCGGCAACCACTCCCGCAGCGGCGGTTCACGCCCAGGGCGATCCCAAGGGTCCCGCTAAGCACACGACTCTTCTAGATCAGCATTCACTCACCCCTCGCCGCCATTCACTCCTCGCTCCGAAACTCCGTATACATCTCGATGTCGCATACTATTACTACGCAGCGGTGTTTGCTCAAACCAACGCTGTGTATGCGCTGGCCCAAGGGTTGAAGAGACGCCGCCGCTCAACCGCTTCATTACCTTCTACGATACCGCAGCGACTGCCTACATCGTGTCTTTCATCACGGGCTGGGAGACTAGGACCGGTGCCTAGACTAAAGCGATGAGTCGGCTTTACGAAGACGAGCGCGCGACTTTCGCATACAACTCATACAACGACCGGAGGTTTACTCAGGACAGCTCCACAACCTCGTTCGGATCTGTACTGCTTGCGGTCCTTGCGGCGGCATACGTCGTCGTCAAAGCTCTCGAAATACTTGGATACCCCGTCTGGCTTTGGATACACATGGCCAACGAGAAGCTGTACACGCTTCGCCTCCGCGGCGCCGGATCAACATCTGGCGATACATCCCCCGGCGAGGAGTCACAGAACGCAGAGATGCAGCGCGGAGGAAATGTGCTGAGCAGTGTCTTTGGGCTGAACAGCAGCAGTCTGCTGCAGAAGGGCGTGAGGGGAGTTACGGGCGCTCTATCGAAGGGCTCCAGCAGCGTGCCCCCGGGTCTAGGCAACTGGGACAACTCATGCTACCAGAACAGCGTCATTCAAGGCCTTGCCTCCCTTCCTTCCCTTCGCGACTACCTCTCCAAGACGACTGGTGAATATCGCACCTTGGATGCTGAAACTACGAACGGCGCGCTTTTCGACATGATCAGCAAGCTCAACGACACCGAGAATCACGGTCAGCACTTTTGGATACACGGGAAGCTCAAGTCGATGAGTACGTTTCAACAGCAGGACGCGCAGGAGTACTACTCGAAGATTCTGGATGCGTTGGACAAGGAAGTGCAGAATGCGTCAAACAGTAAGAGACGGACCACTGCGTCCTGGCTTTTGGCTGCGAAGAGCTTGAGTGACTTACCTGTGGCTACTACAGGTGATGAAGAGAAGTCTACGATTGAAGACGAGGACGCAGAGCCCCAGAAATCGCCCGAACAACCAAAGATCGTGCCCAACCCTCTCGATGGACTGCTCGCCCAACGCGTCGGATGCATCAAGTGCGGCTACTCCGAAGGGCTCCAGCTCATCCCGTTCAACTGCGTCACAGTCTCTCTTGGCACCAACTGGGCTTACGATATCCGCGACTGCCTCGACGAATACACGAATCTGGAATACATTGAAGGCGTCGAATGCGCGAAGTGTACCCTTCTCAGGCTGAGGGACACACTCTCTCCCCTTGCAGCGCTAAAACCAGAATGTAAAGCCCGGCTGGAACCTGTCCTGGAGGCGCTCGAAGACGATGATTTCGACGACAAGACCCTCGTCAAGAAGTTCAACATACCGAAGAAGAACTGGGTGAAGAGCACAAAATCACGTCAGGCGGTTGTAGCTCGAGCGCCGAAAGCGCTGGTCCTCCACGTCAACCGGAGTATCTTTGATGAAATGACAGGCGCGCAGTACAAGAATAACGCCGGCGTGGCTTACCCGCGGGTTCTTGATCTGGGTCATTGGTGTCTGGGTAGCCAGCCGAGCGATTCTCACCTTCCTGATTCCGCGGAGGAAGAATGGCCGCGGGATCCCACGAAATCAATGGTCGGCGGTGCTCAGGCCAATCCTACATCCACCCCGCCATTCCAATACCAGCTCCGAGCTGCTGTAACTCATTACGGCAGCCATGGCAATGGACATTATGTCTGCTACCGGCCGTATCCCTCGAAGCCTGAGTTCTCGCTGAACCCAGATGGTGCGCTTAATTCAGCGACCAACGAGCAGTGGTGGCGATTCAGCGACGATACGGTCTATGCGGTGGCAGAACAGGAGGCCCACCAAGGGAACGTGTTCATGCTATTTTACGAGCGGATTGACGAGCATGCGTCATCAATGCAAGAGGAGGCCGAGACACTACAGACGATTGTTCCAGTGGAGGATCTGCCTTTGCCTCCGGATTGCTACATAGTCTCGACCGGCGAAGCTCTGGACGATGCTGCTGCCGATGTCCCGCTACCCACAGACGATGATGACGAATCTCTTCCTGATCTCGTAGCGTCTCCAGACGCGCATGCTCCGCCAGTTGCCCTTACCGGGCCCTCCACACCAGAGGAGCGTCCCACCACGCCCGCTGCCATGAAACCCATCTCCGTCGAGTCCTTCGCATACCCCACACCACCTCCCGACACACCCTCCACAACTCTTCAAGAAGACACCGAAATGTCAGAAGCCGACTCTGAAGACGCGCCCTCCACACAGCTCACCTCCGATGACGAGCCAGACGCCGCTCCAAACACCCCGCTTCCAAAAGTTGCACCAAGCCCGCATTTCATGCGGACAGCAGGCCAGTCGCCAGCAAGAGGGGAAGGGAACAGAGCAAGCTTACCTATGGTCACGGCTACGTAGCGTGCAGTCAGACGTTTCCTTCGTTTTATACATAGGGTCTTTTAGCATTGCATGTGCATTAGCGTTATCACTGTGGTCGTTATTATTCAGGAGGAACCTGGAAATGGGATGTGCTGTGCGCAGGCGTTACAGGCAAGGAGTTAGAAACCTGTTGCCCGCATGGGTCAGGCTGGCGTTGGGTTTGCTTGATGCTGAAGGGCATGACATGATATTTGCTAATTGCATAATGAAGCTATTGAGTCGTTCAAAGGCTGCACCTCTTTTCTAATGCCCTGACCCGTTCTCAGTCATCCTGGTGTTACTTTCCCTTTGAGGTTCTTTGCGGTCCTGCTCCCACAATTGAGCCTTATCTCGTTGTTCTGGCCTAAGTTTCTGATCCAAAGAGCCTTCAAAGGAACGATTCTACATCCTCCAGTCATGTTCTTCATTGCCTCGACGGAGTAAGTCGCTATGGCATGGAAGAAAAGTGCGAGCTCTAACAACCGCGTTCCCGCTGGTGTTTGACTATCGTGGTTCATACGGTTCTATAATTAGCTAAGTAGTCAGGCGCCTTGCGCTATTACACACCTGCAACCACGAACAGATAAAAATCATCGCCAAAAAATAAATAAACCCACGAGCCCGCCAGGGATCGAACTAGAACGATTATTAGTGTCAATGCAACTCGAGGAATGCTTGGACTTTACCCTGGAATCTCTTGATTGTACACGGAATCGTAGTCAAGCGCCTTGCCATTTGGCCACGAGCCCGTTTACTGGATTTCTGGGGGAATTTGAGGCTTGGGGAAGTTATGTGCCAATGGCTATGCGGGTTGTGAAGGCAAGGGTGGAATATGGGGGCGGAGAGGGTTAGCGAGCAAATTTTGCTTAGGGGTTGCAAAAAGGGATTGGATCGAGTGGGGCGGGACGGGACCGCAGTGCGTTACTCGGTTTGGATGTGCGTCCTAGACTCTCGGGTTGTTGGTAGGAGGATGGAGAATATTTATAATGTTAAGAATATCAGATCTAGGTCACAGGTTATCATATGTTCTATAACGACGGGGATGTGTTTGCTTTGCTATATTGAGTCCACATGCCAACGCCACATTCTCGACGGCACAGCGCTACACCCTCGCATGAGCCTACCGAGTCGCGTTCGTCGGATGGATGAGAAAACATGGTGTAAATCAAAGCCAATGCTCATGAGCAAGCATTCCGCGATATATCCGTCCTTTGTCCTGGTCGCGTGCAGTCACGCTATCCCGAACATAAGCGACTCAATCCGGATACTAGCAAACAAAGAAAGATCAACGCCGTCCTAAACGCTACAGACTAATAGAATGATCACTCCACCGACTGCTTCCAGAGAACAGCATATATGATATCCTAGGACGGATTCCGCTTCATCCATCCCCCTCCCAACCATACAACATCTACCATGTCCACCACATCCCCTACACGATCCCAAGAGCCTTCAAGCCCCGGCTTCCCACCCATCCCGCACGGAAACCTCAGCGCAAAGGGTCTCGATACAACGAACACCACCTACCCCGTATCTTTCGTCCGCACGCCACTTCCTCTCCTTCCCTTTCCCCACCCGAAGTGGCACATCCAGCCTTCGACGGGCGAGATCTACGAGGTGACCAGCCCGATCCTGGAAGAGTATGATCCGGTGACCGGATATATTGGGAGTGTGGGTGCGGTCAGAGAGAGCATCGAGCGACCTGATGAAGGGTTTCGGGAGGGCAGCGACAGGAAGGTGGAAGATGGCAGCCCGCAAGGTTGGAATGGATATGTAAGACACCCGGAAAGCCATGAGCGCAGCAGCATACAACTGGAAGCGAAGAGAATCCGTGAGGAAAGGGAAGGTTATGTGAATGTGGAAACAAGTAAGAGGCAAGGAGTCGGGAATGAGGATGTCCAGTGATCGGTGGCCCCTGATATCTTTACGTTGGGGAATTTCTGCGAGGAGGCTGTCAATACATCTTAATCAGAGCTCCCATTGCGCGACGGAGCTCCAATCAATCCCGTCATCTCCAACTGGAAACTCCATCCCCTCAAACACAGGCGCGGTGAAAAGGTCCAAGTCGAGCTCCAAGTCTAACTCTCCACTGACAGGCGTGGCTTCCGGCGCGCTGTTGGCCGGTTTAGGATCCAGTACAGCATCCACGATCCTCGTAAACGTCTTCGAAGCCTTCCTGCACAGATTATAGTTCGCCTCGCCCGGCCTCGCGCCGGAACAGTCCAAATGCGCCGCAGCATCAAGATGGGAAATCAGCACGCTAAGCATGCGAATGACTTCTGCGCGCGATATCGAAGGCGGAAACTGCGCACCCGTCCGTTGCTGTTCCTGCAGCGCGATCGCGAGGACCGACCCGCTCGGTATCCCATGATGCATCATGATATAGAGGAAGTCGCGATGGATGTCGTAGGACCGATCGCGCACTGTGCCGAGCGTCAGGGTGCTGGACAACAAGTACGTACTAACGCGTAGCAGCTCCGTGTTCGACGTGAGGGGTTGCCGATCGAGCAATTTGTGGATCATGAATTCGTTGTACCAATGTGCTTGATGGACTGCGACGAGCATGAGGCACACTCTGGGCTGGATACCTTCGTCCCAGCAGCTAGCCCGGTAACGTAGGTGCTGCGGGAATGTTTCCCAGCTTGAGTGGATGCGCCGAGATATGTCACTGCTGCGCCGTTAGGGTTTGATAAAGGTGAAAATTTCTCCAGCCAACAGACTTACAGTAGTTGTCGTTCCACGTTTTCGTCAAGTTTCATCGACGCCAGGTCGAGAATCTCTTCGCGGAATTGCGATGCCACAAACCTTAAACGCTGAGATATTGTTAAATCCTACCTTTGACACCAGCATTTTTCAACTTACAAGCCATGCCGCTCTGATGTAGAGACCCTTCGTGTTCCACCCCTGCTCGTCCAAAGATTGTATCGCACTGTCTAAAGTTGCTGGATCGCTGATAAGGTCGTCGTCGGATAAGTCAAGCGGCATCTTTACATCGGTATGTCTTATACTCATTCGGAGGGGCCGGCCTAAAAACGTGGAGATCATCTTGTCGTTGTTGTATGTCGAGCAGAAGACCCTTCTGCGCGTTTCGGCGAGCCATGGTGGCAATCCCACCCAGCTCGATTCCCTGTGCAATCCCAGGGCATCTGCATGCCGGGATATGTGTTAGCAAGCGTCATATATCATATACAAATCCTAGGGAAGTCACACGGTGAGTGAAGTGCTGACACTCAAGTATAAGCGAGTGTTTCCCTATCCACTAAAGAGATTTAGGAGTCGGTTTCCGAACTTAAAGCAAACAACCTCTAAAGACGAACTCGGTCGACTTACAGCCTTGCGTTACCCATTCGCCGAGACGCATCCAAGAAGGCGGTCCTTATTATGTTAGCGGAATCAAGAGATCGAGGACAGACTGGCCGCCGTACCAGTGTAACCGCACACCAATAACGATAGCATGTAGTTCTCGTAGAACATCCACAATATGAGGTCGTTTACCGGGCTGATCAAATTGCATAACATGACGCAAGCAGTGCTGGCGCGAAGCATCTCGTCGATAAGGCGAGGTTTTAATGCACGATTGTCGGCGTCGGCGAACAGATTGGAATAGGCTCCAAAGACCAGAGCCCTACCGGCGAGTGCAAGAAGCAGACCCAGAGTCTCGAACCGTAGGTGGTCGCCTGAGCAAATCTTGTGGAATTCTCGCGCAGGTAACGACGGAGAGACACGCAGCGGTCGAGTGCTGTTCTCCAGGACATCTGATACTAAGCGAGGGTCTGGGACGGAATTCGTGAGCTTGTACTTTTCCACAAGGGGTCGCAGAGCATTGACTAGATCAACTTCAAGGGGTAATGGAACTACTCCGGCCTGGCAGCTGTCGGCATACCATAACACAAGGTCTCGGATCAGCGGATAATGGCGTAGGGCTCGTAAGATATCGGTAGCCATCTGAGTGCGTATCGGTTTAGTGAGTGGGTGTTGGTGACACAATTCCCTGTCAGAATCTTCAGATCCCACAGATGCTGCTCGATCGCGTTGCTCCGGAGAATCGTCATCTTTCGGTAAGATAGCCGCATAACTCGTAGGACCAAGGTATCCGGGGCGATATGTCTCCGCCGCGACAGCGTCTGCGAGCCGGTCATCTTGAGACAAAGAAGGAGTAGGAAGCGCCTCCCAGGGATTAAGTCTTGAAGTTCGCCTGGTCTTATTAGCCTCCGACATAAGGATTCTGATAGAGCGAATGCTTGACTAGAGCCTCGTACTTTCTCTTAGCGGGTCGAGGATCGTTTACACGATCCTCGTCCACCTCCCGACGTTTGGTAAGCGGAGCTGGATGGTAAAAGCACCGATCGGCAATGCCTCGTTGGTGACATCGGCCGCATTTGGGATAATTATGGTCGCATTTTGTCTTGTTCAATCTACAAGGCTCGCAAGATGCGGGCTTTCCGTTTCTCCTGCTTGAACTCCTACTCTCGTAAGCGACTGCGACGAAGCCCGAGTAGAGACAGTTCTACATGTGTTATAGATGGCTCGAGCGGGGCAGAGCGGGAAGCTCTTGCTTTTCACGATGGATAGGTGCCCATATATCCTTGGTTAGTGTTGATAGAGTCATGTAAAAGAGCTTCGACGGATGACGAGACGATCGTCGATGAGACGAAAGAGGAAGGTCGATGCTGGGGCTAAAGTTGAGTTTGGTCCGGTCACGTGCTTCTTGATTCTAAAAGCGGCTAGCCTATAGCATGATGCCACTTCGCTCCCGTTGGCAAAATCTCAGCCGATTCTGCTTGCCCGCTTTCGGGTGCTCAACTGCTTCTTTCACTGTGCCTGATCTTCATGGCTTCAAACGTATGTTCTTGTCCTTCTCAAATCTATCCGCATTGTTCTCGATCGGTCACTTACCATTACCGACAGCGGGAAACCGAGGCTGAAGGGCCTCAAATCCGAAAAGACAGTCTATGCCGGGCCGGATTCTTGGATCTTCCTCGGGAGCTGCGCGATCTCATCTATGAATTTGCACTGCGAGTAGCCGGCGCCATCTTCATCTTCTCGCAAGATTCCTATGGCTATCGGCCCATTCTCAAAGCACGAGTCGTCAAATACAAGAACGATGGGCCGCCCGAACCCCAGCATATAGATGAAGCCATTCCAGTAGGTTTGCTGAGAACGTGTCGACAAATCCATTCCGAGAGCACCGAAGTACTTTACAGTTGTAACATCTTCCGCCTATACATGTCCAATGCGGATTTCGCGCCTTCGTACTGCTCTTTTGTGCGCCATATCACTTTTACCATGGAGGCGGGCAGAGGCATATATAGCGACGACCGAGAGACCATGGGGTACTGGTGGAGGAGGGTGTTCTGGCCGAATATCCTTGAACGGAGTGCCAACCTGCTGCGGCGGTTTCCTAACCTGGAAACACTGACGTTCCCAATAAAGTCAAATCAAGTGGGACATACCTGGCGCCCTGCGTTTACGGTGGTGGAACAAAAGACGAGAGAGCAGCGAATCGATCTTGCAGCTCGATGGTTGAAGGTCAATTGTCCATTGGCGGGGACACGGCTTCGAGATTGCTTGCGCCTGGAAATTATGCCCTCCGCTGGCTTCTCAAAAGATGAATACAAAGGCTCATGGTTCTTCCCAGAAGATGATGAAGATGAGTGGGACTACACTGAATTTGCGGAAGCGTTCGACATGATGAAGCGCCTGTAACAGCGTTGGGAAGAGGGGATACTGTGGGGAAAGTCTAGCCGAACAGGGACCGTGCGCCTACTAGGCTTCATCTTGACGCCTGCCTTTCTCCAACCTTCATCCTTTCCGGCTATCATTCAAAACAGCATACATAGCCAACGGTCAGCCGCGTCAAACCAAACCCAGCGCTGTTGTGCATATTGTCACCCATATCGATCCCCCATGTCGTCAAATACGTCCATGGATGCCATTCTTACGGCCATCAACAATCTGAAGCAGGAGGTAACCGGTCTGAGATCGAGCCTAAACTCTGCCGAAGACAGAATTGCTAGGCTCGAGGCAGCGACCTTCACGCCGTTCGGTCCTCTCTCGCCGTCCGAAAATGCGCCAGAAGTCGTTCAACATACGTCGAACCAGGGTGACGATGCCGGCAAGCAAAGCTCTTTGGAAAAGACCGGCATACTGGAAAGTGCTCTCACTACCTCTCCGCCGCGCTCGAACCAGGAAGCCCCCGACAAGACTGCGCAGGTAGAAAACACTTGCCCGCCGAAAGCTCTCTGCGATATTCAACAACATCTGAAACCGGTCAACGATAGCCTTGCAGCGATTACGAAGCAGCTTTCCCGCATCGAACTCGCTATCAACCATTCTACCTCCACCAGCCACTCGCCGCCATCATCTTCGCCAGGTTCTATCAAAACTCACGATGCCCAGACTACAGATCCGACACCGTCGAAGAAGGAAAATGAACCACATAGCCTGGCCAAGGAGCAATCATCATCTCTTGATAAATTCGGGACTTTCCGCCGTAATCTGGAAATCTCGGGCTATAAAAAAATTGCCGAAAACGCTCGCCCTGTTTTCGGTCTGCCTTCTACACCAAGCCGACGAGTTTCGTCGCTGAATTTCGATGTCGCTGCTTCTCCATTTGGGAGCTACAGTGATGAAAGGTCTCCATTCAGTCTGCTTGCGAAGCCGGCCGGTGCTAGCAAAGCCGGTACGTTGAGCGCCGAGCCCTCTACTCCAGCATCCTGTTTTCGTGGGCTCGGCTCTGACCCTCGAACAGGCTTCGGGACACCTGGTGCAACAGGGAGGAGAAACTAGGATGTTATGTATTTGAGCCGTTAGCCCCAAAAGGTGTTTTCGATTTTCATTTCTATCAGGCTAGGTCGAGGAACTTCTTTCCTTGGGAAGGAATGTCATTTCGCGCCTTTAGGAGTTCTGGAATGAAACATGAGTTTGTCTTGCGCATTTAAGACATTTGGTCTCCCAGCGCTTTCTAAGTCTGCTTCGACTTATCACGCGGTCCTTCAACAGAGCGGTCTCGGCTTCACAATGACTGTCTCAGCAGGGGTCTTGTTAAGCATCATCCTCTAATAATGCTTCAATATATCGGCTGTACCTGGAAGGCCCTCAGTACCTAGTCATGGCTTTTACACTGTCAGTTCGGTGCAGCCTTCCTCATCTCTTTCCCAGCTTGTTCGCCGCATTGGACAGGCTCAGAGATCACCCCTACGACGCAGGCTGGCTTCTAGGCTGTGTCAGCGACGTCCCACTGTGCTTCATCATTACTTTCGTATGCACAACGGGTCATGTGGTTCATGATGTTTGCCTAGAGAAGTGGGTGAATGGATCGGCGATGTGTAATGCGAATATATGCCCGCTGGACCGTGAGCAGATCTGCGACTCACGGCAGCGACGCTACCGCACTGAGGGCCAAAATACATAGAGTCTAGGGGTCGCTAAGAGGATCAGGACGGTTAGATAGGCATAGGACTGCGTACGACGCTTAGAGGATTTGGCACGCTAGACGAGCGAAACGCCCGTTCATGGCAAGAAAGTTTTAATTCTGTGAAGCATCCAATCGTAAATTATCAAGTATGACGCTTCCGGAATATCAACATGTCTCCCGCTCCTACACCGCTAAGACCAGCCTAAAGGCCTTAAGTGAGGTATCCAACGGCAATCTGTTGATCGTGCTGACTGCCGCCAGCCCAAAATATAATGAGGAGAATGGAGTTTCGAATATTTCGCAGTGCCCTTCTACTCGCTCTCCGCTGGCGAGAAAAGTCAGCGCAACGGCGGCGAAGGAGTCACTAGGGTTATCGAGTCGAGTGCAGAGAGCGACTTGACCTCGATGAATTCGGAGCGGAGGGTTTGTCGGCCGTATGGCATGAACGGTGGCAACAAGGGAGAGACATTCTCTATTTAGCGTCTTCTCAAGGGTTGCTGTACACGAATGACCTTTCAGCACTGTACTCTCATAACGATTAAAAATGGAAACATAGACATTTAGAAGTCTATAAGGTGCGGCATCTGCCGACCGAGATGTGCACCAAGATTCCGCACATTCGACCAGGACAAGCTCCGGCGCCTTTGAGTTAACCCACTCTTGCTTCCCGCACTTGGTTCGCCGTTCCGCCTCACGGTATGCTGATTACCCTGCCAACCTGGGCCACCCAATTACTGAGGTTCATGCTCCCTATCCCGAGCCTCGCACAGTACCGTCCGGCAAACTGGGCAAGTATTCGCCTTACTCATAGCAGACCCATTCACCCATTGATACAAGCACTCGTCATGGAACAGATGTCCACATAACGTCGAGACGACCCCACCGGCTTCCGCTTCAGCCTGCGTGATCTCCTCCTGGCATACCCCACAATCTTCCGGTAACGTTCGGTAGGAATGACAGAACTTTTCTCGAGGGATCGGATTTCCGGTTGGTCGATATTCAACGGCAGTATCATCTGGAGCGGCTTCCACCCACGAGCCAATGTATCGTGGATACTCTATGTCCTCGTTTTCGTTGCTACAAGTCGTTTTGATAGCGTCAACGAAGTTGTCCGTATCCTCGTTGTTCGGGGCATTCGGGCCAAAGAGATGTTCCCGCGAAACGTCGAATAAGTCCATGTTGAACTGATCCCATGCTGGCCAGGCAGTTTCCTGGGTCCATCTCGCGGGATCCTCCATCTCTGCCTCGACCACGCTGTATCGGACATTGCGGTCAACTTTCTTATCGACGTAGTGCTCCGCGGCACGAGCAAATTCATCCATGAACTTTCGTTCGAGGCGCAAGGCGCTGGCGTTTAATCCTTGTCTGATAAGCCACGTGTATAACTCGTTCTTGATACTTGTGAAATGAGGAGAATCAGGAGGAGGTGGCTGGAGAACCTGGGATGTGAGCGCCATTGAGGCTATCAAGAGCAATCCTACTGTGCGGCCGGCTTCGCCAAGAGGGAGTGTGCCTCGCTTGTAAGCATGGATTGCGTCTAGGAGAGTTGGAAAGTTGTCCAAGAACCAGATGTAGACCTCCGAACTGTTTTCAGTGCGGTAGTCCCTTGGGGTTCGTTTGTATCGTGCCATGGTAGAGCTGATTCGAGTTGTGGATCGTTGATACGATCGAAAGGGGAGGGTATGCGGTCTTATGTATAGGACAGCCCGAGAACGCCGAATCGAAAACCAGAGGTGAGGCCATTGTCCCCCGCAGTGACTGTCGCCAACGAGTGAGTGAAAGTTGGCGGAAGGATGGTGTTGATTTGAGTTATAGTTTAGCCGAGTCGGCTGAGCAGGTCAAGTATCGCCTCGATTTCTAAATCGGGTGAGTCCCCAGTGAAATGTTCGAAAGGAATAATCGCTCTGGAGGTGATGAACGCTCTGAAGGGTCGCGGTCGTGTGTAGATGCAACCCCAAACCCGGGAGGAGTCGTAGAGAGTTCTCCAAGTTGAACACACCATCCTTCTATACCTCACTCCTCCATCTCTTCCGCATCCACTTCAAAGTACATCCCCCAGTGCCTCTTACACCTCGGATTAAACCCACTTCCGCACTTCGAACACTGACTTCCACTCTCCAAGTACTCCATCACACTTAGCGCATGTTTACATGCCCCACAAAGCACCGTCTTCTCTTCTCGTTTATTTCTAGGCCAAACATCCGGCTTGTGACTCTCTAATGCATTGTGGCAGCTAATGCATGCGTAGAACTTGTTGCAGCAAGCGTGCTTGATGGCTATGATGTCGAGCGGTGAGGAGTAGTGGGTACATTGTGTGAGTGGGGAGACTGAGAGGCCGTGTACGGTGGGAGCAGTAAGTTTGGGATTTGGAAGCGTCATGAAGGTGGTGGTGGAGAAGAGAGCAGAGGTTGTCGACGGCTTGAGGTCGAAGCGTAGCAGATCCGGCCTTTCCTCTTTGGGATAGCATCGATGAAAGATCCACCAGATCCCGAGGTCGATAGCTGCCCGTCAATCCGAGCTACTTGCAGATGTTTGAGTATTCGGAAAGGCCATTGTTACGGTATGAAATCCTAGATTCCATTCTAAAGTTCCTCAATTATCGATCAATTGATCGCGTGCGTTCGAGACGGCAAGCAGAGTAGTGCCCCGAAAGGACGAAAATGACGCAACACAGGATAATGCAGGCAACAATTTTTATTCGTCAAAAGCAAAGTCGTCGAGTAGGATTTGCTTCTCCATTGCTTTTCTTCTCGCCCACGGCCGTGCCAAAAGCAAGTCCGAAGCTCGCCGAAAAACGTCAATACGAAAAGGCTCCTAGCCCCTCCCCCGCCATCGGCCAATACTTTTGAGCTCAACAACACACGGCACCACCACAACTTCAGCCGCTTCACTCACCACGACCTAACCTCCATATACTTCGTCTTCAGGCAGAACTAGAGCAAATACCGCCAAAATGGGTCGCCAATTCTTCGTCGGAGGCAACTTCAAGATGTACGTTACAAGCAGAGCTGTGAGTGAGTACCTGCGCAAGGATGGTCTGACACGTCTAAAGGAATGGCAATATCAAGACCATTCGGGATATTGTGCACAACATCAACCAGGCTAAGCTTGACCCGAACGTCGGTATGTCTACTTAATTCCTCTGTATTCTTCAAGGAGTGGAAACTGATGGTGCCGCAGAGGTCGTGATTGCGCCGCCATCCCTCTACCTCCTCCTCGCCCGCGAACACCTCCGAAAGGGCATCGAAGTCGCGGCGCAGAACGTCTTCGACAAGCCGAACGGCGCTTTCACCGGCGAGATCTCCGTCGACCAGCTGAAGGAGAGCGGCATTACCTGGACTATTCTGGGACACTCGGAGCGGAGAGTCATTCTGCAGGAAGACGACCAGTTCGTTGCGAGCAAGACCAAGGCGGCTATCGATGGCGGATTGGGCGTCATCCTGTGCTGCGGCGAGAGCTTGGAGCAGCGCGAGGCGGGCAAGACCATCGAAGTCGTGACGACGCAGCTCAAGGCTGTCGCGGAGAAGGTCAAGGACTGGTCGAGGATTGTCGTTGCTTACGAGCCTATCTGGTAAGCCTGCGTCTGCCTAATACACTTTCTCCTGTCTGACACTGTTCTAGGGCTATTGGTACCGGCAAGGTCGCGACCACCGAGCAGGCACAGGAAGTCCATGCTGCTATCCGTGAGTGGCTGAAGAAGGACGTATCTCCCGAGGCGGCCGAGGCTACACGCATACTGTACGGAGGAAGCGTCACCGAGAAGAACTGTAGCGAGCTGTCGAAGCAGCCCGATATCGATGGCTTCTTAGTCGGCGGTGCTAGCTTGAAGCCCGCCTTCGTTGACATCATCAACTGCAACAATGCGTGAATGCATGGTGGCGATGCTCGTCTCTAAGGACGGGTAAAGAAGGTGGGCTTCGCTAGGGGTGGAAGGCATATCAAGGGTCTAACATTACCTTCTCAAAATCGACTGTACTGGATGAATGGGCCGATGCGTAAAGAATCTTACAATGGCTCTTCAAGTGATATGTTTGTTACAATATTGCACAGTTGCTGTACACTTCGACAAACATGCGCCTCCCATGCAATCGTGTTATCCGCGCCATAGCCAGACTGAAGAGGTCCAGGAGGCCCTTTATTCTTCCTACCCGGTTGCCCAAGTCACTTTCTGTCGCCCGATCTCCAGCCATCGTGCTTATCATATCTGAATCTTCGCGCCATGGAATGGACTCCAAATGCCTCTCACGCTCTCATTGATACTTGTCACCGGCTTGTTGACCCTCTTGTTCTTCTCCCCGCTTGCATCCCTTAGCAACTCTGCCTTCTCCCTTACACCCTCGTTCGTCAGGTTCCGTACGCATATCGCTCGCTGGTTGCCGTTGATGTAGTGTGCTCGTATCACCGGGTGTCGTCTCGGTCGCGGGGAGACGGAGATCTCAATCTGAGGATTGCGCTTTGCGAAAGAGGGGAGGGAGGACTTGATGAAGGCGTTCATGCCTCGTGAGGAGCCGGCCCAGTCGCAGTAGTGGAACTCGAGCTTCCTGCATTGGAGGATGAAGGCACCGACGCCATTCTACAGTCGATTAGAACCCAACCTTCGTCATGGAGATGTATGAGATGCAATTGATACATACCTGAGGCTTTGCGACTGTTCTGATGGCCGACAGCGGCATGATTGCAGCGTGATGGCGATGGCTCCTACGCTTTCACAACTGATGAACTCGACCCTTGCCCCGAACTTTTCGCGGAAGGCGCTATCACGTGCTAGGCTGGCGCGCCAAGCCCTCCTTGCGAACAACTTACCTCGAGCTCTCGTCAACACCACTTCTCCATCGTCGCTCCCTCCCCACTTTTCCAACAACACCTTTCAACATCGCCATCTGACGCGCTCAGGACACAAATCAGCATGACGGACAAACTCCCGCCGATGTTGCTCCAGCTCTTCGCCCCGCGGCCGCCGCTGCGTTGGGTTGAGCCCTCGGACCACGCGCCCGAGAAGCGCCAGACAGCGCGCATCTCTGGTGTGGGCCAGTACTTGCAAGCATTGAAGGAGTACAAGGATAACGACGGCTACGTGCCGACCGACAGCTGGCTGCAGAAGCGCGACCGCAAGAAGATGGAGAAGAAGGAGAAGCAGGAGAAGCTCCTCACTGAAGGCGTAAAAGAATGTACGACATCACACACTAGAGCATCTACCCGAGATGCGTGAGTAGGTATCTGCTCTGAACAAGGCTAACGCTTGACAGACAAACCCAGCGAAGACCCCAAAGTCCAAGGCGACGCTTTCAAGACCCTCTTCGTCTCTCGCCTCGCCTACAACGTCACCGAAGACGATCTCGAGCGCGAATTCGGTCGCTACGGACCAATTGAGAGGATACGAATCGTCGAGGACGTCACTGCCTCGCCGGACGCGGAGCCCAAGAAGCGCAAGCGAGGCTACGCCTTCATCGTGTACGAGCGCGAGAAGGATATGAAGGCTGCCTACAAAGAGACCGACGGCATTAAGATTAAGGATCGACGCGTTTGCGTCGACGTCGAGCGCGGTCGTACGGTATCCGGGTGGCGCCCGCGACGATTTGGTGGCGGCCTAGGTGGGCGTGGCTACACCAAAGGCCCGCCTGCGCGCCCCGCTGGTCCTGGTGGCTTCGGTCCTCCTGCTGGGCCTGGCGGGTTTGGCCGAGGCGTTGGCTTTGGTGGAGGCCGATTCGGGGGCGGTCGCGGTGGTTTTGGAGGTGATCGTGGTGGTTTCCGCGGCGGATTCGGTGGTCGCGGCGGCGGCGGCGGCGGAGGAGGAGGCTATGGTGGCCGATCAGGTATTGGCTACCAGTCCAACGGCTATGGACCTCCCGACGGTGCTCCCTCCGGTCCTCGTGGTGGACGGGGTGGGTTTGGCGGTGGCTTCGGTGGTAGCGGCGGAGGCCGTTTCGGCGATGACCGACGCAGCTATGGCGATCGAGGATCAAGCGGTGCAAATAACGAACCCCTCGGAAGCAGAGATCGATACCGTGATCGTGAGCGCGATCGCGATGGTGGGTATGGTGGCCGAGACGACCATGGCTCCCGCAAGCGTGGGTATGAAGGCGACAACTACGACGATCCGAGACAGCGACGGAGGTACTGAGCAGACCGTCAGCTCAGTGTACTCATATGGGTTTGTCAAAGGTTACCTTCCTTTCTACGCCTGTTCGTCTAACCCTTTATGACAACGAGGGTAAGATCAGCAACTCAACTTCTCCGAAAGCACAGCACCTGCATCTACGGCTGGAGAGGGTAAGCATCCACGGCATCTCGACACCGGCTTCTTCACGACATCTTTCACTCGACTTGCATTCATCAGCTTCTACACCTTTTCGCGACTTCGAAGAAAAGGAAAAGTATGACACAGTGGGCTCGACTGGGGGATAACTACCGTCATGACTACTTCCGGCACCGTTCTGCAATAGTGCAAACCGTCACACAAACAGACATAACCTGGTTCATCTTGCACAGCGCTTACCGCCAGCGCTTATGGAAAGAGACCTTGCAAACAGTGTTAACCGTCGGCGCAAGCGAACATGGCAGTGGAGCGGAAGGGTAGGGCAAAGGTGAATTTCTTTCCGTGTTTTACTATGTGTTTGTTTCCTTTCTCCATCTCTTTCTGGCGGGTAGGTATGTAATTATTACCGCACTATAAGTGCTTTCCTAGATTCAACAAGGTGAGATCAGAGGTAGGGAGCCTTTCCTCACGTCATGATCTTGCCTCCATGCCTTATGCCCTTTCCCTAGGTAATCTTTACGTCTTACGGAAGCTTCTGTGTTTGTGTTCCCTGGCGACTGCCACTGCATCCAAGTTATAATGCTGCTGCGACACCCGAGCTGTATCAATGCCTGTACATAAGCTCATTGTGTCTTCGATAGCGCACTTTTGTACATATATATCTCTTTTTCCGCAGGTAGCTGAACTGGCCCGGCGCGGGCTTGTCATCCCTGCCATCTTGCGCGTTAGATGCTATGCAGTGGATTGCGATCTCTCCCGGATCTTTTGGGTTGGGAAGATTGGTCTTCGTTCCCCACTAGGGTCATCCGTGTACGCTGCCGCCTGTTTGTTTACTTTTGTAGGTTAGGAAAGCGTATGCCAGTAGCTTTTTTGATGCTTTTGATGCTATCGGTAGCTTTAACGACGTTTCTTTTATGTTGTCAATAAGTTTTAATGCGGTTGAGCACATGCACTCGTGGTGTGGAATTCTCTGGATATAAATATACGACGCACGTAACAGCCACTCCAGAAGTCTTCGCAGTTGCGTATAAAAGCACGGATAATAGTTAGCTATACAAGCAATCATTTCTGTATGGCGAGCCCTCGAACCCAGAGAATCCCCGAACGCAAGAAATACGACAAGACTTTGGCAGGATTGATCGTGAATGCTAGATTGCGTAATATCAAGACTTGGTATCTGGCCGATCCGATGTCCACCTAATCCGTCTATAGCTTCCTCTGTGTCCACAGCCGGCCGTAGTGCGGCGTTCGTTCTATATCGAAGACTGTCGTCCTGGCGTGCATTCGTACGCATCCTCAAAAAGCAACCTTGAGATCTAAACTCCTCACTTGCCGATAGTCAAGAATAGCCTATCCCCGATGTCCCCTAGGCCAGGCTTGATCATACCCTTCCCATCGACTTCCTTATCGCATCCCCCAGCCCACACCTGAACGCCCTCTACCCACTCGCTACACGCCCTGTTCAGCCCCTCCTCGGTGGCTAGCACCGCACACACAATGATCCTCTTCACGCCCCAGTCCTTCAGCGTATCGATGGCGGCACACGCCGTCGCGCCGGTCGCGATGATGGGGTCTACGATAATCGCGAGCTCGGCGGGCCCGCTGGCGTCGGGGTTCGCGGGCGTGGGGCTGTGGTAGGGCAGGTTGTTGTAGTACTCTACGGGCTGGAGGGTCGACTTCTCGCGGTAGAGACCGAGGTGGTGGACGGGGACTGGCGCGGGCAGGAGCGCGGACAGGGCCGGGATCATGGACAGGCCGGAGCGCAGGATGGGGACGAGCGAGATGCGGGGCGGAGGCGGGAATGTTGTGGTCGTGGTGTAGGTGTAGCCTAGGGGAGACTTGTCCTGATTGCAATCGTCAGTTAGGATGCCATAGCATAAGGTGGTATGTATCCCGTGCGCTGTGGTATGTCGAAGTATAGCGGGGTACATGACCAATACACCCGTCAGCCAGGCAGCTCGCTCCGCGGCTAGGAAGGAAACGGGTATTTGTATATATATGGTGGGCGGAGTATAAACATACCGTGCCGCTCTCCTGAGCCTGGAGACCCGAGGCAAGAGCCTCATACCCGACCATGAGCGCGATGTCATGCACCAGCGCCTGCACCTCTTTCGACCCTGTGGCTGCCGACCTGAGCTGCGAGAGCTTGGCCTGCAGGCAGGGATGGCTCGAGACGTGAGCGTTCGGTGGGAGGCTTGCCATTGTTGCGATGGTCCCGCTCAGCAATCACACTCAGTGGGCGTCGGAGGGAAAATAACACAGGGTGGCGGGCGTGAAACAGCCGTGGCCGCTGCAGCGAAGCGAACGTTGCTGGTCGGCCTCGGACGCAATGCAAGGTGACAGCAGCAGCAGCAAAACGCACGGCCGGTGATAAGGCCGCCCTGTCAACGGCCTAGTCTGCTCGGATGCGCGGCTTAGTGCATGAACTATGGCCGGCCTATCCTCGCGCAGATCCGACGTCAAGACAGGGAGCGGGAGGCAACGCGAGCGCTTTTTGGCTTGTTACACCATGGGGTCCTGTTGATTTATCACACACGGCCGGGCGCCGCCTCATGCAAGTGGGCTGCGGCTCTCAATGCGTGCGCGCTCAAAACAAACACTGTATTTATGTGCCGTTCGTCGCGCCTCGACCTGGCTTTCTCGCCTTTCCGGTCTCCGCTCCGCCAACTTGGACCTCGGCTTCTCCCGCTGGGCTCGAAGAGTGCAATTTTGCGGCCAGCTGCTGTGTGAGCCCAGACCATGGCAGACAGCGATGACGGCTCTCTGAGTCGCCGCGACTCGCACTACAACCAGCAGCGCTCCTCCCTGCCCTCGTCCTCGCGCTCAGGACGGACGCCACCTCGCTCCCGCCCACAGTCCCGACCCCATTCGCGCCGCCAGAGCTCGCAATTGCTCAACGAAACCAGCGGAGGAGCCCACGACGACTACACCCTCCGCGATGCCGCCGAGATTCCGTCGGTACCCTCCACTCCGTCGCCAGCGCCCGTCATCCCGCGCAGGAAACAAAGCCTGGACAAGGGCAAGCAGAGACGGAATACTGGTGGATCCGCAAGTCGCCACGGCAGTTCGGGGAGTCTGGCGCGGACAGGATCAAGAGGCAGGAACATAGATGAGCTACTGTCGCCGGCTGCGTGGGGGAATCTGAATGAGGTCGAAGGTCCGCGGCCTGTTCAGAATCCGTCTGAGAGGGAATTGTACCGGTATAACACGCTCGAAGAAGAGAGAGGAGAGTCGCAGCCGCGGTCTTCAAGAAGGCCTTCGCACCGCCAGCGCACTCCATCTGGCGTAGACTCATCCAGTGCATGGGAGGGCTTGAACGAAGTGGAGGGCCCCGCGCCTGTGCAGAATCCCTGGGAGCGGCGACTGTATCGCCACAGTACGCTCGAAGAAGAGAGGGGAGAGTCGCGGCATTCGAAACAGCGGCGCTCGAGAAGGTCTTCGAAGCGCTTGGCATCGGGAAGGGGCACACCGGCGACAGATTTCGACATCACAGCTTTGCCTACAATATCGGATAATCGCGGAGAGGGGGAGTACGAGCCTTCCAAATGGGCGACCGAGCTCTACGCTCTTTCATATCTCATTTTCTTCTCCATACTGGGTACATTGGCCCGTCTTGGTCTCCAATGGTTGACCTTCTACCCAGACACGCCTGTCACCTTTTCCGTCCTATGGGCCAACGTCGCCGGGACACTCTTTATGGGCTTTTTGGCAGAAGACCGGCGGCTCTTCCGTGATGAATGGGGGACGCGGACCCCGACACCACCACGGACGCCCATCCGCGACGAGGAGAAAGCAATTGAAGATCAGATCGCCCACGAAAAGGCCAATCATTCCAAAGTCAAGAAGACTATCCCTCTCTACATCGGCCTAGCCACTGGCTTCTGTGGCTCCTTTACGTCGTTTTCTAGCTTCCTGCGCGACATGTTCCTCGCCTTTGTGAACGACCTTCCTTCGCCCGCCAATCGTCCTGCTAGCTCGCCAAGCAGCGTGACGACGGATCTCACCCGCAACAGCGGATACTCTTTTATGGCCGGGATTGCTATCATGGTCACCACCGTGGCCCTCTCCTTCGCAGCCCTCAAGTTCGGCGCGCACGTCGCCATCCTGCTGGACCCGATCACGCCGACCTTCCCATTCCGCTTCACACGCCGCTTTCTCGACCCCCTAATAGTAATTGTGGGATGGGGCGCCTGGCTCGGCGCCGTCTTCATGGCTATCTGGCCGCCTGACCGCCCTGGAGGTCCGTCCAGCAAAGGAGCCTGGAGCAACGAAACATGGCGCGGCCAAGCCATCTTCGCCTGCGTCTTCGCGCCTCTCGGTTGCCTTTTACGCTTCTACGCCTCCCTCCGCCTGAACTCCCTCGCGCCCGCCTTCCCCCTCGGTACCTTCACCGTCAACATCTTCGGCACCGCTGTGCTCGCCATGGCCTACGATCTGCAGCACGTCGCTCTTGGTTCCTTGGCGCTCGTCGGCGGCGGTCGGGTGGGCTGCCAGGTGCTGCAGGGCATCATGGATGGCTTCTGTGGCTGCTTGACGACGGTGAGCACGTGGATACTGGAAATCGATGGGCTGAGGAGATGGCATGCGTATGTGTATGCGATGACGAGTGTGAGTGTGGGCCTAGCGGTGTTGGTCGTGGTTATGGGGAGTGTGAGGTGGACTGTCGGGTGGACGGCGGTTGCTTGTGTGACGTAAAGTATGGGAAGTAGGCGTGTTTCCGGAATGGGAATAGGAATGAAACGGGAAAGAAAAGGTTATAGTGTCTAAGTGTATGTTTATATGGGGATATGGCATATGTACTGATATTTTTCGCGCTACGACATAATGCAAAATGGATGGGCTTGGGTACTGGAAGGAAATGGGATTGCGTTTTGTATATAGCCTCGCCGCCGGGGCTGGAGGAACTTGAATGATGAAGAAAGAAGGGGATTACTGGCGATGAGGGTCTGCTTGCTGTATGATGGATTGATTAGCGGTAATATGTACTACCACTATTCTCGTCAACCCGCCTGCTCTTGATCTATGTCGTTTCTGACTAACGCTGTCTGTTGTACCTCGCGACCCTAGACAGAGCGCTGCATAACGCGTCGATATATCGAGCAATAGCATTGTCAACAGTAGTTGGATCCTTCTATGCCTTGCCTAGCCCATCCAAGACGAGGAAAACCACCCAAAAAAAGAGTTTAGTCATACCCACCACCATTACCATCACCTCCACCTCCCTCACTCCCTCACTCCTCCCCTTTCCCACACCAACCCTCCCTATCCACTAGCTCCGCCACCTCCCCCGCATTTACATCCGCATCCACGTTCCTAACCGGATCGCCCGCCTTCTTCCGCCACCGCCACCGCTTCCCCGTTTTCCCTTCGTTGTCCACAACCGCCTCGTGCGAAATACGGCCGTCGAGCGCGTGGCACTGTTTTACCGGGGCGAAGCGTACGCGTACGCGCGCTTTGCGCGGGACGGGTGCGTTGGCGTAGCGCGTGTAGTGGAGGTTTATGGGGTGCTGCGTGGGGGACGGAGAAGGGGAAGAGGAAGGAGAAGGGGAGGGGGAGGGCCATGAGCCGGGCAGAGCACGGGAGGGAAAGGGGGGGCTGGGGTGGATGGGGTACTTGGACTTGCGTCGATGGTTCGAGGGCTGCGCGGAGGAGGACGTCGAGGAGCTGTGCGGGGGAGAAGAGCTACGGTGAGTGTGAGTGTCCCAGTGTGGCTTTTTGTGCAGAGCCAGAGCGTTTGAAGATGCTGCGTGGTGGAGTCGCCGGTGGGGAGGAGAGACTAAGCGCGAGGGTAGGCATGAGGAGTCATTGGCTCGTTTGTTGTTGAGGTTGTCCTGCTGCTTCTTCTTCCGGTGTGTATGCGGGTTGAGAGCACTGTCACTGTCTTGCCGGGCAGTGCGTCGTGGAGAGGAGGATCCAGGTATGGACAGAGCGGTTAGTCTAGAACTAGTATGAGCGTTGTTCGTGGCGGAGATGGCGTGAGAGATGCTATCATCGATGCTGCTCCGTGAAGAGTACGTATCAGGCGGTGAGATAGCATTAAAGCGGGATAGAATGTCTTCCACCGGGGGGATAGCTCGACAGACACCGTGGGCGGTTGGACTCCTGGTGCCGTTCCCGGGCTTCTTCTGTGCTGTTGTGCGTGAAGGGGCTTGTTTTTCAGCGGGTGAGCCCCGGGCTTTAGGATGCCGGGATTCTTCTGGTAGAGTGCTCGATTTGCCGACGGTACGGGAGGTAGCTTGGGATCCACTCCTACGAGCGCTGGTGCGTGTGCGTTGTACGTCAGCGCCGATGCCATACTGTCTAGCTTCTCGAGGGCGCTCAGTCAGAGACATATCTTCACCTCCACGCCTGTAAGCCTGCTGAATACCGCCGCGCATCGAGTTAGCTTCCCGACAAGTCTGACCAGCAATTTGAGCACTGGCATTAGCGTTGGCATGCCTCTCCATGCCGTCTTCCCTTCGGCCCCCTCTAGAACAGCGCGTACTCGTTTGTCCAGCACCGCGATTGCGATTGCGACTCTCCGCGTGACGCTGACGCCGCGCACCCGACCACTCAGCCTCTCCAACGCCCCTAGCATCCCTCAACAGCGCGCATGCCCGCGCGTAAACTTCACGTGGAGGAAGCGAGTCCGCTGTCCGCGGGTAGGAGATCGCGGGAGGTCGCTGTGCTTGCCTGGGAGTTCGACGCCCCCGCGGCGCCGTCTCAGTGCGATCCCTTCTAGACTCAGAGTCCAGACGTGGTGTGTATTGCTCCACTGGAAGGTCATCGACGATACGCACAGGTAGCCCCGGACCTGTCTTGCGCAGGGCCGGCCCGTCGAGCTGGTACACGTTTGGGTCTGAGAGGACTATGTTGATGGCAAAGACGGCGTCTTGGGGGACGCGGATGGGGTGGTTGTAGGTGAGTGTTGGGCGGCTGGGGCGGGGGATTCGGGCTAGGAGGTAGGGGGTGGCGTTGGGATGGTCGCGGTCGCCGAAGTTGATGTGGTATTTGATTACCAGGGTTTTTGTGGTGAGGGACATGGTGGCCGTGAGGAAATAAAACCTCGGTTGGTTGGAATGTTAGAGAGGGAAAGGGGTAGTTGAAGACTTGTGGTATTTTGCGTTGCCTTAGGAGCTGGGTTGGCGTGATGCTAGTCATGAGGTTGAAGGAGTATTGCTCTGCATAGTCGTCCTCGTTTCATTAGGGCTGCGCTGTAGGCGTTCAATGAGACTATGAAGCACTAGTCACTAAGATTGCGTTGTAATTTCAGACCTTCGCGTATGCATTCATTGCTTCGGTACATCTGTCACTCACAAACCCTTCCCGGGATCGCCGCACTTTCTCCGTCCGCAGCGTGCATCACAGCCTGCACGTCTTTCCCCCACATTCAGTCATTGTATGCACATATCTCAGCTTTCCGTTCTCCAGCCGGAACTCGTGCGAGTCCGCTGCCATCATCTGCACAATGTCAGTAAATTGGACTGAAAACCGCGGACTAGGAGGGAACCTACCATATGCTCCCACACGCAAAAGATAGACACGCTGCCCATCTCTTGATCAATCACATACCGCCGATGTGTATTCGGCGCCTGACTATGGTTGCTCGGAATGCCGGGTTGACAACTATCATCCGGTTGACCCTTGCCCGTGTACGCGCTTCCTTCGAGCCTTACACACGGTGTACCCCAAGGCACTTTCTCATGCGCATGAGCATCGCTCCACATGTCCATGTAGGCATCGCCGGCTGCTTGGATAGCCTCGCGACTGTCCTGCTTTTCTTTCGGGATGGGGTCCCATTTCTCTTGCTTGACGTACTCGAGGGTCTTGGAAGCATTGAAGATCCATGAGTTTGTCGTGGCGGCTATGGTATCAATGGAGGTTACTTTGCCATCGCTCGCATGCCGGATCTGCGTTGCGAGAGTGTAGGGACCAGAGGCGGAAATGAGTTCGGTGTAGGTGGCGCACTGAACGAGGTCGTAGTTTGTGCGGCGGTGGTCGATCTTTAACGACTTGTGCAAGACGCCCTTCTGGTGGTCGATGACCTTGTTGTTCTCTTGGTAGGTCCAGTTGGAGGCAAACGAATCTTGGAGAGCCGCGATGGAGCCGGCGGTTTGGGCTGCGACGTAGGCGTCTGCTGCTTTCGACAGGGTGGTTTTGTCGCAGTCGGCTCTTGCCAGTGGTACTGCGGACGTGAGGGAAGCTAGGGCGCTGACTAGCACAACGATGTCCAAGCTGAGGCGGGCCATCTCGAGCCGATGTTGCTCTTCGGTGCGAGATTCTGAATTATTAGCTGGTTCCCGTTCCGCTATGCGCTCCTGGCATGCCGAGGAGAGTGGTTTACTAAATACCATTGCAAAGGCTGGGCAGTCCACATCGCACAGAAGACCGAGCATTTCGAGATGAAGTTAGAGATGTGGAGCAAGTGCCGTAGATTATATTAGATTGGGCCGGGGTTTGTAAAAATCTCCGGGGAGCGGCAAAATGCGGACCCCACATTAACACCCTATAAGGGGTCAACAACATGCATCTAGTGCTGGGCAAGTCTTGCGACCGAGAGTGAAGAGCTATTGTCGCGTAGATTGCGCCCAGTTAGGTGGGAGTCCGGCTATCGAAATGCTCGAGAAGAACAGAGATGTACTCCTAGCTAACCTGGATTAGTACGCCGCGGACAGAAGGTTTTAGCAGTATTCTTTGCGTACCTGGACAAATTGCTTGGCCAGGCAGTCGTTGATGGCGCTACTCCAATCGAGGAAATGGTACTTCAGTCTTCCACGTCCGTATTCGCCATGGTAGGCACCACTTCTCTATCAAGGCTGTGATCTCTCACCCAGGAACCATCGCCAGTCTTTCGCCACCCGAGGCCCCTCTTCTGCAGCACTTCTACGTACTCTTCAACCTCCTTGGTAATGTCGGGCGCATCACAGTCCGCGCTCACAAATTTGCTTCCGTCTTCAAAGTCATAGGTTCCCAAAAAGCTCGCAATAGCCGTATAACTCCCTCTCCACTCGAGCCACAAGTCATCTCTCTGGGCTCTACCCATCCTTTTAGGATCGTCAAGCAAGTCGTTCTCTGGACCCGAACAGAGCTGAAATTCGACTGCACGGAGCGTGGAAATCCTTTGAAGGGCTTTGATCAGGGTAGTGACGTTGGTGGCGAACGGGAAGACGCCAGTAAAGGAGAAGGAGCGGATGTTGCAGCAGTCTGCGACTTCTTTCGCGAGGCGAACGAGGACGAGGTATAGCATCTTTGGGGACTGCTTGAGGTGGTATTCATACGTGCTGTATGCGCTGATGGACGAGCCTTCATTGTAACCCAGATGAACCCAAGGGCGGCGGTGGATCAACGCGGCGTTCCACGGTCGGCAAAAAGCGTCCCGGTGCTTGAGCCTGAACGGTTCTGGCTGTAGAAGCTCGATATAGTGTATCTTCATGTCGAAAGCCCAGGCATCTGAGCTCAGCATCTGCACGTCCAAGAGCCCAGCGAGTGTGGCTGGGGGTGCCGCGACAACCAAGCGGGCCGGTTCGAGTCGAAAGAATATCTGATCCCAGAGCTCGGCTACGACGCGGGCGAGATGTGCGTCCGCTGTGGAAATATGTCGGAGCTCGTATTCCTTTTCTGCATAGACGACGATACTCCTGATGTGATGCTTGAGCTCGTATTGCCGGACGAAGCGAACGAAATCCGCGAAAGTCGGCGGAAGATGCGGAAACCAGAGGATATTCGGAGCAGACTTCAGAAACTCGTCGCCATCCTCGATCCTGCACAGATTGATGAGAAGGTCATCGAACGCCTCTTCAAAAGCAAAGAGCGAGCTGCTCTTCATCTTGCTTCTCATGCGCCCGTAGATTTGCACCTCGTGGCAGCTCAGCTTCGTCAGCTGCCCTTGCATGCTTTCAAGCAGCCTTGCATCTATTGGTACCCACTGCGGATTCTTATCTAGCGGGATTCTGGTGTAGCGGAACAGGATAGGAACCACGATCTTCCTCCATCTCCACGATACCTGAGAAAGGCATTTGAGCGGCGTTTCGTTCGCACACGTTATATCCGCCGATGGTTCGTGTGCAAATTTAGCGACTGACGGAGGCTCAATGTCGAGGTGCGCTGCGATTTGAATGAAAAGTTCGTTTGGCAGGCTGTCCATGGTTGTTGGAGCAGGCGAGGTCTCGTTCATCGCTCGGTGCCTTTTCGGCGTTTCGGAGATAATGATAGGGAAGTAATACGAAGGAGTGTATTATGTTGAATTCAAAGGAACATGAGAGAGCTGGGGGGATTTGGGCTCCTTCGGCGGGTAGTTTTGGGCAGAAAATAAAAGGGCTCAAAGGGTCAGGAGCTATGGTTTGTGAGCGAGGTTGATGGGAGCTTCAAATAAGTCTCCGGCTAGTACGTCACCCGACGTGCATGATCTCTGCTAAGCACATGCAAGATCGAACAATGTATTTCGTACTTTTGATGCTTAACACCAGCAATGCTGTTCAAATGGTCGTGAGATCCTCACGATATGCTATGTCGCATTCCAGGCCCTTAGGGCTTTAGAATCCAGATCGCACTGCGCCCTCCAACCATGCGACGCCGGCAATGACACCATCTACGATCCGCACCCTCTTCCCCTCCGCATCACCCAATTCCTCAACGCAAGCTTCCCTCACCATCTTGTCCATGCCCGCCATTCCCGCGCAGCCCAAGCAGATGGCGCCAACCTTCCCCTTCTTCAACAGCCTCTTGACGGCATCCATCATGCGCTTCCGTACCTCCTCCGGTGGGGCATCATGCAAGTCTGTAGCATTCAAGCCCGTTGTCTCCACACCTGCAAACCGTTTGCTGGCTTCCGACCCAGTACCGAGGAAGTCCACAACCGCTTCCGATAATATATTCTCCCAGACCTTGCCTGTGCTTACAATGCCAAACTTTTCATCGGGATGGATGATCTGTAGGCTGGTGCTCACGCTCGCTTCGAAGATGCCTGTGACAGGCGTTCGGCCGGCCCTTATGACGGACTCGCTTTTCAATATCGGTACGAGAGGATGCTTGGAATAGCACGCAACGAGATAGCCATCATGGCGATCGAGGATCTTTTGCAGCCCGGGCAAGCAGTGCTTGACGCTCTCGACAGCGTCGTCCTCGTCATTGATGCTCTTCGGGCCGGAGGGCGCGGTGAAGTATTCGTGCGCAGTCTAGCTGTGGTTAGTCGCTGGAAAGGCGCACGGTAAGTGGTGTTGATTAACATCTTTGAACTGGAGCGTGTCGACCAGCGGTTTTAGCGCATCGGTCATTGACTGGGTCGAGTTTGGCTGGATAATGAGGATTGAGCGCATTTTGCTGTATCTGGGATTTTTGCCTTGCCGGTACTCCCCCATCGACGGCGTGTGGTTGTTTGTGATGGGAGTGTGGCGCGCTTGAAATTTGAGATTTGCCGCGGGCTCGTGCTAGGGTCGGGAGGATGTGGCTGGTGCTACAGCAATGACGTCAAGCAGGCAGGGGTAGCTCGACGCAAGTTCATCCAGGGTTCGGCCGTGCCAACAAATATGGTGTGATTAATTCGAGCTTGCTGTGGTTCCTTAGGTGGATATGAGCTATTGATTCTTAAAGATATCACACAAGAGAAGGCTTCCAGACCCTGGGAATTGCTTAAACCGACTGATCCATTATGCTATGTAGGGTATAGTGAGCTCATTGAGAGTACGCCAGGGAACTGCCCATTGACTGGTCGTCGACCGTATTGAAGCAGGCCATCTGCCAGCCGTAGCATTTCGCTGGTGCCTCCAAGGTTTTCATATCTCGCTAACGCCGTCGCCGATGTTCGAGTATTGTATGATAGTGGTAAGGTGGAGAGTCGAAAGAGAGCTTTTCAAGTCAGATAGTGAACACTCTGCCAGAAGAGTTTCAACTCACGAAGTCGTTAATCGTCATGGGACATTCGTAGGCTTAGCGGAAGCAACTGAAACGCCCGCAGGTGAAGCGGAAAGGAGCTCGACGGGCGCCGTGCTTGTCAACGACGACACCTCCACCTACAGAGAGTTAGCACAGAAAGTCAACAGAGAGGGGAATGGGGCTATTACCGCCGTGCTTGCCGCCCCAGTGCTTTGTCCACATGAAACCCATGTTGAGTACGGTTTGGTGAGTCTAGAAGGGATGCGAGAGTTGTTCGAGGGTAGATCGCGTGTTCGCTTGTCTGAACGGTAATAGTGGTTTCGTAAGAGGCTTTAAGTGTCGAAGTGGAGCGCAGTACCGGAGGTTTAAATATTGGGTGGGCTGAGCAAACGACAAGAAAGAAGCAGGCGTGGGCGATTACGGAAGCCAAGCCAGGCCAAGTGAATTGTTCCTGCTTCGCGATCGGCGCTGCGCCACACACCGCCACATCTAGACAAAGGAACAACTGCCTGCATTTCAGGGTTGAGTGTCACACCTGGGCACTGCACGAACGGCACTCTTATTTCCATGGCCATATAATTGATCGTAAGTCGACGCAAATGGGCCAAGATCCTTGATTAAAAGGCCCCGGCCAGAGGGCCTGGCAGTCGCTGAGACTAATTAACCGCCATATACTCCTGGTAAAAGCAGACCGGCAATGTGCCTCCCATAGACCTCGCTGGTCCTACTTACCGGGCTACGAAGTGTATATAAAGTACCTGATCACTGCGTCGATCCTATCATGTACTCTTCTTCTTCCATCTACAAGTCTGCAGCAGCTGATAAGAATGCGCTTCTCACTGTTCCTTACCGCAGGCATTCTCGCGCCCATCGCGGTCCTTGCCGCGCCAGCCAGTTACGACGGAAGCCTCTACAGAAGGGAGAACCTCTGCAATCTGAAGACCCCTCCCGTCACCTGCCAGCCCAATTCCTCCGTCACCGTGGAGGAGACGGCTCAACGGGCGTATAAATTCTATCGTGCATTTGTGGTAGATGGCGATCCCAGGACCATGTTTTCGCTCATCGATTCAGTCTACAAAGTGAGCCTCGCGTTTTCAGATTAGGGCTTGCAAACAATGTAACTAAAACTTATTGAAGCAAAATACACCGGGCTATGCAAGCGGTCCGAACACCATTTGGCCCCTCTTCTGCAACGGCAGAAAGATAGGCACCGAACAGAACACGGCGTGGTGCTTCGATGCTACGACCAATATGTCGTACGCGCGATACTCTACAACAGATAGGTGGCGCTGGGTCGACGGCTGTGTCCATGAACACGTAGGCGCTGTCTTCATACCTTTACTGACCTAGTCCATGCTAACTTTCTCCAGTGGGATCAGGGCGAGAAAATCCCGTCGCAAGACAAATGTTACAAACTACCAGCCAATGGAACTACGACCTAGTGCCACTACCGGAGTCATATTATATGGTTCACGGAAGAAGCTCTTGCTATTCCTACATCTTGTATTCGTTTGGTTGATAGTAAACGTTGTGAAAGGGGACCTCAATCGCCTGTTGCCCTTGGCTCGCGATCAGCCCCTGCCAGAGCTACTTGAGTGTGATTCTTTTGGTCGTGGTTCTTGGGTTTCGTTAATCTACACAGAACTTGACACCTCGTCTTGCTGAATTTTGTTTATACTGTGACTGTTCATTCCGTTGTTCTCTTCCCCAATACACACAAGGGGGCGACCAGAGCGAAAATTTACGTCACAAAACCCCGGGTGACGGGATCACCTGTGCAATGCTGATTGTGATGTACGCCGCGGGAGGATGATAAGTACTCTTTCCTTCAATAGACTACTGTCACTCCTATTGTCACGACTATGTACAAGTCCCGTGGTCCATCACTGTTGTTCGTCTCGAGAAGTCAAAACCGTGAAATTTGTTGGGAGGGAAAGACGGTCGCTTTACACTGCTTGGCCCCGTGTATCTGATGACGGTCAGAGATTTACTGTGTAGACTATGGCTTAGGAAGTTGACGATAGGTCAGAGCAGGGGGACATCGCTGATGAGTGAAGTAACATTCGATATGAGGAGCTTCCATGCGCCCTGTATTCCGAACCCAGACCCAATTTACTCGTACAATGGATTGCGCGTCCAAAATATGCCGACAGCATCAGCGTCCGCTACCACCACCCAAGGCCTCCCGGCTAGGCTATCGTCCCGTAGCTTTTAGGACGCCGCGGCTATACGAGCCGTTACCGGAAATATGTGCAAAGGGAAGACGGTCGACCAGGTGGTTTACCGTCCCAGAGCGCCGCCGGATTGTGCCATCGCTGCATTCTGCTCCTGGAACCTGTCGCCCAAGCGCTGCGAGCCCTTCATGTGCTTGTCGACGCATCGCATGATGCAGCCTTCTTCTCGCGAGGTAAGCGACTTGCTCTCGAAGCCGTTGATGCAGTCGTCGAAACACCGCTGGACGAGGTTGGAATACATCTAGCGCCGGAGCATCAGCGTGTTGCGTCGTTCTGGGCGGGAGATCCGTGGCGGATTCGACGATCGCTGAGAACGGAGGGTGTGCTCACGTTCATGAACTCCTTCATCTGCTTCTTCTCCATGCGGTTCTGCAGCTCGCGCTGCTCCGACTGCGTAAGACTGGCACGCGATTAGCATAGCTCCGGCAGGGGAATCAATTGACGTACGATTCCATGGCGACTGTGAATGCGGTATTCGCTGGGAAAGAGGGGATGGGTTGTTGCTGATGGAAGCTCTTGGGGGTTGACAGCGCTCGGCGACGTGGATAGTCTACGGCAGCAGCAGGTCGGCGAGAAGTGATGTCGCTGGAGCTTCCCCAGGCCCAAAATTTTGGAAGCGAGCTAGGACTGGCTCGCGGTCCGTTCCTTCGCCGCGCCACAGCAACGCGCTCTGCCCGCTGGACCTGCTCCAACAAGCACGCAACAGCTCTCTGGGCTTGCAATAATTGCTAATCTCTAATTCGACCCGCCAGCATCTATCGCAGCGCATCGCAGGCCGTCGACATCTCTAGCGGACGGCCGCCGGACGCGCATCTCGCTCCGCCAAGCCTCCCCTTTATTCTTCGACCGCAATTGAACCAGGCCTCCTCTTTCTCATTACTGTACAGCTCCGCGCCGATCGACAGGCGCATCTGCCCGGCATTTGTTGTCTGGACTCGCGTCCGCGTGCTGAATGACGGCCGGCCAGCGGGCTTCCAAGCTTCCCTGAAATCGCAGCAGCCGCAGCCACACATCACTCGGCACGACCTCCTTCGCCCGCCGGCTGCCACACTTGCTCGCCCACGCTGCGATCATTGCCCTCCCCAGCCGTCCGACCCTGCATGCCTACGTCGTCTTGAGCCACAGCTCCCGGCCTCTCACATCGCTGTCTGCTTGACGTCGCTGTGGCCGCTCGGATCACCCCCTAGCCGCCGCCGTTGCTGCGTCGCGTTGTGCTCTCGACGCCCGTCCGCCGTCGTGTCCAGCACAACTCCGATCCGCTCTCGCGCCAGCACACCGAGCTCGCCCTCCACGCACTCACCGCGCGACGTCACGCACGACGAATACTGCACCTGTGCCCGCAGCGCTCACAAAGCGCCTCCGCCCGCCGCACCGCGACAGCTGCCCGCCGCCCTGCTCGCTGCCGCCTGCCACCCTCGGGCCTGCCTGGACGCTCGGCGCAGCTCCGCGACACGCTGCGAACGCTACAAACCGCGATAGTCTGCTGCTGGAGGGCCGCAAAGCTCTCCGCACTCGCCCGCTATGCCCAACGGCGCGCACAATCACCATGGTCTCTCGACGCCCCGGGTGCGGAATGGGGAGCCTCAGCCCGCCCCGGCCGCCGAGCCCGCGTCTGCGCAGCGCGACCTCAAGTCGTGGTGGAAGAACTTCAGCAAGCGCAATGTTAAAAAGGAAGAGGACAAAGGTACGACATCTCAAGTTCGCATACGTCTCGACCCTCCCCTCTGCGGGCCACGGCGTCCCTCCGCCGGGCGGCGTCTCTCTCAGGCTCAGCCTTACGAGGCATGTGCCTGCAGCGTCCCCGCTTCCCATTTGTGACGTGCAGTTACTGACAGGTATGGTTGCACGCAGAACCTGAAGCCCGCGGCATCTTTGGTGTGCCCCTCATCACTAGCATACCCTACGCGAACGTCGCCATATCGCTCTTTAACGAGACCGGCGAGAGCTACATATACGGCTACGTGCCCATCGTAGTTGCAAAATGCGGTGTATTCCTGAAGGAAAAAGGTCAGTCTTCTACTCTGCCCGTCGACGATCTACTAACACGTGCGCAGCGACCGACGTCGAGGGCATCTTCCGCCTGGCGGGGTCCGAGAAGAGAATCAAAGAACTCAAGATTGCTTTTGACACCCCACCACGGTGGGGCAAAGGCCTTGACTGGTCTGGCTACACGGTGCACGACGCTGCAAATATCCTTCGACGGTACTTCAACCAGCTGCCGGAACCTATTATTCCTCTGCAACACTATGACGCGTTCCGCGAGCCTCTGCGCGGCCATCAGGCTGAAGCCGTCGGTCAGATCGAAGGTCAAGCACCGTCAGTAGGAGGCTTCGACCCTGACGCCGCTGTCCGGGTATACCAGCGTCTGATCAAGGAACTGCCGTCTCTTAACCGCCAGCTGCTCCTCTACATTCTCGACCTGCTCGCCGTATTCGCCGCCAAGTCCGACGTGAACAAGATGACGACGTCCAACCTTGCTGCCATCTTTCAGCCCGGCATACTGTCCCACCCTCAGCACGACATGTCTCCTCAGGACTATCGCCTAAGCCAGGATGTTCTTATTTTCCTCATCGACAACCAAGATCACTTCCTGATTGGTATGGAGGGAACCGCTGTCGACGAGGGAACCGTCAAGCACGTCGAAAGCGGGCCTTCAACCCCGCAGGCTAGAACGCCGACCACTCCTGGTCGAACCAAATCGGGTCTGGGTCGGTCAGCGTCAACGTCGTCGAGCGCTGGAGCTGAAAGTCTGCGGAAGTTTGGTGGCATACGTCGAAACGTATCTACATCCTCGAGACGCTCGCGGAATTCAGGAGCTATTCCGAGTCCCACTACCCCGTCCTTCACTACGTCAGGCTCCGGCGTACATCGAAGCAACACGGTACCCTCGAAGAGATCCCCTGCTCTTGCTGGGACCCGCTTCCCGAGGGACAGAGGGTCCGATCCTCCTACGCCTGCCTCAGACGAACCCAAGAGTCAGGTACGAGCGACTACATCTGAGAAAGTCGTATCAAGCACTGCTCAGGCAGAGACACCCTCGAAACAACAAGGACAACCAGCAGAAGAATCTGCCCAGCCAGCACAAAGAGCTCAAACATTTCCTGCCCAAATGTTGGATGTTGGCAAGCCTGAGCCACAGCCCATGGCTGACTTCGTGATGCCAGCTGTAGCTACGCCCGCTATGGAGATTCCTGGGGCATTCCCTCTCCCTTCACCTGGACTCGTTCCTCCTTCAAGTGAGGTCGTCACCCCTGCCGCATCTGCGCAAGCTGCACAAGTGTTAGCGCCGCCAATGGCACACCATCCTCAGCGTAGCCCTCACGTCACACCTATTCGCGAAAGGTCCGAGTTCATGGAAGCCCCGGTCGATTCTGGACCTGCTGCTGAACCTACCCCGGCGCCGCGATCTTTCACCCAGATTCTCTCGAAGGTGTCACCGTCCAGCGAGGAGAAGCAACCGGGTCGAAGGCCAAACAAGTTGCAGAAGAGGCGCGTCCCAAGTGACAACCCTAGTGCGCACAGTTCCACGCACTCCTTGACGGGCGCGCACGCCGGCCTCGAAGGTCCGCCTTCCCCTCTTCCTCACCCCTCAATACCACAGACTCACCTGACGGGCTCAAAGGAGGTCTTGCAGGCCTACAATAGCGACACAATATCTTCGAGAAACTCCGGGGCGACATTGAAGCCTAGCATGTCCCCATCTGCCTCTTTCCGGTCTCACTCTACTGCAACTGAGTACTCCGAAGCTGAACCGATAGAGGAGCCTCCCAAGGAAGAGCCTCCCAAGGAAGAGAAGAAAAGTTTCTGGAGGGGTGGGCATAGACGTGGCGAGAGCAAGGCCACGCCCACAGCAAGCCAGACAGACCTTCATGGGTCTGTACCCGGAGCGGACAAGAGCATGAGCTCGTTCGGCAGCGGCTCGGGATGGGGAGGAGGACGAAGAAGTCTTCAGTACGACTCACACCAAGGCTCAGATTTGTCTGTGCCATACGGTGGTGCGGATGCAAAGGAGCACGGCGAGAAGAAGAGCCGGCTCGACTGGTTCAAGGGGAAGATGGGTGCAGATAAGAAGGCTCGTGCTAAGAGTCCTCCAGGGAGTACGGCCGATTTGACCTCTCCGCAAAGTTTGACGAAGCCGAAGGATGATCTGGCTGTTAGGGGAAGGTCGATGGATATTCCCAGGCAGACAGGCGAGGGCTCCAGTGATGTTACGCCCACGGGAACCAGTCAGAATCCGCTCGCGACATCGCCGCCTTCAAATTCGGTATCTCAGCCTGCTGCCGCGCCTGCCCCTTCGAAACCTAATACTGCCGGCGATCCGCCTCCTAATCTGTCAGCGTGAGCTGCGGTTTATTTCGACACCTCATTCGATCGATGTAGTTATACGAAGGTATGCGTAGATTGGTAATGCGGCGTTGCGGTGTTTGGTTATAGGGTTGTGTGAGCGCTTTGAGGGTTGCCCGGCCATAGCGTCAGTGCAACTGGCGGTGTGTTTTGAACTGAGGGCGTCTTTTACCTTGGTTCTAGAGCGGGTTTTCTGATCTCTTGAGTATGTATGGTTGGAAGACGTTCCTTTCTGCTGCGCTGAGGAGATGACCAGCCGAGGCTTTTTCTTGCATATAGCGAGGCGCGACGAGATGTGACGATAGGACGTAGCAATGTGAACAGGATGGAAGGGGGTAATATAATTCCTATAATTCTTCCATGATGTCTGGCAGGATGGGAGAAGTGAGATTGGAAGTGCCAGCCTGAGGACCTCCATGGTACTTGGTTCTTCATCGGACTACGAGACGACCCCTTTCCTCCTTGGACATAGTACCTATTCGGTGCTACTGTTGGCTGCATTCACGATGCCGATTTCTATAGGTAGGATGCATTGTAAGCAATAGTCTTGCAGTCATAGTTGGGTGGCGAATCAATAGTCTTTCCTTCGGACCTCAGCTCACCACGCAAGCAGCAGACCGCACATGACCTTTCAACACGAGTGGGAGCTTCTACAGCACCGTGTACCTTTTCACTCTTATCTGTCCCTCTTCCTGCCTGCATAGATACAACACGTTGAAGGGTCCGACGACGACAGAATGTCTGAACCCTGGGTGCCGCGTCCCGACACCCAAAATCCCGATGAATCGTACGATGAGAACATGCAAGCCGAATCATGACAACGGTGCTGCACGAGGACAGCGTGTGTCGCCGCGCTGGTCTTCGTCTCCAGCCAATGCGACGAAGTGGCGATGCGGCCTCCTCAACACCACGGCTATAAATATCGCGCAGGTTCTGAGGGAGCGAATCAGCGGGGTGGCGGGAGAGGCTAGACGTGTACATCACTCGGCGCATCTATGCAGCTAGCGGTTGCGACGGCGGTTGCTGCGCTGACAGAGGCGGAAAAGATTCGCGGGTGGTGGGGAGTGGAGTTGGAGCGTTCTGCATGGTTTTGGTTCGCTTTTTGAGTCAGGTGGGCTGAGGGGGGTTGTTTGAGCCTTGATCTTGAGGAAGCTATTATTCCTTGGGAGGGTTTCATTGGGGCTGCTGCGTACAGAGGGAGAGTGTCAGTTCCTCTCCGGCTAAGGGACGTTTTGTAGCAGAACGACTCGAGAGGTGCCCGTGTAACAGAGTTTCTGAGCTGCGGTGCCGAAACAGCCTAGACCGCACTACACATGACGTCCAGCAGCCAGGATTCCAGTGTAGCCGAGCGGTGCAAGCACGAGGCTCCGACTCTGTAACAGGGATGCCGCATGTAGGGCTAGGCGGAGACGGGGAAGTCGATCAGGTTTCAGCCTGGGGATACGCAGGAAAAATGTCATGGAAAATGGGCAAAATGGCCAACATGCTGTCCAATTGTTAGCCGAACCGTTTGGAAGGGCATAAACCTGGAAGCTCGACAGGGGTGTCCAGTGCCCGGCCGGAGAAATCGGATGGTGAATGCCTGGGATGACTTACGGCTGCCGCCGCTGCAAACACTAGCCTGAGCCGAAACTGACTTTACTGGAGCGGGCGATACACTCGTGTTCGAAGGAAGCCCGGCCATAAGCTTGCTTTAGGTGCTTTGCCTTCCCTTCGCCACTGCCTCAGTCACATTCCCACATTCACTCACCTGTTTCCGCCTGCTCATCTTCGCTCGTTATTCGATTGAGCAGCAGCGACACTTGCAGTGCAGACGTCGTCGAGGAAGAGAGGAAGCGAGAGGAGCATCCGAGCATTCGTTAACGACATCCCTGTGGCGCACCCAGCCACCCGAGCTTAGAGTCTGATTCTGTGTAAGCGCGCCTTTCTCAGATCACCTTGGACCAGCTGGCACCACCTCCACCGCCGCCGGCGCTCAAAAGAGCCTCAGCTGCCCGCTTCGGGCATGTGTGCTTGTCCCCGCTGCGTCTCGCGGCCTTTTAATCTACCATGATGATCTCTCTCGCTAACACGAATTGACGGCCGCAGCAGTTTCCTTCGTTGAAACAACCCGCATCAACCTACCTTCGCTCCATCACCTCACCCCCCACAACCGCACAATGCGCTCCTTCAGCCGACTCGCGGTGCTCGCTCTGCCGTTGCTCGGCAGAGTGGCCTGCGAAGAGGCCGCTTCGCCGACGAGGAAATCGGAGAATAGCCCGAAACCCGTGTACGCGAATGCCCACGAGGCTTTCCAAGATCTGCTCAATGCCCTGCCCGAGGAGTCGCTGCATGTCGCGCTGAACAGCCTGACGCACTTCAAAGACGGGATATTCGAGTCGGATCGCCAGGGCGTCGAGCGCGTGCATCACGATAACGCGCCGCTCGCCACGAAGCTCATCGTTGCAGCTGTTCAGGATCTGAAGAAGAGACAGACCCCGCCGAGCAACGGCACGACTTCGAGTGCGCCTCCTCCACCGGAAAGCACCAGTCAGGCGCCCCCGCCAGAGAGCAGTGAAGCACCGCCGCCAGCTAGCAGCGAAGCACCGCCGCCAGCGAGCAGCGAGGCCCCTGCACCGCAGAGCAGCGCGGTCGTTGTGCCCGTCCCAATTGCGACGACCACGGACTCGGAAGGCCAGACGGTGGTCGTGTCGAGCGAGATACTCAGCCAACCTACAGCCTCTGTCGCCGTCGCCGTAACACGGACGAACGCCCAAGGCGAGACCGAAGTAACCACCGAAACCAAACCCGCCGTGATCTTCACCGCGACCGACACCGCAGGCTCGGCCTTTTTGACTACGTCCGCCGTGGACTTTGCGCCTACCCCCGGCCAAGTCCTGACTAAGACCGATTCGAGAGGGTCCACCTTCTTCACGACGTATACTCCGGGCGGTGGAAAGGTGTCTAGCATCTTGCTGATCACGACAACGGGAGCAAACGGTGAACCTATGGTTATCACGAGCTACACATTTGTCGATCCGGCGCAGGCTACGGCTACAGATGCGAACGGCAATCCCGCTCAGACAAACACGGGAAAGCCCGGACTACAAACCGGTGCTGCGAATAGGAACTGGGCTGCGGATGCGGCCTTGGTCGGCGGCGCCGTCGGTGGTGCCTTTGCGTTCTTGATATGATCTCCCCATCCGCGAAGTCTGCAAAGAGAAGGACTGCTGGCGCGAAGTGGTAATGGCCCCCTCCGACATGTTTGTTGGAAGAAGAAGAAGACTGCAACAAAAAGCAATAATGCCTCACGACTCTCCTATCCCATCCCATTCGTCACGACAAAACACTCCTTTTAGACTTGCTTGCGCTTCATGCGGCGTCGGGAATTTTCTGTACATCACGTCACATTTCCAGAAACCTCGTTCGACACTGTCCTTATTTGCGTTTCTGCGGTGCATAGTCGGCTGGTTTTTGAATTTTTTATTTCGTCGGGTGTATATTTTGCTTGCGTGCATACGGAGCCTTTTTTTGGTTCGGACCTATCCTTATGAATATACCCTGGCATGTGAATGGGAGGAATCGGAATGGGACGGTCTTTATATATGGTGATGGTGATGGTGATGGGATGGGATGGCGCTTCGGAAATACAAAACTCGGCGCAGGAGAGAATGCATAGTCGCAGCGTATAGGCTGTATGAATGAGATCAGAATGAAGAACTATTTCGAGCGAGCAGAGCAGTACTTGTTGAATGCATTCGTATCGTGACTGGTACCACTGTGTCCGCCTCTTGTTTGGGCCTGGGATATGCTGCTGCTGCTGCTGCTGCCGGTAACATATAGCCTCGCTCATCCTCTTGACCACAGCAGCCAGATCTCCACTCACATCTGCAATATACACAGTTCGCAATATTTCTAAGCAGACAATGGGCTACTAGATACCAGATCTCGTATTCACGTACACACACACACCAAAGAATTGCAGGGGTATTGATACAGTTGCCCCAAAGGCGAAGACCAAAACCTTCCGAAGAGGCCAACCCAAGCCGCTCAATCAACCGATCGCTCGCACGCTCCAATCTAATGCTTCGCTTTCTTTGCAGAAACGACTGGCGAAACTCCGGGTATGCCGGGGTTATGAATGATGCCCATCTGGATACTTAGCCAATACGCTGCCGATCCAACCCCCTAAGAATGCGGAACCTGAATCCCCAAAAGCCGCCGCACGCACCGATAAATCCCCCGAAGCACCCCAGGCGCCTCTAATTCCGTACTCACCGCATCTTGGTCGCGATGAAGTACTCGACGCTCTCTCCGGCCCAGCTCACGCTCTGCGTGCCCGAATCGAAGCGCTCTTCGTCGAACAGATTTGCAATGCTCTGCTCGTTGCGCACGCCCTGCTTGTTGCCGCCGCCGAAGCTCGCCAAGCTCACCACTTTGCAGCCGTGCTTGAGGTCCAAGAACTTATCCAGGAGTGCTCCATTGAGATTCTGCGGGAACACTTTGTTGTTGACGAGGATGACGTCTGCGCGCGGTAGGACGCGGTCGATGTCCGAGGACTCGAGAAAGTCGCCGTGGAGCAGGTGGATGGGGCCGAGCGAGATGTTCCAGAGGGCGGAACGGGCACGGAGCTCCGAGGCTTGGTCGTTGGCGAAGGAGGCGGGCGTGTTCATGATTTCGATACCCCAGCTTTCGGCGCCGGTCTGTAAGGCCGACTGGAGCACTACATTCCCGACACCAGAGCCCAGATCGACGAAGGTCTTGGTAGAATCGAGCCCGGTTTGCTGGAAGATTGTGTGGACGAAGGGGGGCAGGAGCTCGCCGTAGGTAGTTTCCTTGCCCTTGACGCGGCGGAGGAGGTGCGCGTGCGGCGAGACGGTACGCTGATATACCTGGGCGAGGATACGCTTTACCAGACTTAGTGGGATAGCATGCATGGAATCAAGAACGCCTGCGATTGCTCCATTTTTCAGATTATCCGTGATCGTTTTGTTGAAGTCAATAAGTGCCAGTCTGAAGTCCTCCGGCGAGTTTTTCGCAACCGCGCGTTTGAGGAGGCGGACCGTACCTAAAGCGTACATTAGCACAGGTCCATGAGCATAGAGCAAGGGTGAGAGGTGGAGAGTTGCTTCCGACGGCCTTAGGAAAACCTAGCCTGAAGTGCTTCAATCATTCAGGTACAGCCCGAAATCGGGCTCTAGAGTGAATATTACTACGTACCGTCGCTTTCGGAGGAGAGCGTCTCACAGAGATCGGCAGGGAGATAGTGCTGAATAATCTCTTCTATGCTGAAATAGATGTCGTCGAGAGGGTTGAAATTCGAGGGATCGTGCGGGGTGACGGTTTCGAACCTTTCTGGTCTTGACGAGCTGGGGTACTGCAGAGCCACTACGGGATTCTCATGGCCTGCGAATGCCGGCTTGAAATCCTTCACCCACTCCCCTCTTGACATCTTCAGCCCATGTATCAGCCTTGCCTCCTTGCCTGGCTTCTCCGCCGGCGTGTCATTCTCCGCGCATGACTCCGAGGTGCCGTTCGCCTGGTGCGGGCCTCCCGGTTCCGGGATGCGTATGCGCCTTTTGTAGTCCGGTTCGAGACATCGGTTCAGGTTCATAGGCTCAATACTGCTGCTCATCTTCTGCCTCTTCCTGACGCCTAGCAACCGATCGTCTTCCTCATCGCTCGACTCTTCGCTGCTGCTTGCGAACTGTGGGGTCGTGGGCGTGACCTTGCGCTTGCGCTGCTGTATGCGCGACACGGATAGCGACTTGCGCGCAGGCTCTCGCGACTGCTGCGCAGATGTCGATGTCCGCGCCTTGGTAGATGGCGTTAAGCTGTACCGGTTCGCCGGCGGCGCCGCTGCGCTAGCTTTCCGCGTCCCATTTCCTTGCTGTGACTTTCCTGGGGCAGAACCTCCAGGCGCACTGGTCTTCTTGATGGGGACGGAAACCGTTCGTGAGCGGATCTTGGGCGGCTTGACTGTGAACATGTTCGCGGAAGGATAAAACTGGGAAAAGGAATGGTATCTGGTCGTGTGAGGATGCGTATGCGCGAGTCTGCGGCGGTCCGCGGGGGCAAAAGGAGTGTCTGGGGGCGAAGCAAGGAAAGGAGGGAGAAGCAAGAAGGCTGCCGTCAGCCGCGAGAGAGGGACGGCAAGACGCGCGGAGGACTGTCGTGACCTTGGACCTGGGAATCCCGCGGCTGCAGGCAACTCGACGCCACTGCAGGAGGCGACAGGGATGGCCCGTGCAGGTGGCGCCGGCGGCAGCGACGATCCTAACTGCCGCTATCACCCTCAGAGGCCTCCTGGACCCTTTATGAAAGACCGCGCCCTCATCTCTCTTCGATGTGAAGTAAAGGTGCTTTCGTTCGCGTTCTCTATCGCCTGATCTTGTTCTACCTACCGGTCTCTCGAAACGCCCGGAAGCTGCTCATCCCTGCTGTGATGGCCACCCTTGTCTTACTCGAATCGAAACGTGTCCAGCACTCGATCCTCTGTGCCGAATAGAAACCTCCCTGTGCCAAGCTATGCAACTGGTTGCGGCATTACCTCCGCGTTCGAAGTTCAACCCGTGGAAAAAGGATCGAAGAGCGGCCACGAAGACATACCGAGGAGCGGACGTGCATCGGAAATGATGTGAAGGATGGGATTTTGCTTGCGCCGGCGCCGGTTGCAGTTGCAAAGGATGGGCCGCGTTGACGAGGACAGTGACGCTGCTACTTACCGGTTGACGACCAAATGGAGTGGTAGAGAACCTACCCATGGAAATACCATGCGACAGATTACCATAACAAGACGCCCATTTGTCCCAGCAAGGGTCGCTAAACCGGTACCATCATTTGGACTTCGCAAGCCTATCCAAAGCGTTCACCAATAATCGCCAGAAAAGGGAACCTGAAAGGGTAGGGCCTTAACTTACTTCTGCAAAATCTATTCCATCGTCGAAACCAAAGCCGCAACCTGAGCCGTCAACAACAAATCGACCGCCGCGTGGAGGACCAGAGCCGGCTTCATGCCACCATGCAGAGTCATGTCGGAGAAGACTACTCAACAGCTTGGAGCGACCTATCCTAGCGGTTGCAATTATGCTTCCTTAAGGAACGCTCCAAAGCTCTCGAGGATGCTCGAACTCTTATGAATCGCGCCAACACGCTCACCCACCTCGAGCTTCTCGCATTCGCTTCGTAGTCAACCCAATGTGCACCGCACGAGGTTGATATCAGTCGACTATGCATCCTTCGCGAGCGGCACAAACGGGAGAACGACGGCCACATTGTCAACTACGCTCCTAAAGTGGCCTATCTTCGCGCCCTCACCGAGTGGGTTTTGGGTGACGAGGATATGCTCATGTACGTGAACAAGTGTTCGCACCCGTCCTTACTGAACGTCTGGCGCTCTCAGACGTTGAAGGACCTGACTCGGGCCTGGATCGATGATTTGCAAGACCCGAACCCGTTTCCCCAACCGCAGCCACCCCAGATACTGCCGCCAAACCTAGCATTTCCGCAGCGTGGAGTCGCAGAGTTGGACGAGGAGACTTTGCATTCGACAGGGGTATGCCTCTGCACACCGCTCAAATCCAGAACCGTCGGTTTCTCTTCAATGAGTCAGACTGGAAAGAGCGCGTCTAGCAAGCAGGTCCTTCGAAGCTGTATTGCTTGTGCTCTGTATGCGAGACCGCAGTGCACCCCGGGCACAAGCCGGTGCATTCTGAGTACTGAACAGACCAACATCGGGCCACGATTTCGACCAGATAGGCATCACTGGAATTCCGGGCCAGCGCTGACCTTCCCTCAGTAGCGGAATCGGGGGAGGTGCCTCAACACCATGCTCCGCGTACGAGATGCATTAGACATAACTTCAGGCGCTGGAGGAGGAAGGCGAGTCGATATCTAAGCTGAGCTACTTGCATTGCTTGCTTCTATTACACTTGCTAAAAGACAGCTCTAATACGAATTGAACAGAACCATCGGCTCCTCGGTATTATACTATCGGACTCTCACATGCAGCTCAGTGCTGTTGAGCTCATCGCCAGGCCGGGGGATCCACGATGCCGTTCCCTCTGAGAATGCAGTGCATTGAAGCATCCGTGGCTAGAAGCATGCGCGGAGCCGTCCTGCTGACCTACTCTGTACTTCGCTCCGAGACAGCAAGAGGAAGAGGGGGTTACTCGTCTACGACACGATTAGCACCTCGAACCATCGTGATAGGTTCTTCCGCATAGAGCGGTGTGATGACTCGCACTAGCGTCTGGCCCAGACGCATTCATCGCTTATCTTTGTGCAGCTTCGGAAGGCAGCACTTCCCCCGCAACGAAAATCAATGCATTCCTCCGGCAGAATTGTATGGCTGTGTTTATTTTATGACTTGCGTGGGTGTGGTAGCACCACCGTGGGACGAATGACGTGTGATTCGTGTCCACGTGATGCGTGGGGTTACGGGTGGAGGCGAAAAACGCCCCTGATGCTCGTGAATGTGGAATGCCTCGTGTTAAAAACCAGGATGTCCACGAGCGAAAGTTTTGCTTTTGCTTCACATTTTTTTACACTACGTACCTACTTTTCCATGAAGCAGGCAGCTGTGACTGAAGATGCTGCTGGAGCATAGCCTTCACAGGTTGTTCGCAGGTCTACCCAGTATTGAAGGTCGGTCTTCTCTGTTTAAATCGAGGAGTTTTACTCGTTCAGCCTTCTAATCCACACGTACCCAGTCATCGAACCTAGAATTCCTCCCGACATAGACTCCACCTCAGAGCGCCTCATTGCTTAGCGCCCGTTTCAGCTTTGTGCGACAACAGTATGCCACACCCTTCTTTTCCTACTTTCGATCCCTTACCGAAACAAGAGTACGGTGACTGCGAGAACACGGACCAGAAGCGTGCCCGGTCTTCGTCGGTCCTAGCCCGCCTCTTTTCCCGGAAGCGTCGTCCGCGCACCGCCACGAATGCTTCCTATGCCCAGGGGCTTCCCATAACTCATAGTTCCCATCATGAAGAAAATACCCCCGAGCTAACTTGCCGAGACGCAACAACAACAGTGAATCAACCCAAGTCCACCATGGACACCCAAGTACTCAATCCATCAAGGCCAGATCGCCCCGAAGACAGGGGTATGTGGATGTGCAACCATCCGCAACCAGTTACGCCGCCCGCTAGGAGGGCACCCGTAGTCCTAGATAAGAGCATGGAGAATTGGTTGAGAGAGCAATCTATGGAGCCGCAAACGGCGTTCCGCTCTGACAAGGGGTATCGTAATCCGCGGCTGCGGAGATTAGAAGCGCTGCAGCGCAGGTCGACGAAGGAGGCGCTGAAAGCGATCGGCGCGGCGGCTTTGGGCCGTGGCACTAGGGCCCCGAAGGAGGAGGACAAGCCGGCCGAAGTAGAAAACGAGAGAGTGAATCGCTCCAGCAGGCCCACCACGCCTGACCGCAACCCTCCCGCCCAAGAAAACGACGCAGACGACGAAGACGAGAGCCCACCCTGGCCTCCCTCCAGCTTTTCCCGCGAAGCCGTCCAACCCACGCCGCTCCCCTACAAATGGACCATGCCGCGCAACAAACTCTACCGCGAAGCGTACTACGGCGCGACGAAAGCGCTGCCCGACTCGGAAATCGAGTCCATGATGAACAGCGGCTGGCTCATCGAAGACGCCACGGGCCTCCGTTACGCTATCAACGGCAAGTACATCCTCTACTCCATCGGCAAGGGCAAAGCGCCCGAGGCCCCTGAAAACCTGAAGCCCGACCTCGTCAAAGAGCACGTGGCGCGTACGCTGGGGCGCGTGAATCTAGAAGGCGAGGAGGAGGTCCAGCGGCCGGGGACGCCGCTTGAGGATCCGCGACGGGCGTGGGAGAGCGATCCGGGGATGGTGGGGAGTAGCAGATGGAGGGGCCGGAAGAGCGTGCGGTTCAATGTGAACAAGGATATATTTGATGAGAGGGGGCAGTTGGTGGTGGAGCTGGTGATGGATAATGAGGGGAAGAGTAGGGAGATGAATAGAGCTTGGAGGGAGGGGAGGAGGGAGAGGAGGAAGAAGGAGAAGGAGGTTGAGGCGATTAGTGGAGAGGGGATGGGGGATTTGGAGATTTGAGCGTTGGTGCGTTTTGGCGTTGCATTGCATTGCATTGGGATTCAGGTTTGTTGGTGGGAATACAATAGCGCTGGCGTTTTCGGAATGTGATTAGAGATCCGGTTGAGCTGTAGTAGATGTTACTATGGTATCTCGTGCGAGTGCTGTCGTTTGCGGATATACCAGGCTTTCTTCCTCGGGCAAAATGCCGCGACCCTTTCGCGCCATTTTCCTATGCACTGTGACGCTAGCTCACTCGTACGAGTAGAGCCAGCAGCACTGCAGCAGCCATTCCCAGCCAAGATTAGGCCGCCCTGTCTGACAGTAAGCACCAGCTTACCTGAGAACGTACAAATTAACCACCTCCACCATGCCACCAGCTATCAAACCGTAAACCAACAACCCCTCGAGCCAACATGTGGACATACGTGCTTCTCGCGCCATTCTCCCTCTTCTTCGCCTACCGCGCCTGCAACCTGCTGCGCAATTACCTCGCGGCTCGCCGCTACAGCGTCCCGATCATTCTGTTACCCGTCTCCTTCGAAGATGCGTGGTGGATCCCGCTGCGGCCACTCTTCTCCTGGGTCGAACGGCTCCCTTTTAATCTCGGATCATGGTATATCTTCACCACCATGGGCTGGCCCACCGAGGACGAATACCGCACCGTCTCCCGTCTCGGCGAAACATTTGTTCTCTGTTCACCCACTCGCAACACAATCGCGACATGCTATCCGCCCGCACTCCAGAAGGTGTTTGGTGAGCATAAGAACTGGCCCCAGCCGGAGTCGCAAAGCCAGATGTTCGCATTCTATGGGCAGAATGTGAGCTCGACAAATGGGGCAGAGTGGCAGCGACATCGGAAGATTACCGCGAGAGCGTTCAGTGAGGCTACCTGTCGGGAGGCGTGGCAGGAGACAGTGAGAAGGGTGAAATCTGTTGATTTTGAGCGCGAGAGTGAGAGGACGCTGGGACGGGTGCGGACCACGTTTGATTTGCTTGCTATGCAAGTGCTCGCAAACGTAGGGTTTGGCCAGGATATTGAGTTGACTAGTGTGCCGCCGGGTCATCGAGAGAGCTTGATGGGAAGCCTGGGGTTTATCTTGGAGCATGTTATGCTCACCCTGGTGTTTAACAGTCTGAAGGCGCCGGATATTATGCTCCCGGGGATCCTGAAGAGGCTAAAAGTATCCGTGGCCGAGTTTAGGTTGTATATGAAAGAGGCGGTACTTCGACATATGCAAGCCTCGAAGACGAAGACCGATCAGCCCGGGAGAACGAGCCTTCTAGAAGCGATGGTGAAAGCCAACGAAGCAGAGAAACAGCAGCTGCAAAAGACTACGAGCAGGCCCTCCTATTTGACCGAGTCGGAGTTGTACGGGAATATCTTTGTCTTCAATCTCGCAGGGTACGAAACGACGGCTTCGACTCTGACTTTCGCACTACCATACCTGGCCGCGCATCCGGAGACCCAGGACTGGGTGATCGAAGAGGTGGACAGATACTATGTCCAACGTTCAACCGATGATGAATACGAGAACACATACCCCAAGCTCGTGCGCTGCCTTGCCGTCATGCACGAAACGCTTCGACTAGCAAGTCCCGCGCCACTCCTCGTTCGCTCACCAAACGAGCCTACCGAGCTTCCAGTGTCAACATCCGACGGTCCGACCACCGTTACCGTAGACCCCGGCACACTCGTCGGCGGCAACTTCTACGGCGCCCATCTTTCTTCGCGCTGGGGTCCAGATGCGGAAACCTTCGACCCCAAGCGCTTCGTATCCATCTCTTCTGCGGGAGAAGAGCGCGTAGCCGTTCCAGAAGGGCCCATGTACTGTCCATGGATATTTGGGACGCGTGTTTGCCCAGGGAAGAAGTTCAGCCAGGTGGAATTTGTAGCGTTGATCGCGCAGATTATGTCCGAGTGGAAGATCGATGTGCTGAGACTGGAAGGAGAGGATGAGCAGGTTGCGCGCGGAAGGCTGATGGGGGTCCTCAAGGAAAAGTATTTCAATATCAGTACGCACCTGAAGCGGCCGGAGGATGCTGGGGTGAGGTTCGTGCGACGAAGGAGGGCACATGTCTGATAGGAATGGCTGAGCCTTACTTGCGAAGGCGCAAGGGAAGCGCGGTTCCAAGTGCGCCACCGCTGAACGATACCAGGGGCAGCTGTAGGGCCACAAACTATGGACGGTCGTTAACTGAGTTTGCTGGATTGCGCCATGGAGGGCCTGGATCCAGTGTGGACTGCAGATGGCACAACTGGTGTACGGCCAGAGCCTATGTACTCGTTCGTTGATCCCGGATCCCACTGTTAGGGATGAAGTAAAGGTGAATGCGGGAAGTTGATCTTCATTCAACGATTCTGTCGCCGTGGGGACCCTCGAGCGCCCTCGCACACGCAATCCGAATTAAATGTCGTATATATATTAAATAAAAGAGCACATCCTTCAACAAACGAACTACGTCAGCAGCTGCTGGACTCGCCGGGACAGCGCCGCGGATTGGGAAGTCTGACTGCCCTTCCGTTTAAGCCGCAGCCTATAGAGCGCCAAACCTTTAGGACTGACCTAGTTCGGAGTTCGAGTATGGTCGTCACCATAGTACAGCAAAATTCTATAGGGGTTTTCTGGGCCTGCGGGTTTCTTTTTGCTATTTCTTTCTTTATTCTTTTGCGCTATTTCTTTTGCGCTATTTTTTTTGGGCTTTTATTTGGATGGACGCGGCTGTGGGTGAGGAGAAGGTGTTGGTTTGAAATTCCGAGTACGTCCAGACCATAGGGCCGTGCATGTACGCTGGAGCTACGAATCGCCAATGCCTTCCTTCAGAGCGGATGATGGCAGGGAGACTGCACCCTAGAAACAGGGCAATGGAATCTCCTGCTTTGAGAAATTGTGAGCCAATCCCGAGGTGACCATTCTTAGTCTTGAACATGACTTTGCGATCCAAAACCTTCCGAACAGCCGTTTGTGAAGAGAGTGATATCTTGCCTGGTTGTCAAATCTCAAATCGAGAATAAGAGTAAGTTCGCGGTGAAGATGAAGATCGACAGTCTCCGTGTCTTTCTTCAAGTTTCGAATTGCGTTCATCCACTTTAGGACATCCCCCCCTGTGTACCGAGTAGTACCCGTAAAGCCCCACGTGACAGCAAGCCCAAGGAAGAAGAAAGCAAGATTTCTTGATTCCGATGGAACTGCAATTTGTCTCGGGCGCTTCACCAAATATGATTATCCACTCTTGTAGCGTGTCAAGCTCAGACTTCTGAGCCCCGGGTTCTTGGAGGGAATGATAGTTCGGGAAAGATGGTGAGGTCTCCTGGATAATATTGGATATCCCGCCGCGAAGCGTGAGCAGTGTACTGTCCGCGGAAATGTAGTAGAACATCTGGTTGTACCCTCTTCCCAGGGTTTTCTTCCACGGTGCCACATGACTAATAGGACGTGTGTCGGACCAGTCTGGAACCCAAGAAGGAAGCTGAGAAACTCCGGTAGTGCCCGTGACTGATGATAAGATGGATAGGCTGTTATCGTGGCGGATCGCTAGAGCAGCAGCCTCTCGATATACTTCCGCGACAGATTTCGAGTTATCTGGCGCTGGGGCTTGAACTCCTAAAAGAGTTAACAATCCTTGAAAAGCGAAGATCTTATCCCTAGACTCTGTGGAGTCTTGTGGTCGAGCGAGAAGGAGCAGACTGGTGCAATTGGTGACTTTGAGACGTTTTTCTTTCTCGCTCTTACGCACGTGCTGTACGTATCTCCACATCTTCCAATGGAGATGGACTCTGCGGATACTCTCCAACGTAAAAGTGTACTTCTCACTGGTTGCGAGGAATGACATGAACTCGTTCAGCTGGAGTGACGAATCGCCACAGATCATGATGCACTCGCGCGATAGTGCTACTTCTTGGAGTGGCCACACACGATCGAACCAGGGTTGTTCGAACAATGTATTGAGTTGCTGAATTGTTGTTTTATCGCCAACCGCAGCTGACCTTCTTCACTCGCTGAGGTGATCCCCAAGCGTAGGAAAGTGCCTCATATTCTGGAGGACTATCCAAAGACACCTCTCAAATCTCACAGCGAAGAGCGGAATCAGCATGTCCTGGAAGCAAGTCCAGGACGCGGATATTCCGCTGGCTTTGTAAAGGCTGATGTACATATTTGGTTCGCTTGGGCTGACGCATGGCCACATTCGGTAAAAGCTGTAGTCGTAGAAAATGGGAGTGTGGAATGACTGCTGAAGTGCATGTAATGGCACCTATATCATGAGTAGTGACGAGAAGGTCGTGTGAGGCTGAAGGCAACCATATCTGCGAGCTCAGCCCACTGAAGTATATTGACCCTAGTAGAAGATCACACGTTATGATTGTGACGAATGAGACAATACCTGCAAAGCGACGTGCAGGTAACCCAGCCGATGCTGTGTTGGAAGCGATAAGGTGGGGCGGCGGGGCGAAGTGCAGGAGGAATTGACCGGTAAACTTGCAACAATGCCATTGGCAGGGCCCGCGGATTGCCTGAGGAAAGAGGCAGTGAGCGAATTTTACTTGAGCCTCCACGTCTGTGGAAGATTCTTGAAGAAAAGTTGATTGTGCAGGTGGGCCCTGGAGGGAGGTTTGGCGCTAATCCCCTCCGAGAAGCAACGGGAAAGGCCCTGCGGTCATGAATACTTCGTCCCGCTCACCTACGCTCACACCGGGGAACTTCTGGAGATGTCTAAGAGCTCAAAATTTTGATTCAGGATGTCCACGTTCAAGATATGGCCATCGCAGGGGTTTTCAGTCACGTGTTAACTTGGTCCCGCCGAAAAGGGACTAGATGATCTGCAACGATGCAGACGTGAGTTGGGGGCGCATTTTCAGCTTCGGCCACGCCTTTTCGCTGCGTCCTGACGAGACGCCATGCTCGCTTCCTTCCCATTCTCATCGAGCGCTGATTTTGTGAAGCCCTCAAGCGCCGCTTCTTCTTCCGTGTCATGACGGATCTAGAGACTCCAACGGATGCGAATCCCTCATCCACGGCAGGACACGCGCCGGCCCGGGATCAATACTCGATTGCCGACTCAGCCTCAGATCGACCCAGAAGTCTGGATGACGAGAGTCACGATAGCGAATTTAGTGACATAAACACCGTTCTCTACATTCAAGATCACACCTTCAAACAATACGTCTTTCCGTGGGAGCGAGCTCAGGAATGGGCAGTGAGTTCACCGAAACTTTCGTTCATGTGTAAAAGCTCAATTTCCGCCTGTAGAACGTTAAAAGCTTTTTGGAAGAGATCTACGCGCGCAAGCACGATGGAGAGTATCTAGACGACATCCGCAATGATCGGTTTGATGTCTTGACTAGTGACGGCGACGTCATATTGCCTCCTGTCTGGGCCGCTGTTATTCGTCCTGGCTCTGCCGTTCGAATAACATTCCCAGCGCATGATGTCTCATCGGATTTGGGCGGGCGACGCCATAGTCCTCCTGGTCATCGTGTAGGATTCGCCGATGTAGATGTGGATGTGGGAGATGATGGAAGCGAACGATCCCCTTCTCAGCGGCGTTGGTCGAGCAGTATAGAATTCTCACCGACTGGCCCGTATGAGGGAATTGAGAGTTCTATAGAGGATGAGGAGGAGACCACCGAGCCTGCTCCGCCACCAGAGCCTACTCGTGTGGTCATCGCTCCTACGGATACGGAAGGAAACAAGCTCTCCTTTATGGCCAATACTAGGTGGTTTGGTACTCATTCAGAATCGAGCAAAGAAACCGGAAGCAACGGCGAAGATCTCAAGAAGCCTCCCGAAGGGGGTGCGATGAACGCCGAAAACCTCAAGATTACCAAGGCGCTTACGGTTTCAGCGGAGGGTAGAACGACACTACAGGTTCATACGCTTCCAGGGCCAGAGAACTCTGCTTTTTCCTCTAGTGTTGGCATTCGATGGTATCACACTCGTGCTGATAAATTGGATTGGACGCAATTCAAGGTCTGTTGCTCCACGTAATGATCCCTAATCATATTGCACTAACAAGCTAAAAGAGTACTTGCTCGAACGTGCCAGGTCTGAGTGAGCGATCGCAAAAGCTCGTTATGAGAACGCTACAGAAAGTAGAGAAGGAGAAGCTCAAAGCATTTCTTGGTGGAATGTTCATCGAACCCGGGACGGTATTGCGCGGCGACGAGAGCGAGCAACCAGAGCCCCTTTGGGTCATATTCTCCTGCGTCCCATATTTCGACCTTCGAAAACCTTCCAGAACTACCCCTTCCCAAAGTGACCGTCTCCATCCTCCAAGAACTTTGGTACAGTCATACTACCCGTATGAGCCTGTTCAAGAGCGGGACGCAGAGCAAGCGTACAGGAAATTTGGGAACGATCGCACCAACAGTCTGATCCACGTACCATCATTGTGGATGATGAATATTGGATCCTCTACAGTCGTTACATGCGGATATCGAACACTTGCGAGCGAATTAGTCAAGTCGATCGAAGTCGTCCAGGAGGATCCGAAACAGCTGAATATGGACGTAGATGGAAACACGTCGACTAGTATTCGGCTGACCGATCAGAATGGCCGCGTCCTTCTCTACTCACTCGACGAGTGCAAGACCTTCTTCGAATTGGAGCAGAGGCTCCGAGAATTGGGGTGCGTTACGGCATTTCCTGGCTACGAGCAGAGTCTGCCGTTGGCTTGGAATAGCCCATATGGTGATAAGAAGGTCACGGCTCGCAATTGGCTCGAGATTACCCTGCAACGAGGTCTCCTTTTCGTCAACCTTGCAGTCATTGATGAGAACAAGGCCAAAGAGTTGGATGACGAAATCCCTGCGGGACGACCCCAGCATATCCGGGCAACCACGCTGTCGAAGGACTCGGTCCCACCATTTTTCCAATGGCCGGTGAAATCAAAGACGATTCCTTTTCCAAAAGATCCCGTTGCCGCCGATGACTCGCAGTGTATACACTGTCTAGACCTCGTCGAGAAAGCAATATTGAGCGAGACTCTGCCTGATTACGACACGACAGGAATGGTGGACCGTAGTTTTACGTCCACAGAGTACTACGAGGCCCTCCAGGAGGACACCATCGACCACGTCAACGCCCTCTTCGCCTCGCTGGAGCAAACGCAAGCTACACTAGGAGAAGGCCCATCGCAGCGTACGTACCACCAGGCTGTCATCGAAGGCCAATGCTCCCAATTTACAGAAAAGGCTGGTAATTTTGTCAGTGTCGTGCACAAGACATTCAAGCTTTTCCTATCGGATGTGGACCAGAGTACGATACTACGCAAAGTGTGGGGAGCCATGGCGAATATTGCATCAATCATTAGGACAATTCAACAGCGCGACATTTATAAGCCCGATCCCGAGGAATACAAGAACGATCGATGGAGGACACCCATCCGCAAGGGACGCACTTGGTACATTCGGGCCCACTATCCGAGATCGCTGGTAGTTGATCCTCCCTTGCCGAAGAGTAACGACGCCTTTGCAGAATTCGTAAAGAATTGCACGAGATGTCAAAGCCCAAAACCTTTCCTTGATCCCAACGATGCTCTAGCGCATCTCCGATCCCACCACCAGCATAGTGGAAAGGCTGAGTCACTTGACCCGAACACCCGCTCCTACGTAGATGATGTGAACCTGAAGGACTGGATACGCAATGAGGACGAATATCTCCTGGAGACCTCGAATGCGGGATGTCTTGCTCTCCTCAATGAAGCGCTGGCGGCTTCAGGCAGTGTTCTCCGCGAACTAACAGAACTCGTTGATGGAGTAAAGAAACAGGACGGTAACTTGTCCGAGCTCTATACCCTTCCACGCCAGCTCCTGGAAACCTTCCGAAGGATTGTCTTACTCTATCTTGCTGTTGAAAGAAGTTTACATTTTATTCGGGGACTCATCTCTGATACGCACCGACGCCACGAGCACGGAGATCCATCTTTAAGAGAGGGGCTTCAGGCATTGGAGCGCTTCAGCGAGAGTATAATGACGCCTCTGCGCCAGGCGCGAGCGACCCTGTGCGAGATGGTGCGTTCCCCTTCACCGAATTACCCCTGGAAAAGGATGTCTTTAGGTCCCGAGTACATATGTAGCTGGCTCATGAGGCGCCTGTTGGTCAGACCACTGGGGGACCAGAGCATGACGGTCGCAGATATATATCGGGAGTATCTTTCAACCCTGGTAAGCCACATATCAATCCAATATTTGGGAAACATATACTAATGTGATCAGCAATTCCAAGTCAATCACCGGCCAGGAAAACGACTTCTCCGAACCCTAAACCTCCTACAGGAAGAGCTCATGATCCTCGCCGAAGTCAACACCTGGCAAACACGATTAATCGAAAACTACATGCGGGTTCTAGATGACTCTTCCTACGAAAAGGACATTCCCTTGCGCCGCGCGCTTTTCCCACACGAGCGTCTCCTCTTGAAGTCCAGTCTCGAGTATTTGGCCTTGACCCGTGAGGAGTACGCGGATCAAATCCGCCGCTGCGGCCCGCTATCCGACAGCACCAAGCAAAGCGCCGAAATCAACGAAGAGGATCACGGAAAAGCAATTCTCATCTTCACAGTTGTCACCGTCATCTTTCTTCCTCTCTCTTTCGTGACCTCCTACCTGGGGATGAACACCTCCGACATCCGCGACATGGACAACAAGCAGTCCCTCTTCTGGGCGATCGCAATTCCATTGACAACCATCACAATGGGCTCTATCCTCTTCATAGCATACAATGGCGACGAGCTCCGCGACCGCCTCTCCTCAATCTACCGCTCGCTGGCCGGAAAACAAAACCGCAGCACCACCGCGCGTGGCATATCTGTTGCCCAACGCAAACGCGCATCCAAGAACCCCTCCGATTCCTCTTCAACACTAGACTACAAATCCATCGCCGATGAGGCCGAGTTCGCGACCCCAAAACCCGACTTCTGGGACGACGACTACATGCGCGGCGCCCACGGGTTCCAGCACAGCCTCATTGAAAGCAGGATGCGACCGCTGACGAAAAGCGGGCTCGAGGTCACAGCCTACAACGACGACATTCTCTACGACGAGGACCTTCTCCCCCGGCGACGCCGTGCACGAAAAGACTACAGCAGTGCGAGCGCTCTGCCCCCTCTCCAGAACGTCTACCCAGTCCCGTCGACCGATCCTGCGATTTTCGACGCCAGACGTACCACCACACAGACCTATTCCCTCCCCGTCAACATCCAGTCCAAAGTGGCGGGCATAAAACTAGACACGTCCTATTACCCATCCCGTCCACAACCAATACCAATATCACTACCACGACCGCCTCCACATAGACCCTACTACCCCAACCCCTACGCCCGCGGCGCCCCTCCCCCTCCACCCGTCATCCCAGGCTACAACCCCAACGCTCCTACATACATCAAAGTGCACCGCAAGTACCTCGACCCCGAGACGCTTGCTTTCTACCAGCTGCCCTGGGAGTACGATCGCGTGGATCCTAATTACATCGTCATATTGAGGGAAATGCCCCGAGGGGAGACGGATGTGCTGTTTGAGCATACGCGCAAGTTGAGGGAGAAGAGGAGGGATGGAGGAGCGGTGGGGCTGGGCGGGAGGAAGGGGGAGTATACGTGGGTGAAGAAGGGGAGGGGGTATGGGCATGGATATGGGAAGGGGAGGGAGAGATACGTGTGAGCATGCGGAGGCGAGGGGACGCCGACGTAGCGGAGGGGGACGTCGGGTGATGCACGACACGTTCCGCGCGAAATGTAACCTTGTGAAGAATCGCAGTACTTTTCATTACTAAACATCCGTCCGTGTTCAGATAAGTTCCTCTATTCCTCACGCCCATCACCAAACCACCCCAACTTACCGCTTCAGCGTCTTCTGCTTCTCCGCATCCCTCACCAGCACCTCCCTAACAAGCAGCCCCTTCCTCCTCCTCACGCTCTCCATATACCTCTTCGCGACATTCTCTCTATCCGCCAGCTCGCCCAAGTCCTCCAGCTCATCCTCCGTAAACGGCACCCAGAAGGGGTCCTCATCCAGCATCTCAAAGCCCGCAAAGCGCAGCTGCGGACTCGCACTCCCAGAACTGCGCTTGCGGATCTCGTCGCTGAAGCCGAAAGATTCAGCGACCGGGAGGAGCGCGTTGATGGTGAAAGTCTGATTTCCCGTCGTCGACGCGGAGGATGTAGAGGATAGCGTTTCGGACAAGATTTGGCCGCGGCGGCGGGTGAGGACAGCGTAGACGCGCCCGAGGACGTCGGTGGAGGCGTTGATCTCGCAGTTGTACATGGCGAGCAGCATGCGGGGCGACCAGTCGAGGAAACCCTGGTGAATGGCGCTGCGGACCGTCTTGATGACTTCGCCTGTGAGGCGGCCCATGCGGTCTGCACCTGTTTCTTCGGGTGGGGAAGTGGCGACAGAGATTTCTTCGAGGAAGACGGCGACGCCCTGGACGGGCTCCGCGCAGAGAGGCCCCTGTGCTGTGGCAAGCTGGAAGGCGTAGCTTATCTTGTCGGCGAATGAATGTGGGGTTAGGGTGTGCGAGGTTGCGGGAGTGTCTTCGGTGGATTCTGGCTCGGGGTCGGGCGAAGATGTTTCGCGGAGCCTGTGATGTGTTAGTGGTTGTATGTTGGTGTGGTAGAGACTGGGCGTACTTACGCTCTCCCGCATATGCCGCCCTCTGTTGTGTCGACTAGGATGTTTGGTCCTATTCTGCGAGGCCCAAAAGCGGTGATCTTTTCGATGACGTCGGTCCAAACTTCTTTCTGTCCCTTGGCTTCTTCGAAAGCCTTCTGTAGCTGCTCCTTGAACTCGGCTAAGCTCAATGCATGCCCAATCTCTAGCTGCTCTGCCTCTTCCATGCCGTCCTGCTCAAGTTCGTCTGCAACTCGTTGCCGTCCCTCTTCAGCGCTCTCTGCATACAGTCTCTTAATGGCTCCAGAGTTTTTGCCAAGGAACTCAGTTACGCTTGGGGGTAATGGTCGAACTCGCAGGCGCACAATGACCTGCTTGCTTGTGGTAACTCCGATGACGGTACCTCGCGGTAGATCTGGATCTCTGGGAGGATTCATTTCGGCTGCTGCAACGATGGACTCGCGATACGGTACGATTGGCTCACCGGCCTGTATCTCGCACTTTGCAAAGCGTTCCCTGAGATCCTTCAAGCACCTCTCGAAATGAAGTTCGCCGGCCGTGAGAATGACATGCTCTCCGCTGCTTAGGACTTCATACTCCGCACAGGGGTCACTCTGCACGAGCATCTTCAGGCCATTGATCATCTTGTCTAGATCATATGGGTTCTCTGGTTCCAGCGCAACACGAACGATCGGATGTGTACCCATACTGATACCTGCGAGATTGACGGAGCCGGACAGCTGTGAGCAAAGCGTGCCTGACTTGAGGACGTGACCGGCAAGTCCACCTATGCCAAAGACTACACCTGCCGGTACGGTAGTTAATGGCTCCAGCCCGCGCCCCATCATTAGATACAGCGCAGTGACTTTGACCTTTCGCGGTTCCGGAGCAGCATGGGGCTTCGACGGTGTGAACTTCGGTCCTAGAACATAGACTTCGTCGCCGACGCTCAACGTGCCGGAATAGATGCGAGCAAAACCGATGAGATGTTCTGCTTCCTGCACTGTATCTGTCGTCTCTTCTGGGGTCTCTGTCTCGCCAAGTGCCGTGGAGCTCATTGCTGAAGTGAGGTCTCCCATTTCTGGATTCGCGCCATTTGCAAGAGCCTGCTGTCGAGCTATCTCTGCTCGTTTCTTGCGCGCGAGCTCTCTTGCCTCTTCTGCACTGAGCGCTCCGCCTCGCCGCTTGTTCTCCGGAAGTTCGCTTTCAGGCACAGCGACCATCTTGCTAACGTAGGCTACTACAGGTGCATTTTCCGAGATCTTGAACTCGGTCACCGCTTCCCGTACCTCGGCTGCAACGTAATCGGCACCCGGCGAGCTGTCAATTATCTCGGGCATCCGTTCGGCTTGCGCTTTGGGTGGAGAGGGTAGGTACTCGATAACGGAGACCAGCAGCGCCGTAGATAGAGGAAGCCAGGCTGCAAAGAGGGTAGTCAGGAGCGCCCGCGGGTCGCGCGACCGGAGGATGTGCGCTGGGATAGTTACGTTGAGGGACTTGGTGATCTTTTCAACCATTGCGGGATCTCTGTTGTAGAAAGAATGAGTATATTGGATAAGGTATGTACAACGCAAAGAAGACAGTTGGAGAGGAAATCCACGCACCCCTTCCCCTTGTTACCTCCTGTAGTGGCCTCATAGACTGCCCATATGTTGTCGAGAACTAGTTGGACGAACATTGGCTTAAGATGGCGGCCCTTAAGATGTTTAGATCCGAGAATTCGTTTCGTCTTGGGATCAAGATAGAAATCGCCCCACAGTACTTTCTCGAGAACGGAGCGTTTGATGCCAAGCTTTCGCTCATAGAGGCCTGCAAATTGCTTTACAGTAAAGGCCCATCCATCGATGGCGCTGCTGAAAATTACGTTGTTCTTCTCAGGAGCGAAGTAGATGTCCTCGTCGTCCTTTTCCTCGTATTCGGCAGGAGTGCTTGTGGTATCAATGCTATCGCCATTTTCGGTGACTGATGTCGGAGCGGAGCCTGCCTTCTCTGCGGCAGCAGCATTTAGCTTCTCCTCCATCTTTTCTCGCCACCTGAGGTCGTCGTCCATGCGCTCTCCTTGGTAAAAGCTGCCCATGACGGCATTTACCTGCTCAAGCAACTTGCCCAAATGTGTATACGCCTCTCCGGGGCTCATCTTGAGCTCTGTGATTAGCCTGTCCATTTTGTTAATAACGAGTAAAGGCTTCAGCTTCTCGATCCACGTCTGCCGAAGAACGGTGACGGTCTGACTACACACGCCTTCGACGGCATCTACAAGCACGACTGCGCCGTCGCACAAGCGTGACGCGGTCGAGACTTCATAGCTGAAGTCAATGTGCCCAGGTGAATCAATCAAATTGATCAAGAACTCCTTCTGCTCCGGCTTCGCTTCGGGAGCGGACCGCCGCAGTAGGGAAAAGTATAGCGAGATGGCAGAGGACTCCATAGTGATGCCTCGCAGCTGCTCATCTGGTCTCGAGTCTAGGTATCTTATCTTGCCGGCTAGTTTCGGTGAGATGATGCCGTTCGTGGCGATGAGGGCGTCGGTGAGGGAGGTCTTGCCATGGTCCTGTTGACTTTAGCAGAGATAGCGACCGGAGGAGGTCTAGCATGCGTACGACGTGGGCGAGAATGCATATCTGGGCACACTGTCAGCCTGGACCGTTGAATGAGGCTTCTGCAAGGTTTGATGTACGTTTCTGATGCCTTCAGCCGCCTGCTGTAGCGAGACCAGTTTCTCTGGGGCGACGACAGGCATCTTTGCTGCCTTTGTCCAACGTGGCTCTCAGAGGGTCCAGAGCCGCGACGGGCGAGGTACAGGATATCTGTCCGAGTGAGCCGCAGCGCAAGCCCGTGGCACGCTATCAGCCTGTCTCACGGGTGCTCCAGTCGTATCGCAGTGGGGCTGGCAAAAATAGCAGAATGAAAGGACTCTGGGCCGGAATAGGTGCGAGGCGCGGGTGTGCTGGTTGGTTGCGGATGAAGTTTTTGGGAAATTAGAAACGCGAGCGAAACCCCACCACTGGCGCTGGTGGCGGCGGGCTCGGCAGCACAAGCCTGAGACAAGACGTCAGGACCCGAGCTGCTCGCCCGAAGGTGACGGCTGCTCTTCTGCCCGCAACCACGCGTCCGCCGTTCGCTCTTCTCCTATAGATATCCAGCGGCTGCCGTCTGGACCCTCGGATCGATGGTGCGCTCCTACGTCCATGCATGGCCCCTGCCGCTCGCCTACTGCACTCCATTTGTCGATACATCTCCCTTCTATAGCACCTCGGAACTATAGTGCCCATACCTCGAGCCCAGACCACAACACCCGGAACAACACATCTTGAGCAACACACCTTCTCACTGTCGCGCACCCTCAATTGCCTCGTGGATGCCGAGCGCGCCGCCATGGCAGCAAGCATGGCGGAGAACGGCCAGCAAACGCCCTCCAAACCGCTGCCCATCCGCCCCACGGGCATGAAGATCCAGACGCCACTCCCCCAGCCGCGCGTTGAGGCCATCAAGGCGCACAATGCCGGCATGAACGTCATGTCGCCCGTCAACCAAAACGGCAGCTTCGAGTTCGATCGCGTCATCAAGGCTGGCACTGTGGTCAAGCGCACGCGGAAGACGAAGGTCAGGAGACGCGTTGAACCGATGCGGAATGCTATCGACAGCTAACGTGCGCAGCAATGGAAACCTATCCACATCGTCCTCCGCCCGAACCTGCTCTCCATCTACAAAGACAAAGATGAGACGAAGCTGCGCCACCAGATCACTCTCTCCGAGATCACGGCCGTCGCGCGCCAGAAGGACTCGAAGAAGAAGATGGACCATGTCTTCGGCATCTTCTCGCCCGCACGGAACTACCACCTCGGCGCATCGACAGAGAAGGAGGCGCAGGAGTGGGTGCATCTGATACGGGCTGAGGCGCGCATAGATGAGGAAGAGGAAGAGATGATCCTCATGAGCCCCACCGGCAAGAAGACCTTCACGGGCTTCGACAGAGCGACAAGGGAAACCATCGGATCGAGCTCCTCTGAGGCGGAACCCAGGCCGTCAAGTTCAATGCCGCCCGAAGCTCTACACAGCGCACGGCGACCGTCGCATACCCTGAATTACTCCGGCAACGACTACGGCTCGTTCTCAGACTTCTCCGACACAGGCGGGCCTGCACCTGCAGCGTTCCACGGCTCCGCCAATTCTCTTCCGCGGACCTCTCAACAAATCCCGAATGTTAGTCAGCAGAGCAATATTGGCACCACGCCAGACGACGAGCGCGTCGTGTACCACGGTTGGCTATATGTGCTCAAGTCAAAAGGCGGAGTTCGGCAGTGGAAGAGAGTCTGGGTTGTCCTGCGGCCAAAGGGGCTTGGTCTATATAAGAACGACCAGGAATACTCTGCCAACCTCATCATACCCTTCTCAAGCATTATCGACGCGGTGGATATCGACCCGGCGTCGAAGAGCAAGCAGTACTGCATGCAGGTCATCACCGAAGAGAAGAACCTGCGCTTCTGCGCACCAGATGAAGACTGCCTGGCAAAATGGCTTGGCGCATTCAAGAGCTTGCTGGTCAAGAGGAAAGAAGCGGAGCATCAGCGCGTGCTTCAGGCGGCCGGGAATGCAGGGAACGCTCAACCACCGAAGCAGGTTCCCAATGCTGCGCAGAAAGCGGCAGCTCCAGCTCCGAAAGCCCAGCAGCAACAGCCCACCGCGAAATAGCCACCTTCCTGACCTTTCGACCTCGCATTCTGTTCTTCCCATGCCGACACCTTGCCGACACCTTCTTGCCGAGCATATCTACTCGCCACACAGACACCCTTGTACCCTGTACATACCCCTTTCCTTTGTCAAATCAGCGGCACTCGCCCTCGATTCCAGATGCGTCAGCCCATCTTGCCAGTTCTTTTAGCGTTTCACTTTATGACATTGCACGATTTACGACTTCGCATACTAGCCGCCACATTCAGCATTGGCGGTTTCACCCCGGGGGGCGTACACTGCACTTCTTGGAAGTTGGATAATTGATGAACTGGGTTCATTCTGTCTTGGATAATTGTAGTCTACTGTGTAGCTGTGTAGTAGTAACTTTGTAATACGGATTGCTGGAGCTGGAACTGATTCGCATTGACCGGCTCATGCCATGTCAAATTCAGAATTTACCTGTATGAGTCCCCCTGCCTCGGCGCTTCAATTTTCGCTCTGTCTTTTGGTTCGCGGCGATATTCTTGCTCCAAAGATACGCTACCGCTAGATGTAGACGTCGGGAATGGAAGGAGGGGAGTCGCGCTTTCCTTTTCTTTCTTGACGTAGCTAAGGCTTGTTCACACCCTCCACATTCACAGCAGCCCTAAGTCGAGAAACCTTACAGAGCTGTACTTCTCAACCTTGGAAGTAAACAACGACATCGATCCTTTCTCTGCGTACCGCTGTCCACATCACGGGCCGGGAAAAAATAGCAGGCTAGCTGCGATGTTGCACGAGCGACTTACAACTCCACGCCGGTTTTCTATATCGCGACGCTCGATAGCCAACCGTCATGCTGGTCCTATCGAAAGTCTTCTTACTTTTTCGCTGGGAATGCTCCTTCCTGTGCTGGTCGAGTCGAGTGCCCTCCTGGAGATGGAACACTCCAGGCAAGCAGTCTTCTCCCGCGATCTCTCGACAGTACCGCTGCCAAATGCGAGACGCTTCATCCGAAATTGACGGGCGCTGAACTACCACTCCAGCTCTGGGGGCTGCTCTGTTAATTGAGCTGGAAACCTCATGGCGGACTACCCACTGACCGCCGATGGATGTATTGCCTACCATCTTGAGCAGCCACTCCGCAGCCATGGTCGATGGACACTACGAACAATGCCACACGGGCTCGAGACAACGAGCAAACTACCTTGACGAGTTTAGAGGATTGTGTTTCGCTCCTCCTTACGCCCCGCGCAGTATTGCAAACCCCATCACTTTTGACTCCAAAGCTCATACTCATAACTAATGCAGCAAAAAAGGCTCGACCAACACCGCTGCGAACTCCTCGCCGATATCCAAAGTCCAGGCTCAACAAAGCGTACAAGGAGTCGTGGGATCAACCTCGCCTTGCTCACATGATGACTTTCAACACTGGAACTAGATGTCGATTGCTGCGTCGCTTCAGCGTTTCGCGTGGGGAACCAGTCACAGCTCTCGAGAACCTGAAGTCAGTGGCTGCGCTTGCTAGCAGTAGCAGCCGTGCTGCTGTGATAGCCATCACTGTAGCCGGCATGCCGAAAACTTGCTCATCTAACTTCGCGTCGGGCGTAAGTTGGTGCCTAGGGTTTCTCTTGGCTTGAGCAAGTTTCGGTACGCCATGGGGAACTCATCGGCCATGCTCTCCATCGCTACGAATGAGGGTGCAGCTTTCTATTCTAATGCTACACTATACAGTACCATGCCTGGGGAAAGCTCCCGCCCTAGCTGGATGTTTTAAGGACCCAATCCGTCTGTCCGTGTTACCATCAACCTCAGCATTCTTCGTTCCCCAGGGTTAGTCACCCTGCTGCTCCAGCATGAAGCTCTCTTCACTCCTTGTGCCGGTAGGTCTTTCTACCACGGCCGCCGGTGCCTTTATTGGCATTGGTGGTCCTGTATCGCGGCCTTACTGCGCTTACGCTTGCGGGAATGTCTTTTCTTCCGCTAACCTCACATGTACTATGCCTCGTCATCACGGAATACCTATGGCAATGACCAGCTCCAAATGTCGAGCCGGTGACGATGCTTTTCTAACCTCGGTCGCCTATTGCATGAGCACGAAATGCCAGGAAGAGCCCATGTGGCTCCTGGAGAAGTACTTTTCGACCGTGGCGACGGGTACTCCTCCTCTCCAACCGAAGTGGGACTATCAAACATCCCTTGACCACGTCGACAGCACCCCGACAGTAACATGGGCTTTCGGGCGTACGCTCAATTCCACCATGGTCGTCCCAGAGAAGAATTGGAACACTCAGATGAGATTTCTCAGCACTATGGAGCACAACTCAGCGCTTTTGTATAGATACTCGTAGGTGCAGTCGTTGATTTATTGAGAACATCACTGACATCAAGTTAGGCTGGTCATTCTGGTCGTGGGCTTTGCTACTCCTATTGCCATCAGGTGGATCACAAAACTTCCATGCGCATCATTCATCGTCGATAAAATCAATCCATACCTCATCTGGCCATCCACAATCGGCACATACCACGTTCGTCCGCTTCCTTGGCTGCTCGGAAACGCACCCACTCTAGGGCAGGCCTGGTACATCGGCGGCTTTCTACTTCTCAACATCATTCTTTCTTGCCTTAGCTACTGGCCTGTATACCCACTTCCACACCCATGGGGCTACAACAAACGTGGCGAGATTCTTGCCTACGCTGGATATCGGACCGGCGAATTTGCTTTCGCGCTCCTTCCGCTTACGATTCTTTTCGCCGGACGAAATAATATCCTGCTCTGGCTCACAAATTGGTCTCACTCTACGTATATCCTCTTACATCGCTGGATTGCACGCCTCTTTGCGATTCATACGATTCTCCACTCCATCTTCTTATGGGCGGCGCGCGTTCAAACTGGCACGTATAACAAGGATGTGAAACTGCCGTACTGGCAATGGGGCATCGTTGGCACTGTCTTTGTCTGTGTTATGCTTGTCTTCAGTCTTCTTTGGATGCGTCGGTTTTCATATGAGGTGTTTCTTATCGGCCATATCATCATGGCCATCCTTGTTATTGTTGGCAGCTGGTACCACTTGATCCTACGATTCGGTAAAACAGGAACCCACGAATACTGGCTCTACGCTGCCTTCGCCGTTTGGGCTTTCGATCGTTTGCTTCGCATCCTCCGCATGGTTAAAAACGGAGTACGGAAGGCAACAGTAACGGAAATTGGTTCGACACATGTCCGCGTTGAAGTACCTGGCGTCAGGTTCAGCGGTAAGCCCGGCTTCCACGGCTACGTCTACTTTCCGACTCTCAACCCTCTAAAGCCCTGGGAAAACCATCCTTTCTCTATCAACTCTACGGCTCTCCTCCGCTCCTATGGTATCGGCCCACATAGTCCGGGAAACTCGCTTCGCCGCTCGCCCAAGGAGGACGGCAAGATCGAAACCAAAGTCACGGAGTCTCATGCACACCACGACCCGGGCACCACTGCCGGCATAACCCTATATGTCCGCAAGTCTACCGGCATGACCCGCCTACTGCAAAAGCACGCTAGCCTAATAACCCTCCTCGACGGGCCATACCCAAACAACCCTCCTTCCGCCGTGCTGAGCTGTGACCGGCTGCTGCTCATAGGGGGCGGTATCGGTATCACCGGCCTCTTGGGCTTCTTCCGTGCTCATGTGGACGTCAAGCTTGCGTGGAGCGTGAAGCAAATCCACGCAGCGGTCGTGCAGGATCTGGAATCAGCGGTGAGCAGCGTTTCCGACAGGGAGATTCGCATTGGTGAGCGACTAGACATCAGAGCGCTGTTGCAACAGGAGGTTCAGGCTGGATATAAGAAGGTCGGCGTTGTGGTGTGTGGGCCTGGAGCCCTGTGCGACGATGTGCGCGCGGTGGCGGCGAGCCTGGGGCGGCATGAGAAGACAGTGTTTGAGCTGGAAGTTGATACTTTTGGGTGGTGATGGCAGCATGTAGGATGACGGCGTATACCACCCGGTGAGGAATGCACACAAATTGTGTCTTTTGACAGCTTCTTAGCGCCTTAATACAAGTGCTCCTAATTGCTGAATTATGCGCCTCAATGAGGTGCAAGACCCAGAATATGCCGGGTTATGCCTTTATGTGGCCTACAATGACTTCTCGATCTCCGCCAGTTCCGCCATCACTTTCCGCACGTTTTGCTTTACGGCTTCGCTGACGGGCAGGTATGGCTTCCTCGGCTTCAGCTTCTCTTCCGCATCCTCGATACCTGCTGCTGCCGCGCTAAACTGTGACACAGCATACTTGGTGCTCGCGATTCCCGCCTTGACTGGGCTCTCCGCCAGCGCGGCTTTCCGGTGCAGCACCAATGCCTCGTCCACCTTCCCACTCGTATACAGCTCATAGATCCTAGATATCGTCTTAGGAAAGACGTTCGAGAAAGCAGCAACGCAGCCCGCACTCCCCACCGCCAGCCCACCGATCAGAAAATCCGACTGCCCGCCAAACGTAGCGAACACATCCGGCGACAACTCCGCCGTCAACCGCGTAATCTTCGCCACGCTCCCGCACGTTAACTTCACGCCCACAATCTTCCCCGGATTCCGCCGCGCCATCCCAGCAATAGTCTCCGAGTCGAGGTCCACACCGTTGCACTGGCCCGGAAAATTGTAGATCACAATGGGCAGCGGGCTCTTCTGCGCCACTTCGTCGAAGAACCCATTCACCACCTCCTTCGTCGTCGCTGGCCCGTAGTACGCCGCTGGCAATAGTAGTCCAAAGTCCGCGCCGGCCTGCGCTGCATCCGCGGCGTTCTCAAGCGTCTGGACGACGGAAAACCCGCTGATGCCGCAGATGAGCGGATAGTCGGGGCTGACGGCTTCTCGCGCCGCGGCGATGAGACTTATGCGCTCGGAGCGCGTGAGCAGGAAGGCTTCGGCGTTCGAGCCGAGCACGACGAGCCCCGTGATGCCAGATTCGGAGAGGTATTTGAAGTAGGTTTTTTGGGCGGGGAGGTCGATGGCGCCGGTTTGTGGGGAGAAGAATGTTACGGCGGGCGTCCAGACGCCGGGTGCGGGGACTTTCATCCTGCCTGCCTGCGGTGGGAAGGGAGTACGCCGGAGTCGTTGGGGCGTGGTATTGGGAGTTGGGGAGAGTTGTCGGAAGTCGTGTCGTTTCTACGCCGACCCCGCTTCGAGTAGCTTGACCCACAGTCTTTTCTGGCTCACGGCTATCGGTAAGTATTAATGCTCCATTTCCATGAATAGCCGTAGGCAGCCGCTCGTTAATATGAGTCTCCGCCTCAGAAGGACAGGGGAGGCTCCAAAACTACTCTCAGTAATCAGGCAATGGCGAGGGATCTTTCTCCCATCGTTATCGCGACCGGAATAAGCGACACCTGGATGAATTTTCGTTACGAGAACGGCCCTTGAGATCAATAGAAGGAGCCAATCGAACCTTACAATGGTTCTTAAGATATACCATTTGTCCTTTCGAATTGAGAGGAGAGGTTGGAAGTTGCGCTCAGATAGTGATTATGTAATGATTGAAATAGTCCTAGTGCACTCGGTTTCCCCTTCTGAGGACGCTGCTTTCGCCTCGAAGCACTAGACTTTAATAAACTTCCACACAATCCCATCAGACACCGCATTCTCAACCTTAGCCAGCACTTTCTCGCCCCCCTCCATCATGGTCCCCACAGGCCAAAGCTTCTCCCAATGTGTCATAAGCAACACGTAGCCTCCCTCTGGCGTCTGCCTCACGCAGAACCACTCCCACCCTTCATGTGCCCGTCCGGAGCAGCGTAGCTTCCCTGACCGCCCATCGTGCCCCAGAAACTTGCCTGACACGGGGTTCCGAAACCCAAGCCAGCCTTTGGTTTCCACGCACTCCCAGTGGATTGATTCGCGTCCGCCCGGCGGCGCTAGCACGACTTGTCCGCCACGCAGCGCGATGGCGTGGCCGGTCGAGACGGAGCTGATGATGAAGGTCGAGCCGGGCCATGGGACGGAGGAGCCATTGGATTTGGGAGAATGTAGCGGGTCGAGGTCATCAAGATCCTCCAGAAGGCCGGGTGTCGTGCTTTCGGGGGGTGTGGGGCATGTGTAGACGGTGGACTGCTTGTGGTCTGAAATAGGTTTGGGCTGAATATGGTCGAGGGCCATAGTTTCGATGCCGGACTCAGAATGGAGTACTTCGAGGGAACGAGCTAGCGCTTTGAAGCCTTGATGAGACGGCGGATATCGATGCGATGCGCTGAACCGGTGAGGGAATATATCCGGAATCTGATGCTCCCACCCTAGCAAGGAGCACAAAGCACCTTGCACGTGGAGATGACGTCGAGACCGACCAGCAGTTAGGGAAACAATCACGCACTGCGTCGATGATGCGGGTAAAGGTGAGGTCTGAGGTAATGGTTCTGGTTAGCCGCCAGCGCAGCGGCTGCGCCGCTTTACCAGCTTATGTCAGGAATGTGGCTGGTGGCGCGGGGACGCAACCAACATTGGAAGCTGGCAGTTTGAAGCTATCTGGAAGCTTGCTCCTCGCTATTCTTCGGGTGGAGAATTCAGAGCTATGAGATGAGTCTGGAAAGTGTACGAGTTTCTAGTGATGATTACGTAATAGCTCAAGTGGGTCTAGCGCAAAATCTAATCTTGAAACCGATCGCGGCAAAAGTAATGATGTCTCTCCACCCACCTCAACACTCCAATATTACCACCCGTTGCTACCCCTCGACCCGTTATTCTCGATGCGGCACGTAGAACTCATCCAGCCCTAACCTGCAAATGTACCCGCCCTCAGCCAGCTCCTTGTCCATGGCATCCTCTTCTTCACTGTCTTCGCTATGCTCTTCGCTGCCGACGCTCTCCTCCTCATCATCATCCTCTCCCATGGCCTGACCCGGAGCGAAGCTTAATACCCTATCAGACATGTACCCCCAGGGTAGCTTCTTCCTTCGGAACAGAGACAATACCCTACTCTTCTTGTACATCTTGTACTCGACCGCGAATACCACCTTGCCCTCAACTTGACTATCAGCATTCAGGTTGCCAGTCCTGCGTTGCTCGGAAGTCGTTTCTAATGAAGAGCCTAGAGGAAGGCTTCCTGGTGCGATCGCATTCGCTGCCGCTCCTATCGGAACCTTCGCGCTAGCAGATGCTGTCCTTCCGTGGCTGACCCTGACAGATTTCGTTGGATCGACCACGCATTTGTAGCCGATAACCATGTACAGCTTGTCCGGAGCGACTCCGAACCGGGCGTTCTCGTAGCTCATCATCTCGCTGATGTCTTTTGAGTACTTGTCCATGATCCTGGCGAAGACCTTGTTGTGGTCTCGCAAGCGGTGCGTTTCAATCAGCGAGCTCTCGAGAGATATTTCAGTGCTGAAGTTCGAGCCATTCGAGACTCCTAGGAATGGTTCCAGTGCTATGCGCAAGTTCCTGTCCTGAGATGCGGATGCGAGTATCCTTGCTGCTTTCTCTCGAATCGGCGGTTGAAGGAAGTCTTTGGCGATTGATGACGGATCAGCAGGCTCTGAAGCATCCATGGGATGCTTGAAGTCGATAGTAAGTCGCCCGAGGAGCTTATCGACTTCTTCACCTGGTATCGGATAGTCCAGGATGAGGAATCGACGGCGTTCCATGTCGAAGCGTTCGATTATGGGTCAGTTGAGTTTGCGAAACGATAAGGTGAGACCAAATTGTATATTGAAGGGATTTGGGATGTACAACATATTTATGCTGAGCTGCGCTGAGAGAGCGTGATGCTAAGAAAAACCCAGAGTGGAGTGATATCAGCCACGCACGTGATTATCAACCTTCGCTACACGCCACTCTCCGATGGAACCCAGCTGGATCGCGTTACCTCGAGTCCACATCGCAGTCACGCATGCACGTCTTGCATCTGACCCGACAATCATCATTCGATTCCATTACTTGCTTTTATTCCAGATGTTCGTCCATAGTCCTGCCTCAAGTTTCCCGCTATTGTTCCATTCTTAACACAATGTCTCCCGTTCCGGCAGAAGACGATCCACCGCATCGAGACCAATATCGCGCAGTCGCCGTAACTCAAGTGGGTTACAATACAAAGCAGCAATCATGGCGAATAGAGCTCTCGAACTCTCCAGAAGCATGTACACTTCGACTCCCGCATGGCGACGTCCAAGAAAAGCTCCTCAGGTGGTATTTAGAGGATTATCCTCTTTCAGATCCACTGGAAAGAACCAAAAGGTCGAGCGCGGAAGCTTACCTCAATCTATACGGCCAGAAGCTGCTTGAACAACTTCCGCCGATTTCGTATCCGTCGCATCCCTCTGGACTGTCTGTTCTGGTACAGGGAGAAACGAATGGAGTGCAAGTGCGGAGTATCAACGAGCTTCATTGGGAAACCCTTGAAGCGGAACTTACCAGCAACGAAGAGGGGCAGGTAACTGTCATAAGGGTGGTGCCGACGAAAACTTTCCCAAAAGATCGCTTCGCGCACCTGAAGACACCCGGTCCCTTCAGAATACTGCTGATTGTTGCACGCTCGGACCTATCAGAGACTAATCACCGTGTAGCTACCAATTCACTGATACGGTGCGCCGAGTGCCTTGGCAGCGATGTCCTGCAGGTCGATGTTGTTAGACCGGGGACATTTGCGGCTTTCAAGAAGCACCTAGCGCGGGCAGCGAAACGTGGGCTGTACTATAATCTGATACACTTCGATATGCATGGGAGCGTGAAGGAGAGGGGCACGGGTAGCAATGCTAGGTAAGTGAGTTGACCGCCGCAGCTAAATTGCGGATCTAAAATCATTTATAGAGCGCAGGCTTCGCTCCAATTCTATCCGAAAGAAGAAGAAGAAGCGACAAAAGGCGCCGTCAGAGCTTCGACAGTTGCCAGCGTCGTGTCGAAATATAACGTACCCTACGTTGTCTTGAACGCCTGTGAGAGCGCGTCCACCGGAGCTGGGGCTGAAGCGAATCTCGCCCGCGTCTTTGTGCAGCATGGCATACCCTTCGTCCTGGGGATGTCCTACAAAATGTTGACAAGCGCTATCAATGTCTTCGCTACAAGCTTTTACAAGGCCCTCCTCGTTGACGGAAAGTCCTTCCCGATTGCTGCCGCCATGGCTCGAACGTCGATGCGTTGGTACAAGTCGAGAACGGCGAGGCTAGGGTTACCCATCACTCTCGAGGATTGGATTGTTCCTGTAACTTACGTCTCACTCGATATGGTTGATCCTCGTCGCGTCTGCCATCATCGATACATCCATCGCCACAGAGACCCGACAATGATCGACCTCTGCAACCGCTGGGACACTGAGCTCCTTAACCTCGAGACAAAGCTCCTTGATCCATGGGATTGTGGCGCAGGTCCTGTCGTGAATCTTTACGGCTTCAGTGGGATCGGAAAAACTACGTTATTAGAGCACTGCTTGCGGTGGTGGACGAAGACTGGAATGGTACAGAAGGCGGTCTATTTCAGCCTTCGCCAGAGCGGATACGTCGAACCAACCTCAATTCTTCCGCAGCTCGCACGAGCGCTAAACAGCCGAGAGCCGAACCCTATCCACATCGTGTCATCTATAGAACCAAACCCTTTCCCGCATCTGAACGGTTCTCTTGACGCCATCTTCGACTGGCTGACAGCTTATGAAGCCGACCGGAGGTTTCTATTAGTGATAGATGACTTTCCAACATTCCACTCTCTGCCAGACTCATCTCCCTTGACAAGGGAGGAAAAGATCGCCTGGAAGGATTTTCTCTATGGAGAGTTTGCGCGATTCCAAAAGCAGGCTTTGGTCGTCATATCCTCCACTTCGAAGCTGCAATGGCTCTCCCTTGATTCGCGGTCAGAGGCAATCGAAGACGATACGGTCATCGAGGATCCGCATCTCAACGGAGATGACAGTCCCACATCCCCATTCTATGCTATTACAGGATTCATGACGTTCCTTTCTGAGACCAAAGGTTCGGATTCGCCTTTCTGGATGAGCCTAAACGACCCCGAACAGCTTCAACTTCTAAGGGATATCGCAGAGTACTTTGGTTATCTGCCAGCGCTGGTGGAACACTTTGTCGCTCAACCAATCAGGAATACTACTACACCATCCGATGAGACGTATGAGGACCTTAAATCTATGTACGAATGCTTTCTTCGCAGCCGAGGACCTCCTGTTTCGCTTGAGCACGAAGATCGCTTCCTTGAGACGTTGCCCGTCACACACGTTTGCGCAGAGTACTTCAACCGACAGGGTCCAGTCGAGAAGGCGATACTACTTAGCCTGTCCAAGTTTGTGGGCTATCTAGGAGACGATTTAGCGAGCTATTGGCACGACTACATCCAGTGCTTGACTAAGGACACGTCTCGTTGCTTGCCTCGAGAATACCATTCGCATCATCTGCCACACTGGATACCGCACAAGCACAAGCCTAAATACTGGCTCCTCGCTCTAGGGAAGGAGAACGTGGAAGAGGAAGTGTTACTGCAGAAGGGAGTCAAGATACTGAGGGAGCTCCGCCGCCTCGGTTTGCTCAAGCAGACATTCTTTTTCCTGAAGCTTAATGGCGGACGTCATTCGGCGAAGGAGCCCGCATACCAGATTCATCCGTGTCTGTCAATATTTCTACAACAGAGAGCACAAAGAGAAATTCCAAGGCCCGACAACTACAGTTCTAGCGATACGTGGACTTTCCAAGCTCGGACAAAAGCTTCCTTCCTCACATATTTACGCCGCCGCATGGAAACTTGGGATGGCGCATCCAGCCCATTTACTATCGAGACGGATTCTCCCGAGTTCTTTCAGGGACTTAACAGCAATGTTGAAGAAGGGATGCTCAGAAAGAGCGTTCTGGCCGGCCTGCACATGTGGCTCGAAATGGATTCCGACCACCAAGATATCAGCTATCCTAAGGCTGTCTTTGATCACTACCTGGCACCGTGGCCGGCTATGACGCGGGACATTGAACCGTCCACGATCGCAGATCTTGTCGAAGAGGTCCGTCCTTTCCTCGAATCACACTTTATGAGTGAGTATAGTGACGCGAGGGAGCTACAACAGCACGCTTTCTCCCGCTCAGAGGCAAAGCGCCGTTCGCGGCTAAGCCAATCAATGGAGGACACGAAGGTGACAGAGGAGCTCAAGAAGGCCCATGAGGAACTGGTTACGTCACTGATTGCTCTCCGAGAAGGACTGCAGGCGGGGACTTGGCTCGTTTGGTACAATGTCCTGCGCGGGAGGCCGAGGGCTGCACTGCAGCACATAGAACGCAATCAAGCCCTTCTAGCGCAACTTCCGCACCCGAAGTTCAACGAGATAGCCGGGTTTGTGCCGGGTCTTCCGCAGGAGATCAGACATGCCGAACTTGTTGCTGGCTTTCTAACCCAACCCTCGGATGTTTCACTCTCCCAGCTCGACAGGAGCGAGAAAAGCTGGGAGAGCCTATTGGAGAAGGCCTTCGACTGGGCGCTTCGGATAGACGACCCTGTTGCCATGAAGTTTAATGCGATTGGACCAAGATTGCTAAGAGAGGGTCTTCGCATCAGCCGGGCGGGCATGACGTGGGGCCTTCGCACGAAGGAGGAGAGGGATGCGCTTCACACGTGCAGTACGAAACTGCTGCGAGAAGCTTTCGAAGAGCTAGTCAGCATTCCTTTTGGCTGGTACAAGAACCGATCGAGTATGCTCCCGCGGCTGCTCTCCGAAATGGCTAGCCATTTCGGGATGAACATCGGCGACTCCAGTCTCACAGCCGAGGCTGTCCTTGAGTTCATATCTGCGATTCCCAAAGACATTGCCCGTCCTCTGAAGAAGATCTACAGACTCTTCGAAGCTGCCAGAGCAGACGTGACGAACGGCCAGTCACCTGCTCGGGTCTTTGAAATCTACCATGAGCAATTAGTTACCCTAATTACTACGGCATGGCGGAACGCGATCCTATTCTTCCTGGACTATACCGCGTCTACGAATCGGCTCATTGAAGCAATGGCCTACCACCAATTCATTATCGCGGATTACTTCTATCGGCAAGACTGGGAAGCGCTGGACATTCATCTAACGCGTCTCACATCTCACACCGAGCGCGGTGGAGAACCGCAATGGCAATTCTGTCGCGGCGTCTGCGCGCTACGCTTGCGTCGCTGGGAAGAAGCAGGCGCCTGCCTCGAAAAAGCTTTTCAGGCTACGCACAACCTCACCCAGTACCAGCTCTCCAATTTCGCCTTGTTTGGTGCTATGGGCGTGTTCGCAGTCCGCTGCTTCATTCTCCGCCATCTCATCGCGTACAAGTATGCTGTGCCGGCGGAGCGCGACACATGCTCGCTGCCAACGTGGAGTCTATATCTGCAACTCTGGATCCTAGGCTACGCGACGCACAGAAAGATGAACTATGCCCAGTCGGGCGGGCTTTTGGAGTTGTTCACAGAGCACTACTTCGCGCTATCTCTTGAGCCTCGCCCTCCGGAACGTGTCCTCGATCAGCCAACGGAACACGAGTATGGTCACGCAATGAAGTGGTATGATACCCGGGAAGGTCGGAGCATCAAAGAACTGAGTCTTCCTCGGCAACAGCTGGAAGCGCATATTCTCATTGAGTTCATACGCCATGCATTGAAGAAGGGATTCTTGTTTGACGATGATGTGGAACAGACGGTTTTGGCTGCGGAGACGTTCTTCAGGAGCTTTCAGCTTGAGAGGACATTCATGGCCACACATGATGAGCATTCGGTGAAGATGTTTAGGCAGCTGAGCGATAGGGTGTTAGAGATGAAGGAGGATAGGAAGATAATTTTTGAAGAGGTGGAGAGAAACTTGTTTAAAGGGAGGGACGCTGATATTGTGGAAGCATCAAGTTCGAAAAAGCTATGAAAATTCGCGTCGCGAGTTTGAAGAGTCGACTATAATCCAAGGACGCCTGATATCAATCCCTGTGCCTTTCGATCAACGCCTGTCTGAACGCCACCGCCCAAATACGCCAAATGGAATCCCAGTTCATCCATCTATCGACCCTCATTGTAACATTCTCTACGCCTTCGCGAAAAGCGGCAGAGCGTACAAGACCCCAGTCCAAAAGCACCACATCTGCCATGACTTCTTATCCCCCGCCACGTTCCTGAACTTCAGTATCCTGCCAGCCAGCCACCCGCCGAAGACGAGTGGAATAGCATATCCCATCCAGCCGACCTCCCAGAAATACGGACAAAAGAAAGACCAGAAAAGGATTGGAATGGCAATGGACCACCGCGCGAACGTATCGCCGTGAACCAGCGGGCTTGTTAGGCGTCCCCGAGCTGCGTCGCCCTCAACATCGGGAAGATCTTGCATCGACAGTGTGGAGAAGATGATGGCTCCAACGATGGCGATCCAGGTGTAGGCTCGGGGGGTCAGCTCGTATTCGCCCGCCGCAACTGCTGTGGCCCCCGAGCTGTAGCACATGAAGCCCAGCGCGTTGATGATGTTCCGCACGACGTAGACTTCGTCGGCGGCGCCCAGGTCATTGTACATCCACGTTAGCACCATCATGGCGACGGCCTCCCACATGCCTCCGAGCCAGAGGGTAGCGCCGAATACCACGGGAATGACGACGAGCAGCAACCGCCGGGCCTCGTCAGGTGTGAGGCGTCCGGTCGGGATGGGTCGCCATGGCTTGTTGACGCTGTCTTCGAGTATTGAGTTTGGAAGGCGCTGGTTAGCGATGTCGAAAAGCAGGACGTTGAGCCAGTTCCAGAGAATGACATGCGGAAGGCGTGAGAACACGGTGAAGATAGTCGGATCAGGATGGGTTGTCAGGGTAGGCGCGAGGGCGCTGAAGATTCCGAAGGCGGTTTCAGGAGCGACGATGGATTTGAGGTCGTTGACGGTGATGAGCCATATGGTGCGGAGGTGGTATTTCCATGATCGAGGAGGAGCCTGCGATTGCGGTGTTTGATGGCGTGATGAGTTTCGTTTGTTTGGAGAGTTAGGGCGCCCCGTTACGGGAGTGGCTTCGGCTTCGTATTGTTGGTCTTTGGCGTTGGGTCCCTTATCGTGGAGTACGGTTGGGCTGCTAACCCCTTCAGGCTCCTGTTGTCTTCTCTTGCTCTTCGCTCCTCCACGGCGTGATCTGGTGCCTGTTCGCATATTGTGCGGAGTAGTTCTCGAAGAAGCGTGAGCGTGAGGGTGTAAAGCTCGCGGAGTTTGAAGATATGATCTACCCCGGGGTAAACCGTTAAGGATTTTGTGGCGCTCAAGGCTAGAGATGGTTTCCCGAGTGAATATACTTGTTGAGCTCTCTATACAGGAACGCGGAGGCCGACGGGCAAGTTGGAAGTCCTTCCCAGCTAATCTACCATCTGGACCGAGCGGGGGTATAGTGTACGGCCGCGGGCATGAAAGCGTATGAAACATGCGGCAAGTTCACAAGTCACACAGCATTTGAAATTCCATCAAGACATCTGACATCACTGCCACCCCTCCCCCCGAGAGCTGAGCCAGCGCAAGGCGGATCCCCGTGGAACCGCAGTCCACTTGCCAGCGCATTTTGGCTATTCGAGCAAGACGTAAGACAATCTATTTCCTACCGTATATTAGTAGATGCTTGAGTTCTGCGGGGGACACCGTCTCAGCGCCGCCTTCTACCTAGTCCGGGGCGCATGTGAGGAAGGCGCTTAGGGGTTCGGGGCAGTGTTCACGCTAGGCACCTGGGTATGAGCGCAGGGGTGAGATATGTGACTGCGCAGCGAAGCCGTTGTGGGGAGGTCAGGGCTCAGCGCTTACTGTATGATGGAGATTGGAGTATGCGTCGGGCGCCGATTGGCTGGATGCGTAGAGTAGTCCATGTCGAGAATACGCTCCCCTTGCGATCCGTCTCGCGCGATACTTTATGTGGGTTGATTCCGCAAGAGGGAACTCGCAATTCCCGAAGGCCTGCGCTGCCAGATAACGGGTTTGACGGATTCGGATATAATTTCGGCCAACCACAAACAGGCACCTAGACACATGCTGCGTTGTACATACATCTACGGAAGGCCTTGGAAGTCCCATCAATTACGCGGCCCCTTCAGAGTAAAGAAGTATCAGCTGCCCCATCAGGAACGTAGTACAGCAAGGCGGCCCACCGATCCAAGCGACCCGATCCCAGGCCGCGGCATGTATTTTCGGAACGCGACCGACCCAAGGCAGACCCAACCCCATTATTACCCCAATTAATATATCGAGCGTGAAAATGCGCATATATGATCATCAACACAGCAGCACTCGCGACAAGGGTCCCGTCAGCGCTGCACCACCAAATGATACGCGCCGAGCCGCCGCTCCATTATCATCATCACCATCTGCTACGAAGAAGGCTAGCTCCCCGGTCCAGGTGGCGCAGTAATATGGACCAGCATGCACGCCTAAAGTGATATTCCCCGACGACCACGGTCCCCGGCCCAGCGATCTGCAGGCTGAGAGCGCCAAGTCCCCGGCGTCCAGGGTGCCTTGGGGGCCGCAATGCAGCCATGCTGGGGAGTACACTGGTCTGGAAGCTTCGGCGGCGCCGGCGATTAGGACGTGGGACAGGCGTGGGAGACGGCGAAGAGAGGTCTTCTATGTGGTCAGTCAAATACGAAAAAATGGGGGAAAGGGAACTTACGAGATAGTATTCGGAGTCCGTTCCGACGGGCGGGAGAATGAGACCGACCAACTGCAGCCGCATGCAACCCTCGATAACAGTCTGCAGCTCGTCCGCCTCGAACGGCAACCACCGCCCGTCAGCATCCGTGACGCCGACAACCAGACTCTCCAAATTGCCATGCAGCGCGATCGCCCTAGCATCCGGCGTGCGTCCCGCAGCGGGAATCTCGACCCTGAGATGCTTCAGCCCCAGATTCGCCGCCGCACAGCAGCACAACGCATCCTCCAGGGCCGCGAGACTCGCAGGATGAGTCTGCATCCTCATATTCGGCAGCACGAAATCCAAGGCGGTTAAATCCCTCCATGTAGGCAAGAGATTGCGCATCGTCGTCTCCAGCATGGGGGCCAGATTGTAGCACTGTAGCAGACGTAACGTTTCAGGGCCATGGGCGCCGAAAATAGACCAGTCGAACGCTTCCGCACTGCCGAAATCAAGGTCCCGGAACGCCAGGCATTCTAGATGCGGATGGTGCGGAGCGGCGGCGCGATCGAGGCTGGATTGGGAGATGAAGCCGCGCAGAGGATTCAGGCCCGGGGAGGTGTGCAGCTCTGCGGCCGTTGACGTGGTGGCGTGGCCGATGTCGAGCGAGGTGAGCGTCTTGGCCGTGCATTGCAGCGCGACGCGGAGCAGTGTGGAGTACTGAGGGGCCGAGAAGACCTGATTCGTGGTGCGCAGTTCCAGGGAGCGCAGCTGGGTGAAGGTAGTGCAGTCGAAGACGCCGAACCAGGACTCGTTGCGCGACTTGACGCGTAGTGCTCTGATGTGAGATTCGGCGCCCAGCAGCAGAGGAAGGGCCCAGGAGGAGTATGTAGCGCCGTTTCCGATATGCACGCTAAATGTGCGGAGAGCTGCGGCAGGAATGGGCTGGATCGCCAAGGCGTACTTCTCCAGATCGCAGCGGCTGAGGCTTGAAGGTAAATTGACGAAGGCGTTTCTGACGTGTCGGGGGCTGCCGAGGCTGGTGTGGAGGCGGTGGTGGGAGAAGGCGTAGGCGGCGCTTGGCGTCTGGAAGCGCACACTGCGGTATCGACGTCGCAGAGTGAGAATGTAGGCGTGTTTGTTGACAAGGCTCCAGCTTTGGAGAGCAGATGCGCTCAGCACCTGGTGGAGCCTTAGTCTTGCGATTTGAGATCATGAAGAGAAGTTCACGTACTTCTACGATGTGCTCTTGAAGCTCATAAGGCAGCTGCTCGTAGCTAATGATCTTGGTGGCATTCATCTTGACGAAAGGCTGGGCTTTCTTGTGGGGAACTATGGAACGAGTAAGACAAAAAGAAAAGCGATGCTGTGCCGCTAGAGTTCATATACCGTCGGTGACCATAGCTCGGACTCCTTCGCTGCGCCGCAACGGCTGCATGACATACCAATCCCGCCCGATCTCCACGTCCCGCTCATCAGTATCAACAAGGCTGAAGGCAAACCTGGGGATGATTGCCGCAAGGGTGAGATAGAGCTCAGCCTGGCCCAAGTTCTTCCCGACGCAGTTCCTCGTACCTTTGCCGAAAGCCACCAGATAGCGGTCGAGCTGGTGGCCCGAGTCCAACCAGCGCTCTGGTCTGAAACTGGTAGGCTCTGGGAAGATCTCGGGATTGCGGTGGAGGAAATACGAAGAACAGCTGAGAGGCGTGCCGGGAGGAATATCATACCCGGCACAGCGCAGTGTCTCGTTCCGAGAAATGCGCTGGCTGCGGGCTACGATTCCGCCATGTAAGCGGAGCCCTTCTTTGATAACGGCTGAGAGGTAGGGGAGCTGCTCGACCTGGCGAAGCGAGGGTATCTTTCTGTCGGCGGGCAGAGAGAGCGTTAACAGTTCTTCCTTTACTTTTGCCAGCACATCCGGATGCTTTAGCAGATGGAACATAATGAGCGAAAGAACTTTGGCAGGCGTTTCCGAGGCGGCAATAACCAGGATCGTGGCTTCATCTGTGAGCCGATCGGCTGCCTTCTCCTGAGGTGGGAGTTCCTCGTCATTTCGGATTTCTTCGAAGATCGTGTGAGGAGTGGGGCTCTTCTCTGATTCATTGGCTTTTAAACCTGCCGTGCTCTCAACTAGACGCTTTATTCTCTATACAGAAGTTAGTAATCAAGGCTGAGGCTCACGAATTTGAGAGTGCTTGCCTTCTTCAGCCTCAGCATCATTGCAATATTCGGATCAGCACCTTCAAGCGCGCTCTCCGGAATAAGTCGCACAACTTTCGGGATCCAACCACAGTGATTGAGCAGAGAAGTACTGCCCATGATACCAGTGATCGCATCCCTCCACTCCGGCGAGAATCCAGGCTGGTCCAATAGGTTCTGCGAGCGACCGAAAGAGTACGCTTCGATGATATCCATGGTAAGTGCTAAAAAGGCCAGCGTGAAGTTGATAGGGGTCTCATTCTTCTTGTATTCATCCATGCGCTTGCATAGTTTCTCAATATTTTGATGAATAACTCCCTCGAGCTGGGTCACGCTTCGCGTGCTAAAATACCGATCCACCGCTTGTCGGCGCAGGCGGTGAAGATCGTGCGAAACCGTGAAGCCCATAGCTTGTGCGGAATCTCCGCTTTTGATCTGCCACGGATACTTGTCCCTCGGGCGCGCGCTCGACGCGTATATCTCGTCGTAGAATTCCGGATCGCTAACGTGCAATTCGTATGGACTGATACGTACAACGGGGCCTTCTGAATCAGCAACCGGAAATGACGAGAGTTTGCCCAGAACGTACCATATTTCTTATGCATGCGCTCGATTTCCCAAATGTACATGCCGCCTTTGATCACGTCGAAGTAGAACTCGTACCATAGCGTTAAGGCGGCTAGCTTGGGTCCCGGGAACTTGCTCAAAGGACTCCAGAAGAGGCGCCATAGGGCTACGTATACAGTCCACAGGACCAACGCCAACGCTCCCAGCACGACAGTCGCTGGAACTGCCATAGTTTCGACGAAAAAAGATGAAGGATGTTGCAGAGGAACGATTGAGTGCAGGAGAAGATGGAGTGGGATCCTGCAGCCGGATGATTCGATAACGAGACTCCCTTGATGCGCGGCTTCTTCGCTCTGTGACTTCTCCACTTTCCGGATGAGCGTTAATGTCGCCCTTGTGCCCCGAAATGTCTGACGACCTTTCACATGTAGAAAAATAGAATGGATTACGATAATGGGTCAAGGTAGCGGGGCGGAGTCATCCGGCCTCTGATTGGCCCACAATAACACCCGTAGATCCCTGCCACGGTTGGGGCTGAGAGGCGCAGGTGCCACCAGACGGGGACCAACGCGCAGCCCGCCCCCTGCGCATAGATTGGCGCCGACGCCAGCAGGGGTAGCTTTCCCAGCCGCCGAAGCCGTTTGTTGTATCCTCGCCCGCAATATCGAGCTGTGCTACCTCCCTGTGCGAGGCACTCTTTCGCTGTGCCCCTGTCTGTGCCCCATGCCGTGACGCGGGGGCGGCGGGGCACGCCAGCTTCTCCGACCTTAACTCCCTCCGCTCGATAATTTAACGGCAGCTCGAGAGGGACGCAACAAACAACTTTGCAGCCTTCTACTTCCTTCTGGATCAAAACCGTCTCTTCCTCACAATGCCTCAACTCACCTGGCTCATCACCGGCTGCACCTCCGGCCTCGGCGAGACCTTCGCCCGCGCCATCCTCGAGCGCGGCGACAAAGTAATCGCGACCACGCGCGGCGACGTCTCGCGAATCTCCTCGCTCGCAGAAGCCGGCGCCAAGACGTACAGCCTCGACGTGACCGCGCCCAAGGCCGAGATCGAGGAGGTGGTCAAGAAGATCTACGAAGAGCACGGCATCGACGTCCTCGTCAACAACGCGGGCTACATCGAGGCGGGCCTGTGCGAAGAAGCCGACCTCGAGAGCTACCAGACCCAATTCGAGACCAACTTCTTCGGCGTCGTCAAGGTCACCCAGGCCGTGCTGCCCTACTTCCGCAAGAAGCAGGATGGCACCATTATCTTCGTTGGCTCGTCGGGCGGCATTGGCGGCGAGCCGGGAGCGGGCCCGGTAAGTTTTGCATCCCCTCATCCACTATCCCGCTAGCTAGCAAAGCTAACACACGTGCGTCAGTACTGCGCCACCAAATTCGCCCTCGAAGGCTGGTACGACTGCCTGAAGCAAGAGACGGCGCACCTCAACATCAAGAGCGTCATCTTCGAGCTGGGCTTCTTCCGCACTAAGATCATGGACCCGAACAACATCAAGTTCCGCTCCAACCCCATCGCAGACTACGACCCGATCCGCAACGCGGTCGTGCAGTTCGTGGGCCAGATGAACGGCAAGCAGCCCGGCGACCCGAAGAAGGCGATCAACATCATGATCGATGTCGTCAAGGGCGAGGGCGTCGCGGAGGGCAAGGCGCTTCCGGAGAGGTTGCCGCTTGGGTCCGATTGCCTGGCGACGCTGCGGAAGAAGAGGGTGAATGATCTGGCTATCTGCAATGAGTGGGAGGATGTCATTCGTAGCACTAATCATGACGAGTGAAGGGCGGGGCATCATTAGCGTAGCATGGGCTTATGACGGCTTGGGTATTGTATCATAGAGGGAATGAATCAAGTTTTGAGGGACTCTAAACTTTGTTGAACCTCAATCTCCGTGCCTTGTGTGTGAGTAGCGATCTCTAGCTTGTCAAAGGATCACTGGTTACGTGACCTGTGGCTTGCCTGTGGCTGTGCGGACGTGCACTATAGTTTGAGAACCCCCTCCCTAAAGTGCCTCAACCCAATGCAATTATTGCCACCTTATGTCATTTTTTTCACAAAATATCGAGAAGTATGGGCAAGAGCTTCGGGCGAGCGTTTAATGTCTACACTTCCATTTCGCAGAGTCCAAATCCCAAGCACGGAACCGCCTTTGCGTCCAATTCAGACGGAAGAAAGCATACGGCACTCACAACGTGAACAGCAGTAATTGCTTTGCAGGATACAAAACCAGCATTAACCTAGCATAAAGTACACTCAAAAAGCCCGCATCGCGCATCTACCTCGGGCGGAACTCAATCATCGGCCCCTCATGATGGCTCACAAACCGGTCCCAAGTCTGAAACTCCTCCTTCCTCGCCCTATCCTTGCCCAGCTTCTCGCTCCCCTCGCCCAGCGTACTCCCCGGCTGGATGCGCAAATCATACATGAACATCAGCTTCCCGATAATCGTCATCATCTCCGTGTACGCGAGGTTCTGGCCCAGGCAGTTGGCGCGGCCCACGCTGAACGGCGCGTACGCTGAGTTGGCGAGCTTGACTTCGGCCGCGCTGACGCCGCCGGAGTACTGGCTGGCGAGCAGCCAGCGCGTGGGGCGGAAGACAAAGGGCTCCGGGAAGTAGTCGGTGTTGTGGTGGATGGCGTAGTTGGCGACGCCGATGTCGGTGCCGGCGGGGAAGAAGTGGCCGTCGACGCGCATGCCGGGCTGCATGACTTCGCGGAGCAGGATGCCGCCGACGCCAGGCGAGAGACGCATAGCCTCCGTGATGCAGGCATGCAGGTACTGGCACTGGGTGAGCTGGTCCCCGCCGTGGATGTCCTCGACCGCGGAGAATTTCTCGCGGACTTCCCGCTGCACGATGTCGTAGCACTCTGGGTAGTGCAGGAGGTAGAAGAGCGTGGCTGAGATGGCGGACCCGGTGGTGTCGGAGCCGGCGATGATGAAGAGACCTGCTTCGGCGATGAGCTCTTCGCGCGTCAGACTGCGGTTCGTTTCGGTGTCGTGGGCGGCCATCAGCGAGCCGAAGATGTCGCGCTCTTGGATCTTCTCGCCTTGCTCTATGCGCCAGTTGGTCTGGTCCTCTGTAAGGCGCTCGTACTTGTATGTGCCTTCTGTTGCGCCGCGGAAGAAGATCTTGTCGAGCTTGAGATCAAGGATGCCGGGCATGTGACCCATCTGCTCAAATGTCAGCCAAATCCCAAAAGGGTTTAAAAAAGATCGAGTTCCTACCATATTCAGACCTCCAACACCCTGGTTCAGAATTTCAAGAATGTCCCGATTCTCCTCACTTGAAAGCATCTTCCAATTCCGATGGAACGTGATATCGCCCATGATATCATTAACCAGCCACCCACACCACCGGCTCATGTTGCGGGCCGAATTCCACTCCTTCGTCTTGTCGTTAGGGTCATCGAGCATCTTGTCGCAAAAAACGTTCACGTTTCGCACGACGCCGGCTTCCATTTCCTTCAGTGCTTTGGCAGTCAGGGCCTCGGAGGCGATGCGGCGTTTGAATGCATGCTCTTTGTGGTCGAGGGTCGTCATGACCATCTGGACCTTGAAGAAGTGGCTGAAGACTGTGAAGAATTGGCTCTTTTGGCAGTTTGCGCGGACGTGGTAGATTTCCCGGAGAGCGGTGTTAGAGTTCATGGCGATTCTGTGAGGGCCATAGCGGACGATGGGACCTGTTGTTGTCAGTATGGCTTTCAATGTGATTTATGAGGAGCAATTGACGCACCATATTTGCAATGAAGCTTGTAGAAGTCGATGTGGCGGTCTTCAAGGAAGCAATGGTATACAGAGTACCAATCCGAGAACTTCGCCAGGAAAGGTCCCGGATACTTCGCCAGTGGGTGGAACCATATTCGATAGACGATGACGGTGGCGCACTAGCATAGGCGTCAGCTATCAATTGGGCATTCTTGATTGCGAAACACTCACATAGAAGCAGAATTCCGCCCACAGCAGTGAGAGTGCGAACCCAGCTTCCGACAACAGGCCAGCCCTGTGCTCCGATCTACGCCTGTACATCAACGTAGCGACATATCCGAAGGACAGCGCCCAAAAGACTGCGCTAGAGCCACGATATGAGTTCAATTGCTTGAAGTAGGTAGGCGATTTGGCAACCATTTTCGCGAATGACCTCTGTGATAGAGTGAGGGACGAGTAGAAACTCAGCTTCGAACGAAAATGTGTATCTCCGCACCGAGATATGGCACGCTCGCACTAAACGCGCAAGGCAGAAAGACGTCAAGCGCCGAGCTAGCTCTTACAACGGCTGAGCATCTCCTGACGCGCTCAACCCCAAACGCTACTGCTGATTGTGGAGGTCGACGCTGATGCTTCCGAGGCGGAGCCCGACAAGCTAGACGCTTGCAGCTTGATCGGAGATTATCATCCTTCGTCCCGTCGATTCGATGCATTGTCGTACTGTGTGCAGGGGAGTCAGTAGTACAGTTACAGGGTAGAATACCCTCGGACCCCGAGGCTTAGCTGCTGGGACGTGTCACACAGTTCGGCGCTTCCAGAGTGGCTCGGTAGGAGGCGGACGGGTGGGGAACCATGTTTATCAGATGCACACCATGGGACGCCTGGGCGGTTGCGTAAATGGAAAAGATACGTAGCAGGGAAGCAAGGAATGGAAGGTGTTGAGTTGCAAGGGACGTTCTGCAAGGCGTTCTTGGGGTCAAGGAACAGGATCCTGCCGGCTAGGGTGGCGGCTAGGGTGGCGCATACCGAAAAAGGCACCCCGCTCCAAGCCACCAAAATCTTAGTAATGTCCACAAACAGTAAGACGCGATGGCGGGAAGGATTCAGCCGCTTCAAACGTGACCTAGCTTGCTGTAATCGATGCGCATTCAATGGCCGCCATGTTAATCGCTCTGCGTTGTTGCATGTGGGCTGACCGAAGCCGGTTTCCATATACCCGTGCGCTCGGTAGATAAGGCCTAATGCGTGCTTTGACTGAAAGAATGATGCTCGAAACGATGAGCTGTCGTCCGTGGCGGAGATCAGGTGCCCCCACCAGAAGGGTCACCGCCTCCAGCGGGTGTCACAGTCCAGGGCCCTTTTTCGTCCCCAGCCACCTGGGGGGAATGCGCCCTACCCTAATTTCAAAGCCTACCGTTCGTGCTCCCACGCGACCCATAGATTGGCCTGCAGGCAGCACACCGACCGCAGTGGCCCACGGGGTTACAACGTTGCGCGAGACTAAAAGCTGACGGCAGAATGGTGGCGCGCTAAGGGCTAGCGAGATCGAGGAGGAGTTAGACTACCCGGCCCGTCCGTGTCAGCTATTATAGTGCCCGGAGTGGATGTGGACGCCTGAGCTGTTAGCGCTGAGCGATTCTCGCACGAGAGAAAGGTGGTGGGGCAGATCGCATGGATAGGAAAAAGTGTGGTGCGATTCTCAACGGACGGGCATGTGATGGAGAGACGCTGCTTTTGGGGCATGAGAGATGAGATACTCTATGCTATGATGTTTCTTCTTCTATGAACCCAGTTCGACCACGAATATGAGAACTCCTTCCAATGCGTTGCCATTTTATCCTACAACATGCGACTCTGAAGAAGTAAAATCCCCAAAAGCTGTTCACTCCCGCATCAATCATTAAATCCCACCATCTACTCCCTGCCCGCAGAGAATGTCTGCGTAACCATAATCTCCTGCTTCGACGCCGTCCTGCCTTGCTCCAAGTCCCCGTGCCCGTGCCCGCTCGCAACCCTAATTTCCACATCGTTGCCCTTGCCCAGCTTGTTGTACAGCGGGTACTCATCAGCCCTGCTGGAAGTCTGGCTGGCATTCGTGCTGCGTTTGCTGGACAACATATTGAGAAGAGGGATATTGAACCTGCGGGAGTTGTTGGTAGAAGGCTTCGAGGGGCGAGGCACCGTGTTTTCGGCAGCCTCGCCGTGGCGGATCTTGTTAACGAGCGGGCGGTAGGTCGGGATGCAAGCAGCGAGGATGGCGCTGCAACATTCCAGTCCAGAGATGGTGGAGGGCCAGACGAAATCCCAGGTGGGATCCACTGTTGCTACGTGCTTGGCATAGAAGAGGCGGACGATGGAGATGACGCAGACACTGTACTCGTTAGTCGTGCTCTCATTCTCTTGCAAAGGAAACTTACAATCCTCCGATCACAAACATGAAGGTCAAGACCCATTTGCGATGCTCAGAGACGTGCAATGACCAGAGGACCGGGAGAGGCAGCGCCAGCATGATGAAGTCCGTTACGATGTTGATGACACCACAGGCGATAATAAGTCTGACATAGTCGATGCAAGTCGCCGTGACTGTGGGGTCCCACTTCGAGCGAATCGGGACGCACTGGAAGATATCGCCGAAGATTTGCGGGATGGAGTAGCAGACGATAAAGATGCCGAGGGCGAGAACGGTTCTCTTGAACCACTGGAGCGGGAACAGGCGATGATAGAGGAACAGGATAGAAAGCTTGGTGGTCATGATGGAGACATTGTAAAAGGTTTCTGCAACCAATGCCCACTGTGGTGAAGAGTTAGCGATGCCATGAGGAGCTCCACGAGAGGTAGTGGCGTACTATAGCGAAGCTCTTGACATCCTTGAGGAAGATAACATGTCTTCCCATTCCATACTTGACGGTAAACATCAACGCCATAACATATATCGCGGTGAACAACTATACAGCGTGTTAGCGATGCCACGGACCAAAAGCCAAAGATACTGACTAGCGAGACCACGATGGTGTAGTCATCGAGTCCAATCTTCGCCTTTGCCATACGGCGCGAGAGAAAACGGAGAACGACAGCAATCGCTGCCGCACCAAGACATATCGTATTTGCAGCGATATAGTCCGGCCGTCTATCATCACTGGCGTGCGCCATCATGTAGGCGATATCTGCCTCCGTAGGTACAGACATGATGAGGCGGGGGCCGAATCAATCGTCAATGTTCAAAAGTTCAAAAGAATAAGAGGAACAGTGCCCCTTGGATAACGAGGAAGGACGAAGCGTGGAAATCGTAAGAGAGCGAGCTCTTGGGTGAGATATCTACTGTGGCTTGCGATGGGGGATAGTACAACGGGCCGAACGACGAATTAAAATCAGCAGGGCTGCCTGTTGGCCGGCTCCTTCAATGCGAGACGATCATGACCGCGTGCAGCGTGCAGCATTCTATGCATTCCAAATGTTCGAAGCCCGATAGCAGGGCGTACACCTTCCTTTTTCGCGCCCTAGAAGCGCTGGTTTGCGTTACCATCCAATTATGGGATGGGACGATTACGAGAGGAATGGAAGGCGGAGTAAGCGACAGGCCTCTGTGAGCAGTTACTATTCATGCATGCGCAATCCTACAATCGATCAGCCTGAAGCCGTTCCAAAGAGGGTTTAACAGGCCCTTCGGAGTCCGAAAATGTTACACAGAATTGCGATTGGGTATGCAAGGGTCGATCAATTTCCTTGTTGTATTGTACCCTGTAAGCCAAGGAATGTAGGACAGGGTTATCCGCCTCATCCTTGGCTCTTCGGCAGACGATCTAAGAGGCTGTATCTCGACAAGGGTATTCCAGCGCTGTATGCATCTAAAACGTTAGCGCAGTCCATGGATCAAGGAAGAGATACCCAAACCGTTGGACCGAAGGCGCACATGAACATTTGGTAAGGCTGTTTCTTAATTTAGAACCACCGACTAACCTCTTGGGTTCCACAAGGCGTACCTCGTCCCAGGAAGGCTCGGCAAATCGACTTCCCAGCCTCGGGATATTATGTATGGCCGAGCGCGCCTAGACGCAGAGAAATTGATGTCGAAAACGACTTGAAGAACGGCGAAGGAAGCTCCGTCTTAGACGTCCGAGCGTCCTACAGCTTGAAGGAACGACGCACTCTGACGGACCGATCTGGTTGCTTCTAGACTTTCTCAACGGCGAACGTTCTCGTGTTGCTATTGAATTATCGATTCTCGGTGTTGGATTGTTGAACTGTTGGCTTGTTGGTTTCCAATTCGAACCCTGAACGATCGCTTGCAATGGACGCCTCGAAGAGTTTGATGGCATCGATTGCGCTGGGTGCAGTAGTCTACGTGAGTAAGAAGGCACGGAGTTGGAGTCCGAAGGCTGATAAAGAAGTTAGTACATCATCAGCGCAGTATACTATGCCTTCTTCCACCCACTGTCTAAATACCCAGGGCCTTTTTTCGCTCGCTTCTCCAGCTGGCCTTCGTTCTTGCATACAACAAAAGGGGATCGCCACATATGGTTCTGGCAGCTGCACGAAGTCTATGGACCAATTGTCCGCTACAAGCACGACAGCGTCGTGATAACCACACCGGAGGCGCTCCGCACGATATACGATTCTCGAGCAAATGTCAAGAAAGCCGCGGCGTACGGGGTATGGCCCAAAAAAGCAGAGTCTCCAAACACCTTTTCCTGCATCGATAAAGTCAAACATGCGCGAAGAAGGAGGATTCTCAATGCCGCTATATCTGACCGCGCGATCAAGTCCGCGGAGCCATACGTGATCAAGCATGTGGATCGATGGTTCGAGCTGCTTAAAGGAGAAGATGGCAAATGGGGCGAGTCGACGAACATTGCGCTTTCCGCGGATAGCCTGCAATTCGACATTATGGCTGAACTGTGCTATGGGAAGTCGTTCGATACGAAGGAGCCCGGAGAGAACAAATTGAGGAGCATTCCGCATGATATCGTGGAATTCATGTGGCTGAACTTCAGAGTAAGTCGACGTGTGCTCTGCGTTCTGTTCCAGTGTTAACGAGCTCTCCAGATTATGCACTCTCCATTCGTCCATATTTGGGTCTGGCTCAAACCGAGAGGACTGGATATCGCGTTCGGGAATCTGATGCCGAAGAAGATTAAGAACTACGTCGACTTTGTAGCAGAGTGCGTTGAAGAGCGATTGAAGCAGGAGGAAAGTGTCGAGAAGAAAGGAGGTGAAGCGACCAGGAAAGACATGCTCCATTACCTGTTCCAAGCCAAGGATCCGGAGACGGGGCAGCGCGGCTATACACGAGAGGATCTCCTGGAAGAAGCAGACATGCTGACTGTCGCCGCGACCGATACAACGGCCGCCGCAATGGCAGCTGCCTTCTTTTATCTGAGCCGGAACAAAACCGCGTACGAGAAGCTCAAAAGCGAAATTCGCAATACCTTCACTGATGTGACCGAGATCGGGCTTGGTCCTCGTCTCAATGGTTGCAAATATCTGGACGCAGTCATCAACGAAACGCTGCGAATGAGTTCGCCAGGCTCGAACGAGTTCCCCAGGGAGGTCCTCGCGGGAGGAATCCGCATAGGCGATCAATATCTCCCACCAGGTACGAACGTAGGCTGCTGCCTCTACGCACTGTTCCATGACCAGAACATATTTGGCGATCCATGGGTGTTCCGACCTGAACGTTGGATCGCGGGCGAAGGCGGCTCTGCCGAAGGCCTAGACGCTGCTGAGAAGACCCTTGCCCCTTTTCTGTTCGGCGTTCGCGGGTGTCCTGGGAAGAACTTGGCCCTTATGGAACTCCACGTGGTCTTGGCGAGATTGCTTCATGGTTATGAGTTCAGGCTGGCCCCGAATGATCAGACCGGCGAAGGGAACGTTGGTCTGGGATGGGGAAGGCAATGTAAAGCTCAGTATCAGACTCGGGATGCGTTCGTCCCGATGCGGAATGGGCCTTTCATACAATTCGCGTCGCGGGCATGATACGTTTGATAGAGTACAATGGTATCTTTTGACCGTGTTGACAGAAGAATGCTGATCTTGGTTCGTAGCGTAGAAATCGCAGAGAGGGATGTTCCGCATGTATCGATATCGAAGTTTGTGTGAACGTTCGGTAGTGTTGTAAACTCACGGAAGGACATCTGGGATATTGTCGGAGGCTGTTCGATTCGTGCCGTTCATTCGTGTTCCTTCCCCCGCTGCTCTCTCAGATGCAGGTCGTCTTCACGTGGTTACAGGGCAACGCGTTCTTCTCGTCACCAATGACTCCCTCTGATGCAGTTTCTCGTATCTCATTGAGGGCATGCCTCGACAGCGGCGCGTCAAACACTCTCGCCACTCCGGGAGGATTATAGACGGACCGGCTTTGCCTCGATCCCCTCCGGCAGAGGAGTAGACAATGGCGACAATTAAACATGTACTGACTTGGACCGTAATGGAGGAAACGAACCCCAGGGAGTGAGAATAGTTCCAAGGTTGGGAGTTAGACTCGTGGTTCTTTTCTGTCGGAACCGGAGATATCTTTTACCGCGCCCCCTTCTCTTCGACTTCCCCTAATCTCGAAATACTTCTACCTTTCTCCAACGCATTTCCTGTCTTCATCCTAGACCTAGGTCCCTATAACCGCACTCTCGGGCGCTCAAAAGTCCATGCCAAGGTCATCATGCGGTTCACGAACGACCCTGAATAGACGAAACACATGCCTTCGCTCTGGGAGTCGAAGATTCCGGACATCGAGACCCTCAAACGAGAATTACCTGGGTCAGTATTGACCGCTCTAGATACTGAGGGTTTCTACAAACAAGGAAACTTGAACCCCAGCGAGATCGGTCTCGCTGTACTTGGTGCAGGTCACACCCCTCGTCCTGCAGCTCGCTTCTCAGCCTTCTACGAAGAGAATGGAGTACGAGCTTTCACCATCCGACTCCGCGAACGAAATAACCGGGGCAATGAGTACCCATACGGAAGCGTAGAACACGCAAATGCTGATGAAGTCGTCCCCATCTTCGACAGGATACTTTCCGGGTTCCAAGGGAAGTGCATACTTACTGGCTTCGACTTGCATGCGGAACTTAAATGGATAGCGCTAAAGTACCCGTCTCTTGCCACCCACTTCACCGCTTGGGTAGACGTGCAGGAGCTCGTCTGGCAACGATGCAAACAGATCGCTCTAGAACCAGAGAAAGTTCTTCCTTTCGGACTCAACAAGGCTCTCAAAGCTATGCACATTTGCGACTGGCGAGCAAAGTCAGCGCATCATTGTGCGTCCAATGACGCAGTGAGGGCCTTGCGCATCCTTATCGGCCTGGCCACCGACGCTCCTTTTGCTATACCCGACCCTAAGGTTAAACGTATCCCTCCTCTAAATACACCCGCCGTTCGTGCATACCAGGCATTTCTATCAAGGCTCCCGAAACCGAACTACGGAAAGCACCCTTTCGAAGCGCGCGTTATGGCTGTCGATGGCAGCAAGCTTCCCCCTCTAACATCTCGCTCTTTGTTGGACCGTTATGCTGGATATGTGGGGCTGAAAGCCGTGGGGCTCAATTGGCAAACCGAGGCTGCGAGATCAGAAGGAGTAAGGATCTGGTGGGCATCATTGCTGTCGCAGGAATCGCTGGATAACTTCGCTCGAGACAATGATGGATCGACACTCAACGGCATCCAGCTCCGCGTAGTCACGAGCGGCAAGCCGCATCTGCAGGCTCAGCAAGCGCGACGGATACGGGTGGAGGGTTTGTAGGCGGATCTGTGCCTTAGCAATACTACTTGCCGCCGAGTATCTCCTGTTTTGAAGACCTCTGCCCCCAATTGGAGACAATTGGGATACTCTACTCTCGCATATTGGATCGCCCCGACCAGGTTTTAAGCTGCGAACACGACGCGGTGTTATTCATTTGACTTTCTGATTTCTGAGGATTTGCATGCCGGTAGCCAAGTAGCTTCAAAAATTCGGAGATTCTCCCCTCTTCCTGCATATACGATAACACGCCCTAGTCTCCTCGTATTTGAGATTTATCATCAAGGCTGCGACTTTCGGAAAATCGTCGACCATTATCGAGGATCATAGCTTCGACCCAAAACTATCAGGTCTATGACGGCGCAGTTCGTCACACACACGATGGGTAGCGAAAAACCAATATATTCCAACGCGGTCCACTCTGCAGCGATCGTCAAAGAGGCACTTTATCGTGCCGGCATAATAGCATGGTCATTAAGCATCTGCCTCGAGCTCAAGCTCCCACGGGCATCCTCGCAGGTCGTAATTGCTCCACTATCGGCCCATGGAATATCATGAGTGTTGATATAGCGCCACAAGTCTGGATCGTGAATCCGCGGGACTGGTGAATTCTCTAGGGACCGCAGTTTCAACAAAAAGTCCAGCCCGGCAAAAAAGAACAGCTTCCTGCCAGCGGCAGTAAAATTCGACCTCACGCGCCTGAAGGACTACCAATCTTGCCTAAGTAATGGCCGTAAAATGCTTTCCAAACCCGACGCTGACTGTTGAGATAGCTTCCAGACCACTTTTCCATGCCACCTTGTGGCAGGAATTGATGACCTGCACTGCGGACATTGGCATACGTATTGATCCTCTTTCTTAGTCATAGCGAATCCGGAAGAGAATCCAAGTGGCGCTGGTACCCAGAGGAAAGTGACGACATCACCGAACTCTTGGAATAGCTTTGATATGCCAACACTGGGTTGTTCGCTCCAATGTCGCCCTCACGGCCTTCAGCCTCGACGCGTTGGAAAAGCGGCTGTCTTCTCATCTTTCGAGCAGTGTCTGCATGCAATTGACGTGGTTAAGGAATGCCCAGATGCAAAGAGCGACGGCTGAGATAAGGACGCTACGGTTCGGGAGTGTGGCGATGGCGCGTTGTGATCCAGAATAGGCAGTGAGCTTGTCGACTCGCATGTAGCTGCCGTCGCCTGATGTATTGCACGGCTCGTGGGGTGAGGGGTGATAGTGTTAGAAGGCTGGAGTCCGGATCGAAGCCCTCACGTGCCCACTTCTGCCTTCGCACGTCCCCTCCCCCCATTCGCTCGCTTAGCGCTGCTGACCTAACAGCGCGCGCACGGACCCGCGCCTCCCGTGTATATAAGGCAGCCCATCCCCCAACCCCTCCAAGATCTCGCATACTTACCTTCTCGCGAGTCTCTGGGCTCACAAATCCAGAGCTCACCCTCGATCGCCTCCATTGCACAGCGGGGAGCGGTGGTGGGTTCAGTCGCCCATTGGGTGCCTGAGCGGGGCAATTTTTGCTGGTCCGCCATACCTTTTCATTGACTGTGCTGCCGTTGGCGGTGCGTTGAGGAAGAGATTTCTTTGTGGGTGTTTGCTTTGCTCTGATGTTTTCGGGTTTAGCTGACGCGGTGTGAGATGCTTTTCAAGCGTTTTAGAGAGCAGCTCAGCCGCTCTTCTTGTTGCGCGTTTTGTGTACCTAGGTAGTATTCCAAGGTTCCGAAGGCAGACTCGCCGACTCGCCGCGGGGGGAAGCTGCCATGGTGGGCACATACGTGAAAATTCTGCGTGCCGTTTCAGCAGCCTCTCGACGCGTCGACTCCATGACTCCCATCACACGCGCACTTTGATGTACCTCTTCGCCGTTTATCCGCGTACCTAGCCCTTAATACTATCTGGTAATGCGCTGCAAGCGCCTGCTGGAGCCGGTCAGCGGTGGCAGCAACAGCGTGCGAACGACAGCTCTCGGCAGCCGCACCCGCGAAACCGCCGTACGACGTTCAGAGCCGGAGCAACAGAACCACGATACTCTAGCAAAGGCGCCACGGCTACCTTTGTATAGGACGAGGGACGAAGACATGTCCCCCGCTCTGGTCTCCGGCACAATGCGTAGGGGGGCAACGCGCAACTCACGGGCACTCCCATAGTCAGAGCCTGGAAACAGGCTTCGAGGCCATCCCAAGTAAAGGTACCTCTCTCGACTGGGCTCATGTAGTTGAAGCATTCACGCGATAAGTTCGAGTCGAATCTCTCGAGTTTATCTATATTCACTGTCTAGGACGTTGAGCGCCGACGGAGAGCGCCGACGCGCCGCTATAGAGGGAGAATCGCTTTGGCTCATTCACAGCTCCTCCCCGAAGTAGCTCTGGGGTCCCCACTGGTTCGCTCCCTGACTCACTAATCATCCCCTACGTATCAAATACCTATACAGCTCCTCGCCCGCTCGGCCGATTCTGTCCCCCTCCTACTACCCTCGAGCAGACAGAAAAGCGCTAGTCAACACTATACACATTATCCTTGCATACGACCAACACTCCAATTCTCCTTCCGCAAAGCAGCTCCCAACATGGAGTGGACAAATACTACCAGCCTCGAGACCACCGACAAACCAGCAGACAAGATGTCCTCCCTCACCGCCTCCAAGTCAAAAAGCATTCTTGACCTTCCCGGCGGCAAGTATCCCAACCTACAGCACGACTCAATTACAGATCTAGCCTACGCATGTAGAAATCCGCAACCAAATCTACCGGAATATCATCAATACATCCCACGGCGTACCCTAGGAAACAGCGCTCCGCCTAGCCAGCACCTGCCGCACTATCCGCTCCGAGTTCTGGCCCCTGTACTCGAATCGCAAACCACCCCCCGGGTTCCATGTTAGCATGAGACTCGACCGCCTGCCCTCCTTCGTCGACACCTTCTTCCCCACGACCATTACGCCGGACGCCATCGTCAAGCCCACCCTTGTTATCCGCGTCTCCACACCCATTCTCTTTCTAATTGCCGTTCTCCGCCAATACCCCACCCTCGACATCCACTTCTGGGACTCCCCCGTCCGCTGGGGAGCCGCCGACCTGAACGCTCTCGTGGAGATCGTGCGGACGAACCCGGCATGGGGCGATTCCGATCAGTTGTCCGCATTCGCTGGAGTCGAGATACACTCGCGGATAGGCTTTAGAGAGTACGTGCCGTACCGGTGGCCTTACATATTGAAGCTGAGGGTTATGCTGAAGGCCGAGGCGACAGCGGAGTGGTGGGACAATAAGGCTGAGAAGAGACGGCGGGAGCAGGAGCTGAGGGAGCGGCTTGGCTTTGCGTCGGGCAAGTTTAGAGGTCTTGTGGTCCATGTTATGAGAGATTGGGGATCTGGCCCGACGTGTCCTTCTATCTTGGGCTCCTTGTAAACACAAGATAATGCATACACTGAAAACGAAATCTGCATGTTTGGGTGCTGTTGGTGTTATGGCTCCGGCAGTCAAACTGGACGTTAGACATTTCGAGCTGTGAACGGGTAAGTCATAGAGTGCTTCGAGTGCTTCGAGTGGTCGATCCGAATCGGCGTACCCCAAGCGCAACCCTCTTTCAAAGATATGGGAATCATACAAGAAGCGCGCTGGTAGTCGCCTAGAGCCATAATTAGGAAGGACACCTGATAAGCATGAGCCCATATGACAGCGAACCGATTTAAGAATACGAATGCCAGCTAACCAGGCCCTGTCCCATGAAAACCACTGATATCAAGCACAATAGCAACCGCCATAGCTCCAACAATCCAATCCCATGACACGTAAGCAATCATCCACAAAACCTCTACAACTACCGCTCAAACTCCAGCACCCTCCTGCTAGCATCACTCGCACTGCGATTCCTCATTGGCTTGATCTCTCCCTCGGTTCCCGGTCCCGCCGGCGCCAACAGATCCGGCGCGCTCCCTTTCGACGTATCCACGTCTGCCGTTTCCGCGCCCTCTAGCAAGTCCGCATCCTTCGCATTTGAGGGCTCCTCTTCGTCTTCGTCATCGTCCTTGTACCGATTCGCTTCCTTATCCAACTCTTTCTGCGCCTCGTCCATTCTTCGTCGAACCTCCGCCGCCACGCGCATACCATCAGTGACAATGTTATCCAGCATGCCACGAAGGCCTTTGCCGGGAGGTACGACGCCAGCTCCTGCGCCGCCCACCACACCAGCCATGCCGGATGTAGCGGCCGCGACCTGCCTTCCAGCATTCGAAAAAGTGGTGAGATTCGAAGAGCTGGAAGCGTGTGAAGGGAGAGGGACATCTGCAAGACGGAATGACGATGAGAAGCCGACTTCGAAGAATTGCTCCAGCACTTCGTCGGCGAGGATGACCATTCGGAAGGTGGGAAGGGTAATATAGAGTGGTTTATTAGGGTCGAGGGCGGCGTTTGCCGCTTTGGCCTTTTGCGTCCTGGCTTCGGACCCGGGCGAGAGAGGATCTGTGTTTGACGGCACAGGAGAAATAGGATGCCTCTCATGCTTGTGTGTTGGAGACGTAGGATTAGGATGCCTAATGGCTGTTGGGGTGCTGGGACCTGACCCGAAGTCGATGAGATCGTCTTCCTCGTCGCCGCCAATCGTAAAGCTGTCGAGACCATCCCGTGTTTGCTCTACCGCGCGATTTCCTTGATTTGAGGGATGATCGGGATCTGCGTATTCGAAACACCTCCGGATGAAGGCGGATACGCTGCTCAAAAAGTGCTCGTCACGGTTGCCACGCTCGGGGCTGCCACCAGCTCGGATGTCCGTCATGGACGGAGAAGGGCTTATCGACTCACCGAGCCCTCTTCTCGACAAAAAGAGTAGGGCTTCCGATATCCTGAGAATGCCTTCGCGGTCGACTCTGCCGTCGCCGTCGTCATCATAGAGCTCAAAGAAGTAGCTAATGTTTGACATGATGTCTTTTGAGCCCTTCACAGCGGCAAAGCCTGCGACAACGTTTTGTAGGGATAAGGAATTAGCCATATCTGTATCCCAGCGCCGGAATAGTCGTCTCATGAAGTCATGCTCTGCAGGCTCGGGCCCTGAGCCCCAAGGAGATGTGGGCGGTCGACTCCGTGTACTGCTACCGAAATAGGAGTGGGGAGTCTGAGTGCCGTTTGCTTCGGGGGGTGAGCTAGGTGAGTCGGTTATGGCCCACTTAGCAATTCCTATTCGATCGTAAGTAGGTGCCACAGATTAGCAGCGCAGATATAAGCGCAATGTTGACTTACCGGCCAAGAATTCTCTAAAAGCATCGTAGTCCATCTGTGTCGGGCTTGGGCCAAGCGCGACTCTCCCTTTCTCGACGCTGGTCCCTGAGAAGCCAGTAACAATCTCAGTTGCCTTGCTCTTACCGGCTTTAGCCTTCCTAGCTGCCTCTTGTTCCATGATCTCAGCTCGCTGCTGTCGGTCATATAGCACAGCGTAAAACTTGTCGTACAGGAAGCCTAGATCGTTAAGACTGAGCTTTTTGCTCTCCGGTCCAAGGTTCCGTATGGAGGTGCGTTTGGTGAAGCTTTCAATATTTTCAAGCACCGCATCCTTGTGCTTTGCCCTTTGCTCTGATATTGTATTTTGCGTGATGCCCGCAAATTCCTTGAAGGCAACCACCATCAGCTCTTGAAATCTCGTAACAGCCCGAAGTTTCGGATTCTCCGATTTGGGATGCGCAGACTCATCCAGCCTCGCAAAGTACGACTTGAGCACCGATATGAATGTGCCATCATCCGAGGCGTCCAATAGCTCTTCACCGTTGATTCGTAGAATGGCCAGACCGATCTGGAAGAGAACCTTGGGACCTTCGAGGAAGAACACGTCTAGAACTCGAAACGCGAAGATGAGGGGCATCGAGTTGATATAAAGGGATAGAAACCAGGGTAGGGACACGACCGATAGCTGGACATCAGATTTGACAAGGTGGTCCCATAGTATGGGCATTGTCTTCTCCACGAGCGATTCGAAGACCCGCTGGTCAAGTAATGTTCCGTACATGGTTTGTGAGTAGTATCCAGGCAGGAGGCGGTCACAGAGCACAGAGAGAAGGAAGAAGGCCTGGGCTTCAGACATGTAACTTGTGGGATTAGAACAGGTTGCGAACTAGCAAAGGGCGGCACATACATCAAGAGAGCTGCCACGACAATGTTCATTGCCTGGCAATAGCCGACCTCTTCATTGGTCCAGCTGTAAGCCGTCAAGACCCTTCTTAGCCGGCCGATACCCTCCTCGCTCTGGAAGCCCGGGTACTCTGGCAAGCTCCTGTTCAGGTCCTTCTCAATCTCGTCTATGGCTAGCGATTCTCTACCCGAGAACTTTGCTAGCGTTTCTGTATATAGTTTGGGATTCTGAAGGCGCAAAAACCACGACCCGGTGGTCAACTCCCAGATTTCGCCGCGTAACCGATTCGGTAGGCCGACACGGATTAGTTTGTGGAAGGTAGGTTGCCGGATGAGCGTAGCGCTGCGCCCGTTGTCTGTCGACATTGTCAGAATTCAGTCGAGCCGATCGCCTGTGGTATCTTACCTCGCAGATACTCCTTCCATAATCTGATCTTTGTCGCGTCCCTCAGTTTCCGCGCATTTCCGGGATATCTAAAGACAAGGCCAAGCCCAGTGTCTGGATGCTCTCTGTCCGAATGGGCGTCCTGGCCGCCGGCCTTCTTCTCGTTACCGTCGATCGAGAGCAGGTATTCGGAGTAGCAGTCGCGAACCACTGTTCGAAGATTTTCGACCTCCTTCACGCCTTCCCGCAAGCCCTTCTTGAGACCATCGCAGAACCGCTCGCAGTGCTGACGGCTACCTGCAAGCTGGATCGTGAGCTTCTGCCCGCTTGGGGCTTTCGACTTCGTGTCCGGTGTGCCGTTCCACGTTGTTATCGCCAGAGCAAACATGTAGCTCTGACTGTGGAGCCGCTCGACTCTGCGTATAGCGCACAATGGCAAGGTGAAACCATTGCCCGCGGGGCCGGCCCCATGAGTCTGGCCGGTGAAGCTGCTGGAGGAGCTCAAGCTGGCCGTGTTCACGAAGCTGGAGCCCTGCGTAGAGAAGCAGAGGTACTGCTCGCTCAGGTGCAGCTTCCCGACATAGTGGTTCCCCTGACTCAGCTCCTTCTCAGAGGGTGTGACGTCTCCAGAACCCCTCGTCGAGTGGTGGGGCGAGAGTGTAAGCTCGGCGGTGATTTCTTGGAGCGGGTTCTGCGAGTCGGGGAGCCGGAACTGGTGGCGAAAAAGCTCTGCTTTCGAGGGGCGTCGGTCGGATGAGGTAGGGCTGGCGATGTTGAGGGTAGGCTCGATAAACTGCTGGGCTTTCTGCACCAGGTTCGAGATGTTGAACATGGCTGTGGGGCTACGGCCGTTAGAGCGGAAGGAATGTGTGCTTAAACAAAAGGTAGACTAGATGTACACTTCATCGCGGAGGGAGGGGGTGAGAGCAACCACTGGTCAGCTTGGAAGGGGCAGCGGCATGCGTAGGGCTGAGCTTGGAGGTGTCGCACTTGCGGCGGTTCGCGCACGGCCCCGCCGAAGCTTAATTCGGCCCTCACGTGACACGCTACAAAAACCGACCCAGAGCAGGAACAGACTCGACACAATGAACACGGTGCAGAAAGATAGAAAAGGCGTGCTTTCCGTGCTATCGGAAAGAAAAACTATTACTGATAATTATAGCGGCTGCCGAGCCCGGGCTGCCATTCATCTGAAGGAGCATTCATCCTATCAATCGACAAAGGGAACCATACCAACCCATTATCGCCATCGCCGATCCGTCCCATCGAGGTGAATTTCCCGGCTCTAAACGCTAAGGCAGATGCAACGATTCTGGTGGGTGTGTTGAGTACCATCCAGCCCAAGGAAGCGACGATTCTTTCTTCCATCACCACGCCGATCTCCAAAGAAATAGAGCAGCCAGCTCCCATTAAGTGCAAGTGTAGGCTCCATCGACTCTTAGATCCGCGCCCTAATTCATTGTTAGTCAAGTGAGCAATTGGAATATGAACAAACATACAGTAACGTAGAGACTGGCGTCACTAGCTAGAAATGTGACCGCCCCCATAAGATCTTCAGGCCGGCCCATCTTACCAACCGGAATCAGAGAAGTCCACTGCTTTTGAAGATCTGGGTTATCGTCGAGGATCTTCTTGGTTCTGTAGAATTATTAGCATGCTTCCGGCAACAAGTTCAGCCATACATACAGAGCCGTGAGCATATATCCTGGTGAGATGCAGTTGACGCGAATGCCGGCATGTGCCCACTCGACCGCCAAACTGGAAGCCAGATGACGCACGGCAGCCTTCGCCGCATTGTACGGAGCCTGCGGCTGTGGCACGTTGACGATTGAACCGGACATGCTGCCAATCATGACAATACTTCCTGGAGCGTTCCTCTCCATGAGATGCTTACCAACGGCGACGGCATACAAGTAGGTACCGTCGACATTGACACCCCAAAGCTTCTGCATGCGATCGTAAGGATAAGAGATAGCATCGTAGTTTTCGGTAAATCCAGCAGAAGTCACCAGATTGTCGACCTTCCCGTGCACCTTGATGATCTCCGCCAATGACTGGTTGACCGAGGTGGGACTCGAGACGTCGCAGAAATGAGCAGTGACTTTCGGAATCCTGTACTTGTGTAAGTGCGAGTAATGGACCAGCGGCACCTTACTCACTTGTCGGCCCCAGGGTTTTCAGCTTTGAAGGTGTCGATGAGTCCTTGCGCCGACCTCTGGGCTTCGTCTCTGTTCATGTCCACGATAGCAACGTCGGCGCCGCTAGTGACAAGAGCTTGAGCCATGACCAGGCCCAATCCTCTTGCTCCACCAGTCACGACCCCCACACGCCCCTCCAGCGAGAAAGCAGCCAGCGTCCGCTTGAAATGGAAGCCTCCTCTGCCTTGAACCGGCATCGACGGTGGGAGGTCCTCTTCCTCGGGGTACTCGACGCGAATGTCATCTTTTGTTCGTGCATACTGACCTTCGTGATCACCACTCTCCCCGGGCTCGCCGGACGTTGTCGCAGCGTCGACATTGTCCCGGTCCGGCTCTTTGTCGAAGCGACGTGGCGCGGAAGAGAATTGGCGAGTGGGAGGAACAGCTTGTTGTTTGGTTTTTGATGCTGCTCGTGGAGCTTGCACCCGGGCTGCGCGCACCACCTGCCGGACGAGATGAGATCTGAACATTGTGGTGAGGTGCGATTGAGGGGCGGGACTGAAAAGTTTTATAAAAAGCAGCGGACTACTTAAACGAGTAAATCCCACGACTCAGGTTATCGTGATCTCAATTCTAGGCGTTGAGGAGCTAAGGAGGCCAGACTGGGCCCGCACCATCAGCTGAGTAACAGAAATAGAAAATAGGGAGGCTGAGAGCACATTGAGGAGTGGCAGGTGAGGATGGAGAGCTCAAACTCACGATGCACCAGAATTGGCCCTGGAGCTTTGACGGTGGCTCCCCACGCTGTTGCCCTCGAGCGAGTGCGATGACGTATCACAGCTCGCGGCTGGCAACAAGGGAGCTTTGTCGAGCTTTGGTTCGCCAAAGATGTTCAAGAGCAACGCCTGCCCGCATCCACGTCTCCTCTTTTCATCAGCCATCGTCACAGAAACCTGTCCCACCTCCCAAGAATTTGTGGAGTTCCGTTTGATCCGGCGCCTCTCGCCTGGAACACCGTCCCAGCTCCCACGGGCCTAATTTTCCTCACGACACCTGCACCACACTGAAATTGTCGAAAATATCTGCAGTGCATGCGGTTGGTTTTGTCTTCTAGACCCTCTCCTGTAGGCCCTTCTGCATAAAAGTGTGGACGTTCATACGGCATGCTGCCGGCGTCAACGGTATCGTGACTATCCACAGTACGATGCGCTGGCAATCCCTACTCTTGACGGCGATGCAATGCGCTGATCGTCCTCAACAAACGTCACGGTGGCTGACTGGTGCTTATCAGCGCTTTGGAAACACTCACGATGCCAATCCAGAGCTACCTTCTGACATTCAATTGTGCACGTAACCTCGTCAGCCCCGACACGCTCGCACCTTCTCTCTTCGACGCCCTGCCGAACGCCGCTTCCGTGCCCGACGTCGTCGCCATCTCCTTGCAGGAAGTCGCGCCCATCGCCTACTCCTTCCTCGGGGGCTCGTACCTGAAGCCCTACTTCGATCGCGTCTCTACAACGGTCCATTTGGCGGCCCATCTCCGCAGCCATGGCAGCGAGCGGCTCGAACATATCGCGACGCGGAGTCTGGGGATGACGGCTCTCATGATATTTGCCAGGCCGCGATTCGCCGAGAGGATACGATGGATACAAGCGGCAGGAGCAGGCGTCGGCTTCTGGAACATGGGCAACAAGGGAGCAGTGGCTCTGCGGCTTGGGGTCTCGTGTCCAGACTCGGATGATACGCTCAACCTGAGCTTTACCGCAGCACATCTGGCGCCCATGGAGTGGGACTGCGAAGGGAGGAACAAGGACTGGGAGAACATTGTGCGGAACATGGTCTTCCTCAACAACGATACGTCGGGCTACACCTCCAGCGAAGAAGTGCCTCTCCTCGCTTCCGCCTTAGACCCGCCAGCGGACAATAATGGCTTGTTCTTTCCAGGCAGCCATCTATTCCTCGCAGGGGACCTCAATTACCGGACGTACGACACTCCTCCCGGGCCGGAGGCCTACGAATCTTATCCACAGCCAGTGGCATCCGAATCTTCTGCCGCACACTTTTCTCATCTGCTAAAGAAGGATCAATTGACTCGAGAAAGGGAAGCAAATCGGACGCTCCACGGCCTCCAAGAGGTCCCTATCGACTTCCCACCAACCTACAAGTACTCGATGCGGAGGCAACATCGGGAGCACAAACGTTCGTCGTCAGACGTCCAGGAGAAGTACGAATGGGCAAAGCATCGGTACCCGAGCTGGTGCGACCGAATCTTGTACCTGCCAGCACCCCCTTCATCGCCGAGACTTGAGCCGCAACTATACACAGCTCTTCCTGTGCAACCTACCTCTGACCACCGACCCGTTGTGTTGTCATTGCGAGTCGACGATAGGCCCCTTCCTCAGGACGCGGAAGACATTCGGTCAAGACCCCCGTTTCCTATAAATCCCGATTGGAGAGCTCGACGAGATGCTGCCCGCAGGTGGGAGGTCATCGTTGGTATTCTGTCTTACCTCGCTCTGACCAAGAAGGGTAATGCCATTATAGTGGCTGTTGGCGGAATGACATTCGCAGGCTGGTATTTGGCGGCATGGCTAAGTAGAGGATAAAGGTAGTGTTCCGTACAGCCTTGGCAGATGTTCGGGATGCTTGTTCCTGCGCTCCCGGCTCTTCTCCGCTCACCGCACGAAAGGTGCCCATGGAATATCGTACGCCAAGTCTGTCATGCTGGATATCCGGAAGAATAATCGCATACGCTTCCTTTTTCTGTAATGCGTTCTTCCACTGCCGCGATCGCCTGATACTCGAAGCATTGCCGAAGCATCGACCTTCCGCTTCTACCCCATCCCTGCGATACCTTCCGGCACCTTCCGAATTGCTTCATGCACGAGCAGCTGTCAACGACGGGATGACGTCCTCAGATGCATGGCTTTCGCTACTTGGGCGCTAACTGCGACCCTAACGACAGCGCGTGCCATAAAAATAGCGCAAACCTTAGCACGGCTGGACTCTCGAGTACGCCCGAATACGGTACTTTGGGCTTATGGGAATTGCCGTCGATTTTGCATGGACAACGCACCTCGCGGCATGGTGTTACCATTCCTGCTTTTGCCTGTTATTAGATGGTTTCCGCGACAGGCACAGGGTCTGCCAGTCTTGTCCAAGCTTCCCAAGCAATTTTCCGGCATATGTCCGCAATAGATTGGTTGGGGGTAGAGCACCAAGCTCCTGCGCATCACCCGCACTCTTGAAACACTTTCTGCTTGTTTTGCATCTGTACGTTCACCGCCAAAAACTTGAAATTGGCCGTGATACGAAGCTACGTCGCATACTTCCTTTTACGCCCCGCCTGGGCAGAGGCTCAGCGTGGAGTTTATTCCTATTTATTACCCCTTCATCCTGCATTTGGTGCACATGGAGATTGGGATTGCCCTTCACCACGACGTCCCTCCGTAAAGTCTGCACTGTGGGGTCCTTAGTTCGGAGATCAGGCCGACCAGCCCCGCAACTCTATCCAACCAGGACTGCAGCTGCAACAGACAAGCCATCCTTCAAACCCAACAAAAGGCCCAATATCTCACCTCCGACCTGATGCATCTGCAAGTGAAGCAATTCGGCCTTATCCTCGGCCTCACTTTCCCGTCAACCCCACCACTCACCGACACCCCCGCTTCCAAACTGCCCCACCGTGAATGCCCATACGCTAGACCCAATGCAAACTTATCAACCTAGCCGCGCAGCCGGCGCCTCAGACGTCACGATGCAGCGGGCGCCAACGTCGCTCGGGACCCCTGGTTCTTGCAACCGCTCCGATCGCCTCTACAAACTTCGATCGATCTGAGCCTTGCTAGCTGCAACTTTGCTAACCGGGTCATGTGTGAAGAGCCGTCTGGCCTTTTGCATCATGCTGTTTGAGGATGGGATTGTCGGCGCTGGACCATGGGATATGCGCGGTCGGCGGGAGGCCTTGTGGGCGGGGAGGAGTTGGAGAGCGGTCTAGATAGACGATGATGGGATGAATGGAGGATGCATGTGCATCAGGATGAGGAAGTCAGTTAAGCAAGGCGGGCGATACGAGAAACCCAACCCCGAGCTTGGAAGCCGTGATCTCAGCGTGACATGGCGATCTGGCATGCGGTTTCAGACTTTTGCTTTTCGGTGTAACTGAGGACGAAGGGAAAGGGACCACCTGGCATGCAAGGATTAGTGCAATGACGAAACAAATAAACGAGCCTTGTACGAGTTGGGAAAACCGGTCTTGTTGTGAAGGATTTTTGCTGCAGCGTGCATATTAAGGTACCGAGGCTCAGGAACTGTTAAGTGGTTGTCCCATTTGGATATGATAGGTCTATTTGATTGTTCGGTATTGGATTGAAGAGACGAAGAAAAAAGCCTGCCCTTGACCCGTGTGCGTCTGTCCGTGACGCCGGGAAGGAGTTCTATGTGTGCGCGTAGGTATTAACTTCCTGGCTGAAAAAGATTTGTGCTGCGAAGTGGAATGCCGATATCTTCTCGCTGCTTGCTTGCTCCAACGCCTGCGCTGTTCCTGGCCCGAGTCTTAAGAAATCCCGCTGGAAAAAGTCGCTTTGGTATATGGTACAGAAGAATGGCAATGAAAAAAAAAAGACCCAGTTGCCCCGTGTAAATGCTGTGAAGGTTCCTCCTATGCTGCCCTAGTGGTGTGTGTTGAATCGAAGAGTCGAATGGGGTGGGCGGGGTCCGGGTGGTAATGTGGTGCTCGCTGAACACCGTCGCTAAGTTTCAAGTCGTCGTGATGTCGTGACGGCGTAGATTCGTGACCTGATTTGGGCGTTTCTGAGATTGACGATGACTGCGATCACCGGCCCCGGTTGGAGACTTGTGCCAGCGAGGCGAAGGAGGATGTCATGGCTGAGTAGGCTGCCTGTGGCCGGCCGTTGACTGATGATATGGAGGACGAGCTGTTGGTGCGGATGGTCTGGAGATTGAGCGTGACGCAGCTATCGCAGCGGCCGCCTTGGGCGTTGCAGCGACCGCGGCAGCCCCTCTCGTAGTTGACGCAAGAGAACATTGTGGTGGGTTTTGTTTGCAGAAGGCGTCGAGCGATGTAGAGAAGTGTAGTGTACTGTGGTGATCGCTGTGGTGGCCAGTCCTCAGGGTTGGAACTTTGTGAGCGTCTATGGCCTAATGCAGTGCCGGGCGGACGTTGAAATATATGCGCAGGGTACGCGTGAATGCCCGATGATGTAGCTGTGAGAATACCTGTCCCAAGGATGCAGGGTGCCTGCGAGCGTCTGGGCCGGCAGAACAGCAGGTAGCGTGCCCAAAGTGCAAGCCTAACGTGCCTTGGACGTATGCACAGTGTGACGGTCGCAGGTCGCTGGGGCCAATGGGCGTGCGCGAGCGCGTAGGGGGTTGCGGCGTCGTGGGAGGGGCAGGGATTGCGTAGATTTCGGGTGCCGCTGACCGCTTCAGGAGTCAAGTATGATGCGCAGTGTGAATTTCGGTGACGAGTGTTTCTACCGCAGGCGCCTTCGCGCCTTTAAGCTGCCCAGGTGGATGAGAGGGAGTGCCTCGCGGCGCGGACATACGAGCGGTCCGGCCGGAAGGTGCCCAAGGACGAAGCCCCTCCTGACGTGGCCCAAGCGCTTCGTGCTTCGTGCTCTTACTCACTCCCCAAACCAGGGTCCTATAACGCACGCATGCACGACGACAGGCTCGTTTTTGCTCACCTCGCAGCTATGGCCCGAATCCCGGTGGACCCTGGATGACACCTCAGTCTCTCGTCCGACTCTTCCGGTAATAATTATTGCGTACGGCGGAGGCTGAGCGGCAGCTGGGAGCCGAGTGCGTCCTTCCCACTAACGCAGGCGCAGGCAGCGTACGAAAACGGTCATCATCAGGCTCGTTCCCCTCACTGCTCCCAGAATGACGGAGGGGTTCTGCGAGAAACAACCTTGGAAGAGACTGGTTGGTCGCAGTGCCTGCTAACACGTCAAGCCCGCCTGCATGGGTGCCAAAGCCGCCAGGGCCGCCCGCAAACGAGCCCAAGGTATGAGCCCAGAAATGCCGCTCGCGACTACTTACTCAGAACATAGACTGCGCTCGTGCCACGAAGCTTGGTATATCCGATACCCGTCTCCGCCCTCTGCGATTACGTTGTGCTGCAGGGCTGGCTTACTGAATGCAGACCGCGAATAGGCGGGTGATTACAGCTGGTCCGAACCATCACCACCCAGCTCAACAACTGCTTCCATAAGCCCAGTAGCAGGAGATGCTCAGTCTATCCTCACCTGCTTGCGCGGATTTCTCCCGGTCAGCAACGTCCACGCAGTTATTCCCGGGATCATTCTGCGTAGCTGCTTCTCGAACGCCCGCCTTTCCTGTTGCACAGCACGTGCTTCACACAGTCTAGACCCAGTGTCTTACTGACCAGTCATGCGCCGCGCATTCGCGGGTTCCCACTTTCGACCGTTTGCGACTTATAACGGGCCTTACTCCGAGAAAATCTACGCGCGTAGGTTTGACCCGCAGCGCGGGTTTTCTCCTTGACTGGTCCACGGAACCGTCGGAATTTGCTTCGGCGCGTCATCTATCGCCGTATCATGTTCTTTCCTTCGGCCGACGTCACTATCGTTGAGCGCGAGCAAGCAGCTGTTCGCGCCGATACGCCCATCCTACTGTCTGTCACCGTTGGCTTTTGCGGCCATGCGTCTCAATAGTGTTCTGTGGGTCTTGCGGTGATCTTGTAGATCGGTCGCATGGAAACCAGCATCCGTGTTGGAGCGATCGCCGGTGCTATTTATGTCGCAGAGCTCTATCTCGCTGTTACTATAGGCATCTCTACCGTTGTATATTTGCATACTGCTTGTGCAAGGTATAATCTCCTCGTCTCTTCAGCATGGTGTATTATTAACGCTCATTAGCCGCCTTCCTGACTAGGAAGTTTCACGACAGTTCGTGGATTCCTGCACTAAAACGCTTGTCACCAACAAACAATTGGAGCTTCCTCATCCAGTATAGCGGGAGCCAGAGTCTCACAGAGTGAATATATCCACCACGAGTCGTTCTTCGCAGCGACCCCTTCGCCGACAAGGGCGCCTACTCACATGCGAAGTAGAAGTTCGCCAAAGCCATCCAGGTCCACATTGCTGTCCGAGGGTTGCTTCTGCTCACGCAACCGCTCGCATTAACCCAAAATTTAAGCATAAGCTCAGGACATGCTCTCATCCTCGCCCTTGCACCTTTGGAACCAAAAAGTACTCTTATGCTCACAGTCCTCAGTGCACGCCATTTCAAATCCGGAGCAAAAACAAAAGGCAAAAACATACAACAGCAGGTATTCGCCAATGGTCACCCACTTGACTACTAGTCTGCCGGTCGAAGGTTTATCGTGTGGAGAACGGACGGGATCCGGAGTGATACTTCGCCTATGGTCGTATGTGGAAGAGATGGGTTTAAAATCTGGTAGATATACAGGGATATCGAGGCATCAGTTAAACACGCGTGATGCGTTAGGAACCGTCGAGTTCAAACAGATTGCTGCAGTGATTCGCTAAACAAAGATCCTTTTCAGGAGTAATCCATCCATTCACACTCCAAATACAGCTCCCGGAACTCCACTCAATCGACGTCGTCACGAAGAGGGACGTTTCACGACAAGCAAATTCAGACCCGTACGAGGCTGTAGAGGGAGCAGTATAGTGCTTAAAACTAAGAGCTGCGCCTCTCGTAAGTAAGACTCCAGCAGCAGAAGCCATTATAAGGTAGTCGCAGGCATTAAAATGCATCTAGTTAAGAGTACTATGCTTTGGGGCTTCCTTATTCTGGGATTATATGATCTGCGGTGATTATCACGCTAATACGGGTGCGTCCTATACATTACCTCGCGTGGTCCTGCGTAGACCGCTCTTAGTTAATTTTCGTCGACGGTGTCTACTAGAGAGCGCTCTAGCACGCTTACTACTCCCGTCATTGCTATTATGGCGAACGTCAACAACACCTCTGACGACGGCACGAACGATATCGCCGCCAAACAAGAGTCTCGGGACAGTTCAGGCGACGCAGCAAGCCAGGAAGCCGCCACGCAAGAGAACAAAAAGTTCTATAACAGCTACGAAAACTACGACAGGAAGCCTCAAACGCAAAGGGGCAATTTCGATCCCGGGAAAGAGCCGAAGGAAAGTAGGCATGATCGCTTCGAACGAAAGCACGAAGAGCGCGCGAAGCTATTGCGAACGGGACTGCTGGTAGGTCTCTACTAGCTCTCGGCGCTTTAGGAATGATCGCTAAAAGTGGGTGTAGTTCCACCTCCAGGACCAGGTCCGAACTGGGCTAAGGTGAGTTACTGTGTGTTGCTCTACTTTTAGATGCAGATTGGTGACGTGGTGCAGAATCGTGAGAGGGCACTGGCCAAGTATGCGAAATCGACCCATCGCAGACACAAGAAGCACGAGAAGAAGGTGAGGCAAGCGGATACTGGGGAGAGTGCGGGTAACGATTAGAGTGGGAAGGAGACGCGGGATGACAGTGGGCATGGTGCTAAGAATGATGCCTAGCTACCTGTATCCGGACATGGGAAGGAGAAGACGATGAGAGGTGAAGGGACTTCGATCGATGGCTACTACCAGCTTACGCACCGTATGACGGCGGCTCAGACCCAGATTAAAGCAGCTGGAACATCCATAATACACAATCAAACGAAGCTGCCGGTACCCTACCTAATCATGAAACTCAGCGATCCCATTCGGGCCCCACCAAGCCTCCTGGACCTTCTCCTCAAAGCGCCTCACAGCCGCGCTACGGGGCTCATGCTGCCAGTCGTACTGTGGAAACAGGGCCAGCAGCTCGCACAGTATGCGTCTCAGCGTCTCGATATCCTGCCCCTCTCTCAAGACGAGCCTATGCCATTCGGTGCCCTCATCTGCAACGCATCTCTCAGCGCTCATTCCCCGAAATACAGCGCTCAGACATCACTTACAGAAATAAGTACCGCCCGCCAAGCGAATAGCCGTCCACTCCAGATACTTCCCGATCTTCGGGTATATCCTGCGTCTGTCCATGTCGATGTACTCGAGAGTCTGATTGAGGGAGCGACTGTTCTTTTGGAACCTGCATAATTGTCCAGTCAGCACCCAAGATCCTGAGAAAGCTACTAGGCGATGGTTGCATGCATACGCGTAGCTAGGATTATGCGTCTTATACGCGCGCTCTCTCTCGTCGGCGTCGTCGGCGTCGCCGAACTTGATGTAGAAGCACTTGGCATCGCGCCACTGCTGGCTTGTGTGGTCGAAGATGCGCTCCTGGAGGCAGCTGCCCTCGCGCTGGGGGTTAGGGCTGATGACGAGGTAGGAGTCGTAGAAGTGGACCATTTTGAAGAGGGGTTTGAGGAATAGAGGGAGGGAGAAGAGGGGGGTGAGTTGGAAAAGATTATATAGGTTTTTCTGTGGTGAGAGGCTGAGTGGAGAGGTTGCCCGGATAGAAGAGTTTCTGGATTAGGCATAGGGCGTAGGATTCTGGTTGCCTTCTCTGAAGTGGTGGGCTGAAGCTTTGTCTTGTCTGTTCGGCTGAGTGCTGACGTTTGGGGGCTTCTTCTGCATGCTCATGGTTGGAAACGTTTGGAAGGTGGAGGCCCAATCCAGTCTTGGTCCATCCTCGTGAGAAGTTGAAAATGACGCGACGTTGCCATTCTCTCCTAATCCCTCCGAGCTTTTTGAAGTCGTACTCTGGTAGCGTTGGGCGGTTCCTGCAGCTTCTACTCAGGCCCTCAGAGCTACCCCGCAGGAGAGGGAACGACCTTAAAAAGGTACTTCTATGTAGCATCAAGACCTTGGAAGTACCTTCGAAAATACAACCTCATCTCCAAAACAAAATTTGCACTAGGAAATACCAGCAATAGTGAAGCGAAGAATTTGTGCGAGATATTGCCATGTGCGGCTTCCCGTCTCTTCGGAAGCTTACCCCAGGCGGGGTACGGACACGAGGCTTGTGTCGATCAGCCGCGGCCCAATTCCGTCTACAGGCGGCCACCTTCACACGGCGACACAATGCGAGCTCCGGCCTCCTTTTACCTCTCAATGTGCGCGGCAGAAGATGTTCCGCAAGGTGTCCGTCCGTTCCTGGAGGTTCACTGTGCCATCGCATGGCGCGCGACGCGGCATCCTGACCCAAGCTTACAGCGCGGGACCGACGGAGGTAAGCGAGCTTGGTTCCACGGCTATGCACAATATTGACAGCTTCTGCAGCCTCCATTGCTCGAGCAAACCGTACCGGAGCACTTCGCGGCCATCGTCAGGCGGTATGGCGACCGTGACGCGTGAGTGATCTGCTAAACTGCGAACGTCACGGACTGGGGCTGATGCTCGCTCAGGGTGATATCCCGTCACCAGCGGACGCGCTTGACGTACGATAAACTCGACCAAGACTCGAATGCGCTGGCGAGGGGCCTGGCGAAGCTCGGGATCAGGAAAGGGGAGAGGGTCGCCGTGTCGTTGGGAAACAACATCGAGTATGCGACTGTACGGTTCATAGCCTCTGGATGCTTGCACGGCAACTGCTGATACGCTTTTCAAGGCTACATACGCGTTGTTCAAGCTCGGTGCGATACTAGTAAGCTCCTCAATGGCACTTTGGAGCTCTTCGGCTGCTAATGAACTATCTAGGTCCCTCTAAACCCGGCCTTCAACGCGCCCCAGGTCCTCTCTGCGCTCAACCATCTCTCCGCTTCACATCTCATCATCGGCGCTGAGACCAACCTGCCTCGCAAGCCGCCACGCTCAAATATACCCCTCCTAGAATCCTTCGTCCCCAACCTCGAAGGCCCGTCGCTCGAGACCGACATCGTGCCCTCGCTCCAATCCATCACAATTGTGAATAACTCCTATGGCAGAGTGGACACATACGATTATAGAAATACAACGACCCAGTACGAGGATGTGCTGGAAGACGGAGGCAGTGTGGGCGCGCTGCCGGATGCGGCGCTGCATCCGGATGAGATCGTGAATATCCAGTTTACAAGTGGGACGACGAGCATGCCGAAAGCTGCGTGTCTGAGCCATAGGAGCATCTTGAACAATGGGAAGAGCATTGGTGATAGGATGCTGCTCACTGCTGAGGATAGGGTGTGCTGCCCGCCTCCGCTGTTCCAGTAACCTCTCACATCTCCGCGCCTTGAGCGATCTACGGGCTGACAGTTGAATAGCTGCTTCGGATGCATTCTAGGCTATATGGCTACCGCGACCCACGGCTCCGCCATTGTTTTCCCAACCGAAGCCTTCGACCCCCTGGCAACTCTCCAATCCGTCCGCGAATACCAATGCACCGCCCTCTACGGCGTGCCCACCATGTTCGTCGCCGAGCTCGAACTCCTCTCCCATGGCGCCGTGCCGCACAACGGCTTCCAACATCTGCGAACCGGCATCGCAGCTGGCAGTTCGGTCCCCGCCGAGCTGATGCGGAAGTTGCACAAGGATCTGAATCTGACGGAGCTTACAATATGCTACGGCATGACGGAAACGTCGCCCGTCTCCGCGATGACAACAACCGATGACCCGATGGACAAGCGGATCGACAGCGTGGGAAGGCTCCTCCCGCACGTCCGCGCCAAAGTCGTCGACCCCTCAGACTGGACACGCATCCTCGCGCCCAACCAGCGCGGCGAGCTCGCCGTCTCGGGCTACCTCCTCATGCGCGGCTACTGGAACGACGCCCAGCGCACCGCCGAAGTCCTGGTCCCCGACGCCAACGGCGTGCTATGGATGCACACGGGCGACGAAGCCAGCATGGACGAGCAGGGCTACGTCAAGATCACCGGCAGGATAAAAGACCTGATCATCAGAGGCGGAGAGAACATTCATCCGCTCGAGGTGGAAAATTGTCTGTTTGCGCACGAGAAGGTTAGTGAGGTTAGTGTGGTGGGGTTGCCGGATGAACGGTATGGAGAGTGCGTGGCGGCGTTTATTGTCACGCATGATGGGGTTACGATGACGGTGGAGGAGGCAAGGGAGTGGGTGAGGAGGCGGTTGAGCCATCATTTAGGTGAGTCGGAAGTCCTTTATGCACCTTTCGTACTTTCAGCGGCTGCCCTCCGGTTCTCGTCATGAACAACACCTCACTAACTTGGTTATCTAGTGCCCAAATACGTCTTCTGGGTCGACACGTACCCCAAGACAGCAAGCGGGAAGATCCAGAAGTTCAAGCTCAAGGAATTGGGAATCAAGCTTCTCCAAGAAGGCAAAGGTTTGCATTGAATTGATTCGAACCAATATGCACCTTGGTATGTAGATAGGTACTTATAAACATGAAGACCAAAAAAAATCAAGTCGTCAGATGCTCGCAGGCATGATAAGCCAGCTCCTCATGAAAACTGCCGCAGAATTCTAATACACAGGAATGGTCCACTGCTCCAAAAGAACGTCGACGATATCCCTCTCGCCATCATCATCCTCTTTTCCAGGCTCTCTGTGCGCCTCGCCTTCTTCGACGTCCATCGCCTCTGCACCGCCATCGCCATCAAGGCTTCTCCTCTCCTTGGTAACTTCCCCGACCCTATCCTGAGCACCCCTTCTAGGCTTCTTACGACTTTCTTCCTCGACGTCACTCTTACTCTCCCTCATCGCTCTCTTGCGCTTCCGCCCAAGCATATCCGCATTCCCACCCAGCTCTGCAGACGCAGCTTCCTCACCGCGGCCGCCATCACCCCATTTATCGGCCTCCAAGTCTTCTGCGCTGCCACCGGCCTCGCGCTTCTTGCCGATTGTCTCTTCGAGCTCCTTGACCCTAGCCTCCTGCTCTGCAATGCCCCGGTCGAGCGCCGGCGAGGTGCCCGGATACTTCGCCTTGCCGGCGCGCAGGCTTGAGAGAAAGCTGCGGGCAGTGTCTAGGGCGACCTCGGTCGGACCGCGCTCGGTGCGCTTGCCGTGCTTCTCTCGGTTCTTGTCTACAAGGCTGTCAATACCAGCGGCACCAAGGGCAGCAGTAGCAATTCGCTGGCCCTTCTCGCCAGTCCAGGGACTAGGAATGTTGCGGCTGCGGAAGGCTTCGACGGCACCGGCAACCAGAGCGCCTTTGGCGGCCGGCTCCCACTTCTCGTCGTTCTTGCCCCCATGTCGTGCGTGAGGAGATTTTCGACGGCTGGAGGGCGAGGGCACGGTTACACTGTCGCTTCTAGCTGCGGCTCCTGCTCGCACGGCTGGACTCTCAACGGAAGGTTCACGCACATCCTCAAGCTCCTTGGTTTGGGCCTCCTGCTCGGAAATAGGCTTTTCGAGAGCCTCGTTGGAACCACTAGCTCTCCGTCTGCGAGACAATATGGCTGCAGTGGTATTGCGTGCGCGCTTCAAGCGCACTTGGGGATCGTTGGAGTCATCTACGGTCCGGGTGCCAGGGGCATGCGGATAATCGAAAGCTTCGACCATTGGGACTGAGGGAGACGGGAGAAAAGGAGTCATTGATGTAGGCAGCGTCGCAGACTGCGGCGTGCCGAGGAATGGTGCAAGTGGAGTAGGAGGGGTACGATCGCGATGGGCATACTCCCAGCCGTGTGCCTTCTCCATATGCTGCTTGCAGTTCGACTGTCGCGCGGAGGCGTATGTACAAGGTGGGTAGAGGCACTTGTACTGCGGAGATGCACTCTCGATTCCCTCATCTTGTCCCAAATCTAAATCCAGAGACCTGTCATCGTGCAGTTCGAATTCTTTTGAGAAATCTGACTTCTCATCTGATATGGATGGGGGCATTGGCATGGGAGATAATGACCGGGGGCGTTCAGTGATTATTCGCTCCTGTCGCGGCAGTGGAGCGCCTTCTTCTCTCTCACGCGCCTCTTCAGTCCCTCCCTCACGAGCGTTACCTACGTCGGTCTCCACAGTAACAGCGTTTTGCTCCTTCGTATGAGGACGAGTCACGGGCGGCCTAGGCGTATCTCCAAGGTTCTCATGTGGATCGTACTCTTGCTCAAGCTGGTCCATATGGTTAGAAAATGGACCAGACATGGACGGCGTCCTTTCTTCGTTATTAAATCGTGACCCGCTCCCAACAAGCGGCTCCATCGTGATTCCAGGCGGCGGTCGAGTGCCAGCAGGTGATCGACCATTAGTCCAATCCTTTTCTCGAGAAGAACTTGATACTGTCTCTTTTGCGCTCTCGGCCAAAAGGGTGTCGCTTGAAGGCGCTGAGGTGCCTAGGCTGCTTCCCAAACCAGAAAACATCCGACCGAATTCACTCTTAATATGCGGATCCCTCCCGAAGGATGAAGGATGTGCGTGCGTATCTTGTACGGTCTGCTGGAACGGGCCGCTCTGCGTCGCACTGCCGGCCATCCCACCGACCATCTGCATTTTACTGATTTCTCCGATAGGCGGTCGAGGTGCCAGATGCGGTAACCTATCCGAAGGTGGACGTTGTGTCTGGCGCCCATAGTTCGACGCCAGCTGCGGAGAGGCGTGAGGACTATTGGAAGGAACATCGAGAGAGAGACGTGGCCTAGTATGCGACGGTTGGAGACTCTGGTCTTGTTTAGTGGCACGGTTTCTGGAATCGCTGGTAGTGACCTGTTGGACTGAGCTGCTATGTTGAATCCGTGGCTGTACCCGCGTCGGATGCGGATATGAAAAGCCTGGAGAATAACCTGAAGGGGAAGGCAATGAGGGACCTATTCCGGAGGGTGGTCGTTGGAGTGGCATCTGTGGCATGCGGGATTTGGGGCTACCCGCCATTCTAGCGCTGTGCGGGTGAGGCTGATGAGGGTGCTTCATTTGGGGTCCCTGTTGATGTGACTGTAGAAGCGAATCGTTTGGTGTAGGCTGCTGCTGTTGCTGAACGGATGGGTGCTGATAGTAGGCCGACTGCTGCGGTAGTAACTCATATGGCGTATAACACAGGCTTGCAGAATGTCGGTAGATCGGTCGCCCATGTTCATCATGTTCTTGTGCTTGCAACGGTGCGGGAGGGTATGACTGAGGAAGAGGAATATCAGGCGAACGACGAGGCGGAGGAAGGCTGGAGCTAGAAGAGTATGTTGGTGTCGGCAATATTGGTTTGATTCGACGACCAACGGCATCCATGCCTGTTCCAGCGGCAATATCCTCATGGATTGGTGTAGCGGGGCTGATAGCGCAAGCATTGTCCTTGCTGAGCCAATGATTAGAACTGATATCGAGGCCCAAGGATGAACACGTACTGTCTGTCTCTGTGTCGCTGTAGCAGATCTACTCGGAAGAAGACTTTTCCGCACAGATCACACCGTACCTGGTTCGGGCCGTGGTTCTTTTGGTGGCGCCTGCTGCATTGTCAGCACTTGCTACCTTTGTTGGTTTGTCGTACAAATCCCACCTGAGATGCTCCGCTCTTGTGAAAGACTAAGCAACAGTTAGCTTATTGAAGCCATAATACAACCGCAACATGCATACCTTTCCACATTGGCAAGTGTGCACTTTAAGGCCCTTCTTAGCCTTGCTGATCCGCCCAGTTTTGGTATAGTGAATAGGCATGCCTTCCACGGGCGTTTGGTCCCCGTTCATCTCGGAGCCGCTCTGATTGTCCTCTTCAGTGCCTTCAAGAGAAGGTGGTGACTCGCTCGTGGCGTGCGATGGCCGCTCTAGCGCTGAGCCTGACTCAGGCTTGACTCCGATATCAGTAGTAGGAGTTCTAGCTTGAAGCATAGGAATGCTAGAGTTCTTCTGCTCGTGCTCATTTGTTTGTATGCTAGGCCTCGTTGGATCCTGCCAGCCGTTTGATAAGCTTGATCTGGGCCATTGAATCGGGAACTGGATCTCCCCAAAACGAGAAAACGAGCCGGAAGAGCGTGGCACATTCGATTGGCGGGGAGAGTCAGAGTTGGTCCGGATGTGAAGAGATTTCGCCGGATTGAAGGTGAACACAGAGGGATCACGATTAGCTGTACCCTCGTCAGACGGAGCCAGTTGCGCAGAATGGGAGCGAGCATTCCCTTGCGCTCTACCATCCGATTTTATCCGTGAAGCGGGCTCTCCTTCCCGAACTGGCTGCGAGTTCAGAGTGACCGGCCCTAAGGGGCTAAAGAGCGGAGGCGACTTTGCATAAAAATCTGCTTGCGTGAACGACCTTATAGAGGGCAACATCTTCTCAGTCCTCTCAGACTCCCCCCGCATGCCACTCCATGCTTTAGACGGCGGCACAAACTCCTGTAAGGGTGCCGTAGCAGCCGCATCAGCAGCCTTGCGAAGCACTATCTCCGACTCGAACTTCCGGCAAAAGCGTCGATATAGCTTGCTTACGCGATGTTTGGGATAATGGCCTGTGGATTGTGCGGTCGCGGCTTCGAACGACTGTTGGAGGACAGTGATCCGTTTCAATAACTTTTGCACATGGTTCGCGCATTTGGTGAGCTCCTCAACGGTCAGGTGCTCTCCCTCATCGTCAGTTACAGTGTCGTCGCTGTCGGAGGTACCGGAGTCGTCCGAAAGAGGCGTAGCCATGGCAGTGGGACCTGAGTTGGCGGCACCGCTTTGATTCGCTTCTTCCGGTGCGACGGATGTCGAGGACCTGACCATGAAGTCGATAGTGGGGACGCGAGAAGGCGCATTGGAGCCACGAAGGGTCTCCTCGTCCTCTAGAGAAACTTTGCTTAATTTGCTTTCCAAGGCTTGGAGGGCTTGGAGCGAGTATTGCTGTCGTTGGTGGAGCTCACGGATCTTTTCACGCTCTTGCTCCAGAGCGCTCTTCTCCAGTTCTCTGCAGTCCTCGTTAGCGTGGTAGTCCTGCCGTGGAAGAGGTTGATGTACCCCTTGGCCTGCCCGTTCGCGAGCTGCAGGACATGAAGCAACAGCATGAGACTATTCTTCAAGCTCTCCAGCCTTCTCCGCAGCAGCTCAATTCTCTGCTCTTTCAATGGCCAGGAAAATTTGCCGAAGGTGCTCAGAATCTTCTTCCCATCCTTGCACACCTTCCTCCTCTTCTCCACCACCTCTTGGATCTCGCCGAAGACAGCATCGCATCGCTTGATGAGGCCATTAGCATCCTGGATAGCCCTCCGAGACACAACCGTTTTCCCATCCTCCTTTTCAAAGACTTTTCCGACGCTGTCCAGAGCGTTCGCTGTCAGCATCACGTCGTCGGCAATGTCGGCGACGTCCCGGTCCGCACGACTCGCCGAGCTGGCGAAGTTGTACAAAGCCGTGGACAGCTTAACGCCTGCGCCAGCTATCTGGAGGATGCTGGCGGCAAGGCCGACGACTTCGGCCATTGCTCCGAGCCGATTCGCTTGGGCGCAGGCAGCTCAGGCGTCATGGGAAGGGTAGGTACGGCTGCGATTGCGGCTGGAGAAATGCGGGTTATCGCATAGATGCGCTAATCCTCTCCAAGCTCACGTAAGGACTCATTGATGCGTGTGCGGTAAACAGGTCAGCGAGCGAAGAGGCGTGTTGGAGCCAGGAAGCGAAAAGAAGTGGCATGTGGAGGGCTGCTGGAGGGGTTCCGTAATACGGGATGAGGCTGTGCTCGGTGTGCGACGCAAAGTGGCGCACGCACATTAGATGAAACTTCGCTCGAATCCAACGGCTGCCAATAACAACAAAATGGCATTCTGAGGTATGTATCTTTTGAGCAAGGATGCAGACCCGGACACAGCACTTGATCTAGTAAAGGATGGGCAAAGAGTAAATGAGACGTCGAACCTGTCGTGTGAGAGATATAGCGCTAGACCGAACCGGCTCTAGTGGCTTTTTGAAACAGCGCTATTTCGGGGCCACAACGATGAGCCCCCACCTCGTCAAAGCGACGAAGACCACACCGCTCGCATCAGAATGTCATCTCGAGACGACTCCACTCTATCTCCAATCGCACGTCTCACATCAACTATGCCCTATGCTTTCAATGCGATCTAGTTAACACCAGCTATTGGCTTCCTCGACTGTTTTGCTTCGGTCCGAATTTCCTCGCCGTCAATTTGCCTCCAGGGGCAGGCCAGCTTACCGCCCTGTCCTCAGGTAAATAGCTTAGCCTTCCTTCACAACCTCGGCATATGAAGATGCGCCATTCTCCTCCTTTTCAGCAGTCTCGTCTTCCTGCTCCCTGCTGCTCGGCCGGGTCGCCACTCCCAAGCTCATGCCCACTTCCACGGACACTTGGATGCAGTGCTTGCTGCAGTCCCGCAAATCGTCGTCGAACTTTACGCGGCCCTTCTGGAAAGCAAGGATGATGGAGGAACCGCCGAACTGAAAGATACCAAGCTCATCTCCCTTCTCGATCTTCGTGCCAGGCGTCTGGAACTTTTCATGCATGCTGGGGCCCGTCAGCACACAAAAAGGTTAATGTTGTCCAGAGGACTCACTAGACTGTGCCAACGTTCGTTGCACCGATAGCGCAGAAGAGCACTTCACCAAACTCGGGCGATTCGATCAAGACGTAGTCCCGGGCGTTGCTGGTCAAAATATTGACCGCGCTCCTCAACGCAATCGGATCCACTTGGTAGTAGTCGCCAGGCAAGCTGCGAAACTCCTTGACCGTGCCGGAAACAGGGCTATGATAGCGATGATAGTCTTGCGGGCTAAGGCGGAACGAAGCTATGGCGCTATCCGTAAAGCGCGCCCCAAGCTTGACATCCATGACCAGGTTAGTAATGCTGAAGTCCGTCCCCTTTATCCACAGTTTCTTCCCTTCGGCAACGGTATCGTAGGTCACTACGCGCGAGTCCGCGACGCAAACCGCCCTCTTTGGATTGTCTTTCTCCGCAACTGGCCTGGTACCCGGCTTGTGCTTCCGCACGAAGAAGTCCTCAAAGGTGGGGTACTTCTCGGGATCCGAAGGCTCAAAGTCGTCCATATTGATCGCGTAGAAGTCGATGAATGATTTGATCCTGTTGTGTGACTGCGGAGTACCCTCTTCTCGGCCTACAATTGGTCAGCTGCGACGTCTCTGAGCGCGGGCAGTTTGGCGCGTACCTTCTTTAATGCTCTTTTCATGTATATAGAGACGCATGGCATGTGTAGTATCGAGCCATTCCTATCGTGCCAATGCGATTAGCAATGTCTAGTATTCCTAACGCAGGGTTGGCTTTACCGTAAGTGGGTTGAAGAGCAGAATCAACTTCAGCTTCTTGAGCAGGGGTTGCTGTTCACGTTCGAGTTCTCCCGTCTATCGCGCATTAGCACGGTTCTAATTCCAATCCAGAGACCACAACGCACCTTGCGGTTTAGCGACTTCCATCCGACTTGACGGTGCGGGATCTGAGTGTTTGTTAGCTAGGTGGCTCAATACTGCTGGGATGACAAGTTACGCACCAGGCGCAACCAGAGCAAGATCCAATTGAGGGCCGCATGAATCCAACTAAACGGCCACATTTTGTCCAAAATGCCTCCTTAGAATGGCTCTTCTGGTCGTCGAATTTTATTCTCGGAGAATTAGTATTACGACCGGCCAGGGTCGCTATAAGTTGGGTTCGGCTGCAGCGGCGATCGCTTCTGTGGATGATCTAAGTCTGATGTGACCCTGACGGTTATCTTCGCAAAATCTTGCTGCAAAGCCTCGGAGCTTGTGGAAGGTGTAGGGCATGTGAAGACGCGTGGCTAGCAGTTGTTACGAGCCGACGTTCCCGACGATGTTCAGTTGCGAAGTTACAGCTGGGGAGTGTAAACGTGACGTCACATGCGGCTTTGTAACGCCAGACCTCGGAAAGGTACCCAACTACAGGACTATGGATATCGTCACGGCGCTTGTGTACTGTCCTTATTCGACGCGGGCTACTTTTCTTCAAGCGTCACGCTCGGATCTCGCTCCAGCCGCAATGCCGGATTATCAGCAGCTATCGAACGGTGATCCAGCGGAGATAATAGTACGCTCTATTCATTCCGTCCATGTCACAGAAGAGCGCAAGCCATTCATCAACACCGACCAGGGCATCAACCATCTCTATCATGCGGGTATAGTGTCCCCCGCTTCGTTCTTGAGCCACAACTCACTCTACCAGGCACCGCGCGGGCCAACATCGCCGCATCTACAGAATCTCCCCACGGCACAACGGAAAACGACTGGGCGACCCGCCATTCGCACCAAACCGTCCTACAGCAGCACTGCGACTTCTTCGATACGGACCACGACGGGATCCTTTGGCCAACCGATACGTTTTGGGGATTCCTCCGCCTGGGCTTTGGCATCATTCTCTCCCTTGTCGCCGTCTTCATCATCCACGCCAACTTCTCGTACCCGACCGTCCCGACCTGGCTCCCAGACCCCTTCTTCCGCCTCTACATCACCAACATCCACAAGGACAAGCACGGCAGCGACACGAACACGTACGACACCGAGGGCCGCTTCGTTCCGCAGAAATTTGAAGATATTTTCGAAAAGTATGCAGAGGGGAGGGATTACTTGACGATTTGGGATGTGAGCAATGTGATGAAAGGCCAGCGATGCATTGCGGATCCTATTGGTTGGGGTGGGGCGTTGTTTGAATGGATGGCAACGTACATCATGCTGTGGCCGGATGACGGACGGATGATGAAGGAGGATATTCGCGGGATCTATGATGGGAGTATCTTCTACACCATCGCGGCGAGACGGGCCCAGGGCAAGAAGCACGGTTCTTGAGCTTGCGCTATGCCTCAACGCTACGGCTTGGCACGCCCCATTTCGTTCGACATTAGCCTTGTAAACAAGGATAGGCTTCGATCTCGGAGTGACGTAATGGCTTTCTCCAACAGGACGATGGCATGGCACTTTCATTGAGGTCAAGTACGTTGTTCATACCATATGCGGAGAGGCCGTTAAGGCAACCACTAGGGAACCCGAGTCTCCTCCCAACCCCAGCGATCAGCTCGCAAAGTCATTACCCACTTCCCTCAAAACGCCTCAAACCGCTAAACCAATAATGCAATTTAGTACACAGGGTATCTCAAACGCAACAAAGAAAAATCCGCTAAAGCAATTTGAAAACACCTCCTCTCAGCCTTCCCCCACACCCACGACGCCCACACTCGCATGCCCCACTTCTACTCGAACATGATGTACGACGAGGATCCCCGTCCTACGACGCCCATGCTCAGTACCAAACAGCAACAAGAACCGCATCGGGGACTCACCTCGTCTGAATTCGAACGGAGGGTCGCGTTGGGCATCAAGCGCCCAGTCGCCTACGTCGCTAGCCTGGGGCCGACATGACGGGTTGGATGGTGGGGGCTGCTGATGACTGTGGTCCATGCTTGGGCTCTTGGCCTTGCGTATAGGGGTACTGGGATACAGGGCTCGAGAAGCCAAGACTCTGGGATGGTGGATGCAACTGTTGGAAAATGGGCTTGCAGGTACAGAACAGTATATGTCTCAGTTCCCCTCGCCCGGCTGGCCTCTTCTTTATAGTTCACAGGAAAGACTCGAGGGATGCCTTCTGATAATGTCTGCCTTCTTTCCTCCGTCTGCGGTTCCTCGTGTCTATCACAGGGCGAGCGGGGGGGGGGGGGGGGGGGGGGCTGAGTCACCAGTGATAGCGCGAATGGGCGTAGAGGAAGGGCGTTGGAGTGCGGAGAGCGTGCGGTGAAGCAGACCATTGTGGCTCATAGTGCAGAGGGCAACGGTGCTAGCGGACCTTAGGTATCCGGGTAGGCCGACAGCATAGGTAGAATGATGTCTTATCTGGGACAACGTATGATAGTCGTTCGGATGGAACGCCGTTTGCCTGCTCAGGCATATCAAACCAATAAGGACGAATGAGGGACGACGTGTATTGGTTAGGCAAGGCGAGGATGATACTCGCGCAGCACGGAACACGTGCACATCATCTGCAATGCAGCCGGCAAGAACTCCCAGTGCCATTGAACCACTCAAACTTCAGTCCGTGTGATAGTATTGTCCAACGGCGTGGCTGCGAAAGAGACCAGTCTACCGGCGCACCCTGTCTGAAGCTGCGTTTTTCAGCGACATCTGTAGGAATGTCGCGCCGGCATCCGATATACGATATCAGGGAGCGAAAGTATAAAGGGATAACGGGAAGGCTTAGAATTGATTGTATCGAAACCCCCGCTGCGATTCGCTGGCTGTCTCGAAATGAAGTCCACCGGAAGAAGGCTTCAGCCTTATCCCCGTCAACCTTCCTGCATCCCTCCCGACCTGGAATCATAGATGCGAAGAGAGCCCGATAGGATGGTTCATGCATGCTTGACCGGGATCACCGCGAGCAACGTTTCCGGTGAACGATTCCCTCGTGCAACGCCCTCGTGTTGATGCAGCCAATCCAACGCCACATCGCCTTCTTCACCGGAAAGCCCCCTCATCAAACGTCATCCTCCCAGTCCACCATGCTGGGGGCTCCATGTCCGCACTTTTCGTTATTACACCTCGCAGGGCTCAACATTGTACATACCTTCCACAACAGGCGTACTTTCTCCCCACCGCTCGATCGCGTCTCTAACCGCCTCCTCAATACTCATCTCCTCGACTCCTACGACCCCATTCTCCACAAGCGCACTGAAATCGTTGTCGTAGTCGCCCTCATAGAACTGGCCACTAATCGTCAGTCCCTTCATTGCTTTCATGATCTCTCCTTTCTCCAGCGCAATCCTCGCATTTTTGTTCATTTTCGCGACGTCGACGTGCGTGATTGTGAACTTGGTGTTGAGCTCGGATTCCAGGGTGGTTAGGATGGCGTTTTGGGTGAGTGTTGGGAGCGGACAAATGTGTATTGGACGGTTGAGGATGGGAGTGGGATTGCGAAGCATGTTTGCCGCTGCCAGGGCGATGGTCGGGAGGGGTGTCCAATAGAGCGCATTGTCGCCTGCGCCGTAGAGTCGCGCCTGGCGATTAGGGATGTCGAATCCTGCGGGTCCTTTCATGAGCCCTTGTTGGTATTAGCATTGCCTTTCCAAACGTCTTGGTGACCTCCATTCCTAAAGACCCTTCGTTATTTCAGTCCCGGGGAGAGCTTACACATATCGAAGAACGGCCCTCCGTTCAGCGCCGTCCACTTGATCTTCCCCTCCTTCCCAAGCCCTTCCAGATACTGCCTGATCCTCACTTTCGCCCCTACATAACTCTCCGGCAGCCGCTTGAACCGCTCGCTCGTCAAGCTTCCCACGAACTCATTCGCAAAGTAAAGCCCCACTCCAGCTGCGACGGCCGCATCGATGATGAGTTTCGAGGGCTCGTAATGCGTAGCTCCGCCCGAAACGCAATTAACAATCGCGTCTTGGCCGGTGAATGCATCTCTGAGGGAGTCGAGGGAGCTGAAGTCGGCGGATTTCGCGACGATGTTGGAGTTCGCAGAAGTGGTGTAGCTGGAAGTTGGGCGCGAGATAGCTGTTATTTTGAAGCGATCACCGTCCTTGAGCAGCTCGGCGATGAGCGCGCTACCAACGTTGCCTCGAGGCTATCGTCTTTCGATCAGGTCACACAATCTTCTCGCAAGCGTAGAGTAACATACACCAAGTATAGCAATGTTTTTGATCTTCATTGTCTCCGGTAAAACTAGAGAGGTCCACGCTGAATGAGATCGGTCTGGTGATAGGAGGACGAAAGGGTCTGCGTTATTTTGTAGATAAGGATGCGAGTTGCACCCGACAATACGAGCTGAGCAAGAAGAGAGGAGTGTTGACGCAGCTCTTATACACCATGGTTCACCCGAATCCTTCTTGACGCACTCCTCCAGAAGCCGCTACGGTGACTCATCTCCGCATAAACTCGTCCTGGGAGCGGATGCAAGATCAGGTGAGGCTTTTTGCGTGAAGCTGCTTCATTGCTTGGAAATCATCTTCGGGACACAGATCTGAAATGCCACCGAAAGTCGAACGTCGAATTATCGTGGAGTCTGAACGAGGTGTTGTGCGCAGGATCGGTGCCACGATAAGCTCCGAGGAGCCGATGTGGGACGCTAGGCTGTATATGGAATAGTTCAATTCTGCTCTCAGCCCCGACCTAGGTCAATCGCATCACCCTTGATGTCCTACTACTAGTCCCTCTCATGATGTACAGCTCCTAAGACAACAAAATATCAACACCACCATGTGGAGCCACCAACATCCCGAGGTCCTGCTCCTCCGCTCCTACCCGCTCATTCGGCACGCCAGGCGGAAGCCGAATACCTGGGAAAGCCTGCAGAAGTCTTATAATAGCGTAGCTCGCCTCCATCAGCGCAAAGTCCTCTGTCAATGATCAGTCACGCTAAAGCAGGGCAGCTTTATAGAGAAAATGTCGCATACTTCCCAGGCAAGTTCTCGGTCCGCCATTGAAGTCCACAAAACCTAACCCCACACCGGCTTTCTTTATGAGCTCGCCGCTTTCCCATCGCTGCGGGCGGAACGTTGTGGCATCGGGTCCATAGATATCTTCGCTTCGGTGTAAGTGATATGTGGACCAGCCGATGCCGGTGCCCTTCGGAAGCAGCACCGGCGATTGCCCATCGGGTCCGCCGCCGCGAGGGAGGATGGTGGCTTTGTTTGCATATCGTAAGTTGAGCGGTAGTTGAGGATACAGCCTCAGAGCTACGACATGTTAATGAACGATCTGGACGGCTACCAACCATCGAGTCCATGAAGGGTTGGTGGAGGCTCTGGAAGGCATTGGGCCGGGAACTTACTTTCATTGAGACAGCATCTTAGGAATGTGAGCTTCTTTATCTGCTCCCTTGTCAGATCGCCTTGCTTCGGAACCGTAGACACCTCTTCCTGAAGACAGCGGAGGACGTCGGGATTCCGAACGAGGTGGAAGCTAGAGGAACCAAAAGTGAGCAAGGAAGACCTCGGGGAGTCATGTGTTTGCCAGGGGCTTACATTGTCCAGCTCAATAGGCAAGCCGTAGAATCGCGCCCCGCAATCAAGACATGCAACAGCTGGTCCCTCACACGAGCCGTGTCTCGCATTTCTCTCCAAAGGTCAATGATGAAGGGATACTTCTCGAAAGCAGCGTCTTCCCCAACCTCTTTCATATACCGCAGCGCCTTATCCGAAAAGTATCCAGCCCAGTCCCTCACCACTTTACACGCCCTTCTAAATTTCCGCGTGTTATACAAAGGGGCAAGGTCCGCCAGGCGGATGCGCACCCCGCAGCACCAGGATGCGCAGTCAAAGGCATCCCGGAAAGCGTCCCTGTTTTCCCTGGATATGGTTCTGAGCGACTCTCCAAATAAGAGCTCGGTCGTCGTGCCGAGAGTGAAATCGAAGAAAAAGAGCTTCAGGTCCACGACGCCCTCGCTCGCTGCCGCTTGCTGTAGAGCTGAGATCAAATCCTCTACATGAACAACGAGGATTTGCGGTGATTGCCTTTGGATGCGGACAAATTGGCGCCGGATCAAGTCACGAGAACGTTTCCAAGGATGACCATCCTGTGTAAAGATCCCCTCGCCGAGGAATGGGAGGAGAGCCAGCGTGCGTGTCCCCATACCATAGTCCTCGAAGCGTGTCGAGAGGATCGTCTCGATATTTTGGGGGTCGGTCGTAATATACCCTGTAACACTCCACAAGTCTACCCTGATAGTTTTGGCGATGGTGATGTATCGGGTCAAAGCTTCGAGGCTGTGGCCACTGTGGTAGGCCGTGAACTGGATCTTGAGAAGATCCAATGCAAACGGCCATTTGTACGGGACTCGAGCCAAAACTGGCTTGCAATTTTGCTGCTCTGCAAGTGCCTTTTCAAACTGCAGGTCGAAATCAGGCCGGTGCGCGTCAGAAGGGCGTGAGCGGGACGCTCACCTTGCGTTGCTGACGTTTCTGAAGATGCATATACAGACAGACGACAAGAGCGACGGCTAGGATAGCGACTTTCAAATTTAGAAGGGGCATTTTCAAGTCCCTCTCTGCCGGATCGCAGAAGGCCGCCCCAGATTACTGATAAGCGACAGGGGAGTACGATGTGTAGAAGCAGGAGAAGAAGAGGATAGTACGGCAGGCCCTATAAGCACTAATGAGGCCGCAACATGCTGCTGCTGGTTGGTGGTACTAGACTATGTAATTTCGTTTATCTAGGGCCGGTCGTTTGCCAGTGCGGCAGCGGCTAGGTGGCACAGGGTAGGTCACATGAATATCTGTGCGTTGTGTTGGCTGGGAAGATGCACTACTGAAGTATTCCGTATTGCAAAGTCATGGTCAATACACTTCAATACCTGCGAGCAGCCGAAAACCCCCAATGCCATAATTTCATCCATCTATACCATGCATGTACTATGCCCACAACGCCAGTTACGGTGCCTGCATTTCACTCAGCGCCACTTCTAAGTCCGATCATTATAGATTCGCCCTCACCTGCTTCTGCTCCGGTACTTGCGTCAATAGCTTCTCGCCCTTGATCGCCGACTTCAGGTTATCGAGTACTAACAATTCCATGCCGCGCTAGTGGGGCGTTAGATTGGCCGCATTACAGCGGAAGCAGTTAAACTCACCTGGGTCTCGTAGGTCGCAGTCCCAATATGAGGCAGCAAAACGGCGTTCTCGCACTGCAGCAGCCCCTGATGGATCTTCGGCTCCTCCTCGAAGACGTCCAAACCGGCAGTCCATACCTTCCCGCTCTTCAGCGCATCCACCAACGCAGCCTCATCAATAAGCGGACCTCGCGCGGTGTTGATAATAATCACGCCATTCTTCATCATGTCAAACTGCTCCTTCCCAATGATATGCCTTGTCGACGCATTGAGCGAGAGATTCAAACTCAGCACATCCGATGTCTTCAGCAACTCCTCAAAGCTCACATACTTCGCCCCATCTTCCTCTTTCGCCGGCAATTGCGTCCGGTTATGGTATTGAATCTTCATACCGAACGCCTTCGCGCGAGTCGCGACTGCCGAGCCAATGCCGCCCATACCCAGGATACCGAGCGTCTTGTTCTTGGGATCATGGCCGAGCGAGAAGTTACCACGCCAATTGCCTACTCAGTCAGCCCTGGCTCCACTAACATCGCGAGCTTTCCAACCTTGCCTGACCGCCTGGAAGCACTGCGTAACATTCCTCAGCGCGCCCAGCATCAAAAACATAGCCACATCCGCCGTCGCGTCATTCACCGCGACCGGCGTGCTCGACACCTGGATCCCCCTCTTCGTGCAAGCAGGAATATCAATATTATCGTACCCAGCGCCATTGTGGCATATAAACTTCAGGCTCTTCGGTAACGCGTCGAGCAGCTCGTCGTTGAAGTTGCCCGTTATTTTGTTCGAATCGTTGGATCGGTAGAGGGCGAAGACGCCGTCGAAGGCGCCGGATTTGCACTTCGAAATAAAATCTTCCCGCGAGCCGTCGGGGTATTCGTGGAGCTTTGAGGCGACTTGTGCGCACTCGATTTCCCATTCTTCGCGGGTGTGGGCGAGGTTGCCGATGAGTAGGGCGGCTCTTTGCGTCATCGTGATGTGGAACGCGCGCGAATCGCTATTCGCAGAGGAGAGCGAACAATTGAGGGATTTAGAGGAAAGTAAATTGATAAATGCATTTCTCAAAGCACCGGCGACGGCTGGCTTTATTTCCCACGCATTGACGTACTAGGGATACCATCGGCGCAAATGCCGGTCCATCTCGGACCGAATTTTGGCGGGGCAAGAAGAGCCGACTGAACCTCCCCCCAAGCTGAGCGTGGAAAATTTCCTCGCTTCAAATGTCCGCCCCTGAACGCTCCGCTCTGGGCTAGCATACAGCGGCTTTTTAAGCACTCATTTATGGTTCAGCCCGCCTGCCAGCAGGACGCTCTGGCCCGTCATATACCCCGTTGTGCAGAACATCAACACGACATTCGCGACTTCTTGAGGCACACCCAGACGACCGAGAGGAATGCTATCTACCAGACCCGGGACAGAGTCACCGCTGGGGAGGAGTCCGGTCTCACCGATCATGGCCGGCGAAACATCGTTTACAGTGATATTGTATTGCGCCAGCCGCGTCGAGAGATTCTTCATCATGGATGTGAGGCCTCCTTTTGAGGCAGCATAGTCTGTTACAATCAGCCTTCATCGCATCGGACGGGATTGCGGCTCCTACGGCATCCATTGAGACCTACGCCGTACGCGGCTATCGAGGAGACGAAGATGATGCGACCCCAGCGCTTTTCCTTCATGGACCCCACTACGCTTTTTGCGAGCAGAAATGGAGCGCGAAGGTTCACGTTCAACGTATGCTCGAACACGTCGAGAGGGATATCTCTGCATGGCCGTCAGCAGTCGGCTCAGCGCACCACGGCTGATTGCGCCAACTCAATATCCGTGATTCTCTTTCCCAACCCCGCGTTCGCTACGAGGATATCCACTGGCCTTCCATGCTCTGCTTTGGCTTCCTCAGCAATTCGGAGTGTCTCTTCCACGTTCGACAGATCGGCTTGATGAATGGATATCTTTGGAACCGGCGATTTCGGATATGCGTCTGTAAAATCGTTCTTCAATGTTGTTGCGAGTCTTTCGACGGACTCTCGATTCGAGTTGAAGGCCAGCGCGACGTGGACGCTTTGCAGAAAGAGCGTTCGCGCACACGCTCCCCCTATGCTGTACGTTCATCATTAGCTTGTGGAACCACTAGCGGTGAACGTACCCTCCGGAAGCCCCAGTTATCAGAGCCAGCCGGCCAGCGATGTCCTTGTCTACTAGTGGATCGACCATTGTGATGTTAAGGCTGATTCGAAGCGTTTCGGAAATATCCGAATTGTGAGGACGACAAGAGAGGAGGAGTGTTCCGTTCATCGGAAGGCGTCCGCATCGGCGTTTGGATCCTTACCGAGGCTTAGTTTCAAACGCCGACACCCCGATGGCTCGAAATAGAATACCATCCCGGGACGCCTCGAATAGCGTGACCAGTATCGGACACCTCTTAGGGCTCTTGGTTGCCAGCGTTTTGAGTGATATCCAGGTACTTTTACTGGCGTATAAATCTATAGGATGCCCATGGAGATTGCAACGAACCTCCACATATTCCAGTTTCGTAACCGATGCTCACTACCGCACTAGCTGTCTTGCTTGATAGTAAGACTTAACGGTAGCAAGAACTCTGTCTTACGCTGCCGCACCTGGCCGACCACCGTTTCATACAGGACGACCCTCAAGCAATCACCTTCCAGGCTCACCAAGAAGCCCTAGAGCGCGTCAGCTAAATACTAACACCTGTCGGGCAGGGTTCGAAGGTGCGACTTACACCATACATAAGCGGGATTGGGATCCAGAGTTCTGGAATTTCCATCTCAGTCAGGACTGAGAGCTGGGGCATGTGAAAGGCATGCTCGTCCAACTGAAGACGTGTGAATTCCATAACAGTTTAGCGTACGGGAGGGAGCGTGATCACGTACGAATTGGCCGACTTTCTGTCTCATGATTGCGTGGAACTGGGATTCTACGCCTGCTAAAATGGCAGGATGGATCTTGTGGATAATACGCGGCTGTAAGTGTTCAATGAGATCGCTGTTGCCGTTGATCTTGGCCAGGTCGTGAGCTGTGTGGCGATTGCTATCGAAAGATTTTACCGTCTCTATTCTCACTTGTAAGTCTGCTGCTCGTATATCTGTGGACACAGGACTGAACCAGGCGGAAGGAATATCAAAGCCGCGAAAAGTGCAAACTGGCAGGTTCTGTACCTACTCCAGACTTCGGGTTGGCATGCGCCTCTCAACAGATTTTGCCACGCGATGTACTGCGCCACGTCTTCTTTCGGAGGGGGCGACTTGAGAGCGACTATGTGGAGAAAGGTGAGATTGTCATTGATGACTCCTTCGCTGTGCTCTTGAATCTTGTTAGCAACACGCCCACGAAAGCAAAGAGACTAACACAAGACGGATTAGGAGGAAAAGAGAACCCTTACTAAAGTGGAAAGGGTAGTTGTTGCGTCTCATACCTGTCAATTTGCCGACATTATACCAGTCTCTCTTCTTCCAGTCGTATTCCTTCTCTAGCACTTCTTCAGCTTCCACCCAATTCTCCTCCTTGATTGCGTTTTGCCAACACAGGCGACGGCACGCGTAATGCCAGGGATAACTCTCCACGAGGGCACCTCCAAGCCACGTTGCAACGTCCCTGGATTGGGCTTCGGCCCATCGGTCATCAGGTTGGACTTCGATCCCATCAACAGCTCTCAATTGGTCTAAAGCCAGCTTCTGCAGCTTTCGATAGCCCTCAGCATCATGAGGAGCATGCGTCTCGGCAACCGCAGCACAAGTTTCAAACTTGGACGCCGAAACGGTGCGCAGGAAGCATTGTCGTTGTCTCTCCTTTTCGCCTTCATTAGACGCGTGCTCGAGGCCATGGTCCCTGTTGGCATTCATCATGACGACGACCAATTTGTGGTATTGTTCTCCATTGATGGCCCCGCGCTCCATGGAGATGAGGTGGAAAAACGGACCGCGCAAGAGGATCTCCTTTTCGCCATACGACGATATATGCGCCGTAGGCATAGCACAGATAGACGTGACAACACTGTCGGGATACAGGGCATAATATTCCTCGAGCAGCATGGGGTGGACGCCGCGGATATGGATTGTGAGGTGCAACCGGACTATGCGCTTATCGTTCTCCGCTACGGGCTTTGAGAACTCCTCCATGATCTTCTCGTCGGTCGAGCTCGACACCAGACCTAAAGGAACGGAGAAATTGCGTTTGGAAAGGTCCTCGCGGGCAAGAATGGCTTGGTACTCCACGAGCTGGGCTTCGGTGATGGACATTCCTCGGAACGTAACGCCTTGGAAGTTGGCGTAACGCGGATGCCCAATCTGAGACAACCTCAGGTTGTACAAGTCAATCGTCAATAGCTCCACCATAGCCGTCGCGACTTCCAGTTCCTCTTCGTCCGGCTCGCCTTTTCGCATCACGGCGCTCATCAATGTGTATAGCGAATTGTACCCTTGGTCCGAAAGATACAGCTCGAGCGCATCGAACTGCTCGACTGGCGGTTTTACCTTCCGTCCGTGATCCACGTCGCCATAATCGCGATAACCTTCCAGTAGCCGCTCAAATGACTCCTTGGTCTCCGGCGGAAGCGTGGCAGGAGGGAAATATCGCCTGATCTTCTCCATCAGAGCTCTGTATCCCTCATCAGTCATCCAAGCTTGTCGCACTTTTTGGATGTTCGGCCGGATGGCTTTCATGCGAGCGGCCTCGTGATCCCCTCCATAGGCGGTCTTGAGGGCGACCGAATCAGGGAGGGACTCAAAGAATCGTTGGTTTGAGGCCATCGTGCGCTATCTGCTTTGAAAAAGAAGGGCAATATCGATTTAAGGAACTCCATATTTGTAAAACACATAAACCCCGTCTCGACCGCAGAGCCTCAGGCCGCTGTTACGGAATCGTATCAGTGAATATCTTGGGAAACACTTGATAGGTCTTCAGCTTGCAGCGGGTGCTGAAGTCGACCAGGGGAGCATGCAAGTGACTGGATGTGGAGGTACAAACTTTACGCATAGGGCAGCGATTAGCGAGTGGCTTGCTCGCCTCACAACAGCATATAGAGTACACCCACGCCAAGTGGCTCTCCCTGTATGTGCCGAGTACGCCACCGTAGCACGGCTAAATCATCGACGAAAATGACGGCTCGAGCGGCTCCCGCAGAGCCGCATCTTCACCAGGTACGGTCCCATAATTCAAGTAGGATCCGCCCTACACTCTGCATCGTGCCCCACCCATATCGCTTCAACTACCACAATGTGCGACATCATCAGCGCCATATCCTTCGCCGCGGGCGCCGCTTCCCTCTGCATCAAAGCCATCGACAGCCTCAAAAAGTTCTCCCACGGCGTCCGGAACGCCGAAGACGACCTGCGCGAGGTGGTTATCAGAGTGCAAAGCTCGTACAACCTCTTGGAAATGATTCGTGGTCTTCTCATCGAACTGAAGGAGAGCAATGCGCACGAACTCGCTATTGCCGTTCCTGTCGACGGCCTGAAAGAAACACTGCAAAGGATTCTCGACATGGCGAGTGATGTGTATAGAAACAGCAGACGGATCCGGTTCTGGCGCAAGTTGATTTGGTCCCTGGAGCGCTCGGAGGCGCTAGAGCTGGTTGGCAGGCTGACACAGCATCAAGATCAGCTCATGCATGTCCTGCAGGCTATTAGTATGTAAGTAAGGGCAAGCGTGGGTGGTTCATACACTGTCTAACCCTAGCATTGCTTGCGGATAGAATGCTAACACCGGCTATCATGTGGCCAGCATTTCCCAGCTCCGTTCTCAGACCAGCATCGCGAGAATGATCAAAGAAGCAACCGACACTGCAGTGTCTCCAGATGCGTTCTCCGAGATCACGCTCGTCAAAGAAGAGACGGGCGAAGTGGGCAGTGACAATTTGATCCGAACATGGATTGGCCATGTGCACACGGACGTCGGTCAGCTTGCCGACCCGTACTGCAGCATGCGCAATGATCTCGCCGACGCTGCCTACTTTGGAGCCTGGGACGACGTATTCGATATCCTGGAGCGGGCGAAGCAGCGCTTTGACGAACATTGGGCAAATGCAACGAGGATAAGTACGTTACTATCCCTGCTATCCCTCCGATTGTCACTGGCTGTGAAGAGAAAAACGCTGATAATAGCGCCGTTCTTAGAGCCGCGTGGCGACGCCATGTCGTACTGGACGCCGATGCATCAGGCCGTGTATATGCGCGCGCCGCGAGGTGTAGTAGAGCGATTGATCGCGCTTGGCGGATTCCGTACGTAAACTGCTCCCCCTCCGGCACAAATACGTCCGCTAAATTAAGCTCTCTCCTCTCCCAGGCACTCTCCGGACTAAATGGACCGAATTCCCCTACCCTAACGTCACGCCCCTGGAACTCGCACACCTGCTCAAGGAAACAGAGCTCTACGACGTGCTATGCCCCGTGATCCGAAACCCCGTCCCGGCCACTGTCCTCACCGGCCTCGAAGCGCTGTTCCACAAACTCATACGCCAGGAGGCCGAGCACTTGGTGGATACGAGCGCGATGTATCTGCCGCTCCTGGAGCCTTTGACAGAGCTTGATAGCAAGGCTGTTTGGTTCCCGATTCAGTGTGAGAACGAGGGCGCGGGGTACCTGTACCGGCTAGATGGGAGGGATTTGATGGTGAGGTCTCGGAATATGCGTTCGGTGGGAGAGGAGTGTGCGTATGTTGTTACGGAGGAGGAGATATATATTGTTAATGGGGATGATGATGAAGGTGTTGGCCTGGTGGCTGGAGAATGATGTGGTGGGTAATTGGCGTACTGATTTAGGCTGCAGAAGACGTTGCTGTGTTGGAAATGCTCCAAAATACTGATTGATTGATTGATTTCTCTCGTTTTAAGTAACCAACCTATAGAGGTTATGCTGACTACGCCTACGCACAAAAGGACTCAAAAGACGCCAAAATTAAGAGAAGGGAACAGGGTATCACAGAACCACGGGCAGGTGGCATAAGTCGACAGAAAAGAACGGTTCGGGCGCGGATGAGGGCGTAGCCTACTGCGAACTATGGCACGAAGCTGCCAACGAAAAAGGAGCCCCAGAAAGCTCCTCAACAACGACGATGGTCACCAAAAAGGGCGCAAACAACACCAGCAAAAGGGCAGTAAGGGCGGACAGCCATAAACGCTGCGCGCGAGGCCCACAGGTATAAAACGGAGTCTCTTGCCTGCGCTCCTAGTCCACCACATCTTGCACAATATTCGATCAAGCAGCTCACACTACACACGAACGATGGCACCTCTAATTCTCCTCTCCGTTGAAGGACCGGCGAACTCTTTCTATCAGACAACACAGAACTCCTAGGCGAGCCTACGGGGTATAGACGCAGCTATATTTAATAAGCTCTGCAACAGGAGGCTAGGGGAAGCTAGCAAGGATTGCAAGCCTAGCTCTATTAAGCACAACACCACAAGGGCATTGCAATTCCTCAAGTAGCACCTTAAGATCCTAGAGGAGCGAGCTAGTATAGATGCCCCTCCATTCCAAAGCATCAACTAACGCAAAGCAGAGAAGAGAAACGCCCTAACCAACACCAGCTATATCCTTAAACAGAAAGAGTTCGTTAAACGTCTACTTTAGAAAAAGCAGAAGGGCAAGAACTACAACACTAAGGAGAATAAGGCCATTAAAGGCATTAGCAAGTGGGAAGAGGACTGGATCCAAGACCTCTTAGATCTGGAGAGGAGGTAGAGCACAACTTAGGTAGCAATACACTGTCAACTCATGCCTATACACCATGTGCAAAGACTCTATATGTGAGACACTACGGATCTGCGTCGAAGATCCCCAAAATACTGTAGATGTTCATGGACATGACCACAACATACATAGCCGAGGCAGGCAAAAGTCCTAGAAAGAAAACACCTCACTTGCTGCATGCCATCGCGCCATGTCAGTGCTGCTCCAAACTCTCTGCCCTCACTATTCCTCCCATCATCCGCTTCCCCCTCCTCCCAGGCCTCACAATCAAGGAAAAGCCCCACCAACAAAGGCCCCAAAAACCACACCACTGCACGAAATGATCTGCGCCACGCACGCCGAGAACCAAGCCTGCCTCCACATAACACCCTGCGCTACCATGTCCCCCTCCCTCCCGTCACACCTCAGCGGAAAAATATGAAACCCGTTCACATTCCCCATCTCCATAAACCACACCGTGGCAAAGAACCACAGCGCGCTAAACGTCCCCTCGCAATGCCGCATACTCAGATCCCACAACTCAGCCACATACGCCTCGATATCTGGCGGCGCCTTGCCCAGCGCCGCTGAAAATACCGGCGGCGCGACGTCGAAGTGAAGCGCAGAAGCGTCGACGGGGAGGGCGAATATGGCGTAGACATAGCGCGCGGCTTCGCGGTAGCCGGCGAGGCCGGGGAGGAAGCCGATGGTATGGTCGGGGCTGTTGGGGCTGGAGGTCGGGCTCGATGTCGCACCACTGCGGCTCATGAGGCGTAGACGATGTAGCTTCGCACATGTTTCGTCGGGGAGAGAGTGCTGCGACATGAAGACCAGGTATTCGGCGTGGCAGAGGGCGAAAAGGAGATCCCGGCCGATGAGATGCACGCCTTCTGCTCGTTTGCAGTGGAGAGAACGGAAAGATTCGGGCCTGCTTCCCTCTCCGGATACATTACTACTGTTTAGATCGGGATATATGAAGTCGGCTAGTAAGCGTGCTTCCGAGGGGGACAAGATCACGCGCGCGTGGAAGCGCGCCAGCGTGGCCCGTAGACGTTCTAATGGCTCGTGCGGCAGCCAGCGTCCGCACCGCATGTGCTGGAATAGCAGCATGATTTCGCCGTCTGCCTCGCGATGCTCGTTGCTGATCTTGGGGGACCAGATAGCGTCGAAGCCTCTGTCTGCGCTTGGGAGCTGGTACACAGTGCCTTCGTGGTGCATGGTTGGGAGAATGATGCGCAGTGTGTCGGAGGCGTAGCTGTGCGGAGCAGCGTTATACGGATGTCTTGGTGTGCCGTTGAAGAAGAAAACGATGAGGCCGGCAAGGCTGAGGATGCCACTTGTGGTATGGGGTCCGCCTGCGGCTATGGCTACGGCGGATGCGGTACCGACTGTGATAAAGGTAGTGGTAAAGAGGAGGGTATATACGTAGTAGCCGAGGCCGGATTCCCAGTCGAAAGGGCTGCGTGTGCGGAGGGAGCGCCATAGGTTAGGTGAGTTTCCAGATCGTGAGGCCCAGACCGCAGGGATGCATTTCAGCACCCAGAGGATGAAGAGGGTTTGGACGAGAATGGGGGCTTCAATCAGGCAGATGGACATGGGGTATAAGGGAATGGCTTTCCCGGACCATAAGGGTAGGGTTCCCTTGCCGCTACTGTTAGGGGAGTCGTAGTAGGCGTGGTAGAGTATCGAAGCAGTCCAGGCGGTTGATGTGGCGCCAATTACGAGGATGACAATTGAGTCGGTGGAGAGGCCGCTGCGCCGGAAAACGAAGCCTTGATTGACTAACATGCGGTGCTGAAGAAGCCAGACCGTGAGGGCTATGAGGCGACATGTGGTCTAGCCTCGATTAGTGTTGGGAATAAGAAGAGAGGCGAAGTTTCTTACTACGTATTTGGGCATCTGTTCATCCATCATACAGAACAGGAAAGACTTGAGAGATTATTGTATGTTGTGGTGTTGCAGCAAGCTAACGATCGCTTGTTGTCTCCGTGCATAGAATCTATTGGATGCAAAAGCCGGTGCAAAGCCTTGGCGACGCACTTATTCCAACGCGTAATACCGCAGTATATATTATAGAGCCGTTGTCCCACAAGTTCATGAAGTCGGGCTCTCCGAAAACGAAGTACTTATGCGGGTCTTTACGATATATTAACATCGCTGGATCACGCTTACTAGCGTCAAAGAGACGCGGCGAGAGAGAAAAGGTGTGGTGGGGTTAATGGGCTCGAAGGAGTGAAAGCCGCAGTTTCCTTGAGATGAAGAAGAGAGATGAAGGAAAGTACAAGTACAATCGAGGGAGTAATAAGCTGAAAAGGTTCCGAAACCCGCACCAGACGATAAAGGAATGTCCGAGGCAACGAAGCCCCTATGCCACTGAGCGCGGGATGCGGCCATCCTTCGGCTTGGTCGGATCCAAGTCCATGCCATTACCAATACCATTACCATTGGCACTGGCACTGGCATTGGCGTGCACATACCCATTCCCATGTCCGTTCGTGAAACCGTTAGACCTATTCTCTCCATTCCTCTCTCCACTATGCCACACCTTCCCGCTAACCCTCCTCGTCACCAACTCCTCCCTCCACTTCTGCTCCCAGACACTCTCCTCACCCTCAACATCCCACTCGAACCGCGCAGGCCTGAACCAGCACCCCATCGTCTGGCCTTCCTTGACGCCCGGCGTCCACTTATCCAGCTGTGGCCTCTTCTCCTTCCACGCCTTCTCATCGCCAAAGCGCTCGTCGAGCGTGCTGAAAACGTCATGGTAGTGCTGAGGATCCTTGTCTAGTTTGCCGTGCCTTTTGAATGCCATCTCCAAGAGCTCCGTGTGCGTGTGCGCGACGTGGAGGGCATCGAGGCCGGGTGCGGACTCTGCCCTGCCCAGGCGGCAGAGGATGTCGTCGTGGAGTTCCATGACGTCGCGGTAGCGCTTCTGCTCAGTGTAGAGTGCGGAAAGGAGCACGGTGAATTCGAGGGTGGACCTATCAATTGTGCCGCGGATGTACGCTAGATTGTATCGGATGTGGTGGCAGAGATGGATCGCGTCGGAGAACTTATTGAGGCAGGCGAAGGTTTGGATGAGGCTGCGGCCGAGATAGAGGACAAGCGGGGAGGAGGAGATGTTGTTGCGGATCGTGCGTGTATGCCAGAGTGTTTGCAGGATGCGCTGACAGGAGCGTGAGCAAGGGACCGAATGAAAAGAGTTATTAGACTTACCTCAAGATCCTGGTACTTCTTCTGATGACTTAACTCGCTGACGACATCTACCAGGAGTTGCCGTAGCTCGCAAAGATCGATGTCGACCTTGTCCAAGCCCACGAGAGCCTCCTGTAGGATGACCCGTGAGAGGTCAATCATGGCATTGTACTGCTTAGCATTTCCGGACTTGTTCGTTCCAACACCGACCAGATACTTTGCCAAATCAAATGCAGTGCGGATATAGAACTCGCAGTGAAAGCCGCCATTCAAATGAATAAAACGATCGACGAGAAGAACCAGCTCGTATGCCTCGCCAAACTTGCCTGTCCTGGTGTAGTTGAGGACAGTGGCCGTGGCTTGCTTGATGACGACGTTCTCATAGTGGGCCTCGCTAGTATGCTTGAGGTAGAGACGAAAGAACAAATTCCAAACACTCTCCTTGATAGTGCGGGAGAGGTGGATGTACTTTCGGAAGTATTCGATGAGCTCCTTCTCCACCTTGACGAACTCGGATCGGCACTCTGCCTTCTTCTCAAGGTGGAAATAGAGCTCACAGCCAGACTTAACGATCAAGCTGTAATCCGTCTGAGTATTGGTGGCCTTGAAATACGACTCGTAGAGCATCATCTCAGTTCTGAGCTCGGCGACGGCGGAAGAGAAGGAGGCGACCTCCGACATACACTCTCGAAAAGATGCCAGGAAGACGTACGAATTTGTTTCGCAATGCGTATGGGAAGTGACGGAGGTCTTCACTTGTTCCACCAACTTGCTCCTCATCTCCTGGATGAGGGTCTCAGCTTGTTCCGTGAGGCAACTTTCTTTATAGATCTCGGCCATGCTCCTAGCGGACTCAATAAGCTCCGATGAACGACTCTCGTGCTTGAAGATCTCAAAAGCATGGCTTTTGAGCGTTTCGCTCGCATTCGTGATCGACTCGGAAGTACTCTCTTTCTTATACGTGGATACCAGGCTGCGCAACACCGTGATGGTTTCGCTGGAGGTCCTCTCGGTCTTCGAAGAGCTCTCGAATTGTTCGCGGTAAATTGAAACTGCCTTCTTAATCCCTTTCGTGCTGAAAGCATACATCGCGGCGACCCGAGTATTGCACGTGTGTAGCGTAGTGCTGCTGAACTCGGACTTTGTCTCTTTGCAGAATTCGATCACCTTTTGGTATAATCCGATGCTCAGTTCTCGGTGCTCTTCTCGTCGTTCGCATATGTGCGCATATGCCATTGTCGCCTTGATGGTGTGTTCATGGTGGTTCCGGAAGTACCTCAGAGTACATTGATAATACTCTTGCGAGACCTGAAGGAGCAAGCTGTACTCCGCCATCTCCTTATGCTCCAGGATGAACATGTACCGTTCATAAATCCTGGAGATGATCTCGACGTCTAGCTGGTACTCCGCACCAAAACGGACAAAAGTCCTCCAAAGGAAGCCATATACCTCTCCGGCCATCTCCCACTTGCACTGGATCTCATAAAGCTCGCAGAGCAGAACCGTGGCCTCAAAACCATCGCGATGGAGACAGCCATGGGCAATGTGGAAGCAGGAGTAGATGTGGAAGCAGGCGGTGACAGCTTCGTGGTACAGCTTCATGCGAACGCAGATACGAGCGAACGACATGAGGATCGTGATCGTTTCGAAATCGGTCTTGCCAAAGCAAATCGGCATCCACACGAACAGTTCCCGGTAGATTTCGATAACCCGCTCGAACTTATAGATCTCCTCAAAAAACTCTATGATGAGCTTGATTTTGCAAAGTAAGAAGTGCTTGTTCTCAACGTGCCTTGTGCAGATAAGAGCACGAAACAGGTTGAAGTAGATGGTCTGGGCGGTTTCGATGTGCAGGAGCTTGAAATGACAAACTGCGAAGGAGAATGCCAGCTCAAATATCTCTTCGGTGAGGTGCTCAGGGATCTCTGTGATTTCTATGCGCTCGATAGATGCCCAGACTTTACTGATGACCCTGCCGTAGATCTCGCAAGCCTCCTCGTAGCGCTCCTCGTGCATATAAGTGGAGCAGAAGGCTTGGCAGATCGAGATAGTCGTAGACGAGATCTCGGTAGACTGCATGCATGATTCGAACACTTCCATAAGGGTCTTCTCCTCCTTATACTCGATCGTGGTCGTTGAAGTAGTAGAAGTGCTGGTGGAGGTGGAGGTCGTCTTCGAGTAGTAGTGAGATTTGGTTATGGTCTCGGCGAGGCTCTTGACAATTGTGATGCATTCTGTAGACGTACGTTGTTCCTGACTCTCATAGTGCTCGTATAGAGATTGATAGATCGAGCGCGACATGCTGAAGCTCTCCAACCGCTCGAAGTATTTCGCAATCTTCTGGACGCGTTTTATCATGGCCGATTCAAATCGAGACTCGTAACTGTAGCATTGGATCTCAGACCATACGCCGCGAAGAATGACCTCCGACTCCTCCTTACGCGACTGACGATAGAGGAACTCGGAGTACTTCAGAGCAAAATCGATCTTCAGCTCCGTGATACGGGCGGATGCCATTGCGACAGAGACAGACTTCCAGAACCGCACCAGAGTCGCTTCCGCCTTGAAAAATTCTTGTCGCTCTTCGTAGATCTGGATAATTCCGATGGTGGACTTGATTCGGCGTTCATCTGTGATGACCAAAGTGTGCTCACAGTGCCTGTGGTACTCCAGATAGAGCTCCAGGACTTCTTTGCATAGAGAGAGCTGTTTCAGATGTACGACGAGGATCTCAAAGAGCGAGCGGGTCTCTTCATGAAGGTGTCCACAGACTTTGAGGCGAAGACGATACAGTCGGCGGTAGATCACGACGGCCTTTTCGACACAGCCTATCTCGATGTAGAATTGAGCGAGAATGGTTGCGTAGTGGATCTCCATCGACTCGTCGCTAGCGTGCCTGAAGACCTCCACAAGGTATTCGAGGACTTCTTCCCTCTGAGCTCGGAACTCCTCGTGCTCGGAGATCTCAAGGCTGGAGGAGTACTCAACGAAGGCGACGGCGAGGGCTTGTGCTACGACCAGTGAGCAGCTATGACGGCTGATCCGCCATGCATCGTAGGAGTAGCGCGAAAGAGTGTGCGCATCCTTGAACTTCCGCCCGAGTCGCAACTCGAGGAGCAAGCTTTGCAGAACTGCAGCCGAATGCTCGCCAAACAAGGCCGTCCGGATTTTGTAGGCAAGGTTCTGGAGCTTCTCCGCTTCGCAAGCAATGTACTGACGAGCGAGGCATGTCCCTTCGACGAGTGCGAGACAAACTGAATTCGGAAAGGACATCTTGAATGCCGTCGATAGGTGCATCTTGTCGGCCGACTTGTCATACAAGGACGACGAGCGGAAGTGGTTGAGCCAGTAACGTGCAGCATATTCGAAAAGCTGATGTCTCGAAAACTCTTCTGCCATCTCGATTACATCGAAGAGTTCAGCGTGTGGGTCGACGTCATCGTGCTGGAGATGTATACCGACGTAGGCCATAGAGCGGATGGTGAGCTCTGTGTGAGCCTCCCTCAAGTCAATGACGAGCTTCGCGGTCTTATTGCTAACAGAGGTCGTTGATAGTAGCCTCTCGCGGATGCTGGGATGACGAAGACAGACCAGGCCATCGCGGATAACAATCAAGGGACCGCAAACATCTCCAACAGTCTTCTCCACATCCCCGGAAAAGGGACGATATGTACATCGTTCCAAGTCGACTTCAAGCAGCGCCTTGACTTCCTTCAAGGCCAAAGGACGTTCGGCAGCTAAGATCCAGGAAAGAACCTGCTTTGTCTCCGGACGTTTCGAGTCCAGGCTCACTATTAGGTGATCAAGAGCCGCATCGAGGTTTTTGGGAGCTGCCTGGCAAGCTTTCAAGATAGCAGAAGGTGAGTCCTCGTGCTGAACCGAATGGAGCTGCAGTTCGGCCCAGAGGAATGATCCATTTGCGATTTCGGCATGCTTTTGGATAATGCTTTTTCTCTCGTCCTCGTGGAGCTTGCGGAGCTTAGGGTGATGCTGAACAAAATCCTCGATGTAGTGCTGCATATCGCCATTTGCCTCCTGATAGTCTTCTAGGGCCATGTGCTCTTGACAGTGCTTCAAAGCTGCATTGCTGACTAGTCGGCTGAACATAATAGCCCTCACGTTGCCCTTCGATTTCGTGATTCGTTCGAGTACTTCCAGTGCGGGGGGATTTCCAATACGTACGCCGGACAATTGGTCCAAGCCATCGATGAGAAACATAAGCTTGTGGTCGTCGAGAGAGGCTTCAAGAGCATCCCAAAGCGCAGTCTCAACTTCGCTAGCAGGGGAACCGCGCTGGGCCATTTCCATCGCCTTGTGAACATGCGAGAGGAGGCCCTCGCGCCCGATCTTGCGATCAAGCAACTGAATCAACAAGCTCTTAATGAGGGATAGCGGGCTGGTAGTGTACTTAACGTCCGTGTCTAGACCGTCATTAGTCTTGCTCTCGAAACACAAACGCGCAACTACCCACCGACCGAGTACGTGATAACGTCGTACGGATCATCGTCGACTGACTCTTGGAGCTTCTCGTAGATCCAGCGTGCAAGGACCGTCTTGCCGGTGCAAGCTCCGCCAGTGATGAGTAAGACTTTCTTGGAGCCATGACCATTCCTCGTAAATTTCCTGAGATGCGGTACGAACCATTCGCATGTGAACTCCGCGCGCTTGAACCCGGAGTACAGCTGGTTTCTAAGGTACGGGTACGAAATCAGCGTAGCTCTCAATGGGGTGGCAAGTCTATGTCTTAGCCAAGCGCTCGCTATATTGTGAAACGCCCCTCGTAGCGCATTTCAACACTTCAGCAAAGTCATAGACTTCATGCCTAGGTCTTAACTTACGACATGATGGTCTTCACCACACTGTCCTGCGGAGAGAGGAAGTCACGAATCTTGTGGATATTGTAATGAGCACAGTGCTTGCTGGACGCCCACATGGAGACAGAAACCGATTCGATATGGCTGTAGAAAGAAGCCGAGCCTATGGCGATGTAGGCGTCAAAGTCGGCGAAATCTGCAGAGGCGGTGCCTGGATAAAAATTAGCGCAAGTAAACTGTGGTGCAGTCTCTACCGAGCTCACCCCAATATTTGGTAGAGCAATAGGCCCTGACATCGCATGTCAAATGTGCAAACTTCTGGAAAGCGTGCGTAAGCTCACGGCGGACATCAGGAGTCGACTTGATAAGGCGGTGTTGTCGAAGGAACACAGACAGGGCGAAAGCCATCTTGTGGAACACACTGAAGACCTTCAGAAGTACTTCGACGTGTTTGGTACCCAACTAGGCAAGTCAGCCAAACTTCAATGTACTCGCGTAGGGGGGGATACCTGAATGAGATTCAAGCAGCTGTCGCACACTAGACGAGTAGCATCCTCACTGTTGAGCATGAAGTCGTTCAGAACGCCGTGCGACAGAAGAACGACGCCCCCAATATTATCAGCCCACCTGAGGACGCGGTCCCAGTTGGAGCCGTCATGGGGCATATATCGGAATCTCTCGTTCTTGAGAAACTGGAGGTATTCGTGGACCGAGCGCTGGCCTTCGAAGGCAACGCTCGTAGAGCGGCCAAATCGTGGACGGACGATAGCGGTATGCGTTATGGATTCGCGGAGTACGCTCGGCTTGGGCATTCTGAGGGAGTCGGGAAATTCGAAAGTAGGCGGCATGGGACTGCCGTTGACCACAGTGAGCCTCGATGGGTGAGCCGTACCGTTCTCAGAGGGAGGAGGACTGAGCGAAATTGGTGCCATCTTGGTGCTATTACTAGGCACCTGTTAGATCAGAATGGAGCCAGAGGGGAGCGAGTTGAGAATATCGAGGTGATATGGACCATGGAGCTGCTACGTACTTGCTGGTGGTCTCAGCACGCTCGATATGAGCAGAATCGGAAGGAAGACAGCAATAGAAGCACCGAAGTAATGTAATCTGAAGGAGAGCGCCAAAGCTCATGAACTATCCTGGGGATGAATTAAGTATGAGGGGATGGCCCCTAATAAGTCAATTGATGTTCCAGGCCTTGTCCCCGGAGCGAAAAGGAGGCACGGGTTATCGAGCGTTTCTTCGAATCGAGCGCACCTCTAGGAGGCGAGGAGAGCTCAATAGCTAGAAGGAGCTTTAGACCGCAGAAAGATACAAGGAGGCGCCATCGCTTGATGCGGACGCGTGTGAGCCGCGAAGAATAGGTGTGGAGAAGAAACGATCAGCCAATCCGAACACCTTCAGCTTCCACATGTGAACCGGATCTCAGCCACCGGAGGTGAGGGAATTGGAAGTAGACGAGATGGGATAGCAGATCACCCCAGGGTCCTCGCTTGAACATGCCCACGCTAAGCCTACATAACCACAGCGGTGATACGGCTGGGCGTTGACGAGAGAACAGCGAAAATGGAGCCGAAGAAAGTGTTCTAGACGTGCATAGGACCCCATTCAGTAACGCCCGCGGGTCCAAATATGCGGGGGTTGCTATACAGGACCGTGTTTGGTTCCTGCGAAGATGCCGTCGCTGCCCTTAGGGTTGGGTCGAGTGCATCCTCTATGAAGCGAGCACATCGAGAAGCCTTCGCGATTTTCGTCCCCCGAGGGGAGCTCATTTCCACGCGCGGGGTCCGGAAGGCGCGCAAGAGAGCTTCATTGGTGAGAATGACCACCGGGGGACGCTCGATACAGTGCCCGAGCCATTCCCAGGTGACGAGAGAGCCATCCCGCTCTCCGCGAGGTATGAAAAGGGACCAAAAGGAAAGCTGAAGGGGCGGCAGCGGGAAGGGCCGTCTCCGCGGTCGCTAGAGCATGTTGTCGCGTGGACCTGGACTGCATTTGTCATGTCTGTGGCTGGCTGTCTGTCCTGGAAGAGGAGGCGTCGGGACGATTTAGGATGAGGTTCAGCTGGGGGTCGCCAGCGCTTGGCCAGCCTCATCTAGAGCCTCGCGCCACCGCGGAAAAGAGCCACCCATCCGACGAGGGTTCGCGAGAATCAATATCATCAACGTAACGCGAATCGCGTATGCCGGCTACGCGGCGAAAGCTCTCTTTCAGAATGTGCAGAGGCCGAGGGGCTACGACTGTTGGGATCGCGGCTGTCGTGTCGGCTTCTGCACGTCGGCAAATGAGAGGGCCCGCGCCACTGTGGCTTGCCGGCAACGCTCAACCGTTCAAACGCCGTCTCCTCTTCAACTTTCATCTCAATTCCGACGAATTCATTGTGCTCCATCCGCTGTGCTGTACAGACCAACCTCATCCGGCATTTGAAAGGCTACTGAACGATGCGTAGCACGCGGAGCGGCTCCATGTCGGCCCATTCCCCGCGACCCCACACGTCATGCTCGCTGGAGAACACCCGGTCGAACCCCAGATGGTAGGGCGCCTAGTGGACGGCTTTCCGAACGGCTATCCGGGCTTTCGGGCGCAAGATATAAAAGTCCTTTCTGCTATCCATCTGAGGTCCTTTCTGTCTATCAAGCGTCGCTCTATTGCTTCTTCCTCGAGTGTCCTTTGATTGTCTTGCCACTTGTCATTCCGAGAGATCTTTCCTCTTCGCGGTGTGTCATTGTATCCGGCGACCATGGCCAAATTCGATATTGGGACTGTTTGGAGCGACATCAAGGCTTATCGCCGGGCCTACATCCTCACCGCTGTCGCCTCATTTGGCGGTATGGTATGCGAGCTCCCTCTCCGTTATCCTACAATTCTCTCGACCCGTGAACACTTCGAGGACCCCCGCTAACGCCAAATCTTATCATTAAGCTCTTTGGCTGGGACACCGGCTTGATCGGCGGCGTGCTCACCATGGACGCTTTCCAGCATAGTTTTGACCTTGATAAGAACAGCCCCGACTTTAGTAATCTGCAAGGCAACATCGTCTCCGTGCTCCAGGCTGGCTGCTTCTTCGGTGCCCTATCTTCTTTCTACGTCAGCGACAAGTTTGGCCGGAAGTGGGCTCTAATCATCGCCGATATCATCTTCCTCGTCGGCTCGCTGGTCCAGACTCTCTGTGCCATCCACACCACCAGCCTAGCTCAATTGTATGTCGGACGAGTTATCGGAGGATTCGGGGTCGGATTGATCTCAGCAGTCGTGCCAACGTACATCGGTGAGAATGCGAATAAGGAGATCAGAGGACGTTGTATCGGCTGGTGCGTATGTGCCATTCCTCCCTCTACTGTTAGCTGACCGTGACAGTATGCAACTATTCAACGTTACCGGTATCTGCATCTCCTTCTTCATCAACTACGGGATCAGCAACCAAATCAAAACCCTGAGCTCGGCGAAGTGGCGTGTCCCTTTCGCTCTCCAGATGCTGCCCGGCGCTCTCTTGCTCGCGGGTATCATCTTCCAGAATGAATCGCCACGCTGGCTCGTCGAAAAGAATCGTCTGCGCGATGCTGCAACGTCGCTTGCTAAGGTCCGAGGGAAGCCCGTTGATGATACAGATGTGGTACAAGAGCTGGACGAGGTACGAATAGCAGCAAAGTATGCAAAATAGCAGCACTAATGGCTGCAGATCGTCGCCGACTTCCACGGACACGAGAAGCTACCACTCACCGCTCAACTCAAGGCTGCCTGCTCCAGCAAGCGGATGTTTTACCAGGCATCCTTTGCCGTCATCCTGATGTTCTGGCAGCAGTGGACTGGGACGAACTCTATCAACTACTACGCTCCGCAGATCTTCTCCTCCATCGGACTTAAAAGCAATTCCGCGGGGCTGTTTGCCACGGGAATCTATGGCGTTGTGAAGATCGTATGCACAGCACTTGGTCTGGCTTTTGCTACTGAACAAATGGGTCGCAAGGTATGTGTTGTCTGTCACAACGCAAGTTTAGCATGGTTATCCACGCTGGGCTTGCATTTGCTGACCAAACTCTCCCCATTCATGCATACTGACACTACCACCAGTGGTCGTTGCTTATCGGATCCGCTGGACAAGCGTTCGCCATGTTCTACATAGGCGTTAACGCAGCGGTCAATCCAACTAAGGCTGGCGACCCGCTCACCGGAAACAATATCTTTGCCATCATCTGTGTATATCTGTTTGTGGTATTCTACTCGTTCGGTAGGTTCCCTGCGATAGCATACATGCGGGTGTTTATAGGCTAATCATGTACAGGATGGGGACCAATTCCTTTCGTCCTCGCCTCTGAGTGCTCTCCGAACCATGGTGAGTCCGACCTCGATGAGCTGGCAAACGGCTGCATCCTAGCCCCACACTCCCGAAGATGAACTGACGTCCCCTGAATAGTGCGGTCTCTCATCATGGCGGCGGCACTGATGACCCAATGGCTCTTCAATTTCGTTATAGCGAAGATCACGCCGCTGATGTTGGACAACATCACGTACGGCACCTTCCTCCTCTTTGGCGCCTGTTGCATTCTCATGGGCATCTACACGGTCTTCTGCGTCCCGGAGACCAAAAATGTGCCCCTGGAGTCCATTCACCACCTGTTTGAGGGGCAGATCATCCGAGGTGCAGTCAAGGACACAATCCCTCGGTATTCGCGGGCGAAGAAGCTGCAGCACCACCATGCCACCAACGACGCGGACTCTGAGACGGTCAGCTTTCCCGGGCGCAAAGGTGTTGCCACAGATGTGCAGCACATTGAGGATGCATAGAGCAGAGGTGGTGATGGTGATGGTAGATAGCCGAATGAGGAAATGCAAGCAGCTTGTATGTCTTGAGACCTTGCCGGAAGCGCGTCGATGCGCTGCTACGTGTCCAGGGCGTGAAGATCGCAGTCAAAGCCAGTCGGGCTGCTAGAGTTCGACACTCGGGCTTAGTTGGGCAGCGTGCAAGGCTATCCTACCTAAGCACACTACGGCCAGACAGCCGACGGAGAAAAATTGTGCTCGGGCGGAGGAAGAGCGGGGTGGCGCTGGCTCGACGGCGTCAACGGCGTCCGGTGTCCTGATGCAGCTGGAGCCGTGGAAATCATGATTTGGCCGGCAGCCGTGAAGCATGACGGCGGAAGCGAGCCCTATCACGACGGCGGTGGTGCACCGTCCGGGCTGGCGCGGGGCGTGCAGAAATCAGGGTCGCCCTGGGTCGCTGCGCTGGATGATGGCTGGCGAATGGGGCGCCCGGCGGCCCTTCCTTGGCAGAGCGATGTCATAGCCAGCCCGCTGATCTCTACTCTATACACGTAACCACGCCGGAGCCCACACACGGCCGCACGCACCTCGCGATATCCTTTGCCTCCTTTCCCTCTCCCTCAGCCCGCCGTGTGGTAGCGCAGCAGCGCAAATCTCAGCAGCCGAGTGCTCCGCGACTCCCAGCCTGGCCTCGTCTGCCCCTCATTTGCTGCCTCGCGGATACCACAGGACACCTGCCCGTGGCTTTGCTGGCCCCTGGGTGCTCCCTGTGGCTTCTGCAAACATCACCTTAATTTTGACAGCCGACCGGATCCTCCCCTGCGCTCGCCGAGCACCACCGACCGCCCTTGGGCTGCGATTCCTATCCGCCTCGATCGGGCTACCGCAATCTGCCCGTCTCGAATCCCTCGGCAGCAAGCACACCGTGGCCAGCAAGTCGCCCAGCCAACTTGTCTGCGCCGGCCGGTTCGATCATATACCGACACAATGTACGTCGAACTCAGGCACAGTTCTTCTCCAGAGCTCGTCTCACACTCTCTCTCGTTTGTGCCATTTGCGTCCCCGCCCCTATCGCTTTCACTGGCTGACTGTAATGATGACCAGCGTCGTCATCCCCTCCAAGACTCCTGGTCTGCGGAGGTATTCTTACAACAACGACCTTACCCCTCCGATTCCCCCGCGACGTAACTCCCTAGCCGTGCCGCCCCTCAAGCTGACAGCCGTTACGCAGTCTGGCGGGATGGACTCGAGGTATTACCGGCCCTCCTCACCGCGGGCCCGGCTATCAAACCCAGCGAGATCGTCGACCGGCACCTTTGACCCAAACTACGACTCGGCATACTATGCACGCCCGCGTTCGCCCAGGTCAAGTGCCGACAGGATCCCAGGCGCCCACCACCCACAATACAGCTATGCCCCGAGCAGCTCGTCTGGCTCGCGCTCCTCGAACCTCAAGTACGACTCATATTCAGGACGACCGCGGCGGAACACGCTGAATGAGTCCGACGACCGCTTGGTCAGGCCCAACCTGCCCAACGTCAATCTTGCGCCGACCGCGGCTATTCCCATCCGCACTCACGGGCTCCATGGCCATCACGAACGTCCATCGAGCCCTCTAGCGCAGTCCTGGGATAGTCGCGGAGATACATACATCACGCACGGTGCCCCGCAGCGGCGAGAGCACAAGCGGATATACAGTGTGGATGACGATAGTCTTCAGTCGAAGCTCATCTCCGAGAAGGACATCATACCAGCAGGCCGTCGAGATGCGGGTGACTCCCGGCCCTACAGTACCTCTAGTGGCGGCAGGACCTATCATCAGCATAAGCCTCTTATCCGGGCCACCGACGTCGGCGATGACGGCTATTCCTACACGGATCCAGCGAGCATGTATCGTGACACCGAGCCAGCATGGCGGCGGCCACGATCCGGCAGTATAGAGCGCGGGTCGCGCCCCACCAGCATGATTTTGGATCGTGGTCCGCGCACCTCCAACCGAGAACTGGGGCCTCCCCCATCGACTCGCGGATTCGACAAGATCAACAATCTTGGCAGAAACGGCAGCCAACACCACGCCCGGTCATCGTCTATTGAGAAGGCCAGCAGGGATGTTCCCAAGTACGACCCTTACCCAGAGGCAATTCCCACACGCTCGTCTTCAACCCGTCATCCTGCGGCCACCATCCACCAAGAGCCTCGGGAGCATCGGCGAGAGACATACCATGACGAGTACGACCGCCGAGATAGAGATGTCGAGAATCGGCGCTACAACACGGCCGACCGGTTCGAAGACCGCGACGTGGCTACCCGCGGTTTCGGCATTGCTCCGGGAAGTTCTAGCCTTGCACGTGACCCGTCACTTGACCGCCAGCCCATTTGGAATCCCCAAGATGCGGGGCGGAGGCCGGAAGAATATGGCAACCAGTACTATCCTTCAGATTCTGCGGGTGCCCGAATGCCAGAGGCTCGGATCCCACGCGAACCGCGCGAGCGAGATATTGCTCCAGCGTACGAGGAGCGTCCAAGAGAGCGAGATCCAGACCGCCGTGACAGCAACCATATCGCTCCTGCTGCCGCGCCCGTTGCTGGTGCAGCTGCTGGCGCGGCTGCAACATATGGCGCTGCTGAGCTCTTGAAACCGCGAGACCGAGACCGAGATCGTGACCGTGACCGTGATCGTGACCGTGAGCGAGATGTGGAGAAAGAGCGTGAGCGCCGTAGGGAGCGGGATGAACGAGAGCGGCGTGATCGAGTTCCCGACGATCGTCGTGATGACAGGCGCGATAGAGCACCAGAGGAGCGTCGAGACCGAGCGCCCGAAGAGCGTCTGCCACCTGCCGCCGCTGCCGCTTACGCTCCAACGCAAGACGCGGATCGCAAGTCTCGTGAGCGCCGATACGAAGATGAGGATCGCGAAAGGAGGCCACGGAAGGCACCTTCGGAGGAGGAAAGCGGTGATGAACGACCTCGTCATTATGTTGACAGAGATGCTGCTAGAGAGAGCGAGCGCCGGAAGGATCCGGCTCCTCAGGAAGCCGCTCTGGACCCCGACGAAGAATACCGCCGACGCGTGGCCCAGGAGATGGCGCGAAGTGGCCGACCTCGCGATCTCAGTGATGATGATCGGGAAACGGAACGCCGAAGACGAAGGGAAGAGAGGGAGAAGTCCCGCGATCCTATCGACCACCGCCCTCGTCCGCCTCAGTCGAATGTTGCGGAACCGCCACATTCTCGTTACGATGAGCGTTCATCTAGCGTGTTCGATAAAGATATCGTGCAGGAGCCTGACTCGCTCAACCCAGCGTCTGAAAAGCAATCGAGCAAGTCGGTTCAGATTGTCGCTCCCCCCAAGGAACCTCCACCTCAGCCTAAGGGCATTCTTCGCAAGCCGACCGCAAAGTTCCCCGAGGATCCCGAGCCTATCCGGGAGGGTGTTGCCCCGCATAAGAATGCGCTGAAGGGCAAGGACATCCCAGTTAACGCTCGATGGACCAAGATCGATCGCAGACTCGTTAATCCGGAAGCCCTCGACGAAGCTAAGGAACGTTTTGAGGAGCGGTTGGACTGTGTTATCGTCTTGAGAGTCCTGACGAAACAAGAGATTCAAAAGCTGGCCGACCGGACTAAGGAGATTCGCGAAGCTAGGGGTAGGTAAACCAGCTATGGTTTCAGCAACCCGGTCGCTAATTTTGCAACAGAGGATGAGTACGACCATCATGAGCGTCGAGATCGCGACCGACGAAGCCACCGGAGTCATCGCGATGACGAGGACAGGGACCGACGTCGGGGCGACTACGACGACGATAGCGATGACAATGATGTCGGACGCGACCGAGGGCGCGACAGGGACCGAGATCGACCTCGGCAGATTGAGCCCCCAAGGTGATTAGATGGCGTCCGAACGCATTGCTATTCCTTTGCCTAAGCCAGTACTTATTCTCTCTTTCCCAGGCCCGAGGAGCACAAGACTGAGGACACCAAGAAGCCGGATAACAAAGACAATGAACAAGATCGTGCCAGCCATGGTAGCGAGCAGCGCAAACAAGATAAAGACCATCACCAAGAGCCTCAAGACAGGCATCGTAACCGCAAGGATGACCGCTCAGAGACGGCTGACAAAGGACGCCAGCAACGGAGGGAGCATCGTGCTTCGGGTGACGATGCTAAAGAGCGCGAAAAGCCCGAGAAGCGCCAGGGCAAGGTGAAGGGCCGGTTGAATCGCGTTTTGGACTGGCTTTAGGTCTGGGGCTAGGAGTTCGGCAGGAGGGTTGGGTATCGGAGCAGAGCACAGTTGAATGGGAAGTCATATTGTTATCTCGCAATTAGAATATCGGCATGGCTCTGCATGTGGAAGTGTGATTTGGCATGATATAGATTTGCACAGCGAGGTGTTTCGCATTTGGGGCTTTTTTTGGCATATGTAGGGGAACCTAGCGGGGCTAGTAGGAGGTTGAGATGGGCTGCGTGGTCGCGGCTTCCTGTCGTTTCGGAGTAATTTATACGTTCCTGTCAGTCTTATTATATTGCCCGGAGGTGTAATGCCTAATTGTGTGATCGACGCATTGGACTTTATCTCATACTACGCCTTCTTCAAGTCTCTCGCTGTCAAACTGAGCAGGCGTCCTCCTCCTATCCTCCTCCCTCTCCCTCTCCCTCTCTCTGTCTTCCCCTCTCCAACCAGCCAACCAACCACACATCCCAAAAAGGAAAGGGCCACAAAAAAAAATAGCAAAAAACTAGCGCTTTGCTAGGGAAAACAGCCGAACTTGTTTTCATTACGCCGGCGTCCTGGGGCGCTTACACTGCTCAGCTTCCAGATCTCGAGCAACCGGAATCGAACTCACGTCCTCGCTTTGTCCGGGTGGATGGTCTCTGGAGTTTCTTAGGCCCTATCCCGATGCGCCGCTGGTGAGTTGATTGTTGATGATGATGGTCTTTTGAGGGGTATATATACGTGTAATGGGGATTTTGGGAGCATTGGAGATGAGGTGTGTGGGAGGATGGCCAGGTGGGCATTTTGAGGTGAGGTGAGGGTTTGTGCGTGGTGCGTGCGTCCACGCGTCTTGAGGGCGAGTTTGGAAGGCGCGGATTTCGAGGGGGCAAGTGCGTGAGTGGGCGCGCTGGGCCGGTGGAGGGCGAGCATGATGTGAGATGGGATGGAGTGAAGATGCTTGGATGCGGATCTCGCGGCTAGAGCTCATTTCGCAATGCAACGTATCGCAACGCAATGCTTGCCATGCATACACCCAACGCCATCCTATGGACAACATCCACACCTACTCCACTCACATGCTTCTCATTTACTCGACTTCTTCTTGCTACGGCTCGTCAAGCTCGATTCCTATAGCCTGCCTAAGGCAGTGACGCCCTAGCAGCTCGGCTCTGCAATCCTGCGCCATGACTCTTTGCTCTTGAAACCGTGCGTACTAGATATGCTTTCTTCCCTTTTTTATACTTCGTGCACAGTTCGGCATGGAATGGAAAAATACTAGCACATACTCCGTGGCTACGTGTGGGGTCCACTTGGCTGCACTGCTATCCCTGACTCCCTATCAATCTAGACTTAACGGAATCACTATCTTAAACTAGTAGAATCTAGCTCTCCAAGCCTGGGATACTGGAATGGAAGACGAATAAAGCGAGTATTCAAATGAGGGACCTCGTATGAGATGGATGGAACGCACGACGAATACTCACTAATCCGACGCTAAGTCATGCCGCTGGGTCATGCCGCATGCTAAAGCATCACGCAAGGCATCTAGACAGCTTTAAGTTTTCGCTGCGGCATACGCACCTGATGGAAGGTCGACAGGAGGAAGTTGATGAAGTCTCAGAGAGGTTCAAGGTTCAGACGAAAAGTTGACGTTGAGCCGATGACTAAGCGCGGTCCACTTCTTCAAACTTCTCCCTCAAACTGTCCACGCTTCTTCTTACCTATGTATCTGATAAGTGGTGAGGTGGGCATAGCAAGAATGTATAAATCTGCTTATACATTTCTTCTGCGCCCATATGAGTATGTATGGGATTAACCTAAATTACCAGCAGGCATTTGGGGAGTTGCGCATTTCTCTTTCCACGCATAGGCGATTATTCAAGCACAACCCGGGTATCATTCCATGTATGCGTCATCGCAAATCCCATGCCACCTACTTCATCAAATGCTTTGCCAGAGCGCCGATTCGTACACGTAGTGCAGCACACCCCGCCCGCCGCCTTCCTCGGCGCCAATTTCATCGCTCGCCGCGCTCCCTCCCCTCCGTGTCACTGCCAAACAACTCCCCATACTCGGCCCTCACCCTTTTTTCAATCTCATCGATATCCTTCCTATCTCCGTTGTTGAACAACCCCACATAATCCTTCATCCCGCTCCATTCATCCCTCCAGAACCGCCGCGCTAGCTCCTTCAAATGCGCCTCCCTCTGCTCTGCTTCTCTCGCTCTCCGGTCCGCAGCCTCGGTATGACGTTCTTTGGCGTTGAGTTGGAATTGGAGTGAGTTGATCTGGCGCTGCAGGTCCTCGTTGCGTGAATGCATGTCGGATGATTTTCGACGGGAGAAAGGTCGCAGGGAGGGTCTGGCTGGCGGTGGGGTGGGAGAGGGTGAAGATTGCAGAGGATCAGTTGGGAGATTGTGGTTTCGGCGTGGCGAGCATTCCTTCTTCGGTGAGCTCATAGCTCTCCGGAGTTTGATCGAAGGTGAGGAGCGTAGCGTACGACGGGAGCAGTGCGAGGCTGGAGCGCGAAGTGGGTGTCTTACTCTCTCATCGACAGCGCCTCGGAGGATGGGAACTCTTCTCTTCTCAAGAAGCCCGCAGTCGACAAATCGACACGCTCTTGTGGTGTCGGCGGGCTGCCAGTTGTCACAGGGACAAACGATCACGACAGCAGTGCGGAAAATGCGGTTGCCACGACCACCAAAACAATTGTAAAATGCACGAAGCGGAACAGATTGCAAGAGCAGCAGAGTTTTGAAATAATGCTTTCGCAAATACGAAGGGTTCTCGTGCGCAGTTCATGAGATCCGCCACAATGGGGCGCGTGACCGAGCGGGACAACAAGGCATCAACGGGTGAAAGGACCAACTCGCTGTGAAAGCCTAACATATCCCAAGGCTCATGAAAACCTTCACCCTTCGATCTTCAGGCCACTTAACGCTATTTCTTGACTTCTCACCGGTTGTCGCGCGCAAAGCCAGCGGTTTGAGGTTGCTTCTAGTGACCTGGCCGACCTCACAACAGCAGTATCGTGGATGGATTCAGAGTGAGTAATAGACTTCCGCAAGCTGCGGATGTTGACCAGCCCGCCTAGAGTCGTCGTTTGCGACTGCGGTTGACGCAACAACGGGGCGACCGACACTAGTGAGAACGACTGCTCCCGCAACCTCCACGCCATCCCACCTTCCCTCCTCTTTCCTCCCAACCCAAACATCTCAATCCCTCACTGCAATCCAAAAGCAGTGCAGGACAGCGAGGCCCCCGGGCTCCCTAAAACGCTTTCCAATTCCCCTCCCTGCGTCCACGCCTTCACCATGGCCAAGTCCTCCGGAACCGAACCCCTACCAGGCGATGGCAAGAACCGCAAGAAAAACCGCCGCAACCGCGAACGGCTCAGGAGGAAAAACCGCCGTGAGCGTGCCATAGGAGCCCTCCATATCTCGACCCTCCCGCCCGTCGTCCGCACGCTCCGCCGATCCGCCCGCGAAGCGCCGTACAAGACCGCCAATCCCTACCAGTGGATACAGCCCTGGATCCGCGACCCATTCTACAAGTACAGCTGGACGCAGTATCCCGACGCGCATCTCCTGGGCCTCCCCGCCGAGCTGCGCCAAACGATCTTGGACATGAGTTTGGCGCCGCCGCCGATCCACGGTGTATCGCGGATCTTCCGCGCGGAACTTCTCTGCCGGCGCATCGGAGAGCTGTGCAGCGTGGCGCCAGCGATGCGCGTCGACATGGCCTACGTTGGCCAGCAGTGGATCAAGAAATACATCGACTCGAACCGCAGCTTCGACCTCTCCGCGCACCTAGTCGACCTCCCGAAATGGTTCAAAGAAAAGCGCGCAAAACTTGTGTTGATGCAGAAGGGGATTAGGCGGAAGAAGAAGATTCCTGTCGATGAGGGAGAGAACGTAAAGTCTGGCCAGAAGCTTCGGCCGAAGAAGTGCAAACACTGTTGTCAGCGACACCCGACCGGAGACCCGCTGTGTCCGCTGGCGAGGCAGGATCCTCAGTTGTGGCGTAAGTTAACAAAACCGCTGAAGAGTACGTCGAAGAGGCCGAGAGCCAGGGGTGCGTGTGCAGGGTTCCAGGGGGCCAGGGCCGTTTTCGAAGAGTAAGTTTTGCTGCTTTGCTTTGTTTCGCTGCCGCTGCCGCTGCCATTGGGGATCTGCCGGGTATTCTCGGCATTGGTGTCTGAACGGATATCGGCATGGGATGGACTGCATGGTTTGAGCCGGAAGGGTCTGAACGTGGACTGGGGGAATTCAGGCGTTGAGGTGCTTCTCGGGGGAGTGGGCATGGATGGTTCGCGTTGTCCTGGACAACGCAAAAAGGAAAGTATACAAACTTCAAGCTCATTCATTTATCCAAGCTAACACAACCAGTTCAAGCCTGCCTTCCAAAAGCCAATTTCGCCTGGCCCTTCTCGACCCCTTTCCCACTTCCGGGCGGTCTTCCCCGTCCTCTGGTTGGTTTCTGCGCTGTCGGCGTCTTCCGGTTTGTGTTTTCTGTAGGTGCACTCCGCTCTTCCTGCCGAATCTCCTTTGACAGGTCTAGGGCAAAGTGGTAATCATCGTGCTCAGCTTTCTCGGCGATGGGGAGATGGACGTTGCAACGGTCGCAGAAGAAAGTATCGAGTGTCTTTTGGTGTAAAGCTGGCGGCTTTGAATGCTGGGGTGTGTCATTTCTGGCTTGATGTGAAGGGGGCGGATCAAACGGTGTTGGGGGCTGCGCGGAAGGGGGCGTGTCGGATCTGTAAAGGCCGTCATAATGCTCTATAGGTGGCGTGGAAGGTCTACTTTCAGCATCGTCTAGAAGCGCACCGGAAGAATCATCTTGCTCTTCTTCAATCTCATCCAACTCTTCCTCTATATTAGACCCAGGTGATTCTTGATGCGCCCTCAATACGGCTCTTGCGGCATCGAAATCACGCTTCTTTTCGCTTGGTGGACCAAAGAAGTTGGCGATATTCCCTTTCGTGCGTTTCCGTCGCTTCGCTGGCGGCTCGCCTCCGCTCACGCTTGACCGCCCGGTTGAAAGCATTGCTTTTGCCTCATCGCCCCGGACGAGAAAGCCACCAATGCCCTTGTTATTCGTTACGCCATCTTCAAAGCCGCCTACACTCAGTGACAGATTAGCGCAAGGCCATGCCCGTCCATCCACAACCACCTGTGCAAGCAGATTCTTGGCGAGATCGAACAACATCTGTTCAGAGAGCGGCTTTCCTTGCGGTATTGGACTCTGTCGACTGCGTGTCTGCGTACCTTGCCGATGATGCAAGTTGATCGTCTTTGGCCGCCGCTTGTTCTCCAGGACGCCCTCTTCGACACACCGCGAGAAGATATCCGCGGCAAAGATCCTCAGCCATCTTACGCCTTGCTCGAATGAATTAATAGCTGGGCGGAAAGACTTTGCCGACAGCATGCTCTTTATCTGCGTCCGTGGATTCACCTCGCTGTGGTCCTCGCCGCGAATCGTGTTGTATAACCAGGAGCCCGTGTCATCGCCCAGCTTCTTCAACTGGTCCAATGGCTGCTCCAACAGATCCTTCACTTTGTCTGTACCAAACATGGAGACGACCTCATCGCCGAGCTTCCCGCCCAGCATCCGTATCTTGGTGAACTTCATATTCGACAAGAAGTACTCGGCAGCCCGATTCCGTATCACAGTCTGCTGGTTCGGTTTCTTGTACCCGGAGCCCAACTTTGCCAGCATCTTATTCCGCGCGACACCGCCAGAGCACGTATATCCAAGCTGCTCCTTGATGTGCGCTCGAACGTCGCGCACAATCTCAGATGCGATGACCATACACACATCATCCCAATCCGGATCCGCCACCTCTCCATCTTCCTCCCCCGTCTCCACCAACGCATCAGCCTTCCAATCCAGCACCGTCGTCGGTACCTTTGGCAGATACTCGCTCAGGTCATCGTATGGCGGCGGGCCGCTCAACTCCGGATATCTCTCCGACAACCTCGTATGCACCTGCGCGCTCAAATCCATAAACACCTCATCGATACTAGCCTTCTCAACGCGCTGCTCTTTCTCCGGCAAGCTCTCCTTTATACACTTCAAGATCCTGCGGCTCTCCATGCGATACGGGTCCAAGCTCACCTTATGCGTCGCGATATGCTTGTACGCTTCCTCGTGGTATGCCCACTTCTCTTCGCCCTCTTTCCACGTCGCAACATGTTGTAATATTAGGTCCGGGCAGAGCTTAAGCGCTTCAGTGGAGGTTACGTGGCGGGAGAGACCGTATGCTCGCGCGGGATAGTTGATCGCAATGAGGCCTTGCCATTGTTGAACTGCGAGAGGCTTGGAGGGGTCGATGCCGAGGCGGACGGTCTCGCATTGCGCGTAGAAGGCGTCAAGATCGATGTGTGCGATTACGCGAAGCGGCGTTTGCGTGCTGAAGGTTTTGAGTTGGTGGAGCTGTTTGTATGTGAAGCGTGATTTGGGGATGCGGCGCGGGGAGGTTATCGAGAAGGGGGAGGAAGCGAGGAAAGGGGCCGGCGAGGACATTGTTGGATAATCTGGCACTACGCCATGGTGGCACCAGAAGGAGCAAGTCCAGAAGTCATTCAGAACGCGTCGAAAGCGCTGGGTGCGGTGTTAGACGTAGTTGAGGCGCCGGGACAAGGATGTCAGTCGCGTGTTCCCGAGATCCCGTGCATGCGCGTCATTCATGTTCCAGATCGCGCTAGTATTATTCGGGAATCCATGAAACTTTCTCGAATGCCGGACACTCTTGATCACATTTCTTATTCTACTCCACATGAAAGGTCGAATTGCAGAATCAGTGTAGCCCGCGATGGGCTCTTCTATTCTCCGAGTACTTAGGTATACGGAATCCATGTCGTCATCGATCCACGTCCACCGAAAGCTCCATCTAATCTACCCTCCTTGGCCCACTCGCAATCTTCCACCACACCCCCACCACAATTACGCACGATGTCATTCCTTCCCTGTCAGATTCTCATCCCATCAGCCCTGAGCGCTCTCTTCGTCACATCCTCAACCCTCTCTACCTTCGGTCGCGCCTTGACCACAACCTCGAAGAGCAAGAAGCCCGTCCGAATGAAATTGAAGGGACCCTTAGGGGCCACATTGGCCTCATTGAGGACTCTCTGGACAGGATAGAGGGTAAGCCGAATGCGAACAAGCAGCAAGATTAATATGGGGAGCGGGGCCGGGACGAGAAGAAGTTAGCTGATTCAGATCGTTGATGAGCAGGGAATGGATAGAATATGAGAAGCCCAGGCCATACGCTATAGAGAAATGCTTGGTCTGCAGTGGCAATGAGGAGGAGAGGCTGGTCCCAGCATTTCAAACCTCCAGACTCGTAGTGCTGCTTTTGCTCTAGAGCCGCTCTGGAGATTGTAACAGACTCCCCGTCATCGTCTCCTCAGGCGAATATCCATCCCAGATCGTGCGCTTCCCCTATATCGCCTCGGCCATTGCACTCCTCATGTCCATCGCCTCTTACACGTCTATCCATTCGTCACTCGTGTTTGCCGTCCGGGACAATCTCGTGGCCCGCGTTACTGCCGCACAAGCCCTCAAGAGGCCCCCTATATCTATCCCCCTATCGCGCCCTAGCAGCTTATCCTCACTCGGGTAGGGAACAGATATCAGTGCTCGTAAATAAAGTACTTCAACGCCTTCGCCAGAAAGAGTACTAGATGGCCATCTCGAGTCGGTGGGCTCATCAAGCTTCTCGCACAAGAGCGTATTCATCGGAGTGCATATAGGACATGGGGACGGGTCGACGGTTCTCCACGACTTCCTTTACAATGGCATCTATACCAACCGTCTTCAACAACATACCAGCAGCGCTCTGTACGTCCCAACGGAATGGAAAAGCGTTGCGCCGAAAGAAGGACCTCGGGGGGAGAAGAAGAAGTGAAACAGACTTAACAGCTTCCTACGCAAAGGGTAGCAAAAATTAAGGGAATTGAAAGAAGCCGCCGCAAAAAGAAAATATCGATACTTTTTCCCATCCACAGCAACAACAGCCATAACCCCCAGTCCCCATCCCTCGCGCTCACGTCAGCTACCTTCCACATTGCCCCTAGTAAATTCCTACCCCTACCTAGAAGTAACTAACTTCCCAACTTCCCAACTCCCGCCCTCCTCCTCCGCGGAGTCCAAACCCACTAGCCACTAAAGCCAACAAGCCTTCAAAAGGCCCGAATCAGCACCCTCCCATCCAATCCAAACCCTCACATTAATTCTAGCCCTAGTGAAATTCCTACACCTAGCCTGCACGATTGTGCTCCACAGTCACATTTTCTCACTACTACTCTTCCCGTCCATAGTCTACCGGTAATAAGCAAAGCACACCACACCAGCCACGTTCCAGCCCAATATCGATAGTCCACGCCGCAACGGGGCCTACAGGGACTTGCTCTGCATCGCAGACCCGAACCCGGACTTCCCACCGCTCAACGGGCCGATTCCTCGATCCCGCCCGCAACGAGCACGCACCCGATTATGACATGACACATCAATTCCATTCTGGCAGACGTCCGCGGGCGCTACTTGCACCTGCACATCGCAAGACCGCCGTCTCGGGACCGGGCTGGTGATCGGCCCCTTCTTCCCCTCACGACGAAACGTGCGCGAACCGCTGAACGCAAACAGTTGATCTACTGGCAGCTTGGAGCGGTGGGGAGATCAGCACTCAACCGCTATTGACATGCGTGAAGATCAGCGGCGATCTACGACGGTCAAAGCACAGTAAGCCCAGCGTTGACGCTGATCAAACAGTGCTTGAGAAGTACGTCCGACCTTCGTATGCGCGGCGATGGAGTGCAGCTTCGCTGTAAGGCAGGTAGACAGGCAATAACTGTGCGTCTGATCATGGGCTCGGGAGGAATGCGCCCGACCGACGACGCACGACGCACGCTTCAATGACGTGCATGAACTCTGCAAGCGAAGCGAAGGACACGTATGGTCGTTCATCATCAAGCATTAGCAACGCAAGTGCGAGATGAGATGAGGCACAGTGCAGTATCGCATCTCTGGGTTAATCTCCCAACGTGCGGTACCGAGTGTCACTCCGCAGCACGTCCTGGACGGATTAGGCGGTGATCCGAGCGGGGAACTCCATTTTGGGGTTATGGAGCGCGTAGAGACGGCGCTTGGTTCAATAAAGAGCACCTTCGGGTGAGAATGTATACGAGTCGCCGACGGATTATAACCTCATCTCGGCGTGGGATGCGTGGGGGATGGCAATGGGCAGCCGGAAGGTACATTGCAGGAGTAAGACGACGAAGAAAATTTTGCTTCATATAGGGTTGGGATGCGATATTGCATGTGGTTCGGCTTGGGCATCAAACGTCCTGGGTGAACGGAAGGCTGGGAACCCTTATCGGGGCGAATAGAAAGAAAGCAACCACCGGGGAGATCGATCCGCGAGCCGAGCAGCAGGTGTTGCAGTTGAACGACGATTAAGCAGTCTGATTCCGTACGCGTACCCTCTGCCATTCCATCGCAAGCTATGCAAACATCAAATGGCCATCCAGTCATGAAACATGCTCTTCGTGGTGAACAAGGTATATACAAGCGGATATGTGCGAAAACGCTCCATAAGCCCTGATGCATTCGATAACGAAATCGCTCTGGCAGAAAGGACAATGGTGAGCCGTAGTCGTGAGATGAGAGGCGAGCTTTGGAAGCAGAATGGTCCGCGTGGCGTCCGGCACAACTGCGCATTTGCTGCTGTCCTGAAGCTGGCTGGTAAAGCCTTGGTGGATGGTCCAGGTGAACATCTGAAGGACAACGGGTCATATCCTGAGGCAACGTCTCGAGATCCGGGAGATACGGGCAGCGCGCGGCGAAGTAGAAGGGTAAAAATCGCGAGCCCGGCAACGTACATTAAAAATAGATGTCATTCGGACAAAAGAAAATGATCGGTCATGTCCTTGGGTCGGCTCCACATGGCAGACTCCACGGTCCAGCTTTCGCAACGGAAATCCACTCTACCCGAACGCTTTTCTGGACGCCAGCGAAACATCAAATGGATCCATGGATTAAAAGAAGCGGTCTCAAACCAACAGGACGGTAGGACTCCAGACTCAGGTTGCGGAAACGGTTATGGGTATCTCCGGACATGGCAAAATGACGGAGGAACAGAGGTAATACCTGGCGGTCATGGAAAATCTACCTCCAGCGCATGAAAAAGGAAGAGAAAGTATGGTTATCCGGGCAAGGGTTTAGGCACCTCTTCGGCGGCCAGACGGAGGCGGTTGCTGCGGCTGTTGTGACAAAGGATATTCTGAGATCCAACAATTAGTTCATCGAAGTGGGTAATGACGAAAGTCCACTTACGGCGTCCGTCCGAGGCGATGTAGTAGCCTGGTGCGGCGGCAGCACTACTGGGGCTTAGCGATATACCAAAAAGCGTTCGTCGAAGTAACCAAAATACCTTGGTGCGTAGCCACTGTGCTGGGTCGTGGTTGTCGCGCGGCCATATGGGTCCGTCTGAGGCTGAGGCTGCGAAGGGTAAGAATACTGCGGGGTGGCAGCAGTATAGGCCGGATGGTCCGCTCTGCCAGTTGACTGGTAGTTAGCATAGGGATCCGTCCTTGGCTGCGCGGTGTGCGCTGTATAACTGGGAGGAGCCTGGTAACCATGCTGTGGAGTAGTCGTATATGCGGGCGTGGAAGCGGTTGTGTAGTGTGTGGTTTGTTCACTAGCGCCATACGACGGAGTAGCATACGACGAAGCCTTGGTTGACGACGCATAGCCCTCAGACGGTCCATAATGCTGCCTGGAAGCATGGGTTCTCGAATCCTGATATGCCACTAGATTTGCGTCAGGGTGTCTTGACACCTTAGTATCGCGAAGGTAAGGACTACCTCCACCTCCATGTCCTCGCTGGTCGCGGTCCTTCTCCGCTTGCCAGCGCTGTGAATCCAACTTCAAGTCCTGGATCATTTGCTGTCGCGACTGTCAGCCGTCGCCCAAGCTCGCCATCTCCAGCTCGGTGCATGATGCGAACGTACCGATGTGAGAGTTCGATATGCGGTGATCCAATAGCCTGGCCGGCCCTAGAAGAGCTGTCAGCAGTCTGCTCTGCGCTGCTCGACGGATCAAGGGAGCAACAGACCTCGTACTCGCCGGTGCCTGTGCCGGGTCTGACGAGCGCATCTGGGCCCAAATAGCGCTGGATGTCGGCGGTGATGACCTCTCTGGCGATGCCGTCGCCGAGCACAAACCACTGGTTCATTCGCGACGACATGGTGAGTGCAGAAGTGTGTGGGGGGGGAGAAGGAAGAGGAAAGGAAAGAGACACTGATGTCACAGTGTCGGGAGGGGCCAGCAACACGAGCTAGAAGCAACAAGGCGGGGCTCACGGGTCCAGATAACGCTCCAAGACCAAAAACCGTGGGCGCGGAAGGGAATGCAGGATCCTGTGGTGTCCGCGGGCTGGAGTATGGGCTGAGAGTGTTCCAGAAGGGAAGCAGAGGCAACAGAAAGCAGGCAGATGCGGGGGCCTTGACCAATATACGGCACTTGGAGCGCGCCGGCCTGTGGAAGGGGAATGGCTTGAGGGAGGCGTGACTGCGCGGCTGCGGCGACCTCTTTGGGGATACCGAGGGGCGGGCAGGGTGGCCCAGGGTTGCTCCGTGGGAGTGCTGCCAGGAGTGGGAGGGCACTTTCAGCTGCCAGAGACGACAGACGACAGAGCGAGCGAGCGAGCAGAGCGACAGGTACCTGGCAAGTACACGGCGAGAGCGCGGGAGCGGCGCTGCAGCAGTCCAAAGAGGGAGCGGACGGGGCGGGCGACAGGAAAGATACTTGACGGCAGCCCTGAGGGTGTGCGGCTCTTTAGAGAGGCAGCGAGGTCAGCGGGGGCGCTGGAGGCCGCCTGCAGACGGCGCGGGGCTGCGATTGGACGGCGCCGCTGCACGTCAAGCCGTCGGGCAGCAAGCAAGAGTCGACGGATGCAGACTGCTGTCACACGCGACGGCGAAGTGTCGGCTCCAGGCGTTCGCGAGGACAGAGTGACAGACGGACAGACAGCAGGCAGCGGGAACGGGGAAAGTGGAAGAGAGAGAGAGGGCGACAGCAGCGCAGGCGGAGGCGGCCGCGGGCACTTATGTGACTGGCGGCGGCGAACCGTGGGCCTTGGGGCTGCTGCTAGAGACAGCGCGCCGGCGTTTGGGTACCATCACGCCTGCCCGCAGCTGAGGTGTCGAGAGGGAGTGGAGACGGGCGGGCTCGAGTGGCGCGCGTTGGGCATCGACGGAGCGCGCAGGAGCTGGGAAGGCTGCCCAGCCGCGCCTGCCCTCGCGTCACCGGTCGCCGCTGCGCATCATCAGTCATCATTATTGGCAGCGACGACCGCGACGGGGAAGGAGCCACCGCAGCCTCCCACAGCCTCCCACGGCCATTATTATCTAACACGCCCGCCGTCCCATCGCTCCAGGGCTCGACTCTCACCGACTCCGTGTCGTCTGAAAATTTGCACCGCGCCCGGGGCCGCCTGCGCACTTCTTGGGCACGGCTGCATGCCGTGCAAACGTCGAAAAGAGCATCGTCGGATGCCCGCCGTCTATATAAGAAAATAGGACGCAGTAGGCCGCCATTGGCCTCGCCAGCGCAGGCTCCATCCTCGACGCGTGCAGCGACCGCAGTCCCGCCCGGCCCACCGCTGCCTATAGGAATACCACCCCTTCGCAGTCCGCGCCTCTCACCGCGCCCGTCGTGGCCGATGCCAATTAGCTGCGACGCCGGCCGCGTGCAGCGAGCTATATAATTCACCGTCGCCCAGCGTATGGGAGACTGGCGCCGTCCATGGATGTGTCTTTGTCAGGCCGCAAGCGCCCCAGCACGTGGTGCCGTGACACGCGACGCACGATGCTGCCAGTCTGCATTTCGCGCAGCTGCGAACAAGAGACAGTGTGCACAGAACATACTTCTTTGCGCAACCGCACGATGCTCCGTCGGGCCCTACATGCAGCTCAAATTACACCCTAGTACTGCTGCCCGCAATCTCCGTGACCTTGAAGCCGGTACGTGGTGCATGTATATGCACCTCCTGGCCTCCTCCTCCGCTCTGAGCCGCGATGGTCACCTCATCTGGCGCCAGTGCAATCAGTCGACCCGAGTCTCGATGGGCAGACGCCCAGTCCGAAGGATACACTTCCACCTCCGTGCCCGCTTTTAGGCCCAAGGGGTCGCCTCCGTCCACAGTGCCTCCAGATTGAGTGAAATCGGACTGGAGGATGAAATCGGTCGCCGCGTCTCCGTGCAACGTTACCACCTTGGGCGCCGAAGAAGCCTGCGCTTCGTCGAGAGCGGCCCGAAACCGCGAGATCCAGGCGTACACTTTCGGAAACTGCTTCTCAGACACGATGTGAGGAGGCATGGGGGCCTTCAAGTCGATGAGCCAGTCAAGCGGCCAGCTTGCTAGTCTGTGTTAGCGCAGTCATCAGGCAGCACAGGCCGCTGCACGTTCGAACGCCCGCTAGCACTCTATAGGTGTCGAAAGCCAAGCAAGGAGGGGGAGGGGGAGAGGGAGGGGGGATAGGGCGAATGTGCAATGGGGACTTTGGGTCGTCCCGAGAACGGCACAGCGGGTCTCGCATGCTTGAACCGGGGAGGGCCTGGACAGCCAGACGACGATCTTCTATCCATGCAAGCCACGGCCCCCATCCTTCCGCGGAGTCGTGAGGAGAAGAAAAAGAAGGCTGCAGAGCAAGCGAATTGAAAGAAGATGCTGGACTGACCTTCGATGTCTGCCAGGGATAGCTTATCAGTGTTGAGTACCCAATTCCTTCCGTCGGCCAAGATCGTCGTTTCGAAGAAATCGAACAGACGCCTCATGTATACCAAGCACTCCGGTTGTCCCTTGATGATTGCTTCCTGCGTCCATTCAGTATCGCAGAGGCCCACTCTGCTCCACATCAGTCCAAGCACTGGCAGCCACACCAACAGACCACTTACCTATCCTCCGCAAACCCGGGGACATCGAGCAAGTGCGGAGGCACCAGTCCAACCATCGACCCGAGCACTGGCGGCGCCTCGATCATATACTTCTCCAGCAGTTTCTCAATGAACTTCTCCTCCGGCTTGTCACTCCCCAATTTGCCCTCCGGAAACTTCTCTTCCAGCGTCCGCAGAATGAGCCTCGAGTCGACGTAGATGTCGCGCCCAATAGCGAGAATCGGCACCTTGCGATACTTCACCCCCAGCTTCGCCATATCAGGTCGCGGCAGCATGAAGGGTTGTTCCTGGGAATGAAAGGTCAGTCACCGCTACCCCAAAGAGCATTCGTTGCAAGACAAGACCACCTACGCAGTAAGCGTACGCAATGCCCCTCAGCTGCAGATAATATGTAACCCGTCTCCCAAAAGCGGACAGCGGATACGTAAAGAGCACGATGCCATTTGGCGGCGCCGCGCTAGGCGATTCCATCTCTTGCTCGCAACGTGGGTACGTATGTACCGTACAGTACAGATACAAGTTACAACTTATCGGCCCTTTTCCAAAAGAGCAGTACAGTAGTGACGAGGATAAGGCCGGTAGGGTTTCTAACTTCCCACCCCGCTCGCAGCGAGCAAAATCCAGCATCCATATATCGTTCTTTTGCCCCCTCCGCCCCCTTGCCCAGCTGTCCCATGACGTGTACCTCGGACCGTTCCCGCCAGGCGCCATGCGTCTTCGCCTGGGAGAGCACCCGTCCCCGGTTGGACCAATCAGAGCCCCGCGCTTCGTTCTCCCTCCCTCGCCCCAACGGCTCTCACCATCCGACATAGCAGAGTTTTCCCGTCTTTTGGCACGAGCTATGCGGTCGACGTTCCACCGTCGTCGAAGTCTATTCCAACCTCACCTTCTTTGTGCGAGTAGCGCCTGTGTCTGCTATGGTATACATCACTGTTCTCTCACCCTCCTAGCCCAATCTAGCTCCCAGTGCGATATGTACGCTCAGTATTTCCCATCTCTTCCCCGCTTCGTCTAGCCTAGGCAGACGGCTAGCCTCTACGGGCCCACGCTGCAGTAAGCAATCCCGTAGTAGGTTAGTCCTAGCCGGCGAATGCACGCCACCATTACCACAATCGTATCGTGTCGAACTTGCTCTATCTACCGTACTGGCTCCCCCCAATGCCTAGATAATTCTGCTTGGAAGTTGAGCACCGTATCCTACACACACTCTCACGGTGTGGAATTCTCCGGATAGAACAACGTGCGCAACAGCTACCCTGGAGGCGGCCTTCGCGGGTGCGTACAATAGACGAGCCAAGCTTACTTACTTGTATAGCGAGCCCTTAGATCCGGAGAATTCCCTACCGCAAGAGACACATCAGCTCTGTGTCAGCAGCCCGTATCCTACACATATCAGCTCTGTCCGTGTCAGCAGCCCCGCTTCAGTCTCGCCAATCTTGTCCCTGGGGGCACTTCAACGACCCGTATTCATGTCGTGCTTGCTAGAAGCAGGAGTGGGCACACAGCAACGCGCCGGGCAAAAGGTAGGGTTGAATAGAGAGCTTAACCAGTGAGGGCTACATCGCCGTCGTCATTACTCGGCCAGGGGCCTTCGAGGACCTATTCATGTCGTCGTCACATCGGGTATGATGAGCACAAATAGTTTCAGCACACTGTATGTTCCATTCCAATGAGGCAGCTATCAAAGAATCCTGAAGGCGGATATCTAGCCACGTAAAAAAAACTTAGAGAGAAAGAAAAGAGGGGTAATCCGGGGGTATCATGGAAAGCAGGCCACCGAGACAAGACGCCAGTCATTAAAGCCTGAAGGAAACCCAGATCCCCTACCCAAACACCGTTTTGTGTACTCCAACCCACATGCAGTGGCAGAGTAAGGAAGCAAGTAAGTAAGGAAAGAGCTCAATACATCGGAGTCGGAGTAATGCCAGCCCAGTCCTCGAACACGGCGATAGCAGTCGAAGTATGGCGACAGATCTCCTCAGACAACCGAGAGTGGCCGATGTCGAAGCCAATGGGGAAGAAGCCAAAGAGATAGCGGCCGTTTCCAAAGGCGCCGTACGAGAAGTCGTTGTGGGAGTAGTAGTAGCCGCTCTCGACCTTCCAAGCCTCCAGCATCGCATAGGCCATGAAGCAAAAGAAGACGATGAGCGCAGAGATGAGGGGATAGTAACGCTCCAGAACGCTCCTCTTGGAAGACGTAGTAACGGTGATGATTCGCTCCGGGCTCTTCTCGGCGGTCTTCTCGGTCTGAGTGGCAGCAGTCGCGGTGGTAGTCTCGGCTGTGGTGTTATCGGCAATTGGCCATATGTTGAGGACGGTGGAGACCCTGGACTTGCGGATCAAGGGGTTCGAGACATCGGTCTGGGCAGCGGTAGTCTTGAGATCGCGAAGGTGGTCGGTCTGTGTGGCAGTCGTAGAGACTGTCTTCTCAGCCTCGACAGGAACGACGTCGGTTTGCGTCGCAGTGGTGGTGAGAGCCTTCTTGGGCTCGATCGGAGGGACGTGGATAGAGGCGGCATGGATGACGCCAGCGGAAAGCTTTGGGGTGTCTGTCTGGGCTGCGATTGCGCGCTTCTCTGGTGCATCGGTTTGGGTATATGAGGTCGTGGTCTGGCACTCGTCTGTCTGAGCGGAGGTAGTAGAGATCTGGCGCTCGTCTGTCTGGGTCGAGGAGGTGTCCGTCTGCGCTGCGACCGGGGCAACGCTTGCGGCTTGAACGACGCCGATGGAGAGCTTCGGGGCAGCGGCTGGCTCGATGGGCGCAATATCTGCAATCTCGGTGATGCCGGAATAGTCGAGCTGCTCGAATTCGGAGCCGTTATCTTCGAAACCGGCAGTGTTGGCGAGCTCGTCCTCCAGCGACTCGTCGCCGGCCGTGAAGGTTGGTACGGAAGTAGGAGCAGCGGCAGCGTTGGCAGCGGCTTCGGCGTTGAGCTTTCCTTCGAGCGCCTTCTGGTATTGCGTCTCTAGGTGCTGAATGCGCGCGTCCTTGACCAAGATGGTGCGATCGTGGCTGCCGAGCTGGTTGCGGAGGTTCTCGATATCGTCCTGCAGCGCTTGATGCTCGCGCTCCAGATCCTGCATCTCCGCCGTCTGTGCCTCCAGCTCTTGGACTCTGTTCTGCAGCTCCTCCCATTGTGTATGCAAGCTGTGAAGCTCGCCCTCGGTCTCCTTCAGCTTCGCTTCCGCATCGTCCTTGGCCTTGACGGTGGCTTTGTGCGCGGTCTGCTCGCGGCCGAGGTCGGCGTACGCGTTATTGAGGTGTGAGTCGATCTCCTGGGAGGCTTCCAGCTGCTCATCGAGCTTCTGCTTGACGTCGGCCAGCGAGGCCTTGAGCTGGTCCTTGTCGGTGGTGAGCGACGAGATCTCGTTGTCCTTGTAGGCAATGTCGGCCTCCTTGCCCTGGAGGTGGCCGGTGACGGCCGACAGCTGGCTGCGGATGTCCTTGTTGTCCTCCTTGAGGACGTCGAGCTGCTGCTGCAGCTCGGCAGCGCGGTCCCAGTCGTCCATGCTCCGGTTGCGTTGGAGCTCAGTGCCAAAGCAGCGGAGAGCCACTGCCTCCCGCTGCTCGGCGACGGCCTTAGCGGCCTTGGCGGTGCTAAGCTGCTTTCGGAGGGCAGCGACCTCCTCCGCCAGCTCAGCGGCCCTGAGCTCCGCAGCATTCGCTTTGAACGGCGTCGGCGCGCCGAAATTCTCCCACGCGAAGGGCATGGTGAGGTGTGGTGAAGTGAGGTGAGTTGAGGTGAGGTGGAGGTGGTGGTTGTGGAGAAGTGGAGAGAGAGAAGAAGAAGTCGACCGTCGAGAAGGCGGGCAGCAGCTCGAGCTTAGTAACCGTCCGTTGCTATTGTTACCAGAGCACAATATCTGCTGTTTGCTGAGTCAATGTTTATTGACTCTTATTAGGCGGTGTGGACAATAACAGCTCGGCTTTCCCTCCCGACGGGCGCGATCGAGTGAAAGGTCTGCAGCCCCGCTTCGACCACCACCACCAGGCTGTGGTGATGGGCTTTGGGTAGGACTCTGAAGTGCTGCAGGACTCTTTATCCGAGCTCCCTTGTGAGTTAGCCTCCTGTCCCTGCCGAGCCAGCGTAAACGTACTGAAGCACGTCAGGCTGCCGTATCCCAAGTCATCAGTGAGTGATCATAGAATTAAGAGCGCCTTCAATCTGGCTGGTTATATGTCATCCGGGAGAGCTTCAGTCGAATTTCCACGTCCAATACAAAACTCCGTCTAGCCTCTTGCGGAAACACCAGCTATGCGCCTCGAGAGGTCTTCTACTCGACATGTGATAGGTCTTCCTGATGGGCTTCACGCAACTTTTAACGGTCGAGCATACAGAGCCATTTCCAACTATTACTGCAGATGCATCGAACAGCGAGCAATTCCGGACGACACAGAATCTGGCGTGACGGAGTTAGTATAGGGCTTCCAGAAGGCCTTCGAGACATTTTCCACTATAGGGGGCGCAGAGCTCTTACCAGCGCAGTAAGCGATGCAAGTAGGCTTTGGGATAGCCAGCCGCCAGATTACCGCCCCCATTCGAGACATCCTGTTCACAACAGAGTCATGATGGCACCCTTAGCGAGCGTGGAACAGGAGGCCTGAATACCTTCAAAGAGCTTAACAGAGGCCGGATCAGCGCAGCTTTCCGCCCCTTGGTGCATACGATGGAGCTGTACATGGGCCAGCCTCTCTAGAAGTGATTGCTTCCAAAACCAAGCTATGATGCCAATGTTTCATTTGCTTATGCTACGCAGTGTACTCGCCCTGGCAGTGAAGTGAAAGGGACGCAATCCGCCTCAAAACGGCGGCCACAGGTGACCGCGAAATTGCTGGGGCATCACTGGTAGCCATGCATCTATGGTTTGAGATGTGGAGTCCTTCAGCACTATTCTGCATATATACCGGACAGTGACCAAATCCGGACCGCAAGAATTGTCGTGGAGTTAGTATCGGGTATCCTGAAGTCCTTCCCCTCCTTACCCAACTCCCCAATGGCAGGATTCTGGCACCTCGGTAGACACGAGGAATAGCAGCCTCCCTGTGTGGATGGGCATCCTAAAGTCTGCTTTGCATCACTCACTGCGTCGGCCAACACCCTTTACCCCGACTGTGGGAAGAGTCTCCTAGATAGCTTCAGAGAGGTTAGCAGAAACCGAAGTAGTGTAGCTTTCTTCGCTCTGATGAATATGACGGGGCTATATACGCGCCAGCCTCCGCAGAAAAGAAGGCTCATTAACCTTATCAGTGAGAGCAAGGCCTTCGAGGGCTTTTCCCATACTTGAATAAGGCGAGGATAGAGACCCTACACTGCAGGCTTGGACAAGCTCGGCAGCGCGCTCGTAGTCCTCCATGGTGCGCTCGTGCGTTAGAGCTCAGTTGCCAGAGACTGCCGGAACCCAAGTAAAGCCCATCAGGAGGACGTATCCCAAGACAACCAGAAGTCCCTCTAAGGCCCAGATCCGCTCAATATGCAGTATGTCTGCAGAAGGATGCTAAACAGAACTCCGAATAGCCGACGGCGGAAAACCCAGTAAAGGTCCCCAGGAGTGCCTATGCCACGTCAAGCCGAGGATGCTCCCAATTCCAGAATCGCCCACTGATGATTTGGGATAGGGCAGCTTGAAGTGCTTTAGTAGGCCTCTGTGAACCTGGCCGGATTAGAGTAATCTATAAAAGCCGATCTGTGTACATACCCTCAGCGTAACGAAAGTTGCACTGACCTGGGCTCTGTCAACCCTTTTAGAGGTACTCAGGCCTCCCGAAGAGCATCCAATTGCTAATCGAGCTCTCCATCCCATAAGCGCTCCTCGCGCTCATCCACTCACACTAGACAGTTAAAACTTCAGAGGCTCCATAACCTTCTTCTCGATACTTCACCCATAGACACACACACACACACACACACACACACACACACACTCTCTCTCTCTCTCTCTCTCTCTCTCTCTCTCTCTCCCTCTCCCCTACACCATTTCTCTGCGACAACCACTACCCAACACGCGGGACATCCTTGGCGCGCCTAGGCCGTTCAATGCGAATGCTGAGGAGGTTCAGAGAGCTGACCAGCTGGTAAAGGAGGTCACTGCCCTCTGAAGCGAGGGACAGTGACTCTTCGTTGCTTCAGCTCTTAGCTAACGCAACCGGAGGACCATGGACGAATATGAGCGTGCTACCAAGCTGCAGTGGCAACTGTACGTACTCAAATACGACAACAAGCTCTAGAGAAAATCCGCAACCAACTGCCCACAGAGAACATGGAAATTGGGCCTCGGAGATAGATTTGATACTGCTCCTGAAGAACACCACGGGCTAGAGGAAACCCGAATTATATCAGACACACCGTTGAAGTCCAAGAGCTAGAACTTTAACTGGGAGAAAGTTCGAATAGAGCAGCGTGAATAGCTTCATCAAGCGAGGCCATCCTGATAACCCTTCTCGTTCTCTGGTAAATGTTCTACCGTGGTCCATAGCGTCACGATCAAGACTGCTCTCTCTGCGGGAAACTCTTGTACCGCCAAAATCAGGCTGCGTCGGCCCGCGTTAGAGATAATGCAAGGAGCGCTCGCTCCTCCCCTTCACTCGGCCTCGTCCGTGTTACACTTTGCGCCCGAGTTTCGTTCGTCTGGTATGTAAATTTGCCCTCTTCTCCTGAGTCCTTGAGATCCAAGTTGCCGTTCAAGTTCTTGCCCTAATCTAGCCCAGTTTTCTGCGCTTGCGCTTTTAGAAGGTTCCGAGTCCTTTTTAGAGGCGGCGTAAGTTGGTAACGGTTCCTTAGGCCCGTTTGCCTCTCTATGATCCACTCTCAGAGGCGTTGTCTTCCTGTTGATAATAGTTTTGAAGTAGCTAGTTGTTCCTCAGCGCTTGTGGTGTCTTTCCTAATAGTCGACGAAGCCTACTTGTTGCTGTTCCGTTCGCTCTTGCCCCTAGAATTCACCTCGCCACCTCCATTTTAGATTGCTTCCAAGCCAGCCATTCACCATTGTCCCAAGACCGTGCCTAACAAGTAACCCCTTCCCGTCTAGGATTAGCTCCTCGTTCGGAACCTCCTTGTTCTCGCCCCTATCATTTACCAAGCCGTTTAAGAGTCTGGCTAGCGATGCTAGCCTGCAAGCCTCCTCTTCATCACCTTCTTCCTCGCCACCGAGTATACGCACCCGTGGATGCAGAACATACCTCTCTTTATGGTAGCTTGAGTCAGGTGGGTCAGCGCCTCTGCATCCTCCTTTGAGAGGTGTTTGATAACCTGTATGGGTGAGCTCGGTTCTCTACTCTTCGGGTCCATTGCTTTTCAAAAGGTACTCCACTGTTGTATGACTATGTTGCCATATGTACCGACTATCTATAGTTTTCTGACTTAGACTACTCTATAGTGACTCTTGTGCTGCTTCATTAGCCTGCGTCAGCCTAGACTAGAGATGTGCATGCACGATTTTAGTAGACACAGCACGCTTGTCATCGTTCAGCGCTGTAGAATACCCGGTGGTAACATTTCCTTCACCCAGCTCGAATCGAATCAGACACGGGAAAGCTACAGCAAGGGCTTCTATTAGGATATTACTAATGAATTTATGTGAATTGCCCTGATATCTTCATTAGACTGAGCCACAACCTTATGCGATACCGGCGCATGCAGAAATGCTGTACATATTACGGCTCTACGAGACAGTTCCTCGTACTCTACCTGATACGCGAAGACATCTCTCCAATGAGCAGTGAACAATTCCGGCATACCACCACAAATACCGACACAAGTCTTCACGAAGACCTGAGATTCCTCACATTATCGAATAGCCACAGCATCCAACCACTCAATGTCTCATTCTTGGAGGGTCAATAACGAACAGGAGGTAGCGGACTTCAGTCTCTACTTACTTCGCTCATAACTGAACCGGACTCCTAACGCCACTCAACTCCGCCCTCTCAAGTCTGCCCGCATACATCTCCGCCGGCGAATGCACCCCCATATGTGGGCTCCCACCAGTTCCCGTGACGCCTGAATAAGCTACACTACTAGCATGTGGGTTATACTCCGGTACATCATTCACCTTCTCAGGCTGATAGTGGCCGCCATAGTACGTTGCGGAGCTCCGATTACGCTTCAGGACCCAGAGTGTCGCGACGGATGCAAGGGCGAGAACGGCTACGCCGCCTACCACAGAGCCAGCGATGATACCGGCATTGTTGGGCTTAGAAGGGTCCGATGCTGGCGTGGAAGTGGAGGATGGCGTAGGTTCAATCGGGGTCGATCCGGGTGTGAGGGGGCTGGGCGACGAGGATGGGGTTGTTGTGACTGAAGCGCTGATGTCGGGGACTGGAGGGAACGGTTAGGTCGAAGCGCTGGAGAAAGTGACCTTGCGGCAAGAAGGTGAGCGTACCTATGTTTGGTGGCCTCTCCTTGAACACCGACGTAACGAGCGGGGCGCCAGGGGTAGAAGTAAGGCAGACAATATCCGTTTTTGCTTCTGAGGCGCCGTACGAACTGTAGAAGAGTCTTGTGCCGCACATAGACCCACCGCCAGCACTTTACAAGATAATTCAGTAAGCTTTTGTCTCAGTAAAGGCTGCCTCCGTGGGAATGCGCTTGACTCACCATTGGTAAGTGGTCGATTCTCCTACCTCGACGCCCAAGTCGCAGCTTGTAAACATTGGGCAATCGGTACGTGACCTTGTGAAAGTTTCATAAGAAACCAGGGTTCCGTCGGTTCTGGTGGAATAGTCCAAGTCGAAGGTACACCATGCAAAGTAATTCCCTGATGATATCGTGTAATATACCCTGGCATCGTAATCGAACGGCGCCCCTACGGATGCACGTGATTAGCTTGCTATTTAATCACGGGCAGTTTAACTTCTAGTTGAGACCTACAGATAGTCGATCCGTCGCTCTCGCCCACCGATGAATAACCAAGTGTTTCGTACGTATACTTCGAAGATGTCGAGATGTCCTGTCTCCTAAGTAGCTTCGGGCCCGACGAGATGATAGCAGCTTTGGCCGGGAAGGCGAAGCTGAGTAGGGAGAGAAATATGATCATCGTAGGCTTGAAACTCAGAAGGAAAGCAGAGGGAAGATAGTTCAGCTTGATTTTCTGAGGGATGAGAAGGAATCATCTGTTCCACAAGGCAGCGGGCAGGTTTTAAAATCCTGGGTTCGTTGCCGTGTTCCTTCCTACATATCACGTTTTCAGCCGGGTATAGCTACGCAAGCCTGCGTGCAGTTGGCGATACACCGGTCGCGGCACATCTTCGTCTCATTGGACGATTCCCATATCTGCGACGCGGAAGGGTGAGGCTGAGCAGTTTGTTGTTATGCATGGGAGGCACAGCATGTGCCCCGAGATCCTGATTGGTTCGACCCACCACAAACGTGCACCAGCCCCCAAAACTCGAGGCAGTTCTTGGAGAAGAAAATGCAACGCCGACGACGCTGACCAATGAAGGTTCGTGAAGTAGGGAGAAAGCGCCAATAGAGATTTCTAGCGGGGTTTAGCGGCGTCGGACAATCCTATTATTCTTAATTACGCCGGCGGGGCACTTCTAGGCGACGGATCCTCCGACCGAATCTAGATTAACACTGGTAGTGTTGATGCCCGAGTCAGATAGTCTCCGAGATGCTGTGCCGTACCTCACCCTCCCTCCTCTCAATGCCCGGTCCGAAAGCTAGCTCATGTCCGTCGTGCTGATACAAAAGAGCCATTCTTTTCCTCCTTGCTTTCGCCTTCGATAGAGCCCACAGCGGTCTTGCTCGTGTCCACCCTCTTCACAAAACCCCTCCTGGGCATCGACTCTACGGGCAGCTCCGCCAATTTCAATTTTCCCACCGTGACAGGGACCTCCTGCTTCAGACCTGCCCAAGTCCCTTCTCCATGCGCTTCATAAGCTCGTCGCTGCAGCTGTAAGACGCCGTCTTGAATCCAGCGATCGATTCGAGGAGCAAGCGCTTGACGGAATTTAGAGAGGTGGATCAGGAAGCGGAGGATTGAGAGATCGAGAGTCGTGACAATGACGGAGAAGGTAATTATGAACGCTAGGCCAAAGACGTTGATATTCCTTTCCCCTCTGTTGTTAGCTGTTTCTGAATGAGCGGATTCGTAAGGCAATACTCACACAAAGCCTCCGGCTTTCGGCATTTTTTGCATCCCGCAGAGAGCGCGTTCGGCTTGCGTCTGCGGATACACTACGTACTCATCGGCATTCGAATCCCGGGATTTTGCTCCTATGGCGTAGTCTGGGATGAGAACTTGCAGTCCGGCCCAGACCTGGCTCGTCCAGCCCATAACCTCATTGATCCACCAGTCATCAGGAAGTCCATCGCGAATGGCGCCACCACGGATATAAGCCGATGCACGGACGTCTATTGCATTTGTGATGTCCCACAAGAAGCACGAGTTGATTATGTGTCTCAGTACAGCTGTTTGGACTGCCGACGCGTTGGAGAAGGCGGGAATGTGATCGCCCGGAAGTGGTCCAAGAGTAGTGCATGTATCGTCCGCGATACAAAACTGATACTGCAGATGGTAAGCGCTTTTCATGAATCTGACGTTACAGGATAGCTACCTGTTCCGTGCAGCCCAGCACGGTGCCTGGGTCGTCAGAGAAGTACTCCACCGTTATATCCTGCAGCCCGTAACTATCGTGCTCTTGTCTTTGGTGAGCTGCAAACACCGTATCATTAACTGGAACCTCATACGCAACCTGATTCTTGCCAATGAACATGAGGCCAATATCGGCATCCTCCAGTGCCATCTCGGGCAGGGGTGCGAAGGCACTATAGTCGGCTCTTTCAGGGGAAGAGAAACTAAGCATATCTCGAACCGTGTACTCCTCGGAGACGTTGGCCTTCACAAAGCTCTGATAGAACGTCGCGTTGGCCCAATGGTCTGGATCTTGGCCTACCATCATCCCGTAGAGAAAGAGTCGGAGTTGTTCACCTGGTTTTGGAAAGCCGGCGAAGGCTGGATAATCGGTTGCATTGACAATTGCTACACGCCCGTCAAGGGGTAGAACTCCGCAAGAAGTCCTCTTCCTGAACTTGATATGGTCTTTGGATGGCAGGTTGAGGCCGAAAGCGTCGTTCAGGTCCAGTAGCCCGGAGTCAAGGCTCACCGCTGGCTGCGATGTATCGCCTACGCACATAGAGGGATGGAATGGGCACGCGATCCGCTCTTGCATCAGAGGTATGTTAGGATGCGCCAACGTGTTGCATTGAGTTGGCGCCGAGTCATTATTAGTGTCCAAATAACATTCATCCACCAATCTTTGGCTTAAGGGATAGATCGAAGTAAGGTATCCACGGTCAATAGCGTCCCCTAAGGTGCCGGTCCGATTAGCATACGCCTTAGTCCGGTATTTGTACCACGAGGTCGGCTTACAGGTTTCGTTGGGCTGGACATTCAAGAAGCCACAACGGTTGCTGTCCACCAGAACACTGATCGAATCGCTGGTTACGATGTAGGATGAGAATATCCCAGCCATTAGGGTGCTTATGGTGAACAGAAGCGCGAGCAGCCAGTGGAGGATAGTTCGCGCCACAACGTGATCGGCCTTCTTCCTCCAGGACCACCAGAGCTTGATGTGTTCAGCCATGAGGGTGCTAGGAGGAGGCAATGTGCGAAGGAGGGCTTGCTGTTGGCGAAAGAGGGCGTCGGCAGGATAGCCATCGGCGCGCACTTGGTGCACGAAAAACGTGACCAAGTTCCACATGTGAGTCGTTGCTGTCTGAGCCGTTAGCGATCTATGCCATGTAGCATCTGAAGCTGTGGGGAGTTCTAACCCAGCGAAGCTAGCACCGCAAGAAGTGCGATGAGGATTGTCCCGGTTTTGGTGTCCGTGGTGATAGTTCTTCCCATAATGGGGCCTTCGGAGTGATCGACCCAAAGGCCGCGCTTAACGAAGCGCGATTGCAATTCAGACATCTCGACAGAATTCTCCTTCCGCGATAAAAGCTAACGAGACATGGGACGTTCGACGAAGAGCGCAGGACCGGAGCTAGAGGCGATATATGTTCCGCAACTTCGCTCAACGTCTGCTTTGGTGCGGAAACATAAATTTATTCCCCTGCAGCGGACATGGTAACCCTCTGGGGCCAGAATCGTGAACATGGAGAGCTGATAAGTGATTATCGCGCGGGTGGACCGGATGGGCCCTAGGCTCGCAGAACTACGGCTGATGTTGATTAGTGCTGGCAAGGTTTGCTAAATCAGACGGTAAGCCATGCAGATCAATATCGCCATAGGCATGACCCTCCCAGCTCCTCCCCAGGCATAATATATTATGGCACCGCCAGCATCGAAGCCAGTAGGGGTATCGTCCAGGATGATGGGGTCCGAAACGTTACAATCGTATATACCGACTGGAGCACAGCTGAACCTCTCCCCAGTCTTCTCACGTGCTCCACCAACCAGCGAAGTTTGGCGAGCAAGGCGCTGGGGGATCGTCAACTCGTTCAGACCGGTTCGTATCAACCCAACGCTAAATACACCAGGTTCCCAGCTGTACAGACGTCGACCAGGCTCCGATTTGAGTGTGGAAAACAACGCGGGCTGACAGCGATAGTAAGCAAAGAACGATAGGAAAATATACGGGAAGGAACCGGCGTACGTACCACATGCCCCATCGCGCCAGGGCCCTTGTCCGTTCCTGCAAGCTCTCTTCATAAGCTGGATACTCGGCAAATTTCCGATTTCGAGATACTGCAGGTCCACGACACGGTTGGCTTCCCTCTTCGAGCTGAAGGAGCCGTGGAACTACGAACTCGGGCGATGGCCTTATGAAAGCTGTATGCTTAATCGGACGGCGATGATCCCAGTTCGAACTTCGTTCGGCAAGCCATACCTTTCCTTAGCATTCCTTAGTCGGAGCGTTCGGCTTCGCATCTGCCGATGATTGTGACTGGTGTTCGCCTGGAAAGCACGGGATGCGAGGCGGGGAGATGCCTTGAGGAAGCCAGGCAAGTTTTACCGAGGACCGACCCGTTTCATTCTCTAGCCCAACTTCCAGCTGGAAACATCAGCAGGAGTTAGCAAGTAGAGAAAGCCTACAAAGTAAGCTAGCTTCGAAGCGAAATACTGTGTACAAATTCCGACGTGTGGAGTGAATATGGGGCTGCAATTGCTTTTCCGTTGACCCAACTCCCTAGGCACGCGATCGGAACGCGTAAAAGAATCCGATAGGTGCTGCCGCGATTAAAGGGACAAATATGGCAAAGGATATGCCTACTTTGGTACCAACAGACAGTGACGAAGTATACAATTTCCATAGTCCAACGCCTACACCTGAAGGGAATGCACCAATGAGAACCACCCACAAGAAAGCTAGTAGACTGTAGCGACAAAATGCCGCCAGTAGATAGGCTTTCGCAGCGATTTCTGCCACGACACGTCTGGGATTCAAGCTCAGAAAGAACGTTGGCGCAGCCCGCACGATAGCGATGATATCGGTCGAGTAAAGGAAGATGTAGGCCGTTGAAGTTACCAAAACTGAGAGCACAACCCAGATCCAGGCCTTGACATTGCTGTCGAATTCCTGGTCGGTTAGCGTGCGTTGAACTTGCAGCTCGGCACATACTGACCACAATGTTCATCCCGAATATTGAAGCCACGAAGGTTAGCGGGATGAAGAAAAATGCCAGGCTCGTCAATTTGGAGACGGTTTCGGCTTCTTTGATAGCCTTATGGCTCTCAACGATGCTCATGGTTGACATGAGGAGCTGGAAGCTCGACTCCACTCTCTTTTGCACGTCGTCTAGCTGCGAACCCAGATCCTTGAGCTCCACTCCACGAAGTGTTGTAAGATCGCATTTGAGTTGTTCGGCTCGTCCTTTTTCTTTCAAGGGCGTTTCCGGACTAGGGTGCTCCAAGAGGCCGTCAATCACCTTGCAGATGTAACCAATTGAGGCTCGGAGAGATAGAAGGTCCTTTCTCCACCTCCCAAGGCGTTCTCGCCACGTCCGCAAGCATGAATGTAACTTCTCATCATGGGCCAGTGACAGGTCGATTTCGTCCAGTGCCTCGTGTAAGTGAAGCAGTAGCCGAAATGTGTCTTGCTGTACCATTTTCGAAATGACGAATACCGCGGTTCGGTTAAAGTCGTTGAGAATTTCGTGCTCTCTATAGGCCTCGATTTCTCGAACGAAACGTTGCATAGTATTGCAGTGCTCGTCTTGCATGAAACAATGCTTCGATTCTTCGTTCTCGTCAGCGATTAGAGATCCCTTGGCCCAGAAACGGTAGCGGCGGTCTTTTATTACGTGCTGTCTCGGTGGATCAAAAGCTATGAGCCCTGTTCTTGCAGGTTAGTTTCATAACATAGATGACGTAACCAGTCATAACTCGTTACCTGTGAAGCCCGTAGCGTCTTGCCTCCCAAACAATGCGACGCATTCTATTGCTGAATGGACTATACTGTCTGGAAGCTTACGAATGGGACCGTAAGGACGATGCGTCGGATACTTGCGTTCGTATCGCTTGTGATCGAGACTGAGTTCGGCGGGATCGACGAAAGTGTCAATACTATACGGTTTCCCCTTCTCGATACGCTGCTCAATCTCCCAAAGCTCGGGTTTCTGCTCTAGAGGCCGCAGCCACTTGAAATAGAAACAGTTAGTCCCTGGAAAAGTAGGGCCTGGTACGCCGCGTATATGCTCGGTTTTGTGGTGCATGGCGAAATCCGCTGGGGTGGAAAGTAGACTTTCGAACGGAGCGTTGTCATTGTCCGCATCGCGATATTCGGCCATGTAGAGTCTTACTTTGGTAGAAGATTCGCGTGGCGCCTCTGAATCAATGGAGGGAACATTGACTCGGGAGCCCAAAAGGCCGGTTTTCGTCCATTCGTATGAACCGCTTTCACTTTTGCGGAATTCATGAAGCCATGACCATGTTTGTCCAGGCAGCTGTTGGAGGTCGAACTGGAGATAGGGAAGCGTTAATGATAATCGCGATCTTCTACGAGGACGGTTTGCGGTTCTGGGCCTGCCGATTTCAGTTTACTCGTCTTTCGTAAATAGAAGACATCCATATTCACCGTTGCGGAGTCATGATTGTGATGTATCCCAAATTGCTCGTACAATGATTTAGATGGTCAGCTCCTTTGCTCAGGACGAAACAAGAGAACGGACGGCAGTGCGATGATCTACTATTAGTATGTCAGCAGCTTGACTTCGGGTTGCAGGCGCGAACATGTAAACAACCGAGGAGAGAGGCAGAAAGAAGGCAGAAAAAGCACTTACCCATACCTATATTGTGGCCTGATCAAGCCTCACTCGCTTGTTCTTCCCCAACGGAGTCGCAGTTGGCTGTCGCCAAGAGCTGAAGGATGCATGAAGCAAATGAGCTCATACGCCACTATTGTACCAAGGGCTTCAATGCAGAAACCAATCAAATGCTCATCTTCTTTACAGTATCAGGCTGTGTAGAGATCCTGGAGTATCCAGCCCCTTTTCACGACCCACAACGTTCCTAGCTTTCTCCATCTGAATCGTAGTCTCTTTTTTCAACCCAAGCCGCGGAATCTCCAGCTTCGTTTCCCAATCCACGTCTTCCTCAGGACAAGCCGAATCAGTGACATCGTGCGAAGTCAGCGTACGACTCGAGGCCACGCTCACTCCATCAGTCCATGTTAGACCTCTCTTGGGAACTGTGTTCGGGTTGGGGGCGGGATGTCTCGTGGGGACCTTCTTGCAAAGGTACACCGTGCGAGTCACCGCTAAGTTAACTTCCCGCGCGCCGACACTGATAAAGCCCACCTTATCGTGGCGGACAAACTGATCAGGACTTCCTCCAAGCAGCTGCTGCACTACAATTCCCAGCCATCTTGACCCATGGTGCTGGTAATGACAATCGAGGATGACAACGTAGAGAGCGCCACGGCAACGCCAAAGCGGGACCTCCATACGGACGCCTTTGTTTGTTAACGTGTAGGGTTCAGCGCCGTAAGAGAACTGGCGGACCGCGTGCGAGTCAGCGAACTCGTTCGGATGTCGTGCGAAGATGGAGCGTCCTTTATCCGATTCCAATAGCGGTACAAGTTGAACATTTCCGTCCCACTCGTCCAGCTCTTCTAGATTTAAATCCCATGAGTGTTTGGCGGTCTGTGGTCTCCATGCAAACAGAGACTGATCTTGAGAATCTTTCATGATCTCCTCTTGCAACCTGACGAATGCTTTCTCCCCTTCCCCGTAGAGCAGCGGCATATTGACGTCGAAGATTCCCAGCAAGCAATACGCAATATCTTCAACTCTCGTGGTCACTCTTTTCGCCGCCCAACTCATCCTCCTGGCCACGCTGACAGCCTCGAGACTCCCACCTGCTAACGTTTCTTCATCGATGCCTGTAATCCTCGCAAGCTTCTCAACCATGCTCGCCTTATTACCCACGAAGTTCCATCCCTTGATGTAGAAGACCACCTTCTTCGGAGCAACAAGCTCTTGCAGCGTCCAACCTCTTGTAAACCACTTTGCCTTGGCCAGATCCCTCTCGCCCAGTAAATCAATGCTCTTCGTCCAGAATCGACTCGGATTCCCCTGCGCAAAGCCGATATCGCCGCTCCTAATCGGATCAAACAAGTCGATATCATCCAGATACGCGTAGCACACCTGCGCATTCTTATACCATCTAAACATGCTATTTATCGCTTCCGACAGCTCAGCCGAGCTGGTCTTGTCGATGCAGCAAGTATCGACCCAACAGTACGACAGCCCATCAATCAAAGCCTGTGCGCACGCTTTCGTAATCTTATAGTACCCAGCTTTAGCCTTGATGCGGATGCGCGCGTTGCGGAGCGACATGTTGAGCCCGCGCAGTTCCTTGAACGTGATCTCCGAGTTGCCCCATGTGTGCGAAAGAATGGCGTAAGGCGGAATGGTGGCTTCATTGTGGAAGTTTTCCAAGCGAAGGGTGTGCGCGTTGATGAGTCGCATGTCGAGGTGCGAAGTGAACTGTGGTTGACTTACACTTGGTTTGTGTGGAAGGAGCGAGCGTCGTAATGATGCCCAACACTTGAGGCTGTGTTGCCTAAGCCACTCGATGGGTAGGGTGTCTGCTCACGACGCGGGGCAAGGATTCAGATCCACTAAAAGGTGCTGGCTGATACGCACGAAAGGATGAGATGGCGCGGACACACGGGGAGGTGGCCAGCAATGCATTGCCAGAAGCGGGCTGAACCGAACTGGAGTAAAAAAGCGCTACCAGACATTGAGCGGATACAGGTTCAATCTCATAATGCAGATACCACAGCTAAAGCAAAAGAAGCAGAGGCAGTTATTTGTATCGTACAGATAGAGTTCCATTGCGCCAAAACCAATACCACCGTGTCGGAAGGAGCGTGGTTCTACCGCAGGTCGCCGTTCCCAATAGCCAAATCGCTAGACCCTTTCGCTTGAGCCAGAATTTCCAGAGCATGGCTCGAAGCAATGCAACGCCTTTCTCCGTGCTCCACCTTGTGTAGCTTCAAACCTCCCATTTACTTGGACTCCTCAACGACCTCCTTCTCGGCAGCCTCCTCGTACACAGGAGGAGCGTCATACTCCGGAAGTTCGGCGTAAACCTCCTTGTCACCGCGCTCCTCGATATCCTCAGGCTGCTCCTCTTGAGCAACGCTCTCATACGGGCTCCTGCCACGGATCTTCGCCACAACAATAGCAATGAGGCAGCCCAAAGCCATGCCGATGAGATATGTGAGAGTCCCGGCGAAAATGCCAACGAGGATTGGGATGAGAATGGTGAAGAACGCACGGCGGAGGAACCGATGCAGTCGGTGGTGAGGATGGTGGTGACCACCCATGTGGTGAGGTCGGTGGTGCGGGTGGCCCGGTCGGAACCTATGCGGGGGCTTGCCCTCGGTGGTTTCCTCAGCCATCGGATTGCCCTTGTGCTTGTGGCAGCCCTTGCCCATAGACGACTTGATGCCGTTGATCCTATCAGCCAAGATAGACTTCCATTTGCACAGGAGAGGCCACTCCTTGCACTCCTTCTCTTGTTCGATCGGGCTGGCCTCGACAGCTTTGGCTGTTTCAAACGAGGCGATCATAAGGCGGCCGTTGGCATCCTTCAGCAGGTTAATGGTGAGCGCGGGCGGATCCGCCGGCTTTCCCTCGATCGATGTAATTCGGAAGGTCATAGGGACGAGTTCGGTGCCAGCCTCGGTGATGGTCTCCGCGGTATCATAGTGGAACGTGTAGCCCGTTACCCGCAGCCGAAGTCCCTCCGAGCGAGGCTCAATCTGTGTGACGAAGAAGGGCTCTGTGAAGAAGCCGAACGTCGGGGGATATAGTTGAACGCCGTCGATATTGAGAGTGTCTTCGTGGGCTCCGACTTCGAAATCGAGCAGCTACAGCATCGCGTCAGTAATGTCAGCCGCGGCCTCCCGTAGGTTAGCTTACGAATGTGTTGCCCGCATCCTGCGTCCAGGACAAGGTATTGCCCTCTCGCGATGCGAAGGCGCAGGTAGGGCATTCGAGAGATACTGTTCGCTTGAATGGATTGAAGGCGAGCGTCTCCATGGCGTTATCGTCACCAAGGTCGGCAGCCGCCATGTTGGGCGGAATGAGGACGGCGCCGGCGCTGGCGGCCAGCGCCAGGATGCCCAAGTTGCGAGAAAGCATCGTAAAACTGGTAGAGGGAGAAAAAGAGATGGGTATACAGTGGTGTAAGAAGAGGTTGTGGAGAAGGGAAAGGTGGTGAGATGGTCGCCCGAGACAAAGCCACTTCCAAGATCCGAGCCAGCCGCGTCATACATTCACGTGACTATCATTATGTAATGATGCCTCAAGATACCAACATTCAGTCAATATAGAAATACACAGCTTTACGCTGCACTTCACCACCCTATCTATGTCCAGCGACCCATCAATCACTTCGAGACATACGGTCATTCATGGATGTTTCACATCAGCGTCCAAATCGATGCAATAAGTGAGGTTCCCTGCTGAGCGCTGATGTAGAGTGAACCTGCCTGCAGCAGCATCTGCGCAAAGGGAGGGAGGAAATGTGATATGCATTGAACATGCCAAAAGAACCTGACAGAGAAGCTCTACCAATCATATTCATTCCAGGCTATGCAGAGGTGCGGCGTGGTTCCGGAGAATGCTGGTGCGGCTGGCGTATGCTGCTGTCCTCGCTGTATAAATCGAAGGAGAGCAGTGCCCTATTTAGATAACCGAGGTACTGAATATATGAAGAGCTTGAATAAAAGAAACAAAAAGGAACACGCAGGTTTACTTAACCGTTGCTGCTGCATTCTTCAAGTAAAGAGGCGCGTCAAACATGAAGTCATTGGCGACGCGTGCTACTACTCAGAGAAATGTAAGGTATCTCCACTCTCTGACGCCTGCGCGCTCCGAAACTCTCCAGTAATGTCAAGCATCCCAGTCTGCATATTATTGGAGACTTTCGAGGCCGTACAACCGATGTTGGCGTGGCGATAGAAAAGAAGTTGCCCAGCGCCGCTGGTGTTGGTCGCGGCCGAGCTTTTGGTGTTCCTCGCCGCCTGGCCGCTGACTAACCCGCCTCGGCTCAGACGAAACTCGCCCGGGCCGCTTTCCTCACGCAAACTGAGCGCTGAAAGAACGTCTGCTTTCCAGCACCCTTATTTTGCCAAGAAAATAAGAAGTTTTGATGTTGCGAGAGCGTCCGCTGGCCGCCTGAACAGGCTAGCGCCGCTTCTGTGATCTGGAAGGCAGCGATTCCGCCTCCCTCTCTTATAAAGGCCCTGCCGCCCGCTTTCTGCACTTCTCTTTTCTCTCTCTTTTCTACAGTATCTCAACGCCCGCCTGCATACAACTACCGACACGCGCAGCACGCCACAACTCGACTATTCCATCAAACTCCATCCACATTAACACACTTTCATCATGACTGGACGTAAGTACAGTATTTATTTCTCACCTCGCCGTCGCGTTCCGCATCGCTGCAGTTGTTGTTGTCGCCGCCGCTGCACCTGCGCGATCTCGTGACGAGGCTCGCGCATGGTGTTGCACGACGCGTCCACTCAACTGCACCGCGACTACACTCTACTACAGCACAACACCACCACGTCGTCGCTGCACGACATCATCTTCGCGATCCAGCATGCTGACGTCTCTCTCTAGGCGGCAAAGGTGGCAAGGGCCTCGGCAAGGGCGGCGCTAAGCGTCACCGAAAGATTCTTCGCGACAACATCCAGGGCATCACCAAGCCTGCCATCCGACGTCTCGCTCGTCGTGGCGGTGTCAAGCGTATCTCTGCCAGTACGTTGCCTTCACCTCTACCTCTCGCATTCCATCACTAACCTCGTCGCAGTGATCTACGAAGAGACCCGTGGTGTCCTGAAGACCTTCCTCGAGAGCGTCATCCGTGATGCCGTCACATACACCGAGCACGCCAAGCGCAAGACCGTCACCTCCCTCGATGTCGTCTACGCTCTGAAGCGACAGGGCCGCACCCTCTACGGCTTCGGCGGTTAAGCGTCTCACTTCGTCCCTCGTCTCGGCTATCTGTCCTCGATCTCTTCACCGACTACCTCGCAGTTCTCGGTCAAGGGGGTGTGCGGTGTCGCGAATAGTCTTAGGATATGGGGTTGGTCACGGTTATCGGTCTTCGGCGTTAGGGCTATGTCATGGTGGTTTCATGATTCGACGATATGGGTTGAGCTCTACTGTGAAGCATGAGTCTTCGCGCGACTAGTAGATAGTCAATGCAAATATCTTCAATGCATCTCTGCTCCTGCATGTTATGTGTTACTGATCTACTGCGCTGGTGCCTTGATCTCGTTTCCTATATCCATGTTGGGTCATAACCTTCCGTGTTCTCATGACGGTTGCTCATCCAGCTCTCCACCGCCTCATTGATATGCCGGCACTCTGTTGTGACACCGAACAAACCCCCTTCAACCCTAATAGCCTCTAAGCTCCACTCTTTCAGCCCATCACTCACACTCTCCACCCCGTCCTCCACCACCAGCACATCGTAGCCCCGATCGCTTGCTTCCCTGACCGTACTGCTAACACACGCGTCCGCCGTTACTCCGCAGACCACCAGATTCCTGATTCCCCTACCCCTCAATGCAGCATCCAGCTCCGTATTTGTAAACGCCCCTCTTCCCGGCTTATCGATAACCGGCTCCAGAGGCAGCGGATGCAACTCAGAAATAATATCATGCCCTCTCTGGCCCCTGATCAGTAACCTCCCCAGCGGCCCCTGAGACCCAATCGGCGCTCCGTTCACGCTCGATCTATGCCTCTCGCGTGAGGATATGGTGGACATGTGCGGCGCGTGGCCTTCGCGCGTGTGGAATATGGGGAAGCCTGCGCGGCGGAAAGTGGAGAGCAGAGATACCAGTCGCGGAATTATGGATTGAAATCGCGCTACGGAGTAGCCTTGCGAGTCGAGATAGCCGCCTATAGAGAGAAAGTCGCGCTGCATATCGATGATGAGGAGTGCGGTTGTCTGAGGGGAGAGGGAGGCGTCGTGTGGCCAGGCGTAGGGTTGTGCGGTTTGGACTTGTGTGATCTTCGACATGTCCGGAGAGAGGATGGTGGTCGTGACTTTGGAATAGCTGGAGTTCTGAGATGCGGAAAGCGAAGATTCAAATAAAATGGGATGAGAGGCGGTGTGGGAAATCTACAATGCGCTGGCGCATACAACGTTTCTCTGCTAAAGCGACCCCATCCTTAATGCCCAATGCTGGAATGCCTCCTGGCAACGAGGTTAGATTTCACAGTCCGGACGCCTGATGACTCTGTTGTTCAATAACGCCCCAAAAATTTGGCAAGAGTGGATACGAGATCGAAGCATCAGGGTTTTGCTGCTGCGGAAATATCACTAGGCCCCCGTCCTAGCTGCAGCGTATCGGAGAAGATTCGCCGTTAGATAGAATATGGCACAGTACGTAAATCGCTAGAATAAGACTACAGTTGATGTGAGGAGATTGACAGATGACGCTGGCTGCACCTGCCTTTCTCGGGTAGGCCCGTTATCCACGGACTCTCAACCTCCATCCCGATACATTGCGACCTCTCTCATCTCAAGCGTAGCTCAGCCTCACATTCATCAAGCACATCCGCGAAGATTCTCGACCGTAACAAGCTTCGCAAAAAAAGCTTAGAATCCAGACCATCGGTGCCCGCAATGCCTCCCTAGGGCACCCCGCGCTGCCGAACTATGATCCCGGACTACATACGACAGCATCCTAATCGTGACCAATCGCCTTCACATAAAGCAGCTCCGATAAGGGAAATACTACCCGGACCCCTATACGCAAAACAGCAGCTCGTGCATACCGAGGAACGATCTTGCGCTTCGAAATGCGTTTTTTTCGCCCCCTACTGGCGTCGCTATCGGAGCGACAGGGTGGGACGGTTTGCTTCCAACGGGAGGGAAGCGATAGATCGTCGGAGCGCTTAATTTAAGCCATATAAAAGCGGCCATGGGACGAACTGCCTGTTGATCTGCACTGTGGGAAGCTTTTTGAGGCTTATAGCTTTTGACGACTGACGCCCTTCAATTCATCACCATGGCGGCAGATACTGAACCGGAGACGAAGGTCTTTCAGGACACGACTAGTGACGATGCTGTGCTTGAACAACTTGGTTACACTCAGGGTATAGAGCTCTTCGTGTATTGAATTGTCTTACAGCTGACACTACGCAGAACTGAAGCGAAATTTCGGTCTTCTTGGGATGGTTGGGTTCTCCTTCAGCATCGTTACTAGCTGGACGGCTCTAAGCGGAGTTCTGATCATCGGCGTCGAATCTGGAGGCCCTCCTGTCATGATCTGGGGATGGCTCGCAGTCTGCTTGTTCAGCCTGACTGTTGCGTACTCTATGGCTGAAATGTGTAGTGCGTACCCCGTAGCTGGAGGTCAGTACAGCTGGGTGGCGATACTCGCTCCGCAACGTTGGGCTAGGGGCTTATCGTACGTTTGCGGCTGGTTTATGCTGATAGGAATCCTGGCAATGGGTAATCCAACCTCGTGGGACGGGTACCGTGCAGATGCTAATCGTATCGCCAATCTAGGTGCTACCAACAACTTCGTGGCCGCAAACTTCGTTCTGGGAACGGCCCAGCTGAATCATCCGGATTACACGATTGAGCGATGGCACACGGTCCTCGTCGCCTATCTCATCGCCTTCGCCGCAACAGCATCGAACATCTTCATTTCGGAAGCTCTCAACAAGATCTCCAAGGGTATCCTCGTCTGGAACATAACTGCCTTCTTCGTGTGCTTCATCACCATCCTGGCGACAAACGACCACAAGCAACCCGCCAGCTTCGTCTTCAGCGACTTCCAGAACTTCACAGGGTTCAGCGGGGCCTACTGTGCTATCCTTGGGCTTCTCCAAAGCGCATTCGGAATGTGCTGCTACGACGCCCCGGCTCATATGTCAGAAGAGATCGCACATGCCCGCAAGCAGTCACCCAGGGCTATCGTCATGTCGGTATATATTGGGGCAATCACCGGCTTTATCTTTCTGATCTCGCTTTCGTTCTGCATAGGCGACCTGGAGACAACGGCCGGCACGTCAACGGGCGTCCCAGTTATTGAAATCTTCTTCAACTCGACTGGGAGTGTCGGGGGAGCCTCCACTTTGGCGTCGTTGATCGCGGTCATTGCCTTGGTCTGTGCCAACTCGCTGATGGCAGAAGGTTCAAGAGCCGTGTACGCCTTCGCTCGAGACCACGGCCTACCTTTCTCCCGAACCTTCAGCAAGGTTTCCCAGAAGAAGAAGGTTCCGGTATATGCTATTCTCTTGACGTGCCTGGTGCAGGTTGTGTTCAACTCCATTTACTTTGGAACGTTAACGGGATTCAACACTGTAATCTCGATCGCGACACAAGGCTTCTGTGAGTGCTAGAGCGCTATTCGAAGATGAACGCTAACCGCATCAGACCTCTCCTACGCCATGCCGCTGCTCGCCCGCGTTCTCGCCCACGTAACCGGCAAGAAACACCGATTGGAGGGACCGTATTCGCTGGGTCGATACGGGTTGGCATTGAACCTCGTCGGCTTCTTGTTTCTCACGTTCTGCTGCATCACTTTCAATTTTCCTTCAATAAATCCGGTCGACAGCGAGAACATGAACTATACATCTGCTGCTACTGGGGTGGTAATGTTGATCAGCTTAGTGACCTGGATCACCACGGGCAGGAGGCGCTTCACAGGCCCGGATGCTGGGCATCTGCTGGACGTTGGGAGAAGAGAAGAGGTGGCAGCAACAGAGGAGAAGGCCACGTAGCGGATCTCGCACCATTTCGGCCCTAGAGGCTGAGGGCGGCACAGTGCTGCTTCAAGCATGCCTGCTCCTTTCAATCCTTCAAACTCCACGTCCACATTCTGTGCCTTACGAAACGGCTCCTAGCCTCCTCCGAAGTAGCAATCATGTTATCGCAGGCAAACTCGGTGGCTGGCGCTGTTCGAGTCAGCCCACTTCAATTATCACCAAATGTGGGACGTCATCGTGCTGCAGCAGGGTCTCAGGCAAGAAATTGCGCCGGGGTGACCGCGCTTCGCGACCGCCGACCTCGCCCTCGCCCAGGCGAGGAGAGAAATTCGGGGATTTTCAGAGCATCAATTGCTGGACCCGGGCCTCGTGGTGATTGTCGCACGGGAACGGACCGCTCTCACAAAAAATTCCCGGGTGCATGGCTGGTGGCAACTTAGGCATCGATCGCCTGATGAGGCTGAGGGTACCCAATGCGGGAGAGCTACGCTCCGTTGGGCATATCTGTCACTTTCACTTGTAGGCTTTAAGCCACCTGGACAGTTTGGGGTTGAAACTACTGTCCTCGGAAGACGCCTTTCTGCGGGAGGGCTAAGGCTAGGTTTCCGTGCCCTACCGGTCGTGGAGGAGGAATTGGGGTGGGGGGCGGGGGAGGGCTGTCGCGCACTTGGATGGTTTGAGACGCATGACCGTGCGGCAGAATTGGAGGGCACAACGCTCGCACTTGAGGGCTATGGCGGAGAGAGTTCCGAGAAGAGAGCGGTGCAGCTCTTCGTAATCGGCCGGATGTCCATGCGAGCTTCTCACCGGTCGGCGGCTGGAGAGGTGCAGCAGGCTTTGCGGCGGCCGTGATCGAGTCTTTGGGCGTTCGCGTGAGGCCTACGTCATTAATCGAAGCACCAGCCATGATTGCAGCCGTGCCTACCCAACCAACTTCCTGCTCTTGATCCGTCTGCCCTCCACCAAGGCCAGGCCACGGCCTTGCGGCATAGTTAATCCTTTCTTCCCGCTCTTCTGCCCTCGTCCTTCCATCATCCATCCCCCAGCCCGCTGCTCGGATCACCTCACCTTCTCGCTGAGCAGCCCCTCATACCCCGCCCGCACCCGCCATGTCGCGACGCTATCCCACCGCTGAGCTCTACGAAGAGCGCCAGCGCGACTTCTATCGCAATGGCAATCGCACCGAGCGCACTTACGACGAGCTTGACCTCGACCTCTCGCGCGGCAACCCCCGCCGCAGCGCTCCCGACTTTCTCCGCGACGACCACGATCGACGGTCCCACGCCGGCCCGCTCGTCGTGCGGGAGCGACGAGAGGAGGACTTTTCGAGAGGCCCGCCCCGCCGCCGTGAAGTCGAAGAGGACACTCTTGTCGTCCGCGGCGGCCGACCAGGGCCGCCTTCGAGCGTGCGGGACGTCGAACGTGACGACATCAGCATCCGCCGCAGCGACGCCGGCGAGCGCCGACGCCCAAGAGAGGTCGAAAGAGACGAGACGGACATCACCATCCGGCGCCGGGAGCAGTCAAGGCCCCGACCACCAGAGACTCGCGAATTCGAGCGCGAAGAGGTCAGCTTCCGACGCGGCGATGGCCCCCGTCCCAGGCCGCGCGAGGTCGACGTTGAACGCGAGGACATTAGATTCCGTGAACGACCTTCTCCGCCACGATCAGTCCGCGGAGGGGACCGTGAGGATTTCGTCTTCCGCCACGAACATCGCGAGGACAGCCGTCCTGGAAGAGAGCGCGACGTCGAGAAGGACACCCTCGTCATTCGTGGCCGGGAGAGGAGCATGCCACCCCCTCGCTCGCGAGGAGATCTGGTAGCGCGGGAGCGTGAGGAGTTCATCGTCCGCCGCCGATCACCCTCCCCGCCGCCCCGAGAGGTCATTAAAGACGAGATCATTATCCGGCGCAGAGAGGAGCGTTCCCCAACGCCTCCCCCTCCACCTCCACCACCGCCACCACCAGAGCCAGAGATCAGGCCACCGATTATTCAGGAGATCATCACCCATCACCGACACATCGACCACGGTAAGTTTTTGTTCTTTCGGCTAATTTCGCATGCACTGACATCCTACAGGAGTCGAGAGAGCCAGATCACCAACTCCACCTCCACCACCTCCGTCGCCGCCGCGCGATGAGAGCCTCGAAATCTCAATCCGACGAAAAGAGTAAGAGCCCCCTTCCAAAACGCTCTGAATTACACTAATTCTGCTGTAGAACCCGGACTCCGGGCAGAGACTTCGAGCAGGAGATCACATACGAGCGCGATACGTTCGAACGGACGGGTCGGGAGCTTGAAGTCAGCAGAAGCCGCGGACGATCGCTCAGTGCACCGAGACGTCGTGCGACCGCTCCGCCCGACTCCGACTTTGAGTTGGAAGCTGATTACTACAACCGCAAGGCTTTGGAGCGAGGTTATCCTGGCGAAGCATACAATGGCGCAACCAAGGACTGGGCGATTGTCGATGTGCCGCCAGGGACAAACCGCGTCCGCATGGATGGTATTGGAGGCGGTGCTCAAGAGATTACCTGGCAGCGCTACAATGGCGTGCGTCGCTCCAAGTTCATGAGTGGCGACGATGAGCTCGCGACCGACTTTGGCGCCCCTGCCCATGCAAAGCCAAAAACCAAGGATATGTGGACAGAAATCACGAAGGATCTTGTCATTAAGGAGGCTATCGACTCCATGGGTTACGACTACGAAGAGACGGATTACTTCTTCTATGTCATGGAGTACCTTCGATATGTAAGTGCACTTCTTCCGTATGTGAGGCTCCAACGCTAATGCAAAGACAGGAGGATGTTCTGCAGCTCGTTGAGATATCCGACGATATTCGCCGTAGGCGCAAGTCTCGCATTCGCCAGATCGAATATGAGCGCGAGGAGATTCGCGATCGGCGACCTCCTCGGGAGTGGGATGATCGTTTCTATGAGCACGAGGTGTCATATGACAGTCGCCGCTCTCGATACAGATAGACGGCTCGCAAAAGATTAAGTCGTCGCGCCCCGCCAAGCGAGACGTTCCACGGTCTATCGCAAGCAAGAGCAACGAGTATTCAATGACCGGTCGGGATTGAAGATGCATCCCTACTGCGGTGAGTTGTGGGCAAAAGGGATCCTTTCGGTCGGCTGTGAGGGAGTCCTAGCTCTCGCCAGCAGCGGATGGAATTTAGATGGTGCGCTATCCTTCTGAGTGCTCTTTGTGCACCCGACAGCTTCCGACACATTCCTTCTCGGGCTATACCACCCTTACGGACTATCTTCGATAGCGAGTTTGCCGCCAAAAGTTTCAGGATGATACCAACGACTCACGATATGACATCACGATGGTCGTGGCGGCGTTTCTCCTCAGAATGTCTGAGAGCGCAGTTGCAGCTCTCGGTCCTTGCATACCTTTACGACTCACGACTAGCATACGGAGCGAGCAAGAGCGGGATTGTAATGTTTCTCTTCCAGGTTTTCTTTTTACTTTCTCTTCTTCTCACCCATCCTTGGTCTGTCAGAATTAGTGTCAGTGTCGGTTTCAGTGGGTTGACGGAGCGTTGAAGGTCCATTTTTGCTGCGTCTTTCTTTTCTCTTTCCTTGTCTCTCTTATTGCTGTTAAGTAAACAGACATTGCTTGCAGGCACGTTTATGAATAGAGTCTCCGATGACAACATCAATATTTGTCGTGCATGTCTTGAGTGGGCAGTGCAATCTGATAAATGGAGACAGCAGGACGCGCCCAAAGCGGCTAGCCATGCGTTCCCCGCTCCAGAACTCACCGACAGTTGGTGCTCGTCGCCCGCAAGGCTGACAGGTCACAGGAATGCTGCCACGCCCGATATATTGGCCCAGCGAATTATTTTTAGGACCCCACTCACCCAGCGAGGGCGCGAGCGCGAATGCAATGTGCGTTTTCAGAAGAGCGCCGCGTCTCACCCCACTGCGGTTGTGGTTGGTGCACAACACCCCTGACTTGGCAGTGGTAAGCGCCCAGTTTCGATCGGCGTCGCCGCTGATTGGAAGCGGCGAATGCAAGGAAGTGCGACAGAGTTGCGGAAGCGCTGATGTGTTTCAATATGAGGGTGAGCATGCGGGCGCTTGTGTGTTTTGCGGTGCGGCGCCCGCGTTATAAGGCGGGGAGCCCGTGAGAGGCGTCAGATTTCCCGGCCGGAGAGTTTTGTTCCTGTTCCTTCGTGTTGGCGTCTGTTCAGTTGGTGATAAAGCTTCGCCCTTGCTGCTGCTGCTGCTGTTCGCGAGACTGAATGCGCTGTGCGCGCTGGCTTTGAATGATGATGGGATCCGGCCAGAGGGGCGGGTTTCGAGCGCTGGTTGCGCTGTTGCTTGCTTGTAGGTTCTCGTCGTTTCGTTTCGTTTGTGTGGTGGACATGGTTGGGGGAGATGACGGTCTCACTCTCCAACTGTTGGGAATCCGAGATGGGCTGGTGGAGTTGACGACCTGAACTTGAACTGACCATCTTGCTTGCAGTCTTTCCAGCGTTCATCCAAGCTCAAAACCCAGCGGCATCGACATTCTACCTCGAGGAAACCGAAACACAGTTCAGTCTCAATCTAGCAAACGACTCGAGCGGCGATGTGTTCATCTACTTTGCCAGTCCGGCGTATTCGTGGGTGGGCGTGGGGTTTGGGGACGGCATGAAGAACAGCTTGATGTTTGTCATGTATCCGAATCAGAAGGGCGACAGTATGTTTACTCTCCTCTGAAAGAAAGAGAGTTGAAGCGGCATGCTGATAAGAAAAATAGACGTCACCATCAGCCCCCGAACCGCAGACGGCCACTCCGAACCGAGCTTCACTTCCAAGCCCCAAATCTCCCTCCTCAATGGCACCAGGGTCACCGACGACGGCATGTTCGTCCTCCGCGCACGCTGCAGCGACTGCCGCGTCTGGCAGGGAGGCTTCCTCGACGCCAAAAACACCGCACACCCTATGCTCTACGCCTTCGGCCCCGGGAACCGTCTCCAGTCTAACGACGTCAATGCTCCTCTCCATCGACATATTCGCTACGGCAAGTTCACTATGAATATGGTGGCAGCGACTGGCGAAGGCGCGGTGCCGGCTAACACGACGGCATCGAATGGCGTTCAGATGGTAGGGGGTATGACGAGGGATCATGACCGGGCGAACCTGGCGCATGCGGTTATGGGGTGTCTGGCGCTGTTTGTATTCTGGCCGCTGAACGTCATCTTCGCGGGGTTCTTCCGGAACATCAAGATCCACGTAGGAGTCTCGGTCTTCATCATGGTATTCCTAGTCTCAGCATACGGGCTAGGGATTTCGACGAGTTCCGAGTACAACCGGGTAAGCCACCCCATCTCCCCTTAGCAGCAATCCACATGCTAACCCCTCACAGTCCAAATCCTTCACCTCCCCGCACCAAATCCTCGCCTTCCTCACCATCCTCCCCATCCTCCTCACGGCCCTTCTCCCCGTCAAACCCGTCTCGCACATCCACGCCCTCCTCCCGCGCATCCACACGCCCCTGACAACGTTAACCTTCGTCTTCCTCGTGCTGACCGGCGGGCTTGGCCTGCATCTCTACGCGGCGCCCACCTCCATCATCCTCGCCTACACCGCCATCAGCCTGCTCGTCTTCATCTTCAACGTGCTGCTGCAGACCTGCATCAAGCGGCGCGGCTCGGCGTACGCGCGCGCCACGCTGAGGCGGAGACTCGGCGAAGAGGACGAGCAGGACCTCGTGCTCGCGCAGTACTATGCCAACCGCAAGCTCGAGGATGAGAGGAGTCGCAGCCCGAGTGCTGCGAGCAGCGAGTACCATCAGCATGCGAGGAGTTTGAGCGGGGGAGCGGGGGGTGCTGCGGGAGGGAGTTCGCCTCCGGGGAGGGGAGGCATGTTTGGAGGGGGTTCGATGCCCGGGCCGCAGTATTTGCTCAATATGCACCCCGGTGTGCCGTGGAGACCGGGTGCGTAGGCGGTTAGGAGGGGGGAGGGGGGGGGACGAAGAGGAGCGAGGACGGACGGAGGGACGGATGGAAATGTACGACTACGGAGCCCTACCCGGCGTCCCTACGGTAATTCGGTGGGAAGGGTTTGGATGGGCATGGCTTACTTTCGTCCCTTCTTTTTTTTCTCCCTGTGGGTTTACGAGCAAGCGAGATACCAGGCGTCCTGGGGATATACCGAGCGATTGAGCATTTGGCGGCGCATACACCTCCTTCTTGTAACGAATCCACTTCATCCTCATCATCATCGCAATATTCGTGTCTCTCCCCCTCCTCCACCCTCGCCATTGCAATACAAGCATCCGATTTTAACCAAACCACCAGTCAGTCGATTTCACAAACTGCCCAGCAACCAGAGTGGGTCATCTACTCCCAGCGCTCAGTACACTCATGCTATAGGCACTGGGCATCCCTCAGCTGCTGCTGCGGCACACAGCTCATCTCCTCCACCCGTTTGGCCCGTCCATACTCGCGAGCCATGAACTTTGGCACCTGAGCACAAAAAATCATCCACTATTTGTCGTTGCAAAGCCAGGAGAGCACAATGGCACAAGGGTGTATGTGGCGCAAGCGCAAGCCGACCCACGACTAATTAGCTCTCTCTTCTTCTATGTATGGTCCTGTATAATAGTCCAGGTCTTGATGGAGGAGGGAAGAGAGGCAATGGAAGGGAAGAGAGAGAGGGAGAGGGAGAGAAGTTTGAACGCAGAAGAGGGCAGGCGCGTGGAAAAGGAAAAGAAGGCGCGTTTTGCATTCTGCATGCGGGCACACTTGATCGGCGAGGGGTTGCGTTCCGATATGTCATTTGTTGGTCTGTTCATTGTTCTACATACATACACTGCGTTATCCCATGCCCGGAACACTGCCCGTTCATTGGTATCCTGCCATTGTTCGCTGTACAATATGCACAATCTCGATGGCGTCGCTCGAAACCCGTAAGATAGCCTTGCGCCAACGCCGATGATGCAGTCTGTTCCACAAAGCCGTTCCTTCAAGCGTCACTGTCGCTCAACGAATCCCTCCTGCCAACGGCCCTCACGCCGCCCCTCCGATACCCATCCATAACATCCCGTTGTCGCCTCGCACTGCTTGGCCCACCGACCTGGCTGACGCTCTCGCTCACGCCGACACTGCCAGCGGAGCTCAAGCCCGGAATGTGGCAAGGGTAGGCAATAGTGCCTTGAACGTCGCCGTTCGCTTGGGTGAATATGTCGGAGGGAGCGGGCTGGCGCGAGGTGCGGTGGTGCTTGCGGGGTGACTGAGAAGAGGGACGGGAGCGGGTGCGGGATTCACGGTTATGGGCTGAGCGGGAGCGAGAGGAGGCGCCGGGGTCGGCGTTGGGGCGGTAGTCGGAGTAGTAAGAGGATTCTGGAATTCCCTCGGACGGGGCAGTGCGGTTCTCGGTATAAATGCCAGTGTAGACGGTCTGATCGTCGCCAGTTGTGAAGGAGTATGCGCCGGAAGGAGGACCACGACGAGCTGGGCCTGGAGCTTCAGACGGGGCAGTGACTTCGGTCATCGCGGGAGCTTCGGAGGGTGTAGCCTCGGTCTCGGTGCATCTGGGCTTCTTCGTCTTCTTCTCCTTCTTCTGCTCCTCTTTCTCTTTCTTTGCCTTGGCCTTCTCGGCCGCCTTCTGTGCTTTGGCTTCGGCGGCGGCGTTCTTAGCAGCCTCCTTTTCAGCAAGCTGGGCCTTCCTCATGCGCTCCTTTGCCCGACGCTCCTTTTCCTTGGCTTCCTTCTTCTTGTCCTTGGGATTCTTCTCTTTATCCTTATCCTTAACGAGGGGGCGGCCGGAGACGTTGGATCCGAGTTCGGAGGGTTCAGTAGCAGAGTAATCGGTGTACATGCCGTCAGCCTGGCGATTGATGCCTCCAACGCGTGCAGGGCGCTCTTCGCGATACTCGCGAAGTTCAGGGTCCTTGTAGTTGTTGGTGTGCTCGCGGCTCTGGTGCTTCTTCTTCTTCTTTTTCTCGTCACCACCTCGAAGACCAAAGTGCCGGCGGGATTTGCCCTCTTCGACCTCCCGCATTTCGCTGAAGTCTGCCGTGGTTCCCGTCTCATCGGTGTATCCAACGCTGGTCGCTGCGCCGTAGCTGCCGCCATGGACAACGCTGCCACCGCCCAGCTTCGTGCTCTTGGTAGCATTGCTGAGAGTCTTTCCGTCTGGACCCTTGCGCCGCAGAACTGTGGACTTGTAGTCCTCCCAGTCGTTCTTTCTCCACTTGAAGCCGCCGTTCTTTGCCCAGAAGAAGAACCAGAGCGCCGTAAGCACCATGCCGACCCCGATCAGAGCGAAGAGCACCTGAAAGCCTAGATTATTGATCTCGTTTGCGGGCTTTGCTCCCTTGCCGGGGTTGACCTTATACTCTGCACGCTTCGCGAGGTGGAGATCGTGGACGGCCATGGGCGAGAGGCCCGACAGGTCGGAGGTGATGGAGAGTGGTTGGGGCGCCATCGTGGGCGGAGTAGGATGAGAGTACAGCGAATGCGTCTGCCAGAATAATCAGGATGTATTCTGTGATGAAGATAATGTTGTTTGGGGAGGGGGAATGGAGCAATGCTCCCGTATAGCTTGGTTGTTGGCAGTGTGGCTGGTGGGAATTGGGGTGGTTGATGGGGAGGCTGGGAGCTCTGACGCAATTGCCCAAACAAACCGCTGCTCCGGCAACGCACGCGCCACCCCACACCACAACTCACCCATCGCGAACGCCAATGCCATGATTTCTCGATATTCAGCGCAGATCAGAACAAGACCACCGAAGGCGCGTTCCCTCCCCGGAACTCCGTATTGTCCCATCACTCGGAAACTCGACAGCAATTCTCTCCCGATCTGCCGATTCCCAAACTCTGACCTGACCATCCACCAGCTCCCAGCCATCCACTTCGGCAAAGCTCTTATTCCATTGCCCATGCTTGAACACTTTCAATCCCACACACTTCAAATCCCTCCTTGCCACACCAACTCCAAGGAGCACGGACAGGAAAAGCCGCAGAAGCGGTGGGAGCCTCTGGAGGAGCAGCAACTATCAATATAGAAATTGGAAGGGGAAGCCATGGAAGTGGATTTTTAATCGATTTCCCGGCAGGAGCGAGGGCGCCGTACAGGTTCACTAGCACATGTAGGCCGCTTCTCTAAGGAGGATTGGCTCGAGAACGGAGTCCTGTGACAATACTAGATGGTTTGGTACGGTCACTATCTTTCTATAGCGTCGCCTATTCGCGGGGAGGAAATCTAGGGCGATTAGTCGAATTAAGTTAACACAGTCTTGTGGAGAATGGCAAATAGTACGAACGTAGAGCTCCTATGTTCTCCTTGCAATTCTGACGGCGGCAAAACGAGGACATAGATTCAGTTCTACATCCACCTATCTTAAGAATGCCTCCGGGAATGTTATAGTACTCCAACCGACCTATCAGTTTCTAGAGAGCTTCGAGGTAGGAATATTCCAGAGCATAGTCCTTGTGTGAGAATGGAATTAAGTTCGGCGTGCCCAAGGTCAATGTTGTATAGGCGAGGATCCCGGGAGATAGTATGTTTAATTTATCAACCGAGAGCACAACTATAACCCAAAGTGATGGTACGAGAACTATTACACCTTAGTGTACGATAATGGGATGTACTCTTCTTTATTATAATTAAAGCCGAAATAGATCGAATTGGAATACATTAATCGAGAGCACTTGATTTTGTACGATTATAACTCGAAGTAATAGCATGCGAACTATTACACGTCAGTGTATAACAATCGGAGGTACTTCTTTTATTAATATTTAAAGCCGAAATGGACCGAATTGTAGTACTACACTACCCCACGCGAAATCTCGCCAGACCAAATCTGGAACACCCGGTCCGTGCGCTATTGCGCAGCAAAACACCCCACCCTCCTGACCAACCCACAGAAAAGTCCGGTGATGAGGCAGACCAGCCTGGTGATTCAAGTTCCGAATGAAGTTTAGCTCAGCAAACCGCAACTGCATATCTAGAGCTAACCTAAAGGCGTATTCTAAGCGAAGGGGAGCAGCAACTCCCCAAAGACGACATATCAAGTCTGCCACACACAAAGACACCGCAATTCCTTCTATTCAGCGTCCCGTTCAGCCAGCTTCGTGATATCCTTTTCTTCTCTTTCCTCCGGAGATACGTGACCAAACACGTCGTCCCGGGAAATTGGCCCGTTATTCGTATTGCTATCCGCATCGAGAGGGTCGGGCTGTAGGTCGACCCCTTGAACACTAGCCTCCAGAATCCTGTCCATCGGGATTGACTCCTGAGAACCAGAGGTAGTCGGGACACTACCTTCGGTTTGAGGAAATCCGAAGTTGGTTTCTGGGTCCTTGGAGAAAGCATTGAGGTGGAGTCTTTCCACATCGGAGGGACGTGCCGGATGCAAAAAAATGCAATGGATGGATCAGTCATAGCGCTGCCCTCGGGTTAGCTGTCGGAGATATCGACTTCCTTGACATTTCGGCCAGCAATGCCGTCTCCCTCTGTCCCATCAGGACCATTTGAATTGTTGCTCTCCTTGTCGAGAGGGTCGAATAGGTCTTTCCCATGAATACTGAGTTCCGCAATCTCTTCCGTGGATAATGCCTTCTGAGAATTGGAGGTATTCGGGGCATTACCGTCGGTTTGTGTACATCCGAAGTTTCTTTCTGGGCCCTTTGCCACCTTCAAAACATCGTCCATTAATATTACCTCTTCGTTCTCCTCCATAATCGCACTAAAGCCGACTCTCGCTTCGGGAGATAGAGGTTCGAAAATTTCATCCGACGGGATCGAAGTGCGCCCATCCATAGACTCGTTTGGTGTGTTGGTCTCGGCTAACATATTGTTATGCCCGATGCGTGGTGCGGCACTGGCATTTTAGATCGTTGGATCAGCCCTGCCAGAGTTGGTAGAAGAGTTTGGCTGATCGTCTGCCATCGTAGACTAACGTGCCAGGATAGGGAACCTGCCGGTTGCACAACACCACTTCACTGTCGATCGCAGCGACCTGCTTTCGTTACGGATCCGACGATGGGGGCGAAATCTTATTCCTCATTTACTGAGTGGAGTAGACAGGAGGTGATAGGTCGAATATCAAGATGCGCTCACCAGCGCGGGAGTGCCAGGAGGCTGACTAGACGACATCCACCACGACTTTGCCGATATGCCTACCGTCGGCCTGTGCTTCATGTCAGTAACCGCTGACCAAGTGCATACACCCGGAAGCCCTCTCAGTTCCAAAAAGGGAGACAACGAGATCAGTACGTACCAAGTATTCGTACGCCTCCTTCATCTCCTCGAACTTCCATATTTTGCCATCAACCACAGGCTTGATCCCCCATCCCTCAATCGCCCTCACCATCTCTTCAAACTGCGCTCTCGAGCTCACAGCTACACTCCTGACTTTGCACAACGCCTGCCTCACATCCCAGACATTCGGAACGTCCTCACCATGCCCTCCACTCAAATGCCCAATCAAGCAAATCGTGCCCGTCCCAATTCTCGCCGCCTTCAAGCTCTGAGAGACCGTTGATGCTCCTCCAACATCAATCACGATATCCGCTCCCACACCACCCGTCAACTCTTTCACCTTGACTCCCCAATCCTGCACTTCCCGATAATTAATCACCACATCCGCTCCCATTTTCTTCAACAACTCCTCCTTCTCCCCCGAACTCGTCGTCGCCACAACCCTCCCCCCAACCCCCTTCGCAAACTGCAACGCAAACAAACTCACGCCCCCCGTCCCCTGCACAAGCACCGTATCCCCCGCCCTAACATGTCTATCCCCCCTGTCGTACAAACACTCCCAAGCCGTCAGCGCCGCACACGGCAACCCCGCCGCCTCCCTGTAGTCGAGTGACTCCGGCACCCTAACCAGCGCATGCAGCGCAAAACCACCAAACTCCCTAAACGCCCCCTCCATATTCCCACCAAGATCACTCCCCGCGAAACTCCGTACGTCCTGGCCGTCGGAAATCCAGTCGCGCCAGAAGGTCGTCATGATGCGGTCGCCTGGTTTGAAAAGACGGACGGAGGGGCCGACGGCGAGGACGCAGCCGGCGGCATCGGAGCCTTGGATTAGGTTTGGGAGTGCGGGGCGAGTGTAGGTGCCTTTGGAGAGAGAGATGTCGCGGTAGTTGAGGGAGAGGGCACGGAAGTGCACGAGGATGTCGTTTTGGCCTAGCGGTGGGAGAGGGAGGGTTTGGATGGTTAGGGAGGATGGGCCTGTGGGGGAGGAGGGGAGGATCCAGGCACGGGTTGTTGTTGGGAAGGAAGGGGATGAGGTGGTCATGATTGGCGATGTGGAGATATCTTAGTGGAGATGGTTGCGGCGACTGAGAGAAGGATGATTGAAGTGTAGTCGAGGGTCGTGGTATAGGAGTTTTTGATGCCCTCGGAGGCGGACAGAGAATGCTCCACCGGGCCAACAGTCCCTCCGGGTTATCAGCTCCCTACCTGTCAATGTTCCGAATTCTTTAGTATCATTTTTGGACGAGGAAACAGCTGTTGGGTAGGTAAGGAGATGAGGAAGTTGTTTCTGACAAATCCAGTAGTTATGCAAGGCTGTGGGATGCTAGTAATTGATTGGTCAACAACACTCCGACCCCGTTGTATTTGGTTTAACATTTCCAAGCTCCTGTTTCCAAACTGAGAGATGGGATGCGAAGAAGCTTACCGAGATTCAGATGAGTTCAAAAGTCTTCAACTCAACCCCACGGGTTTTCAAAGCTTCCGGACTTAGTCTTGGATCGCCATACACTACTTCGCCCGTGACGTTGTTCCTGAAGCTTGCAAAAGGCTTGTCTGGAGGACGTTCCGTGTCCACCACTTCCCACTGGGATGACAAGGGTTCTAGTCGAGGATCTTGGTCCGTCGTTACTTCAGTCTGGGAATTGTAGAAGTGGTATTCCCAAGGTGTCGGTCTCTTTCCCTTCTCAAGGGAAGACTTGACCGACCAATTTTTGGGTAGCGATCCAAGAAGTGCCGCAGAGTCTTCAAAGCCACGGATATGACAAGGGCCGACTACTTGAAAGCGACCGGATTTGTGAGGCCGAAGGATCATTGGCTGATCGCAGCCAAGTAAGACGCAGATGCGGTCACCTGTTCTATAGCTCAGCAAATTTTGTTTATGATGTGCAGTGCTTCTACTCACCAGGCTGTGCGTTCACTGGACCCAGTCCAAAGTACCCTGCATCTGCCCAGAGGAACCTTTGATACGAGCAGTTTTTCACAGTTTGTACCACTGTGCTGTCCTTCATTGCGTCTTCGATTTGGGCGCTGCTTGTGCGCCGTGATATTTTCGACAGGTACGTATCTTTCCATGATTCTGTGGTTGGGTAGCCGTAATCTGGGAACCGTTCCTTGACATGACAACCGCGGAGAGTCAACACGAACGCGTCCAACATGGACTCGCCTGTCGGATACGAAGCCATTTGCAGATTCTCTGGCTCCCATTGCCGGATCACTTCGAGGACTTCTTTTGGCTGACTTGACGTGGCTGACCCGATATGGTGAATGACACCGCAGTGCACCCCAGCGACCTTGAGAGTATTCGGCGGCAAGTAGTCCATACATGCGGAAGATGTGTCGTAAAGTATCAGATCTCGTTTCCCGATCACCGTATTCGTGACTGTTGACCAGTCTGGAACCCAGGAAGGTCCGTCGATATTCCGCAAGCCCAAATTGCATTCGCGCAGCATGCCCAATCGACTTGAAAATTTCGAATATGTCAAAAATACTTCTTTGTACACGTCGGTGACTGTCAGTGAGTAGTTTGGTTTGATTTGGGCGGTGATTGTCGGGTGTGCAAGACCCAAAATGCCGTAGATCTTGTCCCGCGGATCGGCGCACAACCGGTAGGCATTCCTGGTAATCAAGCCGAACAACTGGCGTCCACACTGACGGAAAGCAAAGTGCATGAGTCTAGTGAATAGCTCAAGCAGCTCAGGTGACCTCCCGCTGACATTATTAGACCACAAGCCGATGATAGCGGCTTGCATATGCGGCCAAGGCATGGAGTCATCGCCACACATCACAATAGAGCGACTGTTGGCCATCTGCCCTTCTTGCGTAACCCAAACGCGGTCGAACCAGCCCCGGTTGAGCAAATGGTGCATAGCGGATAGTATCTCTTGTGAAATTGGTATGGGGTTGCCTCGGCGGTACCATTGCGTGTCTGTTGCTTCAGGTGCCCGATGGCACCACTCATTCTCTAGAAGAACTATTTGTGCACCCAGATGATCCAGCATCTTCATCGCCGCCTCGCTGTTGGTTTCGCGGGGACCGAGCCAGATTACGACACGGTCTGCCAGCCTGTAAATATCCGTCATCCTCTTGACTTGCTCGTTTCGTTCGGGAATGTTATCTTGATTGATGCACAGTGCGTCGATCCACAGAGTCCGCGTTGCTTTGGGGAATCGAATATGACGTAGCGCAACGGCAAGATTTCGTCGGAGAGGGAGTGTGACTGGATCTGCCTGTGTCGAGGTATTACTTATTGGTTGCACAAATGCCAGTTCCGGACAACTCTCTGGAGGACCCCAGGTGTAGGATAACGCTTCATACCTAGGCTCATAGTCATCAGGTGGGTCTTCGAATGTTGTACCGAGCCTTGAAGAGTCGAAAGATGGGTCTGGATGCGACCAGAAAGTTTCCTCCGTTTCACCATTTTCGAAGATATATCTTCCATGCACAGTTTTGTAGGCTCCCCACAGTTTTGGCAATGTCTTGTTCAGCTCATCCAGACTAATTCTCGGGTCGATTCGTGCCGGTGGTACGATCAGCGGTGTGGTCCAGACTTGAATCTTGATGCGATCATCGAACTTTCCGGGCAAAAGGTGAAGCAAGCGGAACTCATGCTTCTGTATGTCGAGGTCGCAGTATTGGTACGGCGCCATGATAGGACAGAAGCCTCTGGGATGGCTTGAAATGATGAACGAGGGATTCGTAATCGATGGATTGTGGGTGATGTGGTCCTCTTGTGCTAGCGGCGAAGGCGGGAACTTGCCTCTACCATCCGACGCGTCCGCAGCCTAATAATAAAGCGGACATTGAAGACCCCATCGCATGCCTGTCGTTACTGCCCCGGACAAACCCGAACAGCTCGCAGCATGTGATTGATGAACCAGTCAAGCTTTGAGAATGAGGCAGCCGTCAGAGTTCCAGAAGATTGGAGCGCAAATCGGTTGCGCACCCAGACATGAGGTGGTGTTTCGTAATCCATTCAAGGCTCCAAGCGAGGCAAGGAACCTGTCCAGTCCAGGAAATTGATCGGCCAACCAGACCGGTCAAGAAGCTCGGTTAAGCAAGCGAGGATATGGCACCCTGGGTCTAACTCATATAACATATATTCGAGAGGCAGTAGGCTCCATCTAGGATGCGTAGCGTTGGAACAGTAGGAAGAGCTGTACATGTTGATGCTGTCGCTTTCCTGGAGCCCCCTGATGGGGCTTCCTTTCGCTCAGCGGGGCGGCCGTACGGGCAGTCCGTGACGCATTCGTCGAGCGCGTCGATGACCAAGTAGGTGCTCTTCAAGCTCGGGTCTTGCAGAATATTTGAAAAGATCTTGGATAAGGCGACCCATGCATTCGTATTCTCGAAGAGTGCTTTGCCCTCATAATCGTACTTCTTCCGTACGTGCGAGATAAGTGATAGCTGCTAGTCGACGAGTAGATAGATTAGACCGCGCAGTTAGCGTTGTTAATCCGCGAGTTGGTGCCTTGGCAGAAGAAGTACGATAGAAGGCCCGTTTCGGCGGACGACTTCTTCAACTCGTCTACAATACCGCAGAGCAGCATCGTATTTCCTTTACTGGGGTCTCCTTTGATCTAGAGAAGTCGACTCTAGTTGTCATCGCGCCATTGTTGGAAGTCGGCGTTTTTGAGAACCCAGCTGTACGAGTCCTGCAGCAGGCCACTCTTAGTCTGCTCGATGCGTGCTTTGTCGTTACGAGGATTAGTTAAGTGTAAGTGTCGTAAGCATTCTCTATCTTCTTTGTCTTGGAGTTCTTTCTCCTGGTTCTTCGTAATGTCGACGAGATTCCCAAGATAAGACCTGATTTGCAGAGTATTGTATTGCCTAGAGTTAACTTGAATAGTGTCCTCGGCGTCCTTAATACTTGTTAGCCTACCATCCCAATCGTCAAGCTTGACTATATCCTAGAAGAAGACAACCCCCCTGTTTTAGTAGTATGAGTAGACGCTCCTTATCTAGTATGCGAGAAGTTTAATGTAAAGGTCGACGACGTGCTTCTTAAGTTCGTCTCGCAGTCTAGCGGAGAGTTTCTCGATTCTCTTGTTAAGAAGGAGTTCTAAAAGATTCTAGTACTAGTCTATTCTAGAGACGACGTATGCAAGTCCGCTGCGGTTAGCAACAGCCTCTCTAATTAGGTTCGCGAGGATCTACTAACAGTTTAGCAGGCTCTAAGCAGTTGCAGTTCCTGGGAAAGAAACTCACCTCTAGAACAAAACAGACGCTAACCTACGCGAGAGCAGCTTCTATAGAGGCCTTTACTGCCCTGTCTATTATGCCTCTTACAGAGTGCACGGCTTGCATTCTGTCCTTAATACCTTGCTTTACCGCAGCCTCTTTCTCCGTCTTGTCTAGGCTAGCCTAGATGAGCCACATCATTTAAGATCGCCTCTTCTCTAGGTTTTCCTGTTCGATCTCATTCTCTGGAGGCTCGAGATCTGTTAGACTTAATTCGCCTTTGCTAAGTTTGCGAGACAGAATTCTCTCGTATGCGTCTACTAGATTAGGCTCCCTCGCTTTAAGCTTGTTATAGGCTTGGTTCTATAGCGGTCCGCGCAAGCTTAACGGTACGAAGGTTGTTAAGCTAGAAGAAGTTGGCTGGCTAGCGGAGACTATTAGCGCGGGTGAAGTACCCTGGGGCGAGGATATCGGTGAAACGGTCGCGGGCGGTTGTTGACCAGAATTGACTTGGTCGTCGGCCGCGAAGTAGGCACTCGTAATATATGCAAGTTAATCCGACTTTAGCATCTCTGTGTTTGAACTAGAAGACCCCGCGATAATTTCTAACGGTTTTCTGGCTTGTCCGTCGTGTCGGTTACTGCGCTTAAGGATTTCTTTATCGGCTTCTCCTAAAACGGTGCTATGATCTGTACGGGAAGGAACTATTGGCGAGAATAGTGGTGGTATCGAAAATAGTGCTTTTATTCGAATAATTGTCGATATCTATAAGACACTAGCCTCGCGCGTAACGACTCATCCATCGTGCGGGGGTAACGCCTAGCTAAAACTCGACGCTTACTGGGTCTTAGTCGCACGGAAACTCCCTAGACCCAATCTGCTAAGAATATACTTGGCGCTGCATTGAGTACCACGAAAGGCTTCGTGTAAGCATCATTGTACTGTATCCACTCATCGTACGCCACGTTATGGTGGCTGCGAGTAGGGCACGGAAGGAATGTCGGAAGCAGGGCTGCGACCCAAACCGAGCACCTTTCCGGTCAAGCAAAATATAAAAAATGTCGAGCGAGAAGGGACCGCCTCAGGTAATACGCCATAAGTAGATTAAAGAAATCGCGATTTGCAACGCACGACTAGGACGAATTGCTATATTCAGCTTACGCCGCTTTGAAGTTATGTCGTCCGGTAAGACTGCTGTCAGGTAGCCAGGTTATTTCAGCCAGCCACAGCATTAAAATGCAAGCGCATGAAGTTATGGGCGCTTACATAAGACTAGCATGATCCTTGTCTGGATTTCCATGTCCGTCGTTATTCCGCATGAACCTCGATCGCCAACTGGTAGCTTTGGATTATACCCATCAGCCCAGTCTTATCATTTCGTCACAGCAGGAGGTCTCTTCGTGATTATAAAGCGAACAGGAAGCGTGTAGTTGGCGGGTACTGGCATCTGCGCCCTCAGCTTTACTTGCCGCGCCTGCATTTTGTTAGGCGAATCAAGGGGACGAACGTGTTGGTCACGTTACTATGGAGCAGGCCGGCCGATAACGACAGCATTTTGCAGGCAGGAATTAGCGATCTATTGGTGGCTGTAACAGCGATGACTCACAGCACAAACTCCAAGTTTAACGATTTAGCGGACGAACACCTTGGTCGTGCTAGCAGGGAGGGCGGCCAGCCCGCTCCCGCCACAGGGTTGCACTGGAGGCGCTCAATTTTTCGGTGTGGATGAAGAGAGATGTTGGCGTGGGCGTTGGTGTTTCTGAAGGGGAAGGCAGGCGAAGAAGCGGTCGCCAAGAGGTTTAAAGCACAGGCCATCATCTGATTAGATCTTGAGAGGTTAAAATCTGGAACCTGCCTTCGGAACCTTATTGGACATATCATGATTACTGTCTTATTGTTGCAGATTTTTGCGACGTTCTTCTTTATTGACCGGTTCGTGTATGCAGGCTATGTTGGTATTCACCCAGCGAATCTGATGCTATATCATGTGTGATACCGACAATTTGGTTAGACCGGTCTGTGCTTACCCATCGCTTTGAGACACTCGCAGGAGGCTAGAGCTCAACTCGATTAGAGATGCTCGCGGGCATCGGTTGCATGCAACGCACCACTCCATCATTCGAAGATCCATTAGCGAAAAAGAAAGTAGGAGCTGCAACGCCACCTTTTCCAGGTCAGTGAAAGCCGAACGGAAAGTCCGAAGCTAGAGAAAGAGAGGCGCTCAGACTCCGGCAGGGTGCTGGATTTTCAAATTATTTAAACCCACTCCTGGACGCGATGTATTCGAGCAAGAAGAAGACCGTTATCGATCCTTCGATCTTGTCGCTCACGACTAAGCCTTACCGTACCTCAGCCTCGATGCTCTTCAGTCTTGTTGCATTTCAGCGTTGTTATTCTTCTTCCCAATGGCAAGCGAAAGCATGGATGGAGAGTTCAGCAACCAAAGCCAAACCTACTCGAGCTCGGTACCACATGCCTCTTCAGGGTGCGAACAGAACCCTCAAGATGCAAGCAATGAGGAAGCTCAAGAACCTTTCTACTCTGATAAAGTGGATGCCCGCAACTTCCTTCTTGGTAAAGCCGCTTGTCCACTTCCACTCCAGAGAACATCTCTAACAAAGTGATGCTAGACAACTTAAAGCCGGACGATTGCACGTCGATACCCGAACAGGCCAAGTCTCATGAGACACACCCATACCCATATGTATCTTTTGGGGATAATGGTACAACCGCAAGTCTCAACGCATTCGGAGATCTCATGCAGATCTCCCAGACCCACAGGTCCAGCCGTTCAGGCTTCTTCTGTGTGGATCTCCCTCAAGTACCAGAGCCGTTCTTTGTTCAGAATCGGGCAGAAACACTCATGAATGCTCGTGAGATCGATGGACAAGGTATGTATGCCTATACGAATGGTCAGGGTGATATTCCCAACGAGTCCTCGAAAATGAGGCATGAATTCATCCACGATCGATGGCCCCTTTTCACCACTGAATACCATCATGTCACATTCAAAATCTTACATGTCGCATTCCAAGACACTGTCTTCCAGCAGTATCAGTGGTCAACGACAGCAGACCCTATCGACTATTCCTCTGGATTAGACATCTCGGTGTCAGCGAACCTGCGGATACGAGACTTGGAATTCACTGATCCTTCGTACGAATTTAACTACGACGACTTTGACAAACACTATTCCCCTCGAATCAGCAAAGATGGTTATGGATTCATACTTGAACATGCGGGCTTGTTCCGAGATCACAAGGAGCACCAGGGATTGGAGAGATCTGACTCCGTCGCCCTGGCTGTCTCTATCTTTGTCAATGGCAAAGCTCAGCAGCTTGAGCTGGATGGCAGTCATGATGATCCCAGCATAGTTGTCAAATCACCCAAGAGCAAGTTCTCGGTGGAACGAACTCAATCCGTACAAACGACAGTGGCTTACAAGATACTGCTATGTGAAAAGGATTGGGACGGTACCGATTTTCCTATCACACAGGACAGTCTCGGCGCAATGCACAAGATGCTTGAAGGAAGTCCGTTCACGAGACTGGAACTGTCAAGTGATGCTCACCTAGACTTCATCATGAGACGAAATTTGGAGCATATACTTTCGGTTTGCAGTATTCCGAAGCCTCAACCTTGTCGAAAAGCCTGCCAGGGTCAGTACCCTATAGAAGAAGCAATAGCTTTGACTTGTGGAGATATGTCGGGACACCGGATTGTCACATCAGCAAGCTTGTAAGTCAAGTCGAGCTGCTCAATTGCAATATAGCTGACTATCTAGTTTCGCTTTCCAATTTCTTCTATCAATGTACGAGCACCTAGGTGCATTTGAACGGAATCCAGAGTCCCAAGGCTCCTCAAATGGGTCTAGCGAAGACGACGAAGTCGCCCGCAAACGTGTTTACATCCGAAGCTTACGAGAGCGTATTGGAAAAGTGTGCAGAGGGCACGCGATCTGGCTGAGAGAAGCTAAGAAGGTCGAAATGTGTTTTGGAGCCAATTATTGGGTCACTGGCGAAGCTATCTCCAACGGGCATTCGACATCCGCCACGAGCACAGAATCTCTAACGGATACGCCATTCCAATTGATCAAGCTCGCTGATTATGCAAGGCTGTTCGAGTTGGGAAAAAAAGATGTCCTCTTCGGAGAGCTTAAGAGTCTCGCGAAACATTGGATTCAGCAACTCGAAACCGCCAACGCCCGAGAGTTTTATGCATTCCCTCGCCCCAAGACGGGCCCCACAACACTTCAAAAATTCCGGTTGGACGACCACGTTTGGATTTGGAGAGCTCTTCGAGTGGTCAAGGATATTGGCCTGGGTAACGAGCCAGAGAATCTCAAGCGTCAGCGCAAAATGTCGGGAAGGAGTCTCGAGAGGACGACTCAAGAGAGCAAGTTGAACTCGAGATACTCTCCGGCGGTGTTTCAAAAGCATGCCTTGCGACGGTTCACTACAGAAAACCCTGTTTCCAAGCAAAGAATGCTTGCTGTAGCACGATCACCGTTCGAGAACAGGTTTTATCTCCACTCTCGAGATACTGCGTTGCTCTACAAAGAAAACTCGACATTCTTCTCCAAGTGTGATGCCCTCTGGGAAGCTACCATGGATGTACAGAAATTTCATGAGGAGTCTGAAGATTCGAGTTGGGGCAATCCTTTGAGGTACACGCTGGCCATCATGCTAGGCGAAACGATCGGTCGCATAGATGGTAAACAACCCGATGATCTCTGCAAAACCGCAAAGGACATTTTACTACAGAGTTCGTCCGCGAACGGGCTCTTCCCAGGTGCGCTGCATCCAGTGACTAAGGAGCCTGAGCTGTACCAAGACAAAAGGTGGAGAGACAGTTATTGGCACCGGACTTTCGAAGTTCCTTACGTCCTTTGGCAGAGCAGAGACTATAAACTGTCTCGATCCGTTTCGAGCAATGTACCTGCCCAAGTTCAGAGGGATTTGCCTGCGAGGTCACTGGCCTCGGATTCATATTCCACTCAAATGGAAATGAAGAGACGGATGCCTTTCAACAACATCATTGTCCAACAGAGCATAGTTGAACTGTCGGATGAATGGCTATACAAGTTTCCAAGCTTGTTCCATACTGAATGGGCTGACAAATACTGCGTTGTGGACAAAGGTGCAGCGGTCACATCGAAGGGCGTCATTATCGACATTCCAAAGACCGACCGCAACAAGAAAAAAGAAGATCCTACGCGTAATATCGAGCTGCTGTGCAACGAACGCATGTATGCAAAGCTTAGAGAAGAGCGTACAGCACAAAACAGCAAGAAACGGCTCATCTGGATCACGAACCCCAACGCAGATACTAAAGGAATTTGTTGTGCCACATCTGCCAAACATGAGACAGATTCGTTGGACCTCTTCTTCAAGAGACACAAGGATAAGGTCAAATACTTCTCCGATGAAGTAACAGCAACTGCAAACTTATGGACGACCGAGCTTCATCTGTCATCCTACCGACTTTCCAATCAGACAAAGGACAGGGAAGGGACCGGTATGATGTTTCTAGGAGGCAAGCACTTATTCATCGAAAGGGCAGGTGCAGGTTTCCGGTTTGTCGGGGACTTCTTCGATCGCTACTGGACTTGCCACGTTCTTGAGACCGAGCTGAACGACAAAGTCACATGTACAGGGAATCTCAAAAATATCCTTGAGCTGGAGAAGTTGAAACTGGCTGTTGAGCAACACAAGCAGCCGTGGAAGCAGCGGAAGGTGCTAGAACTTCTTCTACTCGACCGAATGCTTGGGGAGATTACGCAGCGCTACCAAAAAATGATAGAGAAAACGGGCCAACAACTGGAGCAGTTGTTTCCTCATGCAACCAATAACGAAGGGATTGCCGAAAGGAACATAGTCTCGATCTCGAACGAATTGTTCTCCAAGCAGATGAACAACAACGCTTACTTGAGCTTCCGTAAGACATGGCCGGCCTTTCAATATTCTCTACAAGTCATGGAAGAAGACCTCAAAGAAATCTTGGAGAAGATTGATATATGGACGAATCGCAAAGCAGACCGAAAACCCGAAGAGCCGCGGTGGACAAAGAACGACGAGCGAAGATATCGGGCCGCGATAACTAAGCTTACAAATGAGAATTCGCATGCGATTCGAGACTTAAGAGATCACCTGGCCACCATTCAGTCTCTCAGAATCTCCCTCTCAAGCGGGCTGCAGTCGACACGAGACGAGTTGAACTTTCTGAACGCAGAGCGCATCCGTTACTTCACCTACCTCACCGCCGTGTTCCTGCCACTGGGATTCGCTACAGGAATATGGAGTATGGCCGAGTCTTCCCCTCGTAGCGAAAGCCTAAAGGGAATGGCGGTCACAGCTGTCGTAACATTACTCCTTGCAATCGTTGCGCCGGTGCTGGTCAATGTGCAAAAATTCAACGGGCAGTTGAGCCAATATACCTCTTGCAGATTCTGGACGAAGCGCAACGAAGAACAGAACAAGGCGAGCCTCGACAGTACGAACTTGCCAACACCAAATGACCGAGAAGGCCCTCATAGGCAGGATGTACGTGGGTCCTCTTCAGGAGCCAGTGAAAGAGGGAACGCACTGTTCACAAACCAAGCCCAGTCAAGTGTTTCGCCTGAGGGCGTTCGCCGACCAGACAGTTTCTGCGGAATCGGAGGGATTCGGCTCGAAGGTCTGCGAAGGAAGACAAGAGAAGCAAAGACATCTGACGATCCTCAGCTTGAGAGAGGCAAGACCAGGTAGCTGGAATACCGCGCTAAGGAAATCCAAGGCCATGTGGCAGTGAAGGAAGGAGAAGGTGCGGTAGGCAGCAGTCACCACCCGGCAGCAGTCACAGCACAGCAGCAGTCGCAACACAACAGCAGCAGCAGGTACGAGACACCAATCGTGCCAAATGCAGCAAGAAGGAGACGATTGAGAAGATAGCGGTACGCATAGACACTAGCTCTACCTAGGTCCTCTCGACGGCGTCAATTGTCTCATGACCTGACGGGTCCAGCACTGATCACTTGCATCAATGGCTGCTTAGGGCGGGTAACAAATTTAGGAGCCAAATTATCCCTAGCAGCACTGCGGGAGGCCGTGCTACAGACCCGCAAGGAATACGTCAGCGGGCCCGGGGTTTGGGCACTCTATGTTCATTTAGGAGCCTGATTGTTCTGTACCTTGTGGCTGTGGGACATAGTTGAGCAAGCAAAGGCGAGAAATCAGATTGTTTCCCTTAGTTAAAGCGGCAGGCTGAAGGTAGTGCGAATGCAGACTGGTTGAGCTGCGAGAGCACGCTTACGAATCATATCTAACAGTAATCTAAGTGATTTAGAGCTTACTATCGCCACCGCTAACAGGGAGGATGGCCGACCCGCACCGGCCCTGACCTTGCGGGAGCGGCGTTAGCTTTTCTTCAGCACCGAAGGGAAGAGTTTGGTGTCTGGAACAGGGACTCGGCGCGGGACCTACTGGGAACATCGGTAGCTCACGCATAGCCAAGACAGCGTGCTTGAGCTTTGGCAGATTTGCCCCACCATGACCTTGCCGCGTGTGCTTCTTAGATTCGGTTGAGTTTGAAGATGTCTCCTCCTACTTGCACGGCTCAAAGCAAATGCCTTCAACTCTGTTAAAACGTTCGTAACGCTCATAATTCATATGGCGGTTTCTCCCCAGTCCAGCAAGGAGAGTATTGATGCGGCGTAAGTCTTCGTTCGGTTCCATCCATTCCTGTGTATAGAGTTGACTTCTCAGTACATCAGATGGAGGCTTATTAGGGATGGAGTTAAGCAAATTCTAGCACACCCATCTAATAGACGTGGCATAGACATGAAAACATATATGGAGCTCTCCACTACCGTATACAACTTCTACACGGCAAGAGAAGGAGTTAGTTCTAGTCTTACTCAAGGCAATAGTCGCAGCAATCGCGGCCTAGGTTTAAAACCTAATTCCTAATATATCCCTTATATCTAACAGCCGTCGCATAGAATACCTTCTTGAAAAGGAACTGTACGAGAGGTTGAAGCAGTTGCTTATAATGCACCTCTAAGAGATTCGAAGAAGAAGGGAACGAGTGGTGATGGGGTTGGAGAGGGTTCGAGCGTATTGCTTGTAGAGTCCATCATGATGCTGAGGAATTGTTGACAGACGCACTCGATAGTGGCCGCGAATGGTAACGACCGTTGTTTATGTAGTCGAACCGGCGATGCTAGAACATGTGCGCGCTGAGGACAAGGACGGGACGCGCAGCGGCGGTTGGATATGCTCAGACGAAATGAATTGTAAAAGAATGGAATAGTACCGGTTGGCCCATCAACCCAGGCACCCATTGGAAGGTTTCTCTAGATGTAAGCACTAATTTCCCAGAATCAAGCCATACAAACCTCCATACAACTTGACTTCTTAACTCCGCGACATTATAAGTAGCAAGAGAATAGAGTAAATAGCGCCAAAAAGCAGTGTACGCAGTGGTTATTGTCGCGATGTTGTATAGTTGCTATGACCTTCGCACATCAACCATTAAAAAGAGACGTCTAACTCCACCCAACGCCGCCGCAGGATAAAGAGAGTAAAAGCAAAAAGATATCCTGACTCAGCCGAGGTTTGAACTCGGGACCTTCAGTGTGCTAACGCGATGTTAGACTGACGTGATAACCAACTACACCACCGAGCCCGTTGATTATAAGTTTTTCAGCCTTTTTCTAATACATAATCGTAATCAAATTTGAAGAGAAGTCAGTGAAAGAGTTATCTTTGTGATGGCAAATCATCCGTGGAGGTGGAAAATCCAGTTGGTTTAGCGTAAAGCAGTCACACCCGATTGGGTGTTGTCAGGGGTATTGCCGGCCCCACTGCTCTTTGACCTGGGAGGGGTCAGGCCCAACTCAACACCGACCAGAGGCTAGAAGAACATCACAAAATTGACACAGCTCACTGATGACCGGGAAGGCGGCGGCCGAGTGTCACAATGCATCGCACCATGATCTAGAGAAACCAAAGGGTATATTCAATGCCTAAAATCTCAAGCTAAGCTACGTAAAGCCCAAACTCGCAACACAGGATCATACACAGCATTATTCATCTCGTTTCGATTCGTTCCTCAGCGCAGCTGATTAGGCCATGTGGGAAATAGAGCACAAAGGACCGCCAGGAAGGACACTTGAGCGCGAGAGTAATCGGTCAAGGAAAGGAAACGAAAAGGAGAGCCTTCGGAGCTATGTGTACTTGTACATTGTAAAAGAGGGTATTTCGACTGGTGAAACCAGAGCGGGGTTCATGCCAATTTGGGCGGGGTTTTTGAGAGGACATCCTGGGGAGGGTAGGGTATGGGGAGAAGGAGGTTCGGTATCCAGGATAGGAAACGGTAGGGTCTTAGTTTGAGAGTCACAACTCTCGCAGCTCCTGCCACCGAAAGTTGGTTTACAACTCGTCCTTGACGCGCTGTGTTGCCTCCGTCGCAACGCTGCTCGCCTTACTTGCCGTGTCTTCTACGCCCCGCGACGCAGCGGCATATATCTCGCTAATCCTCGAGTTGGCCGCCTCAACCGCAGCAGCCAGCCTACTGCTCGCGCTCTCCACAGCACCCTGCTCCGGTCCATAGACGGCCGAGCTCAAAGCACTCGCCGCATCTGCTGCCTTCTCGCCAGCGGCAGAGGAAATGGAGCTATAGACGCTTTCGGCGCCGCTCGTTACCGAGCCAACGTAGCCGGTCGTGGTGGGCGTGCCAAAGATGGCCTGATTGATAGCGTCGTGGGCGCTGTAAGCGATGGATGCAAAGCTATCTTGCGCTTCTCGCGTGCCGTAAATGGCTTCACTGGCCTTGGATTGGACCGACGAGTATGCGCTGGCGATGGATTCGCTCGCTTGCTCGACGGTGCCCTGTGGAGTTCCGTAAGCGGCGATGGAGGCACTTTCCACGGCGGCGTTGATTTGGTCGCTGGCCTGGCTGAGAATTGTCTCAATGGCAGGCGGAGGGGTGAAAATGGAACCGAGGACCGATGAAGCAGAGGCATATGCGTCTGCTGCGTATTCCGATGCAGCTTCGTAGCTTTCGCCGGCATATGAACTTGCGGTGGCGTAGTGTTCGCTGGCGTAGGAGTTAACTGAGGATACCGCGTCTGCTACGCCGGTGTAGTAAGCCGAAGAGAATCGAGACATAACGCTCTCCGTGAAATCCGGCTCTTTTCCGACCACCAGCTCAGAAATGAGGGCCTGAACAGCAGCGTACTGCTCCGCAGCTTGCGTGGTAGCCTGGGCAGCATATCCGCCCGCCTGTGAGTACACGGACTCAGTCCAGGGTGCAGGCGTTCCGTAGACTTGACTGCTGGCCTTTGCGATCAGTGCCTCCCAGTTTTGACTAGCCTGAGAGGCAACAGACTCGGTCCAGGGTGTTTCTGAGCCAATGACGGCAGAGCTAACCTCGGAAGCCAGAGATTGTGCCGCTTCTTGAACCTTCGACGCAGCAGACTCCCCTGAATCCGAGACACCAGATGCCATTGATTTCGCCGATCCAGCAATGTCCGACGCAACAGACTCGGCCCAAGGTGTCTCGGTCCCGATGATGCCAGAGCTGACTTGCGACGCGGCGTACGCAGCGGATTCAGCGGCCACTGAAGATAACGATTCGAAGGTACCCTGCTCTGGACCGTAAACAGCACTGGAAGCCGCGTCGATGAATTCTGAATAGCGTGCATGAGCAAGACCAATCGCCTCATAGTACTGCCGACGTGCCCCTTCAAGAGCAGGAGTAGGCTGCGAAGTGAATTGCGCGGAAGCGTGACTGAGGCCCTCTGACAGCCTAGATGATGCGATGGAGGAAACAGATTCAAAATAGCCTTGTGTTGGTCCTGCTGCATAGCTCTTGACCGATTCGGTATATTGCAGAGCAGCTTGCAGCTTGTCGCTTGCCGCTGCTAGCGAATCAGAATAGGCTTTCTCGATCATTGAAAGCATTGTCTCGTGGGCAGGCTTCGGCGTTCCAGACACCAAGGCGGAGAGCTGGGATTTCGCATTCTCGTACTGCTCGTTTGCAAGACTGACAGCCTCGTTGTAGCGGGAGCTGGCCCCTACCTGGACAGTCTTGATAATGGCAGTAGAGGTGGGAGTTCCGGAGATAGCATACGATGCCCTATAGATTGATTAGCCCAATGGCGGGTGCCACGACTGGAACAAACTTACGCTGTGACAGCCTGAGCAAACTTTTCAGACGCGACGCTCGTCGCGCTCTCCACAACTGGTTGATCAGTACCATATAGAACGCTGGAAGCCGCAGCCATGGCCTTCGCGTACTGTTCGTTTGCTAACGAGGTCGCAGACTCCACTGTTCCTTGTGACTTGGTCGGTCCCAGGAGCGCTTCGCTGACGGCCTTGCTCAGCTCGGCGGCCCGGTCTCCGGCTTCAGCGATCATGCTTTGGACTTTCTCAGAATACGTCTCCTCATCGTCATCGTCGATGGCTTCGTCGAAGATGATCTGCTTGGCTTCGGCGATGACCTGGGCCATTGCTCCACCCATGACCTTCTTTGGTGCCTGAGAGGCTGCAGAAACTGAGTCCTTGATAGTCCCTTTGGCGGCATCGGCTGCCGATCCAATATCTTCCACCGGGTCGGATGCGGTGCTGCTGACATTAGACTCCCCCGCTTCCACAACTTCGGAGGCTTTTGAAGAGGCTTGCGAGGCCTGCGATTTGACCTCAGACGCCACGCTCTGGGCCGCGGAGGTCTTGGTACCGATTACGGACTCAGATATTTTGGACGACGCGTCGGACACAGAACTCTTAACATCGGAAGCGATGCTCTCAGTGGCCGGAGTTTCGGAACCCAGAATGGCTTCAGAAGCCTTTGAAGAGACCTCCTGCGCGTTCTCCATCACGTGCTGCGCTACCTTGAAGGCCCTCGCCGGAACTTTCTTATCGGTAAAGTCGTCGGAAGCATCCTCCGCCCAGATTTTCCACTTGGATACGTCCTTGAGTCGAACAAGCTCGCTGACCATTGCCGACGCGATCGACATGGCTTTGTCTTCGAGCTTATTCGCTTCTTCGTGCGCCTCTTTCAGGCCTTCGTGCCTTGACCCGACAGCTTCGACTTCTTCCTGCCACTCTGTGAGAGTATGTCTTAGCTTGTGGTAATTCTTCCAATCGTTATAGGTCACACCGTCAGTCCATGCCCAGCGCATTCCCACTTCCTGAAGACCCAAGCCATAAATCTTTTCAAGAACTTCGACTGTACTTGCGACCGCGGATCGGACTAGGGAATCAAGCTCTTGGTCGTATGTGGCTTTCCAGCTTCTGACGGCCTGTGTTTTGTCCTTGACAACAAGTCCCAGTTCCCGCGTCTTCGCAACACATTTTTCGTATGCTGCCTCAAGGTCCTCCTCTGTGGGGTCTTCGGGAATCGATTTCACAGTCTGCTTAATGAAGTTCTTGAAAGTGGAAATGGTGGACTCAGCGGTCTCTTCAAGCTGGACGAGCAAGGCGGCACCATGTCCATTGACGCCATTTTCAATCTGGCGTTTGGTGATTTCGGCGACCCGCACCTCCAGATCTTCCGCGCCTTTGTCTGCGGCTACGGCAAACTTGGACTGCCAGTTGCGAAGGTCTTCATTGAGTTTCTCTCTGAGTTCGGCACCAGTGAGCTGGGGCGGTCTCGGCTGCGTTGGTGTCTTGGTTTCGACTTCGGTCGCTGTCGTGCTGGAAGAGTCGCCTCGGAAGAAATCGTCCAGCACGCCCCAGCCAGCCTTTGAGCTAGCAGTAGATGAGCTGGCAGTAGAGGAGCTGGCGACGGTAGGAGTGATTTCGGTTGTCTCAGGCATCGCAGACCTGTTGAAATGTTAGAAGGAGATTTCAGCGACGGGGTCAGCTACTCACTGTTCGGATTCGACAGCCTCAATTACGGATTCAATTTTTTGTTGATCCTTGTATCGGCCGAGGCGTTCTCGAATGCGAACCAGCTGCGGCTCCACATTGTCGCCATACAAGACTCGCAGCTGAGGCCATACAGTTCGAGATAGGAATTTCCAAGTGGCGTCTTTGGCGGAACGCACGTTTGGGAAGATAATGTGCGCAACGACGTGGTGGCCATGTTCATAGCCCTGGTGCGCGTACGGCAAGACTGCTTGATAAGCTGGGAGGATGCTGAGATGGTAGATTTCGATCAAGCTGTCCTTCATTTGCTCGTAGAACGGGGCCATGGCGTCAGATGCTTTCTTGATATGTGGCGCTAGGTATTGTCCATAGTGGTCCTTTGCCTTGCCCTGGGCGATCTGTAGCTGCGGACGCACAGTCCGCGCCCACTCCGCCTCGGCATACTTCTGCGCTTGCTCTACGCGGTGGGCGCCGTACGCGGCGTACTTGTCCTTGGTGAAGGTGGCGACGGGGGAGTACACCTGCTTATCGAAACGGTCCACATATGGCTTGACCTTGTCCACCTGTGGGACAACGTATGTCTCGTAGTATGGATCCAGGTACGGAGCGGCGTAGGAGCGTGCATGGAGATAAGGTTTGCAAATCTGCGGAGACGTCTCGGATATATGCGTAAGGGACGACGGACACCTGAAGAGAACGGTGATGATGATATACCACGATATCAATCTGTACGAACGTCAGCACTGAGGTTATCCTGCCAGCGTCAAGTCCTCGGAGGTGTCCGCCTGTGATTCTGGACGCAGCTTGTCTCTACACCGGGGATGCGTTCGTATATCGTCTGAAAGAAGCTCGTACCTTCCAAAGACGCTCGTCAAGCTGCCCGCCATCGTCTTCTTCGGCCTCCCCCGAGTGGGTGAGCGCACCACGGGAGCTGTTATGGCGGACTTGTCTGCGTGGCCGTTGAGGCCGCCGTTTGATGTGGCCTTCTTGGGCTTCTTCGCCCGCCCATTGCCCTGGGCAGCCATTGCTGCGTTACCGGAACCCAGCGTGCAGGCTTTATTTGTCGTGCTGGGCGACGGAGCTCTCGCGTGTTGATGGCCTCACTCTGGCGGTGACGGTGCGGTGACGGGCTCCTGCAGCGACGCAGTCAGTATAACGCGAGCTTGAGAAAGGCTATCCGTGTAGCGAGCACCTACGGTGGAGAAAGCGGCCGTCGTGTGTTAAAGGAGCTGCGGGCGAGCTGCTGCGAGATGACGGTCTTCGACGGGTGCCAGGATTATGTCCAACTAACCGAGCTCAGCGGCAGGGCTCCGGTGATGTAATAAGCACGTGCAAATGCAACTGCGCGCCCTCGCTCACGACGTATGCTACAGAGCGCGATGTGGGCGGCGACTGCTGCATATATGGAGGCGGGAGCGCATGCGATGGCTGGGATGCCGCACTTGAGACAGAGAAACTTCTTTCACGTTCCGAGGCGCTGGGGTTGGAAGGCAGAGCGTGCCTCAGGTTATGCAAGTGCCTCTGCTTCAATCAACCGGGGGGCCTCTGCCCTGGGCTTGATCTCCTGTCTTTGTTCACGGTGCTGCGAATACTGCCGGCTGCCGGCTCACAGCGTTGCGGCGCCTGATGGCCTCCTAGACAGCGAATGCTGCGTACGCTCTCCTCACCAGTGAGACGGCGAAAGGGGCAGCAGTTGATATATTCGGTAATCCGTCTTACTGTTGCTGCAGCGCACAGAGACGTAGGGCTGCCAGGCCCGGGCGGAACGCCTCCCCCCCCAGCAAGCGTAGAGCCAAGAATTGCCGCGGCGACATCACAACTCCGATCTCGAGCACAGCGCTGCACCTCATCCCCGACTTTCAACACCTCCTCCGCGCCTTCCTCGATCGCACCACCTCTAGTAGACCTTTACCCTCGTGCCGCAACCTGCTGCCTCCACAGGAACGCCGCCATCCGATTTCACTGAACGTCTCCAACTGCGATACCGCATCGTGGTTCTACTCACCTACCTTTCAAATGAGGCCTTGACTTGCCTTTGAGCGGAGTCCCGCTATACAACAATTTCCAACAGCCTTCCTCTGCGCGCAACTCGACCGCCCCCAGCTCACTCACCCAAACCATGGCCACCGAAGCCGGGCCCTCGATCTCGGGGCCGCCAGACGGGATGAAGGCCCAGGAAACGGCAAGTCTCCCGCGTAGCACGCACAGCAGAGCGCCGCACAGTCAATGCTCAAATGAAGATACCGCTTGCGCTTCCGTCAGAATTACCACTGACAGACTCCAGCAGCACGAACCCCCGCCGTCGAGCAGCAAACCAGACAAAGACGAGGCCGATACCTGTCGAATATGTCGCGGCGAGAGCACCGCCGATGAGCCGCTGTTCTACCCGTGCAAGTGCAGCGGCAGCATCAAATACGTCCACCAGGAGTGTCTCATGGAGTGGCTGTCGCATTCGCAGAAGAAGTATTGCGAGCTCTGCAAGACGTCGTTCCGCTTCACAAAGCTCTACCACCCCGGCATGCCGAGCCGCATCCCCACTTCCGTCTTCATCCGCCGCGCCGCCGTACATATCTTCAACATGTTCGTGACATGGTGCCGGGCGGTAATGGTGGTCTCGGTGTGGCTGATACTTTTGCCGTGGTGCATGCGTGTGGTCTGGCGCAGCCTGTTCTGGGTGGGAGACGGTGGCTTTACACGAGATGTCTACTCCGAACCTGTCGAAAATGCGCAACAGGCCCCACAGCCGCCGTCGTTTGACCTGGAGGCGGTCCGCTCCGCCGTGGAATCCGCCAAAGCCGCCAACACCACATTTCCCCTCCCTCTGCCGAGCCTAATGAGGCCCTTTTCTCAGACGCTGAATATGAGCGCCGGCGAGCCCACCGTCTGGACATTAATCGCACAGTTCTTCCTTGGCTATTCCTGGCCTATCCCCCCTTCACCCATGGTCTCGGGGATGAACAAGACCGATGTCAACGCTACTACCGACCATTTAGGACCCAGGAGCCCTTCGCTTCTATCCGACATCTCCTTCTTCAACTGGTTCCCGTCGCAAGCTGCAAACCGCTTTCTAATCGACGTCCTAGAGGGTCAAATCATAACCCTCGTGGTTGTGGTTGCCTTCATCTTAATATTTCTAATACGCGAGTGGGTCGTACAACAGCAGCCTGTGATTAATATGGTAGCGCTTGGCGACGATGCGGCTGCAAACAGGGCGGAGCCGGAAGCGCAGCAGCATGACCAGGATCTAGAGGAAGAGGAGCCAAGAGACGAAGACGAAGGCGTTCGCGTATACGATAACGACCATCACGAGGACTCTGTTGCGGAGGACGAGGAGGACGAGACTCCTACACGCCCTGTCGTGCGCAATCATCGGTCTTCGTCGGCTCGCCGACGGCGCCAGGCTATCTTCAGGACGTGGCAGGACAGCGACGAAATTTCGGAAGAGCTGAAACGCGCGATGCGGGAGGGCTCCGCAGAGGACGTTGCAAGGATAATCGAGCAAATGCCTTTGGAAGATTCCGAGAAGCTGAAGGCACAGCTTCTTGACCTGTCAAAGCAGATGGGCGCGACCGAAACGGAGCGCGATGTCTCCGTCCACACTACACCGCCAGGAGTAACAGAAGAAGCAGCCGGCTCAAGCAGCTCGGCCTTTCCTGAGCGGTCTAGCAGTCTAGCACATCGCATAGAGAGCGCTCACAACACCATAGCACCGTCCAAAACCAATATCGCCGAGTCGTCATCGCCTTCTCACCGACCCCACATGCCGGCGAGAGATCGATCTTTCATTGCTACCGAAATTCAGCGGAGCATGGAAGAGGGCAACTCTTGGTCGTTTGCTAATGTTCCGGATGCGTCCCAAGGCGATCCGCAGAAATCCCAAGAGGAACATGTTCCTGACTCCTGGGAAGACGAAGAGGCAGGGCATGTACAAGGTTCTAAGGATAGCGAGCATGGTGTCACGGACCAGGAACAAGGCAGCGACCACAGCAGCGAAAGTTGGCAACAAGTTCCGGACATTGTTGTCGACGAGGGCGTCGAGCAAGAGCATACGTCAAACAAGGGCAAAGGGAAAGTTATAGACGAGAGCTCAGACGGTTCTCCGGCTGGCGTACTGACTCCTCCGGAAACCATGGACGAACTCCTCGAACCCGCGTCTGCTCGTGAAGTCGATGCTGCCTCTAATGAGTCTGCCTGTGGTTCCGACTCGTATCGCGAAGAGTCTGAACTCGATGACCTGCCAACCTCGACGGATTCAGAGCCGCCCTCAGAGCAAGCAGAAGAACAGGAACCGGAGCCTGCACCCGCTGTGCGGCCACCGCCACGCTTGCTGGACCGTATCCTCGATTGGATCTTCGGGGACGTCGCTCCAGGCGCCCAAACTGCTGAGGATGCTACCAATGACGAGCATGTTGTACAGGACCTGGCTGATGAGGCACCGTTTGTCCCCTTTGCGGCGAACGAGCCTCGTGAACCGGCTGATCCTCCTATTCAAGACCCGGAAGTTGCAGCTGCGGCTGCGCAAGCTGGAATTGACCTCAACGATCAAGATGCTATCGACGACGCCGAAGACCTAGAAGGTATAATGGAGCTCATCGGCATGCAAGGCCCACTTACCGGTCTCTTCCAGAATGCCATGTTCAGCGCTGTCTTGATATCCGCAACGCTAGCCTGTGCCGTCTGGCTACCTTACCTCTGGGGCAAAGTGGTCATCTTATTCATGGGCAGTCCTATCTCGCTCTTTGTCAAGCTCCCACTCCAGCTTGTCGCGGCTTCGGCCGACTTGGTCGTCGATGGCGCACTCTTCTTAGCAGCAGGGGTAGTGTTGTGCGCTCTGCAGTCTGTCTTGTTGCTCATTAGAGTAATTACTCTAGGCACGTTGACCAAACTCGCAGAACGTCCAATCGGTTTGGTAGTTGGGCCAGTGCGGTCAATTTCTCAGAACGCAGCAGATCGCCTTGGGACGCTCGTGAAGCAGTCCCCTCTGTTGCCGCGCCCCAACTACTTCCGTCTATCCATCAACTCCCACGCGGCATTGCGAACGATTCAGAATTCGACATCATATACCTTGAATCAAACGGGCACCATGGTAGCTTCTTTTTACGAAGATGTCACGGGCGAGTCACCTTCTGACGTCGCCCTCCGCGCTCTTCGTCAGGTACCCGTATCGCTGCACGCCGCCGCCGACCTGGCGTACAACAAGACTACATCTCTCCTCTCGTGGTTATCGACTACAAAATCTTACAAAATCACCTTCGACCTTGATTTAGGGGGTAATGCTAGCGATGCCTCTTCAGCTATGGAGCAGTGGAGTGCGACTGACCGCTTGATCGCCGTCTTCGCTGGCTACGCTTTCTTCGCCGTCGCTGGTGCCATATACCTCAAGCGCGGCGCGCCGCTCAGCACATCGCAACAAGGCCAGAAGATCGAACGCATTGTTGCCGATATCCTCCAGCAAGCAGGGGGCGTATTAAAGGTCATATTGATCATCTCCATCGAGATGCTCATCTTCCCGTTATATTGTGGCCTCCTGCTTGATCTTGCCCTGCTCCCTCTTTTCAAGGATGCAAGCCTATACACACGATGGCAGTTCACCATGGAAAGCCCCTGGATATCTGGATTTGTTCATTGGTTCATCGGCACATGCTACATGTTCCACTTCGCGCTCTTCGTATCCTTGTGCCGCAAGATCATGCGGAGAGGTGTCCTCTACTTCATCCGCGACCCGGATGATCCGACCTTCCACCCGGTTCGTGACGTCCTCGAACGCAGCGTCACTACGCAGCTTCGCAAGATAGCGTTCAGCGCGCTCGTATACGGGGCTCTAGTTATCGTCTGTCTTGGTGGGGTTGTGTGGGGTCTCAATCATCTCACGACTGGCGTACTGCCCATCCACTGGGTTTCGCATGCTCCGTCACTCGAGTTCCCTCTCGACCTCCTTTTCTACAATTTCCTTACGCCGGTCATCATCAAACTGTACAAACCGAGTGACGGACTGCATGTCACCTCTCAATGGTGGTTCAGACGCTGTGCCCGCTGGCTTCGCCTGTCGGACTTCCTTTTCGGAGAGAAGATCAAGGAAGAGGAAGGCCGCAAAGTTGGTGGACGGATTGTCTTCAATGGGAAGTATGTCCGCGCTCCAGCATCAGATCAGGTTCGCATCCCCAAGGGCGAACCAGTATTTGTCGAAGTGGATGAGCACAACGCGCGGAAAGACGGCAAGTCGGAAGAGGGAGGCGTGCACAACTCGGACATGGTGACCATGGTCTACATCCCGCCGTGGTTCCGCGTCCGCATCGCAGTTTTCGTGTTCACCATCTGGATCTTCGCGGCGGTAGCCGGTATCAGCGTCACCATCATCCCTCTCCTGTTCGGCCGCTACCTCTTCTCTCTCTTCCTCCCGTCGCGCATCGAAATGAACGACATCCACGCCTTCTCGCTCGGTGTCTACTCTCTTGGGACCGTCGCATATAGCATCTACCAGCTGTACAAATTCGTACGCAGCCTTCATCGCCCAGTACCCTCTCCACTCACCACACTTTACACGGTCGCCGCGACAACGTCTCGTATGGCGCTCCGTGTCATTCGTTTCACCTACGTCTGGACGTCTCTCATTATGGTCATCCCGTTCCTCTTCGCTGTGCTTATCGAGCTCTACTTCCTCATGCCGCTACACGCCTATCTCGGCCCGTCAGAACCCCACGTCGTCCATATAATCCAAGACTGGACACTGGGCTTTCTGTACGCGCGCCTTGCCGCACGCATCATCTTCGCAGACCGCGCGTCCCGTGCTGCTCGTGCCTTCTCTGCCGTCGTCACAAACGGCTACCTCAATCCCAACGCACGCATCGCCACGCGGTGCTTCTTGATGCCTGTCGTCGCTGTCTTCGCAGCTGCGATCATTTTCCCGAGTTGCTTTGCACTGATCATGAACAAGACGGTCTATTATGCGGCGGATGAAGCGACAAAGAGCCAGGTGTGGCGGTTCAGCTATCCGGCTGTTGGGCTATCGCTGATCGCCATGTGGACGAGCAAGGAAGGATTAGAGGTGCTGAGGAGGTGGCGTATGGTGGTTAGAGACGAGGTCTATCTGATTGGAGAGCGGTTGCATAACTTTGGGGAGAGGAGGGCTCCTCCGGCTCCAGCGCAGACTAACGCAGTGCGAGCATAGCAATGGCATTTGATTGTGGCTTGGGTCCAAGGGGGAATTAGGGAGGAGCAGGCTGGGCTTGGGTCTCGTGGGCTATGGAGCCTGGGATAGGCGTTCCTCGGGCATCAATGGCGAAGCATCATCAATAAAGGTTTTCATGGATTAGTACACTGGGTAGCCTTTCCATGTTGATTTTTCTTTTGTGCGTATTATTAGCTCCGGGTGGGAGAGCGAGCTACGCATGTTCTAATAGATCATCGCTCAATTTGGTTGAGTCGGAAATGATTATTACTCTGCCCCTGTGTCCCAACTCTTCCTTCCCCTTTCGCGTCTCTGGCTTGTGGAGTAGGGAGCTCGATGCTCGTGTGCGTGTGCGTGTCTCGATCGAACCTTGCCCGTTGTCTGATATATCAGACTGGTGAAAGGCGTCGCCTGTGACCTACTTCATACCGAACCTGTCACGTCTTTTGCCTTCGCCCTCCCATCGCCGGAGCTCCGCGCGGACGAATCGTCCTTGTCTCAGGGCACCCGCTAGCAGCCCTCAAGTAAATTTTGGAATGGTGTAGCTTTCCAGTTCCCATGAGGAACACCCAACAGTCTCAACACCTCTCCTCTCCCAGCCTTCAAAGATACTTCTTCGCCGCCGCCGCCACCCTCTGCCGAAATACAGGACTCTTAACCACATCACCATTCCCAGCATGAAAAAAAGGATTCATCACCGTCTTCAACCACGCCTCATACACATCGACGAAGAAATTCTTCACCGCCTCTTCCGTCGCTGGGCTCCTTGGGTCATACAGCCCACTCCCCGTCACCCGCCCGCCCGCCAGACTGCCCCTGGCCCCAGCCCCGCCGCCGCCGGCTAGGCCCAGCGCCTCGTCTCGCGGCCGTGTGAGCAGCAGGAAGCGCACGTTCGCGCCTGTTATCCAGCACGAGACGAAGTTGTTGGCGTACTTGTCGATGTGCTTGAGGTACATGGGCGCGCTGCCGGATGTGCTCGAGGGCCCGAATTGCAGCTCTTCGACGATGTCGAGCGAGGAGTGCAGGATGAAGGGCGCGAGGGAGCGCTCGGAGGCTGTGAAGCGCGCGATACCGTCGCCGCCGCTGCGCGAGGTGCCGAATTCGTGCGTGAAGAGGGGCGTGTCGGTTGGTGAGAAGATGGTGAAGAAGTAGGACATTTTGAGGAGGCTTTTTTGTTGGCGGGAGAGCTGAGTGGAGGCGCAGGCGGCCACAGAAGAGGCTGGTTCCCTCGGGTTTCGAGCGGCGTAGATGGGGTGGGACGCGGATGTGGAGGCGGGAGCTTGAGCTGTTGGAGGTGGGATGCTGGAGGGTTATGCAGGGGATGTTATTCGAAGAGAGATGATCCGTATTGTATCCGCCGGTTCGAGTGTCCTGGTAGTTATTCTAAGCTCTTTTATAACGGGTAGACAGCGTTGCTCCTGTGATTGCTCGTAAAGCTCGATAACGTTGAAGATGTTGAAGATCTCGGAGGTGCTGCGGAGCTGAACAAGGGTTCGCGCCAAGAAAGGTCCGTGTCCGTCTTTTCTAAACCTCATCCTCAACCCGCGAAACCACCAGCATCTCCACGCTCACACATCACAATGTTCGGACCCTTCCGCTTAACAAACCCGCTATCCGGTGGTCTCCTCTGGTAAAACAGTTCCCTCCAATCGCCCTCCGACGGCCCCTACCTTCCGCCCCTCTCTTCTGCCCATACATCCGCAAATGCGACTAACTCGTCCGTTCGACGAACAGGAAAATCCCCTGGCGCCTCTCCCGCCACCAAAAGTACAGACAACGCGAACGCCTGCGCAACGTCGATTCCGTCGTGGCAACTCTCGATACCGCACTCGCGCGCCAGGGACAGAGCATGAAGAGGGTTGTACGATGGAAGATGGAAATGCCGACCGAGGAGGAGATGCTGCCCAAGGATAAATATACGGTGTTTGATCGGAAAGTGAAGAGGTATCGGAAGGGAATTCATAGTGAGTTGCGCCCCAGCTTTCGTATGGTGGTGTGAGTGGCCCGGAGGGATAGGAGGAGAAAGGCGCAGAGGGGGACGGAATGGTAAAGGAGACATTGGAGAGAGAAGAGGAGGATAGCAGTCGAAATATTAGTGCTGACATATCGACAGAGGTTCCGAAGTGGACGAGAGTGAGCCAAAGGCTGAACCCCCCGGGTTTCTAGACGGGCGGATCGAGATATAAAAGGAGAGGGATTGTACATTATATGTTCTAAACAGGCACTTTAAAAAAAGATATATACAACAAAGCGATGGCATTCTTGGTTTACACTTCGCCACGAGATAGGATACCCGCTTTCTATATTCATTTTTAAAGCACACATCTGGCGGTAAGCTGCGACCACAAGCATAGCAGTTGCGCTCCTTTTGGGATGGCCTGCAGCCAACAAGTCCCACCTTTAGGGGGGATATTGAAAAGTAGATGCAGAACAGAGGCCTTCGATGATGTCGTCTGATGTTCTCAGGCAAGGCGTCTTCATTAGCGCTCTTGTCGAGGGTTAAGGTTAAGAATAGGATTATGAACATTTATGAGAAGTGCGTAGTACGTGCGTCGCCCTATGAACGTTCCTATACCCAGACTGTGGCATGCGTCTGCCTGCCTTCCTTTGTGAGGGCTTGCAATTATCCAAACTCAGCCGGATGTCCCCCTTCCAATCTTGAAAGACGACCAATCAGGCCATAAAAGCAACGCACGGCATATAAAACGAACTGTTGGGGCGTTTCCTTGACGAAAAGGAGCTATGTGCTTATGCAACCTCCGTGCAGCACGAGAGCGGGGCCAGGCTAGGGTTCTACCCCAGCAACGATCCTGATCCCCCTTCCCACCACCCACCTCTACGCAGAACTGCCGACAGCAATGTCTGACCGAGACGCCTCCACTCCCCGTGTATTTCTCGCTCGTCACGGTTCGTCAGACCCTAGGCACCTAATACTGTTTGCGCAGTTAGATGGAGTTCCAGCTGACCAGCCGAAGGCGAAACCGAATGGACAATAAACGGACGATACACGGGCATTACGGAGCTTGAACTCACCTCAAGGGGTGAAAAACAAGTCCTTGGTACTGGAAGACGCCTGGTTGGGCCTGGGAAGCTGATCGATCCAGTCCAGCTTGAGCGCGTCTTTGTGAGTCCTCGTAAGCGTGCTCGTAAGACGTTTGAGCTACTTTTCGGTGCCGACTCCGAACTCGCCGCATTAGAGAAGGTAGAGTTCACTGAGGATATCGCCGAATGGGGATATGGAGCATATGAGGGTCTCCTCGGGGAGGAAATTATTGCCCGTAGGAAAGAACAAGGATTAGATATTGAACGACCGTGGGATATCTGGAATGATGGATGTGAGGGCGGCGAGTAAGTTAATCCTCCCTTCTGAGCCAGTCCGTGAATACTTATATTGTTTTTTTGCAGATCCTCCGAACAAGCGACGGAACGTCTCGACGGTCTGATCAATCGCATCAGAGATATCCAGCGCCCGTACATGCACGGCGAGAAGCCAGTGGACATTGTTCTGGTTGCTCACGGCCACATTTTGAGAGCTTTCACCAAACGCTGGCTAGGAATTCCCATGGGCTCGCCCCTTGGAATGATGCTACCACCTGGAGGCATTGGAGTTTTGAGGTATGTACCGTGCTAACTTCGTCACGCGCCAAACAGTAGTTAACTCCCCGAAGTTACGAAGAACATGACATCAGTGCACCCGCATTTCTGGTTGGTATTGCATTGCCACTAGAAGAGGGGTAGTGCAGAAGCATGATAGACCGGCCGAGGTTGCCTGCGGATGTACTCGTATATGTTTACAGAAGTGCCTTGCGCACATTTTCCACCTCCGCCGCAGTTCCGCAGACTAACCCTCCTCTTTCATCGCAATTATCAATGGCCCTCCCTAGGATGTCTTCGCCATCTTGTGGGTCGATGGCAAGCCCTCCCGCACACTCAACAATGAGTGCGATGGGCGTCAATTCGTAAAGGCGGCGCAGCTTTGCGTCGCTGACAGCATTGACTGGCGAGATGTACACGCCATGCCCTTTCACCAAGGCATGGACTACATCTGGGACCAATCCTCCACTGTATCGCAGAGTGTACTTGTTCTTAATGTATTCCGAAACAAGATTCAGGTATTTCTCATCTTCGGCAGCAGCGCGTAGGTTGGCGGGCGAGAAGTAACGAGTCTTGAAGGGCTCGCTTTGGAACTGGACCCGCGGGCGGATGACGGTGATACGCTGTCCGTTGACAGCAACCTCGAAGCAATTAGCAGCAGTGCCGGGGATGCGCAATGCAATAATAGCTGTAGTCCTTGGGCCCTGCAAGCCGAGGATAGCTGCCACGAGCTTGTCCTTCGGCTTTTCGTGTAGCGCGGTTGTGCCATCCCAAATGCCTATGATGGTACCCACAGTCCAATTCGGGGCAATGATTGAGCTTCCATCTAGCGGGTCAAATGCTACAGTGTACTGCTCCGTACCAGGCTGGCAGATGCCTTCGTCTGCGAGCCTTGCTGGTCGTTCCTCGGGGTCTTCTTCGCTGCTCGCTGTACGTATGGAAGAGCATTTCGCGATTGTTGTCCGGATGATCTTCTCAGCAAGAACATCGACGTTCAATTGATCGTCTCCGAATGCGTTCGCAGTTCCCACCTGGGAGACTGTATCAGACTCCCGGAGGGCCTCCGCAACCTCATGGATTGCTTTGACCAGCGCTGGAATCACCTCTTTGCGAAGAGACGGTCGGATATCTGGTGGATGAAGAGACTCGAGATGTGCAGCCAAATTTAGGCGTGCATTAGCCATGGTTGGGTTGGGGAAGGAATGAAGCAGGTGCTTGACCCTCATGCTTTTTCTACTGATTGTAGAGAGGCTAGGCACTTTAGAGGCTAGCTGCCAAAGTGGAGCTGTGTAGCTTCAACTTGGGTCGGCCGGCACAGCTTTCTATTACTAGAACAATCTCGCCTCTTCTTATAGCAAATTGGCCTTCTTTCTCCATAATACGACCATGGTTCCTTCGGTCCCGCCTAAGCTATGAGCATCGCGATGATGTACGCTTCCAGCAAATATTGCTCAACAATCCAATCATCTCAACAAAAATGAATTTTAACAAGTTCAACATTTCCATAATACGGACGCGCAACATCTTTCCGCTCACACTCGCCCAGCCTTGTCATTGGTGGGCACGTTCCGTCTTTTGCGTTCTCTTCGGCGGCAACACGATCCTGTCCCTTCACCAATTCTCAATCTTCTCCCGACGCAGACGCCTTCCCATCATCGCCGACCTATGCACGACCCATCACCGAACAGATTGTCAGGCGCTTTATGGCCGACAGTGATGTTCGAGAACACGCCGTGGCTCCGATGTTCTTTTCAGCGCCACAATAACTCACAGGCATCGCGGGAAAGTTCCAACCACTATGCGTTCAATTCGAGCCCGCGGGCGCGACTAGAAACTACTCACCTGCCTTCAATCCTTTAGCCGGATAGGATGTCGCCCCTAGCACTAATACGAATAAAGGACGAGGCGGTGGAGTTGTGTTTCCTTTGACTGATTCCTTTGGGACGGCTAAGAGAATTCTGAAATTGCGAATAGAGACCTTACACTATCAAACTCAATACTAATCTTCTTGGATTCACCGGTCAATCAATTCACGTCTTTACTAACATGGCTGTGGACCTCGGTATAGAAACACATTCAACTATCAAATGAGTGTAATAGAGCGACGTCCCGCGGCTCCAACGGAGAGAAACGTCCAGTAAGGACGGAAAAGGCAACTCAAAGCAAAAGAAACGGAATTCAAAAGGAGAATATCGCCTTCTCGTCTGCAGCATTTTACACAGCCGGAATGAAATTTCCAGGAAAGTTTCCGGAATTCCGTACCGAGGGCTCTGTCCGCGTAGATCACTGCTCCCCGCCACGCTGTGAAACTCTCCAGGCGCAACCTTGATCCATGTGTCTCAGACAAGAGCGTCCCTACTCTTCATGTGCCGACATGCCGCTATCAACGACAAACAGGAGATCACCTTCTACGAAGGCTTTCGAAGGTACGTTGGGGGCGTCGCGCCTCATCATGGCAGGTTTAGCCTTGGAGGGGCCACCGTGACTGTCGATCAGGGAGAGCTCTCGCTTCTGATTGTTGGTGAAGTCGATATCTGTGCAGGAGCCAGCGTTCGGATCCGCGCTGTGGGAACACGTTAGCCTCCATGTGTGGAACATCAAGCTTGCTCTACCTACATGAATTGCCAGCCGTCCTTGGTGTTACGGCCCCCCTTGGGGCACCCTTCGATCTCCGTCTTCAACCCAGATACGCAAGTGTCGACGCTCAGCGACCTCCCATCGCCATTGTCATTCTTGACCTCGAAGTACCAAGAAACGCCCGCATCCTTTACGGAGACGCATGTATCTCGCTTCTGATGTGAGACGTAATAGCCACCAATCTGTTTGCAGGTTATGCTGAGGCTATCGAGAGCAGTTTTTTTGTTTCCCTCGGCTCCCCCTGAGTAACAGCCGGCCATAGCAGTAGCCACCATGAAGGGGGCGAGAAGAGCAAGCGTAGAAGATCGCATGTTGAGCCGGTCGGGTCGAGAGTTATAAGTTTGTTGAAAGAGTTTGAACGAGACGAGCGAGGCTGAAAGATTGGCCTATGTCGATGTATTGATATGTTGATAAAACTTGTAGAGGACTGATGTCGCAGTGTCTAGACAAGTATTTATACCCGCCTGGGAATTACGACACGTGTGCCAGTAACTTTTTTGACCATCTTCGACTGGCCTTGAGGGCATGATTGCCTACGTGTATGGAAGTAATGGTAAATTGGCCCTTGAGACGCTCGCCAGAGCGGCAAGTGACAACCTCGCGGCACAAAAGTTGAGACAGGAGGAAGATACACCTTGGCGAACTTTCTGTGGCGGAGCGTGTTGGCGAAGACGTACGGCAGTGCAGGTGCAGTGTGCGTGTCTGGCTTGGAATGTCGATTACACGCAGTACGAGGTACGTGTCCCTTAGATGTTTGCCTGATTCTCTGTAGCCACTATGTTACCTAGGCACTCCTTCTGCTAGTCAATCATTTTCGCCGGGGTCATATATACGGGTCGATTTTTCATTTCATCGGCTTTTTCAGCAAAAGGAAATTAGCTGAAGAAAATTGAGAAGAGTTTGGAAGCGAATTCAGTGCTTGATCACAGCGAAAAAAGCGTTCAAGCACTTGACGAATACTGAATATCTTGAAAACAGCTCCGCCACCTGTTACGACTATGGAGAGACATTCCGCTGGAGTAGTCTTGAAGTTGTTGGATGGCCTGTGCAGTTACGAACCGGCAATGCTCATGGAAGGAGCAAGATCTCGGGGGTCTCCAATGCCGCCCCAGTTGAGACGGTCGTCATATCATTGTTCGTCTAAGGAGGGAAAGGGGGATCGTAGGATCGAGGTTTGAAGCGGGATAATTGATCTGAGAGTGCCACAAAGCAAGACTGGATCCCGATTAGAAACATAGATCGGTGGCGTGTTTTGTAGAGGGCCTTTTGCCACATCAGTGCCGCTTGCTAGATCTATCTTTACGACGCCTAAAGCCGCACGCGGCGCTACGGAATCTAATATCGTGAACTTGGAGGAGTGGTTGAAACACCCTTGGCATCTTATTCCTCCGTGCCGCTCCGGCAAACTCTTATACTAGGCGCCAGCCGGCGCGTATCAACGGTATTTTCCGTTTCGCCTCTATTCCACAGCCTTGCGCTGAAACAAGCCAAGCTCGCTGGCGGCGGTACAGCCTCAGCATACTGCGGCGGATTCTATGGAAACAGATGTGGTACTCTCCCCCCGAGTGCACGTTAGTGTTCTGGCAGAGTCAGGAATGGTGCTCGAACTCCCACTGCCGTATTTCTAGGTGTTCACTCTTGTAATGCCAGGTGTTCCATTACCGTAGAGTCCGAGATGGCTGGCTATAAGAGAGCATGCTTCCTCGAAGACGAGATTTCGTTCCTCAGACCTACTCACACATCATCACATTCCAAGTTCGCCTTTCATTCTCTTCATACTTCAAGAATTCTTCGCAATGAAGACCTCCGCTCTCCTCACCATCATTCTCGGAGCTTCCTCTATCCTCGCCGGCCCATTGCCAGATGTCTCTTCACGATCTGACGATGAACTGATTGTCCGCGATTTGGAGGAGTATCGCACTGAGCTGGATGCTCGCGGATTGCATACTTCCTGTGTAGGACTCTCGGTTCCCCTGCTGCCGTATTGCTAAACCTTAATTCATCATTTCAGATCATCTCCATGGCTAGCTGCCTCGCCGCCTATGGCCTGATCGGCTTCCGCTACCAGGAAACGAAGATCGTGTATGACTACGTGAAGCCCTGGGAAATGTAAGTCGACCTTGAGTTTGATATCGCCACCATCTGACTTTTACAGATGTGCTGTGAAGGCTATCTTCTCGGGTGCTTGTATGGATGGTATTGGGGAGGACGTGAAGAGCGAGCCTGGCCAAATGTTTCGGTACCATATGACACACGGACTCACCGATGACAGCGAGTGTAGGGGTATTGATTGCGATGAGCCAGGGACGGATAAGGGTTGCGAGACCTACGGATGCGGCATCTGCGATCGACAGGTCTTCAAGTGCAGCGATTAAGGGGTGGTGGGCGTGGGTCGAATTATAGCGCTGGATCGCATGTTCTTGTTTCTTTTTCCACTGTCGTTTACGTCTATCCAATCAGAACAGAGTCTTTTAATTCCTTGGCAACGTTTAAGTGAAATACGCCTCGCAATCGTGGAAAGGAACCGAAGCACGCGACTCCCGAGATGCACGCCGCAAGGCTTGTCCCGAGACTAAATATGGCGGGGCGGCTAGGTAGCCGCCACACCTCCTCCGCCCAGACCCCTAGAGGACTGCGGCACAGTCATTCCGTCCACAACCTAAAAGTCTAATGGGCTCCTTCATTCACTCGGTGGCAGCACCTCTTCTTCTTTACTTCCTTGCCGGGGCAATCATCGCCAAAGATCGACGGTCTCAGAGGGCTCAATTTTGCCTTCATTCTCCTCATACGATCGCCTTTCTCGCTTCTCTAATTTTGGGGGAAATTTTTGGGGATCCTTGAGACATGTTGCTCCAAGAAAGAATTCCTGTACCGGAAGATACCCACGTCCGAAAGTTGGTCTTGACGGAATCCTATCTGATCGCGGCCACTGTGCCTGGATGGATAGCGATTCTTGACCTCCGAGCAACACCGAGGGAGCTTGAATCGAGAGGGGACAAATACGCAATTCTTAATGCCGAAAAGCTGTGGGACATTGACTGCCATGATGACCTGATTGCGACAGCGCACGATAACGCGACTGTCCAGCTGTGGAGTGCTGCAGGGAGGTATGTCGCTCTTTTGCTTAACTTTCATGGATTGCATTCCGCTAACAGAATCGCAAGGTCGAGGAAGGCGGTGCTGCAGTATCACACAAGCAGATCTCGCATGGTGCTTGTTCCGACCTCATCTAAAGTCGTTTCAGGCTCGCGTGACGGTACCATCATCGTGTGGGACGCCGAGTCCCATCAGGTGAGCTCAGTATTGACAGGTCATGGGGATTCCATCGCATGTCTTCAAACCTACGATGAACTTCTCGTGTCTGCCAGTAGTGATGGCGTCGTAAAGCTCTGGGACTTGAGTAGTGCTACCTGCATCCGCACGTTGGAAGGACATGATAAATACGTTGAAACTGTGGCATTGCATAGCAGTCGGACTTTGCTCGCAACGGCCGCTTCTAAAGGCGATACGAGGATATGGGATCTACAAGATGGGTATGATATCATCCAATGCTTTGCTCTCTTCCGACTTATGATAACCCAACGGGACAGATCATGTGTCGCTCGATGCCAGGGACACACGAGAGTTGTGGCACAATTCCTGAATGTAGGCGAGGACGCACTTGTCACCGTTGGCGCAGATGGCTCTATAAAGCTTTGGGATTGGAAGTCGGGCGCCTGTATCCGGACACTCGAAGCTCACACCCCAAACGCGATACGCGGACTGTCCTATAGAGATCATCATATGGTCTCCGCAGGAATGGATGGCACAGTGAAAGTCTGGAACCGCGAAACATGGGACTACCGCTTCGAGCTCCGAAAGAAAGTACGCTGCGTTTTCCATGCTGTGAGTTTGCGGGACCAGTTAGCACTCGCGATAAGATTGGAAGACGGAAGCCGCGCGGTGGAGCTGTGGGACATTTCGGAGTTGACAGCTGCAGCGGAGTAGAGTGATCTTCTGTAGGCAGAGCATCTGCCTTTACTCCTCAGGCAGCGCGCTCTGGTGGTGCAGCAAGTCACCGTTTGGGGGGCATTTGATGGGGAACATCAACGGCAGCTGCAGATGAGTCTGTTCTCTTCTTTTCCGGTGCTCCGGCACACCGCTCTTGCAATCTCATTACGAGCCTCCGACTTTAGTCCTTTTGCTAAATGGTTTGTTGCGTTTCGGGTCGTCCTATTGGCTGGTCTTAGACCGCCAACACCGCCAGACTCACATCTTGAAGACTGTCTGAGTGTTGTCTCTCTTGTGTCTTGCACTCTCTCGTTTGCTAAATCGCATTTCTCCCTCACCCCAAATTCCACCTTCACCTACAGACATGCCGTTCTCGCCTTCACCTTCACCTCGCTTTGAACCGCGCAAATACTCAACCCTCACTCTTGCTCATCTCTCTCATCGTCGGTCCATCTCTCCACCACCCCCGACTTCCCGACCTTGTCCGTCACCATGGCAGGAGGGCCCACGCCAGGCCCCAGTCTCCCAGATCGAGTCCCCCGCGAGGTACTCAACGAGTATCAGAAGCTGCTCGCACATCAGAAGCAGGAAAAGGCGGAGCTGCAGAAGAGGATTGATGCGGGTACGGCGGCTTTGTTTGAGAAGCATACGAACGAGCAACGGCAGTTTTGGACGAGTCATCCACATGACAACACGAATCACGAGATCCAGTTCAATCCCAGCGCAACGCTAAGTCAAAACACGAATGTGCTGCAAGCTCAGAATCGACGTCCCGGTAGCGCTGTGGTTCAGTATGGAGGCCAGCCTACCTCGGGTCCAATTCTCCAGCGAAAGCCACAACAGTCCAACGGAGATGGGGTCATTCAATCCACACCTCAATTTGGCCGGAACGGCATTCATGTTTCGCAAGCATTTGCTAAGGATTCGACTCAGTCAGCAAACCGATCGGGTTCACACTTCAATGCCGCAGCATCTCAGCAGCAGACCATGAAGCCAGTGGCCACGCTATCAAACCCACCCACCGCAGTGAAGCCAGGAGCGAGACCAGACAATGGGCACAAGCGCAAGCCTCGCCCGCCGCAGCGCCATCCTGAAGTTATCGTGCTATCGGACGATGATGAGCCGAAAAGTACCAGCAAACCAAAGGCAGCAACCGAGTCGGAGGTTTGTACATCGCTACCAAGCGCTTCTCTGGAGTTCTTTGGTGGCAAAGCGAGGGGGTTTGCGGTAGGTCGCCAGCTCTTATTACTTCCACTCACTCCATACTGACATTCAAAGGCGGTCCAAACCGGGCCTGTTTTCAAGGCCGAAGAAAGCCAGGACGAAAGATCTTTGTTTGGTAACGACGAGAAACATATGTCAGCGGTTCCAGTAGCGAAATTCCAGCCAGCTCTAGTAAAGGGAGCACCTGGCACCAAGGACATCCGCAACCAGCTTTCCTGTGGCCTCTCCCAGGACGAGGAAGCCGACATTGCCTACGAGGACAACGAGATCTCGTCCCTCACGGCCGCCAGGCCCACGCATACCCCGTTGGAAAGCCCATCGCTTCGTAGCTCCCGGAAGAAGAGGCCTATAACGCCTGATCCACGGCCTGAGCTTACTAGCGATATTCTGAGGCAGCAACAGTGTGACCGTTCCAGCATACTGAGGGAACCGTCAATACTCCCACGGGACCCGGCTTTGCTTACCCTCCAGCAGCACCAGAAGGGGGGAGCCTTCGTCAACAACATTCTTCGCAATGCCAGGAGCCAGAATTGGGCTCCGGGCCTGGGCCAGATCTTCGAGCGGGATGATCAAGATGTGGCTATGGAAGATGACCAGTCAGTAAAGGAGATGCACGAAACGCCACCAGACACTCCCAAAAGCGCCCCGAAGTTCAGCAGGGATGGTCGAGATGTTACACTTCCCAGTCCAAAATCGGGGTGTGCATCAAACTTCTCCCCAAATACATTCAACGCTCTGCCGCGTTCACCCCGCACGAACCAAGCTTCGCCAAACACTTCAACCGTATCTCGCTCCAGCAGCGTAGCGGACACAGGCTCATCACCAAGGCTTGAGGGCAAGCCAACCACTATTAGTGGAAATGTACGGGGTACGACGGTGCCCCCTGGACAACCATCCGGCGCCCCGCTGTTCGGCCTAAGTCTGCAAGGGCCTTCAAGAAAGCCCCTCCCTGCAACGCAGTTCAAGATACCGACGTTACCTGCGAGTGCCGTCAACGGGAGCTCGGTGGCTGCTTCCGAAGGCACGAGCCCACGCCGTGAACGAGCAGCTACCGTCGCCTCCCAAGCCTCGAGTCGTACTCTGGCGAACAGCTCCATCGCGGCGTTGGACAAGCTCCGCAGCGAGCGCGAAGCTTCAGCAGCGACGCAGATTTCCCTCGTCTCGTCTCCCTCCGCAAAGACAGCGACGTCACCGGCTCGAAAGAGGAGGAGGGAAGTCAATCTAAGCGACAGCGACGACGACGACGACGACGCTGACGACGGCGGCGGCTCGGACTTTGAGCCTTCACCGCCCTCGTCGCCAGATGTGCCGCTTAGAAAATCTGCTGCAACGCGTGTCCCGGTGCCGAAGAAGGCGAAAGTCGCATACGGGAAGAATAACTACGGCTTCAAGCCCACGACGCTAACTCCTCCAAAAGCGGCGCCGCGAACGCCGCAGTCCAAGTCAAACGGTGCAGCGACGCCTCGCACTACCCCCGCTGCACCGCGCCGCAGCAAAACCGCCGGGTTGCAGACACCCCCAGCGACGCCTACCCCTTCAGGTGGTTCCCGCGCAGCTTCCGTCCGGCCGGCTACGCGTACCAAGGTCGTCTACGGCAAATCCTTGGGCTCGTCCCTTCGCGCCGTGCTGCCCCGACTGAGCGAGCGCCGCGCAAAGGTACGCGCCTTGAGCAGAATCGAGCAGCTCGCGGACGGAGACAGGGAGTTTCTCAGCGAGGAGGACATCCGGGTTGCGGATGAGAGGGAGGAGAAGCTCAAGGGGAATGCGGGTCTTTCTACGCCGGACGAATTGGACGGCAGGCTGAGGGGTATGAGTATCACGCCTGTCCCGCAGGGCGAAGGAGCCGCGGGTGATGACGAGGAGAGCGTGTATGGGCGGGAGCAGTGGATGAGGGATCGGATGCTGGGCGATCGATATGTCGCGAAGAGCATGGCTGGCACCGAGGAGCAGGAGGAGTCTGACGCCGAGCCGGATACAGAGGGGATGAGACTCGTCAACGGAAGGATCGTTCCTAGGGGATAGAGGAAATGGATTTGACGGAGGGTATCAGTGAGGAGGAGCGGGAGACGCGGGATAGGTGAGTTCTTCGCGGTTCTGGTTGCTTTGGTTTTGGATTGACGGTTTGTGATAGCTTGAGCGTCGTCTTGAGCTTGGGGCGGTATTGGGAATAGGCGATTCGCTAGGAGCGTTGGCGCATCACATTCTTAGGGTTGAAGGGGGTTTGGTGCGGTGGGTATTGGCTTTGGGCATCGCAATGGTGGTGGTCGTGGCGGTCAACGAATCGCATCTTGGAGGCTTGCCTTTTTAGCATCGCTTTGCAGGGAGGAGTTGCACATGGCTTTCTCAAAAGGCATGGAGAGGGCACATCTAAGTCCTTCCTCATTTAGCTACATCCCACATATCTATGTGATTATCCATGGAATATCTAAGGGAAAGACTCCTGCCGCAGTGAGTACTCCAAACACACTTTTGCTCGCCGGTAGGAACGACAGATAACTGAGAGAGGCAGGCATGTCTCTCATCACTGCAGCTGTCTACAGCCGTTATGACTCGCTGCTCTAGACCCATGCCATACCTCATTCGGTATCCATAGCCTTGAGAAGCTGTACCATTCCATCACGCGAACGATCTGTGGCACGATGCTCATCCGCCCTGCACAACCAGCCACAGTGCCGTATGGAGGACGTCGTCCGAGAAGTCCGTTTCGAAGCGGATAGGCACTGCCACGCGGAGGAAGTGCAGTAACTGGGGCGCCGTCGAGGGAAATGTGAACGCCGTAGACGGATCGAATCCGGTGTCTATGTTATAGGAGCATTAGCAGCCAGTGCAAACTGTCGCTCTGATGGGTGCCCGGACTGAAGGTCCGTCAAGCTTTGCCCTAAACGGGTCTAAGCTTCCCATACGCACGCAAACCTCGTGTCATAGCATGCTGTTTCTCCGATATGAGCTTGAAAGGTCGCCATGAACCCTGCAGATGGGAGGAGTGATGGTGCGTGGGAGACCGGTCGGCCGCATAGGGGACGTTCTGTCTGGCTCACAGCAAAGGCGAAGGGCATTGCGAGATGGTGACGCTTCTGTTGGGACTGCGACTGCCTTGCTTTAAACAGAGGTAGCAAACGGAGGCGGCGAAAGAGTGGCTCAAAAAGTAGGAGGGGCACTGCCGTCGCAATGATATCGGCCTAATCGTCTACTCTTCCCGTGTCCTGTTGAGATAGGCTCATGAACGTCTCAATACGTACGCCGGACCCAGAAGAACAGTAGAAGCGGAGGGTAGAAAGAACGTTGGTTGAGCTGTCACTCGAGGTTCCCAAAAGCACTTCAAACCTACATAGCAGGGGTGCCCAAACCATGCACACGGTCTCTCCTCAAAGTTGCCTCGCCATCAACAGTGTGGCGACACAGCACAATCTTGCAAGCAATCCCCTCCCTTCACGCCATAAGGGTCGGTGAACCGTCGTGTATCGCAAAAACGTGCGTGGCCAACTCCGGGATAGCAGCCCTACCCTGCCCAACGCCCAAAGCCCTTATCACCGCAGCCCAGTGAGGCGATGCGACAAGGAACATCCTCCTCCAGGGCCCAGATCTCGAACGAGAACAACGCATTCGCCCTTCCCCGCCCTTTTTTCCGCTTCACTCTGTAAACTTACCTTTCTTACCTCAGGCAGGGTGTGCGCAACTTGGCTAGCCTAGCTGTTGATCTTGGGTATCAGTCGATATGTACATAAGATGGCTAGCGATAGACACGTATGTAAGCTTTCCGCTTTGCGTAGCAACACCGAAGACTTTCCAGGCGGAAGGTTCCCGGCGAGCATGCTGATTTGGAAAGGCTAGCGAAGAGCTGCTTTTGCTGACACGCGGCGGCATCAATGCAGTGAGGTTTCTGACGTAGTGTGTACATGTGCGAGTCGCGCCACGGGAGGAGTGACGCCGTTGGCGCCTTACCTAGGTATTTAGGAAGTACGGAAGCTTTGCCGCCTGGAGACCTGGGCGATCAGAATGGGTCCACTTTTGGTTCCGACGATGTTGGGTGGTTGCGTTCGAGGAAGCACGCGCTTCAAGCATTCGTTCATTCCACAGGTGCGGTCGTGCGTTTACCAGTCGCACCATGCTCGTCGCAACATGAAGACAGGTAATTTGGAAACCTCACATGGGGCCTTGTCGCCCATGTTTTCTAGGTTGTAGGGCCACCCAAGCCGTGCTTTCAGCCCTACAGCATCCGTGCCATGTCGCACTACTCGACGTCAACAGCGCGCTTCTGGAACTCTACCATTTCCTCCTTCGTTCGAGGTATACGTATGCCAACAACGAGGGCGCTTTGCTTGTGTGAGCTTGAGTGCACTTCGTTATGCGCTGCCATCTGAAACACCTTGTTGCCGATAGAACAACCGACGAAAGTCAAGTGAAACCCTCGGCACTCACGCCTCCGTAGTTCCACCTTCCGTCGGTATATTTCCCCTTGCTAACAGCACTTTATGTTTCTAGTAATAGTCGCAAGATTTGTAAAAACCCCGACTTTTGCGTGCGATCCGCTGAGCGGTTCGTCGCGTTCGCGCTCGCATGCACTGGCCTCTAACGTAGATCTATTTCGACGGTGGTCACCGGTCGCGCAAGGAGGGTCGTGCAGAAACCACGACGCTCAGCTCCGTCCGGTACCGAAGATCCGGCATCGTGGGACAACAGTCTCCTTTGGGAGTCTCGTGTTGGTGACACAGGCTACACGAGACACGCGTGGGCGACATGGTTCGATTCTCGTGGTGTGTGTTGCTCCTCGCCTCCGGGGCTTTGGGCGTGGAATGGACAGGACGGTGACTCTTGCCTCGCTGCTGGAAAAGTCGTGAGACGACAGCTGCAGCATGTCGGTAGTTGAGCGCGTTGACCGGCCGGTGTCAAGTCGGTAGAAGTGTCTGGTGAGAAATAGTTCGGCGCCGAAAGAGCATGACTGGATTTTGCCGAGGTAGGGTTGAAAGGAAGAACGCAAGAAGAACAGTGCGTTGTGAATGCTGCAAAGGCAAAACTTGCCTGTGAAACGGACGACAGGGTCGTTCGGACAATAATAGAAGCCGTCGAAGTCCTGAGCGTTCAGCGCATGCAATTGGTAGCGAGATGAAGGACATGGGCGAGTAGGGCTGCCCTTAGCATGTCGCGCTAGCATCGCGAGACGCGTCCAAGGGCCGACTACCTTTGCAATTCGCGACTTCATGCTGCTGATGCTGCATCTGCTCAGCTCGCCATCATCCATCATGTTGCGCTTGCGTAATCCTTCTCGTGAGCAGAATACCTCAACACGCTACTTTTGGAAGGAAATACGAGGTGCAAATTCCCGCATACGCAGCGGTACAACAACATCCGCGAGAAGATAGATGATAGCGCTCGTATAGGCAGGTGCAGAGCCTCGGAGTAGGTGTGCCACAACTGCATCCTACTGGAGGCTACAGTATGTACCGGCCGGAATCTGGGCCTTCGATTCCGAAATGTCTTCGAGCTCATCCGACGTATCTGCCGATATTTTCTAGACCAAAATAGGAACCAAAATAGGAGAAGATAGGCAATGCAGGAGACATTTTGGGGGCCAATAGGTATGTATACAAAGGTGGCTGCGGTTCGAATGTAACCATCCAATTGGAAACATCGAGGACGAAAAGGAGGATTGCTCAACAAGAAGGACGGCACGCGCACGCCGTGCATGACGAACGAGTTCGGAGACATCTGAGAGTGGGTAGGGTGGGAATACCCCGAGAGCAAGTTCTTTAAACTTGGAAGAAGCAAATGCCCGGTCGGTCTTCTTACCGGATATGCTCCTGGGCGAGCAGCGACGTGCATCTCGATTCTCCTTTCTTTTGGGGCCTTGGATCAGTCGGAACTGCGTGTGTCGCCTAGTTTCCTCGTGGTTGCGCGAAGACATGATGGTGTCGTGCCGGATCTATGTCGCCCGTATTCTGGTGGTTGAAGGTCTGAGATCACTTCGGTAGGTATGATTTCCTGCATGTTCCACTCAATACGAGGTCACGAGGCCCATGCTACGATGCGAACAGCCGCTCGTGAGAATCGCCGGCTTCCTAGGGCTTGGCTCTTAGAACTGACTCAAGCTCAACCGTGGACCGAGCGCAACTTCGATAAGACATTCCTGCGATCGATGGCATGCCTGAAGTGCCACGTCAGCAGCGGCATGATGTGATGAAGAATTGATTAAGTCTCTGCCGCAACGGGAGTAATCGCGTCTTTGAGGAGGCTTCCTCAGCAAGCACCAAATCGCCAAGATGCGTGACGGTTCTCGCCGGATATAGGACGGCCGAACGTGATTGGCTGTACGCCGGGTGCCGACTGCTGCATGCTAACGAGTCGCTTCGCAGAGCTGCTTCCTTTTGCTGAGCCCGTTAGCACGCGAAGTTGCACGACCGCATCATGGGCGGCCTGCCACAACATGACGTTCCATTCCTGTCACGCGTGGCATGTTTGAAAGCGCGCGATACGGGTACAATCCAACTGGCCTGTGCGATCCTCATGGCGAAAAGACGACACGGCTGGTGACCCGACAGAGTGGTTCGGGCAGAACTTGTCTCCTGAAATACTTCGTCAGCCAATCATGGGGATCATGGGGGCGGGGAAGGTCTCCAGAACGGCCTTGTGAAGGCGCACGAGTCGAGGCGCGCCGGTATCTGGACGAACACAAGACCGAAGAGATCGAATCAGCATGCTGCTCCTGACATCATGAAGGCAGAAGAATCTGAGATGCAGACATCAGCCCATGTCAGAACCCCTCGCCCAAGTGTCCGCGCAAATCATCATCGCGGGCAGGCCTGTCCACTGACCAGGAAGGCGCGGGAGGCAAGGCCCTCCCTGTATCAGCCTCCGCTATTGCTTGGGTTGGCACGTCCCAATACCGCGATAGAAGCCGGCAGAAAGAAAATGCAGTCGTTGGACCAATCAGCGAAACGGTCCCTCCTGCCAAATTGACGCTTATGCAGAGGCGTTGACATCTAAGGCCCTCGGTTAGAGAGCAGCGCGATTTCAAAGCAGAGGGCGAGGTCGTCTCTCGTCTCCAGATCGGAAGCAGGTGAATTCCGCGACAGAGGCCAGTTGGAGACTTGGAGAAGGCTCGGAGCTGATTGCCTGTCTTGCATTCGGATCGTCGGTTCCGTTTCAACGCCCCTCTCTTGCTGCTTTTGCAAGTGGAGAACTGGCCCTGGTCGAAAGTCGCTCCCCTCGCATGCCCTGCTCGCCTTGTGGGCGCTGGTGTGAGGATGCTGGCGCTTGCGCTCGCTCCCAGGTCGTGAAGGCAGCAACCCTCAAGGGAATGCGGGAAGCATGGTCGAGGGGCCCTGAAGGCGATCCTCCACGCCTGTCAGCTAGATGGAGCTTGCAAACAGCTTGTTCCAACGTGCAGTCCTCCCCTTGAAGGAATCACCGTCACAGTCGACGCGCGAACAGATGGGCAGCAAGTGAAGAGCGCTGCAATAAGCACGGCGATCCAGACCCGCTTGCGACGACTGCTAGCGCCTTTAGAGAGCATTTTCTCAGTGCGAGCGGAGGAAACCCTGCCGAATTCGACTTTGTACAGAAAACGGTCGCTCCCCTCGAACCCGCATGCCGATCGCTACCCAGGCACTTAGCCGGGGGCCTAGTCTGTTTCAACCAAGGTTCAAAAGCTCCGGCAATTCTCGAAAAACTATGCAGGATATATTAATCGTACGAGTTTAGAAGCTGGAGATTGCTGGGAGATAGAAAAGCGGAAAAATGCGTTCTCTGCACCCAATCAGTGAAATCGCTTTCTTTTTGGACCGTTTCGTGGGTCGAAGAGGAGCAATTTGAAGCTCTTCGACCGGGGCTATATCCAGGTCCGGCGTGTGCCAGGAAGTCATTTCGCATGCTGGGGGGTAAGTGACGGGACGAGTCGGGATCCGTAGGCGGACGGCAGCCACACACATGGCCCACCAATTCCTTGCGATCGTCCGCCGTTATTGTCGCATGCGGCATCCCTGCTTCCCGTCAGCAACGGCCACTATGAGCAACCCTGGGCGTCACCTTTTGACCACCTCGGATAGCATCGAAGACCAAAATATTCTCATCGATATGCGATGGGAAAAGAGCAGGGTCGAAAGAGACGAACCGGTTATGATAGAGGAGCTTGACAGCATACTGCTTCACTGGTAGTGACACCTGCTGCTCGGCTGCGCGTCGCCTGGCGAAGTCGCAAACACTCTGGCAGAGAACTGAGAGCAATATCTTCCGTACGCTTCACATTTTCCACGACCGGAGCAGGTGACCATTCTGCTTATGCACGTCGCCGCTTGACTAGACTTTTCAGTGTAGGACCGGCAGCAAGAAGCCGGGCTAGCTGGCGGGCGTTTTTCCGGCGACTCGAAAAGGAGAGATCCTCGTGAACTTTCGCCATCTCGTGCGACTCAAAATGCGATCAAAAACGTGGGCCTCTGCGTTAGTGTACTGTGTGCGCTTGAGCGGAAGAAGGAGGGTTGTGTCACAATATCGGGATGCGATTTTCGTCGCCACTGGCCAGCAGCCGTGAGCTGTGCCGGGCGGTTGACTATTTGAGAAGCGATGCGCATCGACGTGTATGCTGCTTCGGCATTTCTGCGAAAACAATGCCATTGTCGACGTCTGCAGTGTTCGGACGGTGTTCTGGAATTGAGCGCAGGCGTTGGTTTAGAGTTGAAAATCGCTCGGTACCTGACTTGTCTCCCTTGTCGCCGAACAGGCCAACAACGCGATGCTCCCAGGGATTTCTCCACACTCAAATGCCACCGCCTTGTCGGAGGATTACTTAATCATGCACCATGTCACGATCGGCTCCGGGGCCAGCGCCAGCCGCATCTCAGTCGCAACATGTTTCTGTCGCAGCTTGTTCTGGAAAGCTGTCGACCGAACTCGTCGGCTCCCATGAACGCGCGTCCCGTTTCAAGATGGAGTTCCAAGACTCAAGCAGCAAGCACTCAGAGCACGAGCCTGAGACGACGCCTACAGTCGCTGTCTGGAGACGGCCCGGCAATGCTGCAAGCAGCTCGACGCGCGAGCTTGATTGATCAATCTGCAAGAGCATTGTTCTGCTCGCCATGCGACTGACGCAGCGCTCTCCTGGTGTCGAACTCGCCTAGTCGGCTATACGTGTTGTTGTTTCTTCGACGCGTGAAGTCGCGCCGGAGCATGAAGCTCATTTAACTTATTATAGGAAGCCCCATGGATGCTCCAAACATGGACATCTGCCGGGTCCACTCTGGCTGCGCGCACGGCCGCAGAAGTACTCGACCTCATCGCGTGCTTGGTCGCCGACATGGGCCCCTGACGCGGTCCGTCGTCGTCTGGGGTGGCGTCCTCTTTGGGCGACGCCGCCTCACGATCTTGACAGCGCCAGGCCGATCAGCAGAGGAAGCCTGCTGCCTTTGCCTTCCCCGAGAGCCATTTCCGAAGCCGTCCACCGCGTGGCCGATCCGGGCTAGGCCGGGACGAGCATGCGGCCGCCCGTTCGGGCATGGCGAGCAGCCACACAGCAGAGCGCTCGTCAGGCCGTTTCGGGCGCGCTGAGCAGCAGCGCGCCGGGCCAATCGACGGCCGGACGGTGGGCCGCCGGTGCAACAGCGCAACGGTCGACTAGCGGGTGTGGAGAGGAGGGACTCGAGAAGCGAGCAGGTCGACGGCGCGATATTGGGCCATCAACCTGTGGCGCTTCACCCACGGTTTTGCCGCGCAAAGCAGGGCACGCAAATGCGATACAGGGCGCGGGCGGCGCGCGTGGTGATCCGTGGCTAGGGGAGCATAACGGATGGGCTGCAGGGGCGATGGAAGCAGAAGGTCGTCAGAGAGGGAATATCAAGAGCGTTACGCGGACGGGTTTAAGAGAGAGAGGCCTCTTAGCAGAGCCAGGCGGCGGGGTCGCGACTGCCCGTACCGTGTATTTAGCCGAGCGGAGGATGGCGGTCGTGCCTGCCGTTTGCCTGCCGTTGCCTCTGTCGCTCCTGCTGCCTTCGCGCGGCGGCGGCGATGATGGCAGTGGCTAACCGTGCCGCGCACCTTCCTTTCACCTTCGCCTTTCAGCAGGCGCGATCACGTCGGCTGCTCTGTTCGGCCTGCGCGCCCTCCGCTCACACCCACCCTCTCTCTCTCTCGCTCCCCATCTCAACTCGTTGCCTGACGCGCCATCGCGATACATTCACTCCCGCTGCATCCCTGATCCCCGCCGCAGCGACAGCCGCGGCCTGGGCGCTCAAAAGGGCTCGTCCGCCGGCCGTGCAGCGAGAGCAGGGAGGTGGCTGGGCCCGGGAGGCGTTAGTTGTTTTACGTTTATTTCACGCCTGCTCCACCTCGGCGCACCCACCGCCTGCTCACCCATTTGCACGCCGCCGTCTCCTTGGACTCTCTCTGCTAGCGGCCCTGCTCCGTGTGCGCGTGAAATTGCGCAGGCTGCGCTACTGCATCTCAACTGCACCCTCGTCGCCCGCGCCCGGGCCTCCACAGCCGGTTCCTCGACACCACCGGACGCTGCAATAATAACAATGTCGCAGTCGCATGCGCCAGATAGGCCCCGGAAGTATAAGGAAGAGCCGGGTCCTGTAGCGGCGCACAAGATGGTGAGTTGCTTCTGCTACCCTCCCTGTCACCTCTCGCTCCCCCCTCCACCTCCTCTTCCGCCGCCGCCTACGCCGCACCTCCACGCGCGCCCATTTGCTGCCGCCTCGGCCGTTGGAGTTTGAGCACCGCGCATCGCGCCCAGCCAGGCTTCCCGTCGTCGTCTCCAGCTGGCAGCTTCATCCTCGCGCGTTGCATGCTGCTGCAGCGCCTGCAAGCCGCACCCACGCACCCTCCTGCTACCCCAGCTCCGTCGCGCATCTCTGGCTACATGGTATGCCCTCCCGCCAAGCAGCCCTGCTACCCAAACCGCTGCCCCTGCACGCCTGGTCGCACCGCCAGTCTTTCCTTGTCTCTGTATCTCCTTCCGCCGCCTCTTGTCACCCACACGCCCGCAGCGCCATCCTTGCCAGCGCCATGAGCTTCCGCTGCCCGGCTCTGGCCCGCCCTCTGTGTTGTCAAGCTCGCCGGACGTCGCGCGCTGCTTTTCTTTCCTCCGCCCTCCCCGTCCTATAAACTATTCGCTGCCGTCCTGCCTCCTTCGAGACCCTGCCCCTCGCATATCTCTGTTGCAGCAGACCGCCGCGATCTACCCCGACGCGAAAGGCGACGACGGCTGACCGCAACTCACACCACCCACACCCCCCGCCTGCCTCTACTATTCCCTGCCGTTTTTGTCCATCAATTCTCCGAACGAGTCTTGTCTTTATTATTTGCGTTGCGAGTTGCAGCACTTGCTGACCTGCGTGCGCCTCTAGCATCACCCCCACCCGGCGCAAGGCTTGCCACCGCCGACCCATCATCCTCAACACCACCCGCGGCCCTTGGTCCAACATCAACATCCGCACCACCAGCCGCATCCCGACTCTCCACACCAGTCCCAGCCAGCACAATCCCCGGCCCAGGCTCATTATCCGTCACCCCACCCTTCAAATCAGCCGCCGCCGCATCAATCGCCCTACGTGCAACAGATCCAAGGACCGCCAGGCCCGCAGCAGCAAGAGGTTCCCTACTATCCTGCGCACCCGAGTCCCTATAGCACGAACAGTGCTCCCAGTAACTACTCATCTTCAGGTATGTGCTTCGCTGATCGCGGAGATGGGCGACGCTTTTTCAAAGTTTCGTGGTGCGCCGTTGAGGCTTTCGGGTGCAGCTCCAATGCGCGCCAACGTTTAGCCCCGCCAGGCGATCGAAATTTTAACTAACTCCATCTCAGAAACACCGGAGCTCATGGCCGCCGCGACAATGAACAGGTCAGGCTTTCCGCCAATATCTTACCACACTCCGCAATCAAACTCGCCGGCATCAGTTCAGTCACCACAGCACGATCAGCATGGACGGCCAATCTACGGACAGGGACCCAGCCAGATGCCTCAGTCAATGTACTACACGCCGTACGCATCAGCAGCAGTTACGCAGCAATCACCCTATCCGCAGCACCCCTCCACCCAGCAGCAGCCGCCAATGTCGACAAACTCCATGTTGATGTCCCATCAGCAAGGCCAGCCGATGCAGCACCCTCACCAGCCGCACCCGCACACGCCAGGAATGACCGGGAGCCCCAAGTCGCGGATGCCTCAGACGCCCCTTCAACGGCCGCCCTCAGGACTCGGTCCGCCGCAAGCTCCGCCTCAAGCGCCTCCTGTTGGTACGCCTGGCATGCACACCGGGCCGCCACAAAATCCAAACGTTAATCCGAATGCCGCGCCTGGACCAATTCCCGCAACTACTCCTCTCGTCGTCAGGCAGGACCAGAACGGGGTGCAGTGGATCGCTTTCGAGTACTCGCGCGACAGGGTGAAGATGGAGTACACCATCCGCTGCGACGTCGAGTCAATAAACGTCGACGAGCTTCCCCAGGACTTCAAGACGGAGAACTGCGTCTATCCCCGCGCCTGCTGCCACAAGGACCAGTACAAAGGCAATCGGTTACATTACGAGACTGAGTGCAACACCGTAGGATGGGCGCTGGCGCAGTTGAACCCTTGCCTGAGGGGCAAGCGCGGTCTGATTCAACGCGCAGTCGACAGTTGGCGGAACAGCAACCAAGACCCGCGATTGAGGAGCCGACGCGTGAGGAGAATGGCCAAGATGAACAACCGTAAGCAAGTTCAAGCGACGCATGGGAGCCACATGGCTGGGCCAGGTGGACCCGGTGCGCCTGGGGTCCCAAATTCAGCCGGAATGCCAGCACCACCCCAACAGCCGAGCATGGGCATGGGCGCTCCCCAGATGCATCACCACCATGAACACCCTGGAGGACCTCAGGGAGGAAGTAATGATGTTAGCGGTATGTTTCACCAGATGTGATATGCGAAATGCGCGCTTTTTGGACATTAAATGATACCTCCTGTCGTTTCTGCACTACATGTACATTACACTCCTTGATGTAATTCCCCCTTGATACCACCACCCCAAGCACATACATACCCACGCATGCTTTGCTGCACCTGTCTGTTTTTGCCGGCGGAGGGAGAGTCCATGCATCTTTGAATGTGCTAGCCTATTTCCTTTGTTCAATGCTAATCGGATACCAGAATCACGGACCCACCATCATCAAGCGCCAAATGGACAGCAGTCATCGCCCAACGATGTGCGGCAAACTCAGAACTTCTATCCTACCTTTCCAACAAGTGACTCAGTAGCGAGCTCAAGCGGCATGCCACCAATACACGACGGCATGGGACATCACCCACCTCCACCACATGCCTCGGGTGTTCCGGTGTCGAAGCAAGAGCAGGACGACGAGGAGCGGAAAGTGGCCATGTTCGGAGACCTACCAGAGGCTAAGCGACGCAAGTTCATTCTTGTTGACGACGCGCAACGTGGGACCCGGGTGCGTGTGCGAGTTACGCTCGACACCGTCAAGATGGAGGAGATGCCCGACTCATACCGCAAGACCAACTCTGTATTCCCTCGCAGCTATTTTGCCATGCAAATGACCTCTCCACCAGCCAGCCCTCGAGGGAGCAAGGTATTCAGCGATGAGCCTGAGGTTGAGAGCGACCCAAGCTTTCCGCTAGCGGGACGCACGTCCGTTCCAGTACCGACGCTCGATGGTGAGGCTACCGTTCCTAAGCCGCGCTTGACGCGAGCGAAGCGCACGAAGGAGATTACTCTGAACGATCTTGGCTACAGGATGAGCTGGAGTCAGAGCAGGGTGTTTGCGGGCCGGACACTGTTCCTACAGAAGTCACGTAAGCGAATGATCCCAAGAGAAGAGAGAAGGGTATACTGACCTTCCATTAGTGGATGCATATCGAAACAAGATGCGAAGTAGCATGATGGGCCATGGACAGGATGTTGCCACGGTAGCGCCACACTTTGAGACCCGCGTCGGAAAGCGCAGGTGGAACGAGAGGATTGAGAAGAATAAGAAGAGAGGGCGCGAGGGGTCTCCTTAAGTGCCTGGCAATCGATTTGCCCCGAGTCGAGATGCCCTGGTCCCCTACCTGCAAGCCGTACCCGCTTTTTCCGAGCAGCTTGCAGGGGGCCCCGACCTTGACCAGGGTCCGTTACTCCTTTCGGCACGGCACTTACTCCATGGGATTGCTCTGCCGATCTCATCACCTCGTGTAGTTTCACGATTTGATGCGTTTCAGGGACGTTCCTAAAAATCAAGGCTCACCGTCACTACCGATACCTCCGCCGACCATCTACACATAAGCATAGACTCTGACAATCGGGCATGCGTTTGCAACGGCATTTGATACCCTGTCTGGCAAGTTATGTTCTCTTGCCAGGACATTCCTGCCTGCGCTCTATGGCTGTCCGAAGATATATACACTTCTGTTCCTCCTGTACGACTCCTAATACTTTGTCTACGAGGCTATCGTTCACGATGGATGATGGGCGGGGGGTCAATTGTGGAGAAGGAAAAGTTTCTGAGCGATATGGGCGGTGTTTAGTGCTAGACATGATTGTGTCTTGGGATCTGTGCGATGGTCTCGGCTTGTGTTTATCGTCTGGTAGACAGCGGCGGGCCGGTGTGTCTGAGCGAGTTACATACTCTATACACAGCATTCTGGGTATTTTTCCTCCCACTCTTTTGCACACCATACGATTGCTGTGAAGCAAGCAAGATGCCGTCTCCGCCATACGGAAAAATGGCATCCAGCCGCACAAACAGCAATTGCAGTGGCTCTCACGCCAATCTTTTCGACCAACCCCGCTCGCGGTGGTGTGAATAAGGTATGGACTTGAGACGCCGAGTTCACCGCGTAGCAGGGTGCTCCGTGTAAGCCTGACTTGGTACCTGACATCCTTCTCTCTAGCCGAGCCGCTGAACCTGGCTTGTCTGACTGTATGTAACCCACGGTTCATCAGACGCAAAAGCTTAGAAGGGGGGGTATCCCTGATTCTGTGGGTGGCACGGGAGGAAATTGTTGGTTGTGGTTGCACGAATGGCGATTGGATGGGCTTGTGCTGCTGGCTTTCCGTAGCTTGATATGGATCCTGCCGCTGCTTAATATTTTTTCCTGAACCAGCCTACTTATGGCTCAATACTCTGTGCGTACCACCTATCAAGGCAATACTACATTCAATGCGAATAAGCATTCGAAAAGCAACTTTGTACCTGTGCATTCATTCGCGCCCGCTACCTCGCTCGCCAAACTTTTTCCTCCGCCCCACCACAACCACTCGGAGAAATACGTACCCACACCCACACCCACCTTACGCACGCACGCACCCACGAGGAAAAAAAAAAAGCAAGGCCCTAGACGTTGCCAAGAGGTGTCAAAAACGGCTGGCTTGCCTGATAGTGCTCGGCGACGAGAATGGAATTGGCGGCGGGGTTTACTGCGTGCGTTGGGCAGAGATGTGAGGATGCCCCGCTGTGCTGTACCGTACCGTATAGCACACGAATGATACGTGCATGCGTATACGGACAGCCAGGCGGGGTAGGGGTTTTAAAGTATGTATTGTATGGATGTTGCAGGACCCACGTGGAGAGCGTGAGACCCGTTCGCGCAAGGGTTGGAGACACGCGTTCCTGAGCGACGGCAGGGTAGGGCTCATAGGGAGATGTAAGGGGGATGCCCGTACTATGATCGGTGAACAATTCGTCTCACGATACTGAGAGCTTCACGGGTGATTTTGATTTGATCTGATTTGATTCGATCCGATTCATTCATAATTAAGATACCCATCCATGAGTTAGGTATATCCTAAGCCATTCGCCCAAGACGCCGTGAGGATGCACCAACGCGAAACAGTGACGCTGCCGCCATAGCCAGAATCTGTCCGCCCTGAAGTGCCAACCGAAGACGCCGTGACTTCCAAAGTCGATGCTGCTGCCCCAGGTATGCGGGGCCTGAGACACACTTACGTCGGCTGCTGCTAGTCCACAAATCCGGACGATCCTAACGACCATCGTGTGATCGAGGTCGAAACAAGCTTTTGCTCGTTGGATCCGTTTCCATAATTCCAAATCCCATGCTCTAAGCGAGCTGTCACCGCGGATGCCCTGTGACGCAAGCTTTTCATCGGTTGACGCGTCCGCTCCTTGTTGGTTTGGAGGGAGCAGCTTTGGCCTGGCTTGCTGCCGTGGGCGCCTCATACGACCTCGTAGCCCTCTTCTTGGACGCATTCGCCGAGCTCCCTTCTGCGTCATCGGCCTTGCGTTTGCGGGAGGCTTCTCCGCGGGCCTTGAGAGAACCGTTGTGTTTGAAGGCAGCATCATTCTTCGCGGTCGGTTCGATGTCGTCCATGCTCTCATCTGCAACACGAACACTCCGAGTCGACTCAGAGGAGGGTGGAGTGGGTGGCGGCCTACTGCCGCGGCTGACATCTGGCGACTTGGGAGTGGGTGCTACTCCTGAGGATTCGCCGTTCAACAGAGAGCCATGGTTCGCGTTCCGCTGCTGAGCGACCCATGAGAGAACACTAGCTTCACCCTCTTCCTCCTCGTCATCTTCACCCTGGTTCAGCATCTCGTCTGCCATCTCCCCGGCAATATCATCTCCAGCGTCTTTATCCGTCGCCATCCGCATTGCGAATTGAAGAAGCTGTTGCGGATCCATTCCACTGAGCGGACCACCAGCAGCAGCTAGTCGGTTTTGTAGCGCTGCCATGAGCGCCGCGGGATCGATCTCACCAGCGTCGTCATCCTCGGCGTCCGACTCAGATGTGGGTGAGATGGGCTCTGAAATGTAGACGGCCTTCGCTTTGCCGGCCTTGGAAGAAGACGGTTGCGCAGGAGACGCCGGGTGTGGTGATTTCTGGCCCCAGTGAGGCGCGACTTCCAGCTTCTCCCTCCAATCCTTAAGCAGCGCGTACGACTCCGCATTGTCATCCAGCAGCTTAGGCTTTGCACCCCGATCTGTCTGCGAGCGCCACACCACAGGTGAGTTGGTGAGATTGGGCAGGTTTGTCTTGACTACGCCGTGCCCGTCGGCTGCCCTCTGCTTCTTCTTGCCATAATCCGCAGTCACGCCTCGCTTTCTCTTCGTGCCCGTCTTCCAGACACCTGTACCATTCTTGTGCGTTTCGAAGGTCGCGTTATCGTAGCCGTCCGACGCGTACTCGAGGTCGTTGAAGTAATCGAAGCGGTCCCAGTCCGGTAGCGTGTCTTCGTCTGGGTATGCCGAGGGCGGCGGGGACTGCACAGCGTGCTCTGCGAGATCGTCGGCAACTATGTATTCCTCCTCCACGTAGAACCAGTCCTCCTCATAGTCCGAATAGTCGTCGCCGTAATCACTCATATTGGCTGCCGGTCGGGAGATGCAGGGTGAGAGACGTCGTGACGGGAAGTAAAGGCTGCGGTGGAGACGTCGCCCTTTAAGGGTGCTCGTAGGCAGAGGCTCTGCGACCGGTGAGAAATTACGATGATGGCGAGATGTCGTGACGGCGCGTGGACGTGGGCGTCGAAGCTGAGCTGGATTGGCGAGGAATGTAAGCGCGGGCGGCCCGCGCGCGGAAAGGCGGGACAGCCTCAAAGCGCTCCTCCTGTGCGTGCAGCTAGGCAATAACCGCTATTCAACAATCAGGGATAGCTGTCGCCTTGTGCAGACGTGGATGTTGCGCGTGGGTAAACACGCGGACCCCTCGTTGCCAGTTCGCGATGGCGTCTGCCAAGACTGGGGTCGGTTCGCGACGGCTTAGTCGGCAAACCGAGGCATCTTGTACACACCTCAAGCAATTCTCTAGCAAACAATACTCACTGCAGCTTCTCAGTCTCTGCTCTGCTCTTGATTTTGACTATTTGTGGCAATGCGCGCCGTACGGAAATCCACCCATCTTTCGCGCCAGCTCCTGGCTGCCAATGCCGTCCGTCACAGCTCTACTACCGCTTCGTCGATCAAGCCGCTCACCTCGGTGCTCATAGCGAACCGTGGAGAAATTGCGATGTAAGCATCGCCCAATTTACATCGATTGAATCGTGCTGAATGTATTCCGTAGACGGGTCGGGCGGACCGCATCCGAATATGGCATTCGAACCACGACCCTCTATACCGACCCAGATGCACGATCACAGCATGCACTGAGCTCTCCATACGCTGTGAACCTCGGAGATCCGTCTGCATACCTTGACGGAGACCGAATCATACAAATTGCTAAGGAACAGGGTTGCCAGGGCATACATCCAGGCTATGGCTTTGTACAACATCACCAGAGACTCCAGAAACATACGTACGAGCACTTACTCCGATCCAGTTAAGCGAGAACCCAGCCTTTGCGCGCAAATGTACAGAAGCAGGCTTGACCTTCATTGGTCCGCCATGGAAGGCTATAGAAGCTATGGGAAGCAAGAGGTATGCGCCCAGAAGCCTTGGGGCATACATTGACTGATTGTGGAACGCAGTGAGTCGAAGGACATCATGGCAGCCGCTGGAGTCCCATGTATACCAGGATACCACGGCTCCAACCAAGACCCGGGACACTTGAAGAACGAGGCAGCGAAGATAGGGTATCCTGTCCTCCTCAAGGCCGTAAAAGGCGGAGGCGGAAAAGGAATGAGGATAGTAAACACACCAGAAGAGTTCATGGATCAACTCGCATCTGCCAAGTCAGAAGCCCGGAACTCCTTCAGCGATGAGGTAATGCTCGTCGAGAAATATATCACAACACCACGACATATCGAGGTTCAAGTGTTTGCAGACAAGTATGGCAATTGCGTCGCTCTGGGGGAGCGTGACTGCAGCATTCAGCGCAGGCATCAAAAGATCCTAGAAGAGTCACCCGCGCCGCACCTGAAAGAGGAGATAAGACAGGATATTTGGGAGAAGGCGAGGGCTGCTGCGCTGGCAGTAGGATATGAGGGAGCTGGCACAGTCGAATTCATCTTCGACAATGACACCGACGAGTTCTTCTTCATGGAGATGAACACGCGACTACAGGTTGAGCACCCAGTCACCGAGATGGTCACAGGCGAAGATCTAGTACGATGGCAGCTCATCGTTGCAGAAGGCGGCCGCCTGCCCCTCACTCAGCAAGAGATCGAGCAAAGGATCAAGCAGCGAGGGGCGGCAATCGAAGCGCGAATATACGCAGAGAACCCCGACATGAACTTCATCCCCGATTCTGGTCTACTCCTCCACATGCGCACACCTAAATCCACGCCAACCGTGCGGATAGATTCTGGATTTGTCGCTGGTGACGAAGTCTCTTCTCATTACGATCCCATGATCGCTAAACTCATCGTTCAAGGTCCGACTAGAGAGGCAGCGATACAGAAGCTCCGTGCGGCACTGGAAGAATACGAAGTGGCAGGACCAATCACGAACATCGAGTTCCTGAAGAGGATATGTGTCAGTCCGGACTTCGTTGCTGGCGACGTCGAAACCGGGTATATCCAGAAGCACCATGCTGAGCTCTTCACTCCTGAGCCTCTTGCCCCAGAAATATATGCGCAAGCAGCGCTCGGTCTCGCCTTACAGCAAATCTCAACATTCCACACAGATCCGTTCTCCGGCCCTCCGGTCACAGCAGTAGGATTCGGCGTAGGCTTCCAACAGCGGGAGGTTAACCTAGTCGAGATTCCCGCTGACGGTAAGGCCGAGCACAAACCCACGACCATCCACATCCGACAAACGGCTCTCACCAAGTTTAATATCACTGTCGGCAATAAAGTGTACAACAACGTAATAAGCACCTTTGCCTCTTCCTCCAACACCTTAACAACCTTCTACCCGCACTCACGCCTCTCCTCCACATTCATCCGGGACGAGGACCGCCTCACGCTCTTCCAGCAAGGCAAGCAGTACCGCCTCCAACTCGCTATGCCTAAGTGGGCCGAGAAAGCGCTGGGCGTCAAAGACGTGACGAACAGTGTGCTGGCGCCTATGCCTTGCAAGGTGCTAAGGGTAGAGGTGGAGGAGGGTGATGAAGTGAAGAAGGATCAGCCGCTTGTGGTGATTGAGAGTATGAAGATGGAGACAGTGATTCGGAGTCCGCATGACGGCGTTATCGCGAAGGTGGTGCATGGGAAGGGGGTAAGTGTTCCATCTACAGCACAGACCAAGATGATAAGAATGTCTGCTGACCAGTTGAACAGGATTTATGCAAAGCCGGTACGGCGTTGGTGGAGTTCGCTGAAGCAGAGTCCTCGTCGTAGAAGAGTTATTCATGCGCCGTTACCTCCTTGGAACGTCTCTCTATATATAATCGTGCTGCAAGCCAGAAAGAGTAAATAGGTGCATGGTGTGGCACTATTATGGCACACCGCAACCCACCTATAGTTAGGAGTCCAGTACCAGCGTCGTGAATAACGGTACTTCATAGAACGGTACCGAAGCACAGCCTCAACCATTCCATCACACAATATTCTCCCCAAAAACCTCCACCACTGCTTTTCCTCACCTGACGACGACTCATCACCAACACCAGATCCACACGCCACCCAGTCCCATCCCCGCCATCAACTCCCCAGCACTCCACTCCACTCCTCCACAATGCACCCCCTCCTCGCCTTCTTCCAATCCCACCTCCTCACCCTCGCCAACTACGGCGCCGACATCGAAACCTCCGTCCTCCACATTCCGCCCACCTTCCGCTTCTTCTCGCAGAACGCTGCCCCGGAGCGGCAGTGCATAGAAGCTACTATGCTACTCGCTGCGCCTTTCCACGCTTTCGTTACGATTCCAGTGCTGGATTGGTTGCTGGGCCCTGCTGGCGGGAATGTAAGAGGGAAGTCGAGGTCGGGGAAGATAAGGAGGGCTTAGCGCTCGTTTGGAGTGCTTTTGGGGATGTTTTGGGGGGGGGGGGGGTGTTGTGCTGAGGAGGTGAAATTCCAAGGCGAGCAAAGAGGTCAGTAGAGTGAGTGCCTGATATGATGGATGCTGACATGTTCAAAGATTGGAGGCACAAGAACAGCCCTAGTATGCTAGAGAGTCTAGAGATAAGGCAACACACAATTTGAGATGTTGCATTCTGGGGTCTAGTACTCTGGTTACCCCTATGTTATTGGAAATCTACCGAAGGTAGTCCCGATTTTCCCCATGACATTGTAGGCGCGCTTACCCGATATTACTTCAGGCATATTCCTCTATGAAATACAGCGCTCCTCCCAGTCTAGGGCCTTCTTTGCTTGTCTCTCTCCTATGACCTTGCTTCCTCTTTTGCATTCGCTTCTCCAAGTTGCTCATGAAACTTAACACTGGCCTGTTCGATACCATTCTTAACATGTCTCCAGAAGGGGCGCTCCTCGAACCCGGCCCGGGGAGTAATGTCAGCGGCCGCCCGCTCTTGATCGTCCAGCCGGACGTCCCTTTCCCGTCTCTGGTGCACTTTGCACATAACTGACCAGCCAAAATGGGCGCCTACATTGGCGCCCCCGTTCTTCAGACCCCTGAGATCGCCCATATCTCGGAGATGTGGAGCCTCTTCCTCGGTGATGAGACCTCTGCGGAGAAGCTCTTCGTCCTCTGAGGCTTTCACACAGTCAAGCCAACCTTTATAGTAGTCGTGCCTGCGTAGTAGTTGCACCTTCATACCGTTCATAACGGCCAACGACACCGGCAGTTGATACTCTTCAAACTTCGATGTGTCTTTAACCCGAAACTGGTCCTTGTGTCCTCCAGAAGGAAGATCTTAGTATATTTTCCACGAGTCGGTTTATCGTCGCCGCCCGGTTTGCACGAGCTGGCTTTCTCGATGCTCTCTTCCTAGGCATCCGCAAGCTTCTTGTGCACAGCAGCATGCTCATCAACACGAGCCTTCTGCTCGTCTAAGTGCTCTTTCTTGATGCTTAATCGCACTTCCTCCGCTCTTAGATGCGCGTCTTTCATATCCTGCTTGAACTGGGCCTGCCAAAGCTCCTGCTCGATCTCATGGTTCCTGATGAATACGGCTCGGATGGCGTCCTCCCGCTTTCGGCACTGGGCGAGCTCTCTCGAGTTCGGCGATTCGCCGCTTCAGCTCGGCCGGGTCCTCTGCTTTGAGTTAGCTACAGCACCCAAATTTTGCAGTGGTCACCACCTACCGGTGGAAGAGGCGTCAATATTGTTGGGTAGCCCGTTCGTAACATGAGAGGAGTTTGCGGGTGAGCGGTTGCTCCATGGCATGCTCAACGGCATATCGGAAAGGCCTGGTGGCGGCGCCATCTCGTAGAACCGATGGTGCAGCGATGACAGGAGGAAAGGTTTGTGGGAGCAGGTGAGTCGATGTCAAAGTAGACTCCAGCGCCGACGAAAACTTTCTCCGGTGCCGGCAACGGTGACGATTTTGCGCAATCAAAAATGGAAGGAGCGGATGCACGTGGGCTAACGGTGAAAAGTGAACACTGGAGGGCTTCATAGTTGAAGTGAAGGTGAAAACGCCAATATGAAAGGAAAGTGTCAATCATCTTTGCGCATCGTGGGTTATCGCCGCATCGGTAGATTGATTGTTATGGCAAGAATACAGTGAGGTGAGGGCAGTGCAGTGGTCTAATGAGCCTCCTACCTAGGGACCACTTCACCCCCTTCACCTCACTCCTCTAAGATCTACAGGGTTCCGAGCATATATTCATGTGGCGCCGAACACCCACGCTACATGGACGTCCTTAACGGTCTGCGACTGAGAACGGAGCAATGAGAGGAGATAGCACGTGCAGTATGTCCTCGATCTCCACGGAACGAGCGAAGTAGTCCAGATCAGCGACGAAAAGAACCCTGCATAGACGCAGATTCCTGGGAAAACGGCTTCCACGGGTCAAAATCACCTGGTCTGACAAGCGTCCTTGATCAAGTGTCCGCGCTCATTAGAGACTGACTGCAAGCTCCCGGCTCCGCGATCTGATGACTTTTCCGTGCTAACGTCGGCCCGGGAAGCTTGTACCACTCCTGGCAAAAGAAACTACCGATTGGCCCAATCCAATAGGTGCCATACCAAAGACGTTGAGGTCAATCGGTTCCGGCTTGGGTCGTTCAAGCTGTCAAGTCTACGGGATGTGTGAAGAGCAGCACAATGTGCGTCTCGCGGCACCTAGCGTTACCTTCCTGGGAACGGCTTCCTCATGCAAGGAACCGCGGTCCAACGTCTACCGTGATACAGTGGCGTACTGTAGCTCGTGGAATCGTGCAGTGACATGGAGTGACATGGAGACAGACCCGGTGTAGCTTGCTCGCTGATCGTGGGGTCTAGGGCAACATAAATCAGGTAGCAGGTACGGTTGGGGGACTATGATACTTGCGGCTGTGGGGAGGTTGGGTAGTTCATGCGTCGTACTATTGACTAATTGTGTTTCTGTCTCTCCGGGTAGGTCGGTCGTTGCGTCATAGATTTAATTGCTGAGACGCTGATACTTGAGGGAAGATGTTCGTACCGCGATGTACCGGAAGGTCTTGTGGAACGGTATGGTCAACAGTAATGACGGGTTGGTAACCTCCTCCGCTCCCGCACCCGAAGGACAAGAGCGCGGTCCTGATATCGAAGAAGCCACACAGGATGCTCGAGGAGGATATAGTAACGTAAGGTAGGCCTAAGCGTGGATCTTTCCCCATCCATGACAGCAGTGTCGAGACTGAGGCATTCTTGATCTCAAGAAAGACCACTTCTGTTGATGCGGGGTCGACGGCTTCAAGAGGAATTGCTTCCAGTGCATCAGCAGACCACTGGTGACCTGAACAGTGGAATTGACTTCTAGATGTCAAGTGTTGCTTATGACTATAAACCTTGTAATATATCAAGGCTGGGAGAACGCAGGGACGCGGTGAGTGAGCTCGAATAACCAGAATAGCTAGAAGCGTCCGATGGAAGGGAGTTGGTACTGCGTTCAAAGTATTGATGTCGCATAGTCCGTGTTCACGGTCGAACAGGTACAGGTTACGTATATGTTAGCTTCCGCAGCGGGTAGAACCCACACTCAGATCGGCAGAACTCCAAGCCACACGTGAAGAGATCGGGCATGAATGATTGGATGTTGAAGGAACTTGTGCGCGATTTCCCCGGACTCCTTTTCCTGGTGTATTTTGTAGCTACTGTGCAATGTTGCGAATCGACTGACATGCTCTCGACCATGGGGTAGCATGCGTCGTACCTGGACTCCGCGCAGCCGGTCAGCAAAGAGTTTGAGTTTGGACCGGACGGGCTTTCGTGCTAGGCAGAACCGCAATGCTCAACAGGAGAGTGTGTATAAAAACACCCCGCCCCTGCGGCTTCAACACCATAAGGCGGCCCTCACAATTGCCCAGTGCTCTTTCGCTTCAGCCACAATGCCCGTTTTCCTTGCTACTTCTTTGCTTCTGGCATCCGCCGTCCATGCAAACGTCCTCCCACGAGCAGGGATCTCGACGTTCACGATACCCTTTCCAACCCAAGCGGCACCAGTCACTACCACGGTCTCCGGCTGTGACTCAGTTGATCCCTTCGTGATCGTCGGCGTGCCGACATCAACGGCCACATTCTGTACGCGAGAACTAACTCCTTTGACCTGCCACCCGGCTAACATTTCGAAGTCCCGGGAACTAGAACTATCTATGTCCCTCCACAGGCCTTCCCAACTCAAACGACCATTATCGACACTGTCCAAAACGCCACGGAGGTCGTCATCGTGACCCCACTGCCAGGCACATGCGGGGAGTTACCCTTCCCTTCAGATACACCAACACCGACCGGTACGGACAGCGCAACCCCAACGCCCACGCCGGACATATGCCCAGAGGGCGGATGTTCAGGCGAAGTGGTCAGGAACGCCCAGATCATCATCAACGCCATCAACAAGGTGACGCTGCTCTCTCAGAGTCTGCAATCCGCCGCGAAGCAGATCGGTGCATCGCCCTTCGGGAAACGCGACGGCGCCATAGCCCAGAGCCCCATCACCGACGTCGCGGCAGGCCTCCGCAATATCGCAGCCACGCTCAGCTTTTCCGCCCAGGTATTCCTGCCTCTGCCGCCGCTCCCGCCGGGGTGCAGCAGCGACACTGTGATCATCGCCTTGATTGAGTTCGTGAGGGTGCACCAGGCCCTGCTCAACATTCTGATCGGCCGAGCTGGCCTCCTCCCAGGCGGCCCAATCAAGAGGGAGGCGCTGATCGAAGGAGACGTTGCATTGGACGAGCGGGGCGACAATGCTTTCATTGGCGCCGTCGTTGCTGGCGCATTGCGTGCGGTTGAGTCTATCGTGGACACTGTCGCATTCAAGCTCATCGACCTCGTTCCAACTCGCAGCGAGTGCGCGAAGAATCAAAAGGCCGCTCTTGACGCGAGCTTGGAGGATGCGATTACGGCCTACAAAGGCTAGAAGTCGCGAGTCGATAGTATGAGATGCTGACAGGATGGACTGGCGAGACATTTCTTTCTCTTTAATCTTTCCTTACGGTTTGACCATGCTCTTTGTTTGTCATCGTTGGACGCTCCTTTAAGCGGTATATGAGGGAGAACAGAACGTACGGCTGCTTGGACGTAATGAACCAAAAGAAGTATTAGCAATGAACTGCGGATTTCTCATGTGATAAAATCCAATCCTACCCTTGTTGTAGACCTTCGCTATTGGGTGATACGCAACCTTGAATGAACTTGGAGTCGTTCAGGCTACTTACGCTACGTACTCACAGCCAGATCCCAGTGCCCAAGGTCAACGACCATGAGCGCCCCATGGTCACCAACCGGCTCCAGCTGAAAACCTGCCTTCTCCGCACTATCGACACGAAATACACAGCCTTGGATGAGGAATATGTTACCCGTCGCCCGCATCATTTCCACAGCCAAACGAACATATTCTTCATGCTTAGATTTGCCCCCCGAGAAGACGAGGATAATGTTGCCATGCATGACGCAGAACGTCTGTTTGACAGTGCGATTTTGGCTGGTTATATGGCGAAGCGTTTCCGGCGAGCAGTCGCAGTGGAGACGGGTGAAATAATTTGCGGTCAGGACATTAGTGTAGGCACTTCAATCAGCGAGGTAGAACACAGACACGTTTATGGGGAGTGCGCCGCGGGGTTTCCGGACTACGGAACCACATGCTGAGCGTTGACCTTCGACGTGGAAGCTCGTTGTGTTGGGGCAGCTGAGCGCCAATGTGGTTTTCCCGAGAGACGTTGCAGATTCGTGTCCTTGGGTGTCAGTCGTGATCCGCTGGGTAAGACTGGCCTCTTCGGATGCGATTGCGGAGGCCCAGTCATTGGTAGTTGTTGAAGGTCTTGGGGAGAGAGTGGATGATGAAGCCGAGGATGGCTTGCATTGCCTAAGTAATATTAGTATATGGCTCGGAAATCGTGCAGTTGACGTATGATGATAGGAGTTCGGCCACTTACGCTAGCCATTTAGAGGGTTGAGTATTGTTTGGAGATGAAGTGCGGGCGGAGAGAGAGCCTACCCTTATATTGGGAGGCGCGCCCAGGCATCGACAGATCCGCAATTCACTCGCTGAACTCTTCGTATGTGCTACGCTGCTCTGCTCAGCCTTACTCAACTGTGGAAATGAGGAATCGAAGCAGACGCTTCGTTTCACCCTCCCTCGTCGTCCTCCTTCCAATACACCATCAGCCCCTCCAGCGCTTGACCATGGGGTTCGAACTCCGGCACCCTTCTCCATTCTCTCCCTCGTTGAAAAATGTTGCCGGTCTCATTGCTTTCTTCAAGTACTCTCTCCTTCTCTGATGTCTTAGCGAACACCCCATAATCATCCAAAACCTCATTCCCAATGTATAACTCCGGATCCTTGCCCTTCAGGAACAGCGGAAGCAGTATATACCAGTCCACAAAGGGAGCGAAGACAAACGACGACTTGGTGATATGAGTTTGTATATCGGCGGAGAGAACAGCGATATTGAGGGCGCGTAGGAAGGAAATATCGAGGGGAGTGAATGCAGGTTCTTGGGCGTAGAGGCGAATCTGTGATTGCTCGTGCTGTACTAGGGATGCGTTAACTAGACATTGTTGGCAGGAACTGGAGACACGCTTACCAAGCTTGACGGTAGCCAGGAACAGCGCAAGCTGCCACATCGAGCGATGCCGATGTTCCCAGTCGAGACTAAAGCTCCCAATGCCTATGCAGACGGCCTCGTTCACATCCCAAGTCCGCTTTTGGAGCACCCGCTCAAGTTGCTGCGCACACGTTGTCTCCCGCCACCGCGCTTCCATCTTCCGCAAATCATCCAGCAGCTTTTCCACCGTCAACCCCTCTACTATCCTCGTCGGTCTCGCATCCCTAGCCCCATCCTCTCCTGAGCGTCTTGAAGCCGCCGAATGCGTGACAACGGTCCATCCATCCCCAGCTTGTATGTGCTTCCTCTTTACGCGCCCCCCCTTCCATTTCTGCTCGCTCATTGTATTACCTCCTTCCCGTCTCGGCCGGCAATGCGAGTGACAGCGTCTGCGGCAGCGTTACGGTGCGCATGGTCCACGTCGGGGTCCGAGGAAGTGGGAGATGTCGAAATTGAGTTATTATCTCAGACGTTGGAATAGGGTTGCGGCTTGCATGGGCGCTTACGCTTAGGCAGGGCGATTAAAGGGGGATCTGATGTTGTTGGTGCTGCGGCGCGGAGTTGAGGGTTGAGGCTGGGCGCGTAGTGGGGAGGTTTTGTTGGATGATGGTGGATTAGGCATAGCGTTCTCGGAAGGCGGTCGGAATCTCGGAATGGACACACTTGCTTTCGAAAGCCGTGATATCTTGTACGGTGGCATGCATACGGCTACAGTTTCTAGGAAACGAAGACAGAATCTATCAGAATGCTTCCAAGGGTTGGCATTGAAGGTGAGAGCGAAGAGGGTGCGAGAAGGAGCTGAATACGCCCCAGTGTCAAGCGCATATCCAACGAGCATCCAACATGGTCTTGACGGGCGCTGAAGAGGATTCGAAACATGTGTTCCTCAATGCTTCAAGCCCTCAAAACAAGAACATAGCCCTCTCGCCCGCCTCAGTCCCAATCTGATGTACCTCCTTCCTCCCCTTCGGCGTCAAATCCGTCTCACTGAAATACACAAACTGACCCGTCACCTTACTCTTCAACGCAAAGTACCCGCTAGCATGCCACGCCTCCGCAGACTGGACACCCGTCGGCAACACTGTAAACTCATTACCAGTATCCGGATCATTCCGCGCCGCATACACATTCAGCTTCCCGCTCGGCGTCTTGACATTCGCATCGCAATGTAACCACGTCCCATACGCGCGATTCTTGAACTTGGTGAAGCCGTGGCTGCCGGGCAATGCGGTCCAGCTGTCGGCGAGGGCGCCGGTGGGCGGGCAGTGGTAGACTTCCTGGGGCGAGGTGGGTGTGGGGACGCTGCCGATGAATTCGCTGTTGCTGGCGTGGATGCAGTCGCCCGTCGACTTGGAAAGCAGCAGCATCGATTCCGTAGGCATCTCGCCGATGAGCTGGTATGCTCCAGACTTCACAAGTTTGAGCTGCTTCCTGACGACGCCGATGGGGCCGCTCAGACCGGCAGGGCTGACACCCCCGGCGGTCGTTAGCAAGGCCTCCATGCGGCCGATCAGCGGCGTCAGGACTTTGTCGTGGTTCTCCGTGTTGAAGATCGTATTCGCGAAGTCCCGAATCACCTTGAACAGCTTCGCCCTTTCGAACTGATCTGAGCGAACCAGACCTGCTAGCACCGACTTTCCGCCAATCTCGAAATCTCTTCCCTCCTGCATGATCTGGTCGATTCCCGAGGGGATGAACTTTAGCTTCACATTCACAACGGCCGGATTCGCAACAGCCACCGTGTCGTTGTAGATATACGTGTTGTTCGTGTTCTGCGTATACCCGTCCCAGTGCTTCAGCAACGACTCCATGGCAAAGAAGCGCAAAAACTGGTCCCAATCGATGACCTGCTGCGCAGCGGCCAAGCCCCCAGATGCGATCTGCGAGGCGGCGAGCTTGATGTCCTTCATGTCCTCGTACTGCGAGAGTCCTTCGAAGCTAATCCGGCCAGAGTTTATCACGGCGGTGTCGAGGTCTTCGCCGACTTCCAGCTCGTACGCGTTGCCCTTGTCATTGCCGGCGAAATTGTGCTGGTAAAAGCGCTTCTTGAAGGGCTCTAGGTTGACGTAGACTCCCAGGGTCGTCCCGTTGACTACGACCTTTGCGAAGTTGCACCGTGGATATGGAAGGCCTGCCTGACGAAACAGTTCGTAGCCCAGCGGCTGCCGGACGTACGATGAATCCTGCTTGCTGTTATTCAGCGTCAGGACCTTCGTTCCAATCAGTGCCTCAATCGCGTCCTCATTCTCCTTCACGTATTTCGAGAAGTCTAGCCGCAGCGAGGGCTTGCTAGTGCTGAAGGATCCACAATATGACTTCTTGATCAGCCCGATATTGGAGAACGTCCCCTGTTTAGGGAACTTGGTGCCGGACACGGTGACCGAGGTGGCTTTGAACCAGTCATAGCGGTCGCCGGTATAGGAGAAGTTGCAGCGTCCACCTCGCGGCTCAGCGTTCTTCAAGGCTTGCCAGTCCGAGTCCGGGATGGTGAGGCTGATCGTGACCAAGTTATCAATGTTGTAGAAGTTATCGCAGAGTTCTTGTTTGCTCATCGTGAGTATTTTGTAGCCGCTGCCGCCGGCGGGTAGAGTCGTAATTGTAGGTCGAGCTGTCCCTTTAGAGAGTTACGATTTGATGCTTCAACCGGACGAGGAGGGAAACTGGGTCTCTTATAGCGCACGGCAGGATCGTACGAGATTAGACATCGACGCATTCTACAAGCCAGTCAGCCACGGAAGCCAATGTGCTACCTGAAAACCGTATATTGTCGAATGATCGTAAGAGGCGTCTGCAGTCCTTCCCTCAGCTGGGTGTGGTAGTCGATCAGCTGCTACGTCCAGCCGCAGCGTGGCTTTTTAGTGTTCGTGAGCCTCGACTTTGCACTTCGAGCGACTTATCGTAGAGGAGCGGAAATTATACTGCCCTCAACCACTTTCAAGGCTATGTTGCTGTTCTCGCTGGATGCGTGTGGTGTTCGCTTCCATCAATGGCAAAAGGTTCAGGCTACTGGAGCCCTCCCATTCCCGATTTGCACCTATGCTGGATAACCCTTACTCACGTCTTCAATAACTAAACGCGCGAGTAGCAGTCGAACAGGGCAATTACTTCTCTTCAACGCAAGCGCCCTTATCATACGTTCATCACACGCCGCACTCATGTTCCTCTCCCCACACGCGCTCTACGCATCCTCCCAGGCGCTTAACCAAGCGCCACTCACAGAGCCGCAAGCGGATCTCTGGATCAGGCCTCCAAGACTGACGCAAGACGCGAGTGCTTCCTCCAACCTCATCTGCTACCCGAGACATGACAGCTCCTCTAGATCGGGGTTCCGCGAGTGTGACGCAAGCTATGGAAGCAAACCCGAGACATCACTGCGTCACCAAATAACAGATGCTTAATTATTTCTGATTCGAAAATCTTGCCATTAACCCTTACAGAGAGGTGTGTGAAGTATCGAATCGCGAGGCCGGCGATATTGGAGGAAGGCAGGAAAAGGAACCCCAGCGCCGTGCTATGTACAAATGGTGCTGTGTCAGCGGAACCCTTTCCCGGTGATCGTGTATCCCAAGTCCCATCCATCGCGGCCCAACCCCTTCCGTTCCAGTCCAGTCCTGAACTGCCCTGCGGCTCGCCGACCGTCTTCTGCTCGGTAAAATTATCGCCAGTGATGATAAAGATTGGAGGTAAGGTGAGAATGAAAAGATTGATACGTCAACCTCGACGCCTTTACGAGAAATAGTCGTCGCTCCTGGATATCATGCGCCCGTACGCCCGCCCGCTCGAAGATGAATCAAATAGTAGTAGTAGATGCCGAAAGTCGACGAGAATAACAGGGGGAGGATGAATAGGCTTATAGCCATGTTATCCAAGTCGCAGCGGTCAGTATGAGCGGCACAAGCAGCGAGACGTATCCGTTGAGCATGACGGTGGGCGCGGCGGGCGAAGAGGTGGTCGTGTACACGAGCTGGAAGCCAATATCCTGGCCTGGTTGTGTCGTGTTAAGGCAGTTCGTCTCGTTCACCTCGGGCACGTCTTCTGGCTCCGCGAAAGTGATATCAGCGCACTATTCCCCTCAACATTAGCATTCCGGTCATTTGAACTTCCAAAGATGACAGAACTTACGTTGTAAAGTGCTGCGCCATGCTGTGCCGTCTCAATGACCTGAATGGTGGCATTGTCGCCCACCTTAGGCGTATAATTCGCCGGCAGCGGCACCTGCGGCAGGCAAAACGAGCCGTTGTACTGCACGTTCGAGGGGCCGGTGATCTGGAAGACGGGCAGCATCGAGTGCGAGTAGTTGAGCGGCTCGTTGCCGAAGCCCATGTTGATGTAGAAGAGGGCGAGTGCGTGGCCCGGGAACCAGCCGGGCTGGATGGATATAGCGCCGCCCTTTAGCGGCCACTTTGTGCGATTTTGTGAGGTGGGCATGCCGCCGCCTATGTCCTGTTAGCTGTTGTCGTCGTATGCGCGATGGGAGAGGGAGGGGTATCGTACATGGATACATCCACTGCATGCCATATGGAAATCCGTATGTGCCATTCTCCCAATTGATGCCCAGCGAACCCGGCTTTATATTCTCGTCATTCTGCGAGACGGTGCCGTTGGTGTGGATGTTGTTCCCTCTCCATCCCGGATAAACGATAACGGTGTGGGCGACGGTGAGCGACCAGGTCGCGACGAAACAGGCCAGCTCTGTGAAACGAAACATTGCGACGAGGGGCGGCGGTGGCGACGATGCGAAATCCCAGAACAATTTCCCTTTCGTATTCTCCGATCTCTTGCAAATAATTCGAACTCGTGCTCGGAATGAAGACGGGGTCCCCGTGGACACTGCTGCTGCTGAGGAGGACTTGGATATGCAGGCCGGCAGCTTGCGGGTGGCGGGGGGCACATCAGCACTTAAGGGCTCCCATGGGCTCACCCGCCAGACGCCATCGCAAGCCTTCGTGCGACCCACCTGCGTCGATAAACTCGGCCGCAAAGGGACTGCTCGTATGCGAATCCCTTTGGACAGCCGGCCAGCACTTGCATGTCAGCTTCTGCTGCCGTGAACACTACAGCGAATGGCGCGCGGGCGAGCATATTGAACGAGCAGGGGTCGCGAACCAACGAGCGGAGCGGATGCACGTCTTTGCACGGACGGGAGGGGATCTCCCAAGCCAGGCCGAGCCAGCAAGCGGCCCCCATTCGGCCAGATGTGTGATGGTGTCTGCATGCCCGTCGGCTCCGGCCCAGGGTCGCTGCTAAGCGCCCAACTGCTCCACACCCACTGCCACCGCGCCGCAGGGTCGCAGACGGATGGCTGCGCTGTGGAAACGTCGAAAGCATACAGTAGTGCGCAGAAGGAGCATTAAGAGCAGTAGCCGCCCGCGGTGATGCGACCGAGGCGTGATGGAGAGCCCACCGGCTGTGCCGTAACCGGGCATGCGCCGTCGCAAGCTCCTCTTGTCAGCCACATTGGTACTTGCCGGCGACCTTCAAGGCATCCAGCCCAACTGCGATATGACGACGTGACACAGCACCAACACAGTCAGCGTGTACTGCAGCATGAGCTTTTTAAAATGATTATCAATGCAGGACTGACTGTTCCCTTCCCCCAGGGCTGAACTCCGCGAAGGACGCAATATATTCTGCCTGCAGAAGCACCATGTCGATGCATGAAAACGGCCTTGTTCGGTGGACGCTCATTGGAAAACGGCTATGTCTGGCCGATTTTCATTGGGAGCATGTTTCCGTGCCCCTGGGTGCTTATTGCTTGCTAGACTGCGGTCCACGTCTCCAAGGCGTTGTCGAGAACGTGGGGCTTTTCTCAGCATCCGTTCGCTTCGCGTGGTAGACGAGCACACTACGGAAGAGTGTGTGATGAGGGCTTCGATTCGCTGTTCCTCTTCGCCGGCGCATACGACTAAACAGGACGGAAGACTTGATAGTTGCGCGTCTAGCGAAAAACAGGAGGCCCAAATGTGAGCAGGAGACAGACTGCAGAGAGTGTTTGAATTCCTTTTTGGGTGCTATTTAGTCCATTAGCACATGGCTGATCTTCAGGTACAGAGATCAATTACCGTGCCTCTGTACCTGTACGTTTTGCCTCCCTAGCGATGCCAATTTTCTTGCAAGGGTGCAATCTCTTCGCCGTTGCTTGTCCTTTCCGACTCCTCGGTCAACAGTGCTTAGCATCGTATGATGTGCTCAAGACCCCCCCATCAACATGGCATTCCATAAAAGCCCCTTAACTGCCGCCCTCCAAGGGTATTGAGGGGACAGTAATACCAAAACTTCTGAGACTGCTTGTAGCCGCCTCCAGCAGCGCGTTCTCCTTTCGCAGCAGCTCCTGGATTCGCTCGTTCTCTTGCTTCCGTGAATGTGACGGAACTTTGACGCTTGCAGCAGGTCGCTCTTCAGTACCCGCTGCCGACGCCTCCGCAACCTCCTTCGCCAAGGTCCCCTTCATATCCTTGACCTTCTCGAAACGCTGCCAGGCAGGCACCTCGCTACCGTCGACGTCGTCCGTCAACGTACGTTCCGTCCGGTCCAGACTACTCTCCATCGTCTGAAGCTCCTCGATGAAGCTCGCCTCCTTTTCGCTCAACTCTGCTCCACCGATGCCAGCCATCCTCCGTCGAAGGGCCTGGTATCGGGAATTGATCTCTTCCTGTCTCGCTTGGACTTTCTTTAGGCGATCTTCAATCTTAGCCGTGCCGTAGGCTTCTGACCCACTCTCGGATCCGCCCTCATCGTTCCCAGTTACAGAGTCGATCTTGGGCACTAGCTGGGAAGCTCTGAAGATCTGATCTCTAAACTCGTCCTGCAGTCGATGACAACGGTTATAAAGGTCGGATACGGCGTGTTGCAGTCGGTCTGTTTGCGCAGCAAGAATTCTATGAGCGTTCATGAGGAGTTCAAGGTTCGCAGGGGATAGGCGGATCTCCTCTTTCAATGATGATTTGTGCCTGCTAGGTATATCGAGGGCGGCATATAAGTCAAACGGCTCCCACAGCTCCTTGGGAGGCTGCCATGCTTCGCGCACCTCCTTCGACGGACCGCTAACCTGCATATATTGGGCTAGCTCTTCCTCAGTAGGCACACCATCCTCAGGAGTGTCAAGGACTACGGCTTGTGGTTCGTTGTCGACCGTGGTCAGGACGAGGTAACCTACGTCATCTTGTTGAATGACTACACAAGATGTAACGTCCTTCGTGCGATCTACTGGCTGACGACGAATGCATTGCTCAACCGTGGTGTTAGCCGATTCGAGCAGGCGCTTGAGACGGAAGTCAGCTCCTTCGCTCTGCGGTTCCGACAACTCGGCCTCCAGTTTCCGGATCCACGGCTCCAACGAGATGTAGTATACTCCGCTAGCGTGCGAGACGAAGAAGGTAAAGTCGGTGTGCACGTCGGGGGTAATGCTTTGGTTGTAACACGAGGTCTCGTCATCGGTCAAGGTGATGGTTTCAGCGACAATGAGACTATGTCCAGCAGGCGCTGTGAAGTCGGGTTCGTCCTGGAAGGATTAGTCAAATACACCAAGTAAAGGCTATGTTCGAACTCACATCAGAAGAGGGAAGCCATCGCCCTACAATTCCTTCTAGATCAAGGCAAACATGCACTTGACAGGTATCTGTGAGAAGGCAAACAACGGCTGCCGGTAGACCTTCGGCAGCTTCTTCCTCGGATCCATCTGAAAAAGTCTTCAGAGAATACACCACCATGTCGCATAGCTCAAAATCGTCTACCTCCGGCATAATAGTGAAGGGTCCTTGCAACAGCGGAATAGCGGGTACACTAGCCGGTCGGGTGAACACTTTAATCGAATCTCCATTTGAAAGCTCCTCGTTGAAAGGATCTTGGTAAAGGATATCGGAAAGCCACGAGAGTTGCTTATCTGCGGTCTTCTTTTCGTATTTTGGGGCGCTCGCGGCTTCGGAGATGTCGGCGTAGTTGATGTTGATGGATGAGGTTAAGGTTTGCATGAGCGTAGATGCGCCCGGAGACTCAACAAGCTGCCACCTGCTCGGGAGGAGAGGGCATAAGGCGTACACGTCGCCCGCAACGGTTGCGATCCACAGCGTCATCGGCGCCCAGCCGTGAACTCCTTCTTGCTCAGGGAAGTCCCCAAAGTAAGCCGCGGCAACTTCAAGGTCGGCTGCGTCTGGGGAAAAGCCCTTGGGTGCTCCATATTTAGACGCGCTCAGATCTTCCTGATCATTTGTAGCATTCGCAAGCTTCTGAAGGTCAATCGATAGCGAAGGCTCGCTGAAGCTTGACCGGTCTGACCGATTGACCTCCCACAGACGCACCACGCCTGTCTGGGTGATTGTGACCAAGCATCGCCCATGATAGCCTAGCGGATGCCACAGAACAGTTGCTATTGGGGACTCCTCCAAGACGTGTGCTGTTGGGCCCACTTGGAAGGTCTTTGGTTTGATCAGGCTATCGTCACCGGATTCGAGGAGCGAGGAGTCGGGGAGATTGACGACGTGGACCGTATGGGAGGTGGAGACGGCGAGATAGTGACCGCAAGGAGATATGTTAAGGCGCGTAATCGGCAGTGGTATCGAGACTTTGAGAGTTCGGTACGTCGAAGAGTCCTCCTTCAGGACCGTCAGGTCTGCCCATCGTATTTCATGTCCGACGGCTACAAAAACCTCAGATTCTCTCGTAGCAATCGTCTTACGTAGACCCGGACTCTTCTCTTTCGGAACTAAAGCCTTGCTAGACGAAGGTTTTGGCGCAAACAGTTGGTAGCCCGCATTCGGGCGGCTCAGCCAGGCAGGTGTGTAGCCCAGCACTTTCGGCATCTCGACTCTTAGCTCTCCGCCGGTTGAGCACGCAGGGTTGGAGCGGAACAATGAGCTTTTGTGCCTAGTGAGCGTGGTCGCAGTGTGCTAAAAGCTTACCAAAACAGCAGGCAAACAACAGCTGTGAAAGAAGCGCGGACGCGTTCGGGTAAACTTCGGCCTTTGTTTTCTGGAGCTTCAAGCTCTCTCACCGGCGTCACCTCCGCTTCAACACGGCGCCTTCACTCATTTGACCTTCGAAGCCTGCGAGCTCACTTCAAGACTGACAGCTCGTAACCTTCCTTTGAAGCCCTTTTCTTCCCGCCCGTCAAAGACACCGTTTCAGCATGCGCGCCATCAAGAACACCATAGATCGCCTGGATAGGCCGAGCTCGTACGCGTCGAGCAAGGTGCGCCTTTGCTCTCCGGAAGCCATTGTGAGCGGGGCTAATATGAGGTTGCAGAACCGCCGACGGAACCGTAACCGTGAAGACGAGGAGCGCCGCGAGAGGACGCCCGAGCCGGAGGACAAGCTCAAGGATGCGACTACTCTCTACGTGGGCAATCTGTACGTCGCGCAGCTTGATCCGTATTCGCGGCGGCATTCTGACGCATGCAGGTCCTTCTACACGACCGAGGAGCAGATCCACGAGCTATTCTCCAAGTATGCGGCGCCCATTTCTTGCTACGCTTTTTTACATACTCACTCTTCGTTTAGGTGCGGCGAGATTAAACGGCTAGTCATGGGCCTTGACCGCTTTCAGAAGACTCCCTGCGGTTTCTGCTTCGTCGAATACTACACACATCAGGATGCGCTGGATTGCATGAAGTACATTGGCGGGACGAAGCTAGACGAGCGCGTTATCCGTACCGATCTCGACGAGGGCTTTGCCGAGGGCAGGCAATACGGGTATGTTGAATGTAGATGTCTGGATAAATTGCGGGGGCTAACAGGCTGCAGACGAGGTAAGTCCGGCGGTCAAGTGAGAGACGAGTACCGCAGCGAGTTCGACCCAGGCCGAGGCGGATTCGGCAGAGCCTACGCCGACGAGTACGGCGACGAGCGGGACTACAAGTAGCCGATTCACAAGCAATTTGCATTATACTACAGCAAGGAGTTGGATTGGGGCACGGCGTTGGTTCATTGTGGCTGGAAGACAACAGAGGTCTCCGGATCTTCACTGTTTGCTGCGTTTCTACCAGCGAATTCGCATCTAGGTAAAAGGTCTAACAAATGCAGTTACTCCTCGTGAACGCCTTCGAACTCTCTGCCTTTGTGCCCCTAAACGCGTTATGAGACCGAGCGATCGACGAGCTCGAACTGCTGCCTCCGTCGAACAGCCTTCAAAACTTCCTCCAGCCACCATACGTGTATACGCGGGTCAGCCGTCAGCTCAGGATGGAAACTCGTTCCGAAGACGTTTCCCTGTCGCACAGCAATAATGTCCTCTGCGCCAGCGTGCTGGTGTTCTTGATTATTCTGGAGAGCTAGTGAGTGTGTTGATATTGTGGCCATGACCTCCACCTCCGCCTTCAGTTCCTCTTTAGCAAGGTCATCCATAGGGGTCTTTGCAGGCGCGACAATGGTGGCACCCCTGGAGGCTTCTTCCGTCTGGATGCCTGCTGTGTGTGGTAGAATCTTCTCCACCACGGGAGCCCGTATGAAGACGCAGCGGTAGGGCTCTTCAGCGCCTTTGTCTACGGTGTCACCGAGGAATGGGAGGTTCAGGTTCGCTTGGAAGCTCTCAACTTGTCGGCCGAAGTGATTCCTGTTTACTCGCACATCCAAGCCTCCGATCAAGTCTTGCCCGCCCTTCTTGGTCCTATTCGCAGACTCCGCGAGCAGGATGAGTCCTGCACACGTTCCCCAGGTAGGTTTGCGGAGGACCCTTCACGAAGTCAGCACGGAGTCACGCGACATCAGCAACTTCGGACTCACTTGACAAAATCTCTCAGCGGCTCCAGCAACCCAGACCGCGCCGCAACAAGGGACATGGTCGTGCTCTCGCCTCCGGGCACTATGAGAGCGTCGCATTTTGCTAGCTCAGCCGGAGTCCTGACCTCAACGAAGTTCCACTTCGCATCCAGTCCATTCCGCCTCTCGAGGTTCTCCGCCGCTGATCGCAACAGCTGAATGTGCTCGCTGAATGCGCCCTGCAGGGCTAGCACGCCGACTGTGACACCCGGAAGTGGAACCGTCATTCCCGTCGGTGCGCTGATTGTTCCACGGAACAAGGGTTGTCGGAGTCCGAAGAATGGTTGTCGTCAAGAGTCAGCGGCGATATAAAAAGTTTGGAAGGCTTATCGATAGCGGCGAGGGACGTTCTTTCCCGGCCTTTGTGCCGATTACTTTAGACCCCAACTTCCGTGAATAGCCACAACACCTCGAACTGAGTCGGCCATGATCAGCCCAGAGAAGCAAACTCCGCTAACCTGCTGGCTGCTCGACACACGCAGTCTCTGGCCCGGCGACAGCATCTCAGAAACTGTTCGGCGTTCCGCTCACCGCAAGATTGAAGCACGTGCTGACATCTCTAGGCCGACGAGGAACTCCAGCTGATCAGCTCGGAAGAGCGCGAAGCATGTGTTCGGAAATACCACATCGCAGATGCGAAAATGAGCCTGGCCTCAGCCTTGCTCAAGCGCCTCTTCGTCGCCAAAACCCTTGGGATCCCGTGGAAAGACATCCGCTTCGGACGTAAGCGTGACCCGAAGCACGGGAAACCGTGTGCTCTCCTGCCAGACGGCAGACCTGCGCCCATAGAGTTCAACGTGTCGCACCAGGCTGGACTAGTTGCGCTGGTGGGATGCAAAAGCGCGGGTGTGGAAATAGGAGTTGACATCGTATGCGTAAACGAGCGCAACGACTACCGGCTCATCGATCAGGAGGGGTTCGACGGCTGGGTCGATGTGTATCAAGAGATATTTTCTGAAGAGGAAAGTTGGGATATGAAGTACAACGTGGATCCCTTCCAGTTACTGGACGGCACAGAGGTCACGCCTGAGATGCTGGGTCGGTACGATCGGTGCTGTAGACGCGACCAGGAACTCGTAGCCACCTTTCCGTCGGGGGAGAAGAGGGAGTTCTCGAGCGACCTGTTGATCGACGCAAAACTCCGTCGCTTCTACACCCACTGGTGCTACAAAGAAGCGTACATCAAACTAGACGGGGAGGCACTTCTCGCCAAGTGGATCAGAGAACTGGAGTTCAAGAACGCGAGGGCGCCGAAGGCCGGGACTGCAGCGAGGTGTAGCACGCATGGGACGTGGGGAGAAAGAGTAGGGGATGTGGAGGTGTGGATGAAGGGGAGGATATTGGAGGACGTTCGAATGGAGATTCAAGCTTTTGAAGAGAATTACATGATTAGTGTGGCGGCAAAGACGGCGGAGGGGCTGCCGGAGGTGTTGACCGATTTTACGAGTGTTCATTTGGAGCATGATATCATGGACTTCGCCCGATCTGTCTGAGCCCGCGGGCTGGCACGTACATAGAAGAGGGATGCCGCACACATGGTCTCTGAAAGGATGGATACTGGTCCACTTGTTTCAGCCCTTCACCCCGCCCACACAATCGAACCAGCCCAACCCGCAATCGCCGCGAGCTCCTAGAGAACGCCCCATCTCTCCGCAAACCGATCATTCCCCGGATCCGTGTTCCTCTCATACTCACTACAATCTGCCACAAAACTCGCCGTCTCCTCACCCCACACCTCAGCAATCCACGCATAGATCAAGTCAATACCGGCGGAGATACCAGAGCTCGTCCAAATATTCCCGTCGACGACCCAGCGCGCCTTGGGAACCCATTGGACAGCGGGGTTCTGCTCGCGAACCTAGAACATGTCAGCCCCCGGCATTCCGAGGAGGTGAAAAGATAGGAGTTATGAAGCCCATCACCTACCCACGCAAATGCCCTCTTGTTACTCGTCGCCCTCCGCCCATCCAGCACCCCCGTCTTCGCTAGTATCGCACTCCCCGTACACACCGTCAGACACCACCTCAACTTCGGATAATAAGCCTCCACAAACTCGACTACGGCAACGTTTAATTAGCAGAGTACACAACACTATCCCGCTCGCGAGCTGCTTACCCACGCCCTCAATATTCTCCTCCTTCCGCGCTCCAAACCCGCCGGGAAGAATCAAGACCTCGAGATCATCTGGTGCATTCGCAAACGTATGTGTTGGCACGATCGACTCGCCGAAGTTAGAACCCGCATTCCCCGATAGGCCGTGCTTTGTCGAAACGGGGTTGAGCGTGCTAGCCAGGATACTGAGGTGGAGTATCTTGGTGGAGGAGAGGATATTCAGCACGTCGAGCGGGCCGCATATGTCAAGGAGCTGGAAGCCCGGGAAGAGGATCACACCTATTTTCGTCGGAGCTGGCGTAGCGGAAGCGGGCATTGCGAGGGCCTTCAGGCTGGGTTTTCCAAATGCGAGGTCAATCGATGTTCGTATGTTCGATCCGGAAGCCCGCCACTCGACACTCGGTCCTCTTAAAGTGAAAGCAGAGACAAGCAAGCGTATTTATGCAACCTTGGAAAACTAGAGAGCACTATGTCCATCTACGCAATGCGGCTGACCTGTACCGTGGTATCTGGCATATATACTGTCAATTTGCGACCCGTGCCACATAGCTCGCGAAGCGCTGCATAAAAGCCATTTGCACGCCCGGTACAAAGAGCCTGGTTCCGGGCCGTGCGAGGCACAGTAGTGGTTTAGCTGGGTCAATTAGTAAGCCTGGTGATCGGTCAAGCTCCACTGGTTGGCGGCGACTGAGTCATGTGCTCGCTGGAATGCACTTCCGCCTTGGGCACTTCTTTAACCGATTGTCGCCCGCAGGGCGGAATGCAACCTCAGGACGGACGAGCTTGGGCTCCACGGCCGAGAGCGTGATGGGAGGCTCTAGAGGGCTAGCAACTGACGCCATTGACGCTGTTCAAAGGAGTTGAGGGAGTGCTATGTCTCGTTCAAGCAAGTTTTCAGTGTCTACAACGTTGGTAGTATGGGTTCATACTAGCCTGCTACTCTACGAATCATTCTACCCCAAATTCCCTTAAACGACGCCGTTCATGTGGATGCCCTGCCTGTCCTGCACCTCCACCGTCGGCCACATCCTGGCCTTTTTGATCCTCTCCTCTGTAATCAGGTAACTCTTCGGGATCTCTCCCTCTCGCGTCATGTCCTCCATCACCGCTCCAACATCCCTCCCCGCCTCCTGGCCAAGCACCATCTCCACCACCGCCTTCCCACAAAGTGTCCCATTCGGCATCCCATGCCCCGTGTACCCAGCACACAGCCACAACCCCTCCCGATCTGGCACCTTACCCACCCATGGATGATTGTCTCGCGAGTACCCCATGATCCCAGTCCATTGGGCGGCGGCTTGAAGCTCCGTAAGCCCTTCTGTTTCCCCGCCAAGCTCAAGGATCTTGAGCAGCGCGCCGCGGAGATATGCAGCTGAGGCCTCGTCGATGACGCTGTCGTCGCTGACTCCAATGGTGGGCAGTGTGCCTACTCCGCGGCCGCCGCCGAACATCAAATGTCCCGCGGGGTTGGGGACCCCGGAGAAGGGCCGCTGGATCAGGTAGTCGTCGTTGTTTGCGGGCTGACCGAGGGCGGCGACCATGCCGTAGGAGTCGGGGAGTATTGTCGAACCCTGCGGGGGAAATAGAGCGGACATTTCGCCGCGGGCGGGGACGATGAGGTCGGCGAAGTGGGGGAGGAGCGCGGAGGTGTAGCCGTTGGTTGCGAGGATGACGGTGTTTGCTTTGATGGTGCCGCGTGGCGTGTGGACGGAGTGCGTAGAGAATGCGGAGCTGATTTCTGTAACGGGGGTTTGGGTTTGGAGGTTCAGTTTGCCTTCCTTGACAAGCCGCTCGAGGATGAAGGTTACCAGCTTGTACGGCCACAGGCTGCCGGCTCCAGCGGTCAATGTGGCTCCAATGCAGTCTTCGCTCACGCGGTGCTTCTTCAGCTCCTCCTTGTCCCTAATGATCTTTATATGCCGTGCGATGTCCGGAGCTATCTTGGTCAAGTGTGTGACTTCCTGCTCTGCTTCCTTCATGACTTCCTCCGTCCAAAAGGTGCGGCAGCCCGAGACGCTGCGCCATTCGCAGGCGACATTGTTCGTTTCGATATAGGATTGGACGGTGTTAACATTCTTCAGCTCGAAGGCTGCTACGTCCGCGCCGCGGTCGAAAAGGAGGGGTTGGCAGTGGCCGCCGTTCTGTCCACACGCTCGTTAGCATGGTCAATCTTGAGACCCGCGGCTCCAGCGACTTCCTCCTGAGGCCGCTGCGAAGGTTGGAGTGAAGACTGTAGTGATTGCAACCTTCCAACCTTCCAAACTTCAGTCTACATTGTACGCAAGCATGCAGTTACACGCGTGGAAGATTCATACCCTGCCTGTCGCACCCCAGCAAGCTTCCCTAGCCTCCAGCAGCACAATGCTCTTGTCCTTCGCCCTCTCATCCTCGGCGAGAAACCTCGCCGCAGAAGTGCCAGTAATTCCACTCCCCACAATCACTATATCTGCTTCGGCGGGAAGCTCCTCGGTCGTACGATGCCCGATGAGAAACTCATTCGGCTCGCTATGCCAGAAAGAACTGGTCGAGGCGGGTGTCGGTAGCGTAGCGCGTTCGTGTCTCATGGTGATCGAGGGAGGAATAGTAGGCTGAGGAGGTGTCTGGAGGACTGGGCTGGAGGATTGCGGAGTGGGTCGAGTATGGACTTATATCCCCACCTTAGCTTCCTAGAAGACAAGGCTGCAGGTATTGAGCTGGCGGTGTACGGAATACATGTGCTATGCGCAGAGCATGTTTGCGTGTTATCGCTATCAGTTATACCTCGCGGCATTGCGTAGGCGCAGGCGTTGCTACTATCGGAGGAGTTTGTAGGCCGCTGCGCTTCGTGGATCGGCTTGGGCTGTCATTCCGAGGGCTGTCCTCATCGGGGAGCAACGCGCGCCGACGAGCATCCAACTTGCGGTCTGTATCATTCCAGGGTCATCGTGAGCAGATTGTGAGAGTAGCGCATGGAGCACAGAGCGCGAAAGGACATGAAGGTGCTCGCGGAACCCAGGTACTCTTGCGAGCGGTGAGCGACATCGCAAAGTCACGACTCGCGACAGCTTAGTAAGGGGGCAGTGCAAGGAGGACGAGCTTTAGGCCATGCGCTTCAACCTCACCTCATTCCTCCTGTTATTCCTGGAGGACTGTTCCTGCTTCAACGGCGCGAGAGAGCGAATTCCATTCGTCGCCGCGAGTTTTTCCATTTACTCCTGCTTCGACGCTACACGGGAGGAACACGACACACACACACACCATTAGGAAACCGAGATTCTAGGCAACCGAATGCAATTTTCCTTTCGCGCAAGGTATCCTCAATCTAGGCTAATGTACATGGTATAGGAAACGACAGCTCAACCTGTGTATGCTAGAGAGGATCGATAAGGAAAACATCGAACGACAGCTCTGCATCTAGCGGGCATCATCCGAACCAACGAGACTTAATCCTCATCCAAATTCATTAATCCCGTTCAATCATTAGCGTAAGAAGCGTAGAGGGACCATCGGACACTCCCTCGAGGAGTGTGATGCCTTCCAGCAGCAACCCGGCCTGTCTCCTCTTGCAGGGCAGGTCGCAGACCGCCCTGCGCGACCCTTTGATCACGCCGACGGCTTCCGTCCCATGTGCAGCAGGTCTTTGGCGTGCTCTCTGACTGAGAAGTCGTTGAACAGCCAGGAGTTCGAATGACGACCATGCCACGGGTCGCTGCCGCTGGTGCTCCTCCTCTGTGGACCCTGAAGACTGGGTCTCGTCGGTTTGATCGAAGCGGTCGAGTGTTGACTGCTGGTCGAGACATGCCTGTCATGCTGCGGTCGCACTGGGGCGTATGTTGCGCTCATGGGACGCGCGGTCGAGGATGGTGGGAACTGCTCGGGTGGCATTACCATCGGGGACTTGGACCGCTTGCGGTGGTCTCCCGAGCGAGAGCGGCTCCGTGATCGGCCGCGCATCCGTGAGGTGATGGCGCCGAAAAACGACTCCTCGGTTGGCGAGGCCGCTCCACGCCCTCCACGTGAGTAAGTCGATGTCGGCGACAGCATGTCTGGCGAGCTGGGAGACATTGTGCCGGATGACTGTGAGTCGGCCGTCGACGTGCGGATTGGAGGCGGGGGCTGGAAATGCGAGTTGTGGTGGGACGACATTGCTTGTTCGCGTGTGCCAGCTGGTTTGCGGGGTATGGGCGGGCGGGTGAAGAAGAAGCTCCAAGGCTTAGAGGGCGTAGGGTTTCAGTCGACAAGCGGACGACAGAGTGTTCAAATAGTTGGCGGGCGGAAGGATGGCTGGACTTTGGGGACAGATTTGCGGCTCAATCACCATGTGCCTCCTGTTCTTATGTATCAATCATTCCTCCACGAGGAGGACACACAGTCACCAGTCCCACGCTTGGCGCATATCGCTCCCGCAATGGGTGTCGGTGAGCACAAGTAGGCATCGTCCAATCACCTGCCGCGATCGCATGCCCGGAAGCCTAATTCGTAGGCGAGAGTGGTGCTCACACATCGAGTTCACCGACTCTGGCCTGCGGGTGACGATGCAAGCGTGCATGTGGCGGGGCTATCGTTCTGCAACGACAGCGCATCCAGCCGAGACCAGAGCCCGACGGACTCCGGAGTGCGCATACAAGGCTGGCTGTACGCCAATCAGCAGCGCCTTAGCCTGACTGCTTCCTTGGAACCAAGGCCTTGTGCAACCGACGTGAGGGAGAGACATCACGCCAACGCCGTCATTTGATTGTTGGGTATCTCGGCCACTGCTCGAAACAAGACCGTGCCGTGTGGGAACTGAGCGATTGTTTCGAAACTGCTGGGTCTTGGGTTGCCAATTGCTCGAGGACACATGGAGCTTCCGTGAGGGAATTTGTTGTCCTCGAGGATTGATCGGCTTGTGTCCTCAACGTTGCGTTTCAAGCGGCTTTCGGAGGCTCCGTCCAGATATGCGGGGATGCTGATCAGGTGCATATCATGTTCCCTCGCGTACAATCCCCAAAGATAGGGTTCAACGCCAATGTTGTGTCACTGATAGGCGAGACCGAGAGATTCGCTCAAGCAAAAAGCAACTGCCCGTGGCTTCATGAAAGCCCACACCGCAAAAAAAAGAATCTATGCATGTGTGTCACGTGACTGATCGGCCCGAGGGCTAGGCGAAAAGTGTCCTCACATTTCCGTTGGTTACGCCATAACCTTATCCTTTTGAGCCTTGCCACTGTTCTTTCTGAGTTCGTGGCGATTTTTTACCCTCAGCTATTTTTGCACAATATATAGATTTCTTTAAATTTATAAATTCTATCAAAACAGATCTCAGCATTGGTGGTCCAACGGTAGGATATTTGCCTTCCAAGCAAATGGTTCGGGTTCGACTCCCGGCCAATGCAAAACCTTACTTTTTGCAAAGCGCTCCCTTTGTTGGAGCCGCGAATGCTTTTTGCTTGATGCATTCTGCGTCAAAAGCCTATTTTTGGGGGGTGGGGGGTGGGGGGGGGGGGGGGGGGAAACATACACCAAGTAAGATGATTTGAAATTTCGCGTGTCCACAATGACGGCGCTATGCATGGTTAGGTCTCCCGACTGTTCTTTGCGTATTACCCTTACACCAATAATGTCAGATGCAGCATAGGGTTACGTGAGAGTTCTCAACGATTTGAGGACGGGGAGTGTGATTACAATCAGATTGAAAGGTTGAATGACGAAGTGCATTCAGGGGCTCACCACATCCATGTACTCTAGAGGGGCTTGTGGGGAAAAGTAAGTAGCACTGTCTCAGCGACTCACATCGAACGCGGCCTGAGTATCACACTTCTTTCTCTGCGCCTTCGATCTTTCTTGCTCGTCTCCAAGATACTCTCTTCGTGTCGCATGATCGAGATACCGTTTGCAGAGACGGCCTGTCTGGCTTCACATGCCTTCATGAAATCCAAATCGACGCCGGAACACTGCGCGAAGCCAACACTGCACAGTAGACGCGCACAGAACTAAGAAGCCTAAGAGTCTATGATACAATGCATTGTTCACGGATAAGCGTCACTAGGCTCCGCTAATCGGTTGAGAGGAGGTAAGAGAGGAGGAAGGATGGAGAACTGAGGTCAGAGGGTATTTAGAATTTCGGTCATCCCGAGGCGTGCGGTACTGTGCGTCCCATTGCGTTCCTCACATAGCGCAATTCCTTGAATGACGTCCGGGACGTTGAAAGATCGGAGTGGAGGCTGAGTCGCAATTGAATGGAGGCGGTGAAGTTTGAGCGCTCGGGGCTAAACTCAATCAAGCAACGACATGTTGATGCTAAGCTCGTTGCAAGTAAAGTGGGAGTGAGCGAAACTAAGGGAGCTACGACCCCACTACGCCAAGCAGCTGAAGGGCCTGGGGGTTGTTCTGGGTTGCGGCTGCTCGGCGTCAGACATGAAGGGAAGTTCAGCGTGAAATGATAAGAGAATTTGATGTTAAGCTGGATTGCGTGCAAGAATATATTCCCATACAGAATTAAACCTGGCAAGGTGACGCTGCTGGAATGTATAAAAAAATTATGGCTCCGAGGCCTTTCACGAACACGTATTATCCCGAAAACGAGAACGTCGTCTTGATAAACAAAGATACACCAAACAATCGGGGGAATCAGTTCAAGATCGCGTCGGAAACAGCCTGCTTGAGGTTAAGGGTGCGATCTGCAAAGGTACCTTCCGACCTCGAAGAGTACTGGCCCATGGATGGCGTTTCAACTTTTGCCATCGCCCGCCGGCGCCGCCTCCTTTCCTCGATGTCCCGGGTGAGTTTTCGCAATTCACGAGTGGAAACATAGCCCGGCCCGCAGAGAGGTTGTTGAAAGGCGTCATGTCGACCAAGGAGTATGAACCGATGCTCTTCTGGAACAGAAGGCCGCGATTGCGCATGAATGGGATTGGCGGGTGTAATGGGATCCGGGTGACGATGATCGTGTGGAAAAAGGGACTGCGTGACGCCAGAGGCAGATGGTACCGCGCCAGGACCATTCCGTATTGGTTCCAATCGATTGGTAATGTCAAGCATGGGTTCCTTTGACGACGCACCGCCTACAGAGCTCCTGCTTCTGGAACGGGTGGGGGAGGGAGCCATTGATGACGTGCCTGGATCAAAGTTACTGTCGTCGAAGGCATCAAGTCCATCAGCCACGCGGTGATACGGGTTGCGGGGACAGCCTTTCCCAGCACTAAATATAGGCATACCATTGAAGGGCGATGAAATGGCCTCAGGAGTACCGTGCAAACAAGGGCTCGGATTGAGGTGGGAATGCTTTCGCTTTCGACAAACCGAGGGTTGATCATCTGGAGACGTTGAACACTCGTTGTCTAGTCGCTCAGTTGGTTTTGGGCGTCGGCCAGAAGGCCGGAAACCTGTCGTTTGGTTCTCTTCCGCATTGCTAGGCGACAAGCTAGGTGGAGATAGCATGACCCTGCATGGCTTGCAAAAGCCCTCCGCTTCTCCAGCCCAGAGTCCGTCAATGATATCTTTGGCCCTTGGTCGCCTGCTGGGTTGAGACTCGAGCATCTTGTGCGTGATTTCAGCTTTAACGCTGCATACTGGGTTGGTATGCACCAACTTTCCTAGTATTATATGGAGAGCCGGGATGATTTCATGGTACGCTGATGTGGCGCTCCGTGGATCGGGCAATCTCTCCAAGGCAGCCAGGATCTCTATGAAAACGCACCCAAGAGAGAAAATATCAGACTTTGAATTCCGGGGGTCATGGTCTTTGACTTCAGGTGCGCAATATCTGCGAGTCAATGAATCTGGTCGACCTACAAAGGTGGCGCTACACTCAGCGGATGGCTCAGATAAAAGGGAGGGGGGAGCGAAGAGGACACTCTAGTATGTCTTTAGGCTTTACCTGCTGTATGTCCTTAGGAGGAGCTTTCTACAGAAAAAGCTAAGATGTGCTAGAGCGTGTACCGCGACATACGTACCTGTCGTAGTACTTCCACTAGCTGCGCTATGATCAAGGGAGTATCCAAAATCGGTGTAGATGACGGACCCCTGGTGGATAAGGATATTTCGCGGCTTGATATCTTTATGTCTGATCCTCTGGGAGTGCATGAAGGTCAAGCCACTTGCAAGACACCCGAAAGACGACTCTAGGATGCGACGCTCCTGGGCTATGGGCGGGCTCTTTTCATTGTAGTCTTGCAGGAAGGCCTCCAGATCACCTCGGTCTGCTACTGGGCTGAGTAACAACCCGACTTCCCCTTTGGCTACATAGGTAGCAAAAACGCGGATGATGTGGTGGTGACGAGCAAGGCGTCGAATGATCTTGATCTCGTTCTCGAAAATTTCTCTCCTTCTGTCCCGGGTATTGTATATCCTGAAAACCTTCCGAGCATAAACAGAACCCGTCCTCATGTCTTGAACCTTTTCCACGGTTGCGCTGTGCCCATGTCCAATATTCTCGAGGAGTGTATATGGAAGGTGATCGCCATCTTCGAGAAAGTAATCCTGCCCCTCTTCGACGAGTAGCATACGAGGCTCGCTGACAGTGGATCGGTGCACGAGGAGCTTATTGCCGCTCTCCATGTCGTTGGCTTTGAGCGCGATCACAAATCATATCCGCGCAGCTGGGTGATCGTGACAACCCCGTTGAGAGAGGCTCCCTACTCTTCGTTAGCTTGCTCACTCGCTCCGCTTACTTCTGTACGTACGTCGACACTCCTACGCCATGGGTGGTGTTTTCGTCGAACTATGCGGAGAAAAGAGAAGTCCGGGTTCAGTCGCTGGGGACGCGGAGACGCCCCCAAGGATTCTAGGCGGTGAGAGGCTCAACCCGCCGCGGGCAAGGCTGAGATACGGCGGCGCCTGCACGCAGAGGGTGATTGGTCGAACTTGAGTTTTGTCGAGTGCTGCTCGAACAGTGATGGGAATACATGCTATTTTTCCAACCTAATTGTTAGGATCGTTGTCTATAGTATGCCAGGATCTGTGAAATGGTCACAGTTCGGAAGAACGAACGATGAATAGAGCTCCGAAAGGTTTCTTGGAGAGCCATAGCTCACATTGAGCTATACCAATCCGGAAAGCGTTCTTTACGCGACTCTATGCATAATGCGGTCGCATGTTCCCGCGTAAGAGAGCATTGGAATGTTGAAAGTTGAGGGTAGAAGGTGGAGTGCGTGATGCTTGGCAGTGGCATTAGCTCTGATTACGAAGCGAGCTCGGCATCGCGTCTTCGAGTCAACAACTCCGCTCGTCCTGCATCAAAGCTGCAACAGGATTCATAATGCGCTCGCAGGATGTACAGGGGCGCACGTGAGATCTTTCACTTCGCGGAGTTCGTCCGGCTCGCATTCCGGCGCTCGATGCGGCTAAGTGACGTATGGATTTCTAATCTTGTGAGCTACCGCAACGAGGGATCTCAGCATATAACCCCTCACGGGTCAATCTTGAGCTAATGCAGATATCACTGTTGCGTCCTCTCACCTTTTTACAGCTCCGTAGCGCCCCTCGAAGCTTACCACACCCCGCAATCTACCAATTCAAAGCTCACCTCCATACTAACCGCGCAAGTCCCCAGCAAACACGACCCGAGATGGCCCAGGAACGACCGACTGGACTCAAGGCCAATAAGGGCATCGAACTGCTCACCTGGGGAACCCCTAATGGGTGGAAGGCTACCATCATCTTGGAGGAGCTCAAGGAGGCATACGGCAAGGTAAGGAGCGCGCATGTTCCTACGGAGGCGCATATATTGACGGACATCAGGACTATACCTGGCAAGGCATCAACATCGGCCAGAACATCCAGAAGGAGTCGTGGTTCACCAAGCTCGGGCCCAATGGCCGGATCCCGGTCATCGTTGACCACGACCAGGGCGGTTTCGCGGTGCAGGAGGGCCTCGGTGAGCTGAGAGGAGCGAGGAGTATGATTCACAGCTGACGATAACAGCCATTCTGGCCTACCTAACCCGCCACTACGACCCCGACCACAAGTTCAGTTTCACCGACCCGCTAGACATCTCGCGCGCAGAACAATGGATGGCATGGCAGCACGGTGGTCTGGGTCCAATGCAGGGGCAGGCCAACCACTTCAACGTGAGCGTATACACTCAATGCCACACGAAGGGAGACTGACACGAGGCAGCGATTCGCAAAGGAGCGTATCCCGTACGGCATGCAGCGCTACACGGGCGAAACAGAGCGCTTAGTCGGCATTCTCGACAATCACCTCAAGGGCACCGACTACCTCGTTGGGAACAAGTTCTCCATTGCCGACATCGCGAGCTTCGGCTGGGTTCATATGTTGCGCTTCTCCGGGGTCGACCTCGACTCCTTCCCCAACCTGAAGGCTTGGTGGGAGCGAATTCTCGCGCGACCGGCCGTGCAGCGGGGACTCCTGATCCCGTCCAAGAGCAGCTTCGGCAACGATACATATTTAGAGAAGTTGAAGGAGGACAAGGAGTTTGCGGAGAAGGAGCATGCGTTGATGGAGAAGATCAAGGCTGCGAAAGAGCAGTATGGATACAAGTATGCTTCCCCTTAAGCGCTCGGGAGGCTCGTTCCGAGAGACATGTGAGTGTCTATGTACAGTAAGGTACAACAGAAAATCAGGCTTAGAGCCTTGAATAGAACGGTTCGGCAAGGTCGAGCGGTCTTTTAATGCCCAGGGTCCAGTGGTACTGTAGCCATCCCTGATGTTCCGCAGCCCCAGACACAAAGGATCCCGGAAAGCCGATCGAGACGCGCCTCAACGGGCTGGCGGCAACTTGCTCAACGGTCGCCCGTGGACCGCTTTTGTGTCCGGCTCAACTCTGAAACGCCACGAAAATATCGCGACAGTGTTTTGGGCCAGAGAGCTGTGGGCCAATCATAGCTCCGGCGACCCTGGCGCCAGGCGTGCACGCTAAGCGGCTGCCAATGACCTCAGCCAAGCGATTGGAGATGCGGCACGACAAGGCCCTCTTGGCCGACACTACACGCTGCGTGGGCGCCAGCGCGGTGGCATGCTATGAGTGGCATGCTATGAGTGGCATGCTATGAGTGGCATCCTGTGACTGTCACCGAACGATTCATATAAGACTTCCAATCACTCACCCATCATTCCCTTCTGCATCGTCCTTCTAGCATCATTCTTCACTTCCCTTCTTCACGGCTCCGAGAGTTGCAGGTCCATTGTTCTTTTCCTATATATTGTTGCATTTACCACTTCTCTTTGTGCTGCATTACCGTTGGCGAACGAGTTATCTTGCAGCTGCCAAATCTCTCCAGGGCTGCTTTGTCGATCATTGTACAGAAAGAGTTATCCACGAGGCCTGGCTGCCACACCCACATCCCGCTAATCGACGTCACTTAATCTTGAGCATCCCTGCCCGCGAACTACCCATTTCTTTCAGCGCTGTGCGATTCTTCGACCCCATTCTTCAACACCCGGCACAAGGGCATTGTGCAGACGCATTATCGACGACTACGGCCCGATATTTCAGCGGTTGCCCCGTTTCTTCGACGCTTCCCATCAGCATACACGTACGAATAACGAGCACACTCCTTCGTGAACTCCCCCCGAAAAAAGTCCCGAAAAACTCTACCTCGAAACTCAGAAACTCTACCTAGTACGTGCGGGTCCACGACTACCGGACATCAAACTCCTAACAAATGTTTCAGTTAGCCGTCATGGTCCTGAAATTCCTCTCCCGCGGCAGCATGAAGGGCGAGAAGGCCACCATGGGCACTTCTATCAAGTCCAACATGTCCATCGGCTCAGTTTTCCGCATCACCATGCGCCTCTTCCAGTTCGTCATGGGCCTCGTCGTCATCGGCCTCTACGCACAAGATCTGGACCGCGCCCGGAAGGCTGGAGTCGGGCCCGATTCGAAGTGGGCCTACGCGACTTTCTGCGGCACCTGGGGAGCTCTGTTCTCACTCATCTTCATGACCCCATGGGTCAAGGCCTGGTTCTTTTGCCCTGTTGACTTCCTGGCCTTCTTTTTCTACCTGGTTGCATTCGGCATGTTCGGCAAAATGTACATCAAGGAAGATCCAGAGGGCAACAAGGGCATCATTCGCATGAAGCACGCCGTTTGGGTTCTGGTCACCAACATGATCCTTTGGCTCATTACCGCTGTCTACGGATCAGTCGTCTACTGGAAGCACCGCAAGGGACGTACCGTCCACACTGGGGCTGCTTCATCGCACGTCTAAGTGTCCACTTCCCGAGCACTACTTGGATGGTTAGCCACTCAAAGCTAACCTGAGGCGTTAGAGGACCACGGTCAACATCCACCTGGATATATCCTTCTAACGCTCTCGAATTCCGCCGGTTTCGACTACCTATTGTTCGCATCATGCTTATCTCATTGCACTATCGATACCCTGAGCTGTGCCTTTTGCAGCCAACAGCATATCTGTAATAATAGATTTGAATTATTTTTCTAAGAGCCTGTCGTTTGCATCTGTGGTGGTTGTTCTACCTCTCATTCATTATCATGATGCTTTTTCTTTTCAGTTTGCTTTGTTCAATATACTGCTAAATAGCGACCTAATACCCAAACCCTGACTTTCATGTTTTCCATCTTGCGTACTTGCTGGAATGTATTTCTGATGAACTAGCGCGAACACCCAACTTGTACGGTAGTGATGTTTCTGCGTGGAGCAACCCAATGCCAGCATCTTCTTTTCTTGATGCACTAAGGCTCTTAGCGTAAATTCGCGGTTCCGTTCCTTTCGCCAACCTGAACAGCGTGCTTGGAATAGCCTTGGCTTAGAAGCCCAGTCTTCAGACTGCTAGAGTCATCAATGCTCCAACGCTCTCGGCGGCAGTGCTTGGGATGTCATTCTTCCAGCGCAGATTGTCTGGCAGAAGATTCAACTGCATCCTTGGGCATGATAGTGGTAGAGCGCCCAAGACAGACCTGGTAATGTGATCGTATTGAAAATCTGAGTTCAGCTGTGGTATCCATGGCTGCGCGTGTCCTCTCTCGTGAAGTTGCAGCTCGTTGCGACTTGCAGTGCACCTCGGAGACTGCCCCTTGCAGGTAGCAGAACTCTGTTCATGGGGGATCACGCAGAGAAACGGAGCTTCGCCACCCCAGGCATCACAATTCTTTCATTGGTAATTGAGAGAAGTCGCCTGAAGCGGCAAGGGAAAGACTGCCCAGTTCACCTGCAGGTGAACTGCCCGCCGCCAAGACGCTACCTGCTAAGCCCCATTGTGGCTGTGCGAGATCCGGCAACCACGGCGCAGGCCACCGAAGGCGTCATCCCACTGGCTTGAGCCCCCGATATAAAGAATTCACCTGTTCCACGGACTCCAAAACCGACTCTGTCTCTTACATCTACTTGTCTTCCTCACTTGCCTTACTCACTTGTCAACTTCAACGTCACGACTACACCACTACGCACACAGCTCCAAGTTCAGACCTCGTAACTGCAGATGAGCAACTATCCAGGATACACGCCGCCACAGCAGGGGCAATGGGGTCAACAGCCGGCTCAAGGTCAAGGATGGGGTCAAGCGCCCCCGCCTAATCAGCAGTACCCGCCCCAGGGGCCACCTCAAGGGTATCAGAACTATGCCGGAGCGCCGCCTCCCCAAGGCGGCTGGAATCAACCCCCTCCGCAAGGCCAGTATGGCCAGCAATGGCCGCCGCAGCCGAATCAATATCAAGCACCCGGACAGCAGTTCAATCAGCCACCACCTCCGCAACAATACGGGAACTGGGGACCTCCGCCCGCTCAACCGGGCTATGGATCTCCTGCCCCCCAGCAGCCATACGGGGCTCCGCCAGCTCAACCAGCCTACGGATCTCCTGCTCCCCAGCAGCCCTACGGGGCCCCGCCGGCTCAACCGCCATTTGGATCGGCTCCTCCCATGGCCCAGTACCCCCCGACCCCGGCGTCTCTGGGGTATGGCGAGCAACAGACCGCCAACATTAATCTCATTAATGAAGCCAAGGCCCTCCGCAGAGCAATGAAGGGCATGGGGACAGACGAGAAAGTCCTCATCAACGTTCTCTCCAAGAAAGATCCCATCCAGATCAACACGCTTCGCGAACAGTACAATAAGGAGGAGAAGCGGAACCTAATCGCGGACCTAGAGAGTGAAACCTCGGGCTACTTGGAAGAAGGTCTCGTGCAGATCGTCCGCGGTCCGCTCGACGGCGACTGCTACACGCTCTACAAGGCCATGAAGGGCGCGGGTACCAAGGAAGCTGCGCTCGACGATGTTCTCGTTGGCCGCTCAAATGCAGATATCAACGCTATCAAGGCTAGGTACCTGCACCTCTACAAGGGCTCACTCGAGGAACACCTCCGGGGGGATTTGTCCGGCGGCACCGAGCAGATGTATATGATGATCATTGCCGCGCGCCGCGCCGAAGACTCTTACCCCGTTATTCCGCAGGAGATCGATCACGCTGTCACACAGCTACAGAGTGGCATGGGCAACGTTATTAGCAAGAACAACATCCAGGTCTGCGAGATCCTCACGAGCAAGAACGACGCACAGCTCCGCGCCATCGCCCAAACCTACCAGCAGCGCTACCAGAAGCCGCTGGAGGACGTCGTCAAGTCAAAGTTCTCGGGCCACATGGAAGACGCGCTTCTTCTGCTGCTCGCGCGCGCGCAAAACCGGCCCAAGGCTGAGGCTGTGCGGCTCGAGGAGTCGATGGCGGGGCCGGGAACGAAGGACATGTTGCTTGTGCAGCGCGTCGTGCGATGCCATTGGGATCAGCGATTTATGGGGCAGGTGAGGGACGCTTATAAGATGACTTATGCACGAGACCTCGTTGGGAGAATTGAGGGGGAGACGAGCGGAAAATATGAGAGATTGCTGGTGGCTTGTGTCAAGTGAGGGGGCTGCTTTACTGAGGCATGCGTCTCTTGGCTTTCTTTTGTGTTTCTTTCTCTTCTTGCTATGATTGATACGGCTTTTTTTCCCTCAGTCTTTTTCATGATCAGAGTCGGATGACTATGTCAATGCGTGGTTGGGCGGTATTAGGGTATTGAGCTGCCGGTGCAATCGTGGGCGGGGGGCTCTTTTTATTGCAAGCTGTGTAACCTATGACTCTCGAATTGAACTTTCTTGTCCGTGTATCTCTAACAAACCATCCATCCACCACCTCACTCACCTTTCCACACACCTCATACCTCTCACACCTCACACTCTACACACCACCTCGCCCACCTCTCCACACCACTTCTCTCCCTCTTCCCCCCCCTCCCTTCCCTTCCCTACCTTACATCAAAAACCGCCCCCCATCCGTCCTCACCACACTCCCACTCATATTCCCATCCCTTAACACCCCCAAAAACGTCTCCACCACATCCTCCACCCGTCCCACGCACCCCGTCGTCATCTTCGCCCCCACCTCCTCAAAAAACTCCCTCTTCTCGCTCTCCCCCAGCCGCCAAAGCTCCGTATCCACCGCCCCAGGACTCACGCCATTAACCCGCACGGGCGCCAGATCCAGCGCCAGATTGCGCACCATGCTATGCAGCCCGCCCGCATACGCGGCCACGACGCTCCACTCGCGCACCGGCCGCTCGCTGATGCCGCCGGTCGTGATGGTGTAGCTGCTGCGCGGGCTGGCGGGCAGGTAGCGCGCAACGCACTTGGCCGCCAGCAGCGGGGCGAAGAAGCGGAGCTGCCCGGCGGCGAGCACGTTGGCCATGCTCATGCCGGCGAGGGGCATGGTGCGCAGCGCGTCGCCGGCTGTGAAGACGACGTGGTCGATTTGCGCGCCGGGGTAGTGCGCCGCTGTGTCTGCGAAGAGGGTGTCGAGGGCGGATTCTAGGGTTTGCGGGTTGGAGAGGTCGGCGGTGAGGCCGTGGATGTTGGAGGCCTTGGAGGGGTATGCGGCGCGGAGTTTGGACACGGCGGCTGCCACGCGCGAGGGGGAGGAGGAGGCGATTGTGACGAGGGCGTTGTGCTCGATGCTTGCTTCTGCGAGGCCGTAGCCGATGCCTGAGGAGCCGCCGATGATGAGGATGCGCGCGTTGGCGAGCTTGGTGGTGTATTTGGTTTGGTCGGGCATTTTGCCTCTTTTTCTTTTGCTTGAGCGATTTGGTGTGGTATGGAATGGAATGGTGTAGATGTTAGGGAGGATACAATTGCACAGAAAAGGAGCAAGGTGTGGACGGCTGTCGTCTTGGGAATTGTAGGGGTCACGATGATGTACTCACACTCCTCAGCCTTCCCTTGACACTTCTTATACACACCGCGAAGTTGCGATTCATCGCGGACGAGAGAAAACTCCGTCTCTTTGCTCCTTTGGGCTGGAGCGACCGGCATGCGTTTGGGAAGCAGAATTGTGGAACCAAAGGGTAAGTCGTGAACTCGTAGAGACACCTGATCGGAAATAAGGGTCGGGTTTAGCGTCCATTAACGCCAAACCGCACAATGGTCGTCGCCGTGATAGTGGAGTGGATTACATCATGCAATTCGCCATCGTCAGCCAGAATTAGTAAAGATGACTATTGGACCGGAAAGCGAAAAGGCTTTGCAAAGCCGGCGTAGAATCCGGTCTGTATCTTTCCTGCGTATGCAGTACTTCTGCATCTGACACTTAATCTGGTAGATCGACCTCTGCACACCTCTCCCACCCAAGCGCCGGCTCGTCCATCTGGAAGACTCGGATGCGCGAATACGATCTTCGAGCGTGGTATACTTCCTGTACACAGCAACACAAGCTTACTCTACGGCATTGTCCACAAAGAATTGATCTGCTTCCTCCGAACCTGTAAATCGTAAGCCAATGCCAAGAGTGGGGGAGTCGAGTAATCCACTTACCAAAGGAGCCACAAACAAAACGCCAACGAAAAGGGCCGCAACCGTGATCAGCATCTGCACCTTGTTGAAACCCTTGCCTAGAATGTCGAACGCGAAACTCGGCGCTACCCGCGTGCCGAAGATATCCAATCCGTAAGCGAAGACTAGGCTTGTGCTCTCCAAGCCACTTTCGCTTGTGATGACCTCTTTGATGCCCATGACCTCGTATTTGTGGTTCAAATGCCACTTCGGGTCAAATAGTATCATTGGGGCGTACTTGACCAATCCCTCGGATTGCTCTTGCGAAGTCGGGTCGCGGCCGATTGGACGGCGGGGATCGATAACCTGGCGTGGGATGCCGACGATGGAGTTGGAGTCGGGAAGCGTGACGAGGAGCTCACGGCTGGTGATACCTTGCCGTGTCTGCGTGACGGTCATATGCGATATCTCTTCTGGGATCTGGTAGCTTTGCGACAGGACGTATGGCTTTGCGATGTCCCCTTTGACTCCGGCAGGATGTACGGTCGAAGAATTGGAGGAGGCACCGAGCGGGCCCCTGTCGTCTGGGAGAGGGGATTCAAAGAGCTCGGCGGCAACTAGTAGATAGCCTCGCGAGGCTGCGGACGAAGTCGCATCCAAGGCGAGAGAGTAGCTAAACCAGTTCTCGGACATGGTGGACGGGATCGGTCGTGAGATGTCGACCCCATAATGCGACACTGTGTGGAGCAATTGTCCGGAGGCTGAATCTAGAAGATATATGGACGCCCTGCGCGCGGATTCGGAAACAGCCGTAACGAGGACTAGATTGGGGTTCAGGTACTTGTAAAGCACCCTTCGATCTCCGAGAACCTTTCCGATAGACGCTACTGGGTCCTTCGCTGGGCGCGTGGTGTAACTGAGTATATGTTCTCCGGATGGAGGCGTAAAGGTCCAGACAGCCTCCGAGCTAGGCTCAATACCGACGAAACCTTTTAGTTCGCCGTCGACCAGATCGAAAGACACAAGTGTCTGTCCTTCCAAGGGCACGGGAAGCTGAGTTTTGAGCTCTTGGGCTTTGAGGAGCCCTCCGGTGGTGGAATTGACAAAGAGCGATCCAGTAAAGCCAGGGTCCTTCATTTCAACGTACCCCCGGTATGCCTTCAAAGAGGGCTGCTGAAACGTAGCGTCGAGGGCGAACTGATGCATGTCAATACTCCACACAATCTTGCCTTGGGAGCCCACATCAAGAGCGACCAAGCGGCCTTTGTCCGTGGCCAGAATGACAAGCTTGTGAAAGCCAAACGTGTCATGCTGGATCTCCTCGATGGTGGTATCCTTGGATGTTCCCAAAAGATTGCCAAGAACGCGGTTGGGAAGGCTCTGTAGCCACGCCGGAAGATGTTCCAGGTCCCGCAGGTGTCTCTTCACGCGGTGAATATAAGCAGAAATCACGTTTTGATGCCCTTCCACCTCCAGTTCATGAGCGAGGGCTTCCTCTTCAGGGAGCTCCGCCCACACAGCCGAGACGGCGCCGGATAGGAATTCCGGCCGAGACCAGGCTACCTCCCCATTGCGAATGAGTGCCCACTGACCGTTGGAGAATAAGATTGCGGACCTCACGGCTGAAGCAGAGTCACCCTTGACAACCACCTCGGAGACGCCATGAACTGGGTACGATCCAACCAGCGCAGACGACCCTTTGACCGGCCATCTGCCCAGGATGCCGTGAGAGACCGAGGAAACGACAGTGACTTCCTCGGCGGTGACCCTCGTGAAGTAGACATTGGCATCGGATGTGCTGGTGGTGAAGGTGCCCTTCCCCTTCAGCTGCGGAAGGCTGTAGGCCTTTGATACGGAGCTCCTTTTCAGATCGACATGGTAGACCTCGGCCGAATGCCCGGTTGCAGTCTGGTATTCCACCAGAAAGTGCGCGAGAGAGTTGGCTTTGTTGGGAGCGTGCAGCACAATCTTCTCCACAGCTTCGTTGGACGGAGTATTGAAGCTCGAAACGCCTTTCGTTCCGATTATGCTCACCTTTATCACCTTGTTCGCCTTGTCCGTCCATGCCAGAAGAGGAGCGGCGGTGTTGGCTCCGGCGAAGAGGATGTTCGCCTTGGATTGAATCTCGCTGTCGGAGTTGAGCGTGTACGAATCGATCTTCTTGCCGGTGATGGGGCTCAGCGACGTGACGCGCAGCTTCGAGCCTCCGCCGAGAAGAGGCGAGTGCAGCGAAATGTAATAGACGGTCGTGGGCGAGGTCGACACCTGGAAGGGCGTGTCTCCGCTGCGATGCTGTCAGTGCTCGCTGAAATTGGCCCAATGCGCACGCCGGGGTGCATAACCCACCTCGTGTCCGCAAATGTCCACTTCGCTCGTCCGGTCTTTCCATCGAGCCTCCTCACGGTCTGGCTGCCGTCGGCGAGCAGGACGATCGCATCTTTGGCGTCGTTATTTGTAATTCCGTCCTCTTGTTCCAGAATCTCGAGGTCTTCCGCAATTGCGCCATCGACCCTTGTTTCCCAAACGATCCTACCGTCCGAGGCGCTCCATGCCGTTATGCGGTCCCCTAGCGCGCTGATGATGGTGTCTTGCTCCTCGCCGGACCTGAGCAGCCCCCCGCCTCTTGCGCCTGGGGAGGGCGCCTGCCGCCACACGACCGTCCCGTCCTTGGGATTGACGGCGCCGATGGTGCGATTCTCGGACACGGTGTAGAGGAGGGAGGCCTTGGAGGCGGCATAGGGCTTCTGGAAGAAGGTTGCGTCCTGTTTCGGATATCCTAGCAGCGCATAATGGAAGTCAATGTGGCCCGCGTCGTCTTGGAAAACTCCAGAAGCCGTCGCGAGACATGCTGCCAGGGCGGCGACGGCATGAAGACGCATGATGGGATGAGGGGAGGTTTAAGTGAGAGGGCTGCGACGGAGCGTTGGCGCGCTGTGCTCGCTGCCAAGCCGACCCTGGCAGAGCCGCCCGACACTGGCCACTCGGACCGAGAGGCAGCCACGCCCACGGCCCGATCCTTCCCTGGACAGGGCGGCGCATCTCATCTGCCACCGCGCGCTGGTCGACGCCGACGCCATGCATTCACGCCCTCAGTCCTTTAATACCCACGCGCATTTCGCGTAGACGAAGGGCATCGGCCGAGGTGACGGCGCTCCGGGGCGCTGAATCATCGCCTGCTAGCGAGCGACCACGGCGGGGAAGCGTCCAGCACATCCGCCGTCCAATTCCCACGACCCACCGCGGTCCTATTTCGTCCGCCTGCATCCGAATTCGACACCAGGACAGCTCTGACGTGTCTGGCGCCTTGTGGAATGCAGCTCTGCGCGGCCGGTGAAGCTGAAGAACTGGCTGCCCATTGCCCGGCATGCCGTTCCATGAAAGCCCATCCGCTCTTGTTAACAGCGTGGGCAGATCATTACTCCGTCCTCCGCCGCCGCCAACATGTCGATATTCGCCTCCGCCTCCGCCTCCGCCTCACCATTCATGCAGGCCGGCCTGTGCTGGGCCGCTTCCCCGAAAAGCGCTCCAGGGCTGCGAGCCGGCATCGCTGCCGTGGCGTGCCTGCGCGCTCTTCTCCATGCAGCGCACCCCATGTTTTCTTCTTGCTGTAACCTGGTACCACTGCAATGTGGGCAATTGCCGGCACCAAGGCATGAGCCAGTGACGTTGGGCGGCACGCTTCGACGGTGAAGTGTCACTCTGGGCCGTCAGCGCTGTGCGGCGTCGTGGCCAGGTCCACCTGCGCCTGCTGCCAGCGGATTCTGTACTGTACTCCTCCGCCGTCGCCAGCAAACCGCCATCTGCACCGACGGGCGTTTGATGCGTCTTTCATAAAGCTGCAGACACGTGTGACGGGGCCCGCATGGCTTGAAAGAGCATAGTCCCCTCCCGAGCGCCGGCCTCCCGGGACTTGGGGCGGCGGCAGCAAAACCCTGCCGCTGGAGCGCGCCCTCGCACACTACTGCCTGTGCACGCAAAATTTATGCCCTCGATGATGTCGCTGGCCTGCGAGGGCCCATTACGGCGCCTGTTACACGGGAACGATCCTGGTAGCACTCCGTCGCTGCGTGGGCGACGGGCGCTTCTTTTGGCCTGCGCCGAGCTGCTCATGTCAGTCGGGCGAGCATCACATATTAAACTATGCAGCTGCCCTTTTAAACTTTGCTCATGAAGCCTCGCCCTCGTCCCCTCCCCTCGCCCCCTACTGTCCCCAGGCTCGCCCCCCCAGACGGTCGACAGAAGCAAGCAAGCAAGTTCCGGCCATGCCTAATCGATAAGGCCTCGCAACCAAAAATTCTCCAGCCCACCCATCCACGAGCCACGGACCTCGACCTGGCTGCTCCGGGCCAGATAATTCGGCCTGCGCCTCCGGTCCCATATTTGCCGCAGCATTCCAGTCTCGCCCTGGGACGCGTCGTCTCCTGATTACTGGCCGCCAGTCGTCCACCAGGCGCCGCCGTTGTTATTGGCCGACGTAGCACGCCGCGCAACCACCCGCTGCCCCAAAGTAACACGCCGAGAGCACTCTCCTCCTCAGCACACCTGATCTTGTCGCGAGACGCCGTGTTTTGGCTTCAATTGGCTCTGCTTGCCTCGGCGGAGACGCCCTCTTGGCCACCTGTGGCGCGAACGCCCAAGGACCCCAGAAGGCAACATCCTCTGCGCGCAAGCTTCCTCCACTCCCTTCCGAAAAGCTACATTTGAGGTATGAGCCAGAGGGAATACCACATCGTCGTCCTTGGCTCCGGTATGCTTCCAACTTCCACCGACTAGCCTCTCACTAACGACGTCACAGGCGGAGTAGGGTGAGTGCCTCAGGCCGCTAAACGTTAATTTGCACTGACCACCTTGTCATCTTAGCAAGAGCTGTCTCACGGGTACGATTGCAGACCGTGTTCCACACACTTCCATAGTGCTAACTTCTCACAGCGCAGTTTGTCCAAAGTACCACCCCCGTAATGCCGAGCATTTGCAGAGAGCTGACCCGTCTAAGATGTCTGGATCGAGAGCTATGACCCGACCATTGAGGATTCTTACAGAAAAGCCATCGAGGTAGACGGACGACATGTGATTCTGGAGATCTTGGATACCGCAGGCACCGAGCAGTTCACGGCAATGCGAGAACTCTATATGAAGACGGGCCAGGGTTTCCTCCTCGTTTTCAGCATTACCTCCATGTCATCATTATACGAGCTCACCGAGCTCCGCGAGCAGATACGGCGGATCAAAGAGGACGGTACGTCACGTTGGGGTTCCGCACTCCCTCTCTGTCGTCAAGATGCCTGCAGTTCGTCGAACTGCTCCCTAGGTAGCACTCGGCGATCCCGCAATCTCTAGACCGCGCCATGGGCTCACCAAGACCCCTTCCGCTCCAATTTGATGGACTGTGCTGACCTTGTACCCCTGCTTCTAGACAATGTGCCCATGGTACTGGTGGGAAACAAGTCTGATCTGGAAGAAGACCGCTCGGTCCCGAGAGCTCGCGCCTTCAACGTCTCCCAGCAGTGGGGAGGTGTCCCATACTACGAAACGAGCGCGAGACGAAGGGCAAACGTGGACGAAGTCTTTGTGGATCTGTGTCGACAAATCATCCAGAAAGACCGCAGGGAATACGCTGAGAAAAGGCAACGTACAAAAAAACGTGCTAATCGCAGACGACCCAAGTGTACGATTTTATAGCGGAGTTACGGCACGATACCATCGGTTTCCTTTTTCGATTCCCCATATTTGTTTCCCATATAGAGAGGTATTAGAGGCTTTCGCTCGCAGCGCCAATGCACTTCCTTCATGCTCGAATCTCTGCTCGTTGAATGTCCATCCAGGAGCTCCTCGTTCATGCACGTGTAGCATGTGTGGCGCTACGGCTTCAGGGATAGTGCCAGCAATCATTCAGCCGCCATGTTGCCTTTGTTCGAAAGCAGGTCTTCCCGCAAGTACAATTCGTGAGCTCTTTTCTTATTCGGTGTTCCAATGTCATCCAGCTAATCATACCCTCAAGCGCATGCAACTTAGACGGTCAACAGCAAGACCGGGCTCACCGATGAAGAGGGACCGCGGGAGGAGCCCCGTCTCCCACCGTCTCCCGCTGTCGCTCGATTATGCACCCCGCCAATCGACGTTCTCCGGTCTGCACAGGGTACGAGCCGATTTTTGCCTAAGCCGCTAGTTCCACAGACTGCGCAGCATTCAGAAACATACTCAACCCTTCCCAACAACGAGAGAAAATTTTCCCCGGACTACTTTCAGTGTCGCTATGCCATACTCGGCGAATAAACAACCGAATTCTCAAGCCACAAATGGGCCTTGCGGATGTCATTTGGAGAACCGGGACGACGAAGAGACGATCCTTCAGCTCTGCCCTGTCGGGCGACGTCACTCCTCGGCAACGGCTTCCACTACGACCGATCGGGCAGTTTCTTCGACGATGACCGATGTCACCAACACCACACCTTCCCTCGTTTCCTCGGCGTTTCCGCCCACGTAGGATTCGAGAGCGGGATGCGAGCGTAGCACGAGGGCGGCCCGTGGGCGGGATCTTCCACGCCCCACGGCGTGATACTCACGTTTCTTGTTCCTGAAGGAATGGCGATTGGCTCTCGAGTGCGCCTGTCTCTCAACGCTCCAGATACCCCCAACTTCCCACTCCAATGACCGGTTTCTTGGATCTTCAAAAGATATGACAAGATGCTGCAGTTGCGAGGACTCAACAAAACACCAACAAAGTTCAGCCGGCATTAAATCCCCCGCATTCCGGTGCACGATAAGGACAAGGCATGTCTAAACCTTCTGCTTTAATTACCCACGCTCAGATGCATGGCCCAGCACACGCTTTAGCCCATCAGAAACGTGGGCGTGGCGAAATTGTATGGCTAGATGCACGCAGTGGTTCACCTAGCCCTGAAGAGAAGGCCGCTACTGCATATGTGGCCCCATGTTTGCAGAAGTGTGGGGCCGGGGTCTGCGAGGCAGTCCAGAGGGGACCTCTGAGAGCCCAGAAGGTCTTCGAAGAGACGGAATTGTTTAGCGGTCGTAAAGGACATTATGGTATACGGTCGGTACCTGCCGGCCTTCCCATTCGAGAAATGCATTTGTCAACCTGGATCCTCCTCATGCGAGTCTCGCGAACTGGATCTCCCTAGGCCCTTGGAGATGTGTCCGACTGCTGATTGAATGGCATGCGATGAAGAGCAAGCTAGCGTGCCGCGACTCCGGAAAGAGCGTGCTTTAGGCTTGCGCGTCCGGGTTTACTCTTCTCCAAGCGTGGACCTTACCTTTAGGGAAGACTCCGTTGAGAAGTCTTGGTTAGCAGCTTTGGAGGAGGACCGGGATGGAATTGTATACGCGAAGCCCTTCTCAGCAGCCTTTGGGGAGAGCCAAGCCGGTGCCCCAAAAGATAAATGCCCAATGCGTTGCTCAGCGTTCTGGACATCATTTTCCTCTTACCTAGCTGGACTTCTCCCCGTCGCATCAACAACAATGCCACGTCTGTCCTTCGCTCTATTCACTTCTGGGGGACGCTGAGAGATGTTCCAGCACTTTCTCCATGTCGATTTCTAGATCAGGATTGCTTTCCCCAGCACTTCCTAGCTCAGATACGCTAAAGCGTAGCGAGGTTCTCATTAGATCTACATGCTGGCTAGGGCCTCACCAACATCGGGGGGGCAAAGTGGGAAGCCGAAAGCTGGGCGAACCATAGGACGCCGGAACGCCCCAGGATGACTTATCCTATATCCCACACCCCACATCACTCGTATGTGGTAGTCTCCACCGGGCGCCGAGGCGGGGGCAGGCAACGGCAATCAGGAGGCTCGGCAAATGATAGGGCCCTGAAGCACGTCAGGAAGCCTCATCCCAATTTGCTTTGAACAGTCGATAGGGCTCTGAAGACCTCCATCTCCTCTCTTAATAACACTGCCGTTATCCAAAGCCCAGACGCTTCCGCAGAAGCCTTTACCGATACAGCGAAACCGTGCGGTCGGGGTGGCCATTGTGTTTTGAACAATAATGGCGATGATTGAATGTAGCGGGCCGCTGGATAGTGGAATCGAGATAGCGATTACTCCCCGGGAGTTTCCATGAAGAACAGGAGAGCAATCCTCCCTCTTGATATGCCTGCGGGTCAGGAGCGGCGATAAAGGCATCGTAGATAATGCCTTCGTTCCATGTGACGTGGTTCCTGCATTGAAGCCTTGCCGTGCAGACGGTGAAAATCTGTGATCCGCTTCGGCGGCGAATATAGAGAGAAGAGAGACGTATATAAGCGAGGAGCGACGAGATAACCGAGAGATGCAATACATAGCTAATACGTCCGTGTTCGATCTCCTCTCCAAGCTCAGAATGAACTAACCCGGCTCGAACGCATCCGGCGCCCTCATCACCGACTTCTTGCACGTCGCACCACCCCATAGTGTCTCTGAGCCCGCGCAGGCTATAGTAGACGTGTCCTTGTAGCGCTATTGGCATTGTTTGTGCAAGTGACGTCGTTCGTGCTTGCCTACGTGGTCGCTGGGTCAGGTTGCGAATACCCTCCCTAACAAGCCACGAATCGAACAGCATATCCTCGCATGCATAGTTCTGTGCTTCGCCTCGCCTTGCGTCGTATGTACCCTGGGTCCACGTTGTCACGTCCTAGCCCTCACTCTGCGAAAGAAAGCTCCTTACTACTCCCGGAGAGACCTTCAGGAAGCAAGCTTCTATCTAGCACATGCAGAGGAAAGCCGTCTCCTATGAAAAACTCTCACGGGCGTTTGCAGTACCCACCCCTTTGATGAACGCATGTGCGCGTCGAACCCAACCAACATGCCTTACTTTCTGGCTCTCCGAAATCCCCCACCCCACCCCCAGAGAAGACCGCTGATACGTAAAAGACGAGCGGAATCAGAGGAACTGGCACGATCGTCGTACGCGCCAGAGAGCGGTAAAGCCTTGCTTGCAGCGGAACGGTTGTTATGTGCGTAGAGTGAAGACTGAGACTGGTTAGCAGAACGAACTGAGCTTCCTTTTGCGAGAAAGGAAGCCTGTCGCTGCGAACGAACGAGAGCAATCGACCAAGCTAGATGCAGAGGCGACCAGTGAGCTACCTCCGATCTACTCTAGAGCTCATGCCGCGACCATTGGCACACGCGCACCGCGATGTAGACGATCTAGGTATCTTAGATGAAGGATATTCGGAGCATTTCTGCATGCACCCAGGGATAGTCAGCTCGCCTCGGTATAGTCTTTAGAACGTGTTTGATTACTGACATATGCGTTTAGTTGGAATTTAGACAAACAGTATTTAAGCATAATGCATTTATTCACTACCCTGGTACAGACCACCCAGTCTGAATGAGGAAACTTAGAAGAAACTCGTCAAGTCCTTGAACCCTTATCAATCACGAGAAGAGAGTCCCGCAACCTGAAGTACCCATTTTGCCCATCCGCCATCACGTATCTCGTCGCAATTGACTTGAAGCCATGAGTTCTGAGTCAATTTAATACCGCCCGCCAGGCGGAGGGGCCCCGTATTGGGGCTGCCCAGGATAGCCTCCCTGGGGCGGACGTTGCTGCTGCTGTGCGCCGGGATAAGGTGGCTGTTGCCCATAGCCTTGTTGTGGAGGGCCGCCGTAGCCTTGCTGGGGAGGCTGGCCGTAACCCTGAGGCTGCTGTCCGTAACCTTGAGATTGCCCGTGTCCGGGCGGGGCCTGTCCGTAACCTTGTGGAGCATATGGCTGCTGTTGTTGCCCGTACCCCGGCGGCGCGCCGAACCCACCACCAGGGGGCGTGTATGCGGGAACCCCAGCCGGCCGATTGGTCTTTTCATCTTTCGAATCGTAACTGGCGTCGATAGCTCCCAGAAGCAACTTGACCATCCAGAGGTCCGGAGTGAGATCGACGGGCGGATTGGCGCGCGACATTTCGTCTTGCTCGTTCTCGAAGTCTGTGTGCTCATTAGATATGAGGGCCGTGGAGTGGCCTAAAGAGAACTTACTGCTCGTGCAATCAACCATCGGACCCACGCCTGGGTCCTCATCGAGCTTGCTGAGGAACTTCCTCGCCATCTCGTCATTCCCAACTTGGGCAAACTCAAGCGCTAATGCGCCCTTTGTGCAAGGGAATTCCTTCAGGGCTTTGAATGCATTCTTGATAGCATCGAAGACGGCATTCGGAGGTTCGCCGGCGGGCTGACCGTCTGTAATGGTGATGACAAGTGCCGGCTTCCTGAGCTGGCCGGAAGATGCTTTCTGGACGATGGGATCAAGCACTTTGTTCTTGAGCGAGGTGCCCATGGGAGTGAGACCCTTGAACTGGACGCCCTGCATGATCTGGTTGATCTGGGCTTCAGTTCCGACACCGTCCTGAAGAGACCGGCCTTGATTGTCGCGCACATGACCGAGATCCGTGTTCATGAAGCGGATAGAGATGCCATCGGGGTCGAAGAGGGTAGCTGCAAAGGCGACTCGCTCGAGAATAACGCGCAAATCCCTGATGCGTTCACCACCCTCCTCAAATGACATGGAACCGCTATCGTCTTCGGGGGATTAGCGGACTTCACCATTGAACATTCGGTACTTACCGATGAACAGATGGATGTCGTAGAGGGCAAGCTTTACTATGTCGTTTGCGATCTCCTTGGCGACACGCCAGCGCTGGATGACTTGGCTGACCAGAGCGGGAGCGCGGTTCGCGATCTGATCGATGATCGGAGAGTTTGGCGGGTAGAAAAACTGTAATCCCTTCTCCTGAATGCAAGACTGCAGAAGCTGACGATAGGCGCCGACCTCCCCTGGTCCTGTCTGCTGCGGAGGAGCCTGGCCATACTGAGCTTGCTGAGCACCGCCGCCATATTGTCCTTGCGGCGGGGGAGCGCCCTGTAGAGATAATGTTAGCATTGATCCGACGCATTAGGCACTACGCTCTTGCTGCACTCGGCATCGTCCGGGAGAATGGATCTCCGACCAAGTTGGAAAGACGTCCAGGTAAGCAAGCAAGAAATGCAAGTAGCATGTGGAAATGTACGAACACTAGGCGGATTTCCGGGCTGTCCGTAGCTATTCTGTTGACCCCATTGACCTTGTTGTGGCTGGGCCCACTGGTTTTGGGTATACTGAGGTTGCTGGTTCCATTGGTTCTGTTGCCCATAATGTTGATACGATGGCTGGCCCTGTGGCGCTTGTCCTGGATATGGTGACTGAGATTGCTGACCCGGAGGCGGCGGTGGCGGCCTATTGTATCCAGTCTGTGCTTGTGGATAGGGAGAAGATGTTCCGTATGGTGGTTGACTCGGAGCTGACGAGTAGGGCGATTGGGATGCAGAGGGATAGGGCGGAGGAATGGCGGGGTTCGTCGGCGGATGAGGGCTCTGCGAGTAGGCGTTAGGCGCGTAGTTGGGATAGGGCTGGTAGCCGCGATAGTTTGCCATGGCGATATATCAAGTAGTGGATGCGGGCGTGTCGAGGTCGGGAGAGATAGGCGTGGCGGCGCAGAGATGGGCAGCAGGAGCGTGGGTCGAGTCCGAGGAATGCGCGGTCCCAAAGCACGAAGAGAGAGGAGGAAAGAAGGCGTTGCGGTGAAAGGATGTTTGCGCCGGGGTCCAAAGTGGCGAGGTGTTCGTGGGTGATGACGATGCAGAGCAAGCGAGGGAGCGGAAGCAGAAGATTCTTTGCTTACTTACCGGAGCGCCGGCACCAGGTGGGCTACCCGGGTACGCCTGGTATGATGGCTGCTGCTGCCCAGGCTCCAGCAGCGCGTTAGTAGAGCTTGTGACCTGGCACCTGGCTGTACAGCGCGATGGAGAACTTACATAGCCGCCCTGCTGGCCTTGGGGAGGGTAGCCTCCTGGCGGTCCTGCTGCAGCCAACTTTGATGCGAGCTGTCGCGTTACGGGTCAGCGCGAGGATGCGAATGACGTTTGCCTGTTTGGCGGGGGGCAAAGAGGGGTAGCTCTGAGGCGAGCGCGCAACGTACACCCATGGTTTATGTTGTTTTCTGCGAGTTCAACTGTTGAAGATGTGGTAGAGTGTTGCAGAGATGTGCTGCGAGGACTGGAAGCAAGGAGGTGAGCGGAGGGAGTCAAATACCGAAGCGTCGGGCTCGCGGCGTGAGCAAGAGCAGGAGCTGAGCTGATGACGATTGCTGCCCCCTCGCGCGAGCGGCTGCGCCACAGCCGGGGCTGGATTCTCATTGGCTGCGGCAGGAACGTGTCAGGCATCTCGTTTGTCTGGTGGTGCTTGAGGCTGAGCACGACGCATTCCAGTGGGATCAGGCTGCAAGGAACAGGTGGGGATCCAATTCACACACACAAACGCTCTCTGCAGTCGTACCCAAGGCCAACAGAATACCTGGCGGTCTGGCTATCATTTTCCTGCTAAGCCACCTGCCATTACGTTCTCCAGCCGCACTTTCCTGGCATCGCACTGCTCCTTCCCCAGCACAGAGCACATGGATCATGCACAGCCACACGCAGACTTCGTACTCCCATATTCGCAACCTCACCACTTCGTTCAATACTGCCGGCGAGCTCCGGCATTACTGCCTCTCGCCGGCTTTGAAGCATAAACAGTAGCATATTCTCTTTGGCTTTGTCGGTTCCGCATACGGCGCCGGCCGTTACCGCAGCGAGGAAGGAGCGACCGTTGCTTTCCCACTCTGAGTCTTTGATGCATTTCATTAAACACTGCAAGTCTGCGAGCAGCCGTTCCAATCCCCGCCTCTGGACTTGCGACGGCGCCTCGCTTCCCACATGTTGAATCGTGCCCAGTCTTCTTTTATGGCTTGCGCTCTTAACGGTGCGCGCACCGCATGTTTGTGCCAGTCTGGAACCCACCTGGGCAAAGCCGGGAGATGCGGTCACGCAGGCCGACGGAAAGCGCCAGCGCATTTCAGAAGAGCTGTTTTGTGCATCTTGAGCATGCTTTCGGCGAAGTGACGGTATACCGCGCCGGCCCCTAGGTCTTAATATGCTATGATGCTGTCAGAGGTGACGCTACTTCGCGCGTAGATGCGATCCCCGTCATCGCTGCATTGACTGCTCTCGAATAAAGTGAGGAGAACCTACAAAAGTCCCTCGTTTATAGACTATGTGCATTCATTCCCTGGCAAAACGAGACGCGTTTGAAGGAAGAGGCGAAACAAATCAACACGTTGCAGGAGCTGCTCGTTTTGAACATGTGGGGTGAGCTCTGATGTCTGGAGAGCCCCGGGATTCGTTGGGTAAGGCGCACCCTAACCCCAATTCGGTTAGTGTCCATGGCCCACTTTCTGTCTCCAGGGCTCCAGCTCGCTGCCAGATTATTCTCATCTCTCAATTATGTGCTACCCTCTCGCCTTTCAAGTACTCCACCACGACGATGGAGAACGCAGAGAACGCAGATTAAACCTGGCTTATAGTCGACCCTTTAATTCCCACCAGATGCGCGACGTTTTGAGACAGCCCTGCGTCAACCACGGTTACCAGCCAATTGGACCTTCAGCCTTCCGCCGGGAGCTGCATCCTTCGCGCATCGTCCCACCTTCCGCTTCGGAGTATGATGGCCGGACAGCTGGAACGTGGTGCGAACTACGCCGCAATAGCTGGCGAACTTGGCCCACCACCTCAGGAGCCCTCATGGATTGCGCCGACCCCACGTTTAGGAATATGCATCATAAACGGTTGTGCTATATGTCACCGCGCTGCTCCAGAGTTAAGGCGATAACCATCAGCCGTTCAAAGTATGGTGTGTTGGAGGGTCGGACAGATCCTGGTCATTGGGGCCATTAACTACATTAACGATTTATAAAGGCCCAGCCCCTCTTAACTCCGTCGGCAGGCCCTAGCACATCACTCCAGCTTCTCAGCCTTGTGCCAGAGAACTGGAGAAAGCGCATCATGGTGGTAGGCTAGCGATTGCCCCCTCCACGCCCTGTTGTACTGCATCGAACTGTCTCTCTGCAACTCTCCTGCCCGTATCGGACGATTTTGCTAATGTTCGCGACTCTAGACAGGACCGAAGAATTTCCTGAACGTATTGGAGCCTGGAACGGACCCAAAGATTGAGTAAAGCTGACATGCTCTCGCCTCTTTCTCGGACCTGGCTAAAAGAGGACAGTATTGTTGCGGTGCACGGATTGAACCCGAAGAATAAAGACAGCCATGCTGAAAAGACATGGACGGCCGGTGATAAGCTTTGGTTGCGTCACTTCCTGGCACCCAAGCTCCCTGAAGCAAGAATTCTTCTCTTTGGATACAATTCGAACGTCTCCGGCGAATCCAATGCAATGCACATCGGTGACCATGCTACGAATCTACTGAATAGGCTGGTGGGCAAAAGGTCCGAGGATCCGGAGCGGCCGATCATATTCGTGGCTCATAGCTTAGGAGGGCTGGTGGTAAAGAAGGTATTGCACTTTTCGCTACTATTCTAATTCATTACTGCTTCGTGGAAGAGGGCTCGACTGACCTCTTCATCTAGGCATTAGTGGAAGCAAAGCTAAACAAGGCCTACGATTCGATCCGTATAGCGACATACGGCATTGCTTTCTTTGCAACCCCCCACCTCGGCGGCAATTATGCTGCACTCGGGAAAATACTCAGCGACATTGCCAACGCAACGTCTCGAAATCCACGGAGTACACTGATGAGAGACTTGCAGAAATCATCTCCGTTCCTAGGGAAACTGAACGAAGATTTTCGGCACCAATTGGAAGATTACTATTTCGTGAATTTCTTTGAGACAAGATTCTATGGTGGTCTCGATGTAGTGAGTGTTGGCGGCTGAATGTCCTGTTTCAGAAACGGAGCGGAACTCTGACCGATTCTAGATCGTTGACCGTGAATCTGCACAGCTGGGGCTGTCTGGTTCTCGTGAAGTTCTCGTGCCATTCGATGCCGATCACAACAACATCTGCAAATTCGCTACCCAGAACAGCGACTACGAGCAAGTCGAGCAGAACATCATACGCCTAGTAAAGGGTGCACTTGAGCTCAAGGCCGTCACAGAGCGGGATCGCCGTCGTTCATCTGCATCGCCCTTCTTTAGCAGCCCGCGCCCCTTTTCTGAACACCAATTCTCCACTCCTACCCTTAGTTCTGATGGGTATACAAGCACTGACATGCTGGGGCACTATGGCGGCCCAACTTGTGAGTGATTCCGATGCTGCTAGTATAAACGCGGGTACTAGCTTCTGACATAACTCAAATGCTGTAGTTGAAGTTCCTCACAACAGAAACCGTAACTTTGTCGGGCGACAAGATATCGTTCAAAAGGTGGTCGATCGTCTCACTTCTAACAGTGAGGCACAGCACCGGATAGCCTTCTATGGGCTCGGCGGCGTAGGGTACGCACTCCTCATCACTTTCGTCTGAGTGTAACGAGCGAGACTAATCTATTCAGTAAATCGGATTTGGCGATACAATGCGCATATGCCATTGGTGAGCGTTACCCAGACATATCTGTGTTCTGGATCCAAGCCAGCAGCTTCGAGCATTCCCATCAATCCATCGTGAAAATCACCAGCGTTCTGAAGATACCAGGGACCGACGCGCCCAACGCCGATGTTTTTGGATTATTCCGGGACTACCTGTGGAAGGGCCATAATGGTCGATGGTTTCTGATAATCGACCACGCGGACAATTTTCAGAGCCTCACACTGACTCCAGGAGACAGCAACAAGCACATCCGCCTCCAGTCGAAGAGACTTCTAGATTACATACCGGATTGCTCTCATGGCTCAGTGCTTCTCACCACTCGAAACAAAAAGGTTGCTACTGGCTTCGCCGACAAGCAAGGCTTGGTGCAGGTTCTTCCACTGGACAGAAAGGAGTCTGAACAGCTAGTTCACCAATTGTTGGACACGGAACAATTCCGGGATGGCGGCACCGCCGAGCTAACCGAAGTCTTGAATCACTTTCCTCTCGCCATCGTTCAAGCAACGTCCTTCATTCGGGGCAACGGCATCACAGTTCAAACCTACCTGCAGCGCTATCGAGAAAACAAGCACAATGCCCTTGAGCTTTTTGGTCATGACTTAGTCGACTCCGACGATAGCGAAGCCGTGACGACGACATGGATGATCTCGTTCAAGCAGCTGCAGGCGAACAACACATACGCGGCAAATCTGTTTTCCTTGATGGCGTATCTCGACAACAGTGAAATCCCCGAATCCCTTCTGGGTGGTATAGATGACGGTATGACGGGGCTTCAGTTTGAGAAAGCGTGCGGAGAGCTCAAAGCATTTTCTTTTATCTCCGAGGCCTACTCTATTCCATCATCGGCATCCCCTGGTGCGAATCCCATACCGCGCTTATTCAACGTCCAGCCCATTGTACAACTCGTCATGCGTCTCTGGCTTCAGCAACACAATCAGACGACGAGATGGTCAGACGCTGCGCTTGTTGCTGTGTCAAAGGCCTTCCCTCCGGCAGAAAGTTCGATGGAGCACTGGAAGGCATACGAAATGTACCTCCCGCATGTACAGGCAGTGTTAGACCACCCCAGCGAATCCACAGCTGAGCAGCAACATAAGGCTAATCTGCTGCACAACGTTTCCTGGTTCTTCCGGGTCCGAGGGTTTCACGACACCGCTGCGCGCATGGGACGTGAAGCGTTAGCGATTCGGCAGCAAATCCTTGGAGACGAAGACGAAGCCACTTTGGCTAGTGTATACAGCCTGTCCCGCATTCTGTTCGAGCAGGGCAAATTGGAAGAATCTGAACAGCTGCAGATTTCTGCCATCGAGGCATGCAAGCGCAATTTCGGTAATGAGGACAACCATGTATTTCGGAGCCAAGGCCTCCTAGCTGCAATACGGGGAGTGCAGGGCAGGTACGAAGAGGCCCTCGAGCTACAAGAGAGAATTCTGGAAATCAGCAAGAGGACTCTGGGCCAGTGTCCAGCAACATGGCTCGCGATGCGCGATCTCGCTATTACCTTAAGCTACATGGACCGCCAGCCTGAAGCAGAGGAATTACAACAAAGCGTATACATCGCACGACGAGAATACCTCGGCGAGGACCACCCAGAGACTCTGATCATCATGAATGATCTTGCTACCACGTACATTGAGCAGTCACGCTTCCCGGAAGCTGAAGTGTTGCTCGTGAAGGTCACTGAACGCAGCAAGCGAATCCTGGGAGGGAGACACCCACATACTATCGCCGCATACGAACACCTACAGCGGGTGTTGAAAAGCCAAAAAAGGAAGACGGAGCAGGCGAGGAGGCTGGAAAGAGTGCTTCAGCAGATAAAGCGAGAGTGCAGAGAGACTCAGGAGAACGCCGGGGCCCGCATGAGACCAATGGTCAAAAGAACCTTGAGTAGTTCGGTCGTCACTTATGCGTACCGAAGGCCGACAGCGATACTAGACGCAGCGGACGAAGACAACAAAAGTGAGATGGGAGGCAAGGACGTAGAAGCATTTGGCCTAGGACTAACGCTTACAAATTCTCGAAACCCAGACGTGGGCGAGAGCGAGGACGAAGATGAAGACGGAGATGAAGACGACACGGAACGTGAGGAGTTCGCTACGATCAAGAAAGCGTTGGTACTCATGATGCGGGGAATGATGAGTCTCCCAACTTTCAACATTGTCAAGCTCGCTCCGGCAGAAGACCCGATGCCGCAATCGACGCCAAACAGCGCACCGCAGGATACACCAGCCAGCACACCACAGCTGCGCAGCGTCGAAAGCAAAGCGCAAGCGCAACCCGAGCTGGAGGCATCCAAGTCCGACACTGCTTTGACCACGGCATCGTCCGACAAGCCCGCCTACAGCAACAACAAAATCCTCAGAACCATTGAGAAGAAGGTGGAGCGCAATATCAACAAAGAGACGCGCGATGCTCTGCTGAAAGAGGGCATGGACCTGCTCGAGACGACGAAGACGAAATGGAAGAAGACTAACTTGAGGGACTTGAGAGTACCTTGGACGCCTAAGGGGCAGGATAAGAAAGAAAAGCAGGACGAAGCCTCTAGCGGGACCGACACTGAGACCGAGGTTGAATGCAGCAAGGGAACTGAGGAGAAGACTCTAGAGAGTTAGAGTGGTTGACGTGAATTGTACGTTTAGGGTATGCGGAAAGGAATATGTGTTATTGTATCGTTATGGTGGTTACTCCGAGAGTCGAAAGTGATATACTGTGGTAGTCAATCAATTTCTTACGACTTACTATGCGCTTCAAGCAACGACAGACTTTTGAGGATTCAATGATCTAAACGGTGCGCGTTTCGTGATTAGTTCCCGTCAATTGCCCTCTCCTCGTGGCAAAGAGTTCAGTTGGGTTTTTGCGGAAGTACTGTATTTCCCCACTCAACGCACAGACCCCACTCAACGCACAGTTAACACCAAAACGCGTATATTTTCAACACCTCATAACTCCACCAATATGGACCCGATTGACGCAGCTGTTGAAGCTTTAAAATCCCTAGAGCTGGGAGGACCTCCTAATATATCCCAGGTTGCTCGGGAGTACGGCGTTGAGCGGTCGCGGCTCTCGAAGCGTTATCGCGGGGTTCAGGGCACCAATACATCACGGGCTGAGAAAAAGCGACTCCTCAACACTATACAGGAAAAACAGCTCCTGCAGTATATTGATAAGCTGTGTGTACGAGGCCTACCCCCTACAAGAGAGATGATACGAAATTTCGCAGCAGAAATAGCCCATCAAGAGCCTGGAAAACACTGGGTTGATCGCTATATTGCGCGGCATCAAATTGACCTTGTATCGCGATGGACATCCGGCATCGATAACCAGCGCCACAAAGCTGATTCAGCCTTCAAATACGCTCTCTATTTCAAGCTTTTGGACGATAAGATCAAGCAGTACGATATCGCGCCGTCAAATACATACAACATGGATGAGAAGGGCTTCTTGATCGGGGTGGTGTCAAAAATGAAGCGCGTGTTCTCCCGACAGCGATATAATCAAGGAGGCGTTAAGCAGGTACTCCAGGACGGCAACAGGGAGTGGATAACGACGATAGCTTGTATATGCGCCGACGGCAGCTCTCTCAATCCTGCCCTGATATATCAGGCGGCTTCTGGCAATATCCAGGATACATGGTTGCAGGATTTTGATCCTCAAGAGCACCAGGCCTTCTTCGCCTCATCACCATCTGGATGGACAAACAACGAACTCGGGATTGCCTGGCTCAAGAGGTGCTTTCAAGAGGAGACGAAGAAGAAGGCAAAGCGCGATTATCGGCTCCTAATCCTTGATGGGCATGGCTCACATATTACTATGAAGTTTATTAAGTTCTGCGATCGAAATCGAATCCTCCTGGCTATCTACCCGCCGCATTCAACCCATACGCTACAGCCTCTAGATGTCTGCCTTTTCAAGCCTCTTTCAGCTGCATATACGAAAGAGCTCAGCGAATATATATACAACAACCAGGGACTCACATCTATCACCAAGCGCGACTTCTTCCGCTTCTTCTATAGGGCATATAGGATCGCGTTCGCCGAAGAAACGATCATCAACGCCTTTAAAGTCACTGGCATCTCTCCACTGGATAGCAACGCTATATTGAAGAAATTCAAGGATCCAGAGCCTAAGAGGCCATTAAGCAGCGATAGTACGTCGTCAGTACTCTCTGCAAGCGATTGGCGTAAAATTGAACGACTCCTGCGAGAGGTAGTTGAGAATATCTACGATAAACGCGCCTCGCAGCTTTCTCACACGATACACGCGATAGCGACTCAAAAACAGCTCCTCCAGCATGAAAATGATTGCCTCAGAGATGCCCTTATTAATGAGAAGAAGCGCCGTAAGCGTGGCAAGGCATTACTACTCGAACCCTCCAAGGATTACGCTGGCGGCGCCGTCTTCTGGTCGCCATCTAAAGTTGAAGCTGCCCGCAATCGCCAAGCCCAAAAAGACGCCAAAGCAGAAGAACTACAACACCAAAAGGATTGCGATAAGCTAGCTAAGGAGCAGAAAAAGCAGGAGAAACAGGCTATGCTT